ATCTTTATATATATATCTTACGCGGTAGCTACGAGGTGTTATAGTCTGGTATTTATTCTCCGGTCTCTATACTAGAGTCCTATATACTCCGAGCTCTACTTTAGTTTCTTTTCTCGTCGTAGCGGCTTTAGTTCTAGACTATTTTCGACTTTTCCCGCTATATATATCGTGTACCCCTCGTCGTAGTATCCTATTATAGATCTAAGTCGGTAGTTAGGGTGTTATATATATCCTTAGTATATATAATAGTCTTGCTAGTATAGATAAAGTCCGTCCTCGATCTTTACCTTTAACTAGTATAGTTTGTATAACTAATTAGTGATTTCGAGGGCTTTATCGATTATTTAGCTATCGTTTCCTTCTTTATTTTAAAATAAATCTTAGAGTTTATTCTGTAGTCGCTTAATGTCCGCGATAATATTAGCTTTCTAGGGTTTTTCTTAAGGCTATTTAGTTATATCCGTCCCTAGGAGCTAGGGTAGAGTTTCTAGGATCTCTAGGGTTCCTAGAATCTCGATTAGTGTTTTTAGGATTCCTACGCCTTACTCCTAGTACTTATTAGATAGTTTATAGGAGTCGATAGTATTTCTAGGACCGTACTAGGTCTACCCTTAACTCTCAATATTTTCCTAGTCTATCTCGGGGAAATTCTCCGTTACGTACTCTACGCTGTTTAGGCTGCGGTATTCGATATCGTCCGTAAAGGTATCCGTAGTTTTCCCCTTTATAGAGTTCTTTATAATCTCTACTCGGTCGTCGTAGGCGTATTTAGCCTCTTCTAGGCTTAGTTCCTATTCTTTAGGTCCCTTAGTAGCTCGTAGCTATTATAGTCGGACCTTATTATTCCGAGTCGCTCGTAGCTACTATAGCTTTACGTTATTATATTCGTTATTATGCTTATACGCCTATAGTTTTACGTTATTATATTTATTACACTTATACGCCCGATGTCCTAGCTTCCTATACTTAAAGTATAGGTTATTATCCTTCCGCCGTTTTTCTTCTTCGGTCGGGAGTCTCGCTGCGTTAAGCTCTATTAGTTATAGTCTGTAGGGGTCGCTATATAACTCCCTCGGCTAGTTTCGTCGTTGTCCTCGCCTACCTTCGTAGCGGTAGTATTAGTGTAGTATTATCCCTTAGTTATCTCTTTATCGCTACTCCTATCGCTAGAGTTTACGTTTATAAAGTCGATTATCGAATTTAACTGCGAGTTTAATTATCTTATAAAGTTCTTCTAGTCGGTTAATTCTTATAAGTTCGTCCTTAACGTCTTCCTTAAGTCCTCGTTTAAAGAGCTAAATATAGGTATCGTCGTTGAAGTTAAGGTACGAAATGATCTATTAGAATTCGGCGACGTATATACTAGCTAATCTAGTCTATTGTAGCCGATCTAGTCGTCTCTTTACTGTTCTTACGGTATCGATATTACTAAAGGTTTATTCTAATTTTTTCTTAAAAGTTTTATAGGATACGAAGATTTCTCTAGTAACGTCTCCCTAATTCCCTAGGGTTTTATCGTTGAATTCTCGGATATAAGGCTTAAACTATTCGAATGCCTATCTACGGAGGTAGATAGAAGCGTAGATTACTCTATTAGCTTCTTCTACATAATTAATTAAGCGGAGCTATATATCTATTTAAGTTAAGAAGGAACGAAGCTTAGTTCGTTTACTATAGTAGAACTTAGGTTTCGGTAGTTTAACTATAGCCGGCGTACGGATATTACTTACCTATACGAGCTATTCTTATAACTAGGATATTATCTCTATAAGTTACGTATTAGTAGGTATAGCGTTCGATCTACTCGAAACGTTACTTAAAGTGCTATTATTACCTACTATAATAACTATACTTTACGGTTTAAAGATAGGGCGATTAATATATTATATAGTACCGACTAGTTACTATAAGTTAGAACGTCGGGTTATACTCGCCTAGTTCTAACTACGGATTCTAAGAGTATCTCGTAACCGTACCGTTACTATACTTAGCCTTACGTCGGGTTCGGGTCCTATTAAGTATCTTATAGAACGTACTAGAGGTATACGCTAAATAGGTTAGTCACTAAGTATTACTACGAAGTGAGCTCCCCTGCTTATAGGTTAGGTTATCTTAAAGGTAAACTATAAAGTAGAGTACTAAAAGTAGTAACTAAGTAATAATATGTAATTAATCGCGAAGAACTAAATACGTAATGCTAAATAAGTGTCCTTATATATCTAGTCCTTCGTGATAGTATAAGTAGTAGATAGTAGAGTAGTAGATAAGTCTTAGTACGATCTACCCGTCTATCTATCTACCCTTCTATCACTAGAGGTTACGTACAGTTTTACTAGTACCTAGCACTTAGGGCGTAATCTAAGTGCGGGTAAAATAGTAGCCGTTTCCTGCGTTGCACTAACCACCTTATTGTATAAGCAGGTGTGGTCCGTAGTGGTTAGCTGTAGGCCGTTTCTGGTTCTCTTTCCGGAACGTCTTGGGGCCTTCCGGGGCATGCCCAAGTATACCGAAACGTACGTAATGACGCTACTCCTTAGCGTCCGTGGACGATTGGTTCACGGTTGTTCCTCAAATAACTGCGGTCCCCGCGCCTTCTTGAGGTCCGTAACATCTATTAACTAAGGAAATACCTTAACTACGTACTAAGCTTCGTTACATCGATATATACTATTACTAGCTTTATTAGGAAGTTTAGGCCGGTAAAATACTAGTATAGTAGGTACTAACGGGCGATATAGTAGCCGATAGGCTTACTAAGCTACTATCTAGGTAAAAATATACTAAATTCGTTCGTTTAATAGGTCTAGAGGATATTAAACGGCTATTAGAAGCTTCGTATACCTAGGTAAGATAGGCTACGTATAGATTAGGCGAAATTAGCCGCTTACTAAGGGGGTATATCGAAATATATAGAGTAGTAACTTACTACTAAGAACGGGCTTATTCATTAAGCGCCTAGGTTTCTTATATTTTTATATATAATACTAGCTTACAGAGAAACTCAGGCTTTATAACAGCCGAGTATCGGCCGCACAGACAGAAATACGTCCGTACAGCTAGGGGATAGCCATTCAACAGGCAATCCCCCTAATTTTCTATCATCATCAATCTGATCAATTATCTCTCGTCCCATTGGACATCTTTCATACTAGCCCATACAGAATCAGCCCATTCTGTCACAATCCTCCATAGCCACTTTACCCTTGAAGATTACGCATGGCGGTAGCGAGTAGCCATCTGCGCAAATTGCTTCGATAGAAGTAACCCATTCGCCATTTCCTAGCTGTAAGAGACGTCTCCGGCCGTAGTATTCCGCTCGCGTTACTACTTTCTGCGAAGATATAAGGCCCATTGCAAAGCCTGTCTCATCGAAGTTATAGATATCCTCCGCTTGTATCCCGTTCTCGTCAATCACGCTTTGTACGGTCGCAAACTAGGCTCGTAGGGCTTTTGGGTCTTCGTTTAATGCGCGTTGGTAGTCGTATCGTACCGAGAAGCGTGTTCGAAGCTCATCGCGACGTTCAACAAATTTTGATGGCCAATTCTTGCCAACGGTAGGCGGAGGTTGGCTACCACGCGCAGCCAGTATGATATTAGCCATCTCTCCTACAGTAGCCGGCCTAGGCGCTGCTCCACGCGTATCCATAGAGAGAATCCATTCAGTAAGCGAATCCTCTTCTAATTAGGTCAATTTATGGTCGTTTAGGCGTGTATCGATGCGTGAGGGGAGGCTATTCGCCCGTCGAGACAAGGTAACATGAGATACACCAAATTGCTTCGCAGCTGCGCGAATTGATTTGAATTGGCCCTTTTGAAAAGCTTGTAGGGCCAACAAAATCCTGCCCTCTTGCTCGGTCGCTTTTTTCCAGGATTCAGTGCGTTTTGGTGGCATGGTAGGTGGTTGAAGTAGGTAAGTAGGTAAGAATACGCGATTTCTCGTGGGGTGTTATACTCGGACGGGTGTTTCACTCGGGCGGGAATTACGTTAGCCAATACACCCCTGGTAGGCCCTAGTAGGGCGTATAGCACCCTTCCGATTCAATGATCGATTCAACTCTATTAGGCATAGTCTTTGATAGGTGCCGCATATCAATATTTTGCCATGCAATTTGCGCGGTTTCTACCAAGATCCGCATCGTCTCATCGTTGTTCTTCATATGCATAAGATCAGGCGAATTTTATATATAAATCTCTGCCTTTAGGAGTGCCCAGAGGTTCTCGACCACTGCGTCATATTCATGGCGCCTAAATAACAAGCACATTATGTACCCAAGTCGACACTGAAGTCGCACTCGTGAATTAGGCCAATCCTGGGGGAATGTATGTATGCCAAGAGACCACGGTCTCAGCCAGGTCGGGTAAACCAATAAGGCTCTATCTGAGCCCCGGTAGAGAGGGTCAGTGCAATGGTCGCGCGACGCAGGGTGATTCTCACCCGCTCTCACCCGGCTTCCCACCCTGTCTATTGTGCACTCACCCTAGCTCACCCTGGTCGCGCGACCGTAAAGCGGCGCTCACCCACTTCTCACCCGGGCGGCACCCACCCAACCATGCGAATCCTGGCTGTTGTATGTTTTTATTTTTAATAAATTCATTATTCATTTTGCTTCATTCTTACATTTCCAAGTCTTATTCTATCTAATCTGTGTATCATTCTTTATCCTGTTTATAGTCGAGGCCTAGCTTTGTATCTCTTCATTCTCTATTATCGGGGTGTCCAGACACTAAGTTGAATTTTAGATTTTGAAACACTTATTGAACTTTCTCAATTTCGCGAGAGACGATTACCATATGTTATGAGTTTGCTGATATCAGGGCGAGCCAATTCAAATACATCCTGTAAGGATAGAAACAATAAGCACGAAAGAAAAGAAAGAAAAATAAACTTAGATGACGTGCATGCATTTAAACATAGGAAATCTGGAAGAAAGACTTAGATGACAAAATATTCAATTCTGCTATCGCCCGAAACCGCAAATCAAGTAGTGCATAACAAAAGATCAACAGTTCTGTTCTATCCAGTCCTTCATTTCACCAATGGTAGGGCATTCAAGGAACAGTGAGCTCTTGATCTCGATGCCCAGCTCGCTACGGAACTTTTCCGAAAGAACGAGCGACATCAGTGAATCGACTCCAAGTTGTGCGAACAAGGCATCGGGAGTCAGGTCGTTTAGTTCGAGATTGGTCTCGTCCGCAATGACGCGCAGACACTGGCCCATTAAGCCAGACTCTATCCCCTCTTGCTCTGACTTGCTCCCCTCGCTAGGCGGGGGGTGGGCTGGCTGATGGTTGTGCTAGGCGTTCCTTGGGTGGCGCCCTTGGTAGTCGCGACAATCCTGTCAACTGGGTGACTGCTCCGTGCTGTTGGGATGACTGAAACTGGGGTATTGGTGCTTTGAGTTACGCCAGAGCTCATTTGAAAGAGGTGGGCCTGTGAAGCTGCGGTTTGACTGCTGACCGGAAGAGCGTGATGTGAAACCCGAGGCTCGTGGCTGATCTGGGTACCAGAATTGTGACCGCCATGAGTGACTTCAGTAGTTGCAGTAGCTGATGGTGCCGAAAAGAATCGGTCCATCAACAGGCGCGGAACGCGGCGGAATCGAATTTTACTGAGAACTCCGACGATTTCTTGATCTCGTAGAATATAAATGTCGCCTGCGTGCATCTGCATCTGCATGCTTCCCGCCTCCACTTGAAGGGGAAACATGCGGACGTAGCTTTGATACTTCACGCCGGCCTCAAGTGGCTTCAGCAAACGGAAGCTGTCACTTCCAGGCGTAACATAGAAGTAGTCCCGAGTATTAGACGCATCGCTTCCGTTCATGATTAAACCTGCCAAATGGCAGACGGGGTCAATCCAATGAGGCGGCGTGTGATACGTGCCGTGGTTTTCGGAAGAAAGCGTTACGTTGGCGAACGCTTCGTATTCGTGCAGAACCATAGTGTCAATGCCACGGTACTTGTCTGCGTAGTCGACGACATTCTTGAACAGTGTATACGCCATGTTCTTTGACAGTTGGTTGGCCTTGCCTTCAATAGCCATTTGCTGGAGTGCCTCAATTCGACCAAGGACAAGATGTGTTACTCGATCCCACTCAGCCTTCCAGAACAGAGCATTCTCGAATCGAACGACGGCTGTTGCAAACGACTCGGCGGAGCGTTCGCCTGTCTCAGCGCTGACGTTGAACCATGCTAATGTCATCGAGTCGCTATTCAAGTCCAGATGAGCCTCAAGCTTGATCGGTTGAGAGCAGCCCTTGGACTTGCTAGCAACCTGCGCGTGTAGAACCTCTAGGTCGCTGACGTTCATGTTTACCTCTTTCGCTTGGGGCACAAGCCGGCGGTACAAGTGGTCGCCCATTGTTAGCGCCATGTCGGTCCAGATAGATGATGTTGCCACGCCACAGTTGTTCATCTTATGTCCCCATACTGCAGCTAGGAAATCTGGATGCTGCAGGTCGGAGAGAACATGCATAGTGGCCGTTGTAGCTTCAACTGTCTCACTAAGGACCTGATGAATGAGAGAAGAGCGGATTGCAGGACTTGCCGAAATAGACATGGGCTGCCCTGCCCTGCCACTAGGGAGGAACTGGCCACCATACTTGAGGAGAGCTTTGTCAAGGGTCCAGGTACCAAGGTAGGGAATCCAATAGTTGGTCTCATTCCAACTGTACTTGGGAAGGTCGCTGATCAAGGACAACGCCGGCTCATGGGGCTTGAAATACTCATGCCAGCATGGCGTAACACCAGCAAGGTGCAGTGTGACCAGGCTCTTGGCCATAGTAGTCATATTCTCTTCATTGCGACGGCATGAAGAGGCGACACGGGCTTGCGGCATCAACTTGCGCACGAAGCTGACGCAGACTGGATGTGGTCCACATTCAATCCAAAGTGTTTTGTCATCAACCATGCCGAGATCTTGCGCGGCCTCGATAGCGTCGGCAAAGCTAACAGTATTGCGTGTCTGATTGCGGATGTAGTTCGCATTGATTGTCTTGCCATCGAACACAACGCTTCCTAGCAGGGTCGACAAGACGGGGATACTTGGAGCCTTGAAATGGACCTTTTCCGCCATTTTCTCAAGCTCGTCGAGCACTGCCTCCATTTGCGCCGTGTGGAACGCAAAGGGAATATCCAATAGCACACACTTGTAGCAGGTAGTCTCAAGTGTTTCTCGGATAATGCTGATCTCGTCCTTTGGACCCCCAATGACTGTATCCTGGTGGGTATTCCTGCATGATACAGTGTAGTTGAGCTTGGCGGTTTTGGCGTCATTCTTTAGAGCCGCTTCCAGGTCTGCAGGGGAAGCTGCAACAGACAGCATAGAGTGACTTCCAGGAATACAGAGCTTTTCTGTAAGCTGGGCGCGGCGTCCGACAAGGTTCAAGACATCCACAACGGACAGAACACCAGCAACAGCCAAGGCTGAGTACTCACCGAGGCTATGGCCAATGACAGCACTGGGTCGGACACCAAGCAATGACCAGTACCGCGCAAGAGCAATCTCGAGAACGACGATGCTGAGTTGACTGGTAATTGGGGAATCTACATTTTCCTCGGAACTTCCAGTGATAGCAGGTACAACTGAGGCGAAGCCCAGGCGTTGGACAAGTCTGTCAAGTTGAAGAACCTGTGCCTGGAAGAATGGAGAGTCGTCAAAGAGGTCCTGGCGGATACCCCGGCTTGAAGAGCCCTGACCGGTGAAGGTGAACACAACAGGTGGAGTATCTGAAGGAACTGGCCACACCTTGGTATGAGCACTATTCTCCAGCGAGGAGCGTAGGAACTTCTGTACGCCTGAGATGGTGCTCGCCGTTGTGGCAATGCGCAGAGGGTGATGCATACGCCGACCGCACAGAGTATAGGAGAGATCGGCGAGGTCCGTCTCTGGTTTCTTCTCCAAGTAAGACAACATGTTCTCTAGGTTTGCTTGCAGTGACTTCTTGCTCTTGGCTGATATGATAATGGGATGTGTTGAGCGGGCGTCCGCGCTGCTAGTCCGAGATTTGACTCTCTCCGGTCCGTCTTCCAGGAGAAGCGTAGTATTGCCTCCGTGGGCGCCAAAAGAGTTAACCAAAGCGAGACGCTTCTTTCCTGCGGGCCTTGGCCATGGTGTGAGAGCCATATCGAGTCCTACGTTGCGTCTTTCCAGGTCCTTAGGGATAGTTGGGTTAACCTCTGTTTTTATTCCAATGTGTGGCGGCAGTTGTGCCTTTTGGAAACAGAGCAGTGTCTTGATCAGTGACGAGATGCCGGCAGCGGCCTCGCCGTGTCCTATGTTGGCCTTGACTGCTCCAAGGTGGAGCCGCTGATCCGGGCGGCGACGGGGTGCAAGTGGAGCGAACACGTCCAGAACCGACTCGGACTCAATTGCGTCGCCAGCCTGGGTGCCAGTGCCGTGCATCTCAACGAAGCTTACATCAAGAGGGCTAATTCCAGCCTTGCGAAGAACCTGACGGTAGTTGTCTCTTTGCGCGCCTGCATGCGGGTGTGTGATTGAAATGGCTTCAGCAGAGTGGTTTGTCGCGGCTGAAAGAATGACAGCCAAAACGTTGTCATTATCGGCCTCAGCGTCCTCGAGTCTCTTAATCACGATGGATCCGATACCGTCGGATCGGCAATACCCGTCGGCGTCCTTATCCCAGACCTTGCACTGACCAGTCTTGGATAAGAAGTGAGCATTGCAAAGACCCGCATAGTTATCAGGATCAGTGATCACATTCAAGCCACCGGCAATGATGGAATCAGCTTCGCCAGCCCACAATGCAGAGCAACCAGCATGTACCGCAGCCATGGAACTCGAGCAAGCCGTGTCAATATTGAAGGAAGGTCCCGAAAATTTGAAGAAATAATTGATACGTCCTGTGGCAAAGCCTCGTACGCCTCCAGGGACCGCATAAGTGCCGATGTTTTGTGATGCATTGAGCTCGCGCCAGTCGTCGCTGGCCTGGCCGAAGTATACACCAATGCGGTCTGAACGGGTGGATTGAGTGCGACCCGGAACGAGGCCCGCCCTCTCCATGGCTTCATAGGCAGTCACGAGCGCAAGGCGCTGCATTGGATCAGTTTCTTTTGCCTGTTTATTGGAGTCCACGTTAGCAAAGAGTCAAAAAGTGGGCAGCATTGGATATAGCACGAGGCTAGAGGACGGGGAATGGACCACAACTTACCTCCTTGGGGGACATGGTGAAGAATGCGGCATCGAAGTAGCCGGGGCGGTCGATGAAATTGCCGAAGCGAGTCTGAGTGGCATTCTCAGTCTTGCCAGACGGATCGTAATGCGCATCGAGATCAAATCTGTCCGCAGGTACAGTTGTATGAGCGTCACGCCCTTGCTCTAGAAGTTCCCAGAACTCCTCGAGATCGTTTGAGCCTCCGGGCATACGGCAGCTCATGCCAACGATGGCGAGTTTAGAGTTGGCAAACGAACTAGGAAGTCGATCACCGAAATCTTTGTAAACCCAGTCGAGGAAATCGTTTCGCTTGAATTCCATATCAGGAAATGCGGCCTGAATGGCTTCCATGATGCCCTTGAAGACGATAGATGTCCGGAAAGTGTCAACTTGTAACTCATTCGGTGGACCAGAGAGACCACTATTAATGCGGTCGATAATGTTATCTGTGATATTGTCCAGGTAGATGGTACCCGTGATCAGCTCAGTGCTAATCTCCTCAAATAGTTCTCCAGCCGTCGCTGCAGTGAAGGGCTTTCCGCTTCGGGATGAGAGCAGCGAGTGTTGTACTGGGCGCGAATGCGGAATGAGTGCAGCGGACTTGTCGAGAACCGCCCTGATGTCTTCCTGTCCGTAGATGTGCGAGGCATGGCAGAGGCCATCATACACGGGCAGAGCAAAGGACTTGGAATATCTCAAGTCATGAGATCGCTGGAAGGCTTCCCTGATGCGGGACGGTGGTCCACTGATGCTCACCGAGTTCTTATCCGCAGCGCTGATGAAGACTTTGGTAAGTTCCGGGCCCCCTGACTCCGCGTTGTATTTGGACAACTCGGCCTGGACAGCCTCCGCTTTCATGCCCGTAACAACATGAGCCCAGCTCTGCGGCGCCCCATCGGGTTGAGGTGCTTCGAGCTTCCGAGAAAGGTCGTCAACGTAGACTCCTAAGCGAAAGGACACTCTTAGGCTCTCCGCTCCATTTTTGAACACATCTGCGAGGGTATTTGATAATGCCACAGCTGCACCTGCAAAGAGACCAATACTCAAACCAGCCAGAGTGGCTGGAGAAGAGACAAGATCCAATTCGACATCATCTGCCTCATGTGCCCTAGTAGAAGATGACTCAGTTAGCGTTTGCTTCGTCATAAGGTCTCTTGATATTGAGAGCTCGTACCCGATTAAAATACCAAGTTGTAGGACAACTAAGAGGGCGCTTTCCATTGCTGCTCCTAGGCCGCCTTCACGAAAGTCACCATGCTCTGCCAGAGTGAACACAGACTCAAAATGCGGGACTTGGTCTTGTAAAGATTGCGGGAGCTTAGAGATCTCATCTCTAAGAACCAACGTCGCCTCATGGCAAAAGGCGCTTAACAAACGAAATCGTCGGTCTTTGCTGTGCCGGTGGAGATGGCGGAATAGGAGTTTCAAGTCATCACTGGGAAACTCATTTCCAAAGAAGATAATCTTGCTTCTAGTATTCTCCAGGGCACCCTCCAAGGATTTGACTTCATCCGCTTCAAGATGGGTGATGTCCGCCATCGCTGCAAGTGCTTCTGTTATACTAGCGTTGTGGCGACTTTTTGATCATGGCAGGTGAAGGACAGACAAGATGGTGAGGAATTGGTGCAACGGAAACAACCAGCTCTGGAAAGGGCTGGCTTGTTGTCTAATATGGAACGACACTGCAGCACCCTCAATGGAAATAAGGATTGAACCTGTACCTTTGGACTATTCAGCGTTCAGATTAATAACTTTGGATATTCTCATTCCGTATGGCCGGTTTTTGGATTGAGCCAATGAGCGCTCATTACGGGCCGTTGCCCCTGTAAATAGAAATTTAATCAAGGTATGTCCAAAGGGGCCATAGATTAGCTGATGAGCGGAGTCCGATGCTGAGCCACGCCGACCGTGGGACACTCGCGCCGCCCCGTATCTGCAGGAGCTCCCTAACAAGTAATTCAAAGCCCGAAGAGGATTCGCCGACAGGGCAACCAGGCCCGGAAGCACCGGTCGCACAGGAACGGAATGCAACACAAAAACCGTCAGCTTATGGAAAGAAGTGCCCAGTTGTAGCACCCCTGTTCCTCCGCAAACCTACTGAAATCGCGGAATACCGACTAGGTGGACTGCTAATAAAAATGCCACACCATTGGGAGGACATGGTGGGTACACTACACTCCGAGGGCGAAAGATTAGTAGATCTGTCGGCGAACATACCCCCGGATAGATAGCCTGAAGTGAGCGATACGGAGGTGCGAACCATAAAATTATCATTCGACTGGTTTCCCGTCCGGCCCTGAGGTTTCACTGGGAATTTCACACACTGCTCCGAGGTTTGCTACCAGCTCCTTGAAAATTCCTCTTCTTACTACACTATTAAGGAACCTAGTCTCAACATGGATTCTCCCACAGTAGAGGATCTACCGGTTCTCGGCGATGCTTCCCTCCTGGCAATCGATTGGGCTCGATTGAAAGTAAATGATGAGGATGAACGAAAGAAGCTCCTCGAAGCTGGCGAAAATCAAGGCTTCTTTTATCTTGATCTTAGCTCTGATGATGGCTTCCTCCAAGACTGGAATGCCGTCTTAGACTTGATGGAACAGTACTTCCACCTCGATGTCGATCAAAAGATGAAGGATCACCGCATGAGTGATACACATGGGTGCGTCCAACCTTCCTCGTGCCGATCTAGGAAAACAAAGTCTCCTTGAATATACATTCTGAATGAAATACAGATATGAGCCTGTTGCTACATCGTCTGGTGCCGTGAAAGGTCGGCCAGATTATTACGAGTCTCTCAAGGTAAATGATACTTTAGCACATTATAGCGATTGGTCTCTAAGCGAACTGATGATAAGGCATCGAAAGATGAACTTAGCTCGAGAAGCAGCTCACTCGCGCCGGTTATTGCGGAAAATCATGAGCTAATATCCCGCTTCTGTGGCACCGCGCATGAGGTTGTCATGACCATTCTGAGTAGCTTTGGCAGCGCCCTATTTCCGGATGGAAACTCGAACTTTGAACTTTTCCACTCCGAAAACAAAGAGTCCCTCACCACTTTGTCCTTGTTCCGCTATCCAAAACAAGAGACTGCGGATGTTGGTGTAGGGCACGGCAAGCACACCGATCTTGGCACATTGACTTTTCTCTTGTGTCATCAATGGGGCTTACAGGTGCTTGCCAGGAATCCAGGCGGATGGAGATTCGTGGCACCTAAGAAGAACCACGCTATCATCAATGTCGGTGACACGTTGCGCTTCCTTTCTGGAAACCGTCTATGCTCTGCGGTCCACAGAGTAGTGCCAACACAGGAGCTTCAGCATGAAGACCGCTATAGTATTGCCTACTTCTTGCGGGCTGAGAATGGCGTCGTCTTCAAGGACAGTGTTGGACGCATGACCACCGCCAAATCATGGCACGATGAGAAGTTTGAAGTTTTCAGGGCTCCACACGAAGAGCAAGAGAAAGCCCCGATCCTGACCGGTGGAATGGAGCGCGGCGAGAGTCTTGTCCCAGTCTGAAGAAGACTTTATGTACTTGGTTGGGTTTGGTGGGAATTGTCAGCCTTTAAATCTGAGATAACCTGTTCCCTGTTTTGATAGTGGTCCTGTAGCTACTGTGTTCTCCCTGTGAGGTAGAAGATTTGAGTCTCGTGATTGCAACCCACTCTTGGCTGAAACTGCGTGGTACTTAATTAGCGTTAGTCGAACTATGATTCAACTTGTTCAGACATATTTCTCAATGGCAACACCAATAAGGTCGTAGGTTTTTGAAGGATTACGTGTATATCTTTTCATGTGTTCAATTACTCCGCCAGTGTGGTGCAGGCAAGTTCCGAGTAACCTTAGAAGCCGGAGTGATGACTTCACTAAATACGAGGTTCTTTCTTTTCCTATATTTACTGTATATTCAGATGAATATAAGGCTATCTAGTGCCGAGAGATTTGCATAGAAGATTTTTATACAATTTACTGAAAGTGGAAACCCATATAACTGATCACAGCATAAATAAGTTATCGGGAATCTGAGAGCTACAATCCCTGGCTATCTTCTTTCTTTGCCAGCAAGGATTGAATCAGGGTTTCGAGTCTCCTGACCGCTTCAGCACAGATCTGATAATGCACTACCAGTCTTGCCCCCATAAGAGCTATACCAACAGCCTCCCCTTTCTTGATAAATTCGCCCAAACTGGTTCCCGCAGACCCTAGATCCAGCCAAACCATGTTGGTTTCAACGGGATACGTAAGCTTGCCACCATAAGACTCCCAAATCCTCGCGATCTCCCTCGCTCGAACATGCGACTCTCGCAGCTTGCCGCCCAAGAATGTATCTTCCACGGCTACTCTGGCAGGTCCGCATATAACGCCGGACTGGCGCAACCCTCCTCCAATGCTCTTGCGAATCCACCGCGCTCGCTCACGGAAGGTGCGCGTGCCTACAATGAGTGAGCCGATAGGAGCACCGAGCCCTTTTGAGAAGCAGAGGTTGATGCTGTCAAAGCACGCGCAGTAGTCCTTCAGAGAGCCTGCCCCAGCTGCGACCGCCTCCCACAGGCGCGCTCCATCGAGGTGCATAATTATGCTGTGCTCCCGGGCCCAGTCACTAATCCGTTGGCATTCAGAAAGGGGCATGATCACGCCGCCAAGTGGAACTTCCAATGAAATAAGCTTGGCAGGGCAATCAGTGACATGTCCAAATTTCGTGATCGTTTTCTGCTGAAGATCCTCCAGCGTTAGATAGTTGCCATTTGACGGTTCAACAGGAATGGTCATGGCGCCGCACAGGCTTGCGACGCCTCCTGCCTCGTGGGTAAAAATATGGGCTCTGTGATCTGCAACGACACTGTGTGGTGGTCCTTGGAGGTGTGTCCGGATACTGATTTGATTACCCATAGTTCCGCTGACTACCACGAGACCAGCCTCTTTGCCGGTAAGCTCAGCGATCCAGGATTCCAAATTGAGAGTAGTGGGATCCTGTTGAAAGTCATCATCACGGAGAGTGGCGGATGTGATGGCGGCAAGCATTCTGGCTGTTGGGGAAGTTGTGACATCGCCCAAATTTCGAGATTTAGATTTTATCGAACCCTTAAAGTAGGGATATTGGTTGTAACTGAAAGTACTCACTGCGAAAGTCAAATGCAGCGGAACCTGGAGAATCCCAGCCAGTGGCATTCACCTTGACATTGACTGCATCATCTAATGCACTATCCGCATTATCATTAACCAGAGGGCGTACATATTTGTAGACGTGATAGTCGGGCCGTTGCCCTTGCACTTGTGTAGTATCGTCCGCTGTCATTTCGCCCTAGCACTCTGTCTTTCGTGTATAATTTGATGAATACAGAAGTGGACGCGGATGATATGGTGGATAGGTTAAGATTGCACTAGATTTAGTGACGCCTGGATCTGCGACACCACTTTACCAGCAATGCACCTCAATTTGTTTCCACGTTTCATTTCGTAAGCATTGGTGACTATATTTAGATTCCCGGATACAGGAGTACTACCGGACCCTATTTCGTTCAGTGCCTCACTAAAAATTGCTATGCTCCATACCAAAAATCTTGCCATATCTCGGGCCGAGGGTCCGGACCGAGCTAAGGGGCCATGCGGACTCCGGACTCCGCATCCGTGACCATCTGAGATAATCCTCAACCTTTGAGACACAGCCCCAGCGAGTTAGGCACACAGATAATCGCCCCCAACTTGCATTAGGCCGCTTCTACCTTGAAGATTGCTTGTGCTAGCAGAGCTGTGCAAAATCACCCCAGTCAGTGGCACCATCGGCCAAGATACCCGAGAGCCGGCTAGTCATAGTGAGAGTTTCGCTTCGTCGTCGACTCGCAGCTAGAGATTCAACCAGCTGAATGGATTCTACGAAGAGAAAATCAAGTCGTGACGAACTACATGTGCGGCAAATGGGGACTGACTTCAACGGCTATGGCCCAAACCCAAGCCAGCGAGGAGTTCCCCAGCTCAGCTGCACGAGTTGCAGAGATCGCAAGCTCAAATGTAATAGACTCGTCCCTTGCAGCAATTGCGTTTCCTACGGCGCCGTGTGCGTACCAGTTTATCGACGGAGACTGCCACGAGGCCGCTATGCCCACACTGCACGTCGAAACCCACCGCCAAGCAGAGGTGACGAGGAGCAAACCAAAGAAGCTAAGCAGGCATCTCTGGCAGCAGCAAACGTGGAGTTGAGTGAGCAGGTTCGAAGACTTGAGAGCTTCATTACGGAGTTGGGTTCGACAACGACGGCCAGTGGAGAAAATGATCAACCTGGGAAGCCGTCTCAAGTTCCAGTAAGTTTGTTGAAACACGCCACACTCCCTAACTTGATTGTCGGACATAAATGATCTTTTCGTTCACCTTTATACAGCCCAAGAAACATAAATACAAAAATGGAAGCTAAGAACACGTTTACAGGTATCAGAGAATTTGGACGCACAGTCTCACTTGCCATGTCCCGCAGGAATTCCGACAGACAGCAAACTTCAGGAACTTTCAATTTATGATTCAAGTTATTTTGAAGAAGCATTATTCGATAAGGTATGACTGGTCAACCCCATAGATGAGACAAATGGTGCCTATCTATTACCATTTGAACGCTGTATTGACAGGAAAGAAATAGAAGTCCCGGACCCTATCTGATATGGATATGGAGTCAAGCAACGCCGATATGGGCAATACAAATTTTTCAGAGCCAGGGGCGTCATATGCATACCATGGCAGCGCTAGTGCACTTGATCTGCTTGGCTCGAATCAAAGCTTCAACTCGTGTGCTCGAGGCAAGATGCCACGAGCAGAGTTATGCCAGATCTATCTGCAAAATGTTGACCCGATAATAAAAATCCTTCATCGACCAACATTGAAGAGATGGATGCTGCAGGGGGAGAAATACCTGGCATATCCAGACGGCCATCCGTCACTTGAAGCCCTGAGCTTCGCGGTTTGTTATGCCGCTGCAATCAGCATGTCTGAGGATCAATCGCAGGCGATATTCCATACCAGCAAAACAAATTCGGTATCAGCATGTCAATCGGCTTGCGAAGCAGCGATCTCCAAGTCAGGTCTACTAACCTCTCATGATATAATCACACTTCAAGCTTTTGTATTATACCTTGTACGTTCAGAGTCTTTATTCGTCGTATGAGAGAAGGTAGGTGCTAACGTATGCTACCATCAAGATTAGTAGGAGGGCCCATGACAAAAGTATGGCCGTGTGGACTTTGATAGCTGTGGCCGTCAGGAGCGCTAGGTCTCTCGGTCTTCACCAAGACCGAGGAGATTCGAACACTATCGGCGAATCATTTTTCGACCAACAGACACGGAAGCGACTTTGGCTGATCATCTGCTTGATCGACATCCAATCATCTGTCGCTCGGTTATCGGAGCCTCTCGTTGATTATCGAGAAGCAGTCTCGGCCCTAGCCCACGTACAACATATCAATGACTCCGACTTCGACCCTACAACAACAACTCCAGTTACTGACCGCGAGGGACTTACTGACACAACATTTGCCCTCATTAACTACCAAGTAGAGCTCGCGGGTAGTCAGCTAATCCTTCCTTCTTCCGATCTAGCTGGTGACAGAAAGACAAGCGCGAGGACCGGCGTGCTGGTGGCGTATTCGAGTCAACCACATGACCAGGAAATACGAGAGTCGAAAGTTCGGCTCTTTGAGCAAGCATCCCTTCGTCTGTTGCACTTTTGTAACCCCGATTCTTCGGCATATACGTGGTTTACATGGCATAGTATACAGTGCCTAGTAGCAGCAGTTCGGCTTGCGGCGCTGGGCACATATTCACGGCAAGCCAAACCCGTCCACAGACATCGAACCATGATGGCGCAGCAAGCAAACAGTGCCGAGGGAAGCAGAAGAAAGTCGGACCTTCTACGCCGAGCGCTTGACTATCTGAAGAAGATGCAGATAGTCCGAACAGACTCGCGTGGCGAGGGGTTTCGGTGGTATTTGAACATGCCTTGGTCCGCCCTAGCCATAGCGATTGTCGAATGTAATATCTGCGCCGACATGGCCCTTTTAAACCGTGCATGGCCACTTGTCCAGGAGTGGTATCAGGTTTACGAGAGCAGTGGAGACATGGTCTTCTCGGCAGAGCTAGTCACATTGATGCAGCAGATGCAAGCAACATTCCAAGGGCATCATGGCAGCCAGCAGCCCAGCGGAGGGCAGAGTATCCAAACTCCAAGTGGATACTCTGTCGCAAACCTGACCTCTACTGTACTCCTGGCCACTGGTCTTGATTGTGGAGAGGCTCCAAGTACATCAACCGAGCCCCATATTTCTTTGACGGATTTCGAAAATGGGTTCAAGCCAGATTCCAATCCGTCAACACATCTGCTATCCCCAGTTGTGTGGGACGTATCCTCCTATATATAAAATCCGTAAGGAGTGAATCAATCAATTGCATTATGACAAAGCCGCAATCCTTGTACATATGATCACTAAGGGTATGGGTATACCAAAGAGAAACATTAAGCTGCTACAAAGTAACTAAGCCGTGCGTACTGTATTTGACTGGATTTTCCTTGTATGACGGGTAGAATATGTAGAACAAAGTTAAGAACATTGATTCAAAGACCCAAACCGCTGTCTAAGATGCACACTAGAATTCTATTTCTCGTTCTATTTATCCGAAAATATTAAAATATATTATTTCAGCCAAGGCTGCCAGATGTAACCGTCACGATTACAAGGCTTCCATTCAACATCTCTTCCAGGCAATTCTGAGAGAAGTCCTGAATGGCTGTTCGGATCACTGGTGGATTCTCAAATTAGATTCATCTTCAATTATAATATTCACTTTTAAAATGTTCAATTACCACCAGTGCTTTAATTCAGTTATCTCTGGACATCTTGCCGCCTCGGGTCGCTAGATTCCAGAATGGTACGGGAGTGCTGCGCACCCGCTATCTGGCATGGTAAAGTAAGCAAGTCCGCTCGCCTATAACACGTACCCAGAGTGGCATCTCGCAACCTACTATCCACCTCTCAGGTCTCACACAAGCTCGGGTCTAAAGAGTATTCCTTATCGGCTATAAGCAGGTAGGGCGGCAAGAAGGCCAGGCCCGAAGGAGCTCACCTTCCCGTTGGTTGGTTGTCTCGGAATCGGGAGATAAGTTTTGGAAGTAGACTTTTCCGTAGAACGCCACTTGGGTCTAAGGTGTAATATCCGAACCTTAGGAAGGGGTATCGCCTAGTAACGAATAGACCAATCGATTAAGGGAGGGTGTATCAAGGAAAAACAGGGAAAACATCTACGCCAAGACACTACGGGTGACTAGTAGCTAGCTGAATATGCGAGCGGAAGTATTCAGCTCGACATCTAAAGTTAGCATCTAACCTAGCTTTAGGTTAGCTAGGTTAGATTAGGCTAGATTCGGTTTTTACTGGATTCTATGGGTCTAAGTGCAGCCCAGTAATATTAGCGGAGGGCCGCGTTCGTGACGTCTTACTCAGGCGGGGCGCCGGGGCGCCGATATATCAGCCCCAGGCCAATACACAAACAATAGTAGGTACACTAATGGCCAGAGAGTCGAAATCAACAAATCCCGAAAAGGACGGTACCATCAACTCGCCCTTCATCACTTCAAGGCTTTTTATAGTCGATAAAGTATATTCACTAATTCTTAGAAGTCTATCTTCCTAATATTTCACCGGAAATCTCGCAGGAGCGATACCCAGAGCCAGTTCGTTTTCATGGCCACGTATCAGTCACCAATCTTGAGTGGTCCGAGACCACCTCCAGTGGAGATTTTTGACGTGTTCCGGGGGGCCATCTCAACCGAAACTGGAGTTAAACTTGGAGATGCCGATGGCAATATCCTCTTCGACGACATTGGCCTAGATCCTATCACAAGGTTTGCCATTCTCGACATTGTAGCCGATAGAACTGGGGTTGAGCTGCCGGCCTCTCTCTTCAGAGACTGCTCTACTTTGTCTGAAGTTGCAGGAATACTCGGTTATAGCACGGATACGAATGGTATGGCGCGATGCCCCCCCCTCCCACTTTCCCCGGTCAGACTCTCCCACATATTGTTCACATCACTTGCAGGAGCTGCAATGCTGACAGAATATAGCCGTGATGTCTCCGTTGACGCCTATTCGCGGTGTTGATTCCCAAGTGACCGCTCAAGACGCCTTTGCTGGCATTGGTCATCTTGTCAAACAATTCGCAGCGGAGACGGGCACAGCTACTTTCTGGACGGAGGTTTATCCTGCGCAAAGGCAGCTAGTCCTAGCCTACATCAATGAATCTTTTTCAAGGCTAGGCGCGTCGTTGGATGAGATCCCCCCGGGATGCCTGTGATGTGCCCCGACAAGGTTTTGACTAAACACAATCGGGTATTTGATGGCGCCATCCTTCCAATCCTTGAAGATGGCGGTTTTGTCAATCGCCAGGGTAACGAATTCGTACGCACGTCAGTCGCCGCGGGCCAACTACCATCTCAGATCATTTTTGACAACCTTGTTCACGACCACCCTCTGTATGCCAACATGCATCGACTCCTGAATCTTACAGGGTCGCAGTTCGCCGAGTGTCTTACTGGTGCTGTGGACCCTATCAAGCTCCTGTTCGGTAAGAATAAGGACTTGCTCCAGGATTTTTACACCAACGCACCAATGTCTTTAGCAGCCTCCAAGTATCTTGCAGCATTTCTCAAGCGCATCTTCTCCGACATTGTGAAGAGAGACGGCGGCTGCATCGAGATCCTGGAGGTTGGTGCTGGTTTGGGCGGTACAACAAAGTTCGTGGTTGACATGCTAGTCGACGCCAAGATACCATTCAAGTATACTTTCACCGACATCTCTTCTTCTTTCTTTGCTGCGGCCAAGAATAGATATAACACCCTCCCAGCAGGCTGTATGGAGTATGTCGTCCTCGATATTGAGAAGGCACCTCCTGAAAAGTTGCAGCGTCGTTTTCACTCGGTGATATCGACTAATTGCATACATGCCACTAAGAGTCTGCAGGTGTCTTGCACAAATATCCGGAAGCTTCTCCGCCCGAGGGGTTTCTGTGCGCTTATTGAGTTCACCACAAGACTTTACTGGCTAGATTTGGTGTTTGGGCTGCTGGATGGTTGGTGGCTTTTTGAGGATGACAGGAAACATTGCACGGCTGACGAGGCTTTTTGGAGATCCTGTTTAGAGGCATCGGGGTTTAGTGATGTGCTGTGGACAGAGGCTGATAAGAACGAAAAGCTCAACCCGCAGTTGGTTGTAGCATGTACCGAGTAGTGGTATACAGCCAAAGAGCGACAAATCCTCCTTCATTTCCATTATCAATGCCCTTCAATATTAAGTTGGCCATGTACTTTTTTGCTTGTCTCACATAATCTCTTCCCAAGAACATCGTGTAATATAGATATATATGTCTGTCTGTCTGTCCGTATCTATGAAGGTCATTTTAATGTCCACTGGTTGAAGGCCGCTCAGATCCCCTTAAAAGAGGCACAGGATGCGCTAAGCTAAAGTATCGAAAATCTGTCTCGCCGCAGTACGCCGTAAGCAGCGCTTCGCTGCACGGCCCCGAGAAGGGGCCGTCAGTCTCAATCCCACCTGGAAAGCGGCCGCCCTGTTCGGCCCACGGGAACCCCCCAATGGAAGTGTCTATGGCCAACCCTCCTGTGACCGTCATTGCCATAGTTTATCAAACATGGCATCCACTCAAAGGCACAAATGGCCGAGCCCCGCTTCGGTCAGTGGGATATGCGAATGTGGCACACGTTGCCGTGGTCAATCTTTGGGTTATCTGGTCAGCCTTCTCTCGTGCCTCGCTAGCGCGTTTGTCGAAGTCTATCATCCCTCAACCAGGGGATAGAAATAGCGCAGGCACAGCGGCAGGGATCACCCCTCGGAAGGAATCAGAGGCTATCTAGCAGCTTGCATTGAGGGTAAAAAACCTTCCCAAATACCGACCGTCGTTTAGTAGGGTAGACCTTCAAATGCCCGTGGGTCCTTGGTTCCGAAGGGGACCATAAGGCCAGAATGGACATCTTGTCCGATGATGAACTCTCCGAAGGTATCCTCCGGAATCGGTTGGGCTTTACAGAGGGGAATGGAAATAATGTAGATATCAGCTCTGCATTGGGCGCTATAGGGTAACCGGGGACCCAAAATAAATAACAGGTATGGTATGGTGGGTCCACCTTGTGTATCGCAAGCATTCACCGGTAAGATGCAGTTGTTGCACAGCTGGCAACACTTTGTGTGTATTTGGAATTCATACACCCCGCCCTGTAAGTTGGAAAGAAAAACATCACCCCATAATCAAGGGAATCATCGCAAATCGTAAGTTTACGGTGCCGCATTTGTCTCCGTAGCGCCTCTTGAACCCATTCCTGTATGCCCTTATATATCATCGGACTCGGTTATCTCGGCCTTGACGACTCTAATTATTGCTCTCAGTTTCTCCTTCAGAAGTGGCTTTAGAGTCGATACGAATTCTCCGCCCTCCTTTATACTTCGACTAGCCGGGATGGCGTTGCTCTTGCTAGATGGTATTATTCTTTCGACCATGTTTCCGAGCCTGGTAAGCTCGCTCAGAAGCACGCTGGAGATGATCTTCCGCTTGACAGAACTGTCTGGTAGGAATGCCCCTACCGCAATCGGCATATCGGCAGCAATAGCTGCTGTGCCACAGCAGTAGTCCATCGCGTCTTCGTTGTGGCCCTTTTCATTATCAGCCGAGACCGGATTGCTCTGGACCAACAAAATCTGCTGATAGGCGTCTATAATGTTATTGCAGCAGACGAGAGCAAGCAGGGTGATGTTCGATGAGTTGAGCCCACAGGGGTCTTTCAAGAGTGCCGACAAGTTACCGATCGCCATGCTGGTAATCTTCAGTATCATGTCGATGCCCGGAGCGGGCATTGTGGAAGGCATATGCAGGCTTTCCAATGTGGAAAGGATGACTCGGATGTTTGCTGAAGAGTCGGTTGCGTGGGCGTCTCCAACCCCATCGGTGCCGAAAGGGTTGTCGCCTAGTTGAGACTCCGTCGGGTCTGTTGGCAGAGCCAACAGGTCTGAATCGATGCCTGTCATTGTGGGCATGGCAAAGTCTCGCCTATTCGAGTCACCATGCCCCAGTCTTGAGAGCAGAGAAAAGTCTAGACTTGATTCGTGGGAACCGAGGTAGATTTCATGTGGTATGTCGGCAATCCGGTGTGCTTCGGAGTCGCGGGAGGAGACGAAATCTGCCGACAAGGAGAAGTCCTCATCGATGGATGTAAGATCGGAGGCATGGGTGTAGAAGTCTTCCGTGAGGCTGGTAATGCTGTCCCGCGGCGCCCTCGGGGCCGGCGACCTCGGAGGGTTGGCATTCCTGGAGACCATGGCGGCCGAGGCGGCCTTTCCTCGCCGTGCCAGACTATAATGACACATGATCCCACTCCGGAGACAGCGATGACAACTTGGCCGGACCCGACTGCATTTCACTTTTGCTTGTGCGCAACTGTCACAACTGTCCTTGAACTTGGCAGGCCGGTCCGGAGTATAACTGACATTTGATCCCGAAGGGGAGCTCATGGTCATGTGGCATACTTCAGTTGACCCAATCTCGTTTGGTGGTGAACCCGAGAGAGCGCCGTCCCGGAATACATATATTATATATCGCCGCCACTGTCGAAAGTTTTTCTGGGAACTTTCAAGGTCCAGCTTCTCAGCCGGCGTACGTAAGATGCCAAGCTGGGCTGATTGATGCTCCTGCAACGCAACTCACTTCGAAACCGCCCACTCCACCGGCCCCCAACTACTATTTTTACGTATTACTCGGCGATTAATAACAGTATGGAATTGAAAAAGTATATCAAGTTGAACGTTACAACTTGTCCTTCTATGACCAACCGTGCCAAATCTACCACAGCGCGGTGACAGCCCCCAATAGTCATACTGCCATGCCGCACCAAGCTCTGTATCCTCCACGATGGTGGTAGTATTCGTATTATATGCTTTTATGCAGTCCTCTTCCCACTATTCCTTCGTACAACCACCCAAATCCGTATAGGTAGGAGCTAGCAGGGATAGGACATTGTTACGGACCCCACGAGACTGAGGGGCCGCAACTACCCAACAATGGGGCCACCAAGAACCAACACTTCACCAGAACAAGCATTAGCGCCCAGCCATCGCCCCGTACTCGACAACAAATCGCTTCGACCTGCTCAGAGAGCGCCCCGGTGGCCACAGGGATGCTAGGCCCCAATAGGAACGGAGACCCGAGAAAAAGCTCCGGATATACCAGCATCTAATTCACCCCATGAGGCTAAGTGATGGTAAGGACACGTGACGGTAGATATACTCCCCACGCCGAGTCGAAGTAGATCGACTCCAGGATATACCCCACCAGGGGGGTGGATCAGGAGCAAGGGCTAGATATATACGGACACCCGTGCACGCGTGGATTGACCAACCTGTCGCACTACCTGGTACGCCTTTGGAAGACACTGGGTGGAAAGCCCTGCACCGTAGGCCCCCAAAGGCCGCAGCACTATCCACAATCTCCTCGGACAATAGTATTCTCCGCCCCGTGAAGTTGCGCAAAGGCGCAGTCTAGGCCCCCTGTTCCTACTGTAGCTGCTATACGTACGTGCGACCAGCCGTGCCACGTGGCCGTGCAATCAGATAATAAGACGACGCTTGCACTGATTTGATGTTGAGACCAATGAGACCAATGTCCGAGGTGGAATTAACAACCATCAGGAATGGGGGCTATTTAGTCAACTCTTGCATACCGCCAAGGCGAGTGCTACCTCCGGGCCGAAGGATCGTTCAAAATCTACTGAATGTAATTCGTTTACGGATTCAGTTTAGTCGAGTCACAGCCCAAGGCGACCGAGGGGGCTGCAGATCAAGTGAGGGGGCCTTGTGGCTGTCTCAGTTCAGTCCTTGATTCGATGATAGGCTCCTAAGCTGGCGCCACTAACAAAGGTGGTATTCTGATATCTTCAAGTCCAGATGCTGCTGACCCCCGCCTTGATGGGGTCCTGCTTGCAGGGTTTCACCTCGTATCAGCCCCGCATTGCAGGTATCCAAGATGCAGATCCGCCTTGGGTTAGTTCAGCGAGCCCCTGACCCCTTTGGTCTTTGGGTTCGAATGGCGCACATCTCGTCTTATATGGCTGGATTCAGGCTATTGTCCCAATCCACACCCTTTTTTCCCATTGGCTCTTGTGACGAGGCAGATACCCTGGCCCCAGTCTTGTCAAGGAAGAATTCGCCTAGGCGCCCGTGGTGCCATTTTGAAGCGGTGCTTAGGGAAATCCTGACGCCTCCGCATCTCCACTTCCCTCCGGACCGCGAGCGGACAGCGATCCCATCGGACCGCGAGCGGATCACGATGGTTCTCCACATCTCGCCGGACCACGACACGGATCGCGATAGCTCTTTCCGGGATTCATATAGCCAGTGAGTAAAGCTTCACTCTGCTATGCTAGCAGCGCAGCCGCCTTACCCAGCAAGTTGTCGCTGCGTTTCCCCAATCCAGTAGTGTGCCCGCTGTCCCATCCACTAAATCCGATACTCTGGTGCCTGCCTGTGCTGCGGCGCTCACCGAACTACCACCCGCCCCCTGTAGCCAAGCCAAGCCGACTTCTTTGTCCGCTTACTTCTTTGTCTGCCCATTTCTTTGTCGGCCCTGTTCCCCCTTCTATCTGTCCTTTGTGACTCTGAAGTATAATCATCCTCCCAAAAGACGACTCCTCTTCTCTTCTTTAGTCCATGCCGCATTGACAAGCATCTTATGATATTGATACCCACGATGCCCCTGCCTATCACTTTAGCGAATTGCAGATTCCAAGACTACTAAGCATCGCCAAGTATGAGTGAAGAAAATGCCAAGGCGGTGCCCAGCGATGCGCCGAGCACTACGCCCAGCACTGTGGTGCCACGGGTGGGCTTACTGGGACGGCTAATTGGAAGCTCGCGAAAAGGAGGTATCCCGATTCCCCAGCATCGCGAGCCATCACCCGAATACCATGCTGGCATCTTGAGCCGGCTGACCTTCTCATGGATGTCATCTCTCATGTTCAAGGGCTACACTCGGCCCTTGGAAGTCAACGATATCTGGCTAGTGAATCCCGATCGGACGACGCATAAGCTCGCCGCGGAGCTCAAAGTCAACTTTCAGAGCAACATCGATCGCAAGTCCAAGCGACCGCTCCTGAGGGCGATATGGCAGACATTCCGGAAAGATGCCATCATCGGCGCAGCGGCGGCATTTCTCTCCAGTTCTTGCCAAGTCATCATGCCACTTGTCGTCAAGTATATCATCACATTTGCTGAGGAAGCATACTACGGGCGCGAACCCCCCATCGGCAGGGGAGTCGGTCTTGTCATTTGTCTGACCTGTCTGCAAGTGCTCGCTAGTTTTGGAAATGCCCACATGTTCTACCGCGGGATGATGATGGGCGCTCAGACACGATGTGCCCTCATCTCAATCATCTTCGACAAGGCAATGACAATTTCCGGGCGCGCCAAGGTGGGTAATGCCGCACTGGAACCGGTCCCCGCCAACATCACGCCAGGGAGCGACGAGGAAAGAGATCACTTTGCACGCCAACTGGAGAAGGACCCCAAAGGGAACCAAAAGGACAATACGCCGCGCAGCAGCGCCTGGCCCAGTGGGCGAATCATCAACATCATGTCTGTCGACACGTACAGAATTGACCAGGCCTGCGGTTGGTTCCACGTCGCTTGGTCCAACGTGCTCGGTATTATCGTCACAATTGTGCTTCTCCTACTGAACTTGTCCTATTCCGCCTTGCCCGGTATTGGCATCTTTGTTTTATCACTACCAATCTCCATGGTGGGCATGTTAGCCATGTTCAGGCAGCGCAAGGTCATCAACAAGACCACTGATGAGCGAATCACTATAACACAGGACCTACTGTCGACTATCCGCTTTGTCAAGTATTATGCCTGGGAGGGTGACTTCCTTCAGCGCCTGGCGAGGATGCGCAAGAAGGAGATTGGAGGAATCCGTCGGATCTTGGCGATTCGCAACGGCTTGAACACGTTTGGCACGACAACTCCTGTGCTCGCCGCGATAGTGGCTTTCATTGTGTATTTCAAAACTCAGAATAACCTGAGCCCTGCTTCAGTGTTCTCATCACTTGCTTTGTTCAACCAGTTACGAATGCCACTGATGTTCGTTCCCTTCATTCTTGCCATGATTGCCGACGCACTCCAGTCTATCGACCGAATTGAGGAATTCCTGGAGGCCGAAGACGGCCCAGTGGGGAAGGCCTCGCCGAAATCAACGCACATTTCCATAACTATGAAGGATGCAGCATTCACCTGGGAACAAAGCACGCCTCCCGATCCAAATGAGCGTCTTCGTACTACAGAGTTGACTGAAGACGAGATGAGGGACATGAAACTGGACAACAAAGATGGCAAGAAAGGAGCGAAGAAGACCAAAAAGGGAGTGAAAGACTCCCAAAAGAAAGAAAAAGCCCATTCTACGCCCTCTGAGATTACCGAGGAGGAAACGACCCCGCCCGACACGCCACCATTTTCTATGCATGGAATTAACTTGCACATCGAAGGGCCTGAGCTCATTGGGATTATCGGCACTGTGGGCTCTGGAAAATCATCGCTGCTCTCGGCCGTCGCCGGGGAGATGCGACGGACTGCAGGCGAATTTACGACCGAAGGCAGACGAGCGCTTTGCGCCCAAGTTCCTTGGATCCAGAGCACCACCATCAGGGAGAACATTACTTTTGGTCAGGAGTTTGATCAGGCCAAGTATGATGCCGTCATCGATGCCTGTGCCCTCCAACCGGACCTCAGTATCCTTCCACATGGCAGCTTCACCGAGATTGGCGAGAAGGGAATCAACCTGTCAGGAGGACAGAAGCATCGTGTTAGTCTAGCCAGGGCCATATACTTTGACCCAGACATCATTATTCTCGACGACCCCTTGGCCGCAGTCGATGCCGAGACCGGTGGCCATTTAATGGAGCATGCCATCTGCGGCCTTTTGAAGGACACATGCAGACTGCTAGCCACTCACCAGGTGCAATTACTCCATCGCTGCGACCGAATAATTGTCATGGATAACGGAAGGATCATGGCATGCGACACGTTGGACAATTTGATGAAGCGAAACGACGTCTCGATGCGTATCCTACAGACAGTACAGATGGGTGTCGAACGCGAAAGTGCCGATATTGACGCGTCTCGAGACACCATCAACAAGCCCGGAGCGCTGGAGGTCAAGTCAGAAGATGCGATCATGCAAGAAGAGGACCGCCAGGTCAAGGGTATATCCTGGGAAGTTTATAAGGCTTACGCTAGCTCGATGGGATCCATGCTAGTTCCCATCTTTGTACTGGCAACTCTGATGGCCTACCAGGCGTGTAATATTGTCACTGGTTTGTGGCTGGCTTGGTGGTCGAGTGATGAATACAGCTTGGGCACTAATTCATACGTAAGTCGACGTCTCCTGCAATCATATGTGCCTACTCTAACCAAACCCACTGGCAGATCGGTATCTACGTTGCTCTTGGAGTGGCGCAGAGTCTTCTGCAATTTGTATCGATGCTTGCATTGTCTACTTATGGAACCGAGGCGAGTAAGAGGATGTATCAGCAAGCCACGAAGAATCTTATGCACGCTCCGGTGGCCTTCTTCGACACCACACCCGTGGGCCGCATCATGAACCGCTTCTCCAAGGACGTCGACGTTATGGACAACAACCTATCCGAATCGGTCCGTATGGCAGCGACAACTCTTCTCACTGTCCTATCCATCGTGGGACTCACAGTGTCATACTTTTACTACTTCGCCATTGCCTTGGTGCCGGTGCTGCTGATCTACGCATTTGCATCCAGCTACTACCGAGCGTCAGCCCGGGAAATCAAGCGCATCGAGGGTATGCTTCGCAGCCCGGTATTTGCACTCTTCAGCGAAGCAGTTTCAGGCACAATAACCTTGCGTGCTTACGGAGAGACTGGAAATTTCTCGAGTAGAATTGTTTCCGCAATCGATGATATGGCCTCTGCGTACTACCTCACTTGTGCAAACCAGAGGTGGTTAAGTCTCCGTGTCGACATCGTTGGCATCGTCTTCCTCCTGGTGACAGGAATGCTGGTCATAACCAATAAGTTTAATGTTTCACCGAGCATCAGCGGCCTTGTGCTCTCTTATCTAGTCTCGATCACACAGACACTGCTCTTCTCAGTGCGACAAGTGGCCGAAGTGGAGAATAGCATGACCTGCGTGGAGCGAATCCACTACTACTCCAATCACATACCCCAGGAGGCTTCAGATGAATCATCTACCACCAAAGTGGAAGAGAACTGGCCTGCCAAAGGCGAGATCATCTTCAAGGGCGTTCAAGCGCGTTACCGCCCCGCCCTGCCGCTCGTTATCCACGATCTGAACCTACACGTTCGCCCAGGTGAGAGATTGGGCGTTGCAGGCCGCACCGGGGCTGGGAAGTCTAGCATCATGGCAGTCTTGTTCCGCATAGTGGAACCGTCCGCCGGTTCAATTACTATCGATGGAGTGGACGTCTCGGGGGTGCGCTTGCATGATCTCAGATCGCGCATGTCAATTGTTCCCCAGGATGCCACCGTGGTCCGTGGCACAGTACGCTCCAATCTCGACCCTTTTCATAAGAAATCGGATGAGGAGCTGTGGGAGGCACTCCAGCGGTCACATCTCACGGCTACGCCTCGCAATGATCAGGCCAGTCAGAATCCTAGTACTGGTAGTACCATCACATTGGACACAGTACTGGAACCAGAGGGTTCCAATCTATCACATGGCCAGCGGCAGCTGCTGGCGCTGGCACGTGCTCTCGTACGTGACTCGCAAATTATCGTCGCCGACGAGGCGACGAGCTCCGTCGACCTAGAGAGTGATGCCGCCATTCAGCACACCATAGCCACCGCGTTTCGAGGTAAAACCTTGTTGTGCATTGCACATCGACTTCGGACAATCATCGGCTATGATCGTGTGTGTGTCATGGATGAGGGCCGTGTAGCTCAACTTGGTGAACCCCTGACTCTTTATGACGATGAAGATGGCCGTTTCCGGAAGCTCTGTAACGAGAGTCGGATCACCAGGGATGAGGTGGTTGCAGCCACAGCTGCAGCTGCAGGGGCCAGGACGAATAAATAGAGGTCAGTTGCATCATAGAGGAGATGAAAGCAAACTGTCTTTGACCCCCGCGAGAGGGAGGCGGACGGGGGTTACTTTCTGGTTCACGCTTTGTGCTCTATCGCTGTGTATAACCGGAAAGGGTCATAGATCTTAGGTGAATGCAGTATAATTGATGTCCCAGGGATGCATACACCACACACCCGGAACTTTTAATTGCGTATGATTAGCATAGACTATTAGGTATACCCACATCCATACAATCAAAGCACACCTTCCATGATCTGGTCACTGGTCACTACTCTATAATCTGACCGAGTAGGTTAGCTTTACAGCATTTGTCAAAATAAGCATTATTATCCTTGAAGATATATATTCCATCGGTTTCGTAACTTCAAGCGTTAACAACTTCATAAACACAAGGACCAATGAAAGTCATTTCTATATAAAAGTGTCAGTTTCAGCAATATTCTATATGAAATACCTATATAATTTACTCTTAGGTTACTGAATCGCTTTGTGGGCATTCGTAAGGTGAAGATTGGTAGGTTTTGCCGAGGATATAGCGGCCGGGAAAAACGTTCGGCACGCCACGTGGAACCCAAACTATTCAAGACCTCGCCCCAAAAACCAACCCGAAACTAGTTGAGGTTGGGTTAGGTCCGGGTTTTACGGGGTTCCGCAGCAAATCCACTTCCGAAGCTAGTGTCGGGCATACTGACCCCGAAAGTTCCGCTGTGTGTGGCTTGGCGGCGCGGACCTGACTCCACGCTAGTGTGGGGTAGCTAGGTATGGACTGCGATTCAAGGTCAAAATAATCTTCAATAAGACGCGATGTGAGGCATGTTTTCCAGTCTTTTAGCTTCTTGTGTCACCATCCAAAAGAGGAGATAGACCTGCGTGTTTGTCGTGGATTCTCAGAACAATTCAGCGCTCCAGAAATGGCTCTGCGCTTGCTAATCCTCGGTCTGATAGCATTGGCTACTCTAGACTTTGGTTTTTGCGAAAAACCTAGTGGCAAAATTCAGAAACGAGAACTCACCATAACAAATGAACTCGGAGCTCCTGATGGCCAGCAACGGTACTTGATTAAGGTCAATGGCCAGTTCCCTGGTCCAGCATTGATTTTCGATGAGGGCGATGATGTCGAGGTAAAAATATTCGGAAATCTCGTTGCATTTCTCTCTCCATGTTCTGAATCTAACCTTCGGCCGGTATGCAGGTCACGGTTCACAATCATATGGAAAGAAACACTAGCATCCACTGGCACGGCTTGCTACAGCAGGGCACCCAGTACTCCGATGGCGTCGCAGGCCTCACTCAAACGCCCATTGAGCCCGGCGATAGCTTCATCTACAGATTCAAGGCTTATCCCGCTGGAACTTATTGGTACCACTCGCATGTGCGAGCTCAACTGATGGACGGCCTGTACGGCGCGATTGTTATCAAGCGCAAGGCTGATGACCCAACGCCCTGGCACCTGATCAGCAATAACAGCCGAGATATTTCCCAGATTCAAGCAGCGGTCAACGACCCGCAGCTCATGCTCTTGTCCGATTGGTCCAAGTACAATTCCACCGATTATATCTACTACCAGAACTACGCAAAAGTTGGTATTTTGTGGGTTTGCCCAGGACTTGGCTCCTATTTCCTTTTCCTTTGTCGAGCACTGCAAAGCTAACTACTGTTTGATTCATAGCTGCCTTGATAGCTATCTCATCAATGGCAAGGGCTGGGTCAACTGCCCAGGCCAGGAAGTTATCAATGCCAACACGCTACCAGCACTACTGCTAGCCATTGAACCAGATGTTGCTACCGAGAAAGGGTAAGTTGTAGCTGATTTCATCGCAAGATCGAACTGATCAACAGCTAATGCTCTTTCACTTTACCAGTTGCTTCCCCATCGATGCCAAGACGCAGTTTGAGTTCATCAACGCATCTATGCCGGAGAGGCTACCGCGCGACATGTTCTTCGACTGCGTGCCATCTAAAGGCAGCGAAGAAGTGATCAAGGTTGATCCAACAAAGACTAAGTGGATCAGTCTCAACTTCGTTGCCACCGTTGCAGCCTCCGACTTGATGGTCTCCATTGATGAGCACCCTATGTGGGTGTACGAAGTTGACGGCAACCTTATTGAACCCAGACTGGCGAATGCATTCGACATCCGCGCCGGTGAGCGGTACTCTGTTTTGATCAAGCTTGACAAGACCGCTAAGGATTACACTATTCGGGTGCCAAACAACGGAGAAAGTCAGGTCATCTGGACCTGGGCCACGCTGCGATATACCAACCAGGGTCGCCACTCCAATGCAGCCGAATCGACCCCGTATATTGGATGGTATGGCCAGAATCTTACCGAGTCAGTCGTCTTCTTTGACAGATTCACCATCAAAGCGTACCCGCCAATTGCACCCGCCGAGACTTCCGACATTCTGCACAAATTCAGCATCCATCGCGTGAACGGCGCGTGGCAATTCAGCATGACTGACTCGCTTGTGCTGTATCCCCTTGACTGGCGCGCATACGAGCCATTCCTGCAGACTGGTGTAGAGACCCCTGATTCCTACAACACGTCCCTAGCCGTCCGCAACAATCACAACCAGTGGGTAGATCTTCTCATCCAGTGGAACTCGATCGTGGACGGCGTGTCCCACGTCATCCACAAGCACGGCACCAAGTTCTGGGTTCTTGGCACTGCCATCGGTGTGTTCACGTGGAACAATACGGCCGACGCGATAGCAGCAAACCCGGACGCTTTCAATTTGGTTGATCCTCCATATCGCGACACAGCAGTGGCCCCTGATTATGTCGCAGATCAGTCCTGGATGTTGCTCCGCTACCAGGCTACTAACCCCGGCGCCTGGCTTCTTCATTGCCACTTCGAGACCCATCTTGCAACCGGTTTCGCTCAGGCGATTCTGGACGGTGTTGACGAATGGCCTGTGGTTCCGCCAGAGTATGCTTTGGGTCACAATGGTCAAAAGTGAACGGGTTTGGCATGGCTTAGCCATTGATCTCATACGAGGAACACGTTTCCCGGAAATTTAATGTCAATAGTCTCTTATGCAGAGAAACCTTATACATATCATCATGTTAATAGTCTCTCATTTAGAGAAATCTTATACATATCATCATGTCTACAGTCTCTTTTCCTGATACATACTATCCAGTGGCATTTTGATATTAGGATAGTGGAGACAATTTCCCCGGTTTGCGTTTCCGATTTTCGATATCTGGTAATGATCTCTGTTGCGATGACTACGATTTGATTTGCTATCTCAACAGATTACCGGCACTTTCTTTGCCGCCTAGCTTAGCAAAAAATTTGCATTGATGCATATTTCTTTTCCTGTCTCCGATATTTTGTGAACCTCTTATTCGAGTAAAATTGGAATATTCGCCTTGAGAACAAGCCTCATTACCTCTTTGTAAGTAAACACTATCTCCGGCAAAAGAATCCTCAAAAAAAGATGCAAAATAGGTAAATCCGGTGAAGCATGGCGTAGAATAGACTCGACTGATTTATTATGGAGCGTGATAAAACCTTGGCGCGGCGAAGTTACAGCATCATCAATTCCCCAGCTCGGGCTGAAAGCCTATTCCATGCCATTTGCAAACATGTGTGCTGACTTAGTAGCCTAAGTAAACTGCAGGTCCAGAACCAAGGCAGGTGCGACGCAGTGCAACATCCTCTCACATCCTAGGAATTGTCAAAATCTCCGAGCCACCACTGCATGCCAAGCCAAGCCCAAGCTTGACAGTTGGTGGGCATACGAGTGTGGATGATGTGAGCTTCTGCTTACTGCATCGGGCTTCATTTCTTCCAGACCTTCTTCCAGAACTCGCTTAGCACACGTGTGATGGCTCGGAGCATGGCTTCGTTCGGATGCGAGCACAGCTCGTAGGCTATGGGATGCAAACTTCCGTTAACCCCGCACGATTCGGGGGTGAGAAAATCCTGCGGTGGGCTGAGCCTCAAAAACTCCGGTGGGAAGGGTGGATCTGTATCCGGCCTAAACATCGCATCCCAGCCTTATCCACTTTGGCGGCCGGGGCACTCGGGCTCCGAGCCACCGGGATTCTTCCACGGAAGCCAGGCGACGGTCGGGCTTACCGCAGCGGAACGCGGTAACCAAACACTCTGACGAGGTAAGGTCAAGGCTAAACGTAGATCTAAAAGTGTTTGCACATCATCTTTTAGCCTGGCTATTCTGATGCCCATTCTCAAACTATAGGAGACATTAAAACATCTTGGGCGGTAAGCTGATCAATCTTCACGTCAGCATCAACATTTGTAAATGGCAACTACAATGGCAGCAACGTTTCCGCTGGCATCGAACGAATCAAGCGTCAAGATGGATGCGCTCGTAGAGGAGATTACCCAGAGTGTCCAGGCTCTCAAAGACTCCCGTCAACAGAGCAAGTCTGAGCCGGCGGATGCTTCTGCCCCGCTCAATGCATCTCCGGAGCTTCAACAGCTGCGCCAGAGGCTAGTCGAGGCTAGCTGGCACCTTCATCAGCATGCCTTGGGGCCAGGAGAGTACATTCTCTCCCTGAGCGTTGGTGTATGTACAGTTGAATTTCCGAATGTGTCTAGCGATAATGAGTCGAATCGTCTGAGCTGACATAGTTCCTGGGTTAGGTACACTACTGTGCCTGTTTGAAATGGCTTTGCCGCTTCAAGGTGTTTAATGGAGTTCCTTTGGAGGGCAACATCGCCTATGACAAGCTCGCCGCTGCCATTTCCGCACCAGAGGGGGCCTTGAAGAGTGTTGCACGTATGGCCATGACCAGCGGCCTCTTCACCGAGCCCATCCCTAACCACATTGCGCATTCACCTACCTCTGCCATGATTGCGTCAAATCCGAATTTGCTGCTTTGGTCTGAGTTCATGACAGAGGTAGGCATCCCCACTGCTTCAGCTTTCGCCGATGCGACGCAGCGATGGCCCGGAAGTCTTAGCAACACTGAGACGGCCTACAATCTGGCCTTTGACACACCGTTGCCACTCTTTGAGCATTTGAAGACACTTCCAACTCGCACTGAGCAGTTTGCTGGCTACATGAAGAGCGTTACCAATAGCGAGGGCACCAGCCTCAAGCACCTGGTGAGCGGCTACGACTGGGCGGCGCTCCCTCAGGACTCTGTTGTCGTGGATGTTGGTGGATCCACTGGCCATGGTAGCATCGCAATCGCGGAGACATTTCCCGATCTGCGCTTTATTGTCCAGGATTTAGAGACCAATGCCGATGCGGGCCGCGAGTCATTGGCTAAAGCGGAGAACGAGGCTCAGAAGGATCTGGCCGATCGCATCACGTTCCAGGCACACGACTTCTTCCAGGATCAGCCCATTGTCGGCGCAGATGTGTATCTGCTGCGCATGATCATTCATGACTGGTCCGACGATGACTCAGTCCGTATCTTGAGCCGCATCGTGAAGGCCATGGAGCCCAACAAGACCAAGAGCACCTTGGTCATTATGGACTCGGTGCTGCCTCTGCCCGGCCAGCTGCCAGCCACACTGGAGAGACTCTTGCGTTTGCGAGACCTGACTATGCGCCAGGTTTTCAACTCTAGAGAGCGTGCACCAGAGGAATGGAGTGCACTGATGGCACGGGTTGATCCAAGCCTGAAGCTTGTCAGGACGGCTAAGCCGTTCGGGAGTGTTCTTTCAGTCATGGAGTGGAAGCTTGAGGATCCCGTCGCGCAGATGACTATGCCGTTGAATGTAGAGGAACAAGTAGCCAAGGAAGAGAAGGTCACACCCGTAGCTGTGAGCTAGGTCGAAGCAGATGGTCTCGTGAGGGCCGAATCGTTTACCATCGGATTTGGTCTAGGCGTGTTACACAAAGCACGGCCGTTGTTTGTTGTGTTTCTTTTTTGCTTGCTTATGCAAAGTGTATTTGCTATAGCGGTATCAAAGTTCATGTTTTCCTTCTAGGTTTATTAGATCAAAATGATCTAGATGAATGCGAACGAAGTGCAAACGTCCAAATAATTTCCACTGAATTCTATCTAGCCTATGATATATTTACAAACCTGTATGTCACCAAGTATCACATCTGGCCTGGCATTTCAATTATCTATAGAGATGGTACTTATAATTTCCGGTTGTTCTCTTTGAGATACCTATTAGAATCAATTTCGAAGCATCTGTTGTTACTCAATGTGATCTCTCTATAACTCAAAATATGCCTTGTAAATTGACAATTCACCAAGGTATGGTACTGGAAGCTCGAACGTATCAGGATAACTGTGATCATGTATCTAATGGAATTGAACAAGCTAGGAGTATCGCTGGGACCTATGATTTGAAAGTTCCAAGGGGCTAAAGGCTATCCTGGCATTTACTGTCTCGAAACTCTTCAATTTCGTATAGAGAGCTGCCTAGGCTTACTCACTGGAAGCAAGAAGCTGTCCATCCTCCATGACCGGTGTCCAATACCCTATCATCATCTGCGACCTCTTTGTGTCCGCAAATTTCTCGTGATCAGGCCCCACGTTCATCTTGAAATACGGGTCTGCCTTCATTTGGACAAAGCAATCAATATCAGGGAAAACAATTGACACGCAGCAATCATAGGATGCAACGTTAGAGAATTGCGGGTCAAAGATCTTTGCCATAAGAGCTGGAGACTCGTCCACTGGGTGCGACTAGGACTCGATGTAAGTAGGAGCATATTTCGTCTGTTCAGGACTGGGAGTCATACCATGCTCCACTGCTTGATTCCATATTTCTCCATAAGCTCACGAACGATCTTTGCATGTACGTTGACCATATAGTCGCGGTACTCATCCGTAGTAATGCCATCTCTCTTGTAGCCGAGGATATTGAGACAAAGCATTTGATCTCTGGAAGCCATCGTGACCACGTTGAAGCTAGAAGTTTTGGTCAAGGATGCGTAGTGTACAGACTCCCAGCTTTTTAGGAATAATAACAAATGTAAAAAGGTGGACAAGAGGCGCGACCTGGAGCCAAGCTGCCGGATGTTAAATTTGGGGATGCGAACATATCAGGCATCATCTATGATATGGTGATATTTGAATGATACTATTTAGGGATGAGGCCGAGAATCTCAAATTCCGTGTCGAAATTGTGTTGTTCTTGCACCGCCGAGTCGGATCCTTCCCTCCTTCTCGTGGCGCTGGATTTTGAGCGTCGGATTCCGCGCTGACGGCCCCAATCCCGAAAATGGTTTGGATTTTCGGTGCTCCGAACCCCGTGGCCCCTGTTAATCATTTTCAAGTATTACCTGTGGAGTTATCTTCTCACTAAGCCTGTTATGATGCTTCTGCTGATTGACCCACAGCCACGATTGTAAACTAGACCCGCCAAGTCTGAAGCACAAAGACAAGATATATTGCTGATGTATGGGATTTTGGCCACTACACTTGAAGGGTGGAACTGTCTTTTTCAACTGGGCTGCCCTGTATATTGAATGGCAGGAATTGTGTGACTCCGGTTACGATTTTCAACACACTTTTCGCTTCCCTCGCATCCATGTCAACCATGGCAGCCGAATTCCAAGTAATCGTCTTCGGCGATCAGGCCGTTCCCTACCATGCTGAACTTCAAGGTCTTGTTACAAAAAAGGAAAACAAGGCCTTGGAAGGGTTTTTTGCCGAAGCGTATCATGTCCTTAGAACAGAGATATCCCAACTGTCACCCAGCGAACGGCTAAGGTATCCAGTTTCAACCAACCTCCGTGAACTACTGGATGCCCACCAATCATCCAAAATCCAGAACTGCTCTCTTGATAGCGCTCTGGTCTGTGTGCGTCAAATAGCCACCTTCATCTCGTAAGTCTTTTAGTGTTTGGTGCTCTTTTTTCTCCATTCATACTTACATTCTTGCAGATATTACAGTGAAAAACAAACCGCGTACCCTTCACAGGCATCTTCATGTCTTGTGGGGAGTTGCACCGGCCTTCTTGCAGCAGTTGCAGTGAGCTGCAGTCAAGATTTAATTGACCTGGTCTCTTTCGGTCCGGCAGTTGTTAGGGTTGCATTCAGGTTAGGACTCGTAGTCCAGAACAAGACGCGTTCAGTGTCACTGCAGAACTACTCGGGTGACTCTCCATGCTACTCCGCGGTGATTGCTGGGACGGATACAGATTCTGCACTGCGCTTGACACAAAAATACTGTGAAGATGAGGCACTGCCGCCTCTCGCTCAGATTTATGTGGGTGCAGTTGGTCAGGGCAGCGTCACGGTATCGGGGCCTCCCGCCCGGTTGCAAGATTTCCTCCGCCGCAACCCTTCGCTCAAATCCGGCAAAGTTTCAGTGAATGGGCTCTTCCATTCAAACAATCTTTACACAGCTAGTGATGCCGACAACATTTTGGAGTCGTTGGATTCAAGCTCACATCAACGGATTTCTCGACTCGATATCCTATCTAATTCGAACGGGCAAACGATTCCCTCTGTCAGATGCGGTGGCCTGCTCAAGGAAGCTATATGGGACATACTGTCTAGACAGCTGCGATGGGATCTCATGGTGGAGAATGTGTCCATCACGATTGCCCGCTCGGAAGCCACAGAAGCCACCATTTTGCCTTTCGCCTCAAGCAGCGGGCAGAGTCTTGCTTCGGCAATCCGCCAGCGTGGTGCTAAGCCAGTAAAGCTGCTCGATACATCGCTCAGATCTCTAGACAGCAATTCCTCCGAGGGCAAAAGAGAAGAAGCAGCCAAAAAGTCTAAGATTGCTATCATCGGATACTCCGGCAGGTTCCCGGAGGCAGATGATAATGAAGCGTTCTGGGAGCTGCTTGCCGCCGGGCTTGACGTTCACAAGGAGATCCCCAAGGACCGATTTGATCCCTGGCTATATTACGATCCCACCGGAAAGAAGAAGAACTCCAGTGCAGTTACCAAAGGCTGTTTTGTCCGCCATCCTGACCTTTTCGATGCCCGCTTTTTTGGCATGTCTGCGAGAGAAGCGGAGCAGACTGATCCCGCCCAGCGACTGGCTCTGATGACAGCATACGAGGCGATGGAAATGGCAGGCTTCGTCCCAGATGCAACACCCTCCACACGCAGAGATCGAGTTGGTGTTTTCTACGGCACCGCAAGCGACGACTATCGTGAGGTGAACAGTGGCCAGAACGTCGACACATATTTCGTCCCGGGCGGTAGCCGCGCGTTTCTCCCAGCTCGAATCAATTATCAATTCCGTTTCAGCGGGCCTTCTTTCGATGTCGACACGGCATGCTCCTCCGGACTAGCCGCCATTCATATCGCCTGCAACTCTCTATGGGCCAGCGACTGCGATGTGGCCATTGCCGGTGGAACCAACATCCTGACCAATCCGGACAACTGGGCTGGCCTAGACCGCGCTCATTTCCTATCCCACACTGGCAACTGCAATACATTTGATGACGGCGCAGATGGATATTGCAGAGCAGAAAGTGTAGCGACAGTGCTTCTGAAGAGGCTCGAGGACGCAGAGCTAGATGGAGACCCAATTTTCGGGACAATTCTGGGAGCCTACACAAACCATTCGGCCGAGGCCGTGTCCATGACTCGGCCACACTCGGGTGCACAGCGCGCCATCTTCAGCCGAATTCTTAGCTCTGCCGGGGTCGGTGGCTCCGAGGTCAGCTACATCGAAATGCATGGAACCGGAACTCAGCACGGTGATGCTTGCGAAATGGATTCTGTCCTCAACGTTTTCGCTCCTGAGGGTACCAAACGAGATCAGAGCCTGTATCTTGGATCGGCAAAGGCCAACATTGGCCATGCGGAATCGGCTTCAGGTGTTTCATCCCTAATCAAGGTCCTACTCATGATGGAGAAGGGTTCTATTCCCCCACACGTCGGAATCAAGACCAAGATCAACCGAAACTTCCCCACAGACCTCACCCAACGAAATGTCCACATCGCGATGCAGACAGCTGCGTGGCCCAGACCAGATCCAAAGCAGAAGCCTCGCGGGCGACGAGCATTTGTCAACAACTTTGGCGCCGCTGGTGGCAACTCTTCCGTCCTCCTTGAAGACGCACCATTACCTATCGAGGCGCGCGGAGTGCACGATAATAGACCTGTACACGTCGTAACGGTCTCGGCCAAGTCTCAGACATCTCTGAAGAGCAACATTCGTGCACTCCTCGAGTATTTGGATGCCTCCCCCGAAGTCTCCATCAGCGCACTCTCCCACACGACTACTGCGCGCCGGGTCCATTACAGTTTCCGCGCAGCTGTCATCGGATCCAGTATCCCAGATATCCGCCGTGCTCTCCAAGTTGCACATGTCAAGGACCAATATCGGTCAACCGCATCAGGCAGCAAGGCTCCGGTTGGATTATGCTTCACCGGCCAGGGCGCTCAGTACCTTGGTATGGGTCGGAAGCTCCTTGCCTTTCCACAATTTCGGTCGCTGCTTGCGGGCTTGGACGAGATGGTCCAACTGCAAGGCTTCCAGTCTATTCTTGCAGTGATCGATGGTAGCTCGAGCGTCTCAATGGAGTCACTAGCCACACCAACATTGCAGCTGGCTATTGTTTCCTTGCAGATGGCATTGAGCAAGTTTTGGAAGGCGCTCGGTATTACTCCTGATCTTATCATTGGCCATAGTCTTGGTGAATACGCAGCGATGAACAGCGCCGGTGTTCTTTCGGATGCCGATACTATTTACCTTGTTGGTACCCGAGCAGCGCTACTAGAGAAGTTTTGTTCTGCTGGGACCCATGTGATGCTTGCAATCAAAGCTGCTGCCAGCCATGTGATGACTTTACTTGCACAATATCCTAACATTGAGGTCACTTGTGTCAATGGCCCCGGAGAGACTGTCGTTGGCGGTCCCGAGGACGAGATCCAGAAATTTGAAAAGGCGCTCTCCAACATTTCCATTAGAGGGGACCGAGTTAAGGTGCAGTTTGCTTTCCACTCTTCGCAAGTGGATCCCATGCTGGAGGCGTTCCAGCAGAGCTGCCGCACCGTGGCCTTCAATGATCCATCGGTCCCAATGTTGTCGCCTCTTCTTGGAAAGACAATCAACAGCGCTGCCGAATTTGGTTCCCCGGAAGTCTATCTAAGCCGTCACTGTCGAGAAACAGTTAACTTTTACGGGGCTCTTCAATCGGCGAGGCAGTCAAGTGCTATCCCGGATAACATGATTTGGGTGGAGATTGGACCTCATCCTGTTTGCGGCGGCATGCTTAAGTCCACTCTTGGTACTTCAATCAAGCACTTCGCAAGTCTCCGCCGCGGCGAAGACGATTGGAAAATTTTCCTTCAAACCGTCGCTGGTTTGTACGATCACGGTCTTCCGATTAACTGGGCTGAATATCACAGCGGCTTCAAAGACAGTCTCCGCGTATTGAGATTACCAGCCTATCAGTGGGAGCTGAAGAGCTATTGGATTCCATACGCTCATGACTGGTGCTTGACTAAAGGCGATGCGCCAGCTCTAACTTCCCAGCCCGCATTACCTGCATCTCTCGAGAAGGTCCAGAAGCAACAGCTCACAGTATCCGTTCAGGATGTTGTAGACGAGAAATACGAATACGACAATGCCTGGATCACCGCAAAGTCAGATGTTCAGCATCCTGATTTCCGCGCTGTCCTTTTGGGACACAGAGTCAACGGCCAGCCAGTGTCCTCTTCAGCTGTCTATGCAGATATGGCTTCTACGTTATTCAAAAGACTTCTTGAGAAATCCCCGGTATCCTTTGACAAATCTGATATCGGGATTGAGATTACCAACATGGTTGCCAACAAATCTCTCATTCTCAATGATAACCCCACCCAAATGCTCGAGATGAAGGCTCAAGTGAACTGGTTTACTCTGCTCGGCACGTTCTCTCTGTCCAGCATTTCTGCCGATGGAAAACCCACTGCCCATCATGCCGAGTGTACTGCGACTTTCTCGGAGAAGAGCCGGTGGGCATCTGAATGGAAGCGACGAGACTTCTTGGTCAAGTCCAGGATCAATGACCTGCGACAGGCTGTTCATGACGACTCGGACGCAGTGCATTTGGTCAAAACCGGCATGTTCTACAAGCTTTTTAGCTCACTTGTAGAGTACAATCCCTCATTTAAGGGCTGCCGTGAGCTCATCTTGCGATCGTCGGAGCTAGAATCGACAGGCAAGGTCAAGTTCAATACTCCGCCAGGAACAGCTGAGAAATGGACCTATCCACCTTATTGGCTGGACAGTCTTGGCCAAATTACCGGATTCACCATGAACGCTAACGACTCGGTGGATTCCAAGACACAGGCCTTCATCAACCATGGGTGGGAGAACATGAGGATTCTGGAGACTCTGTCCCCGGATGTCATGTACCAGACTTACCTCAAAATGCAGGAAAAAGACGAAAAGTCGTACATTGGAGATGTCTACATCTTGAACTCGGAAACCAGTTCGATTGTCGCCATGTATGAAGGTGTTATTTTTACTGCCATCCAGAGGAAAGTCCTCGACCTGGTGCTTCCACCCTCTGATGCTTCCCGGATATCGAAGCCACTCGCGTCTCAATCTCATAGTACGCCTCGGACAGCTTCTATCCCACCTCGGCCAGCTCCTGCGCCCGCACGGTCCCAGCCTGCATTCATTTCTCATGAAAACTTATCAACGGAGCCACCCTTACTGCTGGAGCCAGAGTGTGATGATGGATTGACCGCGGATAAGCTTCGAGCCATCATCGCGGAAGAAGTGGGCGCGCCACTCGACGAGGTGAAAAATGATGTCGAGATCACGGATTTGGGTGTTGACTCGCTTCTCGCCCTCACGATGTCCGACAGAATCCTTGAAGAGCTTGACTTCAAGATCGACTCGACCGCCTTTCTAGCTGGCATTACTGTCAAGGATCTTATCGAAATGGTTGCAGGATCCTCGACGACTTCATCGGACACGGCCCCTTCAACTCCGCCGAGGGAGCCAGTGCCTGACCTTGTCCCTTTACCCAAAGGGGTCGAAACACCTCTCTCGTCTCTTTCAAGTCTTGCAAATCAAATCTCTGACGACTTTGACTTTCATCAACAGAAGAGTCAACCCCCAGCATGTACGTATACCCTAAAATTAGGATTGCAGAATACATAGCTAACTGAGGCCATTGTCACTGGTTATAGTACTGCATGCCACAGTTCCCATTCCGCAAGTCATTCGGCGAACTGGTCAAATACCACGCGCTACTTCAGTCCTGCTGCAGGGAAATCCTTCGACCAGTACCAAGATTCTATGGCTATTCCCCGATGGATCAGGAGTAGCGACTTCCTACGTTATTCTTCCAGATATTGATCCCCGCGAGGTTACGGTGTATGGCCTGAACAGCCCATTCATCAAGCACCCGGAAGAAATGAGTGATTACCGGTTCGAAGAGCTCTCAGCTGCATTTCTCACGGAAATTCGCCGGCGCCAACCCAACGGGCCGTATCATTTGGGCGGCTGGTCCGCTGGTGGTATTTGCGCTTACCACGCTGCTCAGCAACTTATCACAGACGGACAGGATGTGGAAGGGCTGATCTTGATAGATAGCCCGAATCCCATAGGCCCGAAGAAACTACCAGAGAGACTTTATGATGAGTTTCAAAAGCTCAACTTATTCTCGTCGTCTACTGGGAGAAATCCGCCTGCGTGGCTTCTGCCGCACTTCATGGGATTCTCCCATATTCTGGATACTCACTCGTCTCTCCCCTGGCAGTCGACAAAGCCTCTGCCAACTTGGATCCTCTGGGCCAAAGAGGGTGTCGACCAGGATAACTCCATTGTGATACAGCCAGGTGATCCCATCAATATGAGATGGCTTCTGCAGACGCGCACAGAATCCGACTTGGGCCCAAACGGGTGGGATCGGCTTGTGGGACGGAGTAACATCACGATTGAAGTGATTGGGGATGCGAATCATTTCTCCATGATGAAGGAGCCTGCTGTGGGCCGAGTGGCTGATTTCATGCGGGCCGCATTGAGCAACGCTAGCAGAAGTTTGTAGACGACTCATTCCCTTTGTCTACGACCTTGATTGTCAGGCGTCGTCGGTTGCTGCTTTAGAGGTGTACTTTCAATACTTTTATAGTCGTTTGCATTTGACTTTGAACATACAAGGATATTGATTTACCAGTAAGTAGTCGCATGATCTATCTAGCATCTAGCAGTCATTCACGTCCTGTAATGGAAACCAAAAGGCAGTTTATCCAAAATGCGGCGTGGAAACCCGTAATAGGCCTTGTCTATTGGAGTGTATAAGTTTGCGAGCTCTGTAAGCTATCCATGTCCCTGCAACAGACATCTCGCATATTTCGGGGAAAATTGAGTTGCACCCTCTATATTTCGGAGTTGCCATGGTGCTGGTACCCACGCTTGCCCGCGTGAAGCACGGAGGTTCCATGAAAGATATTACACAGAATACAAAACTGACAATAAACCTTAGAAAGAAAACTAACAGGTTATTGTGCTGTTAGCGGGATTAACTAGCACATTAGATCCACGATGTTCTAGCAGCTGCTTCTAGGCTATAGGTGGTTTGTTTTGGTCTACAAATTCTCGGTCAACGCTATAGTAGATGGTCTTAGCAAAAGATTCAATGAACCGAAGGGTTATGTTTAGGCTGACATAGTGTGTTGTTATTGTACATGGGGGGCAGTTGAGTGATCTTCGATTTTCCGTCTCTCGGCTTTTAGCCCAGAGCCTGCACGCTGGACGGACCCCGATCAACGGGGGCTACTGAATGATACGGCAATTGCTTTGGAATCCGCAAATCCCAACTATCATGTACACAATTCCACACTTGCTTTCAGCCCCGGGCAGACTGCAGCAAAACGTTCCAGAATGAAATTACTCCATTACTTTCCCCAGAGAACTGGCGCTCGCTACTACCCCTCCCGACCGAGAAAAACCAAGGCCAATCACATCACAGTAGCAACCTTGCAGCCACGAACATGTAAGAAGATATTTTACACTCCCATATTCCTGCATGTTTCTAATCATAGTGGGAGACGCAGCCGACCATATTTGAAATGTTGCAGGAGACTACCAGCAAGCAAATCCTGATAGTGGGCGCTGGCCTGTCTGGGCTCACAGTTGCCCGTCTGCTCACAAACAGTGGTATACCGAACATCGTGTTCGAGGCTTCGATGGAGGACCGTAGCCAGGGCTTCTCCATCAGTTTGCGCGACTGGGGCTATTCCGCGCTGCTTGAGGCGCTCGGGGACATTCCTCTCCGTAGCCTCACGCGGGGTGTTGCCCCAGACCGTCACATAGGCGGTCACGGTTTTGTCGACTTGATAATGCGCGACAATGCGACAGGAGATATACTGGTGGCCCCGGACCCAGAGACACAACCGTCTATTGTGCGTGCTAATCGCAATGCACTGCGAACTTGGATTGCCGACTGTGGCGACGAGCCCTTGGACGTGAGATACGGGCACAAGCTCAAGAGTATCGAGGGAACAGTGGGCAGCATGACCGCTGTATTTGAGAATGGAGCACACCATCGTGGCTCGCTTGTCATCGCCGCCGATGGAGTTCACTCGACGGGTATGGATAGTTCAGGTCATTGGCCGTGAACTACGGCAGCTATTTGATCACGGCGCTAATGTCTCTTTTGCTGTAGTGCGCTCGGTGATACTTCCGCATATCGTCCCCGAAGTGGTTCCGGCGGTGGTTTATCATGGTGAATTTCAACTCCCACGAGAAGAATACGACCGTCTCCTCAGGCCTCTAATCGGTGATTCGAATATTCTCGCCGGAGTTGGAGACGGCTTCAATACACCCATCACCGTGTGTAACTTGACGAAGACAGAGGCCCATCTTGACTGGTCGTATTCACGAATGGCTTGTGGAAATGATGACCCTCTCTATCGGCCCAATCTCTCTGCCGAGGAGTCAAAGAAGATCCCGCAAGCTTTGGTGGACGAGGTTGCGTCGCGGAATCTGGCGGAGCCTTGGTCGCACTATCTCAATGCGGAGGCTATGCAAAAGCACTCTGTCTTCCATTGGACTAGTAGATGTGTCTCAATGACCAACAAAGACACCGAAAAGGGGGCCGAGCGAGGTGTCGTCTTTATTGGAGATTCCTGGCACGCAATGCCGATTTTCGGGGGTGAGGGCGGATGCCACGCCCTCGTGGACGCCGTTGAGCTTGCCGCCGCATTGCTCCATCAAGATGGCGGACTCGACAAGGTGATTTCGACTTACTACACTGGAGCATGGAAACGCTGCAGCGATGCAGTCAGGCGATCAAAGGGGCGGTTTTTTGTATTGCATCGGCCAATGGCTGACTGGCGGGAACTTGCAGAGAAGAAGGCCGCTGCGACAGTCAAATAACATTCTACAGGCTTAGAAACGCATCATCCGGAGAAGGCAAGGTACCACGATTAGATCAAGTGATACATCAAAGCATCTATATACGTATCAAGTAATCTTCCAACACCCTACGCCTCGGGTGAGCCCACTAGCCCCCAAATCTTCAAGCCCATTGAAGGTGTCTTTTCATAGTTCACAGCGTGCGACAGGCGTGATGGTTGACCGTGCGAGCGGCCTCGCTCTCGGACTCGGCTGGCTGACGAACCAGCGTCGTTTGGTCACGTCTCCCGGCCTGAATCCCACCTTGCGGTCCTCCGCCAGCTTCCATAAAACCTGCGACAGGAACGGCGCCAGCGCCTTTTCGAAAATATGGGGCGGCACATCGCCGTAGATGGACCGCACGATCTCCTGCAACGTCATGCCGCTCCTCGGATTTGACCCCAGCTGTGGACCTTCGGACTTGCTCCGCATCAGCGTTGAGAACACTTGCTGGACGCGGAACTCCTTATGGTGAATGTATTCCTGCATTTTGGCGGGTAGGTTTGCTATCTCGGCGCCGTGTGCCGGGTATCCCTTGGGACAGTGCTGCGCCGCCATGTGCACCAGGCTCTTCATGTATGTGGAAAGGTCCATTACAACGGAGTAGCCGTGGCCCAGAACGTTGTCGCCCGTAAACATGGCATTCTCCTCCTCTAAAACGAAGCACATGTGGTCGATGGCGTGGCCTGGCGCAAAGACAGCGCGCACGGTGGCGCCCTCCGTGTAGAAGACCTGCCCTTCCGTGATGTCGTGTTGGCCAGGGTCAGGCTGGTTCTTGTATACTCGGGAAGCAATCTCAGGATCGTAGGCCACGAGATCGGCAACACCGCCAGTGTGGTCCCCGTGCCAGTGAGTGAGAAGGACATGTGAGACCTCTAGCTCGCGCTCTTGGAGGAACTCGACGATTCTGTCGATCCAGCATGGTAGTCCCTTTACTCGATGTCAGTGTGAGATAATTTACGGATGCAAAGTAGACAGCAGAGCGCGATGAGAGCGAGCATGATCAGTTTGCATGGGCATACCTCGCCAGTGTCGATGAGGATTCGCGACTTGCCAGTCCCGACAATATACGTGTTGGTTCCTTGCAAGGACATGAACCCGGGATTTCCCCCGAGTATTCGAACCACTCGGTCTGTGATATCTTCCACATCAGGAAGAGGCGGGAGATTCGCTTCTTGGCCAGAAAGGTAGTCTTGCCAATACGACTCATCGAACGGTATTCTGGACATCTTCGTAGATCGTTGGTGATACACTCCAATTCGTCGTTCAGTAATATACTCTCAATGAGCCCGAGCCAAAAGTCTCTGGGGCGATCATAGATCAGCAATGAATAAGTGGTGCAGGGCACGGCAAGATCGTCGAGCTTGCGTGAATCTGCCAAGCCCGCGTTGGCGAAGGCTTCGCGGTCACGACTCTCAAGCGAAAGTACATTGCTATCGTGTGTCTGACACCTTCTGAGAGCCCGTTCTGGTGGTCGGAATTTACCTTCGGGTTTTAAGCCACAAGCGCCTATTGCTTTGCTTACATGCATACCCAGTCCACTAGCGCCCGGTTTATTTTGGCAGGATACGAATTCCGGGGTTACATGAGCATCCGGACCGGTTTCCGAAATTATACGAGAATCAGTCCGCAGCAGCGGAATTCGTGATAGTGCCAGAAGAGTACAGAGACTAGTTCTGCTGCTCCATTGGCGTCAGCCACGAGTGGGAATATGGTGGATTCGATCACACGGGCGCTCCAAGCTGATTGTGAGCATGATCGGCCGGCAAAACGCCTGCAGTAACTGGCGAGGAATACCGCTTGATATTTAGAATCAACAGACTTGTAGAATAGTTTTGACCACATTGCAACGCCTTTTACAGTCAGTGGGGAGGATGGCATTTAGTATTGCCCTGGTCCGAAGGCTTGTCTGTGCTTCCCGGAGCATCTTTGGTCTATACACAACAGAAGATAGGCTTGGGGCAGTCATACTTTGAGCCGGTCCCGTAGGAAAGATCAACGTGAGTATCGCTGAAAAGGACCACCTTAATAGGACTTGAGATTGTGTCACCTGATAATAAGGTTGAGCCACCAATTGAGTAAGATGCGCCTAGCCTAATTAGGGATAGTACGTTCAATGTCCATAACATCTTTTGCGAATGTATCCATCGTCAGTATCCATCGTCACCATCGACAACCTTTTTCCATCTGCAGTCAGCTCGACTCTTAGATTTAAACGCTCGTTCCATCTCTCCAAAGAATCTCCATCAAGGACCACATCCTAGAACTTGCCATGGCCAGTACCAAACCTCCCGTCAGACGATCCTAACTACATACAAATGATTACATCATTCTAATAAAGCTCTTAGGTTACCCCTCCACCAGGATGGTCAATGGAACCAGACGAACTCGACTACAGGACTGATTGGGCTCCGGAAGATAGTTGGGGGTACCAGCTTGGCGTTGATTACAACCTCGGAAAATGTATCCCCGTCATGTGCGACCCGGTTGGTGGCGAAGTGATATTCACGGCTGGTGGGAAGTTTTACGAATGGAATCAGCTTGCCGAAACTCTTCATCAGATCCTTTTGCCAACATCATTGGAGGAGATCATTGCTGTGATGAAGGACCAGGGGCGCCGAGGACTGAAATGGAAATCACTGTGATCGTAGTGGCATGGTTCCTACCTAATTCGGAAAAATAGGAGCTCAAGGTTGAATCTGCTGGTCATTCAACCACACCAGGGCGTGTGGATCCGAAATTGTGCAGAGACTTACCCTTTTGTCTTCTTCCAGTAAGATTGGGATATCATTCCGAGGAGGATATATTTTTCTCGCTAACATCGAACTAAACAATATAGGGGCTATCGTGACATAACCTTGATGTACACTGAATTCCATTACCATAAAAAGAAACTCACCCTACTATATTATCATTTCTCCCTTTCTCTCACCTCACTTGACACTACTTATATTCCCTCCTCTCTACTATCTGATATAACTATCTCTACTATCAAGATAATTGGCACTAATATGACATAACCCCTGGCAACTATGCCGCCCAATACTGGGTAGCGAGGCTGCTCTGGTAATCACAGAAATTCGAGTTCACCCTGTCCCCTACCTAGGTCTTGTGATCGATGCTCTCCTCACAGCTAAGACAATATCTTTATTCCTCGCGAGGTATCTCTCACAGCATCTCTCACCGACGATGAGCTCTACGCGATGTAGATTGTGCAGAGTGCGCTGTTAGATCACTCGCAGATAATATTGATGATGACTGTGATCTTGATGCCTTTACACCCACCAACATCCCACAATCTCGTGGCAATCTAAAGAAGGGTGACAAGGCCCTTGTAAACTTCGATCGGTGTAGTAGGTTGATTGGTGGACCACCGTAGGAGACTTTATTCTGTCACTATGTTACCTTGATCGTGCGATACTGTCTTACAATTATGTCTGGCGCGAAGAAAGAGATCAATTGAATAAGACTTGTAACACTCGCGGCAGTCACGGAGCGACTTTCGCCTCGCTATTCTCACTAAATACCCAGATCCCGCTAGACAAGCTTGGGTCGAAAACTATGTGCACTTCAAACATCTACCAACTGTTCAAGATTGTGACTTCACAACTGGTGTCTCATATCCTGATGGATAAAGGTTCGAGAAGTCAAAGTAGAGCTCATAGACCCCAGTGACATTTGTTTCCTTCGCCCGGAAAGAGTCTGACAAAGAGCCACTACCATACTCCCACATAAGATATGTGCCATAGAAAATGAAGTTGGTAGTCACGGCATCGGATGGCACAGTGATGCCATTTCCAGTGAAACCCACGGGCAAAACTTCATCGTCAGTGGGCCGAATGTAAAGTAATGTGTCGGAATCCAGGGTAACGCCCGACGTGGTAGCCGTAGTAATCATCTCTGTGTCGGTAATTACAACTAAAGCGCGGTCAGATATTGTGACTAGATCAAACGGTCGTGTTGAACCGGAAGTTGAAGAGTTTATAGAGGCCCTTACAGGTGACATCCGTAGTAATAGAGCCATAGGGCCACTTTGATGAATCGCCAGCATAGGCGATGCCTATCGTATCAATGTTAGAGAGGGTGATGTTCAGCAAGAAGACCAAAGCAGAAAAGACGAACCATCGGAGTAGAATATGTCAATATAGTCAGAGGCGAGACTATAGGCCACAAGGCTGAAGGAGCCAGTTGGATTGCGCTTAAGAAGCGGCTGTACCGTGGCTGGGGTGGCCAGCGCGCAGGCCGCGAAAGCCAAAACCGAAGAGAAGATGCTCGATTTCATTATGGTGTAGTGTGTGATTTACTCGGACCAGATATTATGATTGTTCTGTCCTCATAGCACTCGGTTGATTGCTTATATACTTTCCTTACGCCGATGAGGGTCGGCCATAACCTAGATGCGAGGCCCCACCTGGGGGTGACGCGGCCGCCGGATTGTAAGATTTGCAGGAAGCTGACATGGATGCTGCTTGGCCCCGTAAGACTCCTGAAAGGAGCTTTCATTCCTCCACGACGGCAAATAAAATTGGCTATTCCAGACCTTATTGTCCAGCTTTGTGAGGTTTGACTAGGTATAATGTTCGTTTGGCCAGGAGACGAGCGGCCACTTCAGTATAAACAAATATAAACAGCTTACACGGCCGTTGTAAAGACCGGCGCGGATGAGGGATCCACGTCCGCGGAGATTGAAATTAAGGTACAGCGCAACAGGCAATCGGGTCCGAAGGTTACTGGTGGACAAGAAGGGTTTCGACACTAAAATGCAGAAATAACAAAGGGAAAGTGGGAGCGATTGGCCAAGGATGTCCATTTGTCGAAACAAACTAGTCTCCAATGCTAAAACACTTGGCGAGCAGTTAACAGCCAGGCTGCGGGCCACACAGGGAGCGCCACACGGCTAGCCAGCCGCAGGTCCCGGCCTAAGAATCACGGCGCTGCTACCGACGGCATCTCTGAATGGCTGGTCTTGTTGTGATGCTCTCTTGAGGAACAAGACCTAGTTATAGGCATGATAGTCAGTACGTACGCAGCTTGTCACAGCCCCGAGGATCTTGGCCTAGATTCCCCTGCAGCTGGACAGTAGCCTGCAAGAAAGTCGAAGGGGAGATCGCTTAGTGTCACCGGGTTTCACCCGCAACATGGCTACCGGTGTCAAACAAGTCTCCTTCCTCGACTTCATGGACTTTGAACTCGAGTTATCGGGGTATGAGCCCTAGAAAGGTAGCGATGGTCCCGGCCCATCATAGAAGATGCAATAATAAAGTGTAGCCTGTATATTCACGATCTAATAGCGCTCCAGTAGCCACAAGCGACGCTCCTCATCAGGCATAGCCAGCAAGCGCTTCGATTCCGCACGCTTGACACTAAGATAGTTCTGGACAATTTCATGCCCCATAACATTTTGCAGCGTTTTATCCTCGGACAGGGCAGCCATACTCTCAGCCAGGGATTTGGGAATTGGGGTCGTGATACCAAGAGCAGAGCGTTCGGCAGGGCTCAGACTCGAGGCATCCACTGAGAAAACGATGGGTCAGTTCATTGACAACAGAAAAATATGAAGTGGGGCGTATAGCTTACCGGCACATTCCTTCACGGCCAGAGAATGATTCTCTTCTAACCCAATCAACCCACCTGCAAGTAGCGCCGCCATCGCAAGGTAAGAATTAGCAACGCCGTCAACCGTCTTGATCTCCCAATGACCAGGACCTATTTTCCTCACGGGCGCCTCGCGATTTTGGAAGCCCCACGCAACCCACTCAGAACCAGACCAGATACCCGAGCGCACACGTTCGTAACTGGCATCCTGGGACATCGTGAATGCGACAATAGCGGGGTAGTGGCTCAAGATACCGGCGAGGAAGGCATCTTCGCGGGTTGGTGGCGTAATGGAAATATGTGCGTGCGCGGCACTGCCGGCTCCGTTTGCGAAGGGGCGTGGATGGAAGGTAGCGCGGAGCCCGTGTCGCTCTACGACCGCGGTGATGACGTGCCGGGCTGCAAAGAGAGTATCAATGGCGGCAAGTGGGTTGGCCGGTGGGAGAATAAATTCGAACTGGCCGGGTGCGGACTCGGAGTGGAATTGTTGCAGTTTGATGCCAATGGACGCCAGCGTCCGATTGACTTCCTCCAGTATCGGGACCATTTTGCGTGTGTCAGAAGTCATTTGCGACCAGGAGTGATTCGTTGTTGCGGGCGCGTAGTCTGTAACTTGGCCGGTTTGTTGGTTCGTGATTGGTTTGAGGAATATGACCTCAATTTCGACACCGCAGAGGACTTCGACGTTGTGGGTGCTGTGGAGCCTTTCAACAATGCTTTGAAGGGTGGTTCGAGGGCAGCTGGCGAGTGGCTTGCTCTCCTCTGATTGCCAAAAGCTCATCACAGTGGCACTGGGAGCGGCTGATGTTGTCAGTCCTCCGTTACGGCGGAGGCTGCTCAGGTCTGGCTCCATATAAAATTGTCCTGTTGTAGATCCCTCTGGCGTGACAGTGTCGTCTTGCAGCATCCACTGTACTGCCAGTGAGACGCCAATTCGTCGCTGTTTCCGCGCAATGCAAACAAACTCTTCAAGCGGGAAGATGCGCACTCGGGTTGTCGCCGTGTAGTCGATCCATTGCATCCAGACGTACTCAATGTCGGGGTTTGTCAGAAGGAAAGCGTCTAGCAAGTCGGAGGGTTCAGACATTGGATGCTTGCTGAGTAGAGGTGACCGCTGAAGAACTCCAGGTGTATACTGTGGTTTTTGATTCAGGCTGTACAGCTTGTTTGAATTATGGAAAAGGATATCAGCTGCTGCTGCTTTTGCTTGTGAAATATTATAGTCACCGTGCCGGACGTAGTCCACAAGAACCTGCGTTGAAACTGGTAAGCACATAGATATAGCATCCAAGCAGCCTATCTGTAGGGACTTACAGTCTCTAGGGCCTGCCGGAACTGCTTATTGGCTAACCAAAATGTTTCCGGGAAGAAGTGGCCATCCGTACTCCAAAGAAGACGATTGGTCGGGGTGATTTCCAAGCTCTCGCGCAAAACAGTTTCCTCAGCCTCACGGCTGACCATAGGGAACACCTCACCAAGATCAAGATAGACATTAGGATACACACAGGCAAGGTACCCCGCTGCTCTCGTATACGGATAGGCCGAGTGCAACAGCACGATGGGCGCATCGGGGTACTGCATGATGAGAGGCTGCAGGCAAGCAGGGTTGGCCTTGACAAGATTGATATCATTATCGCCCAATCCAGTATGAAATTGGAGCGGCTTGACCACACCAGCTCTCTTCCGGAATGTAATCAGCTTCAGAGTCTGCTGGACGAGCCAGTCATTCAGCGGCTTTTCCTCGACGCGATATCCGGATTTCCTCGTCCCCAGATCTAGGATGCGGTGGAGCGAGGCTGTCAACAATTCCTCGTCCGGCGAGTGGGGATCCACGTCCAGCCCTGTGCGGTAGCAAATCACGGACTTGAATCCAACGACGACTGGGTCATCCATGGCGTGGTCCAGTGCATTGAGAAACTGAGTGCGGAACGTGCTCCACACGCTCTCGCCGGGTGTGCGCTCTACGCTCATGATGTCACGCAGTAAGGAGGCAGCCACAGCCTCGATGCGCACGATGCGCTTTGTCGCCGAAGCTGTGAAACGGTCGTGCCAGTCGTACGATTCGACATCCTCGTCGGATAGTAGATCGTCTAAGAGCAGGGTGTGCGTGCCTACCAGGCTGCGGCGGATCAGCCCGTCGTAGTCCTGCTGCACCCAGCGCGTATGTGCCGCAAGCACGTCATCCCAGTTAGCGCACGGAGTGCCATACAGCTCGCCGAGCTGGTTGACGGCGCGCAATAATGGCAGCGTAGTCTGGGCATTCTCCAAGGCGCGACCGTGGGCCTCGGAGGTGATCGACTCAAGCGGGTAGCTATCGTAGTCCGCGGCGACGTCGCGGCTTAACAGGTTGTGCGCATGATTGTCGATGAGCGGGTGGGTTTGCACCAGGTGGCGGAGGGAGTCGAGGGAGTCCATGGTGGTGAGAAGAAGAGAAAGAGAAAGAGAAAGGGTCTACGGTGTACATTCTATACCTGGGAATAATTCGGTTCGGTCCGTCTGACGGGTCCGATCAATGGTAGCCCGCCTCCTTGGGTCCATGCGGTCGGCTAGTTCCCCTCCATCCTCCGCCGGTTGTTGCACGGATCGCAATGGTTCGCTTCACCGCGGCCTCTGCCTGAGGCCCTGGCAGTCGCCGTAACAGGTTTACGAGAGGTGCTATGACCACGACCCACCCCAGAGCTGTGCTGGGCGTCGGGAGGTGGTCCGAGTGGCAGTAAGCGCCGCCAAATACAAAGCGCGGTCTTATCCGCACGGCGATTGTCCATACTCAACCAGGTTAACTCCACGAGCAAGCCCAAGGGCCCGTCTACGGACAGCATTTGCTCAACATCATCCAACAAAATGCTCTGCGAGACATATGTAACCCACGTCGACCTCGCTCGGATCCCTTCCGCCCGCCCAACATGCCTTCGTGGCCATCGCCAGACGATCTCCCGCAGCTACCAATCCAATAACAGCATGCGAGGGCACTACACCATTCGTTTAGCGAATCATCAAAGTAATAGATCGAGCTGGCATGTACGAGCCGGCCAGTCGGGACGATCCGTGCAGAAGCGCACAATCTCACATTTCTAGTTCCACCCCAAACTCAGTTAAACTACATGGGGCACTCCATTGACGCTACGACAAGCCAAAAGCCGCAAGTTGAACCCTTAAACTCAAAATGCTCAGTACTGGCCCTCGATCGTCAGGGTTCCCGTTTTGGTCACCAGAAACTCGTTCACAGCGACGTCCTTCCCACTCTCCTTGCCGTACCCAGACTCCTTCATGCCGCCGAAGGGCGACTCGGCGGCCGATTGGTTTCCTGTGCGGTCAGCTGGGTTAGCGAAGATCGAAAATGGGTGGGTCTCCCGGGAACACGCACCTGTATTCATTCCGATCATGCCGGCCTCCAGGTTCTCCAGCAGCCGCCACATGCGATCGATGTTCTTAGTGAACGCATAGCTAGCCAATCCCATACTGGTGGCATTGGCCCACTTTACTGCCTCGGCCTCCGTCTCGAAGCGGTACAGCGCTGCGATGGGGGCGAACGACTCCTCCTGCGAGATCTGCATCTCTTCCGTCATTCCGGATAGGATGGTCGGCTCGAAGAAGTACCCCTTCTGCGAGGTCAAAGGCTTGCCACCCAGGATGACCTGCGCGCCGCGGTTGCGAGCATCCTCCACCTGGGCGACGGCCTTGTCGATGCTGCGGGGTGTGGTCAATGGGCCCATGGTGGTGTCAGCAGAAGCGCCGTGGCCGACGACCAAAGCACTAGTCCGCTCCTTCAAGAGCGAGGCGAAGCGATCGTAAACGCCGGCTTGGACGTAAATGCGGTTAGCAGTAATGCAAGCCTGGCCAGCATGGCGCCACTTCAGCGCCATGAGCTGGTCGAGAGCTTGGTCGAGGTTGGCATCATCGAAGACGATGAAGGGGCAGTTGCCCCCCAGCTCGAGAGTCAGCTTCTTCAGGCCCTGGGCGCAGTGTGTGGCGACCAGCTTGCCCACCCGCGTCGAGCCAGTAAAGGTGACCTTCTTGACGAGTGGATGCTTGCACAGCGCCTCGCTCAGCGACGGGGTGTTCTCCAAGTCTGTCGTCAGCACATTCAACACACCGGCCGGGACCCCGGCGCGACGCGCCAGCTCGGCCAGCACCAGCGCTGAGATGGGTGTTTCGGGGCTAGGCTTCACCACCATCGTACATCCGGCAGCCATCGCGGCACCGACCTTCCGTAACACCATGGCGACGGGGAAGTTCCATGGCACCAGCGCGGCGGCCACGCCGATCGGCTGCTTGATAGTAAACAGCCGGCGGTTCGGCGCCGCAGGGACCGACACGGTACCCTGAATGCGCTCCGCTTCGCCCGCAAACCACCACAGGAAACCCAGCGAGTAATCCAGCTCGCCATAGGCCTCTGCCAAGGGCTTTCCGGTTTCATGGGTGACGATCTGGGCCAGGTCATCCCGGGCCTGGGTAGTCAAGTCGTACCACTTGAGTAGCCATTTGGCCCGCTGGCGCGAGCTCACTTTGCGAAACTCCTCAAAGGCAGCGTGTGAATCTTCAACGGCCGCATCGACATCTTCGGCGCTGTTGTTGGGGCAGCTTGCCCATGCCTGGTCGGTACCCGGGTCTTCAGATAGTCCCATCTGTTAGTCATTGGGCATGGTTATAGTCACGCCAACTCTCAACCATACCAATCACCTCAAATCGCTTCCCACTCTTTGCTGCCACCCATTTATTCCCGACAAATGAGTCGAAATGCAAAAGGGTCGGATCGTTCAGCTGTAGTTGATCAAATGCATGTTAGCCCGGTTGTCATGTCCCTCAACGCGACAAATCTTCCCTCTGCCCAAACACTTCGGACATCTCGCCGAGAGGGGGCTCCCCCTCTCCCCCACCATTCCAAATGCTCTGCGCTGAGGATAACAAGTGTTCGAAGGGGGGCGACATACCTTGAACGGTAGCTGATATGTTTGGGCCATACTGAGCAAAATATCAAGGGACAGTGGGGGAAAGAGAAATCTAGCAATGAGAATGGCGGGGGTGTTGCAACTTATGAGGGGAAAGCCAGCGCCGAGACCGACCCCCCTCATCGCACCCGTTGAGGATCCAGGGTTCGCAGGGTTTCCGCCGATCCACCCACTCCGCGACCATCGGCATACCCATTCGGCTAGATGGATTGAAGTGTCTAAACAAACCAAGTCTATTTTGAGATGGCGTCATGCGTTATCTACCTATTAACAACATTACTTACTATACAGGTCGTGATCTTGGTCCTGCGTCGCCACAGCAGAAGCAGCAGAAGCAGCGGGCTACACCAAACTATCCACACTGGAATGCTTCGCCTCGCGCGACCGCCCATCATATTGTGTCCGTGCCGCCCCCTCAATGGTATACTGGACCGACACATCCGTCGTCTTCACAATACCAACAACCCCATCCACGCTCCCGCTGCTGACACTCGGACTATCGCCGCCGCGACGATACTTGCGCATATCGAAGGGGTCGCCCCGACCCGCATCAATGTCCACAGTATGCCCGCCATTCGGATCGGCCATCTCGTACCCGTCATCGGCATGGGACCGCAGCTGAGCAGAGCGCGGCTGTGACTTGTTCGAAAACGGTTTCGAGCCGGGGTACTGGCCTCGAGAGCCGCTGTTCCCGGGTCCGTAGCCGGAGGTTTCGCCGCGGGAGGTGCCGAGCAGGCGGGGGAGGTACCGGCCGGCGATGGCTTTCAAGGAGGGGGCACAGGCGGTGATGACGGCGACGTTGACTTCGATAGCTGAGCTGACAAAGCCAATCGCGTAGGTCGGGTCTGAAGAGATCTCGTGGGCGACGAAGACTTGTGCGAGAATGACAATGCGCCACACGCCGATGGCGGTGGCACTGTGAAGGGTTAGAGTTGGGTCAAATGGGATGGCGGGACGAGTATGTAGATGGGTGACTTACACTCCACCCAGGCACAGGACGATGCACACGGCAAGCTTCCGTCGCAGGGGCATTTGGAGATTCCAGGTGATCAGGATGGGGATCGACATTACCAGCAAATCCGTGAAGAGATTCAACGCTGCGGTCGACACGTAGAAGTTGCCTTGCTCAATGCATTTGCCGCCTACAATCGACAGGTCGTATACGTAGGCGACCGGATGGCATTGGAAGATGTCGACGAACAGTACGGCGATGAAGAGGCCAATGACAATGACGAAAGACGTCCAGATGAGGAGATTAACAATGCGCGACCGCGATTCTAGTCTGCGCAAGAAGGCCAAGATTGATAATTTAACCACGGTAAGAGTTGGGTTGTACAGGATCTGGTTGGCGAAGTTCCACTGGACGGGGGGATTAGCTGGAGGTGCAGATCGAGTCCGTTGTCTCTAGGAGGCTCACAATGTATCCTTCCTTAGCATCGTAGTCTTTCGGGATGTCGTCGAAGTGGATTCCGACATAATTCGTTTTGATATCTATGGGCGTAAGTCAGTGAATCGGTTTTGTCGCTGTCGAGTCGGGGTGACTAACAATACCACGAAGTGACCGACTGCCCAACGGCGAGAATCTATCCCTGTCGCATTAGTATGTCGCTGCCAGGGCCGGGGATCAAAACAATCATACACATCCCACGATGATCAAATAGTCATCTACGGAGTCTCGTCAGTATCCTGTCGATCACTGGGAAAGGCGGTCCCTGCATACCGATTGTGAGCGCCGATCGCAATAACCGGCGACTCCAGAGCCTCAAGAGCACCGAAAGACCTCCAAGAATCGGAAATGCAACCACGACACCCAGTGCGATATGTTGTTGGTGGTGGTCAACCATCGTCCAGCATTCCCTCGCGAACAAGAGAGGGGGAAAGAGAGAAAACGAGGCAGGTCAGAACCTAAAGCCGTAGATCATATAATAACCAGGCACGCATGCAGGAACCGCCACAACCTAGAGTACAGTATACTCCGTACAGTCAAAGTCCTCCCTGTGGCTGGCATCCTACCTCCAAATCCTCTGAATTACCATTACTCTCTGAACAGAAATGGCTCGTAGTCCGAACCCTAATTGGCGTTTCCAAAACCTTAGATATTGGGGTGGCCAATGATGAGGGCGTCGAGGCGAGGCTCCACCAGGCGTAAATAGGAAAGAGTAGGTGATCGTAGACTTCGGACTTCGGAGGAACTACGGAGAATGCAACCTCCCACGGAGAAACTGAAAACTCAATCACCCGTCCATGAAGTCGACGTGCCCAAGCAAGAAGTTCTTTGGGACCGCAATATCGAAACCCTGCAATCCCCCATTAAATCAAACTACGAAACAAAACAAACATCCCTGTCAATTTAGCGCGAAAGGACTTGGACCAAGGATTTGTGCCATTGTGCCTGAAAACGGGCGAAGAACCTTCCTCGAGGCTTCGACGCGATGGCGCCCGGTGTTACTATTTGAAACAGTCATCAAGCTTTCGGCGTCGGACCGAGCCCCGCCTGCCGGAATCAAACAAGAGTACTTACTCCGTAGTGTGCACGCGAACCATGGAAAAGAGACGGCTTTCCATCCGATTTTGTATATAGCGAGCTTTACTCTTCCGCAGGATGTATCTAGTCAACAAACGTGATGGAGCTGGTCATGGTTGCAGGGAGATCACAGACGGTGGCCCCGGCGGACGGAGCAGCTATGGTTCTTTCTAAATTTGTGGTTCCGCAAGCCACAGCCAAGGTGGCGCGGAGGCCTCAGCATACAAGCGAGTTTACGAGGGCAATTACTCGATTGCCCTTTCACCGAGATCGATTCTTTATGGAGAAAACTCCACACAGGGTCGTGTGAGAGGCTTCACTCATGCTCATTTCTTTCCAAGTCCAAGCGTCCTCAGATCCTCCACTGTCAATCCGGCCGATTCGGAGAATCGCAAGTGGACCTTTTCTCTCACAGTGGGGATGGGGCGAACGCCTCAAGGCCAAGGAGGCGTTATTGTCCTCTTTTCAACCGGGCGTTAAACTGCGCAAAGACAATCGTCCAGCAGATCGAGGGATGGCCACGTAGGCTCTGAATCGAATTGTTCTTTTCGGCACTAACACTGTCCCGCATTAATTCCGTGGTGGCTCTTCGTTCCTTCTAATCTCCCACGGGGTGCCCAAAGCACAGCAAAGAATAAGCCGGGTGTTCGGCTAGGAGAGCAGTGCGTGCTGGTGAACGCCTCCGCCGTTGCGGAACAAGTCCGGGCCAGGGCTGCTGGGTAGAGCAGTGCAGTTGTCGCGACTGGAAAGTGGGGCGCAATTTCATGCTTTTGCGCATAGCGTCTGTATAGCGTCGCGCTATGCATCCGTAGTATGCCCCAGGGCGAAATTTGGTCTCGGAGCATCTACGTGGGCGCGCCGAGTCAGTCGAGATTCGTAGGCGACCACCGGAAAAGTGGAGCTCTCTCAGGGCTTCGCAGAGACGATTCCGATGGGTTCCTTGTGGGGCATCGTGGCGAGCAATCGTAGCTCGCCCCTGAGTTCCATGAGGTGGAGGAGGGGCTGTATCTACTTGTCAACCTCGTGGCCGTGAGCTCAGCCTGTCCGGAGTCGCCAATTGCCGATGCTTGCTCCTTCTTTGCAACTTCTTAAAGGACGCCGTTCCCACCTTCGACCGTTTATTAGGTCCTCATCTCGGCGATCACTGAGAGGCGCTGTACCACTTGAGTGTTAATCTGCTGCAACACTCTCCCTCTCGCTTTCTCCATTCTTCACAATGGCGCCCCGTTCGGTCCTTGTGGGTGCGCTCCTGAGCGCTCTCGCCCTGGCGGCCCCGGCTGAGGCTGCAGTTGCGGCGGAAAAGGTCGCACCGGTGTCGCAGGCAGGTGCTCCGCTCTTCCCCAGTGAAACGGTCCAATTGACCAACGTTGCCCTGTCGAACCTGGATGCCAATCAGTCTGCCCTCTTTGGCTTCGCAGGTAATGCTTCGAGCCTGTCCGCTCGGACTCAGAGTGGCTGCAAGGTTTATCCTGGGGATTTCTGGTGGCCCTCGCACTGGGTGTGGTCGCTGTTTGACGAGCTTCTGGGTGGCGCTCTGATCAAAACGGTGCCCCTGGCTGCGTCCTGCTACAACTCTTGGCCCGAGTACGATGCCACTGAATGTGAAACAGTGACGGACAACTGGACGAACTCCAATCTCCAGTAAGTGCCACGACCTTTGGCAACGGGCCCCCTCCCTGACGTATCCTTCTTAGTGCTGCCGATGCTGCCTCTGTGATGTGGCCCTTGTTTGAGGGCAGGACTTGTCTCCCCACTACTAATGCCTCCGCATCCTGCACGGTGGGTGGTTATAGTAGTTATGCTGTCAATGTCACCAATGTGGCCCAGATCCAGCTGGCGGTCAACTTTGCCCGCAATGCTGGCCTTCGTCTGGTCGTCAAGAACACTGGCCATGATTTCAGCGGCAAGTCCACCGGTGCTGGTGCTCTGGGTATCTGGACTCACCACCTGAAGGAGATCGATTACATCGAGAACTATCAGAGCTCGAGCTACCAGGGCCCCGCGGTCAAGATGGGTGCTGGTGTGCAGGCGTTTGAGATTTATGAGAAGGGCAAAGAGCTTGGCTTTACTGCTGTTGGTGGCGAAGGCAGGGTATGATACTCTTGCAGGGAGACTCTCCATGTACAATCAACTAATACGACTTTTTAGACCGTCGGTGTTGCCGGTGGCTACGTGCTCGGTGGTGGCCACTCGCCCATGTCCAGTATGTATGGTCTGGCCGCAGACCAGGTCCTCGCCATGGAGGTTGTCCTAGCGAACGGTCGCTTCGTCACTGTGACTGAGGAGAGCGACCCCGACCTCTTCTGGGCCATTCGTGGTGGCGGTGGCGGTAAGCTTCATCCGACTTTCGTCACGCATGACCAGGTCTAACAATGTCATCTGCAGGTACCTTCGGTGTTGTCACGTCTGTCATTTCCCGCGTCCATCCCAAGGTCGGCGCCACTGTCTCTACGTTCAGCTTCTCCACCGGCACCGACGTTTCTGTGGATGCCTTCTGGGCCGGTGTCCGCTCGTACATGGAGCGCTTCCCGGCTCATGCTGATGCTGGCACTTACGCCTATTTCTGGATTATTGCGACCGGTCCCAACTCCTTCCTCTTCCTGATGAACCCCTTCTTCGCCGTCAACCACACCCTTGCTCAGTACAACGCGCTCGTGCAGCCCTGGTACAATGACCTCGAGGCGCTGGGAATCCCCTTCACCCCCAACTCGACTTATTATGACAACTTCTACGATGCCTGGAGCGCCGGCTTCCCTCTGGAAACCGTCGCCTTGTCCACCATGCTGACTGGCTCCCGCCTGTTCCCCCGCGCTAACTGGGAGAGTGAGTCCTCCTTGAACGCTACCTTCGATGCCCTCCGCTCCACGATCAGCGCCGGCTACAACGTGCTCGCCTTCAACATGAAGGCCGAGCTGCCCACCGGCTACACCCCCAACTCCGCTAACCCGGCCTTCCGCACCACCCTCATGCATGCTATCACCTCCACCAGCTGGGATGCCGACGCCACCAATGCCGAGATCAAGTCGAACATGGATTATTTCACCAACACCATCCTCGGCCAGTGGCGTGCCACCTGCCCCGACGCTGGTGCTTACATGTCCGAGTCGGATATCCTGGAGCCCAACTTCCAGCAGGCTTTCTACGGCTCCAACTATGCTCGTCTGTATCAGCTGAAGCAGCGCTATGATCCTACTTCCCTGTTCTATGCCCCCACTGCCGTGGGTAGCGAGCACTGGGTAGTGAAGAGCGAGGATGGTCTTCCCGATCAGAACGGTCGCCTGTGCCGCGTTTAAATATGACGTGGTGCTGGAAAATATGTATAGAGTAAATTCGGATGCGTGATATATATCTTGTACAGTACAGCGATGCCTGAGTGAATTGCATTCAATATAGACTTAATTGAACTTTTCTTAGGCTTTTTTCCAATTTAGTCATATGAACTTTGGACAGCTCGCTCTCTACGAGTACCTATATGTTGATATTTGGGTTGGAATTACCCCAACAAGCCACCTTGCATGATACCAGCGGTTTGGTGGGGATTCCTACGTCATTGGGCCTCCGCGTAGTCGGATGCAATAGCAGTGGAAAAGAAAGACGGCTGCAATCCTCGAATTGTCTTTGACCTACCAGAATACATTGATATTCCACTCATTAATAGGCCGTTTTTTGTAACAGGTGGGTTTGGTTATCTATCTCACCAAGTTACAACAGTTAGAGTGGAATGCAATCTATACTCCTTACATGCTCTCGGCAGCACTCCAGAATACACACCGCACCTGTCCACCCCACCACCTCACCCCTCACCTACTACAACATCAAAGAACTTCGTTCAATTTGAAACAATGATTCAAATTGTTCCTCTACTTCGTGCACAAATCTAACCACCAATTTACCCTATTCTCCGCTAAGCGTTCGCTTGCAACACCACGCGGATAACTCAACGCGCTGGTTGGCCAACCGCCGACAATCGTCGCAGATATCGAGCTCCCCTCTGCAGCACACGTCGATCACTTTCCCCTCTCCTTGGTTGTACTGCAACGTCTCCTCGGCAGAATGCGACTCTGGAGAGATGCCCTGGCACAGTTACACGGGTGCTGGTTTTTCCGCACCGCAGTTGCTCCGAATAGAAATATCCTGGTGAGTGACTAGTACCTGCTAGATTAAGCCGGAGATAGAGCGTGTAGATAGGCATATCCTCTGCGCGACACCACGATGCAATTGGTTCGTGCTCTTTTCCGCACTGCGAGTGCTTTGTCGTGGCTGGGTGGTATGTTGATCCTCTGGTCGTCGGCAAATGGGATGAATTGGCTGATATTGACACCGGCCTGGTCTAGCTGCTGCTCGGATTGCCACGATACCAACAATTCCCTTCACAGAGACTGGGGGTACCTACAATGTGTCTATGCTCACCGATATTGTGGTCGATTCGCGTTACGCAGAGGAGGTGGACAATATTGGCCAGACCTTGATCCCGCCGACGTTGCTGGAGTTCGCGCAGACCTTCCAAGGGGACCTCAAGTCGGTCCTGGAACTGGACTTGAAACTCTCCCAGGCCACGAAGCGCAAACCTAACTCCATCTTCGTCACCTTTGGCAACGACACGAGCTTCATGGATGCTGCAGGACGATGGACCCAAGAGGGATATAAACTACGCGTAGACGATCGCGGGCTGGTTGTGACAGGTGCCAGTCCCCTGGGTTCATGGTGGGCCACTCGGTCAATTATTCAAGCTACTGTTGCTGGAAACTCCACGCTCGCGAAGGGATCGGGTACTGATGCCCCTGGCTGGGGCACCCGTGGTGTTATGGTAGGTGTTCACAACTGGTGACGGGGGTCATTTCTAATTGCATGCATAGCTCGATGCCGGGCGACACTACTACCCGCCAGAATTTCTGGTTGAAATGTGCTCGTACCTCTCGTTCTTCAAGCAAAACACGTTTCACGTCCATCTGAGCGACAACCTCTACAACAATGTCGAAAGGTACTCTGCAGAACAATCTCTGGAGCTGGCCGCAGCGTTCCGACTTTGGTCCGATGATCAAGCCGTAGCTGGCCTAAACCGTCGCCAAAACGAATCCTATACTCGCGAGCAGTTTGATAATGTCCAGATCCAGTGCGCAAAGCGTGGTGTCACTATCATCCCCGAGATCGAGGCTCCCGGCCACGCGCTCGTCATTGTCCAGTGGAAGCCCCAGCTGGGACTCGATGACCTGAGCATGCTCAACATCAGCCACCCGGAGACCATCCCCACTATGAAGGCCATCTGGAAGACTTTCCTTCCATGGTTCCATAGCAAAGTCGTTCACATCGGCGCTGATGAGTACGATAGTAGGCTGGTCTCTGATTACACGCATTTTGTTAACGAGATGAACACGTTCATCCAAACGGAGACCAAGGGCGAGAAGTCCATGCGCATCTGGGGTACTTTCACGCCCAATCAGGGAGCAAATATCTCCAAGACCATCTCGTATCAGCACTGGGATGTCAGGGCGGATCAACCCTATTATGACTACATCCAGAACGGGTACAATGTACTCAACTCCGATGATTATGTCTACCTTGTCGGCGGATGGTCCGGGTCATTCGCACAGGAATTGGATCTGAGCAAGATTTTCAATGGCCCATTTGGCTCTCCTTACTCACCCGTGGTCTTCGACAGCAAGGCAATCGGCGATAATCCGTCCCGTCGCAACCCCCGCGTTCTGGGCGAAGTCGCCGCGCTGTGGAATGACTACGGCCAAAACTCGACTACCGTGCTGCAAGCTTACTACTCCTGGCGCAATGCGCTCCCCGCTCTAGCTGATAAGCAATGGGGTGGTAACATTACCGAGGCTGAGTACACCTCTATCTTCGACACCCTTCACGCTGCAGTGCCAGCCCAGAACCTGGACCGCAAAATCCCCAGCAGGTCCGACACAATCCTGCACTACACGTTCGACAATTCAAACTCAAACACTGTTAGGGACCGCTCCGGCAACGGATATGATGGGACCATCCACGGTTGCCACATGACCGACTCCACCATCCACTTCGCTGGCGGGTGCTACCTCGAGACACCGCTGAGCAGCAAGGGGCGCGACTACACGCTCTCGTTCCGAGTGAAGCCTACTTCCAGCAATCCAGGTACTCTCTTCGCTGGTTCAGACTCGACCTTCGTCAATGGAAACGGGACCATCACCAACGCCACTCTGATTAGCGGCGGGAGCCCGTACTCGTTAAACTATACACTGCCGCTGAACAACTGGACCGATGTCAGTCTCGTTGGTGATGGTAATGCCACTCGCTTGACTGTCTCTACCGATGGTTCTAAGTCGGAGACGATGGAGTTCACTACCAGAATTGGTGTCGACGGAGAATACTCCGTCTGGGCGCCGATTGGGGTTGAGGCGCCGCTCGCCCGGGTGGGCGAGGGGTTCACTGGGTTGATGCAGAATATTATGCTGCGTGGGAGTGCAGCCTAGATAAGGTTCAGAAATAAGTAAAAGATCATTCCCATGGTCATTCGCAAAATGGATGTCACCAATGTCTGACGCTCATAGAGTGTGTACCTAGAAGGGAGATTGCTGCCTAAGGGCTGAGGCATGACCATAACTAAGTTTCGTTATCTACGAGGTTAGGTTCGCTTTTAATCTATCGTAACTAGCTAGTGTTTTGCGACCGGGTTATTTCATTTTCTATGAGTTTCTCGCTCATACAGTTAGCTCCCCGTATAAACGACTGTAGGTACCGTGCTGAATAGTTGCATTCTGCACAGGGTGTTTGAAATACGTGCACTGATTCGCCCCCACGGCCTGAAGTCAAGCTACGACCTCACGCTCCGTATCCAAGCGCCAATCACGCTTATGATCAAGTTGCATGTGGATACTAGCCGATCAGGCAACGGTCAAATCAGAAAGGCGGGTTGCTCCACCCCCAACCAGTCGCGCCGCGGCCAATCGGCAGGCGGGAATGACCACATGCCCTCGCTGCTGGCAACCAAATGCTCTGCGCCAAAACGTATCGAGGTCATTGCTGAGAAGCTCTCCACATCCATGGCGGTCCTTAAAATCAGGGTCTTCTCTCATGGCGCCCCCAGAGTTTACCTTCATGCCACGCTTCCGCTGACCAGATCGCCTGGGGGTACCCCCAGCCACCATGAAGGCTGCTCACTATGCCCTCGTCGCCGGACTGTTCTATGCGGCACTGGGTCTCGCATTGCCCTTTCAGCTCGTTCTGACTAGCGATACCCCAACAATCCGCTTCAAAGACAGTGGCCAGCCGCAGCCGCGCGTGTCTGAGCCTGCGCATCATGCAAGGCCAACATTCCTGCAGTACATCGAGCGTATGCGCTCAGATTTACATTCCATCTCGAATGCACCAGGCCTTGAGCGCGGTTCGCCCGAGAACAGGCTAGGACACTCGCCGCCCGACTCTGCTCACGACCGCGCATTCAGAGACCACTACGGTACGATCTTCGGGAAACTTGGGTGGTCAAGCTCCAGCAAGGACAGCCTCCAGGACACGCCAACGAAGGCCCAACCCGTACACCACAATGACTGCCACCCCACGACCCAGACCGTCACATACATCAAGCCGGCAGACCTACTCGACATTGTCGACCAGCACGGACCAGAGTGCGTCGCGCTAGCCATCTTCGTGCTTGTCCCGATCGCCTACTTCTTTCTCGAGCTTCTGGAACTGGCAATCGGGTACTGCGTCCACGAGCGATATCCCCAGCGTGGCCGAGACCGTGTGCGACTCTTAGGCCCGGAGAGACAACTGCGGGCGTGGAGCAATCGCCAGCGGGAACAGCTTGTGGAGAGCGAGAAGCACTGGTGGCAAATGCGACGGCATCGCCATTGAGATGGTGCAGGGCGCGGTGGACTCTATGACTTCGTTTGATCTTTCCTTCATGTCTTCTCCTTTTATTGATACCCATTATATCAGTTTTCCTGCGAATTATATCCTTTTCCCCATTTCCTGATCAGTTTGAGCACGATGCCAAGCTTTGGGCCCTGCCCAGCCAAGGCAACAGTGTTTTCGTGTTCAGGTAGCTTGGCACAGCTTAATGTTACCTTGTTCTGACTCACCCCCTATGCTCGAAAGATACTATTTAATCCAAAAAAAACACAACGCCAAACGGGTTCGTAAAGCTACCTACTGAGATCGTACTCCTCGTTCTGCGAAACGTCGAGAGAACATCACGGGCGTGTGCCTGGGCAGTCCGGCCGGCCGGCCACCAATCAATTGGATACTTCCAATGCTTTATGAACCCAGCGAGATGCCGGGCTAATAGGTCGGAATCCACCGAGCATTGTTATCCACACGTCTGCATCGTCCATAATCGCAGGCTCATTGCATCTGTAGATCCATGCGGCGATTTCCATAGGCTGGCGAGGGCTGGAGCCCAAATCATGACCTGGTGCCGCAGATTCCGCTTCTGGAGTTTCTTCCTGTGTTGTGAGTGCCACTTTGGATCCCTGATATCGCGAAGAAGGTGACGGGAAATGGAACTGCGATGCGGTAGCTTATGAGTGTGACTTTTGTGTCTTGGCAATGGGTAGCAAATTGAAAAAATTTGATATTGAAAGGGATTTTGAGAAGCACGATGTTGTGAATCTATCTATTAGACACGATGGGAATGACGAGTAGCTTCTGTTGATATGAGGACGGCCCGACTTCACTGTCCTTTCAGCCCTCGTAGACCTTGTCATGTTGCTTTTGACCATGGGTCGTTGTGGTAGGATGCATCAATGACGAGGAATGCTTTAAGACATTAGAGAAATTATGTCAATATATTAAGAAACAAGCTTTGAAAGAAACAGCTTCAGCGACAAATTTTTGCAACACTGTCCCTACGGCGAGGATCTACTCATCGGTAGTTTGCTGGGTAGAGTCTTCGACGCCCTTCTGCATAGCATCAAGATGGGCAAACTGGTAGGTATCCTCGCCCAGTGACCAGGCCATGACACCACCCAGGCTCTTGGAGTTAACGATGTCCTGGAACTTGCGAGTAATAAGGTCCGGAGTATCCCAGGTCCAGAAGAGGTTGGTCTCTTCATCCCAGTAGTATTGGCCACCGGCCTCCTCGTCGGTCTGGCCGTCTTTCTCAGCGCGTCGCCAAGAGTCAGTGATCGAGATGCCCTTGCAAGTGCCGTAGTCGGACTGGCAGCCCGCCATGCAAAAGTCGTCGCCGGTACCGCTGGGAACGAATGAGTATATGGGGGGAATCCACTTGAGGAGAATGGGTGTTCGTACCAGTTGCCGTAAGCACTGCAGCACGATCCATCGGGACACTTGGAGCCCTCCGAATAGCCACACTTGCCATTATAAGAAGTCTTAAGGTCTGCGGGGGGAGGATCCATCACGCCCTTCTCAAAGGTAAAAGCACCAGACTTGCCAGTGTCACTACCATCGTCATTCTCGAGCTTGACAACATTGCAGCCGATCGGGTGGTCCTTGCAGTCGGAGTTAGGGTCCGTGGTGAACCACTTAGCGTAGTAGGCAAAGCCCAAGTTGATCTTCTCAGGCTCAAGACCCAAATCAAGATATGCCTGGACGGTATCGAGGGACCCTGCAACACTAGTGTGGTGAGCAGTCACGTTGTCGCGGCGGTTCATCAGGTCGTAACTCATAACGTTGACCATATCGACAGACATGAAGATCTCGGACGCCTTCTCCTGGGTGAAGGCAATCATGTCCTGCCTACGGCCCGGGACGGCGATGGAGAGGGTCTTGTTACCGATAGCCTCGCGAATAGCAGCCAGGAACTTGGGGTAGGTGTCGATCTCGCTGACCTTGTCGGAGTTGGGGACTTGCTTATAGTCCTGACCATTGCCGCCGGGATACTCCCAGTCGATATCTAACATCATTGGTCAACACTTGATCTTTGTACCTATCAGAACGAACGCTTTCCGTACCAACACCGTCAAAGCCGTTGGCATCAAGCACCGAGGCGACGTTCTTCGCGAAGCGCTGACGGGTCGTATCGTCCTTGGCTCCATCGGAGAAGCCAGCAGTGTCACCCCAGCCACCAATGGCAATCATCAGCTTGGTATCGGGACCAAAGCGATTGCGCATGGTGTCCACTGGCTCGAATGGGGTGAATGAGGGAGCAGAGTTGGAATTGAAGATGTTCGTCGGGGCGAAGGCCATGATCGCGTGATCAATGTTTCCTGTCTGATTGGCACCAGGAAGGTCGGCAGTATGGTATCTGGATTCGGTTTAGATTCTGAATGGATTCAATTCATCACATGGTGGGCAGCATACTCGTCAATATACATGGCAAACCGCATCGCCGCGGCACTCTGAGCGGCCAACAGGCCGAGGGCAATGTTCTTCAGCATGGTGAAACTTGTCATGCGAATGGCCAAAAACCAGTAAATAAGCTCAAATAAGGAAGCGATTGATGTCGTAAGATTGACAGAGAAGAAACAAACCCGGAGGAGGCACCCAGCTCAAAAAAAGGAAGGACAGCACGAAGCCGCAGAAACGAAATGACAGATGGGATAGGGAAGGAAGAAGCGCGTGGAGGCCGGACAAAGGGACTATTAATCTCCAATAGCTCGGATAATCTAGCAAAACATGCACAAGATGATCGTCGGGCCCGAGATTGGGCCACACGGCGGCTGAAGAGGACAATGCCCTCCCCTTCTAGCAACCGCATCGTCAGACCGTACGATTTAGTACATCGAGTCATTTTGCGGGGCGCGTGTATTCCATCCCTGCAGCAAAGTGGAGTAGCGAAGCAGGCAATGGATGCAAAACCTAGTTCGAGGAACGGGAGACAAGGCTAAGCAGGGCGCTGGAATTCCGAGCACCGGGTGGCGCTAGGCTTGGTGGCCAGGAGATCAACTGTCACTGGACAGTCGGTCGGTTGATTTGATCTGCATGGCGAGGCCATGAGATCCGTAAAAAGTATAATGCTTACGATCGATCTCACGAAATGAAAGGGTGTGCTGGAAGCTAGCGGGAAGCTAGTAATAGTTCACTGTTGAGGTTGGCATACCGGATCGGCACTGCATGCATTCTCCTCCTGCTTGCATTCCTGTGGCGTCATTGAACATTCACCTCGGGAAGGATATCCCAATTAGAAAAGCTATAGTTTGAGGAGACTAGCTCATGATCTTGGAAGCCTTTGGTCTGGACAAATCCCGACATGTGGCGGGAGGCCATGGCGTGGAAATGCTATACTACATGTGCTCAGCTCATCGGGCCAGATGATGGAAATGAAATAGATGCGATAGTGTACAAGATACCTTCTCCAGTACAAACACAATAATCTAGGGGTATAAGAGAGGTAAAGCCCAGAAGAACGCCGTATCTGTATCTCAATGGCGAGAATCATCGAAAGAAAAGAACAATAAGGGCAGGGGTGGCCCGGGCTAATTCCAGTGTCGTCGGATAATAGGACGTGCTGGATCCCAAGGGCCAATGACAACATTCTTGTACTTCTGCAAGCTGATGAGCCACCAGCTGCACCCACCCATGGAAAAGGCAGTTAGGATGCTTCCAAGCATAGACCCAATGATGGCCGATGCCCAACCGCCGCCAAGAGTTGTGCCAACAGCTCCCCCAGCGATGATGACCAGAACGAGGGTAAGCACGACATGACCCGTCCAGGATTTCTGCCGTAATTGGCGACGGAAGATAGGAAACAGTCCAAAGACTTCCATAGAGAACAGCATCAGGCTGAACACATGTGTGGTTGATGGTAAGCGGGATGCAAGAACTGTAGATGCCATCACCGCGGCGTTGGTGGAAAGAGAAGCCGGAAACTTGGTCGTGGCGCCGGCGCCTTCGCCGCTTCCGTAATCAAAGGAGAATATGTTCATAATTAAGAGCCAGCAGCTCATAGCCCAAATGGAGTCGCTGGCGGTAGATTTGGTAAGCGATTTCAGGATGGGACTCAATCCCAGCAAAGAAAAGTAGATCAGAAAGGCCGACTTGACGGTCGATAGCCGTTGGCGATTGCGTGACGTTAATAAAGATCGTCGTTCGTTATCTTGCGCATCTGTACTGCCAAGGGCAATACTTGACGCTGTAGAGGGAGCTCCGACGGGCAGTGCCGGGTCTCCTATCTCATCTAAGCTTCCATTGAATTCGGCGGTCCGTTGTGATAGTTGCTCTTTTGATTCGTTTCCAGACATCGTCAGCCCAAGTCCGTGGATTGGGCTGCCTTTTGTGCCGTTCGGTTGTGGTTCATTGCCGGATGGGTTAGCCACGCTGGCCATGGAGCTTAAACTTGAGCCATCGTCACCACCGATGGCAACCTGGGCACCCTGTGCAAGCTCCGCTTGCTCTCTCCAGATCCAATTATCCCAAAGAATCCAGCCCATGGCGGTGCCAACGCTCCCCCAGCAAACAATCGATACGGGGCTCACTCGGTCCTGAACAATGCCGACGAAGCAGCAAACAAAGATGACGACGGAGCAGACATGTTGGACAATAACAGTGGAGTCGGCGACAAGAGGCCAGAAGTCGTACGGCCGTACTCGAGGATTTCGTTGCAGGTGGTCCAAGAATGTTTCGGTATCTGTATAGTTGTCCGGATCTACCACAGCCCGTTAGTATCTCAAATAAGAGACCAAATATTTCACTAGCCGCCTCTAGAAACCTACAAGTCTGTTTCACCCAAAGCAGCTTTTTCCAAGCACCCTTGCGCCTCCGACGACCCCCAGCGGCGCCCAGCTTCGTCACGTCCTTTCGGGAAGGGTCCGCGCCAAGCATCCCCCGCGGCGCCCGCAACGTCGCAACCCTCGAGCCATCATTTATGGATCGCAGGCTATCCTCATAGTTAGCCGGGGCCGAGCGCGCTCGTGACAGAGATGTCGCGAAGTAAGCATCCTCCGGCGCGAGGCGATCAGGGTCTGGGATGCGGTCCTGCTCAGGGGCCTTGGATCCGGGGGCGCGGTTGGGATGCGTGTCGACGGGGATAGGCGGGGGAATCGAAGAAGGCGATGAGGGCGGGGGAGTCATCGAGCTGGGGCGACTAGCATTGACGCATGGCGGTGTGTGAGAGAAGAGGGACAGAGGATCAAGTTATCGAGGTCGTTGGCCCTGCAGAACGCGCAATCCCACGTGCACGCCGATATATGGTCATGTGATCCGAAGCAACCCCGGAGCCTTCCCCATTGGGCAAGTTCTATGCTGCCCACTCGTTCCTGTTGGCAAAATAAATTCCTGGTGTAGGATCAATGGATGAAATCAAGTCGGAATATTAGTGTTGGTAGCTTCGGTTCAGACATCAATGGCCACTTACACTCAGTTTCACAATCTTAACTCAAGCTTAATATCACTTTATTTCTCACGTGGCATCTTAAGTGGACTAACTCAAGTCACTTCCCCCACAGAGTCTTTACGATTCCGGATCTCGTCAAGAAAACCTCAAATTCCTCCTCGCGGCCTTCTCCAATGTGTCTCACGCCTGTACTCTCGAAAGCTGCAACAAAAGCGCCATGTCGCTATTCACTTCCACATCGTTATAAAATTGCCTTGGAATGTTCACATTGCATGCTACCAGTGGGAAGACCCGCACCATCTCCGAGTTATTGGACAGGAGTTTGAACCGAATTGCGGGGGTTGACAACAAGAGGCGATTTAGAGACAGCAGTCGAGTCAATCGGTTTACCTCTCATTTTCGGTCTCTTCGGTGGTCTCCTCGGCATATCTTTGGATGAGTAGTCCGAGATACTACCGGGCTTGGTACCTGCCACTGCGAGACTCTCGGTTGCTCTGTTGGCTGCACTCTCCGCGGTCCGGTATGGATACTGTGATGATAGAAAACCCATGCCAGACAGGCGCCCCACTCCCCGTGGTGGTATGGGCTTCATAAAAGAGCCCGGCTCGAACCTTATTCTGACACACGCTCGAGAAGAAATTCTAGCAGCACACACCTGAAACTTGTACGTTTTCTGAGCTCTCCCCGGCCAAGCAAACCAGTGATGCACCCAGAACCTTGACCTCTGCTGGTACTTGGAACGAGACCTGATAGTGGGACAAGAACCAACTGGGCCAGCTGCTTCTCTGAGAAGAAAACAATCACCCGGTAGACAAATATCGAGCCACCGCGCCTGATTCGCTGCCGGTCGATGTTGCGTGTACCCATCACTCCAAGCACATAAGACGAACATGGTGTAAATAAAAGTATAATATAAAATAGACGGGTACGTGAATGTGAAGAGAGATGTAGGTACGAAGAAGAAGCCGATGCAGAGTCCGGGGTATGAGATCAATATAAGACGGTTAGCACGAGCCAAACGGCACCCACGATCATCATGAGCAAACATCACAATGTAGCCGAGCATGGATATGTTTGTTCGCAGTTGGCATAATCTGGCAAGTTTCAAAAACCCTTCCGTATCACACATAAACTGGTGAGATTTACCATTGACATTCTAATTTAAACATCAACATGCTGCTGAAATAAAATTCCCCTTCTTCTCATTCTATATGACAGGTGACTCTTCTAACATGTGATGTTTGTGTATGTTGAAAATCTCCAGGGGGTATCTCGTTTGAGAGCGCTTTTGTCTGAGAGAGAAAATGCGATGTGCCCTTCTGTAAACTGGAGCAGAAGGGGTGAAAGATTATAGTGTCAAGAGGGGCCGAGGCCATCGAGTGCACACAGCGAATCAAGTAGCCGGGGAAAGTAGTAAACAGTCCCAAATCAAGTCTCCGGGAGCGGTCACAACAAGCACGAAAAGCGCGAAAGCTTCAATGAAGTATACATTTAAAGGGGTATCGGTATCAGTCATTGACGCCACACGCGGGAGCAAGGATAGCAAGAATCACGTTCTTGCTGGGGATTATGATGCGCTGCCGGCACCATTCTGTTCAGTGTTAAGGCTATGGTTCTGGACCAGACTCCGGACCGCCTGCGGTGCCGCCAGCTCGTCGATGCTGTTCCTGCGTCCCCAGTTCTGCGGCTGTCGTCGAAGGAAAGCACCGACGGCACCCAGATAGCCCTCGTGGCGCAGGAAGTAGGCCTGCTTCTCGCCCTTGGACCAGAACCGGATGGCGTAGGAGAGCGTGTTCATGGTCTGACGGTGGCCACGTATGAAAGATCCACCAAAGTAGATGTGCTTGACTTGGTGCTTCTCCGACTGCAGGTAGGCAATTTGGCCGATATTGTTGCTGATGTGAAGTTAGTTTTGTATTGGCGGGATGACAATGGAACCACAATGCAAAAATAAGGCCTACTTACCTAATAGCGTATAGAAGACTCCGGCTCATGTCCTCGTGTCGGAAGTTAACTCCGCCGTTGCTGTGTTCAGAATCCTCGTCGTGGATCAGGCCCTCGCCGTCCTCAGCACCCCGCTCGGCGGCATTCTTCAAGCGGAACACCTTCCCAAAGGTGCTAGCGATCGCGGTGCTCTTGAGCCCAATCTTGCTGTAATCCATGCCATAGATATCCCCTACCAACATGTCCACCCCGCTGTTGTCACCGCGATCCGCCATGGCCAGCATGTCGTCAAATGTTCGGGAGCCAGTCAGCAAGGACATGAGGCCCCAGAATGTGCCTCCACCGAGATGGGTTCCCCCTACACGCTGGAACTGTCTGGGGCCGGAGACCTTGATCATGGACACGCCAGACCCTATGTTGACAAGGAGGTACGGATATACATCCGGTCGGGCTTCAGCAAATTGCATAGGTTCGGAATCGGCATCGCTATAGGTGAAGACTTCGTTGGGAATCTCAGTGATAAAAAAATCGAGACCTGGGTGTGCGAGAAAACCGATCAGATGAGGTCCGTTGGCCGGTTGTCCGAGCACGTACCGATAATCAGGCATTCCATCTCCTCCTCCCGGAGAATATTGACGTCCAGCGCCTCCTTCAGCTTGTCGTAGTACTTGAAAGCGCCACCTCCAGTGGCCACAACACACAGTTCCTCCGGTACGGAACCATTGCGCTTCCGGTGTTCCTCCTTGAGTTGGCGGATGAAGTTGATGCAGATGTCGATCCGATGGGTTTCAAAGTTAATAAAATTGAGGCGACCGCCGTTATCAGCAGCGTCGAGTTCACGCGTAAAGTAGACCAGCTTGCACAGCGATCCGCCGATCTAAACGAACACCGAAATTGAGTCAGTCATGCTGCCCTCTGATGACTCGTGCTCATGGTCCGGCGGGGTTGCGGGGACGGTCGGTCGCAGGTGCGGGGCACGAGCAGCGACGAAAAAAAACGCTCTCCAAGGGCGATCCAACTCACATCGACGGCGACATGGCTAACGAGGCCAGTGTGGTGTGGTAGACGGATGTCCTTGTTCTCGTAATGTACGCCCTCGGCCTCGACGGGGCTGCGCGACCGGGGTTCGTCGTCGACAATGAAGGCACCCTTGACGTTGATCTTGACGGCGCCAGGGTTGATGATAGCCTCTTCAATGCGCGGGCCCTTGCGACGGGCATCGGGCTCCGCAGTACTATCGGAGGGAGCCATTGCGATTAAAAGAGCAGAGTTGCGGAGGTGTAAGAAGGAGCCCTGGAGCTCCCTGGCGGAGGTTGGTCCCGTGCCCACGCTTACGGCGTATATTTCCTTCTACCCGCGGCGCTGGAACGGAGCGGGATCCACTTGTCACTCTGACTGGACTGTTGCACTCAGCGGGCAGTGTGGCATTTGGAATGCCGAGGACCACAGCTTCCGAGGTTCAACCCTCGGTCGCTAATGCCCCAAACGCGGAAAACGAATGCTGCGACCACCGAATCCTATGCCGATGCACTTGGCAGGGGTCTTTGGGGCCGCACAATTGGGGCGTGTGGTGTGCTCGCGCTCGAGATCGCAGTTTGATACTTTCGATATCGCCTCTACCCTTTCGGCTAGCCTCGGTGAAGATCTCAAGGTAAACAAATTGATCGACGCTGTCAGCCGTCCCACTGGGTCGTGTGCTTCTATCAAATAAACATATAGATCCGACTACTTGTGATTTTGAATCAAGCCTCATAGGATCCGTGCATACTCTCGATCTATGTGTATCTCCTACCTAGACAGAATACAGCGCCTGGCTCACCTAGAGGTGCAGTCTCACCTGAGGGAGCTGCCCACGGGTGCCAGAATATATGCACAAATGGGATAGCATCGTGGTAGAAGCAAGGATGGCCGATCAGGTCGACCACTCACGATTCTATTATCTCGTTGATCTGTGTTCTACGGATTGCTCAACCATTCGTAGATGTCGTCCCCTGAGATCCTTGTTTGCCTGTATCGATGTTGGTGGCTGAGGCTCAAAGAGGTTCCTTCCAAACGAGGACGGCGCTGAGAAATATTCACCACACGTCGCTTTGTTGACCTTCGTGTCTACTCCTTTCTCCTTCCACCTCACCTGCTCACCTCCCCACCTCTCCACTACCTTGTTCAACGTGTCGCGTGCCTCTTCGCACGTGGTAATCAACCATTCAAACGGCTAGGTTTATCATTTCAACCGAACGGTTCCTTTTACTCTTCTCTGCACCCTCAAGGCTTTCTCTGCATCTCCTCACACCAACATGGAGGGGTTTGACGAGGCGAAGGATGTCCTACGGGACGTCTCCAACAATGTTGACCGGGCCTTCGCCCATGATGGCGAGGCTGACTCCTCTGATGGGACTGTGAAGCCAGCTGGAGTGCCGCGTGAGAAAGGCTGGACGGACCCAGTTCCGTTCAGCTACGAAAGCTACAATAATAAGGAATTCACAGATTGGGCTGGCGTGGCGGCCCGGTACGAATGGAAGGATGAGTACGGTGATATTGGTCCTCGCAGCCTCGAGCTAGAGGAACAGCTTTTCAACGATGACTTCATCCCTCGCGCGGGTAATCGCTTCAATGAGTAATTGCCCTACTCTCCCCTTCCATTTTCCGTTTACAAAATGACTAACGGGGAATAGGCTGAAGATGTCCGGCCAAGAGGAGCCTTACTCAGTTCAGATCGAGAGTGAGGCCAAGCTGCAGCCGGTGGCCACGGTAAGCTGCTTTCGGTCCTCGGGATTTTATTTCACTGCTAACATGACCCAGTTTGAGGAGGCTGGGATTCACCCGGTGCTTGTGGAGAACCTCCACCGTTGCCTCTATGCATGGCCCACTGCCATTCAGTGCTACACGATCCCGGCCATTCATGAAGAACGGGATGTGATCGGAATTGCTCAAACTGGTCGGCACCCTTTACCCAAACATTTCTCACTTCGAGGCACTAACCTGGCTAGGCTCTGGAAAAACCGGTGCCTTCTTGATTCCCATTCTTTCAAAGCTTATGGGGAAGGCTAAAAAGCTGGCCGCTCCTCGCCCAGATATTGCTGCAGACTGGAATCCTCGGGAGCATGCAGTGAGGGCCGAGCCATTGGTTCTCATTGTGTGCCCCACGCGAGAACTCGCAAATCAGATTTTTGACGATGCGCGTCGTTTCTGTTACCGATCCATGCTTCGTCCCTGCGTCGCGTACGGAGGGGCTCCCGCTCGCTTCCAGCGTGAAGAGTTGCAAAAGGGATGTGATATCCTCATTGGAACCCCAGGCCGTATCCTTGACTTCATGAAGCAGCCGCATGTGTTGTCGCTGCGTCGTGTCCGGTCAGTGCACATTTGTGTTAGCCTCATTACGATGGTAGTGAATTGACTGACACTTTTCAAGTTACACGGTGATTGATGAAGCTGATGAACTGCTGCAAGCAGACTGGGAACAGGAATTTAAGCACCTTATGGCTGGAGGTGGTAAGTTTGGCGCTGACGCTTTATCCCCAACCCAATGCTCCAGTGTTCCTGTCTCTGATCATATGACTGTCGCAGATATGAACGAGGACTCAGATCACCGATACTTGATGTTCTCGGCCTCTTTCAATAAAGAGTGCCGACAGCTCGCTCGGACCTATCTGAGTCGCGACCATATTCGTGTCCGAATTTCACGCCCCGGAAGTGTGGTTCGGCACATTCAGCAAATCGTATGTGTTGATCATGATGGGGATGATACAGACAGCTGACCTGCTCGATATCATATAGGTTCACTGGGTCGAAAATCCTCAGAAAAAGCAGGCTCTGTACGACCTGCTGTTGAGTCTAGTTCCCACTCGGACTCTCATCTTCGTCAACAGCAAGCAGGAAGTCGACTACGTTGATGACTTCCTGTTCAATCAAGGACTGCCCACCACCTCCATGCATGGAGATCGCACCCAGCGTGAGCGGGAGGACGCCATGTAAGTGCCTCAACTTTCCTCATTGGACTTGGTTCGATCATTTTCTGAAATAAAAAGCCGCTCGTTCCGAACCGCGCGATGCCCAATCATGATTACCACCGGAGTGTCTGCCCGTGGTCTGGATATCATCAACGTCATGCATGTGGTCAACTATGACCTCCCTCGTGCCTCTCAGGGAGGTATTACGGAGTACATGCACCGAATCGGTATGTTCAATTCTCCTCTGGATCATGACTTCTTTACATTATTGAGCAGCATCTACTAAATATATTTCTGGATGTATGCAGGCCGAACTGCGCGTATTGGGAACGAGGGACTTGCAACCTCCTTCTACAACGAACGTGACGAAGATCTGGCTCCAGACCTGGTCAAATTGCTCATGGAGAGTAATCAGACGGTCCCCGATTTCCTTCAGGTGTTCAAGCCCTCGGACGCTACCCTGAGCTTCGACGACGATACTACTGACAGCGAAGCTGATCAAGCTAAGACTGAGGCCGAGGCAGGGACCTTCGGGTGGAGTAGAGACGGTGACGATGATGACAACGGTGCCAATGATGAAGGTGAGCCTGCAGAGGAGGAGTCGCAGTGGGGCCGTCCCACCATCAACAAGGACGATGACGGGTGGTAAAGCTATCCCAAAGCGCCTACCTCCTATCAGCCTCTCTCGATTCGTGCCCATTTTACGCAGTCACACATGGTGTTACAAATGATCGTTGACGGCAACGAGAGGTGACTTTATGTGTTCTTCGCCATTCTTATCTTTTCGGTGTTTGCACTACAGCCAGGCGGCACATATTCGACGGCTAATTCTTCGTGGCATGGATTTTGTGCACCCGGGATTCTTCGGGAGCCCAAGAGAAAAGTGGAGTGGGGATTTAATAGGGGTTGATGTACGTTCCAGATGAGGATGCGCTGGAGGACGCTGCAGAGTGGGCGCTACTATTTAGTTGTTGCTCAAGGAACCTCCATGGTCTCATGGGGATTCTATCGAGTTCGGTAAGGCGAGGCGTGGTTTATGCTTTCATATCTCAGCCAGTTGTAATCTCTTCAGTTTTCCTGGTTTCCGGAGTTTCAAGCTTCCTTAGCCGTACGTAGGACAGCGCAGATGGCGAAGACGTAAGCTATGGCAGGAGCTGCACCGCACTTACTCAATTTGAAGATCACTGGCTTGACTTCCGGCATTACCACCAAAGTTGCACTGATAATCCTATTGTTTGCTCGCCCTACCAACCTATTATCCAATCCTTACGGAAGTGCATGTCCCATCATGCGATCCCCTCTTTCTTTGATCGCGCCAGCCTTCGCTGTGGCACTGCTGCTCCCCGCAGCGACGAGCCTGGTCCATGGACCCTACGAGCTCCAACACTGGTTTGAAACCCGCCACGAGAGAACCAAGTCAGCCGAGGGACCTAGATTGACACCGTCACTGGTCATTGACACCTTCCAAGACCTGCTCCACAATGACCTGGGATTCTGGCACGGCACCGGCGAGAATTTGACCCTCCAGCATGAGCCTGGCTCCATGCGCCTGTTTCCTACTCACCCCGACCAGAACTTCCATACGCAATTTAATGCATATGGGTGCTTCAGCCTCCTTCCATGGCAGGATCACTTCCTGCATGTGGTTTTTGAGGGGAATGAAGATTTTACTGTCTCACTGAACGAGAACAATGCGGAGTGCTCCCCAAACCGGGCTCCGTTTCCTGGCGTGCCCGATAGCGTGCAGGCGTCGAGATACGTTATGAGAACAAGGGAGGAGAGTTCCGACGATGGAACGGATGACTGGGATGAGGGCTTCAAGTTGGTCCAGCAGCCGGAGATGAAGAAGCCGCCGCCCACCAACAACAGCTACCGGGACGATGTGCACGATGATAACGGCCAAGCTCCAGCATATTCAGAGAGGACCGAGTTGTTCATTCCTCTATCTCATTTTCGGATCAATCAGCATCGCGTTGTCTCGGTCTCTTTCAGCGGCTTCTACACCAAGGAGCCCATCCTCATCCACCGTGTGGAGTTTGTGTCGAATATCCCTGCCCCATCCCCATCCAACAATCAATTCACCATCCCAGAAAAGCTTCCCACGGGACAGCTAGTCCTCCGCTGCAGTCGACCCAATTCATTCGCCTTCGGCATTGATGATGGGCAGCCTCAATATGCACAAGATGTAATGAGAATCCTTGACGAGGAGGACGTTCGGGCCACATTCTTTGCTGTCGCAGCTGGACTCAGGGATAGCTCGACCAATTTCACCACATTCTACCAGGAGATGTTGAAAAAGGGGCACCAGGTTGCTTTGCATTCCAACACTCATCCTAGGTAAGTCCCCGGTAGCTATGCATGTACTAATCCATGAATCGATCGCTAATATATTTCAAGAATGGAAGGGCTACCGACCCTCGGTCAGATTGATCAGGAGATTGTTCAATCTATGTTGACAATGCGGGACGAGTTAGGCATTGACTGTACGTCGATCTTTCCACACCATGTGGGAATGACACTTACCAAGGATCCCAACAGCCTCATACTTCCGCCCCCCTTCGGTACTGTCGGTGCGCGGATGCGTCAGCAGCTCGCACAACATATTCGCAACCCGTACATCGTGAATTGGAGCGTTGACGTCGAAGACTGGCTGTGGGCCAATACGTCGACTCCAGAAAAGCAGCTGGAGGCATTTTACCGCGACATCGCCAGAGGTGGCAACCTCGCTGTGATGCACTTCCTAGATCCAACAACTGTTGCGTACCTCCCGCAATTCATCAGACATGTCAGGGATGCTGGACTCCATATTATGCGAGTCGATCAGTGTCTGGAGGATCCGAACAGCCCAAACTTGTGAGCAAGGCAGTACCATTGTATATACTGGGCGGCATGAGGTATTCTTTTTGCGGTAAAATATTCTTAGAGTATAGGTCCCTAGGTACCGTTGTCCTTCGTTTGATTCCCTTAGGATATCCCAATCGATTGCTTTGGGTCTAGAGTCTGCCATTTGTAGGAAACTTTGGATATCCCCTTGTAGTAGATGATGTTTTCCAATAACTCGTACCACATACCAGAACTCCAGAGCCATGTAAGAAGAGCAAAAGCAAAGGCAAGTCAAGAACCCAGAGTCCTGAAGAAATCCGTATAGCCATTTGACGTGCGCAGCAACAACAAACTCAGGATCGCCATGCTAAGCTTCAATCCAGCACAATTCTCTCCGCACGGGTTCCTTTATACCCAATCACCGTGGATTTTTCCATCAAAGAGACGCCAAGAATGTAGTAAGACACGGAGGAGAAGACACAAGGTGAAGCAGACTAAAACCAGTCCCGATGCCATGCATATAGATATACTCCCATACCAAGACCATTCAATCCCATCCAATTCCATATGCACCAAACCATAACGAGAGCTTCATAACACCGGTAGGACAAAAAAAAAGCAAGGCATACAGATAGTCAACCCAGTACCAAGCATAAGACACAGGGATGTTCCCACCTAGCCGGCTCCGAATTCGGGCTCCTTGCATATCCCATTCATATCCATCATCTCTCGGATCCGACTCGTCAGCCAGCCCGATGCAGCGGTGGGATTCGCAGAGCCGAGGCGTGGATTGGTGCCTGTGAAGCACATACTGTCGCGGAAGGAGAATTGCACGCAGGTCTTCTGCGCCTCACAGATCTCGCGGCAGTCCTCGAATGTCGAGGCGAAAGGCTGTTTGTCGTCGGCCAAGTTATCCCAATTGAGTCTTGTCGGCCGAGAGGCTATTTCGGGGTAGAGGTATTCGCGGAAGACGTCGCTATGCAGGAGGATGTGCTTGTTTTTCTATTGGGAATCGGGCGTCAGCGTGGGGGCTATTTGGGTATTGAGCAGCACAAGGGGAGGGGTAGTAGCTCACATCGCGCCAGCGCTTCTGCTCGAATTTCCAGAGCTCTTCGATCTCGCGCGAGTTGAGGTGGTGGAATGCTACGGCTATATAGCACCATGGGTGTCGGTATAGGTCGGTTGTGAACTGATCCAGCTCGCCGAGGTTTGAGTTCTGCAGGATTGGCCAGGTGAAGTGCAGGTCGACGCCGGCGTCAGCCAGGACCTTGCCCAGGACGCAGTCGCCTGCCCAGTGCTCATCCGTGTAGTGGTCGAGCTCGGCGCGACGGGCGTCGTATTGGTCGGACGCGCGCTGGAGGGCCGGATTCGAGAGCATGAAGCCCGAGCCGCCGTGGGCGAAGATCACGTCCGCGATCTGCGTCTCCGTGCCCAGATACCACGGCTGTGTGTGGTCGAAGTGGCTGAGCCAGGCCAGCAGGGTCGGCCATGAGACGTAGGTATCGGCCTCCATGAAGACGAACCACTTGGCATTGGGCTTGTAACGCAGCGCCTCCTGCGCCATCGGCAAGAACTTCCACTTGTCCAGTTTCCAGCCCGGGTTATTCGGCTTGCCAATGGCGGAGTTTGCCTCGTCCGCGAAGTCGTCCTGCTCGAGGCCTTTGCGCCCGAGCTTCGCGATGCGGTTGTAGATGTCGAAGTCGGGAATCTGTTGGGTCACCTTGGGGTCCATACTGCGGAGCACATCATGGAGCTGCACGCCCTCGATTACCTCCTCGAAGTCGGAGTATATCACATAGTGAGGGATGCAGCGCAGCGTGCTCTGGAAATGAACCGGGACCTTATCCCTGGATTCGGTCGCGCCGGTCTTCATCACAACCAGCACATCCTCAATTCCCGGGAGAGGGGGACAGAACGGAGCGGGCTCGCCGGCATTTTGAGGGTCGGCGCGGTCGGCGCGGCCAGCGCTGCTGGGGGCGGGTTGTCGTTGGGGTTGGAGATCGGACTGGAGCGTGAAGACATGGTACAGGAAGAAGAGGGCGACGGCGGCGGCGAAGGCAGCAAACCGGCGGCTATAGCGGCGACGGGGGACCATCCTGGGTCGTAGAAGCTGTCAGTCGCCCGGGACAATTGAGGGCATCGTTCCCCGAGGGCTAAAAGAACAGGTCGCCTGCAGTTGAGGAATGGTTCCAGGGCACAAAAGCACCGATCGACAAGGGCCGCGCCTCAAAGCGGGTGCTGACACAGCGGGACGCGTAGGACTGTTTTCCGGGGGCCGAAGGCGGCTGGAATGTGAGTATGTGGGGTTTCAATTGCACAAGAATGCCAGATTTAGATGGCCAGACCTATCGATCGAACTCGGTTCATCTGGCTTCTTTTGTTTCTTCCATTGCTACTGTATCATATCTGTGTTTCCGTGTGTGGGAGAAGAGACGCCTGTTCCCGCCTCTTGGATCGTCACGACGATCGACTTCCACGATCAGCATCCCTCGAACCCCTGAATCGCAACGAAAGAAGGCAAGTTGGAACAGGCTTGAACCTACTTTGGTCGTCTATCTACCGCGTAAGTCTCTCCAGTCAGCGCGGATCAATAGTGACACCACTCTATTTGTCCCGTACAGATTACTGTCGAGACGCTCCCATACTATACATTTAAAGAATTAAGCACCATTGTGCCGTATCAGTATTGCGACAAAGCTACCTCGGTACAGCCGCTTTTAAAGTGCGGCAATCCCGATGAGCATTTGATCCAAGCAGCCCTCCATACTTGTTACGGTTGATAATTGATACTCGCAGCTAAGCGGCCTCGCGTCAACCTTCGGACATCCAGGGCCCCATATGGAGCACTGTACGTAGACTATACAACTCGCCCCAAACCTAGACGATGGAAACCAGTTTTCTTTGAATTAGAAGATCTAGTCGAAACTATACCGAAAGCCAGCGGGACATGAAATATCATTTCCCTATGAAGCATTTGTCGTCTTCTTAATCATGTTTTCATGCAGTTTAACCAATTCCGGGATGATAATACTTTCGATCTCGAGGCCCCCTCCAGCTTGGAGCGGAGGAGGCTGGTCTGCCTCTGGGGCTGGCGCAGAGCGGCCTTTTTTGATCTCAGCCAGTCCAACTTGATCCTCCACGCCAGAAATACTCTTGCTGCGCCGAGCTTTGGGGACGCGAATCCATTTCTCGTATGGCGGGTCGGGCGTAATGAAAACAACTTCCCACTTTCTCGTAGACAGCAGGTTGCCAATCACCAGATGGTGCGAGTACCGTTGGAGTGCCGTCTTCGCTTTGTATACGAGCAGCGTGGGGTCTGTCTCGAGCTTGAACGAGACGACCATACTTCCATCAGGAGCCCAGCCATCGACGAGGCGGTGCAGGAACTTGGGGACCGGGTCGAGGTCAATGACAAGCTTCTTGTGACTCCTCGGTGGCTCGTTTTCGTTTTCGCCGGTGTAGATTTCATCCGACCCAATGGCACTTTCCTTATCGAAGCAACTTGGGATTTCGGAGGACTGGATCTTGTGTTCGGCCATGCGGTTATGAGGAATGAAGAAGTCGCTGACTGCGGCCGCGAGATAGAAAAGCGCATTGGGACCCAACGGGCGCATCAGCTTTGCTAATGACCGCAGCTCGAACATGTATTCGGAGACGGTGGTGAATGGGAGCAACAGCAGCAAATTATTTTGCTTGGCATAGCGATATTTACGCAGCACATCGCGCATCTCGTCTTGGTACTCGCTACGCACCACGATGCGGCCATGATCGGGATTTTCTGACTCGGACGTAGGCGGCGCCTCATCCATGAAATCCAAGAAACAATTTGTGGAGTGACTGTAGTGTCGCGAGTACGGCAGGAGACTGTACTGGCGATGCAGAAAGATTACCGCATATCCTTGCTCGAGGAAGTACTCCGCGGACGTGGCACCACGGGTACCGGCGGAGAAATTGTCGATGAATCGCACGGTCTGTGTCTCCAGAGGCACCGTTGTTCCACCAGAGGTCACGAGTACCACGCGCCGGTTGGCTTCCACATGACGCTCGATGAACGCGCGGGCCAGCGCTTCGTGATTGGGAAGCGCCTTTGGCGGTGGGTATTCATTGAAGTACGCGGACTCCGCTTCCGCGGGCTCCATGTCGCCAAGTGAGGGGGCCATTTTGGGCGTGGTGGTCAATGAAGAAAAACCCCAGGGACTCAAGAGAGGAAAGCTTGACACGCCCGTGGCAAATACTCGGTAGCTCGGCCGCAAATGGCCGGGTTTCGCAAATCAGAAGCCGAGGATGTCGTCAATGGAGGGGTACGGGCGGGATGCGACCCGGGAAGTCGTTCTGTCAATCGGCGTCGTGCGATTGATAATGGCCCGTTCAATGCAACGTAACCGAGTCTGCGACCATGACAAAGCTCGGCTAAGCTGCTTTATAGCGATGTTTGTCTGAGGGACTTTCCGAAGCTTCCATCGATCACGTCGAGTACCCCGCCATTAAGTTGACAGCAGCGGAGATCGGAGGGGCTGTGTTGGTGCTAGCGCTGCCGTTGGACCGATGCAAGACACCGGCTGGGTAGCGCTGAGAGCACTGTAGACACGTTGAGAAGCCGGTGGATTCAACAGGGGGGCCAGACTGCTCGGCGCCCGCACCAGTTGGGGTCACGTGGGGCTCACCGGGGAGGTGAAGTACCGAATATATCGCAGCACTCGTTCGGGCCTACGGAGGAGTCGAAGATTACCGTCCATATTAATCTCGATGGTGTAGATCATATCATGTCGGCAGAAAGTCGTGCTAGAGTAGAGAATGTGTGTGAGGTGGCCAAGGAGCTGACAAGGAAGTTCGCTTATCTACCCTAACGAAAGCAAGTTGAACCGCGGTATAAATGACACTCCCCTGACAACTTGGCCAGGATTAGTTGATAGTTGTCCGGGTGATGCTAACTATTGAATGGGCAACAGTCCGTGGGAAGCAGATTTAATCGCTCTACGATTTAGATGTAGTCTTTTCAGGGTGCAGATTTGAACTATGCTAATGATTCACTGCAAGTAGCGACTACGCAAAGCTTGACTAATCGTGCTCATGCGACTAGCCATACCCCCATGCTGCATATTGCTCATAAGAGCCTCTTCCAAAGCCGATTGTGTAACACTGGCGTCTAAGGAAACCCCCTGTCAGCAGGGAGCACAATAATATCAGGGCCGGGAAACTCACCATCCAGGTCGCTGAAGCTGCTCCCCATGCTCGGAGTACCATCGCTAGCCTCCCGGGCGGAAGTTTTTGACCTGCGTGGGCTTTGGCGGGGCGCTTCGCCGGCTCGGTGGGGGCTTAGTGCGCTAGCAGGCTGGCTGAGGTGGCGACTATCGCTGTTTGTCGAGCTTGCTGGGGCGCCCGAGCTCATAGAGCTGGTGGAGGACTCTGTGGCCACGGGATTTCTGTGGCCAGATAGGTTGGCAATACGTCGTCGTGTGGCAGCAGCGCGCTCCGCGTCTAGGCGTAGAGTTGTACTCAGCTCTTCACCAGACCGGCCTGGTGGAGCTTGGTCAGGTTCTCGGGAGAGGGGTAGAAATGCCGGGGTATCGTCTTCATCTTCTTCCTCATCGTCGCGGAGACCGACGCGCTGAGTGGAAAACTTGCCAAACTTTCTGAAGCCGTGCGTTCTCTGACTTAATTCCCCTTCGGAGTCCGACTCTGTTGAGCTCGAGCTGAGGTCCTCTTCTTCGAGGGGTGGAGACCGCAGGAAGGATGTAGCAGGTGGCTGCTCCCGTCTGGTGACTGATGGTCGACGAACAAAGTTCTCCCAACGCTGCTCTCTACCCTCTGTCGGAATCTCATTGCGAGAGGAGTCCCGAGAGTGGCGGGCTTGGTTAACGGTAGTAATCGAGGTAGAGCTGGTGCGGCGGCCACTAGGGACTATCAAAACTGTCAGCTCGGTCACGTAGCATATTGTGTGAGAAAATGACCTGTTTGAGGAACGTCCTTCTGTTGAGATACCTGCCGGGTGAGGCCTCGATTTCCTATATATGAATCATCAGACAAGTAATGAACCGGAATGTTCGTACAGCATACCTGCAGGGACTGGTCCCTTTGATGGATGTCCACTTAAAGCCGTACTTCCCGAGACAGAACCCGGTGCTGGCGAGGGAGAGTTCGACTGCACCGGAGGTACCTTGCGCATCTGTGCCCGTACCTGGGATAGCTGTCTGTCATAAAGCCAGGCAGCTTGCTGAAGCAAAAACTGCAAAGTGACATCAAATTTCTCAGCCCTATGCATCTGATGTTAGCTTTGCCACTCTCCGGCGTGCTGAGGCTGAGGCCAGGGTCTACTTACAGGGCTTTCCCTGTTGCGAGATCAGCTATCTATTAAAAGGTGGTGATGGGTCAAAAGCATCAGGGCACGGGTCAGCACATACAGTCTATATCATCTCCCTTTGAGGGCCGTGAAAGAATATCCCATAACGCCTGGTCTTTGACCGCATTCCATTCCACCTGACGGGGTCAATATACGGCGCGAGGCGGAGGGTCTGCCCGTGACTAGAGGACTTACGGGAGGCGGATCAACAAAATCTCCCCTGGGAAATGGTAAGCGGATGAACACTGTGAAGTCGGTATCGCTCGGGTCTGTCCTGGTGGCCATGGCGGTCGTGGTTGCTGATAGCGGGTGGAGCGGAGTCCGCAGCTGGCTCGAGTATTCACAAAACGCCGCTAGAGAATCAAGATAAGCTCCGGGTCCTAGTATTATCGGAAAAAAGCCACACCTAGATCCCAATATTCAAAATGTTCTTTCACTGGGGATTCCGCGAAACACCGACCTTCGAACGATGAGAGTGTGAGCAGATGAGGTGACGACGGGTGGGCTAGCGCCTGATTGGCTGGAGAGGTGCGTGCTCCTACCTCACTCTTGACGTGGATTTTAGGTTGGGTCGCCTGGAGCGGCGATTTTTTGCCCAAAGAGCTTGAAGGCCATGGCATCTCCAAAAGGTCAACGCACCATACTATCACCAAATTAGCACAGCCTCCGTCCTACCTTCATTTCGCATATGGCGGAGTAAAGAAGCTGTTCCATGTCCGTTTTGCATCACAGCTAAGTAAAATAGCGGGAAGAACCAATCAGTGGCATTCATGTGCCTGTCTCAATAAACATTTCCTTCTACTTGAAACCGTGAATATTAACAATGTACAAGCAACCAACTACTCCATACCATTCTTCCAAACAAATGCGATACTCCAAGATTTTGACAGCTGGGTCAAGGTTCAAGCCTAGGCAGAGGCCCTGCTTGTAGGCGTGTCTGCCCTGGCTTCCATTGTGCGTTTGGAAGGTTCAGCTTGCGCAGTAGGAGAGGGAGTTATCCTTGCGGAAGTTGGCTAAATACATGCTGAGGTAAAGCTCTATAACCTGCATACCAAGCTCCCCTCATCCCCTAGCCATTTTGCCCCCTAATTCGAAAGATGCTTTGAAACCTTTTGCGAACACTCAACCAGGCCGTTTACCTGTTTGTATAGTTTGTATCACTGTATACCATTTTTGTCGCAGGGATGGGGTCAGGTTAGGATTGGTGAGGAGCTGGTAGGTTCTGCAGATCTCCAACACGCGCCTAGTCCCATTCCTGCCTCGGCCCAGACAAACTACACCGACCTTTATCCCTTCGCAAAAGCTCCTTTCCCCTCTCCAACCGCCAGCATGCCGTCCATCACGTCCTTCTTGAGGTACTGCTACCTCAAGACCCTAGCCGTGCTCCTGCGATCCGTGGTGTCGGTGTCGCTGTCGCTTGCTGCCCGCCCTGTAGAGCGGCCAGATGAAGTGCGTCACATTGCATCGCGCGATCCGTGGAGGTCAATCAAGGTTCATGTGTACCGCTCAGCCCACTCCACAACGGGGCCAACTCCAGTGCTGGTTAACTTCAACGGCAGCGGATTCCTGCTGTCGATGCATGGCAGCGACGATGAGTTTTGCCAGCTTGTCAGCCAGAAGACCCCGTACACGGTCTTGGATGTGCGGTATCGCCTGGCACCCGAGAACCCGTTCCCGGCGGCATTGAATGATGTCGAGGATGCCATTCGCTACGTCCTGAGTCGCACTGAGGAGTTCGACACCAGCAGAGTTTCTATCTCCGGATTCAGTGCAGGTGGGAACCTTGCCCTGGCCGCGTCAGCGACACTCTTTCCTCCTCATACCTTCCGCTCTCTAATTGCGTTCTACCCCGTGCTGGACCTGGCCTCGGACGCAGCCGCGAAGGTAGCTCCAGACCCCAAGGGGCGGGTCATTCCAATCTCGATCGCGCGACTGTTCAATCGCTGCTACGTGCCTCCCGGCGTGGACAAACGGGACCCCCGGATCTCTCCCAAGTACGCCGACTTGGACCGGTTCCCGCACTGTTTGTTGATGATCACCGCTGCGGGCGACTCGCTGGCCCCCGAGGGAGAACAACTAGCGGAGCAGCTCCAGCAACTGCCGGGACGGCATGTGGTCAGCGAGCGCATGGCGGGTTGCGACCACGCGTGGGACAAGCGCACGCGGGCTGAAACCCCGCAGCGCCGGCCCCGGGACCAAGCATATGCACTGGCTCTGGACATGTTGCAGGCTTAATCTTATTGTGCGGCTTCTTCTCGTTGGCCCATATATTGATCTTTTTCCGTCTTCGTGGCACCTACTTTCCGAGTGCCCCTGTTCCTGACCCGTTTTCTTGCTCCCATGGCTCTCGCCACGCGGGGACCACTTTGGACCGCCGGGAACCACTCCGGGCCGCGGCTCCATGAGTACCAACCCTAAGCCCTACTCTGGTTAGCCCCAGCTGCTGCAGGATGAATGGGAGCTGGCTGACCTGGGTTTTGTCCGTACATCGTATATAGCTTTTCTATGCAGTTTGTTTCTGCCAACGCGCTGGTAGCGGCCCGTATCTGCGAACGTGCGACTGCCAACGTGCCAGCGGATGGGCTGTTGGACTGGTCCACATGGGGCATGAGGCGTGGGCGAATTGCTTCAGGGTTGTCCCGTGGGTCACCCGGTTTCATTAAGCCGTAAGAACCACATGGCAACAAAAAAATAGGAGGGGACCGATCGGTAGAGGGATCTCCTGCATCGGGCAACCCTTTTAACCTCCTCTTCCTAACCTCTGACTCGTTCCCTTCCAGTCCTTACCGTCTATTCTTACCCATCACTGTGCAACTGCCCAGGAGATTAATATTAATCTATCGACCAACTGTCGCCAACCGGAGTTATTGCCCCTCATCCCACTACTGCTACTACTTCCCCCCTCCCCCCATTGCGCTCTCTGCCAGCTACTTCATCCTGACCGCACATCCCGCCCCCAAATAATCAACCGGCGGATGCTGTCATTGTGCGCCTTGTCCTCGTCCACCGTCCCTGTGGTTCAGTGGACGAGTCCACTCCCTTCGCCCTCCTCGTGAACCTCGCGCCGCATTCCAGTTTCTCCACCCCATCCACCCGGTCCATGCGCGCCCGCTGGCTAGGCGCCCATCGCCAACTCCGGTCCTGTATATAGAATCATGGACGCAACCCAGGCCGGGACTTCCGTCCTTGACGAGGACAAATACCGGGACGAGGTCCTCTGCCTCTCCGCGGAAGCTGAGCAAGTGCGGGCGCAACAGCTTTCCGATGAGGCGCAGGCCCTGGGCCTGAAGGTCCCGCAGATCGAAGCCTCGGCATCGCTAAACGCCTCCATTCACTCTGGAATGGTCGATCTCTCATCCCCTGTGTTTTCGTCTGGATCGTCGACCGATCGGAATTCTATCTGCGAGGGATCGATCACCCCGTCCCACGAGCCGTCGTCCGCTTCTCCGCTCGACCAGGTCGTCTCATCGTTGTCACACATTACAATTGCTTCGGAGCGCGTCAAGCCGGGGAGTACGAGATCGCTGGCATCTTTATCGACCCGCCCGACTTCGTACTGCTCCAGTGACAGCCGAACAGTGCTTGACAACTATGGAAATAATTATGGAGGGCTGTCGCCCACGCCGAATCGGGCTTCCGTGCTGAGCGTTGCCTCGGCCGATCAGAAAGAGAAGCGCCGCCACAGCCTGAAGAATGCTATTGGGCGTATACACTTTCGCAAGAAGCGGACGCCCTCAAACGTCCAGACCCCGCCGAATGCGCAAATCATGATCTCGAAGGATGAGGGAGGAGTGGTGGATCATGTTTATCTAGAGAGCAAGCGAGACCTCCCTCCCAGCAGCCACGAGGTATATGCCCGGCCGAGCAGCACGGCCGAGTCTCTTTCGAAGCTGGAGATTCCCATATTCGACAAGGAGGCGCTGCAACGAAGCTTAGATGATCCTGAATTGGCGGAAATGTTGGCACGGCATCGAATGGAGAGGAACAGGCATCTGGCGTTCCAAGATGTGGCACTAAGCACCCTCCGGCGCCGGCACCAGACCGCCCTCTCCGAGCGGCAGTCCGACAACGAGCGCCAGCAGGGTGAAAAGCGCGAGAAGGTATGGCCTGAGCTATTCGCAGGAGGTTCCGAGCTATTTTACTAATTTGGGTATGTCACAGAACATTGAGGACGCCGCTCGCATGGAAGAGCGTCAACTTGCCGTGGAAATGGAACAGCAACGCGAATTCGACCGTGCAAAGCAGAACTCGCGCACTCGCATCAAGCACATGGAAGGGTACTTCCGGAACGCGAGTCCTCCACCTTCTCCTGCGCCAGCAGCGGAACGATCTTCCGATTCCTTCTCAGGCTCCGAGTCCACGACCCCGCCCGCCCGCCGCTTTACGCGCCAGCAGAAGGAGCAGCTCGAGCAGCAGTACCATGATCACGAAACTATGGACGCGCTCCACGAGTCTCGCATCAAAGTTCTTCGGGACCGGCAGGAAGTCAGACTGCAGGAAGCTATTGCGCGCATGGAGCGCGAGCTGAACAACATGTGCGCCCAGCACAGCAAGAATATAACCGCATTGCAGGCCGAGCACCGCTCCGAAGAAACGTCTATGATCCAGGCCTTGGACAACAAGAAAACCAAGCTGCAGCACCGGTGGGGTCTGGAAGAAGCCATTCTGCGCCGACAACTTGAGGTGCGACATGGCCATCCATACGGTCCTTTACCACCTCTCTCGTTTAGTGCCGCCGATACCGAGACTCGAGATTCGGCCGCCTGTCTGTCTGGCCCTTCTCCCTCTCTCCCCGAAGCCGAGACCCAGCAGTAAGACTAAGACCCTTCAAAGCCCTATTAATTCGCCGGGCCGTCTGCTTCTAATATTCGACTTGCATTCGCAACGTTCGGATTCGACCTATATCCTCCCGAAACCGGACCACTTGCAAAGCGATTCAATCTTTTTTTAATACTACCTAATGCCCTTATTACCTCTTCTTGTAATCATACCTTTTATGCGTGAATATTTGATTTCTACGTTTTTGGTCATTTTTGCCTTGTCTATACATATCGCATGGCGGCGGCTGTTTTGGTTTCCAGATGTGCATAGCATTTGATTTTGGGATACTACGGCTCTGCTGAATAGATACTTGATTTACCATATTGATACTGATATGATATTCCTTTCCTTGATGGATTCATTGAATGCTGTAAATGGGGTATCATTGGTTGCCTTTCTTGCAAATATCACCGGAACGCCAGCGGCATGCCTCATGCTGTTCTTGAGTCGCGCCTTTGTAGTCTGTCGAGAAGGCTCTCCACTCTTCCACCGGCGCCGGTCATCGCATTTTCAGTCTGTTTGTCCCGGCCACCGTCGCCGATAACAACTGCGCGCTCCACGATACCAGTGTTAGACAACTTGAACCGCCCAACTCGGCCATCTTCCCATTCCATGCGCACATAGCGTGCCTCGAGGGCAGTCAATGCCAAAGACACAATGCCGCCTCTGGCTTCGGGCGACAAGCGCTCAGCGGGATCTAATTGAGACTCTTCGCTCAACCCCAGTTTCTCGCGCAGAAGCTCAATCGCATCTGTGCGGAGATGCCACGCCACCAGCTCCCGTCGTAACTCGCGAACAAACCCCCGGAGATCTTGCTTCCCCCCAGCGTTCCGGCCTTTTTGTACAGGCTTCAGGGCCTCAATCGCTTCCCCGTCAGACTCTTCTCCATGATCATCTTCCCCCTGCACCTTGCGCGACACAGGAAACGGCAAGTACACGCTCTCGAGCTTCGACAGCGCGATAAACGCCGGGATGGTATGCCGATGAACACAGAGCCTCTTCTTGACCTCACCACGGGCGTGCTCTGATTTCAGGAGTACATAGTATGGTTTCGCGAAGCGACCGTTCCGCGCGCAGATATCGATCCGCACGCCAAGCAAGCTCTCGGTCGGCGCGGCGGGCGATGGATCTTTGAATGGGAATGCGGTAGTACCGAAGCCGATACGGTAGTGGTTTAATTCGGAGTGTTTGCCTGCGGCGTGAATAAGGGGCGAGACTTCATCGTGGATGGAAGTTAGAGCTGGTGGGAGCTTGCGCGTGAGCTTTTGGACGGAGTCTGAGGAGAGGAGGCTCGAGGCAAGAAAACGTTTGCGGCGTTGGAGAGTGCGGACTAGACAAGGGGTTGTTAGCTGTTGCCTTTTGATTCAGGTGGAGGGCTTTTGTTGGGACGGACTTTCTGCGCGAATGGACTGGATGTCTTCATCCAGCTCCTTCTCGAGCGGGTCTGGAGATGCGGGTGCATCTCGCGCGGGCTGGGCCATTATTGGAAAGTGGGAAGGCGGGCAATCCGTCGTGGTTATCGAGTGCTTGTTCTCAGATTGCCTGAGACCTCGTGGCCAGCTAACCACAATGCCCTGGAGTGATGGTAGCTGGTGTAGCGCATGCAACTCGCGATGTTTGTGTTTACCCAGATCACACGTGACCCCGCATCGAGGATTCCCGTCTTTAAACCAAACGGCTGGCCCTTCGATACCCTAGTTGCCGCCTGTCGGCAGTAGACACGAAAAGAGTAATCCAGAACGTGTCGTCTCGCGCCTACAGGCTATTCCATCAGAAAAAAGCTCCTTGGACACTGTATGAGCGTGGCGGACACCGCGCAAGTGACTCTCTCTGCAGCGCCAACACGCTGATCTTCTAGAATACAAACATTGTACGACCTAAAAATCCCTCATTTCCAGCTTTATCGCGTAGACCTATAAGACGGCGTAGGGCTAGGACCCTGCAATGCCGTGGGAATGATTGCCCTGTGGCATACCCACTTGACGAACGACTCGATCTTAGTGTCCCCACGCTGCCGGGGAAGAACCCGCAAGAGGCCAGCTTGCCTCTCCACGCGCCGCGCGCCTCCCCTCGCACTGCCCACGCACTTGGGATCCTCAACCCACCTCACGAGGACCTCGTCTAACTTCCAGCCAACTCGTCCCCCATGCATTGGTCACTCGTTTATAACTCCCCGACCGCTCATCACGCGTGGAACCAGCCAACGTGGTGAACCACTCGAGCTCTCGAATTCATCTAGGCCACTGCGAGCCCGTTCTCCGTGCCCTACCTCGACACCCTCCCTCGGAAACCTCCACTCTCTGCTCTTTTCTCCCCTTGACGGCGAGCTTTCAACCTCCAATCCTTTCTATCGACACAGCTCCCTCGAATTCCGACTTGAAACCCAAATCACACTTTCGCTCCCTCCCGCATCCGCCACCCTGGCTCCCCTCGCTTCATTCTTCAATGACACGCAAAAACGCCTCCCTCTCCAAGCGCCGCTCCACACCGAGCCTGAAAGTAGCAACCGGCCAAAACGGCCATGCGAACGGACACGGGACCGGCAAAATGAACAGCAATATTGAAATGCGCAAACGCGACACTTCCACCGAGTCGTCCGCCGAACGCACCGCTCGCGTCCTTCAAAACCCCAACTTCTCCCTCGACAATGAACCCCCCGTCCCCCCAACGCCCATCCTCACGACCACCAGTTTCCGCAATCTGCCGTCCAGTGACCGGAGGAACTTCCTGCTGCTCTGCGTGCTTTACTTCTTGCAGGGCGTGCCGATGGGCCTGGCGACGGGCTCGGTCCCTTTCCTGCTGAAGCCGTACCTGTCGTACGGGCAGATCGGCGTCTTCTCGCTGGCGTCGTACCCGTACTCGCTGAAGCTGTTCTGGAGTCCCATTGTGGATGCCGTGTGGAGTCCGCGGTTTGGCCGCCGCAAGAGCTGGATCACGCCGGTGCAAGTGATTGCGGGGCTGGCGATGATCTTTCTGGGCGGACGTATTGGCGATATGATGGTGCAGGCGGGCGCCAATGGCGGCGAGGGCGTGTGGAACTTCACCTATTGGTGGTTCCTGCTGGTGTTTTTCTGCGCGACGCAAGATATCGCCGTCGATGGGTGGGCTATCACCCTCATGTCACCGCCGAATATCTCCTACGCGTCCACCGCCCAGACAGTTGGTCTGACGGCCGGCCATTTCTTGTCTTACACCGTCTTCTTGGCCTTCAACTCGAAGGAATTTGCCAATCGGTGGTTCCGGGCTGTCCCCAGCGAGGGTGGCCTGATGTCGTTGGGCGGGTACTTGACCTTCTGGGGATGGGCATACCTGTTTGTGACATTGTGTCTGGCCCTGCTGAAAAAGGAGGACCGCACCAAGGAGCGCGACAGCATTTTGGACGTCTACAAGAGCATGTGGAGCGTATTGAAGTTGAAGAACATCCAAACCATCATCCTGATCCACCTGATCGCCAAGATCGGCTTCCAGGCCAATGATGGCGTAACCAGCTTGAAATTGCTGGACAAGGGATTCGGCCAGGACAACATGGCGTTGGTCGTGTTGATCGACTTTCCCTTTGAAATCATGCTTGGCTACTATGCGGGCAAGTGGTCCACCGAGTACACGCCGATGCGGCTCTGGGGCTGGGCCTTCGTCGGCCGCTTGGCGGCCGCGGTGCTGGCCCAGTTCACCGTGATGATCTACCCCAGCGGCGCGGACATTCCGTTCTGGTATCTGCTGACCGTGATCCTCGAGCATGTGGTCTCGACCTTCATGAACACAGTCATGTTCGTGGCCATCTCCGCGTTCCACGCCCGTATTGCTGATCCGGCGATTGGCGGAACTTATATGACCCTTCTCGCAACGTGAGTGCTCCCCTCCCCCCTCCTGGCCGGCCTTGTGTATAGGCCGCTCTGTCCAAACCACCCACTAACCCGCATCCAGCGTCTCCAACCTGGGCGGCACATTCCCCCGCTACTTCATCCTCAAGCTCGTCGACCTCTTCACGGAGGCAACCTGCATCCCACCTTCTGTCGCCCCGCCCGCCGACACGCTCACAGATGCCCTCGTCACCACAGCCTTCTCCTGCGCCTTGGAGCCTGCGAAGAACCGCTGCGTCAACGGCGGCGGTGTCTGTGTGGTCGACCGCGACGGCTACTACATCACCAACATGCTCTGCGTGGTCATTGGCACCGTTACCTTCTTCATGTTCATCAAGCCCGCCGCCACGAAGCTCCAGAGCCTGCCGCTTCGAGCTTGGCGGTTGGCGCCAGGTTCCTCGGGGCGCGAGTGATGGTCAGAGCCACCTTGGGCGATGGGGCCCGTGTCGCGCCTCCTTGGCTTTTGCTTGTACTGTAGTTGTATACCCGGGTGGGATATAGCAATAGAGCCACCGCGAAAACAATAAATAAGAATTAGATTGTTCCCCATGACCCTCTCCGCTGGTCCGTTTCTGTCCAGGCTACTCGTCCGTGCTGACAGCCTCGTATTCATGGCCTTCGCTTCTCTTCGACAACCGGATGCTCCTCCGAGGACGTGGGCTTGTCGTAGTGCGCTCGCACTAGCGGGGCGGGGCGGGCTATACTCACGGCCCGACACATCCTCATCCGCTCACACTCCATCGTTAGAATGTACCTTCCGCTGCCATAAATCCGAGGTAGCTCGCAATTCCATCTTTGTCTCAGCCCAAGTCGCCACCACCCCAATGCACCCCCAGATTCCAGGAGCTGGACTCCCCCCGCCAGGAAAGTGCCTGCAAAGAAGCCCCCAGAACAAGCCATGCCCGGTGCCCCCGTGTCTGCATAAAACTCCCCGCAGCATTCGGGGCCCGCCCCACCCCCATTCGCCATGTTCCTGGCCCGAAAGCAAACCACCGCTTTCCGTCCAATCAACCCCCCTCTCCTCCTCGTCTGACTCGTCGCCACAGGGTCTTGCATGCACGCCCAGGGACCGACTCGTGGGGCCAATCGGGGGTCGAGTGGGCATTCGGCTTGTCCATTGCCACGGGCCTTTCTAGAATATCTCTCACCCCGATTGCTGGCGACCATATCGCTGTGAGTGACGGGGGATGGGTCTGTGGATACGCTGCTTGGCTGATGGGGTCTGGAAAAGGCCCAGGAGTTTTCCAGTCCCGGTCAGGGTCCATCACGGTCCATCAGGGGTCCTTTGAGGGAGGTCGTGATCGGCCGCGGGCTCAATCTGGGCCATTCAGCTGGGGTTGTTGCAGGTATAAAGAGGACGGGCTGCACGGATCAGGCGTCGTGTTCTTTATTCTTTTGTCGGCCGTATCCCTTTCGTTTCTGTACATATCTTGGCCTGTCCTACCCTTGCCAAAAAGACCCCTGTTTCTCCCCATATCGTGTTCGACCTGTCACCATGCGATGCTTCCGCGCTCCTCTCGTCGTCGGCGCCTTCACTGTGGCCGTTGCGGCTGTACCGCACGTCTCACGCGCGATCCTCGCGTATAGAAGTGTACGTCTATCCCCCTCTCTGCTCACGCTACGAAGACACAGGATACACACCCTAACGGACAGCCACAGTGGGACCTGCGCCTCCTCAGCGAGGCCGTCCCCACCTGCAACCCGGACGACTCCAACATCGACCTCAGCATCTACTACCGCTACGGCCGGTACAATCGGACGTGCGAGGCGCTGGGGGCAGAGTATAATTCAACCAATGTGAAGAGCCTGTCGTGGAAGAGCCCGAGTGAGGATGATTGGCACGATCTCTGCATGTTTAGCACGGAGGACTGCTCGGGGGGAGCGAGCACGTTGCTTGGCTCGATTACGGATGGGTGGGAGGTGTGTTATCCGTATAATGGCTTTCGAGCGTATACGGTTGTTACGCACGGGACGGCGTGTGTTTGAGATATCTACAGACTGCGTGTAGTAGATATGTGATGTGCATGTTGCTGTTCATGCTGAACAGGTATGGCGGGACTGAACATCATAATGTGGACATATCATGATCGTCGGGATACGACTGTAGTACATAATAGGCATGGAAAGGATATGCACGCCGCTCATATTACAACAAAAAATGAGAATGACGAAGCCAACAGAGAGCACGGAACTATACACTGCTTCCGGAAGATCGGGCCAAAAATAGCCCGCGTCCGAAATTAGGTGGCGCGTCTTTCTTATGGATTATTGTACGTAGTGCCTTGAAATGGTTCACACTTCATTGACGGCTGTTTATAGAGCTCACATTAGTTGCAAGAGGCCCAATGGATGTTCAATGGTCTCTTGCACAGCTATTTAAAGCACCAGGGTGGGGGGCTGGGCTCCAAGCAATGCTGCGGAGCAGTCATGTGGTATACGTGATATCGCCCATGGCTGTCGGATATTACATGGTAATTCTCCTAAGAGGTTCAGCTTTATTTGTCGGGCTCCTATAGCGACATGCCTTGGATTGAACCGAGTATTTTGGGGAGCCAAGCGCGGGAGACCAATTGTGGAGCCGCGGGGCCGCCTCGAACTTTTTTTTCTTATCGCACTTCCCACCATCGTCATCACCTTCACCAGCAAAGCTAGGCAATAGCCGGCAACCCTCAATTCAACCCTATAACCCGTCCAGGTCATGACAACCTCGGCAAACACCGATTCCAGCTCTGCGCCTTCTGCCCCACCCTCGCCCGCCACGACAATGAGCTCCGGACACACAGATGCGGCAGCACCGCATCCCGCAGTCGACAATTCTCTCGACGACATCTTCGGCTCCTCGCCGCCCGAGACTCGGGAGGTGCCAGTGCCGATGAGTGCACAGAGAGAGTCTGCCGGTAGGGCCGAACCATCCGACCTCCCTTCTCTCCGTCGCCAGCATGTGACCGCGGGGTACCGCGACGGAGTCTCAACCTCGAAAGGAGAGCACGTCCAGCGCGGCTTTGACGCCGGGTTCCCGGTCGGAGCCCAATTGGGCATGCGGGCCGGGACGATACTGGGTATTCTAGAAGGGCTTACGCGAGGACTGGAGGACCGGTCTGGCTCGGGCGTGGTGAAGAAGCCCACTCGGGGCGTCGCGGGGTCATCGTCGGCACGGCCTGACGAGACACAGTCCGCGGAGACGGTTGCCGCACGCCGCCGTACGAGAGAGCATGTCCTCAGGTTATACCAGGAAGCTACCAAAGCACTCGATGTGCAGTCCGTCTTCGCAGGCTTCGAAGCAGGGGCCGGATCTGGATCCGGATCTGCGGGAAATACCCCCGGTGCGCAAGCAGGGGAGCCCGCCGAAGCGCAACTCGGACGAAAGGGCGACGCAGTCATTACGCAGTGGGAGCAACGAGTTGCCGTGCCACAGTGGGAGAAGAACATGGAAGCTCTCGAGATGAAGGAAAGCCAGAGAGAAAAAGAGGGAACCCAGGGCGCCGCGGCCAAGCGGAGTTGAAGGTTGAACGACCCAGCGCTCACGCTTGCTTTTCGTTGCCCATCCGCCGCAGGGGGCTGTTTACTCTACGTAAAAACCCTGTTTACCCACACAGTCACTCTGCTACATGTTGTCCCTTCACCGGAGAAGAACTCCGTGCTGCACGCTGCAGCCGAAGGGCGAGCCATACGTTCTGCGCCGGGCCCTCTACCCGTCCCGCATCGGTGCATGATCCCTTCAATCGTGATGGGTCCCAGACACCCGGATGGGTTTTGCAGATGCTGCAAGGAACATGCAGTCCGGTCGGCGGAAGGGCGGTCCGGCGGGCGTTGGTTTGGGAAAACGGCTTGCTTGCTCCAAGACACATGGTGGGGCGCACGACTCCTTTCTTGTGCAGGGAGGTGGGATTTGTTTACCAAGTTCGACGTCCAGGGGAGTATTGAAGAGTGGAACAGGGCCGGGAGGCGAGGGTATGGCGATCTATTTGAACCGCTGGGCTCGGGGTCGATGTATCAACTTGCCTTGTACACCTCGGCCCACTATACGAGCTCCGGTGTTTGCCCACAATCCCGAGGCAAACACAACCCGCTCGTCGGCTACCCACTGCAGTTTGCCTTGCGGACGTCGGGGCAGCTCCAGAGAATCCCACAAATCCCGATAGATCCGAAGCCACCAGCCTGTCGGAAGCTCTCCGGCAGCTGGCGGCCATGGCGCCTTGCGTTTACGGAAAAAGGCCCCCGCGGACGGGGACTCGAACTTTGGCATTATTGCCCTTGACACATGAAACGGCGAATTCATGGTTTGGATTGGTGGGCGGATTGGTCAGATTTGGCGTTTATCCTGTGGAGAATGACATGGATATAGAGGGCAGCCATGCAGAAGTACGAAAACAGATCATGACCGCGAGCAACGACATAGTTTGAAGAATTTCTTGCGCAGGGTTGATGCTAGAACTGAAGGCGCTCAACCGAGCCGAGCGCGATCTGTTTGGGGAATTGCACTACTGGGCCAAACACCGCGGCGTGGGGTTTGATGCAAGGGACGGTTAGTCTAGACTCGCGGTTCCTCCCCATCAATAATCAGGAAATCAGGAAATCACAGCATTAGAGACCAATGCCATTCCAGCACACAGTAAGGATTTGTGAAATAAGGAAAATCACAGAAACCTCGAGCAATCTGCTTCCTTCTAGTATGGGCTACATTTGTTAGCTGAGCAGACGGTGATGCAGCTGCTCCGGGTGCTCCCTCGCTGGTGACTCTTAGTTACCGATGGCCCCCCTTTGTCAAATCCGCTTTAAATCTCCACCAACAGAAGAGAGAGACATAGAGAGAGAGCCCTGATGGATCTCCTTACTGGGGTTTCTGCGCGCCCCTGGAGCGGAAGATTGAATAGAATCCCTAGCAAGGAGAATCGGACAACACAATGTCTTTATGCCTCAATCTTGTTGTAGTCATCCATTACTCCAATAGGTGCTTGGAACCCGTTTGTCCAGCACGGAGACCTATCGTAACCTTCTTTACAATTGCTTCCGTAGCTTTTTCACCAAATGGTCACGGGAGGGAGTCCAAGGGTTTGTCGAGTAGTGGTAGGTCATGCTTTCGACGAGAAGGCAACCTTGGATTTCGCGCCGACGGGAGGTTGGGGTGGTAGGCCTTGCAATGGCCGCATAGAAGCTGTGTATACAGATAAAGACGGGCAGAACGTAAACAAGATGAAGAGTGAGTAGACTGTCGACGAGAGCTAGTCATTGTAAGACTAGGGCTTTTTACCCCAAAGCACACTAATGGCAGAGTTCAGGTTCAGAGTGCTATCACAACAACATAAGCTACGCCATTGAGAAAGGCACTAAGTTGATTCGCAACGGCCTGCACGGAAGTTTCGTAGACCCCGAATCCGCAAGTACGAACGCGCCCAGACGCACGCACCGCCACGCTCTAGGCCCTTCCAGTACGCCAGATCAGACACATCCCCCGTACTTCTCAACGGTCCCAGTACCAAGGGTCCCATCCCTGCGTCTGCAGGGTTAGGGTTCATGGCAGTCGACGGAGAACAGGGATAGCTGAGCCGGGCCAATGGAGCTATCGACGTGGTACTTTGGTCCGGCTGGCTGCGGGACGCCAGAATGGAACCCCTCTCGGCGGGCCTTAGACATACACCCCATAATCGAAAATTCTGTAGCAGATAGCTACGTACGTGGAACTGCCCGTAGTGGACAGGGGAGTTAGGACGCAGTCGATCATTGTTATCGTGCATACCGGCGTGGATTGAGAAGACGAGCCGGATTTAACAACCACCAATCACGTAGGATGGAGAAGAGGAGGGGAAGGTTGGTCGGCGTCGCATCGATGAATGCCGAGTGAGTGATGCCTCAGGTCCACTTGCCCGGATGGATGTCAGGACTGTGGCATTCCAGGATCATCTACGCAATCCCCTGGACAACAGGGTCGCAGGTATGAAGAAGAAACTGATGGAAGAAATGTTGCGTGGTTTGCATTTTTGTGCCAGACAACCACATGGCAGGAGAATAGCTAGGAGAAGGAGACGCTTTTGGGTGCGCTAAGAAATGGCGAAAAAGAAATTCAGTCTTGAGGAGCCATACACCGTGTTCCGTTTATGTCATTATTGTAGGTGTCCCACAGAAGAAAAAAAGAAAAGATGAACTGAGTCTGAAGTAGGAAGGAAAACAGAGAGATTCTGACATGAAACATGAGCCACGGATCCAACGGGCGAGGAAGACATCGTGACCAGATGAACAGATAGAAGCAATGGTAGTACAGCGCCGGGGAGAGTGGTGCGCAGTAAGAGAAAAAAGGGAAGCGGCGGAGGACAGGGTGCCTCAAGGAAATCAGTTTAAGGAAAGTCGGGTCCCAGAAGGGGGTAAAGAAAGTCATAGCCATGCGGTGCAGGCAAAGTTGGTTCGTCCGTGACTTCGTTCGTGCGGAGAGGCTCCGAGAACATTGGGGGCCATGAGCCCCAGCAATCGTGAAGATCATTTTCTTGAAAAGGTCGATGGGCAGTGCCCAGGAAGCATAAGGCATATAGTGAGTGTGGGCGTGTTCGTCATCATGGAACACATAGACAGTGAAGGAAACAAGTCATGTCAAGCAGATCGTGGAAGATCAGATCGAGGAAAGGCCGTTGAAGATATTCTGGAAAAGCAAAAACGCCGGGTCCCAAGCCCACCCTAACTCCTCATCAGGTAACCAGCCGGGGGGATATCACTTAAATGGTTGTCGTGGTTGTTTTTATAGATGCTCTGTGGCAGTTGAGAGATCGGAGGGAGTCCAGCACCCGCTTGAAGAAGGGCCGCTGATCGACAGGGTCTTCGAAGGGTGCGGGTGAGTGTTGCTCGTAGCACATGGAGGTGAGCTTTTCCTTGTCCTCTTGAACGGTCTCCGGCGAGTCGGAGCCCTGGCGACGTCTGGAGCGAGCCTGCACGGCCGCGGCGGTCGCGCGGTCCATGGCTGACTCGCGGCCAAGGCCGTTGCTGTTGTTCCGATACCGCGGCTTGAGGAGGGAAGTGTTCGATGGTGCGACCAGACGCAGGGTCTGGAGAGGGTGATTCGACCGCAGACCGTCCCGGCTGGTGCTGGGTCGATCGAGGCTGGCGCCGCGATACGGATCGGGAATGGGGTGGCCGACGGCATCGTCGGGCAGGCAAGGGAACTTCTCCGGGATCTGGTCATCCAGCATGGCTTGGTGCAGCTTGGGCTGGGACTTGGCGGCGCGAAGCTTTGCGCGACTGCGAACCTTGCGCAGTGTGTCGATCGGCCGGCGAGAGAGGGACTTGTGGCTAATAGACTCGGTTTCCGAGTCGGACTCCCATACCGACTGCTCACAGTATGCATCCATGGTGGAAGTCGAGGGCCGCTCCATGGATGTTGCGGTCCATTGCCGCGAAATGGGTGGGGAGCTCGCCACCGGGCTGGGAATAGGGCTGGGGCAGTCATTGGCAGGTATGAAGAGAGCCTGCTCAAAGTGCGTGGCATGCGGCTCCATGGTCACTGGATTGATCAAACTGGGGGGAGAGATCATGGATGGATCCAAGGGAGGACGGGTCCCCGGGCTGGACTGCTTCCTCCGGGGGCTATGGGAACCTGTGCCACGGGAGAGATTGGGTAAGGTTGGATGCGGTTTCCTCCTGTGGGAGGATGAGGACATGCTGGATGTCTCGTATTTCATTGTCAGGGTTGGGGTAGGAGCGGATTCAGCAGCAGGGGTAGTAGGTCGGGTGCGTGCCGTGGGGAGAGCAGGCACTGGGGGAGGTGGAGGGAGCTGCTTGGGCGGCGTCGACGGGGGAAGATAGAAAGCACGACGGGGCTCGAATTGAGCTGCCTGTGCGTGGCGGTAGAGCTTCTCCGTCGCCTTCAGCACCGCGTCGGGGCAGGCAGGCGAGGAGTAGGTGGAAGAGAAGGAGCTGCTGGGGGTGAGGTCAGGCGTGGTGCCGTCCGTTTGCACTGAACTGAAGGACTCCTGGCTACTGTGCAGTGGTCTCCGGTCGTCCTCTGTGGAAGAAGTATAGCGATGGAATCTGAGGCTGTTTTCCAGTTCCAATTGTGCGATAGTAGACCGATCCGGACCCGTATATTGCTCTGAACGCTTGGACCGATCTGAAGACTCCTTCTCATGTGTCAGAGATAGTGTATAGTATTGGCTGGCGTCGTCACTGAATCTCTCATCGCGAATGGTGGGAGCATAGGAGGCCCAAGTTGTGGGGGTGGCAGCCAGCGACTGCTCGAGGTAGAATGGGTCGGCGTTGGACTCTTCCAGCACCTTAGGGCCTGCCTTGGGGATGTATGTTGATGCTCGCTTCAACGGCGATGGTGAGGGCAGGCAGATGGTAGTTTCTGATCTGTTCCGGTCTGCGTGTAACGCGTCCAACTCGCCCGGACAGTAATGGTCTCCGCGATCCATGGACTAGGATGTCACAGCGAGGGTCAGGAACAGCAATGGCGAGACTCGGACGCAGTGGTCCTAGGAGCAGATCATGAATCGCGAAAAAGACAGGAGCGGATGAGAGGAGGAGAGCGCTGGACCGAGTCAGGGATGGTTACCGGAGAGAGGAAGGAATGGACGAGGGTGAAGGGGATATGTTTATAGACAGGCCAAAAATAGGGCTTGGCAGGCCCAGCCAGCGCCATCACCAGTCCGTGCAGTGCTGTCGGTGCAAAAGAGTGGCCGGCAAACCAGATGCATGCCGCAGGTAAACAAAAGCACAGGAGCCAGCCGGGGGGGGACAGCAGATCATGACCTATCCGACCTTACATGACGTCCCCGCGTAGGGATGGGGTTGCAGCAAGGACCGCCGGCTCCAGTAAGGGCGCATAATCAAAAGGACGGTCCTTTTGTTTCTTGCGATGGTTTGCATCCTAGGCTTCCTCCCAAGTAATCGGCGAGGACTTGGAATTCGAGAGCAGCGTATCGTCCTCTCTGAGGCCGTCGGCGTAGACTCGCGATCATCTGAAGATGTGGCAGGCGGTCTGACACTGTCCTACACTCTGCGCGTTCCTCGTACTACCCCCCCCCCCTCATCCCCTCTTCACCCTCTCGAGCTGCGGATGCGGCTGCTCTCAGCCCGCGTTGCGCGTTGGGTCGGCTAGCAGCATCGGACGGGCCTTTGCTGCATCCCCGGCCCAAAAAAACCGCCGCAGGCCCCAGCCAGCGTCATCAAAAATCCCCATGCAGAAGGCTGGGTTACGGGAGAATGTGAGATGTGAGATATCAGCCCTGCCTATCCGCGAGACGAGTCCCGCGGAGGCCCTTCCGGATCAGCCATTGAGACGAGCCCCACCGATCGCCCTGGTCTGTGTGTTTCAGTTCGGCTAGCGCTGCTCGGCCGCGCCGCTGAGCGCTGTGGCGGAAGCCTTGCGATAGCCACAACTGCCCCTGTGGCCATTGGGACCATTCCGCGTCCCCATTCTTGGGAACCGCGCAACGGCGTGGGACTCGGGGAGCCTCAGAGGGCGCTTGACACGCCTCTGCAACGTTCCATCGCTGGAATATCTCTGACCTGCCTTCCCATGCAGACCAGCAAGAGATGGGCCTTCATCATCTTTCCTTGCTTTTTAGCCATGGCGGGCTCAGTCGCCGTCACGTTTCCTTTTTGTTCCCCTCGCCCTTTCCTCTCTTTTCCGTGACACCAGCCGTCTGAGACTCCTCGGTACCGGTTTTACTGTTCCACCGTCCCTCATTTGCGCGTACGGGTTCAGCTAGTTTGCTCCATCGACTGCAGGCCGACCACCGGCTCTACTGGACTTTGCCCTAGACTGGTACGTCCGCGTCCGTGGGGAAGATCCCCACCCTGGGGATCCCCCGCCAGCGCCGGATCCAACATCCTAACTTTCAGCCTGCGTCCCGGGCTTTTTTTGCCGCCTGTGCTCCTTTTCCGGGGGCCCTTTGCCAAGAGTCTCCTCCCTCCATATCGGTTCGGGCGCGACTCGTACCGACGTGACAGTCGACAAATCATATCCGCGCGCGGCAGCAAAAGCCGTGGTGGACGCCATTGGCTTCTTACAGAACTCTGTGTCCGATCGGACCAATCGACTACGGCGACTCCGATGTTAAAATGGTAGGCTGTTGCAGAGTCACGGGCCGGCGGAATCGGGTGCTTTTGCTAATGATATCACGTTCGTGGATCCCTGACCCCCCTTGAGATCTGAAACTTGATCTAGATTGTCGATTCGACTCGAACGACTCGTAGACTCGGCGTCTGGCCTGCGGTGCAGTCTCCAGGGGGCCAGGCCAGTGCTGTTTACTCTGTTGGCCGGGACATGCGTCCCTCTTCCCCATTCGACAATGCCCACATTCCAATGAGAAAAGTCTGTCGTGCATGGCATCCGCTGGCGGATGGAGCTGCCCGGGCCCTGCACAGCCTGCACCGGCGGATCCAAAGCGCGGCTGCACACTCCGCAGCCGACAACTGTGCCTCACAGTATATATAACATAGTATTGGACAATATATAATCTACGGCCTGCATCCTTGTTTCCCCCCTGATCGGCAGACCCGATCGATCGCCCTATAACCTCCGGTTCCTGCACAACCCATCGGCTTGCCCGGCCAACGTCTGGCCCTGCATAGCCCTCGCTTGGTTCATCCGCTCACATTCTTGTCATGCTGGATATATACCTATAGAAGCCGCAGTGCGGGATTTACAACTACCGCTGCCATCATGTAGGATGATTTGAGATTGTGCTTCTCAAGGGTTTACCGTGGACAATAGTTCCACTGGGCTTGCTGCTCGAGGGAACCCTCGCAGCAACGTGCCTGCCTTGAGGAAAGGAGACCCAGGAGCGTCGGGAGCGTCGGGAGCGTCGGGAGCGTCAGGAGTAGAGAGGTCCTGTTCCTCCCTAGGGAGGCCGGAGGAGGACTCTCTCCCCAGCGAGCCGCAACCCTTCCCTGGGGAGCTCTCCCCGTCGAACCCTAGTATAAGCAGAGCAGCACATCATCAGTTTCAACGCTTGTCTCTCGGGACCATCAGACCAGCACCGAATCCCAAACATGTCTCAACGGCGCCCGCACATCCCCCTCATTGGCCGACACGCAAACCCCGACCCGACCCAGCGGCCAGAAACTGAAACTCGCCATCGTCAATGGCGTCACCAGGGCCAGCGGATGCGTCCCGGCCCATTTTGCCGGCCTGCAGGCGGCAAGGCATGCGTGAGACCGACCTGGATATTGGGACGACCGATCTGAATCTGCGAGCGCGGATGGGGAGCCGCAGCGTCCGGATGCGACGGGGCTGTCTTCCCCGAGCCTGGGCTGGTGATCCGTTAATTGTCCGATGAACCCTTGCAGGGGCCTTTCCCGCCTGGTGGTTTGGGTTTGAGTTTGGGTTTGGGTCTAGACTGCGGTGCGAGTAGTATTTACCCGTAACTAGGGACGCGTCGGGCGTTGTGTTTGTTGTCAGGGAAGGGAGAGAAGGGTGGTGGTGAGAAGGAGTATCCCAGGCGTGTCCGCCCAGGATGGTGAAGGGAGGGAAGGCTGAGAAGGCATTTGAGAAATAGACGGTTCCCCCTTCAATGATTCCCAGGCTGGCAGGCTTTGCCATCTCCGTTTTCCCTCTGAGCCCAGAGGACTTCAGCACTCGAGGGGCTCGAAATGGAGGAGGAGACGTCCCCCGGTCCAATAGGCGTGGGGTGCGGAGTGGACTGGACGGACTTGGACTGGTCAGGGTGAGTGGCCGAGCTATTCAGGCCTCCTCCCCATGCTCCTTGTGCTACCCACGCTAGCTATATACACTCAAGATATTCGCCATGCCAACTTCACGACGGAGTAGAGTCTGGGCCAGCAGGATCACCAATTCCAATCTCACTGCCCCTGGAGCGGCGCTTCTTCGGCCCAGCAGGGTGGGGTCCAGCTCGGCTGTGGGGAAGAGCAGTTCGATCCATGAACGCAGCTCCGGCTGAGCCAGTGGAACGACTGGGCCCGGTCCCAGCATTTGGTGTTGGGATTTTGAGTGGGATTTGGGTGATATTTTTCGACACTAGATTTCGGACAGTCTGGCGCAATTGGAGGCGAGGCGTTTTGGCCACAAGTGGGGAGCGATGCGTCCACGCTGCCCGGCGTATACTTCGCAGGCTCACTACGTAGTTAGTGCCCGATTGCCAGCGCATCACCCTCGACTCCAGGTATTGCGTTTGCGTTCTTTGAGAGTATTGTAGTACGGTAGGACGGTACGGGGCTACTCGACTATCGTCGCTAGCTGTATTCTTCCACGCCCAACCGTGGCACTGGCAATGGAGTCGACGATCTGCGCCTTTGACTGGCCTGACTCGGCCTGACTCGGCCTGACTTGGCCTGACTTGGCCTGAATGAGCTGGCTGGCGTGACTTGAGTTCCATTGCGAGATGAACTAGTTGAGATCCCCTTCGGCTCCACGCCTTGTCTTTTCCCTTCTCTCACTTGAATGCTGGTCTGCTCGGCTCCCTCTTCACACCTTCACCTATGACGGCCTTTCCATCACTCTCCTTCGCCAGTCCCGATTGACCGCGCGACCGAGACAGTCCCGGAGCAGGCAATTACTGAGCTGGTGCTTTTTCACCCAATCAATTGCGCGGCAGCACCGCTTCCGATCGGGGCTCGCAAGTATTGAGCTGGTCGTGAGGAGGTAGTCACCCTGATCCCTGACACTCTTTTTCTTCCTTCCGCTTCTTCATCCGGGATAAGAGAGGAAGACGGCCGGACACTCCCACTGGCATCACCCAGCACGGGACCTCTGCCAGGGAACTTCCAGTCCACCCAGCTTTCGGCCAATTCGTCCTGCCTATCTCCCGTCTCATCTCCTTTTTTTTTTTCTTGCGCTCGATTTCACCTTTGACTGGTCATTGGCGCGGGAGCGTGGGCGCTGGATGGTCCGCGCGACAGGTTTGGTGCGCTGCAGCTCGCACGGCGACCCCAGCCATCTCAATTAATCCAGCCACCACGACCTCGCCCAGAACAACCTCCCTTTCCCTTCCCTCATTCTCAATCTCCAATTTTCTAAGAGAGACAGAGGAGAAGAAGAAACCGAAAAAGAAAAGGAACCACCCATTCTCACCCGCATCGTTTGGTTTCTCAATTCCCCCCGGGTTTAGAGACTCCACACCCCATCGTCGATAACCCTCCCGGATTGTTGTACAGACCCGATTCCCTGAGTGATCGACACCACAATCGCGATACACCCTGGGGCTCAACGACCCCAGATTCTCGGTGACGCAAGTCGCACTTCGCATTGTCGTCGTCTCACTCCCTCCACCAGACCGTGCCAGAGGTGTCTCGCCACACGCACCGATCGTCTCACGAAGCCTACGACCTTAACGACCCGTCCACGTTTACGACTTTTGCGCAACAGCGCCAGCAGCCACCAGTCCCCCGGCCTTCCTCCTCCCACTCTGCTAATTACCGCCCATCTTCGGCGACAGACTCGCACCATCCCTTACGCCGAGTTCGCCGTCAGCCTGACGTTCGCCCATTGCCGCACCGCCGCACCGTCTCGCACGACATTTCGGGTAGACAACCACCTCGACCGCTGCCGGCGCATTCGATCCCAGTTGCCGTCCAGCCTAGTCCAGACAGCGGCGTCGAAGGGCTACGACCGGCACTCTCTGAAGCACAGACTGACGAGCACGGGTCGACCGTCGACGATCCATACCAGCTCCTCAACTCCTCGTACTGGCCGCAGAGAACCACCAGTGTCTCGTCCCGCACGGCCTCGGCCATTCTCTTTGCGCTTGAGGACGCCATCCGCCGTCCCTTCAGTTTCACCTTGGACTGGGACGAAGTGAATGCTCCTATGTCCAACATGGTAGGCGTTGCTGGTCCCGCTGGGCCGGTAGGCAATGGCCGTGTATCAAATGGTGGCTCGCGGGTGCCTCCAAGCGCCCCGGCTCCGGTACCTTCTTCCACCCAACCGCCCAGTGGTGTTCGAACCCCGACCGACATTATGAGACAACGTCGAGATCGGGAGGCGCGCCGCAAAGCAGAGCAGGAGGCGCGCGCGAGAGAACAGGAAGAGCTAGAAAGACAGCAATTGGAGCTGGAGCAGCTGGAGCAAGCTCAGGCTCAACAGTACGCTGCTGGCGCTGTGGGTGATCCAGCGCCACAGCGCCGCGCGCAAGCGCAACGAGCTCCGAGAGGCCCTCAAGTACCTCCAGAGGCTAGCGCTATGACTGCACCGGGATCTGCTCCGGGCTACCGCCCCACTACAAGTGCTGCGCCGATAGCTCCCAGACAAGACTACCAGGCTCCGCCTGCGCCTGCACCTGCTCCTGGTGGTGTCGAGATGCCCAGTCAATCGCAACCAGCACCTTCATCAAGCCAGCAGCGTGTGGGTGCATCTGCTCAACATGCTCGTTCACAGAGCGCAGCAGCAGCAGCTGGTCCTCAGCCGGGGTCAACGGGATTTTCCAAGTCCGCACCAGCTCCTCCAAGTAGCCAACCGGGCGGCGCCTCTCAGACTCTCCAGCAGCCACGTCGGGCCGGTTTTCCACATGCCTTTGAACGGTGGGAGACGCTCTCTTCGCACTGGGAAGGCCTCACCAGCTACTGGATCCGGAAGCTCGAGCAGCACAATGATGACCTCGAACGTGATCCCCTCAGCCAACAACTAGCTCGACAGATCACTGACCTGTCCGCCGCCGGCGCCAACCTGTTCCACGCTGTCGTCGAACTGCAGCGCCTGCGCGCATCTTCCGAACGCAAATTCCAGCGTTGGTTCTTCGACACTCGCGCCGAGCAAGAACGTTCGAAAGAGGTCCAAGCCGACCTGGAACGCCAACTCAAGGCCGAAAGACAAGGCCGCGCCGACGCCTTCGCCGCAGCCCAAACCGCAGACCAAGACAAAAGCCGTGCCGAAGACCTTCTGCGCGAGATGCGGCGCGAGCTGCAGATCTCCAAGGAAGAGGCCCGGCGTGCATGGGAAGAGCTCGGCCGCCGCGAACAGGAAGAACGCGACCGAACTAACTCCCTCCGCAACGGCGAGCCCACCCTTGTCGGCGGCGTCCAGGTTGTCCCCATGATCCAAGGCGTGCCCAGCCGCCACACCACCCGGCCGCCCACGCGCGAGGGCCCCTATCCCGGCGGTCCCACGGCAACCTCCATGGGTATAGATTACTCAGGCAAGCCGGCCGACGCCGGCATGAGTCGCACATACTACGATGAGAACATGCCCGCGTCCCCGACAGGCTCAGATCCATTCATCGAGCCCAAAAAGACCGACCCGCCCGCATCCAAAGCCCCCTACCCACCCGCTGGCCAAGTATTCACACACGAGCCCAGCACCGCTGCCTATGCCGCGCCAACCTCCGAGCCGGACGCGCACTCCTACGTCGGCAGCAGCGAGGCCGGCGACGACGAGTACACCGGCTACGCGCGCGACACCGCACACCCATACCACTACCCGGCCGGGCCCCTCTCCGAGGGCAGCGATGAGTACGACCACAGCCCCGTTGAAGAGCGCCACTACACCACGGACGGCGCGTACACGGGCGCCGGCAGCGCGCCGCCCATGCACGCACCGTACCCGCCGACCACGGCCGACTACAGCGGTGCTGGGTGGGGCGCTGGTACCGGGTGGGAGTCTGTCACGCCGCGGCATCGCCATCCGACACGCTTGAGCGATGTGCTGGAAGAGGATGAGCCGAGTCGCACGAGTCCAAGCCGTGCCAGTCAGGCGAGTCGGAGCGTGCAGTGAGCTAGGCGCTAGTTCCACCTAGATGGATAGTTGGGGGCAGTGTGTTTTCCATCATCTTGCGTTGCTGTGTCTGCGTTGCCTTGCGTCTTTTGAAGCTTGCATGCATGCATCAGATCTGAGCGGATCAAATCGGCTCGGATCTGGATTGGGGTCGGGTGCGTTGCGTACATAGAAAAGAAATTGGGGCGAGGTCGTTGATGTTGCGTTTTCTCTTTCTCGTTTTATGTTTCTGGCTCTCTTTTCCTTTTCCTCTCCCTTACATGGCACGAATGAGCGTCTCTTCTCTTTTTTGTTTCCTGATACTTAAAACTTCTGTTTACCCCCTTTCCTACTCTCATCTGTTCTTGTTCTCTCCGGCCAAGCGGGTCGGTCTGCTTTTATTTTCGCGTCTTCTGCGCGTTTCTTGCAAATTTCGACTGTTATTTTCCCAGTTTCCTTCCGTTGTTTCGTCGGTGATCTAGGTTATTCAATGGTGATCATAGGTAATTGCTGGATTTGGAGCTTTGCGTAGCTTCCTTTTTTAGGGTTTCTGAGATTCTGCGAAATTGCATGATTTGACGATGGGATTGTTTGTGGCGGTCCTTCTATTGAAGCTTTCCATAGTTATGCATATCCGCCCACCCTAGCGCTTTTACTGTATACTTTAGTTTTACCAATTTCCATTCCCCCTAATTGAAATTATCGACCTAAATGTGCGTTCTGGAATATTATTGGAACACCCGGCAGTTTAGAGAACAGGTTAGGTTAGTGTTGTACCATGGGTAGTTGCCGACGGTTAGGTTTCAATATATATCTCCGCGGATTGAGCATCGCTGCGATTAGTCCTCCCACATGTAGGTTACCCAAAGATTTAGGCCACAGCCACACGGGTTGCAGTCTTGAAAGATAACTTGTCTGGCAGCTATCTATTAGATCACCTGCATCGACACGCTTCTACCTGGAATGACCAGTGCCACCGGTTCAAAGAGACTTGACTTCCCTGACCGAAGTGCCCAAGTACCTACAAGGATCCACTTTGTACCAGGTCTGCTAGCTGGTATTGGCGCCACGTTAATCGGGCTGCTGCAAGTGTAGTACCTAGGTACATGCCGTTCTGAGAGAAGAATTGACAGGATGGCTGAATCTATTAGGTATATCAATTCGTTCGTGAGTGCTAAACTTGGAAACCGGGCGATGGCCCACTCCAAGCCGCATATTCCGCGGAATTGGGAGGGCGTTTGCTCTATTCGCGTCGTCTTTCATGAACTCCCCTGCAAGACGCAATCAAGCCACCCTAAGTGTGTTTCAAATATGTAGCCACTGAGTAGTAATTTATAATTTGAATAGAAAGGGTCTAAAGTCTGTTTAAACGAAGGGCTGTCAAGACTATTTCAGAATCGTCTAACCAACCCAACTGTCAAGATGCACAACTCTCCAAGGGTAGCTTAATCCTCCCTAGCACTGCCCGGCTCAGGAGCCTCCTCCGTCCCAATTCCAGCGACACCATTACTCTCGGAATGATCACTACCCTCACTACCCTCCGGAGAATGATAAGCCCGACTGGACTGCCTCAACTCGCGCTCCAACGCCTCCATCAAGGCATTGAGCAACCACTCAACCTCACTCTTATCCCCTAGCAACGGATTCTTCTTATCAATCCAGCTCCACTCCCGAAACTTTTTCTCCCGCTCCACATCCTCCTTTGTCTGGGCCGCGCTCGCCTCAGTAGGCGGTTTATGTTTCCCCGAGATCAGGCCCAGATAGTACTCCCATTCGAGGTAGTCAAACTCCTTCGACAGATTATTGGCGGAGAGCTCCATCAGCTTGCGCACTTCCCGGAACAGCAGGTAGTGGTAGTGGTGCACGTTCTCGGCGGCGACGTCGCCGCGGCGGCGAGCAGACTCTTCTTTCTTGTGTTCCTCGGCCTCGATCGTGTGGCGCGCGTTTACGGCGCTCTCTTCAGTGTATTCGCCTGGGTCATTTGGAATGTCTTGCGTGGCTTTCTTCTCGCCTGTTGTTTCTTGGAGCCACAGGTCCGTCCAGGAAATGTGAAAGACGCCTTTGATGCGGTCGAGGAAAGGCACGTCACCTGGGAGAATGGTGATTTCACCAAGGAAGAGGGTGATGTCGCGGACGAAACGGATGAGGGTGTCGCCAATATTGGAGATCAGGATTGTGATGGTTGGCACCGCGAGAAGGGACCAGAAGACGAAAAATGATTTGCCGAGACTGCTGACGGGGTAGAGGTCGCCGTAACCGATAGTAAGAAGGGTCGTATAGGCGAAGTAGAGGGCCTCAAAGTAGCTCCATTGGAGATGCACCTCGGAACGCCAGAAGACCACCGCGCCGATGAGCCATAGGCCCATCCACATGATCATGGACATTGTGAGTGAGATCCATTTGTGCTGTACGGTTGCCAATTGTCGAACGCGTCGCATGGTAATAAATTCTCGCTTTTGTCTTTCGCGGTCGCTGAGCTCGTCTTCGTCGGGTTCAGCGACGCGCAAGTTGGGTACCAGTCCAGGCAGATGGCTGTGACTTGAGAACGCCTCCTTCACCAAGAACTTGTGGGCGCGTGCTGTTAAGAGGTCCGCGATCTTTTGTCGTCCGTGCTCCAGCGTCAGCGTCCGGATAGAGGAGATGATCAGACCAAGAATCACAATGCCTCCAACCGCATAAGGGAAGAGCAAACCTCGGCCAAGATGGGTCACGGGTGCGAAATTACCCACACCAATAGTTAGTAATGTGTAATCCGCCCAGTAGAGTGCATCCAAGAACCGCCAATTTTCTATTTTTGCATAAACTGCTGCGCCGCCCAGAAGGTAGATGCAAAAGACGATAGTTTGGAGCATCAGAGTTCTCTGACTGGTAGTCAATTTGTACTCGCGGCTGTAGTGATTCTTATAGGCACCGTACGCAGTCACGACCAGCAAGGATGAGATGATGAAATAGAGCCCAGCGGCGTAGGCTCCGTAGAAATACCCCTGGGTGTACACGTACCCGGCGTTCTGGGGTTGGTACATGAGGACTCCCAAGCCGACAAGGATTCCGATCAGCAAAACGGATGAAATATACCATCCGATGATGATGATCGGCTGTGCAACCTCAAAGCGAATGCGCCGTGCCATGTTTAATGAAAGGGCCAAGTTTGCGATTATTGCACAGACAAGTGAGACTGTGTTAAGCGCGATGACCCTAGAAAAGACGTAAATGACTTATCCGCGCTGCCAATGTGTGGTGGCTTACCATGTTGGATCCGCGATGTCTCGTTCTCCGCCGCCAGGAAGTATCTCCATGCGCCATTTTTGCGACAGTGAGCAGATATTGAAGGCACTCGCCATGGGCCCGAAGGTTCCCTAAAAAACAGTGAGAAAGGGTGCATCTATTTGTGATAGAGCCAGGTATTCCATACTGCTGCCAATGGGTATGCTGTACTCGCAAGCCACCACCGTCCTGCGTGTGGATATTGAGCAGTTATCTGATGGCTTTTGCCATCCTCAGCATCAGGGACACTACGCCCCGCACCATCAGAGTGGAAGAAATCCAGGGCATTCGCCTCGTCGGCGATTGCATTGTCCAGGCCGGGGTCATTCATGCTGCGTTGCCCTTCCGGAATAGATATCCATAGAGACAGGTCTTGGCGCCACTAAAGAGGAAATATCACAAAACAAAAACCAGGATTGGCGGAGGTCATTGTTAAATACAAGCTCCTTTTGACCGAGAGAAACCCGCGCGCTGCGAATGAAATTAGTGGCGCCTACCCAAATCAAGCTTTCGGCCAGCAACGCAAGCGTGGCCGTCATGATCGGCGGGGAAAGCGCAAGTCGAAGCGTGGCGGCGATCGACTAACGTCATATCACGTGACAAGAACCGGACCAGGAACCGCGTTAGCAACGACCGTGCGTATCACGAGAGACATGGTTGGAGGGATAGGAATATGAAAACTAGTATAGAATAGGGAAGGAAATATATGTAAATTCGGGTATGTAGATGACAGGCGATCCAGAGCCGCAAAGATAGACCAAGATAAGCAACCGGAAGGACGGAAATCGCTCAGGGTGCTTTCGGATCCTGGAGAAAAAGAAAAAAAAGTGAAGTAGCCAGTTAGGTATCGGTTTCTGTACATCGCATCAACCAACTGCTGTACATGTTGAGCGTTGCCACGAAGGCAGAGAAAAGCCAGCATCTGCCATCTTAACACCGGATCAAAAAGCAATAGGTATGCGAGACCAAGCTCGGCGAGAGGCCCGAGCATGCCATAGCGAAACGAAGAGAAAGAGAAAGAGAGGGAAACCGCCAGGGAAGATCGTCAGGAACCAAAAACTCCGCTCCCCAGAATGACCCGCATTGCCATGATGTCGAGGAGAAAAATCACAAGTCGTTCCAAAAAAAAAAAAAGAAAAAGGAAATGGGTAGGCAGGGAATGAAAGGGGTATCGCAGGAAAGGTATGTCAATGTCGGTGGAATCATTCGGAGAGCCAGGTGGAATCACTCAATCATCAAACTGCGGTTGCGTTAGTGGTAATGAATGAGGACTGGCTGCTTATTGCTGAGACTTACAGTGAGGCCCGCCTGGAGTTAGAAGAGAAGGAACACCCGAGTTACGTTGCGGAGAAGGGCGACGTGCAAACCGAGGGTCCACGTCTTCGTAGTAGTCGCTCGTACGTTGCGCTGCACCGGTATGCACCGGCGACGGAGATAAGCGTGGGGAAAGGGTTCGGTTGCTATCATGCGGATACCACCCAGTACGAGCAGGAGTGTAAGAACTGCGAATAAATGATGTTAGCTGGACTGCAAGCTAATCAACCCTACGGGAAAAACGTACTCGGTCTGACTGTATTGACTTGTCGGGCTCTCAAGAGGCGCATGAGCCCCGTCCACGGACATCGCATGAGGTTGATACTCATTGCTCATCGGTGGGTCCGACTCATACGTGTCATGTCGGCGCGCTTGAGGCTGCATCTCGATGACCTGACCCGCAGTGTCTAGAGACACGGCCATTCCAATCGGCCCTGGAGAAGGGTCGCGCATCGGGCCTCCAGGCGCCGTTCCGTGCTGACCATAGGGGTCATCCATGGGCCTGCCGTATGAGTCGAAGCTGCGATTCAGGCCCGGCGCATAGCCAGGGGCACTGCGGGGCGCTCCGCGGGCGGGCATCATCCCCCCACGGCCGCGCGGGGGCATTGGCCCTCCCATATAGCCACCTCGACCACCAGGAGGACCCCGAGGTGGCCCCATGTAGGGTCCGCCCCGTCCATATGCACCACGGGGAGGGTATCCTCCGCGTCCACGCGGGCCGAACCCAGGCGGACCTCCACCGCGTCGAGAACCCATGCTGCCGTCAGAGTACTGAGGACGCAGCCGAGGATCGGAGGGGTTGCGCATTATCTGAGGGTTGCCATATGGGCCCGCGGAAGGCATACCAGCCTCTTCTTGAGGAGGGCGATAGGGAGTTCCATGGCGGCTGGAATATTGCGCATCCGGCGGCGCAGGAACATCGTTCATGCCGTTAGCATTATGGGAGTTCAGCGGGGTCCGATCATCGTCGCTCTCTCGGGTCTCTGTGCGAAAAGCTGCAATATTTGGGCCTGATTCAGAGCCAGGAGAGCCAGAAACCATGACTTCCTTGGTTTCAGCCGCGACCGGCGCAGTACCTATCGCCGCAGCTGCGGCATTCTGTCGGTTGTAGTAGTTCTCACCGCTCATCTCCGCGTTCTCAGCAATTCGGCGCTTCCGCGCTTTGCGGCTGACCAAGGTGCGGCGCATGGCGCAAGTCACCACCCCGCACGAGACGAGGAGAATGGTGGACGCCAGCACGATCCATCCACCCCATCGCAAATGCGGTACAAAGAGTAGAATATCCACCAAAAAGGCGAGGAGGGTGATTAGAAGCGTCGGCAGGAGCAGGATCAAGAGCGCGAGCAGGAAGCGCGGCGAATGAGATGGGCCATGGAAGTGGGCGGCGGCGGCCAGGCCGAGACAAATGAGAGTGAGAAATGCAGCGATGGGGTGGACGATCAGGATCGACGAGAGCGATTTCCGGGTGCTGGAGGGGAGATTGAAATCGTCGCCGGTACTATCTATATCATCTGCAGGGATGCTTAGCTACTACGCAGCAGGCCGAAACGAAACCGCGACCACCACTTACTGCTGGTGTATCCGACATGGATATTGGTACACTTGTCGGCTTGACAATAACCAAAGACACCATAGTCGACATTGTCGAAGGTCGCCAATGGGATTCCGTTGACTATAGGCGTAGATAGGCAGGATAGCAAGAGGAGGGCAAAGGCGATCAGCAGCAAGATGGTGAGGGGAGTGGCGGGCTTGAGTAACATGGTGAGGGGAGGGCAACAGCTTCGGGACACCCAGGGACCTTGCCTCTCAAGCCAGAGGAAAACGAGCGAGTTCCAGACTTGCAAGCGTGGGCGCAGTGTCGATCGAGTGGGTGTCCGATTTAATCAAGCATGAGGCTCATCGGAGGTCTCCTGAGACCGGACTGCGAAGGGGGAGGGGGTAGGGGTAGGTTTGGGGTGGGAGGTTCAAGGGAAGGTGAAGGAATGAAGGCAGGAACCGGAGGAAGAATTGAGGGGAAGCGAAGACGTAGGCTAAAGGCTAAAAGAGGGCATTAAAGAAAGACAAGAAGCGATAAGCCTGCGGCACCATTGCGGAGGCGAAGGAGGAAACCGTGGACGGGTCGAGGCTGTACGGGGGCCACCGCCTCAGGCAGCGACGTTTTACCCGCTTTCGAGATTCACGGTCGCCGTCTCCCATATTCTCCTACATCTCTCAAACCCTGCGGAGTCCGCGACCCCTTCCTATACTGTCTTGATCTGAACTGCTTCTTTTCTTCTAGAATCCCATGCTCCATTACCAGTGCACTCTGACTCGTAGATGCTGACTGCAGCAGCACTGATCCGCTTGCCAGTGCGCGCATCGAGGACCGGGCCTCTCATTCGCTGCACCGTGGAGCCGTCGCGGGGCGTTGGATTCCCATGGCAGGCCACACGCCAAGCCTTGCGGACAACGTCGCGGGGGTCCGTGATGCCCCAGGAGATGGCGCAGACGTAGGCCCCCGAATTCCCCTGGCAGCACCAGCCGCGAGAATGACGAGTCACCAACCTCCACATCCTTTTTTTCGACTCGGAATTTGTGTGCGCAGGCATCGGAAGAATCACTGATGGAGAGCCATGCGTACCGTTGAAGGCACCGAAAAGACTTATTGCGATCGCTTCCAGCCGGCTGCAGTCCCACAGGAATTATCCTCTCTCGCCACTGCCCAGGTCCCCTTGAAGCTTAGACGAACTGTTTTGCACCTGGCAGGATGCTTCTCTAAACTACCACGTATCGTTTTCCAGGGACTTCTTCAACCATGGGGAAACAAGATCGGCACTTGGAAAATCTATACGATTCATAGAGAGGTCGTTAAGGCCCCAAAAGCAGGATCTGGCTGAATTTGCCTGCATGGTAGTCCGTACTTCGTACATAGAACGGCAGCCATAGTAGACTCTGGGCTTGGACACCGGGGCCAGGCGGACCGGCCCACTGTCCACGTTTAAGATGAAACAAGCCGCACCCCACCAAGAAAAGCTAGCCTTATTTTGAATAGCGACCATTAGCTTTGGGGCTAGATAAGGATTCCCGGTCGGGGCGAGATAAAAAGAGCTAAGCGAGAGCTTATAGGGGCTTGTCGGCTAAAAGAGCCCTGTTGAGTTGATACCATCCCATGCACGCACCCTTCTTTGATAGGATGGTGGAGCCTAATTAAGCTTATGGTGGGAGCCAGCCGATAAGCAGCTGATACGATAGCTGGTGCTTCGATAGCTCTTTGTGCGATCAAATCACACCTTAGATCATTTGATCGATGTCGGAATCCGGTCTCCCCAGGGATAGCAAGCTCCCACGGTCCACAAAACCGGGTGGCTGTGGGTTACACAGACACCAGCATTGTTGCAATGAATTTTGTACAATCGACCGTGAATCGAATGGGAATTCAGGTTTTGATAGGGTAACAGCTGGACCATCGATCTCTAGAAAGTTGAAAGCGTCACAGAATGCGAGAGGTGCGCAATACTATGGGCCGGGAGGGCAGGTATAGCTACAGACCCACGGATGATGCTAGATGCATTATATAATGTCTGCGTAACCCAATGGCAAGCGCCCCTCTACTTAAATAGGGCGATATACCCAGCATGGTGTGTAGCTGCTTTCCGATAGAGGCCCAGCAGGCAAAAGACGACGTGGCCTCGAGACAGCTCCCAAAGCGCCGTTCGTCAGGTACAAGCACCGCAGCAATCACGGTTAAGAATATCCCGATCTCGCTAACAATATACCAGAAAAAAGCATCAACGTCATCAATAACTCTCGATATGCCCTCCTTATGCCGACTATGGCCCTGGGCAAAGCGAAAGAAGCCCACTTACCAAGAAGATTGCTCCCTATCGCCGGGAAGAACTCCATTTTTGCAATCTTGGGAGATGACTCTAAGAAATGAAGGATCCAGCCATGGACCCCCACCAGATTTACAAGAGCGTTATGTCAGGTTTGGCATTGGCGGCGCGGGAAACATGCGCAAGTCCTGCTTCCTTCTCCTGGAGCCCACTCTGTTACAATATTCCTCCCTTGCTTGGACATATACTGACGATACCCGCGGGCAGGGTCCTTTCGCACAATGGCCGAACCATCCAGGCAGTTACATATTGACTAGACAGCTGGATATTGCTATAGGTATAAAAGCCCGCATATTGGCAAGAAGAATTTCGCAACGGCAATACTATCTGGCAGCCTGACAATCAAGTCATTACTACTAGGATTTAAATATGAAGGTCTCCCATTTCTCCACGATGGTTATTTAAATACGAGCTATGTCTAATAAAAGATTCCACAATGGCCTTCTTTCCATAGTCTTATAGATTCCGGATCCTTTACCAATGCGACAATGCTTAACTTGAGCGAGACATTGTTCCACGGCCTGTGTGACCTCAGCATATCCTGCCCGAATTAACAGGGCACTGAAAGTTCTTTCTGTATGTCAAGGCATGGGTGGTTGAATATTCGCTGGAGTATGCAGCCCTTGTAGGTAGGGATGCTAAATATTGGCTGCCACAACCAGACTGTGGCGCTGGACGGCTGCTGGATGCATGGGATTACCGGTGAGGGTCATATTAAAGTAACGCCATTGGATAAGAGTATTCTAAATATAAGCCTCAAGATTTCAGTTGACTATAAGCCCCGTGTCTAATTGAGTCACTCACAGCCTCGTGTTTTCGCTGCCCAGCCAGGTGCCCTAGTTACCGACGGCCCAGCCACGTTCTATACCAGCAAGGGAGACACGGGAACACCGATTTTCCCACCACTTGATGTATCAATAATCAGGCTGCCCCGGCAATCAAGCATTCAGCCCTTCCTCCGATCGTATCTAGGAGGGTAATTATTGATTGTGGTCATCGATGTGGGTGCTTCCTTGGGAGTTGTGGTTTCGAGTGTTACACCAGCACGGGAGGCGTGACTCCCAGTCCGAACCATGCTTTCTGGTCGTTACATCGGTAGCAGAAATTAAACAAAAAACATAGTCCTTGCAGTAAACTAATATAATCTTTGTAAAATCTGTACCGTAGATCCTGCGAATGCAATCAAAGCCAAGCTTCGGCACTTCCATGGAATGGCGATGGGGCGGGGGATCGGGCCGCGACACTAGACAGCCAGCTCAACCAGCTCAACCACGACGACAGCCGATCGGGCGACCACACTTTCTGATTCGCAACAGTAATTGTGATTTATCGAATAAAACAGAAGCAAAATTGTCTGAGTCGTCAACCTCTCATGTCTCAATCCTCCCTATTGGCCTGTTGGTTGGGTGTCGCGGCGTGGGAGGCTGGGGGTGGCTGGGAGTAGCCCACCAGAACGACGCCATCCAAACAAAAGCCGGCTGGGCTGCAATTCTCGTCCATCACACACTCCCATTGACTGCCTAAGCTCCAGTGTCTCGCTGGGGAATGCTTCGAAAGTAAAACTCTTCGAGACTGTCGAAGATTTGCCCGCATTCCACGGCCGTCATGTCGGACTCTCCCACCCCGCGCAATTTCAGTCTGCGAAACGTGAACTGTATGTCCAAGCAAAAAAAGCTTTAAATATGTCCTGGAGATCCAGCTTGACAGATTAACAACAAGATTTCACATGACTCTTTACTGATTGTTTCGCAGCAAGCAAACCCCAAGTCTACCGAACAGAGTCGCGACAGTCCGCTGCTGCATCTGACGACTACTATTCCTTCTCAGACCGAGCAGTTTCATCTAGTCCAGATAGTTGTGTGACCGCAATGCGCTTTGCCACCCCGGACTCACATCAATCATCTCGAGCATCACCACCCCCGGTGCCTCAGATACAACAGCCGCAGCACCAACCAATGGCTGAATCAAGCCCACAATATCAACAACAATCACCAGCACCGGAGGACCTTGGCTCCCCACGACCAGCAACAGCCAGTACTGTTCGATTTGGGGAAGAAAGAATCGCCCGTATTAGCCCCAAATCTGATGATACTGTTCGACGGGTCCCAAGTGACTATGCTGGGCCGGCGCCTACCCCAGGATTGGACGACTCGCCCTACGTTCGCTTCGCTATAGATCAGCTTACCCGTGACGAGGAGGTCAATGGACCCACGAGACAAGATTCGGTTTCTACTAAAGACGATTTTCCAACTGATCGGCTTGTATGGGACCAGGGGCTGGGCTATTTCACCCGCGCACGCACACCCATCCGATACATGGAGACACCAGCAAGGCCGAACTACAAATCACCATCCCCCCAGGCACTGCCGCAGAGGCCAAACTCGGTTGACCCCGAGTCGTTTGTTGCTGTGGACCCACCAGAGCAAAGCTTGTTGTACCCGCCTTTGGACTATCTGCCTATGGTTTTGCGGCCATGGGCTCTGCTCAGCCTGATCTTTTGTTGCCTGCTTATGATCGCAGGCGTCGTGTTTTGCAACATCTGGTCCCACCACCATGAGGGCCTGTGGGATTATAATGGTCAAGGTGGTGCTCGATACTTTGTCATGCAGTTTCTCCCTCAGATCCTCGCTGCGCCTATAATGATTTGGACATTTGTTGTCCAAGCTGCGGTCTATCGCATCTCTCCTTTTGCTATGATGTCAGCAGAGCGGAAACGGGGATCTGTCTTGCAAGGGCTACCTATTCTCCCAAAGAACTTTGTTATTCCCGACTTCTCCCATTTCCGCTACGGAGAGCCTCTGTTTGGTGTTTCGCTCTTCACAATCTGGTTATCCAACTTCTTTGCGATTCCCCTCTTGAGCTGCATTTTCCAGGCTAAGTATTATGTCATGGACGGACAAGGCGTCTGGAAATGGACTTGTGTACAATCAGTGGGCTGGACTCTGGTGGCATCGTATGGTCTCTTGACTATTGGATTGCTGTTGCTTGTGATCCGATTCATCCGTGGCTGGACTGGCCTAATGTGGGACCCGATCTGTCTGGCAGACCTGATCTCCATTATCCAGCGATCGAACATTCTTCATGACTATGAGCACTCGGAGACCGTCCCATCAGTACGACAGTCCCTCGATCCCCGCGTTTTGCGACTTGGATACTGGAAACTCTCCATGAAGCCGGAGATCTTCTATGGGATTGGCGAAGTTGATGCTCCTATTCGGACCCCCTCGCTGCACCAGACGGAAAAGGGTCGCGAGACACAGCCTCACGGGCTGGCCAAAGTGCGCTTCGATCTTGAACATCAAGGTGCCTTTGCCAATGACCCCTTTGATCACCATCTATACTCGCCTTTCACTCGATACCGCTGGACACCCTGGTTCCTCCGCAAGCCCTCCGTCATCGTATGGACTATCATCGTGTTTGCGCTTTTTATCGCCTTCGTCGCTGTCAGCTTCGTCAACAATGCTATCGAGGGCGGTTTCCCGCCCAAGCTGCCCACGATGCCGTCCACAAGCGCATTTTCTGCCTCCAACTTCCTCTATAGCTTCATCCCAGCATTGATCGGAAACGTTCTCTTCCTTGCCTGGCAGCCGATTGATACCTACTTCCGCGCCCTGCAGCCGTTCGTTGAGCTCGCGGCTCCGAACGGCGCTGCCGCAGACAAGAGCATCCTCCTCGCCTACCCATCTTCTCTTCCCATCCAAGTCACCCTACAAGCCATCATCAACGGCCACTATAAGGTCGCCTGGATCTCATTTATGAGCCTTGTCTCAATCGCCATCCCAATCCTGGCCGGCGGTGTGTTCATCGCACTGTGGTACCCGAACCACGAAGATATCCGCATTTCCTCGCTAATGCCAGCCTTCTACGCATTGATCGCATTCTGCGGCTTTTACGCCGTCTCCTTCCTGGCCATCTGGCCAGGCCGCCGGCACTACCTCCCACACGATATCACCACCCTCGCCGATCTCATGAGCTACTTCTACCAATCCCCCCTTCTCGCGGATAAGCTCCTCCGTGAGCCGCGCAGCAAAACCGATCTTGTCACCCGCCTCATTGTCGCCCCTCCATCGGAGCGCTTACTGCCTATGTACGGCTTCGGAATTTACGTCGGCCGCGACGGCAAGGAGCATCTTGGCATCGATCGCTTCCATCGCCCTGGGCGAACCGATATGCTGATTACGACTGGAACGATGGAAACCTAAACCCATTGCACTTTATTTCCTGGTTTGTCGCACGATATCATGAGCGGCATTATTTCATCATGAGCGTCTTGTTTTTGTTTTGATTTTGATGATGTTGTACAGCGCGAACAAGGTTGATGTTCTGTTTTTTCATGTCTTTGGACATTTGCCTATTTTGTATCGTGGCATTCCCGGCGTCATACGCGTGTGTACTTCCGTCTTCTGATGTCTCGGTTTCCTGGCGATGAATATGGAGGTGATAGAATAATGACCTAGAGAAAGAAATGATATTATGACCCATACGATTCTGGATGCCCTCTCCTCATCCGCCAAGTCCGATGTATAATGTAGCCGCCATTTGTTGCTGACGCATGCGTAGGGGCCCATGCTCCTTTTCCCTTATGCTGTTACCCTCCGAGGGATGTGGATGCCTGAAAGTCCCATTCGGTTTGAAACTGAAATGCAGCAAATGCTGAAAAAATACCTTGAGGCGCAGTCAGGGCGCTGGAGGGTCTTGTTCGATTCCGACTTCCAAATGCATGATGCAAGGGGGACAAGCTCCCCCAGCACACCTTGCCCGCTGCAGCCCTCAATAGAGACAGGGCACCGCTCATGGAGAAAGCATATGAGAAACTACGCAATGTTGAGCCCGAAATCGTGACAGCCTTTGAGAATTGTGGCCTCGGACCAACAGGGGGAGCATCACTATTATCGACCACTCTATTGGCGTCGAAGGTATACGCTGAATAGTTTCAAGAATCACAACGCGGACCGGGGGACTAAAAGAGGGGACACATATTCCCTGGGCGAGTCAAGAGAAAGGCCCATAGGTACGAACTTATTGACAACTGTTATCACTTTTCCTGGGAGACAGACAACATATCTATCACAAAAGCCGAAAATAACAATAGCCTCACTTCTCTCGGCTATCCACACTCTTCGACCAACGTGCTCCTATCTGCCCATTTCATCCTTTCGGTGGGGTCCCTACTGTAATAACTTGAGTACCGAAATAACAAAATTTGTCAATATCGTCCAGTATGTTTGGCCTTGATGTCGAGGAATATATATGGCATTTTATGTTTCAAAAAGTGCTGAAGAGGACAAAAAGATTCTGGATATAGCAGTACGCCAAGGTGGGTGGAGATCTGGCCCATCCAGTTCGGAGGCATGACTTCCAGAAATGCAGCTTTATTTGGTTGTCACCCTTACTTGTGGCTATCTTTACGATATTCTCTTCATGGTATCCCTCTTCAAAGTAGTTTAGACGGGCGTCGGCTTCAGCAGGGATCTCTAGCAGTAGCGAAGTTACTCGATGGCGAGGCAAGATTTGTTCTTCTTGTTGGACTCTGTAGTTCGATGGAGACTTCAATACTTATAGATTGTACCTCTCATGGTAAATTTCTATTGAAAACCAATCGAAAGCCTCAGGTCGTGTATTTGAAACCCGCATTCTCCTTATCCGTCATATCCAACCAGTCGTGGTCGGCAGCCATGCGACCTTCAATGGCATCCGCGCGCTTCTTGTTGCTGAAATGACAGACAAGACCATACGCTGTAATAGAAAACATTGCAATGATATAGCAGACAATCATCGCCACAGTCCCGCCGGTATATTTAGGGGCTTGATCTGCTCGGAATGTTTGAGGTCCAATAATGTTTCCGGTGGCCCACGCAATGTAGAACCAGGCATATAGTGTAATCCTAAGTATGTTAGACGGAGACTTATGTTTATGGGGAGTTTCTCACTTCTTTGTGTGGCCTGCCACGTTAGCTTGGTATACCGAGACCAGAGTGATGTAGGGAGCCCAGTATGTACTTTGGGAAGTTAGTAAGCATAACGCGCTTTGGGAATCATTTTGGCCTACTATAAGATGCTGTGAAGAATTGAAGTCAGTATAAGCAGACAATTCAATTCATTAGAGAACTTACTATAGCCCAAGGAGCTGACCAGCAAGGTTCGTTTGCGGCAACGCATAACACAGCACAGCACCAAGAAGGGGCAGAAGAATTGAGACTGTCACAATAGCGGTACGATACCGTCTTGTAGTAGCAGCCAAATAAGAGAGACCGATTCCGGATAGAGTACTCATGGCACCAGGAGGCATAGCGAGAAGCGAGGTTTGAAGGGAATCAAAGCCAAGGCCCGAGATGATAAGGGTGTTGAATGTTGTCAACCCGCCATTTGGTACTTGCAAAGCAGCAATGGCTATCCACATTAGCCATGTCTTGATGTCAAAGATTGCTTCCCAGACTTGGTCGATCTTGAAGGTCTTTGACTCGATACCAGTGTTATCAGCTGCTTTGCGTTGAATGACGATGTACTTTTCCCGGGGGTAAGGAACTTGGCTTCAAGAGGGTTGTTTGGCCTGTTCGATCTTGTCAGTGTTATTTCATTCTCTTTTCGACGATGTGGGCATCGTACAATACAAAATACACCACGACGGATGTGACGATAGTGAGAGCTCCAACTACAAGGAAAATAATCTTCCATGTTTCGAATGGCCCATTGTAATACCCAACGGCCCAAGCGACGAAGCCATTGATGATCGGGGCGACCACATTAAGAATGATGCTGCAGATCCACGTCAGTCTATGTGTGTTACTGGCGAGTGCCGAGTCACTTGGTACCTGTTTCTCTTTGGCTGTTCTTCAGGTCGATACCACATCGAGACAACCAATGTGACAGCTGGAATCAACAGTGATTCGCAGCCACCCAAAAGAAATCTACACGCAAAAAGGCCTCCAAAACTGGTGCATGCTGCCATACACATTTCAAGGATGCCCCAACAGAGTACATTGAAAGCGAAGAACGGCACAGCAGGGACTCTAGTAAGTTAGATATGAGTTCGCCATGAAGTTTTCAAATGAAATCACAGAAGGTGTCTCACTTTTGCAAACAGTAGGCCAAAGGACCCATGAATACCAGTCCACCGAAAAATGGTGCTGATCCAATCCATGAATACTGAGCCCCGGTAATATGAAGATCTGTCTTGATGTTGTAAATGGCAGCTGCCGAGATAGCAGTTTTATCAAGCCCTGATAGAGTAGCACAAACGAATAACTATTCCACGTTAGTATTGAAAGGTATTTGCCATGACAAAAAGGGTTCTCACAGTGGGAATAAGTCTCCAATCAATTCTGCGGATCAGTCTCTTTTCTTCCTCAACAGACCAACTTTCACCATCCATTTGATCCGCATAGTCGCTAATGATCTGTGCAGCAATATCAACATGTTTGTTTCGTCCGGCTTTAATGGCTTTGACAGCTGCCTCAGCTGTGACGCGCCCTCCCTTGGGCTCATCGTTGATGGTGACTTGATCAGCAGCCATCTTCTGGTTCTGCAATGTTGTTTGCTCAGATGTTCGGTGTTGGTCCATCTAGTAGAGACCATAGGGTTACTCTTGGCTGACAATATATCCGATGTTCATCTTACCCTTTGAGTTTCGGTTATCAGTAACTTATTTCTCGATAGGCTTATCGCCCCCAACAGTGGCATCAAGCCCACGATCTCGGCCAACCCCCGCGGCCAGTGATTGCCCGTGGACCGCTTATCAACCACCATCGATAACGAGTGGGGGTGCAAGTGGGGCTGATTTTGAGCTGCCCGAGCGGACAAACATTCCATTGGCGGCCATCCCCACGATAATGTATGAGGCCATTTATCAGAGGCTAGGATTGAGCAGAATCTGGTGTCATAGTTGTTGTTTTAAAAGTATAGTGCCTGAGGCGCCTTTGAGGATTAAAGTCGTCGAATGAAACGGCCTCTGAGCTTCCCATTGCATCGCCAAGATGGTGTCCGAAACAGTTGAAGAGAAGGGGCCACTCTATCCTGACTATCTGCGTAAGTCTTATGTCCCAAGACATGAGTGTTTCATGGAATGACACAGAGTATAGCCTTCTATGACCCGCTCGAAAAGGTCGAGATGCTCGGGCCTTTCGAGCACGATGACCCCGGCCATCGAGCAGATCCATCATTTCTGAATCTTTTGGAGAAAGCGACTAACGTTGTGGAATTGAGCCCTCATTGTGGAACAGAGCTTCAGGGAGTTCAGCTTGTGAGACTTTCTGCCCCTTCTATTCCACCCACCCCCAAAAAACTAATGCAGATGGTTTAAGTCGGAGCTTTCAACCCAAGGTCTAGATGAACTGGCCCTCATGGTGGCAGAGCGCGGATGTCTCGTATTTAGGGACCAAGATTTCACCAACCTGGGCTTTGAGAAGCAGAAGAAAATTGCCTCGTGAGTTTACTGCGCTCAATTAGTGAAGGTGTTCTCACAAATTTAGTCATTTTGGCCCCCTTCACAAGCATGGATGGATGCCTCATCCTAAAAATGGTCCTGAGGAGTTTGTTATCGTCTATGATTCCAAGGAGTAAGTCCCAATTTGTATCCTGCCTTTCTGCTTGGTATCTGACACATGAACTTCTACCAAACAGTGACCTGCGAATTCGCAAATCCTGGGCAAGAAAAAGCCCAATTCAGTTCCATGTCGACCAGGTAAGTCTCAACGCTAATGTTCGGAATGAATTAAAAAGACTCACAGGCTTTTTAAATAGTCACCCGAGTCTCAGCCTCCTGGGGCGACATTCTTCTGCATGCTCGAGTCCCCCCCAGGAGCGGGAGGCGACACGATCATTTCCAACGTGAGTCTCGCCAAAGAAAACAAGCAAATTTCAATGCGCTGAAGATGTCCCTTCAGATGACTCGTGCCTTTGAACGTCTTTCACCTTCATTCCGCAGGCGACTTGAAGGCCTCAGGGCCGTCCACACCACGGCAAACCCAATCATGCGCGAGATCCGCGACAACGGCCCAGATTCTGTCCTTCGTCGGCCCATCACTCGAACCATCCACCCAGTCGTAGTCGTACACCCCGTCACCAAAAAGAAAGCGCTATTTGTCAACTCTTCTTATACCCAGAGTATTGTTGGCTGGGACGAGGAAGAGTCAGACTACATGCTGAAGTTCCTGTTCGACCACATCAATCGCGGGCATGATTTCTGCTGCCGCGTGCGATATGAACCCGGTACAGTGGTAATCTGGGATCAGAGAGTGACGCAGCATTCGCAGACTTTGGATTACTCGGCTGGATCTCGGAGACATGCTTTCCGGTTGACCCCCTTGGCTAATGTCCCGATTCCGAGTTTGATAGAGGAAGATGATGGGGAGTGTGCCAAGGATGAAGCAAGGATGATGCTTAATCTCTGCTAGTATTATCGAGTGGTTGTGAATGTTTTTGAATGTTGATATTATTGTCTATTATACTGTCCCGTTCCCCATTAGAGTCTCTACCTTGATGAAAGCGAGATTTGTCAAGCCTTTGACCCCCGCTGCTCCATTTGCCGAAATGCGAGTTGCCCACCGCCATCTCCGAATCCAGTTTTGAAGTTCGGTATGTTCTGCGTCGAATGAGTATTTCAAAAACTCGGGCCTTGATTCACCCTCCGCCTGGTTTGAGGGTGAGACGATTTGTAGAAGATGCACCATAAAGGAACCAGCAATGGCAAAATTAGGTCGACTCCCTGATTACTTCGTTAGATCGGGAACTCTGGCTACTAGATCGAAATACTCACAGCTATGCCAGAATGCATTCCACTGAGCTCCCGTAAGCTTTTCGACGAACTCAACAAACTCCTTCACACATAACAACGCTCCTTTAACAACTGCTTTGGCGCCCTCGTAGATAGCATCCGGCTCCTCTTGATGTATCTTGATAAGTGCCGGCCATTGATCCAATGGTCGTAACAAGGCGCGAAGTAGAGTCACATGCGTGACGATGTATGAAAGATAAAGTGATCCATTCCCATCGAGGTCCTCGCCAGAAACAGCATTAGAGGTTGGACTCAGATTATTTGGCAAATTATCCCGCCAGTCTCTAAGCCTCACGCGCATTGGCCGTGCTAAGTCCAAGGAGTATTGGAGGTCATTGGATGTCTTTCCGATCGCCTTCACCGAATAAAAGGATCTTTGGATATCCGATAGTATCGTGGATAATGTCGCCAAATGATGTATATGACTCTGTGTATCCGGGGAGTCCGACAATGTATCTTGTATATCTTCCTGCTTGAGCATAGACACATCGTAATCATCATCACACAAGTGGCTGGGCATTCCTCGTGCCAGGGCGACCCACTTCTCCATGGCATAGAGACCCCACCAGAGTCGACGCCGAAGCCTTTTCTCCCAGGGCGGAATAGAGGTCCATGATCCTGCATCTCTGTGAAGCCCGACGGTTTGAGCAACGGCCAGGGAGGTTGAAATGAGTGACCATGCAAAAGCGGTATCTGAGAGATACATGTTCGTTGGAAGTCGCTGTTGAAGGAGAAGACAGGCTTGAAGCGTTGCGAGAGAAGGTGCGTGAAGTTCTTGCGATACGCAAAGCCAGCAAAGACGATATATTTGCTCACCAGAGGGAGGGTTTAGAAGTAATGTGTAGAGACTATCGTCATACATGACGAATTGCAGCGAGGTGGCGCAGATTGCGGATAATAATGCCAATGGCATTTTACTCAACTCGGTTGGTGATGATGGGATTTGATGACTGGATAGAATCGGAAAGTAAGGGTCGACATAGCGCGAATACAGCTTGATGAGATGCCACGCTTCAGTGGGATTCATCATAGCCCATAGGCGAGGCCATGCATTATCCGTAAGCTGTGGATCAAGATTTGGCTCCACTTTCTCAAGGAGAGAATGGTCGGTGATACCGAAAACAGTAGGGGGGAGAAATCGACTGTTTCCCTCTGTTTCTGACATGGGTTGTCCATGATTCGATATTTTAAACCATTCACTTTTGGTATTGAGACATTCTGCTCGTTGTAGGGCTGGTGGCTTAGGATATGGATATCGGAAACTCCGGTTGGCCCAATATAGAAACTGAATGCCCCTGGAATATGTTCAAGGGAATCTATTGGATAAGGCGAGTCACTGGATGCTAGTCGTTTTTGACTTGGTGGAGATCTTCCCGGACTGAATGAGACGCTGTTTTGCGCGTCGAGCCTGGCCGTACCATCTTGGCTGAGAGCTGAATGGCTTGTCTGTGGGATTCTTGGTTCCAACTCTAGAATAGTACCCAGAAGGCCCTCCTCTGGCGATAAAGCTTCATCTCTGTTCCCATTGCTCGGTCGGCTCTCGTTTAAAAGATACAGCCACCCGTCAGGATCTTCGCAATTCTCAAGTGTTTCAGTCGATTGGCATAGTCTAGCCCTCTTTCGCGGTCCTGGGCCCTCTTCAAACGTGCATTGTTGATCTTTGCCGGTACATCGATGGCATGGCGGTCCATTGGGCATGTCACAGACGACTTTACGTCTGCGACAAGCGTCGCAAGGCCGACATTTTCGAGACTTGTATAAACGACCATTCAGGACCGGAGCAGAGGCTGAACATTCCATTTTAAAGTCAAGCTAGGAAAATATTGAAGGGAAAGAATAAAGGATGAGTAACAAAGGGGTCTTATCTCCAGCACTGACGCTTGCTTATCAGAATCAAGCGGGGGCGGATTTCCCCACTTTTGTAGGCTCAGACTCTGGATCTCAGATATATTGACTTTGTTACTGCTTAATCCCTTCACAGTGTCGCCTCTAAATCCAATAATGCTTTCAGATGTGGACTTGATAGAGCTGCGTCCGCCACGGTGTCGTCCATCGGCAACAGTGGAAGCCGGGGTCTATCTCCATACCCAAAGCGACGATGTAACAACTTCTTCATCCCCGAAATCTGCAGTAATCTCAGCGTAGGAACCGGGAAATATCAAATTGTCTGGGGTTCACTCACTCCAATACTTAGTGCCACTCCATCTGCAAGAGCAATCAAGTTCTGTAACTCATGTGCTTCTTTGCTGGACGCGCTGTCTTGGCACAGAGTCCACAGTCTCACGCAGGATTTCTGACCGCTCGTCAATTATTTGCCAATTTCGTCCGAATCATTGCAGACGCTTACCGGTGCTATATTTGGCAAACCACTAATCGCGCCCGCTGCTCCAACCGAAATGGATGGTAGCAAGAAGTCAATAAAGCCATCGATGGCCCGAAACGGGGACGCTGACGACCGAGGGAAAGCGCTTTGGAATTCTGGTCTCGAAACTTGAGCCATGATTCGAGTCAACTTCCCCACATTAGCGCATCTGCAGGGCTATGTTAGCCAAATCGATTAGAAGTAGAGGATGGAAACGAACGTCAGTTTCACACCGCAAACATTGGCGGAAGACTTGATTATCTGCACTATTAGATCGCTATCCATGTCAATTCCTCCTGACACGGCAGGGAAATTGTATATGATGCTGCATGGTATTAGGAGCCTGTCATTTTGAGGACCGGGGTAGTACAGACACTGGCAAGGGCGATGTATCTGCGATATCCACGAAAAACTTCTTAATCGCGTTGGAATCCGCCGAAAGGGCTCCGGCATAGTACCCTGGGGGTATAATCATCACATAATCTGCGCCAGCTTCTGCAGCATCTGTGCAAAGTTGAATAGACTCGCGGGTACTAGCTCCTCCAGCACCTGCAACAATTGGAATGCCCTGCAGACTCATCTCATCAAGCGCGACACGAGTGAGTCGTATAAGGGTCTTCTTCTCTTCGCGGTTCTAGAATTAGATAATTCATTAATTTTTGGAGACTTGTTGTCGTGGGAGAATGATTCTCACCAAATGAATAGCCTCGCCCATAGACCCAGATACTACTGGGATGGTTCCGGCATTCACAATGACTTTCAACCTCGTTAATTATTGGAACAGCTCTACAAGTTTCCATGCTCATACATTTCACATGTCTCTGGAAAGCCTGGACATCTTTACATCACATTAGCTACCCTATAGTTCCATTTATACCAGGTCAATCTCACCAATATCCTCATTATCGCTGAAGAAACATGGCAAAGGCGTATAAATTCCCATAGGTAGTGGCCGCATGTTTGGTGGCTGATATTCGAGTGTGCGTGGCAAAGTATCTGGTAAGCAGTCTTCGGCGAAGGAGAATGTGTAGTCTATCACTTTTTCTTCGCCACTTTTTGACATTGAAAATTAGACTTTTTCTTAGAATGGTATCTGGATAAACCGATAAACGTGAAGCAAAGATAGGAAGCTTGGGCGATATCGTGAGTGCGGCAGACCTGCTTGGCGCGCGCAGCTTATCGAATCGATAGTGACAGCCCACAAGACACCGTTATCTATGTGGGTACCTTCATCTAGTCTTTATCGACTCTACATTTGCGTTATGGGTCCTCGTGATCTAGGCTTAGCTTTTTTTTGCAGGGTGGAATGTAAATCTTGTGATACATATCAAAGAAACCAATCATGGATATCCTGACTTTCAGTCACTAAAAGTTCCTCTTTTACATATGCAGAATAGCCTTTATAGAATAACCATGTGGTATGTTTTCAAATGTTCAACCGAATTAACATCTTGAATTAATGTTACAGCACAAATCGGAATAACGGGCTATTCTCTCCCATCTCTCCTAGCTCCTCGGTAGTGTATGTTCTCTCAATTTCACCAACATCCAACCCATCCCGTCGCTTGTTTTCCTTGCGCATCAAATACCAGTGTACAGTAGCGGGGATCATTGCGCCGAGCACAGTTGCACCGACTGAGAAGCCAAATCCGAGAGGGTAAGTAGGCGCCTACGAGATGTTAGCCAGACTTGATTTTAAGTTTTCAGATCCACTGACCTCGCTAGAAATATAGATATTTGATCCAATACTTCCACCCCCGACACTGCCGAAGAGCATCAGAAGACCAATAGCAGCGGCTCGTTTGGAAGGATTCGGGATGTTTGAACTTGTCCATGCGCCGACCTGCATTCAATGATCAGTCGAGGTTTCAGACTTGAATTTCAAAAGCAGGACTTACCATCGGAGCTTGGGCCGCATATCCAGCCGCAGCCAAGAAGATAGCAAAGTAGCTCACGCCGGGGAGAGAAGGATAGTGAACTGTGATCCACAAAATAATGATACCACTAAATTATTTCAATTAGCACGATTCTCCATCTTGGCTCAGATCCACCTACATCAGACCCAGGGTATAGGCGCCCATGATGCATAGATAACGTTGCTGCTTTTGATCGCTGATGTATCCAACAGCAACGCAAACGCCTGTGGCAAATATGTACGGAGGCGTGGTCAGGGCTTGCGCTTTCACCGCAGTATACCCCAAGTTTGCGACCATAGTGGGCAATGTGTAAGACAGGGAATACGTAGGCACGGAACCGCCCCACCAAAACAGCATCATCCTTAAGGGGAATTAGCTATAAGCGGTCAATGAAATTTCAGATTGAACTTACATGAAATAAGTTTTCCGATCCTTTGCAGCCGAGATCACATCACTCCAGCGGAAAGTATAAGTGGAAGACACCGGGCCATTGGCATACTTGACACGGAGAGAAGCGTATTCAAGTTCCTCGTCAGTAAGCCATTTGGTACGTTTGCCTGCTTGATATTGATGAGGGAACGCGCTGGTAATGTCCAATTAGTCTGCTTTCTGACGAAATTAATGCGGAGTTGGTGGTCTCACGGCAAGCAGAATAAGCACAAAAGCCCTGCAACGATGGTGATGCATCCTTCAATGAGAAAAAGCCATCTCCAAGCTCTCCAGCCAAGATTTCCATCAAGGGACCCGACACCGTAGGCAATGACACCGCCAAACGCACCTGCAGTGGTGTTCGCACCGTAGAAAATGGCCATGCGCGTGCCGATCTCCTTCGGTGTATACCACATGGAGAGAATGAAGTAGGCTCCTGGGTAGAGTCCAGCCTCGGTAATTCCTAGCATCAAACGAATCACAATGAAGCCAGCATAAGAGCTTGCTTGCGAGGTGAGAGTTGTAATGAGTCCCCATGCACACACAATGAAGGGAAACCATATCTTGGGGCCAACTCTTCGAAGCATGATATTTGATACTGGCTCAGCGAGGCCGTAGGTGAAAAAGAAGTACATAAGGGCCAGGTTATACTGGGTACCACTCATGCCAAGGTCCTCCAGGAGGCCGAATAGCTATAGATGGAAATGATTTAGTTTTTTGGGAAGGTGGGGGGTGGATAAACTCTAAAGGGTAAGGCATGGGCTAACCTTGGCATTGCCTGCATTGGATTTATCGAGCGAACACATCAAATATAGAAAACTCAGTGTTGGAAGTAGGCGTAGGTCCACTGAGTTCAAAGTGAGCAAAGGGATATATTATTGTTGCACGAGTCTTACATTTCCTGAGCAATTTATTCTTGGAAAGCCCACTGAACACATTCTCAAGGTGAAGAAAGCGTTCGTACTCCGCTGCCAAGTTTCCATCGGACACGGTAGCTACTGCGTCACCTTTCTTCTCCGTGTCAGTCATGGAAGATGGTGAGGTAGAATTAGTCAACTCCATAGTGAGACACAGAAATTAACTTCTAACTCGACTCTGAATTTATCTATCGCGAGGGAAAGGGAGCTTTTAAGAGACTTTGAGAATTCCCTTGGATATCTCTCCAGGCTTAGAGCGTGAAATATCCCAGAAGTTAAGAAGTAGGTGGTTGGTTGGATCTGATATTGTGTACAAGTGCACGGGTCTCGTCGAATCATCGAAGTCCACTGCAGCTAAAGCGACCAGAAATAACCTTATCTAAATGTAATTCTATTGGTCTTCTTTGGCCGCTCTGGGAGGATAGCACTGATAAGGAAAGTGTGGGGTTTATCGGAGCTTCGCCGAGCTGGCCGAACGGCCAACTCTATCAATGTGGTACTTGAGTTGTAGATTGCGAAGTACCAGCGTTTGAACTCCTTCCAGATGCTCTTCAAAGGGTTTTATAAGCCTTAGACTCAGCTGGGCCATCCAAATTGGCCAAACGGCGGTTGTTTGAGTGGACGACAGAATGTCGAGCATTACAGTCATTGCCCCGGGCACAATCACACGAGAGAAGAACGAAGATGGCGACCCTCTGTACCCTAGTTACATGCGTCAGTCTCGCTAAAGGCTTTCCATGAAAACCGTGGAGTGAAGGCTAAACTTTAACTGAACAGCATTTTACGATCCTCTCGAGAAAGTAGAAGACATCGGTGCTTTCGAGCATTTCGATCCTGGTCACCGCGCTGATCCTAAGTTGCCCAATCTTCTGAAGAACGCGACTAAAGTTTGGGACCTATCTCCTCATGTGGGAACTGAGGTTCATGGAGTTCAGCTCTCTCAACTCGACAGCGCCGGCTTGGATGAATTAGCCCTTCTTGCAGCGCAGAGAGGCGCCTTGGTATTCCGGGATCAAGACTTTGTGGATATCGGCTTCGAGGCACAAAAAAAACTTGTCAGTCATTTTGGTCCTCTGCACATCCACGGTTGGGCCCCTCATCCTGCTGCGGGATCCAAAGAACACATGATTATTTACGATCACAAGGAGTAAGGATGATTAATTCTTCACGAAGGCTACAAGTCCGAAATAACTAACACTCGTCCTAGTGATCTCCGAGTCCGCCAATCTTGGGCGGGTCGTAGCCCAGTTCAATGGCACACAGACCAGAGTCCCGAGCAGCAACCCCCCGGTACCAGTTTCATTGCTATGCTCGAGTCCCCAGCTACCGCTGGCGGAGACACTCTTGTGAGTTCTAGCGTGAGGGCATACAGCAGTCTCTCGCCTCGCTTCCGCAAGCGCCTTGAAGGCCTGACAGCTATTCACACAAACAATGACGGTGTCAGTCAAGAGCTCAAGCACGGTCAACAAGCCGTGATGCGGCGCGGAGTGCTTCGGGCTGAACACCCTGTTGTACTTGTTCATCCTGTCACGAAGCAGAAAGCCCTTTGTAGGTTTTTCTTAGGCATTCTCTCACAGCTTTGTCTTCTCTAACAACGATCTGTTAGATGTTAACCCAGTTTACACAAAGAAAATCGTCGGTTTTGACCAGGAGGAGTCAGACTGCATCCTCAAGTTCCTTTTCGATCACATCGCCAAGCGACAAGATTTCTCTTGTCGGATCCGTTATGAAGCTGGCACTGTGCTTGTGTGGGACCAACGAGTCACTAATCACTCGCAGACTCTTGATTACCCAGTTGGAGATCGTAGACACGGTTTTAGATTAACTCCTCTGGCGAACAAACCAATCCCGGTTAAGATTGAAGAGGATGACGGGGAATGCTCAAGGGATGAGGCTCGGGTACAGTTGAACATGTGTTGACTAAGGGATGGAACGACAAGGGCTTCACGGTTACAGGGGAATATGTGGGTAAATGGTCCTAGAGAGGATGAGGTCTGAGCACAGAAATGGAGAACTTGGGATTACTCCACTTACTCCATGCGGGGACTGTACTCCTTATGCGCCAGACCAAATGATGGTGGGTGAGAAAAGAACAAATTTAGTCTGCCTAGTGTCTACCCGACCCCGTTGTCTTGCAATTCTCTTACCCCTAATAAACTACACCCTATAAACAGAGGTCCGCATCTGGTAAACGATCAGAGTAATTTTAGCCAGAAAATGGGCTCAGACAGTACTCACATTTGTTGACCGGCGCTAGCGTGTTGTATTTATTGAGGTGGATATCACTTAGGCTCTCAAGCTAGGAGGACACCCTGGTCAGGCTTAATGAGCAAATCAGGGCACTCAGGTTGGGCTCAGTAGTTAAGTTAAGTGGACTTTACAATTATGTAATACTCACCGAGAAACTCAAGGGCTCTATCACGTGATAGCTTCATTCCCAGATTGAGAGATCGGAGGCCATACTCTTCACGTGATGAATCTCAAGAATCTTACTAAGTCAGATTGTTACGCTAGCGGTATATATAACAGGTATTGGGACGACACTCCGCCTCCGCAGTTTTGCGGCACCATCAACACCGCCTCCAGCCGATCGACAAGACCCTAATTTGTCAAGAGTGACATGATTTTCTTTGAGCTGCCAGCTCTGCATATATCTTCCTGGCATCATTGATCCTCTTCTTCTGACACTTTCCGGCGTATCAGCATCTGGCCTTGACGAGTTACACCTCCGCAACCCATCCCATCCTGCGTTGCTCTCTCGGGAACAATGGTCTCCTTCTTCAGCTGGGGCTCCAGCTCCAAATCAGACTCAGACACCCCGAAGCCTCAGGGTCAATCAACATCAGATTCTGATCAGAGTGCATCAACACCATCCTCCCCCCACAGCCGCCCTCCCAGCCGCCGCAATTAGCGCAACAATTCGCGTCCCAAGATAATACCAACCTCAAACTGTTCTGCGGAGGCTTGGCCTTCTTCGCCCTCTCTCTATACATCACCCGTCGTGCGACTATCAGGAGGCGCCTCGCCTGTATGCCCCCCTTCTACTCAAGCTCGGTATACTTTCAACCCAATGTGAATGGGGCCATGGAAGCTTTCGAGGCCCTGAACCTGGCTACGATCAATGTGATCTCGTTCAGCATGATGGCCTCGGGTGGAGTCATGTGCGCTCTCAACGTCAATAGCTTAGAGGATATGCGGAAGGTCATGCGCGGGAGTTTGGAAGGAGTTGCGGCTGGCAAGTCCGATGAGGAGCTGGAGAAGGAGGTGGCCGAGTGGGTTTCCAGTGTACTTGGTGACCGGTTTGACAAGCAGCTGGAGAAGGAGAAGGCGAAAAAGCGAACAGTGGACCCCAAAGAGGAGACAAGTTGATTGGGTCACGGGGGACCTAGTTGTTTGGATACACTCTGCTCATGCTTATCAAATGATATGACCCTGTACAATACTTTGCATTTTGATATACTTGAGCATGGCCATCTGGCGTTGTTGCTACAATAGCATCATGATGAACAAGAAAGCGTCGCGTGGATGGGTCAGGCGTTGTTGGCGTTGCTGCAAACCAGAATGATCCCAGGATATCAGTATTGTACAATGCTCCTCCATGTAAACCAGAGCCTCCATATGTAGACGATCACCGATTCATCTGATCGTAGCGCTGGCGAGCTGTCTCCTTTGTCTTCTCCAAGAATTCATCATATCGGCCACGGGTATTCCGTCCTGCTTCTTCAACTGCATCTCCAAGTTTGCCTCCTTGTGCTCCCAGCCCCACGCCCTGCGCATAGACCTCGGTGGCGATAGGCGCAGTCACACCAGTACCCTGAGCACCCAACCCTGAGCCTACTGACCAGCCCATCTTGCTGAGCAGTGAGGCCCCCTTCGAATTAGTCTGCACTAACGGTTCTTCCTCATCCTTCGGAGCGGCTGGCTTTTGTCGAGGTCCGGCCTTGGTACGACCAAACGCCTGGCGGCGTTCCCTTGCACGGTCACGATATTCGGATGAAGATTGCTGGATGATTCCATGCTTGATGAGCTTGGCCATTCCCCGTGCCTTCGCCTCCTCGTTTTGCAGGTACTCTCGGTGGAGCTGGCTAAGCCGTTCGTGCCGGTTGACATTAGCTGAACTTTTGAATTGGCGCATGCAGAGATAGCAGCAGTTCCGGTTCAAGTCGGCATATGATTGAGCAGGCGGGGCGCTTGGTTCTGTTGCACCATCCACGGGGTTCTCATCGCTGGCCTTTGGTATACCGTGGAGCTCAGCATGGCGGTTACTCCAAAATTGCAGGTGTGATGGCACGGCGAGCTTTTTTGCATTCGCACTTGCTGCAACATCAACCTTATCAGCCTTCCTCTTCTTTGCTTTGTCGGATTCCTTAGTTCCCTTGGCTTCATGGTGTTGTTGGCCCCCAGACTTGGTGCTTTTGGGTTGATCTTGACCAACATCGTCTTCGTCTGATGTAAGCATCAGCTCAGTCACATACCCTTCGTCATCCCAGTACATGAGTTTAACGGAAGGATTTGACAGTGGGCTAAAAGTGAAGTGGGCCGTGCTAGGCTTAGGGTCCATAACTGGTACGAAGACACCGGCATGGATATAGCTGACCATGACCGGTCTAGACGAGATGGTGAACTTTTCGAATGAGTTCAACCTAGTCATGGCGGCTTGAGCATCCTGCAAAATTGTTGTAAGCGGATAGAAGAAGGTGAGCGGGTGATTGATCTCAGCATACCATCACATTCGCGAATTCAGCAAATCCAAAGCGCCAGCTATCATTGGTTTTTCTGTCACGAACCAGCAAGACACGCCGGATAGAACCCTCCCGAGCTCCAAGATTTGAATCCCCAGTTGTCGACGCCACTTTGGCCCCTTTCTTCGGGTTGTTCGAGGAAACAATATCATTGCTTCCCGCACTGGGTCGGTACAGCTTCGCAACACCTTTTGCCAAAAGTTCTTCTGACACGGATGACTCCAAGCCTCGGAAAAGGAGAAATTGAGATGGTTGATTTTCGGGGGCGGCATCATTGTCGCCATTATTCACAACTTTCGGTGCAGGAACACCCGGTGGGCCAGTGGGAGCCACCTCTGCAGCTCGTTAGCAAAACCATGCCAGTACCATTGAAAGTGTAAACAAACCAGGCCGGGGCGCATTGCAGCGGAAGCACTTTGGACGAGTTGCAAAATTGACGACAGCACACTGAATCTAGCTGTCAGCTTCATATTCACGCCCACGTTCCGATATGAGTGATCCTACCATCCGACAGGTCCAGTCGCCTTCTGCTTTTACTCGAGCTCTGTCTTCTCTCTCACGACTGTACGCAATGCGAACTCTGGTGCTTCGATCGTTATCTCCGGCACTCGGGCCATAGAGATAGATGTATGGGTGGTTCGCTTCGAGGAAAGCCCTTGACTCGTTAATAGAGTGAAATCGAAGGAATCCCAGCTGTCGCGACACCTCTAAACAACAATTTGTATCAATACAAAGCCCCTTTCGCAGGTGTTGTGATCTCTGGACTCACTCGTGTGTCGATCTCGAATTACTCTTATTTCCTCCAGGCCGATTATATGGTAAGCATTTTCTAGCTCAACTCCGATCTATCATATCAGACCGAGGGTCAGCGCGTCGTACTAGAGACCGGAGCTAGGAGAACACCAAAGCTCCGCTTTGCACTGGTATCCATCCAACTCACATCGTCTTCCGACATATCCACGGGGAATCCCTCCATCATAATTTCCCGACTCTCTTGGCCAAAGCTGGACTGCCCTCGACGAGGGCTGCGACTGCGACTGTAGCTCCCTCCACGGCTATATCCTGGGGACCGGTATCCCTCGTGATCACGGTCTCTGTATCCTTGTCTTCCTCGTCGTGGAGGCGATCCCGGGGATCGGTGACGGTACTCATCTCGATCCCGGCCTCCATAGTGCGGTCTGGCATCTCGGTCCCTAGAGTACTCGCCCCTGCGATCAGCCGGTCGTCGGGGAGGGGAGCGAGAAGGGTCTTTATTTCCCAAAGCCGATGGAAGAAGATTAGCCACAACTCAAAACTCAAAGGGGAGACTCGGGCTTTCTCCGAGTGTGGCCATGGCTCAAGCACCATTTTCATGCGGGGAGGAGCGTATACCGCCAGGCGAACGTGAGCGAGAGCGGTCGTCATACATGCGGCCGTCCCGATCCTCACGGGGAGGGTATCCCCGGCGAGATGGACCAGAATGCTGTCTGCTATCATCTGGATAAGGATGCGCCATCTTGAATAGACATCGAAAGTGTGGTGAGGGGGCGAAAAGGCGCTTGAGAAAGAAAGCTCAAGCTGCACTGATACGCGATAGCTCACGGCAGAATTCTGACCGCCTCCATAGTCCTTAATTGGGGAGCGTTCGATAAATGGAAAGACCCCAAAGGTTGAAGCGACTCAGGTGTATTTATAGCTCTTGTCAAATCGAAAGTTCCTCATCATCCATATATGCCTAGGGAGTGACAGTCTATATTGCCAGTACGATACATATTTACTCTTATGGACAGATTTGGATCTAAATGGGCTAAATTACCGCTGCGACTTTGGAGACAAATAGGTATGCAATCTTTGAAGGCACCTAATTCCCGGCTGTTGTATTATCCAGTACAGAGCTTAAAACGACAGTCTAGCGTCTCAATATATTTATACACCGGTAGCTTGCTCGTATTATTGATCCCTTTTCGAGGCTGCAGCGCGCCGCCCCTCGGCGGGCCCCTCGTTGTTGCACCATCTCGAGGGACCACCCAGTACAGGGGTGGGCACGATCCACCACCTCCCGGAGAGCCAGGACGTATGAATTCAACCCGGCAGCTCATGTTGCAGTCAGGATGACAGATACCCTAGTAGGCGCGACCAGACCCAACCGATTGGCGCCAGATATCAGCTATTTAAGAGGTGGTTCTCCACAGTGCCCCGCGGTGGGATGCAATGTGTTAGCCGTGATATGGGCGATTGGCTGCCAGTTCTTGGGACCCACGGCCTCTATTTACACGGGTGGGCAACCCCTTTGTTTCAGTTTGAATCTTCCAACTACTCTTCCAACTGGAAACCGATTGCACCGCTCCCATTGCTGCCATCTAGATACACCATGTCGCTGTCTGCAAAGCCAAATCACCGCGCCTGGTGGAAAGAGTGCTCGGTATACCAAATCTGGCCCGCCTCATTCAAAGATTCGAACAATGACGGCGTCGGTGACATTCCTGGCATCATTTCCCAGCTCGACTACATTATGAACCTTGGGGTGGATATGGTTTGGTTATGCCCCTCGTATAAGTCCCCGCAGGTCGATATGGGCTACGATATCGCCGATTACTACAGTATTGCCGACGAGTATGGCACGGTCGCAGATGTCGAGAAATTGATCCAGGGATGCCACCAACGCGGAATGAAGCTTCTTATGGACTTGGTAGTCAATCACACTAGCGACCAGCACGAGTGGTTCAAGCACTCGCGGGGATCCAAAGACAACGAGTATCGGAACTGGTATATCTGGAAGCCTGCACGCTACGATGAGCAGGGAAACCGCCATCCTCCGAACAACTGGGTTTCTCATTTCCAAGGTATGGGACGGATATATTAGTTATTCAGCCACACAGGTACTTACTGTGAGCTTTTAGGTAGTGCGTGGCAGTATGACGAGCTCACAGACGAATACTACCTTCATCTGTACGCCACCGAGCAGCCCGATCTCAACTGGGAGCACCCGCCAGTGCGCAAGGCTGTGCATGATATCATGCGCTTTTGGCTCGACAAGGGCTGCGACGGGTTCCGCATGGACGTGATCAATTTCATCAGCAAAGACCAACGCTTCCCTGACGCGCCAGTGAAAGACCCGCGAACCCCCTGGCAATGGGGAGATAAGTACTATGCTAACGGGCCACGGCTGCACGAGTACCTGCAAGATGTGGGAAAGATTCTCAAAGAATATGATGCCTTTAGTGTTGGCGAGATGCCTTTCGTGAAGGATGAGGGAGAGGTGCTTCGAGCTGTGCAGTTTGACCGCAACGAGATCAATATGATTTTCAGCTTTGAGCACGTGGATATTGACCATGGAACGTTTGACAAGTTTGAGCCTGGCAATTGGAAACTGACTGATCTCAAGCAGTTCTTCCAGCGGTGGCAGACGTTCATGTATGAGCATGACGGCTGGAACGCTCTCTATTGGGAGAACCATGATCAGCCGCGATCAATTGACCGCTATACGAACGCAAGTGAGGAGCATAGTCTCATCGCATCCAAGATGTTGGCCACTGCATTGGCACTGCAGTCTGGCACACCTTTTGTGTACCAGGGACAGGAGCTAGGGATGCGCAACGTTCCACCATCTTGGGGCATCGAGGAATACAAGGATATTGACTGCCTCAACCACTGGAATAGGCAAGTCATTCCGCAACTTTGTGTCTAGAAACCGTTGCTAAGTAGTACCGTGCAGGTTGATTACGCATAAACACTTCGACACCAACGCCCAGCAAGTCGCTCTTCAAGAGTACCAGAAAAAATCCCGAGATAATGCGCGCACTCCAGTCCAATGGTCTGATGCTCCCAATGGAGGGTTCACTGGCCCTAACGTCAAGCCCTGGATGTCCGTCAACGACAACTACGTCCAAATTAACGCTGCAGCCGAGGTCAAGGACCCCAACTCTACTTATCACTTCTGGGCGTCTGTGCTCGCTTTGCGCAAGAAGTATCTGGATATCTTTGTGTACGGTGATTGGAAGATTGTAGATGGTCCGAGCCAAGAGGTGTTTGCGTTTACCCGTCAGTACGAGGACCAGAAGGCTTTGGTTCTGTGTAACTGGACTGAAAAGAACGTGGCTTGGGATGCGTCGAGCAATGGGATCTCTGCAGTCAAGAGTGTGCTTTTGAACAACTACGAGGGAACAGCCGAGGCTTCGAAGCGCTTCTGCGGAGGAAAGTACGCACTCCGACCTTATGAGGCGTTCGTTCTGCTTGTGTAAACGCGGCCGTGGCTGTTCGATGCAGATCTGGAAGTCAAGGATAGATTGAGAAGATGATAGACCATAGATATCTCCAAAGAGCCCAGGGAACTCCTTCTACAACTTGTGACTTTCCCCTCGATATATTGCGCCGTTCGGTGGTTTCCGCCACTATCGGGTTTCACTTATCCACCGCTTCCCCGCGATCGATAGGAGCCGCCTTGCGAAACATTTCAGTCACTCAATCTCAACACTCCCCTCAACACCCACACACACATGCATACACGATGACAACCGAGGAAGCCTCTGTTCCCGCACACCTAGACCCATCCACGTACCCACGCATCCGCCACGATGCTGCGCAAAACATCCACCTCACGCTCACCTATTCCCCGCTCGACCCGAACACCTATCTTGCGCAGACATCCTCTCCCGCTGCAGGCGCAAATACCCTGTTCCTCGGAACGACACGCGATACCTTCGAAGGCCGCGCTGTCTCTCAATTGAGTTATACAACATACCCGCCCCTTGCGTTGAAGACACTCACGGCCATCGCGGAGGCCGCCGTGAGCAAGCATGATCTCAAGGGCCTAAGCATTGCGCACCGCCTCGGAATAGTGCCCATTGGAGAGGCCTCTATTGCGATATCTGTGAGTGCGGGACACCGTGCTGCAGCTTGGAGGGCCGGTGAAGAGGTCTTGGAGGCCTGCAAGGAGAAGGCGGAAATATGGAAGCGCGAGGAATTTATTGACGGTGGGATGGAGTGGAGGGCTAATGCTGATCGTGACGCGGAGGGGAATCTTGTTAAAAATGATGGCCCTTAATACAAAAGCACTTGTGCACTGGGGTATCGTGTGGGCGTTCGATGGTGGCCTCTTAGTGCTGGCCTGTTACTTCCGTATGGAGCTATGGCATTGGTCTGCCGGGAGTCCGTGGAGAAGGCTATACCATATGGCATTGGAGAACCGTTGGATAGTGTCCAGTGAGTAGGGTATTTAGATTTGGCAATGATATAATACAATTTTCATACACGCAGCTGGAGGCGATCACTCGGTCTTCAAAGGCCTTCCCTCTCTCTTCCAGTCGTTGATGTGCTCCACAATAACCTTGGACGCAGACTCGGGGGTATCCTGTCGGCCAATGCACTCAACAAAGTCGTTATCGGGATCTATTGCGACAAGTCAGTTCAATGTCAGAGGTTAATCGAACAGTATATCTCACCCATCAGGTAGAAGTAGATGCTGTGGTCGACCAGGTAATCCTCGCCAGGCTTCACGTCCTTAGGTGTGCTGAAGTACACACGGTACTGGCGGCAGACGTTCTTGACCTGCTCGTAGGTGCCCGTCAAGCCAACAATGCCCGGGTGGAACTCCTTCAGATATTCCCGCAGGACCTCGGGGGTATCACGGACGGGATCGCAGGTAATGAAAACAGGCAGGAAAACCTTGTCGTCCTTGGTCGACTCCTTGACTTTCTCAATGATCTCGGCCATCTTGTCCAGCTCGTCGGGGCAGATATCGGGGCAGTGGGTGAAACCGAAGTAGACCTGGTGGAGTAGGGAAAAGAAACTTAGTGCTCATAAATCGAAAATGAATTCAAGAGGCATGGGTGAGCTCACAAAGCTGTATTTTCCCTTCAGATCCTCCTCTGTGAACTCCTTTCCGTCCAGATCCTTGAGTACGAATGGACCGCCAACCTTTGGCCTCCCAACACCCTTGCTCATCTCAGCAATACGCTTCCGTTCTAGACGTGCCTTTTCAACACGGAAATAGATCATCATACCAGCGCCCGTGAGCACAAACAACAGCGCGGCCTTCCACGAGAAAGGACCGGTCGAGTTGCGCTGGCGCAGCTGACCCATTGTCTTTGCACGAGCTCGGAATGCAGTTGTGGAGAAGTTATTGCGTACAGAAAAGCCATTCGGGATGCTCTGGGTGCACCGAGGCCGCTGCGCTTGCGTGTAGGAGCGGCATAGTGACCGGCTGGTGGTGCGGAGTGCGGGTAGAATGCGATGCGAAGGGGCAGATTCAATGGCGAAGAGGTTGCGAGTGGCTCCGCTGAGAATGCCGGAGGCCAGTCGCAGTGAGGATGACATTTTCTTGGTCGTTTGGGTGTTTGGTACGGTGGAAAGAACCACAGGTTGGCGGTTGGTGACAGCGTTGAGAATCGCCAGATGGACGCCAGATTGGGACTAGTCACTGGAGGCCTCAGGCATCACACAAATGCATACCTGCCCTTTCTGCGATATTTTACCGCTTTATCCATCATGTATAGACTTTTAGTACCCTTGCTACAGCCAAGTGCAAAACCAGCTTCACCTTTCTCTTAATTCTGGGCCCCACCGCCAACATATTAGCTTGAGAAATAGGAAAATTAACATGGAACCTTATATGGTACGTCATGAACACTCTGCTTCCTATGGCCATGGATTGTCGTGTAGAAATGCGTGCCCTTCACTGTATCCTAGAGATCACGCGTGGTGGTATCCAGAGGCGGAGGGTGGGATCAAGGTAGCTCAAGGTTACTAGTCAGCCGGTAGGAAAGAAGGCCACCGGACTAGAAAGGCCTTTTGAGGGCCTGGTGGACATCCTTTAGCCTCATCTAGTCACGTGAATGAATGTTACGGTCAAAGGATAATCGGGTACAAATCATAGTCCACTGAAATGCACCTAGTTTCTACATAGCGCCTTGGCAGTGGGGCCTATACTGAATCTATGAGCGTGGAGTGGTGAAGCTGGTTTTGCACTTGGCTATATCATAATAAAGATCCCTTTACGCTCAGGAAAACTCACAAGAAACTTAATATACTAGTCTCTAATATAGAAATTACCTGTCAAGACAAAGGAGGACTAAACTCTAGGCAAATACATGATCTCTAGACCAAAAATACACTATAGGCAGCATTCTTAGTCTATACCGTCATTTATTGCTCCGACACTAGCTACCTTACTGTACCATCAAATGGTAGTGGGTGGGCGAGAAACTACGGCTAGCCCCGTGGGGGCCATAAGGTGAAAAGTTTTCTTGGCTTTATTTTGTTTCCTTGACTAACGCTCGCTAGATATATTGGAGGTTTCTCTCCCTTATACCCGCTGGATATCTCTCAACAAATTGTTCGCAAGACTCCCCTTTTCTCTGCCCCACCTCTTTCCCCTTATCAAGAATATCTGGTCTCGCCACAGCCTCATTCCAATTGTGCTACGGAGGTCTTCAGGGGCTTCCACTTAGCAATCCAGTCTGCAACGCTGTAGCTTGGCTTTGTTCTACCATCAGATCGGACTGCTGGTGATACAAAGGCTTGACCGTGAAGGCAGAGCCTACCAAACCATTCGACCAAGCAAACAAAAGCTTCGTCCCGGTTGAACCCATTGTCCAAACATGTCGTTGGACATAGCCAAAGGCGAGGTATCTCATGATTACCAGAGCCGGCAAGCACCGACTTTGAATGTGCCCCTTCTACTGATCCTGGCTGTGGCTTTGATTGGGCTTCTTCTAGTATGTCATCACTTGACGGCAATGCAAGAGGTTTACAAGTTGAACACATACTGGATGATGAGACTAATTAAGCCCAGGCCGTATACACCCACGGTTATGTCTTCGCAACACTGACCGCGGCTAAAAGATCCGATGCCAGGGTGCAATCACCCTGGAGACAGCATTTTCGAGGTCTTCCAATCTACATTTTCCATCGCCTGGTCAAGATGTTTCTTATATCTAGATTTCCTACGAGAGGATCTAGTCTGCACAAGTGTGCGCTTCTCAATGTGGCAACCGAATTACTACTTTCAAACCTGAGAGTCGCTAACGTACACACTATTCTTTCCCAACACTCGGATCTTCCATTCTACCGTCGCATTCCTACATTGGCAGTGTGGTCTAAGACCTTCCCAGCGATTTTACTTTATAGCATCGCATCCAGTATATGCTTCTACCTTCCTACCTACTTTATTACGTTGACAGGTGCTTTAAAAGAAGAGCTAGAGATCTCGGAAACTATGCAGTTAATCTGTGTCCTGACCACTATTGTGGTTTTATATTTTGGGGCAGTTGTTCCGACATATGCTATTTTTATTCGAGTTGTCGCCTGTGCACAAGAAAATAGGTGTATGAGTATCAAGAGCGCCTGGCAAGGCTTCCCATGGTCAGCTCGGATGCACTTCTTCAAACTACTTGCAGAAGTCCTTGTTATGGAGATAGGTGTATGTATAGTCCTCTTTGTGTTTGTGCTCGCCCATTTTCATCCAGAGTTGCATGATGATGTTTTGCGGTTCTTTGTCAAATATTCTGGTTAATTGAGAGAGCGGGAAATGCGGGCAGTGAGATGCATCTTCCACTGACCCTCTATCTATCACCGAATCATCAAGAGTAGCGGTATTATGCCCCAAATTCGTGCGACAAATAACTTAGCTTGTGCTCTGGCAGCCGATCCCTTCCCGGGGAGGCAGTGCATCATCACTTATTACGGATAATAACAGGCAAAAATGATTAATGTCTATAAGAAAAAAGTCATTTGATATGATAATAAACGGTTCGCCCAGGTTGTATATTAAAACCACAGTAAGCTTCGGCAACAGTAGGTCTGATAACACCAATTGCATATTCCACCAAAAAAAACCAAGTCCCCCGATCAAGTGGTGATCATCAAAATCTTGTTCTTATACCCCTCGGTCTTCTGCAGAATGAGGTTCTCCGCAATCCACCGCCCGGCGTCCTCTCTGGAAATGAAATATCCGATAGCAGTCGATTCCCGCCCAGTCTTGGGATCTTCGATGCCCACCCGAACTGTTTTTGTTGTCTCGCCATCATTTAAAAGGCTTCCCCGAATAATCGTAAAGCCCTCACCGCTCGCGACGAAGCGATCTTCCATGATCCTCTTGTCGGCATGGGCGGCGTGGAGTAACCAAGCGTAGATCGGGAAGAGGGCTATGGGATAGTCACGACCGAACCGGGACAGGCCCGTGGTGCTAAAAGACACAATGTGGGGGTTGCCAGTCACCCCCTGGCTTCGTAGTTGAGCGATTGCTTCGATCAAGATGGCCGCGCCTTTTCTGCAGCACTCCGGGTCTTCGATACTCATTTTGTACCAGATTGGACGACTACCGATGGTGGTGATGATCATGTCGACGAGTTTCCCGTCCTCGGCGCGAATGCATTGAGAGACCGCCGTGATATCATGAGCGTCGCCCTTTATAATCGTGAGATTCGGCGTAGAGTCTGCTGGGAATATGCTTTCAAGCTTTGAAGGGGTTCGGCAAAGCGCGGTGCATTGGAGACCCGCTGCCAAACTGTGCTTGAGTGCTGAAAACCCGACGCCAGTGCTAGCACCAAAGAAGGCTACAGTTTTTGTGGTGGAAGCCATCGGGGTGGATCGTTTGTTGTCGTGAAATATAATGGAAATATGATAGAAATATGAAAAGTGCACAGTGTACCCGAGAGGAGCTTCTATCGTTATATCGTCCGAGCAGAGTGATTTTAAACCTAGACGGGCAGTGGGGTTTTATCCTTCACTGAGCCTCAACACAACGCGAAACTTGACCGACTCCGAGGCCTGTGCTTTGGAGTGCTTCGGGTCGCTTGACTGAAGGAGGAGGGAATGGCCGGGCTCGCCTTTTTCTCGTCGTTGGGCCCCCACTCAGCCACTTTACTAGGCGAATCTCACGGCGTCCAAAAGCTCGCTAGCTAGGCTGCCCGCGGGTGTTGCACCTGAGTCAAGGTTTCGGGCGGTTAACCGGGCCTTGTTAATGATACTGGGATTTCGAAAAAAAAAAAAGAGTACCGGGAGCTGCTGGGGTTACATATGAGCGTTCACCAGCCTGAATCACGCTCTGTAGTAGACCGATGGTTCATGTACGCGCGAGTTAACAGATGAGTGCAAATGAGTGCTGCGTGGTATGAGTGGCGTGTGAGCGGCACTAAGCCGCAAGGGGAAAGCCACTGGTGAGGATGACTCGAAGACAGCACTCAACAGCATGCAGGACCACCTAACTGCACCGCAAGAACGCCTAATGCTTGGTCAGAATGAGCCATCAGTTTCTTTGAGCGATCGCACCAGAGAAGGTGATCATTTCAGGGGCCAGAATGTCCCCCTTGTCAGCGGCGACAGCTTCGGCGTCGAGTCCAGCGGTCGCGCGCGCCTCGGCTTCAAATGCCGAGAAAAGCGCGAGCTCTCCCCAAGGCAGGGGCGAGGACTCAGCACCCACATCGGGAGCCGGGCGCGCACCAAAGCCGCGTAGCTGCGTCGTATGCCGGAGCCGAAAGGTCCGCTGCGACAAACAGTCGCCCTGTTCCAACTGTCGTCGAGCCAATATCGCTTGTATCGTTCCGTGCAAAGACCGACCTCCAAGATGGGCCCGTCGTCTGGCGCAGCCTGCCACAGAAGATGTCATGGAGCGACTCCGAGCTCTTGAGAACCTCGTGAGAGACCTCAGCGGCCAATTAGAGCAGGCTAATGCCAGGGCTAATTCAGTGACTGGGAGCTCGACTCACGATCGAGATGTCAGCCCTCAGGCGACAGTATCCCCGACGGATTCCGTTAATGTGCAGAAACCGTTTGGGAGGCTTGTTCTTCAGGACGCTAACCAGAGCCGCTACCTTGGTAGCAGTTTCTGGTCTCGCGTCAATGACGAGGTATGCTAACCGTGTTCATGGGAAAAGGAATGATCTCTAACCTGCGACATAGTTAGACGAGCTGACGATGGACAATGGAAGCCGTCCAGATGATGAGTTAGATACCTCCGATGAAGAGGAATGGGCGTTCGGGAAGTCACCGTCCACTCAAGAGCTCGAACGAACTCCTGAAGACCGAAGCGCCTTCATATTTCGCCACAACTTGATGCCTTCCACTCCTGACCTCCGGGAATTTCACCCGCTTCCCTCCCAAATACCATTCCTTCTAGATATTTTCTCAGAAAATGTCAATATGTTCATGCAAGCGGTTCACAAGCCCACGATCACGAAGATGATTCGTGAGTTACGCGGCGACATGACGGGCCTCACGCCAGCCAATGAGGCCCTCATGTTCTCCATCTATTATGCTGCAGTAACCTCCATGGAGGAAGAAGACGTTGTGATGAATTTTGGTTCCACGAAAGCTGAACTTAACCTGAAATATCGTCTCGGTCTGGAGCATGCCCTCGCCAAGGCCGATTTTCTCAACGTCCCAGATCTTGTGCTAATTCAAGCCCTTGCCAATTTTCTGGCTCTTGCTCGCCGCCATGATAGCCCCAGATTTATCTGGATGATGGTCGGGCTCGCTATCAGAATGGCCATCTCATTAGGTTTGCACCGGGATGGATCTAACTTTGAACATTTGTCTCCATTCGAGATTGAGATGCGCCGACGGGTTTGGTGGGGCCTCTGCTTGATTGATGTTAGAGCATCGGAAGACCAAGGCACCGACTTTACTATTGCGGTGGGCAGCTTCGACACCAAAATCCCACTTAATATCGACGATGGAGATATTGGTCCAGAATCAAAGCAAATGCCGCCAGAGCGCGAGGGGTTGAGTGATATGTCAATCGCACGCGTCATCATCAAAACCTGTGAGCTTTCAAAGGAGATGTTGATTCGTGGGCCCAATGCGCCGAGTTTGGAAGAACAGGATAATATGCTCCAGAAGATATACCAAGAGCTGGATGAGGGCTTTCTTCGTTACTCGACCGAGTCCAACGTAGAATACTGGGTGATTGTCACAGTGGCTCGTCTGATGATAGCGAAGATGACCTTATTTGTTTACCTACCCGTATTGTTCTCCTCCCCGAGTGAGCAATTGACCCAACAGCTCAGAACAAAACTGCTTGTCGCGGCACTTGAGGTCGCCGAACACAACCACGCCTTGAATGCTGAACAGGCTTGCCGGCAATGGCGCTGGATCTTCCAGACATACACCCACTGGCATGCCATCATCTACATTCTAATCGAGATCTCTCGCCGCCCATGGTCGCCCCTTGTGGAGAGGGCCTGGATGTCTCTCTACAGCGTTTGGCTCATCCCGCCTCAGTCGAAAATGAAGAGCTTGCGAGTGTGGTTTCCTCTACGCAAGTTGATGGCCAAAGGCGCAAAACATCGCAATGCAGAACTCGCCAGGCTGAGTAGAAATCCATCCGCTACCGAGCAGCTAGAAGTTGAATATCGGAATATGCCAGCCCCTTCAAACCCTGGGCTGTTTACGGCTGAGTCCAATGCCGCAGATGTATTCCTGGAGCAGTGGAAGCAATTGCTTCAATCTCCGACCGGAAATAGTCCTTTGTCATCAAGTGTCTCCGTGCCTTCCGTTGTTGACAATCAACCGAGACTTGCCACCTCAGGCCGTCTATCTGGAGGATTCTCCATTATGGATAGCAACTCCAGCAGTATGTCTATGTCAAACACTCAGTCCTGGGATTTTGAACATGGCCTTTCACCGCAGCCCGTGACGACTATTACGAATTTTGGGTTGTCCACGACGATGAATGCTCCTGCGCCTAGGTCATCGGGATCATCAAACGACCCAATCATACCAACTACAGTTCCTGAAATATCGGGCAGCCAGTTTCCTAACCAACCTGCTGAGGGTGTTGATATCCCTTGCCTATGGACTAACAACCTCTCCGACAATCTGGACTTGGGGGCATTTGATAATGGTATGGATTTGGACAATGATATAGACTGGTATAACTGGGTGGAATCTGCCAAGGGGATGGAATGGGACAGAGACTCCAGTGGCAATGTTTGATGCCTTGTCTTTGTTTGGAAAGAAACTGTCTATCGCGACCATACCATATGAAACTGTCAGTTCTGTTACCAACTTGTCGGCCCAAATGTTTCTCCCACGGCAACCGTCTTCCGAATCGCAGTGTACAAGTAGTCCTTTCGATTGGAATTAGAAAGTACATCGACAACAGGTCCGGATTACTTACCATAGTTTCGAGGGGAGCTATGTTTCCCCACCAATTGGGGGCGGACAGGCCAGGGAAAGTTATGGCAAAGAAGATAATTATTGTGGATATGATAAGGCCAGTGTCCAGTCCTGCAGCTGTGATGTAGTTGTAGTTTCTCCACCAGCCACCCCAACGGCGATGGATCCAGTAATTGAAAATCAGCCCAAACATGACCCAAGAGAAGTAACTCAGTGGCGTGGCACTGTTATTATCAGTATATCGTCAAATGCAAAGGGACCTTGGAGGATGCATACGGAGGTAACCAGGCCATAGCCCCAAGCATCCTAAGAACAATGTTAGCGATAGCTTGTCGGTGTCAAATATGAACTTACACCGGGGCATTAAGCAGTCTGGCCTTGGAACGTGGAAAGAGACGCATTAATACATAGAATGCTAGAGGCAGGAGAGCGCCGAGTAACCAGAAATACTGGATGGGAGTGTATAGAGCGCCAGGCCCGAACATCCGCTTTGGACCAATTACACCTTCAAGGAAATATTAACAAGGTAATGGTAAATATTCGCAAGGTTAAGCATCACTGACCCCATACAATGCTGGATGAGAAAAATGCCTTCCCATTCGGGCAAGTAAAGTGAGCAGCTTGATCACTGGGCCGTGTTAGCACAATCAAGTCAAAGCTGTTAAAAAACAACAATCCACGTACCTCGTGCAAACGTTTTCAATGCTTCCTAGAGTCCAGTTCATTACTGCGATTTGTACGATGGAAGCCCAAACGGTCGCAACGACTTGGCATATGAAGGTGACACGAGGAGGCACTTTCATATAATGGGCAATCTGGTTTCAATTAGAATCTGCATAGGAAAGAATTGCTTGTCAACTTACCTTGAGATCCTGACAGAAAACCTGACTAAAAGTTATGTTAGATTGATGATAGATCGAGAGAAATAGGCTCATACGCTTGTCCCAAAGTGATAGTACTGAAAACTTTGAAGACCATAACTCCAATTGGTTTGCCGGGTATCATAAAACCTGCTAGAAAAGGGGAAAGAACATTGAGGGCTATTAAAGTCAGCTTCTGTGTGGGCGTCACAATCTCATGCAATAGCACGTACAAAGCTGAATGTTGGCGATGCCGAGAATCATGCAAGTGGGGATCTGTTGATGTCGGTCAGATGATTTCTCTCCCGATTCCATGTCAAGGACGGACGGAACGCACGATGAAGACAATGGCAATGATGATCGACACAAAAAATGCCCACCCTATCCCTTGTCAGTCATTTACCAAATGAGGGTCGAGCTGACATACATGGTAGCTGAGAATCGTATCCGAGAATGCCAGCCAGGCCGAGCGCAATCGAGACCAAGAAAAGAGCCGCATACCACCATTCTGGGGCTTCCCTATATTTCTTCATCATAGTCAAATGGATATCAGGCTCCTGATCCCGAGCAGCCCTGAATCGATGCCAAATCTCCTTTCGGTGGAAAAGAATAACATGGACAATTACGGCTGTCAAAGCTGCAAATGACAGCCCGTAGTTTAACGCGAATGTTGGAGCAAGGAACATGGGTGAATATGCCTTATATGCCGTCTCATCAAATGAGAAGTTAGGTCCAAGAATCTTGCTCACATTATATGAGTTTTGCGTGTTGTCATAGGTCGAAGCTGTATTGATAGGGAGATAGTCGGAGTAGCTTGAATCCTGTTAGCTTTGACCCTATAAGGACATCCATGGGACCTACAAAGCCCCCGTATACGAAATGCCAATTGTTGTAACCAGCACAAAGATGACAAGGCCAATGAAGGTATTGATGATGGCATGTACAGGTGAGAGCAAAGGGTCAAGAAGATACGCTGAAACATAGCTGCATATGCGTAAGTTGCCTTGACGCATCCAAAATGGTAGTTGAACTTACGTCCAGTCAAAAGTAATGGGGATCAAGGAAAGACCAGTGAATCCTCCAAAAAGCTGATTGAGAATAACGTTGTTTGGTTTGATCCCTGCGAGACAAGTCAGCTCGAATGGTGAATACATGCCAGTCAAATCTTACAGGTAATGAATGCAAAGACAGAGAGCCCCTGCCATATGACGCCGGGTATCCTGTTCTATCGTCAATTTGACACGGCAATTGACTGCGCTCATAACGAGAAATTGTCTCTTACCAGTACCAGAAAAATGCCCCAGCCATAACGTACATAAAGTATCTGTACCGAGAAATGGTCCAGCCATTTGTTTGCGAGGGATCTGATCCACTCTTATCGTGAAGAGCATAGAAAAGAGACGTGTTTGCAAATTGGCCGGGCCATATCATAGCAGCAGGCCTACATATCATATCGTCAACAAATGCTGGACTCGGGAATTTTCTTTTTTTTAGAACGTACCATACGAGGAATCGACGGAAAATTCCAGCAAGAGACATTCCAATAACCTGACTGCTGAGGGCAAACAGAAGCTGGAATCCCCAACCGATATCAAGATTATATAATGCTGAACTGTTGTTAATTCAAGGACCATATCACCACGGGTGGTACGTACGCTTCGCTTGAAGTGCTAGGAGTGCATCGGTGCAGTATGCGTAGCCAATCGACACACTGATTTTCCTGTTATTCGGTATTCGAAAACGCAAAAACGTTTACCTACTTTGCCATGATCTAGCAAAGTTTAGCGAGTTTCTGCAGCTCGGAAGATGGGTGTCAATGATTACCGTAATCACTGTATGTTCTTTAATATTGAATGGTCCTGTATTCAGAGTCCAACGTACGCCAAATGTGTTGAATGTTCTTGTAGGCATAATTCTAGCCCATAGACAGCCTATCGGATAGACAAGCAATTGCACAACAATTGCAGGAAAAGAGATAGCAGGGCTCCTATTGCGTCATGAGAAAAAGCTTAACCGATAGTTGACAAGCTGAGATGCCTACCTCATGCTCGGGAACATGTTCAAGCCACTTCCGACGGTTGTGAAAAACATCCCGAGAACCCATGCGCGTACCATGTTGGCAGGTTCCCCACCGTCAATATTACGCACGGCTGCACGCACAGATTCGTATTGGGAGTCCTGCACAAATGATTTGTCCAACTCGGCGACCTTTTCATGGTCATTTGTCTTGACTGCCTCATTGATTGCATCGAGCTTCTCCTGGGCTAAGTTGGATCCCATTGGTGTGAAAGATCAATATTATGTAGCGCTTGAATGTCATCCTTTGCTCGCTTATCGTTATTAGGAGACATTTCCAACTGCGAAGGCTCGAGACCATCGATGATCATTGATTGAGTAACCATTGTGCGGGAAATGCTAGCAATACGGGTTGTTCCTTCGCTCTATTCCAACCCACCATGAATATATATATGTCCAAGGACATAATACGCATAATACCTAATGGTGCTAGGACGCGTCCGCGCCAGAAGATAAGTGTTCGCCAATGGCAGCAATGTAACCCTTCGATATTTCTCCCGCACCTAACCACCTGTCTCAAAGCACAATTATTCGGCGACGCTGATCGGCACGGGCGAGACCGCCCGCAAACCCGATACAACCTCCGCTTTGGGTAAAAATGCGGAGTAACGCGACGCTATTTTCTAACACTCCTTTAGACGACCTAGGTGGCTTTGACACGGCAGAAAGGTATCCATTCGGAGTACCCAGCGACAATTAGCTTATTGTCGGCTGGACGCCCCGACTCAGTATCCTCCCGTAGTATCCTCTGCCTATCGCTACGAGCCACCTGGTAGACTGTAGCCTAACAGACTGCTATCTTCGATTCTAAATCGACGACGCGCGGTCTCGGAATTTCCGACCATAGTACAACATAGCACAACATCCCTGAATACCTGCTCTTGTCCGTTTGGAAAGGAAGACACCCATATCTGCTATCATGGTTCGAATCACGTCTCCTCGAGGTGTCGCCATTCGACGTGCCCAAGGGGACCCCATTCGCGATAGGATCGAGCGCATTACCGCCGATTTCAAGGAGATCGAGGCATTTCTCCCGATTGAATTATCTGTCCGGCGAAGAAAAAGACTTGAGGACTTTCTCAAATTGGAGCTCAATTCTCTCCGTGAGGAGCCGTTTGGGGTTTATAACCAGGAAGAAAAAGTCGATTATATTCTGATTCGGAATCATCTGGAAAGACAACTTCGTGGACTGGAACTCAAAGCCAAACAAGATGAGAAAACTGCCCCGCTGTTGCCCTTTGCAAACGCGTTGGTGGATCTCTGCGAGGCTCGTTCCACGGTCATCCCAATAAATCCAAAGGATGCTGCACAAAGGCTGTTCGAGTCTGAATCCACAATCACATCCGTTATAGAGAAAGTCAAAGCACGGGCGGATGATGTGTCTGTCGCGAAAGACAGCGCTTTTCGAGCAGCGAACCACATCATATCCCTGCAAGCCCATTTAAAGGAATGGTTTGGGTTCTACTCGGGATATGACCCGACATTCAACTGGTGGGTATCGCATCCATACGGAGTGATAGACAAGAGCCTGGAGAAGGCTGCAGATACAATTAAAGCAGTCTTAATCGGCATTCAACCGGGCGATGAGGATGCAATAGTTGGGCAGCCGATTGGGCGTGATGGGCTACTCGCCGAGCTGACAGCCGAGATGATTCCATACACACCAGAAGAGATTATCTCCATCGGCGAAAAGGAATTTGACTGGTGCATCGTTGAGATGAAAAAGGCGGCGCAAAGTATGGGATTCAAAGACGACTGGAAGAAAGCCCTAGAGGAAGTCAAGAATGATTTCGTTGAGCCGGGCCAGCAACCCCAGCTTGTGCGGGATCTCGTACAAGAAGCCGTGTCGTTTGTTGAGGATCACGACCTCGTCACAGTCCCCGAAATTGCAAAGGATAGTTGGCAAATGTTCATGATGTCCCCGGACAGACAAAAGGTGAATCCTTTTTTCCTGGGGGGAGATTGCATCATCGTGTCTTATCCAACCGAGACCATGGATCATGAAGCCAAGTTGATGAGCCTGCGCGGAAACAACATTCATTTCTCGCGAGCTACAGTCTTCCATGAAATGATCCCTGGTCACCACTTGCAGATGTATATGAATGCAAGACACAGACCATATCGTCGCTTGTTCGACACGCCATTCTGGATTGAAGGATGGTCCTTATACTGGGAATTCCTGCTCTGGAACGACGAGCGATGGATCAAAACACCCCAGAATCGCGTCGGCATGTTATGGTGGCGACTTCATCGATGCGCCCGGATCATATTCTCCGTCAATTTTCATCTTGGCCGAATGACCCCGCAAGAGTGCATTGATTTTCTTGTGGGAGATGTTGGACACGAGCGCGCTACAGCTGAGGGCGAAGTCCGGCGGTCATTCAACGGTGACTACTCGCCACTGTACCAGGCGGGCTACATGTTAGGAGCATTGCAGATATATGCTTTGCGGGGGGAGATGCTGGATACCCGATGTATGCCAGAAAAAGAGTTCCATGACCAGTTTCTGAGGGGTAATCGGATGCCAATTGAGATGGTACGGGCGCTGATGCAAGACAAGCCCCTTGCTAGAGATTTCAAGCCGTCTTGGCGCTTTTACTCTTAGTTTAATCATCCCTCAGATGACAAAGAATAGTTGAAGTTTTTGCGATAGGTGATCTGCCTATGTCCAGATTGAGCCGAAAATTAACCGATTCCGCGGGCAATGAGATAAGCTGGCGTTCTTGCTGACTGCAACCCCGCTTACCTCACTGGACACTAAGAATCTGGTCAGCAACACATCATCATAAAAGTGGAGCCGCTAGGCCGTTCCTGGACTCGTGCGCTGCTTATGGCCGATGACTTGCAATCCCTAATGCTTCCATAATCTCGCAAGACATTTCTACAGTCCTCTAGAGTACCTTGGCAGGACTTTAAATAGCCCCGTCCCCGTCCACTGAGCAACCAAAAAACATTTTTGTGTCACTGCTTAAGTTCCACAGCTTAGAACGCCTTTTACGATTCAAGATCTTCAGATAGCCATGTCCAGTCCCCTCACTCACGCCAAGATCGTGCTCCGCCGCTCCAGCGAGCGCGGGTATGCCGAGCACGGTGGTTGGCTAAAAAGCTTCCACACGTTCAGCTTCGCTAGCTACTACGACCACCGATTCCAGAACTTCGGCAGTCTGCGAGTGTTGAATGAAGACCGTGTTGCAGCCCACAATGGGTTCGGAACTCATCCCCACCGCGATGCAGAGATCTTCAGCTATATTCTTAGCGGAGAGCTCACGCATCGGGACAGCATGATTAAAAAGGGAGCAGAGGGCAAACAAGGAAAAGATTTCTATCGCATGAAGCGAGGTGATGTGCAGTTCACCACCGGAGGAACTGGTAAGTCCATTCCGACTTGCAGTTGATCCTCTACAAGAACCTGACAGTAGATTAGGAATCGCCCATTCGGAGCAGAATGAGTCCAACAAGCCCGTGCACTTCCTTCAGATCTGGGCATTGCCTTGGAAACATGGTCTCAGCCCGCAGTACCATACGATGACTTTCAGCGAAGAGGCCAAGCGCAAAGCGTTCGTTCCGATCCTATCGCCACTCGCTGCCGGTCCAGAGGCCAAACCAGCGGATGAAGATGCAGCGATTCCGAAGATTCCAGATACGATTCCTATCCACGCTGATTTTGTCATGGGCGCGGGTATCATTGAACCCTCTTCCGCTTTTACATGGAATGTGGGTTCTGGTGAAGTCGTGAGCTCTAAGAAGAAGCGCAATGTATACATACATCTGCCCATGACAAACCAAGGGAAATCCAAGGTCCGGCTTAATGGGAGTGAAGACGCTGTTCTGGAAGAGGGAGATGGTGCGTTTATCACACAGGTCAACGCGGGTGACTTGCTCCGCGTTGAGAGTATTGGAGAAGTGGAAGCGGAAGTCATTGTGCTGGACAGCAATTGAGACCAAAGTAATAACAACGAGTAATTATATATGTTAACGGCGGATGTGGTGTTAAGACGTTATCCAGTTGCCTGGAGTGTATTTGATCGCCATATTCGCTAACTCTATGAAGTGTCTCTCAATGGTTAAGAAGGGCAACAATAGACTATTGATCAAATTTATTTGCCTAAAGCATAGGGTAAACCAGGATGACCTATAAGGAGTCACAATAAAATCAAGCACAAAATATTAGCTACGTCAGTAATTCCAAACATCGAGTTCACAGGCGAGCAAGGTTGACAAATTCTCCTGGGGCATGGTAGGGGGGTACATCCATCTTCAATACATCTCCAGAGTAGCCAAGGTCTTCGGCGGTAAGAACTGCACATTTCTCACCAATGAGAAGAGCAGTCTGGGTATTACGTTATTAACGAATCTTCGGACCAAAAAGGGACTCGTTACTTACGCTGAAAGTGTTGCATCCAACGTTATCTGGGCAGATAGAAAGATCACAAACCTTGAGCCCCTTCACACCATGGACATTCAGGCGCTCATCGACGACTCCGCCATGAGGTGCAATTGAACTTCCTTCACGGGGGGCCATGCTGCAGGTTCCGAGGGAGTGCCAGGTGGTCTCGACGTGACGTTTAACTGCAAACCATTAGCACCGAAAAGTGGCGTCCCAGACTTCAATAGACTTACCCCATTTCTCAATGTGTGAAATATCTTCCTTGCTATACTCGAGCGAGTGATAGGCTTCATGGCGGTTGGAGCTGAGGGTTGAAGCCGAGGGCTGCTTTCCAGCCTCTAGTGGTTCGGACCACGATCCTGTAGTATTATTATCAGTTTGACTTTCCAAAATCTTTTTGAAGCACGTTTTTTTAAGTTTGTACCATGTTGAATACCAGCCGTAATATGGTTTGGACCGGCATAGGCCTTTGTGGTCGCCAGGTCGAGATCTCGCGCCCGAGCCGGCGAGTCGTAGGAAAAGTGCGGGTGCATTCCAGTCACCTCTCCAGCATATGCGCTCATTCGTCTAGCAGTTTCACGTGATTTAATGTAACCCCAAACCATAGGAGCCATGTCGCGCTTGTCATTCATGAAGCCTGCGTCAAAGTCCGGAACGGCATAAGGATCAGACGACTGAATATGGGTAGAGCCTCGAGAGAATGGGTACTCCTAAGAATGTCAATTAGAATATATCTAACAACTCAACTTTGCGCATCTGAATGAAGCAAATACTTGCCAGGAAATGGAACATGGTGAAGAATTTTCCCGGGGGCATAAGCATGTGGTCCCCAAACCAGCTGCTCACGATTAGCGTTGCCATCTATAACGAAAATTTGGTGATATACATACCCAGAAATGACGGAATAATGCATAACAGGCTTGTCGGGCTTGTTCTTGAAGTAAGACTCCCATCCACTCCCAAACTCCGGAGTGGGCCACCTCTTCATCTCGTTCAGTTCTTGCTGGGTTGGACGAATCTTGACCCCAGCGTCGATGCCATTAGTGGCTAAAGGGCCGGTGCCCTTTTGATTCCATTCCTGGAAGACTTTCTCCTGAATCTTGGGATCCCCTCGCACGAAATCATCAAATGTCTCCACCTCTGGCTTGGCCCGATAAACTGAGAAAGTAAGGTAGTGATCTTGGAAGTTACGGCCCACGCCAGGCAGGTTCACCAGGGGTTTGATGCCAAGACGCTGAAGTTTTTCGGGGTCACCAACACCCGATCTCTGGAGAATAAGCGGGGAGCTCATGGTGCCACCGCTGATGATAATTTGCTTTCGAGCCCGGAAGATCCTACGGGGAGGATCATTACCGTCAAGAGGCTTGGTCGGCACGGTCGCAACACCCACGGCGCGACCATTTTCAATCATGATTTTGTCTACCTTGGTGTTGCACTTCAGGTGAAGGTTAGAGTGCTTAGCACGAGTACTGTGGACATATGCATGAGCCGCATCACTTCGCCGTCCTAGTTTCAATTATTAGCATATAATGCCTCCCTGATTTTATCAGATTTCCTACCAGTGTCGCGGTTAATCCACTTCAGCCAATGCTCGGCTCCATGCCTGCGGCCTGTGAGTCAAAGTCGAACGCTATCCTCGCTCAAGGGGCTAACTCACGCAGTTTTCAGGTCTTGCAAGTCATCTGTGACAGGAATCCCTTGGGACTCTGCAGCTCGGAGGAAGTCCTGAGCGATCGGGTATGTATAGTTGCCAAAGGATACCTTGATTGGGCCTTCAAATCCATGCAGGTCCCGGTTATTACAGGAACGCTGATAGGTCTCGTGCTTCTTCATAAGAGGCAGCAGCTCCTTAGTTGTCCAGCCCTTGGCTTGGAAATCATCATAGTCGGAGGCCGAAGCTCTGGTATACATCTGAAGGGGATTAGTGCCTATATTTCGAAAGGTGCGTTTCAATATGAATGTTGAGACAAACCATGAAATTGATGGAACTTCCGCCTCCAAGAATGTTGGCACATGGAACAATAGCCTGGCGCCCGTCAAGATGCTCTGACGGACGGGAATAGTAGAATGAGGCCGTCTTTGAATCAAGCTTCATATTTCTTGGATAGATGCCAGGACGATATACCCTGGAGAGATTCAGCACTTGGTTCTTCGAGAGAGATATCTCCACCTACCATTGATTGTTCAGATTGTCTTCTCCCGCCTCAATCAATAGAACAGACAGATTATGGTCCAGATTCGCGAGGCGACCTGCAGGGACACACCCAGCACTACCACCACCGCAAATGATGATGTCAAACTCCTCCGGGATAGTCATCGTGGCTAACACAAAACGGGATTGTCTTCTTTTGTTCTCAAAATATAAGGAAGTCCCGAGTTAAAGAAAGGCAGTATCGGCCATGGAGGAAGGAAGGGAAGTTGGCCAATTTAAGTATGCAGTGAGTTGCTCATTACTTCTCATTACAATCACCAATCACGTTCGATGAAGTACTAAACCCCTCTGGAATGACCATTTCAACCCCTCATGCGGAGACAGAGTTCAAGCCATGAGTCAAGGCATGGGAACCGCGATCCTTGTCAGTTCATTTGTGGGGTGTATCATACGATATAAATGTTCTGTCATTGTGACAATGTATCTCGTTAGGTATCCTTTGAGGACGATGGTCGTTAGGATATGTATATCTGCCGTATAAAGGAAAATGTGAGTCCGACAGAAACTTATCGAAGTCACTATGATATGTGCATATATTCTGACTAGGTAAATGTTGACCAGACAGCTTCAAGCTTCTTAGAGAAAATATTACCCATTTTTCACTCCTTGATGGCGTCCAATTCCAAAAAAACCCTTCCCATACACGAGACAGCTTTGGAACGAGTTTGTCGGAGCAATAAATGACGGTATAGACTAAGAATGTTGCCTATAGTGCATTTTTGGTCTAGTGGTTCTTTTGCCTAGGATCTGGCCCTATTTAGTCTTGACAGAGTTTGACTACAGGGAGGTTTCGGAATAACTATCCGGGTATTTGAGCCAGACCATTGCAGTAGCAGGCTTGGCTTTTGGAATGGACTTGCTGGGGACTACCTCCACATTGACCACACCTCGGGGGTTGTCCCCGCATTGGCATTTTTGGTCCATCCGAGCCTAGACAATAGAGGTTTAGTACCTGTAGCGCAGTGTAATGTGGGTGGTACCCGTGGTGACCGGCCATAAAGTTGAAAAGTCCATTCCTGCAAGATGCCACCAATGGTATTTAGAAATGACACATTGATAAGCAAGGTGACGTATTGAGTTTCTGCACCAATTCGGGGCCCAAATCCCGATGTCCGTTACAAACGGTATGAAGCCATTCATATCTGAAGACGCCTGAATCATTCAGAGAGACGTAGTAACTGATTTCAGTTCCTTTGAGGAATAACAGGCCTCAGTCATCCACATTAGGGCATGCTAATGCAAGCCCCATGGAGAATGGCTGGGATTCTCTTCATTGAATGAGCACATACGTTATGGGGATATCAGCCCCTTGAATTACCCTGCACTGGTTAGCGGGCTTGACCTAGTGTTGAAAAAGCGGAAGGTGTTAATGTGGATTAATTCTACTCCCGTATGAGTCCCTTCAGTGCTACATGACTGGTTATTATTGAGCCGTTCTTCTACATATATTGACATGTTACCAGAGCTACCGGGAAACAGCTAAATACAACACAACAATCCAGCCCTTACTGTCCATACTAACTTATTAAATGTGGGGAATTCAAGAATCTCCCGAGGTGGGGTCAACCACCACATACATTATATCGATGATCAGGCAATATCGGGGCGGGGAAAGCTCAGATGCCTTGACGGGGGACCGCAGCATCCCCAAACGGGGTTTGAGTGGGCAGTAAGACGGCCCACCGTTGCAGTGACTATGCATTGAGTCAACAACGGCCACGCTAACTTAATTAACAGCTAGGATTTTTTGTTGAATGCACTTGGTAACAGAGCAGCTGACGTCGAAAGGATATGTACTTGTGTCCCTCCCCCGCCCTTTTCTCCGCTCTCTCCCCCGCAGACTAAACCCCGGCATCTGCAACTAAGAAGAAGTCCGGCCGTCAGCTCTAGGCCACTAGAAGCACTCCTTTGAACGAGGTCTTTCAATGCCTCAGCTATCTGACACGCAGATTTACCTACTGCTTTCATCCGCGAATTTTGAAAGCCGGCATACGGGCCCGAGGCCGGACCTAAACCCCTATGCACACAGGGTTTTAGAAGGGCTTAGACGCCCTCCTTGAGCTCGCCCTCAGTTCACTCTACCTCTCAGAAAACCGTACCTGTAAATACAATCTGTATTATGTAATTTCATGCTAACATATCTTTGACCCACAAATTCATATGCCTTTCAGCTACCTCAGCGCATACTACATGTGTATCTCTAATTTGTAACCCATCATTGTTTGTACAAGGATATGCTGTGAGGATGTGCCGTATAGCAAACTTCTAGAGTAAACTCAAGATATCTCATTCTCATTATCTATTTCACAATCTTGCTACCTAATGGCGACATCCAAGACTTCTTGATAAACAGGACGGTTAGGGATAGCAGTCCATCTGCCATCCACCATTCTCAAATGTTGCAACACATGCATCGTATCGTAGCACATTGCGCCACTAGCAATGCATTCCAAACAAATATCGTAGTTATTATCATTGCAAATCGCGCAATGATAATGTGTATCGCGCACAGAAATGGCAAAGCTGCAGCTATCACATACTATCTCCATGTCGGAGTGACGTGCCGCCTCTGAGGATAATTGAACTTTCTCCATGTCCACTTCTACATCATAAGGGTTGCACAGGCAGGTCAAGATTGATTCCATGGTTGTATCACTCGTCTCCAGCGGTCTTTGGGTATAGTCGCGGGCAACAGACAGTGGCGTCCTACCTGCATTAGTGGTATAATGTATTGCGGAGCTTCCACGACTGAGCAGGATGCGCACCACTTCCTCGTATCCATAAAGAGTGGCAAGGAAGAGCGGCGTGCGATTGAGTCGATCGGGGGTATCGATACAGCTCTTGGTTCCATTCTTTCCCTCGCGGCATTCCATTCCATGGTGCTCTGTTAACGTAGCTGAGGTTACATGACCATCGAGCAGATCCAGGACAGTTTGGGCGTGGCCTTCTCGAGCAGCCATAACAAGAGGGCTGCAGCCATCATTGTCAATGGTTGTAAGGGTTGCGCCCTTTTTCATTAAGGGCATGATTGCTTTCGAGTGCACGGCAGCAATTGATAATGGGGTCTGCCCATCTCTGTTTCGGGCCTCGATATTGACATTTGCTTCCAAAAGGAGCTCCACCACTTTCTCATTCATAGAACGCGAGGAACATGCCCGGGATAATGCTGTGTATCCATGAATGTCCGGGACATCAGGCGGGACCCCTTCAGCCAATAAAAGTGCCACAACATTTGCCTTGCCTGAGAGCGCGGCCCAGTGAAGAGCATTTTGTCCTTCATCGGTAGTTGCTTGAACATCAGCACCGGCCTCCAGAAGTTGGGTGACTATTGACTCATGACCACAGCGTGCTGCCCATGCTAATGGGGTCCCAGGGAACCCATTTCCTGGACCATCAACCGGGGCATTTCTCTCTAGAAGCAGGTTCACCAGTTCCTTGCGACCAATTCGAGCTGCCATGCCGAGAGGGCTCTCTTCATCGATCAATCTGATATCAATTGTAGCACCCCGATCGAGTAATAAGGCAAGGACATTTGCATGTCCACGAAAAAGTGCCCAGGAGGATGGTGTCAAATTTTCATTATCGGCCGAGTTCAGATCTGCACCAGCGTCTAGGAGAATCCTAGCACATTCCGGATAGCCATGTATAGCTGCATGATGTAATGGTGTCTGCTCGCTGATATCTTTGATATTCGGATTGAAGCCGTGTTCTAGAAGCGTGTGCAGCAGATCCTCCCGTCCATAACTGATTGCTGGGAGGAGTGGAGACGCCACGGTCCAGTGGTTGGAAGGGTCTACACCGGCATCCAACAATTTGTGTAAGGTTTCCACTGGGCCGTGTTTTGCAGTCCACAGAAATGGATAGTCACGGTCTGAGTGATTCGTTATATAGTGATAAAGGCGAGGGTGGAGAGTGTCATAACAATAGTGGCATGTTCGTGCAAAGTCGTTCATGTCCCTGGCTGTCTCCAGGGAGTCCCATATGCTTAGAATTAATTCGTGCGGTAGATCAAGAAGCAACATCATTGATGCAGTCAAATGTTGAGCAAACTTTAGGCTTGAAAATCAAGGTTGGCATGGAAAAGGGGCTGTTATATAAACAACACGATGGTCAAGCAGGCGATGTCTGTGCTCGATATCGTGTTTTCGTGCTGTACTGGGAAATCAAGGGAGACTTGGATAAACAGGCAGAGTCATACTATGTATGTGGCTGTGTTGAATTATGGCGTCGAAACTCAGCGGCTGTGCTGAGGGGCTGCCTACTCGAGTCTCCGACATCGTGACCCACCCTAACTAAACAAGGCTGGTTGCTGTTTGCCTAGTGAGAATCCATCAACAGTCGGGCACGCTACAGAAACTTCAGTCGACTAGTGTCGCATATCATTTACAAAATCATCAATAGTGGATCAGACCCCTTCGAAGCCTTAAGAAATGATTATCACTCTAGAAAACTACTCTGCGTGGGGCGAGGTGGAGCGCAAATGGGGGAAGAGAGGGAGGGAGGGCCAGTCGGCAAGACGTGGGGCGAAACCACCGAGCCTGACGAACTAGCGTCGTAGGCACTGAGTCACTGTAATGTTGAGAACTAAAGGTCGGAAGCTTCATTCAACGTTCAAGGTGTTTTATTGTTCCGCACGGTGCTATAATGGAAATATGATGCTCTTTTCCTTTTGCCGTCATATTGTGATATCATTATTGAGGGTTATTGAGGGTTTTAGTAGCCTCAGCGGAAGCACAAGGGCCCTGCCATATTTTGAATTAACATTAAAGGGTCTATCGAGATGTACGCTGCCAATAAAATGCTGCCAATGCCAATACCAGCTTATCCCAGCTTATTAGGGGAGATTATGATGTATGATGTATGTGGGGTGTTAATTAGGTTTGACTAGGAATTTATTCATTTCGGAGTAGGTTAACGTTATTCGAGGTAGTACATGTTGGTATTATTTATTAAATTAGGCCAAGCACTGGAACCAACTAAATGAATACCTAGGGTTGCAGAGAGATGAGTGATGATGAGTGATGATTTTTGGTGTTCCATAACCGGGCCCGATTTTTTGATCCGTCTAAGTGTCGGCACGGTAGCACCGGACCCGTGCATTCCCTCCTCCAAGCCAGCTCGCGTCCGCTGGATTAGAACAGGCGGGCCCCGCTTTTACGCGCCACGGCCGCCTCTGCCATATTTTATGGCAAATTCTGTGCAGTAGTGTTCCGGAAAGAAGTGAGTATGATGTCTAGAGGACCTCTGCTTTGATCCAAATCTCTCAAAGGGAGCTCTAATGATTATCAACTCAGTGATGTCAACTATAACCAAAACTCTAATTTATGCGACCTAGATTTCAAGCTAAAGTTGGAAAGTAGAACTTGAAGATTTAGGGTTATGGAGAGTAGTATGGGTCTTTATTTTGACATAGCGTAACCTTTTGCAAACTAATAATGACTCTTAGTATGACCTCATGTCATGTTGCATGTCTATGAGTTGATTGACTCGACGAGCTATTTAAGCTTACTCTCAAAGCTCGGATCTGCAACTCCGGTCAGATATAATATACCGGAATCCTTAGCCTGATTTCGCTCTTATTGACAACTTCAAACTTCATAAAAGTAATATCATTTAATAGCAAACATGCGTCCCATGATCGGCCTTGGTCTGTTTGCAGTACTAAACTCAGTCGCTGCAGTCGGACCATGCTTTTGTTGTGATCTTTCAGCTAGTGGCAACGGTGGAGATACCATTTTTCTAACGGGATCTGAAGATTGCGAGGATATTACAGGCAAGTACACCGGTGTTTGAGAAAGCACAAATGGCTAACACCATTATATTAGACTGCAATCCTACTATATGTGCAGATGAGGGAAAAGTCGATTTATACTGTCCGGAGGAAAATATTGTAAGCGATTATTGTCTTTCCATGATGCTAAGTTCATTTAGACTAACAAAGGCGAGTAGGTCGATATTGAGCTCCCTGATTATGTCCGTTGCAAACTTTCCGCTGAGACCACCACTTATGAATGGTCTCCTGAAATGACTAGTTCTGATTGTACCACCGATTGGACTACTGAAACGACCCCTGCTGAATGGTCTCCTGAAATGACCAGTTCTGATTATACTAGCGATTGGACTACTGAAACGACCCCTACTGAATGGTCTCCTGAAATGACCAGTTCTGATTATACCAGCGATTGGACTACTGAAACGACCCCTGCTGAATGGTCTCCTGAAATGACCAGTTCTGATTATACCAGCGATTGGACTACTGAAACGACCCCTGCTGAATGGTCTCCTGAAATGACCAGTTCTGATTATACCAGCGATTGGACTACTGAAACGACCCCTGCTGAATGGTCTCCTGAAATGACCAGTTCTGATTATACCAGCGATTGGACTACTGAAACGACCCCTGCTGAATGGTCTCCTGAAATGACCAGTTCTGATTGTACCACCGATTGGACTACTGAAACCACCCCTGCTGAGTCGACTCCTGAAAAGACTAGTTCTGAGTGGACCACCGATTGGACTACTGAAACTACCCCTGCTAAGGGGACTCCTGGAACGACCAGTTCTGAGTGTACCACCGATTGGACTACTGAAACCACCCCTGCTGAGTCGACTCCTGAAAAGACCAGTTCTGATTGTACCACCGATTGGACTACTGAAACCACCCCTGCTGAGTCGACTCCTGAAAAGACTAGTTCTGAGTGGACCACCGATTGGACTACTGAAACTACCCCTGCTAAGGGGACTCCTGGAACGACCAGTTCTGAGTGTACCACCGATTGGACTACTGAAACCACCCCTGCTGAGTCGACTCCTGAAAAGACTAGTTCTGAGTGGACCACCGATTGGACTACTGAAACTACCCCTGCTAAGGGGACTCCTGAAACGACCAGTTCTGAGTGTACCACCGATTGGACTACTGAAACTACCCCTGCTAAGGGGACTCCTGGAACGACCAGTTCTGAGTGTACCACCGATTGGACTACTGAAACCACCCCTGCTGAGTCGACTCCTGAAAAGACTAGTTCTGAGTGGACCACCGATTGGACTACTGAAACTACCCCTGCTGAGTCGACTCCTGAAAAGACCAGTTCTGATTGTACCACCGATTGGACTACCAAGACGGCCACTGCTGAGTCTACCCATGGGCCCACACCCACAATCCCTGTTACCACTTCCACACAGAGCGACTTGCCCTGTAGAACAGTGACTCTCTGTGATGATAATGGGTCCTGGGAAACCTCATCTTGCACAACCACTGCTACTACCGACCCTGAAAACACACATAGCCTCTTCCCCTGCAAAACAACCACTATTTGTGAGGATAATGGGCACTGGGGGACCTCTTCTTGGACAACCAAAAGCTATTCCTAATCAACCGCCCCACTCCAAGGGGTATGAATGGATGCGGAGTCTCCTACATCACACGGCTTTATGACTTTATGCAGCGTAAGGTTGTTGGAATGTGGTTTTCTGTGTGTGAAATTGTGTGATCAATATCTCAAGCGATACCACACTCTTAGCGATATTATATATGGAAAGTTCCGAGGTCACGGAACTTAGATAGGTGGACTTAATAATTAGAATACAAGAAATGGATATGCTTAGTTGAGAGTTTACAAATTGTGTGAAGCTTCATGTGAATACTCGGGGCACGTACCGACCACAAGTTATTGAAAACAAGCACCCACAAGATTGACCGAATTACCTGCAAGTAACCGATAATTCTCTGAGACTGTTTTAGTTGTGGTAGTTCTGAACTCGCATCTCCATGAAGGCGTGCTTCCTAAGTATCTTGGAGTGAAAGCACATTGCGAATCTTGCTCCTCGCCTTGCAGCTCATTGGGTCGCAAATTATTGCCGTTACAGTACGAATGGAGGGCCACCGTTCTTATTTTAAGCTCAAAAAGATCCAAAGTTAGCACAATTGCTCCTATGCAGATCCCAGCAGGCACCAGGCCTAATCAGAAGGGCGAACATTGAGACACAAAGCATAGAAACGGATTTATTCTACCAGCGCTATCTTAGTTAATTCATTCGTCAACAGTGCTTACTACGGGGGTAGGAAGAGTAGTTGACAAAATAGGGGGATCCGCGTTCTGGCCAGATAACAGATATACTAGCTACTGCCCCTACTGTGGCGTGTTTCCCGGAAGTTGCTCTAGATACCCTAAAGACCATAAGTGATAAGATTGAAACTAATATGATTGTAAACAAACGAAGTGAGTGACGGGTTTTTCTGATCAACACGGATATGTGCGAAAAGAGGTGACTGAACTACGTATGAATCATACTGCCGCGCTCACCGTTTAAGATTAAGAGTGCGAGACAAAATCAAGCCACCGACTTCTAAACAAGGCTAGAAGAAGGGTCAAGTAATAAAGAGTCATTGAGCCGCGTAGCTGCTCAATTGGTGGCATCAACTAACCGCATCCAGCACGCACGGTAGCATTGAAAGCGTACCGTACCCCATTGCGCTGCCATCCTCTCCTCCCCCGGAGACTCGATATTGGTATCCGGATATTCCCTTGGGTACTCGTCATACCTTTATAACCCATTCCATGCTCTGGGACTCTGCTGCCACCACCGAGCTCACCGATAAGGCATGAGGGTTCTCACTCGCTCGTGCATGCAGTTCATTCTCTGTGGATGTCGAAAAGGGTTCTCAGGGATTTACCCGCACCCTACTTGGGCTCAACCCCAGTCAGCTCTCATCGACCCTAGGGCCAGGCGACACGCTGGCGTCTCCTGAATATGTTTTTTTTACTCCAAAAATTCGTTCTGTGGCATGTCTCGTTCATTTCGTGGACTGTGCGGTAGTCATTTGATAAAACGCAAGTTCGCGCTTAAAGATTACCCCATACTTCAAGCCAGAAGGACGCTTCCTGTCACATTCCGTTGCGATATTGCCATAAAAGGTGGTGCATTCGGCCTCGAGCCTGATCCTACCGACCTCTCCAGAATAAATACAAGGGTGCTCTACCTGGCCTCACCTCACTCGCTGAAAAGGTTAATCACATTGCATTCGGTAGGTGTAATCAATAGCCTATAAACAGTCTTGCGCCTGCTTGTGGATTTAATCAAATAATATTTTTAGGCAGCAAAAAAGATGGACTTATGATCTCCGTCTAGTTTTAATTCTCTCATACCCATCCTTTCTTTGCCATTGCTCTATCCATCGCTGTCATAGGCAAAGTCACGGGTAGTTGGGCTGTGAGGCTGAAAACATAAGCACACGCCCCACCACTTTTATCTCCACTTTCTTGTAATTTCTGCAAAGGGCAGTTCGAATCCCGCTTTCTCCATCTTCCCAATTGCCGAAGTAGCCTTTCGAGTTGTAAAGATTCATAAGAATGCGACCGAGCCAATTGTGGTGGACATCCTTCCCTAGGATGGTGGTCCCATATATCGTTCCTCCCTCCGCCAAAAGGGGCTTCAAGTTCGCGAAAAGCTTCATCTTGCGCTCCAGTGGACCCGGGAGACAATGAAGGAGGTAGAAGACCGAGATAGAATCGTAGACACCGCTGAGAGGGAGCGGTTCTAGCACATCTGCTTTAACTGTCCTGGTGGATGGCCTGCCGAAGCGGCTCTTTGCAGTTTCGAGGGAATTTGGGTTCAAATCCATCAATGTCATTTCAGTTGTCTCCGGCACTCCAGCGTTTGCGAGGTAATAGCCCGTTCCAGGTCCGATGTCAAGGTGTCGTTGCCCCATAAACTTGCGAAAAAACGGTAGCTGAATATCTTTGGTCGAGCAGCACCATGCATATGAATTGGAAACTCCCAGAACCCAATAGTTGTAAAAGTACAAGGTGAACGGGCTGTATAAGGCTGCGCCGGCTTCGCCGGGTGTGCCCATGGGAATAGTTGGGGGCATGATAATGATACCAGATCGCCGGAAATTAAGTTTAAATAAAGATTTTGGTTGGCAACATCCGAATGAACTGTGAGGTAGATGAATGATGGATGACCTGAAATCTACCGAAGTAAGCTGAAGAGGGGCTCGGTCAATTGAGCACCAAGCCACCTGAGAAAAGATAACTCGCTATGAGCGAGACATCGGTGCCCTATTATTGTAGCTAGATTGCTTACTCAGCTCCTATTTTCAAGTTGGATCCCCCTAGCCAAGCTAGTTGCTTGAACGCTGCACTTCAACCAGTCAGAACCCTATAAGTGGGGACATATGGCTACTAGTCGCACCCGTTACCCCATTAGGCATTTGGATGCAAACAAGGGAAATGTGAGGCCAATTATGAAGATCAACACGAGTCAATCCGTCAAAGCCTCAGCATCATGTTTCTTGGGCATGCTAAAAGGGTTGATAAGAAGTAGAAAAACAAGATTGAACTGAGCTAAATACATCTTGCTTTAGTACTCACCATGTCGACACCCAAATAAGCCCTACCGATAACGCGAGGACCTTAATTCTGAGTTTGTGGAGCTCTTCGGTCAAACAAGCATCAAACTCTGAGCGAATTCTCAAGCCGTCGTTGCATTCCCGGAAGTTAGGCGTCCTCAATCACCAAGGTGGTTCACATGGAGGCAGTCGCTGTTCTCTCTCCCCCCTGTCCACCGGGGAATGTAAGCGCTGCGGAGGGTGTGGGCTGCCCGGAGGGCTTAGGCCGTGCAGAGGGTCGACGTTGTCCTGCTGGCCTAGGCCGCCTGGAGGAAGTAGGATTGGCTGGTTCACTCCCTGCATTACCCTGAGGAACAGGGACGACTGTGTACTTGGCGTGGGTGGAGGAATACTCGGCCAATTCTGCGGACCAGATGTTGTTGACATCTTTCTGGAGCTCTTCTGCTGATGAACCCTTTTCCAGATCATGAACAAGCTTCTGTTGAGCCTTCTTGACGGATTCAGGGATATCCTCCCCAGACGCATGACCTCCAGATAAACCCCCACCAGCGCTGCCGCTCGGAGCAGACGAATGGATTGGCCGGTCACTTGGTTGGTGAGAAGGTATCGGAGTGATGCCTGCAGGCCCAGTAATATCGATGGTGCGCGTGCGGGTGGCCCTTTCCTGCAGTCCGTTGGGAGGGTTGTGAGGGCCTGGCAGAGCGAGAGCACACCCCATGAGGCCCATGGCGGCCAGACTGGTGAACCGCATATTGGATTAACGGTTTAAACAACTAAGGCAAATAATGTGTGGGTATCTCGTATTTTTCTGCAACGGGAGATTCGTGGCCAGAGAGTATAAATGTTCGTGGCAAAGTTTACTTCGGGAGGCCGATGTAAAGAAATTGGCTTGCACGTCGGCTCTCCAATATACGTGCAAAATACGTGGCATCTTTATACATGAACGGGCAAAGGGGGCCATCTGCGCAGAATGGGAGGCAGTGGAGCCTATGATCTCACTGCCTACACAAGAAGGAACAAGTCGCCGATCACTCGGCGGGCATTGCAGACAAGCCGCTGAGGCGATGGGCCCCTGTTCAGCTTCCATGAATCAATCATAAATGAAAAAAAATAAGTAAGATTACACCGTTCACAGCAGGTACCTGTGCCGTTGATCTGCTCTTGGAAGGATGTTGGTCGTATGCGTAAACCAGGCCCGCTGGGGCCGGCCGCCCCCAACGTGCTACACCGGTGCAAGGTGTAACTATTCTTGTTTGAATTATGAGACACAACAGTTATCCATCTAGAGGAAGCAAAAATTATCTTATTAATTGCAAGTCTTGTCTGTGGCAGTGAAATTGCATGATTAGCACTTGTTTTCATGCATCCATACTCCGCCTAGAAAGCATACACCGCACGCACGTCCAAGTGTCTTGGCCCCCCATCTCCTTAACTCTTGTATACCAAATTTCGCCCCAGGCCAATCCTACGTGGGGGCCAGTGTCAAAAAAGGGCTATGTCAAGCTATGTTCCAGTGAAAAGCTTGTAGGGTACACATTGGTACGCGGTATTTGTAAGTCTGTGGTCTGGATCCCTGCCCCATACCCAATCAACACTTGTCCGTACCTCTAGGGGGGCTAACCCCGTTCCTTGACTTGAGGAGTGCCGAGTACATCAGAGGAAAGCGTAGTAATGTGTCATTCATCGAGTCGCTCTAGAGGAACATTTACAGAGTACCCGAATGAGGCCTTGTTGGCTAAGGCCACAATATTTCCTGCCTTGGAACAGTCAATATATCAACATGAAAGGACGCAAATAATATAATGCATTCACTTTAGACGCTGTTAAGGTTACTCCAAGGTATCATAATAAACCGAACGGTTGTTCATATCAACATTTGGTATAGGGCAGGTAAGCCTTGCTCTGAAAGAGCCTCGCTAGCACCTTCCGCGGGAGACTAAGGTACCAGATCTCGCTCATATCAGCTTCCTTCATACCCTGATATGTTTTTTCAAGCCATGTTTTGGCGCTGTGGAACCGTATGTGTGCTAATAGGTCATAATTTGTAATCATACGTGTCGCAAGGCATTTTTGAACTTGCTCAACATTATTAACAACCCATCTAAGATGATTATGTAATATTTTAGGGCATTCTTATTGTGCGCTGATGGATTGGAGGCCGCCGCTCAATCCCGAAGGACAGAAAGAGTAGAATGATGTCGATTAAATAGGCAATTAATCTTGGCCGTGACGAGAGGATGCCCGAGTCTCGTTTGCAGGATAAGAAGTGATATCCTTGGGACCGTGATACGCAGCATCGGAGTACATAGGTAGGGGAGAGACACCAGGGAACCGAGAAAGCTATTGAGAGGGATAGCTGATTGAGTATTCATTCCCGACTGGATGAGGCTGAAATCGCAACCTTCTTCTCGTTTGTCAATCTAAAGGTTCAGGCGCCACTTTCAACGTATCCTTTTACTGTATTATTCTCAGGCATGCTATTCTTTCTTCCAAATATGTTGATGTTCCTTTTTCACGCCCGCTTCAAATCTCAGTTTAGCGAGGGAACATAAAGATTCAGTCGGCGGGCAAGTCCTCATCCGCCCCACTGTCACCCGTTCTGAACCAATTAAACTAACGGTTTTGTTCCCGGTCGGCAAGTCGGAGCGAAAAGGGGAAAGGAATTTTCTGGAGCAAAAAGCCGTCGGCAATTAGATTCAAGAATCCGGGGATCATTCGGCATATTCCATGAGATGGGCCGGTAAGCTGTCCATCCTTACACTCAAACTTTGGGAGTATCCGTGCGTAAGTGTCAGACTATTGGCTCATATTATCTGTTCTTGCGACAAAGAAGCTGCGATGGCGTGACGAGGGCTAACTTTACCTCCCCAGATAAACTGCATGATCGAGACAATCACAAGCTACAGAGCTCGGCCGAGAAAATTAGGCCACATTGAATAATAATTTGAGCTTCAACTCGATCCCAACATTTTCTCTGCACGACGCGTCCTCGCCACGGCCTATCCCAGTCATGCAGCCAGTCAAGAGCGTGGCTGTCATCGGAGCTGGCCCTTCTGGTGCCATTACGGTTGATGCGTTGATGCAAGAAAAGACATTCGACGTGATTCGTGTTTTTGAGCGCCAGGAAAAGGCTGGAGGGTGCTGGTATGTGGACTCGAGGCCCCGCTCGAATCAGTGCATCGGTTCTAACTTCTATCAGGGTTTCAAGGGACGATGAGCCACCACAAAGGTTCGACCTTGACGGACTGGCTACGCGCACAGCAGATGCGCCTTTGAAAATTCCGGATCGGCTTCCGTGCCGGACACCGGTAAATACCCAGGATCGCTTCATAGACTCGCCCGTTTACCCCGGGCTAGAGACCAATGTGGATGCGGGTGCGATGTGCTTTTCTCAGGAGCCAATTCCCGAAATTCGATCTGAATGGTCGATTGAACGTCATGGGCAAGATACCCCTTTCCGGCATCACTCAGTCATCAGACAGTATATTGAGGATCTGTTCACTCGAAAGGGGCATGATAGCCTTGTTCAGTACAATACGACTGTTGAACGTGCTGCTAAGGATTCTATCAGCCAAAAGTGGATCCTCACTCTCCGCCGCACAGAAACCCACAACGGCGACTTATCGGACTATTGGTGGTCTGAAATGTTCGATGCAGTGGTGGTAGCATCCGGTCACTATGCAGTGCCTTATATCCCAGCCATTCCTGGCCTGAAAGAGTTTGCCGCACGCTACCCCGGCAGTGTTGAGCACACAAAGCATTACCGAGGAGCGAAAAAGTATCAAGGCAAGGTACGTGCCATTTGATTGTTGCCTCCCTGTACTTGTTACTCACAGGATCACAGAAAGTCGTCACCGTCGGAGCCTCTGTCTCGGCAGCAGACACGGCAGTCAGCCTGGTTGATAGCGCTCAATATCCCATCCATGCCGTCGTACGCGGTCGCTACAATGTATATTTTGGCGACGACGCATTCAAGCACCCCAAGATTCTGCGGCGTGCACCAATCTCTCATATTACAAATGACGGCCGATCTGTTCATTTCGAAGATGGCACTTCCGAGACTGAGGTGGATCACATTATTTTTGGAACTGGTTTCACTTGGACGCTCCCCTTTCTGCCTCAAGTCGAGACGCGAAACAACCGCGTCCCCGATCTGTACCAGCATATCTTCTATCGGCATGACCCGACGCTAGCATTCGTAGGGGCTGTAGGTTTTCCAACCATCCATGAACCCTTTTCCAAGGTGGATGCTAAACACATTATCTAGGTCGGTGCCGGACTCACCTTCAAGGTGTTCGAGTGGCAGGCCGTTGCGGCTGCACGCGTTTTCGCTGGCCGGGCCACTCTGCCCCCTACCAGTGAACAGGAGACGTGGGAGGCTGATCGCATTGCGCTCAAGGGTGACGGAGCGGCGTTCACTGTCATCAACCCCGAATTCAAAGCATATTTTGAAAAACTCCGACAGCTTGCAGGAGAACCGAGCGACGGCACGCCCGGGCGCCGATTGCCACCGTTCGATCAAAAGTGGGTGGATGATTTCGATGCTGGACACGAAAGGCGGAAGAAGATGTGGAAGCGCGCAAACGGCGCCGCTGCCGCGAAGTTATAGAAGTCGATATTAGAGTGCATTGTGAGACAGTCTTACTTCGTGAACAAAACTCCGGGGCCGCAAGGTGAGACCGGAGTAAAGAGTTGCACCTTCTCTGATAGGCGTGACGGTAGAAGTAGTCTTGATAAAATAGAGCCCCGACAAGATTTCGGCCATTTCGGTGACAAGTTCGTATTCAAGTTTGGAATGCACAGTGACCCTTTTGCGCTTTCGACTCTTCTTGATTCTTTGCTGGTGCTTCGGCTCCAAAGGGAAATACACTAGCACAGGCCATCCTCCTCGAGCATGGCAACACTTCGTCCCCTAACAAGCCCATGAGTCCCGACCATTTTCAATTCTACTCTCTGGTACTCCCAAAATCGAGGTCGAAACACGGCTTGAAACCACTGCTTTTGTATAAGAACGGGGGCTCGCTCATCCGACCGAGATCGTGTTTTGCCCTGGGTGGTCCTACTCCGACGCAATGGGACGGTACCACGATAGCAAGCTGCAGAATAATCAGGGGCTCCATATTAAGAGCCAGCCTTCAATCAGGAGGGCTCGGACCGTAGGCCAGGGCAGGCCACGCCCAGGGGAAATAGGTCTCATGTAATTCACGGGCGTGCGCCGGTCATCATCAACTGAACCCGCTTGTGAAAAGCCAGAGATGGAGCGGAGCAGCCGACAGTCACCACGCACGGTTCCCGCTAGAAAGCCTACCATTTCAAAGCAAAGCGCGACCCATCTTGCTTGAGTTTCGTGGCTGCCGCGCCCAATGGAATCTCACGCTGGTAGCGCCTTGGCAACTTCCCCACGAAGCTTCCAGGGTCCCGAGCTTAAAAGGGTGAAGATTTCGCGTTAGCTTGAAGATTATTTTCTGTTTCTCATCAACCTTAGCTCTCTCAGCCTCAAGAAAAACTCACATCATTTATCGTATCCCCTCACACGCGTCTCCATTTTACCACATTCCGAAACGGGGCGAGGAATCTATATCACAAACCTCCACACATCACCATCGCGCATCGCCTAGGCCGATCTGGGCAATAACAAAATATCCATCATGGACGTCAGCACCACCACAAACCTCACAGCGGAGGCAGAATGCCTCAGATACTCGCATGACTCATACCCCTCATTGTCATTCAGCCACTACACAGAAGTCCCCATGTATCAGCAAGACAAATTCGACATAGACATGAGCCAAATTCTCCAATCATGCTGCACGTCAACTGTGTGGTTGTATTGGAATCCAGATCCCTGCACGGCGGTCTGCAACTCAACCTCAGTCAAACAAGTCCAGGACGTGCGGTACTGCTTGAACGCGAAAAACATCTCATATGGGGGTGATAACGATACCGGTACTGGCAATCAAATGGGAGTGACAAAACACACATGGGCCCTGTTACTCGTCAGTGGACTGATTCTTTCGGCGCGCCTGTTGTGATTTAAGGCGTGATATTATGGGACTGCGCTATCTAGCGTGCGCCTTTTTGCGTTCTCTGCAATATGCAATGAAGAATACCCATCTGAGTTTTCGAACTTCTCGCGCATCGGCTGGGCGAAAGATGCACTCTTATGAGCAGAAATATAATCAAGGGCGACTAACTGCAAGTGCCTTGGATATCTAAAATTCCGGTTCATCCAACCTCGGCCTATCGATATGCTTCCCCAAGCTCAAACATCAAAACAGCGCTACTGCACGCTCTTGGCAATAATGCTTAAGTGACAAACCCCGGCCCGGAACAAGAAAAGCCCCCCCACATTGTCAGCTGCCGCAACATCAGGAAGATATCGCCTAGTAAGGAAAATAGGCCAATAGATCAGGAGAGTGTGTAATGCCGAAAATAGGGGAAAGTGGCCAGCTAACTAATATCTGTGCCGAGGGGCTAACTAAAATTGGTTAGTAGCTAGCCGAATAATACGAGGGGCTTGTTCATCTCGACAGCAGCGGATCCGCGGGACCTAATTGCAAGATCGTCCACTTCAGGTCGCAGCGGCCGACAGGGTCAAAATGCTCGTATGTACTCAACAAGTGGCCACCAGGTTTTTAAAACATCCTGCGTGGAATTGATGCAGTGATGGTAATCCGACGAGACCCACTATACGTTGTCAGATCTCAGTGCGGTGCAAGGTATTTCCCGGTGTCTGTGATGTCCATCGACGGTATGTACAGCTCCGGTGGCCCGGCGAAAGGAAATAAGTCAAGAGCGACAGATACCTAGAACAACGAGCACTTATTTTGGACCAACATCAGATATAATGCTTCCGTCTATGAAGCATCTCGGGTGATTCCTCTTAGGCGGAACTCTTCCCGAATGTCTTATGTTGAAACAATATAATCGAACAACAAATCGCCTTGCTGACTGACCAATCGCACTGGATACGGTAACGTGTGCTAAAATTTGTTGACTGCGAGGCTTCATTTACAAATCCGAGTTTTTATTTGAGGAAGTCCGCCCTCGTATAATTGATTGATTCGACAGGGAGACGATCTTCCAGGTAGGATTGAGACGCATTGCTTGAGAAGTCCATCATCAAAGCCACAAATAGAGGTAAGCTCCGGAATAGAACATAATCAGCTAGTCCACGCCAATCAACACACCAATTCTACCCCTCACCATTTGAAAGAATGGAGTTTCACGACCCCGCGGTATCCGCGAGGGCCAGGTTGCGCCCACACCTGCCACCACGATCCGCTTATGACAGACAGTGCAACCTCCACTTCACAATTTAGCCGCGCCTAATTAAAGACCCCAGATCCCAAATACCCGGCGCTCCACAGCCTCTCCCACCCCACAAGGAAAACGCGCCAGAACCAGCAATGATTTGACACGGAGCTGCTCCGACCCCGCCAGTGGGTTGGTAGAAGGCTTCTGAAATAGCGACAGCCCAGCACGGCAATGCCTTCTTCTTACCTCTACGTCTCTACACCCGGACTTGATCATTGCCAGCAGGTTACCTCCAGCAATGGATAGCTTCAATAACAAGGTCTATGTGGTAACGGGCCTCGGCGGGATCGGCCTCGCTGTCGCAAAGCAACTACACACGCTCGGCGCACGCCTCTCGCTAGCAGACATCTCCGCCGAAACGCTCTCAACCGCTGTCCGCGCCATCGCTCCCTCAACTGCCGACACCATCATGACTACCGTCCTCGACATCGGGTGCTCGGCCGATGTCAAATGCTGGATCGCCTCGACGGTCCAGCGCTTCGGCGCCTCGATGGTGCGGCCAATATGGCCGGCACGATCGGCAAGCAGCACGGCGTTGGCAAGTTCGTCGACCAGGAGGACGACGAGTGGGATATGCTGGTGCGGGTGAATCTGTCCGGGATGATGTACTGCCTGCGGGCGGAGCTGCGGGCAATTATGGACAGCGCGCCGAGCGGGAAAGGGAGCATTGTCAATGCGAGCAGTATCCAGGGACTTCGTGGGTTCGCATTACATGCGGCGTATTCGACGACGAAGCATGGAGTTGTGGGGTTGACGCGATCAGTTGCGAAAGAGGTTGGGCCTGCGATTCGGGTTAATGCGGTTGCGCCGTGAGTTGAATGTGTCCTTTTGAAAGGATTTATTGGCGGGCGCGATTGATGCTGATAGGTGTTCCTAGTGGTTCTATTCAGACGCCGCTCCTTGAGAAGGCAGCCGTGATTCAGGGCGGCATTACTGCTCCTCCTACCGTGATTCCCCGGGTTGGGACCCCCGAAGAGGTTGCCCAGACAGTGGTGTTTTTGCTGAGTGATGCCGCGTCATATACTACAGGACAAGTGTATAGTGTCGATGGTGGCTGGGATCCATGATCGGGGAAGGTTGAAACGAGCGCCGATATGTGAGCAGCGCAATGTAAGGTAATGAACAGCCGAATCGAATCTCCTGAGAAACGGAAATGGTGGAGGATGTGAAAAGGATCACTTGCTCAAGATTATTGGAATCTGTGGAGATAGAAACAACATAGCTCCTCATGCAATGCCAAGCAAGATGAGAGGACATGAAAAGACATGATATGCGATAATCATCAAGGTGCTCGCTGAAAGTGCTAAGATATAGAGCAGGGTATGAAAAACACCAAAATAAAACATAACAGTGATGCTGTCGCTAACAATAAACGCCGCCGCCATGAACTCTATAAAATGGGTGCAATCGCTGGAAGACACAACCGGGGACATTCACGGAGTCTATACGAGGATATCAGGAAAGGCCGTCAGGGGACTATGACCATAGTAGGTACAGCCATAAACCTGTTGAGAATCCCCAGTTAGCAAGGATTTCCGAGAATGCAGTAAAACAAAGCGCCGATCGGCTCCACCTACCCATCATCGTCAGCAAATACAACCGACTCGGCAGCTGGTAGACTGGCGCGGCGCTGGTCTTTGCATCGATGCCGTCGATGACCACGGGCCACCCATTGTCATATTTCAAGTAGTTCCAGCCTAGCAGAGCTTGCTGCAAGACACAGTCAGTCCCCACACGATCCAATCATCAATTCTCCGGGAATGCAAGGGCAACCTACATCATCCCGGAAGCCGATCGAGGTGTTCAAATAATGGTAGTAAAGAATATCCGGGCTGGAATCATTCCTCGCCAATACGCCAAGCCCGCCAGGGGCATACACCAGCCCGTGGTTGGACGCGTAGACCACCGTCCCGCCGCCGTCCAGCAGCATCTTGTTATCGTGATCCACAAACGGACCCCGCACCGCCCGCGACCGGCCAACCCGGATACTGTACTCGTCATTGCGCTCAGGGAAGCCGTGCTCGTCGAAGTTGCAGCACTCGCCGTGGCTGAACCACGCGTAGTAGTAGCCGTCGTGGTAGCTCAGCCACGAGCCCTCCTCCGGGCGGACCACCTCGCGCGGGATGAAGGTCAATTGCACCGCGTCTGGCCTCTCGGGGCTCTTGATCGACAGCCAGTCGTCCGCCAGCGGCACCTGCCAGATGTCATGCCAGAAGCTGCCGTAGTTCAGGTATGCCTGGCCGGTGGCCTGGTCGCGGATGAAAGAGGCGTCGATGGCGTTGGAGACGGTGAACGGCCAGACGGTCGAGCCGTTGCCTTGACCGGTACGGACGACGGCGCCGTGGTCGATCCAGGGCGAGCCGTCGAGCACGGTGGTGGTCGCGACGCCGATGGCGCTGTTGCGCGAGCCGCGTGTGCTCAGCGTGTAGAAGCAATAGAAAGTGCCGTTGCGCTCGACGGTCGTCGGCGCCCACGGCCGCGACCGATTGCCCTGGTGAATGACGCTGTCACCGTCCAGCACGGTGCCAATCTGGGTCCACGGCCCGCTCATGTTGGCTGCTCTGAAGTACGGCACGTGCACGCCGCCCTTAAACAGGTAGTAGTGGTCTTTCCAGAAGACTACGTTCGGGTCGTGCACATTCAGGTTACCGACATTGGGACGCGGCAGCGTGTCGGTTGTATCGTACACTCGCGACAGAGTGGGGCCCCATAGATGCGATGCTGGAGTCGCCCTCCCCAAGGCGATCAAAGCGGCCCAGAGGAATAGCAGCTTGCTGCGATACATGGAGAGGATGTAGTGAGTCAAGGTGGTCGCAATGGCTTGTCATATACAAGGTAGTCAGCCCCGCGCCGCAGGACCAGCGTCCGACCAGAAGGATGAAGGGGAGAATGACTGCAGCCTAGAGGGCCGTAACTGAGGGGACTGAGGTAGTTGTTCTCGTGTCGCGCAGCGCATGCTTGCCGTGCAAGGTGGAAAGTCGACAAAGACAAGGACGAAACATGAGAGAAAGAAGCCAAAGGACAAGAAAGGTCAGCACCTGGTCAAATAGGTAGTGCAAGGGCAGAGGGGAAAATAAGCTAGAAAAAAGCACAGCCATGGAGCCTTGTGCAGGGTCCGTCGATCGACTCTAAACGAAAGCCAAGTGTTTTGAGGCAGCCATATTTGGGACAACCTGCCCGGTGGGCTTTGGGGCCGTGTCCATCCCAGCCTCGTCAAGTTGGGACCAACCAGGTACCGCCCGGCCCCCTCGCTTCCCCACGCTTCCGCTTGATTTCTCTCCGGGTTAGCTCTTGCGAGGCCGGCCTGTCAGTGGCCGAGTTGTGCTCACGCAGGGGCAGCGCCGGTCGCGTGGCGCCCATTGGCCCCATTGGCCCCTGGCGTGAGGGAGAGCGATTGGGTTGGACTCGCCTCGTCGCTATCTTTTCCCTTCCGTTCGTTTGCGCCGAAGGCACCGTCCAAGTGACCTCAATTCACCTAGTTGCTCGCGCGCATGCTCTGATAACAAAGTTCTAGGCTCGTCCGCCACGAGCCACCCCAAACCTATTCAGCAAAACTCCACTAATTATGTCCCAACGGCCCGCAGCAGTCGCCCCCATCACGGACTGGGGGCTCATAGCGGCGATTGGGGCCGAAACAACAATCAGCCAGAAACCCAACCCATTCAACCTCGACGCCAAGTGAGCCCCATACCCCCACCCCACTGCTCCAGTCCGTCCCCACAGTTCTAGGCTTGGCCCTCCCGTCTCACAACTTCAGCGAGGAGGCTCATAGCCTCGTCCGGAAGGGCTGTCGCAGGGCTGTGCCCAAACCGATGATGATGCATGACCTAATGCCCATACTTCGGGCATTCCGGTGGGGAGGAAGCTCGACGAGCGCATCCTGATTCCGACGCCCTTGCAGTGGCGACGGGATCGTCAGGAGGATCATGATCTCATTGTGGAACTCGCGCTCGACTAGCGATCGGGGACTCTCGATTGAGGTCACTCTCTGTATGTCTGCTTATCCTGTCCCTTTCTCCTAGTATGCGGGGATTGCGAATCAATACTATGCCCCACCAGCGCGATGGGCCACTAAAGATGTGGTGGAATCATTGAATTAGCAACGGACATAGTGGATAGGTACATGCAATGGAGCGCAAAGGAATGCCCAGATAGAATACACCAGACGCCCACGATATGATATCCACCGCCCCATACTCGCTATAAAGCTATCGTACACGGTCCAAATGCAAGGGATATCTCGATTTGCCTAATGGACGAGCGCCATTCCTGTGAGATCTTCCCAGTTAAATACGTCCAAGAAAGGATCGAAATCATCGGGCGGCTAGTGAAGAAACAGTCAGTACCACGATAAACAAACGAGAGGGGGATTGAGCTTGCTCTACTGACAGTGACACCGAGGTTCGGCGGTGGACAGAGGCCATCAAAGTCCGATGGCAGGACCGGCGCCATGCCCGGGTTCACCATGAATGTAGCAAGCTGGAAGAGCTGTGTTAGCTACCAAGTAAATCAAAGAGCCGAGGGCGGAGAGATACGAACCTGATTATCTTTGAAGCAGCCCATCCCGGGGGTACCGAGGTGCTCGCAGTTCGCATGCCGCGAGAAGAGCGTCTGCGCAAATGCAAGGATCCGCTCGACCACCTGCTGTTTGTACATGATGGACTGGGTCGGCCAGAGCTTGGCCTTGACTAATGCAACGATGGTGGATAGGAAAAAGTAGTCCTTGGCGCCCTTGACCACCAGCAGAGATCGGCCTTCGAGGCAGATGAGCGCGGTTTCGACGAGAGAGAGAAGAGAGTCGGGAAGCCCTGGGATTGTGTGCAGAATGAATGCGGAGGATGATGGGTAAAAGGATATAGCTAGAACAGAATTATTAGTTCAGATTGTTTCAGAAATAAGTAGGAACTGGTTGCCCACGGTTCTGATGGTCCACGGTATGGAGAAGCTGGCAAATAGAGATGTATGCCTGCAGAGTCCATTCTCCAAGCATACATAGTGACAATGGCGGCGCGGTCTCATGGAGCCGTTTTTGGGTCGAGAGAATCATGGCGGCGGCATCCAGCCGGGACCGTGCCGAGGGCGAAAAGAGCGGCTCCCGTCGCGACTCGATGGCAAACGGGGTGTGGATGGAAAGGAGACTTTGTGCCAACTTGGTCTCGATGGCGGATTTCCAGAGTGCTACTTTGTGCTGGGTGACGAGGTCGGCCGCCTCCGACAGGGACCACTGAGGAATGCGAGAGAGTTGGCGGTTAAACTCCCAGTCCAAACGCTGGATCTCCTCATAGCGGCAACTGATCCGTGGCGCGTGCATGAGGTGACAGGCCTTCAGCCGGAGACCGAGAGATCGCCCGAGGGCAGTCGAGAAGGATGAATCCGTAATATCACTTGCTGGGCGATCCTCTGGGACTTCCCTAGAGTCTTCGTGGATTTCGTCATCATCAATGTTTAAAGCAGGAAGGGCGTCGTAGTCCACGCTTTGAACCGACGGCGGCATGCCTCGGTCGATGGCAACCTGCAGGTCCAACTCCACAATGGTCATCCAAATTCGCCGGCGCATCTCCTTATTAAAGACGGATATGCGGGCGTACTTGTCGGGATCGCGGTGATATCCGGACAGCATAGCCTGCTTGACCAATGTGCCAGTAGCAAGCCATGCCTTGCTGCGTTTCATGCCATGGTAGTTCTGCGCCATGATCAACAAGATATGGAGGCGTAGAGCTGAGATCTCGAGCCGTTTGATTTGTGCGTTGTCAATCCATTTCTCTGCATGCAACACCCACTCCACAGCCGTATAGCATTTAAGAGGAGTGACGCTCTTCTCCTGCAGAGTAGCTATATCGGCGAGATTCCAAGCACACGCGAGGACCAACAGCAGCTGCACGACAAACCCAGCAGAGAAGTTGCTGGGATTGCCAGACGTGGCCCAGAACTCCTGCACCTCCTGTAAAAAGGACGGGACGTGAAGGATGCGGTGCGTGGACTCAATGTACGTCAAGTACAATCCAATCAGTTCATCAGCGACGGGACGTGCCGGCAGCAATAACATGAGGGAAGCAATGGTGGGTTCGGGAAAAGGTTCGTTGAGTGGTTTGCGCTTCCACAGGCCCCGTTTGACCCGCTCCAAATCGGGCCGTACCCGAGAGAGAATGGGGTTCGCCAAACGAATCTCCTCGGCGAACGCCCTAATGTCAGGGAACTGAAGCAATAGTGAGTCAACAGAGACCAACGCGACAGTCATTCCGGGCCACATACCTGGGCTACTAGATTGGCGTAGATCCCCGAACCACTGAACCGAGTCTTGGTCTCACGCCCTCTCATCATCATGCGGGGGGATAGATCCAACTGGTGTGACGGGGTCAGCACATCATCTGAGTCTCCTTCATCCTCGTCCCGGTCGATGAGAGATGAGAATCTCTCCGGTTCCGGCGCGGCACGTTTCGGCCGTTGCAAGAGGCCTGCGTTAACATACGGCTCCTGATTCACGGCCGCCTTTGGGGCGCCAAGAACAGTCTCCAGAAAGCCCCTCTCCCTCGCTGCATGCCCACCTTTAGGATGCGCTCCAACCTCAGCATGAGCAATGGGGTCCGAATCGGGCGCGATAGTCGAAACGAGAGTGTCCGACCGAGTTGGCGCCGCTCCTAACCCCGAGGCTGCGGGCGTATTAATAGTGCCCGTTTGATCAGCCCGGGAATGCACAGAGATGGTGGAGGTTCCTCGATCAGGTGTGAATGCGGCAGCCGTTAATGTGGCGGGTTGCTGCCACAAGAAGCCATCCTCGTAAGTGCATTTGGTCGGCGTCCGGCTCTTCAAGCAGCGGCTGCAAGCCGGATACTCGCGATCACAACGCAGTTTGCGACTGCGGCATTGCGTGCAGGCCATGGTCCGGCGGCGCCTTTTGCGCGGCCGGTCGGACTGCGGCGCATTGCCAAAGATCTGGACATCAGCCATGTCAATGGGGAATGGGGTATCCGGACAGACGAGTATAGATGATTATCTCGTTACCTCCGAGATGTTGCTAAGGTTGCCCTCCAGCTTACGTGGTGTGACCCACTTCTCCCTGCCCAATGCGGCAGGTGTGGCCGACCGCGGAGATGCAACCCGACTGCGGTGTAGCTTTTGGCTCCTGTCCATGCGACGTATAAGGTTTGCGGGTCAACTAAATAGATCTTCGAAGACTATGATGGACATATTGCTTTTCCATGATATGGAGTAGCTGCTATTAAAATCAATTCACATAGCTCAGCCTCCACGCTTGCAGTGTTGAGACTGGGCCCACTCCACGGGCGCTTCGATGATTTCTCCTGTCTCCCGAGTGGGGTGTCGTGCAAAGGTCCCGAGACACTGCTCTTTTCAAAAACTAGTCAAGCCAGTCTAAAGAGGGCTTGGTATAAAAGCTTGCTAAGCGAAGCGGGTTTTGGATTTTGCTAGCGCCAGAAGTAGCCAATTATGTCCCAAACGAAGCGATTGGATTACTCTTATTGTTTCAGGGGGCGAAGTCTACGAGCTTGACAAAGCATGATGGGCACACCACCTCTACCCAACACAATGGAGCATCGTACTGAGTGCAGCTCCACTGCCAGCAATGGAAGCCCACGTTATTCTGCATAAGGCCTCCATCGTGAACTGTGGGCCCCTAGGGCTGGCCGTCAACAGTGGTGGGTGGAGACCGTCCAGGAGCATTATGGTCAACAACCCTGGTAGAGTCGCAGCTGTTCAAGGCCGGTGCGCATACGAGATCCGCACTAATCCAAAAATCGAATATGGTCAGTCTTGTTGCACTTTCGCAGCTTGCTGAGCATTCGGCCCCCAACATTCCCTTCTGCCGTAGCTTACCCTATTCGGGCAGCCGAGTCCTCGAAATTCAGAATAGCTTCGACAAAAGGGAAGACAACTGTCTCAAAATAGTTGTCGAGACACGCCGTGTTCAATTGAGAATGTTATGAGTGGATTGGGTTGTTCATAGGTCATCAGATTATAAGAGCAGAAATTGTGTCTTACTAAGGAGCAGGTTCAACTCCCAGATCATGGGCGGAAGCTCCATTCTTACACCTCAGGCTGCCTTTTATTTTCCACTCCTTTCTCATAACGCCATCGCTGCTTCTACGACAATTCCACCATGTTAGCATAAGACCTTCGCTAATTAACACGATCCCCATCCAATAGGTAGTTACACAATTGCCGTCCATAGGAAAATCGTCTCCTTCGCCTCTAATAATGGTGTACAGCTTCACGTGTGTCGCGTAGAGCTCTCCGACTAATTATGTCAGGCGTGCGACTAGAAGCAGATACAGACAGAGCTTTCACAGGTAAAAGTAGGTCTATAGCCAAAGATAGTCGAGGGTATCTCGGGGAGGGTCACCCCCGAGTAAAGGTTAAGGATTATAAAGATCCGGGCGTTGTTCAAACAACTTAATCCGACAATTAGAAGTGTGGCCGCTAATGTTCCAGGCCCGGTTCATATTAGTCCGCATTTCTAACAAGACATGGACCCTGTTATGTCAGAGAGGAATGACATAGAGCCTACGAATATATAGATCTGTGTAGGAACATTAATTTCACGAGCTCGGCTTAAGATAGAATCGGGAAGTCCGGCCGGCGAATAATCTAACGATAGGAAGAATCCCCTAGCCCCTAGAAAGCCTTTTAACTGGAAACTTACAGCAAATCCTCATGACCCATATAGATGCGACCGGCCCAGTTATAGAGATAATACAGTAAACTTTGTTCTCGCCTCGCAGTAAAGCTGATTTTGGTACTCTCCCTCAATTGAATATTGTATCGCCATCACGGTTGCATATCTGCTACATCGCAAATTCCACAAACTTGGAGGCTAATGTCATGACGTCGACGGGGACCATAGCCGAAGCAATATTTGTCAATGTAAAGGATTTACAAGCTGCACTTGACAGCTAGAAGTTTTAGAAGTGACAGCAGCCTCACTTTCCACACAATCCGTAAATGTTACATTTGATCGAGCTCCGCTTAATACTCAAGCCAACCAGGCAATCAATTCATGATATGAAAGCATGAGGCAGGAATCTCCACATCCCTGTCCACATCAACTATTCCAATATATCCGTATTAGGCCGCGCCGCTTGTTCCACGTCACGCCTTCTCTCTTCTTCCATCTCTTCTCTCATTCTTTCAATTCTCAGGAGCCCATTATCAACAGTGTATTCACGTGGATTCTGCAAACCTTCGAGCCCCGCAATGGTTTCATCAGGACATTCAGGGTCCTCGTACTTTCGCAGAATATAAAGCAGCTCAGTGGCACGTATGAGCTTAATATGTTCAAGAATGGTAAGCCTTATCTCACTCTGTTGTCCCAGTAAAACCAGAGCACTGCCACTTGTGTGCGCACCATGCTCCAAACAGAGTCCCACTGCTGGTCCCGAATTAGCACTGATGGCATACCGGAGAGCTGTCCATCCCGAACTGTCTTTCATATTAGGATCTGCTCCATTTCGTAGGAGTGCCAGCATTCGTGGTACATTCGCACTCCGGGATGCCAGATGTAACTTCACGCGCAACTTGGGCAAATGCTGGTAGAGAGATGCGTTCACACGAGCGATAAACCTCCCATGCTAAATCAGGAATTCTTGAAAGAGCTATAATGATCAGAGAGCTGATTTTAGCCCAAGGTACCCAGCATATGGATTTACAAGAACGTACGCATCTCTCCCGGTGACGTTGACCCTTCTTGGGTGTGCAGTACTGGATGAAGGACATCTGACAAGTCAATCCCTCCATTTATAATGCACCGATTACCTATGCATTAGATAATATGGTCAGAAATTCAGAAATCCTTCATTATCCACACAGCAGACGATAATAATAGTGAATCCAATCCAATAACATAGTCTGGCAGCCTCGCGAGCCCCTTCTATACTCGTTCCATGGATCCGCTCTTACCTGGATGTGGATGTGGCAATGATCCAAGAAGCGCATCTGCGCACATCATTTGCAGACGTCGTTGCACTTTTCTATAATTATCCTGGTCACGTTGGGATTCCAGATCAAATCGACACATATTGCTGCGATCTGCATCGATGCGCATTTGAGTCTCTCGGTTGCCTGCCAATCTCAAAACGGCCGAATCAAATGGGACAATCTGTTGCGCAATGAAAACATCCATGTTAGTTCCAGAGAGCAGATTATGTAAGGAATATGAGAGATTACGTCTCCAATTCCCTCGTAGCAGGACAGAATTTTATAAGTTTCGAGCTGATGTCGGAAACTGTCCCTCAAAATGTCGGAAAACATGGTGCCCTGTTCGAGAGCGTCGATTACGTTTGATTGGGGCTGGAATGGCAGCGCTCGCGCAATCTTCGCACATGCCATCCCAAGGCCGACTTCGAGACTTTTTGCTGGTCCCATATGCGGCGTTCCAAAAAACACCAGTGAGTGCCTTGTCACTTTAACGAGTTTGTTAGTAAATCTCGCAGATATGGCAACCAACTCATTTTGACCCACGTTGCTTCTTTCAATCCTCTGTATTCTCGGTTTGCCCACGCAATTACCAGTGCCTATTATCTCATTAACGATCCGCCCTAGAATGAGGGTTCATATCATACTCACCTGCTTAATGAGAAGGCCTCCCAAACTATGTCCCACAAAAATGATAGGAATATTCCGGCTCTATTAAGAATATTCAGCAGGTCGATTCTTCATTTAAAAGATCAACATGATATCACCATTTGCCATCTTTCTTGAAGAACATGTTCCAGAAGTTTATTTGCCTCATGCACGAAACTGGCTTTACCCGAGCCAAAAACAGGGCTAGAGTTGTACTCATAAAGGAAGATTCTTGCGTTCGGCTGAGCCTTTGGAAAGTTGTCTCTCAACCAGACATTACCACCGTCCTCTTGTGGTTTTCGCCAAGTGTTGATGGCATGATCAGAAGAGCCCATAGGATTCAGGCCGTGGACGGCAATGATGCTAAATGCATCGTGAGGACAGAATTCAAATTAACCAACGTCGATTTACGCACTCCAACTCGGGACTCTGTTTGCCATCTCGTCCCGTACCGGGCGCTAATTCTCGCAGGGGCATACTTTCTCAATCAGATCACATTCATACAATGAGTCTTGAAAGAGATTGCATACCATGTCGGAAACTTCGACCGTCACAAATAGTCACCGGCGGGGAGTTTTCTGTCGGAATATCTCCAATAGATGTAAACAAATAGCCTAAAAAGTTTTGGACGAGCCTTCTGAACATATACTGCTACTGTAGTAGATACGCTAGTTTGCGAGCCCCTTATTGAGGCTGTAGATATGACTGAACAATGGTGGATTTGGCCCCCACTGGGCATTTTCAGACAGTCTCCTAGTCACCAGCCCCCAGCCACCCGGTGTGAGACTACCTAAGGCTTGTGCAGGCCATGCTTGCTACTCAGAAGAATTACATCATGACTTTCCCAGAATTAGATACATATCTCATTGCTAAGAGGACACATGCCACGGCCGCGCTTTCCGCCCCCACCTCCTTCTGGCCGCCACCTGAGACCTACAGTCATGATCTGCGGATGCCAGGAGGCCGAGGGTTTTAGGTGATTCCTAATAATCCAATGACAAGGCGCTGTGATTCAGTCAAGAAAACCCGCGCGCTTACCATTGGATGAGTTATCACCCACTCCTCTCATCCTTTCCCCTTTTGAATATCGCAAGATTCTACAGTGCTTCTCTAATAGACTATTCCTAATAAGGAAACAGATGCTATTCAAGTTTTATTGCAGAAATCGCCAAATCTCCCTCTAATCAAGGTAAATAACCTGCGTCATCTAAGCGGGGATCCCTGTGTATTGCCCATCAATCTGCTGCCGCCCTCTCGCTCGCTCTCGCTGGCAACGTCGCTGCCGACCTCGCTGCTGATTTTGGCTGTTGATCTTGCTGTTGACCTTGTGTCCTCGCTAGTGACGAATCCTCCTGCGAATCCAACCCCTCGATTTATGAATGAACACGCCGGCCCCCCCTGTATCCGGACCCACGCAAATTATCACGAGGCTGTTGGACCCGCGTGAGATCATGGCTGAATTGGCTAGATCCTATCTCAAAGAGATGCCAATGAGGGTGGAAATGATACAGGGAGAAGGATCTCTTCGCCCTCCAGTTCTCCTGGATTGGGTGAATACTTGGGAACCCGCTAGTTTTGACGGATTCGCACTCGCATCCCTGGGGTGCTAGGGGTTTATTTGGACCTGGTGGGAGACGTTTTGCGAATTGTTTTATGTCATTATTAATTGCGAAGATTGAGACCCTTTTGAGGACTTCCTGCACTAATATTTGGGCACCTAGTCGCCGCTTAACCGTCTAATCCGCGATTACTGCATCAATCTTATTCTTCTCCAGTGAAAGCGTAATCTACGAAATATTTCTCACTACAATCATAAAAGGTCAAACGATACCCTTTTTGGCGACTTTGACGCCAAGAGGGCTGACGAAAACAGCGGACACTCAAGTTTAATACCTTTTAATTTCAAAGTCCTCGATAGATATACACTTGTATGTTCTCAAACAATTGGGGTCATCTATTCTAGTCTATCGAAAATACATATTTACATACTTAAGCGTGATATTAGTGAAGGTTGTGGGTATACTTTTACTTTTTGGGATTTAAAAGATCGAAGCGCGGAATGTTCCCAGAGTTCCGGCCGTAAAATAGCTAAGTAGATTCTTTAGCTTATATTCTCAGAGGCTACACATTTGAATAGGTTAATTCGATTATTCAAATTCTGGATTAGCGGGTGAACTCGAGTGTTGTAACAGCCAAGGATCAGCCACACTGACCTGGGGCGCGCTTAACAGCGATCCCCTGGGTTGTTACCATGAATCATCAATTTGATCGCGAACCCTATCCCGGCGGGTATCTCCAGTGCGAGCCTTTCCCGAGCCCGAGAGCCCTCGGTGCGACAACCAGGGACCGGTCTCGGGTTTAACCGTTCGGGAATGGTCGCTCGGAGTTAATAAACGGGACAGGACTATAACAACCCCATGCAGCCGCAGAGTTCAATTCAAGAGGCTTCCACGTTTCCACAACTGCAACCAACCGTATTTTCAAAAGACAGCGAGGTTCCACGCATCGCGAGCGCTGCCATGTTACGGTCACTTCTCTCCTTCGGGCGCTCCGAGGCCGATTATCTCTTTCCCAAAGTCACACCCGCAGAGGACGGACCAGATTGCCTCAAAGATTGCGCAGACTGCACCGTGCAGTTTCCGTCAAAAGTGAAGGTCGAAAATTCCATGCCGCTGTATGGCCACATCAAAGATTTTCATTCTCACGTCCTGGTCGCGACGGGGCGGTCTGACTGGAAGGAGAAGGTGGGACAGGAAAAGGGAAGTCTAATGGAGGCGTTCGAAGGTTCTTCCGCGAAGTCCACACATGGTGTAAGTTTTTCTTATTTTTTTTATTTGGACAATCGATCGTCTCTTTTCTTGCGACAATCAACTGACTCTTTTCTAGCGCTTCATGGTGTCAGCGTCCAACATCCAGCCCCCAGATTACGAGGGCAAAGAAGTTGAAGCGAACCAGCCAACAACAGTTCTCATTCTGCCATCCTTCACTTTCGTGGACTCTGTCTCACAGGCAGACGTTCCCAATCTAGTTCGCCAGTTTATTGATAACCCTTCTGATGAAAAGAGCGGCACTGGCATGGTCGCACGGCCGTGCCCGCTAGACTACGTGATTTTACTCTGCTCTCACAAGCGACGAGATGCACGATGCGGTATGACCGCTCCTCTCATCAAGCGCGAACTCGAGCGACACCTCCGGCCACTGGGATTAGATCGCGATGCCGACGACTCACGCCCTGGCGGCGCGGGCATCTTCTTTGTCTCCCACGTGGGCGGACACAAGTTCTCTGCCAATGTGCTGATTTACCGGAAAAAAGATCAACAGATGATCTGGTTGGCACGCGTGCGACCTGAGCACTGTGCAGGTATTGTGAAGTACACAATCCTCCAGGGGAAAGTGGTACATCCAGAGACACAATTGCGGGGTGGATTTGACCGAGTCAGGGGATTGACGAGCTGGTGATTATGATTGACGCCATGTACATCTATAGCTTTTACAGGCGTTGCAGAGCGCGTGAAGGGTCTCGAGGCACTTCTTTATTAGCTAATACCCCACAGATGATAGAAAGTTTATGCTTCCATGAATTAAGCTTCACTTCGCTCAAACCATATTTTCTCTTCTTTCAAGGCAGGCTCCAGCGTCAACCCGATCTTCTTCACGGACCCCGAAGGATCAATATAAAACTCAGCCGCAACAGGTTCCATCGCAGCAAGATTGCTGGACTTTATCTTCGCAACGAAGAATTCACCACTAGCATGCGTGAGGGTCAAATACCCGGGGATCGCTCCTTGCGATGCATCGATACCCAAGTTTCCATCATGGTCTAGCACAACAGAAACCCAGTTTCCAGTTGGATGTTTGTAGGTCCCAACATATTTGTCGAGTGGCAAAGCATGAGAAAACGGGGGATCGGCCAGGGATGGAAAGAGCTTTCGCTTGATAGCATCCATATCGTCTGGATGATACCTTAGCGTTCTCTCCTTGATCTTGTCATGCGTGGCATAGAATTCCGCCATTTTCTCTTGATGCAGGGGATCCTCGGTCGGTCCAAGCAGCTTATCCATAAGATGTACCGCCAGCTGGAAAATGATATATCGTGCTGAGTTGGAGTTGCCCATAAGCACGAAGCCGAACTTTTTCTCGGGCAGAAACCCGACGAGACTGGAATAGCCAGGCCAGCCACCGGAGTGTGAATAGAGGTGTTGGCCACGATAGTTGTCGACGAACCATCCCAGTGCGTAGCCGTGGTAAGGGGACGGTAGATTGATATCGCCTCCTTCAAAATGTAAAGTCCGTGGTTTAGTCAAGGAATCATGGCCCTTCAGAAGGCCAGTCTGCTCGATCAATTCTCGCACCCAGCGAGAATAATCGAGCACATTGCTGACTATGGCTCCGGCGCCGGTATTCGGCCTCCAGTTGGCCGGGGGCTCTTGGAACCAGTGCCCGCCGTCTTTCTCGGGAATCCAAGTGTATCCTTTAACGACCTTGGCCGCGCTCGAAGGATCTTCCATCGCCTCATCAGTTGAGAAGTATGTCTCGTTCATGCCAAGGGGCTCCCAGATGCGCTTCTTCAGGAAAGTGCCCAGTGGCTCACCAGTGTGCTGCTGTAGTAGATGCGTCATAGCAACAAACATTTGGTTGCTGTACTGGAATTTAGTTCGCGAGGGAGCTGATAGGGGCAGGTGTCTGAGCGAGCGCACAATCTCTCGCACGCTTGCATCTCGACTCCCGTACGTGACTGGCCATAAATGTCCAGGGAGCCCCGATCGATGTGAGAGGGCATCTTCGAGGGTCGTGTGCCTAGTAGCGTAGTCATCTGATAGAACAAAATCGTCTGGAATGATGGATGCGATCGTGGTGTCCCAGTCGAGCGCCGACTTGGTGTCCTTGCTGTCTTGAATCGCTATTGAGGTAGCGGCAGCAGTGAATGCTTTCGTGGTGCTAGCAGCTGGGAAAAGCGTGTCGGCGGTCATCTTCCTGTCAGGGAATTCGGCGATGCCATAGGCCTGATGTATCGTCAGCGTAGAGTCCGCGCAACCAACTGTTTTTGAGTTACCCTGGAAAATGTATGTTCCTTATGGAGGACTGCGATGGACAAGCCAGGAATTTTCCATTCCATGAGGGCATTTTGAACCAGCGCATCAAACTGGGCATCAAAGGGGCCTTGTTCGATGGTCATTACGGTTATGCGGCAAAGCGCTATTCAAACGACTGACAACGGCTTAATATTTGTACTGTAATATCATGAAGTATAGGACGTAAGCAATCATTTATATGTCCACGCCCTTGTCTTGGAATTGTTGACCAGCGCATTGCTCCCCACATCGTTTACGCGCCATCATTAAGATTCAAGTCATGATTGGCATTGAAGTTAGGCAACCAACGGTCGGGGACCGAATCTGGCCGCCTAGCAGGCACGTAAATTAACATCCAGTGAAAGCGAAGGGATCGTACAATTTTAGCCTGAATTTGTTACAGTAGTTGAGACCCAAGGTAAGCAAAATAACCGGCTGTCAACGGTGGAAGGGTGCCGGGCCGGACACGCGACGTCACCGCGTTAATTGGTTTCGCGTCCCGCGTCGACCGCTGCTTCCTCCCTATGCGCCTGGCCGCATCTGCGATATGCAACCATGGCCGACCACGCCCTCAATACAAGCGCCGAGGTCGCGTCAAGAGCTGTCAATTTGCGTGCAGAATTGAAGACCTGGGAGAAAGATTTTGCGTCGGGACACGAGGGGCGAAAAGCTGGTCGAGAGGATATAAAGCAGAACCCCGACATTGGTAGGTGGCACCCTCTTTCGCCCGCGGCTTTACAACATAGCGGACGAGTTTGAACTGACTGATGACATTTCATCTTTTTCCGGTTAACAGCCGCAAAATATAAGGAATATGGCCGACTCAAAGCACTCGAGTCCTCCCTTAGCCGAGGCGAGAATCGACAGCTAGAACACTCCGATTCCCAATCCAAAAAACGCAAACATGCTTCTCCTAACGGCCCAGATCATGCGAACTTAATCACGACGCCACGCAAGTCGTCCAAGGGGCTCTTTGCGACCCCATCCAATAACCGCACCAGTCATGTCCACCACTCGCATGTAGACGAATTCGTCTCACCGTCCACGTTCCGCAAACTGTTCAGCCCTAGTACACATCGGCAGAGCGCACCAGCCCCATCACCACTCAAGGCTGCAATCGGACCCACCCCTCAGCGCGATGGGAAAGCGCTCGGCCTCTTTGATATGTTGTCGGAGTCGGGAGGAAGCAACGCGACGCCGTCAGCGAAGAAGCAAAGGGACTTTTTGGCGGCGGGATTCCAAACACCTTCCAAACCAAAAGCGTTCGAGCCAATCGCAGAAGTGCCAGACGAACAGGAAGATGATATAAGGCTTTCCCGCACTCCAGCATCCTCTAACAAACAATTCTACCTGGCCAATCTATTCGCGACGCCGACTACCATGCGTTACGCGGCTATGGTTGAAAATGAGGATGACAGGCTGGGACAGGAGAATGCGCCTCCAATTATTGAGGCTGCTACATCACCGCAGCCCAATCCGTCTGAAACGCCCTCTTTCCTACGCCGCTCGAATTTCGGTAGACTCGCACCTCCCAATTCCAACCAGCAGAGCGCGGGACTCAGCCCCATTGCATCCCGCAAACCTCTGCAATTTGCAGGCAGGGGTCTATCCCATCTGGTGCAAGGACTGCGCGCAATGGAGGAAGAGCGCGAGGATGATGAGTGGGATATGCTTCGTGAAATCGAGGAGCAAGAGGCAGCGAGCTTCCAGGTTCCGGAGAGTCAACCTGTGCAGGAGAACTATCGACCATATAAGAAGAAGGGCCAGAAGCGAACTACGCGACGAGTGATTATGCGACCAGTCGCGCCTCGGCCGAAAGCTCGACCCAGTCCCGCTGCTGCGCCTGTCGAAGAGGATTCAGGAAGCGATGATGAGCGAGCTGCGGTTCCCGAAACGCAACTCTTAGCCATCTCAGAAGAGGTGGATAATGTCCGTGAGAAAGAGCAAGATGCCGCTAACAATATGGGCGCTTTGCATACCATGTCCGATCTCGAATCCGACCCCGGTGCAGAGCTTGACATTGACTCGGATTATGATCCCGAGTACGACGACAAGCCCAAGCCTTTCGCTCGGGCTAAGAGTTTCTCTGAACGGATCAAGGAAGCTGTCTCCATGGCCAAGCCGCAAGTCAAGGAAGCCCCATCAAAAGCCACGTCCGTCCCTGAGAAAGAAGATAAGCCACCCAAGCCTCGGATGATCAAGGCGAATGCTCAGTCCCACACGAACTACCGGAGCCTGAAGATTCATCATAGAGGAGGATCTCGGGGCCATGGGCGGTTCCGTCGGAGATAGAGAGTGCATTTGGCCTCTTAATTTAATGTTCACGAAGAAACGACTGCATTCGTACTTAGCATAGATAGTGTCCTAGATGTCCATAGCAACTTGTTTCATGCATCTTGGCGCTGCTCGGTCATCGTATCGAATGTTACTTGGGCACTGGGTGAGTAATGTATACTTCTAATAGATTGAATATAATGTACATGTTGTCAGTCAGGAATATATCGGTCTAGAATATTGCGGTTTTGTGGTGGCCATGGGTGCCGGCGAGCTGATCCCCGCGATGAAGGCGATTGTGCTCTCCGTGAAGATGGCTCGGACATGCCGGGTCTCGAAATTCGGTCGAATAGGCTTCGATCATGTTCACGAGCCGGTGAGTCCGCGCCTCGAGAGAAGCGACGACCGCGACAGCTGGAATTTCGACTCCCCCTATCAGGGGAGTTGTGTGTCGAAGTCGGATACTGCACATGACGGTCCCAATCCTCCAAAGATATGTAAGGACTTCTCAGCCACGCTAGTAGTTCATGAAGAAATAGGCGAGAATTATCCCTTCCAATGAAATCTTGTAATAGTTCCTCCGCTTGCCCGGCACTGCCTTTGATGTCAACCGTGCGCAGAATGGCGACGATATACTCAAGCAGGAACTCGGCATTGTTTGCCCTCCGTTGTGCTAATCGTTGCTCCCCGAGCGCGGCACACGATCCCGCCTTTGTTCCGGTTCATCCTCTGACTCCGGGTGCAAGAAGCGAAACACCTGCAGCTCACGGCGGATCCATTTCCGAGCGCGCGAGACCAGGGCCTCGTCTCGGTTGAAATGCTCTGGTGTCACTTCCGTATATTGGGAAAGACGATTTGACCCGACTCGCAGAGAGTATAGCTGGTTGCGATAAACATTGCGACGGACTGAGAGAGGATCGCCGGACGAAGGCTGGGGCTGGCGCGGGCGGGATCTTTGTCGTCGCCTTTGGTACCCTCTGAAACGAATCTCGTGCTGGAGAGGAGAGGCGCGGGTCGCTCTTGTGGGGGGATCGACGGGAGGGACGTTGTATGTCTTGGGGCCTCCGGGTCGTTTCAAGTCATATTGAACGACAGTGAGATTTACTTTACCTGTGTCGGAATTAGTTGGCTTTCTTTAGGCGCGCATGAGTAAAAGACGTACATAGAGGACAGTTGGGCTGTTGCTCGAGCCAATTAAGAAGGCACAGATAATCGAAGTTGGCATGGCGGCATGGAACTCCGACGCATGGCTCTGTGATAGTGTCCAGACAGATGACGCAGGGATCAGCACCCTCAGTCTGCTCATCCGCTACCTCCCTGAGAGTCTTTTGAAGGATTTGTTGCTGCAGATCTCCATTCTCTGACATGAAGGCCGGAGGTTGGAAAGCGAAGGAGCATCGCGCGGAGTCCTTCCTTATCGCCAAGTCACGTTCGAGGCAGGCGGGACCGCCCGCGGCAAAAAACCCGCGATCGAGCCTTCCAAGCCATCCAGGACCAGTTTACTCTCAAGCAACACCGTGCAGCTGGATAGTTGCAACCGATCGCTATCTCAAGAGCCGCGCATACTTTACGCAATGCACTAACTGGAACAGAGTGTGGTCATTCCCTGCCAACCTCGGAACATAGATGTCTCGAGATAGAGACCCCCAAATCCCCTCGATGCATTCCGCGAAAGCGGTCATAGCAGAAAAACTTGCGCGTCTTGGCCCTTCTTCCTCAAACATATTTTACAGCACCATGCCTCCGCAGCGGCCGCCTTCACATACTCTCACCTCGCTGAAGCGATGGTCGGTCGCCAACAGAGAGCTCCCAGGTAGGCGCAAACGTCTTGAATCAATACAGGAATCATCGAGCTAATGACTGCTTCTCTGTAGCCGTGTCTCAAATCAAAGCAATCCATGTCTACGACTTCGATAATACTCGTGAGGATCCTTCAGTGTTGCATCGCGCTGTGGGACCCCCCAAACTTACCAACACATAATTAGTTTTCCTGAGTCCCCTTCCCAATCCACAACTGTGGAATGGTTCGACAATCGGTTTCCTGCAGGCATGGGAAAGCTTCGCAAACGGCGGGTGGTGGCATGATCCGAATATTCTCTGCGCTACTGGCAGGGGCATGGAAGCTGAAGAGCCAAGAGCTTGGAATGGCTGGTGGAACGAGCAAATTGTGTGACCCCCCAGGCTTTTCTCTCCCTGGCATATGATTTTTAGCTGACAAGTTTGAAGCTGCGCTTGGTTAAACTGAGCATGGATCAGAAAGATGCACTGACCGTGCTCCTGACGGGCCGGGGCGAAGCCAACTTCGCACCCATCATTAAGCGCATGGCTGCCAGCAAAAAACTGGATTTTGACCTCATTGGATTGAAGCCGGAAGTCGGTCCCAATGGCCAGCTGTTTCCGACGACCATGACTTTTAAGCAAAAGTTTCTCGAGGACCTTGTCTATACTTACGAACAGGCTGAGGAGATTCGAATCTACGAGGACCGCCCAAAGCAGTAAGTTCTCCTAGGTGTTACGATGTTTTTTATTCTATATCACAAACCTTACTTCGCCTTACAGCGCGAAAGGGTTCCGAGATTTCTTCGGGGCAATGAACCGGAGCCTGCAAGCTGGACAGGGCCTGGTGCCCCGAAAGCCACTCACTGCTGAAGTCATCCAGGTAACGGAAGGATGCACATACCTCGATCCAATAATTGAAACTGCCGAGGTCCAGCGCATGATTAATTCACACAATCTTACCACCCGCAACCCGTCTCTGTCCAAGGTCAAGTCCCGGCTTGCCCGGCTTCGTATCAAACGGACGGTGTTCTACACGGGCTACCTGATATCCCAACAGGATTCTCAGCGCATCATTCAGGACCTGCTAAGTCCAACATTGCAGCAGCAAGGACATGCTGAATCAAATGACCTGAAATACATGGCTAACAGCATTCTAATTACACCCCGTCCAGCGTCCCAGAATATTCTGGGTAGAGTTGGCGGGCTGGGAAAGAAAGTAAGCTGGCAGGTGACTGGAGTAGGAGTGTTTGATAACAGGGTCTGGGCTGCTCAAGTGGCTCCCATGCCGTCAAACCTACCCATCTACACGGAAAATCCCTCACCGCTCATCGTTCTGGCTTGCCGCAGGGGGTCACGTCCAGCCGATGCAGGAAAGATACAAAACTGGCAGCCTGTTCCACCTGGAATGGCAATGAAATTTGAAACTGTCGTCGGAGAGAAAGTTGTCTTGCGAGTTGAAGAAGACAACCCGCATGAGGGCGAATGGGAAAGCCAGTTTATGAATAAAAGCCACAAGAGGCGCCACCAGCAGGAGCGAGATGAGGACATTCTATACCCTCAATCAAGCCATACGAACGGCTACGAGGCTCCAATCCAAGACCAATCCCACGGTTATCACCCATACCACCGTCCCGGTGGTGACAACCGGCACCATAATGATGAAAACTCGCGTCGGGGCCCTCATCGGGGTCGGGGTCGTGGAAATGGCCGTGGTCGAGGCTCTGCTCGTGGCAATCGTGGACGTGGACGTGGTGGTCGTGATACTGGATCGAACCCATACTATAAGTCCCTTGATGACCAGGGCAGTGGGTATGAAGGACCGAACGACAAAGGTAGCAATGCAGGCGGAAGTTTTCCTATGGACTATTAGGGACCAAAGCCTTCTGGGTGCTCAGCTTTGGGACTTATGTACCATTCGCCGCAAGAGGAACCGTGCGCGTGTATGAACATTTTTAACGTGATTTGCGGCTTCTGTTGCATCTAGGCATGGCGTATATTGGTTATGGGTTGGCAGAGTCGCGGACTTTTTTCTTCCCTTCGGCAGCTACTTAGTTCTATGAATAAGCATACAACATCACTTTCTTCAGCGACGTCCATCTACTGTCTCGCAGCGTAAACAAGTACCATGACGGAATGTAACTTGTTACCATGACGATCGAAATTTCACGCAAGTTGGAAAAGCGATGTGTGGCTCTGCAACCCGGTAACTACGAGTTTTATTGCTCAATTACTCTACATCGACATTTTCCGGGAAGCGTCGCGGGCTAGAAGCTGTTACGTTCGATATGGTGAAGCCATCACTCGATTGTTCGAGCGGTGCGATCACGAAATTAAGGAAAGTAAGAGTGCGGAGATTGCATATGACCCTTTCGATTTCCCGCAGCCCGAGATACGCTAACACACACATGCAATTTCGGACTCGTTTTACCCATCATTTTTGGCAGGTGATGAGGAATCTTGGGCTAAGAATATAACGTATCGAGCAATCCTTATTCGTAGCCCTCTGAAGGTTGATATGGAGATTTCTCCGCTTGCTAGGGGCGTGCACCCTGCGAGAATGAGTGTTCAGCTTGTGGAGGGCAACCCCATCTTTCCTTAGCACTGGGCGACGTGCTTACATGGCCACAGTTGAGAAACTGTCATAACGGAGAGATTTTCCAAGTACTAGAATTGTGAAGGGCAACCTATTTCGGATGAGGATTCAAAAGGATGGCGCTTGATTTCAATTCCACACACGAGAAGAACAAACTGGTATTGTTGCGTTGCTTTACGTATTTAATGCAGATTGCTTTGGCTGTTGAGATCTCCATGAACAGGAAGGGAAAATGTGCTGAATGAGTATGTGATGTAGTATGTGATGTTCATTCGTGGAAACTTGACTATCAAGTATGGTGTAGAATTGACACACCTTCAGAACATGTTTTATGCAGAAACAAAGACAGGAAATCAAGCAGCCAAGGCTAGATCAGTCCGATACTCAAGAAAACATGGTTTTATACACAGAGGGAAAGAACGCCTAAAGCAGACAGAGAAAAAAGACGCACAAGAAGAAGCAACCAAAACACCGGCCGCAAGGCTGTACAAGAAAATCTCACATCAAGTTGATGACATTCGTTCTATGTCAGCTCGGCGTATCCTCATGGTAAACAGGATAGCCAAACAAACACCTTACTCAGGGACTAGATATGTTTTTCGAGCCAGTCCCAGGAAGAGGTGATGGAGTGAGAGGATGGTGATCCTCTAATATGTTCACAGATTCCCAAATTGTCCAAATCTAACCAGCTCCCAGATGGGAGTTATCGTCCCAGATTTCGTATTCCGTGCCGTCCGTTCCGTATGTCGCGAGCGAACATCATTCGCTTGTAGATATTATTCGTTTCCCATTCGTGTCGTTTGGTTATAAGGGCGTAGAGGCGTAGCATGTCGAGAGGTGATAGATGCAAGTCGTGGTAAACATCAACAAAAAAACAAAAAAAGCAAGCAGTAAAGTACGCCAGTTGACGACGACCTAGTCGTCGTCAGTCAATTTCCTGAGCATGCTAATGCTGAGGATCATGATGAGAAGGCCAATGGTAACGACCACCAGAAGGACGAATGCGAACCAACCCAGTACCATGGCTGAGGTACCAACACCGCTTCTTACGACGCTGTTGCCCATATCTTGGGCAATCGTGCTTGCTGCCACAGACGCTGTGTGCTGCCATAACACAGAGACAAGCACAAAGACGGAAGACACGAAAATTAGGGCAAGAGCGGCCTGAGAGACGGGCCGCGAAGGGAAGGGCTTAACTTCGACAGCGGACCCAGACTCGTCAGGCTCTTCGTGCCAGCCAGGGAAGGTGGCGAGGAGGATAAAACAGAAGAAGGCGAGGATGACAGCGACAATACTAGATGCAGGTTAGCTTCACTCAATGAAGAGAAGAGCACTCGGAAAACTTACAGAAGGTATGGGAACACCACTGCATCCTTGAACGTCGAGGCAACCCAGATCAAGTTGAGCGGATCTGCGTCAACATTGACAATCTCGGCGAGAGCAGTGGCGTTGGCGTTGCAGATGAATGAGCCACCATCGGGCTGCACACAGATACCGAAGTATCCGACCCGAACTTCCATCTCGGCGCTCCGTACAATGTTGGCCATGGCTGTTACCACGCCCGGGTCGACTTGGGCAAGGTCAAGAATCGGGTTGTACTTCTCGTAGTACATGGAAATGAGGAAGATGTTGGGGATCTGTGGGGATGATGAGGAGCATCCAGCCAACAATAGTGCTGTGAACGATTAGAGAATATTCTTGTGGCAGCAGAAAAGCTAACCGCTGGAAACTGCGAATGGTGACTAACATAGTAAGATAATTGCAACTGCAATAATAATCATCAACACATGGTGATACCCGACCATGGGAATGAATCCTGCGATTGAGGTCAGAAAACTCGCTTTGTCTCACAACTGTTTCCTGGTGGGTCATAACGTACGGCCAACACCCTGTGCAAATCGAGCCGCCATTGCGAGCGGTTATGGGGCACAAGCAGCCACCTCTTCCTTACGCGTCAATAGGCTCACTTCTCGGATCTCCGAGAAGGAGATTGAGAAACCGAACGTGAAGTCAGAACCTCCTCTTGAACGCCCTTTTGGCGGCGCTAATATGATGCTTGACGATGTAGATGGCCGTCGATCGCTCCGAAGATAAGATCGTTGGTATGGAATGTAGAGAATGAGGAATGCGGTTGAGAAGATGCGAGGAAGGTTGAAGATCGATCGGACCGATCCTGGACGTTCAGGTTGAGGTCAAGAGCACCCAGAAGTCAATCGAATAAGTCGAGGCGTGCCTTCAGATCCGGATCGCACCTAGATAAGAATCTCGATACTGGTCAGAAGCTTTGAAGCCTTTCGCACAGCAGGTGTAGAACGAATTGTGTGTCACAAGGGGCATGTGTAGAAGGAATGGAAGGGGAAGGGAGAGGAAAGAATCGTAGCTGCAATCCAGAAAAACCACGTCAGGCTCGAATTCGATGCAATGAAGCTCCTGGAGGCTGGGAATGGAGCCGGAGTATGGGAATCTGGGAGGCTGGGCCAACCGCCTTTGTTTACCTTCCCGCTTCCTAGGTAACGGCAACAGACCGCCTGCTTATTATAGTTTTCTGCCGTGACCCATTGGGCACCGCCCACATCGAGCTAACCCAAGTTGGATTAGCGGTGATCAGCTTAAAGTTAGCCCCACCGTGGGTCGCCCCCAGCCTCCAGATTATCCATCACAGCAGGGACGGACTACGGAGTACGGAGTCACAGACATCAATGATGTGAAACGCTAAGTACGTTGTTCCATGGATGACACTAGTTATGCTTGACTCAGTCACAATAATGAAATAAAAATGTGACCATCAGCTCTACGCCCGAAATTTGATAAAAACACCCACAACAATGCACGCCCAAAATGAATGTGTTCCGTCCGATACTCCATATCCGAAGTACCAAATGCATAGTTCTTAGTTCGCTGCAAACGAGAAACGCTTCAGATCCAACGGTGTGGTCTGTGCAGAAATGCTGTGATCCTCCTCTACCTCCTCATCACTGTCGGGCACGATCAGATCTTCACTGCCTTGGATGCCACTGCTAGTGGATGATGGTCCCGATGCAAATTCGGTTTCGTGATCGGTCTGGGATTTCAAAGAGTCGGCCTGCCGAAGCTTTGTTGGGAAGTTGATAGTGTGGGATCGCGTCAGCGCGGTTTGCTCCATACGCTGCAAAGGTGTCAAACGCTGACGCTGCGGGACTCTGCTTTGCGTAACCACCGCGGAGGTTCTGGGTGACGAAAGCAATGCGGGCTTGTTGCTGGACTGAATGACGGGAGTCTTTGTCCCGGCCGGGCGAGGTATGCTAGAGCTAGACTTGGGGCCTGACTGGAAAGCGTACTTTGAAAGTATTGCCGAATTCTGTCGTTGAACGTGGTATTCTACAGCTTGGTCGAGTTTCGGATCCTCGGACGAATGGTCCAAACGCTTACCTTCATCTTCGGGCAGCGCACTACCAGCTCTAGGTTGCAGCATAGATGGCCTCGCTTCCCCGCCTTCGTCATCCGCCTTTGCAACATGGCTGTTGATTGGAGTCTCCGCGACATCGGCCTGGGATGCTGGATCAGGAATCCCAGAGAAGATATCTTCGGCTACCTCATCAGAGAAGACATCCAAAGTCGACTTGCGTTGTTTCTTAGTCCGAGAGACCTTCTGTCCGCTGGGGCTGGCTTGTTCGGCATGAGAAGCAAAGAAGCGGCTGCGAAAGTCTGGGCGAGCCGCGAGCTGATCGTCCTCGGTTTCAGAGCACAGCCTCTGGCGCTTCGTCGGCTGCAGAGTAGATACTCTGGCGGCTTGTGCCAAGAATGAGTTGCACTCGACACTCCGAACCATAGGACTGGCGCCCTGAGCAGATAGGGCGCGGAAAGGCGTCGATCTACTCTGGTCGGAGCGATAGGGAGCCGAGTTGGCTTGCCAGGAGTTGTTCGCATTCCGCTCCAGGAGGCGTTGCTGGCTCGGAGACGGGGTGAGACTGTTCGGATCGAGCTCGCCCAGCGGAGTTCTCTTTGGGGTGAAGAAGGAATTGATAGGCTTGCTTGGCTTCAGCTCTAAAGATGACCCCAAAGTCTGACGGCGAGTGATGCCCAGGGGCAATTTACCTGCAGCCAATGGTTGCAACTCAATCGGTTTCTTGGTTGTTGGGTCTAAGTCACCGCATGCCACCCCAGCCGCGATCTCAGCCTCCACGTCGGCGCCGATAAATGGCAGCTCGTCAAGGTTGATCCCATCTTCGGGGGCTGTGAGGGTCACTACCTTCTTAGCATTGGGGCAGAAGACACGCTGATAGAGAAAAGTATGCTCAGCCTGCTTAAAGTTGGCCAGGTAGTCAGCTGGGACCTGCATGTGGTTTTCAAACTGTAGCATGCGCAATGTCTTCTCCACAGTCCTGTGCTTGCGAATACTGCGATAGGCAGTCTTTAATCCCATCTTCGGGATGTTGGCCAAATAATCACATCCACTCAGAATGCACATGCGTCGGAAATCTGCATCGCTCCAACCAACTAAGCTGACTTCACGACAGGCGGTGAAATTTGCACGATTGATCTCGATGCAATCACCATGTTGATCCAATTTCGACAATAGCCGCTTTGCACCAAACACCAACAAATCCGAATCCTCCGAAATAATTCCTTGAATGAGACCTTGCTGCTCAAGGTACACCAACTGAGCGTCTGCCTCATATGGTGCCACAACATATTGAACATTCATCTCCTTCAATTCTTCGATCAATTGACGGGCCATGTGCGGTGTCACATCGACGGCTTTCTGGAACTCTTGATAGGCCTCCGGTATTCGGCCTTTGCGTTGAAGCTCCAGTCCCATCGCCTTGCTCTCCTGACGTCTTCTATGTCTGTCTTGTTCAGTGCCCGCTTTGCTAGGAAGGTTGTCGCCATCGAACACAAGATATGGGGTGACACCGAAGAAGAGAAGCATGCGGACTCGGTTGAGGACGAAATCGAGATGCCTGCGGTTTGCGTATTAGCTTCGTGTATAATATGGTTTCAGGCCAGCATCTGGATTACTTACTTCCTTGTCGGCCTGTCTAGGACCAAGTCCACGGAGCAGGCGACGGTGCCGCGGTGGAGCCATCCATAGGCGTCAACTCCTAGAGTCTGCCCGCTATAATTCTTGAGATGACATTGTTTTTGTATGGATTTGAGAAGACCATGAAGCCCTATGTGCTGTTAGCTTCCACACGCCCCCCTTGGCCAGACCTGGCCATGACATACCTTTGATACCCATGGTGGGCACCGGTCGAGGGACAAGCGGGTCCTCGTATTTAGTTGAGAAGCAAATACATGTGGTCTTCAAAACAACCAAGATCCAACGTGTTGGGAAGCAAGAAAGATAGAATAGGACCAAATGCACGGAGAATCACCGAGTAAATAACCCCATGGCCCGTTGCTGGAATGTTTGTTCTCGTTTGTTCCCCTCGACGCGCAGACGCGTTGCGCGGTGTTTTGGGAAGGCGGTCATGCACTCGTCACCGCCCAATTCTGCAGGCATCCAAAAAAATAATCGTCGGCGGACAAGCACTACGGAAGATAGCTCGACTCGACACAGCTATCGCAACCATGCCCAGTCGCTCCCTCCAGAAGGTGCACAAGCAAATCTCCAAAAAGCGCGGCGTTGTCGACTCGCTTCATGAAAACAGCCGCGATGCCCAGCGCTTGCGCCGTGCGGGCGCCCGAGACGACCGACTGTCCCGCCATGGGGCGATGTCACTGAAGGCCCGACAGCCGTACAGTGAGTATACCAGTTACATTCATCCGTCGCAGTCTATATTCTAATCTTCCGTTAGTGGAGCGAATGCAGTACTTTCACAATGCGGCTCAAACCATCGTGGAGCCCCTGTCAGACACCCAGCTGATCGAGATGGTGTTGAAGTATGCTCATTGCCGCAAATTCCCCTCTAAGCCTCCAAGACTGACGCAATGCAGGTACATCAACCGAGATGGAGAGGAGATCGCACAGCTCAAGCAGGAGCGCCGGAAAGGGCGGCCACCTACCCGACGAGAGGAAGCCTTGAGTCTGCGGACAGAAACGGAGGAGAAGGAATTTAAGACTGGGTTCTGGTTACCGGACCTGGGCGATGCGGATGTACTGCATGCCTTGAAGCACTGGAATGGCATCTGGTCGGGCCTCAGTCCTATGAAATTTATTCGGCTCACTCAAGATGGAGTGAAGCAATCATCGAGTTTCCCACCCAAGGGCATGTCATGATTACGGATATCCTCTAGATTTTCTGCTTGTTTCTTTGACCGAGTGGACGATCGGCGCATACGGAGTACATTGGTTCTGATCCTCCAATCGTATAAAAATTTCTCGTGCATATATTATTACTATTCTCAAGATCAACAAACCTTCATTCTGTCCATAATAAATCATCCTCGGGACAATCGCTCGACGCTGCCGAAAAGTACTCGGCAGATCTACAGACCAAACTCGGGCGGTGCCAAAAAAAAGCGTGGGTCTTGGCGCTAGCATCATCGGTTGAGCTCGGCCGCGTCTTTTTCTCCTCCAAGCTTTCTCCATCCAACCCAACCCGGTTTCAATTCACCCACCGTCACAATGCTGTCGCTCCGTGCCTTTAGTCGTTCCATTCCGCGCTTTTCGCGCTCCATCGCCCGCACTTCTCTCCGCCCGGCCACCTTGCCCAAGCCCGCTTTCGTTCAGCCCTGGAAGCAGACCATCAAGCCCGCCTACGCTGCTTTCTCGACTTCCAGCATCTACCGGGAGCCCGCTGGCGAGGGTAAGTGAAGCAATTCAGTTTCTATAGATGTTCTAGCTATCCTGGAATAACTACCTCTGGTTGTGCGGCGTTAGACGAATACTAAAACTTGGTGTTATCTTTTTCTAGGTGACATTGAGCTCATCGCCAAGCTTGAAGAGGAGCTGCAGCACGAGAAGGCTTCCGGTCAGGAGGATGCGCGGGAGCAGCAGGCCAGCATTGACTACACCCTGGAGGCCGGCCAGTGGCAGGTGAAGGATGTTGAGGGTGAGCAGGAGGTTGTACTGACCAAGACCTTGGGCAACGAGACGTGAGTTTCCACATTTTCTATCATTTCGAATCAATACTGACCTGTATAACTCCTTAGCATCCGTGTCACCTTCACTGTCGCCGATATCAACAACCTGGCCGAGGACCCGATGGACGATCTCACCGATGACGCTCTCGCTGACGAGGGCGACTTTCAGAACAAGCCCGCTGAGGGCGAGGACGAGATCCTGCCCCCGACTTTCCCCGCTCGCATCAACGTTACCATCGAGAAACCCAACAGCGGTGCTCTCTTGGTCCAGGCCGTCATCCAGGACGGTGACCTCCAGATCGAGGAGATCTCCCACTTCAAGAGCGCCGAGATTGCCAACGCTCAGACCGCTGAGAAGGACTGGTCCCGCCAGAGCCTCTACGCCGGTCCCCCCGCCGAGAACCTCGACCCTGAGCTTCTCGCCTTCTGGGGCCGCTATCTTGAGGAGCGTGGCCTGAACCTTGAGTTCCAGAACATGGTCACTGACTACATTGCCTTCAAGGAGCAGAAGGAGTACGTTCGGTGGTTGGAGAGTGAGTTTTCCCTGGCCTCTGCAAATATCATATTTCCTAACCTCATTTGTGCCAGACGTCCGCAAATTCGTTGCTGCTTAAATGATCCTTGGAATCTAAATTTCATCCACCCCGTCTCACCCCTTGGACTTACCACTGGCCATTTGAACTTCCTTGAAGGGCCATTCCATCTTCCCAGCTCTGTGTTACTTCCCTCTTTTTTTGTGATAGCCCACCTAGTGAACCGGTGGTCTGCCTCGGCGCTACCAGCTCATACAAACCGAACTTGTACCAATAATATTTTCCAATATATTAACAATCGACTTTTGGAAGTCATTATTCGCGTTTTCTCCATGAAATACAACAAATGCCCCATCTATTCACATGTCCAACTTAATATCCCTCATAGTCTGATCCGGACTCGATTCCAGACCACGCGCCACCGCCACGCTGGCTCTGCCGCCCTGTGCCGACAGCAACTGGCTGAGGACTGGGTGAGCGCCCTGGTCGCATTACCGGCTGCCCACGTCGACCCACGTCGATAGAGAGTTGGGTGCTCATGGATGGTTCAACATGCTGCATGGGTATGGCAACTCGAGGTCCAGTTCTGCCCGCAGGTATCTTATTTGGGTATAGGCCTTGCGGTATGTCTGGATGGTCCTGAGCTCCCCAGTCTTTGCCATAGTGAGCTTCAACGAATCGGGGCTCATCTCGGGGCGCGTTATTACCACCCGACCCAACCTCATAATCAAAAGAAAACTTTTCATGCATCATCGGACTCTCTCCCATTGTATGGCGCAGTCGAGAGACATGATCTGAGCGTTCCCTCTGCTCATACGCAAGCTCGGCTTCCGTCTTTCCCATCGTCTCATGCATATACAGTTCAAAATGATGGCTGGTCTTTGCCACAGCTCTGAAATGTCTTGCGTTGAGATCACCCTGGTTCGGTGTAGCTGATGATTGCGTGTTCCCTGCCTTCCTAGCTTTTTGAGCAGCAGAGCGAATTTCAAATCGTGCTAGCGCGGCTGCGATCTGGAATGCGTTGCGAATTTGTCTGCCATTCCATTGCCCCTTGCCATGCTGATGCTGCTTCCAGTAGCTGAGTGCAAAATCGAGTATACCTTCCTCATCTACCTTTAACGGCAGCTCTTGGAGTTCGTCGTATATCTTCCTACTCTCAAAGATCTTCCGGCGCTCTCTTTCGATTTTATCCAGTTGCCTCAAATTCATCTTCCATATTCCCTTTGTCTGCTTCTCACTTAATGGCGGATAATATAATTGAACATGGATTCTGGACTTGAAGGCCGCGTCGAGCGTGCCGACCCGGTTGGTGGTGAGGAACAATATACCGTTGTAGTATTCGAGAATGCGCAAAAAGACTTTTTTCATATCGCGTATATCAGCCATAGCTCCCCGTGTATTATCAAAATGAGCGGTACTCACCAGAAACTAATGCATTACGTTTCAAATCCCAAGTCGATCGTTGGGAGAGGAAAACGTCCGCCTCGTCTAGCAACAAGACACAGTCCCACAAATGCGCGAGCCGGAAGATCTCCTTGAGCGATGACTCTACCTCAGAAGGTGAGAACCCCAAATCTCCGCAGGTAATGGTAAACAGTGGTTTCTTTTTCGCATGGGCAACAGCCTCTGCAGTGGAGGTCTTGCCGACCCCAGGCACCCCATGCAATAGAATTACCAGCCCTCGTCCCTTGTTGCGAAAGGTATCTTGGTTCAAGCTGAGCATGGCGGGATCTTTTTCGAAATCTTTCCTTTCAAAGTGGGCATCCACTAGTGCAGTTATTGTGCTCCTGTGTTCCTTGGAGATAATGACGTTCTGGAAAGCCTCTCCCTGGTCGGCAATATATCGTAGGTTCCGGATGTCGACGGCGACGAACTTCCGATCTTGCAGAGAATACACAAACAATCTCCGTGGAAAGAGCACAAAGTCTTTCTGGTCAATTACAGATGAAAGCCCGTCGTCGGAGTTCTTCCGCTTTTCTCGCCGGTCCTCGAGAAATGAATCATTCTGTAGATTTGCATTTCGTTCCCGAATATCAACTGGGGTTGCAGTATAGATCTCATCATGGAATTTTCCCATAATTTCCGACCGGTCTCGGTCATTCCAAACGATTATCGGAATGTCGTCTTTCACAAAATGATGCGCATCCGCATCATGCAGGGCTGGTGCGTGGGGTGGCGTTGCCCACCTCGGGTGCGCTTTCAAGGCTTCCACAAAATCAACAATAACGTCGCTGTCGATATATTCTGGATAGTCATGATCACCGAATGTCCATCCTTTGTATGACAAGAACTTTTCCGTTACGTAATTTTGGAACAGCTTGCCCTGGTCGAGATGCTCCTGCAAGATACATTGGTAGTTGTAGGCGTAGCGGATGGGATATATATCCAGGGACCGAATCTCTTTCTCGCCCTCATAGTACGGAATCACAAATTTTTGCTTGACTGGAACATAGGCGTCGCCATTGAAATCGATAAAATAGCATCTGACGAGCACTTTATCATTATGCGAGTATCCTTCGGTGCCATGATCTGGGTAGCCGATCGAATAGACTCTCATCACTCGCCTGCTTCGAGACGAGACGTCGGTCTTCAAGGAAGAAGAGGGGTCGGGTGCATCAGGATTGAAAGCAAGCTCTCCAAGTCGAAAAAGGTACCACAAGTCGTCAAATCGAATCTTATGAGGCGGTATGTCGCTGTTCGATTCGTCGAATTGGTGGTACAAGGGTATCAAATGTCTCTCCACGAATTCAACGTACACCCGCATGGCCCTCAGTGCCTCAACACTGTCTACAATATCCGCAGAGTGTGTCCCTTCCGAGTCACTTCTACTACGACATGTAGTGTGTTCTCCAACCTGCACAACACTTCCACTCGAAGCGACCGGAACGGATGACGGGTCTTCAGTGGGCGCTTTGTGCTCAATTTTGGCCCATTTTGCTTCCAGCTCACCAAGTATTTGTTTCATGGTATCTTGGTAGTGAATGAGCGGCTTGAACGGACGGGAAAAGGTTGTGGCCTCTGTTTTTCTCCCGTAGCCTATCACATTGTTGAGAATGATGAGAAGAGGCAAAGACTGGATTCGGATTCTGTAAGGTGACCGTTTGCTTGGCGTAGCGCTTGTTCCAGGCTTCACCGTTGCTTGATAGTCTCGAATGAGGATTCCATCTCTGCTCATGAAAAAGGGCATATTCGGCACGTTCTCGGTATTTCTGAGGCGGGCTTCCTGGACATCTTGCTTCACATCGAACCCTGCCATGAGGACTTCAATAGCATATTGGTTCTCATCATCTTTGGACCGGTTTTTGAACTCTTGATACCCAACCTTTCTCACCTCTGGAAGGATGGGCAGGGAAGGGGCATCAAACACCTCCTCCAACTGAGCCCGGCGTTTGTCGTCCTTTCTCCCCGTTTGTTTGTCTTTCTTCTGATCCAAGTTCATAAATCGCGTCTCGAGGCTTGCGAGTCTCTCCAAAGAGTCCGCAAGGTGCTTCTCGGTGTCTGCCAATCGATTTTCCAACATTTGAACATAAACTGATTCATGTGAGATATTGCTTGATGCTTGTACTGGAGCAACTCGCTGAAAGCCAGGAAATGATTGACCGTTGTCGGATTCGGAATCCGACACGTCGTTGTTATCGTCCTCGACAGACGAGTCCGACTCCGGCTAATAGAACATGAGTATTTATGCGGCAAGTAGAGAGAATGAAAGATCCAGCCTACTCTAGAGGGCCTTGTGATCATAGGTCTCCGTGAAAAGCTCCCCTGAACCCTATTCCGTGTAGGTGCCATTGAAATGGGCATGGCTGAGTTTGAGTTTCAAACCAGAGTCGGTACTGAAGCTGGCTGTTGCTTAAATCAGAAGTATTGAAGCCAACCCTCACGGATGGTTTGACCAGAGGTCTCGTAACAGCCACTGAGAATTTTGTCAGCACTGTTGTCGTTCCTTTCAATATTTGATCCTGCCATTAATACTTAATAGTCGAAGCGGCTCAAAGGCTCCGGGGTTAGCAGTGGTGCCAAGTGGAATCGGTTATGATGAACCATAGCGATGTTGCAAGTACACCAATTAGGTGACTCGCATAGAAAACAGGGTCTCGTATTGGAGATTCACCTTGCAGATGCTACCCATGTACAGGCTGGGCGTTCCTAATCATACAAATGAACCAGACATCTTTTTTGCGCGATTCGCGGTCTGATAGTCAGAACGCACGAGCACAGATTTGTGGTGGATGCTCGACTTTCACCCGGGTGAAATACGCCCGGGTTGCAGATTCCCCAACTTTCGGCAAATCAAGTTCTGTGGGGGGTTTGAAGAGTCTCGCTTATTTTGATCTCAAATTGGTTGATGTTACTATCTGTGAGAGTTTGTGTTTCGTCTGATTGCGCCCGGGTAGGATGAGGCTGAACCCTGTGGAGGCTGTGGTGTGATGTGTCTCACTATGATTAGCTAGCAATGCAAGCCACTCATCCGGGGATCCCAACTCCTGAGGCAAAACTTCTAGGATTCTTGAATGGGGCATTACATTCACAGTGCAGTCCCCAGCTGCCCTGTAGGAGATGAGGCAGAGGTCCATGCCCGGGTCATGTGGCCGCTGTGTCTGGTTAGCAGAGCCTCATGCATACCCAGGCCCACTTCGAAGAAAAAGAAGCAGAGGATTTTATGTAATTCCATTCCACTCATTCTTTAAACTCGGTCTATGGACAGAATTTTCGACACATTCCAACGTCTCCAAACGCCAGGTATAATTCACGTGAACTAGGCCGCACTTCCGTGGGTTTCCAGACATTTGAAAATCGAAATACTCCAAAACGGCATGACCACAACAGAATAGACTGCCGGATTTCAGCAGGAAAGCTTAAAATGGGCAAACTACGAGACAAAATCCCCCGTCACAGCAGAGTGCTGCAATCATTCATATCAGACCAAGCCCCTAAAACCCACGAAGCATTTCAGAGACGTGGATTTTTCGACCAACCGAGGCAGCGCTATGTTGCATGGGCACCACATCAGTACGGTTTTTGATCGTTCCACAACATGAACTCAGAGTACTCACAATTCCGAACTAGTGATCTTCAAGTTGCCCTGGAGAAATATCAAGAAAACAACCATCCAACATCTACAATGATTCCCGTGAAAGAATGCAGCTGGGATGATGTCCTCGAGGAAATGAGCCAAGCCGTAGACGAGTATAACGCAAAGGACCAAGGCTCCAAAAATTGTATCAGAAAAGGCCTGAGGAAAGTTGGAGATTACGCACCGGCAATAAACCCGTGGTTTGATTTGATACCGGATGGTCATGGAATGAAAACCCTGGGCGCCGGTCTGAAGCTTATTTTCAACGTATTGATGCTACCTTTCTTTCTATATTGGGTATAATGATGAAGAACTAACTTAAATATAGATTGCAAAACATCAAGCGGAGTATCGGGAAAAGATTCTCACGGCCTTCGGAGACTTTGTCACCATACTTGACAATACTCATGAGAAACGGCGGATTTTCAGAACCCACGAGCGGTTACGTGCTTGTTCATTAAATGTATATGAGACGGTGTTGGGCGCCATTACAGATTTAATAAATCTATTAAACCACCGGACTTGGAGTGAGTTACGAAGTACTGGAAGAAACGAGGACCTTGGAGCAATCGCCTAACAAAGCCTCATAGAAGACCGAGCTGCCTCATTCATACAAGGTCCTCTGGCATCCCGCGAGATTGATGAAATAGTGAGCAATGTCAACAAAAAGCTCGACAATTTTCGCAACTGCCTCGAGGACGTGCGAGACCAAAAACTGACTTCCGTACACCAAGCGGTAACCTCTGGCCAAAGCGAGCTGCACGCAGTGAGATTGAATACCAAAAATATCGAGATTGACGTTCGCGATCTACATGGTAACTTGAACGAGTTTGCCGCGCAAGCAAATTTCACTCATAGCAAAATCGAAAACATCGAATCTGGCGTCAATCAAATCAACAAGAAAATCGATCAACTGATCACACATCATGCCCTGGAAGCGCAAACATCGCTATATCATCACCTCCTAGATACGATCAAAGGTAACATACCCTCTCTTCTCGTTGAAAGACTGAGAGTCCTGATCTAAGATCCTTTATAGCATATGAATCCCAACAATTGATGAGCTACAAGGCTGAGAGACCGCACTTCCAGATGCTACAACTTCCTCAATTCTTAGAAGCTCTTCAAGTTCCATACATGCTTTCAACCCAGGACCTGGAATATGTCATTCGCCAGGGCCCAAATTTCAACGCAAAGGCCCAAATTCAAGCTCAGCATCTCACAAATTATCCAGAGTTTCAACGATGGCTTGCTTCAAGGAGATCAGATCTACTGCTTGTTGACGGCAATGCCGACCCTGCGGACCCGAACAGGATATCCCCCCTTTCGGTGGTATGTGCTACTCTCGCCCTCAGTTTACACAAAAGCAATAGCAAGCCCCTTGTGCTTCATTTTTTCTGTGGGCAGCACTCTGCAGCGACCGATCATTTGAATGGACCAACAGGGCTTATGCGAAGCGTTATCACGCAACTACTGTATTCTGGAAGACAATTCAATATCGACTTTATCGATTCGCGAACATATCGAGAGTCTCTTGAAGCACATTCTCTTCGATACCTTTGCGATACATTTTGCAAGCTTATTGAGCAGCTCCCGTTAGACACCAATGTTTTCTGTATCCTCGACGGAATCTCATTGTACGAAACTGAGTTCTGGCTAGATGGGATTGTGTGTGTGTTTCAAGCACTTAATGGTGTTGCAACGGATGAGCAATTACGGCCAGTGTTCAAGGTATTGCTTACCAGCCCGCATATGAGCCGGAACTTAGGGCGGCGAGTAGCACTGTCACAACATGTGGTCCTTCAACCCGGCGCCATCAACGGGCGTCTGATCTCTGAGCGATCAATAGGGAGGAAGCTAGATGGGGTCAACTGTCGTCGATCACACCCAATCATGGCCCAAGGGGAAGGGGAGAGTTCTTCGGACGACTACGAGGATTCTTGTGATTACTAGTGAGGCTAAACCCCAGAGCGAAAGCTGCAAAGGCCATGGGCTTATTTATGTATTGGAAAGCGAAAAATCAGGGTGAATACGTATAGGATTGATTTAGGATCATAGATGTCATCGCACCAAAACGCCCGAGAAGCTCCCCAAACTACCAAAAAATACATGGATGAAATACTTCTCATTTGACAACAGGGCATAAGTTCATTAATCTCGATTATCCACCTCAACGGAAGCCAGACGCTTTTAAAATTCCATAGGGTCAGCCTTGATTGGAGGTGCGGTTTCTTCGCGCTCTCGCTTGTCTGCACGTTCTTCCTTGAGAAGATTCGCGATGAAGGAACGGAAGAAGTCAATGTATGGCTTGAGGCTAGTTTTCTCATAGTCTTGAAGCTTGCGAGCACCTTTGATGTCGGAGCCGTTCATCGCACTGCCTTCGGCATCCGGCATTTCTGCCTCTTGGGTGCCCACAGGATGCTTTGCATCGTATGCATCGATTTCCGCCAATAGCTCCATTACCGTAGGGACAGAAAGGGGTCGAACTCGTCCGCCTTGCGGGGATCGATAGGCACACAGATTCGGCCTGTGCCAGGGTGAATCACGAAGGGGCTCTTCAACAAGTGAATCATCTTCTTGCTGACTTCCGCATCAAGGCGCGGGTAAGTATATTCAAGAACGATGTCTTGCTTCGCATCTCGTAGAGTGGAGGTGTTCAATGTACTGCTTTTCCCGGTCTTCGCAAGAGCATCGATGTCGGCCCATTTGCTAGTGCTGGGACGATCTGGAGACGAGTCCCACTTCCTCTTGAGGGACTCGTTCAATGACTTATCCGGGAGCAACCCCAAGAGTTTCTCTGCTTGCTCGAAGCTAGCGAATGTGTCTTGGTCCACCAAAGTAGTTTGAGCGAAGTAGTTCTTGAGAATATCGAGACTGCGGGTCACGTGAGGATGGAGAGGCCGCTTGAGATTCACCCGCTTGCCGCTTTGCGAGCCTCCACGGAGAATCTCCAGATATCCAGCGATCGCCCTTCGTCGATCATCTGGCAAATTGCGTGCACGTGCATCACAAACCCAGGCGTGAGCACCACGGCGACCGGAATATACCCAAAGGATATGCTCAAAGCCAAAGTCTTCTCGCAAGGCGGAGTCGATGACCTTGATAGCCATTGTCACAAATGCCCAGCACTTGGCACAGATACTGGCCTTCTGACAGCACGTTCGAATATCATCGTAATCCGTCATGTCTATATCGAAGACCAATTCTTTGGAGACTGGTTTCATCTGGCCTCCTCGTAGTGTTTTGCGATCGCGGGGATTGGTACTGTACACGGGGCCGATCTCGAACCGAGAGGGATTCATTTTCAGAATGTCTTTTCGGAACCTGTAATCCTTCACGTCAGTCAAGATGTTGGGCCGCCCCGAGTGGGTGCGGAAGCCTCACAAATCTGCCGTCGGGTAAGACTGGTATCGAAGATAGGCATCATTTTGCAGAGTCAGGGCAAACTCGCGATTACCAAAATCTCTCGTAGGAACAATGCCATGGTTCAGCCATTGGAATAGGTATCGGAATGGGAAAAGACGCTGATAGAAAGCGAGCATTACGTCGGTGTCGACGCCGGAAGGACCAGGGGCAGGGGCACTGTCGTATAGCTTCTGATCAGTTCTATGAGCCTCCATGTATTTTGGAATGCCATTATCAGCGTACTTTGCTGGTGCTGGCACAGGAGAAGACTCCATCTTCACATCTTGCGCGTTGGACGCTGGGAACTCCTCGTCGTCATCCTCATTGAACATATCCTCCAATTTAACCCCACCATTCGCGGCCGCACTGTCCACGGGAGCATCTGGGAGCTCTTCATCATCTTTGCGGCTGGGCGAGCCAGAAGGCGACACTGAGTGCGGCATGGCGGGCAGTGAATCTAGAGACTGGCATTGGAGGAGGGCCCGAATGAGAGAGAGAGAACGCGTCCCCACGCGTCGCGCCTAAACCCTACATCACGTGATTTGTATCATCTTCCCAAAAACGGACGGCGCGTTGGCCTCACGAGCTCTGCTCAAGACTCGCCTCCAGAACCTCAAAAAGCATTGACGCTCAATTCCTCAATCTACAAACCCAGGGTGTGATGCATGTGCCTGAAACTCTTCGCTCGACAACAAGTTTTCTGTTACAAAACCTCCTCTCGCCGTTTGCGGCGAGAGTTGCGTTGGTTCCTGTACCCTGCTGGGGTCCATGGATGACAACATGACTTACCACTCATGGAGAAAGCTAACAGTTCAGGAACAATCCCATCCACCAGCTCGTCGGGAAAATTTTTCAAAGTCCACCGTGAGCAGTTGAGGGTGGGAGGATCGGTTTCCTGTCAGCTATCGACTCCACCATGTATATGTGGAGACTGCGTCCAATCCGGCTGCCAGGGCTCGATTCTCTTGTCATGGACAGCCAATTGGCACCTCCGCGATTAGCTTCAGGTACTAGCTCATCCCACTCTCTCATCTTCGATCCCATTTCATGCGGGGATCCTTTACCGGGGAAGCTACCCAACCATCCTGCCCACATTCCTCTCAACGGCGGCCACCAATCAAAAGAGATTAGCCGCACTCGAACGTTACGATCTGCATTCCTCAATGCCGAAGGAAGCACTCCGATTAGAGCGAACCCTGACTGTCTGGCTGCTTTGGATCGCCCCCCTGTGCTCTCTGCTGCATGGCTTTGTAGCTCTTGGGATATTGAGCCGTACACACCTATTCATGATTGGCGGACAATCTAGTGTCACTTTCGCCTGCAGATGATCGTCTTCATCACAGTGGAGCCCACTTTTCCAGAGCTTCCAAGGTGACTGCTCTGACAGCTTGGCGTCCGATTGCCGGATTCGGCGAGGCCTCGTCGGCCTCTCCTCCTTTCCTCGTTTCTATCGTTTGTTCATGTCTACCCTCGAGCTGATGTGTCTAGGAGACTTCCAATCAGGCTCTTTTCGCATCCACGATATATCATGTCTCCGTGGAATGTTTCTATTCGATCTGCATCATTTGACACATGATAGACCTGGCGATCGCGTGCAGGAAGTCCTCGTGCGAATCATGTATCGGACGCCTGTCGGCGTACTTGCTCAAGCTCCTTTCCGCATTAGGACCCCCAAGTGGGCCTTCACCAGACTCTGGGCTGAAATGATACTGCAAAATGTCACGTTTGCATCTAGTACACCCTTATGGACGTATCATGACCCATAATTTTCCTCCTATGCGTGCCCGTCGGTCCCTTTGACACCCAGGGTTTCGCCATTGCGGTACCTGCATTCAGTTAGAGACAGCAGCGTGTGGATCCAGGTCAACCTTTGCATCTTCTGGGCGCTACCGTGGTAGCCCTGTGTCTGTCATGGCTTACATGAGCTTGCTTCGTCAGAAAGAGCATATAAACTCCTAACTCGCTCCCCTTCAACAAAATTTTCTAACCCGTCCTCTTCATTACCTTCACTCGTTTGATCTTCTCAAGTTCCTTCTTACCAAGTTAAACCTTCAATCTCTCGAAATGGTCAACGCTCTGACTCTCCTGGCTCTCGCCAGCCCCGCCTTTGCCGGTGTCATGCAGGCTCGTGGTGACGAATACATTCGTCCCTCCTCTGCTGCTGTTGTTGCTGCGTCCAGCACCCATGAATGGGCTCACCCTACCGAGACCCACACCACCCTGTCCACCCCGTGCACTACCTCGACCAGCATCAAGCACACCAGCTCGACTACCTCGTCCAGCAGCAAGCACACTACCACCCCGTGCACCACCTCTACCACGCCTTCTCACACTTCGACGAAGCATGTTACCACCTCTACCACGCCTTCTCACACTCCGACGAAGCCTGCTACCACCAAGACCATCACCATTGTGACTACGACCTGCCCTGGTAAGCTTTCAAGGCCGACTGTATATTGTTTAAACTTTCTTGCTAATGAATATCAGTCACCTCGTCGACCATCACTTCTGGTACCAGCACTATCGTCATCCCGGTCACCCAGACCAGCACCATCACCCTCACCACCACCACTGTCTGCACTCAGTGTGAGGTGAAGCCTGTCACCTTCATCAACTCCACTGTTCCGACCACTGTTCCGGCCACCGTTGTTGTGCCTACCACTGCTGAAGTGGTTACTTCTGCCGTTGTTGTGCCCACCCCTGCTGTCGTTGTGCCCCCTGAGTCTTCTGTTCCGGCCAAGCAGCCTACTGTCCGGCCCGCCGTCTCGCAGCCCGCTGTCGCTCAGCCCGCCGTCTCGCAGCCTGCTGTCGCTCAGCCCGCCGTCTCGCAGCCTGCTGTCGCTCAGCCCGCCGTCTCGCAGCCCGCTGTCGCTCAGCCCGCCGAGTCCCGGCCCGCCGTCGCCCAGCCCGCCGAGTCCCAGCCCGCTCAGCCCGTGTCTCCTGCTGCTCAGCCCTCCGCCGCCCAGCCTGTGACCCCTGCCGAGCAGCCCGGCGCCACCAGCGTGCCCTTCACTGGTGCTGCTTCCAGCGTCAAGCCGGCTGCTGGCCTCCTGGCTGGTATCGTCGGCATGATGGCTCTTCTGTAAATCCACAGTTGAGCACTGAGCGCGGTACATTCACCAAGAATCTTATTGGTTGAATCGCCGATCTAAACCCCCTGTTACTTGGTTTCTCATCGATCTTTGTGGTGCGGATCAGAGAAACTAAAGTCTCAGGTCAAATCGTTTTTGTGCTTTCTGGCCATCAGTGCAATCGATTCTAGGCCCGCTTGTTTAATCCCCCGCCGGACAGGGCCGGATGGATAAAAGAGTTGCTTGGTCATTTCGAGATTTTGTTTGTTTTCACTTTTATTAGGCCGATATAATATAGGTAATAGTAATACATCAATATTGCTTGGGATTTACTTCTTGTTGTATGTCTTCAAATCAGTTAGAAATGCCAGCAAACAATGCCTGTTTTGGTCGTTCCTGCTCTGCATAATATTCAATGTGAAGGCAATTAATGTCATCACATCGAGAACTTCGATAACGCCGTTTAGCAAGATTATAATTCGCTGGAATGAAAAGTGCTCACTTGCTGCGTGTCTGTCCGTTATGTGAACATAAATAAAGAGGGAAAACTGTGCGAACGACGCTACGGGACTGGCCAATCAAAACTTAGGCGACGCTAACGATCAAGTTCAGTGGACGGAGTAATCTCTCGATATTGCAATCCCCACTTCCTGCTACAACGCACTGGCAATAGAATATGTCGAACTATAAAATGACTGTATAGACTAAGAATGTTGCCTATAGTACAATTTTGGTCTAGCGGTTATACTATGTAAAATCGTGCGACAGAATATAACAGATATTGAGGTACACACCCACTTGCTCCACTTACCTTAAAGCTCACGATGAATAGTTATCATCAATCAAATCACTGCTCTGGCTAGGGAATGTAAGGTTTTTGTTTGGTCCCCTAGGTAGTCCCGATCGACAACGGATCGCACGACAGCGCACGAGATACCCACCCTCTCCAAACTTTTACAAAGAACAGCTCAGACAACATATCCTAGTGATGATGATGATGCTCTATATACCTATTGCAGCCTAGCTATGCGTGCATGACTATGTAGGTCCGCTCACCTAGGTAGCGGCGCCAGAATATCCCTATTGAAATTTAGACCCAACACCGGACGGCCTAGCGCTTTCAAGCGTTTAGGGCACCAATGTGAGGCCCACTACCTACCTGAAGATACATATTATCCTTCACGATAGACTTTACCGTGCCCTAGGGTCTACCATCCAGAGGCCATTGAATCACCATTTTCGTCTTGTGAACTAGATATTCAACCTAGATCCAATGTGTACGACCCCTTCCTGTTATACGAGGCTGTTCGGTAGGTATAAGCTTAGATATTTTTATGCAACCACTGCCAGTCACTATATGGCCCTTCCCTCGAAAGACTCCTCTTTCACCCCTCCTTCTTTCCTCTACACTGTCCATCCCTTCTACTTGTTTCATCACATTTCTACTAATGGAATCATTGGTCTGAAAGGATCCAAGAGATGGCGATAAGAGCGGTCCTCAACCGGCGGTAAAATGAAGCATCGGAAATAGCACAAGATATTTACAAATCACTTAAATTATGCCGATGACGGAACTCAGCCCGCCCATAAGACATCTCTCGCTGTAGCCCGATCGAACCCTCTCTGATCGCCCCAGGATGAATCTGTCTTCACAGGTACTTGTTCATCGTGTTGTTGATCACGTTGTTGACACCCTGTTTAACCATATCGCCCATTCCGGAGGGAGCGTATTGATCAATCTCCTTGTCGGCCATCGAGTCAACATAGGAATCCGCGGGGTTGCTTTGGTTGTTGTTGTTGTTCCCGTTGTTGTTCGAGCTAGCTTGGCTAACGAAATCTATTATGAAGGATCGTGTAAGTTACGGATGGGGTAACCTAGAAAGTTGCTGGTAAAATCCGTGAATTACTGACCCTTCGCTTCATTCAAAAAGCCACCGAGGCCGTTGCTGCTTGAATTTCCCTGTCCGTTGCCACCATAGTTGTCGTTTCCACCGCCGAATCCACCACTGCCACCATTCTGGTTGCTCTCAGATTGAGAGTTGTTGCCACCGCTGTAGTTATCCTGGTTGGAGCCGTAGTTGTTCTGGTTGGAGCCGGAGTTGTCCTGGTTGGAGCCGTAGCTGTCCTGGTTGGAGCCGTAGCTGTCCTGGTTGGAGCCGTTGTTGTTGTTGTTGTTGTTGTTGTTGTTGTTGTTGTCGCCGTAGCCAGAGCCTCCGCCTCCACCACTGTAGTTGTCTGAGTCGTTGTTGTAAGACATTTTGCTGAATTGACAATAAAACAATTAAAAGGAAGAGGTGGTCAAGTGAAAAGGGGGGTCTATCACTAAATCACAAGTGCACGAGGAGTGGTGGGTTCTTATGCTGTGGCCTAGGGCCAGATAACGAGCCAGACAGCCCCTCCTTTCCGACCCCTCCAACCCCTCCAACCCCCTTAGGTACGCCATACATACTATAGTCATCTGTGTCACAGGATGGTCTTTTTTCGCGACCCGCCGACTGCTGAGTAGCCAATAATATGAACGCGAGGGGCCTTAGATCGAGCGCTAACTAGTCATTTGCTTGTTCGGCACTAAGCCTGCACTATCGAACTCTAATACGTTAGTACAGAAATTTCTCTTTACCCTGATTGACCCACAGGTTGGGCAACTGGCAAGCCCCGGGTCATTTTGACTTTATGTCCAAATGCCAATGGGCTGAGTCGGAATGAGGTCCAAAGTCTTTGCATAAATGGATTGTAAACCTGGCCTATGGGGCGTCTCTGGCCTCTTATACGCTAACAAGCTCATTATTATCGGCGGCAATGCCACGAGCTACAATTTCCTTAATCAATGTGCGTCATTCTGGGGATAAATTTGCTCTGAGTCCGACTGCCAGACACCATATTTCGTATCTCTGCGTAGGGTAGGCTGCCAAAATAACATCATTAACGTATTCACTATAATGGCAGTGTTTCTCTCAAGGACCTGGAAAGGAACGAGGTCAAGACTCGGGCGGTCCGGGCCGTCGATTGCGGCGCTCCCGGTTAGCGCTGCAGCAAGTACCTCCGCAGGTCCATGCGAGAGTAGTAATGGGGGCGACAGGAAAGAGGGGGTGCAAAAGGGACCATGTTATGAGCGATATGCTGGAGACGCATCCTGACCTGATTGGCGTCGAAACAAGCGCTGATTTAAGCCGCGTTGACCCAGGCGCAACCCGAGGTACCGTAGGATGCGGAGGCCCGGGTTGTAGTTGCTAGGGCTCCAAGACAAAGAGGGACACAGGGTCGGACAGGAGAACAGACGCTGGCTTAAAGAGATATATGTCTATTTCATACGCAGAGAAGAGGCAGCAGGCAGCATATACAGAGGAGAAAAGCTCTTGCAACTGTCAATTGGCGATATGCAAAAACGGAAGATTCAATCCCTCTCCGCTCGGAGGACCGTAACGAGGCCAATCGGCGCTGAGCATAGGTAAAGCGGGCGGTGAATCTGCAGTCTTGGTCTTTGCTATCTGAACTGTTCAGAGGCTCTTCGTCAGTGCAAATCACACAATCGGCAGCTAGGCCGGGTATTCTGATTCAGGTTGTTCGGTTGTGACAGGGTCATCTATTATCTACTCGGTGGTCATAAAGTCATAAAGTAGTCTTCTAGCATCTGGTTGCTAGCCTGTCTCATGTCATTCATCCACTAGGTACTTCGTCGAGATCAAGTAGGAAATTGATGAGAAACTGCAAATGGAGTTTGATAAAGATCCAGGCCGTAAACGGCATGAGCCTTCAACCAAAGAGCGGCTACATAGCTTAGAATGCCTTGAGCAACAGCTAATTGCAAACGGCGACGAACTGAAAGATCTCCCTAGCGGGAAAGTTGTTATGAAGGCATACCAATCAGGAGACTTGGAGATGGACCGAGAATGGAAAGGTTACGGTCTAAAGGGAAGAATTTTGTGACTCAAAGGAGGCCATAACGATCAGTGAGGTGAAAGAGGATTCCAATGGCTGTTGGGTCAAAGGGTCAGGAATATTGTTCTATTTCTGTTTGCAAGTGTAAGCTAGGAGGAGTCCATGCAGCTGACGGGCAATCAATTTTCAACATGTTTTTCCAAGGTTGAGAAATAGAATGCGGAGATCAGTGTGGCAGGACGTAGGTACTCCACATTCTAGGCTCGCCGTTAATAGCCTAGCCATTGTTCAAATTCCACGTGCAGATTATCTACCTCTTATTAGATTAGCCCCGACTTTACCATATTTTGGGTCAACTAGTTCTGACTGAGAATGCATCGAAGGTCATTGCATGCTTTGCGCAGCATAAAAACTGCAACGGTCTACCAATACGACATCAAGCAAAACGATCTAGCGTTGGCCCTGAAGCTCCTGCTCCACTTCAGCTTTCACAATCTCACGCACACCCTCCCAGCCAGCACCGCGAGGAACAGCCGTGACGCGGCGCTCGCGCTGCTCGAGACCAATGAACTCCTCCGGCAGCACCTCGCTGAAGCTATAACCATCCTCATTACTCAAGGCCAAGTCAACCGCGCTCGCAAACTTGGCTGGGTGGGCGGTGGACAGCGAGATATGGGCCACGCCAGGGTTACGCTGGATGGAGCGGCGCGAGGCAGCGACACCAACAGCCGTGTGAGGATCGAGGATATAGCCGCCAGTCTTGGAGCTCTTGGGGCTGCCTGAGGGGAGGTCGGTAGGGAAGCAGTTCTTGTAGGTCTCGCGGATAGTCGCAATAGTCTCGTCGTTGCTCACGCGCTCGCTCTCAAACTCGGCCTTGGCGGCCTCGATAACGGCAGTGGGAACCTGGAAGCCGCCCTCTGACTTCAGCTGGTTCAACCAACTGCTGACGCTCTCGCAGGCGTGCTGACGGCGCTCCTCCGCGGTGCTGGCCTTATCGGTCTGGAAGGCGAAGAACCAGAGGAGGCGCTCGAAGTTGCTGCTCACTAGAATATCCATAGCAGGGCTGTGGGTCTCCTTAACACCCGTAGCAGTGGGCTCATCAAGGGGCTTCTTAGTATAGTGACCGCCGCTGCGGAAGAAACGGTCGAGGATGCTGATTTATAGTTGGTTAGATACTACAGCAAGTGTAATAAATACGATCGTAACTTACTCGTTCTCGTTCGTCGCCACAACGAGCTTGGAGACGGGAAGTCCCATTTGCTTTGCAAACCACCCAGCCAAAATGTCGCCGAAGTTGCCGGACGGCACGACCATGCGCACCTGGGAGCCCTTCGTGTAGTTTGGTGACTTAGTGACAGCGAGATATGAGTAGAAGTAATAGGTGATTTGAGCAAGGATTCTAGCCCAGTTGATAGAGTTCACTATACAGAAAAAGATTAGTATGGTTAGATAGTAATTATCAGAACAATTCAAACTGACCTGCACCAATGTTGTGAGTGGAGTTAAGGTCGGGGTCCGCGAACAGGGCCTTGACAATATCCTGGCAGTCATCGAAGGAACCCTCGACGGTAAGGTTGTGAACGTTCGCATCAAGCACGCTGGTCATCTGCGCCTCCTGGATAGGGCTAACCTTCCCATTAGGGAAGGTGATGAAGACTGAAACGTCCTTCTTGCCGCGTAGGCCATAGATAGCAGCCGAGCCGGTATCGCCCGAGGTCGCGCCAATGATCGTTAAATGATGGCGATCCTTTCCAGTCTTGCCGACGTTCTTGCGCACCAAGAAGTATTCGAAGAAGTTGCCGAGCGCTTGAAGAGCAACATCCTTAAAGGCTTTGCCATTGAATCTCGTTAGTACTCAGACCATGATCAACATTGAGTGGCGCATTCCATTTTCATCTGGGATGATTGCCTCCCTCTATTCGTGATTCCTTAGGGGACGCGTACCAAAGGTTGGGCCGTGGAAGAGCTCGAGCAAGAACAAATTCTCCTTGGGGTCCAGCGAGGCGACCGGGGTGCGTTCTGGATGGCGGAATGTGGAGTACGACTTCTCAATGATAGTCTTGAGGTCTTCGGAGGGGATTTCGGAGGGCGAAATATATCTATAACGAAGACATACAATCAGCACTAGTAGATTCCACCTAATAGCTTTCAACTCACAGGGACATGATGCGATGCGCAAGCTCGGAGAACGACAAGTCACGCCATTCGGTCTCCCACGAGGGAGGCAGGGAGGGGACCTCCTCGGGAATGAACAGGCCGCCATCAGAGGCCAATCCTTTCATGACGACATCTTCGAAGGATAGCTAGACATAGGAGTTTCGTTGTTAACAGACTGGGCCATAAGGGCAAATCATTTGCGCAACAAGGCGCTTTGCGAATGCGGCGCACTGGTTACTTACTCCATACTCGGCACCCCGAGTACTAAGATACCGCTGAGACATAGTAGACATGATGGATACTTCGGTGATCAAGTCAATTGACCAGATCAGAGCCGGAAAATGGTGGTTGCGAAAGAAAGAGAGAAAAGATCGCGCGATGAATCACCGCGGGGCCGGTGAATCATTTCAACTTTTGATGTATTCGCCGCGGGGGGAGTGGCGCCAGCCCGAAGTGGGACTAGCGCCTCCGAAAGCGGCCTCACGTGGGCGGGATCGATTGGCCCTGCTTATTTTCGCCGCTTCAAATTCGACGCTATGATCCATCTAAACACTTCAAGCGTCTCGTCGAGATTGTGATTCTATTCTATTTCTATTGCTTTATCTAAACATTAACTTCGTCAATCATCGTCACGTCCTCCTTTTTTTTATTCGTTGACCAGCACGTAGCGGTAGCGCGCCTTACCCGCCTCCATATCCACAATCGCCTTGTTAGCATCCTTCATCGGGATCTCCTCGATCCAAGGGCGGATGTTCTTCTCAGCAACTAGCTGGAACATCTCGCGGATCTCATCGGGGCTGCCGACCATTGAGCTCTCAAGTTTGAGGCGGCGCATAAGGTTGCGCACGGGGGCGTTGAGAGTGCCGTCTTCGGGGAGACCAACCTGGACCATACTGCCGTTGGTGCGTAGAAGGCCGAGGTAGTCGGTCATGGGCATCTATGGACATATGAGTTCGGCAATCTCTTGCACAATGCTGATTCTAGGGTCTGTCTTACCTTGGTAGAAGAAACGGTGCACACGATCAGATCCAGGGAGCGGGAGTGCTTGGTCGCCCAATCCGGCTCATCATCGGTAGCGATGTACAGATCGGCGCCCATCTTGATCGAATCTTCCTTCTTAGCAGCCTTGCGAGAGATCGCAACGACCTTGTCGGCTCCCATGGCCTTGGCAAACAGCACACCGAAGTGGCCCAGGCCACCAACGCCGATGATACCAACGCGCTTGCCGGGGCCGCAGCCATTGTGCTTCAGCGGGCTGTACAGAGTCACACCACCGCACAACATCGGCGCGGCATCAGCCGAGGAAATACCATCGGGAATCTTGATAGCGAAGTGCGCGGGGACGCGGTTATACAGCGCATAGCCGCCGTACGACTTGTCGCCATTCTGGTGGGTGCTGTTGTAGGTGCCGGTCAGCTTCTTCGAGCAGTACTGCTCCAGGCCCATGGCGCACTCTTCGCAGTCGCCCTGGCGGCCCTGGCAGGAGTCGCTCTGAGCGCCAACGCCGACCCGGTCGCCGACCTTAATGCCGTTGGTCACCTCGGATCCCACGCGGACGGCAGTGCCGACGAGCTCGTGGCCGACGCAGCACGGATACATAGTGGGTCGCTGCGGAAAAAGTTAGCAATTTATCACGACAGTATAGATGGCAATGCTCACCCAGCCACTACGAAGAGTGTGCAGGTCCGAACCACAGATACCACAGTGGGAGATCTTGATATCGACATCGGTCTCCTCCCACGTTTTAGGCTCAAATTCCTGCCAAACCATATTGCCCTGGTCGGCGCTGGCGTCAAGGCCCATCCAACCCTCGAACTTGTAGTCAACCTGAGCCATGGTGATGTGTTGTTATCGACTTTTTCAAGGATGTAGAACGGAGTCAATTCCACCCACCGGGAGCAGCACCCCCCTTTATATCATTCTCGAACCGAGTCCTGGGGACCAGAAACAAGCCGCGGGACAGTCCCATAGTCCCACCCGCTTGGTTGGAGACTGGAAAATTCGGCACGGCAGGGAGAATAATTGGTAAGCAACCCTGGGTTTCCCACGGGTTCATCCATTGGGGCTATCGGAGGCTTGTGGGGATCGGGAAGTCAACGTGCGATTGAAGAGCTCGAGAGTGAAAATCCAAAAGGGGCTGTATCGAATAGGTAACTCTCCCCTGTCTTCGGGGTTTGTTAGTCTTATGATTCTTTATGTCCGAATCTACGATGATGCTTTGCACAGTAGGGAATTATCACTCAAGGCAATTCGTCACAATGGTCGCTATGGAACCTGGCCTGAGTTTTCTTCGGTTGCTGGGTTCCACGGTATCGCGTCACCGGGCCTATCGGGTTTGTCCCCCCTTGACGCCGATAAACGCCCATGCACGATAAGTCAGTTGGATCCACAAAAACATGCTTGATAGCTGGTCTTCCATTGGAGGCTTCCCACGAAGCCGAAAGCGGTGACAGGTGTACGAGGCAACAGAAGGTTTCGTGGTGTGCCAGTAGTTTTCAAAAGTAGGAAAGAGATGTACATGCAAACGCCTTTTTGAAGTCCGGCGGGGAATGCAGGGCAAAGAATAATTAAACAAGTAAAAGGCAAATAGAAAAAAGAAACCCTTCTATCTCGATCTGCTCAGATCCTTGCTTGCGAAACACCTGAATATGAAAAACAGCCAGCCTCTCACACGCGGTCGGAAACGCTATACTCGGACAAAACAGCTTTAGAAGAGATCCATGATGTCCTGGGTGGATTTCTTCTGCTGGTTGTTCGCAGGGGGTGTGCTGCGTTGCCAGACAGGTCGAGACCGGAGAATCCGTTCATCAGATCGCCTGCAGCGCCCCCACCATTCGCACCGATGGATGAGGGCTGCGAAGGACCAGAGTCGCCAAAGACACCCAGCAAGTCGTCCAGGTGGTTGCCGGATGGTGCGGGAGCACCCACCGCAGGAGACTGCACGCGGACGGGAGTGCCAGCCAGACCTTCCAGTCCAGACATCTCGCCGGATGGCTCTGTGTGTGCCGAGGCCGGGGCACCTCCGTCGAAATCGATGTCCAGCAGGTTCTCGACGTTGTTTTGCGCCTGCGCATTGGGTGCGGTGCCGCTGACGGCGGCGGCGGCTGCGGCGGCCAATGGGTTCTCGCGCGCGTTCTGGAGTTGTTCCCTGCAATGAAACATTAGCTTGGCATGAACTAGACAGCAAAGGGGGTGAGGTTGGCGTACTCAATAGCGGCCCGCTGGACAGCATCAGCACCGAAACGGCCTTGCCCAACAAACTGCTCTGGAGGCTTATGGTATACGGAGGAGAGCGTAGAAAGCTCCTGTATGAGCTGGTCCAAAAGGGCGGGTGGTAATGAACTGATCGTAGCGACAATAGGAGGCTTCTCCGAGAGGACGATATTCTTGGTAGCGTTCTGGTCGCTCGTGTTGGAGAGCAGACGCCAGTAGATATAAGCTCGGTCACGGACGTCGGGGTTGTCATTCTCGGCGGTAGCAGCCTGGAGGACCCGCTGGACGAGGCCCTGAGCCTTTTCAGGTCGCTTGAGGAAGAGCTTAACCACCGCGGTGAGGATCTGCAATTGGGTCTGTGAAAACTCCTCGTTGAAGCCATCAACAAAGCCGCCGAGGATGTCCCCAGCATTGCTGATCTTCTCGGCATATTCACCCACAATCCAAATCAAAGCAGCTCGAGCATTGGGCTCATCCAACTCGTCGATGCACTTGCAGAGAGTAGGAATGATGCCCTCATAACCAGGGTATTTCCGGAAGATATCCTTGATAACGACAATGGCCTCTTGGACGACATAGTTGACCTTGGTGTTAATCAGATCCAACAGAGTGTTGACGCATTTCTCGCTGGCGCTCTCTATCTTGATGGCAACCTGGCCAATCGCTTTGACAGCGCGTCGGACAAAGTCCATGTCGACCTCAAGAGCATATTCCTTCAGCTCGGCCAGGAGCTGATCCACGTTGCGATCGTTTGCTATTCGGACCATGATTTCCAGTTTCTGGAACTTGACATATGGCGGATCGTTATACTTGCAGAAGAATACACGAAGTTCCTTGTTAAGAATATCAGGTTGTTTCTGCAGGAGAAGGTCGATATTCCGCAAAGCCACATATTGCACCTCGGGTGCCGAGGATACCAAAGTGACTTAGGTTTTATTAGTAAAAGCAAAAGATAGTTGCGATGGAGGGGGATGCATACCTAGAGGCGGGGCCATCTTCTTGAGATAGGTCTGGGCCAGCTCTGGTCCGACATACCTCATGTGCAAGAAGACAACCTTGACAGCTGCAAGAACCACGCTGGCATTGACATGCTGGAACTGAGGCGCGACTCGCTCGCAAATGTGTTCCGACTCCTTCAGATCAATCGCGCGGTACTCTGCCAGGGTCGAGAGGATGGTTACCCGACCCCACTCCGTGCACTCGTTCAATGCCATGAGCATCTTTCGTAGTGTGTTGGCGTTCACCTGCAAAGCCCGTGTTTCGGGGGCGGAGTGGTGAATTTCCGATAGCGCAGTCACCGAATTGGCCACCACCATCGGGTTGGGGTCGCCGATCATCTCCTGCAGCATCTCTAAGAAACCGTTCTCGAGACACATAGCCGGGTTCAGGTCAAACAACTTGGCCACGCAGATGGCAGCGGTCTTCCGGACGTAAGGCGACTCGTCGCGAAGGGTCTTGCGCAGCGGTTCCTCCATGTAGTCCACCATCTTGTCCACCCGAATACAGCCCATGGTGCGAATGGCCAGGGCTCGAATCAGCGGGTTCGGGTCTTCCGAGTCTTGAACGAAGGTATTGACCGCGAGAATACAAAGATCGGGGTGTGATTTGGCGTAGTTCCTAAAAGTTAAGGGCCCCCATAGTCAGTCAATGCATCTCTCCTCCAGCCCCGCGAGGATACCCACATGAGGTACAAGTAGACCAGTTTCTTCTGCTCCAGGTCCGCAGTAGCAATGTTCTTCAGCACGTCGGGGAAGAGCGCTGATACATCCTTGCCAAGAGTCATGGCCATGATTGTCTTCTGGATAGACTCTTTCCTGTTGAAACGTCAGCCTCGCCACGTTGCTCCCTACTTCATCGACCGTATCGGTTCAGAGTTGGGCAGACACCGACGTACCGTTCGTAGGCATACTGGGACCTGTTCTCGTCGTCAGCATCATCTCATCGCAGCAAAAAGGCCACCTGTTCTTGGAGTGTGGAGGGAGTTCCTACACCAGGCCAGCTCGCAATTCAAACGTCTCTCCTTTCCGGGGCACCGCGAAGGCGCCGCGGATCTTGTTCATCGCCATGCCGGGAAATTATCAGCTTCGGCAACGACCAAGTCCTGCCTCCCCCAATGACAATCGGGGAAGGGAGTGGAAGTAAGTCGGGTAAGACGGGCGACTGCGGGGAATTCGAGAGCTGTCACGGTCGCGCGACTCGGAGCTTGGGGACGGAGGTAGCGATCGGAGACAACAGTTAGATCATGCCCCCCTCTCTCAGCAATTTCAGACAGCAGAGACGAGAAACCGAGTGTGAAGGAGGTTTGAGGAAAGGCGGAGGATGGAGGGAGGGAAAGAAAGGGTGTTTGGGCGATCAAAAGTTGTCCACAAATGGCGGGCTCTGGACCCTCCCGTCCGCTTTATGAGTTCGACCGACTACTCCGTACTCGACTTCACTTTGCCCCCCTAATCTGACCCCCTAAACAACGTCACGGACGGTCACTTCGACTTGTAATGGTCAGTATCTTCTGCCTACAGGCAACCGATGAGGACGCCAAGTCTGACGGTATTTGCAGGCCAATCTCCCAAACTTGCGCCGCCTCTTCGTAGAGGCCCGGACGGAGGTCGAGGAGAACGAGTACTCACGAACAGCGGTACGGCTCCCCACCCTCTATAACCACACCAGACAACATCAGCTGAGATAGCAACGGCAGTTCTACAACCTCGTCCTCTTCATCTCGTCTGTCGCTGTCTTCAGCCTAGCCGCTCAGCGTATGAGTGGGCCCAAAGCCGCCCGATGAGCGGGACATCCGCTGCACGACTTGCAACGCTCCGAGCTACGAACAGGCTAAGGGAGATACAAAATTATAGGTTCTCCATTATGAGTTGGTAATGATACCGGAAAGGGGCACTCAGACTCAGCCGAGCCAATCGCTGAAACTCAAGCGCGCGCATACAGATATTAATCAGTTTCTTCTCCATCGCTCTCCAGGAACGCCAGCGCCTGTCGTCCACGAGCAGCACGGCGTGGAGGAGCACCCCCGTCACTACCTTCATCTTCATTGCCTTCACCTCCAGTCCCTGTCCCCCATTGCTTCGCGCCCTGTTGGATCTGCTCCAAGTCTGCCTTGAGCTCACGCTCGTCACGGATCTGCCGAGCTTTTTCCAGGGAATATCGACCCGTCATTCCCACATCCTCCAGCATCTGTTTGAGATGCTTTATCTTCGCTTTCGGAGTCTCATATGGCTGCAGCTCCCGCCACCACATCTTACGGATTCCGCACTTGACCAGCCACCCCTGTAGCCGCCTGATCTCTGCTTGGTCAGGGTCAAGCTCCTCCTCTTTGCTGCCTTTAGAGGCGACCTTCTTTTCTTTTTTCGGGGCCGCTTTTTTGGGAGCACCCTCGCTGCTCTTGCGCTTACGTACGGGCTTGGGCTTAGGCTCTTCGTCCAGCACAATGGACATCTCGCTCTCGGAATCATCCTTGGTCAACTCTGCAGTGGGGTTGGCATCACCGGCATCTTCGGCGTCGGACCCTTCGGGGGAAGGCTCTGTGGCAGGTTTCGACGAGGCAATCCTTTTCACAGGTATTGCGCGCTTCTTGGGCTTTTTGGCTTCCTGCTCGCTCTCGCCACTAGATGGCTCCGATAGCTCCGATAGCTCCGATAGCTCATCCTCCTCTGAGATCGGTGTTTGGGTCTTTTGGCGCTTTCTTGGCTTTGGCGCGCTTTCGCCCTTGGATCGCTTAGGCGCTGCTTTTTTCTTCGCTAGGGGAGGAGGTGACGGTGATAAATCGCGTGGCTCGGTTTCCTGCTGCGGCGCACTCTCTTGTACTTGCTATCGTAGTCGCATGCGCGAGTCAGCACTTGCTCATGGGCGTGCTCAATAAAATGCAAACCCCTTACAAATTCGTCCTTGATGATCTTTTCACTTTTTGCTTTCCAGTCGCCTGTAGTCCTGAAGAACCCTTGCTCAAGACCCAGCTTCTCTTCAACAGCGAAGCGCACGCGCTTTACGGTCAACTCCGCCATGTTTCCCGACTTGAACTTCGCCGCGACCTCATCGCGCAAGCCTTGCTCCAGTGCATTGTCGGAAGGCACTGCAGGTATGTTTACCTCCGCTTCTGACTCGGAATCGGACAAGCTATATTTCGGCGCCATCGATAGACCGTGATGTCAGTCTGGCGGATGGGGTCGTTTTCTTTGGACGGGTGAATTGCTAGGCTCAAGGGCGTTGTGGCACAGCACAGGATAATTTCGTACGCGTTAATAGAAGGCAGGACTTTGGCACAATTTGATTGATTGGATGACAAGGCTTTAATTGATCGAAAACGCGTCGTCCTGGTTGAGGTAGAAGTCGCGAACCGCCAGAAGCCAGGAAGAAGCTGACAAAGATTAAAAGGCGGAATACATGGGGCCCGATCTGCAAGGTGCTTTTCTGACAGTTTCTTATCACGAACCTTACAGTCCCTCATTGGGGATATTTGATTTGAATCTGAAGGGCGGAATGAATTATCTGCAATCAGATTACTGTTTAATGATCAATTCAAAACTTGATCATGGATTCCAATTTTTTCCAGAGTATTCCATTGATCGCTCTCAGCCCTTGCAAGGTAGACAACCAGCTGAATCCAAGTTACTGGGCAGATCTATACCAAGTGGGTACCAAGGGTTTCGCCCTCTACCCCGCCATGGCGAGGCGCAGGATGTCAGCCGGGCATTGGAAATTAGGCGCTTTCCCTTCGGCCCCAATGTTCGTCCGAAGTTTCGATCCGAAAATTCCAGGTCGTCCCTGGAGTCAAGCTTTATAAAATCATGGACCCCATCTCTATAACAAGCCTGATCATAGATGTTAGCCAAATCATCACCAGTCTGATCAACTATGCCAAAGCTGTACAGGGTGCCAAGGCCGACATGCGCAAGCTGAGCGAGGAGCTGTTTGCTCTCAAGGGCATTCTAGAGCATATCTCCACCGGTATAGGTGATAATACACCAAAGTCCAAAGTATATCCAGAGGAGGAGACACCAGGTCCATTCGACCGGGACTTAATGGCGCGCGTCTTGTTTACGGCGAACGAGTTCCTTCAGTCTCTTCTTCAGGAGCTAGAGGAGCCTGCCACCAAGTTCAAAAAGCTAAAACAGAAACTGGAATGGCCATTCTCGCAAGACCAAGTCAATGCTCACCTTGTCCGACTCGAGAGGGTGAAATCATGGTTGATCTTGGTAATTACAGCCGATACTGCTTCAGTCGAACGAGACCTGCATCAAGAGATCACTAGCCTGGCAAGAAATCTCAAGGATGACTTGCGGCTTCGAGATCAAGAAAGAGTCCAAAGGGCCAATGAGGCGCTTTTCAAGTGGATTGCTCCTGTCAGTCCGGCTGATTCCCACCTACGAGCATCCAACGGACACCGCATAGGAACCGGAAGATGGTTCATCGACTCGCATTTAAAAGTATGGCTGGAAAATCCGTTGGATAAGAGGATTCTCTTCCTTGTGGGTAAATGTATCACTGCTCCCATTTCCCTATCTGAACCGGACTACTAGGGATAACGCTGATTGTCAACTCAATAGCTGGCACAGGAAAGACGACACTTTTGTAAGCCCATAATATTAATCTCTCATACCAGTGACTAATATGCTTCTAGTGCCCAAACCGTTGATGAGCTGACGTCCATGGTTTCGCGTGATCCAAATCTATGCTTTGCCTATTTCTACTGCACAATCAGCAACACTGCCTCCCAGGCTGCAGTCAACATACTGGGCTCCCTTGTGGCACAACTGTCCGTTTCAAATCCTGCCATACTGGGCAATATTCGATCACTTTACCAGAAAACCCCGGAGACCCAAACGCATCGACTCCCTATCAACATCTCTGCCCTTGAAGATGCAATCATCAAACACTCTTCCGAACACTCCCAAGCTGTTATCATTGTTGATGCCCTTAATGAAAGCTCCGAAACAGAGCTTATTGAAAGCTCTCTATTGAAACTCGCGCGGCTGTCTCCGAATATTCGTATCCTTGTCACAACAACATCCACGAGAGCTTCTTCCAAAGAGGTCAAATTTTTGAATATCAAGGCCCAGACCATGAGAGATGATATCAAGACCTTTATACAGTACCGTCTGGAGCACGATAAGACATTACGGAATTTAACTCCAGGATTGCAAGCTGAGATTGCAGAAACTTTGCTCAAAAATGCGGACGGATCGTTAGTGCATGGCCCTATTTGTTCTCATTCCATCTCTGACTGTCTGTTAGATTCCGATGGGTTCAACTCTCACTGGATAATTTTTGTTCTAAAAGAACCGCCCGCGCGATCCAAGCAGGCCTTTCCAATCTCCCAGGAACCCTCAGGGAGATTTATGCCACTACATTGGAACGTATTGATCCAGAGGACACACCTTTCGTTCGAGAAGCTCTCTTTTGGGTTAGTTTTGCAAAGGAGCCCTTGAATCTGAGAAGTCTCAATGAAGCTGTGGTTCTCACGGAGACGAGTACGGCCTTAGATGAAGACATGATGCTTGTTCCCCAGGATATTCTTCTAGAAATCTGTCAAGGGCTCATTGCTGTGGACCAAGTGGGGCACGTCAATCTCGCACATTCGTCTGTTAGAGAGTTCTTAACTTCTGAGTGGATCCATTCCTCTAGAGTGAGCCACTTTGCCTTGGACGCTGCAACTGCCGACACAACGATCATGCGAAAGTGTCTTACATATCTCTGTCTCGATAATTTCAAGGCTGGGTATAGCAAATTCATAAAGCGACAGATCTTCCAATCTTTCCTATACTACGCGGCTTACTTCTGGCCCATCCATGGCTCTTCTTGTGAGTTTGGGGAGTCTGAGCGGCAGCTAGTCAACCGGTTCTTTGCTACAAGGAACCTTCCGCGTCGAGGGAACTACGGCGTCTGGATCCAAGCTTTGATTCCAGGAGTGGATACTTCAATCATTGAAAGCACGGAGCCACTTTACTATGCCGCCTCCTTTGGAATGGCCTCGGTCGTCAAAGCTATTCTAGCATCTGATCCCGATATGGATATCAATGGTCGTGGTGGCCGTGTTGGAGCCACCCCTTTGTTTGCTGCTTGTTGGCGCCATAATTACGAGGTGGCGGAGATTCTTCTGAAAGCTGGTGCGGATCCGAAGATTGCGGATCCAGGTACTGGTATCAATGTACTCAGATTGGCTAGGATGCCTAATTTCCTTGCCATTCGAGAGATTTTGAATCGTTGCAATGTGGGGGTGAAATCCGGAGATAAGTAAAGGTAACGGACCGATCAAGCGGCACTACTTTCATATTTTTCCACTTTTCACAACTGTCCAGCATTTGTCGCGCTTTCATGAGCATCGCTGTCTTTTCCAGCCCTGTTTCTTATACTACAATGGCACCTCGCAATTTTTGAAGCCTCCAACAAGTTTTGATTAGACAGTTTGGATAGTTCTTCAGAACTTTGCGAAAGGCCGATTTCAGACGAGGGCTATGCCTCGCCCAGAGGCACAGTTCTATCCGCGAATGCATAGGCAATCATCAAGATAGCGATCAAAGCGAGTCGGCCAAATATGTTTATTCCTGAGCCTATCCTAGACAACAAATATAGAAGTCCTCCTGAAAGAATCCTTCCGGTAATCATCGATGAGTCTCGCTCATAGGTTTGAAGCTGGTCGACGGTCTGATCAGCAGCCCTCTGAATATTCCTTTGAGGTCATTTAACATTTTATTCATGAATCTCATTACCCTTACCCTGTTTTAGGTACATGGCCAAGCTGGTGTGGTTTTCTGATATCTGTCCAGACTTCGCAGAAGTAGACTCCCAGGTTGGAAAAGCCTACACTGGTGGGTTTCTTATTGCGTGGAACAATTCCCAGCCAGGATTGATCCTCGGCCAGACGAACATGTACAGATTATTCGCAAGATATTGAGGCTTGTCAACCTGTCTTCTCACTACCACGAAAATCAGAACGGGTACCTGGCATGGCAAATTCACCCCTCCATGATATGTGCATATCTGCGAGTATTGTCAGGCACACTATATATTTTCAATGAAAGTAGATATTTTGGGCTATAAAGAGAACTGTTAATGAATAGAAAGATAGGCAAGCTTTTATTTGAAACCATGACCAGAATTCCGTGTTCGCGCCGTTCAGACTCCCAGGGTTGTTAATTCCGAGCATTGTTGTAGGCAGTTGGTGATCAGCGACCTCCGAAGCTCCGCCTCCGCGGCGGGTCTCCACCCTCCGCATTAGAAATCAACGGCGAGAACCTCCAAGAATTTCTCCTCCTCCTCAACCTCCCCCTCCACGAAATAGAACATCGGTCCAGACTGACACCATGGCTGAGGTTCCGCCAGAGCAGATTGGCGCCCAATCTCACAGGCAACCGCATGCCTTCCCTCCAACATTCGCAAGTGCCTCGAAGGAATCACAAGATGGTGAATCCAAGGCGCCGTTGCCCAAAGGCGTTGTCCTCGACAAAGATGGCAAACCGTGAGTGCTCCCTCCCAGCGCAGTCGGATTACAAGTTATATTTGTTAACTTGTTGCTTTTAGTTGCCGAACCTGCACCTCTATCGCCTCATGGCGTGCGCTAACGAAGCTACAATCGCAAACCTCACCGTCTTCTTCCTCCTCAAATACCAGCCCAGCGACGAAATCCACGCCAGCCACTGCCTCTCCCGCAACTACACCGCTCAACGAAACGCCCTCAGACTGCCCGCCCGATGTCGAACAGCTCGGTCGCTCCACATGGACACTTCTACACTCTATGGCCGCCACATACCCCGAGAAAGCAGACACGCAGCAGCAACAAGACATGCAGGGCTTCCTGAAGTTCTTCTCCAAACTCTATCCGTGTTGGGTATGTGCAGATGATTTTCGGGATTGGATGGCGCACCCAAGCGGGCGCAATCAGCCGAAGCTAGGCGGGCGGAAGGAGTTCGGGTGGTGGATGTGTGAGGCACATAATGAGGTCAATCGGAAGCTAGGGAAGAAGGAGTTTGATTGTCGGTTCTGGGAGGAGAGGTGGAGGACCGGGTGGAAGGATGGCCGGTGCGACTGATCCCAAGATTGATCGATGTGTTGATCCTTCTCACGTGTGTACGATCATGCCCGATGCGGAGCCGGATTGGAATCACTTGTATACTCCTCCGCTCTTGATGTTTTAGACTGTTTTTCTTGTAATAATATTTACAGCATATGTTGGCGAGCAATGGTCCAAGATTTAAATTAGCCCGGCGCTAAGAGCCGATATACCTCAAATTTCTCTGTTGGGGATAGACCATTTGAACAAATTTCACATACAAACTAAGACCGCTAAGCAATTATAATCTCGGGCACAGAAACATCTAGACAAGGTGTGGGAGAACCAGGAGTTTTCGATCTCCCGAAAGAAAAAGCGCCGCCAAACACACGACTTCTCCTGTTTGCAAAACAAAGTGGAAGATGGAAAAAATGAAAATGCCCCATTTTATGACTTCCTGTCAAGAAGGAAAAGGGTGGAAAAGCCGTCAAACTTCGTCATGCAGTGCCCAGAGCTACTACCTTAATATTGAGCTGGGACGAACAGGCGCAGGCCGCTGGCCGGCGCGCCGATCTCGGTCACCTCGGATATGCGGCAGACACTGCCCTTGTATTGCTCGTGGTACTTCGCACCAGTGAAGGGGTCGGCCACGCAAGGGGAGCCGCTAAAGATCGGGGTGAACGAGGCAGCGCAGATGTCGAACTCGGCGAATTGGTCAAACTCGATATCGATCGCGTCCTGGGGGTTGCGCTCGCATTGAGCCTTGATTTTCTTGGCCTGGAAATGGATGTGTTAACAAAAATTAAGTAGATAAAAGCTTGGGAGAGAAATCGTACCTGGTCCAGAAGCTTGGCAGAGCCGCCGTTGGCCAGCATTCGGTTGGCAAAGCCCAGAGCAGAATTGAAATTCTTGTTGGCAAATGCGAGCTTCATGGCAGCCATTAGCGCGAGCTGTCGGTGTGCCACCTCCAGCTTTGGGATAGTGAAATATGCGGACAATTCCAGGCTGCGCTTAAGACCCTCAGGGGTGTCGGTAGAGAGAGATCGGCGCTCCAGCTCGATTGACATGGCAAGGATGTATTCCCGAGCCGTAGTGATGATCTTCTTCGCTTGCTCAACCTCGCTTTCGGACGAAACTGTGTTGACAAGGACGGTATGCAGGATGTCCCGGAAGTACTTTACGCCCTCCTCGAGCTTGTTGGCCCGCATGGCAGCGTAGCCTTCTTGGAGATTGTCGCTGGCGATCGTCTCGAGATCACGAGGAATGTTAGGCAGGACCTTACGGCTGTCGGTCTCCTCGGTATTTCTCCGCACATAGTTCACCAGAGGCGGGAGGCCACTAGAGGCAGGGAGGTAGGTCTTGGAGCCCTTGTAGATCTCAAGGAATCGGTCCTTCAGGGGAGCGAACTGGACGGCTCCGACCTGACGGTTCAGAAGCTGCATAGCAGTGTCAAAGGAGCCAGCGGCAACGTGATCAGCCGCCAACGGAGAGTTACGAGCCCACAGGTCGGCCTCGGAACTGCCCGCACCGGCCTCGGTGCTCTCGACGTTGACAAACTCGACATCCTCCTCCACATTGATGTCGTCACCCATATCCCATCCAGAGGCATCTTCCTCCTCCTCATCAAGGGTATCCTTGGCGAGCACAGCCTCTGTCTCCTCCTCCTCGACCTCAAAGGCATCTGCGCCAGCCTCTTCGTCACCAGCACCGACCTCGCCGAGAAGGGCCTTCTCGAACGAAGAGTGGCCAGCAGCCTTGACGGGCCAGTTGGACTTGAAGGTTGGAACAAAGGGAGGCGGAACCTTTAGGGGATGCTCAAGCGAGGGGAGGGAAATTTGGTCCTCTGTGAGACCGCAAGCCTCGAGAATGGATTCAGCTTCCTCCGACAAGCCGTGCGACTTCGCCGTAAGATAGGCCAGAGGGTCTAGAAAGCATTAGTATATCGCGTACGCACAATATAAAACGGTATTTTGCCACATACACATGTCAACCTCCTTGAACATCTGGATGCGGTCCTCAACGTCGCCACGGTAGATGGCGTTCTGGAAACGAGAGGTAAAGTCTCCACGGTGCTCAGCGATCTTAGCCATGCGGGAAAGCTTTTCTTGATCACCGGTGGCGAGGTAAAGGAAAGACAGCTTGTCGAAATTCCGTTGCTTCTGGTAGGTCATCTCGACAGTCTGGTGGTGGCCGTGGGCCAGAGCCTCAGCTCCCAGCCGGTTCCAGAAGTTCGGGCGATCCAGCTCGCGGGCCATCTCGATGGCAACCTCAAGGTTACCGCACTCCAGGGCCAAGTCAAAACGGGTCTGCGGGTCTTGAACGAACTGCAAGGCGATCTCGGGGTAGCCCTTCTTCTGCAAGTATGAGATAATGCTTTGGCCCACCAAGCTAGAGGTCTTGATGATTTGAAGCATCTCATCATAGTTCCGTTTGACCAGAGCTAGCTTAAATCGGTATTCGGTGGGATCGATAGCGAGAATCTGGGGTTGGGCATTGCGATCGAGGCAGTACACGTTACGTCCCTTGACGCGGACAAGGTAGACGGTCTGGTCGAGGGTGCGAATAATTCCGTTATCACTGCAGTGAGAGAAAATTGGTTGTTAGTGGGCTTGCGGGGCATTCGAGGTGCTTTTTACAACGTACCCATTGAGTAGCGAATACTTGACGTGGTTAAGGGTCGAGTAGATGAGCACGCCAGAATCATCCCAAGTTGCGCTCTTGATGCGAATAGTCTCGTGCAAGGTGCTGACTTGCTCGAGGGTTTTGGTCACAATGGTAACGTTGTGCTTGCTGAGCAGAGCACCGTAGAGACCATCATTGGACCATACGACATACTTCACACCACTGACAGCAAGTTCAGCCAGCTGCTTCTTCTGCTGAATGTCGAAGAGAGTAACGGTGGTGGGGGTAATGAAGAGCAGGCAACCGGTGCCGCCAAAGTAAATGTCCGTTGTGCCAGCGGGGGGCTTGATGGTCTTGGTTGTAGAGTTGCTCAGGTCCTTGATGTCGACCTGCTGGTTGGAGGGGTTGAAGATCGCGAAACGGTTACGGGCAACGAAGACCGCAGACGTAGCCTGGCCACGCTTAACATCGGTGGGTTCAACAGCACCAGTGGCATCCCGAGGAAGGTGGATCAACTCGTACGTTCCATTGTCCGTGGGGGAGGTGACCAGGATGGCGCGTTCGGCAGGGTTGTAGGAAACGGTGCGTGGGGGAACCCAAGGGGAGCCAAGCTTGCGCAGCGAAAGCATGGGAGGGGACTCGACGTTTTTGGCAAAGTCGTAAGACTTGACGTGCTTCTCCTTGGTGATATAGAACAGCTGGTTCTGGTAAACAGCGGAGGCAGGGCGCTCACGCTCCAGCTTGAACACCATCACACCAGTATCGTGACCCGCGGCGAACAGGTTCATCTCGGGGTGGGCGGCGATCACCCAGAATCGGTCGAGGTCGCGCTTGAACGACTGCACAGAGGTCCGCTTGTTGAGATCCCACACACGAATTGTCTTGTCTTCGCCGACGGAGAGGATGAGGTCCTGGTGAGGGTGGAACAGGCAGGCGGAGGCGTTCTGGAAATGGCCGCGGCAAGTATCAACTTCCCATGCCTTGGTATCTATAAATCAAAAGCAATCAGTACTGAGGTAACTTAGGCAATTCCAATAGGACCAACCACTCATGCGCCAGAGCTTGACCAACCGGTCGTCACCAGCCGACACAATCAATGGCAATGTTGGGTGGAACGACACCCAGTTGACTCCGCGGTCATGACCCTCCAGCACAAACTTCACAATGGCATCTGTATTGCCAAACATGTCGGCTTGGTTGGGGTTGGCGCGAGCCATCTGGTCCTCAAATGAAACCGAGGTCGGGGCGGAGTGCTTCTTTCGCAGGCCGGAAATGTCCCAGATGCGAACGGACTGGTCCAAAGAGGCGGAGGCGATGAGGTCCTCGGTGGGATGGAACTGAGCGCACATAACATAGTGGTTGTGACCGGTCATAGTACAGACTAGAGACAGACCATCGATTAGCAACTGTCGAGAGCGGAAATGTAGCTCCAGAACACGTCGAACTTACTTAGAGAACGGTTCTGCCAGTTCCAGATACGTATGGTCTGGTCGTCGGACGCAGACAGGATCCATGGGAGCTCGGGGTGGAAGAACACCGTGCGCACATAATCCAAATGACCATTCAATGTAAACAGACACCTCCGAGTCTGGTAGTTCCAGACCTTGATCTTGTAGTCGTCACCGCCGGACACAAACAGGGGCTGAGTCGGGTGGAAATCGATTCCTCGAACAGGGCCATCGTGTTCTTCGAAGCGGTCAATGAGAGTTCCCATGCGGTAATCCCACAGCTGGATAGTAGAGGAGTGGAGGGAGACGAGGATCCATGGTCTGGAGTTGAGGTCAGCGCCGATGCTCCAACGTGTTATGTCCCCGCGGGACCGACGTACCGTTTCGGGTGAAATGCGATTCCCTTGGCTCTGGAGGATTTCGACTCAAACTGCGCAACGGATGCTGGTTAGCAACTTCAATTGACCCTCGAGTGTGCGACAGAAGCTTGTGGAGATGAAAGCTGGACGACATCGGCGGTGATCGAGGGGCGTACCTTGGTGAGCATGTTTGGAGAGGACTGCATCTTGACAGAGTTGGCCGGAGCCGCACCAAACAGTAGCAAGCCCCGCACGCGAGAGAAGAGGAGATCACAGAAGCAACCACTGCATCCACCAGGGACAAAAGGGCAAAGAGGGTAAGGCGCAGTGGTCGTGGATGCCTGTGCTTGGAGAGCCGAGACGGTAAACTAAACGTGGACTCTATTGTGTAAGCGAAAGGCGGTGGCTATTCCACCCGCCGGGCGGTGAGCAGTCAGGGGGTTCCTGACGACGAGCAACTACTACAGCACCGATCTCTACGACGCGGCCAATCAATGGATTAAGCGTTATTCACGATGTGACAGCGAAGTTCGACAGTTTACGGGGTCCAGGGGAAAGCTTTGACTCTGTGGGGATCAATGTGGTGATGGTGGTGGTGCGCCATACTTTATTGGCGATCTGGGGACCGTCTCTTTCCCCCACTAGAAGCGTCTGGAATACTTGTTTGATGTGACGCGCGGACGACTGTTTCCATCTCATTCTCGACAACCATGTCTTTTACTATCCATCTTCTCCACAGAACTATTATTTGTTCTTATATTTTCCCATTTGCAGCATGTTCCACGGTTAGCATTTCCTCTTCCAGCTAGTGACGGGATCCACCCATAGCGGGAGCGTCGGGTACAATGATAGACGACGACTTGCATGACTTGATGATGCACCATGGCAGAAGGATTTCCGATGGAGAGAACAACTTCCCCTGATCAGTCAGGCAAACCAACGGAGGGGCCTTGGCAATGTCCTCCTTTCACCTCAACTAATGATGCAACGTATGCGCCAACAGACAACAGCAGCAGTCATCATAGCCAGAACGGGTCGGCGCCATCGACTCCAGGACCCGAGGATCTGCTTGACCAAATCTCAGACACAACAGAGGTCAAGGTCCTTCGGCCATATGCCATCGAGGAGCCGGATGATGAGCCGGTACCTGCTGTGCAGAGGCGTGGGCTGCCATGCCTACCAGATTGCTTTGAGCGGTGGCAGCGTGATATGGTTGTCGGCATGGATGACATGGCCGACAAGGTCGTAACAAGTCCTGGCGTCAAGCTTTCGCCAACTCCGAAAAGAGGCCAAAAGCGAAAGCCACCCGGCTCAGCTGGCGCTGGCCATTCTCATATGGGGTCCAACCGATCCAAGTCCGGGACCAGGTTGGACGATAACGCAGCGCCTGTCCCTGGCATCAGTCCGAAAAGACGCCGGCGGCGCAGCAAGCCATCAGGAAATGCACTCAAAATTTCCCATCCTGTTTCTCTTAATGATTTTCGTGAGACCCGAGCCAACGAGAGCTCGAGTTCCGACCTACAGTCGAGCGGTAGTAGCGTCGACACGGCGAACGAGTCTGCTTTGGCCGATGAGATGGACATCGACTGAAAACGGCCCTGCTCTTCATGTCGCTGACATCTGAGAATACCAACTGCGCAGGAAGCTGCAGTACACGTGATGGGGGTAACCTGGGAACTGATGCCCATGACGTCATTTGTATCTCATCGATACGCGAAAGCTTCGCCTGCCCACATGATTCTGAGCCGAAACGCCAGAAAGCTTGCTCTTCTCGAGATGCTGTTTCAACACAACGCTCTATCATCTCCCTATCAACGTTGATCGACCTTGATTGACTGCTGCCGAAGAATTGAACAATCAACATGTCTACCCGCACATCCACCCGTCAGGCCGCACAAAAGGCAAAGGAAGCCATATCAACTACCAGTGAAACAGGAGGCAGAGCATCTGCGGGCACGAAGCGCAAAGCTCCGGAGCGGAAGGCGCCCCAGCCGAAGAAGGAAAAGAAGGAAGACCAGACTCTTCAACCGGAAGAGAAAGCTACCGACACAGGAGTGCATCGCACCCAAGAGACAAAGCCTAAGGAAGAGGAGCCCAAGAAAGAAAAGCCCAAGGAACAAAAGCCCAAGGAAGAAGAGCCCGAGAAAGAAGTGCCCGAGAAAGAAAAGCCCGAGAAAGAAGAGCACAAGGAAGAAGATCCCAAGGAAGAAGAGCCTAAGGAAGAAGAGCCCAAGGAAGAAGAGCCCGAGGAAGAAGAGCCTAAAGCAGCTCCTCCTCAGCCTCGTACTTCACCAGAAGAAAGCAATAAACCTGAACTGAATGTTGAATCTGGCATCCGCAAATCCGAAGAAAGAGAAGACATCGTCCCCTCGAATATCCTTGAAAAGGGTATCATCTACTTCTTCTACCGGCCACGAGTCAACGTTGAAGAACCTGAGGGAGTGGGTGATGTTGCTCGCAGTTTCTTTGTGCTGCGTCCAGCTCCACTAGGTGCTGAACTCGATTCAGACCAGGGACCGGTGGACAAAGATGCCCAATGTCGCCTGTTGATGCTCCCAAAGAAAAAGTTTCCCACATCGCCCAAGGAAAGAGATATGGGTTTTGTGGAGAAGGCCAAACAGTCGATGAAGGATCTACAGGAGAACTTCATCGCAGGCTCAACGTACCAGACTGCAACCCGTGGCGAGCGTACCATCGAGGAGGCTCGACCGTACGCGGAAGGGGTCTATGCAATCACATCCACAAAACGAGCATCTCACTTGGCCTATGTGTTAACAATCCCCTCCGATATTGGCGAAATCCAGGAGAACTTCGGACTGCATCAGCGCGGCAGCTGGATCGTCCAGTCCAAGAACCCGAAGTTCCCTGGTCCAAGCTTTGCCCAATTACCCAAGGAGCCCCAATACCCCGAGTCGTGAGTTTTGTTCTGAGGCAATACCTGGTGTAGAAAGTATTTCATAGCAACTAACTTTGTATTGACAGGGTCCTTCAGAAATTCGGAGACCTCCGATGGGTGCCCCTGGAGCCTGACTTCATTGAGTACCCAAATGCCCAGTTTTTGATGATCGGCGAGGCACAGGATCATCTGGGCAAAGCTGCCACAGCTGAAGGGGGAAAGCAGCCACATGAGATAGAACCAGGTGAAGAGCTAGAAAAGATGGAACAGGAAAACGAGGATCGAGTCCAGGCGCAAGAAGGTAAGCTTCTAGACTTTTCGAACGCAGCCACCCTGCATCATTTGACTGAAACCTCCGTCAGGCGATCTGACAATCTACCGGGATCTCGGCATGTATGCGAAAAAGTACGCATCTGTGCCGACGACTTGGAGCGGCTAGAAGCTCACGTTTCTCAAAAATCCTTGCCGATTGGGATATTTTGCGGTCATTCGGTCTATTCTGATGTAATATTAAAATTGGGTCCGGACAAATACGAGCAACAGTTCACAAATGCCGCGATAAACGGAGTTAATGTTAGGCGAGGTTACTGCTCCTTGGCGCAGTGCTGGAGAGGCTATACATGCCGAGTGGGGCAAGGATTGGCACTTTCCCCTGCATCCCCTCACACTACCAACCATCACCACCAACCAAAGCAAGGTCCGTCTGCTTGGCATGGTACGCGTCGATCAGCGAATGGCGATCGCCGCTCCCTGCACGTTGAGTGGTCCAGTGTTCTATTCCCTGTCTAGCGCGTTGCAGGCCAAGCAGGATGGGCATGCGACGTCGGAGTCGCAGGGTGCGGTAACCCAGATAAAGCTGCATGGTACCTCCAGAGTGGGAGTGAGGAAAATCAACAAATTAAATTGACAGCCACTATGAAGTCGACTCTGGCGATTGCGCTACTGGCTACGGTCGCAAGGGCTGCGGACCATGTCGTGAATCAGACTACTTGCGCTGGCACCACCTACAAGTATACCGGCCTAGCCGGGTATGGCTTCATTCCGTCCAATGCTACGGATAAGTATGGTGATACAATCGGTGGCATTGGCAGCGCCATTGCTATTGATCAGTCGTCCTGGCGCAAGTCTGGCGAGGATCTCTACTCTGGGACAATCTATACGATCCCGGATCGTGGATGGTAAGGATTCCTAGTCTCGAAAATCAAGGGAAAAGAAGTAAAAATACTAAGAATAGACCCAGGAACACTAATGGGACTCTCAACGACCAGTCACGTATTCAGAAGTTCGCGCTCACGTTCAAATTGGCACCCCATGCTTCAGCCAAGAACCCCTCCAATCCCAACCTGCGCTTGGAATACCGGGACACTATACTTTTGACAGGCCCTGATGGAAACCCCACCACTGGTCTGGACGCCGATGCTTCTGGTAACTTTTCCTACCCCGGTTTCCCACCCCTGCCCGTTGCCACCTATACCGGCAATGGCTTCGGCGGCGCTGGCAAGGGCGGCAAGCGAGTCTCAGTGGATGCAGAGGGCCTGGCACTGGCCCAGGACGGTGGTTTCTGGGTATCTGATGAGTACGGGCCCTACATCTACAAGTTCAGCGCTTCGGGTCGTATGGAACATGCGATCCAGCCCCCGCAGGCCTACCTGCCTCGCCGCAACAACACCCTCAGCTTCAGCGCTGACTCCGCGCCACTCTATAATCCGGATGCGGTGCCTATCCCCGAGGACACCGAAACTGGTCGTGACAATAACCAGGGCTTGGAGGGCCTGAGTCTCTCTGCTGATGGCAAGACGCTCTATGCGCTGATGCAAAGCTCGCTGGACCAGGAGGGCGGCCCGAAGAAGCGGTACCGTGCCCCGGCTCGCATGCTCGCATACGATATCTCTGGCAAGACACCGCGCTATATCCACGAGTGGGTGGTCATGCTGCCCAAGTACTACGACTACACTGAATCCGATGCCGACAAGGCGGACCAGGTCGCCTCACAGTCGGAAATTCACCAGCTGCCAACGGGCGACTTCCTGGTTCTATCACGGGACTCGGGTTTTGGACATGGACAAGCCGAGTCACGGTCCGTGTATAGACATGCGGATGTTTTCTCCGTGCTGAACAATCAATCGGTCACTGATTTCAAGGGCCAGAGTGATTATGATAGTGCTACTGGTGCCATTGCTTCGTCGAAGGGTGTCCTGAAGGATGGCATCTCCCCGGCTGAGTACTGTTCATTCCTAGACTTCAATGTCAATTCGGAGCTGGCTAAGTTCCGTCTGCACAATGGTGGTCTGCAAGATGAATACTTGTTGAATGAGAAGTGGGAGAGTCTGGCTCTTGTCCCGGTGGATCCATCTGCCGGTATCCACCAGCACAAGCAAGGCGAGCAGGAGTATTTCCTGTTCAGCTTGAGTGATAACGATTTCATTACTCAGAATGGTAAGTCAATTCTCTATTTGACAGTTGTTTTCATTTCATGCTCACGCTCACGCTCTGACAGGGCACATGAATTTTGGGAAGTTCCCGTACAAGGACGAGTCAGGATACAACTTAGATACCCAAGCCCTAGTGTTCAAGGTTAGATTCTAGATCAGACGGAACTTGGTATCAAACCCATAGACTGCTTGAAGCGTCTATCATTGGACCCATGTCCCTTACTTCCTCGCTTGTGCGTAGTTTCACACAAAAGAAACGAATCATTAAACCAATATTAGTCCAAGGGACATGAATTATTCAATAACAACGATAGAATCATATCTCTAGCCCTCGGATTGTGGCAAGCGGCCCATTTTCCGCAGCCCATTGAACGGCGAATAATCGATGTGAGACCCGTGATGCTGGAAAAGCTTAGACTCGAGGGGGGGGTGATATTTGTGCTATTGGATGATCCCATTTATTGCGTCACGAACGTATCACTCGTTGTATTTAGTGGAAGTTACTTCGCATATAAAAGGCCCGTGTGTTGGTAAGATTTAAAACACAAGAATGAGTTGGCAACAATAGCACGGTAGATACCGGTGGACGATGTTTGACCTGTACCAAATCTCGACACGGTTGCCCTGGTCATCCAGCCATACATTTGACAAAAGGGCTGAGGCCTGGGCACTCAGTGACATCCATCTTGAATCCACTGGTATAGTTGACGGCCTTTGGGGGAAGGGAAGGCGATACCCCACCTCCTTGGAGCAGTCTGCTTCACAAACCGAAAAAAGCGGAGATCATTGGAAAGGCGTTCTCAAAGAAACAGATCTGAACCTCAAGCGCTGGAGGTTTTCTGATGTAACTGGTTTCCAAATTATGAAGTGCCACTGTACGGAGTACCTGGTTGGGAATATTTGCGTAGGGGCCGCTCACTCCATCCCCGCAATCGCAATCGCTGATCTTTCAACACAAAACCACCTGAGCTTGCCCATGCCGAAGCCGTGCAGCGCAGCGCACTCTCGATGGGTTCGGGGCCTGAATAAATGCCTCCGCCTGTAGTATGCTAATCACCTGAGCAGCTTAATGTTCAATGCTTATGGATACAACCACAGACCCCGTCCCCCTTTCGCCTGACGCGCCGCGATCCGACGCGCCGAAGTGCCGGGCCACAGTTCGCCAACTCTCCTCGATTTCTCTTATCGCAGTCGACACCACAGGAGAGTAAAGATGATGTCGACATTGTCGACGATGATGCACCACCATCAACTGGCCCTGCCGCTCGCACCCCGGCCCAACCGCGGCATGTTGTTCCACCACCACGCCGGCCACGGGACGTGATTGAAGATTACCACGATGGCGAATGGCTAGGAAATACGGAGGCCCGAAACAATGAAGCGATGTCGCCGGGTGACTTCGCTATTGATAGCTCTCCTCTTGATGACTCAGGAACTCCTGTTGGGCCGGACACTGAGTTCGACACGCTCTTTACGCCAACGGAAAATGGCAAGAAAAGGCAACGACTTTCAGCAGGAGAAGGGCAGACACTGGATCAGAAATCGAATCGGCAATCCGAGGAAAGACAATCTTCATCTCCTGAGCCGCGACGGCCAACATTCGATCCTCTCCACACTCCTGCTCCTCGCCTGGCGCAGCGTCCACCTGCACAGAACCTGGCCGCGCAAGCCACCCCAGGCATTCCCGCAAAGCCCGGGGACGCAGGAGTTGGGATACCTGGGAGCACAAAAACACCATTCCGCAGTCGACCGCGATTTATGCTATCAACTCAAAAACCCCGTAGCCAGCCTCCATTCCGAGCCGAGACACCATCGGCAACGCAATCAACCCCACCGCAAGAACGACGCAAGCCCACATTTGTGCTTCCTCGTTCACCGTCCCCAAATGAAGCTTCCGACAACATCCCCGCGCCCTTCTCACCTTCCTCGCGCACGCTTCACCGGCGCGGTCGACCTCGCTCTAGCGTGGCGGGCTACGTCCCAGGCGGAATGGCCGCCGAGGTGCGCAGCTGGATCCTTGAGGTGGGATCCAAACGTGAACAAGCTGTCATCAACCCGGCGCCTGTCGAATCGAACGGGAGTAGGGTCGTGGACCTTACCCGATATCTCTTGGCTGCTCGCATTGTCCAGGTCAAGCCGGCGGGGCTGAAGAGCGCTGGCGCTCTATCATTTGTTCTAGCTGAGCCGGTGAACAATTTTCCCACCGGAGACGAGGAGCCGGAGATTCTCAAGATAATGATTATGGGGCCCCCTCGATCTAGACCAGCTCCACATGCAACGTTGTCGCGGGCCAGGATACCACAGCCAGGCTTTATCCATGAAGGAGACTTGTTAGGAATCTACCGGGATCTAGCATGGCACGTCACGTTTGGTGAATTCCAGGCTCTGAGCGTCGCCAATGGATTGCAGACAGAACCATTTCAAAATTGTGCTTCTGGTAGTCCCGAGCGGTGGCTAATTGTCATGGAATGGGACCTCGTCGAGGCAGCTACGTAGTATGTGAGCATAGCTACATTTGTATTCGATACGAGCTACGCATGTGTAACAAAACTGCTGATTGATATGTCCTTGATGCATACATGACATGTATGTCTATAATGGGTATATTGTAGACGCAAATCAAAACACAGTGCCACCCTGGATCACGGTCATTAATCTTTAACAGCCTTAAGGGCATCCACGGCCACATTGCAACCCCAGCGAACCAGTTTCTGCTCTTTCTCAGTCACAATATCGGTCTTGGCGACGACCTTGCGAACGAAATAGATCAGGCCCTTCGCGACCTGAGGCGTGTCTTGGACACGCAAAAAGATCTGCATAAGGGACTCCTCGTCCTTCGCGTCAACCGCGCTGGTCTTGCTCGCTTTCTTCTTGTTGAGTGCCGCCTTGGTCTTCTGCGATTGCTGAATGATGCTGATTATCAAGAGCTCGACAAATGTCTTGGTCTTGGGCTGGAGATAAGCGAAATTGAGGGTTTTCAGAATACCAAGCGTTAACGTTCCATCCGCAATGAGCATTCCGTACATCTTGGCCAGGTTGACAACGGCTTTCATGTTAACACCGGTTTCCTCGTCGTCGGCGTCGAACTCGGTTTCCTCCTCGTCGTCGCCTTGTTCACCCATCCGTTTGAAGATGTTCCAGAGAGCGAACATGAAAGACATCTTGAGACGGCGGCCCGATTCTCCGCAAAGGCGTCGCGCAATCAGGGTATAATATGGGTTGTGTGCTTGTTCCTGCATGGCACAGTGCAAGAGGACACGCGGAATCTCCAGTTCTTGCGAACGCTTGAGGCGAAGCTTAAGAAGGCGGACTTGCGCGTCTTGGTAGTCGTTCGCCGACATGATGGCCACAAAGATTGAACGGCGGACATCCGTGTTCATACGGTGCACCTTGGCCAGATCTCCCAGATCGGGCTCGGCTTCACTGTCATCCTCCATCGCATCGGTCCCTCCCATTGGCATATTGGACAACTCCTGGCGAGCAGACACCAGAGGGTCTTCCCGCCAGCTTGCCCCGACAAGCCACCATTTGCCTTTCTTGGAAGAGTCGTGAATATCAGAGCGGGTGATGTTGATGGGCTCTGATGCGCGGATGGCCCGGGAGTTGTTCAAAGAACCCAGAATCTTGCGCATCTTGGTGATATGCTCCGTAGTCACGCCTGCACCGATCCCAGACCTGACACGGTTGTTCTTGAGGTCGGTGATAGTATCAACCATGAACTTGGTTCGGACGGAGAGGTTTTCCTCGCCGACCTTCGCCACGGCGGGCTGAATGAGGAGTACAATATCCTTGAGTGCAGACGGATCGTCTTGACGAAGTTGAGGACCGGAATCTAGACATTGTTTAGATGCGTTGTGAAAGGACCCAAGATAGAAAGGAACTTACTCCGAATGACCTTCAGCAGAAGCTCGGTATTGGTCTCCGTAATCTCCTGCAGAAAGAGGCGAATGTAGTCATAGATCAAGGGGCTCCCAATGACATGGAAGTTGTATAATTGGCACAAGAGCGAGACCAAATTGACAGTCTCCTTGCCCTCAAACTTGCCACGTTCGTCCGCTTCTCTATCCAGAGTTTCCACCACCGTCTGCACAATCTCCGCGCCAAAGTCCGTACCCATGATCTTGTACACAGCCGCAATGAATCCAGCATGTAGGATGATAAACGTATCGTTGAGCACAGCTCTTTCGCAGATAAGGCCCATCAACAAACTGATCAGGGTGGAGGTGACGTTTTGGCGCGGGTAGTCCCGATAGAGCTTTTCAAACTCCGCGAGGATAGACACCAGATTTGCCTCGGAGAGCTTGTTCAGGTGTCCCTGGGCCTGGCGACGCAGTCGAGTCAGAGACTCTGTCTCTGGATCCCCGCGAGCTCGCAATGATGGTGGAATGTATTTCTGGGATGCTTTTTCAGGCGCGGGCACGGGTGCCACATATGGATTTTCGCGTTTCTTGGGCGGACCTTCTTTTTCTTTGTCGAATCCATCAAAGCTGCTGTCCTCGCCTTCCTCGTCGTTCTCCGACCCAAAGATTCCTTTGTCAAGGTCATCCATACCATCTTCACTGTCGAGGTCTTCCTCGTCATCTTCCTCCTCGTCATCCGAAGCCTCAGCCTGACGCCGCAACGCCTTCTGCCTCTTGCTTTGAAGCCACTCGTCGGCTTCCCGCTTACGCTTCTTGCTGTCGTCTTCCGACTCCTCGCCCAAGTCTCCCATCAAATCATCTAGTCCATCCTCTGCGAATGCCTTGGGTAGCTTCTTGCCCTTCTTGAGACCGAGCTTCTTCTCCAGCGCGGCAATTTCGGCGTCATCCTGAGCTAGCTTGGACTTGACATTTTCCGAAACATGTGCGCCGCGTGGAATATCATCCTCGTTACCATCCTCGTCGCCCTCCTCCTCGTCGCTTTCCCCCTCATAGTCATCGCTGTCACTTTCCTCATCATCGCCCATCTCGTCGAGCAGCCGCTTCTGCCTTTTCGTCACGACGGATTTAGGGGCCGGCTGTGACTCTTGGCGTGTTCTTTGTTTGCTTTTCGGGGCAGCTGGTGTATCTTCGCTGGACGATCCTTCGTTCTCGTCCAGATCGAGGTCATCTTCATCCTCTTTCGGTCGCTCGAATCGTTGCTTCTGTTTCTGAACTGGCGCCCTTGCTGGTTTGCTCGATTTCTTATTGTTTCGCTCCGCTTGACGGCGCTCCTTCCGGTTTCCGGGGCCGTTCCGCTGGCGCTTCTTCTCGCCATAAGTATCCCTGATCCCTAGCTCCGCGCGCAGGTCACGCGGGAGGGAGGTCGTATTGTGCTGGGGGCGCGGCATGGTGGCTGTTTCCTGATATTGACTGCGTCGTTCCGTCGAAAAAGAGGCCGAGGCCCTGGCGGTGAGTGAACTTTTTTCAACTGCCACTTTTTCTGCCCGCCGAAACACAAGGCGGCGACCCACCCACGGAGTTTCCTCCCCCACAAGACTCGGGCGTCGTTGGCCTGGCCTACGTGTATTGCATCCCGCCTGCTTCAGCTTTCACGAACGGCCAATTATTGCGCGTCTTGCCAATACACCCAATCTCACCATGGCGCCGCACTTGAGCAACGACGAGGTGAGCTTTTGATCCTTTAGTTCTGCTATGCGTGTTCCGCACATTCTGCCACGAAACAACCCGCAGTGTTGCTAATATCGCAACTCTAGTTCTTCTCATCCCTCACCGATCTTCTTTCCAAGACCTCCCAAAAGGCGCGCGGCTCGGTTTTTCTCTCCCAAAAGCCTCTCATCGACTCCGTCTCCAACTCTCCGCCATCCATTCTCATTCGTGCTACCGACGGGAACACCAATGCCCCCAACCCCAAGGCGTCCAGCAAGGATGGCAAAGTCACCAAGAACAAGACCTCGAAGGACAAAGTGAAGTTTGCTACCGTTGTGAATGCGGATGACCTCGAAACATTCTACACACGCTACGCGGACGTGTGCAAGTCGGGCATGACAGGAATGAAGAAGCGAGACCGCAGCAAGCGCAAGGCGAAGGGCAAAGCCGGAGCGGCAAAGGCCACCAAGGCATAGACCCGTTTGTTTGCTTAATTCATGGCGGTGCTTTATGACCGTGGTATTTGGTGTGGTGTGATATCCGCTTATATGGCCCTGTTCATCTTGCATTTTCTGGCGTTTATCGGCGGCTTTTGCTTTGTGTCAATGATTCTTTATGAGCTTATATCTCCGGTGCACATAGGACCTTTTCCCGTACACTTGTGTTCTTCAAGCCCAATTCGTCATCTGGATTGGCTAGCCTCATTGCAGTTGGTCCCATTCTTCAGGGTGGATGTATCCATTACTCTAAACAAATTATACCTTATCCTATAACTAGCGGGAATTGTCCTTTGCCCTCTTCCACATGGAAATCCCACTCGGCACCTTCGTATTCCTTTCTCGGCGTCGCATTAACAGGGAACTTGTCCAACACTGGCCCCGTTATCGAAACCATGCTCGTCGTGTCCTTCCTCGGCTCCTTCCAAACTCCACCAACAGGGGCTAGATCGTACCGAAGAATCACCATAGCCACCACAAGCAAAATTTCGGAGCTGGCAAAGTGCCGGCCGGGACAGACTGTCGGCGATAGACCAAAGGTCAGGAATCCGCCCGCCCGCCGAGAGTCTTTCTTGTCCCCAGATTGGTCATTGGACTGCGCCGGCTTCATGAACCGACGCTCATCAAACTCTCCAGCAGTTTTCCCCCAGACATCGGGGCGCTGGCCTATTGGAATAGACGGCATGTTGACCGTGTTTCCAGCCTTTAGAAGGTACTTGTCCGCAAGGAGTGTGTCCGTCGTGACAAGACGTGTTGGAGAAGAATTCGAGCGCGTGCGAAGGACCTCCTGAAATGTGGAAATCAAAAGAGGACAGCTTTCCCGAATTGCAGCCAAGTCAATGTTATGTGTGCCATCTGCCGCCACGGAAAGAGCATTGCCCTCAACTTCCTTGCGTAATTCGTCAAGGAGCTGAGGTCGGGAATATATGTCGAAGAGGCACCAGAACATGGCAGGGATTGTATTCGATACAAACGCAATTAGCATACCAACTTCAAGCTGGGAGTACTCTTCCATAGTGAGGCCACCCTCTGTGGATTCCTTTAATCGCACAGCTGTGAGATCAGATGCGTTCTCCGCGCCATTCGCCTGCAGGTATTTTAGAATTGCTTTGGCGACCTTCTCGCGACCTTTCCATGGTTTTCGTGCCGTGAGCCACGGCAGCGTATTGGCCATGAGTGGGCCGAGGCCATTCTCAAAGTCCCTAAACAGCGTTAACACTGATCTCGTCCCAGATACAAAAAGGAACCCTAGCTCACCACCACGCGTCTTGGATTTCCCGCTCTTTGTAAGGGTTTAATGGCCCATATGTAGCGTCCGTACTAGCAGCCATTGTGGCATCCCTACACCACTCGTACAGATCAACAGTGGAAGTCTCCCCCATCCTGTCGATGAATGGCCGCATCAATTGAACCATCCGGATATTCATCTGGTCCAAAGACTTGCCCACCAAGGTTGGAGTCATGGAATGCATAATCTTGGCACCGAGACCTTGGCCGCCCGACTCAGTCCCCTTGAGAATATCTAGAGTCTTAGGGTCCGAGATACCGGAGATATTCTTGGCGCCGAATAAGAGAAGTGGTTCAAAGCTGATAGTTTTTGAGTTGCGCTGCACGGCCTGCATCAGATCTGGCGAACTGATCACATAGAACTTGGTAAACAGCATGTCAAGTCCAATAATTGGATGTTGGGGATGCTTCTTGCTGTCAAATCTGTCAGCTATCATCCTACGTCCACGGTATAAAATAGAACGAAGAGGGGCTCACGCCTGGTTGCCCCAGTGTCCAACTCCATGCCGTAGCATGCCGAACATATGCCCGACTATTGGTATCCCGCTAGTCACCATCGGCGGTTCACGAGGATCGTGCCGAGATCCATATCCATTGAACACAACATATCCCAGCGCCGCGATGACGCCTAGGATCAGAAGCTGGGTTGTATCGAGCATAGCGATACGTCAGGCAAGGATACTCTGTTAATGGAGAGCAAGCTCCAGAGACGGCGATGGCCTTTTACCCCTGGATGCAGTTGATTGTGATCCGGCTGTCTCCCCAGCCAGGAACTCCACGTTGCTTGGTGTTGGTGGAAACAGGATTGGTGGCTTGCGCAGTGGGCCAATCATGTCAACAGAGTTCCCGCCCCCAAGTAACGCGCGCCCTGCGATGGAAAAGAGATCACAAGTGCGACCGATCAGGAGGGACCGTGAAGAAAAAGGCGGCTTATAAACTGAGATTTAAGCGGCAACTGGTTTTGATTATATCTAATGTTGCTAGCAAGATCATAGAAAGATCGTAATATTTGCCGCAGGGTCGGCCAATGCTCGTCTAAGGGGGTCATAACTCCTCCCAACCTGCTGGGGAGGTTGTCGGCAAGTAAAAATATGTCTGGCTGTGAGGATCTTCCGCGTAGGCATGCGATGCGATGAGATATCAGGGGATTAAAGGCATTCTCAAGGATCATTTAGCTCTTCCATTTATAGAAAAATTATATTACCGACCAACGGCGGTCGTATCGCGGGAGCCAAATGTTATATGCAGCGCTATAATACATAATGAGGCCGGCAATAATACTCATGCCCAATACATCCACCTCGTAGGAACCATGCAAGTCAGTTTCGAAATAGTCATAAAACAGGGGGGAAATCGTGGTGTCACATGTGAAAGGGAGATACATATTAAATCAGTAGGGTCAAGAATTCACAGAGAAGGTAAATGAAACAAAAGGGTAAAATCACAGTGAACCAAAGTCGTCCAAGTTAGTCGAGATCCCAGGGATCTAACTTCTTGGACATTTCAGCGTCCTCATATTCGGACGAGGGTTCGCGTTCTAAGGGGAAGCTGAAGTCATCTTCAGTCACGGGCTCCTTGGGTGAACGCGAGTTTGAGCTGAACTCGCCCAGGGTAGAATTAAGGGCAGGGCTGATGACAATGCGAGCAGCAACGTGGAGCAAAATAATGAAAAGTTGGATCGGAGGTACCAACACGAGGAATAGTGCCTTGGAAAGGAGGGAAGAAGTGTGCTCGTTCGATGCCGGCTGGCATAACGCAGAGGATGAGGGTATAGGAGAGACATCACTCCGCCTGGTTGCTTGCGCTCGGCGGCGAAATTCAGTGCTCATATGTTGAAAATCCGTGGTAGGTGATGTAGGACTTGCAACCGGGCAATCTCTGTTCGAAGATATGCTCAACGAAGGCTTCTTTGGCGGATCCTCTCGAACTATGTACTTTGGCATCTTTAGTGCCGCCTCAGGTAGATCGTCTTCGATCTTTGTGGGTGAGTGGTTGATGCAAGTAGCATCAACTCCCGGCAGGGTGTTCCTGGACGGTGCAGATTCAGACGTCTGCTTTGCAGAGAGTTCAGCCACAGAGGCAGCGACTGAGGTTCCCGCTTTGACAGCAGGATCGTAAATCTCCGTTGGGGCTGCATGAGCAGAGTGCGTGCCCGTCGCAGAATGGAATGATTCCGGCGTAGACGCAAAAGAAATGTTATTATCAATGTCAGGTTCCGGTTTAGACTCGGACTCTTCGTCTGGAAGCTGGGAATCTTCCGGAACCTGTGGATCTTTTGGCATTGAGATCTCTTCCAGGGCTACATTTTCTGATGAGATTGGCATTTCCACTATTTCCAGCGGGGTGGGAACTCTTTGAGAACCCAGAGGGTCTTCAAAACTGGGTTCTGCTTCTTTTCGTTTCGAGTGAGAGATCTCATGGGGACTCTGGGATGCTTCTGGCGGAACCGTGCTGGGAGCATCTTCTAGAAGCAGAGGCTTTGGAGGTATCGGGGACTCTGCCTGGCCCCGCGGTTCCTGTGCATCTAGAGATTCGTCTTGCACAACTGCTGCCAATTTCGACGATTCCACGGAAGGCGAAGTATCTTCGTCATTTGGTTTCTCTGGCGTTGAGGAATCTTGGAGATCAACAGTTTCGATCGGGTCAGAAGTTTTCTCCGGATGCTCGTCTTCCTGAACCACCGGACCATACTTTGCGGTCATAGGTTCGTCAACAGCCGGGGCTTCATCTTCATCATCTTCTTCTTCCTCTTCCTCCACCTCTTCTTCTTCTTCTTTAACTAATCTTTCTGAAGTAGGAGCTTCCGCGGGAACAGGGGTGCCATCAAATTTCGCCAGCAGGCTGGTGAAGGTTTGCGGCGACTCTGTAACGGAGCGCCTAATCGGTGACGGGTGAGAAGGTAGCTCGAAGCTATTGACGGGAGATGGTGCTTGTTCAACGGCTGGCACAGCCTCGGATGTTGTGCTGTTCGTTTCCTGGGGAATCAACCCACTCTCATCTGTGGCAGCTCCATCGGTGTCCTCCCCAGTACTAGCGGAATCGAGCCAATCGGACTTGGCATCAAAGGGGAAGAGTTGGTTGCTTTCCGGGATGTGACGGAGGCTATCCTTCCGTTCCTTGGGTTTCCATGCCTTCTTGCGCCGCGGTGCCATGGCATCCTCAGGCAACTCGATAGTAAATGCCCGCTTAAAAGGACACGGCGTAACTTCATATCGGAGCACAGTCGGCAGCGCAGCCTTTAGATCCTCCACTAAAGCCTTATCCTCTGCAGTTTCATGTGGGATCTCGATCCGATAATAGGTGAGAGGGCGTATGCGCAAAACAAACTTGGACACCCCGTCCACACACCAGCACTGGGAGTTTTTCAAGATTGCATGAACGACATTTCCACACTTCAGAAATACAGTTAATCCCCTCTCCAGCCTCAGTGGTGCGGTTGCGACGGTTCGTTCGGTGGCGGAGCGCCAGGGGAGCGTCTCTATGGTATCAACGGGGTAGTCGAAATCGGAGGGTACGGAGCTCGACGGAATCGGGACGAGTGCCCTGGGAGCGAAATGAACAATCTTTGCTGAGGGATGATAGTAAATGACGTTTCCCGACAGATTGGGCGCAGCCGAACCGCGTTGCGCCTGCGGATTTAACTTTGTGGGGAGAGTAAACGAGCGACGAATCGACTGTACCGGGCTCGAGGACTGGCTTAGAGACTCGGCCATCATCAAGTGACTGTTTGCGCAGACGGCCGATCAGATAGTAGCATCAGGACCCGGTCACTGGGGCATGGCGGAGAAAGAGGCGCCCCGAGCTGAAGATCGCGGCTTATCTCCCCCCATGTTCGCGCGTCTTTGCGCCTGCGGGAACATGTGATTTCGTCCTCAGGCATGAATTATCAGGTGACCGTGAATGACGCAGCAAGCATAAGTGGATGTACTGTTGATACGTTCCTGTTCACTCCCAAGGTTCGCCAGAAGAACCAACACACGACCACACCAGAAAGTCCACGCTCAGTATGGAGAAGGGCTTGACTATCTCTAACTTCGAGCCCAATGCGGTGATCCGTGGCTTCCAGCTTACCGTGGTAGGAAGTATGTCGTCTCCCATGTTGTTACTCTACAGACATGAGTCTCATGAAGCAGGGCTCTTCCCCTCTAGACGCCTGATTGTGGGGTGCTTAGATCTGAAGTCGTCGCCGGCCTTCTGATTGATGCTTGTACAGCCGATTGCCTGATGGCTCAGCTTGCTCTTGATGACAGTTTATCTGATTTGATAATTACTTGCATGTGTTCAAGGCTAATCTGACCAAAAATAGCCGTCCGAGCCTTGCAAAATCCTAACCTGTTCAAATATGAGCACTTCCGTCAGGCAGCTCTTGCTATAGGCGTGGGGATAGTCATCCAGCTTATCATCCAGGTTCCGGTATGTGCAAAGGCTTGATTTCTTTGACAACTCCGGATATCTGATACGCCACCTAAAGATTGTTGCTCTGAAATTTGGTCTATATGTTTTGTCGTGGGTCATTAATCTGGACCACGCGACGTGGGATGACAAGCTTCTCGATGGCTTGGAATTTATGTCCAAGTCTGTGCTCCAGGTGCCTTTCCTTCTGATGACTTTGATGGGATATGTGACCCCTACACTGGACGAGATGTAGGTCATCGCCTCCAAAATCCTATTATTTCACTCGCTGATTGAGCGTCTAGCTTCATGCAATCCATCGAGTGGGTGGACACGACATACATACAAAAGCACAAGTCCGAGGACCCCGGCAGTCTGCGTGCCATGTATTTCCCCAGCTTGGTCATGTTCCCAACTAAGGGTGGCCCTCGCTCCTCGCGGCCCAAGTCGGAGGCCATCATGATGTTCCTCAACCGGTATGCCAAACGAATGGGGATCCTTTTCGGGGTCTATCTTCTTTCCCTGATCCCTGTCCTTGGTCGATTTGTGATGCCAGCAGCGAGTTTTTATACATTCCGCAATCATGTCGGCACAGCTCCTGCCGCTGTCATTTTTGGTGCGGGTCTGGTCCTGCCCAAGGCATTTATCGTCAAGTTTCTCCACACCTACTTCGCATCGAGAAGCTTGATGCGGGAACTCGTGAGTCCTGTCATTCTCATCCGCTTTACGCTGAAAACACTGCCTAACACACCCCTAGCTGGAGCCGTACTTCCGCCGCATTAAATTCACCCCCGAACAGAAACGCCGGTGGTTCCGAGACAGGGAAGGCGTTCTTTTCGGATTCGCCTTTGCTTTTACTGTCGTTCTGAAAACCCCATTCATCGGTGTGCTCATGTACGGGGTGGCGGAAGCATCCACTGCCTATCTCATCACCAAGATCACCGACCCACCACCTACCCCTGCGGAGAGTGAAGGCTTTGCAGAGAGCCAAGTAACATGGAAGAACAAGCATGACTTCTTACGCTTGTCGCTTGAGAACATTGACAAACTCAATGTTGTGACAGATGAAGCGGGACCCAAGGGTAACTCTGCGAACTCTGGAAATAAGTTCTCATGAACTGCTCCCGAGCGCAATTGAAAACCACATAGCCCGAGACAATGATCTGCTTGTAGCGGCCTGCATTGAATACTCAGCAATCCCTATGGCTTACAATGATCGGCTATTGCTTAACTCTTCGGCTACTCTGCCTTACCAGCAATCATGAAAAACGTCACCTAGCAGCACCCAATCATAGCCGCACTCATAAACTGTTTCCATCAGCACTTTATCCTCCTGATTGAATACGTGAAAGTTATCTTAAAAGTCCTACTCGAAGGTAACCGCTTTCCACATTCAGTAGATTGATTCTGTTTCCAACCGTGTGAGGCACCTTTCACCCCCTGAAACGTCGACCCATACCCCACCCCGTTAGCGGTCACACCAACAATAGTATTCCAGCCACTATAACGTCAAATTTCTCCCTTGAATATCAATAATATGGCCTTGAACGATGCTAGTGGATTCAATCCGCCCCGACGACGGTGTCTGGATTGATAGATCTGATAATATTCATATATTAGCTCTTCTCGGTAGCTCACTAACTATTTTGACGATTACTACCGACACTTGAGATATCCCACTATTTTTGGACTGTTTTTGCTTTGGCGTCGTGGTACGAGTTAGGCTCGAGCTCTCGTTAACCTTTCTACACTTCGTTATCTAAAGTCAATATCACAAAGCAGCCCCAGGGATGATTTGAATCCTTCTCGAGTGCTAGTGCGAGGGAGAGATTTGGATAATACAAAGTAATATATTATATACGAGGGTCTGTTGGGTTGGCCAGGAACTGCCGAGTTGAGTATGTTGGAATGTAGAAGGAAGAAGGCCGCGTCATTCGGTGCGTTGAAGCATTCGAAAGTGGAGCCGGTCTTTGCGGTGAACAAATTTTACTGCGAACATGATTCTACCCAGGATGTGACAGATGTCAGCAGGGGCCGGCAAACTTCCGAGAAATACGCTAGAAATTTCTATAATTCAATCTGGTTCATTTGTTAGAGCGATTGAGCGCCTCTTATGAGACATCAACACTCAAGATACGAAGCGCATTATTATTTACAATAGCATCTACAGATATCTATCGGAGCTGGAGCCTTGAGAACAGCCCCCTGAAATCAAGTCTGACGATATGAAATTTCGATTAGCCCCAGGCCGCGAATTATTTGAGGCGATATAGTCTTGGCATCGGCCTAACGCTACATATGTATTTAGCCTATCCGAAAGTGGAACTCCCCGGAGCCTCTACTTGACCGATAGCGCGGCGCGTCCCAGGGTAAAATGTTATCCGGCCAAGCTATAATCGACGTCGACCTTTCGTAAGGCTGGTCTAGAGCGTTATAGATCCGCTGCAATGACTAAACAGAAGCCAATGCCAAGACATTCGACGTAGATTAGACCGTTCATTGATGAAGGGAAACATGTTCACTGGTACTAAACCATGAAAATCCTCTTCCTGGATACCAGTTAGTACATGTCGAAGCTAGCATTAAGCTACCTGCCGCGTCAGCCCTGTCTGGGCGAATATTGCTTACGCTGTACTCAAATGTGAATTCTGGCCTGGAATTGATTTTCCTACTAAGGCCTCTACAGCCTTCATTGTGTATTGAAGGAAAAGTGATTCAGACGAAGAGGAGATATGCTCAAGACTATACGCGCCATTTTGTAGAATCCGGGTAACGATGAACCCTAATTGGATTGGAAAGTTATGGTCGAACTTTAACAGATCTGGTAGCACGGAGTTCGATGCAGCTATCTTACTTGGTCCCACCCATTTTTCGAGCTTCCACTGCGAAGGCATTTGTGGCTCCACGCACTCACAGTAGCGCGTTTCACCAATCGGCATACTGAAGGTCCCGAATGCACATGCTCACAATCAGCTCGCTGGAGGATTTGGGTCTGTCTAATCCACTTTCATATTTCTTCAGGGGTGTGAGAAAACAACAGGACAATATAAAACTTCACCAGTAGCTTGATCTATGCTTGTTTGAGAATTCTCTTCGTCCATGCCTTTTCATCTTCATTTCATTTATTCAACGTTCCTTTATTGACCCTTATATCTTTCCATCATGCGTTGTTCGTTGCCACTCGCGTTCAGTTTGATAGCTTGTGTGGCTGCTACGCCCCCTCATTCTCATTCTAGATTTCATGTCCGCCGGGATGGAAATCACGAGACAAAAATTACCGGATTCTTCAGTGGGAGTTGTTCTGAAGAGAAAATGACAGTTCGCAAAGAGTGGCGGCATCTGTCCACGGCGCAGCAGAATCAATTTCTAGATGCAGTTCAGTGTCTGATGGACAGCCCAGCCAAGTCCGGCCTCAGTGCGACTACGAGTCGCTTTAGTGATCTCCAAGCTCTGCATCGAGGCATGACCAATACAGCCTACGCGGATATCATCCACCATGTGGTATGTCCGCTTTCGTGACTTTGAATACTTCTTACTAAAATCCTAGCAAAGGGTCAATTCTTACCATGGCATCGCTACTACATGCATATCTACGAGACACTTCTCCGTGACGAATGTGGCTACACTGGCTCTATCCCGTAAGTCGCACGGACCGGACATGGCAAACATCTGCCTGCTTCTATGGCGTGAGTTAACTTGACTTTTGCCAGCTGGTGGAATGAAGAAATGGATGCGGACAGTGGCAACATGTGGCAGTCTCCCATGTGGGGAGCGGATGCCTTTGGAGGCAATGGAACTAGCTCTGGTAGCTGTGTGACCGACGGCCGATTTGCCAATTATACGCTCCATATCGGCCCCGGCGATGAGGACACCGACTACTGCCTGCGTCGTGCATGGAACACCGAACAGGCAGTCGCTAATGCCAACAGTACTGTTGTTGATATGTGCAACTCGTACGATACCTTCTCGCCGTGGTGGAACTGTATTTCGAACATCCCTCACAAGGGCGTCCACACGTACATCGGCGGAGTGGTATGAATTCTTCCATTCTTTGTCCTCGGTATTCTTTTTTTGTCTGACCCAGCTTCTTCCTTAGATGGCCGATATCAAGTCTTCTCCTGGTGACCCCGTTTTTTTCATGCATCACATGTATATCGATCGGGTCTGGTGGATGTGGCAGAAGCAAGACCCCGTCAACCGACTTTACGACATTAGCGGCCCTACCCTGAACCAGTCGGCCAATGCTGAGCCAGCTGGAGGGTGGCAGAACGCTACTCTCCACTATGAGCTATCTTCATTCAATATCATGTCAAACACCACCATTGCACATGTTATGAATACCCAGGGTGGCTACTTGTGCTACGGGTATGACTAGTCAGGCCTTCACAAGAAGAATGTTGGACGTCTTAGGTTGTCGCCTTGTCGCTGTACGTATTAGGCTGTATTTGAGTCAACCTGCTGAACTATATCCTGAGCAGGGTAGCCTCCTAGCAAATTTGTTTTTGTGGTTGTCTCGTGGTTTCTGAGAACTGTACATAGCACAGGGTACGGACAGTCGGCCAAAGGATTCGAGAGCCTTTCCCCTGCCGCGCGAGGGGCGGAGCATCCTATGTGTCAATATTTCTCCAATTTAACGCGGGCATCTTAAAAGTACCAATCATATGGTCGAAATGCAGAGCCCAAAACAAGGATAAGGACTGTGCGCCCAATTTGGAGAGATAAAGCTATCGGAAGTGGCTGATAACCCCCTCTTACGTTTTACCCCTCCTCGTGCGGAGAAGGAGGAGCGCCCTGCTCCTCCTTATCTCGCCTCTACTCCCACATGCCTCGTCCCCTTTCCTCAACTTCTCAACCCCTCGAGAGTGAGCCTTCTCGCCCCAGTACGCTGTCAGAGTCTTGGAGTTCAGTTTCAAATCAAGCAGGAAGTCATCTGGCTTGTCTATCTACATTCTTCTCTTCCGCAACAGGGCAGGTCATTCGAAAAAATGGGTATCAAGGAGATTCGCACTGCTTTGAAAGTAGATCTTAACAAACATGCTCGCGAGCAACCTGGTTTACATGTATGTGTGCGCTTCAATTTCGTTCTGGTCTATGAACTCGACAACTAACTTTCTGCAGAACCGATGGCACCCAGACAGTATGTCAGGTTTTCAATTCAACCACCGCGTTCAAGTTCATTTGTTCTAATGGATAATTTATTTGGAAGTCCCGGCCTGCGCAAAGATTGCCAACAATGAAGTCGTCAAGATCGAGTGCTTGGACTGGACGGGTGGACAGATCGGAAACAACGATTCCGCTGAAGATGTTCGAACTGTCGACTTGACGGAAATCCACTACCTGTCTGGTCCCTTCGACATTGACACAGCCGAGCCGGGGGACGTCCTGTGCGTGGAGATTCAGGATGTTCAGCCATTCCAGGATCAACCGTGGGGTTTTACTGGAGTATTTGCCAAAGAGAATGGAGGCGGGTTCTTGGATGAGATTTACCCTAAAGCGTTCGTTCAACCTTCCTCTCCAAGCGCGATATTCTAATCAAAATGTGCGTAGTGCAAAAGCAATCTGGGACTTCGAGGGCATCTTCTGTTCCAGCCGGCATATTCCCGGAGTCCGCTTTGCGGGGTTGATCCATCCTGGAATTCTAGGATGCGCGCCGTCAGCGGACGTCTTGGCTGAATGGAATCGACGCGAAGGGGAGCTCATCGCAGCTAATACTGTCGCTGGCCGAGTCGTCGCGCAACCCCCGCAGCCTATAAACGCCCATGCGGGAAGTGCAGCTGAAGAGATCAAGGACCGAGTGGCAAAAGAAGGGGCTAGAACAATTCCAGTAAGACTGATGTCGACTTTAACAAGAATCGTCGTCCATTAACAAATCTAATAGGGGCGTCCCGAGCATGGTGGTAACTGTGACATCAAAAACCTCTCTCGCGGTTCCAAGGTTTATCTACCTGTTCATGTCCCTGGGGCCAAATTCTCTGTTGGTGATCTACACTTCTCGCAGGGAGATGGGGAGATTTCTTTCTGTGGCGCCATTGAGATGGCCGGGGTTATCACGCTCAAGTTCACTGTCATCAAGAACGGTATGGCAAAGATGGATATGAAGTCGCCCATCTTCCTGCCGGGTCCAGTGGAGCCGCAATTTGGACCTGGACGCTTTCTTACATTCGAGGGATTCTCAGTGGATGAACACGGTAAGCAACACTACTTGGATGCCACAGTGGCGTATAGACAGACCTGTCTGCGTGTGATCGAATATCTCAGACGCTATGGCTATTCGGACTATCAGATCTATCTTCTCCTCTCCTGTGCTCCAGTGCAGGGGCATATTGCAGGGATTGTGGATATTCCGAACGCATGCACAACCCTCGGGGTGCCCATGGATATCTTCGATTTTGACATCAGACCTGAAGCTGAAGTTGTGAAGAGAGATCTGGGAAGCTGTGCTTTTGCAAACGAGTAACTACTACCACCTACACTAACGTGAAAGATAGCTATCGCACAATCAAATCTTGTTTCCTTCGCAGCCAGAACCATAACTTGCCTTAACCGATAATTTCGCCGCTTGAAATTTGAGTCCAATCATTGTCCCTAACACTCTGAAAGTCCATGACCTGGCCAGGGCCACCGAACCGGTTTTGAGTAGAGTGCCAATCTCTTTCAACTGCAATCTCTGGACGCCAGCGAACCACCTCTTTCAACTCAGGTTGCAATTTACCCTCCAATGCGTCAGAAATGAAACCACCGATCGATGGCATCTGCATAGCTCCGTTGCCTGAGCCTCCAACAGCAACCAAAAGGGAAGGATAATCCGGGTGTCGATCAATTAAGAATGCTCGATCGACCGTGTCAGCATCCCAGCAAATTCTAGCAAAGGAGAAAGGTCGATCTGCAAGGTGCGGCATAGTTTCCCGTAGGAAGTCTCTCGCACGAGTTTCCGCCTCCAGTGGAATCTGGTGCTTGGCGAAGGGTACACTTCTTTCTTCACCTGAGCAGCGCGGATCGCGAATAAAATTGCAATATCCCGGATGCTCGTCGCATATCTTGAGCTCATGCTTATCTTCATCGGGCTCCATGAAGAACCCTTTAGAGATGTTGAAAAGTACTGGCAGGTTGCGGTATTTGTGGGCCTCTTCTGGAGTCATAGAGATGTGGGATAAAGTCCAAGCGGTGGGACGTAGTTGCTTCTTGAAATCAAGCAGCCGATCAGCGCCCGCACCGGCCGCTAAAATGGTATGATCCGCACGATGGAAGGCACCGTCTGCAGTTTGAGCTCCAGTCACATCTCCCTCGTCATAAGTCAGCGCCACAACCTCGCCATGTGGTGTGCCCGTAATGAATTCGACACCGAGCCTTTTCGCTTCCGTGTATGCAGAGACCATGGCCTTTCGAGCATGTATCCACCCCGCTTCTTTCTTACAGAACCATCCTTTCCACCCAGGAAACTCGCCAGTCAGGATACCTGGGGGCATTGTATTGCGAAAATCCTCGGCAGTCTCGAGTTTCGCAAAATCACCTTCAGATGGATCTATTTCTTCATCTTTGATATGCTGTATAAGGGCAGGTGTGCTTCCGGCAACGATAAATCCCGTCTCATGGAAAAATGGAGAGAAGACTGGATCTTCTTTCCAGCCCTTTAACGCCGCTCGAGTGCAAGTGACAAAGGCAACGCTTTTCGCGTCCTGATAAGAATCTATCTGGAGTAAGACATCGAAGCCAGGATTGGGGTTTGATTTCTTCTTACCTTTAAGCTCTTTATGTTCCATGATTTTATTGACATCGTTGCCTGCAGCAATAGGCGATGGGACCTCATAGGGATCAAGTACCTGGATACTCTTGTATCCTCGACGGGCCAAATGAAGAGCAGTTGAGCAGCCCCATGTTCCTGCACCGATTATCAATATTGAAGATTTCACGCTCAATACCGGTGGCGTCATTCTGATGTCGCACGGTCGATGGTTGAGAAGGGCTGTAAGTTTATTGAGGGCGGTCTTGAGAAATCAGTCGAGTAGGGAAGATGAACAGACCACCGGACAAAGTTAACTTAGACTTATACATGCGCTAGTAAGCTCGGATAAACCGAATGGGGTCAATGCTTAACTATCAGGCAGGTGTGGGATTTTCCACCGCGTGGACCTTCCCACCCCTCAAACCCGGGGTAAGCGTCTCCGCACCATGCGCCCGAGCCCCCGTGCCCTCTTATCACCATGGTCGAAATGACTTGGATGGAAACGAATCCGGAACCGTCATGCAGTCATTTTCTCGCTTGGAGCTTCCATGGCTCTATCTACATCAAGAGCGGAACGTAGATCGCTATCTACTCTGCACAGGCCGACCTATCGGTAAAATCGCTATTCTGATTTCCCTGGGTAACTGCCATTGACTATGCCGCCTGTACGTCAAACTATAAATACTCCCTAGATCCCTAGACACCGTACGTGATTTAAGTACTCCTCAATATTAACGATTTTAGCCATGGCCCCTGGAGATGACATGCTCGCAGATGCTCCTGGCACTGTCTATCTTGTAGACGGTGAGTGCCTATGTTCAGTCAAATTAATTTCGCGAAAGAGGAGGTCTGACCTACATAAAATTCCACAGTATCCCATACTTCGCACGACACCGCGCATGCTGGGCATCAAGACATTTTACTGATACCGCAACCGTCTCCTTCTCTTGCAGATCCACTGGTAAGTGAGTATGTTGTCTTGAAACATGAGACGAAGATTGGGCGGAATTGCAATATCAAAGCTGAAGGGTATTGACCGTTCTCCAGAATTGGCCTCGCTTCAAAAAGCTTTGGTCTTTGTTTTTGATTTCAGCTTATGCCTGTGTCTTCTCATTCGGTGAGAATAACTGGGGTGCGTCCTGGACCCTGATCTCAGAAGATACCGGCGTAAGCTTGACCAATATGAATGGTGGAAGTGCGCTGAACTATCTCCTATTGGGATTTTTTAATATTATCTGGATTCCGACGGCAATGAAACTGGGACGCAAGATAGTCTATATCTTGAGCTTGGTTGTTCTTCTCGGGGGAAGTTTATGGGGCGGGTTTTACCACGGAACTGCCCAGTACTACATTATGCTAGCGATTCAAGGCATAGGCACAGCAGCGTATCAAGCATTGATTCAACTGACGGTAGTCTATCGTGTCGGAAAACGAGACTTACGCTAATCGCTTACAGATTTTTGATATGTTTTTCACGCATGAGCGTGGCCGTATGGTCGCAATCTATATCTTCTTCCAACAGCTCGGTTCCATCTTGGGACTGATACTCGGTGGGTATATAAGCGACGGAATTGGTTGGCGCTGGTCTTCCCCAATTGTGGCGATTGCATGTGTATGAACCTAACAGCTCTCATTTCTCCAAGTTCATCAAGCTAATGGTTCAAGGGCATCTTGATTCTGCTATTTATCCTGACGTTTGATGATACGATGTTCCCGAGGTATCGATTCAATCAGATATTAAACAGTGAGCCAAGCCAATCAACCAGTCATACCGTACAGAAGAAGGTGTTGGAAAAAGGCGCTCAGATCGAGCCTCCAGTCTCTGAACTTGACCCCAATCACACCAGAGAAGACAGAACTTCGCGGTCGTTCCGGCAGAAGATGGCTTTGGTTCATTACTTTGCTGATGACCGAACAACCTGGTTTCAATATTTCCGTCGTCCATTTTACCTGTTTGCATTTCCCAATATTGTCCTCGCCGGTATTCAATTTGCCTTCGGATGCACGGCCGGCATTGTCTCTTTCAACACTATCTCGGAGATAATGACAGAACCGCCATATAATTGGAGTGCTGGATCAACAGGGCTGCTTTTCTTAGCTGCATTGATCGGAAACTTTCTAGGGTAACTCACAGTCCTCTCTGAACTGAGACACATTTGGCTTGTACTAACAAACAATAGAATGGGCGTTGGCTCCCTGTCAGATTGGATTGTCCTCATCCTTGCCCGGCGGAACAAAGGCTATAAGGAGCCAGAAATGCGTATCTGGACCTATATATTCCCGTTGTGCTTTGGGGCAGTCGGATACTTTACCTATGGTTGGGCTGCTACAAATGGTGATAATTGGATATCTATCGCTGTCGCCTTATGTTGCCTCATCGCACAGCAGGTGTCAGTCACCAGCCTAGCAACAGCGTATGCAATGGAATGCTTTGACGGGGTAGGTTTACTTTTTGTTTTCACCACAGGTCTCATTTCTCTAACGTCTGTCTGTCTCTAGATATCTGGTGAGCTCGTCGTTGTACTCGCCATTTGCTCGTCTTTAATCAACTTTGCCATCTCATATTCCGTGCAACCATTCATTGATGCCACATCATACGGATGGGCATTCACATGCTATGGCATCCTCGTTGTTCTTTCTATTTTGATGGGCGTCCCTATGATAATTTGGGGGAAAGCATGGCGCCGAAAGTGTAAAGGGCGATACGAGCTGTTTTTAGCTGAGACTAGCCGTGATTCCCATTGAATAGCGTGCGAGCTACACGAAGTTGCTGATCCATGCATGGGTGAAGACTACTGTGAATCGACCTTCACGAATTGTTTGCCATGTAACGACTGCCCACCTCAAAGACTACATGAGCCTATTGATCGTCTCGCCTATTGATCGTCACGCCTTACGGATATCAAGATGTCAGTATGATAATTGCACCATTTCTATAATCTAAAATCTTCAACTAGAATCCATCTTGCTATTATATCAAGGCTTCTGACAGGAAGAGCATGACCACGGTTTATGTAATGATATAAATTCAATGAGACTCAGCGCTCAAACTTAAAATTTGGTAAATCAGGCGCATGAGGTCCTGCAGTCAGTCCGTGATTGCATCATCGTTCATAGAAAGGAAGATGTATGCGTAAAGGAGATCCGCAAGCAATTGTGAAGCTTGCTGCACGTTGCCAATCATTTGACTTTGTCCTTTGGATTCTCCATGTTCTCCCATGTCACGTCCAGCATCTCAGTCGGAGATGAAAGAGTGTCCTAGCTGAGGGAGTGCGCCCTTATCACTCAATGCGCACATAGCAATGCAGATCACGTAAGACCTTGATAACTATAACTAAGTTAAATTGGCGTCAAAACCAACCGTTTTTGGCGCCCAATCTACCGCCACCTAGCGTTGTGGTGGGATACCTACATCAAAAGATCACTACAACACAGAGAGTACATATTCTTCATAGATTGGATTTGCCTCGATGATGTGTTTATCATACATCAAACAGTAGAAAGAATCACGTCGTGAATCGTTAAATACAAGCTCCTTACGAGAAGAACTTGCGCGCAGCTGCCTTGTCCTTGGCCTCGCGAGCCTTGACAGACTGCTTGACCTTAGTAATCTCATTGGTGATACCGGCATCGGTGGGGGCCAGCTTGGTGGCCTCCTGGAGATCCTTGAGGGCCGCATCCTCTTCCTTCAGACCCACATGGGCAAGGGCGCGGCGGTAGTAGACTTTGGCCTTGTCGGCATCCTTGGCCTTGGCGGCCTCAGCAACCTCGAGAGCGTACGATGCCCAGGCCTCCGCCTGCTTGTACTGCTGAAGCTTATTGGCCAGCAGAGACGAGTTGGAGTGCAAGGTAAACCGGAGGGACTTCATCTGCTCTCCCAGCTCTTTGGGGTCGCTGTCAGCGGGCTCGGGGAACTCGTTCAAGTATCGGAGACCCTTCTGGTACTTCTCGAGGCCGAGGTTGTAGTCACCCTTCTTGAACGCGGTGTTACCGAAGCCCTTGAGGTCGGAGGCGATCTTGAAGGCAAGAGGAGCGGTCAGCTCGTCACCCTGGTGATCCTCAGGGAAGTCCTCATAGGGGTCGCCAGTCGCATCCTGCACGCGCTTGGTGGCGTTGGCGTAGTCGTCGCCCGAGAGCTCGCCACAGTCCACCACGGTCACGTCGCTCTTGGGCTTGTCGGCCTCTGTCTCCATGTTCTCGATCTTGCGGATGATGCTCTTGCCGTTGATCACCTCACCGAAGACGACGTGTTTGCCGTCCAGGTGGGGGGTAGGGACGGTGGTCACGAAGAACTGGCTGCCATTGGTGCCGGGGCCGGAGTTGGCCATGGACAGGAGGAAGGGACGGTCATGCTTGAGGTCGAAGTTCTCGTCGGGGAACTTCTCGCCATAGATCGACTCGCCGCCGGTGCCGTTGAATGCGGTGAAGTCACCACCCTGGATCATGAACTGCTTGATAACGCGGTGGAAGATGGAGCCTGTTCGCGAGCTTAGTTAGTTTGGAAAATTGTCGCGCCATGTGATCGTGGGAGGGAGGCGGGAGTGGCTGGTGGTAACGTACCTTTGTAGGTCAATGGCTTGCCCTGAGTTCCAAGGCCCTTCTCACCGGTGCAGAGAGCTCGGAAGTTATCTGCTGTCTTCGGAACGACTGGTCGAGGGAGGTATAGTCAGCAAGGTTCCGCTCTGTCGCGGCGGGTGGGGTTCATGTCGTACCATCGTTAAACTGTGCAAGGCGGAAGTTAGCTTGTTATTTCTCGAAAGTCTTGCGATTCGTAATGGGGCGTAGCTTACCAGCTCGAAGACCACTCGGCCGGCCTTCTGGTCGCCAATTTGAATGTCAAAGAAGACACGAGAACGCTCTGCATGGCGCAGTCAGCAGCTGTCAATTTTCTTTTGCGGCGCGAGGGTAGATCGGTGGACCCCGCACTGCGAGAGGAGGGGGAGGGACGCACGAGATTCCGTCATGTCGGGAGAGTGGGAAAGGGTATAGAGTTGAGGAAAGCGGAGCAAGATGTGGACTTGAAAGCAGAGGGGAGAACCGTACGAACAGATGGATTGACGGGAAGGGAGAGGGGAGGTGAAAGAAGCCGCTGTGGGGGAGTTTGGCGGCTCTACGGCTGGCGGGTTTCTTCAAGAAGCTTCCATGCTCGGCCCCAAAAATATACTGAACAAGACCACAGCAATATTCTGTAAACGATACCGACGCCTGGAATTGATGCCGCCTCGGGGTATATGCTAACAATATCTATGTACAATAATGCCATGGGGATTTCTATGCACTCTCAAGCCAGCAATTCCGCTGGCAGTTTAAATTCGAAGGTGTGCCTGGCCTCCGAGTCCTCCCCACCCTCTTCGCCCTTGTCGGCACCCTCCGTCTTCGGCTTCTTGGGTTCTTTCTTAGGGAGTGTGGTATCGATCTCGATGGTGACCTAGGGAATGAACATCGTCAGTATAAATTCAGCTGCGGCGCAAAGGGTGCAAGCCAGATAGGCAGATGTACCGCCGCATCTTCACTGCGGTAGTCGACACCCACCGGCCCATCGTTTTTAAGCTCCACATCCATCATGGCCTGGAACACGCCATCCTTGACCCGATCGGTAACGTAGTGATCACGCATCTTGTTGTAGAAATGGTCGTAGACTTTCCGAGCTGTTGTGGCGTCGGCCGCGTCATGGAAATCAGGCTTGTTGCCCTTCTTCATTTTGCCGTACAGAGTGAACTGGGAGACTGGTTTGGCATCAGCAGCAGCTCGAGCCAGATTGGTTGGAAGGATGAACATACCACAGAGCACCTCTCCCTCAATATCCTGGACATTCCTCTTCCACTGAGAAACCATCAGCATACAAGTTATCCAAACAGTTGGAGCGCAACACTCCTCACTTGTACGCCATTTTCATCCGGCCAGAACTTTGCCTTGAGCACCTTCTTCACCAGATTTTCTGCTTCCTTTTCTGTGTCCTCTTTGCCCACGCCAGCAAATACTAGCAGTCCCTTGCCAATGGATGAGATTAACTCAGAGTCGACCGTGACCGACGCGGACTTCACTCTCTGAATAACAACTAATAACGTTTTAGTTGGAGACAACTTGAAATGCATTGCGATCACTTTGGGGCGCACCTTTCATCTTGCCTTTGGAGAGTGTCTGGAGGTCAGAAGTGAATGTTAGCCACCGGAGAACCCCACAGGAAGTATCCCTCGGAGACCCGTGCACCTAACCCTCCACGCGTGAATGCAGTGCAGGCAATATCAGCAAATAAAGGACTTAGCGCACAATCAACCAACACTCCTCCGAGATTCACAAATTGACCAAAAGCAAAAGGACCTGGGATAGAAAGATGCTGCGAGGGTTCATCTACATTCGCCGCAACCCTCGCCTCGGTGAATCCGTTACAGACCGCCTTCCTTATCGGGCAACCTAGAAGCTTTCCACGTCGAAAGGACGACGAGAAGCCCATTCCACCTGCTTTCCGCTAATCCGGGCTGTTTTCTCACTGTAACACCCCGCAAAATACAACCTCCAACCTCACCTTGATCGATTGCGCTACGCACTCCCGGTTGGCCGCAAGCGCACTCCAAATCCGCCCCCACCGCATCGACACACTCTAAACGCTTGTGGACGGGACCCCCAGTCCACGCCCACCACGGGAACACCATGACGTCCCGGAAGACACAGCAAGAGATCGACAAGACCTTCAAGAAGGTCGCCGAAGGAATCCAGACCTTTGAGGGCATCTACGAGAAAGTCCGCTCCGCTACGAATCCTACCCAGCGCGACAAGCTCGAGGAGAACCTCAAGCGCGAGATCAAGAAGCTACAGAGGTTCCGTGATCAGATCAAATCATGGGCAGCAGGCAATGAGGTCAAAGACAAGGCTCCGCTGCTAGAGCAGCGGAAGGCCATTGAAACGGTGGGTGTTTGCCCAGTAGCGGGAATTGAGGCGGAATGGGGCTAACGAACCGCGAAATAGTGCATGGAGCAATTCAAAGCCGTCGAAAAGGAGATGAAGACAAAAGCATACTCCAAAGAGGGTCTATCCGCCGCATCACGACTCGACCCCAAAGAAAAGGAGAAGGTGGAGGCATGCGACTTCCTATCGACGATGGTCGATGAACTCCAGCTGAGGATCGAGGCCATGGAGGCCGAGGAAGAGTTATTGCAGGCACAAATGAAGAAGGGCAAGAAGGACACGGGCAAGGCGAACCGGATGGCCGACATCTCACGAATAACAGAGCGCCATAAGTGGCACATCAACAAGCTCGAGTTTCTCAATCGATCGCTACTAAACGGCAATTTGGAGGTGAACCAGGTGATGGATCTCAAGGAGAGCATAAAGTACTATGTCGACGAAGGGCATAACCCTGATTACTCCGGAGAAGATGACACGCTTTATGACGACTTGGATATCGGCGAGGATGTCGAGGCCCAGTTCGGTTTGGGAGCAGATAACGACCGCGTGTCGTCTCAAGATGCTCAATCCATTCAGGATGAGGAGCCAGAACCGAAACCAAAGCCCCCCAAGGCGGATCCCACTATGAATCGTCGACCATCTACACAGATGAAATCGCCGCTCCCTGTTCTCGCTACTCTCCACCCGTCTGCCTCGTCCAATGCTACCCCGGGCATGAAGCCCGCGCCGCTCCCGACTCGCCTCCCAGGCGAAACCCTGAAGTATGCCTCCGCCGCGGCGGCTGCAGCTGCCAGCGACAAGAGCGGAGTAGGCATTCTGCCTCTACCCCCTCCACCAGGTGCCAGTCCCGCCTTTTCAAATGTTCTCCCCGTCTCCAAGGCGTCGTCTACCGCCTCGCCAAGTGTGTCTTCCGTGCAGCCTGTTGCCAGGGCGGCGACAACAGCGGCAGCTGCATCGTCATCCGAAGAGGCTGTTGCATCGGCGGTGCGATCGAAGGCTGCGGCTAGCGCAACAGTTTCCGGTACATCATCCCCAGCGCCTGTCAGCAAGGCGGAGCTTGCGAAAGAGCAACCCATGACGAATGGCAAAACAACAGCAAATGAAGGAGGCGAGGACGATGACTCAATATACCACTTGCCCCCGGGCCTGCAAGACCTGATCCAGTCCTTCGAGGTCACCAAAGAGCGTGCGACGGCGAACCCTACGCCAGCAGTGCAACGCCTTCTGTCTACCTCGCTCACAACATGTCCCGAACCCGGGGATGCGGAGAAGCCCCGGCATTACAAGCCCCAGAACCCCTACAACACCCCTCTCTATTACCCGCAGGAGCCTCTCTCCATCTTTGACGACCCGCGACTGTACGATACCGGTCGGATTGACACGGATACGCTGTTCTACCTCTTCTACTACCGGCAAGGGTCTTATCAGCAGTACCTGGCGGCCAAGGCGCTGAAGAACCAAAGCTGGCGCTTCCACAAGCAGTACCAAACATGGTTCCAGCGACACGAGGAGCCGAAGAACATCACAGAAGAGTTTGAGCAAGGCACATATCGGTTCTTCGACTACGAGAGTACATGGTTAGTCGCATCCGTCCAGTTCACCCCCAATCCCTTTACACACCCGTGCTCACCCATTTGCCCGACAGGATGAACCGGCGCAAGGCTGATTTCAAGTTTGTGTACAAATATCTCGAGGACGAGTTATAATCCGCCCTTTGAACATGCGGTGCCTCTCTTTTTCCCTTTCCGTGGCGCAGGCATAGCAGCCTAGATTGGCCTACCAGCAGCCAGCCTCCTCCTCCCCCCCCCCCGGGAAGCCTTCCCGCCAGCTATATGACTGGACGGGGCCCAAAGGGCATGAGGCGTACCCGAATTGGATATGTCATAGAGGGCGATCTACTGGGGACACCGAACTCAGGAGTTAGTGCTTGGGTTATTTTAGTATCTTTTTTCGTCATTGTTTTTCTACTCGACTATTGTTTCGCAGGACTGGCATCGGGCAATGAGTACAATGAATGGGCCTCGGGGAGACCACGGGAGTTTTCTGTGCTATTTCAAGTTATCCACTCACCGCACCCGGTGTTGGCGAAATGAACCATACTACTGTCTGTGTCATGATCTATGCCGCTTGATCGTCTGCCGTTATTACGTCGTCAAAGTACTCATATACTGTGTGCCTGGCGGGACTCTGCCGCAGTCGTAGTATCGGGGGTATCAGCAATGCGGGAATCTAACCGGGACAGGCGGTCCATGGGAGGACATACCGTCATAACGGACTGGAGTCCACCACGGTAGGTCCACGACACCGGGCTGACTTGTACAAGGTACTGCTGAGTTGTATCTCCCGTCGTGTGTTGTAGCGGGTCCACCCGGCTATCTGGGCACGCATGGGCAGCCCGCTTAAAAACGTACAGCGGACAGAGGGACAGGACCGGGTAGAACAGGACAGAAACAGAGCGTTAGTCCAGCCATTTTACACCTTGCGGTCTGCGGCGCAGAAGCCCGTCGCCAATCCGATTGGCGGGGCCTGTGACGAAGCCTCACTGTAGGAACGGGATGCATGATTCCCCGGGTCTCAAACCTTGCGCTAGCGTGGCGCGCTCGGCCAACGAGACCCAAGTGCACGACCTGGCGCCAACGCTAGCGTTGCGGCATTTTTTCTAGAACACAGGGATTAGAGAATGTAAAAAAAGCAAGAACCGGGCCCGGACATGGCTGGCGCACGGGTTGATGCGCGTACCGGTGCACTTGGTGCGGCTGGTGCATGGGGCGGCCCAGTCGAGTTCCCATTATATTATATCATCGGAGGGCGATCGTCGTCCCCAGCTTTGGGAACTGCCCGACGTGTGGTTCTCGGCGATCCCCTAGACGGGCGATCAGGGATCGTGCGCAGGTTCGTTCGAGACAGAGTAGCCGATTGCGACAAAGGATGAGACACTGACCGCTATACTCCGTATACGACCGGGTCGTATAGCCCCAAGTATGGAGGGACGGGTTCTTCAGCCTCTCCACCGCTCCGATTTCCCATTTCCCCTCTTCCTCTGGAATGGACAGCGCAGTCAGGCTAACGCCACGCAGGAAACCTGAAACGAGGGCTTCTCTGGCGATGACGCCAAAAAGTAGAGACGGCCGGGGACCAACGCAGGATCCCCCGTCGGATTTCTTTTCTGGGCCATTGCTCGGCCACGCTAGAAGGTTTCCAGAAGGGCGCTCACCCGCGCTAACCACGCACGGAACGATGATCGGTGCCAAGCGTGGTGTTGTGGTGCTGTGCTGGTGTGGTGCACGAGAAGAGGGGGGCAGGGCCGACGAGGGCAGGAGAAGGGTCGAGCGCAAGGCCGTCTGACCGCAACTAGGATCGTGCAGCTTATCGGGGCTGAGGATTGGCCTGTTCGAGGATCGCGGCGTCGAACTGGGTCGTGACTGGCCCGGACGGGCTGCGGGCGAGCCCCCCGGCCCCCTCAATGACGCCAATCAAACGGGGCCAAGAGCCGACGGTGGAGCGTGGGCCTGACGCTAACCGACGCTAGAAGGCTTCCAGAATGCGCAGGGAAAGTCAGCGCTGGACGGTCCCAGGCGCTACTGCACGTTCCGGCTGTGTTTGCAGGAGAAATCGCGCAGGCGATGATCCTCGAATGACGCTCGACGGCGGGGCTGTGTAGAGGGATGTGGCCAGTCATGATGCGTGGATTAGCAAATGAAGCCATTCAGAGACCGAGTTCGAAGTAGTCCGAGTCAAGAGGAGTCCAGGTGATGACTTCGTGTTTGGGAGGGGAACCGAGAGGTGCTGGGCCAGTAGACGAGGTGTACGGCGTGCATCTACTAGTGGCCCTTTTTTCGAGCCGCAGCATTAGTTCGGGTTCAATCACATACAAAAGACAGGCGCAGGGGAGAAATGTATCCGCAAGTGATTTACTCTCACGCCAGTCTTCCATTACGCCCATTACATCCATTACGTCCATCACGACCATCACGACCATCACGACCATCACGACCATCACTCCACTACTCCCATCTTGCACGTCCTCTGCTTCGCGGCTTATCTGGCTCTCTTCTCGCCAGAAATAACCATCGGCCCCCACCGCCCTAAGCACTAAGCACCAGCCCTTGCACATCTTGACGAAGGATTCACACCAGCGTCTCACGATGGTAGGTCAATCCATCCACTAGCGGCCTTCTCCCGTCCTTCTAGAACCCCTCTGATCGGCTTCCTTTTAAAACTAGACGCTTCCTCTCTCCTCATTGCAATCCTTCTCCTCCACCCCCATCCTCATTCACTACCCGAAAGACAACATGCAGTCCCCCTTCAGCTACTCCGACTCTTGCTACTCCTCCTCCCCCGGGGGCATGGACTTCTTCTTCTATGGATCCTCACCTCTCTATGAGACCAACCTGTGCGACCTCGACGCCGCAAGTCCCTTTGTGCCTGACCTCGTCCCCGATGCGACATACTCCTTCACGAGCTCGCCGTACATGTACTCTCCCGTAGGCAACATTCCGTCCACCTTCTACGACATCGCGGCGACCAGCGTGCCTAGCTCCGCCAGCAGCAGCTGTGGAAGCTCCTGCGGCAGCAACAGCTGGAGCAACCTGCCCGAGGAGGTGCCCATGCCCAACTACCCCCTCACCTCCTGCGACGACTCCGGCCCCGACTCGCCGCCAGTGCAGTCCAAGTAAGTTGGCCCCTCTCCTCGAATCCCCGGCACCGTTTAACTGACAATGCATCCACCTTAGACCCACAAAGCCCTTCGGCTGCGATAACTGTGGCAAGTCCTTCACCCGCTTCGCAGACCTGAAGCGCCACCAGACCAGCGTGCACTACCCCGTCTTCCGCAACTGTCCCGTCGAGCACTGTTCGCGCAAGGGCAGCAATGGCTTCCCCCGCCAGGACCACCTGGTCGAGCACCTGCGCTCCTACCACCACCTGGATGTGCCGAAGCGCCGAGCGATGAAGCGCTCTGCCAAAGTTGCTGCGCTCTAGGTGCATGGGCAGCCACCGCCAGCACCGGCGCAAGCTGCCATCTCCCCCGGGGCCATGTCCCTGACTTACTATTACGATCTTACGACTTTGTTCTTGTGGACTACCACTTCTCTTGTGCTTGCCTCCGAGACGGCGTCACCTCTTTTCTCTTCTCTCTTGCTCGTCGCTTGAGCGACTGCTTTTCAATTCTCCCTCACCCCTCTGGGCCTCTGTATCTCTTGATCCTCCTGTTTCTATAGACGACAGTTTGCTTCTGCTCTATCTGTATAGAAGATTTTTGGCTTTTGGCTTTTGGCTTTACTTTTTTTTTTTTTTTTGGTCTATGAACTTATGGAATGTTGGCAATGGTTGATATGCATCTTGGAACGGCTTGCAACGCGATAGATGGGATAAGCAACGGGGTTCATTTCTGGTAGACGGAATTTTCCTTTTTTGGGTACACGTTCCACAATGGAACCGATGATCAATGAAATCATGTATAAACTCAATTCGCGCCTCTCCCAGCCCCTCCAGCTTCATCTCTCTCTTCCTCCTAGGTTGCGTCGTAGCATACACGGCATAACTATATGTTTGCTTTTGCTTCTCGCAAGGGGGTTCCGCGTCTACCCAGCTCAGCCCGGCCCTGCCGTATCCTGTCCTGTCCTGTCCAGCCCGTCAGTGATGCAATTGGACAGAAACACAAACCTATCTACTTCCCAATTAGCCTGGTGTCACACTGATTGCAATGGCTCGCACGGCCTGGCCACGCTATGGACAAACACCTGTGCAACTCGGCCGCGCTAAGTTCGCTCCACAATCCTTCGGCCGCCCATAGGTGCAAACTACCTGCGGGAGGTAAATCCTGGCCTAATCCTGCCCACTTTTTTTTGCATCCTGCGAGACCCCCCTCACCAAAGTCAATAGTATGGGTACGCAAATCTTCAATAACGGGGACTTTCGTGCTTGGAATCCTTCCGAGCTTAGCCGTGCCGCAGGTACCAAGCTACAATGCCACCAAGAATCAGGCCCTGCTTCTGCGCTCAGCATTGTCGCAAAGAGGAAGAAAAAGTGGAGTGAGGAGCTGGTTAGCGGGCTAGGCCCCAAATATTTGCCTCGCTAGCCTCCAATCCTTCGGTCTATCGGCGCCCCGCTGGTATACAACCTTGATACTGCACATGCACCCGATTAGGATTCTAGTACGGAATACTGTGGCAATCCTGGATTCAACTCCCAGACGTGAAGATACAGGAACATGGAGCCCAGGCACAAACAATACGGAGTACGGCAGATCTGATCCTGCCGCATTGCCATCCCATTCCCCCTAAACCCCAGACCCATTGTCCCATCCTTGCCGCATCCCCGACACCTCCCAGTCCACACAGTTCTGCTCTAGCAAAGCCCCTTCCCGCGCCCACCGCCCACTGAAGAAGTCCCGAATCTCGTCCTCGCGCTCGACCACCTGCACCGCGAACCCTTGCTCCAGATGCCACCCAACATGGCAGTGCAGCAGCCATGCGCCAGGGTTATCGGTGCGGAATGCGAGCACCAGGTGTCCTGACGCAGGAAGCAGGGCCGTGTCGCGCTTTGGCAGCGCGCCGGCCGCATGGTGCAGGGGTCCTTGGCCGGGCGAGGGAGCGTAGGGCCCGGCTCCCTGGGCGACGAGCAGGAAGTCGTGTCCGTGTAGGTGCACTGGGTGTGGGATCGGCACGGAAGTCTCGATTATAATCAGCACCCAGGTATCGGCCCGGGGGACGGAGAGTAGGCCCGCCGTGGTGTGGAATTGGGTGTGGGGGTTGTGTAGTTGTCGGAGGGTGGGCTGAGTCCAGTTGAGCTGCAGCGATGTGCCGTGGAGTTGCCAGCGGTAGATGGAGTGGGTGGTGGGGGTTAGGGTTGCTGGGAGGGTCTCGTTGTAGAAAGGGTCGTTGTCGCCGGTGAGATCGAGGGGATGCGAGATTACGGGGATGAGGTGTGCTGGGTCTTCGTCTGTGCAGCTGTCGGTGGAGGCGTGGGCCGTTGAATTGGGCAGGCTGTGTGTGGTGTCGTAGCGGACTATCCCGCGGATGTTGTCTGCGTTGAGGTTCTTGGAGCAGGAGAGCTGCGGCGTGGCTCGGAGCCAGAAGGCAGAGGCTAGACTGGCGTGGTCGGCGTGAACTATGACATCGTATCGTTGTCCTGCAGGCCAAAGACGCCCAGATGCCCAGGCCAGGATGGTTAGATAATGCCGATCTCCTGATAGTTGCTTGGGGGAGAGTCGGTCTATATTCATGCGATGGCTCGGAGGGCTGCCTACCTATTGCAATGTCCAACACATTCGTAATATACGGTTCGATAGGGACAAGATCCGCCGCAATCACCGTCAGCGCGTGGTGGTCGATGCTGAACTTGAAATGTGTATCGCAGGCAGCATTCCCCAGCCGCAGTCGATATGACCTTCCCGGCGCAAAGGACATCTGGAAGCGTCGACCAGGGCCATCATCGCCAAAGATATTGGTCCCATTGATCAGCGCGTTGTCGAGCGTGGGCGGCCCCGTCCGTTGTGCTATATCCCAAAGCTCGTCGACTGTCCGGGCATCCCAGTCATTCAACAGAATAACTCCCTTGTCTTCGTCGTAGTTTGTACTGGCCGGTCCATTGATGATAATGCCCCCGAAAACACCCTCCCACGTCTGGAGGCCGATATGTGAATGGTACCAAGTAGTTCCGTACTGCGTGGCTCTCCAGCGATAGGTCATCATCTGGCCCGGGGCGATCGGACACTGCGTGATAGAAACCACGCCGTCCATCGGGTTGGTGTTGAGTTGACGGAGTCCATGGAAATGCATGCTGGTGGCGTTTGACACGGAGCTGGGGAGGCTGTTGCGCAGGTGGAGGATCACGGTGTCGCCCCAGTCAACCACGATGGTCGGCCCTGGGATCGATCCATTGATCGCCAATGTCCATCGCGTTCGTCCGTCTGGTGCGAGATCTGCCTGTGCCAATTCAAACCAAAACTCTCGCACAGCTCCGGTGTCTGGAGTAGTGGATGTATAGTCTGTGTGGATGTCATACTCGCACCATTGCCGTCGGTTATCGGCTGTATTCCCGGCACATGGCGAGCTCCTTGTCTCTGCATTCAGCAATGGGAGTGTAGATGCAGTCCCTTGGTGCCATTCCAGCGAGGAGTTACTTGAGTGTCGGGTTGAAGGAGTGCATGTACTCCTAGCGACAAACAATCCCAGCAAGGTTACTACTACCCTCATGTTGTCAGTGGGTGAAACCAAGGGCAATAATCTCATGAGCCTACTCACCACTTTAACACCATCAATCGTGCCCGAGTTCCAACCAGCACGCCAGGTATCATCCCAAGCATTCAGGGACCCACGCTTGGCCGAGCACAGCACGTCCTCGATCAAAGCAGACCCTACCAGCGCTGCAACAACCCGGCCCGAAATGCCAAAGGTGTACTGATTCGACGCAACGTGGGCCCGGATACATGGACCTTGCGTGGGAGCATGCAGGTCCTTGTGCTACTCCGAGGACAAGTAAATGGGGATAGACCGTGAATAGTAGATCTGCGACGTACCCGCCGGCTCCCGTGATAGCTCGCGCTGTTCAGGAACGGGGCCAAGCACTCGCCTGCCCCTGGTTTCGTGTGTCCGAGGCCCGGATATCCTGTTTCATCCGTGGGCCGCTGGGTCGATTGTAAATCAAGCTTGTCGGCAATTCCACTTGGCGCAAAGGTCCGTTCTGTGATATGGAGCGATGGTCTTGATGCGAAATATAGTCCACGGAAGGGAAATCATCGAAGTGTTGGGAATCGACGCAGCGTGCAGCTTCAACAAGATCCAAGAAACTGCAATGCTATAATTCAAACATGCAGTAATTATTTTCTCCCCCGTGGTAAATTAACAATTTTATCATCTCAAATCCGTCCCAGCGCCAGCCTAGCACCCCCATAAACAATCCAGAACAGCAGAACGCCCATGAATCAATCCAATGCTAACCGAATAATCCCATCTCAATCTAAACCTTGATATCCCCAAGGTCTCCCTTGCCGCCCAGCTCGCGGAAATCCCTAAAGCAAACCCCATTGGCCTTCCCCGCCTCATCAAACACCACCCCTTCTTCCTTCAACCTCATCCTCTTCTCATCTCGGAACGACCCATTCCCAAGATGTTTACTAACCCGCCACTCGCCCTTGTACCCGCCCAGCGACCCATCTGCCGCCAGCACGCGGTGGCAGGGGACCTCGGGCGCGAACGGATTCGTGCGCATCGCGTTGCCCACTGCCCGCGCGCTGGAGCCCAGGTATGTCGCCATCGCGGAGTATGTGGTCCACCGGCCTGGCGGCACGGAGAGGAGGACGCGGTAGACGCGGCGGCGGTAGGGGGTAAGGGTTGGGTGGAGGGAGATGCGGTGGAGGAATTTCTGGGTTGTGAGGGCTGTCGAAGGAGTGGATTGCTTTGCTGGGTTGGTTCTAGTTGTGGACTTGGCCGGGGTGGGGGTGATTCCGGCGGGGAGCACGGAGGTCGCCATTGGATACTGAGTAGTGTAGAGGGCCACAAAAGGAGGTATGGGTTGTCCACGCTGTTTGACGCGTCCCTGGAGAGCTGCGCTGTGTTGTCTGTGGCTTTGGCTTGGGTCGACGTTGGCTCGTTGGGTCTGTTAGCTCACCGCCGATAACCCACGGGAAGGCCGAAGTAGACGCGGCGCGGCGCGTCGGGCACGACAGCGAACTCACCAAATCAGTCGTGTTAGGTTCTTTGGGACTTTCCAGACTCTTGCAAGGTGGGACAGAAAGAAAAGAATTCGATAGCTCGCGACGACTTTATGAACAGGCCCCAGGCCGATGGAAAGTGTTGTTCTCAAAGTGGCCAATCAGAGCGCCCACCCTGCGCCTCCAGAATGGTTCCAATATAATTTCTCATTTCTCATCCGCGGTGTGTGCTAAATGCGATCAAATTATCCTATGGGAGATCAAAATTACGTTTATGACGTCGCTCTCATCTCTGACATGACTCATAATATCCCTCAGCCTGAGTTTAGACTCCCCAGCACACCGGATACTCAAACTCCGTCAAGGGTGATCCACATGCTCCGCAGCCGTGGTATTCTCAATCTTGGAGGCTGACACCGCATCCACAGACAACACCTTGCCAGTCTCGGGGTCGATGACGCTGTTCTTGCGGCTGGTGATGTCGACCATGCCGGGGTTCTCGGCCTTGAGGCGCGCAAAGGTCTTCTCCGCGTCCCAGGCCCAGGGGGTCTGAGCCGCGAAGAGCAGGTCCATATCTTCAAGTGTGCGCTGGTTACTCTCTGGGTACAGGGCCCACACCATCGGGATGGTAATCACATTGCTGGCAGCAAACACATAGAGGGTCTTTTCGCCGATGGCGTTGAACATGACCGGGCACAGAAGAGTCTATAAAGCTGGGATCAGTATTGCTTTTGTTCAGGCTTCACACCTCACACTTCAAATCACGCAGTTACTGACCAGCCATCCGTTTCCGATGCTCCAGCCAACGACACCCCAGGCATTTCCGCGAGCGCGAACCGCTAGCGGGAAAATTTCCGCGGGGTATAGCCACGGCACCGTCAGCCAGGTGGCGCCGAAGGTCGAGGTGAAGATGAAGATCATCGAGGCCGCGGCTGCACCGTACGAGGAGGCCGAGCTCATGTTGCCGTCGGCCTTGGCGTTGATGGCGAGCCGAGAGAAACCACCAGCAAGGAACATGGCAATCCCCTGCACGACAGAACCCCAGTACAAGGTCCAGCGACGACCAATGCGGTCCAGAGTAAAAACACAGACAAGCGTGGCAAACTAGAAGTGGAGTTAGCTATGCGAGGCGGTCGATGCGATGTTGCCAGCTGACCATGTAGAAGATGTTGTTCAGTCCACTAATCCACTGACTCTTCGTCGAGTCAAACCCAGCAATACTGAAAATGGTCGGCGCATAGACAGTCACCCCAGCGATACCAACCCATTCCTGCATAATCTGCAGCCATACAACCAGCTGCACACGACGACCAATGTGCAGGTCACCAGACTTATAGCCGAAAAGCATCGAAAGATACGAGTTGCCGTGAACCACAGTTTTTTCCATCTCGGCAATGCTCTGAATGTCCTGGAATTCAGCCTCGGCGCGCACCCGCTCCTCGGGGCTGCTGCCACGCAGACGCTGCAAGATATAGCGGGCTTCCTGCTCGCGGCCAACCTTGACCAGCCACCGGGGGGACTCGGGGAAGAACCATACGGCGACGAAGAGGACCAACAGGAAGATGATCTGGAAGGCGATCGGGAATCGCCAGCGGAAGGCGGACTTGCCTCCGTCGATAAAGGACAGCCCACTGAGACGAGAAGTGTTAGATGGATTTCCACGAATGAGGCCACTGAGACAGACGTACAATTCCAGCCAGTAGGCCAGGACGACCCCAAAGATGTTCAGAGTGAACTCAATCGCAATGAATTGTCCTCGCGAAGTATGCTCGGCGGTTTCGGTAGCCCAGACAGGAACAATGGCGTTCAGGATGCCCGTACCGATACCGTTGACGAAACGAGCTGCCATGATTATCAGTTATGAAGACCGTCAATGGTCCGTATGCCATCTTTGCATTGCGTACCACAAATCATCCAGTTGTGGTTCTGGGCCGAACACTGCAGACTCGCGCCCAGCACCGCCCAGACAGCTCCCGCGGCAATCGAGCGAATTCGTCCCATGCGATCACCCAGCCAGCCGCCAAACAGGCCACCAAACAACGTTCCCAGATAATACACCGAGACGATTCCACCCTGCAGTAAGGAATTGGTCACCACTGGGGTCAATTCGCCGTCCACCTCCCGAGTATAACCAAACTTCATCAGGTCGATATAGTCCTTGGCGTTGTTGACCCCGGACATCATGCCCTGATCATATCCGAAAAAGAGAATCGACAGCGCGGCGACGCAGTTGATCGCGATGAGAAGCTGTCGCTTCTCCAGCTTGTGGACGATATTCCACGAGGGGATTTTGTCGCTCATGATGACGACAGGGCTTCCACTTCAACCGGATGAAGGAGCATGCATTACCTGTGTGACGGTGGGTATATCTCTACTCTGGGAAGCAGAAGGAAAGGAGCGCAAAATGCAGACAACAACGGCCCAATCAAGCCTACCGCACAGAACCACAAGACAAGAGACAAGGTATAGCCCCGTGGGAAAGAAAGAAAACAGAGCAGGGCAAGCAAGGAAGATTCCCGCGCGATGCCTTTTAAACGGCCTGATTTCTCCTCGGCGCGAGTCCGAGTTACGTGCATGGTCGACAAGGAAAGTACCCCACGAGGATCGGCCGAGAGTCCCCCCAAGAACAGCAAGGAGTCGCTGGGCCGAGCGCGTTGCATTCCGCACACGCGCTCCACAGCTCACTTTGGACGGGCAGCGGATAGCTCCGTCCTTCCCCATTTTCCCCATTTACCCCCACGTCTATGACAATCCCCGGGTCAGGCCAGAGAATCTGGGTCGCCGTCGAAGGTCCGGGCGATGGCCGTGCGAGGTTCCTGGGATTTTAACCGGTCAGGACCTGAAATCGGCCATCCAAGGGAGAGTTGGCTCTGACACAGCCAGCCATATGGCCTTGCAGACGTCTGGGACCCTGTCGCTGCCACTACTGTAGGCATAATTTTCGTCTGCTGTCTTGCGTTTTGCCCCGTGGCACGGCTGCAAGTGCCTGGATGGGCTCCCACGGTTCGACGGGGAAAATGCAACTCGATATCCGTGCGATCGCTTGAACGCTGCTCAAGAGTCTCTTCTTCCCGCGCCCCATGAAATTACCCGATTATTGGAGTCTGCACCCTTTGGAATGCCGTCATGGACCAAGCTCGGCTAGCCTGACCGGGCTTCTTTCGACGCCACTCGGGAGGGAGAGGCGTTCCGGGTGCACTCTGCTCTCCGAGGCTGGCACCAATGGGCCCAGTGGGCCCAATGGGCGACTTGGCGGGGCTCCACCCGACGCGGAGAAGTTGACCTCCCCGTGGAGGAACTCCGGACTTCGCTCGTGCCCTCGGCAAGCCGCTCATGTCGGAGTCGATCGAATAGTGCGAAACATGGCGAATCAGCTGCACAGAACACATTAACCACTTCATCATATTGACACTCTCCTCTGCTTGTATCTACAGCAGCATGCCAGCATGGATCTGGAGTGAAATCTGATGCCTAGACTGTATCGTCAGCTTGCCTTCAATTTCCTCGGTCGACGCTAGCCGCGCGACTTTACCGCGAACAGCGACATAGGGCCGACCGATGTCAGATGCCTAGACTATATCGTCACCTTGCCTTCAATTTCCTCCACAAAGTGTTTTCCCACATTAGCAGAACGCAAACACCAGAATCATCAGACTCATTTCCATGGGGGAATATCTTCTAGGTCTGATTTGTTCAATATTTCACTCCCCTTTTCCTAACTAAGTCCAACCGGTCCTTCTCCACTTATTTCGGCGCAATCGATCGCGGTCGGCCCAGCCAGCCAATTGCTGTTGGCCACTCAGAAGATTGTATGATCCCAGCGAGAGCGCTGGGGAGGTCGGGGGTGCTGGGGTTATTATGGACCCCAGGGGAGGGCTCAGCGGCGACAGGGGAGGGCTTGGTGATCAGGGTGTCCATTTTTATCTGTCTTTCGATTAGCGTGGAGTCAATCTAGCTGCAAGAGTATGGATCATCAACCAACGATGGAATTCAATTGTTGGACAGGCTTTCACAACTCGCAGGTTTGTGCTGAACTCGCGAGGATTCTACAGGTCTACGGCAGCATTGGTTGTCACAACTTATACTTTTCTTGGAAAGCAGCTACTGGAGGAAGGCACGACTCCCGCGGCGAGCTTACATCCCGTACGATTCTGCCCTTTGATTGACTCCGTTCAATATGCGCAGAAAGAGCAACCAGTTCATGAACTGATTAGTGTCGGCGCGAGCAATATTTTGCAGTGATTTGACATCCATTCACGTTGCCTTCTCCACTACTATTGGTCACCATTGATGTAGGCAACCGGGGCGGGGTCCAGAGGGAATCGGTCGGCTCTATGTCGCTGTTCGCGGTAAAGTCGCGCGGCCAGCGTCGACCGAGGTCGGCCTCATTGACGTGGCTCATGACGCGGGCTACCCCTTCATCTAAGAGCGCAATGTGGGCAAGGGGTAGTACACGGGTCCCGTTAGCGTTTTCGGCGACTAGTGTGTACTGAGGGAAAGTGTCCTAGTCCCCTTTCGTCTTGGGTAAGCTATCCTGCTGGCCGACGAGATCAGTGCTGTAAGGTGACGCCCAAGTGGGAGTCTACAAGGGGCGGTAGAGGCTAAGTTCCGCCTTCACCATGGCCTTGGAGGCACCCAGCTTCTAGTGGCCACGCTATTCTTTACCTTCACCTTTAGTGTAGAGCATATCATTACATCTTTGCTAAGCGGTAGTGATGTCCTTCTTCGGGGGAGCCATGGCGGGCGCGGGGGGGAGAGGTCGCAGGGAACGTAGATGAGAGTCGTAGGAAACGCAGGTGAGGGGGAACGAGAGAGGATACCGAATGGCGGTGGCGATAGGTATGTAGGTGAAAGATAAACTGCAGCTTCTAAAGTAGAAAAATGTTGGACGGTAAGAGCTGGAGATGAGAATATAGCTGCGGTGGGGTGAGGTGACGGCTAGGAGGGAGGGTTGGTGAGGGATTGTGAATCCTCGAATTTCTTGACTAGCTCTTCGCCGCGCACCGCGTCTTACGTTGTGACGCAACAGTCCTCTCTCGCTGCTGTCCTGCCCAACGGATGAAGTACCGCTTTCTCCACTGCTATTGTTTACTGAGAGTCTTAAGAAACTATATGAGGAGCATCGGAGTTCGCTCAAGTCTTTAAACTTTACCCCTGAATATCTCTTCAAGTGATATCTTCGTCTGCTTCACCACCTGGCCATGATTGGATTAATGATGGGCTTTCGCAAGGAGGTACGGTGTTGTGCTGAGAAAGCCGGGGGAAGTTTGGGATGTGTTTTGTATTCTCCAAGGAAAGATAGACGATATTATTGAAGTCCATGCACTGATCTATTCCCTTTATATTCACCGATTCTAGCTAATAGAGGGTGTATCTAAGATGCGCGACCAGAAACATGCACGAAACATCAGATTGACAATGTGAAAATATGCCTAGAATATCCCAAAGGACCTCTTCTCCCCCTCTACTCCCCGTGGATGAAAACTCGCTTATCGAGCGACTCGAAAGCCTTATCGCGGGGAGGACCGGTCGGCTTGCCGAAGACCAGCTGGGCTTTCAGACTCCACTCAACGGGCACATTCCACAGCTCGGAGACGCGTGCATCTATCATCGGACTATAGTGCTGCAAGTTACACCCAAGTCCCTCAGCTTCCAGTATTGTCCACACTATAGTCGGTGATGTCAGTGTCAGTCCCAAGTTGGTCAAATCGAACAATTACTTACGAGCAAACTGATGCATGCCACTCGAATGATCAGCCCCTGTCATTTAATGTCAGCGCTGGCGTCTATAGGTTACAGTTTCAGTTAGCAGGTTGAAGGCTTACACTCGGGGAGCTTGCCAGCAATCATAGGGAATTGTTCTCCAAAAGGTTTCAACGGTGCAAAATCCTCGTAGAACAATACCTGACAGATATATTAGCACACAGTGACACAGGTGCAAGGTTGCCTGTAGGTAGACTTACCGTTCCGTATCCCGCTCGGAAGCCAGCAATTCGAGGCTTATACACCTTCTCAAGTACTTCCGGAGGAGACGTGGCACTCACAACCTCCAGAGCAATATCCCATAGTTTTTGGTGCTCTTCTTTTAGGAGGACCACCATACGAGCGCTTTGGCAGTTGAAAGGACTGGGCGTATGCAGGGCAACCTCGGAGACAAGCTCTTTGATGCGATCATCAGAAATTGTCGATTCGTTGGTTAGGGCGTAGATGGAGCGGCGGCCCTTCATTCCCTTAACGATCTTTGAAGCGAGGTTATGCATGCTGGGCAAGATTGTAGATGCTGGGCAAGATTGTAGGAGTAGATTTTTCGATTTGGATGGAGACTTGTTTGTCAATGGCTGTACAATCACTACAATGGAGATATTTATATACTGCTTCGCCGATGGCCTTGTTGTGGTCGGAGGCACGGAGCGCCGACACCGACTGCCGATCCATAGACACTGGAACGGTCAAAGCTGACGATGCTGACGCCCCCAAGGCTTCGCAAACACTTTGCGTTGGACACTACGAATCAGACAATCGGGTTGCGAGCCAAAAAGGCAGATAACGGTAAACGGGACTCGACTAGACCGATCCTGATTGAAAGTCAATTCTCATTGCTATAGTGGATTGGTTCATACCTCCGCCGTGACCGGATGGACAGGCCGCCGGAGGCTTTCCGCACGTCGGAGCTAAGATAAGGGGGACAGTTTACTGCAATGAATGTTCACGGAGATTACAGGTGGGCTCAGGCCATTTTTTGGCTCAGCCTGCCCATAACGTGATGATAAGACCGATAAGAAAAACCTCAGCTCTAGTTAAAAGGGGGTAGTTATCTGTAGAAGCTCGAGTATAAGAATGAGTAAGAGTGAGTAAGAGGGTAACTTTGGAAAGTGGGTCGGCTCAGGTTATGTGGGGACGGAAAAATTAATGGGCAGGCTGACGGAAAAACATGGCCTGAGCCGACCTGTAGTGACTGTTCACGCGCCTCGCTTCTTGAGACAGTTCCTTTCTCAGGGAGCTTAGAAAATCGCGGATTGTGGTGAAAGCACTCCGCTAATCATCCTCCCATATATGGGCTTTCAACTGCGGTGACATCATGTCGGCGCCTGAGGGTGTAAGGAGGAAGGTGACAATTGCGCCGAGCAAATGCGAAGCACATTGATTTTATCAGTTTACTAGTCAGAATGGATATCGATCAGTTGGTGTTTTGCATCTACCAGGCTGCTTGCTCTATTCATATCTTCAGGTCCTGCTGAACCGAAAAATTCGCATGGGGGAAGACTCTCAGCGTGATACAATCATACCGAAAGATACGACAGACCTATGCCAAATACCAATGATCCCTAGGTGAACATATGCTGGTGCTGGATTATGACATAGCTATAGCATCAGACGTCGACAAGTGTGATTCACACATAGCGCCGCGGATAGCCGCGAGGGGTAGGCCGGAGGCCACGGTAAACCTGGTCCCCCGGGAGCTTAAGCCCGCGGGCCTTGGGGACCAGTCTGGGGCATCAGCTCTAATGAACTAACTCTAAATAGCAACGGGAGTCAAGAGTTTCCTTTCCCCGGAGCAAAAAGGTCTGGCCGGGGTGGAAGGCGGGAAAGGGCTCTAGGGATTTCCCGGAAGCTTCTGGCGGTTCTATTAGATGGAGCGATGATTCACGTAAGATGTGCTCTAATACTAGCAGCATCATATGGTGTATAACCATCGGGGTGATCCTGGTTTCATCTTATCTGTTCTTCCCAATAGAAATCCCAACAATTACCCATCAAATCGGCATCGTCCGCGGCAAAGCCAGCGCCTTACCGAGTCGACCCGAGCGCGCTTACATAACCGCATCGACAGCGAATCTCAAAATACCGCAAAGCTGTGTCCTCACCTTTCCCGTACCTTGAACCCACTTCTCCCCCAATTGCCCTTACCCACCCCTCCCTCCAAGTCGTTTATCTTGGAGGATTGAACGGCCCTTGCGTTTTCTTATCTCTGTTCACTTTTTTCTGTCGCCATGTTCCGCGCCGTCCTGCCTCGTGCTACGCCGCGGCCTGCGCTCCGCGCTGCCGGCCCCAAGGCTGTCCCTTCGACCTTCATCGCTCCCCCTATGGTCTTCATTGGCCGCTCAAAACGTGGCTATGCCTCTGATGCTGGTGAGTTCTTGCCTGGACAGCTAGCCGGAGGGGTTACCTGCCCTTCCCCGGAGTTCTGCGATTACTAACCTTGCCGGCCTCGCCGGGTTTCCAACAGGCGAGCACGATCTGGTCATCATCGGTGGTGGTGTTGCTGGTTACGTCGCCGCTATCAAGGCCGGTCAGGAGGGTCTGAAGGTACGTCGGTGATTTCCCGTCAAGGGGACGACACTGGAACTTCGCCGGTGGCCTCGCCGACAAAGCCAAGCATGGACACGTTGTTTGCTGACCTCCGGCCAACTTGAAACAGACCGCTTGTATCGAGAAGCGCGGTACCCTCGGTGGTACCTGCCTGAATGTCGGCTGCATTCCCTCCAAGTCCCTGCTCAACAACTCCCACCTTTACCACCAGATTCTCCACGACACCAAGAAGCGCGGTATCGAGGTCGGCGATGTCAAGCTCAACCTCGCCCAGATGCTGAAGGCCAAGGACCAGTCGGTCGAGAGTCTTACCAAGGGTGTTGAGTTCCTGCTGAAGAAGAACGGTGTCGACTACATCAAGGGTGCTGGCTCCTTTGTCGATGCGAACACTGTTAAGGTCGATCTGCTGGACGGTGGTGAGCAGACCGTCCGCGGCAAGAACATCCTGATAGCCACCGGCTCCGAGGCCACCCCCTTCCCCGGCCTGAACATCGATGAGAAGCGCATCATCACTAGCACTGGTGCTCTTACTCTGGAGGAGGTTCCCAAGAAGATGATTGTCATCGGTGGTGGTATTATTGGTCTGGAGATGGTATGTGTTGCCGGGAGTTGTAGCTTTGCTCGATATTTGAGACCTGATGACTGACTTTTGTTTGTGCTTTCACTAGGCCTCTGTTTGGTCTCGTCTTGGGGCTGAGGTCACCGTCGTTGAGTTCCTCGGCCAGATCGGTGGTCCCGGTATGGACGCCGAGATCGCCAAGCAGGCTCAGAAGATTCTGGGCAAACAGGGCATCAAGTTCAAGACCAACACCAAGGTGATCAAGGGTGATGACAGCGGCGCTACCGTTTCCCTGAGTGTAGAGGCCGCCAAGGGCGGCAAGGAGGAGACTCTGGACGCCGATGTTGTCCTGGTCGCCATTGGCCGTCGCCCCTACACCGAGGGTCTTGGTCTCGAGAACGTCGGTATCGACAAGGACGACCGTGGCCGCCTGGTCATCGACCAGGAGTACCGCACCAAGGTCCCCCACATCCGTGTTGTCGGTGACGTTACCTTTGGCCCCATGCTGGCTCACAAGGCCGAGGAGGAGGCTGTCGCTGCTATTGAGTACATCAAGAAGGGCCACGGCCACGTCAACTACGCCGCCATCCCCAGCGTCATGTACACCCACCCCGAGGTTGCCTGGGTTGGCCAGAACGAGGCTGAGGTCAAGGCCTCCGGCGTCAAGTACAACGTCGGCTCCTTCCCCTTCAGCGCCAACTCCCGTGCCAAGACCAACCTCGACACCGAGGGTGTTGTCAAGTTCATCGCCGATGCTGAGACCGACCGCATTCTGGGTGTCCACATCATCGGCCCCGGTGCCGGTGAGATGATCGCCGAGGCCACCCTGGCCATCGAGTACGGTGCCTCCAGCGAGGATGTCGCCCGGACGTGCCACGCCCACCCTACCCTCTCGGAGGCTTTCAAGGAGGCTGCCATGGCCACCTACTCCAAGCCCATCCACTTCTAGACTTATTACTGGTGACGCAGTCTTGTGATTCGATATCCTCCAAACCCCTCCATGTACTACTTTTTGGATTTTAATCTGGCTTTGCTAGCAAACTACATGTAGCACTTCATGTAATCATTTCCCTTGTGACTTTCTTTATTTTTTTATTAAAAAATAGACACTATTGACAATTTTGTTTTCTTCTGTTCGCTCCATATGGTGGTGTATGTAGATGGCCTCCCTCGCCACATGGGGCCATTTCCACCTTACGGGCAGTACAAATGGAGTTCTAGATTCATGCCCGAGGTGTCCGCTCTGATTTTTCCACGCTACTTACTTACCCAGCCCAGATAACCTAAAAACCAGTCAACCCCGATCAGCACGAGCGGTGTATTATCTAGATACCCAAAAAAAACCAAAAAGTAATTAACGAACTATCGTATCGTACTCCGATAGGGGGAATCGAACCCCCGGCTGCCGTGTGAGAGACGGCGATGTTAGCCACTACACCATATCGGATGTGGATGTTTTGTGAATGACGCTGCCAGCATAAGAAACCAATGGACATGGATCAATTGGGAAAGGAAAAAGAACAAAAAAGAAATGAATTGTGCTCCGATAGGGGGAATCGAACCCCCGGCTGCCGTGTGAGAGACGGCGATGTTAGCCACTACACCATATCGGACTGCCGTGTTGATTATTCCATAGTTTTGACTAGATAAATTCAGCCTCCAGGGTCTCTGCGGCCCGAGTCTGGTTATATATATATCGTCCTTAGGTCTCCCCCTCCCCACCTAACGGCCCAATTCCCCGCCCCCCTTTCTCCTTATAAGTCCTTCTCCCTGGGATTTGCAGGTAAGTAGTGTAGGGGTATAAGGTGATGGGAATGAAAACAGGGAAGAATAAAAGCAGGGAAAAAGAATGCCTTCGTAATCCTCTCTCCCGGACACTTGCTTGCATTGGATTGGCCAGCCCTAACCGCCGCCGATTCCGTCATTCGCAAATGGAGATGGGTGGTGATTGGCGGTGTATATATCATAATTTGTATAGATATAGCTATAGCGACAACCATACGTATAATTTAGGACATCTAGGTCAGTTGGTAGCTATTATGCAAGGTTGGTGGACCAACACGATGAAGTCGTAGTCATGTAGAGGTAGGCAGAAAATTACCTGGGTGCCACCAGTAGCAGGTGTAACTCGAATGCATCCATTCGGGTGATAAAGGAGATCGTGCAAGAAGCATAGGAATTTTGTTACGTACATCCATTTGTGCCTCTCTGATTCTAAAACTCATAATCATGTCCACGGAGGTATATAAACACTGACATCATGATGAACCGCTCACTGAATGTAAATGATTAATATCACGATCCTTCTATCTTTCCATTCCTCCATGCTCAACGCCAGCTCCGCTAATACATAGATCTACCCCCAGACCACTCTCTCATTCATTTCCCCTCCCAATGGCCTGGTTATTTCGCACTCGAGTGCCACGTTTACGTGGCGAAAGAACACCAGAGGAGGCTTCTCTTGAGAGGGGAGATGACTTCAACGCCCTCCAACGATATCGATTGAATGTGTGGGAGAGATACGGCGATGAGGCACCTGACAGCACGGTCTCTGTTGCGTTTTTGCGCACGGAAGAATCTCTTCGAAAGATATGTCAAAAGGAGATCGCCTTGAAGGAGCCCAAGATCCCGTCTCAGATACGGACGTTGCGGGAGTTGAAACGCAACGCGTGGTTTCTGGAGCGCGAATGGTCGTACTTGCGAAGCGAAATTACAGAAAGTCCTTCCGTTCTCGAAAGGGCGTTCAAGCAATGGAGGTCTGATCCGCGATGGTATATGCATAGTGTCCTCGTCGAAGATTGCGTGAATCGAGGGGGCTGTTGCAGCCGTAGCTGTGGATGCTGTGTGAGCCGTGAGCGCCAGACGAGCTCTGTAGGTGAACTTGGGATTGGGCATTGCACCGTGGAATGTGGGTGTTGTTGCGAAGCTCGAGGGTTTGACCTGACAGCGGAGGAAAAGAGAAACTTGGAAATGCGATTCGGATTTCTTGATATGGCTGGCGATGGTTTACTCGAAGACTATGTCTACCAAGACCGTATTTACTTTGCTTCGGTGTGGGGGCTCTTGAGGAACGCTACGTGTCATGAATACGAACAATCCTATCACAAGGAGGCCTCGGTCCCAATCTTCCAGTCTGAACCGGTCAAATGCGAGGGAGCCAGCATCGTGGGTGACTCGGAAACGTTGCCTGAAGATGACCCCGGAGAAGGAAGTGACTCAACAATCATAGTGATCTAGGTTAGCTTGATAGAGTCCTCTTGCTTATTTCTAACTTAGTGGAGGCTATGCTACAAGAATGATTGATCTTTGCTGGCATTGCTACCTCATCTTCGTCAGGTCCAAGAATCTATATTGCACTATTGGCTTTCACCTTAAGATCGCCCCGCGACCTGCTGTTATACAAAGTAATATAAAGGCTGTTGACCCCTCTGGTTAACTCTATAAGAGCTCAATCTTTTCCAAAGCCTAATTCAGCAGCAGAGGTAGGCCTAAACAATTATTGCCTTGGTCATGGCATATACACTACTTTGTATAGGATCAAGATGGTGCATTGTGTATGACGACACATGATGACGTTCGATCAAAACGCGAATGGAGTGCGGAGTACTTCGTAAGGTGCTGATGAATGGCTGCAACGCATCCATAGCGACCATCACAAGCAATGCGGGTCTGTGTCCACACTCTCCCAGGGGACCATTATGACCCCAGTACCGCCGATCTCGCCGGCGTTCTTGCCGAAAATATACAGTCAGTTGGGTGGGGAAAGGTAACGGCCTTTCTAGCGCTTCTTCTAGCATTCCATGCGGCCAATGGGGTCGTAGATATTAACTTACGGAAGTTAGAGCGCTGGGTCAACAGGTAAGATTAGGATAACAGCTAATAAGCTTAGATGTGAGAGAATCTTCTGTCTATTGACTCTCACTTCCCCCTTATCTATTGTTCTATAGTGTCTATTACATCGGATGTGGTGAGATCTGTTCGGTGATACGCGCAGTCTTTTTGTTTCGGGGCCTTAGGAGTATGATACTACGGAGTGAAAGAAACAAAGGCTAACGGCAGATACAGACCATCCAACGAATTCCCAGCCGTAAGCAACGAGGCCGCCGCGGAAAATACGGCCAGCGCCGGCAGCACTTCGGCTGAGGTGGGAACCAGCCCCTGGCACCTCCATTGCGCTCAAATCAGTGGAGAAAGAACGGCTGGACATAGTCAGGAAAAGGTGAGTGAATCATTGAACGAACAAGACCTAGAAGAGTAGATTTGAATTTATTCCCCCATGGAAATGAGTCTGATGATTCTGGTACCCGGTTTCTGATAATGTGGGAGAATACTTTGTGGAGAAAATTGAAGGCAGGCTGACAGACAATATAGTCTAGGCATCTGATTTCAAATCACGGGCGGAGAGTGGGAAGGGATGTTCTTGGTTCTGGGTTTGTCTTAAGCACTTTCTGGGGGAAAGAGAAGGGCAATCAACGGCAACCAGTGGCAATGTATGGGGCGGGGGTCGACATATCGGTGATCGAGTAGTAACCTGAAAAATCATGTGTAGCACGGGCGTCGTGCTATTTGTGTTGCCGTCACCCATGTTTTCTAGGGGTTGTCCTGATCCCGCTGGATCCCTTCGCCACCGATTGAACTATTAAAAAGTTCGAAAACTAAAAAATCAAACGACTTCTGCTCCGATAGGGGGGAATCGAACCCCCGGCTGCCGCGTGTGAGACGGCGATGTTAGCCACTCACCATATCGGACCGCTACGATGGAGCATCTTTTGGATTCAAGTATGGCCCTTCCGGTATAGCGTCAAGAATTTCTATGCGTGCCAGTGCGTGATTATACAGTGGCCGTTCATTAGTCAGGTACCATGTTCCAAAAACTAATGAACGGTCACTGTACATGGTCCGTCCCACAGCCCCATCAACATCTTGCTGTTTTCCGCCCGCCATTTCTCTTTTCTCCTCGTCTTCATCCGTGCACTGCTCGGGAGGCATTTCTGCCAATGTTCCGGATCGCCGGGCCTCGCCACCCCGTTGTCCCTGGCGCGACTTGTCAGATCCCTTGAGCCTAATCTACGCTGCTTTCGCTATTACGCACTAGATAAGGCATCTTGCCCATGGTCCGCTAGACCAACTAGTGCATCTTGTTGCCTCGCATGTTACTTGCTCGGTCAATTGTCGAACTTCCGCGCTAAGATCTAAGATGTATTTACCCTATACTATTTTTGGACGATCGCCTTTATAGAGTAAAGTGGGGGTCTACATCCACCTTAGCATATAAAGGCCGAGTGAGGGTCTTGTCTGCTAGTGCTTGTATAACCCGGAAACAAGAAAGACTCAGATCAGACTAGTTAGCTTATCTTGACTACGAAGTAGCCAGACTATATTGACCGCTCCTGAGTTGTTTAGGAGTTGCTATGTTCTCAAGAGTTTATGAGATAGAACAAGTTGATAACTTAATTTTTCACGATAGCTAAGATTCCACAAAAGCTATATTGAGCGGCCTCTAGATCTTTTTATGCTCTGACTGTTCGCACAAACTTAGCCTCAAACTTTAAATCACTTGAGCTGAGAATTTTGTCGTCATTTCCAATCTTCACCTTGATCCAACCTTCTTACACTTTCTCACCTCTTATCATCTCCCCCTTTCACGCTCACTATGGACGACATGGAGTACCTTCCAAAGGTGATCGATGAGAAGATCACTACATGCGGCAGGAATTCGGGCTCCTCTCTTTTCCCCCCTCGGGACTGGACCGTCATGAACAAGATAAGTGAGCATCCAGTCCCGGTGGACATAGAGGATTTCGAGGATGGCCGGGGCCCCGCCTTCACCAGTGGACGATATCTTTGTCGCTTTGCTGGTGCCGGCGGCAAGTTCATGCACGCCTTTATGCGCATTGAAAAGCAGATTCCTCTGGCTGGTACTACATTTGAAAGACCTAGTGTTCGGCAGCAACAGGCCAGCCAGCCACCTGATAACGTGGAGCTACAAGCCTTGAAGCATTTTACAGAGGAAAAGGGCACTGCTGCCCCCAAACTCCTTGGATATCTAATCGACAAACAAGACGCAAACGACCTTGTCCCTGGCGGATATATCATCTACCTTGTATGGGAAAAGGTCCGAGGAGTTCCCCTCGATCCCGAGAAGTTCTGGAGTTGTCGCCGCGATCAGCGAAATCTCATCCGTGAGAATTTCAGAAAGGCCTACAAGTGAGTTGCTAAACATCTTGATTATGGTCATATACTTCGAGCTGACTGATATTAGAGAAATTATGAGTGCTGGATACGACCTGGTCTTGCCGACTTCGAAAAACATCATAATCAACTGGGCCACAAATGATGTGTATGTTCTACTCTATCTCTTACGATATCAAGCTACCTAATGATAAGTAGCACAATCTCCGGTTTCAGGGGAGCTGTCCGTACAGACCCGGACGAGGAATGGGATGACCGCGATTTCGGGAGTTTTTGCCTGGTCCAAACTTCCTCGTGGTGCAAGAAGTACGTTCCCATTAAGGCGGAGGATGTCCAAGATGACGAAAATGGCTGGAGGTGGTGAGAAGGAGGGTCGCATGCCCAGAAGGAACTAGGGGGCAATCCCTGTCGCTTGGTATCGTGCTTTTGACCAACTAGCTTGAATAAGATACTACTAAGTCCCATCAAGAACGTATCTCTCTAATTCCTTCAGATACCAGGTGTTACACTTGGCAAGCCATTAAAAAAAGAGGAGTCTATCCAATGAAGCTATCGATTCCGAGGAAGGAACAGAAGCTTCCTTTGCATCGGCTCATCGCCCAATTTTCCCCCGGCAGTAGGAAAGTAGTGTTCTCGATGGAGGCCTGCAGCGTTGAGTTATACTGGGGCAGCGCTAGCTCTGTATTATCGTACCGAGTCCCTATATGGCTTCTCAAGTGGTTGCAAAGCGTTACTCAGGCTTTAACCAAGCTTAAGATTTATCAAATAGTCACGGATTTTTCTGGAGATATGGTCGTCCTTGCCCGGGGTCTATCTCAGTACCTATTTATCATTGTTTGTCTACCTTCAAAACAGATCCCGATGACGTAGAAAGCTCATTGTTGTAAGTCATTGACGGGGTGTATCGCTGGACCCATTCCTTTAGAATGGTGAGGAACGCATCGCACACACCCTGGACGGCATCTTCCCGAGAATCGCCGCAGCTCTCGATATAGACTGGGAAGCGTTAGAAACCTGTCTGAAGTATCCACGAAAGTAAATAGGAAGACTGAATATCTTACACTTGACCTTCGGCTCGGTACCGGAGCCTCGAAGTGTGAAGCGCACTCCACCTTCCAACCACAGCGTAAGCATCTGACTGGTAGAGTCGATGGGCAAATCAGGCTGATGATTTGATGAAGCAGTGTCATATCCTTCAGTCAGATCTCTCCATCGTAAAATTTTGAAGGCGCCGAACTGCATGCCAGAGAGGAAAGAGCCATTCCGGATACCACGGAACAACTCAAGAGTGAGTTGGGGGCTGGGAGACCGGAAGTAATTGTTCAATGTCTCATGGTGACCGAACTCTGCAAAAAGCTGCTGGAGCTTGCCGAACACGGTTAAACCCTGGGCTTTCCACTTTGCAGCTGCCATGGAGAAGACCGAAAGGGCCGTGATGCCATCCTTGTCATAACTGACGGCAGGGAACATATAACCCAGTGCTTCCTCGTAAGCAAATGGCACCGTCTGCCCATTCTTTTCCAGATCCAGGGCAACATTCCCCATCCACTTGAAGCCGGTGAGAGTCTCCATAAATTGAATGCCTGCGGAATTCGCCATCTTCTGAAGCATCCCACTTGACACGGTCGTCGTCAGAACCGTAATCTTCGACGTGTCTACACCGGAGCTAATAGCGTCAAAAAGATGGGACGCCAAAAGAACGCCAACGTGGTTTCCTGTGAAAAGAAACCATTTCCCACTATCTTAGGGTCAGTCGCTAGCCTCTTCTGATAGGATGTGCTCGGGGTATCTCACTCGACTTTCTCAGCCACTGCGAATCGATCCGCATCAGGATCGTTGGCAAATATCAGCGTTTTGTTTTGTTCGTCCGCCACCTGTACCGCGAGATCCAAAGCTCCAGCCTCTTCGGGGTTAGGGAACTGGACAGTGGAGAAGTTGGGATCTGGTTGCGCTTGCTGGGGCACAAGGTCATACTCTTTACCCTCCTGCATACCCATTTGGGTCAACAGAGAGCCAATTCGGATGGCTCCTACGCCGTGCATGGGAGTATAAACGAATGGCTGAGGGGGGTATGTCGCTGACACAGTGGATATCTGATTCCTAATGGTCAGCATGATCTGTTAGCTGGGAGGCTAATTTTGACCACTGACCGCATATTCCTTGACTTGACGTTGGAAGGGGACAAGGATCTGTTGGAGAGCTTCTTCATCAAAGTACTCGCCAGGCTGTCGGCCTTCCTCCCAGGCATTTGGCCATGGTTCCAGGTTCTCAAGGATTGACTGTGCAATCTCTCCATCCTCGGGCCTGTTGATCTGAGCGCCATTGCTGGAGTAGCTGAGAATTCAATAACGAGTCAGTACTCTGGTATGTGTCCACAGGAGTATTACCGAGTATCCTACACTTTATAACCTGGAAAGTAGGTCAGCAAAAACCTATAACTTGCTTTGAGATGGATTTTACGTACCGTTATCTTGAGGTGGATTCTGTTCGGATTTCGTTAGTACCAACTGTAGAGTTCAATAGATGGGTGATTCATTGTGGCGTACATGGCTTGCAGTCACCACTATACCCGCGGCAGCCTTGAACTTGTGCACCCCAAAGGCAACTAGGGGAGTCGGTGCTGACTCGTCGACGAACTTGACAGGGATTTGCTGCGCAATGAAAGCATTGGCAGCGAGCTGAGCAAACCTGTGAGAGTGATGGCGGGCGTCATGCCCAATAATGACACCCTTGGAGGCGATCTCCGGGCGCTTATTACGAATATGCTTGGCGAGTCCCTGTGACGCCTGGATCACTGTCAAGCAGTTCATGTAGGAGAAGCCAGCAGCCATGCGGCCGCGCAAGCCGGCCGTGCCGAATTCGATGCCTGGGGATCATGGTTAAAGGTTTCGCGCTAAGGAAGCTACCGGGTCAGATGCACGTACGGTTCCGGAGGCGCAGCTCTAGCTCCTTCGTGTCATTGGTATCGCGCAGGTGTTCTATTTCTGCGCGAGTCGTAGGGTCCTATATCCGAGGCGAGGCGGGTCAGATCAGGCCACAACCAGGAACGAGCGAGGAACAAGGAACGGTTCTGTTTACCTGGTCCCACTGCAGCCATGTTTGGACCAGCGACGAGAGCGATTGCTACGCGGGTTAGATCTCACCACCAGCGAATGGGAAAGATGCAATTACCTGAGCCATGCTGATCATGCCATCCGTCTGTCGCAGGATGTAGCAGTTGGCGGGGTTGCACGTTGACGGTCACGGGCGGCCGATCAGTCCCCGCTTGTTGACTCCACCTGCGCCCCTGCCGCAATTCTGCTGCCTTTCCACTTGACATAACTAGATTCGTCTCTCCATTCTCTACAAGTCTTCTGAGTACCTCCCACCCTAAATCCAGAACGTATGTTTCTGTGAATCTTCTCACCCCCACCCCCGGACTTGGAGGCCAACCTCGACCCCCCCCCATTGCTCCTCTCACACCGCATCTTGCACCTACGATGGATGAACCCGCCTCCCGACCGCCTCGGAAGGACACTGTCTTGACTCGGCGGTATATTGAGGGCCTGATTGCAGAGGGCAAGCATGTCATTATATTTGAGGGCCGTGTTCTGAAGGTGGACGCCTACATCAAGTTCCACCCTGGCGGTGAAAAGCCGATGAAGCACATGGTGGGCCGGGATGCGACAGACGAGATCAATGCGTACGTCTGTCCTCGACGTGTCTGGCCCTGCACTTTCTGACCCATGGAATTCTTGCCGACTATAGACTGCACTCCCAAGAGGCCCGCGCTATCATGTCCTCGTACCAGATCGGACGAATCGAAGGCCGTTGGGCCAACTTCCTCCCTCCCATCCAAGGCGGCAAGTTCCGTCCGTACACCGAAGAGGTCTGCTCGAGCGAAGAGGATCTGCCCAGTCAAGACAGCTCCAGCCAGGAAGGGTCCCTCCCTCCGTCTCCGATATTCGATGCGGTCGACTCAAAATCCACGGTTCGTCGAAAGAAGTCTTTGCCAGACACAGACAGCTCTGCCATGTCCACCCCTCTCAACCAAGATGACCAGTCCAAACCGTACTTCCTGGACGCTCGTACGCGAGAGGAAATTGTGTTTGACACCGCCAAATACCCATCTCTGGATACCTCGAGTCAGGAGAGCATCAAGCGCAAGTACCGTGATCTGAACAACCGTCTGGTCGCCGAAGGATTGTTCGACTGCAATTATATGTCATATTTCATCGAATGCTGTCGGTACACGGCTTGCGCATCTCTGGCCTATTTCTTTTTGCGCCTCGGCTGGTGGGCGATGTCTGGATTTTGGCTCGGGTGCTTTTGGCACCAACTTGTGTTCACTGCCCATGATGCTGGCCATATGGGTATTACACACAATTTCCATGTCGATACTGTGATTGGCATCCTTATCGCTGACTACCTGGGGGGACTGAGCCTGGGTTGGTGGAAACGAAGCCACAATGTGCACCACATCGTAACGAACGCGCCTGAGCACGACCCCGATATTGAGCACATGCCGTTTTTTGCTATTTCCCATCGGTTTTTTGACAGCCTTCAAAGCACCTACTATGACCGGAACATGACCTTCGATGCTGTTTGTAAATTCATGTTGAAGATCCAGAATTACTCTTACTACCCCATCATGATGTTGGCACGGTTCAACCTCTACCGCCTTAGCTGGGAATACCTTTTGAAGGGCCAAGCACCGAAGAAGGGCCCTGCCTGGTGGCATGTCTGGCTGGAATACGGCGGTCAAATGTTCTTCTGGTATTGGTACTGCTACCTCGTGGTGTACAAGAGCATCCCAGACTGGGGTAGTCGCCTTACTTTTATCTTGGTATCGCATATCGTTTCTTCGCCGCTTCACGTCCAGATCACACTATCTCATTTCGCTATGTCGACAGCCGACTTGGGTGTACACGAGTCATTCGCCCAGAAGATGCTGCGTACTACCATGGACGTCGACTGCGCTCCTTGGCTGGACTTCTTCCACGGTGGTTTGCAGTTCCAGGCTATTCACCATCTTTACCCTCGTATGCCGCGTCACAACCTCCGCCGTGCTCAGAAGTACATTGCTGAGTTCTGTCGTGACACTGGTATCCCCTACGCCATCTTCACTTTTTACGACGGCAATAAGGAGGTCATCGGCCGGCTCGGTGACGTGGCCAAGCAGGTTCGCATGTTGGAGGAGTGTCGCAAGTCAATTGCCAAGGAGGGTGTCTTCGCGCATCATCACTGATGTGCGAATATTGCGGTGCAGGCTGCACATAACGAATTTCCATGGTTTCTTAGATCGCAGTGTCATAGACCTACCACTGTTACCCTGTGTGTTTCCCGGTATAATAATGAATCAAACGTCTTTTCCATCTTATGAGACGACTTCTCAATTGTAAACGTTTATGTTATCAACATCTATAGCTGATCTGCCAAACATGGCAACAAGTACAATAAGAGCTCATCGCAATTCCAGCATATAGCATGTCGATTGGGATATATGCAATTCAATATGCAAAACATCAGCCCGGCAAACCTCCTCCACGCGCAATCTTTTTCGCTCGCTGCTGGCGGCGGTTATGATTGGCCCGACTGGCTTTATTCTGCTCCTTCCGTTGATGCGCCACTGCGCTATTTTGCTGCCCTTGCTCCCCTGATTGAGGCGGATGACCACCTCCCCGACCACCTCTCCCGCGTCCCCTTCCTCCTCCTCCGCGTCCACCGCCACTCTTTCCTCCATGACCGGCAGGGTAGCCCGAAGACTCGCCTTCGTCATCGGAATCACCTTCAGCAGGATTGGGTTTCCTATACGATGTCGGAGCCAGCCTCGGCTGATCCAATGTACCACTGCCAGATCCACCAGCATCGTCGGCTAGTTTACCCTCGAGTCTAGTGAGGCGCTTTGGATCTCGCGATAGCATGACTGCCCAGCCTTCGATAGCTTCGTCTGTCATGTTGGTTTCACGCTTCAGTGAAGCCCGAGGCTGCGAGCGGCGGGTTGCAGAGTCCCGTGCGAACAGTGTCGGATTGGATTTGTAGGCACGGAGTAATGTCATATCGACCAGATCGCCCGCAGCGCGCTGGTTCCGCGCAACTGCATCGGCCTCGGCGTCTGTACCCGTCGTAGCACCGTCAACAGTACCGCCCACATCTGCGACATCGTATGTATCATCTCGCTCGTCGTCGTCAGAGTCAAAGGTTGCCAGTGCGGATAGAATTGCTGCCTTGTTGACGGCGTGCTGGCTGCGGTCTGCAAGGACTTCGTCCGCTGTGAGGCTAGGGTTTGCACGGCCGAATCGCAGTTTTCCATCAGCGTCTCCTGAAAGACTGAGTTCGGCAATGTCGACGTCATTGTCAAAGACATTCCTGCGAGATCGTACTGGCTCTACCGGCGGCGTTGGTCGGGGTTCCAGATGACCGTGGATGGGCTCGGCCGGCGGAGGCAGCTGTTCGGAACGATCCAAGGATTGAAGCTCTGGTGGTAGCGAGTCATCCAAAAGATGAGCAACAACTGTTTCCGGATTGTCGCCGAAGGTATCCAGGAGCCTCACGACAAAAGCCGACCCCAGGTCTGGGAAGAGATCCTGGACCTGTGAGACAAGTGACATCTTGTGTGCATGAAGTGAATCCGAAATGACAGAACTTGATGATGGCCCTTTCCCCTTGTCCACCTTTTTCCGTCTTTGATACCGGTGGTGGAAGGGATTCGTATCCATTTGATACAGGCGCAAGCTGGCGAGAAGGTCCTGGCCTCGTTTTTGGGGGTGGCTGGCAAGATACTTGTCCAATCGCTGTAACAGATCCGAGCTGCAGACAAGGTCAGAGAGCAGAGTTGGCTCCTTCTTCATGCCAGGTGTCCCTACGCCTGCACTGGCCTTGAGACTGAATAGCTGATCCAGCAGTAGAGACAAATTGATAGTTGTCTCTTTCAGTAAAGACACCAGTCCGACGTAGACATTTGCAACGAAGATTTTGCGGAGCTCTTCTCCCGTGGTCTTGGCGTGGTAGGCTTCTGATAAAGTATCCAGATAGTCTGATCCGGCCATGAGAACCTGGCCGCAATTCGGCAAAACCGAAGCCAGAATTGTCAAGCATCGAATGTCCGAAATGATATTGGGTGGTGGTGATGCAGTGGTCGAGGATAATTGCTTGATCACAAATAATTTTGACTTGTCTATACTTGCAGATATCTTCTCATGATGCAGAGCCCACACAGCGGATAATAATGTCTTCAATGCCGTACTGGAAGGATAGCAGCAACATAGGTGACCGAGAAGTTGCCAGTTTAAGAAACCTTCCGGCGGGTTTGAAAGGCTCAGTAAATATCGTCTTGTTGTGAGAAAGCAGAGTTTCCGTAGGCGTCGAGCTTTAGGCCCAGACTGTAGACCAGAGTCTCCGGCTGCTGCATGTTGATAGAAGGACTCCAGAAACGAGGCAGCGGTGAGATCTTCGGCGGCTGCATCTTTGAATTGTTGATCGGTGGCATTCAGTCGAATTCCGAGCAGGGTCATCCATGCATCTAGGCAGGCATGCCAGTCGTTAGATGGAATGGTCCTCCGCACTGCGGGGGAGGGCACAGGAGCCAGCGGCGGGAACTCCGCCATTGACACGTAAAATATCTGAGACTATAGAGACGAAAAAGATTTCCACGAAGACCCAGATCAGCAAGACAAGAAAGGCAAATAACAGCACGCCGCCACAGCCTCATCGCCGCCGCGTAGTGACTTAGTTACTGCATCTGGTCCCCGAAGGCGCGCTGACTCAGCCAGCCTAAGTCAGCATTTTGGCCAAAACAGGTTAGCGTGTGATAACCGAAATGCCAAGATTTCTCGCACTGAATCTTTTTCGCTTCGCTCCACACAAACTCCATCGGCCATCATCACCTTACCGAACCCTGCAGTTCAGGTCTTGACTGGCATTCCGCCTTAACAACAGCAATCAACTCAAGATGTCTTTCCAGAAGCCCGAGAAGGAGTTCGGCGAGGGCCCTGTACGTTGCATCCCCCTACAACTGTCCGCCATATCGCACAGCACACTATTCGCTGCCGGCGCATTAGTGTGCGCGGTCATGTCGCTGTCGACAATCGCACGAGATGCCAATTTTCAGATTGCTAACCCCTATACAGAAGGTCCACAAGATCCGCATCACCCTCACCTCCCGCAAGGTCGCCTCTCTCGAGAAGGTCTGCCAGGAGCTGATCGACCGTGCTCGCTCCAAGTCCCTGCAGGTCAAGGGCCCCGTCCGTCTGCCCACCAAGACCCTGAACATCTCCACCCGTAAGACCCCCAACGGTGAGGGTTCCAAGACCTGGGACAAGTACGAGATGCGCATCCACAAGCGTCTCATCGAGTAAGTTTCCCCGACTGCGATACAGATATGGCGGGGCACGAATCTGTCATGTCACACTTGAGAATTATATGACTGATTTGTTCTACTTTTGTTTAGCCTGCTCGCCCCCACCGAGACTGTCAAGCAGATCATCATCAACATCGAGGCCGGTGTTGAGGTTGAGGTCACCATTGCTGCTTAAATGCACTAGTTCCGCAAGGGAATCAGGGAGGGTCTCAGGATCGGCTGTCTGTTGTGCCGAGCGTATGGCCGACACAAGGAAGCAGTTGGTCGTTTACTCCGAGCCAGATTTGGCGGATTGTGGTAGATACCCGCTACAACCTGAAAGACAAAAAAATGGAAACATCTTGAGAAAATATCAATGTGCCATTGTAGAGGCTGCTTGCCGTCCTAATCTTACATTAAGAATCGCTGAGTGAGTTACACTAGATTGTGAATAACTGAATGTGTACCGCCTGACTCCGCGGGCGCCGCTATCAAATATCGCTCATTGGGTGAGCTTCCTGTTTCCTGATCCCTGATCGGAGATGAGATTAAATGAAGAAAAAACCCACACCTGCTCGCGCCATGTTTCACTCTATGCAATTCGCACTAACCAGAGCACAAGAACCTAGAAGTCAAAGCTGATGTAGTCCTTCCTTGGCGGAACAGCCGGGATGATACCGTCCTTGAAGTAGCCGTTGTCAAGGAAAAACTTATACATTGCCTCAACTTCGGGTGTGTATTCCTCGGGCTTGCCTTGGGAGTCACGCAAACTGGCGTCGTCTGGAGGCCCATCCGGGAAATTGATGCGGACGAAGGTCGCGTTGTCCTGAGGGTGCAGGTAGCAGGGAGCGTTATGAATGTATTTCACTGGACGACCCTTCCACATAGTGAGGCGTCTAGTGTTAGGATCGCGTCGGGTCTCACCCTGCAGTGGCGGGAGAGGGTTCAATTCGTTGGGGTTTTCGAGTTTGATAAATGCACGGGGACCAGCATTCACGTTTTGGACAGGTACGCCCTGTGGAGCCGCAGGCTGGCCAAAAGGTGAGGGTCCGGGCTGTTGTTGGGTAGAGGGGGCGCCAAAGGGGTTAGCTGGAGCAGATGGCTGTCCGAAAGGACCAGTCGTTGGTTGCTGCTGCTGTTGTGGGACTTGGCCAAATGGCGACGCATTCTGGGCAGGCTGTCCGAAGGGCGCAGATCGTTGACCGAAACCAGTTGGTGGAGGAGGCTGTTGCGCGGCAGATGGCTGTCCGAATGGCGATGGTCCTGAAGGTGCGCCAAAACCCGTAGCAGGTTGGTTCTGGGAAACCTGAGTGAATGGAGAGGAACCCGACGGTGTGCCGAATGCACCGGTTGCTGGAGCAGCGGGCTGGCCAAAGCCAGGCTGATTGTTCCCAGCTTGGGAAAAGCCTGACTGACCGAATGCTGGCTTCCCAAACCCAGTCTGCCCGCCCCCAAGGGTTGAAGGTTGGCCAAAGGCGGAGGAGCCCTGGCCCAATGTAGATGGCTGCCCAAATCCTGATGATTGGCCCAGGGTTGAGGGCTGTCCGAAGGCTGACGTTTGTCCAACAGTTGATGGTTGTCCGAAAGCAGAGTTCTGTCCAAGGGTGGTTGCTTGTCCGAATGCCGATGCTTGTCCGAATCCCGAAGGCTGTCCCCAGCCCGTGGAGGCGCTACTGGTACTCCCAAATCCACCGGGAGCTGAGCCAGCTGGTGGTTGTCCAGCCGAGGGTTGGCCAAATGACGATGGTTGGTTCACATTAGGGTCTTGACCACCTGTTGTGATGTCGATACGGTTTGGATGTTCGTTGCCACCGTCGATGATGTACTTGGCGGCACCGTTGAGATCATTCAACGCAGAATCCATCTGATTGACGGACTCTTGCCACAAGGCCTGTGCCTCCTGGATGGCCTGGTTCATGTTCCCTGCGGCTGTCAGTTCGTAATGGCGGACACGCATTTCCTCCATACTCTGCTCGCGCTGAGGACCACCAAATAGCTGACGCGGGGCATTTCGAGTCGGTGCGTATGCAGAGAAGACCCATTCCGGTCGACCCTTGCCAGGTGTCAAGTCGAGCTTAATATCGTTTGTCGTCACGCCATAGCTATGCCAGTATATCAGTGCCGGGAAATACCTTATTTCATGGAGAATACTCACTCTGAAGGCGTCTGGTTTGATCCTGTGGATTGGCCTGTCCGATTACACGAGTTAGCAGGGAAATTATCCCACGCGCATGTCATGGTTGTGCTGGCTGGAAGACTTTGGCTGCTTGGGATAAGAAACAGGTGTTCCAAGATCAGAACATGGGTATGGTGGAAGGGGTCCGAGCAAGGGAATAAGGATTCGACAAGTTCCCAAGATATATAGTGAGTAGACAGTGGATGGGAAGTATTAGGGGCCGTGGACGTGAACGACAAACAGAGCAGGTGAACCAGATCCGCCCGGCGCAGCACAGAACAAAGCCATTGACCACATCCGAGTAGTCGCATCAATCATCTCAACCCTTCCCATCGATGTATTGGTGAAGTAAAAGAGCAACGTACCTCCAAATCCACCACCAGAGAGCGCACCAAAGCGGTTGCCTGATGTCCCAACTGTGGCTCTACCCGGGTGTTCATACTTGCAGCGGTCTCGATGGGGATTAGCTTCCTCATTCTGGAGCATCCATCGATTGAGAACAGCTTACCACCAAACTTGCACCGGCCCTGCTGGAAGAAAGTGCAGACCACCATCTTAACGCTGTCACCGCATCAATACCCGAGCTTGTCGCGATGGATATCGAGTTGATGGTCGAGTGGACGCGGCGTTTCGGCGACAGAATATGCGAATTGAAGAACCAGAAACAGTTTCACTCCAGGAGACGTCCAATTTATATGTGATTGAAAGTCGGATGAAAGAGATATATGAAACGAAGGTGTGGTTTGGGGCGAGAACGCGTTGGGGACAAAGAGTGAAGCTGTTTTTCGGAGTGTGCTAATCTTATCGGCCGTTGTTATCGCTATCGCGTGGTCACGACACCGGAGGGAGAAGGCCTTCCAGTCGAGTCTCCTCGAGTCTGAGAACATCTATCGCCGTTCTTCTTTCCATCTCTCAATACTCACCTGAGCGTTATAGCTCTGATTTCTGCGATATAACTGAAGGGGTATCTGCCTGTTGGACACCGTGTGACCAACTTAGGTAAAACATTGTATCTCTGACCCGAAATATATTTCCAATAAAAGGCCATTGTCTACCTACTTTACCACCAATGTTATTTTTAGAAAGGCAAAGCACAAACAAAACAAAACAAACACGCCGGAACTCCATTTGCCTATTCATTTCAAGGTTACAGAGAATAAAAAACCGCTCATTCTGAGGTTCCCACGCCACTAGGATGGGTATATGCTTTGTGTGTGGCGCATGCTCTCCCGCAGAGTATCCCAGTTCAGCCCGTCCACCTTCTTGCCGCCGAGTGACTCCAGCTCAGGCCCGAGCTCATCCATCTGCCCAGTTGCCAGGCGCCGCATCATCACTGTATCTTTAGCTCCCGGGAAGGAGCTGGCACCTCCACGCAGCAAGGCATCCTCAAACCACCCTTCCTCATCCTCGCTCAATGGCAGCCCGACGAGCTCCATAGCACGTTTGCTTCGCGTTTGGCCCGCCGGAGTTTTGTGCACAAACTCAACTAGCTGTTCCAAATAACTGCGGCGTTGGTGATCGTCGTATTTACGGGTGAAGTAAAATGCCTCGGTCACGTTGGATCGGCACAGCGTCTCAAAGAAAGCTTGTTGGACCTTCTTAGTAGCCAGAGGCGGAGCGGCGGTGAGATAGTAGGCGATGGCGAGACTGTCGTCGTGCTTCGGAAGCTGAGACAGAGTCAGGGCGAAGAGGATCTCATCGGGGAAGGTAGGAATGAGGGATGGCTCGGCGAGGAATTCGATTGCGCGCTGTGCGAGTTAGAAACGGCGCGGCTGTTCAAGGACGGCGAGGAAGGCATACCCTGAACTCGAGGCGATCCATATTCCACAATCCCTCAATAAATAGTCGATATTTCTCAGGCAAATGACATTCTTGCGCAAACTGGGACGCAGTATCTGGCGCACTGCGACAATCTTTGAGGATGTAATAAATCAAGGCCTGCTTGTGATGGATATCCAGCTCGGAAGAGACAATGTGCTCGATGAGCGAGCGAAGGTCGGCATTAGTCTTCGGTGGATAGACCTTGGTCACTGAAACAAGAGATAGCAGCATGAGTCAACCAGTATTCAATCATCTTGCTTTTTAGGGCCCTTACCTCCTTTGATGCCTGCCAGGCCTAGCAACCGATCGGCAAAGAGCTGGTTCCCTAGCGCCTTGCGATTGGAGAGGATCTGATCGACCACTTTGGCATCATATGAATATTTCTTGTTGAAGCTAAAAATGTGATTGAAATCCTCCCACTGCGCCATTGTGAGCTGCGATACTGGAGAAGTTTGGGCAACTCCAAGGGAACTCGAAGAGCTCTCAAGTCCTTCTCCGCAGATGCGTAATATTACACAAGTATTGTTACAAGGCGGTGAAGGCGTGTTATGAAGGAAGGCAGCACTTTGCCTGTTTTGGCGGAACGTAAACAACCCACTTTCCCGCCTGCACCTCTGTGATCCATCATTCCCCCCCATCTTATAATCATCCCCCTCTCCCCCACTCCTTTACCCCTCGCACCCATGAAGCTGGCGCCAAACTGATCGATCTTTGCGACAACAAATGGCTTCGATCGCAAAAGGTCGGCCCTCGCGACGCTCCGCGCCGCGCAGGAGCTATGTGGTCGAAGAGACCTCTGAATCAGAAGATCCCGGCAATGTAACGCCCACGGCCTCGACACACGATGACGACGATGAAGACGATGAAGATGAGAGCGAGGAAGAACAGGATTATACCCCCATCCCCAAGAAGGCGAAGCGCGCGTCTGGGACGCGGCTGACTCTAGAACCCGTCACACCTGCCACCGTGAAGCCGGCGCAAAAGTCCCGACGGTCGAGAGCATCGGTCGCACTTGCGGAAGAAGAATCGGATGACTCTCAGGCCGAAGACACCGATGAGAATGACGAGAATGACGAGAATGACGAGGGAGTCAGTATCATCTCTGTGGCGGCCGACCCGGACTCTCCTTCGCACCAGGCGGCGTTGAAGCGGAAAAGCGTGGAGCCCGCAGAGGCTGATCCTGACTCGCCTTTGAATAAGGCGGCGTTGAAAAGACAAAGTATGACTCAACCCCTCAAGAGTCGTGGCTCAATCATGCCCATGTCGACAAAGGGCTCACTTCCCACTCCAGAGCCGTCCGCGTCGCCAGAGTCAACTCCAGCGCGCGCACATCGGGAAAGTGTGCCACCTCTGTCCGACATCACTGAATCCGCTATCAACCACCCGTCTCCGTCGAAACAGCCCGAAGTACCCAAATCCCAAATTTCGATCATCAACCCGAACTCGACCGTCCTAGAGAAGCCAATGGATATTGTTTTGAAGTCTAGGAATATGGCGATACCAACAGCCCCAGAAGAACCAGCGGAAGCAAAGCCTCGCATGATCATTGAGAATTTGATTCTGACAAACTTCAAGAGTTATGCCGGCAAGCAGGTTGTTGGCCCGTTCCATGCCTCTTTCTCCTCAGTGGTTGGTCCTAACGGATCGGGCAAATCAAACGTTATTGATTCTCTACTATTCGTGTTCGGCTTCCGGGCTAGCAAGATGCGTCAAGGCAAGATCTCGGCCTTAATTCATAACTCAGCACAGTACCCCAACCTCCCTTTCTGCGAAGTGGAGGTGCACTTTGAACAAGTTCTCGACCTCCCCGACGGCGGCTACGAAGTAATTCCAGATTCCCAATTGGTAATCTCTCGACGAGCGTTCAAGAACAACAGCAGCAAGTATTATATGAACAAGAAGGAAACCAACTTCACCGCGGTGACTACCTTCCTCAAGGATCGCGGCATCGATCTCGATCACAAGCGATTCCTGATCCTGCAGGGTGAGGTCGAATCTATCGCACAGATGAAGGCCAAGGCCGCCAACGAACACGACGAGGGTCTTCTCGAATATCTGGAGGATATCATTGGAACCTCCAAGTACAAGACCCCGATCGACGAGGCTGCCACCGAGTTGGAAACTTTGAATGACGTGTGTGTTGAGAAAAACAATCGTGTTCAGCATGTTGAAAAGGAAAAGTCTGCGTTGGTGGACAAGAAGGACAAGGCTTTGGCGTACATCCGCGACGAAAACGAACTTGCCGAGAAGCAATCAGCCCTCTATCAAATCTACATAGATGAGTGTGCTGATAATTTGCGCGTCACCGAAGAGGCCATTCTCCAAATGCAAGAGCTCTTGAACATGGAGCTTGAGAAGCATGAAGGCAATGAGTCGGGCATCAAGGAACTCGAAAAAGCTTATAAGCGCGGCGTCCGAGAATATGAAAGCATGGAGAAAGAGTCGCAGGGCTTGCTGAAGGAAATGGCCAAGTACGACAAGGAAAACGTCAAGTTCGAGGAGAAGAAGAAGTTCTTGCTTGGCAAGCAGAAGAAGCTGGAGAAGACAATGCAGACCAGCCGTCTTGCTGCTTCCGAGTGCCAAAGCCTAGTCGAGAAGTTCACCGATGATATTGAGAAGAAGACCGACGAGACGACTCAGTTGGAGAAGGAGATGAAGTCCGAGGAACAAGAGTTGGACTCCATCCGCGAGAGCCTGAAAGGCAAGACACAGGGTCTCTCCGACCAAATTGCAGTGAAACAGAAGTCTCTGGAGCCATGGAACGAGAAGATCAACCAAGTACAGTCTTCCATGGCCGTCGCCCAGAGTGAGCTCGATATTCTGCATGAGCGCAGTAATGCCGGCGCTGTCTTGCTGGAGGAAGCCCAAGGCAAGATTGCAACCTTTGAGAAAACCATCCAAGCCAAAGAAAATGACCTCGAGGAGCGGCAGGCTCAGAAGGAGACCTTGGAGGCGGAATTGGAGAAGTTGAAAGGCGACCTGAAGAAGTACTCCGCTCGCGAGCCCGAAGTTCGTGCACACGTCTCCAGTGCTCGGCAAAAGGCCGATGAGGCACGGGTCAGCCTGGCGAGCACACAGAACCGTGGTAATGTCTTGACCGGTCTGATGCGACTCAAGGAGTCTGGCCGTATCGAAGGCTTTCACGGCCGCCTGGGTAATCTAGGAACGATCGATGAAAAGTACGATGTTGCCATTTCCACTGCCTGTCCTGCGCTCGACAATATGGTGGTGGAGACAGTCGAAGTTGGCCAACAATGTATCGACTACCTGCGCAAGAACAACCTCGGCCGTGCGAATTTTATCCTTCTCGACCGCTTGCCCCGCCGTGATATGTCAACCATCTACACCCCCGAGAGTGTCCCCCGTCTCTTCGACCTCGTCAAGCCTAAAGACCCCAAGTTTGCACCGGCTTTCTACAGTGTAATCCAGAACACTCTCGTGGCTAAAGACCTCGACCAGGCGAATCGCATTGCCTATGGTGCCCGGCGGTGGCGAGTGGTGACGCTGGATGGTCAGTTGATTGACGTTTCAGGTACTATGAGTGGTGGTGGCACCCGTGTCGCGCGTGGTGGCATGTCCTCGAAACAAGTTGCGGACACCACCAAGGAACAAGTGACTCGCCTGGAATCGGACCTCGAGGAATTGGAACGGAAGTTCCAGGTCTTCCAGGAGAAGCAACGCAACGTGGAGGCCAGCATGCGAGAGAAGACCGAGGATATCCCTCGCATCGATACCAAGATCCAGAAGATTATGATCGAGATCGACAGTGCCAAGCGCAGTCTCGCTGATGCACAGCGCCGAGTCACGGAACTGCAAGCGGCGCACAAGCCCTCCAAGTCCGACGAGTCACAGGCTGCCGCCCTCGTAAAGCAAATCGAGGCCATGAATAACGAGATCGAACAGCTCAACAGCGAGAAGAGCGGTATCGAGGAGGAGATCCAGGAGCTGCAGAGCAAGATCATGGAAGTTGGCGGTGTCCGTCTCCGTGGACAAAAAGCCAAGGTCGATGGCCTGAAGGAGCAGATCAGCATGCTGAGCGAGGAAATCTCCAACGCGGAGGTCCAAAAGTCCAAGAACGAGAAACTGATCACCAAGCATTCCAAGGCTCGTGACACTTCCGAAAAGGAAATCGGCCAAATTACGGAGGAGCTAGAGAAGCTGGAGGAGGATGTTGAGAACCAGGCCAACGATGCTTCTGGCTGGAGGCAAAAGGCCGATGAAGCCCAGGAAGCTCTAGAGACCAAGAAGGATGAGCTTAAGGCTCTCAAGGCAGAGCTTGACGAGAAGGTGGCCGAACTCAATGAGACGCGTGCCACCGAGATCGAAATGCGCAATAAGTTGGAAGAGAACCAGAAAGCCCTTGGCGAGAACCAAAAACGCAGCCGCTACTGGGAGGAGAAGCTTTCGAGGCTTTCCGTGCAGAATGTCAGCGATCTAGGCGAGGAGCAGGAGTCTACTGAGCTCCAAACGTTCACCAAGGACGAGCTGGATGCGATGAACAAGGAGTCACTCAAAGCGGTTATCGCTGCGTTGGAGGAGAAGGTCCAGAACGCCTCTGTTGATCTCTCAGTCATTGAAGAGTATCGCCGCCGTGCTGCAGAGCACGAGTCCCGGTCTGCGGACTTGGCTGAAGCTCTCTCATCCCGCGATGGCGCTAAGGCCCGCCTCGACGGTCTGCGCTCGGCTCGTTTGAACGGCTTCATGGAAGGGTTTGGCATCATCTCTCTCCGCCTGAAGGAGATGTATCAAATGATCACCATGGGTGGTAACGCTGAGCTGGAGCTCGTCGACTCACTGGATCCCTTCTCCGAAGGAATTCTGTTCTCGGTCATGCCCCCAAAGAAGAGTTGGAAAAATATTGGCAACCTGTCTGGTGGTGAGAAGACACTGTCCAGTTTGGCCCTGGTGTTTGCTCTGCATCACTACAAGCCAACTCCACTCTATGTCATGGACGAGATTGATGCTGCTCTGGACTTCCGAAATGTGAATTACCCTGCTTTTGTTTTTCTGTGCTGCGCTGAACACTAACGCGTTGCCCAGGTCTCGATTGTTGCCTCCTACATCAAGGAACGCACAAAGAATGCGCAGTTTATTGTTATTTCTTTGAGAAATAACATGGTATGTTGCCATCTAAGTCTGCAAAAAGCCGATATATGTACTAATATGATGCAGTTCGAACTTGCGTCTCGTCTTGTTGGTGTTTATAAGGTCAACCACATGACCAAGAGCGTGACAATCGAAAACAGAGACTATATCGAGGGCCGGCAATGACATGACTAGAGGGATAACAGTTGCATGTTTTTCGTTTTTCTGCATCCATGGATATAGGTTTCCGGGCCGGATACGGCTGCCTCTTTTCTTCTGATGATATCATGGGTTGGGCGTCTTGATCCTTCAAAGAATTTCTTTCTCTACTTCCATATCCAGCGGTTGTTCTTCACTTGTAAAAATTTCAATATTGACCAACACCATCAAACTGGACCTGCCACTTAGTGTGGCTTTCGTTCTGTATGTGCCAACATCGCGTTGAACTCAGTGGGTCGTCTCACTATGATTCTCCGCACTGATCACCACGCGAGCTTCAACTAAACCCACTTTTCGGCTCTCTCAATCTCCAACCACGAGCGGCGACCCCAATGTGTCTATCGGATGTTACTTTCTCATTTACTCCGCCAGTGATCCTGCCGATCAAAATATGTCATGGCGGTTCACTAACCCCCACGGAGCACTGCACGCCGCCGCTCCTGGTCTGTCCCATCATCTCTACATGCCGCGCGCATTGATGCGGGGTAATTTCGAGGTAAATAATTGGATCGGTGCGTTCAAGCGATGGATCTTTCACTGGAGCCGTTAGGTCATGTTCTGGGCTACTGCTCAAAATTCAGGGTTACACTAAACGGGAGGTTCAGGGGAATAATCGGTGTTCGTTGCGCGCTGGAATGTACCTGCTATAAGAAGGCTGGGAAAGTGCAATGTTCGCATTCCGCGCGGCTTGATTTTTTTCCCTACTGTTTGAGCGCGGACATAATTCATAGCGAGACTTGACTTCTGATTTGTACAATCATTCTCGTTCTAAGATGCGCCTGTATTCGAGACTAGTCCCCGCCCTGGGGCTAGTGTTTCTCACGGGTACTTCGGCCACCACCAAGGTAGACCTTTCGCAGTATGTGAACCCGCTCATAGGCTCTGAAGGCCCTGAGGCGGGCTCTGGGTTCGGCGGCGGTGATATCTTTGTGGGCGGTGCACGTCCATTTGGTGTCGCTAAGGTTGGAATCGACTCGACGGCGGCGAATTGGAGCACCGCTGTTCTGAATGGGGGCTGGACGCCCGATGGAAATGTCACCGGAATCAGCATGATGCATGAAAGTGGTACCGGGGGCTCGCCTAAATATGGATTGATATCACAGATGCCTTTGACGTCTGTCGACGCCCCGGTCAATGTGCTTGATAATACGACCTATAGCCAGCCAAGGGTGAGCTACTGAGCGAATTTGAGGAAGAAGGAAGAAGTTCTGAAACTGATATTGCCTTGGCTTATAGATTGGCGATGATATAGCTCGTGTGGGATACTATAAGACCCAGCTAAAGAGTGGTGTCACTGTTGAGTTGTCTGCCTCGCGACATGCTGGCATTATGGAGTACTCTTTCCCAACGGGAGAGAAGCATGTGCTTATTGATGTCTCGCATGTATGTGACTCGGCGCATGAAACTCTTCAAGCCTCCAGCTAACAGATTGCTACGTAGTATCTTCCCGGATCCCCTGGAGATGCGAATGGTCAATTCTTTGCTGGAGGAGAGATTCAGATCGAGGACGATGGGAAGGCATATAGCGGTTATGGCACGTACATCGGTGGATGGAATAATGGTAAATGATTGTGCTCACAACTCAAGAGTTGAATCTAACCTCAACATCATAGGTGCTCCTTTTACCGTTTACTTCTGGGGAGAATTTTCAGAAACCCCGGACAACGCGCAAACCTTTTCAGGTGCCAATACGGATCCCATGCCTCGATATCACAGCTTTTCCAACGGTGGTGTTAGCCAGCCGATTTATGGGAACAAAACAAATAAGGTGACGTCAGGACCCATGAACAACCGTATCAGTGTGCTTATGAGCTGGAATAACGGCCCCGCTTCGCATGTTGCTTCCCGCGTTGGCATATCTTCCATCTCCGTCGAGAGGGCTCGCTCCTTTATTGAGAAGGAAATTCCGTCTTGGAAATTGAATGATACCGTGGCAGATTCCGTTAAGGAGTGGAATGAGGATGTTTTCCAAAAGATCCAGGTGCCGCTGGACGATTCAGCTAACATGACCCATGTCCGACTGTTGTACAGCTCTCTGTACTTTATTCATTTGATGCCGTCTGACCGGACGGGCGAGAATCCGTTGTGGGATTCAGGGGAGCCATTTTGGGATGACTTCTACACCATGTGTGAGTGCGTTTCTTTCTAAACGATTCCTCGTTCTAACGGTGGGATAGGGGACATCTTCCGCTGTACCGTCAGCTTCTATCACATCTTCCAGCCCGAATACTACGAGTCCATGATCCGATCCCTGATTGATATCTGGAAGTAAGTTTAAAAAACACTCTGTTATGCTGATTCTCAGTGCCTAACATATACCCAAGGCACGATGGTTACATGCCAGACGGCCGGTCCGGGAACTGGAACGGCCTCGTTCAAGGTGGCTCCGATGCCGACAATGTCCTCGCCGACGCCTACGTCAAAGGCCTCCGCGGTGCAATCAATTGGACGGAGGGATATCTCGCGATGAAAAAGGACGCCGAAGTGACCCCTTACAACACCTTCGATCCAACCGACCTCACCGCCAGCACGAAAGAAGGTCGCGGTGCTCTGGACGACTGGAAGGCGCTGGGCTACGTATCGCAGGATCACAACACGCGGTGCATCTCCCGCACGGTCGAGTATAGCCTGAATGATTTTGCGGTTAGCCAAGTAGCTGCCGGAGAGATGCCGGAGGACAGGGAAAAGTACCTCAATCGGTCTGCTGGATGGCAGAATATCTGGGATGCGAGTGTGACGAGTCTGAACTTCACGGGCTTTTTGGCACCGAGGCTCTCGAATGGAGAGTTCAATAGCAGTGAGTATGACCCACTTTACTGCTACGACTGTGAGTGGTCGTCATATACATATGAGGGTATTCCATGGGGTAAGTACATCATCGGCGATGAGAAAAAACACCTGGAAGCGACCAGCTGACACGACTGTGATCAGAATATTCATTCGTGATTCCCCACGATTGTAAAACTCTTATTGAACTTATGGGTGGCAGTGAGAGGTTTGAATCTCGTCTGGATATGATGGTAAGTGCCCGTGCCCTACAATGATGACTGACCCGGATGACTGACAGTAGTTTCCAGTTCAAACCAAACATGTCCGTCCAGAATCTTGGAGCAAATGGCGCAGGCATCACCACGTTGATGAATATTGGGTACAGAGTCTTCCTTATCATTGACCATTTAAAGTGCTGATTGAATCAAGAAATGAGCCCGACTTTGCTACACCCTACCTGTACAACTACATCAACAAGCAGGCCAAGAGCGTCGAACGATCTCGCAGTCTTGCCAATCAATAGTACGTTTGCGCCGCGGATCAAGTTCCATGACACGAATCCTTACTGATTATTTGAAACAGTTTCAAAGATGCCCCCTATGGAGTCCCTGGCAACAGTGACGCCGGCGCGATGAATTCCTGGCTGCTGTGGCAGATGCTCGGCATCTACCCCATCGTCACGCAACCAGTGTACCTGATCGCTTCCCCCTGGTTTCCGGACCTGAACATGACCATCAATGGAAACAAAACACTGCGCATATCTGCGACTGGTCTTGATGAGGGTTACTACGTGCAAAGTGTGAAAGTCAATGGGAAGCAGTGGACCAAGAATTGGGTTGAGCATGACGACGTCATGACCAATGGCGGCCACATTGAGTTTGAGCTTGGACAGGATGCAACGGCATGGGAGTCTGGGGAGGTGCCTCCTTCGCCGGGACATGTGCAGCTTAAGTAGGAGCACCGTAGGATAGAATGGAGAGGTCGAGGTTGCACCAACAGAACAATCCATGCGTAGTCCGACTATACGTGCGATTCGATACTGGCGTGGATAGGTGATATTGAGCAGCCCACATTATCAGCCTATAGTTATGGGTGCATGTCTTGCATGAGACTTGCAAGTGGACTGGACCGCTTAGACCTCCACGGCCCTGCCCCCTCAAAGTCTGCCAGCCCCATAGGCCGTGGCCTTCCGAGCCGGCCAGCGCTAAACCGCCTTGTAATAGCGCTGACTGGGGATAATTAATTTCCAACCAGAAAGCAGTCGACACGGCCCAGCAACCAATGGCTGCGACTCGCAAATCCAATGTTCCAGGTTTGCGCGAGCGGCTGAGGGGCTGATCGCTGCTTTCCGAGGACGCCAAGCCACGACGTTTCTTTGACGTCAGCGCGGGACAGGGCAAGTTGGATGTGCCCTTGGTTGCGGGTGGTGTTTGCGGATTATAAGTTGTGAGGTTGCTGGCTCATTTCGAGGAATTTCTTCTTGTTTTGTTTGCACTCCCTCTCGTTTGCTTGTGGTGGTCTGTCGCGATTGTCGCAAGTCGTCGAAACTCAATCTTGTTCCGGACCCCCCTCACTGCATTGGCATACCATTGTCTGTTCCACGGGACTAGCCAAGAGGTCTTGGAACCCCTAGAAGAATCATAAGCCATCTGGAAAGGTCCGACTAGATCCCATGGTGAGTCCAGCACTCATTCCACGGCTCAATGCCCGCAATCTGGGCGGCCCGCCGTCCAGAACCACGGCTCCAATCCTATCGAAGATCGACGCTGATTTGACCCTCCACTATCTAGGCCCCCGTCAGCTCTCATCTCGCTCCGCGCGATTCGACCAACTGCCCGAGTAACCTCACCGGTGGCGCGATCGCGGGAATCGTGATCGGCTCGATCGCCGGTACCTTGTTGCTCATCTGGCTTTTCCGCTTCTTGCAATTCCCGTGGGCCGATGACAGGCCCGATGTCGGATATCGGCCTCCCATTACTCGGACCGCAGCTGGGGATGACAGAAAGCGGAGGCGACGATCCTCGAATGTAGATTATTATGTCGAAAAGCCGCGAAGCAGCAGTTCTCGGCGTTATCGCGATGATGTGCGGCGGCCGGCCAAGGTATATTTGACTTGATGGGGCTGGGACTCGGTTGAGTATAAGAAGGTTGAAGTAGGTCCGCATCGATGGATGCAGTTACTTGAAACCTCCAAATAGGTCGTTGGTTTGCTGAGTAAACGGGTTCATGGGAACGGAATACAGGCGGGGGCTTCGAACGAGATACGATAGGACCTGATGACACCTGATGACGTCTAAGTTTAATGAATATTGATGATTATGGTCGTTTCAATGGAGTTCCTTCTTCAGAGTGCTCACAATGGGCTTGAGGCTCTCGTCCTGTTATCTGATTTTTCTCCATGCACGACTGCCCAAAGCGATTAACGTAATATAGCAGATGTACAGCAATTCCGTGTAGAGCGATCACTCATAACGAGCCGTCCTTGAGTGGTGGGTTCATTATCAATCTGGTCCGGAGCACTGGCGGAAGATATATTGCAATCGGCCCCAACGGGTATGGCGCCAGGGCGATGCCGCAAAGCTTCGCCGACATTGATTTGGGTTGGACGAATGAACGGGCTCGGTGGCGGCCTAGCCCAGCTCGCTTGCGCGGGACGAACAGGCTCCATCGCGACGGAGCGAGAACGAGCACCGCGAAGCGGGCCAAATACCGAGTGGGAAATCGGGAAGGGGCGTGATCCGAGGGTGTTCACCAGGATCGGACATAACTTCGCGGCCATGATTGGTGTGGGCGTTCGGGGGAGAAAACGGGGAGTCGGCTGAAGCGAAGGTCCCTGCAGGGGATCGGCTGACCGGCTTACAGTACGGAGAAAAAGCTGGGATGAGAAAAGGGGCAAATGCGGTAGTTATCGTGCCCCGTACTCTATACGTCCTCCGTATGTACCCGTACGCAGTGTTCCGTACTCCTTCCAAATGGAAGGGTGCTGGAAGGAAGAGCTACCCTTTGTGCTGAATTAAGGCGATATGTACGATACCCGCGAAAACCGGGTTTGGTGCACGGATTCGAACCTGTCCAGGAAGCATCCCAGCGAGCTCCGTCCCGAGGACGTGCTGGACCCGGCAGATTTGCCTTTCGCTCCTTGGCCTTGGGGCAAGTCTCGACTGGCTTATCTCGGCATTAGCCAAGCCACTTGGCTTTGTCTGACTCCTGAAAAGCCGGTCCAATGCCGGTCAACCCTACACTAACACCTACACCAACACCTACACCAACACCTACACCTACACCTACACCTACACCTACACCTACACCTACACCTACACCCACGAGGTGCGCCGGAGCATGTCTCAAGAGGGGATGGCGGACAGCCCACGGGGATAGGATTTTCGTACCGTGTCTCCTGATGTTTGGCGGGCCCGCCCACTTCCCCCCCATGTCCCCTCTCTATCTCCATTTCTGTGGCCCTGGATCTGGGTCTTATCGGGGCCCACCATCAGCCAATGAGGGGGCTCTAAACGAGTGCAGACTCGGCGGTCGCGGCGGCCCACGCCCAGATAAAGAAGCACTAGTCCTGATTAAGTCAGGCACATCCCCAAAGGGTTTACGGCCAGGCACGGGGCCGCTAGCTGCTGGCCAGAAACAGTTTAGGGCCTGCCGTTAGCGTTCGGCCGGCCTCGCCCGAGCTAACTACACCGGGTTAGCAGCGAACAAATCATCATCAGCGTGCAAGTGTTCCCCTTACTGTCCACACAAAAGACACCAGACTCCAATCGCCCCCCAAGGCAGCACTAGTGCATAATGCCGCACATCCACTTGCGCGACTGGCTCCCTTTTGCCCCCCCGAACTCTTCCCCAATACTCTCTTTCCCATAACCTCGCTCTCGATCTCCAGAGAAAGCTGCTGCTGGTGGCCTCCCACCTTTCCGATCCTTTTGGCGATTCGTGTCGCACATCCGCTCCTTGATCTTATTCCTCGAGAGGTTTCCATACCACCTCGTGTCCATTCCTTGTTTTCTGGTGTAGAGAGTGCCCGTTCAGCAGCAGTATCAGAGAAGGAACTATAATCGGGGAAACACTGCTAGTATCGAATTTGTTTCTTTCTCTTCGACATGAAGAACTTCGTGAGCCTGGCTGCTCTTGCAGCTTTGGCCGGCTCTGCCGCAGCCCAAACCTTTACCGACTGCAACCCCCTCGAGAAGACCTGTCCCGCGGACCCGGCCCTCGGAACCGAACATACCTGGTGGTTCAACTCGACTCTCGACGATACCATCTGGAACATGACCACCGGCACATTCAACTATACCGCCGACGGCGCCGATTTCACCATCTACAAGGCCAACACGTCTACCCTCCTGCAGTCCAACTTCTATATCTTCTTCGGCGTGGTGGAGTCGTGGGTCAAGATGGCCAAGGGGGGCCGGTATGGTCAGCAGCGTGGTGCTGGAGTCGGACGACCTGGACGAGATTGATTGGGAGTGGGTGGGATATAACACCAGTGCGGTGCAGACCAACTTCTTCGGCAAAGGCAACACGACCAGCTACGACCGGGGCGCGACGTACGTCGTCGAGAATGCGGATACCGAGTACCACAACTACACCACCTACTGGAATTCCGACAGGCTCGAATGGTGGGTCGATGGCACTATCTTGCGAACCCTTCACTACAGCGACTCGCTTGCACTGGGTGGCAAGAATTACCCGCAGACCCCGTGCCGGGTCAAGTTCAGTAACTGGCCGGCGGGTATCCCGAGTGCAGAAAACGGCACAATTCAATGGGCAGGTGGCCTGGTGAACTATGATGAGGCCCCGTTCACCATGTCTGTGCAGCGCGTTCGCGTTCAGGACTTCCACACTGGAAAGGAGTACACATACGGCGACCAGACGGGCTCCTTCGAGAGCATCCAGGTGACGTCGTGAGTACCCTCATTCTATCCCCCTGATCTGATCGACTGAAACGCTAACCACCGCACTTGCACAGCGGCAACTCCACCGCCTTGGAAGAGCTCAACAAGGCCCCTGCCAAGTCCCTAGCCGAGAAATGGGACGATCTTGGCAACACCGCCCATATCGGAATTTACAGTGGTGCCGCGGCGGCCGGTGTTCTGGCCATTGTCGCCCTGGGACTGTGCTGCATGCGCCAGCGCCGGAAGGGTCGCCTCGAACATGCCCTGGATGACTCGCGGCACGCTGCGGAGCGCACCGAGATGCAGAACTTCCAGAACGACTGGAAGCAGACCGAATGGAAGCACAATGGCTACAGCAAGGTTGGCAACTAGTCATGCGAACCATGTTTCTGACCATGTCGTGTTTCCCTATTTCTTTGATTCTGTCTCTCGTCACGACCGGTTCTGCGAACCCTGCTTTCCCTGTGCGCTGTCCCGGTTTCTCAGACGCCGTCATGACTTCGTGATTTGTTGACGGGTTGATCAACTCGTTCGTCACGAGTCCCCTTTGGCTTCGCGGGCGTCTGCGATGGCCGGGGAGTGTAATTCCTTAATGACCCTTTCCAGCCCGCCTCAAGCGGGTTACCGCTGATTCTACCTGCGCTCGTTTTTTCAGGTGGTCCTTTTCTGTTGATATCCATCCTTCGGCTCGTTCTTCATTTCTCGGTCAAAACCCGTGGGCGTTGTATCGTGTTGCCATCTCTTCTGCCTTTGCTCATTGTCAGTGTCCTGTCCAGGACAGCCGTTCGTTCATGCGCGCCGGATCTGTACATATTTCACCATGACACTGGGTTTTTTTCTTCTTCAAAGTGACACCTTTTGTTAAACATGAAAGCCCCCATGCTGCACACCAAGACAATTTCAAGGGATATGGTCACCCTTGCGTAGATCCCGGCCCGATTGCTAAAATTAGTCTCGGGCTCCCCGGCAGGGAAAGCCCCCCTGTAAGATGAGCTCATCAGTAGAACCCATCGGTCGCAATAGCGTCAAAGCCAGTACCTCTAGAACTCCTCAGCCGCATATGATTCGATTTTTGCCCTTCGGTCGGCCCGATCGGTGTTCACTCTCCGTCTCCGACCGCGGTATTCTTCTCCGGGCACCGTCAGACCGGCAGGGGGGATCTCGGCCAGGGAGATTATCTCAGGTTCTAATAAGGGACTTGGCAGTTGCCCCAGCAGCAGATCGCCCACTCGTGCAATTGATTGGCCCTGCGAGAGGCCGAGGCTCATATGTGGAATCAGGCATCGACAAAAAAAAATGCGCGGATTCGGGAACTGCAGGGTGCGAGGCAAAACAGGAGGCCTCTAATGAATGGAATTGGCGCATATTCTCCGAGGCTGTGTGACATGTGAACACTATTCGAGTAAACTCAAAGAAGCAGGAAGGCCTTCAAAAGCCTCGTGTCTCGTCTGAGAATGCACTGAAGGAATCACACGTGTTGCCAGGAGACGGCCAACCACGCTTCCCACATCAAAACTCCCCGCAATCTCACCGCGAATTAGCGGCCTGGCTTGAGATCGGAGTTGATGACCTTTCACTTGCCTAACCCCGCCATCTATTTATCGAACCGTCGTGTCTTTTATTTGAACTCTGACCCTGCGCTCACGGCTGTTGGACTTACCTTGAGATCTGTCTCTCCTGTTCAAGGCCACCGCGATGAGTGCATCCAAGGAGATTCCCATCCCTGGACCCAGGGGGGTTCCCTTTCTCGGGAATATCTATGACATTGAGTCTGAAGTCCCTCTCAACAGCATCGACCTGCTGGCGGATAACTACGGTGAATATTTGATGCTCATACTCCGCAATTAATGATAATGACCTCACCTGCTAATTACTATGCAGGCGAAATCTTTCGTCTCACCACCCTTGGAAAGGCGCGCGTCTTCGTCAGCTCGCATGAACTGGTTGACGAGGTATGCAATGAAGAGCGATTCGGCAAGATAGTCACGCAGGGCCTACAGGAAATTCGCAATGGAACGCACGATGGGCTGTTCACGGCCAACTACCCCGGCGAGGAGAATTGGGCTATTGCGCACCGCATCCTTGTGCCTGCGTTTGGGCCGTTGATGATTCGCGGCATGTTTGATGGTGAGAATAGGAGACGTCTATGGCTCTTGGTGACTGTATCAAAACTAACGCATATAACAGACATGTATGACATTGCGAGTCAATTGGTTATGAAATGGGCGCGACAAGGTCCCAATACGCCCATTAGTGTGACTGATGACTTCACACGCCTGACTCTCGACACCATTGCTTTGTGTTCGATGGGCACTCGTTTCAACTCTTTCTATCATGATGATATGCATCCCTTCGTCGAGGCGATGGTGGGTTTGCTGGGCGGGTCAGCCAACCGGGCTCGTCGGCCCGCTCTCATGAACAACTTGCCTACAAGTGAAAACAGCAAGTACTGGAATGATGTGGCCTACCTACGCAGCCTGTCCCAGGAGCTAGTCGATGCGCGGAAGAACAACCCGGAAGATAAGAAGGATCTTCTCAATGCGTTGATTCTGGGTCGTGACTCTCAGACGGGCAAGGGTATGACGGATGAGTCTATCGTGGATAACATGATCACTTTTCTGATTGCCGGTATTTTGAACTGGGGTACATCCTTGATGACATTGAGACTAATGATGGAATAGGCCACGAGACCACCTCCGGCATGCTTTCATTCCTCTTCTATTACCTGCTCAAGACCCCGCATGCATACAAGAAGGCTCAAGAGGAGGTCGACCGCGTCATTGGCAGACGCAAGATCAAAGTGGAGGATATGTCCAAATTGCCGTACATCACAGCCGTTATGCGCGAAACGCTGCGCCTTAAGCCAACGGCTCCGATGATTGCTCTGCACGCCCACCCCACGAAGAACAAGGAAGATCCGGTGACACTGGGAGGTGGAAAGTACGTCCTACAAAAAAACGAGCCCGTTGTTCTCCTGCTAGGCAAGATGCAACGCGATCCGAAGGTTTACGGCCCGGACGCAGATGAGTTCCGCCCGGAAAGGATGCTGGACGAGCACTTTGAGAAGTTGCCAAAGAATGCATGGAAGCCATTCGGTAACGGCATGCGTGGATGCATTGGCCGTCCATTCGCATGGCAAGAGGCGCTTCTTGTGGTTGCGATCTTGCTTCAAAACTTCAATTTCCAGATGGATAACCCAAGCTATGATCTCCGCATCAAGCAAACGCTCACCATTAAGCCGAAAGATTTCCAGATTAGGGCTTCACTTCGTGAGGGCCTCGACCCGACCAAGCTTAACTTGGCTCTGAGCGACACTTCCGGCGCGCCTCAGGATGCCGGTGTCGCTAACCGGGAGCGAAAGCCGAAGGCCAGCCCTCCAAGTGGCGAATTGAAGCCAATGCATATTTTCTACGGAAGCAATACGGGTACTTGCGAGGCGTTTGCACGTAGACTGGCGGATGATGCCGTTGAGTATGGCTTTTCCGCGCAGACTAGCTCGTTGGACTCAGCAACGCAGAACATCCCCAAGCAGGATCCAGTGGTCTTTATTTCGGCCTCCTACGAGGGTCAGCCACCGGACAACGCGACTCATTTCTTTGAATGGCTGAGTGAGCTCAAGGGTGACAGTTTGGCGGGTGTCAATTACGCAGTCTTTGGGTGTGGTCACCGTGAGTGCCCCCTCTTACAGCACTGGCTTTGCAGAACTAATTCACCATTTTTAGACGACTGGGCGTCCACATTTCACCGCATCCCCAAAGCGGTTAACGAACTCGTTCGCGACAATGGTGGAAATCGACTTTGCGAACTTGGTCTGGCTGACGCAGCTAATTCAGACATGTTTACTGACTTCGACGGCTGGGGCGAGACAGCATTCTGGCCGGCCATCGCGGCCAAATTCGGCGCGGGCGCCGAAAAGACAACCAGGTCGAAGCCCTCCTTGAAAGTCGAAGTGAGCTCAAGTGTGCGCGCATCCACCCTGGGTCTCCAGTTGGAAGAAGGATTTGTGGTTGAGAATAAGCTCTTGACTCAGCCGGGGGTACCTATCAAGCGACTGCTGCGGTTTAAGCTGCCATCGGATATGACCTACCAGTGCGGTGATTACCTTGCAGTCTTGCCCGTAAACCCCAGCACTGTGGTCCGTCGAGCAATCCGCCGCTTTGACTTGCCCTGGGATGCCGTGCTTCGTATCCAGAAGCCTTCATCTGGCTCTTCAAGCCCGCCATCTATTCCTTTGGATACTCCCATCTCAGCCTTCGAACTCCTGTCGACATATGTCGAACTTTCACAGCCAGCATCTAAGCGCGACGTGAACACCCTGGCTGATGCCGCCATTGAAGACGCCGAGGTCCAGGCGGAGCTGCACTACATCGGTTCTAGCCCGAGTCGATTTACAGCCGAGATTGTGCGGAAGCGCGTCAGTCCTCTGGATATTCTGATGCGTTACCCAGCTATCAAACTACCTATCGGTGAATTCCTGGCGATGCTGCCACCAATGCGGGTGCGCCAGTATTCTATCTCTTCATCCCCGCTAGCCGACCCCTCAGAATGCTCCATCACCTTCTCTGTCCTGAACGCACCAGCTCTGTCCGGCCCATCTGAACCAGGTAGCGAACTCCCTGACGAGTATCTGGGAGTGGCCTCGAACTACCTCTCAGAGCTGCAAATCGGCGAGCGGGCTCATATCACGGTCCGTCCATCCCAATCCGGCTTCAAGCCCCCTGTCGACCTCCAGACACCGATGATCATGGCCTGTGCTGGCAGCGGTCTCGCTCCCTTCCGCGGGTTCGTGATGGATCGTGCGGAAAGAATCCGTGGACGGCGTAGTTCTCTCGATGCAGCCGATGTCCCCGAAAGCGACAAGCCTGCCAAGGCTGTGTTGTATGTTGGCTGCCGTACGAAGGGCCAGGATGATATTCACTCCACCGAGCTGGCTGAATGGGCGGCGCAGGGCGCAGTCGATATCCGTTGGGCATATAGCCGTCCATCGGATGGATCGACTGGAAAGCACGTGCAAGATTTGATGCTCGAGGACCGCGTCGAGCTGGTGGATCTGTTTGAAAAGGGAGCCAAAATCTATGTTTGCGGCAGCACTGGCGTGGGTGGCGGGGTGCGGGACACCTGCAAGGCTATCTACTTGGAACGTCGCCGTGAGAAAATTCGCGAGGCAAAGGAGACTGGGGAGCAATTAGGACCGGAGGCGGAGTTGGACGATGATACGGCTGCAGAGCGATTCTTGGATCGGCTGCGAACGAAGGAGCGGTACTCCACTGATGTGTTCACTTGATTAGGCGAGTTTGCATGCTGTGTTCCTCTCTTCTCTTCTTTACCTGTGTTAAGATAGTTTCCAATTGAACGACTTCTCCATTTTCTGCTTGCTCGTGGTGAATTGCAACCAGGCCGGACCAAAAGTGGTGATTCACGGACTGTGCTAGGGCTAGCCTATACCAACCTTCACCTTGAGTTTTTCTTCCCCTATCTTTATTTCCCCATTTTGCGAAAAGAAACAGCCCCAGATCTAGACTTGTGGGGCCAGCCCCCTCACAGAACTGGCCAAGTACCGACAGCCACCCGTGTCACCTATGGGGTTGGACCGAATCCGGGGAAGATGTGGAGACAAGCGGGGAAGAAAGGGAGAGGTTGATCTCTGCCCCATCTTTGGGTGAACGGTTGGATAGGAGAGTATTGGGTTAATAGGGGGTGGGATCCGCGCCTGTGTCGTGGAGACTCGATGATGAAACGGGTTTGAGATCCTCCACACCTCAAGTTTTCTTCTGAAGAGACCCTGACCCCTTTACTTCCTGTCTTCACCCTCAGCAACACTCTCACCCCTGGCCATGGAGAAGGAGGAACAAGCGGCTAGAAGGCCGCATCTTGTCCACAGGTAGGAAGACAATACGAAAAAGAACGCGCGCTGAGTTGTTTTGACTCGGCGAATATAGCCATGCTCACGAGGGCGAGATTCCCGGCACCGTTGATCTCAGCGCCGCCGAGGGCGATGACACAGCCTATGGACAAGCCTTATATCCCGTTCCAGCCGAAGACCCTAACGACCCGCTCCAGGTACGTGCGAGACGGAGACTTGCACTCCAATCGAAATTCTATTTCCATTTCACATACTGATACTTGCTTCCCTGCATTAGTGGCCAACCTGGAAGAAGAATGTCATTTTAGTTATCGTTGCCGTCTACTCTTTTCTCGGCAATAGCTCCCTCACGGGCCCATCCGTCTATATTGGGCTGTATAGCAAAGAATTCGGAATATCGGCAGCGGAAGCCTCTGGATTAATATCATATCCCAATCTTGCATTTGGGTTTGGTAGGTTGGATTCTCTGAACCGATAAATTCCAGGCCTCTGAAGGTTCTTCAATAGGATCGTTAATTCTGGTGCCTCTGTACCTTAAGATCGGTCGGCGCCCGGTGGCGTTGCTGTCTATGCTTATGGTATGTATCATTCATTCTATTTAGATTATGTATGCTGATCTCTTCTAGTTTTTGGCTGGATTAATTGGCGCTTCTCGATCAACGAGCTACACGGGTCTGATGATTGCTCGAGTATTTCATGGATTTGGCAGGTCAGTCAGTCTATTTTTTGTCTTGAACACACGGACTGATGTTAAAAAGTGGAGTCTGTGAGAGCTTACCTGTGCAACTGGTGAACGACATCTTCTTTCTTCACGAGCGAGGGAAGAAAATTGGTTATTACACTAGTGAGTTTGCCAGTGGACATGGTAGCCAAGTTTGAGGCTAAAACGAGCTAGTATGTCTCTGTCTCGGATCGACTGGGCCTCTCTATGCCGGCTATATGCTTGCGGCAGGTTACTCATGGCGACTGTTCTTCTACGTGGAGGCAGCCTTTGCAGGCACCCTCTTCATCATGGCGTTTCTATTTGTTGAAGAATCGACATATTGCCGTCGGGAACGATTGCCAGTTTCAGATTCATCAGCTGATTCAGGCGAAAAATCACAAAACCACATTCAATTGGAGAACGTGACGTCTCCACCTCTGCCTCTGCGCAAGAGCTTCTGGGTGACTCTCAAACCATGGAGTGCGATTGATCCGGAGCCCGAATTCTTCATGACGATGTTGCGCTCTTTTACCTACTTCTTAGTACCAGCTGTGTTTTGGGTAATTACAAGCTACGGTAAGGGCTGCGTTAGGAAAGAAAAACGATGACCTCCTTTGCTAATGCCGTTTTCCAGGCCTTTATATTGGTCTTGGAGCTCTGGCATTCAACTACACCTTCCCTCTGAAGATAACAGAGCCACCGTACAACTGGAGTGAGGTACGGCAGATTCGCCCTATTCCATGTCGTCCAAGCCTAACTCCAAATAGACAAACTCTGGTTTAATTGCGGTCGCCAGCTTCATCGGCTACTTAATTGCTCTCCCGTTCTCCTCTACCTCTGACCGTCTAGCTGCGTACCGCACAAAACGCAACAACGGTATCCGTGAGTCCGAAATGCGTCTTCCGGCACTCTTCCCAGCTCTCCTTCTTGCGCCAGCCGGCCTGGTTGTGTATGGGCTTACTGCCCAGCGCAACCTACACTGGACCGGCTTCTTCGCTGGGGTGGCTATGAACCAATTTGCGTCGTATTTTTACTTCACATTTACGCTGGCCTATGCCGTCGACTCCTACTATGCAAACACATCCGAGATGCTTATTGCGATGAACCTGGGAAAGCAGGCAATTTCGTTTGGCATGGGCTCCTATCTGTTAGATTGGATATTGACGCGGGGCTATGCGACAGTGATTTCGGGAATTTTCGGAGGGGTTGTCCTAGCGAATAACTTGATGGTCATTGTGTTTCTACTGTTCGGAAAGAGGATTAGGAGATGGACTGCTCGATCATGGTTGGGTAAGTTGCATCAGAGGACAGCGACGATCGACATGACGCACTAAGGGTAGGTGAATAACGCGATTAAACCACGATGAGCTTCTAAATACTTTGGCCAGGTGGTGCACAGTTTGAAGCACGACTGCGGTATATCACAAAGATGGGTATGGCATTGTGCTAGTTTACAATTCGTCATTATAGCTATCTGCCACCACTCCCTGCGCCTTTGGGATGGTTTTTATCCTCCCCCTGGTCGCCTTTTCCGAAAAATCAATCAATAGTTACTGGTTCCTCTGATTTCCTCCTCCTATCTACACCAGATTTTTGATGCAGCCAGTCCTAATTACAAGAGAGATGTTCGTGTACGCGCTTGGAGTTTGATTATGCCTACAGTAAGTGTTTAGATCAAACAGGTGAGAATGGCCGTATTTAAGTATGATGAGAATCAGCGAGTCATGCAAATCAGGCCCACCCAAGCCAGCCATGGGTATTCTCCATGGGCGGGACATGTCCATGTCTAGGCAAGGGGTCTAGATCCGCTGCCGCGTTGCTGGATTGGTTGACTTGTTCTGGGCATCTCATCACGTAAGCGAGCTCCTTGCCCTGGAAGGTGGATTGCGGCGAGCATCCACGGCATCAGTGGACCCAATGGAGGTACCCCGCACGATAGAAAGTAAACCCTCGGCTGTGACCCTTTTCCTTTTCCAACTGTGTCGTCTCGTCTGTCTCAAGGAAGTTCAATCTCCTCCTTGATTTTCAGTATGCCGACGGAGACAGAAGACCTTCCCCCTCAAAAGCGATCACGATCACGAATCATACAAGCCTGCATTCCTTGCCACCGCTCGAAGAGGAAGTGCAACCGAAAGAAGCCTTGTTCGCAATGCCTTAAACGCCAGACTACCAAAGATTGCACGTATGAAGCACTGGCAGCAGAGGATTTGGAAATCCTGGAGGGCGGGACCACCTCGGTAGATGCGGAGAACAGGATTCTGCGATCACGAATTACGCAGCTCGAAGCCGTGATAACCCAGCTGCGAGACCGGAACACTGATCCTGTCGATTCACGGAAGAGGCGAAGGACACCGGAAAAGGCTCACGACCAGGACGGGGTATATTATGGTCGTTCATTCTACCTCGGAGGGCCCGCGGCCCCCGATCTCCTGCATCGGATGATGGCTTTGCTTCCCAATCAACCATCAGATCTCTTCTTTGCGTTTGTGGGAGGCACAGACAGCAGCATCCCAGGCAGGAATGAGGGTGGGAGTATTTTACCGATAGGAAACCTGATGGATTGTGGCGTTGACGACCTCTGCGCTTGCCTTCGAAACATCTCTCCCGAGAGCCTCGACGCGATATTAGATAGCTTCGTCGACATCGTCGATCCTCTTCATCACTACCTTCCGATGCCTTGGGTTCTACAGAGGTATGAACGATGCATGAACATAGCCGTCACGCCGGAGCCACAAGAAGCCGCGCTTGTATTCGCCGTGCTTGGTCTGGGGAATCTCGTGGCTGCCAACCCGACGTCTTTCAATTTTATTTCCGCGTCCTTTCAACTTCTGCGGTTGTCCAACTTTCTGACTTCACCATCCATTGATTCCATCGCAACCTTCTGCTTCATCGCGGTGTACCTGCAGCATGAAGGAAAACTGAACGAATATTGGCCATTACTAGGGATGGTGATCCGTTTGGCCCAGTCGATGGGGCTCCACCGCGACCCAAGTCTGATTTCCAGCCTCGATCCAGCGGAGGGTGAAATTCGCCGCAGACTTTTCCATGCCATTGTTGGACAGGAGACTGCATTGAGCGTCATGTTCGGACGTCCCAACGGCCTAGGTTTCTTTGACTGCGCGTTGCCGCGCGATATCAGTGACGCCGAATTGTTTGGTGTAAAGGGTCCGGCAACTGTTCACCCTCACGAGATCTCTTACAACCGATATGCTTGGGAACTGATGGAAATTACCCGTGACCTGGTTACAAGCTCATTGACAACACCTAAGTCGTCGACACTGGCTAGGGAGAAATCGATCTCACAACAACTCCGACAGTGGCACCAGAGGCTACCAGCCTCGCTCAGTTTCCAGCTACCAGGGTTAGCCCTCCAGGATTTTAACGACCAGGAAGAACAGGTGCATTACGTTCAGGCCCTCATCTTACATATTATTGTCAACCACAACGTGCTGGTACTTTATCGACGTCCACTTCTATCTGATTCGCATCCCGAGGCCGCAGAACCGTGCATAGAGGCAGCAATAGCCGTTGCCGAAGGATGGAAAATCTTACAAGACTCGTTCCCTAAGATCGCACGCATCGCATGGATGCAATGGTTTCGAGCGTTCCATGCAGCATTGATATGTCTGGTTGCATTAAGAGCACGAGAAACCAAGTCCCATCTGAAAGTACGAGCGTTCAACTCTTGGAAATCGTGTATCCGAATCTTCTCCAGGATCCAAGATCAGAACGATAGCATTCAATGCTGCTGGCGAGCTTTAAGCCGCCTGGATGATGTTGCCAAGAGGACCGTCAACATCCGGCGCCGGTTGCCCGCCCAAGGTCTGCTGAGAAGGGATATTCAAGACACCTCCTCAGTATTGCGGATTGGTCCATCGGCAAACCAGGAGTTCAGCTCGGACGAGAACTCCAACAGCCCACCAGCGCCCAGCGCCGGTCCAGAGACAGACGCCGCAGACCGATTTTTCCCGGAGGCCAACGGACAGTCATCCCTAACCCAGGCGATGTCAACCAGTTCGCAGGAGACTTATCACATCGATGGGTTTGACCCTGAATACAACGACCTACTACTAGGTTGTGGCCAGGATTTTGATTCCTATATGACCCAGGTCACCGTCCCTGGTGAGGCTTTGGGCATGCAAACCCTCGCCGACTCTGCGCAGTACAACATATTTGATCTTGATGTAGCGAATTGGCCGTTCTGGCTTACGGCTGACCAAACCGCTATGGGCCAGGCGGAGTGAAATTTTTGACTGCGAGAAAACGACATTGCTCTAGCATGTTGGACTTGTAACACTATTAGTTTGCAGCAATTAAACTGTAATTATCCGAACATAGAAAGTTTACAAAAATTACATCGCCAGGATTTGCTCTTGGGTTTGCGTTTCTGGAGTTGGTCCTGTGGAGATATCAATCGTGCCCCCGACCCGGACGTCAATATCGTCCGCCGAAAGCTGATTCTTCACGCCAAATGCCCCGGGCCCATGATCATGGGTGGTGGTTCGTCGCATATCTCTGCGGTTCTTCTGGTCTTGGAACGCAGTCGCTCTATGCATCGTGCACCGATTATCCCATTGCACGAGATCGCCAATGTTCTTCCACTTCACTGCAATCTGATATTGTGGTTGCTGGGCATGGTCCAACAAGGCTCTAATCAGAGATGTTGACTCACTGTCCGCCATGCCGATGATTCGTCGTGCGTGACTCGCAATGTACAGAGTTTTATTAATGCCGTCGGGAGCAACCTGGACGAGCTTGTGGTAGGCTGGCGGGAGTGTCGCTTTCTCCTCCTCGGTCGGTTTCTCGAATTCTTGGGGTGCCGCCAGCTTTCGGGAATGCCAAATCCAGTGCTCTATCACCAGGTTTTCGATTCTTTCCTTGAGGTCATCCGGCAGACCCCGATAGGCTGCTCGCATATCGGCATACTTTGTTTGTCCTCCGGCTGGTGGGAGTTCAACCGCGCGCAAGGCGCTGTAGGATGAGCGAAGCTGGTGGAAAGATGAGTCCGTGTGCCAGAGCCCATTTCCTTTGGTGTGCCACCAAGCACGGCTGAATTGAGGGATGATCCGGTCATCAGGGCCTAGATTTCCTGCGTCATACAGTTGAGGCAGCGAGGATCGCCGAGGCTTGTTCATGGCATGGGCGGTCTCAAGGGCTCCGAAGTTCTTCGAATATCCAACGTGAGTGGCGTCGTTCAACCCCGTTTGGCGGAAGACCAGAACACCCCATCGGTTCTGCAATTGGACGATCTCTCTCACGACATTCGGTGCGAGCGGTCCGGACCAGTCGACTCCTTCAACCTCGGCACCAAAGGATGGACTGATTGGCTTGGCTTGGAGGGTGCAAGCAGCTGCGCTGGCTAAGTGACGCTTCGGCCGCGGAAAGGATGAGTTGATATGGCAGAGGTGCCTCAGCGGTTGCCGAAAGGAAAACATCATGTGTAAAAGACCGGGACGCCCAATGATCTGGGGAATAAGTTGTATGTTAGGCTTCTCCTGTTCGTCATGGCACTAAGCCAGCCCGCTCTTTTATGCGTGCGCAAGTTGCGGCGTTATGAGGTTCCTCCGATCTCAGCCTCGATGCGGCCTTCCTCATGCCCTCGCAACACCGATCAAACAAGTCAAATATTATTCGGAAAACGGCAATGCAGACCCCACCTATCAGCCCCATAGTGTGGGGGGAGGAAGACCCTGCGGCGTTAAGACGGACGTCGTGTGCGGGTGTGTGCCGGGCCCGTTGGTGGGCCGTTGAGAAGGCAATGAAAGACCCGGGTGAGGAGGAGGATGAGATTGGGATTAAAAAGGGGAGCCAAAGGACCTGTAAATGCCCCCGAGAAGCAACAACGCAGTTCCCTAACAACAAGAAAGATGGCAACCAACGGTCAGGCAAATGGAGGCAATCGGCATGGTCGGCTTGCAGGCAAGGTGGCGCTCGTGACGGGCGGCGGCATGGGAATCGGAGAGGCCATCAGCCGTCGGTTCGCGCAGGAGGGAGCATCTATTCTCATCGCCGATATGAACGAGAAAGCAGCACGAGACGTGGCCGAATCACTCGCGGCGGAGGGTGTGAAGGCGGACTATGTGGTCGCGAATGTCACCGCGCGATCCGACTGGGACAATATCGTGGCCAAAATCAAGTCTCAATTCGGCCGGCTCGACATCCTCGTGAACAATGCCGGCACAGCCTATCCTGCACAGTCCTCGCTGACCGTGTCGGAGGCGAATTTCGACAAAGTCTATTCGGTCAATGTCAAGTCGATCTTCCACTCCGTTCAGACCGTCTTCCCTCTGATGATAGAGAACAAGGGAGGCGCCGTGATCAACATTTCGTCTATCGCCGCCATTCGCCCGCGGGGCAGACTCGTCTGGTACAACTCGTCGAAGGCGGCGGTGTCGAATGCCTCGAAGGCGCTTGCCCACGAGTTTGGGGCGGAGGGGATCCGGGTCAACTGTGTCTGTCCGGTCTTGGTGCCCACCCAGCTCGCCAACAACTTTGTTCCTGGATTTGATGGCTCGCCGGAGCAGCACACCAAGGCGGCTCAGCTGTTGCAAATTCCCCTCGGGCGCGTGACTACGACTGAGGACGTGGCCAATACTGCTCTGTGGCTGGCCAGCGACGAGAGCTCCTTTATTACCGGCGTCGATCATCATGTTGACGGCGGGAGAAGTATATAGTCTAGTTATTAGAGCAGACGGATAGCATGAAATATAAGCGCATGGTCTGTAATGAATGGTCTGTACTAAATGATCTGTACTGAATGATTTGTACTGAATCGTCTGTACTGAATGATATCCAATGCATTGTCTTGTCTGTAATGGATGGTCTATATTGAATGGCCTGTACTGAATGGTGTGTAATGGATGGTCTCTATCGTAACATCCTTCCAGTCCAGTCCTTACCATTATCCTGGCGCTCTACTCGTAAGTTGGGCGAAAATGTAGAGTTGAAGCACATCTGAGTGACTACAGTGCTCTATAGTAGATGGTCACAAATACGGGTTGGAAGTTGGAAAACCTTGGAGATGGCAACGCTTCATGAGATAACTACTTCACAGATCTACGCTGCTCTATATCGCCGGTATGGACATGACAATGCTCTTTGTGATCATGAACTCTTTCACTCCCCATTTCCCACCTTCCACACCAAACCCGCTGTGCTTGATGCCACCGAAAGGAATCTCTCCCCCGGCAATGACACCGGTGTTGACTCCCACCATACCCACCTCCAGGCCTTCGGCCATACGCCACACTCGTGCCAGGTTGTTCGTGCACACATAGCTTCCCAGGCCAACCTCGGAGTTATTGGCCATCTTCAGAACTTCCTCTTCGGTATCGAAAGGGTACAGCGCCGCGACGGGGCCGAAGATCTCTTCGTTGTGGGACAGCATACGGTCACTCATGTCGGCGAGGACCGAGGGCTGGAAGAAGTACCCCGTCCGATCCATCGCCTGACCCCCGAACAGGATCCTAGCACCTTTGCCCACCGCATCGTCGATATGAGCCTGGACCTTCTCAACGCCGCGCTGCACGGTCAACGGCCCCACCGTCACACCGTCCTCGAATCCATCGCCGCACTTGACTTGGGAGAATTGGTCCACCAAGAGACGGCACACCTCAGAATATATGCCACGCTGAACGTATATCCGATTGGCACAGACGCATGTCTGGCCCGAATTCCGGATCTTCGCCCCCATCAAGGCGTTGATGGTCGCTGGCAGATCGCAGTCGTCGAAGATGATAAAGGGTGAATTGCCCCCGAGCTCCAAGGAGAGCTTCTTGAGGCTGCTGGAGCACTGCCGCATCAGTAGCTTGCCCACGGCCGTGGACCCGGTGAAGGAAAGTTTCCTGATGTTTGGATCTTCACAGAGCGCCTTGCCAATCTCCGCCAGATTCTGCATCCCCGTCACCACGTTCAACACCCCGGCAGGAAGACCAGCTTGTTCCCCGAGGTACGCGATCGCGAGTGCAGTGAGAGACGTCTCACCGGCAGGTTTGACGATGGCAGTACATCCGGCGGCGATGGCAGCGCCGGCCTTTCGGGTGACCATTGCAGCGGGGAAGTTCCACGGGGTCAGGCAGGCGACAACTCCAATGGGCTGGTGAATGGCGAAAACACGGTTGGCTGGGTTGGCCGACGGGATAACGTCCCCGTATGTGCGTTCCGCCTCGCCGCAATAGAACTCAAGATAGCTCGCCGCGAACGCTATTTCGCCCTTCGCTTCAGCGAATGGCTTGCCGTTCTCCGTCGTCAGAATTCTCCCCAGATCCTCGGCATTCTCCAACAGCAGCTGGGCCCATTTCCGGATGACCGACCCGCGTACTTTGGGGCTGACCTTTTTCCACTGCTCGAAGGCGGCGAGCGCTTGTCCGGAGGCGATCTGCACATCTTCTTGGCTCATCTCGGGGAGCGCTACGATCACATCACCAGTCGAGGGATTGATCACATTGAATGTCTTGCCGGATTTTGAAGCGGTCCATTTTCCATTGACATAGGCCTGTTCGTGCCATAACTTCGGATTCTTGAGCGTGGGCTGCATGGCTTAATCTGATCGAGACACTGCAATTGATAATTGGGAAGAACTGAAAAGAGACCTCAGACTAATCCAACACAAGGCGGGCTTTTCCTAACCAGCTTATCCCCGGGAAAGGTTCCATCTTATTAGAGTGAGGCCCTGGTACTCTCGCCGTTTCTCCGACCTAACCCCGCCGCGCCCACCTGCGGCGTTAGAACGGTCTCCAGTGGACTACATGTAATCACTGGTCCGGTTGCTGAGACTATGAATGACCAGGGTGGATATTTGCAAATTGACTCCGTTCGAGGCCATCGAAATGTCTTTAGATCACCACAACAATGTTAGCGACCAGCCCACCGCCCAGAGTGAGCCAACGACGGCGGCCCGAAATGCAAGGCCGAATTCGATGAAGCAACTGCTGAAACAAGGCAAAGTCGTCAGCGCCATGTCTATCCGGTACTCTCGAGGAGTTGAGATCGTTGGATTTGCGAAAGCTGCGGGGATGCAAGGCGTGCTCGTCGATCTTGAGCACAGCTCGATCGATCTGGATCAGTGTATGCAATTCACTCTCGCCGCTTTGGCTCACGGCATCACACCCGTGGTACGAGTTCCCTCGACAGCATGCTCGTTTGTGGGGAGAGTGCTGGATGGCGGGGCTCAAGCGGTCATCATCCCCCATGTCCGCACCGCGCAGGATGCTTTGGACGCCGCTCGTGCCGCAAAGTTCTTCCCTGCAGGTGACCGGTCTGCAATTGGTGGCCTGGCAGCTCTGCAGTACGGCTCATATCCAACGATCGAGGCGAATATGGCCGCCAACGAGCAGGTGATGTGTATCATCATGATTGAAACCCTCGAGGCGTTGGAGAACCTAGACGAGATCGCGGCAACTCCCAATGTGGACGTTCTTCTCATTGGGACGAACGATATGTCTGCCTGCTTGGGAGTTCCTGGAGAGCATGATGACCCGAGAATTACGGAGATTTACGAGCGTGTCATTTCGGTCTGTCGCAAAAATGGGAAAGCGCTAGGGATCGGTGGCCTGTACGCCCGACAGGATCTCATCGACAAGTTTATCCATATGTCATCTGGGCTTGGGCATTTTATCATGTGTGGAAGCGATCAAGACTATGTTTTGGAAGGTGCTAGACGCACTGCGGAATGGCTGGGGACGTACGATTCTTGAATTATATGAAGCAGGGGGGCTCTGCAGTCTTGGATCAGGATACTACTAGAATAGACTTAGGGTTGTTGGCCTTCTGTACAATACAGTACATACTGGGAACTTTATTGTCAAACCTTTGCTCAGGATCGAACATGGAAAACTGTTCTCATAGTAGAATTTAGAATTTCAGTGAATACGGCAAGTCTCCCTGACATATTCGAGTTCCCTTCAAGCCCGAGACAGAATCATCTGTCCATGGCATGCTTGAGTGTTCAACCGGCCCCAGTGGTCTTGATCATTTTAGCTCCGTGGTCTACTCCTGACATCTGTAACTATCTAGCCATGTCGAAAGGTGTCTCGAACCCCCTGTTAACACCGGTGGTAATATCGCGCCAGTCATCTTGTGGTTGGCCCTATACCCACTCCTTCGCATACGGAGTCATTGAACCACACCATTAGGTCCGGTGAGCATGCACGTGCCTCCGTTTTAACGCCGCAAATTGCCTTATCGTGATCCCACCAAGTCATGGTTGTCGAAGTCTTGTGCCAAGATTTGGCTTGCTGGGACTCGAGGAGTTAACGGGGTTGATAATCCTGGTGATTCTCCCTATACATGAACGAGCAGCCTTCAACGATCGGGCCCCCTCTTTGCATTGGTTTCTTGGGTGGATAGCCACAAATGATTCTAACAACCGCCAAGACGATAGATGCGAAACCCTGGTTCACCAGGCTGGCCATACCTCGTTTCACAACGTACTGAAAGCTTTTTAACCGTTTAGACGAGGTTGACATTCATCCCAGAGGCGATTGGTGTTCCAATCTTCTACTAGCTCTCGCTACTCCTCACCTCTGCGATCATCTGATCAGCCGTCTTAACGCCGCAGAACGGGTAACCCAGCACGCAGCCGTTCCTCATTGGCTTATTCTTTGAACGGCGTTAGCACGGCGTTTGGCAATGATGAGTCATCCACCAAATAGTCTAAGACCTTTCCAGTAAAGCCGCAATCTGGCGAGACCCCGTGGGGACAAACTTTGCGGGGTAGGGCCATGATTCCTTGGGCTCAGGGGGACTTAATTTACAGTTCGGTCTAATAGCGAGGCATATCTAAGCCCACAGCTTTCCTTATGGCGGCTTTTTAGGATGGCCTTTTTGTTGTTGTCTTATTCTCCCTTCCAATTCCAAGATGGGTGTTATCCAGAATCTAAAATTGTGGAAAAACAATGTTACCCACATTGACGAGCACGGCAATGAGGTGACGGAGGAGGTTCCTCGCGTCCTGCCGCCAGCGCCATGGAAAGTGATTGCTCTTCTTGACCGGAAAGCCTGGCTGTATTTTTGTCTGGGACTGTGAGATTGCCTGTGTTTGCGTATCCGATTCAATGGAAGCTGACTCTTTTTGTGGCAGGGCTGCTTGGACAGCGGATGGTTACGACTTCAACGCAGTCAACCTCGTTGCCACTGAGTTGTCAACCGTATATGGCAAAGACTTGAGCAGTATCTCGTTATCCATCACACTTACTCTCCTCTTTCGGTCAGTGGGAGCCGTGATTTTCGGTATCCTCTCCGACTGCTTCGGTCGAAAATGGCCATTGTCGGCAGATCTATGGATCCTGGCCGGTCTTCAAGTTGCTACGGCCTATGTAACAGACTTTTCGGCATTTATTGCCGTTCGAGCCATATTTGGTATTGCCATGGGAGGTATATGGGGGCTTTCCGCAGCAATGTCAATGGAAAACATGCCTGTTGATGCTCGTGGTTTGTTTTCAGGGCTTTTGCAACAAGGTTATGCCTTGGGCTACCTGATCGCCGCCGTGATCAATCTTACGGCTGTCCGCTACTCAGGTGAAGGTTACAAGGCGATCTTTCATGTTGGAGCGGGCTTTACAGGATTAGTAGCCTTGCTAGTCATGTTCATACCAGAATCCCATATTTTTGCGAATGCTGACGGGGAAAATGCTGACAAAATGCCTTTCCGGCATAAAGCTGCTGGCGTGTGGCGGGATTTAAAAGAGGCTTCGCGATTATATTGGAGGATGTTCTTGTATTGCACTGTTTTGTGCATGGGGTTCAACTGGATGAGCCATGGTTCGCAGGGTAAGCAACTCAAGCCACATTTCTTCGAAAACTGGTCTCAACCTACGCACAGATATCTACCCATCATACTTGAAGGTTCAAAAAGGGTTTTCATCTGATCAGGCCAGCGTTGCAACTATCGTCGGCCAATGTGGCGCCATCGTTGGAGGAGCTATTTGTGGTTATTATTCTCAGTTCTTCGGTCGTCGTTTGACGGTTGTGGTGGCTTGCTGCTTCGGCGCTTGCATGATCCCGCTTTGGACTATCCCGAACGCATGGAGCCCAATTGTCGCTGGTACATTTTTCATTCAAGCAGCAGTTAATGGGGCATGGGGCGTTATGCCGATCCTTTTGAATGAGTATGCCCCGCCGCAATTCCGCGGTGTCTTCCCAGGGACGGTGTATCAGCTAGGTACGCCCCCCACCCCCTCCTGAGACGCTGTTTGCCGCTTAACTCATAACTTATCGATACTGCAGGAAACATGCTATCTTCCCCGGCCGCACAGATTTCAACTGTTGCAGCTAGCAATTGGATCCGCGGCACACCCTCGGGGCCAAAACCAAATTACAGTCAAGTTATGACAATAACCATGTGTATTGTCTTCGTCGCCTGTGCCGTGATCATTGCCTGTGGACAGGAGCGGCTGGGAAGCCGCTTTGAATTGGTCACCAGAGCGGGTGCTGTGCCGAAGATCCATCCAGACGACAAAAACCACAGCTTTGAGGAGACCGGTAGAGACGATGCAATTTCTCACAAGGAAGCTCCTAGAACAGTGTATGTCGAGCAGGTTTGATAGCGCTCCGATTGGTACTATATGTTTACCCATTTAATCCAATGCGGCTCGGTTTGTGCATTAAATAGGAAGTGCCTCCGTGGTCACCATATTTTTGAATTCAGCGTTGAGCCGAAACTCAATGAAAAGGTTCCAATAGGATATACCTGCTTTTGTGCCATTTCGGCAAAAATGAATATTGTAAATGGGTTAAACGGAACCGCTTCCTGAGAGTGCTGTGAAGTTGTGCATATTATTGATGATAAACTAATCCAACATAATCTTCAGGATCATTTGCCTTGGTTTCCTTTGTTAGTGAAGCCTTACTTTGTTAGTTTTATGGCCGCATTCTGCGTCGATCGCACTCTGTCAACGTGAACATCGATCGACTGATTCGACTGAGCTTAGATAGACGAAATTTTACTGTAAGAGGAGACTAAGTGGAAGCATCGAATACAACACTATCCTAGTTATTGCATTTGCTTTATTCACAGTCGTGTTTGGCCCCCTGAAGCAAGTACCAGATCCTGCCAAGACCCCCTTGATTCCGCTTTGGGATGAAAACAATACTACACTTTCCACCCCTTCGATGGGACCGCCATTTATTATTTGTAAGATACTACGGTTGCCGTAGTCGCCGCATCCACATCATAGATCAATCTCACGACCTTGAGATGTTCATAAGAACGAGGCTTTAGACCTGATTATTTTACCAAGACACAACGAAAGCGATCCGCGGAGATGGGAAGGCCGGATTTAGAAAAGATCCACGAGGGGTGTAACGTATGAATGACTTTTGCAAGAAAGAATCATAAGACGGCTTCCGGATTCGGAAGGGGGTGCTTGAAGAAGAGCAATCAATTTCGTCGAATTTACTCTCATCGCATTGAGCACAAGTTTTACCCAAAAGTCAAGCTCAATCATCTATCTGCCATTCCCGAGGCAGCAAGTCGTTTCAAGACAAGGATGAGACCTGCCCTTCTCTCTTTGGCATTTGCCTTTGGCCTAACGATAGCCACCCCAACCAAGGAACAAGAGTCTCTTCCTCAAAAATTGGCTGATTACCAGGTAGGATTGCACTTGTTGAGAATCGCAGAAGACACAAAATTGCCTGTGCTAGACTCAGTTCAAATCTCTCCCATCAACTCGACACTGATGAATTTGATATTCTAGGATCCTCTTGTTCGCAGACTGATGGCCACTTGGACGCATGGCGGAAATGAACAAACTAAAATCCCTGTAAACTCACCAAGCCCGAGAATCCTTCAGACCCAAAACTGACGCGGTGGTAAACAGCAAGGCTTAGACAAGTCATCATGCATTTACGATAACGCTTATCCAGAGTTCCGGGCAGAAAATAAAGTCCATTGATTATACACCTTTTATAAACCAGCATGGATCCAGCGAGTATGCTCATATTTACGTCTAACAGGATTGTTATTGGACGAAAAATGAATACGAATGAAGATAAATTTCAATGCAGCATTGTAGAGGGCCAGCGAGGAGACACCGCGATGGGACTCTCTAGAAGAGCCTTTCACAACCAGAAGTTCCGGTCCGTATAAGGAAACTCGCACTTTGTACACGACAACATAGAAGACAGGTGAATTGCTCTATGCTAGATGCTCGAAAATCCTGGTACATTCATCTCAATTGAGCGATCGAAAATTTTGTTCTTCTCTATTTCTTCTTATTTTCTTCCGTTTGCGGCGGTCCTTTCGGAATGCACTGGAATGCGTTAAGGTTTTCAGAGTTCGCATATACATTCCTGGTGGTGGCTAACATTCCAATGATTACAAAAATATCCCAAATCCCTTCAAACATGGTTTGGTTGGATCTGAAACAGTTTCAATAATCTTGAAACGCAATATTCTAAACAGACCTAATTCTGGGAGATTTAACTCGCTCGATCTACATATCTAGCAACCAAATGTTCCAGTCATCACGACGCATTACAAAATTTCCCACATCTACAAAAGTTCATTGACATCACAAAGTTTATATCGTCAGGTTGATATGCCGTTGGACTGCGGTAACCCGTCGACACCAGCTTCAGTCATCGGGTGGTCAAGAAGGATGCTGTGTACCATTCCCTTCGGCGATAAGACGTGATAATAGATATTGAGCGACATTTTCATAATAATAATGTCGATATCCATCCACCAGACCCATTCGGCATCGGCGAAGCGAGCAAACAGGTGCTCACCACACAGCCGAGGAGAAGTGTCAGCCGCTCAAGGACGTGAGAATGCCTTGATCCCCATTTCAAAAACGTCACGACCATCCCCATTTCAAAAACGTCACGACCACTAACCCGCAAATAATGTTTTGTTGGTTAATTCACCATCCTCTCATGAATGAATTAGCCGGTCAGCTAGGTCGTGTTCTGCAGAGCCTCAACTCGGGCGGGAGCCTGTGCGATCGACCAAAGTCTGCCGGTCATGATGCGCTAGAAAGTCTCATGGAATGAGGAACAGAAAGCAAGTTTTAATTCGAGACAAAACTTTAGTGATTGATCTTACAGTAGTAAGCTAATGCGTTGTGGTTGAGGTTACACTCTTCACCTTCCGCATCCGGTGAAGCCCTGGGATTGTTATCGGGAGAAAATATAATAATTCGACATTTTACCACAGGGCAAAGACGCAGAAGAAATTCTGCGCTCTGATATGGCGTGGCCTCCCTAATGTGGTCTTTCTCGTCTAATTTCCTCATAAACAGGTAGTTTATCTCGAGGCTTTTGAACGATCATACATCCACATCAAGGGCCGATGCCCCCAATTGACTAAACAAAGTCACGGTCGGTGGGGGCAAGGGGCCAGCCGCTTCCGGGCCATGGCGAGGACAAGCCCTGACAGCGGATCGACAATCGGGTAGATCACAAATGCGAAAAAATGGAACCTGCATTCGTTTCATTTTGTTTTTGGAGTACTCCCTTGGGAATACTCGTACTTAGAGTATGATCTGTCTTACCCCATATTCCATTTGCCATCTCCATCCACCTTGTTGTCTCTCCCTTTAATTCCAACTATCCTTGTCCATGTTTTCGAGACCGCGACAATGAGCTTGGCAAGAGTGACGCGCAGAGGTCGCATCGTACTTGCGCTGCTTCTTTCTGCGGTCTCTATCTGGTATTTGGCAACCCGGAGTGACTTCAAGCAGAACTACCCGATTGAAGATGCGCAACGGTCGTATACTTGCCAAACGAGCGAGCATATCGACTTTTGGCGCGAGTTTCAACCGCTCTTACTAGCATTTGAGCCACAATGCAAGCCTCCACGACGCCTCGGAAATGCGCCAGCAAGTGGCTTCAAACCCTCGGACCCAATCACCCGACCAGAGCTGTTGAAAATGCCTTCCAAGGACGTGTTGATAATGAAAAATGCACACAGCGACTTTCTCAAAGCCATCGACACGGATACTCCCCAGCTATCTTATATTCCAGATACCAAGGGCTTGGTGACCACCGCAGGAGGTTCATATCTGCCAGTCTTGGTGGTTTCGCTTCGGATGTTACGTCGCACGGGCTCCAGGCTGCCCGTGGAGGTTTTTTTGGCCACACATGACGAATATGAAGACAACATCTGCGATAACGTCCTGCCTTCGCTGAATGCAAAATGCATTGTCATGTCAGACATTATCAACGCAGCGCCAGGCGCGGTAAAGATTGAGAAGTATCAGTTGAAGCCGTTCGCCATGCTCTTCTCCTCATTCGAGGAGATATTGTTTCTTGATGCCGACGCCTTCCCAATCTCCAAGCCTGAGACTCTATTCCAAAAGGAACCCTTCAAAAGTACGAAAATGGTTACTTGGCCGGACTTCTGGGCTTCATCCGCGTCTCCCTTTTATTACGAGATCTCCTCACAGCAGGTTGTCCCGATGAATTCACGACAATCAACAGAGTCGGGCGAAGTGCTTATCTCGAGGAAGACCCACCTCAAGACCCTTCTTCTTTGCACCTACTATAATTTTTGGGGACCTACACACTACTATCGTCTCCTCTCCCAAGGCGCAGCGGGAGAAGGGGATAAGGAAACCTTCATCACGGCAGCAACAGCCCTGGGTGAACCTTTCTACCAGGTCCGCGAGTCCATTTGTGCCATAGGACACCAAACCGCAGGCGGTATTGCGGGGTCAGCAATGGTGCAGTTCAATCCCATCGAGGACTATAAGCTCATCCAAAAGGGGGAATGGCGTGTAAATGGGTCAAAGGCCCCAGCTCCGCATCCTTTCTTCATCCACGCCAATTTTCCGAAATTCAACCCGGCGACTGTCTTCTCGAAGAAACACGAAGTCAAACCCGCCTTCAATGATGACGGGTCCTACACACGGGCCTGGACGATACCGGAAGAGACCATCCATGCATTCGGTCGCGACGTTGAGAAGCAATTCTGGGCAGACATCCTTTGGACAGGTTGTGAGCTGGAAACCCAATTCGAAAGCTGGAGGAACAGCACTGGTGTTTGCAGTGGTGTGAAGAAGTATTGGCAAGCTCAGTTTGGATCGGAGGATCCGAGCAGCGTATAACACGGTGCGATTCTCAGAGTAAGAGGTTTTTATGGAGAGTAGATTAATCTAATCAGGAATGGGACAAATAGTCCTCAACCAAAAATAATTCATATATCATGTCTTCATGTTGATCAAGAGTTAGCGTGCATCTTTGATGGTGAGGCTTGCTCATGGAGACCAGCTAGTATGAGCACGAGCACAATCATGCATCATATGGCGTGGGCTTTCTCACGAGGTAAATCTGGCCGACGAGGACAGTACACCCAACGGCCATGGAGATAGCAATGATGGGAAGATTCACGCGTGCAAATTCGATACTACCGACGCGAATGTGCTTTCTTCCCAGAATGTCACGCCACAAGAGGCCAGCTAAAGATGCGCTGAACGCCGTGCTGAACGCGCCATAGTTAACACCGATGGCCATGCTGTATACCGAAGCCCAGAAGGTGCGATCGCTGATGGGAATTCCGTTGATGCGGTGGATCTCTTGCCACGCTTGAATGACACGGGAGAGAAGAATTGTTGTACCGATATTTGTTCCGGCGAACTGTAGGTCCACAAGGTGGTTCTTTTAGTCGAAGATCGATGAAGATGTTACATCGGTGCAATACTTACGTTGCAAAGAATGACGGACAAAAAGCCCATTCCGCCAATCGCCCCCACCGTTCCCGTTTTCTCTACCCAACGGTCCCATCCATAGGCGAAGACCGGCACCCATCCCTTGGTTACGAGCGCCTGAACAAGGACAAACATAGACAACGCGAATGGAATCAGCGGGAAGGGCATATGCGAAACCACGGCTGTGACAGTTGGAAATGTCTCTTGTAGCCACTGGTAGAGGTCTGTGACAAGCGATGCTAGAGTTTGTGGCGAACTTGCCTCTTTTCGAAGCCCGGTAGTTCGTTTCTCCTCGTCTATCGCGTTCACAGGTGTCATATCTAAAGGTTCGGGCGATGTGCTGAGGTATGGCTCCTGGGGGCTAGTCATCGTTGCAACAGGTATTGCAGTCTTTGGAAAAGGTTCGGAATCTGCCAGGCGCTTTTCAGAGTGGCTGCTACTTTCGGGAGCACCAACGGAGATGTCGCCGCCATCCACCGATGTCCACAAAGAGTTTCGTAATGAAAGCCCGAGTGCGTCAGGACGTTCGTGGCGAGCGCTAGGTGAGTCAATCTGCTCTTGCAGATTTAGTTTTGAGTCTTGGCGTTCCTTCTCGGCTCTAGCAGCTTCTACCTCTCGTCGTCCCTTAGCTGCAATTTCGCGCGTCTCGTGTCGATGGAGCCAACCAGACGCGAGATCCCAGCAGAACATGATGAAGGCAGCAGGTAAAGTGACCCAAAACACGGGGTGCGCGTGACCAGAACTACTTGCGGCGTTCAGCGCAAGGAGGGTAATAAGAGTGGCGGCCATGATGACCGCACCGAACGCCGCGCCTCCTTTATCCAAGAATGGATTCATAATTTCTTCGAGGGAAAGCAGTTTGCCATGCTCGTTGTTAATCTCTTCCTCTTCCTCGGCATTACCTCTGGCGTGCGGAATGTTGGGATTCACTGGCTTCCTTGCTTTGGCTTCATCAGAGAGCTCATGCATCTGAATGGAGAACGGAATGAGTGAGACATCGGCAAAGATGATATAGAGCAGAAACGGGAAAATGACGATAGCCGTTACTACCACCGGGACAATCATGTTGGCAGTGTATACGATAAACTTGATGTTGAAAGCACCTGCAAGCACTAGGTTGGTCGGATTCGAAGAGACCAGAATAGCAGATGCAATATTGGCCACTGCAAACTGGCTATGAATCCAAGCCCTCGGATGCACAATGTTTCTCGACACACGGGTCATATAGGCGAGGAACGCTGTGCCAGAGAGAATGATGGGATCGTTACCGATGAAGCTGCCGAGCCCAAAGAAGAAAGCGTATAGATAGAAGAACAGACGGTGGCCCACGCCGCCTCCTTTTTGAAGCACCTTGAATGCTAGCCATCGGATAAGGCCAGAAGCATCGATTGAAATGGCAATATAGGCAAGCGTGAGGAAGAAAGCCATAATATCGATAGGAATAATGTTGTCAGCTCCGAGCGTTCCATCGTGCACCTCTTTTCGGCCAATTGCCAGTATAGCTAAAAGAAAGAGATCTGCAGCCAACGGCGCAGTCACGAAGTTGAGAGGGAAATTGAATCGCACCAACAGACTTTGCTTGTCTTGGTACCGTGGGTCGAGTTTGCGGGAAGGTATTACGCGCAGGGCACTCAGGCCATCCAAAGTCGCATTATAGAGCCATCGAGGGATGTATATGGGAATGGTGAATGGAAAAAGCACGACGATATCTATCATGGTAAGGGAAAGAAAGGGTATTAGCTTCGAAGGCTCGCAGAACTCCATCATGTTCAAACTTACTCGTTACCACAAAGATAATGAGAGTTATAATTGACCGCCAATTTTTGATTTTGCTGGTGTCCAGGTCTTCGGCCATTTTAGGCCTGTTCCCTCCGTCCTTCGGGGGTAGCGAAGAACACGAGAGGAGTTTTCGGTAAACTTTTCAACAGCTGGGAGGTGAGACATGCGCGTCCACAATTCCTACTCGTGAAGAGGTAGGATCATGGTTAGTTTTTGAGTGCGCTTTAGCCGCTGTGTGGCATGATCTTCAAATACCAGAATGCATAGGAATTGAAAGCCTCGTACGTCAGAACGGTCGCTCCGCCCAGTGCAGCATTTGTTGGCAACGATAATTCCGCACAAAGGGGTCGCGTGGCTGTTGTCTCGATCCAGAATCCAGGTCTATCTGAGCTGCGTGTTGATATTTGTACAGTATCGCCCTGACTCGTCTGCAAAGAAATGGACGCAGCCTGGGGAATGTGGGGAGCTCGTGTGATGTATTTCCCACCCTAGTCGCATCCGCAAGAACGATGTGCTGAGGGGTATCCGCCTGGCTAGCACAACAGAAGGCCTTTAATATGATTAAAAACCTTTTCACTTGTGGCTCCGGGAGCAAAAATCGGGTATCATCAGCCCTTCTGGGCTGTGTAGCAGCAAAGGTGTGACGAGCCTGGCGAATCAAAAATTGTCCCTGGAGATTATAAGCCTCAAGGGCATGGCAGCAATCAGGTATTCCCAGAACGGCACGGGGTTACTAGACTCGTTGTGATTAGCCTAAGTTGTGCGCTCCAAGAAACTGCGCCCCCGTGGGAAGACGGTGAAAAACGGCCCAAAGCCGATAAGAAGCCAAGACAGAACCCCGCACGGATCAGGCCGGCATCCACAGGCTCCGTTTTATTGTCGCACGATGGAGTACTCCGTAAGTACTTGAAAACAAACAAACAAACAAACAAACAAACAAACAGACAGACAGCTGAGATAGGACGGCTTTGAAGGTCGAACTATCCAAGATACCGCGATTGCCTCCACGAATTTTCTCAAAGACACATATGACCCTCTCTGGACAGCTGGAGGTGGAAAAAGCGCCCTGCAGACACAGCCACCGCACAAGATGTGGGCCCTGCCAATCAGGAAGGCCGCAAGGTGCCCGGTCTCGTATTCAGCGCCCGAGCAGCAACGGGCACCTGCAATCCATCACGGGGGCAGTTTCCATATTGAGGGAACTTCCCCAGTCCAGTTGATCTCCCGATAGTATGCAATCTGGCTACACCGGGTCTGAATCGAGGAGATGAGGCTGTTGCTGACCAACGTCAGGGAGGGTCGTGCCGAACGCTACCAGCGGGGCTCAACCCGGGGTAAATCATGCACGAGTACCTCTCGCACCAGGATTTCTTTATTCCGCATTTCCCCCCGGCTTTATACCATGACACTAGTTGGCGGATGAGGTCGTACCTTCCAGATCAATTTTATGACCCTGCCATTCCTTCCCTTGCCTCCACTGTCCCCCAGCGGCGGATGAATAGTTAGCTAGCATGCCAGCAGTTCCCTCCCCGATCGAGCTGCTAGAAAACACCCTTGTGCACCGCAGCACCAATCTACCGTCCCACAATGCGACGGACCAGGTTTTAGAAGTGGTTTGCGCCTGGCCAGTTTCTGGGCAATATGGACCCGGAACCAGAGTGCTGTATGCCCCCTTGCTTGATCTCCCCAGCCAGTCTAATTCGAATGGCATCTGATACGAACTGCAGCTACTATGCTTTGATGGCAGCCTGTGTTTTTGCTCGCAAAGCGGAGTGGATCCGCAGTGCTTGCCTCGCTGCTGCATTACTCTTTCCTGCTGTGGCAGCTCTCCATGGAATTGTCCTAGCGGCTCTTCATCAAAGCGGTTAGTCGCTGATTCTGCACACGGTAATCGGATTTGGAGAGGGTTGCTCTCCAGCGGCTAAAGCCAGGGACTGACCGTCTGACAGGAGCCGTCGATATGGATGTTTATGGAGCCTTTCAACTATGCACAATCGGAATCCTCACCGCACCAGTCACGGTGAGGCTCTCTCGAACTTATTTCAACAACCCCGGTCGGGAGATAATCTTTCTCTGGACGGGCCTTCTTCTCGCTGGGCTTCTCAGTTTGACCGTGGAGTTCATTCGCCTCGATGCTACGCCCTGCCCATCCGATGACCCAGCCACAATCGAGTGGGCCGCAACAGCGACATTTTCATACAATAGCACCTGCGGCATGGTTTGCGGAGCAGGGGCTCCGTCTTCACCGTTACGGAAGAGCGCGGCCGACAACATCTACGTGATTCCGGTCCCCCGAGTACTCACCTTTAACACGGCTACACTCATCGCAGCAGCATGCTGCATCCCTGCTATTCTGTCAGTGGCATCGACATGGATGAAAATCCTTGAGAAGAATTGGGAGAAGATATCTCACAAGGATCGTCCGAATGAGAAGCCTGAGGAACAACCCATTGAAGGCACAAACGGAGCTACTCCCAAGCAGATGAGTGGGATTGCCAATAGAATACGAGGCTGGTTAACGCTAATCGAGATTCCGGTGTTTGTTGCGGCAGTCATGGCAATTTTGATCAGGGGCGAGATGAACTTCTTTAGTAAGCCCGTGTATTATCAGACTGAACCTATAGCCAGTATTGGTAAGTGGCCCGCAACCCAGCCCCTATCTCTTCAAATCCGAATCTCGAGGTCCAAATATGACAGAAACTAAGACAATTCAAAATCCTAGGCCAATGGGCACCAATTGTCGGTACAGGACTTGCCGTGATCGGATCGTTGTATCTTCTTCTCGCAGCCGATATGGAAGCCGAAGAAAACGAAGAGAACGAACCAGAAATGCAAACAGACAACCATCTAAATAGAGGCCCGGTCAGGCAATGTGAAAGATGTGCTACATGCGCCTATCCCACCTTGGATGGAGACCAAAACACCATCCCAGATTCACGACGCAGCTCCCAGAGTGACGGCGAGCAACCCTCCTCCACGGAAATCGCGAAAGCGGCTACCGAACCTTCTGTCTCCTCCGCCATGCGGCGCGCTACCACAAATCAATCCGAAAAATCCATCGATCCAGGCGGAAGGCGACAAGTGGCTCGGCTTCTGAATTTGGCGAGTAAGCAGCTTGCTGCGAAAGCGCACACTCATATGGAAGATTCCGGATTCAATGCTCAGGAAAGAGCAAATTTTCCAGAAATTCCTGGAGAGTCGTTTCGAAATGGCAAACTGTCTGATTTCCAGAAGGCTTACAGCAATACTCCCTTACCTCGATCCAGAGCCGCCAGCTTCAGTCATAGCATCAACTCCGACTCTTCCAATGGCGAAGGTAGTTCACGGATACTTCAGGGCCCATTGCAGCATTTGTCGTTGCCAGTTCCACCCCCCGCACGCACAACCGGTCTCCGGCCCCACGCAAATACCCTACCATCAAGAAGAAGTTCATTTGAATCGACAGTCACGCCCGGTATCGGAATTTCATATAGAAACGAACCTAAAGGGCCAGATAGTCCAGTTTTACCACCACCATCCGAACAACAGCTTGCGAGAAATGCATCAAATGCATCTCAAGTCAGTCCGCGTACATCTACCTCCGGCGCTCAAGATGCAGCCCCTCAGATAGTTATTTCGTCATGTAAAGGAGAGCAAAGCGATTTGGGCTGAGTCAAGCTTTTTCGATTGGGTGGCGAGCTGCCAAATGTTTATTAGGAGTGATGAACTAGACCCGCATAGGGGAGGGCGCTTGCTAATTCGTCCTTAAGCCTTTTTGTGATGCAACTGCGGGACAGTATGCGTGACACTGAAGCGAAATCCGGGTATATAGTGGAATGTACACATAGACTTTGTTTCGATATAGCCTTGTAAATAGTAGTACAGCTAGAACCGATTGTCTTGATCTTGACGATGTTTTACCACAATTAGCTTGAGAAAGTGGGGTCATAGGGCGAAATCACATCTAATCTGTCCGAAGAAGTGGACCTAGTTGACTTCAAAGTTACATTTTATAATCTAGTCGATTGCTCCAAGGAACTTCTTAATCACCATTGGATGTTCCTCTGCAACACAGTGCAGCGACCAATTCGATTTGATATAAAAGCATATTCACATTAATTCAAGCAAGGGTAATTCTCACGAGCCAATTCTCTACCATCTCATCAAAGTTTGTACTATACAGCCACGCCAAGTCAAACGGTTTAGTTTCCCAGTCTGAATGGGCCGAACGAGGATCTTTTGGCATTCTCCGCGCATCAATTTGCGCATTGAGATCTAAAACCCGGTCAATTCTTTCCTGACGACCCTGTTGCCAAACCTTCAAGCCTTTTTCCAGGCTGTTCTGGCGGCACTTGGAGATAATTAAAGAATAAGTATAAACATCTTCAAAGGCCTGGTTGACTCCCTGTCCAGCGGTTGGGGGAATAGCGTGCGCCGCATCACCAAGGATCACCACCCGAGAATACTTCGATGCCCAGGTGTCAAGCTTGGGAACCACATAGAATGGCCACAGATTGACTTTATCCAAGGGGATGTGGGAGACAGACGACTGCACGATCTCGGGAAAAGTCTCTGCGCCTTCTCGCAAGAAGTCCACACACCACTGCTTGTCGCTCAGAAGCCTGTTCCATCCTTCGCGGTCCAGATCAGTGGCCTGCTTCTGCTTGCCGATCAGGACCTCAGATCCATCAGATAGTTGCTTCGCGATGACAAAGGCTCCATATTTGGGGTTCATGATGGTTAAAGGCATTTTGAATGCATCCGCAGATTTGATCTGGCTTGTGAGGACAGCAGCAGTGACACCCACTGCATTGGTGAATCGTGGCTCCAAGTTTGGATACAGATATCTTCGGACTCGCGAATGGATGCCGTCGGCTCCAACAAGGCAGGCAGCCCGACCAGTGTTGCCGTCCTCAAATTCCCAGGTAACTTCCGTCTCAGTCTCTGTCAGGATTCGAACGAACTTCCTGCCGTACTCGATTGGAATACCATTCTCTTTGACAGCACCAAGAAGCACATCGATCAACTCGTACCGGTATATTCTCAGCGCATCGTACTCGTATTTTTGCCGATCTCCAAACTCATAAGAGTCGAGTAGCTTGTCGGTGTAGAAGTATAGACGGGTAAATTCGAAGCCAAGTTGTTTTATTTTCTTGTACACACCAACGGCATCGAGGACACGCAGAGCATTTGGCGAGAGCATGATGGCACCACCTATGTCGAGGGAGGCTGAGCGTGATTCGTATATAGTACATGGGATGGATTGTTTGTGCAGAGCAAGTGCGAGTGCGAGGCCCGAAAGGCCAGCGCCAATAATTGCAACTTCGTTTGATACCATTTCAAAGCGTGAATGAAGCAATGAAAAAGCGTGATCGGATCGTCTTGTCTCGTGGCCTGGGTGATCGCGTGTCCGGTTGTAGAATTGTGCTGATGTCGATACTGCACTGCTGGCGAGGATTCTTGAGCACTTATATAGATTTCTGCACCCATTCCTTCATATAAAATCTTCTATGCTGTTTGGATTTGTCACTTGTTACTATCTCCGAAATGGTGGTGAAGGCTGACATGGATTCGGATCCGGTCCTCCGGGTCCGAATTCGGGGTCCGAAGACAGGCGTATCTGAATAACCAGGACCCGCACGTTTGTGCTGGCATTTTATCCCTATTTAGCATAGAATAGATGGTATATAGAAGCGATGTCATCTATTTCAACCCCCAGAAAACGGACGGGATTCATTCCATGACACTCTTAGCCTTGATCTATCTAGTTTAATGAGTTTGGCAGTTGGTTACAGAATCGTCCTCGCCCCATGCAAACAAAGTCAAGCGCTCCAAAGAAAGTAAAGAAGGAATAGTGTGGGAAGTTGATAAGCCCTGACATGTTTAATGTGATCTCCGCTCTAGTATTGCTTCAAAGTGGCCTCCCATCGGCGCAGGAAGTTGATGCGGGCATCAGACTTCGACAGAGGACCAGCACCCCAAGAGTTTCCAAGCCACATGGTTTGCTTAGTCTCCGTAGTGGGTGGGAAATAGGTCAAGCCATTTCCGTTAGGGTTTCCGGTCTTGATGAAGTTGGCCCAGTACTCGGACATCTCGTCCTGAATCTTGTAGTCGCGCACAGTCCATGTGACATTTGAGTAGTCCGAGTACGGGATGTTGTTGAACACATACCAGAGCTCGCTGCCATGATATGCCCCAGCGGAGGGATTCTCGGCCGGTGTATGAGTCCAGTAGTACGTGTAGACGTTGCTCTTGGCACCGCCCGCAGCCCAGTCAACAGCCCAGCGCCAGGTGCCGACTCGGCTCAAGTCGCGGAATAGCTCGTTGCTGTTCTCGTTTGCTTCGGTCACGTTGTTTGCCGGGTAGAGAGTGAAGAACTCCTCAGCAAACTCCTCGAACATCTCCGAGTATAGCTTTTTGTATGAGGCGACCGTCATACCAGGATCAAGCGACGCACCGGACTCATCCTTATTGTTTCCGGTCAAGATAGGCACATCGGCGTGAGCATCCAGGTTCAGCGCTTCGCCGTAAGTATGAGCAAGAACGTAGCCGTCGATCACAGGCCGCCACACAGGTGGATCCATGAAGGAGCTGGTGAGATTCTCAAACTGGGTTCCCTGAAAAGTGGTATCGCTGGCGGAACCATAGCTAATCAGCGTGTCCATAGACAGCTTGCGCAGGTCTGAAATTGAAGTGGCGTTCAGTTCCTTCTGGAACTTCACACCATACGCCTCTGCTGCAGCTTTGGTCCGGTAGCTCGTCGCTGCGCTGCCTGTGACAGGATCATGGGGACCCCGGGCACCACTCTCGGAAATAACGCCGTTGATCAAGTTCTTCGACAGCGGGCTGTACATCATGTCCAGTGAGCTGGCAGAACCAGCAGACTGGCCTCCCACGGTGACCTGGTCCGGGTTACCTCCAAACTTGGCAATGTTCTCCTTCACCCAACGCAACGCGAACTGCTGGTCCAGCAGGCCGTAGTTCCCGGAGCTATTGTGACCAGACTCGGCAGACAAAGCAGGGTGGGCGAGGAAACCGAAAGCTCCAACACGATAGTTGAGGGTCACAACAATGATGTCCTTACTCGCAAGTCCTGAGCCATCATATGTCGCGACATCACCAGAACCAGCTTCAAAGCGTCCGCCATAGATCCAAACGTATACGGGCAGCTTCTTTGACGTCAAATCGCTTTGGTCGTTGAACGTAGGCGTCCAGATATTTAGGTACAGGCAATCCTCACTCGAGATATTCGAAGCGGTGTTGAAGATGCCGGCGGAAGATGAGGTTGTCTGTGCGCATTGTGGCCCAAAAGCATCTGCCTTAAGAACACCTGACCATGGCTCCCGAGCAGAAGGGGCTTTCCATCTGTTTTCACCGGCAGTTGAAGCAGCGAAGGGAATGCCTTTGTATACAGTGATGTCCTCGCGGTACTCGGACGCAATTCCTTGAACAGAGCCCTTAGTAGTCTTGATGATAGGGTGCTTGGATGAAGAACGAGGAATAGGTTCAGCGCCAGTCAGAATGGCGCTGACAGCAAGGCCGGTTAAAAGAGAGTGGAAATGCATGATGATGCAATAAAATGAACGAAGCTTTGGACTTGCATACCCTCCGAAGCTAGATCTATCGTCAGGTTTAAATACTCCAGCAGTACTATTCTAAGTACCCACTTTCGACGCAAATCCCTTGACATAGTTCTGCACGTTCAGGAGACACAGTGGAGCGTTATACGTACGCCATTGCCGACGTAATGAGTCCATTAGCATAGACACATCCAATGGGATTCCCGCGTGAGAAGATACATAGGTTTCCACTCCTGTGTCAGTATCCATGGTCTAGTTACAGAAAAGGGGAAGGTTCCTGGTTTAGGTTACGATCGGCCCTCGGACTTAATAAAAATCGCTCTCTATTTCCGGTTGTGGTAATTATTCGTCGATCATCCGCGTCAATGCTAAAATTAAGCGGGTGGGTGGTTAGGCAAGCCAGTTTCGAGAAGCCGCTAGTGGAAGATTTTTTGTTTAGGAATTATCTAAAAAGTACTAGACGCGATATGTTCGATCAGATACGGAGTAGTCTGAGTGACTCTGAGGGTTGGTAATCCTTCGCAGTAGAAATCCGATCGGTATTCCGTCAACATTGACCCAGCATTTTCATTTCCAATCTAGATGAAGAGAGAGGCACTAAATAATGAGGTAAAGAATCACGCAAAGGGATTAGGCTCCGACGGATATCTAGCACAGCACACCCTAGTGTAGAAAGATTTCGTCCAGCTTCCACTCACAGCAATATATTAATCCGATTGCTACCTACACATACGCAAAGCCTTGCATACTTCTATAGCGACCATTATCAGGTAAGCTGTATGCTTTAGAGAGAAAATAACAACTGAAATGCCAAAGTCGCACATGAGAGCAAGGTGGCATAAGAAAAATAAGTAGGCACAGTGATCAGCAGCTTCGGGGCCTTTTGAACCTAGTAACTCGATGGCCTGCGTGTTCAGCTTGTGGTCGGGCGGCCTAACCGCCGGCCCCGAGCCACCGAGCCGAGCAAGACAGCAATTAGATAATCGCCCCCCGATCGACGCGAGGTCCCATCGACACGATCAAGCCGCATCTCGAAACATGGCAGCACTTGCCGCATAACGTCAACCCTTGCTGCCGAACAGCAAGCTTAACATCGAAGAAATTTTTGGATTCAGTGGACCGCCTTATAATGCGCGGGATGATACCGAGAAAAGGGCATCCAGCGACAGATCACAGAGACCCCGGCATCAACGTCATATCATCCACCAGCGATTCTTGAAATTGGTTCAGAAGATTGTCCCATTCGTTCCAGTCCATTGGACTATCGCCGAGCAGAAAGTCAAACGGGATATCTGATGCATATTGGCCGAGTTGCTCTTGGAAAGAAGTACTATGGCCATCCATCCCGCCACTTTCATTTGAGGCTTGTGATTCCGTGGAACTGTGTGAGTTGTCCAATAATGTTGTCACGATCGGGGGACAAGGTGTTGGTGTGCGGCCGTGGTGGTTACACTCATCGATGTAGGCTCTCCACGCTTTAACAAACAGATTTTGGAGGGCCGTGTGAAGAGGCATTTGGGACTTCCTTCCCATCCGTCGGACATGACGTCCATAAATATTGCCGATAATTTGCCATACTTTGGCCTTTTCCTCTGGTTCAGTCCTGTTCCGCATCTCGGACAACATAAAAATCATCGCGTCCCAGGGCATGTGGTTCACCATGTGCCACGCAAACCGCTGAACATCCGGATTGGTCTGGGCATAGTCGGCATACTCTGCCATCTTCAAACAATTTTTGAAGATAATATCCTTCTCAGCTTGGGGGATGCGAGCACTCGAGTCTCGATACTGGCGAGGATGATGCGCCATCAACCTAGTATAATGAGTAGCCGAGCGTGCCATCATTGTGGTAGCCAGGTGTAGAGGAATGGACAGATCACAGTATTTCAGAAACTTCTGCTCCATGAGATTCTCCAGCTCATCAATAGAAGAATCCTTCTCGCTCAGTGACATTGACGAAGAAGACAGAAAAGCCCATGGCGAACTAGACCCGCCGGTATCATTGCTCCAGCGACGAAGCCATTTCCCGAACTCACTGCGAGCAAGACAGAAAATCATTTCCGAGGGACCCTGTTTCTCGCATGCAGGCTCTGTCATACGCGGGTCAAGGTCGCTATCATTCGCGTTCATTGGAGGCTTGGTGTCAGCTGTATTCAAGAACGGTCCGGCGGCGACTCCGCAAAACTGAGCCGACGTCGCATCCAAAACCATGAGTTGAAACCAAATGCGGCGTCGCATCTCGGTTTCAAAGACTGAAAGTCCATAGCCAGAGCCATCTCTATGAATACCAATCCTCTGTGCCATCCTCAGTGCAACGCCACTCAACGACCAGATCGTATGCGGATCAGCGAATGCTCTCATTGACAACTAGCAAGCAACACGTTAGGGTATGGAGGGTGTTCAAGGAAAGGGGGAAAAAGTCCAACTCACCAAGTATAGCATGAAAGCTTGGAGAACCATGGTACTTGATGTACGAAGAAAAGAGGCATTCCTAAACGCAAGCTGTGCTCCTCGTCGGCATCTTGACAACAGCATCTTTTTCCCCTCGCCGAATGACTTTTCGACATCTCCGGCCTGCAGAGATGTCAAGGAAATGCAATAGATAGAAAACAATAACGCTTCAAACTCTTTGCTGATCTGTGTCAAGTCACTCATCGCCTCTAGGATCTGTTGCTGCACCGTTGGAGCATGTAATATCTTCGTCAAGGGGTTGACCCTCTCAAGAAACGTTTGCCATAACTTGAAGATGTGCAGCTGATTTGGGTGCAACTCAGCGAGATTTTCTCGAATTCCAGGGCTCAGTAGCATAAGAGAATCGTCATTGCCATCCTGAGATGCATTATCGCTGTCATCATCCGACGCGCCGTCCAGGACTTCTGCCGCATCTGGGAGCTTCGGGAACGAGTTAGAGAAATGATAAAATACAGTGTGCGAAAGTCACAAACCTCATAGCTGACGCTTGTCCAAAGAGTACTGTGGATATATCAGCGGCGTATATAGTAATATAAACCAGAAAAGTCACGCACTTATCGAGGTAGACCGAATTTCCTTCCTTCATAATCATCCTGCCTGACCCACTTTTGCTTGGTTCAGCATCTTTTGACAAGACCCTAGCTTGGGGTGAGTATTTTCGCGCCTCCTCACCTAGAGGAGGCTCTCTCCCGTTTCGCCGAGGTGACATTTCGCATGCTTGAGACGAGCCTCCACTCTCGTCGCGCCCTCTTTTGCGACGGCGAGGGGGTGGCGGAGGACGGTAAATGCATTCAACACTGGCCTTCGCGCAGTTCGAGCATGGCTCATTTCTATCACATTTAACTTTTCTCTTGTGGCAGACCACGCAAGAGTACGGCTTCAACTGACTGGATGACAAGTCCAATGTCGTCCGGGGACTGTCCACAGACTTGTCGCCAGGTCTTGCCATGATTGCATGAGAGTGCCAAATGAGGGTATATCTCTTATCTGATCATTATTACGCATAATCGAATGCGCCAAGTTCCGTTCACAGCGTAGATGACACGCTATGTCCCGACAGATGTGACGGGATGAGTAGTGAGAAGCCTGAGGCTGCAGGCAGCAATGCAGGGTGCATGATGCCTCATACCTAAGGCCACGAATCGCCCCCACAGGCCCAACAAGCCCTGGCCTACGTTGGTCTCGACCCTGAAAACTTCGACTCGTCTAACCACCTACCCCGTGTTTGTGAAGCGGGGTGGTACTCGCAAACCCAGTGATTTCAGATACTTGGCTGAGAATCCGTCTTCATTGCGTGCGACGGTCGTGTAGACTGCAACGCGGTGCCTCCGCTCAATATGATCCTTGCACACTACATATATCACCATGCCCTTTTGTAAGCGACTCCGCGCTGCAGTTTTCCGACGATGGAGCCGATCTTCGTGTTCTTTGGGGCAAAAAGAATATTTCGGGAAGAAAGTTCCTGACGATATCTTGGTGATCATCTTGGCATTCTCCACCACAAGAGGCATTACTTCGTTGGCATTGACTTGTCGTTTGTTGCATGACCGGATTCTCAAGAATGAATTGGCCATCTCACAAGCCTATCTCAATTTACGCAGACGGAGTGGTGCGCCTGAAGACGGTGGAGGTTTAAGTCTTTCTCAAGGTGACGACTTAACTTTCATTTCTGGCTTATTTCCTCCGCCTCCGCCTCACTACGCGATCAGCGAGAACCCTGATGAGGCTGAAGATTCACTGGCTTATTTGGCGGATCTTGATTGATGCTGGCCAGCCTGCATACGGCTATCTTACCACTTCGCCGATCATGAGATTCGGCATCATTTGGAGACGGACACTTTCGCCCAGTCAACTTTGGACTTCTTCCAAAACAGCGAAAGAAGTTGTGTACAGCACGGCAGTGGCTACACTCCAGGGGGAACTTTTACGTCCAATGTATCGTTCCAGACATTGGATCTGAAAATATCGAACCATTGACAAAATCTTAACAGAGCTTATGCAATCTTCTTTCTCGAGTCCTCCGCATCAGATGGCCTCGACGCGGACTCTGCAGGTCAAACCCCTGACTCTTCAATCTCTCTTGGAACCCAGCGGTCTTATTCTACAGCAACACCCGTTTGCCGATACTCAAATCATCGTTTCAACCCAGCATTGCATGCAACTCCTATGCTCGACCGTCCGACGACTGATGAATCCGGACTTCCCCTATACATCCTCGGATCACTGGGTGAGCCTCCTTCGCTCTACATCCACTCTTGGGAGAATTGTTAACTTCTTCGTCGCCATCGCGAATGATGACGAGAGGAAAGAAGACAATCAGCAAGGCTCTTCCTGGTCTCACCGTAAATAGTTCCTCTGGCGGATGCATGAAGATTTGTGCAAATACATGGCGTCTACCAGTCAAAAAAATATTCAAAAATTATCTATTGGGCCAACTTTAACCGGCGTATGGTTCAGAGCAGCATATCAGGAGCTGGCTGAGCGAGGAGCTATTCCGCACCCAGCCGAGAACCCAGTATGTTCTTAATGGGTCTGCTGTGGCATTGCGTTTTCAACATTGTTGGGTCGAAGCATAGTTCTGGGAAGTATTTAAAAATGGTTCAGTGCATCAAATATCCATTATCTAGTAAAGAAACCCGATTACTTAGCTGTCAGTAGAACATCGGCAACCTCCGCCCCTTAAACCCCACTAGTCCGGCGGCCCATCAAACCCCCGAGGTTGGAGGCCGGCATTCCCGGACAACCTTCTTTCCAACATGATTTCAGAAAAGGCAAGGGCTGTTTACACATAAGAGAAAGGAGTTTCATGCCCTATAATCAATGAAGCCTTTATCTTAGTTCAGTAGAGGTCAAACACAGAACAATGACAGCGACAATATCCGCAGTAAGTCCGCCGGCTTGGAGATCCCGCTTCGCTTCCTCGCGCAGCAACTGATTAATTGGTAGTGCGACTTGTGTTACAGAAGAAAGGTAAGAAGTTGTGATTCTTCAAATATACTGATAATAATGAAGAGCCTCGCCCACTCAGGTAAAATGCGACCGCCAGGACCCGTGCATGAACTGCGTGGATGCGAAAGCTGATTGTCTTCGTACCCGTCACGCAAGGGTCCATCGACCACGAGTTTCTCGGTGTGTACGCCTGAAACAAGGAGCTAAATAGATGGACCGCTAACCCCGAACAGTATTGATGCATTGGCCGAAAGACTTGCCAAGCTGGAGAAGTCAAACACAGATGACAGCGTAATCTTTGCATCATCTCCACCAAGCACTGCGAATCACGATAGGGACTTGAGTGTGCCTTCATCTCTGCGAGCAGCTCAGGGCGATGCCGCCAGAGCATCTGTGAAGAGAAAACACCATACAGTGCATTTATCCAATGAAGCAAGCCCCTCTGAACAGCAAGACTGGAAACGTCGAGTATCGCAGAGTATTCATCCGAAAGTCCATGGTGAACGCCACTCTCCAGGGGCAACGCGCCATGCCAGTGAGGCGAGGGAATATATTGAACATGAGCTGCAATGCAACCCAGCGCTTTCTCACGACAGACGGACTGCCCTGGAAATGGCACGCAAGTTTGTCAGTCAATTGTCCAACCCGGGCTTGCATCGCGAGGAAAATGTCGGTTGCGAGGAGCTGGATGTTGAGGATAATCTGGCGCCTCCAGATCTCACACCGGAGTTATTGTATATGATGCTGCCCGGTAAGTATTCTTCTGGAAAGTGCAACATGCGGATACTCATTCTTGCAGGGCCTGATAAGAAAACCAACTCTCAAGGAACGATTGCCTGGCCAGATCACATCTCCGATAAGGCTCTGGAACGAATGGGGCTAGCCATTATCGAGCGCAGCGAGAGTGAACAAGTGCTTCAACTCTACCGAATCAGTGTGTGGGTGAAAGCCGTTTCCTGCATATCGAAATTGGCACCCTTGATCTCCAGTGAGCCCTTGAAGGTTCATTTCAGGAAATTGAAAAAGCAATATGAGGCCGGTGCTACCGAGGAATTAAATTCAATTCCGCTGACGGCTTCTCCCAGCTTACCTTTGCTACAGGCTTTACTGTCCGGTGTAAGTTCCCAGAGTCAAGTTTCCATAGTCAATGCTAATATGCGACAGAAACGCCTCATGCAGTATTTGGGCAACATGTCACGCTGTTGGATGCTCACAGCCCTCGCATCCAAAGTCATTGTTGCCTTGAACTACCACAATGTAACGGACAGTGTACCTCGGAATGAGGTGGAAGAGGATATCCACGCCTGCATTTACACTTGCTACTATTTCGACAAGACGCTGAGTCTGCTTCTCCTTCGGCCACCATCACTGCCCGAGCTGAAGGTTGAGCCAGCACAATTGATCCATATGGACCCCCAGTTACCTACCACGGCAATGATTGCTGGGATTGTCGAGTTCGCGCATCTCAAAAACGCACTAGTGAACATACTCCTTGACATCAAAGAGCTGGGAGATACAGAGAAGGCGAATATCCTCTCTGATCTTGTCGTCCGCGCCCATACAATTCACTCGAATCTGCAAATGGTAGGTTAGCCAACCTAAAAGAGCAATACACAGCTAATCAGTCAAAATGAAAAGCATCGAAGCCGCCAAGAATTGGAATTTCCTGCCACATGGGGAATCTTGCGGCGTGAGTGGCTGTCCATGGATTTCAACTATTACTCCATCTTGACCACTATCATCCGCGCGCGATCATCAGTGCTAAAATCTCGCTTGGTATGTGAAGACTGCCTGTACGCAGCGCGTCAAGCTTTGACGACACTTCGAGCCTTGCAAGAAGCATTCTCGGGCCATGCCAGCTCTGTGGATTCGTATCCATATTTCCTCACCTGGTCAGGAACTTCTCCATCCCATAGCGTTCTTTCAACAGTGTGAGCTAACCCACCATAGGACAATGCTACTATTCCCGCTTTCGCCCTTCTTTGTCCTTTTCTGCAATGTTGTCGCGACCTCAGACCACAGAGATTTCGAAATGATCAGAAAGATCACAGACGACCTGCGACAGTTTGCCAAAGCAAATGCGTCCATCGGCAAATTATACGGGCTATTTGCGAAATTTATTGATTTGTGCGCACCATTAATCAAACCCAATCCTCTCCCCGGTGCATCTGAACAGCCTCACGCCCCCTTGCATGACGAAAATAATGCAAGTCGGCGGGTGTCGGGCCAAATGAACTTCTCCCACCCCGATATGCTACGCCACCCCTCTGGCCAGGTCCTCAACCCGCTTCCATGTCCTTACCCTAGCAGCGAGGAGGCCCCTGGCGTTTCCTCTGTAGGGGGGTGGGATGATATCCTAATGTGGGAGTTGTTTGATAACCAACCGTCCCTGGGGTGGACGGAATCGGAGCTGTGGGATGCAATGACGCAATTGAATGCTACGTGAACTAGACGGAGTTTGCTCATAATAAGGAATTGGCTATTCCTGTCAATTCAATTAATAGAAAGTGCTTATTTACTTGAGAAGCTCTTCATAAGGACACAGTCCTAACGTAGAGAGAAAAGGAAAGATAAGGGGATAACGAGTGGATCGGACATCCCAGAGTCTAGCCGAGGACAAAGAAAATATGACATGCTTGATGGGCGCGGGACATGCAGAGTGGCTGTCGGATGTTGAGAGAATCACAAACAGCGAGGTATTATAATACAATATCGAAGGGGAAGGTTTGAACGACTGTGTCTATCACGAGATCAGAACCCAAAGAAGGAAGAAAATCTGGAGAAGAGTTAGCGACATCGTATTCCATTTTAAATAAAAGATGATATAACGCACCATCAGGACACCAAACATCTTAGCAATGAGCCACCGGTTGCCAGACACCCGCGTCCAATATTTCATCAGTTCTCGTTGAGCGCCCTGGACGTTGTCCACAACGTCCTCCGTGTTGGCATCGATGCGTTGGATCATTTCGGACTGTTCGCTAACCATCTGTGCTAGCTGGCCAAAGATGCCGCCCAGTTCGCTAATGGTCCGCTCAATGGCTTCAATGGCTTCTCCACGGGCCTGAATATAGGTATTGCTAGATTGGGCTTCCTCCATAACCAGTAGCTGCTGATCGGATTGCATGGATGATTGTCCTAAAGGTGAGGGGTTTGAAGGGTCCAGAGTCAAAAGATCGGACGAGTTTCCTTGATATCCGGGTTGAGGAGTTCGTCGCCCTGAGGTGTTGTACAACGGAGAATCGGAGCGTTGCGAATCGAGAGCGCTCTGCGATTTGGATGATACAGACGACACAAAGTTCTCGGTTCTTGTTCGAGAAGCCTGAATATTCTTCGTCCGGACTTCAAGGACTTCTTTGAAGCTTGCTCCCACGTCGGCAAGCTTTCCTTGCAGCATTACGACAACCTAGCGCGTATCTGGTCAGCAATGGCCCATGCGCTCTTGATCCTGGGTACCCCACTCACGTTGTCATTGTGTTCTCCTTCCTGGTCTGTCTTTGACCGGTTCGACTTCGGATGTTGCGCCTGGGTCAGCGCAGACAAAGAGGCAATCTGCTGGTTCAGCCCGGCCAGATCTTGCTTGATCACGTATGTCAACTCCGATATCTCGACGGGCCGGTCATCGAAAAGCGTCTTTCGCTTCGCCACTGCATTCTTCCTCGTTAGACTCGAATCGTCGATGAGACTCGGCGAAGTCTCTCCAGCTGTCCTCCGGAGGGCACTCACGCTCTGCCAGACGCTGCAATTTTGCAGTCGTGCCAGTAATTCCCCTTCCGATATCTCGCGCCCTTCGCGCAAACTCCGATCTACCTCCCTTGCCTTCCTGCGCACCAGATGGCGACCCATTAGCCTGTCGCCTTTGGGCATCTGTCAGCAGCGCCTGCCGCTGCGACCCAACCTTTGAGGTGCCGAGCCGTTTTTGGGCGTGGCCAAGAATGGCGCTGAACTCGCTCGTGCGGTCTTGAATAGACGGCCCGGTCATTGTGGATAACTGACGTCGGAAAGACGACCAAGTGAATCAAATGCCGTTGTCTTCGGAGATTAGAGGAGGCGTGGGGTCAGAGTGGACTTGGCCGATGTTTGGAGACGCTGGTTCAACTCTCTAATCGATAAGGGGGAGGCGTAGACGTGTCCGGTTGCAGTCGTGGCGTCGGATGGGGCGGTCCAAAGAAGAGCAATGAACACAGCGAACAGGAAGCGAGGCAGCCGTCGTGTCAGTGAAGAGTTCAGGAGATGAGCGCCACAGCCATTCTTCCTGACTGCAAGCCACCTAACGAAACACGTCGATCGCGGCGACTCAATACCCTCACGTGATCGGTGGCTATGGCCTTATGTCAGCCGCACCGCCATGTCCCAAATTAGATCGGGCCGGGTAGGCAGTAACCCCAGACTCAAATCAGGGGAAGCCGACAGTTATTCCTTGGAACACAGTACCAGAGCTTCACGCATTTCAGCTCTTGCTGTTGTATTTTCTTCGGTTGAAGTCTCGATTCACAGCAATCTGATTTCCAAACTGCGTTTGGGTGGAAACACGTCATCTCCAACCTTTGTACATTTATCTTGTTTCCCGCCCGTTTCCAGCTAACCGATCTGATCGGCGCCCGCATTGGCATTCGCAGCGTTGTTCACGCCACCCCCATCCTCCCTCAAGTACCTGGCGGTCCCCTCCTGCACAAGCTCAGGAAAGCATCGGCGGGTCGTCGATTTTGCATTACTACCACCGCGACGCGCGCTCTGCGAGCTGGCCAGCCAGGCAACAATCGATGCTAGACTACTAGACCAGCTTGAGCATTTGACGCCATTCTACTGATGGCGGACTCCAACTCTCCATGGCCTGGCCGGGGATCTCAAAACCTGTGAGTATACGACCCGATATTCCCTTACTTGTTCTTCGTCGCACAGACTCTGAGACAGACTTCTATTCTTCAGCCCGTCGCCGGCCAACGTGAACAGTCCCCTTTCTCCTGGAAGCTCGGGGAAAGCTCCCCCGTCCTTTGAACGAAATGTGAATCGCCAAAAAACACAACGCTGGGTGCAGGCGAAGAAGTATTCATATGACGGTGGCGACTGGGGCGACGATGATGACGAGGAAGAGGAAGAGCCCCCAGCAGTACCTCAGCCTCCATACACCACGCACAAGACGAGCAGTACCTCTGAGTTGGGCTCCAGACGCTTATCCGGACTTGCATTCGGGTCCGATGAGTCGCACACAGCTCCTCCCGCCGAAACTAAGCCAGATTCCAGTGTAGGCGATCAGAAGTCGCTGCCTTTCGTCAGACCCGCCGATATTTATAAGCGAATGCGCGAGGAGCGAACCCCCCAGAGCGAGGCGGCGAGTTCTGGACATCCAGCAGAGCTTCAAAGCTCAATGCAATCCAGCGGTTTCCCCCCTCAAGCTGCCACGCCCGATGATCTGAATGCCGCCTCAAAAACGACACAAAATCTCTCCTCCGTGGGCCTGCCGGAAGTTAAGAGACTCTCGGGTTTCGGGGCGGATTTCCTCAGCGGTAGCGACTCAAGCTTCCAACACAACAAGGACCCTGAATCCCCGGAGACCTCCTTGCAGCACAACCCCTCCCAAGCCTCACAGGCCTCTCAGGGTTTCACATCGGTAGTTCACCAAGCTTTCGATGTACCAGAAACTCCCAATTCCACTTCCGGCAGTGTTGTGCGGTCAAACAGCGATGGAACATCTGTCATCAGCCCCATTATGGGTGGTCGTGCCCTCCAAGATGACAAAACGCCTACCATTCCCGAGGAACCCACCGAGTCCAGCACCCCAACCAATGCGCCAAAGGAAGGTGCGGACGAGGCACCTTTCTTCAAGCCTGGTCACCGACGTGATATGAGCCTTCCCGGCCGTGACAACAGCCCTTCAAAGCGGCCTGTGATTAAGGACAATGAGGCTCCCTCAGCGGGTCAAGCAGAGATGTCATCAGTCTCTCCAGGTCAGTCTGGTTCGCCGGAAAGGCCAGTCGATGCTCCAGCTTTCCAGAGCGTATCGACCCCAACAAATGCGTCGAAGGGAGACTTTGTCGCACCCCTCAAATTTGGTAGCAATAGCACGACCGCGTCTGAGGGCTATCGTGGCGAAATTCCCACCATTATACCCGCGAGCACAAGCAATTCACCTCAAGATACTGATAACGATCGGTTGCGAGAAGAGATCATGCGTTCATTGAGTCGAGAGAATTCCCAGGAGCCTGAGCTTCAGTCACAGCCAAATAAGGATGAACATATCCCACATGAGTATGAAAAGTACGGGGATGATCAGACCAAACCTAGTCCCAACGAAGCTCCGACACCACTGGTCTCAGAATCTCACCCAGACTGGACCAGGTCCCACCCTCTGGCTGCCCAGGATCCATACCCAGCTACGCAAACGTCTGGCGATGTGACTCCATCAACCGCGACTGAGCCAAAGAGGCCTCGTCTGGGAAGACGGTTCTCGTGGGAGTCAGCCTCTTCAAATGAAGAGCCTGCGGCCCAAGACCCTGCCAGGAACATCTCGCCCCCTCCTTTGGGTGTAGCCCTGGCTCCCCAGGAGCCTCAACCTATTCCTGAGGACCCGGAAGGAATGGCACAGAAACTGTCGTGGGAACAACCGTTGACCGATGGCGAAACTTCTGACAACCAGCGCGTTGAGAAGCCCAGGCTTTCAATTGTACCTCCGATACCAGGGAACAGCTTTCCGCCGGAGCAAATTATGGGCTCCACCCAGGATCAACCAGCTGAGAGGGCGGTATCATTGCCCGTGGGAACATCAAGAATCGACGAGAGCGCACTTCAAGGCTTCCGCGATATTCTAAACAAGACATCTCCGGCTGAGCGCGTGCGGGCATTTGACCAGACAAGAGATCAATTTGCGGCTCTTGATACCGGTCTCTACGCCTGGCTTGAATTTACTGTCCACCATCATCCCGAGCATGCCAGTCTTGTTCATTCAAGCCAGACTCTGTCGTCTGGGTTCCCACGGACATCGCCCACGACCAGGAAGTTCCCCAAGCTGGCATCCCTCGGCAATCTCACCTCCAAGGAGGACGGCACTCCAACCAGCGCCGTTCATGCCAGACGTCCCTCGGCACACATTGGAACCATTGTGAACAGGCAGCAAGTCGAACAGCGGGGCAAAGATCTCCTGCACACGGCTGGGACGTTTAGTGGAAAAGCAGGCGAAGCTGCCAAGGGGTTGTTCGCCAAAGGCAGGAGCAAGTTCCGACCCAGCGGAGACAAGGTAGATACATGATTTATTTTCCTTATTCTTTCTGACCGGGATATTGTCATTACTTTTTCCTATTGGAAATGGTGCGCTGGAGGCCAGCGTCACGGTCTATATCCCTTACTTCTTCTATGTCTGCATGTCTCCTAACATCCTTATTTTTGGATACCATGATGTAATTCTCATCGCTTTGGCATTGGACTCTAGAATGCAACACGATTGATGCATTTGATTCACTTTCCTTCTTCAATCTCTTCGCCCTTCGTCCCCGACCTCTCTTTTTCTTTTTTTTCTGTGCCAGTTCTGATGTTGGTAATGCTTGTAGGTTGAACATTCGACGGCTTCTGCTCCTCGCAGAAGTATGCAGTTCCAGTTCCCTTTGCCTTCTGAGTCTGTTGACTCGAAATCCTCCCCTGGTAACTTCTCCCTACGCAATTCTGTGACATTTGGGAGCCTGCCCATCTTCAAGTCTGGCCGGAATGGAAGCTCTTCCGCAGCGCCTTCAGGCGCGATGGATCCTGCCTCCTCTCCAGACGGCTCCAATGACGATGAGCGAGCGGGCAAGCGTCTCAAATCGAATGGGCCAATGGACTACTTGCGGTCTCCAGAAGAGGGCAATGGAAACCCCCTCGAACAAGCTGCCCAGAAGCAATACTTGTCTCCTGATGCTGATCACCATAAGAGCGGAGGCTTCGCTGGACAGTCTGAGATGGTGTCCGACTTCGAGCGGCAAATGGTTGCGGCTCTTGGCCTGTCGCCCACGGAACCTCGTCCACAGCAAGCCTCGACTTTCGAGCCGCGATGGAGCCCAGGTGCAGCTACTGCTCTTGAATCCGATGGCCCACGGCAACAATCCAAAGATAATTGGAAAGACGATCCCAGCAAGCGCGGAACTTGCGCCCCGGTTAGCGAACGGCCAAGCGAAAAGACCCTACCAATTCTTCCTAATCAGCCCTCTACATCCGCTGCTGCATCGAACATGAAAGACACATCTCGGCCTAGTATGCCTGTGTCTGAGGTTGTAATCCCGGCAACTAAACCGGTGCTTGAAGGGGGTGTCAAACCTCCTCCTCCGCCAAAGGATCGCTCGCCGACTGACCTCCCATCGAAGGACGTGCCACCTAAGGATGACTTACCAGGTTTGCCGCCGAAAGATGTTCCTCCTTCAAAGGAAGATCCACCGAGTCCTCCCCCAAAAGATACCCCGCCCCAAGATATCCCTTCAAGGAACCTCGTGCCTCCTCAGTCAGACAAGATCCCGCGCCAACCGTCGGTCTCAACACTCGGCGCCGGTGAGGATAGTGCTGGCCATCTGCGTGAAGGAGAGATCGACAACCCACCTTCGCCATTACAGCCACCGAGGAAGGGGTCAGAGGATCTACCTAAACACTCTGTGTACAACCAACATCTCCCGGCCCAAATATCCGACTATTACCTGCCATCGATCAAAGACACTGCGCCAGGGTTTGGGACGGATTACGCACCGCGTCCTCCCAGCTCTGCAGAGATCTTGGAATCAAAGCGCAAGTCAATCAGCGGTCTGCCTCCTTCTGCACCGGATGTGCAGAGCCCGCTTCGAAATGAAGTGAGGTACTCGCCCGGAACTCGAAGCAGCATGTTGAGCTTCGGTAGCTTTGGTCGACAAAGCACGAACAACAGCAAAGGAACTCGTCCTAATACCCCAGCCAATGAAGTGTCGCGGCGCTTTGCATCAGGTTCCCCCTCCACCAACGGTGATTCCAAGATGGCCAAGTTGAAAAACTTTGGGAAGCGACGCCGTGCTTCAGTAGGCAATGCTCTCTCCGGACTTCAGGAGGGACTTCAGGGACTGCAAGGACGCGACTCACAGGGCGAGGCCCAGAAGGAAGGTGGACAGGGGAAGCGAGCATTCAGCAGGATTAGCGTACGTTTTCTCTCGCTTTCAAAACAAGCAACGTCACTTTCTAACCGAGCATAGGGTTTCTTCGGCCGCCGACAAGAGTTTCAGCCTGTGCAAAGCAATGCGCACGATGGTTATGCCGGTAGAACAGCCCCAGCGAGGACTTTGCCCACACCTCTATCGGATGGTCATACCCAGACTTCCTTTGCGCAGAATGGACAGCCTGCCATCGAGGTCGGTAGGAAAGACCTTCCATCCACCGAATCAGCCCCTCCAGCACCCGATTCTCGCCGGCGTGCTAGCATGCCGCTTTCACCCAGTGCCACGGACAACTCGCTGATGGCTAGTCGGTTCTATTCGTCGTTTCAGCCTGCAGGAGAGCCCGCCCTTGCTCAACACGGTCGAACAAAAAGTCAGCCTATGCTAGCCCCGCTACCTCCATCGCCCATCGGGGGATCCGAGTCTGACAAGAGCGGGTCGTGGTCGTCTCCTCCCCTGTCCGATGTGAATGATGTAGAGGAATGGTTGTCACAGAAAGAGCAGGACAATGTCCAACCACCTGTGCCCCCCAAGTTGCCTGAGCCTTATCCTACGCCTGAGCAAATCCCGGAATCATCCAAGGAAGCACAGCCAGCGATACAGCCGGAGCAAGTTACATACGATCCCATCAGCTACCATGTCCCCGGCCCACTGCAGATGGCCAGGGAAGCCCCATCTCAGAGCCAAGAATCCAATGAGAACCACGCAACTTTTAGCGTGAAACCCCGCAAACCACTGAGCGCCCAAGCCGAGTCCACCGAAACAACCGAGATGCCAATCCCCAAAAGCATCAGCGTCTCCATCGCCTCCATCCTCTCGGCACACCCGCACCGCAGCGATGCCCGGACGGTCAACGAGACGCCCGAGCCAGTCGAGCTCGCCATCACCCACGATGACTCCAGCGAGGAGATCATCATGTCTCCTACATCGTACCCAGGACAAGAATGGACGCCGACACATTATTACTAGCGAACGCGATGCCCGCCGTGAAGCTATCCGCTATACCCATTTCATTTCTGGGCTGTCTTTACTGATACCCTCTTTGCGTCATATCGGTCTACCGTTTGATACCTAGCCTGCTGCATTTTTTGATGTTTTTATTGCAGCCATTGCACATGTCTTTTTTGGGCCTCGTGCCTACCGTGTATATCTTTCGTTTGATGTGTCTACTCGGTGTTATTGTACTTCACTTGTCACGGCCCGTACAGTTCGGCCAGTTGTTTGGTGTATATAGTGTGAAGTGAGAAGGAAAAGGGTGTACATAGTCATAACAGGTCGGATGAGGCAAATCCGTCGAAGGTTGCCCAGTCGCGCCTTCTCCTTTCTGCAACACTTCTATCCTCTTTCCCGTTAATCTTCTTCTTCCCGCGTAGACCTTGCCCTCCTGCTTGCAAACACTCATCAGGCACATCACCCCGATGGAAGAATAAACTGCCACCAGACAAATGAATCAAGACTTACTTGAGGATGCATTTCTAATCCGGCAACTATATGGAAGGAGCTTGCCGGATTACCACGCCACATGGCTAGGAGAGGCCGGTGTTCAGTTATCGTTGAAACAACGGTTTTTCGATGACAAAGTCTGAGCTATGTCTGGACCAATCCATCGACTTGTTATGGGCCGCATTAGATGTTGGGGGAGAGGGGATCTCTGAGGGGCTGTTTGAATATTTGGCTTGTTCAAAGGCCCCAACCACACAGAGAAACCAGTAGTTTATGGCAATCTCGATATCAATTTAAGGGATAGATTCATGACAATCCCTTTTCACAAACCGAGAGAAATATCATCATCTACTCCAGCTAGATGAAATCCCACAGGCCGGCAACACGCAAATAACCCACACTACTTGCCAACAGTCTCCCAATCAATCCACCTAACATCCCCAAAAACACCATCTGCGTTCTGGAACACCTTCCTCGGCTCGCTATACGGCTCAAACCCATTCTTCCCCAGCACAGTGGTCACACCACCATCCACCCGCCCCGTCGCATTGAATCCCGGCCCATACACTTGATACTCCGCCATCAACGTAACATTATTCTCATACCGTGCCACGCCCGACACAACCCAGTCAATATACCCGCTAGCCTCGATACTGCCGTCCTCAAATGTGCGCGCGAAGATCGACCGGTGCTGCGAGTTCCAAGGCCGGCCGAGCGCGCAGGCGCCTTTGATGCTCGGGGCGACGGAGGAGTTTGCGGCGCGCACACTGCTATCTACGATGTAGACGCCGTATTTGTTGGGGAAGGTGGTGTTTGTGCCCTTCCAGGCTGTTACGCCGCCTCCGCAGCCGCGGAGGAGGACGTCTGAGGATTGGATCCAGGCTGTGCCGAAGCCGTAGAGAAAGTCGGTTTGGCCGGCTAGGATGGATTTGTAGAAGTAGGCATTGCCGAGTTTTCCTACGTAGACCTGGAGGGGATGGATGTTAGATATGTCTCAGCTCATGTCAGGTCAGGTTGGGTTGGGTTGGGTTGGGTTGGGACAGGTTGTGCGTTCTCTTGATAGAGGGCTTGCACCCTGACCGAGGTCCGTCCACTTCCTGCGGTGGTATGGTACGTACCGTGTCCTGGTAGGAGTAAAAGCCGCAGTAATAGAAGCCACCATTCGCGCGGCTAAAGCTCAACGCATGCGCCGGCCCATCACTATACTCAGCCCACGTATTTGTGAAATCGATGTTATACGCGCGGAAATCTTTGTTGCCGAACGGCGTATCATCCGGCACCGCATAGCCTGTCGTACCCGAACCAGTCAGGCTCGCATCCAGCGTCGGCGACACGATCAGCACGCTTGAGAACACGTTATCCACGCTCTGCCCGGTACTGTCCTTGTTCGCCGCCGCCCAGGTGATAGTCACCTGGTTTTGAGCCGCGTCCGTAGACGCATGGGTCTGGCCGAGGAGGGTGATTGGCCCGGCGCGGGTGACGTTCAATTGCTCCTTGTACGTGCCGGCGAGGATGAGGATGGTCTGGGTGGAGTTGTCATTGGGCAAGGAGTCGATGGCAGCCTGGACAGTTGTGAAGTCTGCGCGCTTGTCGGAGGCCGACACCTTGATTGTCCCGGCGGGGCAGTGCATGCCTGATGTCTGGCATTGTTGACGGGAGACGTGCGTCAACGCTGCGCTGTGGACGCTGGCTGCTTGCCACAGCAGCGCGAGGAGGGTGCAAATGTATAGACGGAGCATGGCGGGCCGTGGGTGCCACTGGCAGAGGGTGGTCATAGGCCCCGAGGAGGTATGGGTCGTCCTTTTATACGCTTCCAACCTCTTTCAAGCCATTGCTCCTCGCCAATGGCGTGGGAAGTGGCATCACGGGCACAGACGGAAAATTTCCAGGCGCATACTGCTTCAGACGAGGCTATACTCGAGATGGGAAAGAGGTCCGCGTGTAGACTGGTATTGTTCTTCATGCTCCCCGCAGAAGTTTCAGGAAGCTGGGGCCCCGGCGAACCTTGGCTTGGCCCGCATGGTGGAAAATCTCGCCGGGGAAGCGTTGAAGGAGATTGCGGGACGGAAAATTGGGCTTCCACCTGTCAGAGAGCGGGTGTGGAAGACTAGCGAGTGGTTAAGTTGCAAGGGTTTGGTTGGGGTAGGACATGACAATTGGTAAAGGTGAAGACTAGTCGTTGACCAAGTTCTAGACAAGTTCCAGTTGCGGTGACCAGAGAGAGGGTGGAATCGGAGACAAGATAGTTTACTCTTTACAATGCACAGTAATGATTAGAAGAATCCCTTGATGACTTGACTAAGTACCACTATTAACGACATACATACACGGAGAGAAGGAAAACTTGAGATCTATGAACTCGAAAGCAAACAGAAATCAAGGGGTAAATGGAACACAAAAGTCTATAATACGGGGTGAAAAGGGGAAGAAAAAAAAGACAAGGGAGCCGGCCTTTTTTTTTTTCCACGGTATGCATGTCCAAAGGTGGTCGAGCAAAAACAGACAGAATTTGCGTGGTAGGATATAGCAAGGGGCAAGAAGGGAAGGTAAGAGGGAATAGAAATAAGGAAAAATTATTGACCTCGGACCAGGAGCGAGTCAGGAAAGATTAACCGCAGACAAAACGGGTAAAAGGCGCTGGCGCACACGTTTACTCATCCTCGTCATCAACCTCAGCGCGAGCACCGAGGGTGTAGCGGGTCTTGCCATCGCGATCGGTCTCGAGCTCAACAGCCAGCTTGGACAGGTGGGCGATCATGTTCTCGATCTTGGTGTCGGCCTTGGAGCGGGTCTTGCGGCCAAGGTTGTCCAGAGCGGGGATGATGGTGAGGATGTAGTACACGACAGCGATGATGACAGTGACACCAATGGAGTAGGCCCAGATGACAACAACAGTGACGATGTCGACATGGCTGTTGGGGGAGAAGTAGGCAGAGTCATGGGGGTGGGTCTGCTCGGGGTGGCCGCCGGACAACCAGCCGAACAGGCAGAACAGAGTAGCCAGGACATCGACGACGAAGATGGCAATAACCAGCTGCCACGAGGGCCAGGTCTTACCGCCACGGGTAACAAAGATGAGCCAGTTCTCGGTCAGGGCAATCTCAAGGAAGAGAATCTCCTGGGGAGAGCCCCAGTTCTGGATGATACCACCGTTGGACAGGAACATGGAGGCACGGATGATCCAGGTGGCGGCAGCCAGAAGGACACCGAGGACGACGGAGATGACCCAAATCTTGGGGAGCTGCCACTCGACGGGGCGAGCCTCGAAATGAGCGTTGTCATAGGCGACGGCAATAGTGGCAAGATCAGCGAACAGGGCAATGAAGACAATCAGCTCGGAGCGGACGGTCTCGTCGATGATGATCATAGAGGTAACCAGGTAGATCTCGAGGTGCAGGCAGAGGGCGATACGGTACTGGATGTAGGCCTTCATACGCTGGAAGATCTGACGGGCCAGCTTGATGGCATCGACGATGGTGGACAGACCGGGGGCAAGGAAGACGATATCGGCAGCAGCCTGGGCAGCCTCAGTAGAGCCCTCGACAGCAATACCACAGTCAGCCTTCTTCAGGGAGGGAGCATCGTTAACACCGTCACCAGTCATGGCAGTCAAGTGACCACGCTGCTGGAGCATCTCGACGACCTGGTACTTGTGCTCGGGGAAGACCTCAGCGAAACCATCAGCCTTCTCAACGAGGTCGTGCTGGGCAGAGCCAGCGAGACCGCCGTGGATCAGACGCTCCGAGTCGTAAACCTTGGTGCCGAGAGCAAGCATCTTGCAGGTCTCCTTGGCGATAGCGATGGCGTCACCAGTAAGCATCTTGACGGACAGACCGAGAACCTGGGCCTCAGCGATGGTGTGGGCAGTGTCCTCACGGGGGGATCGAACATGGGGTACATGCCCAGAAGCTGCCAGGGCTCGCCCTCCTTCTGGACGGCAACACCGAGGGAACGGAAACCACGGCGAGCGAACTCGGTAGCCTTGTCACGGTAGAGCTGGGCCTCCTCCTGGGAGCACTCAGACATGTTCAGGATAGCCTTGGGGGCACCCTTGGCGCAGATGTAGCGGACACCGTCGCAAGTGCAGACAGTGGTAATACGCTTGGAGACGGGGTCGAAAGGAGAGTACTTCTCGGTAACCCAGTTGCGGGCGAGAATTTCACGGGCCTTGGGGTAACGGCGCAGAGTAAGGATCGTGACCTTGTCAATGGGATCAAGGTTCTTGACGTTGTGAGACGAGGCGATAGCAGCGACAGCCATCATCCAGTTGACATCAACACCCTCAGCGACGTAGGGCTCTCGGATGGAGAGCTGGTTGGCAGTGAGGGTACCAGTCTTGTCAGAGCAGAGGATGTCGACACCGGCAAGGGACTCAATGGCAGTGAGCTTCTGGACAATAGCCTTCTGCTCGGCGAGGTAGGCGGCACCGACAGCGAGGGTAGTGGTGGTAACGACGGGCAGACCGACGGGGACACCGATAATGAGCAGAATCAGGGTGTAGTGGAGCAGGTTGTTGTCGGAGCCCTCAGGGGTAGCGATCTTCAGGTGACGGAAGAAACCACCAATCCAGGCAGCGAGAATCCAGAACATGACGAGAACGAGCAGAGAGGTACCGATGTTGTCCATGACAGCCTTGAAGTGACCAGTGTCCTTGGCACCCTGCACGAGAGCAGCAGTCTTACCAACGAAGGACTGGCGGGCAGTAGCAGTGACGATACCGTAGGCCTTGCCGCGCTTGCAACCGGTGGTGTAGTAGCAGACGTCGGCCATGTACTTGTCGACAGCGAGAGACTCACCAGTGATGGCGGACTGGTCACAAGCAATCAGGGAGACACCCTGGTGGAGCTCGCGGGAGTCCTCATCATCCTCGTCGTCCTTCTCCTTGAGGGTGTCGTCGTTGGCGGTAAGGAGGTACTCCTTGTAGGTCTCGAACATCTCGGGCTTAGAGTAGTCGCAGATCAGGCGGACATCAGCAGGGATGACATGGCCCTCCTCGACAATGACAATGTCACCAGCAACCAGCTCGCGAGCCAGGATCTCCTCCTCCTGACCGTTGCGAACAACAATAGCACGCATAGCAATATCACCCTTGAGCGAAGCAACGACATCGGCGGCCTGCTTCTCCTGGTACCAACCGACCAGGGCGTTGAGGAGCAGAATACCACAGATGACACCCAGATCGATCCAGTCACGCAGACCAGCAGCGAGGAGGACAGCAAGTTCCATAACTGTAGACGAGTAACAAGACGCGTTAGAAAAGCCATTGACGCGTCCCATGCCCATTGGGAGAGCCGATTGAGGGTTTCTGGTTCACTCACCATAGAGAATAGGACCACGGAAGTAACCAATGAACTGAACGAAGATGTTGACCTTCTCAGTAGTGAGCTCGTTCCAGCCGCACTTCTTGCGGCGGGGCTCGATGTCGGAGGAGCTCAGACCAGAGCGCAGGTCGGTCTCGAGCCACTCGTCGGGGCACTGCCAGCCCTCCTGGACGCTGTCGCCCTTCTTGCCAAAGAACTTCCACCAGGGGCGCTTCTCCTCCTTGGCGCTGAGAGCAGCGGCGCTGGAAGTCGAACCACGACGGCCATCGCGGGCAGTCGAGATGTAACGGTTCAGGGCCGAGTACTCATCGAGATTGCCATCGTTGACGTCGCCGGCCTCACGGTGACGGTCGCCGTTCTCGACGTCGGGAGCATAGGAGATCCTCCGCTCCGCCATTGTTGCTGCTGCTTCGGCTCACAAAGCCTTCGGAACCCAACGATATGAGCAGTTGCAAACACACCAACACACAATGGCAGGGATGGCGCGAGTCGGAATAATCCTATGGAATAACAAAAGGGAAAAAGAGGGAAGGAATCGACGGTGGGTGAGAGGAGGTGGACTACTTTATAATACGGGGGGGGGTCAAGGCGAAAAGCGAGTGAGAGGACGGGGAGTGGGTGAGTGTGGATAATGAGCCAGCGTGTGTGAGGGAAATAAAATAAAAAAGGGAATTAAAAAATTTTTACATGGAAAAAATAATGAAATAAAATAACGAAAAATGAAATATTGGTATTTTGGGAAGAAGTTACTTTACTTGTAATTGGGTGGATACAATATCTTGGGGGGAAGATGGGGGGGGGAGAGATGGGGAGTCCGTGTTTGTCGCGATGATGGTATAAACTGGGATGCGACTGGGGCGGGTCGCTTGGTTACTGGGTGCGAGGTACCTGGTTGCTGGGGACAAACATGTAACTAGGGTAGCCCCACTTGCTGTATATGTACTTCCTGTTCATTTCCTTTTTTGGGGCCTTGTCCTCTATTCCCCCTTGCCCTCTAGCCAAGGCCGCCCCTCGAACTTAGTAGAATTGCTAGTAGGAGATGGTAACTGCATCTTCTGTATATCCTCTCTGCTGTCTCCCTCCATTGACTGCTCATCCAACGGGGCAGCCACGAGTAGCTGGGGCAGGCTCAGGGAGGACTGGCTGAGAGCAGCCACTGAGACCGGCGTGACATCTCATTGGTGCCATGGGGTGGGGGCAATGCCCAATCCGGAATAATCAATACACACATATCACTCCCAATACCAGGTAATACACAAATCCCAAAAAGGGAACGAAAAAGAGCGCGAAAAGAAAAAAAAAAAAAAACTCTTCTCGCCCCGTCCATCCTTCCCATCCTCCTACGACCGGCACTGGTCTGCCGAGTGGCACTCCACCTCTGAATCGGTACGGTCGGTACACACGGCTTGCCTGTTGGTACTGCGTGATACAGAGCAATTCCTGGCCTTACCGAGTGCGGTGCCCCAGCTGCTCTCAGCTTGACTATGCGCGATTTTCCCAGGGTAATTTCCATCCTTACTGCCCCGAGACCAAGACGACCAGAGCAAACTAGAGGCATTGGCACTGCTACAGTACTGCAATTGGGCCCAGCAATCACAGCAGAATCGTTTCGCCCGTAACTCCGTACAGTATGTATGCCTTGTTTGTCTTGTTGTGATATCTTGACGAGTTATGCGACACGGAGAATTTGCGAAGAATTCAAAACAGCCAGATCGCCAGATCCCGAACCCCAAGAAGAAATTGAATGAGAGCCTATCGCCCTTGCAGGAGCATCTTGCTATTTTGGCAGCGAGCTAGCCCTAGAGTAGCCTCTTCTCCACGCTACCACACGAGTCGCCATATACGCTGCTTTGTGCCCCTGGTATGCCATACCGCACCCGGATATGGAACAGGACCAAGTTGGGGAACTACAAGAACTGGAGCAGAAGAGAAGAGAACCAAATGTGACGGCATCGAAGATCCATTGTGACCATCGTAGCCGCTCGACCCAACCCCAAAGCATCCTATACATCGTCGCAAGGGGCACCGCAAGCAGCCAAGACCATTCAGATATGTATGCCAATGCTGAGGCATTCACTGCTCGCCCGCGTCTCGGGTGCCCTGAAATCCCGAATACCGTTCTGTACTCGGTGGTTTCGCGGTGTTATAGATTACCATTATGTCACTGGCCTGACTGACTGATTGCTGCTGTTATCGACACGCCCCGGGGGGTCTTACCACCACCGCCCTCGCGCAAGCTGCCTCGTATCTCACCAACCGTGGACGATCGTTGCACTCCACGCCAGCGAGGGACGCCAACGACGGCCCAAGGTCGGTCCCCAAAAGCGCCATTTAATTCAGCGTCCCTGACTGGCTGATGCGACCGTCAAGGTCTCCGCCCGCTAAGTCCGCCTAGTCTCGAAGGACCGGGCATGCACCGAATCAGAGACGCCCGGCGTGCCCGCGATGATTTCATCGCCTGTGCGGATCGGCAGCAACTGGCTCGCTTTCTGCGTGCTAGTCTATTTGTCGCCCTCAGGATCCGACTGCCCATGGCCCTTTCCGGTTGGGGCTGGCCGTGCCATACTAGAGGGACTAAGCTGGCTAGTTGGCTATCTGGCAAGGTAGACCGGGGCATGGTCGGCTGGTGATTTGTGACACCATCGTGATACACGGATAATCGGCCCCAGCTCCTATTTGAGATGGTCATCTTGAGGTGATGGAAGTTGGCCGAGGTGTTGGCATACTTCCGAAGAACAGAAAGGAAAGTGGCTGGGACATATCGCGAAGTCACGGTCCCCGTGGTCCGGAGATGCCAGAATAGAAGTGCCCCCAGTGTACAACACGCAAACGAACTCTCTCTTCCAACTCATGCCGATCGCCGGACGCGCTGTATGACCAGCCAAACCGGCCAGCAGGGACTTATCCCCGCTCGACCTCTCCCTCGTGCAAGGAATCCGTGGTATACATTTTACAGTGTACCTCTTGTCTCCTCCAGACTAGCCCCCGAAATACCCCCAGACAGCGCGGGATCCTCGAATGCAGGCATGGGGAACGTTCGATCGCTCCTCAAGCTTCCTGCCATCCTGCATGCGCGACGATTGGCCCGTCCACCGATCCCGCATGGCCAGCTCAACTCAAAACCACGCCACTAGCAACAGGTATCCTGGACGAACACACCCATGCACCCCGGGTTTGTTCCCGACCTCGAGTCAGATAGGCATTGTGCACGAGCCGCCAAGCGAGGGAAAGGAGTCAACAGGCAGGTAGGATCAAGTAGACGTCGTCAACGGCTTCCGGAGCCCATCACTACAACCTACTCCGTACGTCCTGCCTGAGAGTTTCGGCCATCCACGGTCGATGTATATACTCCGTATATACCCTCTCGCTTTCGTGTAGAAACACCCAATGAAAGCATCCCCTCCCATCACCATCAACTACTGCAGACAGTCGTCGTACGTACGTCGATCGCTCGGGCTACCCGAGTTGGCATGCCCCGGCGCTTTCCGCGGCTGACGTGCCATGCCAGCAATGGAGCCAATTGTGGCCACTCGATCAATAATTGAAACCGCGAAAGGGGCGCGTTCACCCGACGCCAAAAATGAGGGAAACCCAGCGAGCAGTCCAGACCGTGGGAGACCAGCTCCCTGTTATCTGTCATCTCCCTGCTACCAGGAATCTGTATACTCACCTCGAACAGCGGACGACCCCCCTCCTAGCCCTAACTCCCAAATCCCTACAGGCCAAGCAATGGATATGATAGACATACAGCACTACTCGGTGCCGACGCAAGCAATTCAATCCATCCTCCAATCTATTCCAGTATCCCTAGGACCCAGTGCCATCCCGTTTCGGGAACACACCCGCCCCCTCCCCCCGCCCCAAACCCAATCCCAAACCCAATAAGAATCCCCAAACCCCCATCCTTAATCTCCCTCTTCCAGTGACAGATGCGAGACGAGGTAGCTAGTTTACAGTAGCTCCTAGAAATGTGGGCCAAATCAAATGCGGCTGGGCGAGACCAGAGACTAGTCAACGCGGGAAGAGCCCTACCGACCGTAGTAGGGGCATTTCCTGCCCGTACTGCGTCAGTAGGCGTGGTAGTCTCCCGCGCTTCGGCCCCCGGCGGCCCCGTGCGAGGTATTTTCTCAATTGAGTTGCGATCATTTCCGGGGGATGCTCGCCGTTATACGCGGGCTATCGCTGCCCACGTCAGCCAATCATTCGAGCATTTTATCGTAGGGGATATACAAAGAAGGGGGAGCGGGAAGCGCTACGACCAGTTTCCGATCTCGTCGTGAGAGCGGACTCCTTTTGTACGCTGTGGGGAATACTGAGTGATGAATGGTTAGGGAATTTGGTCTCAAGAGTGTCTCATTATGCCCTTGGGTCTGCAAATAAGACATTTTGCGGTGAAGGCAACGCGGGCCCTCCGCATCGTGGATACCCCGAGGTGCACCACGGAAGTGGGGAGCGAGCTCCTGGGAGCTGGCGGTTCTATCTTCAGTAGCTAATCGTCACGAAAGCAACGCAAAATATACGGAGTTCAGAGGGTAATCCTAAATTTGTGCGGTACATGCTCTGTACCCTAGACACAATAACCCTATTGTGTACATAATGTCATTGTGCCAATTGGCAGTCGTTGAAAGAAAAACCCTACGAGTGGATGCAGAAAATGAATCTCGAGGCGTACCCCACGCGCCCGACCCATGAGACGACTGTGGACGCGGTTCCACACGGCAGGACGGACGTGTTGGGAGTATATTAGAAGTTTACTTATCGTGGCATATAATCTGATTGGTGTTATTGCGATCTGCGGCGAATGCGACAAAGTCTCTTTCCAGTACCGGGCGGATATATATCGTGCGGAGGAGGGAACAATGCGACCGTGGCGCGAAGCGTGCCAGGGATCAGAACAGCCGAACAGCCCTGTGAGACCCCGATCGGGACGAAGAGGGGGGGGGATCTTCCTACGGGAGGAGACGGTTACGATTCAACTGTAAGGTTTAGGAACACGGCGGAAGGAAATATCTCGGCCTCGTTCTTTACGCCTCAGCGGCGGCGATAGCGACGGCCCTCCCACCGCTCCGTGGGACCTATATCCTGTCCGATCCGTGCCGTCACCCCTCACGTGGAAGGACCCCCCAAGCAGGGACATTCCGACCAAGATGAGAGGACAGAGCGCCAAGGTTGGAGGGTTGGTGTCATTCAGCCCTTGGGGCGATCGCGCCGCTGATGTCGACCGTGATGTGTGATGTGATGTGTAGCGCTGGGCTGGGGAAAACCGGCAAGCCACCCCGCCAGCACGGGTAACATCCAGCACGGGCAACATGCACCAGAATGAAAATGCCTCAAAGTTTTAACCTCCTCCAGACGCCTCCCAAGACCGTCTGCACCGCGAGTGGACGGAATGGACGGGCGACGCCTGCCGGGCCCGAACTGGGCTTGGGGGTGGTGGGTTGCCACGCCGAGTTTGACACGACAAAATCCCATCACTGGCCCAGTAGGGCCAGTGCCCTGCCGTGCCCTATACAGTCCTGGTTGGAGACCCGTTGCCACCCGCGACCAAAGACCAAACGAGAAGACCCGTAGCCTCACTGGTGACTCGGTCGAGTGGTCGCGATATTACCACTCACGGCCCGAGCAGCCTGGAGGCCGCTCATCCCCCAGTGGGGACTCCAGGACTCCGTGGGGGCTCTGCGGCGCTTTGCCCACTGTTCGCGACTCCGTCCTTTCCGTCAGTTCACCGGCGCCGAATGTGCCCTAGGACTGGGCCTGGTGGAGCCAAGCTGCTGTGCGTGCACGCAAGTACCAGAGCTCGGTTGTTCTCGAGGTTTTCTAGAAGCCTTCTCCTCGGGGGCAGTTCCATGGGTGAGCTGCAGGAGGCTTAACTTTTTCCTGGTCCTCCGGCGCGTTGTGATTTGGCGGTGGCCGGCTCGGTGGACTCGGGAATCGGCATCCACGTCTCTGTTCCTCTGGCTTCCGTCGAGCATCCTGCCTCAAATTGGGTGAGGGACGTGCTCGAGATAAGAAGTGAAACTCTCACGTCATGGGCCGCTTATCGCGCCGTTTTCGCCGCGCGCTGCTGCGCTGAGTTGGTTAGTAGCCGTCGTACCGCAAAGGGTGCGACTATGCCCGTGCTGGATGTGCTTCCCAAAGAGGCTCGATAAAATACCAAATACCCCCAAACTGTAACTTACCGCTGACTAGTGTTCTGTCACGACCGAACGGAAAGGAAGCAAATGCCCGTTCGGGCGAAGAGCGGAGGATGGCCCATTGGCCAATCACCAGGCAATAGGAGTGCTGACTCAGCTCGCATCTGCCGTGGTTCCCGTTTCGCGCCGGGAGAAACAGGCACAGCGAAGGGCAGCTGCTTGCGCGCACAGTACGGAGTACAGCTTGGACATTATCCACCACCAGGCTAGCGACAAAAGCTTCAATAGAGCTGACCCCATCAGTCGGCAAAGTCAATTGACCTCAATTACCGCCGAAAACCCACCAGCGCCCCCTATTAGCCCCCCCGAAAACCATCTCGAGCTGTCTGGCGGTGCTGGCCACTACTCCGGACACTGTACTCCGTATTTCCCCAAGAACTAGGGTCGACACCATCGCTCTTGGCTTCCACCGCGCAGCCGTGTACCTACGTTAGCGGGAAGGGGAAGTGCCCTGATCCCAGCAATCAGACGCCCCAATTGCGGTCAGGAATGGGTCCGACCCATCTGAATCAAACCCTCACCGGTGGGCCAGAGGAGCATCGTGAAGGGGCGCCCCACCAGACGATCGCCCTGCCAAATCGTAGCTTGGCTGACGCGAGCTCTCCCCGTCGGCCTCCAGTCCGAGGCCTGCTTGGCTTGCCGACCCTTCCCCTTTGGGAATCATGAGGCATTTTTGATGGGCGTGCCGCCGTGCAGATGGCCAAGTCTGATATGGACGCCACGATAGGGATATGTTGTTCATCGTGGCGACAGACGGGCACATACAACCTAACGGGCGTTTTTCGCCCTCTCGCTCTTTTTCCTCGCCAGGAGAATATGCCGCAGAAAAGGCGCGACCATTGACAGGAAGGCTTGAAGACCACACCAGATCGACTCGACGGGCCTGCATACCTGCATACTGCACTGTGCAAGCGCATAATCCCCCTCCTATACGAGAAACACGTAGTACGTACTGTAGTCACTTACTAAATCCTAATCTACAGAGCAAGCCCATTACTCGAACAAGCAATCTTCCCCCCCGGTTCCCCCAACACCGGGTTCGCCAAGCGATCCCAGCGTCCCAAGACTTTCCCCCAGGTTCACCTGCCCATGGAGAACAAAAGGTCCGCTTGACGGTCTGGAGCCTCTCGACTCACTGCTCACTACTCACTACTGTAGATGGACACCGGGGAGAGGTCTCTACCTTCAATTCCTACCGGTCTAGGAAAGTTTCTATGCGGTTCCCGCGCCTGCAGGGAAGTGTTAAGGTTTGAGCTCTGGACTTCCCCGTGTTGGGAGTCAGCCTGTGGGAGGAGGATTGTTGGGACCATTACGGCATCCCTGCACGATGCAAGGAGATGGGGGATGAACGTGGTCGGCGGTTGGTGGGCGAATCGGGCTACACCGTAGTGCGAGGCCGACGCCGAGGCGGTGGACCACTGTACAAAGGAAGATGTACGATGTACGATGTACACACATTAAGGTGAGAGATTAAAGTGGTATGACCGTGTCACGTCATAGCAAGGATTGTTCTGCAGCTCATTTGTATCGTTCCTGCGAAGACTGCTGGCGTGCCATGTATCCGGAATCGGTTAATCATGGAGTCCACAATTCTCCGTAGTCCATGAGTGATTACCATCTACGGCGTAGTAAACGGGGCAATTAGCAGACTCCATTCAGGGCGGTCGTTCGTGAAATTCAGGCAAGGGGGGCCAGGTAATGGGGAACGGGGCGTAAAAGCCCTGCTAGCTATCCCAGCGAACCAACCCAAACGCAACGAGTTCCTGCTCCTCGTCGAGCAACCTCCTGCGCGGACAACCATCGTCATCGCACAGTCAAAAGTCAAAGTCAAGCCCAACCTGAGGGAAACGGAAACGGAAAACGGGGACCTCCCGCACGGGTATCGGCCGTCTGTGCTTTTGCGCCTTTTTCCAGTAGTTCCAGTCTAAGCTGTTCGCGCCCTTTACCTATCTAGCTTGGCCTTGCCACTATTGCCCCAGAAGTATCCCCCATCGGCGCACCGGCTTGCCTCGGCTCAGATCAGAAAATTTTCCAATGCGCGCGGAGATAGGGGGCCCATGGAGGCCGTGAGGAGGAATCTCGGCCTTTACCGGGCAGAATTCCGACCCTCAAGTTCGGGCGACGCGGCAGCGCGGGAGTCGGCACCGGGCTCTATGCGGGTTTTGGCTGCATGTTGCAGCACCGTGTTGGGTGGAATTTGATTTGGTGGCAGGTTAGAACCGTGGATTCTGGCCTGTCCTGGTGTCGGATTGGGTGTGTGTCGTGTGTTGCACTGTTGCATTGTCGCATGTCGCGTGTCGTTACGGTGGGCAATTATTTTTTCCGGTTCAGGGACCGGCTAAATGAACCAGACCACTGAAATTTTTTTTACTTGCTGGCACCTGCTCGCGTGAGTAAGAGGAGATTCATTGGCCACCATCAGCCCTACGGAGTCGTACTCTTCCAGGAAGCTGGAAGTTAGAAGCTGGAAGCTGCGTTTCTCGCTCTCGTACCCGTACTCGCCGTCCTACAACTACAGTGTTGTTCCATACTGTAGGTATTCATTCAAAAGTACCCCTTGATTTGACCGCCTTAGCTACACCGCCTAAGACAACTACACGCACGATAGGATCAATAATATCAACAACATTATATGTTTTGACGCGTTTTCTTTCTACCTATAGCCTTCTTACACATTCATATAGAAATATTTGCTAAGCTGTCAGCTACAATGCTACATAGAGTGCAGGAATTTATTATGAGAGAAGGGTGGTATACTAGAGATGAATAGAAAATTGGAGGTTTCTGCTGGCAGAAATACTACTACAGTAATTAGTAGGGCCGAGGTAAAGGGGTTTGAATACTGCTTAGTTGGGTGGTTTTGCTGAGTTTAGTAGGGGGTCAAACCTACTGGAGCAACCTCACCAAGAGGAAGGGATGACACTTACATCTTGGCTGCATCAAACATCTTGCCCCGATTAGCAACAAATGCTCAAGAGAATTACCACAATACATAAACCTACGCATTCTCTATACGGAAACATCATGCGCGAACCCAATTGCCGCCTTAGTCTTTGCGTACAGTGGATAACCATGCCGAGTGTCTCGCCCAGCAGTTCCCACGGGGCGAGTGTCCCCTTCGAGGTGTACTGAGACAGGAGCACGCTAGACGCAAGCATCCCCATACCAGTAGTTGCTACTTACGGCCGCGGGAGCTACGGCAGGTACGGGACAGCTTACCTGGAGGCAAGTCCAGTTTCAAACAGGTGGGAAATGGCCCGTTCCGCAGGGTCCGCGAACCGGTCTGTCAACCACCACGCGCAGTACGGATTGTACCTACGTATGGTGTACAGTAGAACCACCCCCTTAGCGACAATCTATGACGAAATAAATTCCCCCAGACATATGGGAGCAGCAGAATCAGGGGCATGGCCATGATGACGTCGGACTCGGCACTGAAACCCAGCAAAGGCCAAAATAACGTCGAGGCGTTGGGAGCTCCCAATAACAAGCAAAACATACCGCGGGGCCATATGCTAGCGTCCCCCTTTTTCGGCCCTGGATCGACAGGAGAACGAGGGGTCGCGGGCCAACAGCTGTGCGAATTCAACACGGGCAAGAGCACGCCCCCACACGGCCTCGACGCGATGCTCGCAACGGGCAAGGAGCGAACTCTCTTTTCAGTACAGGCGCTCCATAGCGCGCATCGCTATTAAAGCTGGGCAAATTGGCGCGTCTGGGAAACTGGTACACTATTCTCGTCCGGTTTGGGCCACGCGGTTAGGGGGGTGTTTCGTGCTGTGCGCTGTTCACTTTCCTTTTGACCTGCGTATTAGGGACAGTTCTACTCCGTAAGTAGTGTACTGTAGTATAGTGGAGATGGTGCCATGCAGGTACCTTCTGTACGGAGTAAATCGTCGCGTCTGTCCATGAAGGAAAACAGAGCCGCGATGATCGGCGGGTCTCTCTGACGTATGTTCGGAGGTAGGTAGGCCGACCTATGTACTCCGTACATCAAGCGTGGGAGGTGCTTTGACGTGTCTGAGGACGTCGATTTGGCCGATCCGGTGCGTCGGTCTTAGGAGCATTGCGATGGCGTTCAATCGGGTGTTATTTCCATCTTGTCGCTCTGTACACTGTAATCGCATGACCGTGCTTGGCTACAGTACAGACTGTCCGGACATACCTGACCGGCGGGACAGGCTTGAGTCGGACGCCGACTGCCTGAAACTCGCCGTAATGTGATCATCGGTGTTCCGTGAATGCCCGTCGATCTCATGTAGCCCGGGTCTTCGGGCACGGCCATAGTGTGCTTGTGACAGTGCGGTGCCGACGGGCTGTGTCTGAGTCACTTTTGTGAGAGATGCGGGAGACTAGCTTATGCTCTGCCTGGTAGGCTCCGACTTACTGCTACCGTAGAAGAGGCTGTGCTGCTCCGGGGATCCTGCTCTGCTATTGCCCGACGCAGATCAGGACTTACAAATACACACCGTAGAGGCGAGTATTGTCTCTTGAACTCTCTGCCGTATGCCTGATGTACTGTATTCTGGGGTCTTGGCGGTGTGCTCGAAGGCTGCCGATTATGCCAAGCAAGACAGGGATGTGTTTATTGGGGGCGAGGGGGATCGCCGTGCTGCCTAGCAAGTTGTACGCCGGATAGTTTCAGTCTATAGATAGTATCCAAGGACATAACTGCAATGCATTATTGTATTAGACTTCATGCCGAGCATTGTCACGATGTAGGATGTTGAGACTAGATCGATGTTGAGACATCCCTGAACTTTAGTCGGCATGTATCGTGTCTTAACTATGGGGTCAATGCAAAGCTGATATTGATTTTCGGTTCCACCGTAGCTCTTGGCTTGACGAAACTGGGTATCGCTTGTTGCCAATAATTGAGTTTATATCTGAAAAGCAGTCTGCTGATCGATGAGGTCCTCTTGGTACACGCCAGATTTTATCACTAGTGCCATTGAAGTGGTTCTCAGTCCTCAGTGACGTGCCTTGGCTCCAACTATAAATATACAAAACGCATTCTTGAAACAAGAATCGACAATATAGAACCAATTACACATGTCCGACTTATCGCCAGCGTGGCAATGCGGCACCAGGTCCCAACATTCAAGTCCGCACGTCCTTAATCGCCCCAATCCCTCCGGGCAATCACTCTTGGCGCCAATGCCGCCCCCGAGAGATGATCCTAGTCGGGGATCTGCTTCGCATCTGCTTGGCCATGCGCCGGACACGAAGTTGTGAGTTACGTACGTACGGTTACTTCACCCCGACTCATTCAACCCTTGATTGTCACCCAGATTCAGTACAATGAATCCATGTACAGTACAATGATGTATTTCCCATACTCATGCGGTATCCCTATATCTTCTCACCCCTCCCCCTGAACAGATCCCCGCCAAGAATGCACCGTGCATCCCTCCCGCATTATCGTCTTGGCGAGCATCCGCTTCTCGACGCGCTGGCTCGAGTGTGCCTCGCTCTTCCCCCTTTCCCCAGAGGAGATCAATGTGCTACATGAGCACAGACTCGGATCCCTCCTCTGATCTCCGTGGGGCGGAGTGGAGAGGCGGGCGCAGGCCAAGCAAGCGCGATAATAGCCAGCAAGGACTGCCCAGATAATTCCGTCTGGGCACTGCCACTGTATTCTAGGAGAAAGATGTAACGGCTACGTTCAGATACATAGTTGTCCTGTGATTGACGCTTGGCGGAGGCTGTACACTGGTGTCTCTCATGCGGTGCACTGGGCGTGGACGTGGCAGGTAGGCGCAGGTATGCGTCTGCCTTCACTCAGGCTTGTTGTACAGTAGGTACCGGCACTCCGCAGAGGGTTGATCTCCTTCCTTTGCTCTGTATTGATCCTCATCGCCAAGGAGAGGACAGTGTGCGTTGTCTAGCTTCTGCCGTCGGATACTGCCCGTCTGGCTGGAGGTGCAGCACTCGGGCCTTGGCTGTGTACCATGCCCAGATGTGAGATTGAAAATTTGCCAGCCAGCCACTGAAATTGATGGTGACACTAGACCTGCCTGAGATTCTAGTGCGAGCGGGATAAGTTACCTGTATAGGCTTTGAGGGGTGTTTGGTCTACGGCCAACTCCAATGTAGATGGTATTCCGAGAAAAATGTTGAGAAAAGCCTGAGCAGAATATGAGATGAACTTGTATGTAACCATGTGATCGATAGATGGTATTAGTCGTGCAATTGATAGTATCTTGAGGGTCTGCCTTGCTTGTTACTAGGCTGTCATAAGGTAGCCTCATGAAAATGGACGGTCGAAAAGCAACCATTATCAGCTATAATTGTGCTCCTCAGGTCAAAGCTGAATATATATATATATATCTAGCAACAGTGTAGACTGTGCTGATGTCTTCTTTGAAGTGGGTTTGAGCAGCTAGGTAGGTATAGTCTGAATTCATGGAATTGGTGAGATTCTTCCTTCATATATCCTTGTCGACACGGATATATATCAATGCCTCTCCCCTCCCGCGCAGATTTTGAACACCAGCAGAACTGGAATGCCCACAGAAGCTGTTTCAAGTCTCAGTAACTAAATTCCCTATCGCTTCAAACCTCTTTTCCCCAGGTGCTAGGCACCTAGAACCCTACCATGATGGAACGCGAACCTACCATCCCTCCCCATCCCAAAACGGCAATCTTGACTTCACAATCACAACGCTCCTTATCCACATACTCCCAATCACGCGGGCGAGCAATGCAGCAAGGGAGAACAATGATATCATAAAAACGAGAATTCAATAAAAAAGAGCAAAGTAAGCCGAGCACCCCAGGCCCGTGACACGGTGTATCCCTTGCTAGCATGACAAGTTGCCATGAGCAACACCCGATATTTTGTTTCCTGACAGACCCTAGATGCCCACGTGGAGACACTAGTCTGCAAGAACTGCAAGGAACTACCGATATGCATACCGTATCTGAAGATCAGATCAGATCATATCAACGAGAGATACAGTATGAGCGGGACAGCTGCCCTTGCGCGGATATGGATAGTCTAGAAGGTAATTTTGATGCCGACGGTGCAGGGCACCAGTGTGCCGGGCATGGACTGTTCGATGGCGAACTTGGCCCGCCAGCCCGAACAGTGGCCGGGCATGAGCACAGCGGGATCGAGGAGTTTCAGATCGGCCACGGTGCTCTGGATCTGGGCGTCTTCACTCATAGCGAGGTGAAAGCCGCCCACCACAGCGTGGAGGGGCACGTCCTTGCCGACGAGTTCCACAGCATTCTTCGTGGTGTTGACGACACCGGCGTGGCTGCAGCCGGTGAAGACGACTATCCCTTTTCCTACGAGGAGTGAGCAAACCCATGCCTCGATACCTCCACGAATATGCATGGGAACTGATGCCCACCTTTGAGATTGCAAGCGAGGAAGCGTTCGTCGGCGATGACTTCATCCGAGAACCAATCATTTTCTTCTGGATCGTATCGCACTGCGTTCTTGAGTCCTGTTTCGTACGGCGTCAATCGCGGGATCTCTCCAGAGATCAGGAACATGTCGTCGAGGACCGTGTGTGCCTCGCTTGACTTGTCCACGACAGCGCCAGCATTGGATAGCTCTTCAAAGCTAGGATCTGCTTCGAGAGATATGATATGTTCAGGCAGGGCGATGCCTCGATAGACCGGTCGATCTGGATGCAAATCCACCGTCAGATTATTGGGGTGGCCTTGAGTCTGTTTGGCGTCCTTTATCATGCATATTGCTCGCACGAGACCGCCTGGATACAGTCAGTATACCTGGCCTGTGTTTTTCATGTTACGATGGTGTTGCCGTGGCATTTCTTAGTCTCGGAGGAGAACCGACCTGAGTGGTCTCGATGCCAGTGCGATAGTTGGATCACCTCCACAGATGCAAGATCCGGCCGCAGGCGCTTGACGTTCCTCTCCCAAGCATCTTCTTCAGGACCCGCATCGAAGAGCACGGCGTGCTTCTTGTCTCCTTTGGTCGCAGTCTATAGAGCACCTCCGGCGACGTATGAGCCAGACGTTGTAAACGCACAGAGTGACCGGTCCTCATCTTACCACAAGGATTGACAGACCATGTGCAGAGCAGCATATATCTTCCATCCGCAGCTCTTTGCATGCACCGCCGCGATTGGTGAGTTTGTGCGTCGAGTTCATCCCAATGGTGCCCAGGTTGCCTGTAATCTGGACGGTATCAGGTGCAGGCGGCGACAGCGGATCCAGTTCATTATCGATGATGACGATGGCCTCAAGGGAGTCCACTTCTTGGAGATTAAGAGTGTCCATTGCGAACGTTGTCAAGCGGTGAAGATGTGAAGATAGGGGGGCGTGCGCTGTCCGATCTTGGGGCTAGCGGGGGTATAAATACGTCAGTCCCAAAGATTGCCGCGTATTCCGGTATCCTCACCCTGCACGGGATTCTCGAGAATGGCAATGACTGCGAGGCAGAAAGACCGCTTATGTGGGATGCGTGCTGGCTTGTTTGTGTGTAGCAGGGTTCGTGCTGATAATCCCCCACCAGATCGCAGTGTTCGGTCAATTGTCCTATCAACGTGAGTCAAGATGTCTGAATGGACCCCGGGCTGGCCAAATATAATATACAGATGACAGTCAGGAAATCATTTCGGGGTAGGGAGCTCTGTTATCAGCCTAGGCGCCAGATGAGCCTAGAATAAAGTCCGGAGGCTCAGCCACCCGAAAGACGCCAGTCCCAGCTTCTCTCCGCACTCCACCCGTGCAATCGCGGGGAACTGAGCCTTTGCGCAGACATCGACTTGACTGTGGACAATACTCCGTACATTTGACAAGTTATCTGGCGATCGTCTTGCCCATCATCTGATATTTTCTCATCCGCATTGCTCCTCCTCGTCGCTCCTTCCACCCACGCTACCATGCGCCTCCCCATCGACCGTGTCTTTCTCCTCCTTTTCCTCGTCCTCGCCCCCGTCAACGCCATCGGCCTCTCATGCCTCAAAGTTGCCTCTGCACTTGTTGGCCGACCAAGCCACCTGTTCGACCTCTTCCAGAGTGAAATCTGCGAGCGCGGCTGCCAGCCTACCGTCCCCCACTGGGACCTCTGGACTCGCAACAACAGCTTCGTCCCCGCCGTGCGCAACCTCATGAAGCGCATGAATGTCCCACACCAGGAGGAGGCCTTGCTGAAGATGGGTGACGACGTCGCGACGATCATCAAAGACCAGTGCGGGCCAATGCTCGGCGGGCGACACATCTGCTCCGACCCGGTGACGCTGGCCGACTTTGGGAACTGCTTCAAGCGTCACTTCTTTAAGGCGTCGATTAAGCACCTCCCGATTCTGCTGCCGATGGCGTCAGATGCGGCGTGCAAGGAGCAGTACAAGTTTCTACAGGGGAATGAGCTGTGGGATGTCACAATCCCGAATAACATGCGCGAGTACGCGAGCGTGTGCAATCAATTGGGCCCGCACAAGCAGGAGGGCGCGGGTCAGAAGCAGGAGGAACCTCCGCGGGAAGAACATAAGCATGAGGACCTGTAATTTAGACCTTGCCATTAGATAGATCCCTTCCCTAAGTGTATAATTATTGTCTGCGCCAGGTCATCCTTCAGCCCCGTCGGCGGATTTGTCCCCAAGTTCGTCCGGGCCCGGCTCCGCGGGCGTCACCGCGGATGACGACAGGCCGAGTCGCATCGTTGCTCCTAACTCCGTAACTCTTGTTCGTCCTCCCCTCCCCTCCCCGGCTCCTTGATAAGCAGGGAAAGCCCAGGCCTCGCTTTTCCCCTCCCAAATACCTGTTTCCACTTGCACCATGCGTTGATCGCCGTCCCCCACCATGACCCTAGCGCACACGACGCTCCTCCGCACCCTGCGGCCTACCGTCGCACCCCGTCCCTGCGGCGTCTGGTGCCCTTTGCCCCGTCGCTACGTTCACCCCGGCGAATTCCAACCCTTTGTCCCTCCATCACCAAGCTCCCTGGGCAAGCCGACGCCCGCGAAGACCTACACCCGAACCCGGAAATGGCTGCGGCGGCTGGTCTACGCGTCGATCGCCACGGGCGTCATCTACGGCATCGACAGGCAGTTCTACGCCTCGTCGCTGACGAGAACCGCCCGGACATTCTCCCTCGGCCTGCTGGTTGCTATCGACTACAAAGTCAACTTCCGTCCGCACCCACCGCTGGCGAGTTCCATCACGGCGGTGCATGCTCGTAACGCGGAGCGCTTATCCGATCTCCTACGTCACAATGGTGGGTTATATTTGAAGATGGGCCAGGCGATTGCCATGCAGTCTGCAATCTTACCGCCCGAGTTCCAGCAGATGTTCTCGCGCATGTTTGACGATGCGCCGCAGAATGACTGGAAGGACGTTGAGAAGGTCATCCGCGAGGACTTTGGCAAGTCCCCCGAGGAGGTGTTTGGTGTCTCGTTCGATGGGGCGCCGGGAAAAGGCGTTATGGAACGGAAAGCGCGGGCGAGTGCCAGTGTGGCTCAGGTGCATTGGGCTCGTCTGCAGGATGGCCGCGAGGTTGCTATCAAGATTCAAAAACGAGAGATTATACAGCAACTTGCCTGGGATTTGTGGGCCTTCAAGTGAGAATTATCGCCATTGGACAATTGGTGAAGACCCGAAATGAAATGGCTAACATCCTCTACTAGAGTTGTCACCTATATTTACAGCAAGCTGTTCGACATTCCTTTCTATAGCCTCGTCCCCTATATCAGCGAGCGCCTCTCGCTGGAGACCGACTTTGAGAACGAGGCAACCAACTCAGAAACCATGGCCCGACTCGTGGCCGGTGAGCCTCGCCTGCGTGACCGGGTGTACATCCCCAAGGTCTTCCGCGAGTTGAGCTCGAAGCGGGTCATGACCGCCGAGTGGGTTGAAGGCGTACGGCTCTGGGACAAAGACTCTATCACCCGGACATGGCGTGGTGGCTGGCGTCAGGGGAGCCCTGGATGCCACGGGACACCGCTCGATCCTCCGAAGAGCAAATCCGTCCCTCAACCCCCTCAAATAGCCAATCTCAAGCCCGAACGTAACCACTGGAAGGGCCAGAACAACCGCGGCGGGCTGGGGCTGTCCCTCAAAGACGTGATGACGACCATGGTCGACCTCTTCTCCGCGCAGATGTTCCTCTTCGGCTGGGTACACTGCGATCCGCACCCCGGAAACATCTTCATCCGGCGCAAGCCCTCCGGCCAGCCGGAGCTGGTGCTCATCGACCACGGCTTGTACATCCACATGGAGCCGGGCTTCCGGCATCAATACGCGCGCTTCTGGAAAGCGCTTCTGACCTTCGACAACGGCACCCTCGGCGAGATCGCCAAGGGCTGGGGCGTCAATAACGCCGACATCTTCGCCTCCGCGACGCTGATGCGCCCCTACCGCGGCGGCGACATGTCCACGCGCCGCGGCATCGAAGGCCTCAGCAAATCCGAGCGCGCCGAGCGCCACTACGAGATGCAGCAGGCGGCCCGCAAGGCCGTTCGCGAGATCCTCGGCGACGAGAGCAAGTGGCCGCGCGAGCTGATCTTCATCGGCCGCAACCTGCGCATCGTCCAGGCGAACAACCAGTTCCTGGGCTCGCCGGTGAACCGTGTGAAGATCACGGGGATGTGGGCCTCGCGCGCGCTGGTCGACGCGCCGGATCTGCCGTTGGCAGAGAAGATTCGCAATCTGGGACGGCATGTGGTGTTCCGCATGGTGCTTTTCACAAGTGATATCTTCTTCTGGTTTACGAAGATCCGGCAGTGGTTGAGGCTGGGGGGTGGCATGGAGGATGACATTGAGGCGCAGATGCAGAATATGGCGAAAGATCTGGGGGTGGAGCTGAATCAGAATGTGTTTGAGGGATAACGTCCCTCTCGATATCCTGGGTGGCTTGGGACGGTCTGCCATCCTTTGGATATCTGCGTTTCCTCTCGATACGCGGAGATCTCTCAGCCAGGCTGTGGATCTCGTATCTCTGCATGGCTCTACCCTCCTTGCGACCCTCCGACCATGCATGCTAGCCGGATGACACAGCCAATGGTATAGATAGCACTACTCCCCTCAACATAGATAAAACAGGAAAGAGATTATAAAACCAATGCATTATCTTTTGGCTATGGCTATGCGATATTGGACATTGTATAGGACATCACCTCACCTCACAACCAAAGACATCCATCACCCACAACTCCCATAGACATTCAACCCGGCCCCTAGCACATCCTGACATCCACTCCTCTTCCGATCCAACGACCTCCTCGTCTCCCCGCCTTCACTAACCCCCCTTCGCCCCAGGCAAATGAATCCCCTCTACGCCCCCCTTAGCCGTGTCCCTGCCCCCCACAAGATCCCCCAACTTCCCCAGCCTCGCCAAATACGCCGCCCCTGTATCCGCCCAAACGCGATATTCGCAAACCCTCAACTTCCCCCTCCGCTCCTCATCCGGACTCATCTCCTCTGCCAGCGCAATCCGGTACACAAACGTCTCGTCCCACGCCTGCCCGGTGTCCTTCCAGGTGAACGTGGCGTGGCCGCGCAGCACGACGGCCATGCAGCTGTCGTCGACGAGCCAGGCGTCGTCGGGCTCGAAGGTCATGTTTGCGATGGAGAGGTGGTCTCCTAGTAGCTCGAAGTAGCGGGCTACGCCATCCTGGCCAGTGAAGGAGAGGCCGAGGAAGGGGGCTAGCTGGGGGAGGCCGTGTTCGTGGACTAGTGGTACAGGCTGGGTGGTGAAGGTCCGGAGGAGGGTGGTGAGGGGAGCGTCGGGGGTTTTGGTGGTGAGGGCATGCAGGAGGGATTGTACTGGTTCGAGGAGGGTCGTGCGGGGGACCATTGTGGTGCTTAGGAGATGGTGGAGGAAGTTGATCTGTTGGGTTGGGGTGAGTTGGGGTTTCACGAGGGGGCAATTATTCGATTATGGTAACTTGGAGCTGAATGCTTGTCACTTTTGAAGTCGATATCGTCGTCGCTGGCTATGGGGGATACCTAATGGAGGATGCTGGACCTTACATAACGATGACGTTTGCGGGAGTATAGCTCTTTTTCATTTTTTAGTTTCTTATACAAGAAAAAAGATACCTTATTTCGAGAAAGATATCTCAATCAACGACTGAGCCAGGTCGAGAAGCTCTTCTCCCCCGACCCAACAAGCTGATATCTGGGGGAGCAGCCGCCAGCAGTAAACATATCACGTCCCCAAAGCCCACATCAAACTCCAGTTGCCGGCCTTCGTAATGAAAGCAGAGATCGCAACGCAAATCAGCAAGAGAATACCCGTAAAAAAAAGAAAAAGAAATATAGAAACAGACATAGAGGCGAAAACACCGTGGCCCCAGCATAAAACAATACACACCCTCCCGTCGAGATTCAACCACTCTAGCTGGGAGGATGGAAGCGCATATTTCCAGCGTCTAGTTTAACTCACTGGCGCCAGGACTTCCCACAGTTCAGGCACGTACAGAACAGCGTCATTGGTTCATCAGCACTGCGGGTTTGTGCCTCGGTGTAGGTTACCTTGCGCTGGCCGCACTTGCCGCACTGCAGACTAGTACTGACACTGCGCTCGGGCTGGCCCACCATGGCCTTGTCCATGTTCTCCTTCTTGATCTTGGCATCGGCCTCGCGCTGCTCCGCGGACCGCAGCTCATCCGAGGACATGCGCACAAAGTCGTCCGGGCTGATTTCACCGGCGAGCACGCGGATGCGCAGGTTGGGGTTCGACTTATTCTTCAGGTTCTGGAACAGACTGCGCATCTTGGTCCGGTATTGCTCCTTGGTCTCCGGACCCAGGAACTTGTATGCGGCATTCTCGACGGCCGAGGCCTTTGCGAGCACGGTCTTGGGCGACTCGACTGACCCCAGGCACAGGCCGTCGTACATCAGCCCCATGCAGCTGTCGCGCACCCTGTTCCCGGTCACAGCCGTGTCCACCCCGTCGGCCTTCCACGTCCGCTTGTCTGGTGGAACGGACAATTTTGATGCCTTATCGGACGGGGTCGCTGCCGCGGGTGTGGATGCGCCGGTGCCGTTCTGTGCTGGCCGTGGTGAGCTCGAGCCCCGACTCGCTGCTGATGCACCGCCCTGCTTTTGCTTGTTGACTTCATTCCGCCACTTCGACACAATCTCGCTTGACAACCGTGCCACCTCCGGGGACTTGTGTTGCTTGAACTTGTTGACGATGATACCGATGCGCGTCTGCCGCAACAGATCCTCCGTCGCCTTGACGCCTTGTTGAATATCCTTCAGCATGCCGAGAATCGTGGAGCCACTCTCATTCTGCGTCGCGGCCTTGGTCAAGGCTTTGGCCTTGGCTTCGATCTCTTTGGCATCCATGGCCAAGGTGTGGGCGGGAAAGGAAGACCGCTGTTGGAATTTATAGAAAAGAGAACGTGGGGATTTGTGGAAGATGAAGCCCGTCACAGCCTGTGGAATGAGAGACTCGTTAGCGAATCATCAAGTCATCCATCGCAGAGTGAAATCATTATGGCGGATTCGCGGATGTCCGGTCACAGTCACAGTCACAGTCGAGCAATATCGTATGCGCCTATTCATGCTAGTCATCCAGAAGGGAGAATCCGGGAACACATGGTCGGAAACAAATTTCTTGTTCTCCGCCATCTGATAGACTGCGCAGAACCAAGTAGCCCGCAATCTCCAGACGGCACGTGTCCACCATCCAACTTTGGATATTGCCATCACCGAGCCGCACAGAGGCCCAGAAAGGGCCCATAAACTCCATGTGCTCGACCAAACCTGTTGCGACCGCGAATGGCGAGGTGTATGGACGAGGGGAGGGTGAGAGGGGCGCTTTGCGCGGGCACTTACCCCGAGAGTACAACCAAGGATGGTGTGCTGGCGTAGCGAGGGGGGAGGTCCGGGGTCGAAAAAGGAGTGAAGCGTCGAGAGGAGAACTTGCGTCGTACGGGGAGTGTTGGGGCTCTCGAGAAGCAGAAAGAGTGGGAAACTCCGAGGTCCAGTGCCAAGACGAGGCTTCCCGATTCGGAAACTTCTCACTCCATCAAACCAGGAAAAGACTATAGAATGTACACAAGAGAAAAACATGCTACAAACACTCCCAAATGGGAAAATAGGGAATTACAATATCAGTATTAAGCAATAAATGGTCGCTGGCGCAGGCCCAGGGGTGTATTCAGATCTATATGCATTGAGTTTCTGTATCCTCCCAAGGCACCAGAGCTCGTGAGGGCTATGCATATGGTATGGGTGAAATCAATGGGGATTATGTGCAGTCGTCATCGTCAACAGGGTATATGAGGTAAGGGAAATTTTGGGGAGATGGCGTCAGGGTCGTCAGTCAGGACCTCTTGCGCTGGGGTGGAGATGGTTGTAAGCTGGTAAGCGGGCGAGGACCACATCATCTGAAGCGGTGCGTGACGCCAGGGTGCACACCTCGAGGTGCAGAGATCGGAAGGGCCCCAGAGTCCGTAAATGGCGGATAGCAAAAGCACCAATGCAGCGGCAGTCTAGTAGCCCCAGTGGATTCTACAGACCGGTCCTGCCCAGAACATCGGCCAGCTCATCGACTTCTTTGTCGGATTTCTGAGCCACCTTCTCTTGCTCGGCGAGCTCGGCATCCTGCAGGAGCTTCTCAGCCTTGCGCTCCTCTTCCTCCTCCTCCTCCTCTTCCTCCTCTTCCTCGGACTCCTCCTCATCGAGCTCATCTAGCTCGTCAACACCCCAGGTATCCTCGGGGTCCTCCTCGGAGCCATGCTTCTCCTGACGCGCCTCCAGCAGCTCGCGCAGGTCGGTGATGTTGGGGTCATCCTCCGAGAAAATGTTGCCATTCAGTTCGACACGGCGTAGGCTGGGGAGAGCGGTCTTAGCAGCATGGGTGAGGACCTTCACACCCTCAGCCTTGATCTCGTTGTACTGCAGACGCAGGATCTGGAGATTCTGGTTCTTGTTGGCAGCGAGAGCATGGGCAACCTTCACACCACCACGGGCAGAAAGGAGGCAGTCACCAACGCCCAGCTCAACCAGAGCAGGCCAGCCCTCCAGGACGCTAGCCAGAGCAGTAGATCCCATAACAGTAAACGTGTTGTCCTGGAGATCCAGAACCTCAAGGGCGCTGCAGTGGCGAAGACCATTCTTCAGCAGGTGCGAGGTACCCTCCTGGCGGATACCGTTCTGGGTCATCTTAACGGACTTCATACCCGCAGCGTGCTTCTCGTAGGCACGAGCCCAAGCCTCCATACTGCCATTCTCCAGACGATTGCGGCCGCAGACAATACTCTCCAGCAGAGCAACCTCTTTGCCCTCCTTGCGGGCCTCCTCCTTGCGCTCAGCAAGCTTGCTGAGGGCATCAGCAATCAAAGTACCAGCAGCGGGGCCGAGGCCGTTGTTGTTCAGGATCAGGTGGCGAAGCGGGATGTGACGCGACAGGAAATCGACGAGGGGCGCCTGTGTGTTGAGGCCGAAGGCATTGTCAGACAGGTTGACGGTGTGAACGGTGGAGATCTCGAGGAGGGCGTCCAGTAGGGACTTCAAGGCAGGAGGGATCTCGGACAGAAGACGCGAGGTAAAGATATCGGCGAGGTCGGCAACTTCGAGACTCGTCTGGGTAGCGATGACAGCGGCGAGGCGCTCCGACGCACCAACACCGAGGGTGTTTCCGCCAAAGCGAATCTCAGTGTAGTCGGTGCTCTCGACAAGAGGCTGGATGTGCACATCAATGTCCTCCGCGGTGTCGAGCTTGAGTCCTTTGCCCTCGAGGGAGAAGACCTTAGGAGGGGCCATGGCGGGGTAGTGAGTGTGGTTCAGGGGAAAAAGACAAATCGGATTGAAGGATTGGAGATTGGACTGGGAACGGGTTCCAGCAGCGGAAGGAAAGTGTGAGCAATGCAGAACAAGCTCAAAGAGCGACAGAGTCCAGGAGTCCAGGGGCAGAGAGGGAGGCAAAAAAGGAAGGCAGCCGGGGTTGTTATGTCGATAACAAAAAAAATCACTACGGGCGGCGATGCAGACCACCGGCGCTGGATTAATAATGTTACCGATGGTCTCTTCGCCATTGCTCCGACATCTTTCGCTCTCGCTGCAGGCCTACTTCTACTCCCATCTCTGTGTTGATCACCTTTGTCTGATAGACCGAAACCTCCACAATGTCGTGGCTTTTCGGATCCTCCAGTGGTCGGTTCTGATCTCTCCATTTATGCGCCAGTCGCAGATCCGCTACTCAACCACTACTGGTGCATTGAGCAAGGGTCTACGGATTGAGCCATTGACCCAGCAACCCGTTTCACTAACAATTGCCGTTGAAGAAAAACCTGCTCCCGCTCCAGCCGAGCCTAAGACCCAGCCCGCTCAATCCGAAAAGCCCAAGGTATGCCTCCGTGATGTCGCATGGAATAAAGAGCGCAGTGCCCGACTGACCCGCCACTTGCTGTAGCCCTGCTGTGTCTGCAAAGACGAGAAGACCGCCCGCGATGACTGCATGCTCTTCTCCAAGTCAGACGATCCCGCTAAGGAGTGCAAGTCGATGATTGAGCAGTACAAGACTTGCATGGCTGGCTATGGCTTCAAGGTCTAGACTGCGGTTGCTACAATCATCTCTGTCCTGTATAATACCTCACAACTGTACCATAGCATTTGGCATCTACTGGCTGGAGTTCTTTAACTTTTACTTCGCGGATATCGTCGGGCCTCTGCCCCCCCGGTGGGAGCATGGAAAATCCTGTGGTACCATTGTACTTTTATGTTGGATAGACCAATTACCAATATACCGTCTCATCTCCTACAGCAAAAGAACCAGGTATCCACGGGAAGGAATTCAACAATATCAAACTGACAGGACAACTTTTCCCAGAGCAACACATTTATAATGGGGTATCACCGAAAGCGCACGCTTCCCAAGAACTTTCTTTACTGCTTCTTCCTCCGGATCTCCTCAGCTGCCTGACGGTCAATTTTACGACACTGGGTGACCAAATTCCACATGCACCAAATATACGCAAGCCCAAATCCACCGGCACCGATAAGTGCGTTGAGAACCACCCACAGATCTGGTTTGCCGGCAGGCGGAGCCACAAACGCTTCCAGGACATGCCAGCCAACCATGGCCAGATAGAAGGCCAGATGTAAGAGCTTGCTGAAAAGATGCGGCTCGAGCTGGGTATCTTCGAGTGAAGCCCGGCTCCGAAAAATCTCCAATGAAACCGGAGGAAGACCCATCAGATAGGCCCAGAGTAGAGTCATGACAACGTAGGGAACTCGCAGTTCGTCGCGCTTGAGAAGTGGGTACATGGTCCATGAGCCAAGAATATTGGCCCAGCCAACCCACGCGCGGTTCTGTTTGCTGAGGCCACCGTCGCCAGCCAAGGTCAGGGTCATGGGAAGGAGAGGAAGAAGGACGCTCTTTTCGTGAACCTGGAAAGAGAACAGGAAGAAGCCCCACGAGACGCAGGAAAGAGCGGGGAGTAGGAGAGAAGCCCGGGGGTGGCGGAAGATGATGGCACAAGGAACAATGATCGAGGCCAATGTGGCGCCGAGAGACGCCCGCTGTAACAGGGAAGTATCGAAGCGGTTGAGCTTGTAGAATATGTGGATTGCGCACCAAGCGTTCGCCACTTTGTCCTCAAACAGGCCGCGGGCGAATGGGAACACGCGGTGGACGATTTGCGTCGTTTGGAAAAGTAAAGCGTACGCCGTCGAATTCTGATCGAGAGAAACCGGAAGCGATTGCAACAGCGGAGGCTGGGGCGACGATGCAAATAGCTCCCGAGCCTCCGCGTGGGTAGCTCCATAAAGGAGCGGGGCGAACAACAAGGCAAATGCAGCGAGCGTGATGAGTGCAATGTTAATTAGTCGGAGGAAGCGGATCCGCGGGAAAACGCAAATGCCCAGAAGATAGGCGAACATGACAGGTGCATAGTACAATGCCATCTGCTTGAATCCCAATGCACCAACAAAGAAGATGCAAGCCCAGAGCATACGCCCGGCCAAGATGGCATCCAAGCTCGCGACCACTAATCCCAGCATCACCGTATTATATTGGAAGTGGCCATGGTCGATGAGAATAGTGGCCGGCTGTAGGAGGACGGCGACAAGAGCGATGGAGGCAGACCAGGCATGCACACCATGCATACGAGTATACCGGCGAAGGAAGTTGACGACGGCCGGGATATAGACTAGGTATTCGGAGATGACCACGGTGGCACGCATGTAGACCTTCAAGTCGGGGCCTTCAATTCCCCGAGACTTGTCCAAAGCGAACCATGTAGGATCAAACGCGGAGCCACTTACTTCGTTAGCAGAGCCCTACCACAAAAGCGTAATATTGAATGAAGAGGGAGCCTACATTCTACCACACAACCAGCTATGGTATGCGGTCAACGGGGGATAGTCGAGGCCCCAATATTGCAGATCATAGAGATACCAGTTCGCCATTGGCAGATGCGTGGTGATTTCCATCCAGTGCCTCTGCGCCTCGAAATCGCCGTGCATTGGTGGGACATTGAGCCCTGCGCGTTATTAGCAGCCATGCTACCGAAAAAAGACCAATTCTCCTACCCGAGTAACCCCAGAGACTGACAGCCCACCGGAAGAGGCCGACGGCCATGAGAGTGAGAGGCAGAATCAGCCATTGTGAGATGCCGGCTCGCGCGGCCCAGAGGAACGAGACCAAGGGAAATGCAGGCGTTTGTCGTCCATCTCCGGTATCCATGATCAGGCTATTGTTTGAGCCAGGTGAGATCGCGACCTTTCTCTTCTTGCGTGGGCGATGCGAGGACGGAGTAGGAGGGGCCATCATAAGACTGGCCAGCTGGCACCTTCAGCGCGTCCCATTGACTTCCACCACAGACAGCGAGGGAGAGGAGCGCTCGACACGTACAGGGTCCGTCGGAGACGAACGGGAAGGGTTGGGACGAAGTATAGCGATTGCGAAGGAAGCCAGTCGGAGGACAAAGTACCATGCGGTGACATGTAACTGCCGCTGGCCGGGCCACACGCGAGTGGAAGGAGAGTCGCCCCGAGGTACCCGCCAGGTACCCACTGTGTGTCCACCGCATTTGCTAGGCAGTGCCTGGTTCTAACCATGTCGGGCAGGCGGCGTGGTGTTCTGCCAGCCTCCGAAATTTTTTCTGCAAAGTTTTCTTCTTATCAGAAGCTTCCCCCAGCTGCGCAACTTTTTTTTTTTCTTCTTCTTCATCCTCCCCAACCACACCTTACTTTCTTCCCTTGCTATCACTTCTCCGTGTTAGCATCTTTTCTTCGAAGCATCGTATTCGCTTCTCACAATAAGTACATCTCTTCCCCTCCCCCTCCCCACTAACTGACGCAGCTGCGTGGGTTCCGTACTTGCAAAGTACTTCAACAGACACTTTAAGTGGGCTTTTCACATCGAGGGCTGTGGGCTTCAAAATACTGCACATCTTGTGGGCTCTGTGGGACATTCATATTCCTCGTGGGTTTCATTTCAGATCAGTTGCGTATCTGTGCCGGTCTCTGTGGGCTTGAACTCTGTCGGTTGTGGGCTACTTGTGGGCATCTACCAGCTGTGATCAGATCACTCCTGGCTGTTTCTATCTCCCGAGGGTTATCATTCTTTCACATCAAAAACACGGGTCGCGATTGAGGAATTTGTTGGCTCTGCCGCACACAAAAACCAAACCAAAACCTCTTCACACACTTTGATCAACCACAGTATGTGGGATGTGAACAGACCCCAGGGCCTTGTCACACAATGCTAACATCTGTTTGTGCTTTTCTCTAGTTCACAATGTCGAAGACCAAGGTTTCCTCCAAGGTTGATAAGAAGGCCAGCAAGGCCCTGTCCAAGGTCAAGGACGCCGGTGTCACCAAGGCTGCCGCGTCTCCCGCCGCTAAGTCCAAGGACGTCGCTCGCAAGGTCGCTGGCAAGGAGGCCAAGACTTCCAGCAAGAACAAGAAGAAGGAGCCTACCCCCAGCAGCTCCTCCGAGTCCGAGTCCGACAGCGATGAGGACATGAAGGACGCCTCCTCCTCCAGCGAGAGCGAGAGCGAGGACGAGAAGCCGGTCAAGAAGGATTCTAAGAAGGTTGAGAAGAAGGAGGAGTCCTCTTCCGAGGAGTCTGCCGACTCTTCCGAGGACGAGTCCGAGGATGAGAAGCCCGCTCCCAAGAAGGCTGCCAAGAAGACTGCCAAGAAGGAGGAGTCTTCTTCTGAGGCCGAGTCTGACTCTTCCGAGGACGAGTCCGAGGAGGAGAAGCCTGTCGCTAAGAAGGCTGCTGAGAAGGAGAGCTCTGACTCGTCCGACTCTGAGTCTGACTCTGAGTCCGAGGATGAGGCTCCTGCCAAGGCCAAGGCCGAGAAGGTATGCATATAGCCCTCACCAAACTTCACTTTACTTTACGAACATACCACTGACCTATTTGTCTTGAATAGGAGTCCTCTGACGACTCTGAGTCTGGCTCTGACAGCTCTGACAGCTCTGACTCCGAGTCCGAGGCTGAGGAGAAGCCCTCCAAGAAGCGCAAGGCCGAGGAGGAGCCCGTCGCTGCTGCTAAGAAGTCCAAGACCGAGGAGGCTCCCGAGGGTGCTTCCGCCAACCTGTTCGTTGGTAACCTCTCGTGGAACGTTGATGAGGATTGGCTCCAGCGCGAATTCGCCGAGTACGGTGAGATGACTGGCTGCCGTATCGTCACTGACCGCGAATCCGGTCGCTCGCGTGGGTAAGTTGTCAACACTCTCCTCCGTATATAAATTTTGGAATGCTAATCGTCCTCCTTGTATAGTTTCGGTTACGTCGAGTACGCCAACGCTGCTGATGCTGCCAAGGCCTTCGAGGCCAAGAAGGGTGCCGAGATCGATGGCCGTACCATCAACCTTGACTACGCCACTGGCCGTCAGAACAACGCCCAGCAGCCCCAGGGTGGCCGTGACCGCGCCCAGACTCGCGCCCGTAGCTTCGGTGACTCGACCAGCCCCGAGAGCGACACCCTGTTCGTTGGCAACCTTCCCTTCAGCGCCTCCGAGGATGCTCTCCGTGACGTCTTCGGTGAACAGGGTACCATCCTGGGTATCCGCCTGCCCACCAACCCCGACGATGGCCGTCCCAAGGGCTTCGGCTACGTCCAGTTCTCCTCCGTTGATGAGGCCCGCAACGCTCACTCCCAGCTCCAGGGCCAGGACCTCGAGGGCCGTCCCCTGCGCCTGGACTTCAGCACCCCCCGTCCTCCCCGTGAGGGTGGTGGTTTCGGCGGTGGTGGTTTCGGTGGTGGCCGTGGCGGTGGTCGTGGCGGTGGTCGTGGTGGTGCCCGTGGTGGTCGTGGTGGCTTCGGTGGCCGCGGCGGTGGTGGTGGTGGCTTCGGTGGCCAGGGTGGCTACAACAAGGCCAAGGGCAGCATCCCTGAGTTCAAGGGTACCAAGGTTACCTTCTAAGCTGCTCTCCTCCTTGTCTTTGCTTTCTTCTCGCTACTGACATGATCATTTGCACTTTTCTGCGTGTAAGCTGGGCCAGGTTTTTAAAAAGTTTCTGTATTTTTCCATAGTCTGCTTGATAGGCTGAATTGTAATCTCATTATACCTCATTGAACGCTTCCCTCCGGTAAATTAATAAGCCATCTTCCGTATGAAGCCGTCCTGTTCTGGTCAAGTTTGGTGTGTTGAACGTAGAACGCTGTTCAAGTCCCGTTGTAGGGCAAGTACTGCTGCTCTCCACCGCCCCACCTTCCCCGCATGGAATCTTTGTTTGTGCTGGCCTCGTTTTCGCGATCGCTGGTGGAATAATCCTGGGTGTAGGTTTCGATTTAAATTGTCCTACTCACTTTTATTTTCATCGACTACCCTTGTACTTACTGTTTTCTTTTTCCACCTTACTTCTTCCCTTCTCTCTCCCCATCGCCTGGGCTGCCCTCTCCACTTGCCTCCCTCCTGGGCATCTATCGGTGGCATCAGTCACGGGCTGCAAATCACCTGTCCCGTCTGCTGATCACCTCATCATCCACTCTTCAACTCTCCCACTCCTTTTCCCCTTTTTTCTTTCTCTCCCACCACAAAGCCTACGAACTTCATCTTCATATGCCAGCACCCTCTATCTGATCCCTCGCTGCTCGACTCCACTGCGACGAAAACCCAACGCAGCAGTGATCGCAGGCAGCCAAGACCAGGGTTGGGCATCAGCGATGGAGTGGATCGACGCCTCCCCACATTGATAAGATAAACCGATAAACCTCATTGATTGCCTTTTCCCCACGCTTGACCGCTCTTGTTCCTCACACCGGGTGGCCTGATCCCATCACAGTTCCTCTCTCTCATCATCTCTCTTATTTCTATCTGTACCTCTCCCTCCCTCCCCCAGTCCTCCCCCCTATCTCTGAGGCCATGCAACCAAACCACTGCGACCTGCTCGGTCAGGTGCGCGAACCCAGAGCCGCAAGTCAACTGATGCGCGATGGCCAGCCGCGCGAACAGAATGGCCGAAGTGGTCAGCCCCGGTTGTCCGGTGCGGCGCCCATGAGATCAGAGGGTATGTTAAGCCCTTTTATACTCGGTCTCTGCACTTTTATCTCTGACCCCTCCTTCCCCCCGGCCCCCCTCCTGCCGATCGTGTTTCGTCATGGATAAACTGTTTCGTCTCGCCCGTGCTTCGCAATGTACTCACTGCAATATTATATAGACTCTTGGATCGAAGTATCATCTCAGCCATCATCCTCATCTCTGTCATCGGCCGCAACCAACGACGATATCATCACCACTGGGCTCCAGGTGGAACATCGCGAGGCAGGCATGTATCAGCACCGAAGTCGCCGACGGCGCATGCAGCATTTGGCTGCCGTGGCCACCGCCCAAGTGGACTACTCGTCGCGGGAGGCCAGTCTGGCGAGCAGCAGCCAGGAGGAATATGAGGAGAGCGAAAGCGAATCAGATCCGCCCATGAGTAGCTCCAACGAGGATATCAACCGCCCTGTCCGACCTACATCGCTACCTGTGCCCCTCGCATCCCCCTCTGATGAAGCCGACAGCGATGATGGAGATGATACATCTACTGCCTTGGGAATGGGTATCAGCCCATCGCCATTTGTCCCTCAACCCAACGTTTTCTCCCATCCACCCAACACAACAGATCCCTCCTGGACTCGACCTTCGGAGTCCCGCCGCTCTCAGCCCAGCGTCTTGTCGAACTCAAGCCGGCGCACTGAGATCCGGCGAGATTCTTACCCCAGCACACGAGCATCTCGCAGATCCCAACAGTCCCAGCACAGCCCTTACAATATGATCTCGCCCTCCCATCACGCCGACCACGATGCCGCTCTTCGTGCCAGTCTCTCCACCCTCCTGTCCTGTGCAGCCGCTGCCCGAGGGCTACCCAAGACAGACTCCCCACACCTGCAATCCAGCCCCTCAGGCGCAGCCCCACCAGCCTCATTCCGGCTTGTCGGCGAATCCGTCGCCATGGGCGAAGAGAGCGGCGAAGAGCGTTCCTCCCCAACCCGGTGTACAGAAACCAGCCCCTCAGTGGGTCCCGCCCGCCGCAGACCCCTCGTGGTGCCACACGGCCCGTCCACGTCAAAAGCAAAACGCCGCTCCGCCTCTCCCAAAGACCGCAGCGCCGCTACCAAGAAGACTCGCCGCGCAAGTCTGTCCGACTCGACGGCCCCCATCAGCCCCACGATCATGACGTGGGTTATCAGCGCGGGTGTCGTGGTCCTCTTTTCGGCTATCAGCTTCTCCGCTGGATACATGCTCGGCCGAGAAGTTGGGCGGGCTGAGATGGGCGTGATGGGGGATGGCGGCGTCCCGGGTGCGCGGTCATCGGCGGCCTGTGGGCAAGAAGCTGTCCGTGGCAGTCTCAAGAGACTGCGTTGGGGCACTGCCGCTGCTGGATCGGCCAGCTTGGCTTGAATATAATCGATGCCATGTCTAGATATGAATTGACATGAGCCACGATACGACATGTTGATGACGAGAGCTGTTCCGACGACGGGAGACGATGGCATGATGCCCATTCCACCCTTTACCCTCTATATATCTCACGAAATTCTTTCCTTTCTCTTGTTTGGCTTGGGAATATCCCAGATTTCGGTCTTCCCCTCCACTACCCCCTTCCCCCATTTTCCCCATTGGTTTCCCACTGTTCTATCTCGACTGTCAATTTTTTAGTCCATAAATGAGTGCCGGGCAGTTTGTTGCCTGATAACCCCCTGCCTGCTAAAATTTGGGTGATATTTTCTGTCGTTGAGTGGCTTTCCCGCTCTGGTGCTATGGAGTTTTGGATGCCTCCTGTTAAGGGGTCGGTTGGTTGTGGTCGTGGTTCCGTTATGATGTTGATAGTGATGTTGTCAGGTCGACTTGAATCTATACCCTCTCTGATTTGATCTCTCTTGAACTAGCTAGGTATAGAACAGCATGAGCCGATACATCGATCACTCACGAAGGAGAATGGAGACCACGTACACTTTGGATATGTAAAGTGACCAGCCGGCGGACGTACCGTACCGTAAACGGAGTCACAGTCGAGGTGCACAGGCAGTAAAAGAGGCATACGATGTCCCTGAAATCCAAGTCCGATTTCCGATTCCCGTTCGAACCCCCCATCCCAACGCCTAGCATAATCCAGACCTGTTCTCCTCTCACCAGCCTCTTTCTCTCCCTCTCATCCCAGTCAAGTCACAAAAGCCCCATCGATATCCCCCCTCATCCAAATCCACATCACTAGCCGCCCTTGCACGTACTTTCCAAACTTTTCCGGTAGGATGATCGTCATCACCAGCACCACATCACAATCTGAACCATACCCAACGCCCCAAAGAGCAAATACAACCCTCCTCTCATACACCCCACCATCCACGCGCAGCACAGCGTACGCGTGCCAATCATGCCCCGGGAGGAACAACGGGGGCACTAGTTCTGATTTACCATGGTGGGTTTGGATGCAATGCGACGGGGCGAGCCGAGGGAGCAGCAGGGCTGACGCAAGGGAGTGGATGCACGAGGCTAGGCTGGACCGTGGATAGGGCACGGCGCCGTACGGTACTTACCCTCGCCTCGGTGTGCATGGCGTAGTCTAGTCTATGTGGTCTGGTCACGCTGGGGGTTCACTTTCCCAGCGCAGAGCCCGGGGGGATTAGCGGTTAGATCGAAGGTCCGTGATAATCATGATCTGAATCGATCATGGTGATGATTCTAAGGGTCTGGCCGGCCTGAGCGACAAGACTAGCCGGTGGCCTACTTTCTACTTTGTAGTTTTGAGTTAATGATTGTGGATTCGGGTCTGGGTCTGGGTCTGGGGAGTCTGGGTATGGTGCCGGTGGGGTTTGACACGGAGGGTTGCACAGCAGGGTTCGAGCCCCCAAGCGCCCACGGCTTTCACCTCTTGGGGTTTGCAGGTAGGTAGATCGACGGATAGATTGAGAACCGGTGGTGGGCTGGAGTTTGTAGCAGTGTGGCTAGTGAAAAGTCAGTTATCTCAAATATCTCAAATACCTCCAATATCTCCAGTATCTCAAATATCCTTGCACTCCCCCTCTTCTATATCCGTGATGCAGCCTACACTATTGATCTGCACGGGCCGGTTCTCGCACATATCGCGGAGTCGTGCCTGCCCGCCAAACACGCACGCACTATGAGTTTGGGAGATTTCCTAGTCGTCCTGGATGACGAACGGGATCACATTCGAAATCATAGTCTGCAGGGTGCAGTATAGTTTAATCCGTCGTGTCCCACTTTAGGGTATAATGTGGCGGTGAGACGAAGATCGCTCTCGACGGGCTCAGCATATACTTCTTCCCCCCCCCCACCTTCACCCTCTCCGCCAGTCAGAACCTCGCATCTCGTCAATCTCACTGTCCCCTGATAGCCCTAGCCCCGCCCGGTCCTTGCCACTCGGCAATTGCGCTTCGGTCAGGGACGAGGGGTACGCGGGGATCGTTGCCTTCTTGGGGCTGGCGCAGGCGTCCGAGGCCCCCGGCATCTGGTTTTGGGTTTCTGGTCTTGGTGGAGACTGCGATCCGCGCAGGGACCGCCAAAATCAAGTCATGGTTGTTTTTCTGGCCATCTGGGCTGGTGCGAACCCGGCTTCCTGGTTAGCAGTCTTGCTTATGGTAGCACTTGCGTGGTCGGGTGCGTGCTCAGTGGTTCTGGGATCAGGGACAACTCCGCTGGGGGGTTATCCTCAGGGCTCAGGGCGGCGGTCAATGATGCGGTGATGTGTGACGCAGTGATGCAGGGGCGAACGGTGCACAACGGCATTGGTAGGTGGCCCACCCGCTCAGATGAGACCGCGAGTGGAAACGGTGATGACGTAGTGCGAGGGAGAGGGAGAGGGAGAGGGAGAGGGGGAATGGTGGTGCGGTGGTGATCCACAATTAAATTGTATGTATTCGTTTATCTCCCTTCATAGAGGGTGCACAATGTCCCTGAGGTTATTACTATAGACATTTCCCATTCGGGGGCTTCCGTATATGCCCAATTCCAACATGCACAGCCCAGGCCGAGCAGTGGTCCATGTACCTGTAAACCCTAAATCCCCCAAACTCCTTGCTAACCCATCGCTGTAATGCCGAATGACAAATTCATCCAATAATCAAAAACGCCATGCCCAAGACGGGGAGTGACTCGCAGCCGCCGATCAAACATATGAGAAAAAGCAAATAGTCACAGGAGTCCCCCGCTCGTTGGGACCCTGAGTGTGGTGGCACGGTCGTGTACCAGTCATGTCCGTGGAAGGACAGTTCAATGTAGTTCGAGACGATTCCCAAGAGAAGAGAACAGAAGAGAACAGAAGAGAACAGAAGAGAAGAAAGCCAAAAGGACCGTGTGTGGGGTATGTATGCTTCGGATAAGGAAGCAATGGAACCCAGATCTCGAGATCGAGATCAAAACAAAAAGAGTAGATCGAGGGTGTCGGGTCTTGTTTGATCATGTAGTGGCCTCGGACCGCCGGCGGTATTTCAAGTCCTCGCGACTAAGAAACCGGCGGAGTTTCGAGAGCTTCGAGAGCTTCGAGACAAAGCGAGAGGGTACATCTGCAGCAGCGCTGTTAGCAGGGACGTTCTAGCCGGATCATCGAATCAACCTAAGCCGGGAAAGGGCACGTACCACAGCCTCGCCGCGCCCAGCACGGCGGCTCTTCTTCAGGAAGCTGCGTCGTGTAGGCGGAGGCCCAGTAGCCTGTGTGGCGGTAGCCGGTGAAGGTGCAGCTGTTGGGGTTGTACCGCGGCTGCAGGGCTGTGACGTGCGGGTAGAGCGTTGCTAACGGGGCGAGTAGCTCGTCTGGGGGTGGTGAGCGTCTGCTGTCGAGGCTGTCGCGGGTAGTCTATAGATGGAGAGTTGATGAGCCGGGGGAAGGGGGTGCAGGCCATGGATCGGACTTGTCCGGACATACATAGAGCTCGTAGTTGGTTTTGTAGATCATGGTGGGCGGGAGGGGAGTCGAGAATGTGTTGTCGGTTGGGATGGGGCGGAGCAACGGACACCGCCGATGGTATAGTTCTTAGGGGAGGCTTCGTGGTCTGCAGGGGGGTTGTGCACAGAGAGACCGGGAACAGGGTGCAAGCAGTACGAAGCCTAGCAGGGTGGGAGGGATTGGGGACGCAGTTGAGCGGTTGAGCTGCAAGCGCGGACGGGGATGCATTTAAAGAAGCGAGATAGGAAGGGAGAGCTGGCTTGCTCAGCCGCAGGGCTGGGCGGGGCAGGGAGGATGATTTGCATTTCTGGACGGGGCTAGTCTGTCTACATCGTCATGACTCCGGTCCAGCGTGTCCAGCGTGTCCAGCGTGTCCAGCGTGTCCAGCGTGGACCAGGTAATCGGGATAGGCAAGCGAGAAAGCGAGCGGGTCCCGCGAGCTGCGGGGCGGTGATTGGCGCAGGGCTCGGCATAAGCGTCGATGGCAGATCGGTCGGGGTGTCCGAGTCCGAGGAATGGGGCAGCCTACGGGGTATGAATCAGGATCATGTATTCCATGGGGGTTTCCCTGGATAAAATGTAATCTCATGCCGATCATTGGCAATACGAGATTCGATCTCATCGGCAGACTCGTTTTCCCGAACACCACAGGGGATCCCTGCACACGGCCCCATCGCTTGCACCGCCATGCCTCCACGCCAGTTCTGCGCCAATTCCACGCCAATTCCACCGCCCAATTCCGGCTCATCTCGTTCCTGCCTGCAGCCCCCTTGCAGCGTCTCGCACCTGGCCACGTTACGGAGGGGGCTATCGTGCAAGAATCTGCGTCGTTGCCGGGCCTAGTTCAGGTACCACGTCACACCTCCTTTCCCTTCTGGGAGTTAATTGGATTCTAGTTCTATGATGTGGTTGATGATGATTCTGATGAATACGATTATGATGATGATTCTAATTATGATGGATATGAAGATAATTCCGATGAATATGATTATATCTCTTTCTCTCAACTCTTCCTAAATCGAGACGGTCATCGCTGTCGATCCCCTCGCGATCTCGACAGAGAAAATCGGCGATGAGGTGAGATGTGCGATCGCCCGAACACACCCGCCGCCCGGACGCACATAGACTTCTGCCTACTCAAACTATCCCGACTCGACCGAGCGAAGTGGGGCCCGCCTGTGTCAGGAATGTCGCACAGGTCAATTGTCGCGAAACGCTCGACCAGTCCGGAGGATGGAGGAGAGCAGGAGAGATGGTCTCAACGGGACTCCAGATGGAGCCGTGCAGACGACCGCGAGGGTGCCGCCCGAATCATCAATATACTTAGAAGTTGACGGACCCTATGAGGAACCAAACTAGTAAAGGCAAGACCAAGACCGGTAACGCGGCACTGATGGTGAGACGGAGATCCCCCGATCTCGTCTTCCAAATCCATCCTGGGTCATTTACATCTTTCCATAGTCGGTGGGCGCTCGACCACGACTATTGGGGCGCTAAGTGACTGTGTTCGGATCCACGCGGCTGATTGGGGGCATCAGCGCTGCTAGCGCACCATCTCCTTTGCGGGCTCCACCGGATAGGAACGGACCAAACTGACCAGGGACTCCCTCGCTCGCGGCCGGAGCAAGGCCTCAGCCACACCCCTTGCTATTTAGGGATAAGCGCACGAGCCACACGTTCGGCCACGCCGTGGCTGGTGCACCGGATCTACCGAGACCGAACGTACCCGAGCAAACTCAAAACCTTAGGCGGGTTAGGCTTCAACTGTGGCTCAAGCTGGCCCTGTGGCTTGACCATTTGTCGCCTTACTCGATAGCGCTTCATGCCTGGTCCACCTGCCCGTCAACCCCGAACTAGTCCGCCCTTGATCTTCAGATGTGATCCTTTCTGGCATCACACCGACCTGGGGCCCCTTCGGTCTGCCCGTGTCCATGTCTCCGGCGGGGAGCTATAAGGTGTGGCTCTCCTCCCCCTCTGAGCTTGGATTGCATAGTTCCTCCCCCCCTCCTCCATGATCAGTATCTGTATCACGATCCTTATCACTATCACTACCATTATTTCCTGGTTTACAGATTGCTGAGAGGCTCGGTCCTTGTCTCCCAACACATGTCGAGTGCCGACCATGTCACTGAGCATGCAGGGTTCCGGAAGAGAGTGCTGGGAAAACTCTCCACATACGGACGTGCGCGATCGTTGCTCGCGCGAGCAGCATCCCACTACAAGTACGTCTTCTCTGTCACTGACCCCTCGCGAATACCCTGCTCTCTCTTGCTTTCCCCCCCCCCCCCTCCAAACCCCCCCCTCATATCATATCTCATATCACATCCCCTCGCGCCATCCCGTCACCAAAACATGCATTCTGAGACCGTCTTGTCCCCTCCATTCAGGGTCCGTCGAGAGAGACGCTGAACGCTCCTCCGACAGGCGCGAGCCCCGTCCCGTCGACCACGATGAGGGCATGATCGACTCCGAAGCGGGCCCCTTGGCAGATAGCGAGTTCGGTCACCTCGACACCACCGGCTGGTACCCGCACTATACGGAATGCGTGCACTACTTCGTCGAAATCGGCCAGCACAATCCCACCGTGCAATCCCTCGCCGCCTTCATCAATATCCGCCTACCCGCCCAGCGCCCGGAAGCCCCGACCACGAACATGTCCCCGGTTAACGCGCAGTCCGCCCCATTTATCTCGCTGCGCCCCTATGTGCGCCGACTGATCATTACCGCGCAAGATTCCCCGTCGACGATGCAGGCCTTTTTTGGCACCGACTGGCCGGCCGGCGTCGGGTGCATCCACAAGCAGGAGCGCGCCAACTACCTCTTCACCGCGAAGAGCAGCGGCTGGGCCAAAACTAAAGCGGCTTACGACCTCCTCCCAGACGAACAAGCCCCGTTCCTGCGCCCGCTGCGCGATCCCTCCGAGGAGGAAATCCGGACTGCCGAGGCGCGCTGGAGCGAGTGGCTTGCAATGGAGGATTGGATGGTCGGCGCGCGGAGTCCCTGGTAGACGCCTGCTCGTCTCCTATAGGCCGGACGGGGTACAGGGGGGCGCAGGTGACCTGGGATATGAGGCCCCAGCTTCTGGGGCTAGTTATGAGACATGACCTGTTTGCTTGATTTCTTTTGTTTTTTCTTGTTTCCTTTGTGGTTATTTCATCTGTCGGTTCGGCATTTTCCTATGTCATCTTTCTGTTGTGGGAATTAGTGACGTGACGGCCAAAAAGGATTCGGGCTCGTGTCGTCTGGAGTATTTTAGGTCGTGCAGGCGTTGGATCCATGCGCCGTGCCAATTATTCTTTTGATTATTTCGGACAAATAATCCTAGTCAGCAACCAATAAGCCAATACGGAGTCGGTAGTTCGCTATGGAGTACGGGGTAGAGTCGCGACCGTCACTCTACTAGCTAGAACTATACTCCACCCTAGCGCCAACAAAATGACAGTGATCGGCGGATCGCCTGTCAAAATCAATAGTCGCGCACCGCCACAGGCACGGACCGGCCATGACAAATACCTGCATTAGGCATAGTCCAGGTACCTGGACGTAGGGGTACGTCAATTATCATCCAAGCCCAAGGGATTGGCAGGGGTCGTGCACTCCACGGCCCGGCCCAAGTCGTCTAGAAGGCGACGATTTGCCGGGCGGGGTTTAGCCTGGTGGATGAGATGAGACTATCGTGGATGATACCAATGGACTCTCCACCTGGCCCCCCGTCTCCATGACTCACTCGAGCCAAGACGTGTCAACCTGTCACTTGGGGGTTTGCCTTCTAATTTTAACCCGTCTCTCGCGAATGAACTGGCACGATTGACTTCTGCGCCTGCCAATCCTCTACTCGTCTCCTCGTCTCCTCCGCTCCTCAGCTCCTCAGCTCCTGAGACTCCTGGGCGCATCGCCCGTCAATAGTTTAATTGGGACCTGAAGGTACCGATCACCGGGAACCCACGCCGCGGGGACACCAACCCGGTATTCGGGTCCAGCGCTTGCCAGCATCAGCATCCGATCCAGGTTCGGTGCTCGGTCTTGTTCGGTTCAGGTCAGAATCGCGATCGAACATCAGATTCCGCAACACCTGCTCACTCCCACCATGGCCGCGTCCACACCACCGCCAGCAGGAGCCGCGCCCTGCTTCTACGAGCACACCGCGCACTCTATCACCCCCCACCTAACCACGCAAATGCCATACTCCATCGCCCTCCTCCGCCGCATCCAGCACGCCCTCGCGCATCCCTCCAACACCGCCAAGATCCTAGCCACTTTCCCCCCGGGCGCGACCCCTGACGCCGACACCCACACGCCGTGGCTGGCTGCGCGGGTGGATCTCTTCCGCGGCCGTGAAACCCAGATCATCCTCTACTCCAGTCTCGAAGCGCAGTGCACGCTACTCCCGCCGATCGACCCGGTCCCTCGTAGCGAGGACGCCGCATCCACTGCCGCCAATGCGAATGCGAATGCTAATGCTAATTACGCCGTGTCCACTCTTTCGGCCGCCCCGGCGGTCTTGGACCTGGCCCGCGCCCAATTCCTGGCCTTCCTGACACATGTCAAGGCCCATCTGCTGCCCGAGTACCTGTCATCACTGGCAGCCTCGGATCCGGAATCAAGCGCTACGCCTGAATCAGCTGCCCGCTCGCCAGGGGCCAGCATATCCGCATCCCCACTGGGACCCTTGTCGCCCTCCGCCCCATCAAACCCAACCGGCGTCGCGCTGATCCCAGCGCCGGACCCACGCGCTTTCCTCTTCGGGACCTTGCATACAGGTCTGTTCGCGCTGCTGCTGCGCCCGGGGATTTTCGCTCGCGTGGATGGCCCCGCCGATCCGCTGTCTGGCTTGCGGATCCATCGCTTCGATAATCCGCCGTACTACAAGTATTTCTTCAAGAGAGATTCGTTTAGTCCGGGGTCGGGGTCGGGGTCGGAAGTCGCGGAAGAGAATTCGCTGCCACCGGGGTACCGGTATCATGATCGGCGCGGGCGCGAAGGCGTGCTGGCCGAGCATCTGGATCTTGTGCAGAGCCGAACGCATATTCCCCGATCACGGTCACAGTTGCAGACGCTGCCTGGCGTGGCGATTTACTACGATGCCCCCGGGACGGGAACAGGCGCAGATACTCCTACGGACAATAGTAGCGGCGAAGACCAGGCCGAGATGCCAATCGCGTGGGGTTTCCTGGGCGTAGACGGCGCGGTGACGACGCTGCATGTTGAACCCGAGCATCGCAAGCAGGGGCTGGCGTTTTCGTTGTCCAAGGAGGTTATGCGTCGCGGGATGGCGGCTGAGGAGGTCTTTGGGGCGCACCGTGTGGGCATCGTGGATGGGGCGGGCAAGGGTCTTGTGGAGGGGTGGGCGCATGCTGATGTTGCTGGGTATAATAACGCGAGTCGGAGGGTTATGGAGAAGATTGGAGGGCCGGTGTTGACTACGGTGGTGTGGACGGTGATTGAGCTTCTTGATTAATAGATTCGATGGATATACTTTGATGGGGATGGACATAGATGGTAGATGGTACCTAGAATTGGATGTAGAAATGTTTTTTGATGATTATGATCTAAGGAGGTGTGACGCGAGTTGCTGGTCCTTTTCGAAATATATATTGATTCCAATAAGGAAATATCTTGATCATAGAACCGTGGTTATAGTCTACAGCCGACCATGTTACCCATTCGAAAGAAGGTTATCACACTCACAATAATGCACTGGCCTTCCAATCATCTCGTTCGTCCTCGAATTCTTCAATTTCCTTCTCACACAGTGTCGAGAGACCCCGCAATCGAGCGAATACTTGGTCAACTCGAGACTTACTGGCGTCGTAGAATACTCCTTGGTTTTCGGGCTTACTCTCCTCAAGCAGGCGATTCAAGGTGACGAGTAGCTTCGATATATCGCGGATTACCGCACTTTTTTCATGCTTGCCGAAGACCGCGGGCGAGACCTGCAGCTGCTCCGACAGATCGTCCAGCCCGAACACCCAGGCGACGATATCAGTCTGGAGGTCACTGTTTGTTGTCACCCTGGCACTTGTGGGAACATCAAGAGTCTGGAAGATGTTTTCAATCTGGCGGCTCAGTTTCTGTACAGTTGGAATGCCTTCTTCTGGCGGATTGGGCTGAGGTCCACGCTGCTGATGGGCTGACGACACAACGTTCAGTTTCCGTTGGTGCTCTTCGAATTCCTTTTGCCCCACTACCTGACGCGCCTCGTTGATAACTCGGATGCTACTCGGTAACTGGAGAGGCTGCCCACTTGGCCAGGCTGGAGGTGTCCACCGTGATTGTTTGATTTTATGCGATACTACGGAGGCCCGCAAAGGAATTGCTGGAAGTGCCCGTGGAGTGGGTTTAGGAAGAGTAGCCACCTCGAAATGGATCTCCTCCACAGATCTGGTCCCAATGGGTTGGCCTGCGTCTGGTAGTGCCAAAGACGCAGCCATGAATTGGCCAGTAGAGGGCATTGGGCCGTGCGGCCCAAGGGCATATTGGGGCCGCGACATGGTCATACCGGCATAAAGTGTCCGCACCAGCTGGAGCACATTGCTGTTAAATTGAGATGCTTGGTTCATAATCTCATCCAGCTTCTGGGACTGATCTGTGCCATCTTTCTCGATGCGGTTGGTAGCAGACCTGGACAACCCATGTTAGCCTCTATAGCGAAAGAAGTCCGACGCGAGCCCGACCAAATGAATGTATTCAGGAGGAGGTTGATAGAATCGGTGTGCGACTGGAGTTTCGACCGATACTTGCTGAACGAGTCGCCTCGTAGATCCCACATCACCCTCTTCCACTGGATCTTCAACGACGTCTTGGCCGGCTGGGGTGACGGCGCGCCCGTCAGGCTGAGCTGGCTGCCCAATGAAGGACGCGAAGATTCTGTGGCGGCTTCACGGTACTTAGCCGTCGCACTGTCGAGCTCTTGTAGAGTCTCCAGACAGGCCCTGATCATGTATCCAAGCTGCAGATGCATTTGCCCCGCATTGTCACCGGACTCGGCGGGGGCCTGGGCCAAGATAGCTTTATGGTCCCGTTGGAGATGATTCAAGGCGCAATAAAGGCCGAAGAGGGTGTCTTCGAGCTCCTTCAAGTCTCGAGAGGCTCTCTTGCGTCCATCAGTGACGGACGAGAATAGGCGATAGGCTATCTCAGAGCAGAGGATGATATCCCCGATCGAGAAGCCAAATGACATGGTAAGTTAATCCAATATACAGTTTGATGGAGAATTACAAGGGATTGATTCAAATAGAATCGGCTTGAAGCGATAGGTTTGACTTAAGATGTCATCTCTCAGCTGCGCGGCAGACGATGGGCAAGATCAGAAGGCCCCGTGCACGGCTCTCTCAGAAGCTGTCCAATCAGACGCTGGATGGTGATTGGGCATTCAGATACTTGGTTCAAACTCGAAGGAATATACATGGTAAGTGCGTGTCCTGAATTCTCTGTTCTGCAGATTTTACAGGTCGTGTCAGATGATTTGGGGACGGCGCCATGCTACACGGTCCAAGGCAGATCCCAGTACTTCTCCATCGCGGGCCCCGCCTTGCGGCACTCCACTTCTTCATTTAGGAAGGGTATCCGGTTGACCTCGCCTATACTAGCACTCTCTTTTTCCTAGCTAACAAAAGAATCGAGCATACATCAAGATAGACCACTGCTATTTCGACGCGCTGGGCTTTGTGGGTAGGGCCCAGCCCCTACTTGCAAGTAGACCTTTTTCGTAGACCTACGTAAATAGATATGCCAGTCTCGAGAACAACCGCCCAGCCAGGGCTTTTTCATGTACGAGTGCATCCATACTAGCTATGCCATGAACAAGCCCCGTCAGTCTTACGTACCCCATTCGAGCCAGGGTGAAATCTCCGCAAGAGAGGTCTAGACTATGCCAACGACCTCGTGCCTTCGCTTCAACTTCCGCTCAGGAAAATAGGACCGATCCTATCCCCACAGAGATTGTGGAAGAAATCTTGGGGGAGGTATCTTGTGCCAAGACCGGCGCGGGGTTAGTTTACGACTGGTCTAGATGGGGTTTGCAGAGAGGAACTATGTTTAAGAAACCCAGAGTCTCGTTATTCGTTGTGTCGGGTATCTGCTTCTCTGCGCAGTGCCCCAATGGAAAAAGTTCGCAGGCATCTGACCCCCAAAGCGGCTGAGCAGCGCCAGGGTTGAATGAGGCAAAGACTAGCGCAACTTGGACCAACCCCGCGACGCCGTGGTGTTCGAGCCTCGTATTGGGGCGAGGATGCCCAGACAGATCATCCTGACAACCAAGGGTCCCCCTCTCGTGCGGCTCACAGGCCGAGACTTGATAAACTCCTCCATGGACGGCTCGCCCAGTTATCAAACGAAAAGAACCCAAAGAACAACCGTTGTGATGTTAAGCAAAGATGAGAATAAATCTGTCAAGGTGGTCGTGGGGAAATTGAAGTCAGAGGACGACAGCCAACAGAATAAGACCTTGGAAATTCTGGTCGGTCGCGACACTCCGCTTAAAGACCTCTGGGAGAGATTTCAAGGTCAGCTCTTTGTGGACTCTTTCTTACAAGGAGACGGACTAAATATTCCCAGAGAATGGCTATTCCGCGCCCCATTGCCTCTCCCAAACTGGCCGTGCTGAAACATGGAGGCAATTCGCAGCAAAGGACGCGTTTCACCCTTGCAAGGAAGTGGAAGTTGTCAGCGACAAGTCCGCAGCGGATGAGACACACATTCATCTTGATGAGCCGCTTCAAGCTTACTCAAATCGGGGGCAAGAGGTCAAGTTTGAGCTCCAGGATGGCAGTGAACGAGCATATCCTGGGAGAGGCCCAAGTTCGCTGAGAGTCGACGATAACCTCGAACTCATATTTCACCGCACGGTGCGCATGCCGGATGATGATCGTCTGCACTCTCTTCCGGCTTCGGTCGGGAAATTTCCTCTCTATAATACCGCCGACTATGTGGATCGACTACCCGAGAACATTGCAGCGAAAGGGGGCATCTTCTTGCCAATGTGGCAGCGGGAGGCGTTGTGGATCGAGCTTAGCAGCCCAAGGAGGCCTGCGTACAATGATTATAGCGTACCAACATATGCGATCCGAGTCTACGTGGGCCAAATCAACGCGGTCTCTGGCAAGAGCATGACGGAGGAAAGAGGTGCTACGTGGGCGCAAGACTACCTGATTTTCCCTGGCCAAGCGTGGATTGACGGCATCTGCGTGGCTCCGGGGGTCGTGCGCCAGTTTGTAGCCATGCCATGTAAGTCGTTTGATTTCTAAAAATCTACGCGAAGGCCTGTAATACTGATGCGTCACCTCTAGTGGGCTCTGGATACACCGTCGAAGGCCAAAAGACCGGCGAGGAAAAGCACGGCGGTCTTCAGATCGAGGTTATCCCGGCATATCGGAGGGGATCACACAAGTGGCTCACTATGACGGAAGAACAAGCCCTGCGAAACCGGGGCTTGTACCTTAATGAAACCAAGACCCCAAATGAGCTTGGACTGCATACTGGCGCCAAGCTTCGAGCCTATCCGCCAGTGCCCACATATCGAAAGCCGGTGGAGGTGGGCGACTTATTGAAGGAAACAGATGGTTCAGGAGACGATGTGGCATTCCTCGAGGTGAGACCCTACTCCATATCTGACACTCCGAACAGCTTATCATAATGCCAGTAGGCAAATTACTATGACTTTTCGGATCGACTCACTGCCTTTAGTTCTCCCATGATGAGCGTGGGGTCGTCCCGGAGGAGTGCTTTAGCTGATACTGACACCTTCAGCTACTACGGAGGGAATCCTGAGAGGAGTGTTCAGAGTATTGGGAGCAGTGAGATGCCCACTCCTCCGCCTGAGGCTGAAGCTCCACGTCCTGCTCCCATGGCCAAACAGGCCATTGGCAAATGGCTCTCAGAGGGTTCGAAAAATCGGGATTACTCACAAGAGACCAAGAAGATGACTCGTTCTTCTCCGGCGGCCTCCGATATCCCACCAAGAAGACCTACTCGCCAGGTACTGAATGTAAAGGCCATGGGGCTAGCGGCCGGAGGCAAACTGGGTATTTCATTCCATACCAAACCCGTTGCGACATTGAGATTTCCATGCGCTTTAGTATTGTTGCTGACCATGGTACAGTCCAGGACATCATCGCTGACCATAATGCCCCAACAAATTGGAATCTCAATGCCGCTCGTCTGATCAATGTCCATATCCTGGATCCGGCCAGCTGCGAGGCCGTCACCCACATTGTACCCCCACCGATTCCCATGAGTGCCTATGAGGCCGTGCTTTCCAAATTGCCTTTCTTCGTCGTCGAAGAACAAATCGATAACCGCCTCGAGGGTGGAGAGTTTGACAAAGTCAAGTCCGTTAGCAAGATGGATGAGACAAAGGGGGTTGCATCAGAGCCTTCGCTGGATCCAAACCAGCCAGTCATGTGTAGCAGCTGCGACAAGAGACTGTGTGACTGCGTGTGAGTAATTAAAATTCCCTGATGCTGCTTCCATGGCGTTGCAAGAGCAAGCAAGATGCTAATTTCATTCCAGCGTCCGGCCCTGCGACCATCAATTTTGTAACATGTGCATCCGAGCACTAGAGCCTGCCATGGAAAATACGGGCTCTGGTGAGGTACAATGTCCTCGGTGCAAAGAGAAGATCTCACGAGTGGCAGGATTTTCCGCGCCGATGAATCTTCCCGGCGAGGAATCGGTTCGCAGCAAGATGCCGGTGCATATTCTCAAGGTGGACGATGGCCGGGTACAGTTCCAGTCCATCCGACAGACCAGGATTTGAGGATACTGTTATTTACCTTCCAATTGAGATTTATCGCTGCAAATTGTCAAATGTTTGTGCATGTTTTTTTTTTTCCCCATGATAAGGGTCCGTATACTTCCGATCTTCATGATACCAACGGTAGCTGTAATCGTCACCCATTGATCAAGCACTTTGCTTCTCTCGCATTAAACCTCGCACGTCATGCAGTATGCTCAATCTCAGCTTTCCCTGTCCATTTTGCTTTATAATATACGGACCATTTCAATGAGTGCAGGCTGTAAGTTCCCCACCGTGAATCTTGCCTAAACAGGCTTAGCGCACGCCGATAATCGGTTGAGCCAGAGATTAGCAGTCACTTGAGTCACTTCCCAATTGTCTTCCTTCCGCCCTCTACACTCCCTCTTCTCACCAATTACTCGCTAATTGACCATACCCAAGCCGTCAAAATGAGTAATTCCAAGGGCGTCGCTGAGAACATGCTCTGGGGAGGCCGTTTCACCCGTGAGTAACCCAATTCACACCCGACCAGTTACTCCCTGTCGCTCCATTCAAACAACTGACTCACAATCAATCAATTCACAGAGGGCCTCGACCCCCTCATGGTGCAGTACAACCAGTCCCTGCCCTACGACCGCATCATGTGGAAACAGGATATTGCCGGCTCGATTGCTTTCGCTCGCGCCAACATGAAGACCGGAATCCTCACCGCGCAAGAATTCGCTGAGATCGAGCGCGGTTTCAAGCAGATCGCCGAGGAGTGGCGCACCGACACCTTCGAGGCCAAGGAGAATGACGAGGACATCCACACCGCGAACGAGCGCCGCCTGAGCGAGATCATTGGCAAGGAGATCGGCGGCAAGCTGCACACTGGCCGCTCGCGTAATGAGCAGGTCGCTACCGACATGCGCCTGTGGCTGCGCGATGAGCTGCGTATCCTGGACACCTATCTCAGCGACCTGGTCAAGGTCTCTATCGCTCGCGCCGAGAAGGAGATTGACATCATCATGCCCGGCTACACTCATCTGCAGAAGGCCCAGCCCGTCCGCTGGTCCCACTGGATCCTGTCGCACGCGACCGCCTTCGCCAGCGAACTGCAGCGCCTGCGCGAGGTCATCCGCCGCGTGAACCGGAGCCCGCTCGGTTGCGGTGCACTGGCGGGTAACCCCTTCCAAATTGACCGTGAGGCCATGGCTAAGGAGCTCGGCTTCGACGATCTCCTGTATAACTCGATGAACACCGTCGGCGACCGTGACTTCGCCATGGAGACCATGCAGTGGGGCAGCTCATTCATGCTCAAGATCTCCCGCTGGGCCGAGGACCTGATTATCTACAGCAGTCTGGAGTTCGGCTTTGTCCGCCTGTCTGATGCTTACTCGACCGGCTCGTCGCTCATGCCTCAGAAGAAGAACGCGGACAGCCTGGAGCTGCTCCGCGGCAAGTCTGGCCGTGCTTTCGGCCAGATGGCTGGCCTGATGATGACTATCAAGGGCCTGCCCACGACCTACAACAAGGATTTGCAGGAGAGTATCGAGCCCTTGCTCGACCACATCAAGACTGTCAGCGACAGCATCCAGATCGCCACCGGCGTTCTGTCTACCCTGACCACTTTCCCGGAGAAGATGACCGCCGCCCTGGCCCCCGAGATGCTGGCCACCGAGATTGCGGACTACCTTGTCCGCAAGGGTGTTCCCTTCCGGGAAGGCCACCATATTTCCGGCCGTGTTGTCCAGCTCGCCGAGCAGACCAATGTCCCCATGGACACTCTCTCACTGGAGCAGTTGAAGACTGTTGACGCTCGCTTTGACACGGATGTCCAGGCTTGCCTAGACTATGAGCGCGCCGTTGAGCTAAAGGATGCTATTGGCGGCACCAGCAAGCGGGCTGTCATGGAGCAGACTGCTGTGCTGAAGAAGCTGCTGTAGATATACAGACACCTATGATATATGAGTGTATGGGGGTGTTTCCAGTTGGACTGATTGCTTGAAGAAAATACCAGCGTTTCGGGTGAATATTTGGCTAGACAAAAAATCACATTGTTTTATTTCCTCTTCTTGACGAGGCTCGGATCTTCATGGACTTTATTCCGTTCAGATGACAGCAAAAGCAAAGACCGTATATGCACCTAAAAAGACAGGATAATGTCTGGCGGGTAGTTCTTTCCTGTCTGGGCTGCCGCCGTTTTTATGAGGGCGCTCAGGCTCAGGCTCAGGCTCAGTAAGTAGATGTGCTGAAGCACAGGCTCAGACGCAGTGGTCTGGTCAGTAGAGTCATGTGAGTAAAGACTATCCGTGTCTTCGCCCACCCACACCACACCGCTTCCGCGCTGTGGGTGTGCCACATAGTAATCACTAATCTTGATCAAAATCAACTATCTTGAAGCTTAATCCCACACAATATGCCAAAACCCTCCAATTTTGATGAATCTCGCATGGAAGAGGCCTATGGAGCTAACCGCGCGTAAAAAACCCCGAATATATCGAAGACTGCCCATGAATATGGTATTCCCTATGCGACACTACGCGATCGTGTTGAGAAGGGTAGATAGCCTCGTATAGCTAGAAAAGCGCTCTATAAAGCCCCCAAAGACTATCAAGAGGAAGCCTTAACACGCTAGGTCGATTGTATGCGTGGTTGGAATATACTTGTTACCCCTAGCCTACTAGGGTAGCGGGCAAATCGAGCTATCGCACGCGCCAGTGACCCTAAACGAACTATCAGCGATATATAGGCCTATCGCTTTATAAAGCGCCTACTCGCGTATCTATAGCTAGACCTGGTGAAGTAGAAGACTAAAGAATCAAAGGAGCTATAGTTTATGAGACGTATAAGAAGGGAGATGATATAGGATAATATACCTAGTATTGCACTAGTGTCAGACTTTATCTTCGATCTACCAGCTATCCCGCTTCTAATCGATCGTTCGCAGCCGTCGCGCTTTCAACTACTGGTGTCGTCGGTAAAAACCCTGCGGCCGGTTGCTTTCCCGGAGGTCGGACCTCGAGGCCGGGGTTGGTAATCTGGAAAATCGAGGATCGTTGGCGCACGATGATCAGGGCGAGCGATCGTAGAAACTTGATTAGAAGCGGATAGCCATTGTCTGCCAGCCGCAATACATACTGTCAGCGGATGAAGGGATAATTTACCGCTAGCAACTAATTGGTTGCTAATGGGTTCACACTCGTTTAGTATTTCGTATGTAATTAGGGATTAGTCAGTAACTCAGGCTTTGTAACAGCCGAGTATCGGCGACACGCCTGTATCACAGGGGATAGTCTACAGCAGCGCTTCCCCCCATTTTCCTTCTCAATCAATCAATGTTATTCATCTATATTGGTTCCGCTTGATATCATTCGTCGTCTTCGCATACTAGGCTATACAGTATCATCGTGCACTGATACATACTGATGTAGATCGCTTACTGATTAAGTACGTTACGTTGGCCCCACCGGATTCGTCTAAATTGACGTAGTCACTCGGATGCCGCATCTCTCACCTGACCCAAAACCATGACGTTGACGACAACTTGTAACGTGACTGTGCCGCTCCTGCTGACTTGCTAAAAGAGAAATCTATCACTGGTAACCCTTCCCTGCAAACCTGTGATATTTCATTCTAAATTGATCGCCTAATCCTATTGTGCACTGTAACCTGGGCTGGTTTATGTCCGAGCTCTAAAGACATTACTGCTAAGAATGCGTCCACCACCTGCTAGTACCTCGAGTGGGATGTCCTGCCCTTCCAGTCCGTGATATCATACTATTCTTAATTTGAATAAAGTGGTGTTGGTCCTTGAGTTTCCTCTTGCTACCACCACACGACTATCCCGTTTTGCGATTGGTGCTATGGAGGACCAAGGTCCGCGACTTGTCGCCATTACGTTGTCCTTTCTTATTGTATCCTGGGTAGTGGTGTCATTGCGATGCTACACAAGGTGTATGTTAATTAGGAGTTTTGGTGCTGATGATGCTCTGTCAGTTGCATCTTTGGTATGTACATGGCTCCGGTAGGATATCCTTCCTGTGCCAGATATCTATTATACTACAATTCATAAGAAGATTTGACGTTAATTTGATGATCTAGGTTTTCTTTACCATAGCGAGTGCCCTTTTGGTGACAGGAATTGAACAGGGTAGGATTGGGCAGCCGCTTGCAAGTGTGCCTCCGAGAGTAATTGAAACAGGGTATAAGGTATATTACATTTGTACTGTTCTTCTTACAACAGTAATCTGGGCTGATACACTTTCTAGTTTATCTTTCTATATTCATTTCCATATATCGTCGCTAACGCCCTGGTGAAATTGTCAATCGGGTTCTTTCTGCTACGATTCACCTTCGTGCGAGCTCAAATCTATATCATATATGTGGTGCTTACTGTGAATGTTATCTTCAGTATCTTCATATTCTTCTGGGCGCTCTTCGAATGCGATCCTATATCAGAATTTTGGGAACAAGCAGTCATGCCACATGGGTCCTGCAAAGTCTCGGGCACAATCATAGCTACATATGTCTATGCAGGTGTACTCTGCGGGACGGATTGGACGCTTGCAATTCTACCAATCTTTATTATTCGGACTCTGCACCTAGATCTTTGCACCAAGGTCTACGCGGCGGTTATTCTTGGTCTTGGCTCTGTGTAAGCTTGGTCCTCTCCGTTACTTATTACAAATTCGACCCAAGAATACTTACTTGTGATATAAATTAGTGCTAGTATTGCGACCATAGCGAAGATCCCATACATTCATGATCATGAACAGGCGAGAAATCTCTATCCTGAAACACAACTTTCAATTTGGTCGCACATTGAGATTGGGATAGCCATTATTGCTTCCTCAGCAGCGACACTTCGACCAATTGTCAATAAGGTTGTAATTTTGATCTCCTCTGATCACTCTGAAGATGAGGGCGAAGAACTCAGCTCTCAACTACATGAGACACCACACGCCTAGCAGTGAACCCTCACTTGTGACATGAAGAAGCTGAATGATTTATAATACAGTACAATAAGGTACGGTGTCAGCGCCAAAAATCGATGAGGTGGGCTGTGCTCACAATTCTTTTCAAGCGAAGGGGCAAAGCCGATTTCGCAAGCGACTGTAACCACCGAAGCCAAAGCTTGGATATACTCCTAACCCAAGAACCCTCAATCACTACGGTACCTATCAAACGCATGTCAACCACAGCGCCTGGCGGCTATATCGACCAACCGTCGAGACCGATGCAGATCGTTTCCGGAGTGTAATCTACGTTAACAAGAGAGTCTCAACGTCTTCACACCGGCAGATCTACTATAACCACCCAGACCTTACTGCAATCAAGATCTGGACAGCAGACTCTTAAATACCTCTCTTCTCAGTTTATCACCCACCTATCCCGCTATTTACGCCTGACGAGGCGTCGGCGGAATTAGCACTCACAGCAATCTAGAACACAATAACATCTAATCTCCAAGAGGACCAAAGGTCAACGAGCGTTATTATCTCGGGAGATTTTAACCGACACCACCCGACTTGGGGTAGTAACTATATCCTACCGTAGTTTATTAAAGATACAAGCGAACTAATCGACTTCTTCCAAACCTAAAGCCTATATAGCGGTCTACCTCAAGGGATAGCGATATTCTAGACCCTAAGTAACCTAGGGAAGAGTACTATTATCGACTAGATAGTAAGGAATCGGCTAGACCTACTCGTTAACTATTATCTCTTACTACGAAAACTACCGGTTAGACTACTATATAATATACTCGGAATAGAGCCTAAGAGCCCTACGCTAGCCTACTAGTAAGTCGAAAAAGCCTACGACTAGGCGGACTAGTATAAGATCGCCGACGAGGTACTCTAATAAGTAGGCCTATAGAAGGAGTCAAAAATGAGGCTAGCGCTAGGTAAGGCGGTCGAAAGGCTCACAGAGGCGACTACAACGGCGGTAGATAGATATACCCCCAACCTACGACCAACACCGTACTCGAAGCGCTAGTTCACCCAAGACCTCAAAATTCAGTAGACCAAGGTTAACTATCTACGACAAAAATGGCAAGAGAGCTATGCGGAGCTTGGGCGATGCTATACCCACTCTATGACCCTCTTCTAATAGATATAATAGAAACGATTAGACTGCGGCATATCCTCTCCATTGGATATTAGGTCTAATACCATATCCGCAAATTGAGGAGGATATGAGGATATTTTGCGGATATTCGCACTAGCATAACTCTCGCTTAATTATCTAGTCTAGGTATATCACATAACTTTTATATTCTTTTATGCCTGCAAATCCAAAGAATTTACCTAAATAGGCAATAATCTTGGCATATTTATCTTGTTTGATATCAATTGGATATCCTCAAATATCTAGAGGATATCAGGTGGCATACCATATCCACAAAATTGAGGATTGCGGATATTGGGTGACATACCATATCCGCAATTTGAGGAGAGGATATGTGGATATTTATGGATATTGAGGATGTTGCCGCAGTCTAGAAATGATGTATGTGGACTCGAACTATTGAAAAAGTTAAAAGTGTTGCATTGGAAATAGTTTTTAGACAAAGCTAGGGAAGGGAAAGTATCCAGGATAGCCGGGTGTCCAGGTTAACCAGGAATTACGTTAGCTCAGGTTGATCAGGGGCGTGCTCAATTCTACTCAGTGAGCAAAAGCGGCGAGAGGGTGAGCGCTAGAACAGAAGGGGAGCGCAAACAATTGCCAGACATTATCTGGAATATATGCTATTAATTCTCATCACCCCAGAACAATAATAATACCGTGGCTAGCCCCGATTAAGCTCATTATTGGGACCTCACAACCCCCATTATCCATTACTTTCCGATGGGAGATTTTTCATCCTGCTTTGGTGATACACCCCCAGCGTCATAAGCAGGCGGAGCATCGTCCATGCGTGAGGAGCAATCTTCCTCGACCCCGGTACTAGGCACAGACTGCAGCGCAGTAGCTGTTTCTCTTCCATTTCTCCCAGAGCCATGTCGCTGGCCGGATCGTCCCCTCTGCACCATCTCAAATTCAGTCCCACCAAAGGTCATAAAGCTCATAACATGTTCCTGCGGTTTATCATTCTTCTTCCCTTTCTCGCCGTGATCGGTATCATGCACAGTAGAGTATCGATCTAGGTTAGCCCCCATCACAACTCCATCTCTGGTAACGACTCTCCGCGCATTGTTCCGGCTCACGAGAGGTAACCTTCCATTGTTGATGACAGCGGACCTTGGACTCGAGCTACTGCTACCAGAAGACGAGGGAGACGATCCCCATGAGTAAGGGGCATTGCGCGGAATGTATGGGCTCTTGCGCCGCCTTTGATTGAGAGGGACGTTTATCAGTTCACTTTGATTGTGCGCAGCTAGTTCTGCGCGTTGCCTGTAGAATCCCGTGTCTGAAAGCTCGGCAGCGTATTCTGCGCCGTGAGGAATACTACCTTTCAGTTTGCCAGGGGGCATTCGTAGAAGCGGGAGCCGAACAAAACCCCCTGACGAGGTAGGGAGAGTCTCAGAGCTAGGAGTGGAGAATTCTGATGCATCAGGCATGAGAATGGGATCACTGCTTCTCAAGGCCGTCATTGAATTTGTTTCTGAGGGGGTGAGATGTGCCCGCGTCTCGGTTGGCGGGGAAGCTATTGGAAGACTCGTGTTAATTATGATATTCTCATTACGAAAATGATACAGGGTGGTCGTTCACTCACCTTTAAGCGGTGGAGTCTGGTTTTCAGATGGTGATAGTCCTGCCTTGGAGGTCGAAACCATTTCGCGGTTATGATGGGACTTTGTAGACACAGACCTATGCAAGAGGACCGTGAACGATTTCCCATGCATTCTTTTGCGTCGCCAGCAGAACCACAGAAGGATGAGGAGGATTGCCAAAGGAGCTAGTCCTCCCACAGCCCCGCCGATGATAGCTCCTTTATTACCAGGTTTGGAACCGGTAGATGGGGCGGCAGTCACACTGCTTATGGAGGGAGTGGTTGAGATAGAACTTGGTTCGTTTGTGCTGGTGGCCACTTCTGTGGTAGAGACAGGCGTAGAGGCTTCTGATGTTGTCGATGACGAGAGAGTGTTCGAAGTTGTGGTAGAGCTGGTGCTCGACGATGTAGATGCTGAAGAGGTGGATGTACTCGACGACGAGCTCGAACTAGCGTCTGGACAGATACCTGACGTGCAAGGGTCGCTTGAGCAGCACCCACGAAAGCTACCAGCCGAACAGACGTACCATAGCTGTGATCCTTCGCAGCTCGTGGATAAGCGACGGGCTAATGCCTCCATCTCGAAAGGATGCCTCGGCCAGCGGAGCGAATATAATTGTTGATGACACGACCAACGTAAAGTAAAGAGAGAGAAAGCATACAAGTACCGTCAGACAGCATATAAAAGAAGGAAAGCGAGGAATTCCTCGAGATCTGAGATCAAGCAGGAGTGGAAAATTAGACTGCCTTGGCCACAGCCTCATCAGATACTTTTTTCAGGGGCAGGGTCGCGTTTTCAAAGACGGCAAGTCCTTTGTCCGAACTATGGAGCCAGTGGGAACGGTGGCGATGACCCCAATAATAGAACTGGTGGACAACCCCCGGTCCAGGATATGGGGTCATCTTTGTGAGACGAGACCCCGTTGAAATGCTAGGATAACCCAGGGATGGTTGTCATGCCCTTTGGATATAGTCGATATAGTCACAAGCCTCCTGGTGTATGGATGAAGAGTGTTGTGGCATGAAAATTGATAGAGTTCGACGACATTGAGAGATGTAGATGCTGGTGAGAGGGTTGAAGCGAGGGCTTCTTTGTTGACTCGGTGATCACGACCCACAGCCGAAAATGGAAACCAAAGGATAAAGATAGCACTAGAGAAGAAAACACAACACTGAAAAGCTCTCAATTTAAATATGAATATTAAACCGCCGCAATCTGTGCCACTACTTTGAGGAGTACTTCTAACATCTGTTCAGGATTGAAAATCACGATCTATGCAAAGAGTGGTAAAGATGGCGCAGTTGACACAACAGTATAGAGAGTCCTCACGTAGTCAATCTCACTGTCCAGATTGAGATCATTCTGATTCCATATCGCCTCGACCATGCTTTGAATCAGAGGGATGTGATTTGATCGGTGCCGCGATTGCCTTGTCGTCTCTGACAGGATCTCTGATATTTGGAGGCGCTGATCATCTTCACCAGCCTCGCAAGCTATAAGGAATAACGGCCAAGCAGTCTCACAGAAGCCAAGGTTCTTTAACAGCAAAATGCCCTCCCTCACTAGTCTTCGGTGTTGGAATGCGGTACTGGGCATCCTCAGAACCGCACGATTCAAGTATATCAACGCCGCACATCGGTAAAGGTAGGTCAGCATTTCCTCTCTGCGCAATGGTTCTCTCGAAATTTCGTGAAAGGTTCCGCTCTCTCCAACAGTCTCATAAATGCTATGTTTGAGTCTCCGCATCTGCTCCATATCCCTGTTATCGTATGGGACATCGAAGTCATCATATGCCGAAGAACGCTTGCATATAATTTGAATTAGTTCAAGGGCATCCATGGGACATGTAATACCGCTTGGGATCTAGACCTGAATCAGTGATGGACTTGGAACGGCCATTATTCCATGCAACTTACCACAGAGTCATCAGTTATTGCGGTTTTGGGTCGTGCCGCCATAGGTCCTTTACAGAAGCTGTCTGTGGTGCTAGCCTTGGCCCAATGCCGCAGGCTAAATTCCGAGATGACTTCGTGGTAGTAAATCCAGTCCATAATAATAGAGCTTTCATGTTGGAACAGTTCAAGCGTTGCAGCTGAAGCATGCATGATTTTCTTTGCACCACATAGGTGGGAAGCCCAGATATTTTCACGGTTGTCTGTCGTCCAAACCTATATTATCATCAGCTTGAACTCAATGTCATATAGGTGAACGCGAAAATACTTCATATTGATAGAGAATCATAGTGGCGATAAGATTCTGGAGCAGGTTCTCCTTGTCGGTCCGCAGAATATTTTCTCGCAACATCGAAATCAGTCGGCTCTGGTGGGCGGTACTTTTCGAGGACCCTTGCAGCTGTAGCGATGCCATTGTGAGAACCCCTTCTAGAACCAAGTTCAAAGAAGACGAGGGGCTAGAAAGGGCAATTCTCATAATATGATGGGCCAATGATTCGTCAATGATTGGTGCGAGTATTCGGGATCTGGATTCATTAACTGGGTCATTGTGTTACAATTTGCTTCCTGTATAAGCGTGTGCCTTTGGATACCTACAGAAATCAAGCAGGAGTGCATCGTTCCCACTGAGAAGTGATGATGGTAAATATGGTAGGTGCGAAACCTTCAGGGTATGCAAATATTGACCTGTATAAGACTTCACGTGAGCGAAGCGTAATTCAAAGCCATATTGAGAGATGGAATCACCAAGATCTTTTCGTTCTAAAAGAATGTCTGACAGCATCATATCCCAGTGAAAAGTGTTCAAGAACAAAGTATCGCCTTTCAGGCGCCTGCGGGAAGCCGTCCCCGGTGGTTTAGAGCCATGATATACCAACGTTCGTCGACTGTCTCCTTCTCGTGGCCAGGACAGCTGAATACCGTATCCACGACAATGGCGTCCCGCTTTGGTGCAGTTATGACATACAGGGCGGCACAAGTCACAGCGCACCTTGCGCGCTATGATGAGAAGAGGCCAATCAACTTAAGCAACGACGTTGGGACATCACGTCAGCAACTTACCTCTACACGTCCAACACCCTTTTATTCCCATTTTATCGGCTTTTAGAATCCCGTTCTGGTCCAAGAGACCGGAGGAGAAACATGCTTTGTTGCGTGAGTGAAGTTGCGGTAGGTGGCGTTTTCGTCTGACAAACCAACGGCAACTGACGTTAACTAACCAGTCATGTTAAGTACTTCTCGGGCTCCGAACTAAAGCATGACTAAGGTACTAAGTCAGGCTTAACTCCTTCATTATAGGAAAGGCGATACCGAGTTGTGATTTATAGCGATACGAGTTCGTATAAGCCGTGCGCTCAAATTTACGCCCATAGCAAAATATTGAAGCGAGGTCCAGGAAGGTAGAGATGGGATCATTACAATGCACTGGGCAACTGAAGGATCAGAGGCAAACGCAATAAACCGGTCGCGAATTGGTTCAACACTCGCACCAAGAGATATCTTGCCAATTGAAATTGAGACAGTCTTTTCCCAGCAGCAGCGGCGAGTAATATTGTTTCTTGTATGCTACTTTGAGCTAGCTTCCTTGCCCTTGGATCTATTTTCGACCCATAAAGACAGCATCTTGAATCATTTCTTCAGAAAACCTAACGTAGCCTTGTCCCTTGACAAAAGTCGCATTCCAAGGTCCTTGCCTTTGATGCTCGCTCAGTTGGGTGTAAAACTCAGCATGGGCAGAGCCGTCAATGGCGGAATAAACCGGATCTCCATCAGATTTGCGTTCGTCCGCATAGTAGAATCTATGATATAACCGTCAATCCGAGCTTTTCCTGTCAATAATACAGCGATTTCCTATTTGAGAGGCTTACTTGTAGCCCTGGTCTTTGTGTTCTTCCGCCAAATAGTGGATGAGATGCGCTGCGGCCGCTTTGCCAGCCCCTGGAGACAAAAGCGGTGGTACGACCAGAAACGGAAGTTTGTTTCCGGTATAAATGAATGTTTTGGATGCTTCTGAAGGTGCAAGAGCAAAAGATCTTATCGCGAAATAAGCCGCGATGTATGCAGAAACAATATTGACGTTATTGTCCGATTGAAAGCCCACAATCTGATCATTGAGGGGACTTGACGACCTGAAGCTGAAAGAGGCCGCTATTGAGAATAATTAGAACCCCTTATTTGTCCTTTGAGTCTCACGGTTTTATCAGAACAAATCAAGAATATGCATACCATTGTAGATCACCACGGTCGGGTGACCAAGTTCATCAATGACTTGGGAAAAAATGCCTTCGATTGAAGAAGGATCTGCGAGATCTGCTTGAATTTGAAGATAATTCTTTGCGTCACTTGCGCACTTGTCTGAGCGTGACACTACAGCAACTTTGTAGTCTCGCGTTGCGAACGCCTTAGCGACTTCGAACCCAACGTTGGGTCCATACCCAAAGATAAGTACAACTTTGTTAGACATTTGGAAAGTATTGTAGGGAATTGCAAGAAAGCCTGAGTCCGAAAGTCTGTTATATGTGAATTGGAACCGACCACAGTCGTGATATAAATCACAGTGCAAGAGAGACAGACATCCCTTTTAAGCTCCATAGACGATAGCAGGGAGGTCCTGTATGCTGATTGGTCAATATGGCTAGCGTCGGAAATACTTGCAATGGTTTGGGTAAGCACGCCAGAGCTGGGAATCTTGCCCCACTCGTTACATGAGCTGACCTTTCATCGCGCGTCTTGGGTCTTGTCACAGCAAGCTGATACTGTATAGCCTAGTATGCAGAGAGACGAATGACATCAAGCGGAATCAATTGGGATGCATAAGATTGATTGATTCAACAGAAAAACAGGGGGCAATAGCCCTGCTAAAATAGCCCCTGAGACACACCGCTATTCGCTGTGTCTCCGTTACTCAGCTACAGCAAGGCTCTCTTTGCTGTCCCGTAGACTAATTATATAAGAAATGCTAAACGAATGTGGACCCATCAGTAACGAATTAGTTGCTAGCGGTAAGTTATCCCTTTATATGCTGATATACCCCCTTAGTAAAATGGCTGTAGGCAATTTGCTGCACTATTTTATCTAACGTCCTTAGGCATTGATTTTACCTTCTAATAGCTATCTAATATCTTCTATCCCTAGCTACCTGATAAATTCGGTATACCTCTAGCGAGGTAATAGCTTCGTAAGGCCGTCTGTTACTATATCCGACATTTTGACCTACTATACCGGTATACGTTTAGCTTGAACCTCCTACTATAACTAGTGCTAGTAGATATTAATATATCGGAGCTTCGTACGTAGTTAAGGTGATTCGGCCGTTAATAGGTTAATAGTCTACTAGTTATTATATTATAGGACGATAGGGTAACTAGGAACGAATATAATAGCCGCGAATAGACGATTCTATATATATAGAGACTTACTAGCGTCTGATATTGCTAGTAATTCCGTCTTAGTAGTGCTCGTTATTATAGTCTTCTACTTCGTAGCCTTCTAATCTACCGGTCCTCCGAATATTAAACTAATATAGCCCGATGAGCTCTTCCGATCGTGGTTATCCCTATACGATGCGTCGCTAAAGAACTATACGGTCTACTGTAGCGAATTAGGAAGCTTTCGATAGTAGATAGCTCTCGTCTGTGTATAATATAGGTAAGCGATAACTAGGTTAATTCCGTTAACGTATTTAGGGGAAGGGTTTAATAGGAACTAAGTAAGATATAAGGTAGCCTTCGCTACGTCTAGCCGGGTAATCGTAGTAGTATACTATACGGAACCGACCTTAGCTAAGAATTTATACCTTCGCTCGTCGGTAGTTATTCTACTATAAGGTTAAAGGTTAGCTATACTAATAGGAGGGACTTTAAGCTATCTTTTAGTAGTTAAATGATATTTAGTAGCTATCGTAGTAATATAGGTATCTTAATATAGCTATAATTTACCCTATTAACGATCTCTTACGATATAGATACCTAAGAACTACTACACTTCGCCTATCGAGCGAAGCTCCTAGGTCTAGTTAAGGCTTTTAGCTATATTCGTAGCCTCTTAATATATTAAAGGATAGTTAAAGATAAGGATATTATTAACGTAAAAGATAATAATAATACTATCTGTAGTAAATAGGTAAATATCCTTATAAATAACGTTAAAGCCTAATACTATTAGAACTCTTAACGCTTTCTGCTACTAGAGCCTCGGTGATTTCCGTAGGCCGTATAGGGCTCTTAAGAGCTTCTAGTACCTTAGTCTTCGTCCCGGAGGGTAAAGGCTAGGAGATAGTTCTATATATACTTCCTTATTAATCTAGCTATTAAGAAATATATTAATAGCGTCGTATTAAGCGGTGTCGAGGTTAAAGGCTACTGCGAGAGCGAAGATAGCCCTAGTAGTTCGTACGGCTAGCGTCGCTAAATATTTCTTATCCGTTAATATCTTCTAAAGGTCTCCCCTTACGTATATCCTCGCTTTATATTTAATTAATAGGCCGTCGCTATCGAATTTGTATATAAATACCTATATTAACGGTAAGACCTAAATGCCCTTATCTATCGGCTAGTTAACTTCTTTATAGGTACCCTTTCTCTCTAGTGTTTTGACTTCCTACGAAGCTACTTCGACGAAGCTATCTCTATACGGGTAATATATTATCTCTGCCTAGTTCTTTAGCTCTAGTAGTAGGTCGTCCCGGTAAGGGCGTTAGTAGGTCTATAGCGAGCTTATCTCTATAGAAAATACTAATAGAATACCTTTATAATAGTCCTCTAGATCGTTTACCGATGCGAAATAAGCCCTCCTACGCTTACGTTTACCCTCGATAATATTGCTTTCCGAGAGCGATACGCTAATATTATTCGGTATAAGAGATCTATATTTACGGTATCCTAACAGTAGTAGATCTAATACTTCTAGTAATTCTGATGCCTATCTAAGCTCTCCGAGAAGCTATTTATTAGGCCCTCTTACCCCTTTAGCTTCGAGGCGGTTTAAGGTTTCTAGTATTACTAGAGATATTAAGAGTAGTAATAGCTCTATTAGAAAGCTTCCTAGGACTATTAATAACCTCTCTAGTACTATCGCCGGAGTTAACTAGCGAGAGGGAGTCGGCGACGGTATTATTATCGCTAGAACTAGGGAATTTAATACGGATTCTTTCGTAGAGCTCTACTCTTCTTCTCTCCTTTCTTCTTACCGTTATAGCCTTTCTGTATATCTTTCTAGTATCGTAAGGGTTATCTCGAGGCCCTTATCGACGGTAATAGGTATCTCTATAGTATTATATCCTACTATCTATAGTATCATCTCGAGGATGTCGGCTAGCGGTAGTCTCTCTATTTCCTTTAGGCTAAATCGTACGTTCTTATCGAATTCGACGTCTCTAACTACTCTAATAGTATTAAGGTGTAGAAACTATACCTTCTAGATATTCGATATAATATAACCGACTAAATACCCTATCTCTACGTATAGCGCTATCTTATCTTTCTAGGGAATCCCTTAACGGCGTACGTACGCTCTATAGCTATAAACCCGGAGATATGCTAGGTTAAGACGTAGTTTATTCTATTAGTAATAAGGTTTCCGAATAGCTTTAATCTATAGGATAATCTCTTAGCTGTCTGGTAGTGTTATAGGCGTTCTGTTAATTAAATAGACCGCTATATTTACTACTTCTAGCTAAAGATTCTTCGGTAAGCCTATATCGATAATAAAAGCTCTAGCGATAATAATAATAATACCTCCTACTCTCTCGATAAAGCCGTTCTGTTTAGGTATTCCGACGACGCTAAATTCTATTAAGATACCCTCCCTAGCGTAGTATAGGCAGAAGGTATAGCCTAGGGTCTATTCGTTATTACTCTTAAAGACCTTAATATCTATACTAAGCTGATTTCGATAGATAGTAATAAAGCTAATAATAGTATCGATATATCTACTCTTTTTCTCGTAGGTCTAGGCTATATAGAGGCGAATACCCTCGATAAATAGGTAAGAGACCTATTTATAACCGTTATAAGCTTCCTCTAGCTATAATAGGTTAAAATAAAGCTTTCTAAACTTACCGTAGATCTTTGCTCTTGCTGCTAACCTCTGAGAGATCTACTTCTTTATCTTCGCTTACTGATAGACTGTATATCGTTTAGGGTTATATTAAGCGTTATCCTTGAATTCTCCCCTAATAACTATACCGTTAACTATCTTTACGAGTGCCTTAATACGTCGGTTATAGATATAGCTAAGCCTACGATACTATATCTACGGTGATATAATAGATACTAGTGGTTTCTAAGAGGTCTTAAGTATAGAAAAGGCTACTAGAGGGCTATTCGCTACTAGGATAGGCCTATTATCCTAGTAATACTCTAGAAGATAGAGCCTAAACTTCCTAACGTATATTACTATTAGCTTATTATCCCTAGTAATAGCTAGGAAGCGGCTATTAAAGAAGAAGCCGTTCTTCGCGATCTCTAATACTAATAAGATATTAGTTTTAAAGCCTAGGATATACTATATATCTAGTAAGGTTACCTATAAGATCTTGCTAGTAAGGTCTTTAACGATAATTTTAGTAGTTCCCTTGCCCTAAGTAGCTATTTTACTATTACCGAGTGTAACTATACGGCGTTCTTCCTTTAGACCTCCTACGAAACGATCTAGACGGTTATAAATATAGATATTAGCTCCCGAGTTAATAATCTAGCTATTTTCGAGTAGATAGGATAGGGCGGCGTTATATACGGCTAGGGTAATATCGAGGGTAAAAGAATATATTAGGTCGTCTTTAGAGAAGAAGTTTATCGTTTCGGTCGGTATATTACTAAAGCTATTATCTCTATCGGTAATAGCTAGCTAAGCTATCTAACCGACTATCTTAGATAAGGATAAGGCTCCGGGGCTTATTAGCTTAGCTATTTCTTACTAATTAGCGAGGCTTAGCTTCTTAATACTATCCTCGACCTTCTTACGAGTAGCCTTATATTACTACTAGCCCGGCGGTCTCTTAGCTACGTTAATATAAAAGTAGTCCTTCTATTAATATCTTAGGTTACTATATATATAGCGTTGCTTCTTCTGATTCGAGGACTGCCCTTACTTAGGCTATTAATAGCCGTATAGCGTCGCTACGAAGGCTATAGCGCCTATTAGGCCTTTCTTACTATAATCCTAAGTATCCCGGTAAGTCCGATACTCCGAGAGAACGTCCTAGAACTTTAGCTTCTCTCTACCGTCTAGTTTAGCCTTATACTAATTAATAAAGAAATTATCTTAGCTAGGGATAACCTAGAGGAAGTCTCTAATAGCGAAGGCGTCCCTAGGGTATTCGGTAACGTAGGAACAGCGCTAGATATTAGGCACTTTCGCTATATATACTTTATTATATAGGTTTAACTAGTCCGTTAGCTATTTAGCTATCGATACCGAGGCCTTGCTAAATAGAGTAGTTACTTATTACTTCTATACATTTCTAAGGTATTATACCCTAGTAGCCCCCTTTAGCTTAAATTCCTAGGCTAATTTTATTAACTTCTCCCTCGTAGTTTTCCTATCGGCTAGTAAGCTTTACTTCTTAGGATAGGTTATTACTAAGACGTAAGAGTTTATATCGGCTAGGCTCTTATAGATAGTATAGTAAAACGCTCTCTCCTTTTCGAATAGGGTAATAAGGCGGGTATATCTAGTATAGTCGGTATTATCTAGCTCTATTATATTAGTTATACTAGCTTTAACCTCGTCTAGTCGGGGAAAGGTATCTCTTAGCTTAACGGGTAGCTTCCTAATATCTTTATCTTTAATATTAGGGTCGAGATATCCCTATACCTTCAGGGCTATCGCGGCTAACTCGATATAGCTAATCTAGACTCGCTACTAAGCCTCCGACCGGAGCCGTTAGTCGTAGAGGTTTCCGTATAACGCTTAAGTTATCTCGAAAGACGTTATTTTCGTATATAAATCAGGCTATTTTACAGGGTCTTCGAGCGGGACCTACAGTCCTTCGGTGTTAGTTAAACCACCGCTAGGTAGCTATATAGGGCTAATTCAGGAAGCTTACGTTAACAGAAAGATCCAGGCGAATTAATACGTATCTTTCTTAGTGATATTAACGGGCTATCGGGCTTATAACTGTTACAGCAAGCTGATACTGTATAGCCTAGTATACAGAGAGACGAATGACATTAAGCGGAATTAATTAGGATGCATAAGATTGATTGATTCAACAGAAAAACAGGGGGCAACAGCCCTGCTAAAATAGCCCCTGAGACACACCGCTATTCGCTGTGTCTCCGTTACTCAGCTACAGCAAGGCTCTCTTTGCTATCCCGTAGACTAATTACATAAGAAATGCTAAACGAATGTGGACCCATCAGCAACGAATCAGTTGCTAGCGGTAAGTTATCCCTTCATGTGCTGACAGGTCTTCTGGCAGTCTCAATGTGCTCAAATGATGAAGTTCATGGAAGAACATATATTAAAAATCAAGTCGTTGCGCAAATGAGTTAGTAAGCTCGGCCCAGATCAGCGCCGAAATTCTCCAGAATATGAGTAATAGAAAGCTGCCAGGCTTCGACAAAATCACCCTTTGGGCATTCCAGGAAGATTGGGAAACTTGACTATTATGTTCACCAAGCTTGTTATTGCTGGAAGTACCGGCTATGTGGCTGATGCTGCCATCTGCGCCATTTTAGCTTCAAAAGACCCCGTCTTCGATGTCACGATCTTGACCCGAAGGGATAGCGGCAGAGAATCGCCATCTAGGCCAGGAGCAAAGGTCATTCCAGTTGACTACGGCAAACACGACGACCTTGTGCACGCTGTGTCAGGGGCAGATGCCATTCTTTCTTTTATCGCCGGCACTCAATCCAAACTGGTCGATTTGCTTCTGCTCAAGGCAGCGCGGGAGGCTGGTGTCCGACGTATCTTCCCATCCGAATATACTTTGGACATTCTCCATCCCCATGCAGTGTCTCTTCTAACAGAGGGAGGACACTGGCCAGAGGAAATCTCGCCTGTTGCAACCGCGCGCAAGTTCCTGGCCCTCGCGGACGAAGGAGGGCTTACAAGCTTCACAACGTTGATCCCAGCTGCCTTTATGGATGGATGGCTGGAGGGTAATTTCGGCTTAATTGATCCCAAAAACCACAAAGTGACGGCTGTTGATAGTGGCGATCGTTATTTCTCTGGATGCTCGATACCCTTCCTTACAGCCGCCATCGTCGCTGTGCTTCGGATGGACGAGGAGAAGACGAAGAACAAACGCATTCCCATCACGGAGGTTCGCGCGACAATGAACCAAATCGCAGATGTTTTCGAGGAAATCACCGGTACCAAATTTGAGAGAGGACTGGTAACGTCCCAAGAGCTCGTTGATCAGCGCAACACGAATCTCCAGGCTGGAAATCCTCTCGTTGCCCTCTTTGCCATGATTCAGTTGGCGGCCTTTGATGGAATCGGGGCAGGGGATCTTAAGGAGGGCTTGGGGTTTGATGGCGATGGCTATTTGGATGTGCAGAGGAAGAGTCTCAAGGAGCTTTCCATCGAGGCTCTGACGAAGGTTGAGACCAGCTGAGCCGCATTCTTTTCTGTGGATTTGGGAACTGGACACAGTATTGCGGAGAGGACTAGGGAATATTACTGAGATCTCCAAGGCTATCTTGCTTCCTATCCGCACTGCTACTCAGAATCGAGGCATCACAGAAGGGTAATCATGAAGTAAATCAGGTTGATGGCAAAATGGTCACAACCTTGCGTGTCACTTTTCTATAAGATCATAGTTTGTCCGTCCGGCGCTCGTCGCGATAGCAGGGCCTCGCCGACGTTTCAACTGAGACCTAACCTATGACCTAAGGTAATATATGAATGCTTAGAGAGCTGCACGAGAGCTCGGCACATTTACGATAAGTGAAGAGTATAGAATCACAGGCATCCGGGAGTTACGCATGACGACTCGGCGATTATTTCTACTGGAAGGACTGCGGGTACCGCCGAGTCTATATTGACTATTAGTGTACGAGCGTAGGTAATCAGCTATTCACAGTTGTGCGCATGTAGACTAAACAAGCAGCAGGTGTGAAGTGAGATCATGATGTTAGCCTCAAAGCTGCTGGCGGTATCCCTTTCCATAAACCTTGATGTCTCCAGCTCACCTATATCAGCCGTCTACTGTCGTGGCTCTGCAGCAAGAAGCATCCCCCCTTCGCGCTCAGCAGCTGCACGCAAGATCTTGAGATTTTTAGCTGCATCACCCGCGGGGCTAGCAGGTAAAATGAAGGCTGTCTGATAAGGATACCTTCCCGGTGCGATGAGTCGCTCAAGGAGGATATCTTGGAACCCAGCACAGAGGTATGGCATTCAAAACTACGGAGTATAGTTGGTGACCGGGTTGAAGAAACAAAAAAAATTCAGTGATATGAGACAAACTGAGCGAAAGCACTCAGTACACCGACTCTTCGCCTGTAGGATAAAGGGAAAAATATGGCTATACAGGATGGTAAATAACACACAGTCAAATAAAAAACATGCTCTTTTCATGGACTCCTCCGTCGACGCCACAACAGGCACTGAGTCTCATCCTATAACCCGTATGAGATCAGGAATTTCTGTCGATCGTCTGAAACAAATCCGTAGTATTATCTCCCCTTCTCAGAAAGACACCTGCTCGGTGACAGGCTTAGTAGACACGCTTGAACGGAGGAACGGGCTTGCACTCCTTCTCATCCAGGGTGTTGGCCTCGACGGCACGGTAGCCGAGGTCCACCTTGCCGTGGGCCTCCTTCTGCCAGGTGAGAGTGTGCTTCATCCAGTTCTCGTCGTCACGGTCGGGGAAGTCCTCACGGGCGTGAGCGCCACGAGACTCCTTACGGTTGGAGGCAGCCAGGGCGGTTTGGGTACTGTAGGAAAAGCCGAATGTTAGCAGTCTTCGAAACGTCGATTCGTCAGGTGTTCACATACGCGCAAGTCAGGAGGTTACGGAGCTCAAGGGTCTCAACCAGATCGGAGTTCCAGATCATGCTGCGGTCCTTGGTGCCGACCTGCTCATACCACTGGTCAATCTCGTTGACACGCTGGACACCCTCGTCCAAACTCTCCTGGGTACGGAACACGGAGACATCAGTCTGCATGGCCTTCTGCATAGCGTTGCGGATCTCGAAGGTGGACTTGGGGCCGTCGGCGGTGCGGGCGAAGTCAAGGTCCTTGATAGACTGAGCACCAGCGTCGGAAGCGAGCTCCTTGTGGGGCTTGCCGGGGGAGGCGATGTCACGGACGCGGTGGGACACAGCACGGCCAAAGACAATCAGATCGAGCAGGGAGTTGGCACCCAGACGGTTGGCACCGTGGACAGACACACAGGCAGCCTCACCGCAAGCGTACAGACCAGGGACGACGTGGTCCTTGCCGTTCTCATCAACGTTCAGAACCTCACCAGTGTACTTGGTGGGAATACCACCCATGTTGTAGTGGACAGTGGGCAGAACGGGGATGGGCTGCTTGGTGACATCAACACCAGCGAAAATGGAAGCGGTCTCGGAGATACCGGGCAGACGCTCGTGGAGCAGCTCAGCGGGCAGGTGGCTCAGCTGGAGGTAGATGTGGTCCTTCTCGGGACCAACACCACGGCCCTCACGGATCTCCAGGGTCATGGAACGGGACACAACGTCACGGGAAGCCAGATCCTTGGCGGTAGGAGCGTAACGCTCCATGAAACGCTCACCCTCGGAGTTGAGCAGGTAACCACCCTCACCACGGGAACCCTCGGTGATCAGGCAGCCAGCACCGTAGATACCGGTAGGGTGGAACTGGACGAACTCCAGATCCTGGTTGGGGAGACCGGCACGGGCAACCATGGCCATTCCGTCACCAGTGCAAGTGTGGGCGGAGGTGCAGCTGAAGTAGGCACGGCCGTAACCACCGGTAGCCAGGACAGTGTGGTGGGCCTTGAAACGGTGCAGGGTACCATCCTCCTGGTTGTAAGCAATGATACCGCGGCACTCACCGTCCTCCATCAAGAGATCGAGAGCGAAGTACTCGATGAAGTAGTTGGTGTTGTGGCGTAGAGACTGGCCGTAGAGCGTGTGCAGAAGGGCATGACCGGTACGGTCAGCGGCAGCGCAGCAACGGTAGGCCTGGCCACCCTTACCAAACTCCTTGGACTGACCACCGAAAGCACGCTGGTAGATACGGCCATCCTCGGTACGGGAGAAGGGGCAGCCATAGCCCTCCAGCTCGCGGACGGACGCGGGAGCCTCACGGGTCATGTAGTGAATCGCATCCTGGTCACCCAGCCAATCCGAACCCTTCACAGTATCGTACATGTGCCATCTCCAGTCATCCTCGTGCATGCTATTTGTCTGGTTAGTTTGTGCGCGTACGGAGAAGCACGAGCCAAGAGGCCCATTAGGAGGTAACCTACTTTCCAAGGGCAGCGTTGATACCACCCTGGGCAGCGACAGTGTGAGAGCGGGTGGGGAAGAGCTTGGAAACACAGGCAGTGTTGAAACCAGCCTCGGCCAGACCGAAGGCAGCGCGCAGACCGGCACCACCGGCACCAACGACGACGGCATCGTACTCATGGTCCTGCACCAATCAGAATTTCCAGTCCAGTTAAGCTCAATCCAAGCGGCAGTCTTGGCTTACAATGACGGGGTACTTGTCGGAAATCAAGCCATTGGCTTCCTTCGCGCGCAGAGGGCCGGGGGTCCAGAGCCGGGCTGCCGAAAGGGTGGTCAGTTCGAGGTTCGAGAATGCGTTGGATTCAATCGGTCCGGCGAATTCAATGCGTACCAGCAGGTCGTGACGAGGAGAAGAGACGTCTCTGATCTCTCAAGATGCGAGAAACCTACAGCCAAAGCGATATTCGTCAGTCAACAATCGCGCCGCCGGGCCGAAAAACGTTCCCTCGTCGGCTACTCACCTTGGAGGCGGGAGCCAAGCTCCGCGAGCTCAGGAAGCTCATAGTGACGGGTCAGAAGGAGAGTAGTTCCTAACCCGAAAAACAGTGGGCACACCGGGAGTCGGTGGTAATTAGATAGGAGGGGAGACGTGGAATGGGGGAACCTTGCTCCTGCCAGGGCAATTACACTGTGATCGGGTTGCGGTTGGCAGTTTGCGCTGACCTAATCATTTTCTCACTTGCCGACGGGGAGGACCGGGGCCGAGGGAACCAATCAGGATGCCCGCAATGGAAAGCAGCACACCAAAGCCTCGGGCAGCCGGTCGCCCGTGATTGGTTTAGAGCACGTGACCCACGATTTGTTTTGCCGGCCGTCATAGTGGAGGATCGGGATGGAACGGCAAGCTGAGCAATGTGCCGAGACGAGCTAGAGAGATGCTGAAAGAGAGACCACAGACTACAAAGAGTCTTGCTATACTGTCCCGATCCTTCCCATTGTCTATCGAACCCATTGTTCTTTTCTAGAGGGGGTTCACTTGATCAAGCTTCCACATTAGATATCACGTGGAGTCCCATGACCGGAGTTATGCTCATCAACGGGCAGCAGTGCAGTACCGCGGCAAAAGTTGCTTACCAATTTGGGTGCTACACACGGTGTAGCGCTAGCGATGGGGTTTAGAAGGCTAAGGAAACCCAAAGGCATACATGTAGAGTCTAGGTAGATTATAGATTCATCCACATTGAGAGCTAAAGTCGGAAATGACAAAAAAAGAGTGATCATACAGCCCATCCGCCATACCCATGCAAGAAAACCAGCTCCGTCTCGAGCTCTAGTTATACTGCATGTAGGTTGCCGTGGAGTTGAACTTAAGGTTGCCCTTGATGACCTTTTCCACTGATGCCAAGAAGTCCTTCTCTGTTGCCACCTTTCTCCGCGCCCGAATGGCAAACATGCCAGCCTCGGTCGCCACACTGCGCAGCTCTGCACCTGTTGCGTTGGGGCACAAGCGGGAGATCAACTCCCACCGAATATCACGCTCGACAGACATGCTCTTGGCGTGGATGCGCAGAATGTTTGCACGACCCTCGACGTCGGGGAGAGAGAATTCAATCTTGCGGTCAATACGGCCAGGGCGCATCAGCGCCGGGTCCAATGTAGACGGGCGGTTAGTGGCGAACATGACCTTAATATTACCACGGGCGTCGAAGCCGTCCAGCTGGGTAATCAGCTCCAGCATGGTACGCTGGACTTCGTTGTCACCACCGGCGCCATCATCAAATCGAGCACCACCGACGGCATCAATCTCGTCAAAGAAAATGATGCAGGCCTTCTTTGTGCGCGCCATCTCGAACAGCTCACGGACCATCCGAGCTCCCTCGCCAACGTACTTCTGGACCAACTCGCTACCAATCACACGGATGAAGGTCGCATCCGTTCGATTGGCCACAGCACGAGCACAGAGAGTTTTACCAGTACCAGGAGGGCCGTAGAGCAAAGCGCCCTTGGGCGGATCAATACCCAGATTCACGAACCGCTCTGGTGATAGCAATGGCATCTCCACAACCTCTCGTAGCTTCTCAATCTGCTCCTTGCATCCACCCACATCACCGTATGTAACATCTGGCTTATCTTCGACCGTCATCATCGTCACGCTGGGATCGATCTTGGGCGGGAGTGGTAGCATGATCTGGTACTTATTCCGGTCGACACTATAATGTGATGTCAGTACATCCGCGAGAAAGGGAACACCCAGCAGGAGGGAAAACTGCAACCTACCCGACTCGCATGCCTTCCTCAATATCTGTCGGACTGACACGCTCCCCTAAGTTGACGACGAACTTGGCAATCTGTTTGACGTTGATGACATATTTGCTCTTGTCCGAGTCCTTCTCATCCTGAATAATCTTTGTGCATCGAGCTACCTGCAGTGGCTGTTCCTCGGCCATCCGTTGTCGGTCGGCGGCGACATCCCAAAGGTGTGGAGGTGCGAGGCCGGTGTCGGATTCCTACGCGCGTGAGCTTCGAGTCGTCCAAGAGGGAGAGACAGTGGGTTGAATAATTACCTTCACACCGATCTTCTCATTGACGCTTGCTTGCTTGTCCCTGATGTCCTTCTCTAGCTTCTTGAGCGCGTTTGCGTAGGGAGCGGCGCCGTAGGTCTTGAGTACGGCGATGTCACTACAGCAGACGTCAGCTACCATCGTCCCCCAACCGAATTCGGCAGCATTCCAAATCGTAGAGACCGAAATCACTTACTCATCTGAAAGAGGTGTGATCTTCTTCTCGGGCTCCTCATCGTCCGCGAAGTTCTTCTGGTACTTCTCCCAGTTCGATCCCGTGGCGCTGGGCATGATGCAGGTGTGGACAGCCTAGGGCTGAGGATCTAGGTTAAAGACAAAGGCAAGGTATTGAAGAACGAGAAAATGCGGAGATATAAAAAAAAGATTCAAAGCTGCTGGAGGCCTGGAAATTGAAGAGCGACGGCCAAGCAGGTAAAACACGGGCGGATGGGGTGGTGATGTCGAAGGGAGCTGCGGTGGTCGAAGCTCAACTCACTAATCAGCGCCAAGCTTCATCACCGCCCCAGAACCTCGCAGAATTTCCTGTGTCTCCCTCCACCACTGCTACCCCGAACTCCCCTTTCGATCTTTATTTATCGGTTCCATTTGGATTTCGATATTCAAGATGGCGACCGCAATGGCTCAGGCAGCCGCTGGCAACACCACCTTCAAGGTGCGACTCGTGAAAACCTCTGTTGTGCGGGCTAGTTGCTGATAGTGTGCAGGACAAGGAGAAGCCCATGGCGGTGCGGCAATCCAACATTCTCGCAGCTCGGGGTATGTTGATGAACTTCATTTACAAGAGAAGCTTCCTGCTAACAATTTTTAGCCGTCGCTGATGCCATCCGGACGGTATGCAAACTCGAGATATTCGAAATCACGGAGATGAGGGGCTAACGGGGAAAATAGTCTTTGGGGCCCAGGGGTATGGACAAGATGGTAAATTGACTACGACGTTATTTTTTGGGGCCCGAATGCTAACGAGCTGTGCAGATCCAAACTCCCAAGGGAAACACCATTATCGTACGCAGCTCTACCTCCCTCTTGACGGCCCCCCTCCGACTAACATCCCCGCCAGACCAACGATGGAAACACCATGCTGCGGGATATGAGCGTTATGCACCCGGCTGCTCGCATGCTGGTCGATCTCAGTGCCGCACAGGATGTCGAGGCTGGTGATGGAACAACATCGGTCGTCGTCATTGCTGGCAGTCTGCTCGGTGCTGCCGAACGGTTGCTCTCCAAGGGTCTTCACCCCACCGTCATCTCCGAGTCCTTCCAGCGCGCTGCCACTGCCGCCGTCGAGATCCTCCACAACATGTCTCGCCCTATCAACCTCACCGACCGTGCTACCCTCCTGCAAGCAGCCTCGACCTCCCTCTCTTCGAAGATTGTCTCCCAGCACTCCGGTCTGTTGGGTCCCATGGCCGTCGACTCCGTGTTGAAGATTGTTGACACCAAGACTGCCGAGAATGTTGACCTGCGCAACATTCGGATTGTGAAGAAGGTTGGCGGTACTATCGAGGACAGCGAGATGGTGGATGGTTTGGTGTTGAACCAGCCTGTGATCAAGAGCAGCGGTGGGCCTACAAGAATTGAGAAGGCCCGGATAGGACTTATTCAGTTCCAGCTGAGCCCGCCCAAGCCTGACGTACGTATTCCCGTATTCATTGACATAGTTGATTTGAGCTAACTTCGATATAGATGGAGAACCAGATCGTCGTGAACGACTACCGCCAGATGGACAAGATCCTGAAGGAGGAGCGCCAGTACTTGCTGAACATGGTCAAGAAGATCCAAAAGACCAAGTGTAACGTGCTGCTGATCCAGAAGTCTATTCTCCGTGACGCCGTCAACGACCTTTCCCTGCACTTCCTTTCCCGCCTGAAGATTCTGGCCATCAAGGATATCGAGCGTGATGAGGTTGAATTCCTGTGCAAGAGTCTTGGCTGCAAGCCCGTTGCCAACGTCGACTCTTTCACTGAGGACAAGCTTGGTACCGCCGACCTCGTCGAGGAGGTACAAGCCTCCGGCGCCCGCTACGTCAAGGTCACCGGAATTAAGCAGCAGCCCACCACTGTCAACACTCAGACTGTTTCAATTGTGGCTCGTGGTGCCAACAGCCTCATTCTGGATGAGGCTGAGCGTTCGCTTCACGATGCTCTCTGCGTCATTCGCTGTCTCGTTAAGAAGCGTGCTCTGATTGCCGGTGGAGGTGCCCCCGAAGTTGAGGTCGCGCACGCACTCGCAATGCGGGCCCGTGAGCTGACCGGCACCGAGTCTATCTGCTGGAAAGCATTCGCCGACGCCATGGAGGTTATTCCAACCACTCTCGCTGAGAACGCCGGTCTCAACTCCATCAAGGTGGTTACCGAGCTGCGCCACCGTCACGCACAGGGCCAGCACAATGCTGGTGTCAGCATCCGCAGCGGCGGTGTTAAGGACGATATTACCGAGGAGAACATCCTGCAGCCTCTGCTCGTCAGCACCAGCGCTATTGAGCTGGCTGCTGAGACGGTGAAGATGATCATGAGAATTGACGACATTGCTCTGTCGCGGTAAATAGGTTTGAGGGCCGCTGCTCTGAGCTGTATGATGACACGCGATGTGATCGCGACGAGTAATTATTACCAAAAAAATATGATTCAGATCTCGCATAGACTATCACATTGTATGCACTTCTCCTGATGTGGAACCGTTGGTTTCAAATCGATAGTTCCTCGCTCCCCCTTGAAGGCTACATAAACGTAATCATCCCGCGCTGCGTTCAATGACTATTCCAGTAATGACCATAGGCAGACGCAGCACCCTCGTTGGACATGGCAGACTTGTACCCCACGCCATTGCGTCCACGGCTATCATACCTAACCCCATGAAGTTGCACACCTTGATAAGCAGGCCCATAGGAGCCAGGGACATCGTACACACCGGTCCATTGTAGGCGATGACCGGTTGACAAAAGAAAAGCTCCGTGAGGGGCTGATGATGCGCAACCAGAAGGGCAGTCGGGGTCAACGTAACGTGACGCCCGAGGGATGGTCTGATATACCCTCGTGAACGCCTGGCATGAAATATGCGGCGCGGTTTTGGACGGGCAGCGCCACCCCGATCTCTTCTCTTCAAGTAGCGAGGCTGAGCCAAGCGCGTAAGTGGCTTGACCGTGCCTCATCAACTCATCCAGTCCGCTGCTGATGTTCTGACCAGTGCTTATGTTGGCGGGGTTGGGGCAACTAGGGAAGAGCGCACCTTGGCTAGCTGACCGTCTCCCAACCCCATCCCCAAGAAAAAAAGCCATAGAAGGCAATTATCGAATTCAGGATCGGATGGCTTTCACGTTAGATGAACGGTCACTATGCCGTGCGTGCCAGACTATAACGTTCAACGCACTGCTCTCGGGATTCGAGCATCCACTGCCATACAGTCAAATTGTCTTATCTGGGCGAAAATGTCCCCTGTGTAGGCTGATCGTCTGTTCGATGGGACGGCTTCAAGTTCGGAGTACATCGTCCGCAATCGAGGAAAATTATGACACCATGATAGACGCGTTCTTGCAACTACCCGCTGTATCCCGCCGCCATGTCTCGGGACTGGGACTCTTGCCAGTCTATAACCAGATGGTTCGACCTCATTATGTCACCTGGGACAGGAGAAAGTATCAAAGTGAGGCCGGTGACTTCATTCACGAGCTCAGAAAGGGGAATTTTAGTGATGGTGAAACGATCCAGGTTACCGCAGATCAAGGTGGGTATTCGAATCAACAAGTCTGTCCAAACGACTGATTAATGTGACCGACGACTTAGGCTCCTGGTATAGAGCAACAGGGCAGGTTCCGCTAGATCGAATTAGTGGTACGATCTTAAAATCGAATTTTGACATGCTACGAGGGTGGTTAGAGACTTGCCTGGAGAGTCACGACGCATGCTCGGTGAGAGACACTGGAAGCACGGCCGGCACCAGCCACAATGGGACACCAGGTGGTGCCAAGCTTCCAACAAGAGTAATTGATGTTGGTTGTTTGGAAGGCAGCAAGTTTCGGCCTCGTCTCGTTCAGACCGACGGAAGGACTGGAACATACGTCGCTCTCAGTCACCACTGGGGAAAGCAAGATTTCATGCTGAAGACATTATCTTCAACAGTTGAAACCTTCCAAAGATGCCTTCCGATGGATTCGCTGCCGAACACATTTCGTCAAGCCATTGAAGTGACCCGTCAACTAAAAGTTCAATATCTCTGGATCGACTCGCTATGCATCGTGCAAGATGATGACGAAGAGTGGAAGCGGGAGTCGCAGAAAATGGGCGATATCTTCGAACAGTGCATCTGTGTAATAGCTGCCACCGATAGTGTGGACCGTCAGGGGCAGGATCATGGGCTCTTCCGCCATCGCAAGGACCCGTTAGCTGTCGACCTGTGCATTCCGATTGACAAAAGTCCTCTGCATGCACTCTCCACAAAAGTCTTCAAGCGGGAAGATCAAACATTCGTTTGGAGGTATAGATGGCCGCCAACAAACTGTCCTCTAAATGAACCGACGCCGAATCTAGAGCCTATAAACGCGGCTATCTGTCTGCGTCCACGCATTTGGTCTCTTTCCTCTCGCGTGCGCCAAACCGCATGGTATAACCGCGGATGGGTGCTGCAAGAAAGGCTCCTCCCTTCTAGGATCATTTACTTTACGAAGGACAAGCTGTATTGGAGTTGCTTCACAACCACCAAGGAAGAGGAAAATTCGGATCCGACAGTGCCACAGAGATGGTGTATATTTAGCTCTACAAGCCAGGAAATGAGGGACAGCTCAAATCGCTGGAAAGCTATTCTTTCCGACTACATTCGCTGCAGCGTGACCTATGATCGAGACAGGTTGATGGCGATCGGTGGGATCACGCGCAGATTCGAGCAATATTACTCCGTCAATATATATGCAGGTATCCTGGCCGACCGAACTGGTGAGAACCTCCTCTGGTTTATAAAGGAGCCTTTTGCTAAGGGTCATTCGGGCTTTCACGCGCCGTCTTGGTCCTGGGCGTCGCGGGCAGGCTCTGTGTCTTTCTCATTGGCCCAGCCATATCTACCGGAGCAAGGCCCTCTGATTCAGAACTTACGATACACGACTACGAACTCATGTCCAATGGATAATCCAGAAGGACTTTGCGGGGACACTTGTACTTGTCTTTCTGGCCAAGTTTCATTCACCGGTCCGCTGGGGAAGCTAACTCGGTCGTCGATGTTGGTCGGCGATGTCAAGGTGGAAGGGTTTCAGGGCGATCCTATCAACAACGACGAAATTATGAGACTTCTTCTAGGCTCTGCAATCTTTGGGTGTTTGGCTCTTCAAAATTATGACGACAAAGGGAATCAGATACCAGCGCAGCGAGATCTCTTCGTACCTGCACATACCGAATTGTTAAAAGACGGCGGAGGACTTTTCCTGGGTTTCCTGATACCAGACGGGAGCAGAACACCCATAACCAATGAAACTATCTTCTGTGCCGCTATTCAGCAATGGAGAGGAAACGAAGCGGGATCAATGTGCGAGATCGACTTCATAGGGCTTGAAAAGGTGGGGAAAGAGCTTAGTATGTATCGGAGAGTCGGGCGTGGTCGAATAATATGCAACGAGTGGCTTTCCATATGTAGGGAAGAAACTATAATCATCATTTGAGATTTCTAAATCTACTATGGGAATTGGAAGCGTCAGATTCTGTTTGTCTACTCTTTGAAAGCCTCTGGCCCCTGTAAACAATAGGTATTTTCGACTACGACGCTTCACACTGTCAACAGCAGCGCAGGAGTGTCTGCACAGGCGTGACGGTGTAAGTTTTGCCGTTCAAGCTTCCCTGGAGAACCTGTATCAACACCCTTGCTGTGTTTCAGTTCTTCGTGGAACCGGCTCCTCGGATGAAAGAAAGCTGTCGTTGCTCCTAGACCCAAAGTAGGTCTGAATAGATTATTGGATTTCTGAATAGCGGCATTGTCCGCACCAAGCTACTCTCCGCCCGCCGAAGCCGAGACCCTGCGAAAAGCAGATTCAGAAAAAGACAGTCCAGCATTTTCAAAAGGGTTGACCATTTGGCCTCAAAGATTGTCTTCTTCGCAAAGAACCTGGCATTGCATCTTCTCGCTGCCTTTAAGTTGATAGTACGAAGTATTGGCCTCTTGGTGATGGCGGCCGGCTCCACAGTTCCGCCGATAAGATTGACCCCCAGATCGCACCTCAACCAGCTGCCCCTGTCACTCCCCGAACCACCAAGGACCATGGGGAAACTCGACGATGAAGGGATCCCCGAGGCTGTACCGCTAACTCGACAGCGGTCGGCCTCTGCGGCGTCGCAAACCACCTCCGACTCGGGTCTGTCCGTCGCTTCCGCGGCTTTCCTCGACGCTTACAAGAGCGAATTCGCGACCGGGGCAGATGGCCAAGGGGAGGAACAACGATACCGGGATATTGAAGATGGGGCAGAACCCGGACAGGACGAGCCTTTTCTTCCTTCTCGAAAGAAGAACTCCCCGCCGGGACGTCGCTGGTGGTTGTTCTGCGTGCTTGCATGCGGGATCATGGCCAGCGGCTGGGTCGTTGCATTTGTCTTCTTCCTCGTACAAGGACGGTCCAACGTAGGGTCGAATGTCACTACCTCGGCTGTTGAGGTGCATGAGCCGGACTCTGCAACGGGTGGTACTAGCTATGGAAAGCCAGTGACACTCCAACAGGTGTTGACTGGATATTGGCTGCCGCAGTCGCATGCGATCGCATGGACTGCCGGGCCCCATGGCGAAGATGGACTTTTGATTGAGGAGGGTGAGCACGGCGACGGATACCTGCGCATTGAAGATATTCGCAACCGCAAGGAGGGAGCCAGTGGCTCTGCTGCCAAAGTACTGATGCAAAAGTCACACTTCTGGGTGGGCAGCACTTTTGTCATGGCGTCTAAGATCTGGGTGAGCCCCAATCACGAGAAGGTCTTGGTCCTGTCCAATTATGCGTCGAATTGGCGGCATTCCTACTATGGGAATTACTGGATCTTTGACGTCGCTACCCAGACGGGCGAGGCGCTGGACCCCGAGAACCAGACTGGTCGCATCCAGTTGGCCTGGTGGTCGCCCGAGTCCGACGCGGTTGTATTCGTGTGGGAGAACAATGTTTATCTGCGCAAGCTGTCCTCTCCCAAGGTGATCCCCGTCACCACGGATGGCGGCAAAGACGTGTTCAACGGTGTCCCAGATTGGGTGTATGAAGAAGAGGTTTTGGCAGGCAACAGTGCCACCTGGTGGTCGTTAGATGGCAAGTTCCTCGCAATGTTGCGGACCAACGAGACCGACGTGCCTGAGTATCCTGTTCAGTACTTCCTTCACCGTCCTTCAGGTACCAAAGCTGCGGCCGGGCTGGAAAACTATCCGGAGGTCCGACTGATCAAATATCCCAAAGCCGATACCCCCAACCCGATTGTCAACCTGCGGTTCTATGATGTGGCAAAAGACGAGCTATTCTCCATCGTGATGCCGCAGGATTTTGCGGATGACGATCGAATCATAATTGAAGTCGTCTGGGCGCCCGACGGCAAGGTACTGATCCGGGAGTCCAACCGTGAAAGTGATGTCGTCAAGATCTTCTTGGTCGATGCAAAGTCTCGAACTGCGAAACTTGTTCGCTCTGATAACATTGCTGCCCTGGACGGTGGCTGGGTCGAGCCTACTCAGTCGACGTGGATCATCCCGGCCGATCCAAGCAATGGCCGACCGGAGGCTGGATACATCGATACTGTGATCTATGAAGGTTACGATCATCTGGCATACTTTTCGCCCTTGGATAGCTCAGAACCTGTGATGCTCACTACGGGAGAATGGGAAGTGGTCTCGGCACCCACCTCGGTTGACTTGGAGAAGAACCTGGTCTATTTCGTTGCTACAAAGGAGGCACCGACTCAGCGTCATGTGTACCAGGTCAAGCTTGATGGGTCTGACCTTCGCCCATTGACCGACATTTCGAAGCCTGGTTACTACGATGTCTCCTTCTCGGACGGCGCCGGATACGCGCTCCTTAGCTATAAAGGACCTGCCGTTCCCTGGCAAGCTGTGGTCAGCACACAAGACAACGCTATGAAAAAGGAGGTTGTTCTCGAAGAAAATAAACAGCTTGCCAAGAAGGTCGAGGAATTCGCGCTCCCAGCGGAAGTCTACAGCACCGTGACCATTGACGGTTTCGAACTCCAAGTGGTTGAACGCCGGCCTCCACACTTCAACCCCAAGAAGACGTACCCAGTGCTCTTCTTTCTGTATGGCGGGCCCGGCTCCCAAACAGTCGACCGCAAATTCCAAGTCGACTTCCAATCCTATGTTGCCTCTAGCCTGGGATATATTGTGGTCACAGTGGACGGTCGAGGGACAGGCTTCATTGGTCGAAAGGCTCGGTGCATCGTTCGTGACAACTTGGGTCACTACGAAGCGCACGATCAAATCGAGACTGCCAAGATTTGGGCCAAGAAGCCCTACGTAGATGAAGCTCGGATGGCTATTTGGGGCTGGAGCTATGGAGGTTTCATGACCCTGAAGGTCCTTGAACAGGACGCGGGCGAAACATTTCAATATGGTATGGCTGTAGCACCTGTGACAGACTGGAGGTTCTATGGTGAGTTGCCCATGACGAAATTACTTGCTATCGTTTCAACCGTGAACTGACTATTCCCACGTCTGATAGACTCCATCTACACTGAACGTTACATGCACATGCCCCGAAATAATCCCTCGGGCTATGACAACGCGTCAATCAGTGATGTCAAAGCAATGGGCAAAAATACTCGATTCCTAATCATGCATGGTGTCGCGGATGACAATGTTCACTACCAAAACACGCTCACATTGATTGACAAGCTCGACTTGCAAAACATTGACAACTGGGACCTGATGATGTACCCAGACTCGGACCACAGCATCTATTTCCACAATGCACACATTGTTGTGTATGAACGTAAGTTTTAAATCTTCGTGTTTCCTATCCTGGTGTGAAAATGGGCTAAAACGGCAAGCTAGGTCTGTCGAGCTGGCTCATCAATGCATTCAACGGCGAATGGCACCGCATTATAAACCCGACGCCGGTGGATTCGTGGAAGACGGTCAAGCGCTTTTTGGGCAAGAGACTGTCCTTTGGATCATGATTCCTGTTCTTTCGTCCCCTGAAGTCGGTAGGTATTCTGTCGGCCCAGTGAATAATTTTATACAAGCAAATACATAGCGTTACGTATACTGTGGAATCTCACGTTCATAAAATATATTAACTATTTGCAATTATGACGAGGCACGCCGGTAGGTATGCGCCGCGATATGGTAGACTCATGCATAACAAACTGGTATATAAACAGGGGTACATAAACAAGGCTTTTACGCGACAAAATGATATGATTAAAAGAGACGAGGAAAGGGTGGAGGGGTATGTGCAATTTTTAGCCGCTGAAAAGCTGTCCAGAACGCAAGAAGTCTTCTCGCATGATCGTACTGACATCCGAGTTGCGGTACTGCATCAGATCCTCGCGATGTAGACCACGCACTTGTTCCCGCCCAGCTGTCGAAATGGAGCGGGCGTGAGATTGCGGCCGACGCTGTCCACCGAGGGAAACCCGGAAGTTCTGCGGTGGGAAGAGTCCAGGGGACCCGCTGCCAGGAGAGCCTCCGTTGGAAAGCATAGAGTGGCGGGGTGCAAAGACAGGGAGTCGAGCGAAGGACTCAGTATCTGTCGAGACGTTGCTGAGACTGAGGGCGGAGATGCTGGAGAGAGGGCGAGCGCGACTGTCCCGCAGCGGGTAGTTGGTAACGGAGCTGTACACCGTGGACATATTCGAGGTAGCCGATGACCGCCAGGACCTGACTGCACTTGGTGGAATGGTGATAATCTCCTCCTCCACCGCTGCTGTTTGCTGCACAGCTGCTGCAATGTCTGCGGGCTCGACTGCATCGCCAGCGGCTCGGCTGGCCATCATCTTGACTGACTTGCCAATCCAGAGCATTTGCTCGTGCTCTCGGAGATACCGGTCGCCGCTGAAGGACTTCTGCACAATCTTGCGAGTCATCATGCCCAGCTTGCGTCGTTGCTCGCTCTTGGTATACATGCGGCGAGTGATAATCTCCACATCTTCGGGAGTCGGTGAGGAGCTGAGAACCGGCACTGGTTCATTGTCGTCGCTGTATCGGCCCCATTCTCCCAAGAGGGCGAGCATGGAGATTTGGGCCCTTGCGAGAGCAAGGGCATCATTGGGTGCAACCACCGCACTGAAGCGCGAGAAGTCATCCGGGTCACTAAGCACACGGAGTGAAGCACCGACATCTGTGCAGACAACAGGGGCACCGGTGAGAGCTGCCTCGCCCAAGGCCAGCGGAAGACCTTCGGACAAGGACGAGTTGAGGAAGAGCCAGGTGTTCTCAAGTACCTTCATAGGATCGGCTGTTCCGCGCAATGTGACTTTGCCTCGGAGACCCTTAGACGCGATGATCTCCTGGCACTCGGTGGAGTATGTGGGAGCTTTGTCAATTGCTCCGTAGATGTCCAAAATATAATCGTCGAACTTCCACTGGTTGATGATGATATCGGCAGCCAAAAGGGCAGTCTTGATGTCCTTAGCATACCACACGTGAGAAAGCATAGTCACCGTTGGGCGCTCGGATTTAATTTCTTTCACAGGAGAGAACTTCTGCATATCGGTAATACCATTGACAACAGGATCGACCTTGCGGCGGAATGTGTTGCGATGTTCAATGGTTCCCTGGCAAGTACCGATCTCGACCTCCCAGCCTGGATTGAAAAAATCCGCACATGGAAGGAGAATATCCGCATGGTGGAGTGTCAGGACGGAAGTGATTCGCATCAAGCCAAGAAGGGCATTCCGGACAAATGGTGAGAGTGTGCAGAGAGCGGATGAAAGGCAGAGATTGGTCTCTCGCCAACTGATGGCATGATCCCAAATCTGCAAGGTGCAGTTGCGCTTGATCTTACACACAACACCATAAGAAGCACTGACACTGTGGTGCGAGGCCTGGAAGACATTCGGAATTTTCTCGGGAACGGGGATGGAGAAGATGAAGAGGTAGCGGTACCACAGCTCCAAAGCAATATCAAGAGACGACAGGGTGGGAAGTTCGGTGTCGAACCATTCAGATGATGGGATGGTATTGGGCATCTCCTGCGTCAGCCAAAGATCGCGCCAACTCTGCTTCACCATCTCACTATTCCAAACTTGAGACCAGTGCCGGGATTCCTGGAAGTATGTGTTGAGATTCACCAGAGCTCGAGTGGCTTGATGAATGTCTGCTTTCGAGAGGTCGACTGCTCGCGCACCCTTGACTAGGGCCGTGAGGATTGGAATGAAGTTCATCTTGATATCGAACTCGCTGGCAGAGGTAACATTGTCCACCTCTGAATCCAACTTGTTGTGGAATAAACCGTGGGTAGGTGTCAGGAAGTCCAAACCCCAAAGAGGAATCACCTTCAACGATTGAATGTTTCTCTCGGTTTGATGCTTAGGAACGCCGAAATCATTCGCAGACTCGCAAATCATATGCCACTTGATGGTACGCAGAGAATTGATCATGTCTCGTCGACAGGCGGAGACACCACCACCCTCGTTAGGCCAAGTGCCGGTGTCTGCAGCCATAACGTGGAGATTGGTTTCAGTATCGGAACTGACCTCCTTTGACCGGGTAGTGACAACTGCATCACCCCCTGGACCAAAGTTGAAGAAGTCGCTGATCTTGACAGCCAACGGAGTCCAGCTGGAGATGTTGTTGTCCAAGTCCGCGCTTGCCATGACTGCATCGGCACGAAGCTCCATATACTTCCTTGCGGCTCTGAGATTTCCCCAGTCGCGGCTGCGCCAGTAAGGGGCAAGTACCTCGTCTTTACGAAGAATTCGATCATCCATCCAACGGACAATGATACCATCGAGATCAACGCGATCCTTCCACGCCTTCCACATCAGGGAACGAGACCGAGATGTCGAAACCGTGAAACGCTTCTTCGTCAGTCCCAAAAGTCGCGTGAAGACATTCGACCGGAGGCTGTCAACATAGAAGAAGGGGTTGTCATGCACGAAGCTGGTATATGTGGGTTTGGAAAGAACTCCTAGGTAATCGTGCTCGATCATCGGCGGGGTTTGAGCTTTCATGCCGTTGATGGTAGTGAAGATGGTCGGATGGAATTTGTGGTCATACAACCAACGACTCTCATAGACATCACCGTTGGCCTGCTGGACAAAGGTAGCCTCAGTAACCTTGGTATGAGGAATCCACCGGTGCTCCTTGTTACGATGGCGGCGCGGAGGTGCACACCAGGATACGTTGCAGGTGATGTGGGACAAAGAAAATTCAGCTCGAAGCAGTTCATCACCAAAGCGCGGATTTTTGCGATAGTGGTACTGGAACCGGATGAGATTGCCGTCCTTCATGTAAGACCCCTTGTCGACGAGGCCCTTCGAGTTGTACTGGATGCTTTGAAGGTGGTTCACGCCTTCGACGCAGCGTCGTCCCAGTGGCATGCGTGCATTGGCTATCTTGCCGAGTTTGAGGCCCTTCTTTGTCGGTGCTTGGTAGTCATAGTGATATTCGTTGAGCAATTTGCCGTTGTTAAACTCTTGTTTGATGAGAAGCAGCATCTCACTGGAATAGCTGCTGACATACTTGAGCGTCTTGGCTTCTTTGTCCGTAGGCTCGGTCTTATGGTCTCCGGCGTACTGGTAGACTTTGAAGCCGCCGTCCGTCTCCTGATGCCTGAATGCTGTGAAAGTCCCGTCAAGACCTTGGATGATGACTCTGCTCTTCTTGATATGGATCGTCATTCCTTTGGTCTCTTCCCAGAGTTGCTTTACGTTCTTGCGACCGTGGAATAGGAAGAAGGACAAGCCGAAGTCTTGCATAATCTTGGCATAGATCCAGACTGTGTTCAGCACGAACACACTTGGCACGCGAATGACTGTCGGCAGGGTCTTGGAGACATGGTCGAACTCTCTCTGGAACTCAGGATCGGCAACCATAGCAATAACTATGAACTTGACAACTGACCCCAGAGTGTGGTAAACATAGCTCAATGGAGGTCTCACAGCCGACAAGGGGATAGGCAACTTCCGAGGGACGTAAGAGATGTACTCGGCAGTCTCAGATTCCTTGGGAAGAGCAGCCTCGCCAGTTCCATAATGAGCATAGTCGAGAATACTAATTGCGGTTGCCGCTCCGAGATTGCATCTTGCAACGTGAATGTCCAGCTTGTTGGTGTCAAACTGGCAAAGGCTCTGCTGGAGCCATTGGCGTTGGCTATCTGGCAGACCACAAGGTAGTCCGACGCAGCGGTTGAGTAGCACATTCCGAACTTCGACTGGCAGCTTATCCCAATGAATATCCGCTTCAAACCCAAGGCAAAGCTGTCGGAGAAGCTCCTTCTTGGCCCATCGTACGACGAGCGAAGTGTTGGCCTCTTGGCGGAGCTGCTGGGCCATGGTATGTGTAACACCCCCGGATATGATCGCTTCGGCCAGAGCCGCGTACTCATGCGGAACGCCCATCACCATCTCGGCAACGGAGTGGATCAAAGTCTCCGCAATAATTTGGCAGTTGGCACTGATATCAAGTCGCTCATCGTGTAACCCTTTGACACTGACAGCCACTTTCAATTGGTTGCCAGTGCTGCAACTTAAGGCTCGGATACCAGGTCCCATAGAGCCCTTTGGCACAAGCTCAAGACAGATATCTCCCCTTTCCCACAATGCGAGAGCCTGGTCAACAATTACCTTGGCATTGGGGAAGGCTTCTTCAATCCGAAACTCTTGCTTGCGAGATAGCATGGTCTTTTTGATCTCAATGCCTGGATAAACTGCAGGCGTAACCTTGAAGCGAGAATCGGCCGGCAGAAGTGAGATGCTCTCGAAAAAGGTCTGGAGTTCTTGCTGAGACCATTCGGGGTCTGCCCATGGCGTGGTAAATGCATGGAATGTCTTCCCCAACTCAACAGGAGAGTCGACCTTACGAGGCATACCCATCTTCGCATAGAAAAGAGACAGAATTGCGACAGTCCAAGTAGCGACCCCGAGGCCACTGATCTGTGAGTAAAGGGATTTGGGGAAGCAGACCTTAAGGGCGATTCCAACCGCCAATCCCAGAGAGATGCCGATGAGGAGCGGCTTCAGGGCATACGGTCCACTGAAGATCTTGGTGTATTGGTACCATATGAGACCGGTGTAGGCAAGAACATAGGAAAAGAACACAGTCATGGCTTCCATAGACCACTGGAATGTCCAAACAAGAGCCGTTGAAAGGGCAAGGCTCCAGACATGCCATAGTAGAAACTTGAATAGGGTTCGCCAATAGACCTTTCGTCGGAAGTGAATGTTTCTCTTCTGCGAGGCACGAATATCCTTAGACGACTTCACGGCAGTTGGGGTATTGTCACCAATGGCGTCGTGGAGTTCTTGGGCCTTGGTATCAATAAGGACAGCACCAATGAGATAATATGCCAGCGCAAAGCCGACAGCCATGCGGTTTGCATCAGTCCCAGCAGCTGGCAGCCAGAGGAGGAGACGGTCACCGCTCAGCAGCTGTACCCACTTATCGAGCAGAGCAATGACAAAATACAGGACACCACAGCCAATTTCTTGGCTTGATTGGCGCCAGTGAACGAATGCATTGTGCAGACGGAGACCTTTCTGTGAGTTGCGTAAGACATCGAGTCCGACCTTGGTTTGAATGTTCCAGCCAGAGCTGAACGGAATTGGCCGGGGAACATCTGCATATCGGCAATACCAATCCAAAAGGAAATTGGTCGATTCCCAATCCCGAGCAAGCTCCTTGACCATTTCATCGGCGGTTGCCTTGGAGAAAATACCACGGGACTTCTCAGCCATCACGTCCTTCAGAAGGGCCTCTCTCGCTACCTTAAGAGCAGCGGGATCACTCAGGCTGCCAAAGATCTTCTCATTGTTCTTTCCGTGTGCCGAGATGTACCACTTGCGGATCTCAGTATCGTCGGTGCGTCGAATTGACTGGTACCAGGTCACCCATTTGGCCGTCGTCGATCGCAGGCTGAGAAGAAGGACCCCAATGAAAAGATAGATAACTGCCAGGTAAATTGCGGAATCATTCCCAGCAAAAGTAGTAATGATGGGCGACAAAGACAGAATTGGAATGCACGCGATGATTGGCTTCCGGCCCGATAGAAAGGTGGAACCGGGGTAGCTGAAACTTGCGAGGGAGGCAAAGGTCGAAAAGTAGATGGTCAAGGCGATCAGGTAAAGATAGAATATTATACCAGCTTGAGGGCTTCTGACACTGGCGATGGCGACAAAACCAATCAAACCTCCGGCCACAGTGAATGCAATACCAGCAATAAGCCGGATCAAGACGAACATGTTGGCTGCAGCGAAGGCCATCGAAATGAGATAGTATGGTCCACCACATGCAATCCATGTGCCAACAGCACCAGAAAGCAGTAGAGAGATCATCAAAGCCATGGTTGCACTATCCTGCTCTTCACGCGTCATGTAGGCAGAAAGATACAACCCTCGGCCGATTATGGTAAGCAAGAGAATGTCGATCAGCGCTGGGATGGCGAAAACACTCAGGAATGTAAACCGCTGATATCCACGCATGGCCTTCTTCTTTTCGTCAGGGTTCACATCTATCTGGGCACCAGCATAGGCCGTCGCAAGCTGGGGGGCGCCATTGATCCAGTTTGGTGGCTGATGCTGGGTATAGTAGGCGCGGAAACGATCAGAAAGAAGCTTTCCAAAAACGCTCGGATTGACACCAAAGTAGGCTTCACATCGTGAGCCCAAAGCGAAGGACTCGGCAAATGCGGCGGCTTGATCCGTGTGGCTGTTGAACAACGGATTCCTATCGGTCACCTCGGCATAGATCTCATCGAAGGCACCCTTTCTTGCGGCGCAGAACAGCGAGAGTGCCAGGATATCCGCGTAGGCATCGACTTGACCCTCTTGTACCAGCTCGCAAAGACCTGCTGTGATAGTTGCGAGATCTTCCTCGCGGTGTTCCTTCATTACTTGCACGAAAACTTGGTCAACCTGGTGGAAGAGGTCAAGTGAAACGGAAAACGCGGGATAAGAACAGCTCTGCTCTTTATACCAGCTGATCCGCGTCCTGATCAAGTCCTCAGGACTCGTGGACCCTGCGAGATAGCCCACTGTATTGAGCTCTTTCAATTGGGCAAAGGAAGGCGCATCTACAAGCTGCTGGCGAATATAAGCGCAGATGTTCTCAGACAAGTCGCTATGAGAAGCGGTGAGCGACAGATGCTGCAGCAAAAGTAATCGCTCTTCTGGGCTGAGAACATCGATATCTTGAGCAAATCGACGGGGAAGACCCGTGTTCGGAGCCAGATCCTCAGACCAGCCAGCCAAAGCGGTTTCGATTTCACAGCAGACTTGACGGGAGAATCCCTTCGCAGACAGGAAGGTATGCAACACAGTTCCAGCTAGACCCTGAGCATTCTTGGAGACAAAGACCTCGAACTTGTCGTCCTCTTGTTCGTAAACTGCCCAAAAGCGGGAATCGGATGTTTTCCTGAGTCCAGAGTCCAGCGCAAGGCTAATCTTCAATGAACCATTTGCTGCCAAATCGGAAAGATTTTTGATAGCAGTCGCAAGTTGGCCATCGTCGATTGAGGGCTCCAGAGCTTCTTGGAAGTGGCGGAAAAGAACACCAATGCTTTGGATTTTCGTGGCAGGCACGGGGTGTAGCAGCTCCAAGGCCTTCAGACGTTGCTGAGATTGAAGAATTTCCGCAAATGCCATGGGAGTGGGGTCGGATCCCAAGGGGAAGCAGCCCAAATTGGTGTACTCTTGTCCCGACATGGAAACGGATAATGGACTACCCTGCGATTTGACCCGAGCGACCCATTCTGGAGGATCTCGGAGGCGGCGTGCGGGACTTTCTCGTGACTTCGTCTCATTTTCCTCGGAATCCAGCAGGGCGTCAATCACAGGGAAAAATGGTCGAAGGGTCTCCCACCCGGTTTGGACGCCAGGACATGTCGAAATCTGATGGTTGGAGCGCCATGTATCATGCGTTTTCATGACCTCCGCTTCCTTCAGCCAACCGAATGCTGGCAGAGGCTCGGTCATCGGAGTGTTCAACTCCGCATCTTGCAGTGAAGATTCGGGGCCAATCCAAGAAATAGCACTGTAAAAGTTGCACCACTGGAGAGATCTCCGGACAACGGCATTCGAGAGAGTGACCTCGTTGTTGACAGTCTCCCAGGTGAGAACCACAAAATCTCTCATACATGCTTCGGAGACAAATGCCTTGATGGTCGATTGCAATTTTTCCATCTGGAAGTAGTCGCGCTTTTCACCATTGGGCATGATGCTGGCATTCCGAATCACCAATCCAGAGACGACCCCGTTTTGCAAGGCTTTTCTATTCTTCAAGAAATCGGGTGGTTGCGTCTCCAGATAAATCGCCAGCCCGAGGGCGCCGATTGCCTCAAAGAGCTTCGCATGAATGGATGGGGTAAAGATGTCCTCCCAATTGGCGAATAGAATCCCAGAAAATGCACTGTTATTGAAGGAGTCGGCAAGGATTCCCTCAATCTTCTCGATGGCTGCCAGGGTAGACATCTGTGCAAGATTGATCTGCGCGAAATCCAGTCTGCCTAGTACTTGACCGCGATCGCGTTTGGGAATGGCTTCTGTAACGCCAGCCTGGAACGGATCCACAATCAACATATCCCATTGCTCTAACACCCTTTTTTCGGATGCAGTGAATGGTTGGCTGAAGCTTCCCAAGTATACTCCGAATGAGGCAGGTTTGTGCTTGTGTAATGGGGCGTTGATCAAGTTCAGTTTTCGGTTGGCTAGTTTCTGAAGTTGGCGGGAGACATCCGAAGGCACTTTGTCTGGCACTGGCCGTGTCTATGAGCCGGCCCCACGGATTAGCAAGAACAAAAGAATGATTGCTCTCAAATTCAAGAGATAAACTCACCTTGTAATACTTGATGACTTTTGCTGCCACGGACCATAGAATGTTTGCAACACCAATACTGATACAAGCCAGTAAAACTGCAATCATGAACTATACTCAATCAGCATCTCGGCCGCTCCTGTGCGTAGGCCCAAAGAACGACCCGGTTGCAAAGGGAGCTGAAAGATAGAAGCGCACTCACAAATTGCCACCAATGGTTTTTCATCCCCTTCCATTTAACGGGGTGTACGGAAAGAATTTGGGCCATTTTGGGAGATTTCGAACGACCTCCGCCCTCGAGGGCCACCTTCAAAGTGCAAGCCCAAGAAGAATGAATGGGACAAGGCTAGGTGAGAAGCCCCTCAATTATCTGTATAAATACTGTCGTCTTTCTACTCAACCATTACAACATAGTTGTGTTCCCTCGGTGCTGAGAGGGAGTGAGAAACGAACGACACGGGAAAGCTAGCGCTGTGCGGTTGGACAAGCAGCAACAGAGATGATATGAGAGGGAATAAGGCGGAGACAGAGAGGAAAAACCTTGAGTGTCAAAGTCCGACCCTAACGGCGAAGCCCGACTCACGACTCCTGCAAAACTTGCCTCCGATGGCGAGATGCCAGGAAAGAGAACTCGTATCAGCCGCTCGCCTGTTCTTGACGCTTTCAGTCCCCTTGGATGGAGAAGGATGGTCCGTGACACCCTTAGTGAACTGAGAATCAAAGAACCCAGACTCCATGGGCAAAAATAGCCCACCCAAAAGGTCTTCCCCGATGCACGTCCCAAAACCACACTAAGATATGCACCCAGGACGAACGATGAGACACGCAGTGGAGCCATGTGTGGAGCTGTAGTTAGTCAGTATCCGGTGCCATGTGTGTGGCGACAGATCTCTGACAGTCCATGCGATCAATCCCGTGGGAGCATTGTCATACAGACCGATGCCCATTCAGATAGATGGACGTCAATCCATCCCCAAAAATCATACTGTGAGCTGAAGAATATCTACCCTATCGCCCAACTTTTGAGACTCGTCCGTCTCTTCTTCTTCTGGAGGCATTGGTCCATCTGTTTCCTCGGATGTCTCGCTCCCCGCTACGAAAATTAATATGATGCATGGCCAGACACGGGCCAAGGGCATCTCCACGACAGCGTCTGCGCTGGCCGGACCGATCCACTCTGCTGACGGACATGGTAAATCTCGGCCGTCATGGGGCATTGCTCTTACATGGATTATGATTTTTTCAACAGGGTTTTATTTTATTTTTTCACTCGTAGCCTTAGCGCCGGTGCTAGCAGGCCGTGATGAACAAACTTGACTTGCAAGGTTGTGCTGCTGCACTGGATTGGGAAAGGCGCGGTCGGTTTTGAATGTGAATTTCGGGTCTGTAAATACGAGAGCTGCAAATTACATGAAAGTCCATACCGTACCATACCAGGCACGGTATGGCTCGGCCTCGCCACCTCACCACCTCTCCCGTTTCCCCTTTCCCCTTGGCTGCTTCCATGCCCAGTTCTGGACCTGTTAGACCCCTGGTAGATGCATCCAAACCCCGCGGCGGCTGCGTCCATCGACATATTCCTCTCGTGAGCCTAAAACTGGTGGCTGAGCGGGTCCCTTGGCCCTTTCCATCCAACTCGGTGCCGAGCATTGGCACGACTTCCCACAACGAAAAGTCCGAGGGGAAGTATAGGCTCGGGGAACTTTGCCAGATGGATGACCTGGTGACTGAGATGTCTCAGCTGAAGAACTTCGCTTTCCTTTTTCTCCATAATCTCTCCCTATTTGAGACATTTCCCGTTTATTCTTTTCTTTTCCACACGTAATTGAGATGCACCCAGGGCTGAGATTATCACGGCATCTGCAGGACTATCCCCACCAAGCATGCCTTGACCCTTTGTAAATTAGCCAATTGTATGACTGAAAAAATCTGCTGGCCTCACCCCATGCCTTCTGTCTAAATCGATCCGGCACCTGAAGTCCCTGTGGATATCTCGATCTGCCCTATCAGTCCCACTCCGAACTGGTACGCCACACGGATTCCCGATGAAAATGCCGAGTAAGATGACCGTGATGTGGAGATTATCACTTGTAAAGGCCCGAAGTCATAGTCAGAAAAGGCGATAGGTCTTTACGAGTTTCGCTTGTCCTATCTCGAATACATAAAGAGCCGATGATCATACTCTCTTGGAAGCCAGGTGCTAGTCAAGTTTCTTCATTCTGCATCACTATTTCAGCTGTCAATCGTTATTCGTGCATGGTACGTTGCCTCCCCTCTTTCTCGCATCTGTACCCCTGGTCACTATCAAGATGGCGCAAATTCCTGTCTTGGCTGCTTCTATGGGCTTATAACATGCAAACACTCACCCCGATGTCTGGCCTGAACATAAGCCCTAAGTCATTTCATGGGAGCCTTCCCGTCCATTCCATACTCGCCCTGCCCATACTACCCACACTGCTACAACGAGTATCACTAGTGCCTCCACCACTAGCGTGCTCGGGGTGACTACTTCTGTTCACTCTTTGACCTCTACTTCCCCTTCCCTTTCTTTGAGTCTTTTCTTCGTCTTCTTCATTTTCCTCTGCATCTAGTAGCATTGTTTCTCCTCCTGAAACTGTTTCCCCTACTAGTACTAGTGCCCCTTCGACTTTTGCTACCCCGGCGTCTTTGACTGAGCCCTCGAGCCCAGCGACTTCGACAAACAGCCCGGGTTGCCGCGACTGCACTTCGAGCCCGCCAAGCTCTCCTGGTAGTACCCTTGCCAGTGGTCTGCCACATCCACCATGTCTTCCAGCGCAGTTTCCATTGCGGCCACTGCTTCTGCTACTGCCATCAGCCACGCCACCGTTGCTGGCAGCATTCTCGTCATTGCCAAAGACACTGCATCGGCCAATATTGCCTCCTCCGGACTCAATGCCTATGGTATTCCTTTCACCACCCTTGTGGTTCCGCAAGCCGGTGTCGCTCTTCCCGCTCTCAACAGCAGCAGCGGCGGAAACTTCGGCGGTATTGTGGTTGCATCCGAAGTCAGCTATGATTATGGAGCGGCTGGCTACCAGAGTGCCTTGACCGCTGACCAGTGGAATCAGCTGTACGCTTACCAGCTGGAGTATGGTGTCCGCATGGTTCAGTATGATGTCTATCCCGGTCCGGCCTTCGGTGCTACAGTTGTTGCAGGTGGATGCTGTGACACTGGCGTGGAGCAAGAGATCTCTTTCAGTGATGTTAGCGACTTCCCCACCTCTGGTCTCCGTACTGGTGCTGGTGTCAGCACTCAGGGTCTGTGGCATTACCCGGCTACCATCAGCAACACCACCTCCACCAAGGAGATTGCGTCCTTCGCTGCTAACTCGGTGACCGCGGACAAGTCTACTGCCGCGGTCATCAACAACTTCGATGGACGCCAGCAGATGGTCTTCTTCATCGGCTTCGACACAACCTGGAGTGCCACTTCCAACTACCTGCAACATGCCTGGATTACTTGGATTACTCACGGTCTGTACGCCGGATATCGCCGTGTCAACCTGAACACTCAGATTGATGACATGTTCTTGGAGACCGATATCTACCAACCCAGCGGCACAACCTTCCGTATCCGCAATGAGGACCTGGACAATGTCCGGAACTGGATCGCAACCATCAATGCCAAGATGAACGCCGGTAGTACCTACTTCCCCGAAGTTGGCCACAACGGAAATGGCAACATCGAGAATTCTTCCAACACTGATGCTGGTTGGACTATCTGCAACGAAGGGGCTATTGAGTATGACTCGCCTGCGGACACTGCTCTGGAGTATGAGAAGCCTCTGGGTACTGGTACCAACCTGTGGCCCACCACGCCCACCACCTATACTTGGACCACCGCTTGCACTACGCGCGACCCTCTATTGACCTGGTGGACTACCGCTGCCAACCTCAACAGCTTTGCCTCGATCTCTCACACCTTCACCCACGAGGAGCAGAACAATGCCACCTACTCGGATATCTACAAGGAGATCAGCTTCAACCAGGCTTGGTTGAAGCAGAACGGTATCGATCAGGCTACGCACTTCACTGCCAACGGTATCATCCCTCCCGCGATTACTGGTCTGCACAACGGCGACGCCCTCCGAGCCTGGTGGGACAACGGCATCAAGAACTGCGTCGGCGACAACACTCGCCCTGCTCTGCTGAACACTGTGAACGCCATGTGGCCCTACTGGACCGTGGTTTCCACGGATGGCTTCGCCGGCATGCAGGTCAACCCTCGCTGGGCCACTCGCATCTACTACAACTGCGACACTCCCGCCTGCACGGTTGCGGAGTGGATCGCCACCTCCGCTGGCAGCGGCACCTTTGATGACCTGCTCGCCACCGAGAAGGCCGATACCATGCGTCACCTTTTCGGTCTTCACCGGGATGGCTACATGTTCCACCAGGCTAATCTGCGCAATGCGGATGTGGCCGCGATCACCATCAACGGCGTCTCGGCCAAGTACTCCATCTTCCAGGCCTGGGTTGAAACTCAGGTGCAGGAGTTTGTCCGCCTGGTAAAGTGGCCTCTGGTCACCCTCAAGCACGCTGATATGTCCGCTGCATTCCTGGCGCGCTACAACCGTGATGCCTGTGGCTACTCTCTCAGCTACACCACTCAAAACCAAAAGATCACCGCTGTGACCGTCTCCGCGACCGGAAACACTTGCAGCGAGCCCATCCCTGTGACGTTCCCCACTGCCCCGACCAGCACCCAGGGCTTCACCACCGAGCAGCTCGGCAGCGACCCGACCACCGTCTGGGTTAAGCTCTCGGGCTCGCCGGTGACCTTCACCCTCTCCACTCCCATTTCCCTGGTCTAAATGATTCCGGGTAAAATGGTGGGTTACGACCGTGAAAATGTCTCTCCATGTTGATATTGGATTTGTTTCCAGTCTTTGGTTCTGTGATTTTGTGAATGACTCCTCTCCCTCTAGATATGTCTATAATGATCCGAAGTTGTGATGCAATATTATGTATCATCCGCGCATGGCTTCTCAGTCAATTGTTTCCAGAAATGTAGGGACCTTGCAGCTGCTCTGGAATTGAGCCGTAAATACGAGGTGCAGCGTGTACCTGCAAAGGTTAGTCCTCGATAAGGTCGCCCCCACGGCGGACCCAGATATTTCCGAGTAGCGGTCTAGTCAGCGGCATCGCTCGGAGGATGACTCTGCAGGTCCAATGCATGTTATACGAGGTACGAGGTGTGGAATTTTCCATGGCGGTCTGCCCTGCCAAGCTGGAAGGTGGTTCCGGTTGATCCGTCTTTGAATGGGCGGCCCTCGATTGAAGATGTGTAAAGCCAAAAGTACTGCAGCCTCTCGAGCTTCAATATCCAACGTAGAACCTTTCTTTTCAAGCTGAGCTTGCCCCCATGTCCAGTGCCCGCGTATGCCATCATCCAGGAGAAGGTATCCGAGAATTGTCCATTTCGGGAAACGCAAGATATCCACAGCGCCAAGTTGGGCTCTTTTCACCCGCTAGCGGCGATGCCGACGTGTCTACTATCATCACGTTCATGACTCCTCGGAGAACATTGACCATTCGGACATTTGGTGCCTGAAAGCGTGGCGGTTTTGCGAGTCGTACGACGTGGCCGGAGTACACCTACAGCTGCAAGGAGGGTGTGCGTTGCGGGGACGCGGGGTTGAACCCGTTGTCGTCAACATACCACAGCCTCGCGCGGCTCCAACCAGAGGGCCTGTGCGAGATGTCGCCATCCTTGAGTAAGGTAGCAGAGATTTTTTTCTCATTTTCTGTATGGCAAGTCATCCCGTGTCGGATTCATTGGCACTTGGGCTTACGCGAAGCAACCAGCCCCCGGGGGCCGAGGCTGGGGGCGTCCAAAAGTGGCCGACAGTTATGCCCTGCAGATGCGGGGGGCACAGCGTGGTGAGAAACAAGTTTGCAAGACGGAGTAAATTCGCGAGCAGGACGTCGACCGCGGGCGAGATGGGAACGGGAATAGGAATCTTCCGGCGGAGAGAGAACGGGGCGTGGGTGCGAGTGTAGTGTCGTCCGAGGCGGCTATAGGCGATCTTGGCACCGCAGCACGGCATCCAGGTCCAATTCCGGGGGCCACTCACAGTGCAGTCTCGAACACGGAGGACACGATCCGGACCAGTCACAGGGCGCATCTGCCGCATCGGTGAGCGGGTGTGGCGCGCGCGGGATGACGGAAGGGAGAAACAGGCGATTGGGTTATCTAAAACACGATCAGGATGATGAGTGGTCTGCTCCGTTAGTGGCATTTTTAGTCTGTTCTTCCCCACTAATTCCCCGCTAATTCCCCACTAAAGTGCTTTTGGGTGCTCGCTTCGGCCGGAGGGCCCAGACCGTGGACGGCGAGAGAGTGGACATGGAAGGAAAATGATATGCAGTGGATGAAGCGAGTGAACAAACAGACTCGAATTGCCCTGGCCTCATAGTCGACGTTGGAAAGCGAACCTGCGAGGCGAGGTGCATCCCGACGTGCTTGCTAGCACATCAGATGACAGGGATTGCTGGTCGGGTTTCGCTTTCGGCAACTCATGGCCGAGGACGATCTGTTGCCATTAGCTGCTTAGCGCCGGGCAAGCTCGATGCGACCGATCAACAACCGGTCTGGCGTGCTGTGCCCTGCGAGCGGCTGGTCGAATGGACGGCCTCCGAGGGCCGTATGGGTCGTATATTTGAAACTGTCCTGTACACCAGGTAATATTACCAACCCCGGGTGGGTCGTACTTGCAAATGGCGCGCTGACGGCACTCCGCAGCTCATGGGCCGGCGGATCTGGAACTAGTAGCTAACACTTACAGTAGCTTAGAACGAGCCAAAGCGAAATATCCACCGGATCATAACCCGCCTTAGCTGGCACAGGCGCTTGCCAGCACATGCACCACATAGGCGGTGTTCATTGGAGAGGTTCCAGGGGGCAGGGTGAGCCCGGCAATCAATTCTGATTTTGCAGCAGTTTTTGCGGGTTGGCGACCAGTCCGGGGTCCTGTTCAATTAAGGGTGGGCGTCCGGGGAGTACCGTTTGTTCCTGGATGGGCTGGCTGAGCGTGACTGCTCGCATCCGCTGCAGGACCTGCGCCCATCCTCCGCCGAGAAGGCCGACTTCCAGCGTCGTCATCGGGCCCCCCATGAGGCGATGTCTATGGTCTTGGCGAACAGGGATTTCTGGTGGTCTATTTTAGTGTCGTGTCTCAAAGAAAGTTGGGTGTGCCGATGACTCGCCTGTTGCTTTGTTCTTACGTAACTCCACATGGGATGGTCCAGTGCCTAACTTTTCAACCCCGTCTAGACCCTTGTCTGCGCCAGGGGAAGAAGTGGCTTTGCTTCTTCCAAACAGGTCGGCCGGAGCGTATATCGTTGCCTGGTTCAGTACCCAATGGATGGGCCGCCATGGTCGGTTCGCAAAACTCGGTACGGAGATCAGCACTGGTTCCACCACCTTATTTCTTGCCCTACCCAACGAATGGACACGATCAGGGCTCCTGGTCTCCCATAGCGGGCCCATAATGGCCGGCAGTCTGGACGGTGTACGGAGTACCTTCTGGTGTCGCTCAGAAACTCTGCAGATGTGGCTCGGTCAGCCTGGCGCTGCTTGCCCTAGGCTTCCAAGTTTCTGCTTCATTTTTTCTTTCTACGCAGTAGTTGCCCACTCACACTTTCACCTAGTCTCGGGGTCATCTGACATACCTCGGGCGACATCGCAGATAGCTAAGTTTCCCGATCAGCATCCCTAAGGTGACACTTGGAGCGCTGCGGTGCTCGAGGATCACCACAGCCTCAGCCCCAAATTCTGCAAACCCGGGCCCGCGCCTCCGGAAGACCCTTTTTGATTCTTCTCTTGAGCTTAAAGATGCCTACTTCCCACAAGCTCACCTGATTTGCTTGATCAAGATTATTTTCTCCAGTGATCGGCCTCTCGTCCCACGCTCGGCCCCTCCTAGACTATGCCAGTTTGCCGCGGACGTTGGCCTCGGAATTTTTTGAACCTCTGAGCCCCCTCAACTCTGACCCCATTGACTCTTCCCTTCGACGCAGCGACCATGGACAAAATGACCTCACAGCGTGGGTGGGCCGCTTGGTCAACCAAGAGGAAGATGTTCATCTGCTCAGTCATTGCTTTGGTTATTGTCGCTCTCGGCGTTGGACTCGGAGTTGGCCTGGGAATCGGCCTGAACAACGGCGGCTCAGGCGACGGCGAAGGCAGCGGCAGTGGCAGTGGCAGCACTGGAAATGGAACCACCGGCAGCAATACAACGGTCAAATGGCAGCCGGCCGTGGGAGTCAAGTGGCAGATCGAGCTTTTGTACGCCCTCAACGACACCTCTACAGATGCAGATGTCTACGACATTGATCTGTTCGAGAATGACAAGTCGATGATCTCCAAGCTCCAGGGCCTGGGGCGCAAGGTTATCTGCTACTTCTCCGCGGGAACATACGAGAACTGGCGCTCTGATGCCAGTGAATTTGCTTCATCGGACCTGGGCAGCAATCTTGATGATTGGCCGGGGGAAAAATGGCTGAACACGAACTCTGATAATGTGCGCAAGATCATGGAGACGCGCCTTGACCTGGCAGTGACGAAGGGCTGCGATGGCGTCGACCCCGATAACATTGATGCGTATGATAACTCCAACGGGCTCAAGTTGACCCAAGACGACGCTATCGACTACGTGAACTGGCTCGCCGGACAGGCGCATGGCCGCAATCTGTCCGTCGGTCTCAAGAACGGCGGCGCAATCATTGATTCCGTCATCAGCAACATGCAATGGTCGGTCAACGAGCAATGCGCCCAGTACCAGGAGTGTGACACCTATGCTGCTTTCACAGACGCCAACAAGCCCGTCTTCCATATCGAATACCCCAAGGGTGACAGTACAGACAACAATGACGCAGTCACCACCTCTCAGAAGTCCTCGGCTTGCAATGCTGCGAGTGCCGGCAACTTCTCCACTGTCATCAAGAATATGGATCTGGACGACTGGGTGGAGTACTGCTAATGCGAATGTGTATGACTGATTCCAATGTCCACTTTCTGCACCTCCTTTGTGATCATTAGCAACGCGTATTGCATATACCAAAATAATAGTTTCCTGCCCGGCTAATCTAAATCTAAACCAAAGTCGCCTCATTTTGATGGCGTTGCTACAAAGGTACCAAAGGTGTCCCAACAGTTCATTTCTCAGCCGTTGTAAAGTCTGAATTCTTTGTCTGGGGGCATCACGATGGCATAAACCCCACCATAAGCTCGCCATTTTCTGCCTCAATTGTTTTTGAGGGCTTCAATAGTGCCATGGGCCGCCAATCACTGCCAAGGTCCACAGACCCCAACATTTACTATTGACAGGAGGAGCACTACCAGTTCACCGCATTGGTCAGCCATCACGGGCTTAAGGCGAGCCCTGGCGCCTTGCTATTGCCTGTGTAGTCGACGTGGCAGATAGGTACGGCCTACCCGATGTGCATTTCCCCATTGGCGTGTGGACGAGACTACGTGCGAGTGGCTGCAGGCTCCGGGAAACGACAGAGTGCCGCCCTGCAAAAAGTAGCTTCCGGATGCCTCCGCCGTCTGGACCAGGAGACGAAGACCTTGCTTTTCCATGATTCCACGCTATGACTCGCTTATGAGCGCTGGCAGCGTTAGCGCCTTGGTAGAGGGTACACGCTCTTCTCGGCTCCTATCCGAATTGTCAGGGTTCTGGCCCATCGATGCGGCGATACATCCGACGATGTTGGTTGTCTTGGCATTCTTGGCACACTGTAAGGCCTGCACTGATCATACGGGTGCCATTGGCTACGTTTTGGGGAGCTTTCGAGGTTGGGCGGGATTGGGAAGTGACCAGGGTCGATCCCAAATGGACGGTGCATTAGCAGGCGTCGTCATTTTGGAGTATGTTTTGGAGTATGTTTTGGAGTATGGAGGGAAATTTACGGTTCAAAACACACTAGTAACTTTCAAGTTTCGTATAGAACACGACAGATCCTCCGCCCATCTCTGACGGGCCAGTGGACCCTCCCACCCAATGGCTGCCAACGGACACGAGCGCTCACCGACCAATTGTATTGGACATATCAGAATTCTATGTTGAGAGATCGGAATCTTAACTTTGATCGTCGACCCATGAACATCGACTTTAGTCACTCTGGACAGTGCGAACGACAGCCATGCGAGCTATACATGCTGCAGGGGCGAAACAACCCTAATCACTCGAGCTTGCCAATGGCGAACTTCCAACCATCCATGCACTCTCTCAATAGCAATCTGATTTTTCAACTCTAGCGCAGGTTAAGAGACCGGTGAAGAATGAAGTCTCGTCGCCAGCCTTGCGATCGCCCCCCCCCCCCTTCCCCGCCCGCCCCGGGCCCCTCTTCCCCCCAGGCACGGAACATCCGGCACTACTGCAGCCGTAGTGAATTCGACCGTTTTCATAGGTCCAGCCGCCTCAAAAGTGATCCATCGTCAACTCACTTTCCACTTTTCAAACAGTGTGCTCTAGGGCCCTGGGTGGGCATGAAAAAAGCAATCTCTACAACCTACGATCGAGGATCGAGGGCGCTAAGATCGGCAGCGCAAGGTGGCTCCCGGACAGATCTGCCGGGTTCCTGACCACAAACCACGGTCGGTTGGATGTATGGCCGCCGGGGGGCGGGTGAGCTTTTCCGATGGTGTCTGTGCCACATTAGACTCCACACCTCCCCGTCGTCGCTTCATCCAGGGGCCGATTGTTGCCCAAACTGTGTTGGAGTTGTGTTCGTGCGACGATGGAGAGACAATCCCAACTTAAGCGAGTCGCACGATTAACCGGTTCCTCTTCTTCCCGCCAAGCTGTTCTAGACGCAATGGATTAAATGGCCAGCGGCGACCTCGATTGCGGCTGTGTGTCACTCCGGAGGATATTTCGCCATTCGTCGAGTGTCGGGGGTTAGTGTTGCCGAGAACGTCCATTACACTATATTCCGTACTAAGAACCCACGTTGCTATGCAATGTCGGCATATCCTCTGCCATGCTGGAAACTGGAAATTGCACGCGAGAGAGTCCCTGTAGAGCATGGCGAGAAGTGCGGAGCCCACATCACCAAATTCCCCGGCCTGGGCCCTTGTGGCATCAGTTCGCGCCATGCATGCCACGATCCTCCTCTGCTCCCGTTTCTCTATCCACCCAAACCGCAACGCCACACTCGGGCTTGAGGTGCAGGTGTAATCTTCCGAGGTCCAACTGCCTCCGACAGCCTCAGCGAAACAAGTGATCCACCAGGGAAAGATTGACATGCAAACTCCCCAATTCATGTGTAGTCTCTTCGGCTATGCGGCGGGCACTACTGTTCAGCCAAGAGATAGATCGAGATTTCCTCGGGGATTTTCAGCAGGGTTACCATTCCTGTTCCACATACCCAGTCCATGCCACGAGGCTGTAGCTTCCGCCACTGTCAATTCACCAGGGGTAAAACGATCGACTGGTTCGCAGTGTTCATATTTGCCTGAACTAATGCCGAGCTTGACCGAGGGACTCGTCCTGTTACTGCACGCGCTATTACGCAATCGTACGCCTGTGGATGCGCGAATGGCTTACCCTGTACTTGGAGCTATGGTATTGCTTTCGCTAAGTATTTCTCTTCCAAGCAGACCATCTCCGTATCAACATGTGCTGCGTCGAATTTTATAACTGGGTCACCCATCCATGCGCGAGGGAAAGCCCGTTTCCAATCAGACCAGCGTTCTCTACCGCTCGGTTCCATCGCAGCGTGGTGTGCCGTCAGTCCCCACCGCAAGAAATCCAGAATTGTGTCTTTGTCACGTACCACCATGCGGTCTCGGGCCTTTTGAAACCTGATGGAGCCCGTGCTGCGTCTCCCGCAAATCGGATATTCGATTTCTAAATGTATGTCTTACTGTGGTTCACGTAAAGTGTCGAATAGAAGCACGCGACCCGCGGGCCCAGGCAATACACGATGTTGCAATTCCTTAGCAAGCCTGGCATAGAGACGGCTGCTATTTTCGGACATGCCTAATAGCCTCATGGTATTGGATATAGTATGGCCCTACAGTACGCTACCCTGCTTGATTCCCGGTATGGTATGATGTGTCTTAGATCAGCTAGAGTCGCTTTGCTGAAAAAATATGATCCTGGTCGATTTCCCATCCAGGAAGGTGATAAATGCAGGCCCAACTCCCAAAGAAATACGTGGGGTGATGTGCGTTTGCATCATCAGTACTTGGACCCTCACCCAACCGACTATTATCTCCTCAGTGCCACGATCAAAAGACTAAGGCATTAGTTTCGATCACAATGATACCCCGGCCCCAGTGGAAATTTTGTGATCGAATAACGCCACTGGTGGCTAAACCCATTTCTAGGGCAAACATATATTTCATACTTGTCTTATACTTGTCTTAAACTGGAACCATGGTGGTATCAGGTACGGCGGGAAGATGAAAATTACAGAGTTACGTACCGACCCCGCTAGACCAAAAGAGGTAAACTACGCCGGTACTGTAGGTCTTCGTTGTCATCTTTTTGTTACCTACTTTATTGTGATTTTCTTTTCTGTTTCATAAAGTTTGTGGTCTCATCTGTCTTTCATTATGTACTGTCAGCCTCGCACGCCTGCATTAGGAGCACAAAACAAGGGGCGGTGAAATCTTTAATCATGGCAAACATCAGTTCGCAGAGCCTGGTGAAAATAGCTCTCTGCAATAACGCAAATCCAAAATTGTACTACCTCATTACACATAGTCATCATAATATGTAGACCATATACCTAACTAATCTCACGCTGCCACCAGATCGACAAAATCGGCCCACTTCGTTCCAAAGCTAGCATAGTAGTCGGTGCTAAGGTGAGTGATGAAAATCTCATCGGCGACCTTGCGAGCCTCTTTCACGAGACTGCGCAGCTTCGATCCCTCCACAGTATCGGGAACCGAGTGGATAACTGTGCACAGCTGGGTGCGATTGCTGTCCGGGATAGCCGTGAATATCTTAGCGCTAGACCGCTGTTGGAAAGTGCTATAAGTCTCTTCGAAAACGACGGTCGAGTCAGCCGTTGCCAAGTATCGAGAGTCTGGGATGGCGCCAGGGTTGTGCATCACCTGCCAACAACCGTTAGTAATGTGAGAGCTCGCTTGAAATCCCCCAAAAGAGTAATTGATAAGGCGGCAAGCTGGAGGGAGGTCAAGCTTGTTCAACCTGAAAAAAGAAAGCACCAGCAAACAGTATGCAAGAGTTCGACTAGAGAGGCACGCCAAGAACAGGATGTGTTGAAAGACATGGAAGACAGTAGAAGAGGAGATGGGGGGATGCAAGGGGCGAGGGACCCCCCCTCGAACGGGTCATCAAGTATCAGAATGTAGAAGAAATTTTGCAACTCACAAAGCCATCGGACCCAAATCCTTTCAAGTCTTTGACAAGATCCGTCATATTTTGCAAATATGCCAAGGATTGGGCACTGTATTGCTGGGGAGTCTCATCGAAGAAGATGCCCCGAACGGCCAAGTCCGGGTTAGACGATGCCGTCGGCCATGCGGCGTAGGTTTCGATATCCTTACGCACTAGGGATATGTTGCGCTGCGCGTATGAGGTGTGGACATATCCCAGGAGGCGCACATTCGCGTATGATGCGAGGTTTGGGATTTCGCGGGTATAATTCGCATCCGGCACGGAGTCAGGCCCTGGACCACTTCCCGGATTGATTACGACGGTAAAATTGACATCGGGATGGGTAGAGACCCTGGTGGTGCTTTAGCAAAAAAAAGATTCCTCTTTCTGCAATAATTTCTTTTTTTTTGGTTTTCTTCTTTTTATTTTTGGGGTGAAAGGGGGCCGCCAGACTGGGGGTTGGAACCGGCGCGGCGCGACGTCAACCATGCCGTGTATGTGGCGGCCTACCAGCTGCTTGGGATCGAATTGTCTTGGGGATCGGGAGAGCATGGAACAAGGGGTCTGGGCTGACTGGAGAGGATGAAACTTACACATTCTCCAGCGGAGTCCACGCACCGGGAGCAGGGTAAACGTAGAGTGGCACGAAGACTTTGGATTTCGGACCCATGCTGTCTTTCTTGTGGAGGGTGGTGACCACAGCGGCAGGGATGATAGCAGCACAAAGAACAATGAAAGCAACTACGGCCAAGAGAATTCGAGACCGTGTGGACTTAAAACAACCACGCTTGCTCACGTGCTTTTCTTCGGGGGCCTTGGTCGACATAGTGCAATTGGGGGGGGGGAAAGGGGCACAAAGAATCAATTCGAAAAGAAGGGGTGGTTTGAAAAACCAAGAAGTGGATTCGAAAATAGCACTGCCATTATACCATATACCAGCACCTTGGGCCCAAAACACCCCTGCCGGTCACCCATTATTACTAGTAGGAAAAAAAAGTTACCGATGCCCAGCCCTTCTAGCGTCATTGCGCCGCCCCGAAATAGACCGGGGCGGGTCTCGACCATATGAGATGCAGGTAGAATCTTAGATGAGATGTAGCGAGCAAGCGATTTGTAGTATGATGTGGTCACCCCGAGCTAAGGGTCCTGGATGTACCGCCATGGTGGAGGCGCTTAGGGCATGCGGTTTGAGAGGAAGACATCCAGAGCCCAGCTGCATGCCTGGCCCACCATCCACGGGCATCCTAGCTGATTGTTCTTTGGTCTATTGCCAATTTCGCTTCCGTTCGCCCCCTTCTCGATCCTGTCGCTTTTCATTCCGGCTTATGCGAGTCCTCTCAGCTTCACTTCTTCCATTTTTGCCGGTGGCGAGGCGTGGCCGATTCCCCATTTGTCCAACGTGGTATGGCACAATAGAGCTAAACAAGCATCCTAAGGCGACGAGACAACGCAGGAAAATTTTCTCGGGTGTATAAAACTTGCGCAGTGGGCACCTGAGGGTTTCGAGTGGACTCAGTCATTGTCTCGAAGATCATATAAAATCCTGTTTTCATTCCGTTGTCTTGTTTTGTTTGTGTTATAGAGCACTCAGTCTCGTTTTTTTGACCACTAGACACCTCATTCAAAGACTCGCTATTCTCATCCATACTCACAATGGATAGTCGTCGACGGTCAGGCGCAAGCACTCCCGTGGAGAGTGAGTCCCCAAGCTCGGTGGACACTCCCGCGACAGAGTCTTCCGTTTTCCTCGACAATTTTGATGAGCTGTTAGGGAGATTCCCTCAAGAAAATCCATATATTCTTGTCACCGGTGGCTTGGGATTCATCGGCAGTCACACCACATTGGAGCTTCTCAAAGCTGGTTATCATGTGATTGTTATCGACAATCTCAGCAACTCTTTTGAAGTCGTGCTTGACCGCATCAATCTTTTGGCTCAGAAGTTCCACGACACCAATGGATCACCAATGCCATCACTGCGGCTGCATGCTCACGATTACCGTGACACATCGGCTCTTCAAGATTTGTTATGTGACTATCGGCTTCCATCGAGGTGGGGCACCCCGAAGTCGAAGATTGCCGGTGTCATTCACTTTGCAGCATACAAGGCTGTGGAAGAAAGCATTAAACACCCATTGAAGTACTATGCAAACAACGTGAGCGGTCTGATCGACTTTGCCACAACTCTTGGCGACTTTGGCATCAAGACGTTCATCTTCTCATCGTCAGCCACAGTATATGGCACGCTCGCCACTTCGGGCCTGCCTTTGAAAGAAGAACTCTGTGTACACAGAGAGGAAGTCGTTACGGACGATGCAGGCGCAGAACAAACACTCCAGCCAGGATGCACTGGCATCACCAACCCATACGGGCGCACTAAATGGATCTGCGAGACCATTCTTGCCGACCTTGCTGCATCGGATTCAGAGTGGACTATTGTCGCACTCCGGTATTTTAACCCCGTGGGTTGCGATTCATCCGGACTGCTCGGCGAAGACCCACGACAGGCACCAACCAACCTCCTGCCGGTCGTCGTCAAGGTGATGACAGGCCAATATGCCGAGCTCCAAATGTTCGGAACCAATTGGGACACAACTGATGGTACCGCCGTCCGTGATTTCATCCACGTCACTGACCTCGCTCGTGGACACATTGCTGCACTCGGCACTGCAAATGAAGGGAAGTTGACTGAGAACTTCCGGACATTCAACCTTGGTACTGGATCCGGTAACTCTGTCCTGGATGTTGTCACCACCATGGAGTCTGTCATCTGCAAGCCAATTCCTCGGAAGGCCGCAGATCGCCGTGCTGGCGACGTGGGTTCTTGCGTCGCTGTCGTTGATCGGTCCCAACAAGAGCTGAAATGGAAGACTCAAAAGACTTTGAAGGATGCATGCGAAGACATATGTAATTTCTTGGATGTCAGTGGACTGTCGTCACCCGCATAGGTTGACTATGTTTTTCATCCTTTGGTGATCAATGTTGATTTTCTTGGTGTTGCGCCTGTTCTTAATACTTCCCTCGCTGAACTGGCGGCGACTTGGGAATACCGCTTTCGGATGAGTAATATGTTTTCTCGTTATTGGAATTTGGGCTAGAGATGCATTGTGTGAGCAATCCTTGGTTTTGTATTTAATTGAGTTGCAATTTGGCGGTCTTGCCCATAATTTTATATGAATAGTTTAAAAGTTATTGATTTCTATAAATCCATATTGCAGCACTGCAATCCCATCAAGATAGGAGATATATTTTATAACATCGCTCTCGGCATGCTCGCTGCTATTTGGTTTGAGAAGGAGAACCTTGGGACAGGCGCGTGAGGGCCCGAGGCAATTCTTGGCATCTGTTGACTCACGTGACAACAACGAACCAATACTGGCGTGTTGAAACATGCGAGAACCGCCGAAAATGCTGTTCTTAGATAACATCTAGATCCTTGTAGTTCCCTGAGAGCATCCGAGCACAGTTCAGCTATTTCCACTTGTGGCAAGAAGCATCACACAAACCATAAATCCACATTGAGTCACGTGATAATCTCCGGCTTGGCATCAAATCCGCGCCGCAGTTTTCTGCCTATCCGTGTCCGCGCAGTTCTCATCGTGAACTTCCACGCTTAACGGGTCCCCTGACAATCCCAATAGCGCGTCCTAGAATTTGTCGTGGGAAAAAATACAATTGTGTGGTTCACCCTAGGTACCACCGCCAACATGATCTGCAGGAGCTGCCGGACGACGATGCTGTCTCGGCTACAGCAGGCGCATGCCATGACATGGACCGCATCAACAGCTGCACGCCAATTTCCCATTGTCCGCAATCAATTCCGATTCTACAGTGACAATGCCCCCAACCCTTCTGTGGCCGCTCCTCCTCCTCCTTCCACCCCCCGCCAACCGACGGCTGGCGACAAAACCACCCCCTCCGCTGTTTCCTCCGCTACCCCCGGCGTTTCCCAGCCTTTGAGCACCCCCGAGGGTGTCCACACCGATGCGCAACCCAGCACTCCTATCAAAGCCGCCATTGAGCGCTCACCGAGCAGCTGCGCGGCCGGTACGAAGATGAACGGCCTGAACTACTTCAAGAACAAACCGGAAATTATTGCCAAGGAGGATTCGGAATACCCAGACTGGCTCTGGGGTCTTCTTGAGGACGCGGGCAAGCAGTCAAAGACCGATAAGGGTGGCGTCGATCCGAGCAGTATGTGTTCCTTGTTTCTTGAATGACAGTGTACCTTTACTCTAACCCCATTGCAGCCTTGAACAAGAAGCAACGAAAGCGCTACGAGAAGAAACTGGCTGCTCGCACGGGACCTCTTGCACCCAAGACCCCTGCCCACCACAACTCCTACGATATTACCCCCGCAACCTACAACCGCGACGCACCTTCGGAGGACGCCTTCTCCGACGCCACCGACGGCCTCGGTAAGCGCCAGGAGGTCACCAAGAGTGCTAGAGATGCGCGGCGAAAGGCTATCAAGGAATCTAACTTCCTGCGTGGTCTGTGAACAACAAGCATTTCGTGTTGATTACTCCATCGCAAAGCGTTGCTTTTCTCCCTTTCTCTTGTGGCTTGGCGCTCTTGCGCAACGGTCATTTCTGGCCGGATGGTGGACATCGGACGAAAGCGGTTCCTGTGAGAGCTCCCGACATGTATTTTTACCTTGATTTGTTGTCTCAAATGTGCTATATATATTCAAGTGATATTTATCTACATCATTTATCATCCCCGTGGTCTGCAGGGACTTCTCATTCCTGACTGGGGGACTATCGTAGTACAGGATGTATATATTTAAGACGCAGCCTGAGGAACAGGCCACTCCTTCTCATCGCCTTGACCGTCCATCCAAGGCTCGCAAGCGTCCCACAGCGCTTTGAATTCACCATTACCAAACGCCATCAGCCTCTTAAAGGACTCGGGGCAAATCCGCTGGAAGAAAGCAAAAATACAAGCCAAAAACAAGTCCACGTAGGCAGGAGTCTCGCCCTCAAAGAAAGGCCCCTTCTTGCCCTCCCGGCCCTTCAGCATCGTGATCAGTGGAGCAGTTTCGGTCTCCATCTGCGCCCACAAACTCTCAATGGTTTCCTGATCAGTTGGTAGCACCTCTGACAGCGGCTTCCCAAAAGATTTCGATCGTGTCTCGACGAAATACTCCTTGCCCCGCGGGTCCAAAGAGTCTGCCACCTTTGGGATAATCAGGGCGCGAACTGCCGGCCATATTCCACCTGCGATCTTGCCCACGGCCAAGTACAGCGCGTAGCTGGCGTCGCCATTCGGGAAGAGCGGGCGTGAGGGGAACACCTTGTCTAGGTGCAGGACGATTGGGAACGAGTCCATCATCGCACCGTGTGAGTTAGATGTCACGGAGGACTTGTGGATGATCGCAGGTAAGGTGTAAGGAGTCCCCGTCTCGTTGGGGCTGAGCTCGAGACTCTTGATCAGTGGTGCGATATCGGGGTACGAGATCCAACTCTGTGTGTAGGGAATGCCCTTGAAGTTAAGGACCGAGCGGACCTTCAGTGTATTGGGGGACCATGACTTCTGCGCGCCTGGTAGATTCACCCGATGTTAGTCGGTCTATCTCAATGCGGGGCAGAGCCGGCGTACCTGGGAGGGTGGAGACAATGTCGAAGAACTGGACGGGCTCTGACGCGGCCATTGTGCGGGATGTCAAGTTCGGTATAAGGTGTAGGTTGTGCTTTTCCGGTTGATGTTATTCGGCAACGAGAAATGTTTCCAAAGCTTGTGTCGGTCCGGGACCTGGAAGGTTCTTATACGACAGTCAGAGTGGGGCCAAAGGAAATCCAGGCGTCCCGCTCTCTACGTGTGACCGAAGATCTTCAACCTGCTCCTGCGCAAGCCGGACATAAGGAGGTACAATTAAGCACTGTAGTCCCGAGATTAGTTCTAGCATTTGTAAGTGCTCTCGTAATCCCCCGCTTTTGGTGGCTTATCAAGCGTCTAGCACCACTCTAAATGGTGAGCTAGGCTACAGCCGATCCTTCTACGGGAGTTATGGTAGATTAGACCAAGCAAGCCTGACACAAAAGGCTGACATTTGCAGACACTATCAAATTGGCAAAGACAAAAAAAAATATCGCTTGGCGAGGCCGATTCTTGCGATATCTCGACAACCAGAGGGCCTAGGATCTCGAGACCTCGTTCAAATTCAATATGACTCCAGGCGCTATCGTTTGATACCGGTTTGATATCATTATTAGCGATGGTGGTTATGAGCGCGCCGAATCTGCCATTTGTGCACCCATCAAGGGGATGCAAAATCGGCGCAGTTAAATTGAGTTGTAGCTAGCTAGACTCGAAGGGGACAAAGCCAGAAGTGGCAGAGGTTATCATCTCCTTTCCACCGACTTAAATACCGGTCTTAGCCCGCGTCTAGTCCTAGGGACGTGCACAGTTTACCAACAATGCCAGTGACTACGAGATCGGCCGCACGCGCAGTCGCGGCGAAGGAAAAGCAAGCCCAGCGCAAACCGAAAGCCCTGCCCAAAAGCGCTAGGGGCAAGTTACCAGTTAGATACTCAAGCAAAATACTGAGTGGGCCAGTACCTTACGGCTTCCTCGTCGAATGGCTAACGCTAAAAGACCTCGATGACACGAGCGAAACGGACGAAAACGAATGGATCGATATTTTGAGAGAAACGCGCCAACAACCGGGTTGCAGGATCGTTGCTAGAGCGCATCCCCAAGAAACACGAGGCGTCGAGTGGGTGACTATACTATCGGAGCGTGCCCTTAGCTGTAAAATTTAAAAACCTAGTGCGTAAATCGATCTAATGTTGAGGTAGAGTGGGAAAATTCCCAGAGCCGAGAACAGTTCTTGTTATCTCCGACGTCTCACGAGATTTACATCTGCTATTACCCCTCGCCTATTGGCCAGAGAGATAGTCTGGCCATTTGGATCGATAGGCCTAGTCATAATAGCATTTCCTCTTTTCCAGCCCCAACCGCTCTATGAGATCTTAGTGATCTACTTTCCCACGGATTTAGATGCGCCAAGTATGTTATCTGTGGAGCGATCTACTGGACCTTTCTGGATAGAGGACGAAGAAGGTCCGATGAGCGGACATCTTCGTCGGGATCGTGGCTGGATGGAGGGTGAAGTGGACTATCGGGGACAAAGCGCACGGCGTATGGTTTATTTCTTCAAGTTCAGAGATGAGGCGGCGGAGCAAAACTACAAAGATAAAATCTGCAAGATGAAAAGAACCCGCGATGGACGAATTATCATGAATGCCATTGAGACGTTCTTCGACAATTTGGAAGATCTGGGTATGCTTGGGTACGAGTCCTAGCATGGCAGATTCTTGGAGGTCGTGCCATTTGTGTGCTAGAAGGAGGATGGCAATTTCTCCATCTCCAAGACATGAAAAACAATGTTGCTTAGGATATTGAGTGGCATACTATATCCACAAAATGAAGCATTGCGGATATTGGGTGATATACCATATCCGCAATTCGTGGAGAGGATATATAGACACCCATGGATATTGAGCATGTTGCCGCAGTCTAAGTCTAGTCCATTATAGTCCTTGCCGAGGTCTAGTAAAGGCTATGTGTGTGTTATACGTGGGTTTGTGTGAACTCGGCCTATTTGCTGATTCGAGAACCTAGTGATTTCGGCCTACTAATATCGAAAGCGAGGAGTAGTGCAGCGCGACGAATCGGTAATCTGGTGATTGAGGACTTGGCGATTCGGGTGTATGCTAGTAGACGGACGAAGGGAGGAAGGGAGATTAGCCTAGTAATATACGCCGAAAAGGGGTATTGGTTGTTGGAGGATTAGATAGCTAGGATCTAGTCTATTGAGACTCTGGGTGTATATGGCGTGGTGCTGCTGATGAGGCTTTTTGATCGTAGCTCTCCTCACCAATGCTACAAGAGGATAGCCGCGGGGACGTTGGATCGCGGGGGTCCTTTTTACCTCTCTTTTCTGCCATTTCTTTTGTCTGATTTGTTTGTTTGTCGCGTTTGCACTACTTTCTTTGGTCTAATCAGCAGTAAGCCATCTAATCTCGCTACGGGCACCTTCGCAGGCGCACCAGGCTGGTCACTGGAAGGCGCAAACCCCCGCATAGCACCTGTATCTAAGGAAGCTTCATCCGGAATAGGACTATCGATTGATTGAGTTATGGTAGATTCATTCGCGAGGTCAAGATTTCCATAAAGCAAAGCATCTGGAGAAAGCTTGAGTATTTCCGAGCCATGAAAGTTATGGAGAGCGACAAGTGTCCAGCTTGGCAAGATCTCACCGACGGAGCCACGTCTGCGGCTGAGTGGGGAGACGATCACGACGGGACAACGCACGTGTCCCCTCCCTTAATTTCCTGTCAGACTGTCTGTCCTGGAATCTTCTTTTTCTCATTGACTCACACTGCTGTCGGTCTGCCCACTTTTCGCATTCCGAGGTCGCATTTCGTACGTCAATCTGCGAAGCGGGGCTGGTGCTATCCAATCAGCACATCGCGAGATCACAGGCCCCCCTTGCTTCTGTGCGTAGCAGCCTGTTGGAACACCTTATCCCCGGCCCCAAGCCGAACATCCTGATAGGCAGCCTTGCGAGGTTACGAGATGGCTAAGGGAGAAAGCCTTGTGGAACGTGCGCAGCAGCTCGCAATTCATCCGCGGGAAGGGCATCATGTGGACAAATTCCACCAGACCGTGGATTCTCACCTCCAGAAAATCTATGAAACGATCTGTGCCTCTGAAGTCTCAAGGAATGACTTTATCAAGATTGTCCAGAACGATTCAACCCTCAATGGCGGGGTGGGTCCGGACTCGCTAGTCTCAGTGGACGCCTTTCGGGCGTACATGAAGGATTCAGCTTCCTGTGCTCAGGCACCTGCTAAGAAGCTGGATTTGTCCGCTCCTATATCGGACTATTTTGTCTCCTCCAGCCACAATACATATCTGACAGGGAATCAGTTGTATAGCGATGCCGCGGCGACCGCATACACGTCGGTGAGTAGAGTTTCCTCACTTTCTATCGCCGAGGGTTAGGACACTGTCTGCCCCCTCATAATGATGCAGTAGGCTGGAACGAAAGACTGATCCCAAACACGGTACAGGTGCTTCTTCGCGGTTGTCGCTCCGTCGAGATTGATGTCTGGGATGGAGAGTCTGAAGATTCAGACTCAAGTGATGGTGAATCAAGCAGCGATAGCAGCAGTCACTCTCATGGTGAGAAGAGCGGGACGTCTAGTATGAAAATTAAAGAGAAGATCAAGTCCAAAACCGAAACCTTGCAGAACTCTTCCAAGGGACTTTCCCGTTCAGTCTCGACCAGATTGAGCGATGCGCTGCGCCGCAAAATCACCGAAAAGCCCGAACCAGCTACCGCTGTGACCACAGCGAAGGACGCGCTTCCATCCCCATCCAATAAGGCAAATTTGGGAGAGCCGAGAGTCCTGCATGGACATACGCTGACCAAGGGAACATCATTGCGCGAGATCTGTTACGCCATCCGGGACAGCGCATTCGTCGCTAGCGATCTACCAGTGATCATCAGCTTTGAAGTACATTGCTGTTTGGAGCAACAGCAGATCATGGTGGATATCATGCGAGATGCCTGGAAAGGGCTTCTCGTTGAGGTGCAGCCTAACTTGGAAGCTGACAAGCTACCCAAATTGGCGGACCTGAAGAGGAAGATCTTGATCAAGACCAAATCTATTCCCCTGACCAAGTCTGAAGGAAAGAAAGGCACGCCAGAAGCTCCTACGCCCGAAGAACCTGGGTCCCCGCCTGCTGGGCTGCAACAGAAGAAACCTGCGAAACCGGTGAAAGTCCTTGAGGCCCTCGCCAAGATGGCGATTTACACTCGCGCGTATCATTTCAGCCATTTTGACCAGCCCGGTAAGTCCTCAAAACACAGCAGGAGGGCTGTAAGTATCTTCTAATGCTTCCAACAGAGGCCAAAGTCCCCGTGCACATTTTCTCCCTCTCCGAGAGAGCATGTCGTGATGCGCACATCAATAATTGCGATAGACTGTTCGAACACAATCGATCATCCCTCATGCGTATTTATCCCTTTGCGTTCCGAGTTAATTCCTCCAACTTGGATCCCGCTTTCTGCTGGAGACGTGGCGCGCAGCTCGTGGCACTGAACTGGCAGAATCTGGACAAGGGCATGATGCTCAATCACGGCATGTTCTCCGGCACGCCAGGCTGGGAATTGAAGCCTCAAGGGTATCGAAGCTCAGATTCCTCTTCGGATTCCATTCACCGTCACACGCTGGACTTGGCGGTGGATGTATTTGCCGCCCAGGATCTGTCTTTGCCACCCGGCCAACATAACGTGAAGGGATTCCGACCCTACGTTAATTGCCAACTACATGTCGAGGAGCCCGAAGGACCTGTTGGTGGTGGCCGCGACGACGCCAGCTCGGACTCCGAGAAGAGCAGCTATCGCCGCTGTACCAAGAGTGCTTCTGGCGTCAACCCCGATTTCGGGGGCCAGAAGCTGGTCTTTCCAACTGTGACTGGGCTCGTGGAGGAACTAAGTTTTGTTCGGTCAGTATCACTGTCGCTTTTTTCTGTTCTTATTTCTTGGCCTTGCCATCCCCTCTTTTCCACTCCTCTCCTCCTCTCTAATTTCTTTTATCTTCTCATTTCTCTTCCCATCTTATTTTTTCTCATCTGCATTCTTCCACCGGCATTGTTTCTGCACGATGCAAGCGAAGACATATGCATGACACAGACCTCTCCCCCTACATCATATTGCCTTTCCCTCCCTGGCCCACTAAATTAGCCATTTACCAACGCAAACGGTTTCACTGCGCATATCTGCTCAAGGCTTCCCTTTCCATGCCGCAGCTGCATTGTTGCCTTGGGAAACAGACGTGCAGCACCGTTCCGTTTCTTCGTATCCGTGAAACGCAATAAATGCGTTGCCCAGACCCCCATGCTGACTCGTGTCACCCTGCATCCAGGTTTAAAATCAAGGATGATGAAATCGGGCGTGACTCGCTTGCCGCGTGGGCCTGCATTCGGCTCGATCGACTGCGTGAAGGATATCGACTGGTCCACCTTCACGACTGTGCTGGGGAAAAGACAGGGGGCATCCTGCTGGTCCGTGTCACTAAGCGGGCTTCGTGATGGTCGGCGACCATATGATAGATCACCTTTCTGGAATTTTCGAAGGCATAATTCACTCGTCGAACCTCGGGCTTTGATCAAGTAACCGCTCCGGGACTCAGGCATCCGTGCTGCCTGTTGCACAACGTCTCTCAAAAGGCTAATGAGTGTCGCCGGATAAAGACTTTTCAGATACCTCACCTATCTTCGGTTATGACCCGATTATCACAATGACATGTTAATGATTTGAGTTTGAGATTTGAAAGTCATCTGCGGAAGATCGAGTCTATCCCGTAGCCCAGCCTAATGAGAGGATGAGTCTCGGGCTATGGGCTTGCATTCCACACCTGTAACTGGATAAGACTTGCCGTGGTGTCATCTTCCAAGTCGCTGAGATTTTCTCTATATCGGACCTCAGTTTCAACCACCAAAAAATATGCTCAATGTTGCTTTTGGTCATAGCCACAGAATGTTGCAACTGTTTGCGGGGCTTACATTTAATTTATCTCACTTTATCTGATAGGCCGACGATGGTTTCCCAGCACCCCTTTCAATCGCCACGGAGAATTTTGACCATGATCACGACCAATGATGACTTAAGTGCCAGCTTCGTTCTTTACAGGATGCTTGAAACTCAGGGCTGGTGGCGCAGCCGTAATAACCTATTTAGTAGGTGCCCGTGCCCTGGGGGTGGATAATTGCAATTTAAATGGTTGCTATAGAAGGCTACTTGTGTACGTCGTCTGGTCCGATAAACCAAAAAAAAAACAAAAAACATTTCCTTACAATCATTACCAGTGAACGTTCCAACAGTTTGTAGCTCTGGTGGCTGGTACTTTCGCAATTGAGCCAAAATATGCGAGACGCCATATCTGTTGCATTCATCACCAAACACTGTCTCGTTTCATCGGCAGCGTCAGTATAAGTTGATCTTGATCCCCTTGGTGTTAGCCGAAGATGTCTCGATCGAGTCGCCTATTGTGATTATCTACCAGGTATTACGCAGAAAGAGGAAGGAATTGACGAAGTGATCGAATCTGACGAGTAGGACACTCTCCGTCTTGTCGGCGCATTTGCATGCATTACAAGGTGACACGTATGGCAATTCGATCGTGACATTCTTGGCGAACAGTGCGGTGATCCAATTCCACGGGCACAGAATTTTACAGGGCATATGGCTCGGATGATTGTGCGTTGAAACCGATCTTACAAGCTGGACCGTTTAAGCACCCCAGCTGTGCAGCCGTCAAACATCGTATCTTATCAGCGCCCCTCCGCCCCTCTCTTTACCCCCTCGGGTACCAGAATCTTTTCCCTTGATCCAGCCTATTCCATGAGCAATATTTTCCTGGCAGTCTAGCGCCATGAAAATAGGAAAGAATGGCTTTAATGGTGATTATATTTTATATCCCTGAGGGCTTGGAAATGATTGTCAACCCGAGGGACGATCACACCAATTGGTCCCGATGCGGTGGGCTTTCTTGCTATTACTTTATGAGAACGGGGATGTAATTTGAATTTTGTTATAAGAGGCGAGATGGTGTTCAATATGATTGAATCCACATACATCTCCATGCAAGTAAAACCTTTCATTTGTTCATCTTCGTCATTGGGAACTACAGCCTTTCTAGCTTGGTCACGCCCCCTCACACATGTATTTCGAACCTCATAGACAAGATAGCCGGAGATAATCGTCTATCTAGCTATAGAGTTCATGCAAGTGGTATCATCACCAACTCATCTCCACCTAAAGGGTTCATGATGCATGCTCACGCTAGTGTTGAGTTAAACTTATAGTCATAATATCAACATAGCTGGCTGTCTCGGCGCAGACTGCAGGTCCTCTTCGAATCTTCTAGTGCCGGGGCCATGCACCTAGGTGCACATATAGAAAGAAATATACTCAAGTGTTTTCCATAACTTGTCTTCGAGAAGGCACGCTATCTCTTAAATGAAGATCCTCACCTTTGGCGCGGGTAATATCTTGGCGAATCAGCCACAACGCCGCGGTGATGGCGTGGCCCTCGGGGACTGTCGCACTCGAAACAAAGCACCTGGTGCTAGCGCATGCTCAGCTCGCATATGCAGCTCGGTACCCTGTTTGCAATGGATACGAGGCAGCCTCATCTCTAGCTCCGGTTGAAGTGCAACGGTAGCAGTTTTGTGCAAGCGGTACCTCACCATTGAGGAGAGCATGGAAGATCCTGCCAACTGTTAGGCACCTTAGGAGACGTGGACACAGCTCGGCGTGTTTGGCCTGTTCTACGCAAAACTTCCGAGAGATGGATAGGTGACGAACAAGCTCTTTAGGAGGCGTCAAGCGACTAGGTCACGGTTTTGGAAGTGTCTACCGTGGGGCTTACTTGTTTTGGCTCGTAGGAGCCCGGCGGGCAGTGGAGTTTCTCCGTGGCTCGATTTGAAATTCACATATTCTGCCGCGCATTTGAGCATGGCACGAGCCCCCAGTATCACTGGGTAGGCATTCCAAGTCCACCAAGAACACATATTTGATTTAATTTTAGCTTTCTCTATGCTCATCCTTATTTAGAAGCCTGTAAGAGCCACAGATCTGTATCTAGCGATATGTCACTAGCTACTTGAGTGATAGGGACTAGACCTTGACCTACCCGATACGTGTGCGATGTGGGTCGTGTTGTGCGTGGAGATTTCATGCCTGATCAGATGCCGATCGGGGGTCTCGATTCGGGAAATCTGATGCTAGTGCTGGCTGTCTGAAATCGGATGACCATGCTCCCCGATGGAGGTCCTTCCCTTGAAGTAAGGAGGTTATACAAGAAGAACCTCCTGAGATGACGCAGTGCCACTGTCCTCTGCGGAGATCAATAGCTGGCAGTACCGAGTACGTGGCTTGACTGCCCTGCTGACTACAAGGCAAACAAATGGCCGACGAGGATACAGGAGGCAGCTCTCGATGTATGCGATTATTTGCATGGAGAGATGCAACTTGGTGTCCTAAAAAGGTGATCTGCGTGCTGCATGCGCGCCTAAACTATCGTGAGGCGCCGGAGCTTTCTGTGGGCCTAGGAGGACACGTAGTTGGCAAGTCGGTTTTATCAAATAGGTAATGCGCCGCTCTTGGAAATGGTCAGATCGCCAGTAAGGCTTCTATCACGGACGGGGCGCCCAAGGGAGCCAAGAACGTGGAAAGCCAAGCGCTCGGTGCAACATCGAATGGGCACTGCAGCCGTGAAGTGCGCTCGGGCCATGCTGCATAAGCAAACAAGAAAGTTCTCCTGCATAATGCGTACCATCGAGCCTCCGCGACTCCAGCGTTCGGTGTAGCGTGCCATGCGGCAACTTTACCAACCCCACTCCCCTGGCCGCGACAAGTGGGGCTTTTAGTAGCTCTAAATCCTGGGAAGGTCGGTGGGAAAAGGCGAAAAGGCGGGCAGATCCGGACATGCCTGATTTGAACTCATGCCGTCTGTGGTGCGAGCACCAGAGAGGGCCCGCTCGGGGCCCAGTTGGGCCAGTCAGGGTGGGCGATCACCATGCCAAGCAGCATTGCATCAGACTCATCAACATCAGGAGTGGAGAGACAGGGAGAAGCAGAGGGGACCGGTAAATGCTCCGATTCTTGGACGGTGATAAGGTTAGAGCGAGCGCAGAATGCAACGCGACAGGTCCGGAGGATGCATCCCCTCCACTGCACGGTGAATCGATGTCCCATATCGTCAACGTGCCGGGCTGAGCCCACGGCTCGATTCAGCCCGCCATCGAGGCATTCAGACAAGCCATAGAGCTTCTCCCGGCTCCTGGGCTATAGTTTGCAGATCACAAGTGCCCTTTGTCCGTGGAAGAGGGGTTCACGCAGGGGACCACACGTTTGCTGTTGACAGCTAGAATTGGCATGCATTGGCAGCGACTATTGGACGATGGCGGGGGTAATTCGTCAGCGGTGGGCGAACCAGGACATCCCAACTGCGCCGATGGGCCAATAATCGGACGCCATCGAGCGCCGGGGAGCCATCGCAAGCCATTGGGCCCTGTCATCCTCCCCCCGGCAAATCATCACTGGCGCGCCAGAGTGGCGCCGAGGTCGACCGAGCGCAACCCAGTCGGCGATCTGTCGTGGGGTTGCAGGAACGATACGTCAACTTCTCAGACCTGGACCGATTCGCTCTGGCCCAACACGAACCCGTCCCAGAATTTGAAATCCGACGAAACGAGGTCCCGTCGGATATCGCCAGCAGCACTCTTCTGGTCTTTTTTTTTTTTTTCGTCCGCGATGGGGTCATTGGTCATTGTGCTCCGCGGGGGCCTCACATCAAGGCAGGACAAACAATCGCACCGAACACCCTCCACCGGAGTTCTCGGGAGGAGCCGATGATGCAGGCGTGATTGGCTCCTGCTGCACCGTGGCGTGAAATCAGGACGATAGCCCTGTACATCGGCCTCGATCCTTGCGCAGAGCCGAACCGGCACCCATCAGGATGGGCGTTCGTGGATTGCTCCCTGACTGGTCGATCGCGGATCAGGGAGGAAGCGTTCCCCATCGCGAAGGTGCTCCCAACGGGAACTTCACGATGGACGTGGAATCAGAGCTGAACTGAGTTTTGGTTGTACCCAGCCCGCCTAGCCGATAAGATTTTTTTGGCTGCCATCGCGGGGTGTGTGTGCTGGTGCATATTCCCCTTTCGTTGTGTTCTTTGGGTATGCCTTAAAAGGGCCTGCCCGTCCACTCGAACACAAACCAAGCCCCCATCCCTGAAAGCCAACCCAACCCGGGTTGCCTTGACGCCTTCACTATCCCCTCACGTCCTCTTGCTATCCAGCTACCTATCGTCCTTCTTGGGCTAGGCATTCGAGAAACTCTGTTTCATCCCATATCCCTCCCCTTTCCAGCCAGATGGCCGGGTCTTCCACATGTGGCGCCTCGGCGTGCTCGAGCTCCGCTGTCAACAAGGTTCGTCCGCCGAAACTGAATCTCTCCGATACCATGGTGTACCGTTCACAAGGCATGGCTCTAACATGTGCGATAGATGCCCGGTGTTCGGTGTCCCAGTTGCGCTGCAAAGGGGCAGGAGGTCTGGGTCATTCCGGGAAAGAGCTGCCATGTTTGCCATACGCCCTGCGCGTGATGGCTGATGCCGTACGTGGCGGGAACAAAGGCAGCAGCCCGCACGACCCATGACCAAGACTGGCCCTTTGAAGGAGTTCAAAGCAGATCAAAGGCGTCGGTGGGGCATAGTATACGACATGTCCCGCTTCTCGCCTCTGTCGGAGTTCTCGGATCAAGCAGGAGGGCTTCCAATGAAAGACCGAATTCAGTATACGTTCGGAGCCGCTAAGCCACTTTACATCTGGACACTAGATTGTCTGGCAAATTGCTTGGCGGAGAGGTCTGGGATTGCGCCACATTCAGCTTTATACAGTGAAATTTTGTGATGTGTTGCAACGATTCATGACGGGATGGTTTTGGCTTTTGTGTCTTACTTATTGAACATAGATTTAATAGGATTTCTTCCCTTACTTCCTACAGGGCCTCTCCGCGTATATTGAGGCTCAATCGAGCACCACGTTCCGTCATCACTCCTTCTAGAACCCTCGTACTTTTGTGTGTACTTTTGTGCTGAAGTATACCCTGCCACGTGAGGAGGCACTGGGGGGCCGGTGACGTCATGTGCTCACCGACAGCACCTCCATCCACCACTCGAACCAACATACTCGTCGCGATTGACGGCTGCAAAGCTTTCTGTTCTTTCCTGGCATGTCTCAAATATACCCTATCGGCACCCGCTCTGAGAGTGAGCGTCTCGTGAGAGACTGGGGTTTTCGACACGTCTTCACCTGGTCCGACGGAAGGCAGGTCCATCATTTGAAACAAGCCGCTTGTCATCTGGCCCTTGCTAACGACAGTCAAGCAATGCATACTATTCCCCCCATTCTCACGCCGGTCTCACGACTCACCTCATCCGTCGGGGATCGCTGACCATCACTTATCCGGACGACAACGCCAGTCTCCACAATGGAGCAGTCCAAAAAGAGACCTTTGGCGTTGGCTCACGAGTCGATGTACCAGCAGGAAAGCTCCATGAAGTCTGGATCGGGGATGAAGGGTGTGAGTACGTGATTGGCGAATAGGGTGAGCTCTCACGGGGCGTCAAATAGGAAGGCAATGGTAAAATCCGAGGCAACAAACTATTTGAATCATGATACCGCATCGCGACTAACGAGCGTGAGGTATTGGAGTGTATTATTTATGAACTTTTTAATGAATCTAGCTAAACAGCAAAATCCGAACCTCGCCCCTCCATCACAGAGGCCGAGCTGTACAACGGGGTTTCAGATGTTAATGTAAGAAGCGGAAGTCAACCCTGTGAGATACCGGTCAGTTATCAGTGATTCACAATCGGCAGGAGTATAGCGCAGATGAAGTGTACCTCTTGTTTCCGAGGTCTTTGTTTTCGGCGACATAGCGCTCTTTTTCTTCGCTTGTCATGTTGTCCCAGATAGCAGCGTTTTGCCTATTCGAGAATGGTTAGGGTTCGACCCCGTATACCCGCATATGGAGATGGACATACTTGTTTCGGTGCACGTAGTAGAGCTTCGCAATGATGAACATCACCAAACTCCATGTAGCGATGGCAATCAGCACCTTGTTACCAGTGCGGTAGTATGGCTTGTCGTTTTGTCGGTAGATCTGGGAACACTCATCAGTCTCATCATCTTTGCTTCCGGGGAACCGAGGCGCCACTCACATTATTACCGATGATGTTGCTCACCTGCACTGCCATGTTGTACAGTGCCGTCGCAACCGTTCTTGTTCGAACTGTGCCCGCATTGCGAGACGTGATCGCTACAATGATCGCATGCACGTAAGGCATGCCCAGCAACAGGGTGAGCAACGTCCATCGCACCCACGTATTGGCATCGTTGGGGAGAACTTCCAGCGCAATCAAGATTACCAATGCCCAAATCTCGGCGCCAACACCCATCAGGAGCCGCTGGTTGAACCTCTCCGATATCCAAGTCCACAACAACAAGTTGATGATGAAGATGACGTAGGCAGGAATACTCAACAAGTTGGTGTGGAAAGTACTGAACCCCAGCGACTTCAGCTCCAGACTGATGTAGCTGGTGGCGGGGATACTCGCGATCATCCAGGTCAGCCCGAGGATGTAGATGACCCACATGTCATAGTCCTGGAGCGCATGCCAGAGCATGCGCGGTGTGACAGGCTGGCGGTTGTGCATGCCGCCTTTGCTGGGGTCATCGCGGAGAATGCGGTTGACCATGATCTTCTCCTCGTGCTCATTGAACCAGCCCTTCTTGCCGCGAAGCACACCCGCGGTCTGGGTGGGCGAGGCGGGCATCCAGAACGCGGCGATAATGCCAATCACTCCGGTGATCAGGCCCTCGAATGCAAAGAGGTAGCGCCAGCCTCCTTTGCCATCGGACCCGTGGATGTGCAAGAAGCCAAACGCCAGGAAGGCGCTGACAATCGACGTTGCTTCATAGGCGACCCAGAAGAAGCTGAGGCGGATGGGGAGCTCCTTGGATTTATACCAGAAGGAGAGAAAGAGGATCGTGTCCGGGATGCTAGGAGAGGTTAGCCTCCGATCGGGGATTGTGGGCCACCCATGATCAGGGAATCAGGACAAACATACAATCCACCCTCCAGCAGACCCAGCAAGGCTCGGGTCGTGAAATAGGTGGTCCGGTTCTTGACAAAGGCTTGGCAGGCCGCGATTACACTCCATGAGACCATCTGCACCGGGATCCAACGGTCGGGTCCGAACCACTTGGACAGCAATTGCGAAGGCAGCTCCGCAAACAAGAAGGTGAGTAAGAAGATCGTCTGGCCGGTATTATAGTCGTTGGTGTTCATGCCCAGGTCACCCAACATATTATCGGACGTGGCTTGAACCACATTTCCGCGGTCCAGCTGGAGGGCAAAGAAGGTCACACATGCAAAGGTGCAGATGCGCCAGTCAATCTGCCCATTCGGATCAGTATAAGGGCGTTCAGTTCAGGGGGAGGCAACCAGCTGTCAAGCGCCGGGTGGTGCACCTACCTTCTTGACCACCGCCTTTTCCTCCTCCTCCGTCCATTCAAAATCGGGGTCCCACCGATGGATACCCTCATATTCCGGGATAGGCTTGTAGTACCGAGGATCTTCCGTTGTATCAAACGCGCAGTCAATGGACTTGATCTGTCCCCTACGGGCCCCAATTGACGAGGACGATTCCGAATCGCTCATTGAAACGACTTGAGGCACTGCCTTTGAATCGTAGTCGGCTCCAGGCCCGACGTTCTTGGTCTCCTCTGTCGGCATCGTGGACAGATGTTGGATGCGGTTGGAAATCGGGAGCGGCTCGAAATCTCAGCAAGAGCCCAAGACGAGCTATAAATGTAAAGATTTTCAACGAAGAACTCATCCTAATCGTCTATTACGCCATCGCCTGGCAGATTCACATCGCCAGGCATTATCAACGGGACTACCCACGTTGGGGGGATGGGTGGGTACTCGACGCGCCGGGCAGATCTACTACACCATGGCGTAACTGCCGGATGAAAGCACGGAGATGTCCAGAGGTTGATTAGGTCGGAAAGCTAAGCAATCAGGAGAGCTTGAGGCGTTGCATCTCCACTGCACGAGCTGAGTCGGGTTGAAAGACCACATGGAGGCCGGCCCAATCCCAAGAACCAGCAAGATTGCAAATCTTTGCGGGATCGGCGCTTTTAGGAACAGACAAAAAGCGCTGACGCATCTTCCGAGTGAGAATCGGTCTGGGCTGAATCACGCAAGACATGATAAAGTGACGTTAAATTGGACGAGTCGCGGGACGACTAAACCGCAAGGACGAGGTCGGCCCCACTGCGAGGCAGGCCCCACTTCCGTCTGGACGGGGCAGTCGGTTGAATGTGTGTTGACTGCCGCGAGTCAAAGCTGGAATGATCTGATCGTACAGGGCAGCTTCATTGGTGGTTCATAATCAACACCATGCGATTTGATTCGGATTGCCCGATGCATACTATCGTTGGGTAGCTCTAGAGCATTACCCTACAAGGCACCGGGCACGAGCAGTCTTGGGTCTTCAACAGGTCAACCCATTTGGATGTCCTCGGCCAGGACTCGATTTAGGTTCACGCTGCCGCTGATGCACCGTTAAAATGCACCGCACAGACACCCTCAATCCAGTGGTTTGAACCGACTGCGCATGGAACAAAAAATGTTGCGCAACGGTAGTTGGCTATCACGTCATCCGCGGGGGCTAGCAAACCAACAAAAACAAACTATAGTTGACCGCGAAACGCGAGCCAGGACCTGGTCCGTTTCCATTTTTGGTCGCATATCATCTGATAAGCGACGTCGGCAGGCAGTCTCGCGATGCAATGTTTATCACGCCATTCCCGGCCAGCATAACGACCGCACACACTCCGGAGCCAACGTCGCTTGCCTAGCGACGACCCGATATCGACACCCCCGCAGCGACGTGTGCTCGTGCCAAACTCTGATCGCGACAGTCAGAAAGGCCCCTTGGGAAATCGTCTATCGGGCGAAAGATCCACCCCGTAGTCATGGCGCAATTCGTACACCCGGAGTCACGGTGCCGAGAGGATGTATATAGGCGGGGTCTCTGTCGCCTTTTACGGACTCCCAACGGCGACACATAAGCACACTGGGTTCGACACTAGCTCCCTTCTAGTTCCATCCGGTCGATATTTCTAAAACTCGTGATACATCATGGCCCCGTCCCGAACCGAGACGGTCGGCCTCCGCGCGGCCACTTTTGCGGTGCCCCTCAAGACCGATGCGGGGCACAACAAGGAGAACTTGATCGGATACAAGTATGAGAAAGAGGCAGAGCTGAAGGGGACAGACAAACTGCCGCCGGCGTCGTTCCCGCACTATCTGCCCGTCTGGGACAACGAGGAGGCGAGGTAGGATATCACGCATCTCCAGGAGCCACGGATGAGAACTTACGTACTCCTGATAGATATCCTCCTCTGGAGCACTTTGAACACTATGATCACGGCAAGGATGCCGACCCAGGGTTTCCAGACCTGCTCCCCAAGGGCCAGGCCGAGGTAGACGAGATCACCCCCTTTATCGGCTCCGAGATCCACGGCGTGCAATTGAGCAAGCTCTCCAAAGCTGGCAAGGACCAGTTGGCCCTCTACGTCGCCCAGCGACGAGTGGTCGGTAAGTTCCCATCGACGGAGGCCCCCCGCAGCTGCACCACAAAGACTCATCGCATCCGCGCCATGATATAGCCTTCCGCGACCAAGACTTCGCCTCGCTCCCCATCCAAGAAGCCGTCGATTATGTCGGCTACTTCGGTCGTCACCACATGCACCAGACCTCTGGCGCGCCCAAGGGCTTCCCAGAAGTCCACCTGGTCTTCCGCGGCGCTGACGACCGCACCGGCGCCAAGTTCCTGGAGCAGCGCACCAATACCATCACATGGCACTCGGACGTGACCTTTGAGAAGCAGCCGCCCGGCACAACGTTCCTGTATGTGCTGGACGGCCCGTCAACCGGCGGAGACACGCTGTTCGGCGACATGGTGCAGGCGTATAGGCGGCTGTCGCCAGAGTTCCAGAAGAGATTGCATGGGCTGAGGGCCGTGCATTCCGGCGTGGAGCAGGTGAATGCGAGTCTGAATGGAGGCGGGATCGCGCGGCGAGACCCCGTTACGTCCGAGCATCCGATTGTGAGGACGCATCCTGTTACGGGCGAGAAGGCGCTCTATGTAAACCCGCAGTGTGAGTGACCATGCACCGTATCTGTGCAGCACGGGTGAACTCACAAATTCTTAGTCACTCGCTACATCGTCGGGTACAAGAAGGAAGAGTCCGACTACCTCCTGAAGTTCTTGTACGACCACATTGCTCTGTCGCAAGACCTTCAGGCCCGCATCCGCTGGAAGGCTGGCACCGTGGTCGTGTGGGATGTGAGTGGATCCTGTTTTTCTGAGTTGCATGGAAGATGAGGCTGACTTGTCTAGAACCGCCTGGCGTGCCATTCTGCTGTATTCGATTGGGAAGATGGTCAGAGGCGCCACATCGCACGTCTCACCCCGCAGGCCGAGCCGCCTTACGAGACGCCGTTTGAGGGGTAAGCGGCGCGTTAGAAGCCCCTTGAGGTGTTAATGACATATGACCGGGTCTTATAATCATGATATACCGGATCCACAAACTACAGAACAGATCCTGAAAATCGCAAGAGACCGATTCCTTGATGGTGAACGGAGACGAACCGAGCTCGTACTTGTAGCTGACATTTGTTCATGTGAAGTCGTGATTCGTATCTGGTAGATAGGCACACAAAATTGGGATAAAGCCTAGTTGTTCCTCTTCACGCTGCTTGGGTCCGACTGAAACGATTCAGCAGTCCAACGTGCCATTCATTGAATCGCCTCGCGGTAGGAGGTAGCATCTGATTACTTCCACGAAGCGCATCAGACAACGTATCGTAGATCATGGAAGGCAGTTCCAGCTCCTCGACAGACAGAGGCGAGGGGTTCCCAATCTCTGGAGCAAGAAGCTTATCAACGTCCCCCGTCTCCTGAAAGAACACTTTCATCGCTGGTTGGGCGTTGACACTATGGCCGATACTCGAGTTGGAGTACCGCAGATCTGGGTTGAAGACCCAAAGCTAAGGACCGTAAGTTAGCGGTACGCCATTGCACGGGAAATAAGCACGTCACAAACCAATAACCCGCTTTTCTGCCCGCAGTGAACCACGAAACGCCGGGCACTTTCCCGTTCAATAAGTTCCAGCAGTTGTGCAGCAACAATGATTTGCGCTGGGTGGGTCTGCCATTGTTCCTCGCCCTTGTCGAGACTCGAGGTGCGGGTGTTTAACGACACGTTTGCTTTGAGGAGTCTCCAGCCATTGGCTGATGGGTCTTCCATGCCCACGATCGCGTTACACTTCACACAATCCAAAGTTCTTTGAGCAGATACCTTCGGGTTAGTCCTCATCTCCTCTTCATTGCCCTGCAAGACATGGCATGTCAGCACATCTGGCCTTGACATATACGCAGGAAAATAGGCACTTTGGTGCCCAATACAAGTCAAGTCTCATTCCGAAATTCGATATCAATTCCATTAAGCAGTAGCATGGGAACACATGTAACGTAGTATGTATCTCTTCATAATCACGACAGGTCCACTTCTCTGGGAAAGGCTCAAAGAACCAAGTCTGTCGTTGAGAACGAAAAGGGTGCTTCGAGCAGCAAATCAACCAAATGGCAGTTAGAACACCACACGACAGCCAGCAATGATGAGCGAAATCCATCTAACGAGAGAAGATAACTGCCTTCCAAAGCCTTTTGGCATGAGCTGAACCACTTGCCATCCAATCAACATGCAAGCATGCACACGTATTGGTCTAGGGCAATAGTATCGAAGGCCACAACATGGTGATGAAATGGTCTCCTTCTGAATTGCCCACATTGAGGGGGAATAAATGAAGTGCGGAATAGCAATAACAAACAGGGATAGAGAGGAATCTCACCTTTTTCAGATTCACGCAATCCGACTCTGAAAGTAGAAACGTGGCCACGTCGATAAGAACAGTCCCGGCGATGGCCTCTACGCGATTGGAGGCCCCGTACCCCTTAATCTGAGCATTTTGATCTTCTAATCGGTGAGCTGTGGTGGCTTCAGACTCGGCATCGTCTTCGTGGGGATCAGGCTTGTGGCAATGCCAAAAGTCCATCATCTCGGCCCAGTTTCCACTCGGCAGGTCCTTCCAGATCCATCCCAGTGAGCCCTTGCGATCGCCCTGCTCAGGAATGCCATCGTAGCCTGATTCTATCAGAAAGCAAGTGCCACATTCACGACATCGAATGCGTGTCGCAGAGGACATATCTGCTGCTGTCCAGGGGACGTAATCATCCATTAGTTCATCCCGGGGTGCCAGCGCCGGGTCACTAGCGTCAATCTGCATTCTGACTGAGTAATCATGGCTGGAGCCCGTAAGCTGCCTAGGGCCAGGGACTGATGTTGCAGCTGTGTTGATGTTCAAGGACCGTCGCGTCGCGTCAGTGACGCGTGCAGGCAGCTTGATAGTCTCGGTCACATGATCAAGTGGCCCAGGTAGCGAGACAGTGACAGATTTGCATGATTCGGACAACGTAATAACCGGTCGGATCCCTTCTACCGCCGGAGTTTGGGGGAGCGAGACATAAAGGGTGATTTGGCGGATGTTGGGTAAGAGCTCGGCGTGCAGGTAGAGGGACACGTCTGCAGCTTGCGGTCCCGATTCCTTAAACATGTCCAACCTGACAAGCTTCGGAACCCAGAAGACACTTTCAATCCTCGGTCTTTGGATGCTGAGAGCTGCGAAATCCGATAGGGTGGTGATCTTGTCAGTTTCCAATGACAAACCGTGCAAACACGAGTCACGTGTATGAGCTTGGCACGGGTGATTATTGCCAGAATCTTCCTCTTCTGTGCTTCAAATAGCTACTAACTACAGAGCGCAATTCCTTTCTGGAGTCTGTATATCACCGCTAGAGAATCAGTGCCACCTTCCATCTTATTACCTGTCGGTGGATGAAGGTATCTCGACGTGAAAGGAGAAGAGGGTTACCTAGTTGACGGAAGACAATGACCGGGTGAGATCCGATCCGAGGTCTCAGCCCAATGGACCTCCGCCTATACGACAAGTCTCATGACAAGTGTTACCTGACATGGAGAGGTCGCATCCTTGTCCGCGGCAAAATCTTTATCATTGAATAATTTCAGTAAAATCGATCAACTCTGACCTATCTGGCCCGCTTTGTCAATTTGATTTAGACAATAAGGCCATTCCAACGGCTCGGCTTTTGCTTCCTTCATGGGCTCGAAGCTCCTCGGCATCCCAGGAAGACCCGCTTCATACGTAGCCCAATTTTGCCATATGCCAGTTCGCAACACTTCATGCATACCCTTCACATCCTGAATCGGCTCCGAGAGCGGGAAGATCGATACTTTGGTGTAAGTTTCGGATCTCGGCCATATCCCGGACCCGAAAGAGTACAACTTCTGGGAACGACGGGAACGGTCATTCTGTAGCACACTAGTCCCTTACATCACTCGTATAGAGAATACGCTGTCCCACACGTCTGGGCTAGATAAGTATCGAATGGTACCCATTCTTTCCAACCTGCTCATGCCCCACGTACATTCTTCACTGCCGGATAAGCACATGGCGAGAAACCGGACAAGTCAACATTCATATATGATTTGCAAAATGGACGACTCGCTTCACGAGTCTTGTGATATGGGCTCTACACAACATGCCCCTGTTTCCATGGAGGTAAATACGGGCCATCCCTTCTGCAACATGCAAAACTAACTTGGTATGACCAGGACGAAAGTCAGCAAACTGGAGTTGACGATGGAGATATGTGCGGCAATATCAACGAACTACTTAAAGAAATTCAGGCCCTGAGCGAGGGTCGACCAGGATGTGAAGCGCAGGTCGCAAGCGCGATCAAAACTTGTCACTCCTTAGAGGCAATCATGTCCAGGCACTTGAGTGAGAAGCAGCGCCTAGAAGAGGTGATCAAACGAATCCAGACAGCCCTCTTACAAGAACGCATGGAATATCAGAACTTGCAGCAGCGCTGTGTTGACCAGGAGATTACTTTGTCACATTTTCGAAGAGCATTCCCCATCCTACAAGAAGAGATGGGTGGTTTAATTGGCACGTGGGAAACCCTTGGATTCCAAGGCGTGTATAAGACTGTGTAAAGGGTCAGGTTTCTGTCTATTGAAGGTAAATTATTATGAACTAATCTTTGCAGGCCCAGGAAATGTAACTAATGTGAATCAAGAGTTTTCTGTTCTCTTCTCTGAGATATCATTCTTCAAGACGAAGGAATTGAAGTACATGTGATAGGGACATGGTAATGTACGGTATCACTAGTCTTCAAAACATGCTATGTATAGTAGTCTTCATAGATATGCGTGGTATGTATCGCTCGTTGTGACACTGGCTACTGAAGATTGGCATTCCTCCTCTTGTATCAGGACAGTGGACCTGGAACTGGTGAGTGTGTCTACATACCTAAAACTGGATTTCAATTAGACTACCGGCCAGGAAAGGGGGAATTGCCAGCGAGGAATGACATTTTGTATTTCTATTGCATTTCTATTTACATCCCAATATATCATTAAATAAAGCCAGGGCTGACGCATCGTATAAAGGCATCGCTTCTACTCTGCTTTACGGTAGAATTTGCCCAAGTGCTCCTTGATACTTCTCAATTCTTTAAGCCGGCTCTCTTCATGCTCCTTAAGTAGACGGAGGTGTTCGGTCTTGAGCTCCTTGAATTCATCCTCGAGTTTGTGGTGCCAGGGATACAAGACACAGACTTGAAAGCACAGGGCGGAGCTGGCAATGACAAAGTTTGTCAGCGAGAACCCGCGAGTTATGATCATGTTGACTGCGACAGCATTCGGTTAGTGACAAAAATAGATCAGATCAATTATCTCTATAATACCTCCAATTTGAGACTAGTGAGAATGCTCCGTTTCTGGATAGTTGAAGGAGCGCTTGAATATATTTTATGCAATCTGCGTGTGATTTCAAGTTCCTCGAGTTCGAATTGTATGAGAGACAGGGCACTTGAGCGCGGTGGGAACTTCAAAAATGGGTTGCTCAATAAGCCCTTAAGCAAGGGACGAGATCGATCAAGGCAAAATAGTTCATGCAGATTCAGAGGGTATGAATTCCTGTTTATCGTTTTACGGGCCTCCGATTTATCTTGATGTGCCCGTTCCTGACCCCGGCGTCAGCAACGGGAAGCTGGCCCCACAACCAGCTCTCGGATCCGAGGGTGAGCTCTGATTCGCACAAAGGGGGGTTAACGGAAATCTCTCGGTCTCGACGTCGACGGCCTTTCTTCCGGCAAGTGAAATAGCTCCGTAGCGGGTCAACAACCGCGGACTGGACACCCATGCATGGGTTTCCCCCAATCTGAGCTACCATATGGGTCTGGGTATGAAAACTGAGCTTCCAATGGAATTCGTTTGCAAGCATACTCGGAAGCATATGACCCATCCAACTCCACAATGATGGTTCTTGAATCTCCGTGCCCAATCGGCAACTACTATGTAATCCATGCCCTCAAAATGAAAATCGCCGCCCCCCCCCTTCCCCGGCATTCGCCGCATTCGAGCCGCCCAGCAAGCCAAATTTGACTCTCTTTCCGGGCCTATATACCAGAGAGTCCCAACCTTTTTATCACAAATGCTTTATCGTCAAGCTCTCAGCATAGGTCGACGGCCCATTACCTTTTCCCCGAAGATCAAGATGCCGATCCCAATGTTCCAGAGCACAGCTATTCACCCTCTTCCACGCCAAACAGAGGGCAGCGAGCGGGTTTCAAACTATTCGACAAAGGCTGTCGATGCGAACTTCATACCGAGCCTTCACAGTTCAAAGAAACAGATTCTCTGGATAGGCTGCTCTGATAGCGACTGCAAAGAAACTACCATCCTCAACCTTCTTCCTGACGAGATGCTTGAACACCGGAATCTGGGAAACATGGTCATTGATGGAGATTTGTCCTGCGAGACGTCGGTGAGGCATGCCGTCGTTGATCTTCAGGTTTGCCTCTACCCCATTCTGCGGATATTCTCGACACTGACCCTCTCTTGCAGGTGAAACACATTATTGTCTGTGGCCATTACGGATGCGGTATTGTCAAAGCAACGTCGAGGAGCGGATTACCGGGCCCATGGCTGAGGTAAGGCTGGTTCTGAACTGAATAATCTTGGATACAGCTAAATGGCCCATAGCAAGCTCGACCACCTCCACGCAAAACACCAGCACGATATCGATCAACTGCCCGCAGTTGATCGTGACAGCGCCTTCGTCGAACTAAATATACTTGATCAGTTGCGCTCCTTGCGCAACATCTCGGAAGTGGCCGATGCGACGAGGCAAGGACGCCTGGATATCCACGGAATCGTTTACGATCCCACGATTGGGAAAGCGCTTTCATTGAACGAGGCCGCAGCGGAACCATGATCATGACAGACAACGCTTCTCTATTGGCCTACTGTTTCTACGTTATTCCGATGTATCATTTCATATACCACAAATGTCTGTTTCAGTGGCGAGTCAATTTTGATTGACGCCGGACGACCCTTTTCCTCTCTGGACTGCGAAGAGAATTACGCTCCTCCGGAGGTCTCCGAGTGAGCAGAGTGTGAGGACAGATGGTAGATCTTCATCACATCCTCCAACATGTTCTCGAAATCGATGTGGAGGTCTCTAAGCAGCCCGTCACGTAGATCGAATACAAAGCCGTGAACAATCGGGTACTGATGATCACGATAACATTGCTGGACAGCGGCCGTTTTGATGACGTTTCTGCACGACTCGATCACGTTGAGCTCGACTAGTCGATTATATCTTTGGTTGTCGTCGGTGATTTTGTCGAGTTCGTTCTCATGTAGGCGGTACACATCTCGGATGTTGCGGAGCCAGGGATTGAGTAGACCCATATCGTCTGGTGTCAGAGCGGCTTTGACGCCTCCGCAATTGTAGTGGCCGCATACGATAATATGCTTTACGCCCAGGTGTCGCACCGCATAATTGACTACCGACATAACATTGAGGTCGATGTTGGGCACAAGGTTGGCAATGTTGCGGTGAACAAAAACCTCGCCGGCTTCAAGGCCCATGATCTCGTTAGCGGGCACGCGACTGTCGCTGCAGCCTATATATCTGCTTATTATCAGCAGATGACCAGCAGAGCCAACATATCGCCTGAATATTGTCGCAGTGAGCCGGAGCTGCACATGATTAGGCTTACCTACAGGTAATCTGGTGTTTGTCCCGCCGCGAGCTTCTCAAAGAAAGCGGGGTCCTCTTCCTTCTTGGATGACACCCATTTCTGGTTGTTTTTGAATATGCATTCGATTGACTGTTGAATCTGCCGACTCATGCTGTTTGCTTGCGGTGTGTATGGGAAAGAGGGAGACGATGACTGAGATAGAGGCTTGTGGGTGGTTCGGCGATTCAAAGAAATTTTCCCGTTGCATCTCGTTGGGGTACTCTAACATACCAGAATGACCTGATTGTCACATTCCTGTTACAGTTCGGTTTCTATTGGTGAATCTTCCATCACTTGGCCGTAAATATTTGGTGAGATTACGTGGTTATACGGTATTTTAAGTGGCGCGGCACCGTCAACTGTAATAAACTGGAACCGGGCGGGATTGTTGGCCGAGCGACTCAATACCGGTCTAGGCTAATTTACGATACAACTGGGAGGAACTTGCAGCATGTACACTACGATAGGAAAGTGGGAAACAGGTGCTGGGTGCACAGTGGCTGTGTGATATCGGAAATGGTGTGCATTGAGATAAATGCTTCGAGAACGCGTTAAACTAAGGGCAAATCTCTTGGGGTAGTGAGGTTAATGTAGTATGGACGCTCAAGTGACCAAGAGGTGGAAACTAACTTAATTCCAAGATTCACCCGTCAAGCCTGCACTTTATCCATCACCTGACAAAGAATCAAGCACAAACACATTCTCAAACATTTTGGAGACTTGTAGCTCTTCTCGGCGGTGAGGTTTTCCCTTTTTTTGGTTGATTCGGAGAGCGTAACCGCCGTATATCGGACTCGAAAGCTAAAACTATCCAACCTAATACCAGCATCAAACCAATTACAATTTAAGGGAAAAAAAGAGGCAAGCGATAATCGGATATATCTTGTGGCATTTAAGCCATCCAGTTCAAATTGATGATTCAACTTGAAGGCCAAGTGCCTTGCACAGAATGGCCCGATCCTCGACCTTCCCGTTTCCTATTGGCGATATTTCCAACCACCGTGTGAAACTCGTCCCTTTTGATCCCGACCATCACGGCGGGACATTCTTCCGCCTATCCTCGTCCCATCCTGAGCTATATACGCATATGCCCATGGGACCTTGGAGCTCAGAAGACGAATTCAAAGCTGAATTTTATGAGAGTCCGGAAACTCATCTTCTGTCATTTTCGAATCCGGCATCCTTTGCATTTGCTATCATCGACAAATCTCGCTCGGCATCGGCAGAAGATCCTGAAGGAGAACTCGCTGGCACTCTCAGTTTTGTACGGACGTCGGAGACTCATCTATGCACTGAAATCGGCTTCATCATCATTTTGCCCCCGTACCAGCACACGCATGTGGCAAGGAATGCTGTCGGACTTGCTCTGCGGTATATCCTAGAGTCGCCGGAGAAAGGCGGTCTGGGGTTGCGTCGGGTCCATTGGCGGACTAGCACGAAAAATATCGCGAGCGCTAAGCTGGCAGAGAAGATGGGATTTGAAAAAATCGGAATCGTTCCTTGGCATATGCGATTCGTGAAGGGGAAGCTCCATGCGAAAACTGGGAATGGTAGAAGTTTACCTCCTGGAAGCGATCCTCAAGATGTATGGCGAGATTCCATTGACTATAGTCTTTCGTGGGATTGGTGGGAAAGGTTTGCGAGGGAAGAAACGCAGAAACAGATCGCACTATGAGAGATACACCGCCTGGACAACAAGATAGCAACTCCGTGAACTTGGCAGGATGAACATTCTCCGTAATTTGTCCTAAGGGCTCGACTGAGACAGAGCTAACTTTTGATCGAACCAAGCATGAATAAAAGTGAACAGTCACTCGATATCAGACAAAGCCACCCCACCCATCAAACTCGTCAGCAAACTTCACGGCCGCCTTGAGGTAAAAGCGATCATGGTCACCCCACGTAGATGCAGTTTCCCGTAGTGCCCGAAGTGCCTTGACATAGTGTGAATCGGTTGAGTGTTCGCCCTTGACAGCTAGCGTCGCGGTCCAGTCCCAGTTCCTTCCCTTGAGATCGTAGTCACGAATTCTATCCAAAGATATCTCCGGACGCAACTGTGCAATGAACGTAGCCAAAGTGATAAGCCACCATTGACGAACGAGAGGAATCTGGAACTTTGCGGGAATCCACGGCAAGAGGACCCGCACAGCATGGCTAGTCGTCAATACATGGACGAGGAAGAAATCGTACTTTTCCGATGAATCTGCATGCGTCGCAACAAATAATGCTGTGGCGAGAGTCTGGCTCTCCCGGAACTGCTCGACTGGATTGTGAATTTTCCATGCATTCCAGTGATTCAGCAGAACAGCCTCGTGGCTAGCAAAGAGCTTCTCCACGTTGTGGTCGCCTGGATTGGCGAAGAGTCCATCTAGCTTCTTGTCGGTCCGAACTCTATCGAGAATCTCGAACATTGACGTCGAGTGGTAGGATGCCTCAGCTTGCGAAAGTACTGGGTCTTCTAGGTAGATGTGTAGCTGGTTGTAGCAGGTCGCTGTCAGAGCAAGAGCCTCCATTGCAACCTCGCGGCTGGATATCTCATATGCATAGGCCATGTGGATTAATGGATGGCCGACTGGCGATTGTGTGTCAGTATACCAATGTATCTGTCATGGGACCTGACCTAGGGAGGGTGGACGTACGGTCAGCCATAATGGAATTAAACATAGGCTCCTTGCCCGAAAACAGATACTCGGCTACGACTTGTTTCCAATCATAACCGAGCCGGACCATTTCGTCTTCGAAAAAGTCCACAAAGGCTTTCTGATATCTGTTCGCTTGAGAGTTAGCAACGACGTGGTCCCACGGCGCGTGGAAACCTACTCTCGGCACCCCAAATGATCTCGCCAATCCTCATCGGTAACTTCTGCAGGGGAATCATCCCATGCATCCAGCAACTTGGACTCGGATTCATGAATCCGAGCTAAATCATCCGCATCCGCGCCCTGGAGGAAGGCAGCACCGAGGAGCTTGAGGGTGAGTCAGTCAACTTGATCGATGAAGAAAGTGCCATGAACCAGGGGTGAAAGGTGACTAACATGAGGAGTATGGTTATGGAATTTTCGGTCATTATACAGAATCGCGTGGTTCGCATGGTTGAGCTTGAGCAGGTGCTTCAGCGCCCTTGCGTTCTTCTCCTGGGCGTTCTCAATATCATGCGCCTTGACGGGTGGCACATCGATAACATGCTTCTCTCCCCAAGGGAAGAGTTTAAAGGAGTTCAGCGATGGCAACTGAAACATCGCTGTTTTGGTTGGTGGTATTGCTGCGCTGAGTGGCACGGTGAGGGGGGAGTTCAGTTTAACCAGACGTGTAGATCACCGCGCTGACGTGTGCACCTTGTAGCCTCACCAGAAGGCGAATATCGTAACTTTCAACGGAATCAATCTCAAGTCAGCCGGCACTTGCATACACTCGTGCTGAAATCAGCCCATCGTGAGCTCAACCGGAGTCTTGGATCCGCCGTGGATCGTTGGGAAAGTGAGGCCTGAGGCAACAATGATCATGACGTAATTAGTAACCTTGCTGTCGTTAACTACTTTTACGATCACGTGTCATGCTCGGAGGGTACAGCTCTTGGCACTACTTGAAAGCTCTATCTCGAAACTAAACATCTCATTCGCTAATAAAGGTCTATACGGGGAAAGTACAATGCTTTTAAGCCTTTTGTTCAACCAGGGGGATTGGCGCGTGATCCAGCTGTTCACCGCCCTCTCCAGCAAGCACCTCGATCTCGAATCTGGGACCAACATAGTTCTTGCGACCATCGAAGATCCATGTAACAGTGGAAACAATGAACACAATGAAACAAACGACGACACTGTAGTCTATTTTCCGTTAGTTTATAGTCGTGAAGCATGAATGGATTGGAGTGAGCCACATACTCATGTTGTTGCCGGTAGCGGGGATATAGGGAGGGAAGAGGAAAAGAACAGTCGTCAAGATAACGTAAACCAGAGAAACCTGAGAGAGACGTTAGTGATGTGGACACTAGTGTTAAGTGGGAGTAGTTTCTTACGATGTTCAGAATCCAGCCAATCCAGTTAGGAAGAACGAAGGCCCGCTCAGGAAGAGTGTTGCGTCCACGCAGGCAGTTGATGGCGATGGGAATACCGTAAGCAAGGTCCAGCATGACCACGGACGTCGAAACGATGGCGTTGAACGCACTACCTCGGATTAGTGTCCATCATGACATAGGGGAGTGTTAATCCATACCTGCTGGAGCCCAGGAAAATGCAGCCGAAGATGATGACGAGAATCAGGTTGAGGACGAGCGAGTTCAAAGGAACCTGCAGCTTGGGGTTGATCCTCGCGAAGAAACGAGAGAAGGGAAGACCACCATCGCGTGCAAAAGCGTAGCACATGCGACTACTAGTAGTCATGATCGCAGTTGTCGCGAACAGCATGCAGACGAGTGGGAAGCTAGAGATGGTCAGGATCAGATACATGTCAGATATAGGGATCGGAGGGCCTACATCAACAGGCAGATAGCACCGGCCTTGCTTGACGTTGCGTTATACAAGATTGCCAGCAGGGGACCGGCCGAGGACTCGATGATATCGTTGATGTTGCCAGCGACAAACAACAGGACGACCAAGAAGATGGTGCCAGTGACGGTACCAATAATGACGCAGATAATCATGATCTTGGGCCCTTCCGTCGCGGCGTTCGGGATTTCCTCAATCATGTGGGCAACACCATCCTAAATCAATTAGACCCGCGATTGATCAATCTTCTGCCTGAGGAAGCACTCACAAATCCAGTTACGCCAAGACCACCTTGCAGCAGCTATTCAATTTTTTTTAGCAGAGCACAGTGAATGATCCAATTGAAGCACGTACGCCGAGTAACCAGGCAATACCGTCAGGCCAGCCAGTCTCGTTGATAAAATCAGTGAAGACAAACCTGCAGCAGTTAGCTTCAGGCTCAAAGATGATCCACTTCCAATCCAAACGTACTTTGCAGAGTTGTAGTCCGGCGAGGCACAGGCGAGAACTGTAATGCAAATGACGGCAAAGCCGGTAAGTGACCAGATGACTTGATATCCAGTTAGCCAATAAATGCAGAAAAGCGGTGATGGAAGGGTCCCTACAGGCAGCTTTGTTGACATGAGACAGGATGCTGTTCAACCAGGTGTTGATGGCGAATGCAATGAGGTTATAGGCGATGAAAATCAGGAATTGGTGCCAGCGCTCGGAGTGGTAGGTCTAGTAGTAGGTGTCAGACACATGTCAGTGCAAGTAGTACACGCGGTACTTACCGAGTCCATCAGGGAGATGACGCCCACAATCAGCTGGCTACCGAGCAAGCCACCGGTGGCCACCAGAGCAACCCAGCCGAAGCAGTTCACCCATCCCGTAATCCAGGACAGAATCGGCATCCATCGCCGCCAAGAAACTACAAGATGGTCAGTTTGCCCTCGGTCCAGGGATCATGCGCAAGAGCAATACTTACTGACTAAAAAGAAACCGCGCGTGTTAGTCAAATGCATGAGCTTGTCAATTGAAGTGGTTACATCGACTTACCAGCAACCCAGTGATATTGGCCTCCAGCACTATTGTCGCGGTCAGTCATGCCAGACATAGATTTTATGTATTTCTCGAGAGATATTGCGACTCACGTGGGATACGCAGACAGGAACTCAGAGAGAGAGGTTGCCATGCACAGATTGCAGAAACCCGCAGTGACCAACCCTGTGGTCCGGTGGTATTAGTATTTCTGATAGCGAGAAAACGCGGGATGCAGGAGCACGTTACCCCAAACAACACTGGTGCTACCTCCGGAGGGCAGACTGAGGGATAGACTGGCCGAAAGTGCAGTCCACGACTGTTCCATGGGAATTGTGAGCGGTCCATTCAACAATACCATAGTGAAATCTCGGTGCAAACACATACGTTGAGAATGGCAAAAGCAAGGCCCAGCATCGACCTAGAATAGAGATCACGATAGTTAGCCCTGCTGTCCGGCCCCGAGGCATGGAAAGGCGTCACACATACAACATCGAGAATTGGCGCTTCAATTCGGCCTTGTGGCCCATCTGGGCCAACTGGGTATCATCGTCGAGATGTTCTTTTTCCATCTTGGCGGGTATACTCTGCGAGAGTGCAGGGCCGGTCGAGAAGGAAGGGGATGAAAGGGATATGAACAGGAAAGGAGAAAAAGGCACAAGAGAAATAGCCCGACCTAGTAGGCAATCGAGTATCGAAACTTTCTCCACGCCCTGACAACGCGGGGGTTCCCAGTAACTAACAGGCGCTGTTAGGTAATGGATTTGGGGTATGCCTCGACACCCGCCCTACCGAGGCCTGGGGAGGCGATAACATGCCGGGCTCATGATTGGCTGTGATTCCCGAACGCCGGCTTGCCTGGCCACTCATCGAGCAGGCCGGGTGGCGGGTCGATCAGGGCGTGGACCAGCGCGGTCCGACGAAACACGGCAACAAGGCAAGCCTTGCTAGCCCCAGAGCTTATCCTTACCACACCGCCCCATTGGCTCGAAGTATACCCACCGGGCGCGGGGTGACATACCATCCTCGGGGTAAGTTGACCAGGTTTTCGCTGAACAGTATGGGGAAATGCAGCGAATTCCTGGAGAATAACCAACATCACCCATAGCTCGAGCCTCGGTGATCGTCTCGAACTTTTCCGCTCCTAGTCGATCCTGGCGATCCGTATGGGAGGCGGCTCTTATCTTCCCGCGCCTGGGTCGAGGTGGAGCGGTGGACCAAGCCAGGATGATTGCTATCTCTACTCAATCTGACCAAATCGCCCTATGTAAAAGATAGTCATTTTTTCACCGGGCTACTGACCCGGGCGTTGCGGGACAGATCCACCCGACATTTTCGCCCAGGAACACCACGCTTATCCGACGCTAGATGGGGCACAACCTCGGGAGCTAGGCCCTTTGCGGCCCAGGCGTGCCTAGATCCTCGGAAGCCATGGGAGGCGTTGCGTGGCAAGCTGCAGGGCGCAGCGATCAATTTCTTCTATTTCTTCTCGAACGCTGGCTGTCCCCCGGGGTCTCGCGGCTGCCCCCAGCATTGTTGGAATTAGAGTTGATTGGTACACGCGGTCGTGCCACCATCTTCCGTCCCTGGTTCCTTCTTCAAGAACGCTGAAAACTCAGACCATACACCAATTGGGCTGTCTGTGCCTCCTGTCATGCCGCCGGCAACGTCGGATCTTGCAACCAATTTTTCTTGGGACTTTTGATTCTCGTATTAAGGACGATGAACCCCCCAATTTTCCCCTCTCCTAGCCCAAGTGCGGTTTCTGTGCAGCCGCCTTACGTGCGTGGTGGTAAAATGAGTCAATCATAAGGACAGAGTTTAATCGTAGTTACCTTTCCAACTATGCATTCACACGAAATTCCCCCGGCTTTTTTTTCCGTTCTATTCAGTGGAACCCCTGTCAAATTATGTTCCACGGGTGCTGGTAGAACACAAAAAACCCCGTGTGGGGCGCATAAGGCTTCCAATCGTCAACCATTATATATTTCATCAGTCACATATTCTTCCAACGCGATGCATCACGTCCCGTGTACTCCGTAAAACAGTTGAACTTAGTCAAATGGCTTAAGATTTACCCGAAATCCACGACCTTTTAAAAAAGGCGTAGTGATCTCCCACTAATTTTGCGGCTACCACCCACATCTCGTCGACCCGCCCCCGTGGAGTAAGTGACTAGTGCTTGATGGGGATCGGTGACCCGCCTCTTGATGTCGGCTTCATCGCCAGAGTTCCATTCGTGGTTGATGTTGGAGGGCGGGGTTCCATTTTTGAGTCATATCGCCAACATCACAGAGCGGCTGCACGATAATGTGCGGCATCACACGGCTTTCAGGCCGACTTAATCCCCAGACTTTCCCCAATGCGAATCACACAAAAATATGCAGGTGGTCGTCAAAAAAGAATCGGTCGCGCTCCCTTCTGCTGCGATGCGAGAATCAAACGAGGAGACTTGGCTTTACAAGATTTGCGATATTTTCAATTGTATGGAGCTACAACTCTTTCATATCGAGCTTTCATCCCGACTCATGTAAGGGTATATGGCAGCATTGTGGGGCTATGGTCACTAATAATACAAAAAAGAAAGGAACTGCCAAGCCTTGATCACTGCAGTGAAGCAGTGGCTTAAAAAAGAGCGAGGACTGCTGCGAAGACAGCAGCGGTGATGCCGAGAGAGTTACCAGCAAGCACATTGGCGGCATTGCTACCAGTGGTGCTAGCACCCGCAGCGCCCGAGCTGGTCGTGGTGCTGTTCCCACCGGTCGTGGCAGAGGTCGAGGTACTATTCGCTGCGGTAGATTGCGTTCCGGGGGCATCGGTGTTGAATGCGACCAAGTTGGATGTGAAGAGGGCGAGGGCGGCGATTTGGCTTTCACCGCCATTCTCGTCGTCATCCGTCTGCTCATACCAAACGGTGCTGCAGCAGTTATTGTTGGTGCCGCCAGTGCAGGTCTTTGCCGCCGCGACTGCGGAGCCCTGCAGCAGCGGCAAGATCTTCGCCGAAGTGTAAGGGGCAACTACGGCAATTTGGGCGAGATTCTGGACGAATGTGCCTTTCATAATAATCTGAGCCAGGTTGCATCTCTGAACCGGTTCGCAGGTGATCTCAACCATGACCGTGCCGTCGTCGAGGTTATAGCCATGGTTCGGGAAGAACTGGGCGGAGGTATCGAGTAGGCCATCGAGACCTGATTTCCACTTAGATTTGCCGTCGGTCTATGTCGCTATTAGCTTACTTCGTTGTGGCTTTCTTGCTTCTATTCATCCTGCGCGTTTGCAACTCACCAGGTTATACATGAATGCCGCACCCGCCATGTAGACACCGTAGTTGAAGGACCACTGCCAGTCACCGTGATCGGTACAGTTTTCCTGGCATGTGGTCGAATCGGCGATGTTCCAGGTAGTGGTCTCCACCAGCGAGGTGGTAGTGGTCTTCAGCAGCGGGGTGGTGGCACTCCAGTCCCAGATCTTCTCTGCCCAGTCGGAGTAGGTCTGGTTGTTGGTGTAATGGCCTAGGCGAGCCGCGAGCTCGAACAGACCGCCATTGCTGATGGCGTTCTTCGTGTCGTATCCGGACTCGTAAGGCCAGACTTGCCAGCGCATGCCGCCGCCACAGCTACTATCATCCCAGCGACGGATTTGGGCATTAAACACATTCTCGGCCAGAGTAAGCCAAGACGGCATCGTGGACCGCTGAGGGTAGTCCAACTCGGCCGCGGTCATTGCGGCAAGACCCCACATGACCTGATCGTCATTGCCTAAGTACGAGCTGTAGTTTGCGGGGAAATAGTCATTGTTTCCCCGTTGCCAGTACATCCCGTCGCTGACAGCCTCATTGTTGGAGGAGTCCCCAGTATAGTACCAGTATCGGATCAGGGCGTCGAACATGACACCACCTGCAAACCAGACAGCATCCAATTTGCCAGGGATGTTTTTGGATTCTCGGTCGTTGTAATCCGACATGGTATTTCCGGCGGCCACACTCGCCGCATTTTTGACCGATTCTTTGGCATATTAGCATTGGGTCTTTGGGGTCTTCTGGAAGGGCAGGGCATCTCACTCTCGTTTGTGATGTCCAGATCGATGGCAGACACGCTGCCTGCCAACAGAGCAAGGGCACAGGCCGCCTTCCAGTTCATTCTGCGCATTTTCGTGGCTTCTTCGTTTCGCAGAACCCGAGTGGGGGCAATGTGTACAAGGTCCAGGGACCGACGGGGACGAGCGGTGTTTTTATGTGGGCTCTTTTAGCGCATCGTCGCCCGAATTCCGACGGGGGCGGCGGGCTTACAAGCTTCGAGGTGGTAATTCCCACGGCTCTAACACAGAAAGCGTAGCGCTGGTGAGGTCGGGGACCCTGAAAACGCGCTTGAGAATCTGCTAGCCAGAATTCTGTGGAGGCACAGCCAAGGCACGCTTCTGATTGGCCGCAATGCCAGTGTCCGGCCAGGCTTCATTTCCGGTTCGCCAGTTTAGTGCTAGTGATGAGCCCCACCGCTCCCAGGCATCGCTACTGGTTGGGTAGGTTTGTGACCCCCAGTAGGTGAGAAGACGCTAGCGACAGAGATGTCCCTGAAAGTCGTCTAGTCGAATCCAAGGGCTTTCCATGAGAGATAGACTCGCGGCATTGATCGTGCTACACTGAGGAGGTAATTCGATGTCTCGGTGGGGTGGATCCGGTGAACATCTGCAGCGCAAGTCAACTTCATGTCAGGAAGTTCAGGAAGATCGATCTGTTCAATAGATGGCCCTTCTGGTCTATGCTGTCACCGGATTGTTGTGGGTTGTGCCAAAGCCACACTGAAAGGATTAAATCAAAGAAAGGAATACGAAAAAGGTTCCAAATGAATCGCGCAAAACGGCGACTGGCCTAAGGCGTCTATGCCAACAAATTCACGTGGCGCAGCCCGCTCGAGGTATGAAGAATTGGATACGCGGGCTGTTGCTGTTATTGTTTGAGTGAACACTAATTGTTGAGCACAGTACTAACTCGTGGCCATGAGTAATCCAGATTCCATACAAAAACATAATAAATGCGGTCTCCAGTGTGACCCATCACTTGCTACAGTAGCAGTAATTTACCGCTCCATGTTCTGACACCGTACACTCCAATAATACCCATCAAAAGTGGTCACGATTGGCTGCGCGAGATAGAGCCCCACACGTCACTCAGCCCTGTTATCCTGTACAGTTTTTGAACCAGCCAGCATCTGATAAAGAGCGTCGCTTTCTTAATAGAAGGATAACAATAAATCGCCCCCAAAATAACTTCCTACACAGTTTTGAACCGCCAAAGAGGACCATTCTACTCTGGCCCCCCGCCGGTAATCTATTTAGCGCTCTTCCTAGTCTGATCCCAGGTAGACGATCCTTTGGGGACAGATTCCTTGGGCCCTCCTAACTGTCATTTAAATCAATGGAGATCCCAAGGTCTTGAAAAAAAAACATCCTTTCTGCAGTGCGGGTTAGGGTTCAGGCTTTGAGTATGCAAGACATTCTGAATGCAACGCTAGGCGTGTTTCCTCCCCAGCTAGCCAGTTCGCAGGGCTTTTTCTCGCTGATCGCAATCTAGTTCAACAAATCCATACCATTATGTGTATACATACCGGCTGGAGGATATTGAGGAAGTGGTCTCTACTGCCAAGAAGTTTTTGCATGAGCCGAATATCACGGATGAGCCATATCTCTCAGATCGCCCGGACTGTACTGGCGTATCATAGACCTTGAGTACGCATGATGCAAGTTTATTCAAAACTAGCTCATGTCAGATACTTAGATACGCATTGATGAATTAGATCATCTCGCTCGAAACCCCTGATTAGAGCTGTATGGTTCTTGAATCCCCCTCTGTTCAAACTGTACTTCAACTTTCCCCTTTGAGCATGAGGTCGCGGTTTAAAAGCAGGTGATTCGCGCAGCTCAATTAATATCAAATAATCATAGCCCAATTACAGTGTTTGTTTGCCATCAGTAATCTCTTTTTCTAAATCTGCTTTGAAACTTCCCGTCGGGATACCCCCGCCGGTGGATTCCCCACAATATATATCAACATATATGCTACATGCATAGAGTTACTCTTGGAAATGCACCATGTTGTGCGGAAAAGAGCAAACGTTCCGAAAGTAATTCATATATCTCGTGAAGCTCTCTCAAATATCTATACAATCCTACCATGCACCTAACAGCATCCTGGTACAGGGGCAGGGGTCAAGTGGGTCCGATGAATAAACCCAAAAAGGCCAAAACCGAGGTCTAACCCTGGCCCACGATTTGTCAACGCCTCCATGTCCCTCCCAACGACCCACCCGCTGCAAAGACATTGGCCACACAATGTCTACTAAGATCCCCCAACGAGCTGACGAGACGGAGGGATTGCCAAATGGAGACTTTTTGCATCTGACATCCAGCGGGAACGGCACTCTTTCTAAGGAAGAGGTCTCTGGATATAACTACACCGCGATTGCCACCTGATTCTCTATTAAAACCAAAATCCTGCGCTTATCCGCTTCGCGAGCACCCCCTTCGCGCACGCCAGCCATAATCAACCACACCTAGCTCGACACAATGCCACCCAAGCCAGTGCCATTCCCGGGATTCACCCCCCTCTCAGACCGGGTGTACCTGCGCAGCGGCAACGAAAATGCCAAAGCCGCGCCGCCAGACCAGCCCACAACAATCGTCATCTTCGGCTGGGGCGACGGCATGCCGAAGCACGTCTCCAAGTACGCGGACGGATTCCACGAGCTCTACCCATCCGCTCGCATCCTGGTCGCCATCTCCAAGACCCTGCAGGCTTCAAACCAGCCGCTGAATGAGCGCGTCCAGGCCATGATGCCCATCATCGACACCGTGTTCCCGACTCCGACGGGCGACGGTGGGAACGAGGAGCGCGTGCTGCTGCACGCCATGTCGAATACCGGCGGCATCTTCGTCGCAGCGGCTATGGTCGCGTATCAGCAGCGGCATGGCGCGGATAAGAAGCTTCCGCATGAGCTGCTTGTGTGCGATTCCACGCCGGGCGGGCTGGTGTTCTCGGCGCAGGTGGGCCGCTGGTCGCGCGCTATGGCGGTGGGAACGTCGAAGTTCTTCCCGTGGCCGTTTGTTGTCACACAGGCGCTGTGGTGGGCGTTCTTGTGGGGGAGTTATCTGTTGGAGCGGATGCGTGGCACGGAGCCCTCCGGTGCGTGGGCTAATCGCGTGATGAACGAGGAAGAAGTCACGACGAGGCAGTCTAGCAGGCTGTATTTGTATTCCAAGGAGGATGAGATCATTGGGTATGATGACCTCGAGGAGAATGTTGCGCAGGTTAAGACGCTTGGGTATCGGGCCGTGGATACGGAGTTGTTTGAGGGCTCGCCGCATGTTGGGCACATGAGATTGCACCCGGAGCAATATTGGAATAGAATCGTCGAGTGCTGGAAAGCAGCGTTGGCTGCAAAATAAACTGACAGTGTTGGAAATGGGAAAAAATGAGGCCAGCTGAAAGGCCTTTAGGACATGGGTGGGAAGATATATAGCTTGACAAGAGAGACTAATGGGTATTAGTATAATGAATAGATCTGCATGGCATTGGAAAGGTTATAACCCTGAGTGCATTCAAGTATCTGAAGCGAAACTCCACCTACGTAGTCGAGGCCAGTATAAAGATGAATGCGGAAAGAGACCCACAAAGCAAATATGTTCAAAGATAATGCCTAGCTGTTGGGGAAACACCCAATCTCCTAAATGCCAGACACCATCCTACCACGACATCGCCTTCATGTCCTTCGGGATCACCCATCCATGAGCCATGCAAGCTCGTGTATAGGCTTGAACCGCCTCGCCGACGGAGTAATCGCCGACACGTTCATGCGACAGTCGTCCAGGGTGCGGATCCGTAGCACTAAGAGCCATGCGCACCTGTAGCAGGAGACTCTCCATTGAGGTAACCGCCGACCAGCCCGAGTTGGTAAGTAGTTCCAAGCACATGGCTCCTCCGGCTGTGACATGGCCGCCGCCACCTCGAGCAAATTCCATGAATCGCGGGCGTATAACGCGAACGAATGGCGGGTCCATAGGGAACTGTGGTGGGAAGCGTATCTCGAGGATGACGCTGGCGAGTTTTGCGGCTTTGAGGTCTTTGGCGAGGGGAAGAGTTGGATCGAAGGTATGCAGCTCTACAATCCATTGATAGACCGTTTTGATCAAGTTTGGATCCACGTACCAGCCGAGCTCATGAAGTGGCTCGCTGGCCTGGACTTTCAGGGTTGCCTGAAGGTGCCTCTGAAGGAGCTTGGTGGCCGTGCTAGTCGCAAATGTGGGTGGTGAGAGCAGACGTAAGCTTTGCTCGTGAAGGGTCCCTGGGATGAAGTCGGTCTTTGGTACTTTCTTGTCACTGCCTTTCTTCTTCTTGTTCGAAATAACTCCATCCGGTTCTTTCTCGGATTCGGAAAGGAGAATGTCGAGATCTTCGATGTCGGTTGAAATGCTCGCTGCATCGTCAAAGCTATCGACATCAATCGGGGAGCCCCTTGGACCCCTCTTTTTCTTCGTCTTGGTCTTATTCTGCACTTTAGCTGGGGCAGATTCAAGACTCTGTCGCCGCTTGCTGCTAAATGCTGAAATGGGTATATGAATCGATTTCCCGTTCGGACCCTGGACCAAATGTTTCGGGTCCTGTTGGTAAATAACAGATGGTGCGGTCTCCTCACACTTCGCATCTACGGTTGATTCCTTGCCTATTTGTACGAAGAGATATCGAGGTTGGATCCAGTCCAGGTGCTGCACAACATAATGCGGGGAGATTGAAACAAATTTCGCTGCGTGGTTGACGATTTCGTTCAAGGATATCATGGAGGTGATGTTCAGTTTGCTTTGTGGCCAGCTCTGACCCCAACCATGACTCCCGTAGCCCGCTGATATCCCGTAATGATTCGATAGGTAGACACCGTGACCATAAGCACGCCCATGCGCAACCTCGTTGAAGTGTAGCCCTTCTCGAAGAATGCTGTGCCAGTTATGCAGCGGACTGCCATGCCAGGCAAAGATGGTGGGATAAGCAGACTTGGTGTGCATGGCATGCTGATTGACCGCTTCCATAAAGCGTTGCTCTTTGTCTGGCGCTCCTTGAACCAGTCGAAACTGAATGAATCCCTTCATGCCGGACACCAGGTCTTTTGATTCCGAGCTATCCTGTAAGATACAGGATCGATTTGAGGCGACAACCCACCGAAGCAGGTCCAATGCAGCTGGGGCCACCACATCCTGCCAAGAAGAGAGCAATTTGCCAGATCCGTGATGGCCCAGAAAAGCAACCATCGAATCGACACTGGGAAGAGTGCCGAGGAGCATCGTGATACTTTTTCGCTTCTTGTCAGGGTCCAGGTCGTCGAAATTTTTGTCGTAAATCACGTACTGCACTTCTCTCGAAGCAGGGTATTTGTCAATAATCTCGGCGTCTGACAATTGTCGGCCTTGAGAGAGAGGACACGAGAGAGAGACAAATCCGGATGTCTCTCCGATATGCTGAACCCGGCAATGCCATGCGGTTTTGTTCTCTGCTATCACAGGCTTTTCGGGGTTGAGAATAACGATCCAATTGCCAACATTGACCTGCGGGACGAACGCGTGTGAAAGCTCCATCCTGGTGGTGATCAGTGTCGCCTCATAAGCATGTGGAGGAGTCCGGACGGTGTGTACTTGATTTGACGAAGGCGGGTTTGGACCCACGCGCACGGCAGTGTCACTGTCGGGGACTAGAGTATCCGGAACATTGAGTCCCAGCCCAGTCGGAAAGTCCACGAGACGGCCCGACTTGGCTCGCGCGTAGGCTAAGGAAACCAGCATATCCACGACATAGGGCTGAGAGCGAATCTCATACTCCAGACTTGGCCCCATGCCAAACGTAATATACTGAAACAGGCAAAGCCCATTGGAGCAGACATACGGCTTCAGCGCTTCGAAGCTGTCGTAGGTTTTGCAATGGCACACGAGACAGAACTCAGTGCACTTGATAAAGTGACGCATGAGAAACAGCATGGCTAGAAGAGGAAATGAAATTTTGGGCAAACAAAGACCTGCGTCGGCCATATGATCGGTCCGCAGGAAATCCGGAGCAGGCGTGACCCAAGTGTCTTCCACCATGAATTCTTCTGAATGGGCGTCATGTGGGCTGAGGACCTTCCCTTGGCTGGTGTGAAAGAACAATTCAGCTGCCGTCCAGGAGAAACCGTACTTTAACCGAAGTCTCGCGATACCGAGGAATCGCTCATTGAGAAGCTTCTCGAGTGGTGCCCCGATGAACAATCCTCGAAGAAGTGGACCCGGGTCCTGTTCTGCTGCCTCTGCACTCTGTTTCTTGGGGAGCACTGTGTCCTGGAAGGCTTTGACGGTGCTCCTGAAGGATGGCTTGTAGGAGTCACAAAGTCCCACTCGCAGTTGAATCATGGAGTCGCCGCCATTGTTAAGCTCCTCCATGGTCTGGTATCTGGTATAGCGAATCAGGAGGACCAAATACTCCGTGGGACGCACATTCCATGCGCTCATGGCCTCTTCCGAGAGACCCAACTTGGCGATGCGGATGGCCAGCGACACGAAAACGGAGCCCGCTGGGTCCCCGTGATATCCCACTTTGAAGCCCGCGTGCTTCACAGCACGAAGATCACTTCGGATTTTCTCTCGCACAATAGCGGGGGCTTTAGTGATGGCGAAGAAGGTGTCTTCATCCTCTGTCCAGTCGGATGGTTCATAGTCGTCTATGAACCCTTGATCGCTCGAGGTAGCAAGGTCGTCGATCATCTCGTCGGAAGACGGGGCACTGGAGCCCTGGACTGCCGCCGAGACGACGCGTTCCAACGTAGACAAAAAATCGTGGATAGACAGGCCATCGAATTGAGGCACGGTATCATCGACGGCCTGTGTGATCTCGGCAGGAACATCTTCGGATGTGGAGTAAACAAAAAAGGTGTGGCTTGAAGGGTAATCGTGGGGATCTGCGACTAGTAAGACATGTGGATCCACTGATCCCGGGCTTCGAGGAGCATTCTCACATACCATGGACTATCGCCTCGAAGCCAAAGCTGGCGCCTGCTCGAGGCTCCGTAAAGGTAAATGAAATAGAGCCATCGCCTTCACCAGCCCTGACCCCGGTGATTTGTGAGAATCGACCCGGCGTGGTGGCTTGATTCAGGTCCCTCTGGAAGTCTTTGGTCGGCATCACGATCAAAACAGTCTTGAAGGATCAGACGATGGTCGAAAGGCTTAACGATGGCATAAGCTCATGAAGGATTCAAGGTGTGAAAGTTCTGGAGAAAGAACAAGGAACAGGAAGGTGTTGAAGTGGAGCGAGAGTGTGAGATGGCAGGGCTATCGCAGGGGAACGAGGTGTTGCGGTGCTTAGCGCAACAGTGACGAGCATACACCGGCTAAGCGACTACTGGAAGACAGACTTGGGACCGCTTGGATTTACGTTTGTGCCAGGAACCGAGACATGGCAGAGATGGTGTTCCTTCGTGCGTCTCATAAGTCATCCAGGCCATGCAATTGTATGCGAGGTGGTTGTTGCGCCCGGACGCCTGTTTGCCCCACCCATTCAGGCAGCAGAGGAGGCTCTGTGGCTTCTTGACGCCCCGCGCACAGAGGGCGCGTAGGAGCTATCACATACGCAGGCCACTTCCTAGTCTAGTACCGACTAGCTCCCCCGGTTCAGGTTTAGTTGGACTTACTTCGACCGGACGGCAGTCGACCCATGGGCCGCTTATCATCACGTGCACATACGTATTTTGCCCATTCGTTCATAAGCGGCTGGTCCCTCAACAAGTCAAGCATATCCCATCAGCCAGTGCCACTCAGGATAATACGTTAACCACAGGTCATTTATCGTGGCCACAGAACAAATTAATTTACAAAGCTGGCCACGTCAGCGCTTTAGCGGTATTCCTGGCGTCCGGGTGAAGAATAGAGGGCGGTCAGGTGAAGGGGCCTAAGGGGCTGAAGAGTAAAGGCAATCGAATTAATCTTTTTAAAAGAGTGTGAAAACAAAAAACATACAACAGCATTACTATGGCGGTGGTAACCTAACGCCGACAATTTGGTCGTGGTCGGCTCGCCGCCCTATTCAGCCTGGATCCGGGCCCGTTCACCTCTTCACCCAAGGGGCCGAAACTGGTAGTCAAGAGGTACATACACACATTCGAGCAGGGAAAGAATTAACGACCCACCAAATGACCCTCCGAGTAGAGAAAGTGGCCAATTTTCGCTCTCCTTTACCGTGCTTATTTCTGTCAGCGTCGCGCTCTCCCTAGTTTTCCTATCACAGTGATTTCGGCGAATTACCAGATTAATATACTTCTAGAAGAGCTTAGAAGATTTCTTAAATATTAGATAGTTATAAACTTAGCTAGTACTATAACTCTTATCTAATTTTAATCTAATTCATTGAATTCTAATTCAATTCATCTAATCAAAATTTGCTTTATCTGATCATCGAACTTGCCCAGTGTCATTTTAGAACCCGAAATTGTATATCTTAATAGCATAACTTATAATAAAATAAAACATGATATATGAAAATTATACTGATCCACCTATAGGACTTTTAAACATCCTACGGGACTACCCCCTTACTCCCACCCATGGAAGTTGCGCGTCCTAATCTTGCGTTATTCAAATGTTTCCATCATATATACCGCGGGTGGCCCCCAGTGGGGGGCTGTTCAAATACCTGTCCACCACATGCAACTTGTGAGCGATTATTGTATCCTATTTCCAATAGATCCTTAGGGTAAAGGGACGGCAGTACATTTGATGACATAAATTTGTAGAAATTCGGTTCTGACGAGATTGACAATGCAACAGTATCATGGCTGAAATTTATCTAAGTGGTCTGTCACCATCTCACCCGTCCGCGCCTCAATGGAAGTCTTGAAAGACCGCCAGTTTCTTGCAGGGACGGCTCGAAAGATAGAAAGCTAGTGAAATGCGAAGGCTGCGCGATTCCTGCGTTTGTACTGTATGATACCTTGGCTTTCTCGACCGTTCGTGTCCACCTGTCGGAGTTTTTCTATTGCAATCAGTACAGAATGCTACCAATTTAGGGAGCAAGCAATGCAAACGACAACCTCTCTCCATGCACAGTAGCCCTTCATACGCAAAGATAGATTTGACCGCGGCCCGCGTATGACCCTGAGGATCCTCAAGTACCCAGGTGGGGTGGTGGGGCGGCGCTTAGCAAAAGCAAGCCCATGATCGCTGGGGAACTTGAGTAATCTATCCCGTTCAAACAAGAATCGCGAAAAAACATATGTCGACCTGTTGGTCCGCTGCTCTGTTCTTTCTTTTCTTCCAAACTCCCCTCTCTTTGGTCTCCTTGCTCTCACCTTGCCTCCGCCCCGACAAAGCTAGAATGCCGCGAAAACCATACCCCGCACCGCTGGTCATCTCGCCCTTAAGTAAAGAGCATACCCATACCATCATTGCACTTCATGGAAGAGGGAGCAATGCTGAACGTTTTGGTCGTGAGATTCTCGCATCTGCCAACCTACAAGCCCGACTCCCAACCGTGAAATTCGTCTTTCCAACTGCATCTAAACGCCGTTCAACAATACTCAAGAGGATTCCTATTCATCAGTGGTACGACAATTATTCACTTGATGATCCTGGTCAGAGAACAGACCTACAAATCGATGGCCTATGCGAGACTGCCGAATTCATTCGTGGCTTAATCACCAAAGAAGCACATATTCTGGGCGAGGGAGGCTACCGAAAGTTAATTCTATGGGGCCTAAGCCAAGGCTGTGCTGCCGGGATTTTCACAGTTTTGGGTGGCTGGCCTGACATAACGGAACCAAAGGCCCTTGGAGCATTTATTGGGATGCGTGGATGGCTGCCGTTTGAGCAGCATTTGAATGAAATTCTTCAATATGAGGACAACCCGGCATTGGCCGGAAACAGCTATCATGAAAAGCAATCGGACGACCACGATATAGAGGGTGGGGATATAACCAGTGATGAAGAGTCAGAAAGAGATGAATTCTCTAAGTCTAAGTTAGAAAACGGTCCATTTCAGCGACCTAGCCAATTGCGTGACGACTTCAATCCCTTTATAGAGGGAGAAGAAGAAGAAGAACTCCCTCTGCCAATCCAAGCGATAAACTATGTCCGTGATATCCTTGATCTTCCTATGCTTTCGACAGATGAAAAGTCACCAGTGCCATCGAATTTGTTTCAACTTCAAACACCCGTGTTTATCGGTCACGGCTCAGAAGACCCCAAGGTTTCTGTGTGCCTTGGCGAAAAAATGTCTCGAGTCCTTTCAACTGGCCTCGCAATGAATGTCACATGGAAGTCCTATAAGGGACTTGGCCATTGGTATCGCGTTGAAGACGAGATTCAAGATATTTTGAAATTCCTTGAAACTCACGCCGAGCTACCAGTGGAAGACGGATCACCAGTATCCAGTACTTGATGTGCTGAGGGCCTAGTCAGGTAGCAACGATAAGTCATCCAGATACCACCTCAATATCAGACTCGTTCTACCTGGACCTGTAATTCTAAGTCTCCTTCCATGCTCTCTTGTCATTTCTGAGAGCCTCCGCAACCTGAAACGCTCAGGATTCGCCGCCCTCCTAGGTACGACTTAGTGTATATAGGATTCTATAAATCATGGAAGTAATAGCTATTTGTCGCTTCCGGGTGACACCTGTATCGGATGGTACGGAGATAGTCCAATCAGAGGTTATCGATGTTGATATTGTTGTCTACCCAAGCGCGGACCAGATGGTAGTGATTACAACAACGCACTTACAGGGGACAAGTCAGCATGGGAAGGGGAAAGACACGTCAGCGCTTCAGGGGTGTGCAGGGCATTCGGGTGAAGAATAGATGGGCTTCAGGGTGTTCAGGGTGTTCAGGGTGTTCAGGGTGTTCAGGGTGTTCAGGGTGTTCAGGGTGTTCAGGGTGTTCAGGGTGTTCAGGGTGTTCAGGGTGTTCAGGGTGTTCAGGGTGTTCAGGGTGAAAGGGCTGAAGGGCTGAAGAGTAACGCGGCAAGGGCAATCGAATTAAAATTGTTAAAAAAGTCTGAAAGCAAAAACAAAAAACATACAACAGCCAGGATTCGCATGTGGTCACCCACCATACTACTAACTGGCCGGCGTGTGGCTTAAGTACGGCTGAGCGGACGGGAAGCCCTGTTCTCCACACCCTATGGTCGTATGTGCTATATTTTTGTATAAACTGATCTATATTTTACCTCGAGGGTATTGAAGACACCGTAACTAGTAAAATCCAGGTAAATCTGTTTTCGTGTGATGAAGATCTTCTTGGACAATTGTATAATTAGGCCTACCCTGTCATGGCGGCCTTTTCTAGGCTATTCCCGGGTTGACAATAACACACCGGAGAGGGCGTTGCTAGGGCCCTTGTTAATTAACTTCAAGGCTCTCGATGGATATCCGCTTGAAATTGTAAAGAGTGAGAGGGACATCATGCAAGAACTCCGCAATTTGAACTACATCAGGGTGTTGAGTCTGTGGTGCTCTCAATAATATCACAGTTCTGTGGTCTATTTCAGCTTGCCCAATCCAGACGAAAACCATCAGCGAAACACCTACGCTGTTGACAGTCAAGCGTATCACCAATGCAGTAGCTCTGTTATAAAGCCATCTGCCACGTAACTTTCTTCTCTTTGATCATGTCCAAGACTCCTGTGGGCAAGAACTGTTTGTCCACCAGGTTCAATCCACCGAACTTTGTCAGAAGATCATCCGCATACATGTACAAGATCCATTTGAATTCGGCATCAATATAATGGAGGCCAAATTTGTTTTGGGCTTTCCGCAAGGCGGATTCAACTTTCTCCGTGGTACAGGGTGAATTGTGACTGGGAGTATCCATAAGTCGTCGGTACAAGGCAGTCAGACTGGAACTCGTTTCGTCACGGAATCGAGTCCACTCTGCGAAGGTCATGAATGTATGCATCTCCTCCGAAGAGACAATTTCATCTTCTTCTGATGAGTTTTCAGATTTCAGGTTTCCCAAACGTCTCACCCGCTGCCTCGGAGTCATCTTCACAAACTCCTTTTTTGCCATATCGTACTCCGCAAGCTCCAACCTCAGGAAAGTTTCCACTAGCTCTTGGCCCGATTTCAGCAGGTGCTGGCGTAGCGGAAAAATCGAGACAAATGGGTTCCTCACGCCCAGCCCTCCTAACTTTTCAGGAAGGAAGAAGAAAGCGTCCGGAATATCAGACACGCCGAAGCGAGAAGCAATCTCATTTCTGAGATATTCAGTTAAAGTGCCTCCACAGTAGGTGTTGTTAGTCTTGGTCCCAAATATAGTTTTGTGCATTTCCTCATATGAGGTAAGGATGGCATCGATATGTGGCCGCCCGAAGCAGAATGCGGGCTCCCCAAAAGTGTTCTTGAAGAATCTGCCAATGCAGCTGTTCCAGGTTCGTATCCATGAAAGCAAGCTGTTGCACTGATCCAATTGTCTCTTGAGTTGATTAATGTGGGTCTGGACCTGTGAATGGTCGATAACCCAGTCGCCTGAAGAAGGGTCCAACATCAAGAAGCCGATTTTCACCGATTCATTAGGCAATCTCGACGCAATTGCAGGATCGATCGAATTGCTCAGATAGACTGATCCTGTCTTACTTTTGTTGAACGTGAGGCCGGTAATATTTGCGAACCTCTGCATCGCCTCCCACGATTGCGCGCACTTCTGGGGTTCCCCGGAGAGCCAGATATCATCATGAAGACGATACAGAAGGACCCCAGTCTCGCGTCTGACCGCAAGATCCATGAAGAAGAGGATCAATTCGCCAATGGTTTTCTCAGAGGCATGTGCAATGGGAATTCCCCTTCTGCGTTTGCGAGGCCCGAGTTGGTCATGTCCCTCGAAGGATTTGTCCATGTTCAACGGAGTCTCGAGGTATTTTCGAAAGAATTCAACCCAATCCTCTGAGAATCCGATGAATTCGAGGATGGTATAGACTGTGCTGTGTGGGATCGAGGTTGCGTACCACCGTAAATCCGACTGAATGACAACAGCCTCACCATGAAGATGACGTGCCAAGAGGGTCTCGGTGACGACCTTTCTCAGCAACATTTGCTTGACGCTTTTTCTTCTTTGCTCCAGATTATGCTCATCCCCATCATCGTAATTCCAACCAGTTCCTTCGTCATCTGGAAGTGCCGTGAGGAAGAAATCATTCTCGAATTCAGCTTTTCGACAGGCCTCCAGACTGTCGCTCCGCTGCTCGCCACAATAATATCTTCGACGTAGCCGGTCCTGACGAGTCATTTTTGGCTTCATAGGAACGTCCCACACCGACTGCTTGTCCTCGATGAATCCCTTCAGAGTATTCTTGAGCATCTGGCAAATTCGTATGCAAATGTGTTCGACGAAAATGGTTTCTAGAACGTCCTCGTCCATCCAAATTCGGTATTTGCCGTTCAGCTGCTGGCGTGGAAGCACAGGAACACCTTCACTATCGGCATGCCAGTCCCAGTTCCGCAGGTCGGCGTATCGCATGTTAAGCACATCGGCAATTTCATTCAAAGCAACCTTATTGTCCAAAAAATGCTTTAGTGTCTGCTGCTTCTGCTCGCTGATGATCTCCTCATTTCGAATGCCTCGGATGCATCGGGACAGCGAATCGACGGTGAAAGGGTCCTTTTGATCCCAAATTGATTGTGATTCGACACTGATTTTGGATCGAAGACTTTCCAAAGACTTAACACCGTCCGCGCCCGGGAAAAGTCCCTGCAGAAACGAAGTTATTTCGGCCGGGCTGGTTTCATAGGGCTTGAAAACCATGTCCTCGAACTGGTCGCATAGCTGCTTCAGTCTCTCCTTTTGCCGCTCATCGACAATCTCGAAGTCTTCGTCCTCGCTAGGATGATTTGCTACATCCTCATGCTTTGAACGAGGATTCATCCATTCGGTGAGAAGACGCGAATACAAATCGGCGAGATTCAACTTCCGACTGTACGCATCCAACCTATCACGCAGATGTGTCTCGAAGCCTTCCAGCTTCTCTGATGGAATTGAAGCGTCAAATCGAGCTTGTTCCACCCAATGTTCAATATTGGCAATTTCACTGTCGGACTCGGCGCCTTGGGACAGCTTTTTCGTTCCCACAACAAGCTGTGCAACCCGTTCTCGGAGTGTTGGACATTTGGACGCAGTTTCCAGTGTCTCTGCCTTGCGAGACTCGTAGATGTTACGTTGCTTTTCCAGCTCATGGATCTTGCTTCGGGTGAGTGACTGGAACGTTCTGGATAGATGGGGATCCATTGGCGGCTACGAAAGATGAAAGATTTATCAAGAAGAGTCGTCTCAGAAAATAAAATGTAGAAAGTTGAAGCTCTTAGCGGCAGCCTTGAACTTGAACGGAGGTGGCTCCAGGCTCCATTTAAGTGCTGGTTCATGATCTTTCTTTTTCTCAGCCTCAAATGTCGATGCGGTCTCAAATTGACGCACTCTGAATGAATGGCCTTGCTGCCTATGAGGGTCCCACTATGTGCCGCGTTGACCCTCAGTCTAGCGTGATGGATTTGACATATACTTAGATCGTCCATGTGACTGCCGTTCTGAGCACGCTAAGTGACTCACCGACAAGCGCCACTGTGCAGTGAGAATGACGCCCGATGCGTTAGGACTTGAACAGAAATGGCCTACGCTGCCTAACGCTGCCTGCTGCTGCCTCAGTGTAGATTAATTTCTGTTCCTTCGGAATATATTTATCCATGATCCATGGGTGGGCCCTGGATTATCTCTCAGGCTACTCGCGCCTGTTAAGCCTCGAGGAGCATGGTATGACCGCCTCCCACTGTAGATCGATTAGATGAAGGCGGAGGTTCAAACATGACACTCCCAATTAGGGCCCATCCAGCCTGGTGTGGAGTCAACAATACACCCAGACAGCTCTTGATATCATACAATCGGCTGACCTTCCAACCACCACCGCCACCGCAGGAGGCAAGGGCATTGAGATTAACGTCCTGATCCAAGCCAGTGCGATAAGCTGTACTTTCACCTCCCGTCTTGGCACGACTAGGGTCTGATTGTATGAAGCGTGTGAAGCAAGCAGATCATCGACCTGCGCGCGTCATCCGCCATGCGGCGGCCGCTGTCTCAGGCTATAGAAGACAGCCGTGACATTCTTTAGATTCCGGCTGTCTCCACCCTTCTGGGCGATCTCACCACCTGCGGGTAAGGAATCTCGCATTCTGGGAGTGCCGCTGTGTATATACGTCAGCCCGGAATGTCGGGTGACGGACGCGACGGGGAATTGGTGAAGTGGGTGGACTGGTATATAACGATTCTGATGGACTTCTGCTTGTTCTGACAGGTTTGGCAGAAGTTCCCTTGTATAGCTGTGGCCGTACGTCAAGGTCATATTCATAAGCATCGAATCTACACGCTGCTCACCATACGCCAGACATCCAACTATCCAACTACCCAGATACCGCATCCTGGGACAAGCCAATTGCGTATTGAGTATTGAGTATCGGACCCCATCTCTTCTGGAACCCTACACCCCCGTATTCCCAAAGTCCCAACTGCATATACTAATGCACGCCCGTTCTAGACAACCGCAAGGCCCGCTTAACCTCACAAACACCGCCTCCATCCATACTAATAATGCGCAGAGAAGAATACCTCGACATGGCTTCCACCCTCCCCAGTCCCAACGCACCCCAGAACAGGTCCCACCTCTGGGACTTTTTCATGGAAGACATCCGGGAAGACCTCCTCCTCGAATGCGAACTCCTCCTCCTCTCCTTCGCAACCGGCATCCAAGACGCCGCCGCCTGGCCAGACTACACCTGCTTCGCCTCCAACCAAACCGGCAACACGCTCTTCCTCGCCATCGGCGTCGCCGGCCTCACCAACAACGCCTACAGCTTCCCCAACATCGGCGTCAGTCTAAGCCTGTTCGTGGCCGGTGGCCTGGTCATGGGCCAACTGGGGAACTACGTGGGTGTGCGACGGCGGCTATGGCTTCTCATCAGCAACCTCATTCAAACGACGCTCGTCTTCTGCGCGCTGATCATCCAGTACTCATGGCCCATCCGGCGGGACGGGCCGGCCGCAATGGCTGTCATTGCGTGCTTGGCGTTTTCAGGCGGCGCGCAGGTAGCGATGAGTCGGTCATTGAAGATGACCGAGATAACGACTGCGATGGCGACGGCGGCGTTCATCGATGTGGTTGTTGATCCGAAGTTGGGGAAGTTGCGGAATCGGCTGAGGAATCGCAGGGTGATGTTTTTGGTTATGTTGACGGCGGGTTGTTTTGTGGGTGCGTTCGCGCAGCGAGAGGTGGGCTCGCATTTTCCGCTTTTGCTGTGTGCGATTGGGAAGGTGATGGTTAGCGGGGCGTTTTTGTTCAATAGGCCTATTGTGAAAGAGGAGGAGGAGGAGGAGGATGTAAAAGCGTAATGAACTATCGGTAGGCGCGGACTTGGTATATAATGTGGTAAGATACTAGCTAGACATTACGTGCCATAGCATGGTCTATTGCAGGGAACGATGAACATATTCTTATATTCTTGATTTCCATGGTGCCCTTGCTGGATTTCTCATATACTCTATATCAAGGTTTACAGCCGTGCGTTGTAGGTAGTGGTGGATGATAACAACTCGGATTTTGGAGCTAGCCAGATCCCATCTCGTCTAGCCCTAAGAGGCTAAAGATGTAATTCACAACGACCTAGCAGCTGGCGTCACCGTAAATGCGTGATTGCATGGAGAGTAAAAAGATTGGTAGTAGGTAGATATTGAATTCCATGTCCAATTTCGGCATAGTCCATAGACTGCCGTGGTATATAGGTATAGCACTAAGAATATACAAATGACCAAAAGCGGCCAGTCATCACAATAAACGCCCCTCCCCCCTGGAAACCACCAAACCAAGCCCAAATATGCAATGCAAAGCTCACACAAACAGCGAACTGTTCGGCGACAGTGTATCCAACCCAGACTCGCCCACCAAAACGGGGAAAAGCCTGCGGATCCTATCCTCCAGAACGGCCTCCTCGGCCTCCCAGCGCTTGAGCTCCTCAGCCTTGCTCTGCTTGCGGCCGCCGAACCAGGACCGGGATTTACCCGCGCTCTCGACCTGTTCCTGGTGCGCCTGCGCCACGAGCGCTGAGACCATCGTCTTCCAGTTCTCCAGACCGACCTTGAGGCACTCTGCGCAGCGCGTCCGCGCAGGCTTGTTCTCGGCGCCGCGGAGGTCGAGCATGGTTGACTCGGCGATCTCGACGGCGTCGCGGGTCCACGCCAGCCCGTGCTCGCGCGACGACGAGGCGAACAGGATCTCACCGATGTAGGTCATCAGGCCTGCTTCATCACACGCGGAGGTGGATGTGCGGAGAGGTGGCGTGTCGCCGGAGGGGAGGGGGCGGGGTATTCGGCGGGGAGAGAACATATTCTTGAGGGATTTGACAAAGCTGGCGATGGGGTCGTTGGAGGCGCGGGGTGGTGCCGGGAAGGAGAAGGGTGTGTTGGCGCCCGAGTCTGGGGCGATGGGCAGGCTGCGGCGGGCCTTGAGGACGGATGTGAAGAGAGAGAGAGCGGTGGAGAGGTCGCCCTCGCGCGCGTTGTGGACTGCCAGGGCGGTCGAGACGCGGAGGATGTTCTCTGAGGGCAAATCGGTGCCGTCATTCTTCAGAATGCCCGTCTTCAGATCCACAATCTTACTGGCGTCGTCGACGCCGCCAGCGGCAATGTCCAGCGCCCACGTGTACATGTCGCCCGCGGTGCTCCCCAGCCCCTTGAAATCAAGCCAGTCCGCATACGCGAGTGCGGCGTCGAGCTTCTGCCGTGTGTCGAAGCCCTTCGTCGTCAGGACCTTCATGTAGAACGTGTGCGGCGGCGGCGACGCAGCCTCGCAGTTCTCCTCCTGCGGCACCTTCTTCTGCCCCGCAGGCATAGGCTTCGGCCGCGGGTTCGACGGGCCCGCAACATACTCCGCTGGCGCAGAGATCTTCTGCTTGCGGTCCGTTAGCCAGCCATCCAGATTCTCTGCAGCCTTGGCCGCGCCCATGAGAGCCTGGAAGTAGCCGCGGCGCCATGGCTCGCTCTTCGCCGAGATGTCGAGACCCGTGCGACCGACACCCTCGACGAAAATCCCGCCGTCTTCCTGCTCGATAAGGCCCTGGCCTTCGCCGTCGGTCTTCTCCAGGCGCTCCAGCAGCTCGCGCAGGTACCCGGCGACCATGGGCCAATTGGTCATCAGCTTGCCGATGTGCTCAGGGTGCATCATGGCCTGGGCGGAGCGCAGGCACCAGCGGCTTTTCCAGGTCCATTCCGGCGGGGTGGGCCATTCGTGCTCGATTTCTTCTTGGTACAGGCCGAGCTTGATGACCTGGAAGAGGACTAGAATGGCGTAGAAGGACAGGCCGATTTTCAGGCCGCGCGACAGTCGCTTTTTGAAGTGGTTACGGCTTTCCGTAGAAATGAGGCGCCCAAAATGTTGGCGGAGATGAATGGATAGCGGTGGGAGAGAGCGAATGGGTGTTAATGGTGATAAGAAGGGTAATTGAGGGCGGCCTGGTGGCGGGGAGAGAAGCAGCCGGCTGCGGTGGGTGAATGGCTGAAGCCTCACTTTTGGACCGGGCGTCCGGAAAGGAAGCAGCACCGGTCGAAGGTGGCCTGGTATTCGACCGATGGCGTTTCGAGGGGGCAGCATTGTGGGTTGCTGGGTGATGGTGCAGCAGAGGTTCGCTGATGAAGTCCTTTGGGGATCTCCATCTCTGGTGTTTGCATCGTTTGCAGACAGCTCCTCCAATAAAACGTGGGGAGCCGACCCGCCTTACACTTACACTCCGGTAGGAACAGAATCACATTTGAAAGCGAAGGGCGAAATGAGATTGAGGAGACAAGGCGCAAAGGGAGCAGTATAGGGAGCATTTTATAGTATCTCTGCGATTCCCTCACAGTTTCCACAGATTTCGAATCTCGAAGCCGGTCATAGCTCGTACTACTCAGTCCACTGCACTCCAGTCTACAGTGAAGAACAAGAAGATTGTGGTCAAACATTCGATTGTAGAATCTAATTCGGGGAATCCAATCGCACTAAAAAAGCAAATCGAGAAGCTCTATGGACAAGATAATGCCAACAAAAGGAAAAAGATCATAAGAAGAAAAGAAGAGATCTGTCAATCATCCAGCCTAGCCCAGCCAAACAACATCTACTGCGTCTTCTCGAAGTAACCCTCGCTCTCGAGCACAAGGATGATCTCGTGCACGATGCTGCGGACAGACTGCTTGGAGGCGTCGACAACGAGGTCAGCCTTCTCAGGAGCCTCATAGGGGTCATCGACACCAGTGAAGCCCTTGATCTCACCACGGCGAGCGGCGGCATAGATGCCGCGCTTGTCGGTCTTCTCGCAGTACTCGAGAGGGGTGGCGACGTGGACGAGGAAGAAGTTGCCGGCCTGGGAGACAGCGTCGCGGGCGTACTTCCGGGAGTGCTCGTAGGGGGCGATGGGGGCGGCGATGACGGCGGCGCCGGAACGGGTCAGCTCCGAGGCGACGAAGGCAATGCGCTGGATGTTGGTGTGGCGGTCCTCACGGGTGAAGCCCAGCTCGGATGAGAGCTCGTGGCGGACGGTATCGCCCAGCAGCAGGGAAACGGAGCGGCCGCCCTGCTGGTTCAGGGTGACCTGCAGGGCGCGGGCGATGGCGTCCTTGCCGGAGTTCATGTAGCCGGTCAGGAAGATGGTGAAGCCCTGGCTGGCGCGCGGGGGGTTGGATTCGCGCAGGATCTTGACAACTTCCGGGTAGGAGAACCACTCGGGGATGTGAGCGCCGGTGCGCAGGCGGCGGCGCAGCTCGGTGCCGGAGATGTTCAGGGTCTTGACGCCCTCGGGGACCTGGTCGACGGGGCGGTACTCGTCGGAGTCGGGCAGGTAGGTGACCATCTGGAACTCGACGACCTCAATGCCGAGCTCATCCTTGTACTTCTCGACGGCGTGCTGGGCGTCGTAGGCTCCGTAGAAGTCCACGCCCTTGGAGTTCTTGCCGGGACCGGCGTGGTCACGACCGACGATGAAGTGAGTGGCGCCGTGGTTCTTACGGATGATGGCGTGCCAGATAGCCTCACGGGGACCACCCATACGCATGGCCAGGCCGAGCAGACCCAAAACGGCCATGCCGTTGGGGTAGCGGGGAAGGAGGGCCTCATAGGCACGGACACGGGTGAAGTGGTCGATGTCACCAGGCTTGGTAAGACCGACGACGGGGTGGATCAGGACATTGGCCTGGCGCGAACGGGCCGCGCGGACGGTCAGCTCACGGTGAGCACGGTGCATGGGGTTGCGGGTCTGGAAAGCAACGACGCGGGACCAGCCCAGCTTGTCGAAGTGAACGCGCAGTTCAGCAGGGGTGTCTATCGAAGGATTGCATTAGTACACAACTACATTGTATAGTGGCCCGGGGCAGGAACGTCTCCAATCGCGATTTGGGGGAGGAGCACATACAGCGCAGAGCGACATAGTCGTAGTGGTTCAGCTTGTTGACAGCCTCAACCTTGCCACCAATGTAGAAGTCCTGCACAGTCTCGTTCAGGTATACGATAGCCGGGTGCTCGGGGTCACCACCGAAGACCAACTTAGCCTCCTTCTCCCTAAAGTCAGGGGAAAAAGTATACGTCAGCAATCAGACCCACTAGAAAGCACGAGCCGCTCGGGGGCTCTCTCATTGCGTAAGGGAAGCCAGACATGCGACCGCGGACGCTACTCCATGCCGCCCAGGGTGAAAGGGGGAAGAGCGGCGGAAAGCAGGCCTATAGAGCGGGAACCCATCGTCGTCCTCCTGGGCACGCGGCGTTGCAAGGGTATTGCGGGGATCGGCAGGATGCGAGCGAACTCTCGAATCGCAGACCGACCGACTCCGACTCGGGCGCGGACAGGAAAAGGATGGTTGAACGGGCTGAAACTCACTTGTCGGGGCGGTAAATGTCGTCGATGGTCAGAATGGCCAGGTTGCGGTCGTCACGGAAATCGCGAAGGGTGATGCGGGCGCCGGCCTTCAGCTTGTTCTCGTCGATGACCTGCTGGGTGACGTCGAGGGTGATGGGCATGGAGAAGACGTTGCCATCAGCAAGACGGCAATCCTCGCAGACACTAAACCAGACATCAGCTGTTTGTTCTCCCGCCAGTCGAACCGTGATGGCTCGAGTGCCATTCCAATCGCATCATCATTCTTGTGGAGGGACATACCGGTCATAGTCGGCCTGGTTCATGAAACCTGCGCGAGATCGGCATTAGCAATTACCCCTCCGTTCATCTCCGGCCGCGCCGCCAAAAAAAAAAATTGTTTCCCGCACCGCACAAGTACGGCGAGTCGAAAAAAGCAAAAGCAATTGAGGGGTCACCGAATGGACAAAGTAATCAATTGTACTTACCCTCCAGAGGAGAGAAACCACCGTTCATGATCAGCTCGAGATCGCACAGCTGGCGCTCGGAGAGCACGACGGCGGGGAGGGTCTCGGCCTCGGCGGCGAGCTGCTCCTGGCGGGGAGCATCGCGGGCGAGCAGGTCCTTAAGGACACCACCGTGGGGAGCGTTGGCCATGGTATGTATTTAGAGAAGAAAATGGAGGAACACAAACGAAACGATGAGACTGGATTCCCCGAATGGAAATAATGTACAACCGAGAAACACGAGGGAAGGAGGGGGAAGGAAGAGGAGGATGAAAAAGGAAGAACAGAAGTAAGGAAACAGGGAAGACTGGCACGGGTAAAAGCCGGACCTTAAAGGACGAGCACGACATACACCAGAGAAGCTTCCACGCATTCCGCACCAACTACGGAGTCCCTACCAGTTCGACGTACGTACCACACCCCCCTGCAACGGACGACGACAGCGGCGTGGCCTGGGACCACCTGGGACCATCAAGGCCCTGAACAGTCGTCAACGGTGGAGCAACTGGAGTCTTGGCCTGGCGCATCCATCCAGCCAGAAGGCCCGCCGCCGGGGAACCAGGGCACGGTGCCGACTATCAGTTCCACGGGGACCAGGCCTACGTTTCGGATTGACTTCGTGCAGGGTCTTTCTCCAGGCGCGCGTTGCCTGGGTTTAGCCTAGATAATTGTAGGAGTTTTCTACCAGTCTATCTCTAACTATGCGGTCCGACGCAGCAACTTCCCCTGTTGAAGTATCTCCGGTGTCCCGGGCTGGGCTGAGCTGGTCCCTCCGGCCGATGATCCAAGTCCCACGCGGAATCGTCCCCTCCGTACTCGTTTATGGCGGGGATCTTCAGCTCCGATTTTCAGGGGGCGGCATTCCCTCCGGACAACACAAACAACCCTGCGTGAAGCCCCGGAGTCATGATAATAGGGTCCATCGACGAGGCCCTCGTCTGCGGGAAGTCGGCAGTTGCTAGCCAACTTTTATACTTGCCCAGCGGGTCGAATAACGTGATCGCCCAGTCAAAGTGGCGTCTCACCGGCATGTTTTCGGCACGTGACCAGCACGCAACCTCCGCGGTGAATGTCGTGATCGATGCTTCTCGAAGGGGACTAGGGGCTTGGCAACTATCCTTGGCAGGCCTGGCCCGGACTGGATTTCCTGACTCGAGAGGGAAAGAGGGAACGACAGACTGTAATCACTGCTCTATCTTAGAAAGTATGTACCTGCAGATGAAATATAAAGAAATGGAGACCCTCAGGTCGGCCCGGACTCCAGACGGTGTCCCTCGCATTAAACGTTACCTATGTACCGATGACAGGTGAACTACGGACAGGAGACACCCGAAGGCGCTTCCGCCCTGCGATGTATCCCGAGTCCTCGTCCTAGTCCTACACTATATACAAGTTTCGAGTTTCCCCAGTCCTCCTCCTAGCCCTCAAGACATCCCAAACACATTTCGATCCGGAGTATACCGTAGCGCTTTTGATGTACTGCACCGCCATTGCTCAGCTCACGACCGTCCCGTTGCGCAACGTAATCGTCTTCTTCTCAAAGTCCAGCCCGTACATCCCCATCAGCTCCAGCGTCGGATGCGTTGCATCCGCATACGAGTCCGTCAGGTATGTCTCGATCTCGGACTCGGATGACATCGCCGAAGGAATAGACCCCGTCTTCTGGAGGATATACAGCACCACCACCTGCGAGAACTGCACCACCTCGCTGGGCACGCCCGTGCTTGTAGCCGTCGTCGTGGCTTGCGTCTTAGATTCGCCAGTTGTCGTGGCCGAGATGGCCGTCGCAGTCGTAGACGCGGCGCTAGCTGTGTGGGTCGACGAGGAGACGCCGCTGTTATCGTAAATGATCCCGTTTGAAGTGGCTAGGGACCGGGGGACCAGGGCAGTGGGTGTGGGCTCCATCGAGCCGAGCGAGAGCAAGGGGTTACTCTCCTCGTCTGCAGAGGCGGGTAGGTCCAGAGGCAGGGTGACAGCGCGGCGCGTCTTGTCACTGCTGGTGTCAACGTCGAACGAAACGAGCGCGTTCTCCGTCTGGCAGGAGATATTGTTCATGTTGAACAACGCCATGATCGTCACCGCATCCAGGCTGATCCCAAACTTGCTCTCTGACGCGCTGAGCACCGCCGGCAGGTCACTGCCCATGGTGGCGTTCTTGCTAATCGTCCCGTTATCCACCGTTGACGAGACGCAGCTGCTGTCGCCTGAGACCGTGCACTGCGAGCCGGTGTACCCGTTCGAGCACACGCACGAGCACTCGGAGCCACTTGACACGCTGACGCCGCCGTTCTGGCACGGATTCGAGGACGCGCAGGAACTCGCGCTGCTGTGTTTTTGGTTCGGCACCGCGATGAGAAATACCGGGAGGAGGATCGCGAGCACCACGATGATGAAGAGCAGCATGCAAAATAGGATGAACCACTTACGCGGCATGCCGCAGCATCTGCGGGCCGGCTGCTTTGCCTTCGTGTTCACGTTCGGGTCATCGTCGCCGGAGCCGAGGGCTTCGACGTTGCGCAGGCCCGAGCGGCCGAAGAAAACGGGCCAGGAGCTGCGGCCTTCGGGCGTCTGTAGGCCCGGGTTGGGGAAGGAGGCGAGGATATCTGAAAGAGAACCCGAGCCGCGGCGGCGACCTGGCCCACCTGGATGGAGAGAAAGTTAACGTGGTTATTCCTCGAGGGGGTATGCACTGTCCATATTGACTCACCCATTGCAGCCTTATAATCGGCCTCTCCGTTCACAAGATCGGACCGGCTAACGGTCCTCCCGCGGTCGAGGTTGGAAGCGAGCTTGGTAGCACGTCGAATCAGGTCAGACAAGCTGGACAGACTACCACGTGCCTCGGCATCGCGCACGGCGTTCATGTCCAGGCGCGGAGGCTTCTTGCCGGCGGGCCGCTTGTCGCTCATTGTAGGAGCAGGTTGGGGCAAGGAGTCCATCTCCTTCTCGTAAGCGGCATCGTACGGCTGATGATCGTGCGGCTGCGCGAACCGCGGTTTCTCAGGATCCACGAAGGATTCATCCGATCCAGTTGAAACAGATGTCCGGCGCCCTGTGCTGGGCGCGTGAAGCACTTGGCTGACTGCAGCGCCGACTGCGAGCCCACCAGCTGCGTGATGCCGGTTGTGCTCTTCCTGGGGGTTGGCGGACGGCACGTCCGGGATAGGGTCGACCTCAGAGGTGGGGTTGGACTTCATGATCGTGCGCATGGTAGGCTTGCCGCGCTTGCCGAGACTGGCATTTCGGACGAGCGTGACGTTCTCATCCGGCCGGTCGTTCTGCGGGTTCTCATCGTCCGAGCCATCGTCCAGGTACGCTCCCAGGATCTCGGACGCGGCGGGACCAGAGCCCCAGCTAGACGGAATGGCGCGGCTGGAGGCCAGGGATCCCAGGGTCTGGCGGGGGCCGGGGGATTCCTCGGGGATGGGGGAGATAGAAGATCTGCGGGCATTTGCTGGTGGAGCAAGGCCTGCGATGCGTCGTCGGCAGTCGTCCAGGGAGTGAGATGGCTCTGGGAGTGGGATTGGAGGCACATCGGGGACAGAAGGGGACGCGGAAGCAGTCGATTGTCGGTGGAATAGCTCATCCGTGGCAATGGAGATGCGAGGCGTCAAGTCCACAGTGCTGGTCGGGCTCGCACAAGCCTCATCGGTTGTGGATGGGGGTGCCACCTGCTGCGGCAGGATGTAGATTGGTTTTGGATGCGAGAAAGAGCGAGCCGGTCGGGTGGTATTGTTCAAACTAAGTTCTGAATCCTGGCAACTGCGTACTGAGTAAATCGAAGGCGAAGGGATCTGCGAGGGAACTTCGCTGGGACGCCGGGGTCGTGATGGGGGAGGGCCACGCGGAGCCAGGAACCTGGGGTGTTGAGGATTCAGAGGCTGGGGATGCAGAGGACGGGGCGCAACATCCGACGCAGGAAGCGGCCATTGCGTCTGATGAGCGATGTTCCTGGCGCCGGGTGATGGTCGGGATTCAGGAGGAGGCGGAGGTCTGGGTATCAGCGCTGGCGGCGACGCTCGAGGTGGACGGACACCCGCTTCCAGCAGCTCCCTGGCTCTTTTCACAGACCCTTTGCGGTCCGGGTCTCCGTTCGACGGGCTAGGGCTCGGCCCACCACTTCTAGCGGGTCTTGCACTCATTGGTTCTGGGTCCTTGTAATGGTTGACACTGGGGGTTAAACGATGGTCGGTTGTGTTGTATAGTTCGAATGCAGACTGGAGCTTTCTAGGGCATCAAGGAGAGACGCAAAGACCTTTGAAGATCGAAAGGGGCGCAAGTCTCCGGATGATGCACGATAGCAACTCGATACCCTGATCGAGGAAGAAAAGAGGGTGGTGCGAAAGACGCGAAACGAGAAAATGGTGTCGAGATATCCAACCAACAGAGGCTCTGCAGCGAATCGGGAATCGCATGCAGATAGGCAGTACCGATGTGCAGCAGGGTTGCACACTACGGGTCCAAGCTGGCAATCAAGATCACAAAAGAATGGAAGGGCATTCAATGCCGCTGTTGGCGAATGTCAGGGCTGTTCCCGGCAGTGGAAGGATAGAAGTTTGTCCCAGGCGGACAACGGCTTACCAAACGTCAAGAACAATGGGAGATTGTGTCAAATTGGAACGAGAGGAACAAAACAGAGTCGCTAGTATCAAACTGGCGATGTTTCAAACACAAAAGCCTAGTGGGAAGGGGGATGTCAATCATTGTCTGCCATTCTGTTCTCAAGCCGCGAAGAGTTATAGTAGGAGAGATTGGCAGTTGCAAACCGGGCGAGGTGGAAGCACTGGGGAGTAGATTCCACATTCACTTACAGCACAGAACCGCAGAAGGAGGGGAAGAGCCTCAAGCTCCTCGAGGGAAGGAAAAAAGAGCGAACGCGACAAGGAAGAGAAGAGGAGAGAGAAAGAGAGGAGGCGTTGCACGATACCCTGCCACTGAGACTAACTCGCGCGCAGCCAGGACCGGACACATCCGTCTAGGCTGCCTAGTCGATTAGTCCAGTCCATTATTAGTCCACTAACCTCAAACCCCCCGGGTCAATTAGATTAAGACCTCATTTATTTCCGCCTACGAGAAAGCCACCGCGTTGGTGGAGTCTCGCGACCAGAGCTATCCCGCTATCAACCCGGGTCGCTTTGTACGCAGTCCGAGCGCATCTCCCAGCCTCAATCGTGTCTCCTGGCAATCTAACGACCGCGATAACCTCCATCACCAGGGCACCTGATCTATCCGCCCTCACTGGTGCCGTTCTCAGCGGATCAAGCATTCCCTGCTGCTCGCCCTCTGAAGGGTGCGATCCTGCAGGGCCGCAGGTCCCGGGCTGACATCCAATTGTGTCCTTGGACAAGGCGTGCGAGACAGGATTGGTTTCAGGTCGCTTCACCAGGGTGAAAGCTCCCGAGGCCTGAGGGCTTGAGGGGTGGAAGGGGGGCCCAGACCAGATGGGTCAGAATCAATGGGACCCTGGGCGAATCAGCCGTGCTGGCAGGGACCCTGGACCGAGCGCGACAGATGATGGCACCGTGCGCAACGAATGAAATGCCAAACGATCTCAAGGGTGTTGCACCAGTGGGGTGCCTTCCCGGCGTTAGTCTCGGACGCTACGTCTCATGTTGAGAGGGGCTTCGCTTAGGGTCAACCTGGGAGTCGGATAGCGACATGTCGAAGTTTCTGATTTATGTTCTACCGAGGGCTCAAGTATGCTGGAGTGGTGAGTATTTGTTTATGAGTCCCCCGGCTCAGGGACCGAATGAACGGCCCCCGGATTGAACTATTTGCACGTTGGCGCCGGAGAACCCGCCCGCTTCGGGAAAGAGTCGGGGTGACCGATTGAAACATGCTGACTTCATTCCCGACAATGCATGATTCAGCACACAAGCTCGCGTCAATTAAAGTACGAAGTACGGAGTACAGTTTGGATCGATTGATACAAAGCGGGCCGCCCAGATCAACGCCTCCGTGATAGACTGCATCCTGCCATTGAGCAGCTGGGACGGTTCCTTGCTCTAGTGGCGTCCATATCAGGAGCCATCTCGCTCGCCCACCGTTCGTGAGCGCCCCGTGGAGCTCGGGGTTGGCTGACTGATTTCTTCCACGAACCAAGCGGGTCACATTGCATGATTCTAAAGAGGCCCAAAATTGAGATTGAATTGTGTAATCATCGTTGGGGGCCGCCGCTAATGCAACTAATGTACAGGCTATATGCCCGCGCAAATGGCTCCTTATAGCGGTCACTATGGCGTTTATCTTCGCAAAACCGAGTCACTGAGAACCGGCCTTCTCGGAAGAGTTACCGCTGAGCTCGCTCCGTACTTGTGCGATCTTCTGTTCCAATGCCCGCATTTCCACAATGGCGCCCGCCAGTTCGGGTACGTGGCTCAGGACAGCGTCCGTAAAGGACTTCTGGGCGGTGCGCAGCGAGGGCGGCACCAGGATGCCGTACCAGTAGATGGGATCGTCGGAGCGGAACTTCTTGCGGACAATCTTGGTCTCCTTTGGTGCTGCTGTATCCGCGCTGGAATCTTGAGAAGAGGAAGTGTCTGTTTCGCGTGGTGATTCCGTGTTTGTAGCTTCCCTAGATGCCGGGTCATTGTCGACTTGGTCGTCCGTCTTCTCGGTATTCTCTTCTGCCGGACGGTTGGCGACAGTCTCCAGGCGAAAATTGTAGTAAAAACCATCCGGGCGAGACCCATCTGCTCCATCTGTCAACTCTGTTTGATGTGCGGAGTCGTCCACCTCGGATTCAGCGTGAATAGATCTGTTATATCGCAACTCAGTAACGAATACTTCATGCCAAAGGATCCGTATATTTTGCATACATATTCCGCGTCGCCTTCATCCGCTCATCGTAGTAGTCCGCACCATATCGCCGGCCGGGCGGACAGGTGTAGTTTGCATGGGCCAGGGAAAGGAACCCCTACCCGAGGCGTCAGCATCATGCCATATTGGAGCCAAATTTCCCGAACAAAAGAGCCGTACCGAAGACAACTGCTTCGCCAGCCCCGACTGCAATTTTTGTTGCCGGTCCAGCAGGTGCAAGTACTGCTCAAGCAGGGCGTCCAACGACAGTTGCAGCTCCGATGACGCCCCCGCGGGCTTCGACACGGGCTCGGGGGCTTCCGAGCCTGGACGCGACGGTGGCGGCGTGGGAACCTGGGACATAATGAGAATGATGAAGAAAAGCACCAAGTTCGTCGCCCCAATTCCGTTCTTAGAGACTGTCAAAACTGATACCACTAGTTGTGTCCTGTCGTCGGGGGTCGCGATCGAGAAAGAAGAACCGTGGAGCGCAGGAGCTCCGGCCCGGTAACTCCGTCATTGGGACCTCCGAACGCAAAAGAATTTCCCGCCCTACGCTTCGTCCGGGGATCGCAACTCTCTCTGCCCTTCACCACTCCGCCTCTGCCAAGGCCGGATCTTGTTCTGCTTTGCATCAGCTATCGATCTGGACTCTGTTGGTGTGCTTTGAAATCACTTGTCACCCGAAAGCGCTTTGTGACTGTGCGGAAACCCTGAACCGCCACCTTCGTTGACACGGTATATGCCTGCGCTTGCACTCCCCACCTCGTGAACCACAGGATCTCCTGGTGCTGATTGATCCGCGCGACCTTCCAAGGCCTTTCCCTACCTCAACTCCCCGTCATTAAGCATGTCTGTGGCGTCTCTCCATCGTGATACCGCCTTTCAGGTGCGGTCGTTGGTAAGTCCTGTCGGGCTGGGATGTATCCTGAGCCACCCTCCCCACCTCCCTATCAACCCCCGGCGGAGACATCAATATTGTCGCATGTAACTAAAACAGTGACGGTCATACAGTTCCGCTCCCTGCTGCGACAATCGAACCAGTTCTCCAACTACAACTTCCGCGACTATGCTCGCCGCAAGACGCGAGACTCGTTCCGCGCCCACAAAGACGAGTCGGAGGAGCGCCGGATACAGGAGCTGATACAGGATGGTCTGCAGAGCCTTCGTCTGCTGAAGGTCAGTGGCTAGCTTTATCGCGTTGGGGTGCCGAGGGGGTTCTCTGGGGTCCGGGAGGGATGGCTGCTCTAGATGTGCGCTGCGCCGGATATCCCAGAAATCTGTCCTACGCAAGCCCGAGATACGCTATTGGATATTCACCTGGAGGGAAGCTAACACCTACTGCAGAGGCAAACGGTTATCAGCCAGTTCTATCAGTTGGACAAGTTGGTGGTGGAAGGCCAGAAGACGGTAGGTGCTCTCAGTTGATTCTGGAGACTACGTGCTCGACTAATGCCGTTATTTCAGGGCAAGGAGACCGGAGACCACGGGGGTATTGTCCGCCAGAAGGATACTGGGTATGTGCGATGTGCTCCGAATATCATGGATCCTGAACACCCACCTGCCTTGACATTTACTGACAGTACGACAGCTGGGACTGATCGCTTTAATTGATTGATCAATTTGGAGGAACGGAATGGAAAAGGCCTGCAAATTTTCTCATCGCGTTGGACCAGTACGACATACCAGGTGTGACTGGCATAATTGGACTTGATTCTTTTTCTCTGTATCTATAGTGCGAGCGCAGCCACTGCGGACAAATCTATTTCTCCCGAGTACCAGAATAGAAAATCTCTCTCCTCATGTCTTTCGCATTGATCGCATCTGGTAGGCCTGCCATGTAGCTGCCGGTACACAACTCTGCTGGATGCAGTCCCTTTGATGTCATCACGTGACCATTCCTGACCGGCGACGGGAAAGCCTGCAGCGGCAACGCGCGACACGGGACCAGCGCTACGCTCCGCCCATCCACCCCCAGCTCCCCACTCTTTGCGCCTTTGTGCTGATCGTTTTTCTCGCTCTGAGCGCAAGTTATCTGGTTCTCAAAGGGGACTAGAAACTGCAGTGTTGCTCATCATGCCATCGACTGTACGTCTTGCGCCCGTCATTCTCACACTCCCTATTTGTCCACGGCGAGCTTCCTCGAGCTTGCGGACGATTGAGAATCAGAGACCCCTTCAATTGAACCAAGAACACCTGCTAACACACGATACAGTTCAGAGCCTCCCGCTCAGGGCGACACCTCGACAACGGCGCTAACCGCTCCCGAACCGGCCAAATCGATCACGATGTCTTTGAGGGATTGCCTGTCCGCCGCTGGTCGCGCCAGCCACACACCGTCTCTCAAGCGCCCAAGGGCGAAGAATCTGAGATATGCGTCCAAGGCCCCGGCGGAACCACTGCGCTGCCGGAGCTGCCCATGCCGCGAGACAGCCAGCTCCTGCCCGCAATGAGCCGCGCCCTTTTGCGCGCTGCGCGTGCGGGATGTATCTATATCCGCCCGAGTGGCCGGGCAGCTGAGGAAGAGAAGGAGGAGGCGACAGATGCGGAGGACCAAAATGCAGCGACGGTCCACCTGGCGGACCGCAGCTTCATCAGCCGCAAGTGGACGACCCTGCCTAAGCATATGGAGCCTCCTGAAGTAGAATTCTTGGCGAAGCGGCGGCCAGGGCTATCTTCGTTATATGGTACTAGCGTGGAGGCAGGTGGCGCGATACCGGGTCCCATGAGAAAAACGAAGATCAAGAGGACGGATCCTGAGACTGGCAATATCTCTATATACGAGGTCTGGGTGCCAGAGGGGCATCACATTGAAGGCGAGATTACGGGTGATGTGCAGATGATCGCGGAGCAAAGTGAAGTTCCTGTAAAGGCTGAGGCGCCTGCTCCAGGAACGGTCGTGGAGGGCGTCGGTGTCGTCAATGCCGAAGGTGTGGTTGTTGCAGAGGCTGGCTCGGCCTCTGTCATGACCCCGCCCAAGCGCCGGCCGCCTCCTCCCAAGCGCAAGGGTAAGGGCATTGGCAAGGGCCGGAAGAAGAAGGTCATGTTTGCTCCCGGGGGAAGGGGCCGATGCTGCAGCAGTACACGGCGTTGCTCCTGCTCATGGAGCCGTCGACGGCGCCAAGGAGGGAGAGGAGTCGCGACAGGTATCAAACGATCAGTCTGGTCAAGAAGAGGATGATGACGAAGGTGAAGAAGGCGATGAGAGCGACGAGGGTGATGAGTCTATGGTGGACGCAAAGACCCCGGAGACCCCCCAGGCTCCGCCTAGCTTTGAGTCTGCGGAAGAGCCGGCAGTTGAAACTCCTGCGGATCAATCAAAGGATGTCGAAATGGCTGACGCTATTCTTGAGACGCAAGCTCCCGTTTCAGAGCCGGTTGTTGCTGGCCAAGAACCTCTTCTACAACCGCCGACGGGACCTGCCATCATGCAAGCCGAGACCCCTCAAATGGATGCCGATGTGTCTGCATCTGCCTCCGCATCTGTAACGCCTGCTCCTCCTGCGGAACCTACTGCCGAAGATACCAAAGAATCGAGCGAGCAACCTGTCGAGAGTGCACCTACAGAACGCATCACACCCGCATTCGAATCAACAGAGGAGCCATTACCGAAGGAAGAATCACAAGCTCCAGAACCTGTTATCGAAATGCAGCAAGCTCAGGAGCTCGCCGATATTACGCCAAGCGAAGTCAAGCCAGAGCCTGGGCCTCAGCCTGCGGAAGAGAGCGTACCAGCTCCTTCCACCGTCAGCCCCGAGGAACCCATTGAAGAAACACCATCAGAACCTGCGAAGCAGCCGGAACCGGAACAGCCAGCAGAGGAGGTACCGGCGACACAGCCGGAACCTGTTGTCGAAGAATCAGCTCAGCCATCAACTAACGAGCAAACCCCCGACCGTGAACCCGTTCATGCTCCCGAGCCTACAAAAGGTCTAAGCACTCTTGAGCCTGCTCCTGTGCCGAGGGAAACAAAAGAAGATATTGAAATGGGCGAGGCACCTCCTGCAGAGGAGTCCGCCACAAGGCAGTCCCCTGTTAAACGAGCCTCCCCTGCACCGGCTGCACCGGTTGAGCCTGAGATTGAACCCACCACAACTGAGGGTAATGAACCTCCTACCCCTGAGCCCTCCGAGCCTGTCCTCGCCGAAACAGCTCCCGCTGCAGAGCCCCAGTCAGAGGAGCTGCCAGCATCAGCATCAGCATCAGCTCCAGGTCCGGAAGATGTCCTTACGGAGGCAGCCCCTGCTCCCGAGCCGTTGATGGCGTCGGAGTCCAAGTCCGAGTCTGAGTCAGAGGAGAAGAAGGATGAACAAGAGCCTGCCCCTCCTGAGTCTGCATAGTATCCGTTAAAGCCCTGGAAGCGATCTAGCTTCTTTATTTTATTACCGCGTGTACAATGCACGGCATGGTTTTCATCATGCCTATTCAGATTGATAATTTGCGTCTGGATCAATGATGGATGTATTCGGATGTTTTTGCAGGTTGGCTGGAGTACAGGCTGGAGTTCATAGTTGATAATGGTTACTGTTCATGTATCATTCCCTTGAAGAGATTTGATTTTAGCTGAGTTCATAGTAACACCATGAGGGTAAGGGTAGTTCTAGACCTCGACTCTAGCAGCCGAAAGTGACTTATTTGGAAAGGTCATCTCTCCTTAGTGAGTTCTTCACGGCTTATTTTTTCCCGGGCATCCAACGATCTCGTTCCGATGGAAGGAGTTGGCTTATCCAAGCAGCGTATGAGATGGAGACAGACTATTTGAGGGATATCGCCTACCATTCAGCCACAATTTGAGCACTTTACGAAGACTATTCGGCGTTTATTCTCTTGGGAGAAATTGTTCTGTAGTTATCAGTAGATAGTCGATTGGTCTTCTTCAACTCAGGGGTTCACCCCAATCAGTGTGTTTAATGGAATATATATAACTAGGTACTTGCGTGCGGTCCAACTGGATTGTTGATGAGTACCTAGATACTTATATATCTGCCTCAGTGTCTGGTGGAAGAAGGACTACCTAGCATTTCAACCTCAAAGTAACCAAGGTGGGTGAACCCTAGGTAGGTGTACAGGTAGCAATTAGGCCGTTTATTGGTATTACGTAGACCATACAGGAACAATCACAAAACTGATGTTCACCACTCAAAGATGTTGAAATTTGAAGGTAATCTGCCCCTGTTACACACAAGCTTATTCAACGCTCAACCCAGTCAGCATCACCATCTTCAGCCATCAAAACAGCACCAATTTCACCATCCCAATATCACAGACAGCCAAGAGCAAGAGAAAAGGAGATCGTTCTCGTGACCATGGCGCATAGGAGAAACGCAAAAACCCCAAAAATAATGTGGGAAGAAAAAGGGTAACAGAAGACTTCAAATTAAATTGAAAATTGAACACAGACGAACCAGGGAACGAACAAGCGGAACGCCATCTCGGCTGCCGAGGAACAGGGTGCAGTTAGAGATACCAGAAGGGGAATTAGCTAAGAATCGAGAGAGGAAGAGAGACGAGTAATGTCACCATAGCTCGCAGGGCAAAGGTTGTGGAAACTATGATGCGGAAGGCATAAACAGACGCAACTGTTTGTCTGGAAGCACGTGAACTTGAGCAAAAAGGATGCTGCTTTGATAGCATGCAAAGTTGACGAAAAAGGAGATGTCAACACAAAACAGGCTGGCCAACGACATGTGAAATGCAGAGCTGCTGACTGGTGCGTTGAGGGCGTCAAGCATCGGGGTGCAGTATGCAAGTGCGAAGGTGATATAATACGAAGAGTTGGATCGCCGTACATGCACATGAGACCCTGGTCGATGCGGCTCGCTCGAGGAAGACTTTAGATCTTCTTTCCCCTAACAGTGCGAACGACACTCTTCGCGGCGCTCTTCACGCTGCTCGTCAAGCTCTTCTTCGCCTTAGGTCCGGAAGCCGGGCCAGACTTCCTCGCCTTGGAAATGGGCATTCGAGCTTTGACGGTGCTCTTTGTGGGCGCCTTCCTCACGGTGGGCTTCCGAGGAGACTTCACTTCATTCTTCTTGGCCATGGCAGGCGATTTAGCGGGTGATTTCGCAGGCGACTTCTTGGGAGACCCTCCGTCGGTGGCCTTAGCACGCGCCAAAATCTTCTTCTTGGTCTCAGCAGATGGTCGCTTAAGGGATGACGATGATCCCTTGTTTGGTGAGGCTGGGGTGGCCTTAACAGTGTTGACTTTAGCAGATTTGCCCTTCTGGCGGGCCCCCCCTCGAACAGCAGCCTTGACTCTTGATGCGGCCTTTACCTTTGGCAGTTTGACAGTCTTTGCGGTCTTTCCTCGGCCGGTGGTTGCCGAAGTCTTGGTTGTCTTCTTAGTTGTTGTCTTCCCACGCGTGGTGGCCTTGGCCACGGCCTTCTTAACTCCAGCTTTGATCGACTTGGGGGTCAGCAGCTTGCGCTTCTTCTTGCCTTGTTGCAAGACCGTGCCCTCGGCATCGGTAATCTTTCGCTTTTTGCCGATGGCTTTCTTGGTTGTCTTCCCAGTAACTTTGGTCTTCTCTTCCAATTTGGCTCGTTGATCTTTATCCTTCGGCCGGGGGCCAAGGATGCCTCGGCAGTTTTCCGACCCACAGCGGCACTGCTGAACATTTTTGTTGGAATAGGGACTGATCAATGTGTCAGTAACAATTCAACCTCTGGAGATTTTGAGGACACTTACTCAAAGTTGTAGTCGTAGCTCAATTCCTCTCCAGTCATGACGCCTCGATCACCGGCGAAGAGAGCCATGCGTGGCTTGCCTGCGACAGTCCACTTCTCCATGCGGCAATTAGGCTCACAAGAGTGATTGACAAAGCGAGCAATGGATCCTCGAGTAGCATCGATGATCATGTTTTGATCAAAGTACATCAGATAGTAGCACTGTAACAGCTGAGTCAATATCAAATAAGGCATGCCGCCGGAGAGTCACTCACCTCATTGTTCTTGTACACCGATCGCATTCTCCTTTCACACTCAAACTGCGTGATAATCTCTCCAGTGTACTCGACGATGATTTGATTCGGGTCGAAGGTGCGATTGCTGCGAACACCATACCCACGATCTGCGGTCTTGATGACTTCGACACCAATATTGTACTTGCCACCAGCCTTGGTTCTGTGCTTGAGCTCGTTGAAATTCCGGTTTCCGCACTCCGGACCGAGTCTGCAGTTGCCGCTGTCGCACTCGTAAAACATGTAACGGTTTTGACAGTTCTCGTCACAGCCGGTATCCTCCTCACACATACAAGTGGACAGTTCCAGTTTCTTATTAGCCTTCCATTCACTGGCAGCATCTCCAACAAAAACATCTGACGCACCAGTTAGTTTCGATCTTACCACATCCAATTTCAGACGAATGGAAAAACACTCACTCTTGTTTGTCTTCCGCCATTCATCTGGTTTCGGTTGACCCGGTGGAAGCGGCGAGAAAATGTCGAATGGTAGCACATAATCCCTGCCGGTATTGATCATACGGGACCCGGCGAACATAGGCATGGGAATTAAGCGCCGCTGTGCGGGGATGGAGCTAGACTTCGCAGAGTTCTTGCTGCGACGCTGCTTGGGAGGCGAATCGGAAGGCTCTTGACCCGTATATAACCCATGAGCCAACCACCGCTTAGGCCTAGACCTAGGCGGGGAAGCCGGCGCAGTCGGTTCCTCTGAAGGAGTCTTGTTTTCCTCTTCGCGCAGCTTGGATAGATCGCTTTCAGAGACTCGGCGCTTCTTCGCGGCAGGTTCAGGAGCTGGAGCCGGCGCCTCCTCCTTCACCGGCGTCGCATTTCGGGGCCGAAGGCTGGCACGCCGACTAATCTCCTTTCCATTTTCGCCCAAACCTCGCGAGCGCTTGCCCAAAACGCTGTTAGCACGCCCCAGTAAATCGGAGGCTTTATCAATGATACTCTGGCGAGTTGATCGGCGCACAGAATGGCGATTGCTCCTGGGCATTGCCTTGACCTTCAGTGTCTCATTATCTTCCGCCAATTTCTTTTCCACGCGCTTTCGTAGGGTTCGTTGCTGAAGCGAGGTGGCCATATCTTCAGCCTGGGGTTCCTGCGAAGACTTCGAGACTGGTGTGCCGGGAGCCATTGCTTGGCCGTCGATCATGGTATCGTCATCGGGGTGCGCGGTACCGTTGAACAGGGACGATTCCATCACGGCGATACTGTGCCGGAGCGAGGAGCGAGTCCGCTTCGCATTGGCAAGGCTCTCGACATACGCCTGGCTGGTTGAGGACGTCGAGCCATCGGCCTCAACCGATGTGTCCAAGGTTTCAGCTTTCTGTAGCGATGCGCGTACCGCTCGTGTTGACCTCCGGCGCGGCACGGGTTTCTCCTCAGTAGACGCGTTTTCATTATTGCTTGACGTCTCCGAGCGGCTGTTTTCTGGCGTGAGGAGCTGTTCGGGAAGGTCGAGGCTCATCGTGTCATCGGGCTGGTCGTGTGCAGGGACGTCAGCGTGTGCGGGAGTCGTGGACGTCGAGAGCCGGGAAGTTCGGCGCGCCATGTTGGGAAGGAGGTGCCGAAATCCGGGGGAACACAATTCCACACAAGCTGGAGAACCGTCCTCTCTCGTGATGCGCGCAGCGGGTGAGAGAGTCGGGAGGGTATTGGAAGTATCAGGGGTGGGTGACGGTTGGAGGATCAGCAGCCGCGCGCCTCTTATCAATTTAGGGCGATGCGGATGTCTGACGCGTGCAACATCAACACTCAACTCCGGTCTCAACCAGCACTAGTCGAGTCCGAAGTGATACCAGATCAAATACAAAGATGCAATGGAAGGGAGGAAGGGGGAGTAGATAACATGACCATCGCAAGTGCCTGGACGTGGAATGCCAAACTCCCCTCATAACTTTCACCCCCGCAGGACGGATTCTACGCGTGATTTCTTGTGCTTTGGCTATTCGGAAACAAATTCTATTTGACCAGAACATATAAAGTACTCCGGCCATTTTCACTGCCCCTGCAACACAGACGGCTCCTAACAAAAAAAAAATGACCAGAGAGGCAAGTAAGGTGAGGATGCTTCCCATAACATTCGGAGAGGCCTTCATAGAGGGCTGGAACAAGGTTTCGGAAGATGTCAGAAGACTATCTCGACAGGAAGACGAAAAGAAAATTGAGACAGAAGACATTGAAGAAGAAACATGTGGTTCAGTGAGCATGGCTAAAATTAGCCCGAATTCAGACAGTCATAACTAATGACAGGAGGAAAGGCTGGATAAGATATGAAAGGCAAAGAAAATTCCAAAGAATGTCAAGGGCAGGGTAGTACAATCCGCCAAACGTAATAAACAGATAGATAATATGAGACGAAGGGTATGGGAGGTAAAGGACTAGAAATTAGAAAATCGTAGATGGGAACAATCCCGGAATTAAAGGTGGACTTAGGTGACCAGAAATGAAAGATCATATCGTCGTTTTCACGGGTCGTTAGCAGGGGGGTTGAGGCAGAAATGCCCAAAACACTTTTCGTTGGGTAGTGGTTGTGCATTGCTTAGTCCTGTCGATGGGGACCGACATTTTGCATCTCAATCCCCGCCTGAGATTCGACGTCGCGGGCGAGATACTTGCGCTTTTGCATGGCGTAGCGCTGGTCTCCCTCTTCATATGGACGCTTGAATTGCATGTAGGTAGGCGGGCGAGGTCGCCCCAGAACAGCAATCCAGTTTTTCAGAAGATTGCCCTGAGTGAAGGGCCGGTGACGGTCGTGCTTCTGGAACTTGTGAGAGTTGAGATACTCTCTCGTGGTCTCGCCGCGGCCGACCAGAAACAGGTGGTATGCCCACAGGGAGGTCGGATATGGCACTGCAATAATACCATAGATTACCATGGCCCAGGGCACTCGCCACTTCGAGATGGAGGCTCCGAATGAGATTCCTTCACGGTTCATATAAACCAAGATGTGCGCAAGGCTGGCTCCGATCAAGAAAAAAGACAAAATTGTACACGAGCTCACGAAGGCAAAGAAGTAGCGGTAATTGCGCCGGCCAACACAGTTATTGAGCCAGACACAGTGATGATCAAGTGTCTCAACACAATTGTCGCAGACGCGGCAGTGGTAGCAGCGGGGAGGCCGCCAGATACAACAGGTCTTGCAGTACTTCACAGGCACGTCCATAGCCGCAACATCGGACGTGGCCAGTTTGACCATGACCCAGTCATTTGTGGGTGGGCCAACAGCCAGTGGGTCGTCCGATGTATTCATGGGAGGCATTGGGTGGACATTTCGAGGCATGATCTGAAAGGGTCGTCATTAGCGAAAATGGAAAAAATCTCGGAGAAGCCAACTACTCACGCCAGGATCAACCACGGAGGCGTGCACGAACGAAGAGAAACAGATATAGAAAACGTATGCGAATAAGATGGGGATGACAGGGGAGATGTTGTGCCACAGCCAAGGAGCCCTAAATCACTGGTTAGACGTTGTCCAAAGAAACTTCCGAAGGAAGAGGTTGCATACGAGAATCCAAAGAATAGGGCCGAGGGAACTACCACCAAGACTCCAGTAGCGATGTTGATAGGCTTGTCCCTTGAGTTCAAGAACCGGCCACCAAAACAGAAGAGGGTATTGCCAACAAAGTATTCCCAATTCATGCCCAGACTACTCTTAGGCAACTCTTTCTTGACATCCATCAGGCCTGGAGAGGAGCCAGCAGAAGAAAGTCGCTCATGACCCCGGGAATCGTGGTGATTGTGCGCGGCGCTCTTATTCTGCAAGGACAAGAAAGAAAGAGGTGACTTCGGAGGCACGTCTTGCGTATCGTGTCCATTATAGTTCGCGCTGAGGTTTAGATGGCCGGGTCGAGGTTTGTCCTTTTGATCTCGATCTCGGAGGAGCCTGACGCTCTCGCCCAGGCTTCGAATTGTAGTATTTCCCGTGGGGCTAGCATTGGAAGTATTGCGGTCGGAAATGATGGGATCCGTGAACTCTGTGCCTCGAGATGGCGGGGCTTCCATGTCAATCGGGGGAAGAGATCCATGTTGAAGCGTGCTGTTTGATATCAAGCTCCTCCGATTCTGGCTGGTCTGGTCGTTCCAATCATCGGTCGACGATATCGTTCCTTTGGTCATCGGCCGCCCTCCACGGTGTGCCTGCAGTCGTTGTGAACTCATCGGCCGAAAGAACGCTTGAGCGGTCAGGGACGGAATGTGCGTCCTGCTTAGCCGGCTTCCCGAGCTGCCGGGTCTGCTCGTTACCTGGCTCGATGCAGTCATCGAGTTGCGGGTAGTGTGGAGAGCACGCCGAGAGACCGAGGGGCGTGGCTGGACCGAAGGTGGTGGCGACGTGTAAGACGGAGAGTGCTCCCCATCTTCCGAGGCAACATCCGTCACCCGGGATGATATTCCTCCCACAGAGGGAGGCCGAGGGATTCCCAACACATGCTGCTGTGCGGAGGGCTGGGTCGTCTCGCTAGTATCGGGGCGGTCTCCGGAAGGCGCCATGATTTAGGAACGATGGTATTTGACTGTGGCTAGGAAGCAGTGCTCTCTATCATAATTGCTCTTGCAGTTAATCCAGGATAGGGGTAGCAGTGCGGCGAGATCGCGGTGGACTGTAGGCTTCAACGAAGCGGCGGTGATCTTAACGAGCGAGACAGCGAGGAAAAGGAGCGACGAGTGGGTAAGACAGCAGTGCTAGTGAGAGGCCGAACGAATCAATCGAGGTCCTAGAGGGTCTGTTAGCAAGGACCGTCTGGCTATGTTATGAATTATCAATTCCACGCGTCGCAGTATCGAAATCCGGGGTCTCAGATCCCGGATCGAGCCCCTGATCAGGAAATCGCAAGATGGACGATCACACACTCACCTCTGGCATCGACGGAGATTTTAGACAAATCAAAAACAAATCAAGAACAAATCGATGGAGACCAATTACATCACAGCTTTCAGAAAGAGCGTAGGCGTTCGCCCGATTGAAAGCGTCACGGATGAACCACAAACCAAAAGCCAGAACCAACGAACGGAACGCCGTCGCGCATCCGCAATTTGCTTGAAGCGGCGACTCGCTGAGTCATCCCGAGCAGGCGCTCGGTCACATGACACGGCAACATCATTCGATGCTCACGTTTCTCTCCCACCAACCCCGTCTCCAGTCCTCCGCGAACACCACATCCACGCACGACCCGCTGCAACCATGTCCTCGATCGCTGCTATGGCTACCCGCCGGGCTCTGGCTCGCCAGCCCATCTTCCGCGCACCCCCACGCCGCTTCATGTCCTCCAAGGTCGAGGAGGCCAACCTCGACAAAGCCCCCAAGCGGGACCCGGAGCTCTACGTACGGCTTCCCAAGTGCCATTGATCCTCTCCAGATCTTCCAACCTAATTTTTACGTCTCCAGGTTCTGCTCGGTGTCATGTCCGGTGCTTTCTTGCTCGCTGGCTGGTGAATAGCACCCCTCCATCCCTCTTACCCGACAACTGTGCTCCTTGCGACGTTGTTGCCTCTTCCTGCGGAATGCCTCTACCGAACAAAGAGTTATACATACATGCTGGGAAGCTTGCCGACCCTTGAAACTGCAATTGGCTAACAGGCGGGATTTCGCGATGTCAGGTACTTCGGCAGCAAGCCCACCTCCGTCAACTCCGAGAGCAACGTCCGCATCGGCGAGTCCGCCATGCCCTGGAACGCCACCTCTGAGGATGGCAAGATCTACAAGTACCAGTACCACCCTCACGGCGACAAGAACCAGCCCCTCCGCGCCGCCCCCAGCGCCATGAACACCGTCATTGTGCCCAACGTCACCCTCCCCGAGGTATGCCGTTTCTTTCCCTCCCAAGGCCCTTTGCCGTCGTTTCGGTGTCCGAACATACGATATCCGAACACGTCTATGACATTTCGGCATTTCGGCCCACCCATGTGTTTTTCGGAGTTGCTGACCATTCTGTGCTTTCCTAGGACCTCCACGAGAAGTTCAACAAGTACGGCAAGGAGGAGTGGGACTACTAAACGGCTTCTGCGAAGTCCTTTAAAAGATGGTGTGAGAGCGAACCGCCGCTTATACGTAAGCGGCCGGCTGCTGTATACTAGGACTGTGGTGACGAAAGGGGATTGGGGGGTGGACGTGCCATTGCGATTACCGAAGATTTGTGCATAGTATCCGTTGTTCAGATAAGAGTCAATTGGGAACCGGTCTCTTCATTTCATTTGTCAACAATCGGTCACATTCCTTACGCCTACGGTTCTCTTGTAGTGGTTCTTTGAGATGGGTTGATTAAGAGGGTCGAGCTTTTCGGGAACTCTCGGGTTCCACTCCGCCCGAAGCTAAGCTATAATGCAGACAAGGTAATTGGACCACCGCAACAACAAACGCTCATATCACCATTGATGATGTGCAGTACTCTAAAGCAACTAATCACGACGAAGAAAAATAACTGTAAGGTTTCATGATACATGGTGTGAAGTTTTCTCGCCCCCTCTCCATTTTATTGGTCGCCAGCCCTCAACTCAATGCTTAGTAGCTTCATTACCCTCACTTGCGGGCTTCGCCTCAGGGGAACCAGAGCTTTCTACCGAGCGCACATTTCCCTCAACCACCGAGGCAGGGCTCTCAGGCGGGACCGAGTCCTCGGGCTTTCCAAGACCGGTTTCGGGGTTCTGGCCCTGGACATCCGGGTGCGGAGGCGCAAGCTGGCCATCCACGATTGGGATATCCTGCGCGTTCTCGAGCTTGGAGCGGGACTCGTAGCGGGTCTCGAACTTGACCTTGCCCTCCGCACGGAGCGAAGCGACCAGATCATCTGGGAGAACGTTGCCATGCTGGTCGCGGTACTCAACGCGGGCCATGGAGCCAGAGAGCTTGGGCTGGGTGACGGCGGCTTGATCTTCCTGCTGTTGTTCCTGGGGGCTTCGCCGACGGGCGCCTGGGCCTGCTGGGGCGCGGGCTTGTGAATCTGGGCTTGCTCGGTCGGAACGACGTGCATGAAGTTGTCGACATCGGTAACATATTGGCTCAGCTGTTGGTGAAAAGCGTGTCAGCCAATGCGATGGTCGATTATATTTCTCAAATTCCTCGGCGTGGAGGCTTCCATTCCGGAACACTTACGTCGGTGTGAAAGGTGTTGCAGTCGAAATCCCAACCATCCAGAAGCTTCACCTTCTGGCAGGCACTCTGGGTCCAGGGGTTACCGTAGATCAAGGGAGAGTAAAGAGCGAACACCGCAATGCTAGAAATCAGGAATCCGGCCATCAGGGTCTTTCCAATAGCAGGCCGCGACGCCAGTCCAAAGCTCTTAATGCGGTTGGTGATAAAGTCAAACTCTTGGCAGAGCACCATGATGGCGAAGTACAGAGCCGGAAGATAGTGGTGCAGGAAGAGCTGGCGGGCCATCAAGAAGAATGGGAAGTAGTGGAAGAACCATCCGAGAACGCTGGTGCCGACTTCGTAGTCAAAGCGCTTGAACGAGACATGGCGGTAGTCATTGCAGCTGCGCTGCCAGCGAATGACCGAGATGGCCTTGAAAAGGAAGTAGATACCAATGGCCGCGGTCGAAGACCACCAGATGAGAGGGTTGCCCAGGAGGTAAATCTGACGGTTATCCTTGCCCCAGAAGTTAATACCACGGAGAAGGGTAGGCCACGACGGAGGGCGGGAGTCCCAAGCGTGCGACTCAACCAGGCCCGCGTTGGTGGTCCACATGACTTTCTGCAGCTCCCAAAACTTGCCCAAGAAGCCAGGGTTGCGGTAGTTGACCTTCTCAGCATTCGCGGGAATCATGGGGTGGGTGTTGGATTCGATGTACCAAACGCTGTTAGGCAGTGTACCACCACGAGCGCAGGTAACTTCTTGCTGCTCAAAGCCCCAGTCGGGAAGCTTGACCTTGTGGGAGAACAGAACACAGCCAGTCATGACGTGCACAAGCCTGAACTTGGTCTGAATGGTGCGTACGCGCTTCTTGGCTTCGGCACCCTCAGACAAGGACTTCACAATCTCAATCTTGAACAGGTCGTTGGCATCACCAGGGAAGCCTTCGTATCCGTAGGCAGAGACCTCGAACTGCCAGTCCGCTTCAGTCACAGGCGGGCGCTCCTCGTGGGAGTGAACACGTCGGTGGGTAATCTCATGGTAAAGGCGGATGACGGCTCCATCCTCGATGAAGCTTGCGGTGTTGTTGTCCCAGGCATAAGGGCCCTCGATCTCACCATAGGGACCAAGGGGCTGAGTCTGGTTCTCCATGATGAAAACATTGTTCTCATCCTTGTGGGGATAGAGAGTGATCTGTTGCTGCTTGCTCCCAGTGGGGTACATGTGGTTGTGCGAGTGCAGGTAACCACCCTGGGTGTTGTGATGACGAAGGCTGATACGAGAGCCGAAAGAAACATCGGCCGGCACGTCCTGCATGGACTTCGAGTTTAGGGTGGCCTGGAATTCCGACGACATGAAACCATCACCCTCTCCGGGGTTAACCAGGCAGAGGAAGTGGATGCCAAACATGGCCATATAGAACGCGAGAGGGATGACAATCAGGCAGAAGACCCGAGAGAAGAAGTGCTTGAACCACAAGCGCTAGATCCAGAACTGTCAGTCTAAAATAATGATTCAAATAGCTTCTCTCAAGAACATACCGGAGTCACAGTCTTCGAGTCACCGAGCACCACCCAAAGCTGGAGAGCTGTGAGGGATCCAACCCAGGCCATGGTGAAAAGTCCAACCCACTTAACACTGAGAGTAGCGCCGAGCGAGACACCCGTTGCAGCCAACCAGAACCACCAAGGGCCCTTGAAAGCATAAGCGGGCCCCAATTCCTGCTGGTTTGTGAAGCAGTTGAATGCCAGAGCAGTCAGAGCAGTGAAGAAGACGAGGGGCGAGTCCAGAAGAATCAGGCGGGATTGAGTTGTCAGCGCGTTATCTATAAGCAGGTTAGTTTAGTTTGGTCGATGTGGTTTCAACTCGAGAGCTCACCGAAAATAACGACGCCAGCACCCATGACTGCAGTCGAGGTTCGGCATCCAGTTGCCTTGAGAGTCAAAAACATCAACGAGACGGTGAAAACACCGAGAATGGCGGGGAGCATGCGCATCGCCACATAGGGCACGCCAGGCTCAATGTAGTCCTTGCCAATATCCTTGAAATCAAATTCTCCGTCGAAGCCAGCCAGCCAGCCAGCCAGCGTGATCAACAGTTTGGCAAGCGGGGGGTGAACATCCATAAAGAACCTTCCCTTGATGTATTTGGTTGCGAAGCCACCGAAGCTGGAGGGAGACACGAATTAGCATCGATTCGTCCGTCAATGGGAATTCGTTGACGACGGAACATACTGGACTTCATCGAAAACAACGCTGCTGGGCTGGTAAATGCGGAATAGGCGGACGGCGGCCGCAATCAACGTCACCAGCACCAGAAGCTTATAGTCGGAAGCGGGGAGGTTAAGAATGTCATTGTCTCGCACACCATCCGAGGCATAGCTTGCAATCTTTGCAGGCTTACCACCCTTGGGGTTCGGCGACCGACTGCGAGAGCGCCGACCACGACTCTGAGGTCGCACAGCCAGGGTATCTTTCGATTTCTGGCCCATTATGGTTGAAGATGTTCGCGGATGCGCGATAGGAGGTTGTAGGGGATAGCGGAAACGTTTGAAGATCGATCGGCACAGATAGGAAAAAAGCAAAATAGAAGGCCGAAGAGTAGTCGGATCGTGAATTGGTCGCCAAATTAGAGGAATCGTATCCGGAGGGCGCAATAGCTGTTAAAAGCTGCTATGTCGGAGCTCTCACCAGCGCGCAGCTCTTCACCACGGGGTAATGGCGGGATCGAGATTAATGATCGTGAAGAGTGAGATAAAAAGACCCCATGACAGGGCAGGGAATGAAATAAAAGAAAAGAGGAGGAAGAGAGTGTCGAGAAGAATGGACGGAAGCGTGCAGAAAGTCCGTCTTGAGGCCAGATCGACGTGCGGAGCGGGCAGAGACAAACCACAACGTGAGAGCGCTAAACGGCCCCTTAGATTTCAGCCCCGGCCCCGAGGCTGACGGGTCGAGCCTCTGGGGCTAATTTGGGAGGGCGTTGAGTGGTACTATCATCACTTCTACAATTGCCTTACGTATTCTCGGTATAAGTGGTATATTAGAAACAATATGGTGAGCCTAAATGTTCGAATTAAACAAATCTCCTCGATCGAAAGCAGTCAACTGTAAACTGTTGACGGGGTCTGGACGGACACCAAGAATCTGGCCGCACGCGGGAGTGCCACACCGCACAGCCACAGCCCCGTAACTGTGGCGAAAGCGTAGTCAGCGCTGGCGGATCCCATCATCAGGCCAAAAAGATACACCTCCTCCAATCGCATCCTCATCAGCCAGCCATGGAGTCGTCAAATGGTAACACTCCCCTTCCGGAGGATATGAACAAGCCTCCGGAGGGTCTGGTTCTTCCCCCTAAGGATATTCGAGGTTGGTATTTACTCCCCTTGTGTGCGCGATCACGCTGCTAACCATGTTTTCTAGCGATCGTCGAGAAGACTGCGGGTTATGTTACTCGCAATGGATCGGTCTTTGAAGGTAAGAACCTCTTTTGTCACCCATCTTTTGGATTGCGGGACTAACGCCGGATTCTCCGTCTGTAGATCGTGTCCGCGAAAAGGAAAAGAACAACCCGAAATTCTCCTTCCTGAACCCCGGCGATGCCTACGCGCCCTTCTACCAGTGGCGCCTGACTGAGATTAAGGATGGCCGTGGCACCTCTGTCTCAGCAGGACGAGCAGGTGAAGCTGTTGCTGCTGAACCTGAAAAGCCCAAGGGGCCCCCCGAACCCCCGGCGTTCCATTTCTCTGCGCGCATGCCTATCATCAATGCGCAGGATCTGGAGGTGGTTAAACTCACAGCGCTGTACGTCGCCAAGCGAGGGAAGTCCTTCATGACGGCGTTGTCGCAGCGCGAAGCTAGGAACTTCCAGTTTGATTTCCTTCGCCCACAGCATAGTCTGTACCAATTCTTCATCCGCCTGGTCGATCAGTACACCATCTTGCTACGGTCAGAGGGAATTGACGACTCCACCACTGAGGAGAAGCGGATCGCCGAGCTTGAACACAATGTGAAGAATAAATACCATATCCTGGAGCGCGCAAACCAGCGGGCCGAGTGGGTGAAACATCAGGAACAGCAGAAGGTGCAGAAGGAGGAGCAAGAGGAGCAAGAGCGCATCGAGTATGCCCAGATCGATTGGCACGACTTCGTGGTGGTCGAGACGGTGCTGTTCACGGAAACTGACGACCAGGCCGACCTGCCGCCGCCAACGTCCCTCACAGACCTGCAATCCGCCTCCCTTGAACAGAAAGCAGCCATGTCCCTCAACCCGCTGCGCATCGAAGAGGCCATGCCCACCGACCTCGACAACCCGACCTACTACAACGCCTACCCAGCCCAGCTAGAACCTTCCTTCCCCGTCCAACCACCCTCCGTCTCCCCATATCCGGCCCAAGCAGCCTCCTACCCACCGGCGATGGACTACGGCATGCAATATCCCGCGCAACCAGAGGCCGCGCAAGCCCGCACCGAATCACCCGTGCCCGTGCCCGGCCAACAGCCCATGCGCATTCGCTCAGACTATGTCCCCCGCGCCCAGGCCCGCCGCCAGCAAGCCGCCGGCGGCACCGCTCTCTGCCCGAACTGTCACCAGCAGATTCCCGTCGCCGAACTGGAACAGCACATGCGCATCGAGCTACTCGACCCGCGATGGAAGGAGCAGCGTGCGAAGGCCGACTCCCGCAGCGCGACGACCAACCTGTCTACTGTGGATGTCGTCAACAATCTCAAGCGGCTCGCCAGCCAGCGCAGCGATGTGTTCGATGCCTCACTGGCGCCCGATCCCGAGGAGGAAGCGCGCCGCAAGCGCATGGCTATGGGTGGGGCCACGCCGGATGGCACGCTTCCCCCGGAATGTCTGCGCCGCCAGGGCCGGCTGTGGGGCCCGGGGGTTTGCCCAACCCTCAGAATATGAATATCGAGGACCAAATTCGGCATATTCATCAGATCGCCAAGCAATGATCTCACGTTCTGCGCCGGACAGGTTGAGGTTTATGGATGCCTCTTTGCTAGAAGCGTTTTCAGGTCCTTTCCATTTCACGTATTGATTTGCATCTGGAGTTTCGGGGCGTGCTTTTGCGATATGTTTTGCCAGTATTTGGGAATGGAGATTGGATGATGTGCTCGTTTGTACAATAGCCTTATCATTTCTAACGCTACTACTAAAAGATCCTGTTCTCTGATGAGCGCTATACAGTTTCTCTCGAAAGTGATGTCAGCACCTACCCCTTTGCTTTTCTTTCCTTCTCGAGCGAAACCTGGGCCTAGTAACCATGACACCAATGCAACCACTCCACAAGGAACCAGTAATCCACATGCTGTGCTCCGTAGTGGTGTCCGTCGTCACTCTCTTTCAAGACAGACCCTCGAAATAATTAAACCCCGCCATACGGACTCAAAGAATGAGTCTTCAAAACCGCGGCTTTTACCTCAAGACCAGTACAAACATTCTTTGACAACATCACCGTAATTTGATCCGTTCTCCCCGTAGACTTTGAAAAATGCTTGCGGTGGTGTCGATGTACAATTCTTGCTTTGATGATTGAGCCCGGGGTGATGTGCATATCGCCATTCCCAATGACAATACAATCAAGGCTACTGCACGCGGAAGGAAACTATGGGTTGAAATGTGGCAACATGCACGTCTTGATCTAATTTCGTGATCGGCGGATGGGGGTCTTTGTGAAGAACTCGCAACCCGATATGTAAGAGATATCGACGTTCATGATGTGAGCCTCTGGATCCAGTAGAGCGAGTAAACAAAACATCGTGCGTTCCCCATTGCGGTTGGAGCCATGGTCCCATGAACATGAAGAATGCTAGAGGCAAGGAGAGTTGCAAGGTAGAGCATTTCACGGCAATTCAATTCCTCTGAACTCTGGGTGAAGCGGGCGAAGAGGGGGAGCCAACAAGGGTGGCCCGCAAAGATTGGAGATGAATGTCATCTTGTATGTTGCGCACGAAGGTTATATAGTACGGCTGATGCCCGGTCTTGTTTTGGTACCAATCATCCCCAAGAGACCTGGGCTCGGTGTGCGGGCCTGGTAGCACTGGCTTTAGGGTTGAGAACAGTTGAGCAGGGCGACCCTCGCCGGCGTTTGGGTGTTTTCTGGAACTCTTCCACACATGTCGTCTTTGAGGCACAAAACTGAACATTTCTCTTTGCATTCGGTAATTTGAGGCCTCCGCTCCGGTTCCTGGGTGACAAAGAGATACTCAGCCACGCAGTCGGTCTCCACGTTGACCTCTTGCCATTGCTTTCGGGCTGAAGGCGATGAAGCAACTATTAGGAGAGGATACAATCATGAGCAAAGGTTATTCGAGCTGTGGATGCTTTTTGTTAAGCTAAAGGCCAATCAAATGCCCATCTTGACATGAACCATCCCAGTATTGGCTATCCTGTACCATGAGGTCGTAAAGAGCTTTTGCAAGTCTTCTTTGATCAGGCATTGTTCCAGGCTCTCTTTCCGCTTAGTCAAATCGCGTCGAGGTTCCTCCAGGTTCTTCGACTGCTCACTGATAGTCTTCAAGATCAGGTTTGTCTTGTCGATCTGACCCAGAAGATCTTTGTAGACCGCTGACAAACCATTTCACGCAAATTGAGGGAACTTTGCCGTTTGGTCGGCTTTGCCCTCTCAAGATGAAGAGAATGAAGAGAATGAATAAGACTTATCGCCTCTTCATATGCACCGGCGGAAGCTAGCATCTGGAGATCTGATGAGGTAGATGAAGCGTGTTCCATTAACGTCTACCAAAGGACTAAACTAAAGAAGGGGGTTTGGTTAGCTAACTAAGCTAAGTAGCCTGCTATACTAAGCTAAAGAAAAGGGAAAGGACGTTAGGTATTATATTGTGATAGCCACATCACCATCCCTACGAGTAGAATAGCGGCCGTGATATTTCCATGCCCGATGTGTGCTCTAGCATTGACTGCAAGCGACTTCGATCGATGTCAAATCGCAAGACTCGACCATTTTCGAATCCAATAGCCACCAGATCTCCTTGCACGGCATGACATATTGGCCGAAAATCTAATGGTAGTCGAAGGAAGGGCATACCCAGATCTCCATAGAATATCCACTGGTTTCCGACGAAGAGTTTCACTAAAGTATCTGAAATCCCAACCTGAATTTCGGTGGCAATTCCATTGAGCATGATAGGCCCAATGTCTGTTACAAGGTATCGGTTATCTGCTGAGAATTTCATGTTATACACCGGCTCTGATGTCTGAATTTCTTTCCATGGGCGGATCTTGAAACGGCTTCTCAAACGGTCGAGAAAATTTGGCATTTTAAGAGGTTTGGCGATGGCCCAAAGTCTGATTGTTTTGTCAGAAAAGCTTGATGCGATCTGCTTGCCATCTGGTGAAAAGACTATTGTGTCGACAAAGCCCGAGTGGCCATTTAGCGTCTTCTGAAGGTCACCCGTTGTGGTATCCCAAATTTGGATGTTTCGGTCAAATGAGCCTGATGCGATCTGCTTGCCGTCTGGCGAAAAGACCAAAGTCTTGACCCAGCCCGAGTGGCCTATTATCGTCTTCTGAAGGTCACCCGTTGTGGTATCCCAAATCCTGAATGTCTTATCATAATAGCTTGATGCGATCTGCTTGCCATCTGGTGAAAAGGCGACGGTATTGATCAAGCCCGAGTGTCCTTCTAGTGTCTTCTGTAGGTCACCTGTTGCGGTATTCCAGAGCTTGATGTCGTCATAAGATCCTGATGCGAACTGCTTGCCGTCGGGTGAAAAGGCGATAGTGTCGACCCCGGCCGAGTGGCCGTTTATCTTCTGAAGGCCAGCCGTTGTGGTATCCCAAAGTTTGATAGTCCTATCAGAAGAGCCTGACACGATCTGCTTGCCGTCTCGTGAAAAGGCGACTGCTTTGACCCAGTCTGAGTGACCTTCTAGTATCTTCTGAAGATCGCCTGATGGAGTACCCCAAATTTTGATGGTTTTGTCATGGCCTGATGCAATCTGCTTGCTGTCTGCTGAAAAGACCACAGTCCCGACTCCGCCTGAGTGACTTTCTAGTATCTTCTGAAGTTTAGCCGTTGTAGCATCCCAAACTCTGATGGTTGTGTCTATAGAGCCTGATGCGATCTGCTTGCCGTCCGGTGAGAAGCTGACACTAAGAACCACGTCCGAGTGGCCTTCTAGGGTCCTCTGAAGGTCGCCTGTTATAGTATCCCAAAGTTTAATTGTATAATCATTAGAGCCTGATGCTATCCGCTTGCCGTCTGGTGAAAAAGCGACAGAGTTTACAGATTCCGAGTGTCCCAGTATCTTCTGTAGGTCACCGGTTGCTGTGTTCCAGAGCTTAATGGTTCTGTCATCAGAGCCTGATATGATGTGCTTGCCGTCGGGTGAAAAGGCGACAGAGTTAACAGATGCCGAGTGTCTTTCTAGTGCCTTCTGTAGGTCACCTGTTGCGGTATTCCAGAGCTTAATGGTTCCGTCACTAGAGCCTGATGCAAACTGCTTGCCGTCGGGTGAAAAGGCGACAGTGTTGACGTTGCCCTTGTGTGCTGGTAGTGTCTGTATTAGAGAGACCCATGTGTGTTCCATGAGCGGGACGTTTCTCAGATATCCTGGAATTTTATCCAAGTTTTCCCTCTTCACAACGCTTGATTCAGGACTGAAGATAACAGCAGAGCTGTAGATCTGTAATGGCCACTGATTCATGGTATTGAAATGCCGCATAAAAAAACGCGTAGCATCCTGCACAAGTCCCCAAGTTAAAGGGTCGTCCTGTAGCAAAGCTTGTAAGCAAAAACCCTAGACAAAAAAGGATATATGAAATACTCACTTCGGTTATATTCACCAATGCATCCAACGCTTCAATGGCCCATGGTAGCCTATCCAATAGACTAAAGACTTCAAGCCACTCCAACATCTTTGCATGGAGGAATATGCCAACTGCACCCTTCTCAATAAGCCCGCTCTGTGCTACTTCCCTTCGCTGGATGTTCTCGAGATGATTCACCCAGTAGGTAGCCGCGTAGTCTAGACAAGACAGTTGCACGCATCGTTTCTTGTCTTTGGGCGGATTCCAATCCTCTCTGGTCGAGTGAGGTCGCGGCAGGTCTAGAAGATTGACCTTTAGCCGTTCGGATAAATAAGACAGACAGCCCATTAGAATCTCACGATGTCCGAAGCGTTCATATGTGTCAAGGACAGACTGTCCATTCTCCCCGGCCAAGTAGTCTCGAACAGACTGGTGAACGAATTCTATGTTGTTTTCTTGCATTCTGAGGACTGAAGCACAGCGATCGACTAATGCCTCAATAGCGTTGTCTTCATTAGTCAGGCCAGTCACACTCGGAACTTCCTCCACTTTCAAAGGTCGGTATGCTAGCATCATCGCTTTGATTAGTCGCATGCACTTTTGGGCATCATTCGGCCTCCTTTCGCTCAGTTGTTTCAATATCCTATCGTAGAAAGGATGTAGCCCTGGAGGCAAATTTTGAATTGTAGTCAGGGCGTCATCTTGGCGGACACTCTCGAGTCTCTTGCATACCAGGTTCACCCACAAAAATGTACCCTCAGCCTTCACAGTAAGTTCAGTTTCCAGTTCTCTCCTCAGTGTTTTTCCATAACTGTGAAAACAACTGAGCTCGTCCAATTTGTGAGAGACATAGGTTTTTACAGCTTCAGAAACATATCTCGAGTTCAGTTCAAGACTAACTTGCATCTGGTCATGTCCAGCTAACAATGCCCTCTCTGCGGCTTCCAATGGTCGACTTGTTAATAGCCATTTGATTTTGACTGGGTGGTCTAGCCCATTGCGGACGATGAGCTTTAGGAAGTCGGGTCATGCCGCTATCTTGGCACTCATCAAGAGCATCAACAATAAGATATACTTTCGGGGAGTTGCATCGGTCCAACATCTCCAGCAGGATGTCCCATAGATTTCGCCATGACGTGATGTCCTCATTGAAGCGAGCGTTCTCGGTGTCCTAGCGACGTCGCAGAGATGCTTTAAGCTCAAATTGCTGGTCTACTAACTTTAGAATCAAGCCCTTGATGAGTGATTCAAGGGTGTTGAGCTCATTGTCGGCATTTTGGCAGAAAAAATAGGTCACCACAGCAGATTCATCTCGTTCCCGTGAAAGCTCTTCGACAAGTCCGATCGACATCATGGTCTTCCCTTTCCCAGCACCGCCCTTTATCCAAAGCAGACAGACATCTGTTCCATGTCGCCAACTGTGATACTGCGGGGTTTGAAGAATCCATTCAAACGAGTGGCGAAGTAACTTGTCCTTGGTCTCTTTTAATCGATTTTTCACGACTAGTGAGTCAGGACATCGAAGATTTCGGAGGCAAAAACGATCGATATCTTCAGTGGTGTAGGCTGTGAACAGTGTCAGTTTATCGAATTCAACTCATCAGATACGCGATCAAGCCTACACTGGTGCCAGTGTCCTGTGACAGGAGCATAGTTGTTTCCAATCTGGAAGCCACGGTTTGTGCCATTGTAAGTAGTCGATGCCATAATCAAAGTCATACAGGATATCGTGATTTGCCCCCAAGGGAGTTACAGTAGTTAAGGTCGCTCAGCTGAATGAGGGGCTTGAGAGATCGGAAGCCGCGACTCTTCACGTGATGATTCTCATAACGATACCTAAAGGCATACAATGGAGTCTGCCTTACAAATCCACTGTAATGGGTAGTGAATATGTCAAATCCCTAGAAGTCTAGGAACAATCCTCTCAGGGAGCTTTACTGAACGCAGACTAACAGACCTAGGTATTAGGATTCAAGAAATGACTATGCAGGCGATGACCCCCGTCGTGAGAGGTACGAAGTCCTTCCAGTCCATTTGGACAGGATGTGACCACAAGTGGTAGTTCAGGTCGGGGTGGATTTTTATTCGATTGAATTTGGGAATTCCATGCTTGCTGGGTATCTATAAATTTCGTGATATACAAATTCTGCAGGACACTCTGACTCCACGAGTCAGGGACCATAGCTCGCCGGGCCACTATTTGGCCTTCCGCGCCTTGCGGGAATCCTCCTTCTTCTGCCGCCTGTCTTTTTTCTCCTCTCTGAGCTCAGCCTTGGTTGTCTTCCGGCTGTGCTTCTTGCCACCCCTACTTGGGGCCTTGGCTTTATCATTCTTGGCTTTCTTATTCTGTTTCAATTGGCTGTGTTGCTCAGCGGCTTCCTCATCGTCCATTTCTTCATCAGAATCTTCGGAGTCGGCGTGAGACTGGGCAGTAGATGGGGCAGCGCCAGTGCCACCTTCCTGAGACGCGGCAGCAGCGGCCTTCTTAGCAAGCATCACAGCTTTGAGTTGAGCGCGCGCCCGCTCCTTGGCTTCCTTCTCTGCCCGCTCCAGATCAATCTTATGATTACCAGCCTGACCCAGTTTGTTAGTGACTGGTTGGATCTGTAGCTCAAAGGGCATCATTACTCACCAGACCGTGCTTAATGAAGCGATTTGCAGCTGCCTTATCGAGTGTCATGGTGCGTTGCTCGGGCTCTGTTTCCAGCGCCTTGATCTTGTCAAAGTACTGCTTTACGCGAGTGAGTTCCCGGAAAACAGGGTGTTGCTTGGCATCCACGCCATGTAGTCTTAAGTAAGCTGCAATATCAGTTTAGCAGATGCCTAGGCGTTCGGGAACTACTGCGGACAAACTTACAGAAAATTAATGATTCGAGGGCATAGGTGATCAGGACATGAAGTTTGGCCTTGTCCATGACGGGCAAATTCTTCGACATTTTGGTCAAGGAACTGCCCAAGAATGGCTGCAGGACCTCTTCAAGGTCGTCCACATTGTCATCCAGCTGCTCGAGCTGCGGTAGTAAATCTGTTGGGTCCATGGCGTTGTCTTGGTCGAGTGTCGATGAAAAGTGCCGCAGGAAAAATTAAGACCGATGTAACAAAGGCGGTGGGTCGGGCGGTGGATATCTGCGGGTCTCATCATTCGCGCATAGCGCTGCCGCATTTCAATATTTCGTCGGCGCGCAACGGGCAGAGCTACCTGGTTATTTTGAAGAGCCTGGGGATTTTGGTCGATTCGAAACACACAAAATGCGCTGCTGAATACTTGAAAAGCACCCTCAACTACCCGCGAACGGATTTCTTCCGCCCCTACCTCCCCCCATCGCTATCCGATCCGTCGCTCGGGGAGACTTCTTCCCCGGAATACCTTCAAAGTGGTGCAAATACTCGGGCGCCGCCCGCTTTGGCGGAGCGGAGTGGTTGATACTCTCTTCCAGCCCCGGATACGGTTATGTGGAGGATCTACAACTAGGTACCTGTCGACATGGATGCAAGATGTCGAGGACGTCTCTCTCGAGACCGACAAGCCCAGGCTGTCAGGGCGAGTGCACATAATCGGCCTTGGAAATGCAGGGACATTCGTCGCCCACTCGCTCGCATCACGACAATCTCCGCCACCAATAACCTTACTCATGCACCAGCCCTCGTTTTACCATGCATTCCGGCGAAAGAAATGGTCTCTGTCCGTTAACTACAACGGCCTTGATGATATTAAGACTGGGTTCGATGTCGAAGTTCTGTACGATAATGGGTGGCACAAGATACCCTCAAAAGAGGAACATCTCGAAGCCATGAACGAAGCCGAGAGTGACTTTGAGATCACAGAGAACGAAGACGTTGCTCACGAAAGCAATGATGACGGACATATCGAATGCCTAATTGTATGTTGCAGGTCGCATATGACAGACAACGCTATCAGGCGAGTCCGTCATCGCTTGACCTCCGATTCGACAATTCTTTTGATTCAGAATGGCATGGGAGTTATCGAGAAGCTGAACCGAGAAGTCTTCCCGGACGAAACGAATCGCCCACACTATATACAAGGTGTGCTCAGCCACGCTCTCAAAAAGAGAGACGCTTTCCAGGTCAGCCACGCAAACGTTGGGACATTGATTCTCAGCCCCGTGGTCACCGCCCAGACTCCTCTTATCGAGGCCGAGAACGACACGCATTGGGCTCCTACGACAAAATACCTGCTGCGCCTTTTGACCCTCACCCCGTCTCTTGTCGCCGCTGCCGATACCCCTGCTGGTATTCTGCAATATCAGCTGGAGAGACTTGCAGTCAGCTGCGTCCTCAACCCACTGACCGCCATCCACGAATGCAAGAACAGTGAGCTGTTGTACAATTACCCCGTCACCCGCACCATGCGACTGCTCCTCTTCGAAATCTCGAGCGTAATCTGCGCTCTTCCCGAGCTACGTGGCGTTCCAGGAATTGAGGATCGGTTCTCGCCGGAGCGTCTGCGACGGCAGGTCATGAATGTGGCCATGACCCATCCCAACAATTCGGGCTCAATTCAGGAAGACGTGAAGTACCAACAAAACACTGAAATAGAGTTCATGAATGGGTGGATCGTGGACCGCGGTGAAGAGCTGGGCATCAAATGTTTGCTAAACTACATGATCAAGCAGCTGGTGCATAGCAAGTCGGACATCATTCGACAAAGGGACGCCAGAGCGGTTCCGATCGACGTCGACAGTATCATCCTTTCTGGTGACCCTGCGAGAGATGATTAAGTCAACTAATACTGCATTGATTCATCCTGCCCTAATAGCAGATTTTTTTTACCTTCGTGGACATATTTCAATGAGGCCTGAAGGGACATGGAGCCTCCTTTACAAATCAATGGCCTTCAAGGCACTCTCACAGATCTCTTTGATCTGAGCCCACCGCCGCAGCAGCGTCTCTGCCTTCTGGCGATGCGCTCGCACCACAGCGTCGGACTCCATAGCCGCCTGCAACGCGTTCATGGTTGCGTCCGCCTCGGCAGCATAAGTCTGAACCCACTCCTTGATGATGGCTGCAGACTTATGCTCATCCACACCATTGGTCGAGCCCTCGAGAACGTGGCTCCTCCAGTCCTCTTCATTCATGTATTTTAGAGCTGCCGCGACTTCTGTGCGGTAGCAGACCCCTTGGCTGATCAATTGGTAGTTACTGGCGAATTACTTAGCGGGAACTGAATATACCAATCTTGGAATGCTTTGGAAAGCGTCTGGTCACTTACCCGTAGTATTGGTTCAGCCACAATTCCTCCTGCTTCTCGGCGCTGTTGAGGTCACGGAAGATTATGTCGTCAAGATAGAGACAGTCTGAGTCATTCTTGTCCAGGAAGAACCCATCTGAAAATGTCACATTAGCTCAATCCAGTCATAAATAGAAGCATAGCCAACTGTGCCTCACATTCTGCCAACAAAAAGTCGTTTGGGTGTCCGCCGTAGCTCATGTACACTTCATCTCCCTTCTTATAGTCTTCAGTCGCTCGCAAGGTGTACCCATCTTCATCGAATTTTACGTCACACTAATTTCAAGTCAATCAAATGCCTCGTTAAAGGACGTCCTCGACAAGTGACATACCTCGACATCCGAATGGTTGAAATAATCCGCGAAAGGCAACATCGCCATAGCATCATTCCGATCTTCTGGCGGCTCCTGGCCCGCTTCCACCCAGTAGAAGCTTCTTGTGTTAAGAATAAGCCAATGATACGAGAAAGACCGCCAATCAGTACCAGGGAATGCAGCATTGACATCTGCCCATGCCTTATGCAACCGGATGGCCTGGCCCAGAAGAAGATTCCGGTGCTCGCTCTCATATTTCTTTATCGTTGGTCCTTTCTCAGTCGAATTCCAGAGACCAGAGATGCAAGGTGGAAGAAAGTTGGGCTGACTCGTAGAGCCGTCATCTTGGCCATCTGCCTCACTGTCAGGCCAGGAAAGACCGCCCAGGATCTTGGGCCACAGCATTGGCAGACTGTCTTCAAAATCTTGGCGAGTAGGCCAGGCTTTGCGCCATAATTTGTAATCAGCCAGCTCTTCTTCACTTCCGTGGGTGAAGAATGCCGCCATGATGGTCTGCACGGCAGTGCCCTCGGGGAACTGGTCCTTGAAGGAGGAAGGGATTTTGTCCATTGTCAGGATCACGCTGGTTGGGACTCGAACCACTGCTTCTTCTTTCTTCATGGTGACAAATCAGTGAGCATCGGTACTACATCCGGCATCTCCTTCAGCGGGGATTGAGATCCCTACCTTGATTTTTCTGGTGGCTGTCATTCCCAAGCCTCGACCAGGGAACCGAGCTGGCGCGACGCCAAAGACCTCAACGCCACGTTCCATAGCCCATTCTGTGAACGCCTGGTGATCCTCGCCGGGCCACCACTCTGGTCGTGACATCTTGAAAGGCCAATTGCTGGGTTTCAAGGAACAAGGTAAACCTTGCTTGGTGGTTAGCAGATGTAGTAAGGGCGGGTTTAGGCTAGGACAAACACTAGACAAGTATTGATTGATTTGGCGGTATGGGGTATCCTAAATGTCCTATCGTCGAAGGGGAACGGTCATGGTGTCGGAAGAGACTTGTTTCCGGATCCGTAACGAGCCTCACAGTTGCTGCCGCAGATCACCGAGTGAGGGCTGTGGAGCATGTCTACCCGATAAGCCCTCTTATCGTTGATTACGGCTGTCCACAGCGGCCACTTGAGCCGTCTTCCCGGATGTCGTACGACTTGCTGCTCTTTGGATAGTTGATACTCAGTGGTATATTGGGCCTGGGACTCACAATGTCAGTTCTAGGGAGGCGTGGAGCTTGCGAGCTTCGAAATCTGACTATTTCAAGCCCTACATATGCCGCTTGTGCTTTACGACCTTTCTCTGTTCTCAACCGCCCGCAGCCTAATTATCCTGGCCATGTCCCATTGACGACTATTGAGCGCGGTGCTCTAGCTCTGGGATCAGCACTTGAATCTCTGATTAACCCGAGAAGAGCAGGTACGCAACTTTAATCCGAGCCTAGTTCCACGAGCTTCCATCAGCCGCCTCGTGAAATTGGCAGCTCCTAGTATACCAGAACTACAAACACGCAGATTGACTAACACTCAGCAATAGACCTCATTGCAGCCCTCGGCGAAGCCACCGCAACTCCATATTTTATTTACCGTCTCCGTGATGCCATGCTCTCCGACCCCACGGGTCGACGTATCCTCCGTGACCGGCCCCGCATCACCTCCGAAACCCTCCAAATGTCCCATCTCCGCACGCTCCCCGAGAACTCCGTCGGCCGCACGTACGCCAAATGGCTCGACCGGGAGGGTGTGTCCCCAGATACCCGAGACAACGTGCAGTACATCGACGACGAAGAGTGCGCCTACGTCATGCAGCGGTACCGCGAGTGCCACGACTTCTACCACGCGGTGACGGGGCTGCCGATCTTCGTGGAGGGCGAGCTTGCGCTGAAGGCGCTGGAGTTCTTGAATACACTCCTACCTATGACGGGACTCAGCCTCTTCGCATTTATACGGATGAAGCCTGCGGAAAAAGAGCGCTTCTTGTCGTTACATTTGCCGTGGGCGGTACGCAGTGGATTGGGCAGTAAGGAGTTGATCAATGTGTATTGGGAAGAGGTGCTGGAGAAAGATGTGGATGAGCTCAGGTCTGAGCTGAACATCGAGCGGCCGCCGGATCTCAGAGAGATTCGGAAAATGATTCGGCAGCAGCAGAAGCGGGAGAAGGAGAGGCAGCAGCAGCTGTAGAGCTGAGCCATTTACTTGCGCATGTTTCCAGGGTCTTCTCGCCTGGGGAGGAATTGTACGATTAGAGTTGTCTGTAGAGAATATCCCCCAATGCAAGGTAATGCAACACGATACAACCCGACCAAGACGAGTACCAGACCGCAACGCCTGAGGTAGATTTTGAGTGGCCCGCGAAGGGGTATCCAAGGTGCAATATAGAACTGGAGAGAATTATCAGAAGGAAAAATGGCCAAGTGAAAGCACGAATCATTGCACCCTCGTGTCGTTCACAGGTCAAGCAGGTCGTCATCGTCATCCCAGCCACCTTTGCGCCGGCTGATCACAATCTTGTGTTCCTCCTCCTCCTTGCGCTGGTTCTCAGCAACGGCATTCAGGAGCTCCTTCAGCTGTTCCTCGGTAACCTTCTGGCGCAGCTGGCCACTCTGTGCCAGCATCAAGAGTCGATTCTCAATATCGACGGCGCGCGATTCCTTGACGAGGCGGATGCGGCCGAGGCGATCGGCGGCGGCGGGGTCAAGGATCTGGCTCAGGATGGAGGCGCGGCGTTCCGCTGAGAGGTCAGGGTTGGTTAGAACAGTAGTCAGATCATATTGGTAGTGTGCTATCAGGAGTAGAGGCCGAGCGAAGGGAAAGGTCTCGCGCCGTTCAATGCTTGCGGGATGTAGACAGTCGGAAGAATGAGGTTATCGTCACTTACACTCAGCTTGCCTATGGCGCAGCAATCGATTAGCCTCATCCGAGTAAACCTGCACCGGGGGTGGCAACAATTCACCTTCTCTGCTCCTCCTGGCCGCCTTGTTGGCTAGGGCCTCCACCCTGGCCACCCTGCTGCTGCTGGAGCTGTGCAAGGCGAGCTCGCCTGATCTATTTCCTTGTCTGAGCATCAAGTGTGTTGGTCACGGGGGAGGGTTCTAACCTCCTCCAGCTCTGCGTCCGCCATGTTATGTGTTGCTGCACGTGGATTGGCGAGGTATAATTGGGCAAGAAGTTATCGGAGACGGACTGTGTACGGAGTAGAGGCGTGGGCGAAGATTGAATCGACCCCACCTGTTTCGCCTGAGGCTGCCACGCGGGGGCGCGGGAGTGTCATTGATTGCCACTGGACGCCAACTTCCACCTAGATTTGTTCCTAATCACAGTACAGGTACACTTGAGGTGGTAGTTTTGGAGGGTTCTCTACCTATGATATGCCATAACCTTAGATCTCAATGGCTCCCACAAGATATATGGGTGATTGAGCCAGACTCCATAACCTTATCCATTCGGTACTCCGCATTCCCACATAGTACTTGTGCTATATTTGCCTCTGGCGACGGTGGTAGATATGTCTTTAAAGAAACATAGTCGTATTCGTAAGGGCAAAGACATCTAATTGGCAGGAAAGCCTTTCCAGCCATGCCATTCAATCAGTCCGGATGGTGAAACACTCTGGCGTTGACGTTTAGCCCGATTTGGGACATGACAGGAGTCGCGTCCCAGGCACAAAGGCTACGCACAACGAGCAAGGGACCGGGACCATGCACATGTGCTGCGCCTCCCGTAGGCGGGGGCAAAGAGCAGATAGCATGGCTGATTAATAACTAACTCAAATATCAGATCATCCCAATTACCCAACCGTCGAGGAACAGTGCGCGAGATCGGCTGGCAGATTCCGGCTTAGTCGCGACGGACAATGCCCATAGTTCGATCAGGCAGAATCTTAGGCCCACGGGTGGCCAAAAGGTCGCATATCTCCACCCAAACAGGAGTAGAGGCATAGGCAAGATTGGTGAGTAGAGAGAGCAGAAAATGATCAGTAGATCGAGTCGACTTGTATATGCTGCATCAAATTATTTTGCAAAACAATGATTCGATTCGTCACCCTGCACGTTCTTGCAGACTGATCACCTAGTCCCAGTGTGATAGCATGACTAAGCGCGCTTGTTCGCCTCTGCGACCCCCCGATCTCTTCTTCGCCTCTTGCACGCCGTCGGGTGGATATTACACCCATCGGACTCATTAACCCGCGTATTTTGTTTCTCTACGATCCTTTCTGTCGGTCTTTTCTTTCGTCATTCGTCGCTTCCCCCGACCGCCGTCTTCCGAGCCACTCGAGAGCTCTCCGAAACGAACGCTTGCGGGGGTATCTCGACCTTCAATCCTTGGCTTCTACATCCAGTGAATGGCTTCGGGGACTCGGAATAATTCAGGGCGTGTCTGGGCGTGATATTGATTGTGGTGACAATTGAAGAACACTCCCGGCCTCTCATCTCACATTGCTCCGACGCCGTTTACGTCACCCATCATGGCCGAGTAAGTCCTTTGAAGGAAAAGGAGATGCGGTGCCCGCTCAGATAGGCTGACATCCAAGGGCAGTCTAATTGCCTTCCAAACATATCATCGTAGTAATCTCCTTCCGCCGTCCTCGACCATGATTCCGCGCCACGCCCACAAGCGGTCTCTGTCCTCCGAGCATCGCACCCTGTCGCCCGACCGGACCGTCACCAAAGCCAAATCTACCACTAATCTCACCGAGGTCGCCAACAAGCAGCACCCGAAATTCGAAGAAAACAACTTCAATACTTTGCAGGATCCTCGACTAGCCATGGCCTCGGAGATTTCAACTTCTACGTCATCGTCTCATCACCCCGACCTGAGCAATGAAGTTGCGGCCCTCAGCGTGAAACTGATTCAGGCGATCAACAATCAGACCACCTTAGATGACAATCTGGTTGCCACACGACAGGAGCTGGAGGCAGCAAAGGGCAAACTCCAGTCCCTGGAATTCCAGAATGAGAAATACCGGCGGGACCTCGATGAGAAGATCTATATCAAGAAGGCCGATGCCGATATGGAGCTTATGCGATTGAGAGGAGCCCTTGCTGAGGAGTGCGCCCAACGCGCCGCGGCGGAGAAGGCAAAGAAGTCGATTGAGCAGGAGCTGGAGGCCTTGACTGCCGATCTCTTCGAGGAAGCCAACAAGGTGCGTCTTTCTCGTCTTTGTGTCTCTGCAATTTCCTGAGGAGCTGAGCTGACGGTGTGTTAGATGGTTGCTGCGGCTCAGATTGAGCGCGAAGCGGTCGAGAAGAAGAACGAGCAGTTGCGTTCGCAGATCAGAGACACAGAGTCACTCCTCGCATCGCATCAAGACCAGCTGGCGGAGCTCAAATCAGTTATGCAAGGGATGGACCTTTCCAAAGATGACGTGGATATCCGCACCAATGCCTCTACCGCCCCCCCATCTCCGGCCGGGCCGCCACAACTGCTGGGGTCCGCCAAGCAAGAACGTGAGTTTGACAATCTTGCTGCATCTTCTTGCCACCCCAAGGATTTGATTCCCGGCCCCTCATGCAACTTCCCTGAAATGATCCGTATGGTGTGCCGGACCGATCTGCAGGCCTACGAAGACTTCCGGGAGTTGATGACGCTTCCGCGGGGATCGAAACCACCAAGTCGTGCGGGCAGCGGCTCTTACGCGGGCTTGAATGTCATGAGCTTGGCGGGCTTTACGACAGGTGGATCCGCTTCGGCCAACTCTTCGCCCACCAAGGGTGTCATGCATTCTCCGAATGGGAGCCTATCCTCCCAGACTGGCTCGCATGTTCCCCTGAAGGAGACCCGATTTTACAAGCGGGTACTCATGGAAGATATTGAACCGACCTTGCGGCTCGATCTCGCTCCTGGCATCTCGTGGCTTACCCGGCGTACTGTCCTGAGTGGCATCTGTGAAGGCACGCTTGTTGTGGAGCCCATTCCCCCAGCATCCAAGAAATACGAATTCCCTTGCTCTGTTTGTGGTGAACGCAGACCTGGTGCGCAAAACGAGCGGACTCATCGTTTCCGAACATCGGACAGCGAAACAGCCCAGCGATACTCGCTTTGTGTCCAGTGCTTGGAACGCGTCCGTTCGTGCTGCGAATTCACTGGCTACCTGCGGCTGATCCTTGATGGGCACCTGCGCGCAGGCGATACTGACGAGGAGAAGGAAATCTGGGAAGAAACCGTCCGGTTGAGAGAGCGCATGTTCTGGTCTCGCATTGCTGGTGGCATCGTTCCGTTGGGTGGCCTGTCAGCCGAGTCTGAAATGAAGCCGGAGATCGCCGATTTTAGCATGACTATCCCCCATGAGAACGGGAACGATCACCATCTGCACCCTACGGACAACACCAGCGTGGAGTGGAAACCTGTGGACGTTTCTCCAAGGTCGGACAAGCCTCATCTCGCAGAAATTACACTTGTTGAGTCTTCCGCTCGGGATCTTGACGTGGCTAAGCCTATGAGCGCTGATCTTCCGCACTTTGACGAAGAGAAGATTGAGGACTCAGCGGATGACGCGCTGCGGAGACGCAGCTCTGTTGATTCCGACATTAGTATCTACGCAGAAGCCAACTTTGTTGTTGCGAATGACAGGGAGGGTACTGTCGCTGAGCAGCCCACGGCTACGCATGATACAGAAGACATTGAGGCCAGCACCGACACTGTGACTCCTGTCCATGAGCAGCATACGCCTACTCATGAACAAGAGGAGGCTGAGGCTAAAGTTGACATTGTCGAGCCTGTCCAGCCGCCTACGCCTTCTCCTGAAGGCGAGAGCACTGAAGCGAAGGCCGATACCGCGGATACAGCGGCTGCGCAGGCCCCGCCTACTCACAGCAAAGACCATACCGAATCCGGCGGCCAGAGCAGCTCATAAGCTGCACTGAATCTACTCTAGGATACGCATGAGTACGACGCCCACACTGCTAGCCCGGTGTTTCATGACCTACCTCACGCATTACTCGCATATTCCTCGACAACCACACTGATAGACACACTTACCATTTTTCGTTTCGGTGACGCTGCATACGCCTTTAATCATTCTATTTTCCCAATTCCCCTCGATGCTACGACATCTATCTTTTTTTATTCTCGTCGATATCCCCTTTGATATGATACTTAGCAGCGCGCCTTTCCCACCCATGTACTATTATTTCTATTCTCTGCTTCTTATTTATCATTCTTATTATGTATTTATACAAATATCTTTTTTCCCGTCCCCGATTTCCTATCTCGATTCTGGTTCCTTGGCTTATTCTGGTTGCTCATCACATCGCTTGTTATGATGTGATCTTCAACCTGAAAAGACTGATTTCTTTTCCCATTCCCAAGGCATACTTTTTATACATAATTAAATCTGATGGCTTGTTGGATTTGTGTTGGGGTCATGCCTTTCTACTTTGCAATGTTTTTGTTTTGTTTTCCAGTATGCGCAGGCACGGTTTTGGGAGACGTGGCCGCCACGATTTTGCAGTTACTGGAGCTGTGAAGTCGGGCAGCGAAGATATATAGATGACAAAAAATGATTTCTCGCATACAGTACTTCCAGAAATCGGTGTCGCCACCTACTGTACGCCTGACACCTCGATTCCACCTCGAAAACCACGGTTTGGGAGATCTTTCAATCACGTGGTGACATCAGGACGGTGGACTCCAAATCACGAGCTTATGACGCCGTCAGCAGTGGGGAACTATCTATATCACAGATGGCACAGGCTGCCGTCTGCAACAAGCGCATCATCCTGAGAAGCTGCTTCAACATCGGGCTATCTGGCAGTGTCAAAGCACGTCCTAACAAAAGCGGACGGCCACGAATCCATGTTCCCAAGGAGAGTCTGGATTAGGTCGTTTCGATCTTGTAGCTCCTTGATGTGGTAGAAATTGTTCAGCATGTACCATCTCTCCATCAGGAGCAGCCCATTTGCATCCGCACTCAAGTGTTCCCAGCATCGCAAAGTAGCCTTGCTCAACGTATTGCCCGGTTGGTGTTCATTGGTATAGTTTCCCTTCGAACTATCCAGAGTGTCCCTAATTTCAGAAGCTCAACCTAACAGGTCTACATCTGTACCTATCGTTAAGGGTATACAGTGGGATTCTGTTAATAGCCTCGCCTAGATTCTTACTAATCGAAGTGAGGGATCTTATCTGGATAGAACCCGTCTTCCCGTGTTAATGTGAGAATCGCAATACTGCCCTACCACCCTTGGATAACAAGGCATGGAATAGGAATAGTTCGTTGAAGTTCTAAATGTGCTATTAGAAGCTAGTCAATTAATTGCTTTCCGTTTTTGTTTGTATAATCTCTGATTAATTCCTTATTTAAGCTGAATTGCTTATTGATATCATCATTCTAGTCGCATCCCATATGACATTCTTCAAAAAAGGTTCAAAAAAACAGCTTCCTGGTCTGCTTCATCATTGACCTGCTTCATGCCTATCCTGGGCCTTGTGCTCGATAACATCGGAGGACTGGGGAGCCGCCGATTCAACATCATCGGCGTCTTTGTTAGTTTTCTCTTTATACTTATCGGTGGAATCGGACTCAGGCATGCGAGCTTGCGAGTAAGCCTCGGTGCCAACTACCAAAACAGTCAGAGGTTGCTACCTGAATATTAATCACAAGGTACGACTCACATAAAATGAGATACGCATATTTGCTGGCCACAGGGAACCAGATGGTCATCGCGACAATCTGGCCAAAACCCCAGCCCGAAAAGTCGATCACCTTGAGGCGCTCAAACAGGGCAAAACATAAACATTCCAGAAAGACAGCCGCGAGAAAGAGCGACTCAACACAGCACGTGAGCAGACTGGGTAGTTTCTTAAACCATTCGCCCCAAGTCGAAGCGAGTAGTCGTCGAACTCTTGACGGGAAATTTCGGAGGCCGAGACCAGCGAAAGTCCTCTGACAAACCCCCTCAATATCCACCATCTTGACAACATATGGCCGAAACCACAAGATGACATTCAGTCCAAACACAGTCAAACAGTAAGGATTGAGCACGTCCCAGAAAAAGCGGAGCGGGGTCCTTAGGAAGAAGTCCTCGGTCTGATCCGCACAGTAAATCAATGGCGGCGCATACCCACCACAACTTTCCGGCCATCCGTTATAGTCAAAGGCACTGAGTTGATCAACCGATGGCGTCTCATGCGTCCAGTACAACGCGAATTCAGACACGATGATGGTGGTAACAGACAAGAAAAAAATCCAGGGCTCTGTCAGGTGCATCTTCTGGAGACTCCACATACCCATGACAATCGGCAATATACCGGCGCTGGAAACTATCCCTGCAATACCGTTGTTTGCCCGGAGGGAAGGCATGGTGTTAGATTGGAAGATGGTAGTTGACTTCTTAGCGAGCAGAATTGCGGCTTGCGAGGCGATCATGAAGAAGCATTGGGCTTCTTGGAATTCGACGAGGATTACCCTTGTGATACGGTCGTGCTGAGTGAAGTAATGACGGATTTTGGGGATGACGTTTCCTTTGGTTCGGTTTGTGGGAGGTGTTGTTTTGCGAGGCTGCTTTCTTCTAGTGCAGAAGAAGATTAGGAGTGGGAAGAGGCGAAATGTGCGGAGGAAAATCCAGAAATAAAAGACTATTCCTAGTTGCATCAAGTAGGAGACGAAGACCTGTTGGTGTATATTGAACACAGATGTTTTGTGTGGGTAGAGTTGGGATGACGCACGCCAGGTCCTCCAATGTCCGTATTGACCCCCTCACTGACCCCGGCGCAGGTGGCATTGTTCGAGAAGGTCTGGTTGCCCTTCGTGGTGTTGACAACGAAGGGAAGGGATGCCGTGCCATGCCAATTCCCACAGCCACCTAGACCAGGATATGGGTTCTTGCAGTAATCGTTCAGGCATGTTTCCACAACAATCGTAAAGTTAGAACCTAATGTGTCCCCGATTGCGTTATAGCAGTTGCCGAGATTATCAAAGGACTGGAAGACATATTTCGGATCAGAACACAGCGAAAGAGTGTGGTTGGTGGCCATCGCAAATACAGCATTGACGGAAAGAAAGACCAACAGAAGTATCTTTTCAGCGTCAAAAGGGGAGACAATCAAGCCTTTAAAACCCAAAGGGCTACATGGCTTAAAGCTTAAACTCTTTCGTGCGGCCAATCTTTTGGCTTGTTTACAGGGCTGAACGCGGCCCAGCTTAGACTCTGTGCCGTGTTGCTCGTGCGCTAGCTTATGGTAGGATGTCGGTGCTCTTCGCCGTGATTGGATAATGGCAAGATCTGCCCCCAAATGACCTCCGACAACCTATCCGGATTGATCAGTCAGTGAGACGACAGTGGGGCAGCTGAATCCAGACTTCATGCAGTCATCATACTATATTAGGCGTAGAGCGGTGCGGTGAAGCTTACTTCTCGAATCATAGGTGGACCCTGCGTTCGCATGACGGGAAATCAAATTATTCTCCAATGCGCAGTCCATAATTCATAATCAGTATTTGAAGCAGTACGTTTGCGGGAGAACTATATTCGAAGCACCTCTTAACCAAATTGAAATCAACTTGTCAGAAAGATTAGTCAAAAAGATTAAAACATCAAACTTTAGATACCAAAATGAACATAATTAAGCTTTGCCCCACGCACACAGACCATACTGTAGAGCGGTCAAATTATGTAGTATATTCAATCCATTTGCACGATGGCCCGTATGTGATGCTGTAGGCAATATCTTCTGTGTATTAGTCAGGTTGATGGCTTCCCTTAATTTCTGTCTTAATTAGCATGCGTCAAAGCTCACCAATTTAACTCATAACTTTCACTTTCTATTCCTACCTCTTCTTTTCAGGCCCGATACGCGCCCGCGCGCGTCTTCCAGTAAAATGCTGTATATATAACGATACATGAATATCATCACTACCGGGTTATTCTAAATATACTGTAGTATAGTGTCTTGGCAATTAGGGTTCGAGAAACCATCGAAGAGTGAACGTGGTGACCCCAATTTCCGGAAGCACTGTAGGATCCTGACATCATTTTCTTTTGTTCTATGTTTGGTACCTAGAAGGTATGTACTTAGGCACCAAGTCCTACGCATCGTCTTGCGCTCTTAGGTTCTCTTCGTTGTCTCTTTGCTGCGAAGGCCACCGTGCTCAGAATCTTAAAATATGCCCGTATTCGTTGTGTATCAGGTTTTTAAACATTATTTACCCTGCTATTCGATACTCATTGCTGGACATATTCCAAAACGTCTTCGTGGACCGGATGGAGAAGTGGTTATTTTCCCATGACCTCCTATTGCCCGGCAGCCACAGAGAAGCATATCATATTAGAGGGTTCTTGCTAATTTATGGTTTCATGCTGAAAATCCGGAAATCAATCAGCGAACTATGACGAGGGATACCATGCATCCGTCATCTCCCTCTTATTGATCGCCAGAAACCATAACATCGGCTTCCCACAATCGCACGTGGTCCGAGGCCACTGCAGTCAGTATATGGTCAGGACCGAAGGTTCGAGAACGTATATCCAGTAACTTTTTTCCCAACTCGAGGGCCTCGACATGCTGGCCTTCTATTTTCAAGTTGAGGGCGAGCTCCATCATGGTTTGTTGTGTCTGTGGATGCTCGGGCCCAAGTACTTTCTTTTGAAGCTCTAGCACCTGCAAATTAATAACCTTTGCCTCTTCAATTCGGTGTTGATCCCGGTATATGGATGCAAGTCTACCCATGCTCCAAAGGGCTCGAGGATCAGCCGGCCCAAACTTCCTCGTGAAAGCCTGGGCTACCCGAGCTTCTTGGTCTTCTGCTTCTCTATACCGGCCCAGACCTTGATAGACAATTGAAGCGAGGCCGCGGGTGCGGAGAGTTTCGTCGTGTTCCATACCAAGTACTCTTTCGCGAATCCCTAACAGTTGAGTTACTAAATCCTCGGCTTCTTGCCACTGCTCTTGCCCCGTATGTATTGAAACGAGGTCATGCATGCTAGCAAGGGTATCGGGATGTTCCAGGCCAAGTAGCTCTCTGAGATTCTCAAAGATCTGTATCCCGATCATTTCTGCCTCGCGCCATTGGCATTGGAAGATGTGTGCGTTTAGCATGATTGAAGCGCTCGCAAGGGTGCTTCGGTGATTCCAGCCAAGAATGTCTTTCCTCGTCTCTAATGAAGCAGCAGCAAAGCTAGTTCCGCTCTCCAAATCACCCCTTCCAAATGCATAATGCGAGGCCTTATAGAAAAGCGCTGCCCATTCCAATAAGGAGAGCTGCAGACCGGAGACATCACGCCCTGGTCGCTGGGATAATGCGGCTTTGACATGGGGAAATAACGTCTGGCAAATGGCCCAAGTCTCAAATGCTCCATTAGGAAATTCCAGATAAAGGCTGCTGATGAATCGTCGCCTCCACTCTTCTGCCCGCCCTTGAATTTGCAGCCACCCTCGCATGGCAAGCTGCACAAGCGCATGCATTTGGAATGTTGAGGATTGGCCAATCGAGACGAATGCATAGTCTCTGAGCGTTGTAATATCGTCTTCAAAATCGTCAGCCCCCTCGGAGTCGCTGTCACTGATACTATTCTCATCGTCCGAGTTGGCTCGGGAAATCTGATCGTTTGCGGGCCGCCTCCAGAGTAGTCGTTCAGGAATGCCCTGGCGATCGAAAAAACTCATGAGGGCGAGTAGATCAGCTGCAGATGGTCTGATTTGCCGTATGTGATCGAAGGAGAGCTGCCAGGTGACCGTAATGGAGTTCTTTGCTTCCCAATCTCTATGCGAATCCCCCATGTCGGCTTCATAATCAAGAAATTTTAGCTTCTGGCGATCGCTTTTCTGGAACTTCTCAAGGTATTGTGGCACGGAGCAGCGAGGTGCCCTGCGGTTGATATACGCCGTTGCTTGTACGATTGCAAGCGGCATATATTCCAGAGCCTCGGCAAGATTAATGACATCTTCACGCGATTTCTCTGCGTCCTCGTGATTGGGTTGAAGTTTCTTTCTGATTAATGCGACTGCCTGGGGCTCTGTCATCGGTTCAACTAGGAGAATATCCCGGTTATCGACCAATTTCAAAGCAACACTTTTGGAACGGGTCGTGATGACAGTAAGGCCATTCGGGGAGTCGCGCAGAACTGCTAACAAAGGTTGAATTATGGATCGTTGATTGTTTGGTCGAAGCTGATCTTCGGGCTGTCCTTGAAGTGGCTCATAGAGCACTTGTTTATCATCGACATTGTCGAGGACGAGAACCCATTTCTTATTACCTTCTTGCAGCCAATCCATGACGAGCTTCGGTATATTTGCCCTGGGGTCATGACGCCCAGGAATCTTTGCTCTGTCGGCAATATCTTGGTAGCTTTGGCCTAAACGAGCTGTGTTGCTTGCGTGCACCCAAAATACCCACGTTTCCTGGCAGATCTCACGAATTTGGTAGCAATATTCGAGAGCTAGTTGGGACTTCCTCCTCAAGAGTTAGATTTACTGAAGGCTATAGTGAGATCATGGACTCACCCCACGCCACCTATGCCTACTAGGGCTATTCTTGGCGTCCCTTTTGTCGAGCGTTTCTGGTGAATTTGATCTAGCAACCCGCGGTCTATAAAATCCAGATCTCGGGAGTAGGGAACATGAAACACAGGTTCTGGAGGAGTTTCAGGACGTTCTGCAGCGGATTTTTATTGGTTAGATTATTCGTCTTGATCCTCCCATCCTGAATATTTCATATGCTTTGTTTACCCACCGGGAGGGAGGTGAAATTGAGCGTTGATGGAACCATTGTTGACCCCAACCTGAAGACCTGAGTTGGAGTCTCCAAATGATATAGAAGCCGTCATAGCTCTGGCAAAAGGTCATGAACTCTACAGGGTATGACTCCTGACAGATTGGGGAGGGGCATAAGCAGCTAATGATATCAGGTGACTTGCATGTAGCGGGGCGCATCGATACGCTTAGTAGAAGTCGTTGCTGAAGTACCAAACAGATGTGACATCATATTGAACATAATACTGACAGTGAAGTCTTGCTCTAATGTCTGATTTTGCCGATAGTTGCATCTACCAGTTGCCTCTGCCTCTCGCGTCTGCTGCCCGTAATACGCGCTTCACGTGATTCTCATACATTGCCCCTGGCAGGGCAGCCAACCAGCGTGCGGCAAATTTGCACTCTTTGCCTCGGAGTTTGCCTGTTGGCCCCGACTGACTCAGCATTCTAGCTTCTTCCGAGTCCCCACTCCATACATTTGTCTATTCCCTTCTCCTCCCTAGCAGCAGTTCACTCACAGTTTTAATTTCACATACACCAGCCAAGATGCCTCGCCAACAACGTCGTGCTGCCCCTACCCCGGCGCGCAGCGCTCCCACCCGCCCTACTGCTGCCCCTGCTCGGCCCGCGCCTTCTCCCCAGCAGCAGCAGCCTCACTCGACTGCCGCCCACCCCCAGGCTCCTCCCATGCAGCATGCGGCTCCTGTGCAGCAGAGCTCTGGCCCTGGTCTCTTCAGCACGATGGCCTCAACCGCTGCGTAAGTGCTCCTGGCCCAGCCACGAATCCCTGACATGTTTCTATATCCGAGAAAACCCGGGCTCGGACTTTTCGGCTATTTGAGAATTCGCCGCTAACGTTCAATCTGTGCTATAGCGGTGTCGCAGTTGGTAACGTTGCCGCCCACGGACTCATGAGCGCCTTTGGCTTCGGCGGTAGCTCCCACGCCCCCGCCGAGGCCCAGCAGGCTCCTCCCGCCGAGAACCAGACCATGGACAACGGCCTCTGGCAGAGCAACGCCACCCAGCAGTCGTGGGAGACCCCTGCCTGCGAGCCTGACATCCGCAACTTCCGCCGGTGCATGGACGAGAACAAGGGTGACATGACGGTCTGCGGTTGGTACATGGACCAGCTGGTACGTTGGAGACACCCCTTTGCTCTCACTGGCACGGCGCTTGCTTGGACATAGATAGGATTGCTAACAACCTCACAGAAGGCTTGCCAGGCTGCTGCTAAGCCCTACTAAGCGTTTTCCCTAGCCAGGGCTGGGAAAAGCTGTACGGGCTGGATTATGCAACATCTATTCTCCAACCTCAAGTTTTGATATACGTGGGCTAGTTCCTCCTGGAATGCCTCGGTGAATGTAATTCTCCCGCATCGTGACTCTGATATCGCGTTCTTGTACTCTATACCATCTCTCCTCGTCATCACATTCAAGTATTTACACATTAGTTTCGTCCCTTGAGCTGATGGCAGAATTTGTCCACTCAAGGGCGAGATGGAAGAAATGAAGAACTTGAAGACAATCCTATCTCTGTAAACATATGCTTGTGAGGCCCTTGGGAATAAATATAATATCATAAGAAAGTAAGGATCAGTCTCAAGGACGCAAGCATGGGCAGTCTAGCTATCGCAATTTCCTTGACAGTTGGTGTAACTGGATTCTGTTCATGATACATTACCCGCTTTCGCCATTCACCTCATAGTTCGCCAAAACGCCATGTGCAACGTGGCAAGCCCAAAACAAGGAGTCGCTCACTAGATCCAAGATCCATTGGTGGAGTTAAACCATACAGTTTCCATGTCCCAATCTTAATCATCCTTGCGATCCTGGTTTCGCGGCTCAAAGTTCAGCTGTAAGAAACACTGTTAGCATTGTTCAGCGCTGAACTTGTACAAAACCACTTACTTGGTTTCCGTTGTAAAATTGGCTATCATTTCGCTCATTGTGCTGATCCCGCAGCGTTCGAATATTCAGTCCTCCCGTCCGTGGCCGCCGGGCACTCTCGCTCGGCGGAGGAGCAGACGAAGACGCTTGTGTTTCGTTTTCCGGTGCACTGGAGCCATACCCAACGAGCGAGCCCACGAGGTTCGTGGCTGAGCTTGCAACAGATGATACTACATTGTAGACGGCTGTGATACCACGTGCAGGTAGGTTGGCCGCCGCGGATGCGTAAGCCTCGGTGTACGAGGTGACAGGGACCATGACCAGGTTTGCGGTTGAGCCAATACCTAGGTCTTGGAGGGTTTGCGATTCCTCAGCCACAGAAAGCGTTCGATTGGGGAGCGGAGTTAGGATATGTTTAAGGTTGTATGGGCGGTTGTCGTCGGTCATTTGCTCATCTAGCCAGGGACGCACATCACCACGGATTGTCTGGGTTGGCGTGAAGCTTGATCGGATGGATCGCCCATCAAATAATCGTACTTGGAGTCGGTACTGGCTAGGAGGTCCCCGAGGAGCTGGTGGTTGTGGTATGGGCTGTTCAACAGTAGGCGCAGGAACCTTGCTAGGAACTGATTTGGTTGACTTTGAAGGGGCCGTTGCTTTCTTCTCGGGTATCCGGGCTGATTTATTCTTCTGATCTTCTTCCGTTAGGTGGGGTTTCGAGGGCGTAGGCTTATGCGGCTCCTGCTTGACAGGCCGCTTCTTTGAATTTGCGCTTTCTTGTGACCCTTGTGGAGCAGGACTCGGAGAAGAACTGGCGCTTTGTGATTGCTGTATTTGCGCCGGAGTAGTGGCTGCGGGGAGTAGTGCAGCTGTCAGATTTGAAGCAGCAGAAGACGCGTTATTCACGGCAGAGGCGCTGGCTTGTGGTTGTTGAGCAGGAGCAGCGGAAGAGGCCGTTTTTCCATTCAAGACTGCAATAACCCGGCTCTTGAACTCCTCCTTCGATATGCCTGGCAACAGATACTCTTCTAATTTGCCGCTCCTATAAGCCGAAACCAATTAGCTCTTGCAACTCAAGCAATGAACAGGGCCCATGAACCCCACATGACATACTTGATTACGATCACAGCTGGAAACTCGGCGACTGGACAAAACGAACTCAGGAAACCAGCTTCCTGGGTCCCAGCGGTGAGGCGCAATAGCACCGACTTGTCACCGAGAGCTTGCGCAACCTGCAGAGGTGATCAGCACCGATGCCCCGCAAGCCTCAAAACACCTTAGCGCATGAAATACCTCATTATCTGCAAAGTACTCATCCTCCCAAGTCGAGCTCAGCTGGGCGTCATCTGCGCGTCAAGCCGGTTAGCTGGGCTGGAACCTCCCGATGCGGGGAGATACCGACCTCGGACAAAGCAAGCCACCGCCTTGGCCTCTCTCATGGCGAGGGCAATGCCCTCCTGAAGTGATCCTTCGTAGAAAATCGTCATGGTCGCATACCGACTATTAATGAGTTGTTTAGAGGCCGTATCTTGTTGCGGAAGCTCGATACAGTCCAGGCCAGATAGACTGCGGAGAGCAACACGGGGAAGCCGGAGGCGTGACCGCCTAAACTGCCCGTTCAAATTCCCGGCCCGCTCACACTCACTTCATTTGTCTGTGCAGATTGCCAATTACGCTCGGCTATTGTTTTGAGCTCGCCATGCGATCGCTTTTCTCCGCCCTGCAACGGGCTACTCCAGCGGCTTGGACGCTGCCTGCCCGCGGTGCGCGCAACACTAGCACCGCATGGAAGCTCGACTCCATCTGCACGAGATGCCGCCTGCAGCAGAAGCGCCAATTCACGAAATCGCGCCAGCTGACTGATAGCCTTCTAAATGTTGACCACCCGGCGAAGCTTGTGCGGATTAATCAGAAACATGGCCCTGGCCTGATCATTCTCGGTGCGTTTTCTTCAATTGCCACATCGAGACCGCGCTAACTTACGATCTCTTCTACAAAGCCCTGATTCCCATTATCGCCTTTGGCCTGGGAACCTGGCAAGTCCAGCGCCTGGACCGGAAAACCAAGCTCATTGCCAAATTTGAGGACCGCCTTGTTAGGCCACCGCTTCCACTCCCTCCGCGAGTTGACCCTGATGCAATCTCCGAGTTCGACTACCGCCGTGTCTACGCTACAGGTCACTACCGCCACGATAAGGAGATGTTGGTTGGACCCCGCATGTACGAGGGGGAAGACGGATTCCTCGTTGTGACGCCTCTCGAGCGTGGGGACGGCCAGAGCACGGTGCTTGTCAACCGGGGTTGGATTTCCAGGAAGTTGATGAACCAGAAGGATCGGCCAGATAGCCTGCCGCAGGAGGAGATTACTGTGGAAGGATTGCTACGCGAGCCATGGAAGAAGAATATGTTCACGCCAGAGAATAAGCCCGAGGAGGGGAAGTTCTACTTTCCTGATATCGAGCAGATGGCTGAGTTGGGAGGCAGCCAGCCTGTGTGGATTGAGGAGACTATGGGTAAGACATGTGGTCTTAAGCACATTGCAACATGCAGGTGAAACTGACTCGTTATCAGTGCCCGACCTGGTCGAATCGTATGACCGTATCGCAAAGGGTAAGCCCATTGGCCGTGCCGCTGAAGTCAACTTGAGAAACAACCATGCCCAGTATATCTTCACATGGTAAGTCGAGATCACTTGGATTGACAATACCCACCCATTTTCTTGACCACTCTCTCATATTTTCGCAGGTATGGCCTGTCTCTGGCCACGTCCATCATGCTTTGGATGGTTGTGCGCAAGAAGCCCAACGAGGCTTTACGCCGGGTGCGCCAGAACCGTAACTGGTCATAGACTCTGGGTTGTCGTCATTCAACTTGCATATTTTCCATCGGCGTTCCCGGGTTTTGTTTGAGTATATCTATATATCGATTCAAGGCATTCATGGTGGCATAGCCAATCTCATATCCTGCTGCAGCTCCTTGGGCAAATACTTCTGAGCCAGGGAGAATACCGTTGTCGAGCTGTTGACATGGCGTTGTCTAATTAAATCAGCAAAGTCTTCATACTGCTGGTATTAATACGGCAAAGCATACCTTTTCATCAATGTTGTCACATCACTTTCGTCAATAGTCTTCCGCCCAGCATGCTTGGAATACGCAGCCAAATCCTGGCTCACTTGTTCAAAGTACCACGAGGATGCTTGCTCGATGGCGGTTAGCGTGGCTTTGTTGATTTTCGTCTTTGACCCGGCTCTCGTGCGCGCAAACTGGGTGGCCAGCTTCTTGACCACACCTGCAGGCAAATTTGGGACGGGAATCCCATGCCGGGAAAGCCTCTTCTGTTTTCCCTGCAGTGGAAGACCTTCATCCCGCAGGCCACCCCCAACAATTCCGGGGCTTTGACTGGGAGATACTGCTGGTGGGAAGCCAAGCCCGAACCCAAAGCTGCCGCCTGCGTCATTGTCATCATCGGAAGGCGGCGTAGCAGGAACTGGCTGGATATCTCCTGCAGACAACTGGAATCCGTCCATGTCGCCAATAGGTTCTTCCATTGGCTCATCATCTACCGGCATTGCATTTGGAGATGGGAAGTCCATCCTGAAATCGAACCGGTTCAGGTCCTCTGTCTCTCCACTATTTGAAAATCATTAGCCCCCCATATGTACTATAGATAGGTATCAATTGTTTTTGACGACTTACCCACGATCAAAATCACCTCCACTGATCATCGTATCATCGGCGAAGCCATCGTCACCCACAATGCCCGTTTCTTCTGCGGCGTCAGAATCACTTTCCAGTTGGGTTCCACCAAAGTTCTCGCTCATTCTTATACCACGGGGACCCATCATTGACAATATATCTCGATCTCGATCGGCCAGATCCCTGCGAGGATACTCGACAGATCGGTAGGTAATATCGTCGTCGTCAAATGGGATGGACAGCTGAGGTGGGGACATTCCTGGACTAGCATCGTCGCTGCCCTCTTCTATTTCCTGCAGAGGGAGAGAAAGCCGTGGTCGCTCCATTTCAGGCTCATTGTCTAGCTCTTCGATCTCATCTATTGGCTCTTCCTCGGGCTTCACTTCCTCTTGAGGCGATGATTGAATTGGCTGGGACACGGGGGCAAGCGCTGATATCATCAAGTTGGTCAGCCACAGAACAGGACGAACATGATCATTTTAATGGAATTGTCAATACTTTTACCAAGGTTTCTCAGGATATCAAATACAGTCTCGCGCTGGACTCGTCCGCTCCGTCGGCGATCACGACCAGGGGTATTCGCGGCTCGTTGCTGCCGGGCGCGAAGTCCATATGGAGTCGATGGTGCCACCGAAGCTCTGAACCGTGGGGTGTATCGAGGAGCTGATCTCTGAGCAGATGGTGTGACTGCTGTGACGAGCCGACTCGGGGTTAGCGGGTAGCGCGTATGACTCGGGAGGCGCTGAAGCTATAAGCCTATCAGTCAGTAAGTCTCGCTCAACGTGAGAGAGTGAGCTGTCACTCACCCCGGTTAAAGTGGTCTCGCCAGACGGAGTATTTGTCCCAGCTCCCGAGTTGCCCTGTGACCGGCGGCCACGCGGGATGGGAGTCGACATCTCCGCAATTGGAAGGTGGGCAAAAGCTAGAACATGGGCTGCACAGGATCCAAATGCCCTAAACTTGCAACAAACCTGCAAGGGAGGGCCTAATGGAGAAAAGCGACGCAAAGCTGAAGAACGGGGAGTGTTTGAGGGGCGCGCGTGTTGTAATAACATTGCGGGCCTGCGCATGATTGGTCACATCTTATCGATAAAGGCCCGCTTACTCAGCCGCCTCGATTGGGCTTTTTTTTGCGACGCTCGACTTTGACATCACCGAAAGCACCAATTGAGCTTGAGGGTCTCTGATATACTGAAAAACACAGGCTTGAAACAGGATGACTGAAGGAGGAGCCCCGAAAGGGCTTTCGGCCCAGCTCGACAAAAAGCGCAAGCGCCAGGCCGAGGACTCGACTAAGCAAGACAAGCCCGAAGCTGCTCCCGCAGCAGCCTCGGCAGCAGGTGGAGATGACGCAAACAAGAAGAAGCGCAAGAAGAACAAGAAGAACAAGAACCAGTCTGAACAAGATGTGAAGACGCAAGATCGCAAGGGCGGCGTCGATGAGTCTATTGGCAAGATGGATGGGCGGTTGCTGGCCGATTACTTTGCTCAGCGCGCGCAGAAGCTGGATAAGGAGCTTTCGGCGGTGGAGTTGGGTGACCTTTCAGTCCCAGGTGAGCATAGCTGGCTGCAGATACGTCTTTGGGGAGCCATATGAAACTGACGGGTACAGATTCGGCTTTTGTCGATACCACATCGTTTTCCGACTCTCGATCCTTGGACAAACTCCCCGATTTCCTCAAGATGTTCAGCCCAAAGGGTGCCGACCTTTCCAAGGCATCAAAAAATAAGGGAACGCCCCATACACTGGTTATTTCTGCCGCTGCGCTCAGAGCTGCGGATGTCGTTAGGTATGAGCCTGAATGACCTATCAACAGCCTAGGCCATTGCTAGAGCTAATAATGGGTCACATAGGGCACTGCGGGCTTTTCAGACCAAGGAATCGATTGTCGGGAAGCTGTTTGCGAAGCACATTAAGCTGGAAGAAGCGAAGCAATTCCTTGAACGTGCACGGTAGATGACAGCAAACTAGTCTCGGCCGAATAGAGCAGGTTATACTAATTGAGCATATAGGACTGGAATTGGCGCCGGCACACCGGCCAGGATATCTGATCTTATCGAGTCTGGTAATAACCCCCAGCAATCAATTGGTATATGCACATCTGCTTATTTTCATCGACATTCAGGTACTCTCAAGCTGGATGAACTGGAGCGCATTGTCATTGACGGATCGCATATTGACCAGAAGCAGCGTGGTATCTTCGACATGAAGGAGACACACTTCCCGCTGTTGAAGCTTCTTACTCGGCCGGAGCTGCGCGACCGATATGGGGCTGCGAAGAGCAAGGTGCAGATTCTGATGTTCTGATTTGCTCTGCAAGAATTTTCATGGTAAACATTCATACGGCGGGCGTTAGAACTACTCTATGTTGAATTGTTAATGTAAATCAATTTTGTACCAGCCCAGTTATGTACACTACGCTATACTCCCCACACATGTAATATCTGTAGTCAGACTCGTAATATATACTGTCGGAGCAATAAATGACGGTATAGACTAAGAATGTTGCCTATAGTGCATTTTTGGTCTAGTGGTTATTTTGCCTAGGATTGGATTTGGCCCTATTTTGTCTTGACATATACTTACTTTCCTTCTGCTTAGAATATGCACTCCCTAACACGAAGATTTTACCTACTATCATTCGACCCTTCTTATTTCACTATCTCAAAATAGTAAGCGTCTCACTAACTAAGAACACGTCTGTATTGTTTACTAACTATGTTATAATAGGCATCCGGCGTTGGACTAAATGATGAATGCCTCACAAAATTCCAGCTCCTTAAGCTCAAGAAGACGTTCTCATATATCATATACACTCTGAGTGAGGGCCTTTCCGAGATTATCGTGGGTAAGACCTCGACCAGCCCAAGCTACGATGATTTTATCGCCGATTACCCGAAACGGAATGCCGATGGGCAGTTTACGACTTCGAATATAAGAGCAACAACGGTGAGAAAAGGAAATTGGTGTTTATCCACTGGTGCGTTTTCTTGCTCCCGCCACCTGTTTAGCACAAGAATGTTCCCGGAGATCGATTAATCTCGGGCTTAGGGTGCCAGATACCGCGAGAGTAAAGCAGAACATACTTTTTGCTTCATCGAACGACGCCCTCAGAAGAGGTTTAGCTGGTATTGAAATAGAGATGCAGGCAACAGAATCCCAAGACATCTCTTTCGAGAACGGTGTGTTCCTTCTTAATACCGCAAAAGTTCTAGTTTTATATATGGCTAACGCTATTTCGAAGTCTTGGAAAGGTGCAGCCGGGGGCGTTAGTGGCAAAAGCTAGACAGTGGTAAGAATGAATCTGACGGCGGAGAGTGTCGGCCTACCGATTTTAGGTTGTAGATAGCTTTAGCCGCCTTAACTTTCTTCTCTTCTCCCGCTCAATCCACGATTCGTTTGCCATATCCTGTCTGGTCTCTAGACGACGCGTATGGCCTTATCTTACCTTCTCTACACTCCGTAGGCTCATTCGAATATCACGAGAGATGTAGCTGGCTGATCGTGAGGGAGTCATTAAGTACGAAATAGTTCAGCAGGGATTGCTAAGGAAGAACCTAAAATCAGATTAACGTGCTTCGATTACTTCTTTGTTTGGACTGTTTCCATGAAAGATTCTCCGTGGTTCTACAGTAGGGGGTGACCCCAATTTCTGGACGCTCTGTATGTGGTGGAATCTCGTAGCGACGTGATATTCTATTGTCTAGGTTGTGCAACCCTGGTTCCGCCCGGTCTGGCCCGGCAGGCGCCTACTGGACCGAGGGCTTTCCATGGCCCAGGAAATAAGACAGCAATAGCTGCACCCGACAGTGCCTTGCCAAGCCCCATCTTTGCATGTACTCAGTAGCAGGTTGAAATCTTTTTGGCCAGAGACTTGGGGGATGCCAGGGTATTAGGAACTGCACATGACCTGAGGACTGAGTGTAAAGACAATGGTGTCTGGCCAATCCATTTCATTCACCATCCTACTTCTCTCCGTAGAGGACGATGTTTAAACCCACAGTTTTTGGCGCCCTTTTTTTGAACACTCGAATTCAAATTTAATTGCTGTTTCCTTGTCCGCCGTTCTTTTCTTTCTACTTCGTATTGACCTTCGCGTTCAACCCACGGTTAAACGGTCGTTTATGCCGCTGGGATCAATGTGTTCAATCCGAACAATTAAAATGATGGACACTGTGATCAATTGATCGATTACAGTCACTGCAGAAGACCTTTGTATCTCACTTCCACGTCTTGGGTCTCACAAACTATGCGTGGTATGAAGGTGCACTATCAAGGGCTGCAGACTGCTGAACCGAGGCTTCATGAGACCGCCGAACCCTGCTGTACGCCGACTTCTGAGGCTCGGATACTGAGGCAACAAATGACACTTGCTCCCTAATGACTGGAGACCTAACTTTCACCCGGCTTAGTGGCTACGTTCTGGCAAAGATGGTTGAGTGACCCCTCCGACTTTATACATTGTCCAAAAGGAGTTAGCGGTTCTTTTTGTATAGTTAGAGTTCCGCTAAGCCAAAATCGGTAGTATGCTGCCATTTTGGGGCCCGTAGGTCTATAGGTTTTAGCGAAAGAGTGTTCCTGTGAAGGATCCCAGAAATGGTGCGGACTTTGGATGCCACAATGGACCGGCCTGTTAGACTATTGGGACCTGTGAGACTAATCCAATTACGAAATTGCCCTAGACAGCGCAAGTGCGATTGTACGGTATATTGTAAAGAAAAGTAATGTATTCGTGGAATGGCACTCTAAAATGGAGAAAAGAGTAACAATAGACCCATCACACTTTTACGCAAAGCATCTCAAGGCACTTCAAGGCAAACTGGCTGCACCTGGACTTTGTCTGGTTCTGCGCAACGCTTCGATTTACGGGGCTACCAATTCGATGCCCCCAATTCATGCACCTGATTTATATTCGCACGGATGCCTATTTTTTGGTAATCTAATGTATGAATTGTCTGACAAGCTTTGAATTTAATATGTATGTTATTTATATCACTGAGAAGCTCCTTCAAACCAGAGGGATCATTCTCTTCAAAGGCTGGCATTCTAGTCACTTGCAGTAGAAACGGATTGAGAGCTCGGCGCTAGAGTCCAAAACTCAACCAATGCAGCACAATATAACATCCTCCTATGCCTGGCAATCAGGAATGCCATTTTGGTTTATAACGAATAGAGGTGGAGAGTCCGACGCGATAGCCCACAACTCAACCAATGGGTTGTTATTGAGGGTTCCGGTGGTGCATTCGTCCATTTCACCTAGGTATAAAAACTTTACGGTAGGAATTAGGGACCTGCACCAGGACCGACAAATAAGAGAATAAAACTCACGTTAGGCTGCCATGAATTTGTGAGCTGGACGCTGCCGGAGTCCTGCGGCAGACTGGCGACGAGTTCGTTGAATTCAACGAGGCTTGTTCCCTGCTTTGTGATGATTCCGACCGGGGTCGTCGTCGCTGTGGCAGTGCACGTCGTAGTAGAGGTTGTGGTGGTTGCTGATCCTGTAGGTAAACTTGTTGTCCCTATGGTTGTTGTGGTAGTAGCAGGCTCGGGGGAAGTGTCGCCACCAAAGAAATGTATGATCTCTGCCAACGCATACACTGAAAAACCAGCTATGAGAAATCTGGCGGCTTCACTGATGACGGAAATATTGGGGATAGAAGCACTTACAAAAGCCACTTCCTAACCATAGCCCGCCGATGACAGTGAGTCCAATGAGCTTAAGCTGTATGTTGGGTCAATATTTAGTGGGCCGATGAAGGAACAAGAACCATACCGCCGAGTCTGCTTCTGCTACACTGGCAGCGGCATCAATTTGCGGACTGGTATTTGTGTCGATTGCTATCTGGAGTTCGTCGGCGTTGCGTTGCAAGGTTTCTCGAACTTGGCTAATTTGTGATCCCAGCCCATCTGCAAGTAATGTGGGTTAGCTGGGGAGAGCAGTTTGCGAAAGAACACTCACCTGTGCCATTCCATGTAATAAAAATGTTAGTCGGAACCTTCAAAATATAGGTCAGTACAATGGCTTCCATCACGAAAGACTCCGTGGTATTGAGGGGTCTCGCACACTTGGATTATCCTCGCTGATGGTATCAAGTTCCCTGCCCTTTGTAATTACTTCCTGTGTGTTCTTTCTGACATTCTCTAGTTTCCGAAGGTTAGTAATTTCATTCGGTGGCAGTATAATTCAACTACCTACGCTCAACAGCCTGTACCTGCTTCAGAACAGTGTCGTCATTCAGAATCTCCATTCTGAACGACTCGAGTGAACCAGATCGTTTGACAATGGAAGCGGACGAAAGGAAATCTTCCAAATCCTTCATATGACTCTGATAGGCAACAATTGCGGAGCGCGCTTCTTCCACGGTGGCATTGTACTGCCGCACCGCATCCACAAGCTCTTGAAGAGTCGGACTACTCCATGTTGAGTCCTCATATACCTGAATACGACCAGCATCGCCGCAAAGCTCGCTAGGGTCGCCAGCACAAACTATGTTGCAGTCACTGTCTGGAAATTGATCGGGACCATGTAATGTATTCCCGACAAAGCATTGACTAGCGTGTGTTAGTGAAAGCAGCAAACTGAAGAATAATTAACCCACCTCCCGAATTCGACACCTGCATATCTCCAAGCACCATCCTTCGCAAGCGCTACACACTTCTCCACTGTCATGCCATCCGGGTTTCCATCCTCACTGGAATCGGCAACGAGGATCCGTGAGTCCGCTGCATCCACGAAACAGCCAGTGAATGAGTGAGTGCCAACCTGGGGCTTGATGGTCGGCGTAGTGGGAGTGGTCGAAGTTGCAGAAGGTGTAGCAGAAGACGTCACAGAGGTGGGGGTGATAGTAGTAGCAGGAGCAGAAGTCGTAGTCGTAGTGGATGTGGTAGTAGTTGACTGGATTGAAGTTGACGTTGAAGATGGAGCGCTGGCGGTAGACGAGGTGGTAGTAGTAGTAATACTCGTAGTAGTCGTTGTAGGAGCAGTAGGAGCAGTCGTAGTGGATGTGGTGGTAATCGACTGGATAGTAGTTGATGTAGAAGATGGAGCGCTAGCGGTCGGCGAAGTAGTCGAAGACGAGAGAGAAGAAGAGGGGGAAATACAACTGTCTGTACCACAAGTGCCAGCTATCGGACACACTGCGCAGTCCTGGGGCGGAAACTCGCACTTCATATCTGGAAACTCGCAGCACTGATTTTCTGATGAGAGGCAAGCACCATGACTGCGATATCTCCCTTAGTACGAGAATTCACGTGGATAGCTTCTGTCGCCAAGTCGACATACCAGCAAGCATGAGGACCGGCCGAGCTCGCACAGCCATACAAACTCATAATTTCCGGGTTCAAACTACACCATGTCGTATTTGGATCAGGAATGACACATGCCAACACGCCTTCGAAATCGAGACAGACGCTATCCGAGCCACAATCGTTGTCGACACTGCAGGTGGTTGGATTACAGAGCCAGCCTTCCGGACAACTGGGGTCTCTGGATACCGCACGGGAGAAGAGTTGATTGACGCCATTATTGTTCCGAGCCTGGACTGCCGGGCCGCTCATATAAGTATGATTGCCGTCGGCTGATATGGTTTCGGCAGACACCAAAACTCCTGGGGGAAGAGATATAATGGCCGTAGATAAAGTAGAAAACGCAAGGAGCCTGACTGCGGAGCTTAAGACAGCCATTTTGAACGATATGAGAGGATCACGCCGTGGGCGAGGGTTGTACAACTTATATAAGAACAACGTCAGCTATTGGCGAAGCTTGCCCATTCTTAAGACTAATATGCCTGCATGGCGGATATTGGATAAAGCGCACTGGGATCGTGTGAGAACGCTTTGACTACAAAATGTAACAGTTCCCTCGGGCAAGACCCACCGACGAGAATCTACTGTCAGCTCCTTGGAAATTGCCAAGCCAAGCCAAGCAGAATGCTTACTTCTGAACGGCCCTTCACCTCAGCTCAAGTTTTCTTACCACTAAAGTTTGTCCTGGAGCCAATGCCTAAATCATAAGCGCAATGCCTGCTCCTGCCTAGCGGGGCCTAGTCGGTATCATCGTATTTAACTTTGATTATTCAGAGGAAAACAACAACAACGGGAAGTGGCTCCGATGCTGCTGAGCCCTAGGAGGCGGCACTTGAACAAGGACATCTGCCTCAAATAAGACATTAGGATTCCAATTAGTCACCCAATGCCTAGCCAGAGCCGCTTCTACATAAATGTTATCGCTCAACTAGAAATACTTATGATGACAATTATCACCTCGCCACAGGCTTCTTTGAAACATCTCTCTACCCACACCCCCACCCGGTGCGATACAAACTAGCCAACATGTTCTTCTATCTCGGGCCTATTCTCTTCTCGCTCCTTCTCACGGCGAGATTATGCCTGGCCCTTCCTAGCCCCAACGAGGTGTCTTTCGAAGGAAGCCGCGACTTAATACCCAACTCCATCACCGCCCCCCGAAGAATCCGCCTCCCTGACCCAGTCTACGATTACAACAAACTTACAAAACGCGATGCAGATATCCGCAATTGCACCGTTACATGTACATTCGATAACACTACAATCACCGCCGGCAACAATGTCTGCATAAATGTCGGCGTCGACTCCTCAGGTGATACCACCGGGCGAGGTGCTTCCCTGACCATGATCCAAAGCACGGTCACCGCAGGAAACGATATCAATATCAACGTTTGGGACCGGAACCAGAATGGGCTGGTTGTGTTGTGGTTGGAGGACGTCACCTTGACGGCGGGAGGAAGGATCAATTTGAATTTCAGTCAAGAGGATGCCTGTTTGGCGGATGACTGCGAGGTGATTATCTATATGAGAAATGTGACATTCAAGTCAGCGGCGACGGGGGAAATTGTTAGGTTTGATGATGCTGTTTACTCTTCTCGATTGGATAAGGGGAAGTAAAGAGCTAAGTGGTCTGTATGGAAGATCTCTTTCAATATATCTAGTATTCTGGAATATAGATAAGGAGTTCTGTGGGAGCATAATACCATTAATTCTCATTCTGAGGGTGCCAAGAGAGGATGCGAAGAGTCGTAATTCTTACCCTCCTCAGCACCCTCTTGTGTGATGTCTCGATGGCGACTTTCATGATAAAACCTTAATCACACGCTCTTTTAGCCTCACACAATGACCGATCACCCCTGCATTTGATCTTCTCGAATTCGGTGAGCGAAGTGTTGAACCCCCTCGCGACATAAGCATATGCGTTGAATTCAAACGTTATCTCTCCTGCAGCAATCGATGCACTCCATGTGTGTTAGCAGCTCTTTCTCTTTCTCTCTCTTCCTCTCTCGGTAAGATTCATTTACCAGTTTGGGAATGTGCATTTCCCCAGCCAGCCAGCCAGCTGCAGGTTGTCGCTCAACCCTGATCGACGCTTTGAGGCTGATAGGTGCTTTTGGGTTTTTGGCGGGGACTTGGTGCCTAGCTACTCCGCGACCAGTCAGCGACCACATCCGGATGGTCCCCAAGGCGCCCGACTTTCCTTCCAGTTCCCTGGTCCTGCGGCTGAGTACCCATCGATTTATTTGCGCATTCGGGGAAACTCATGCAGGGGCTCGCTTAAATCCGCCCATGTTGGACCTAGTTTCAGATTCGATACTGTGTTACTATTTTATCCGGTCACTATTTTATCCTGGTCACACCTGGCGCAATCACACCAATAGACTAAATTGGCTACATTTGGCGATATGCCGAACATTCCGGTGCCTAAAATCTTACGTGGGTTATATTAGATGTAACCTTTCTGCAGGGTTCCGGCGAGAGCACCGGCCGCTCCGCCAAAAGTGATCCAGTCTGGGTGGAAGGGAATTAACAATTCATACGAGTGGGCCGCAATGCATCGCTCATTTAGCCCAGATGAGAAACACTCAGTTCGCAGCTACATGATATCGGCTCCGTTGTCGAGTTCATACATGACCTCTTTCCATTAGCGCTGAGCTGAGAGATTTATTATTCTGGGTAAGCAGAGGGGTCATCAACTTGTCAAGGCGGCATCATATGAGAATATAAATAGGCAATTCGCAGGACTCTCTAGATCCAGCCCGAGCATACTTCCTTGCAAGATTCGTATCTTTCCAAGTCTTCTCAGTTGGACACTATCTAAACTTAGTAAGGGGCTCCAAATCACGAAGAACCAAAATACTGATATGAAGAGCAGATACAAAATGAAGTTTATCTCTCTGTCCACGCTAGCCTTGGCCATTGCCACAATGGTATCAGCGCAAACCGATCTCTACGTAAAGCCCTGCTATCACCAAGATAGCTGTGAGACCTATGAGTACATTTCAGGCGTTACCTGGGAATACGGCCAGTGTATCAACTTCAGTCGCGGAATGGCCTCTTTTATGGTCTATAATGCGAAAAGTTACTGTACACTGTATAGTGGCAGTAACTGTGGCGGGGGTGCGTGGAATGAAAATATCAATAACCTCTGGATTGATTCAGATATCGGGTGGCTTTGGTCGTTCAAGTGTATCTAAGTAGTGGGTGTTTGATATCGCCGCTCAGAGTGGATTGCTGAAGAGGTGTTCACGGGGATGATCTCCCAATTATGAGACTGCAGCTCTTAGATTGGAGGTTGTATGCTGGTCAGCCTTTTATTACTTTTAGTCGCCGGGAGGCTATTACGATTCGGATCTGGTTTTGTGTTTATCTGATGGTATTCAGTAAAAGTCCTAGTGTCGTCAAAGGAACAATCGTATCATTATGCGCAAGATGCAAAGAAGTAAAACCCTTCCGTAGTCACGATGCACTCCAGAGAATTTTCACATAAGCCTACAGGTTAGATCAGCCGATGAAGTATCATTCTTCATGCTCACCTTGTCATCTACTAAGCTACTGAGTCAAAATACCGCGGAAGTAAAGCAACTCAGATATATTCTGCGATAAGCCCTACCCAGGTAGCTGTAATCTCATCTACCTCACAGTTCCTTCGGATGTTGCCAATTAGCGTCAAGTATCCAAGGCTGAGATTGGTTCGGGGAGTGCAATCGCTTCCGCAGCTGGGCGTCTAAACTGCCACACTCGGTGCTGCACGCCTGCGAGGCATATAGGTAGGCTAAGCTTAATCCTCTACTAACCTCGGTACAGTTACGATGCATATAATAAAGTTACAAGGGACAGTCCAAAAAATATGTTTTCCAGCACTCTTATCGTCCAGCGCCGCCGAGAGCAAATCAGTCTTGACATGGGGGTCTCGACTAGTGCAGTATAATGACTATTAGAAGCATCCATGAATGTCTGATTATTTTTATATACATTTCCGTGCTTTGCTTCATGGGAAATGATATCTCTTCGTCCAAATCCGTGAACATTACCGTGCACCTAGGTGCTACCTCTAGTAAATCATGGAGCGCATCAACGCGAAGAGGGCCAGCTCATGAAACGTGGAGGGTATTCTAAATTTAGGTATTTCTACCCTATACCTTCGATGACCGAGGCAATGGTCCTTGAGAAACGGTCCTCAGTGACAATTCACGTGATCGGGTCCATTTGCGCAGACAGCAGATCAACTAACTACCCGATCAGGCAGGAGGGCGATACGAACTCACCGCCTCGAATCCAGGCGGCAAAAACTAAATTTCTCCCGAGTCTCCGCCCAAATTTTTCGGAGCTGGGCTTTCGCATCGTTTGCAATATTTCTATTTCCGTTCGTCCCGTGCATTACCAGAGAAGATTCTGGATTGACAAGGAGTCAATTTCCTTGCGCAATTACACCAATCTTTTGCTAAAGAACAAAACAATTCCACAATGGGCGACAAGAAGCGCAAGCTCGCGGAGGAGACTCCGGCCGATGGGGTTGCTCCGGAGGGCAAGAAGATGAAGAAGGAGAAGAAGGAGAAGAAGGACAAGAAGGAGAAGAAGGAGAAGCGCCAGGCCGAGAAGGAGGTCGAGGTTGCCCCCGAGGTCATCGAGGAGGACAAGAAGGAGAAGAAGAAGAAGCAGAAGAAGGAAGAGGCCAACGAGAGCAACGAGAGCCAACAGGTCGAGACGAAGGAGAAGCGGGAAAGCAAGAAGGCCGAGAAGGCCGAGAAGAAGGAGAAGAAGGAGAAGCGCAGTGCCGACAAGACGGACCTCGACGCCGAGGAGAAAGCCGCCAAGAAGGCCGCGAAGAAGGCTAAATCCGATAAGAAGAAGGCCGCCGAGGAAGACAAAGAGTCTGCTTCTCAAGAGGGCTCGACGGACGAGCCCGAGGCTGATGCTTCCAACGAGGCCGAGGTCACGCAGAAGAGCTCCCGGTTCATCTGCTTCGTCGGTACGTTACTGCTGCAGCGCCGTTGCTCTATTCCACGATCAATACGGGCAAGAAGCTGATCTACCGCTGCACAGGCAACCTCCCCTACTCTGCCAACCACGAGTCCCTCACCAAGCACTTCGAGAAGAACCCGCCCGCCAACATCCGCGTGGCAACGAAGAAAGAAGCCCCGAGCAAGTGCCGCGGCTTCGCATTCATCGAGTTCGACAACTATGACCGCATGAAGACCTGCCTCAAGCTGTACCACCACTCCATGTTTGACGACGGCAAGTACCCGCCTCGCCGGATGAACGTTGAGCTGACGTGAGTGCTCCCACCTGAACTCCTACTCACCTATCTACCTGCTCTCTATGCCTGCCGACATGCCCCACGATGTCATTTGCATCCGTGCTCGACCCAAGTCCACCCCGCTAACGTGACCCAATTCTAGTGCCGGCGGCGGCGGCTCCAACTCCGAGCACCGCAAGGCCAAGATCCAGGCCAAGAACGAGAAGCTCAACGACGAGCGCCAGCGTCTCGCAAAGGACATCAAGAAAGACAAAAGGGACCACGACAAGGGCAAGCCCGCGCGCTCCGGGGTGTCCGGCGCCAACGCTGTGACCGTCGACGGTGGAAACGATAACGACCAGTTCGCTGGTATGCACCCCAGTCGCCGGGGCCGGATCTAAGCCTGTTCCTGTATTGATGATGTGGGTTGATTTGAGCTCAATCTGCCGTATCTGTTGATCTCTCTTTTGTTATTGACTGGACGGGACTGTACATTCTGGGACGGGAGTGGAAAAGTCTGTTGTGATGATGATTTGATAGTAGATACCACCTTTTTTTTATATCTTCTGTGCATCCTGGGATGCAAATGACATGAGCATTTGCGAATTTAATTTCAATTTTCAATTTCACTTCCACGTTTTCATCTTAGATTGCAGATGGCGGCTGGCCCACGCTCAAAGGACTCGAAACATGAAACATTCCACGAGGTAGGGCGAACACGAACTGAGCAAGAATAATAGAATCCGGGTTTTAGACTACCTAGCTCTATAGATCAAGGTGCAACGCAGAAAGGAGGACAAGGATATCGCAGTTAAGTCGCAGCACAGCAATTTCCCCAAGAACATGAAAGAAAGGAAAAAGGGAAAACGAGTCAATGAATTCATCAATCGAGGCCCAAGAAAAGCCTCTGGCTACCCGGACGCCGTATTAACTATAGTATTATTCATTATAGCATACGAAAAAAGAGGGCGATGGCCCCCATGCACAGCCTACAAGATCTGGCATCGGTTCTTCCTCCCGGACTTGGCGAGGGGACGGGGGTTGAGAACAGCCCTGCGACAAACAAACATGTTAGCTCCACATAGCCATGCCCGCGAAACGATCAAATCCAGATAACACGATGGGGGAGGTAGGGTGTGTGGCGTAAACGGTACGTACCGGATGGCCTCGTCAAACACGCTCTTCAGGTTGCGCTGGGTCAGGGCGGAGCATTCGAGGTACTTGTGTGCGCGGATCTCCTTGGCCACAGCCAAGGCCTGCTCGTACGAGACGGGCTCCATCTTTCGGGAGCGGAGAGCGTCGGTGGTGGCACGGTCGTCGCGCAGGTCGAGCTTTGTGCCGACCAGGATGATGGGGACGCTGGGGGCGTGGTGTTCGATTTCGGGGAACCACTGCCGATCACAGGTTAGTCGTATGATTCGCGGACCAACGCACCGTGCAGCCGAGGCCGCCGGCGCCAGGGGAAAACAGGAAATCGCTGGGTCCATGCGGTGTCGGGGTGCGTGTCGGGGCGTACCTTGGCTTTGACGTTATCGAAGGATGGCGGGCTGACAATCGAGAAGCAGATCAAGAAGACGTCGGTTTGCGGGTAGGATAGCGGCCTGAGGCGGTCGTAATCTTCTTGTCCGGCGGTATCCCACAGTCCCAAGCTGATCGGCCGGCCGTCGACCATCACGCTGGCCGTGTAGTTGTCAAAGCTGCAGGGTGGGCATCAGTAATGCGGATCGGGGGATTTGGGATCATCGGGATGACAGGGGGTGGGGGGAGCTGGCAGGAGAGACGGACACGGTCGGGATATACTCTCCCGGGAAAGCATTCGTTGTGTAGGAGATGAGAAGACATGTCTGTAGAGCATTTCGAGCATTGTCAATTGGGGGATTCACTGCGTCGCGGCATTCGTGTTTCGTTCGGAGGGGAGAGACTTGGTAGGCCTTGGGGGATGTCGGGGGGTGGGTTCAATACTGACTTTGCCCACGGCACCGTCACCTGTCACCACGCACTGTATCGCGAGTTAGCGCGTCTCGGGGGACTGGGAAATTGTCGCAAGGCTGACCTTCAGCGATTGAGTAGCCGGGCCCGTCGCCATGGTTGTGTGAAGTTATGTACACCGAGACAAAAAGGGGCGATAAGGGGCGGTCCGGATGACAATCGATAACGGGCTCCCACGGCGGAGGGGGAAACAGACGGATGGCTTCTGGGCGAGTGAGCTTCAGGGGATTGAAAGGGCAGCAGAGCAGTTGCTGCTGGAGCTAGGGGTAGAAGAGGGGGAGGGTGGAGACGAGATGATCTCGAAAATAAGGAGGGGCTGATCGCACCAGATGGAAAGACTCGAGGCGCCGAGAGGAGGAGCAAAAGGACGGGGGTCGAAAAGGTGAAATTTCAAAGTTGTGATTTAGAGGAGGAGAGGAGGAGAAAAATAAAGGTCGGGCCAGTGAGGAGGTTAGCAAGTGAGTAGGTTAGTTTAGTGAACGCGCCAAGTTTAGGACTTGGACAAGCTGGGGGGCTGATGGAGTGCACTGTGGATGGTTCGGGTCCCCACCTTCATATTGACCTACTCAACCCGGCCCTACACTTCTACATCTACAATATACCCGTTTCGTAGTTCACCAGAGCTCACTGCCTTTGCAGTACGCACGATGGAGGGTTCACCACACCGCCGTCTCCCAGCCTCCGATCCCAACCACCGGCCAGCATCGATCGAAAACCCTCTCTGATAGGTATTTTCCCGACTAGCGCCGCGCTGGTCCAGCTCCGGCCCGCCCATCTGTTGGCTCCCACGGCTCCGTCCGAGATCCTCCCTGCACCAATCGCATGGCCATTCAATCACGGGCAGCTCGAGGGCGCCTGCACTGCGCTGGTTTCGCGACCGACGAGGGTGTGATAGGGTGACCCCGGCCTGTCGCGCCCACGCATGGATGGGCTATGTTGCATAGCCTCTTTAGATCTCCGGCCGACAGGGGTCCACCGCGTGCTCCTCGGGACCGAGCTGGAAGCAGGTATAAACAAAGGAAAATCCGGCGAGGCGAAGCGCCTGGAGATGCGAACGGGGCTAATTGCTTATTGGCCGACTGCGAGTAATCAATTGTATCCATTGTCTCCATTGTATGAATTGTATATAGTATTGCACTGCAGGATCTGGAGAACGGATCTCGAGCGTCAACAGAGGCATGGTCTATCCGGGCGCGAAGACTCCTGTGTGAATGCCTCCCTCCGCTCGTCGGTTACAGCCGCGACACTCCCCGCGCCGCCCAAGAAGGCCCCCACGCGCATCTCCGCTGGCTTCGCCATCAATGCCGGCAACTGGGAGGCGAACTCGCGGAAGTAGGGACTTTTCATATGCGCTTGGACGGCGGCTTGGTTTTTGTATCTACAGTGATCGCGGTCAGGCATGTCTGGGTTGGTCATAGCGCGGTTACATCTGCCGAGGCACGGCGAAACGGGGACAGCAACGGGAACCGCAGAGGGCAATTTGCTCCCCTCTCAACGACAGCAGAATGGAAAATCGAAAAATGGACTGACCGTTCAATAATCACAATCTCGTTTTTATCGTGCACCTTGATCGCGTAATAGACCAGGGTGTCGGGTTCATGCTCTTGAACTTTCTTGGTGAGCTCGGTGATGAGCGCGGCGAGCTAGGTACGAGACATTAGATGGTGGGCCGCCATGCAACAGAACGCAGTCTGACCTCGTCGAACTTCTCCGGCTTGGGGTACAGCACGGCGGCGACGTTGATTTCGGGCATGGCGCGGAGTGCGTCACGACGGAGTCGGAAGAGGGTAGGGATGCGTTGGTCTGATCACAGAGGATGTGAAGAGTACAGAGTGGTACAGAATGGTACCGAGTGGTGTGCATTGGAAGTATGGAAGTCGAAGGTGCTCGAGTATCCCCGTGGTCGGCAACCTCGGCAGTGGGGGTCGCTAACAGATGAGGCGATCAGATCGGCTTCTCCAGACTGCCGGAGAGGACATGAGTGGAGTGGGAAGATGGGGTGCGCCGGTCATAACCTAATATATCGAACATGACTAAACCCCAACACGATGTCCACCATCCCATGATCTGTTCTCCAGATGGTGTGCAGTGATGCTTTGTGGGTAATGGGTTATTGGGGAAAGACGGAGATGTCATCCTGGGAAAGATATAGTTTTGCCGGCCCAGGAAAGACGAATTGGATACTGAAGATGTCACAGAATCTGGACCGGCCCTCTCCCGTATAATCTCAGCAGCATCTTTATTGTAGTTGATCGGGCGAGAGTCGTTTTCGAGCAACCCGCTCACCGGCCTCGTATACTCGACATGAATTGCCACAGGCACGATATCACATTGACAGACGAGTAGATTTGAAGCGGTCTGTTTAGCCCATGGCTCATGTCTGCTGGTTAAATTAAAGGCTCTTTAAGAATTTCTGCTCAGCATAGCTCATTGTTGTCATGCTGGGACAGTACACGGTACTTTTGGAAGCATAAAGTCACCAGGGTTGCAAAGGTTTAGAACCATGGGGTTAAGGTTACTTCGTACACGTGTGATCAATCCAATGAGTATCCCGACATCCTCACGTACTCCATACGCCGTGCAGGACTAAACCTAAGTTGATCGGCCTGTGGCTGGGGTGGTCTCCGTGCCTGGCCAGGAACACTACAGGACTCACTAACTACCGGTCCGAGGTACCTCAATTCCCCCGAGGAACTGTTTGGTACAGTGACGTGATGAAGCTGTTTCAGCCCAAAGGCCCCGCCCCAACGAAGACAGGGGCGGTGCCAACGCAAACGCAGGCTCCAGCATTCCCGGCCCACCGCGTTGACTGACCTCATTGATCGCCGCCTTAACCGCCTCCCCACCGCCAAGCAATCGGTTTTCCGACATTGACAATAGCTCCAGCTGGGGGTGGCTTGTGGCTTGTGATTTTCTCCCTTCCACTCCTACTTCCTCTCCCTGTGTGAAGAAGCTCCGTGTCTACCATGTCCGACACGGCTCCTCCTGAACCTACCGCGCTCCCTGCGCTGTCCGATGCGCCCCCATCCAGCGCCGGTCGCTCGTCCGCTGGTTACTCGGGGGCGGTCGACCAGCAGCCACAAGCGGCCATTTCCGATGAGCTCAAGGCTCGTTTGGACAAAGTGATCTACTCGGAGGTAGGTGTAGCAACTGCTGCGAAGGGCTGCGACGCAATCGCACCCCAACGAAGCCTGCCCTCGTGCTAACTGCTCCGCATGCAGATCGGTATCACCACCCTCCTGACTCGATTGAAGCAGAGCGTGGCCTCCGCCAGGGTACGTCATCGACGACGAGCGGAAGACCCCCACTGAGATCGGATGCGCTAACCACGCCCGCATAGGATTTCTCGACCTTCCTGAAGAAGCGCGGCACCCTTGAGGAGGAGCATGCTCAGGGGCTGCGGAAGCTGTCCCGCGCCGTCAATGATGCCGCGCAGCGCACCGAGAACCGACAGGGCACCTACAGCGCGAGCTACAAAGATATCCACCACCTGCAAGAGCGCATGGCCGACCATGGCCTGCAATTCTCCGTCTCCCTCCAGCAGATGGCCGACGACCTGCACGAACTCGCCACGAACATCGAACGCGGTCGCAAGCAGTGGAAGCAGACCGGGTTGGCAGCAGAGAAGAAAGTCACGGATGCGGAGTCTCAGGCCGAGAAGGCCAAGGCGAAATATGAGTCGTTCGCGGAGCAGTACGACCGTGTGCGCACGGGTGATAAGCAGGGCGGCAAGTTCGGCCTGAAGGGCCACAAGTCGGCGGCTCAGCATGAGGAGGATCTCCTGCGCAAGGTCCAGCATGCAGATAGTGACTATGCGTCCAAGGTCCAGGCGGCACAGGCCGCGCGCCAGGAATTGGTCTCTACCCACCGGCCGCAGGCAGTGCATCATCTCCAGCAGCTGATCGCAGAGTGTGACTCGGGGTTGACCCTGCAGCAGCAGAAGTTCGGTGAGTGAGGGGGTTTTTACGGACTGCTCGCATTTTGGGTGACATGTCGACGTTGAGCTAACGATTGGCAGCTACATTCAGCGAGAAGCTGCTTCTCGGCCAAGGCCTCTGTGTCAGCCCTATGAAAACCGAGAACGGAACCCTTGCAGTCAAGAGTCTCGCCGAGGTGGTCCGCCAGGTCGACAACCAGAAGGACTTGCACGAATTCATTCTCGGCCATGAAGGGAACCCGGGCGCTGTCAGTGGGCCAGAGGTCAAATATGAACGCCATCCAACCTTGGGCGGCGGAACTGCTGCTCCTGCTGCGCCATCGCAGTCAAGCACCCAGGCCAAACGCCAGTCTTCCTTGCCTCAGTCCTTCTCTCAGCACAACGTCTCTTCCCCAGCCAGCCAACCGCCTCCGAGCACTACCGACCGCTTCCAACCACTGCCATATCCCATACAGTCCGAGCCTGCACCGGCACCTCCATCCCAGCCACCGTACCCTGTCTCCGGGCCGCCTGCTCAGGAACCCGCCCCCGCCGCCATCGCCGCCGCCCCTGCTCCAATGCTGGGTGGTACGGCTCCATTAATGCCCGGCCCACCCCCCATGGACAAGGCTACTCTGCAGTCCAGCTTACCACCGTTGAAGCCGGTGTTTGGTGTGTCGTTGGATGATTTGTATGCTCGAGATGGAACCGCCGTGCCGTTCCTCGTCTACCAGTGTTTCCAGGCCGTGGAGCTGTTTGGTTTGGAAATGGAGGGTATCTACCGCCTTTCTGGTAGCGCTAATCACATTAACCATATGAAGGCGGTCTTTGATAACGGTCAGCTCCCCCCGCACCATCTTCCTTAAAGCCAATTTCATACTCATGTCTTTTTGATACATACAGACTCCTCACAAGTCGATTTCACCAACCCCGAGAACTTCTACCACGATGTAAACAGTGTTGCCGGCCTTGTGAAGCAGTTCTTCCGGGATCTGCCCGACCCGCTGTTTACCTCGCAGTTCTATTCCCAGTTCATCGATGCTGCTCGTAAGTCCCGAGCCATGCGCTGCCTGCGACGGCTGTTACAGGAACTGACAAACATGACCACGCAGGCATCGACGATGATATCCAACGGCGCGATTCGTGCCATGCCCTCATCAACAGTCTGCCCGACGCGCACTATGCCACCCTACGCGCCGTGATCCTGGTAGGTTGACAGCCCTTGCCTTTCGCAATACATACAACTCGTACTCACAGCATCACAGCACTTGAACAAAGTCCAAGAACACTATACCTCGAACCGCATGAACGCCGGCAACCTGGCAATCTGCTTCGGGTAAGCGACCACACCGCATCCGCCCCTTTCTCGAGAAACCGCTAACCAGAACAACAGACCAACCCTGATGGGCGCCAACTCAGGAGGCAACATTGCCGACGCAGGTTGGCAAGTCCGCGTCATTGAAACGATCCTCAACAACACATTCCAGATCTTCGATGATGACTAGTTAAAAGCCTCCGCCCGGTTCCCTTCCAGTGTTGCTTTCTGCTCGCCCTATGATAACCTAGGAGTGGGACTCATCATTTGGTCTCTTGGTGTGGGACTTTCTCTAATCCTGAATCATCCCTTGCCCTCATCCGCTTTTCAACACCGCTTGATTCCACGACGCCCGACTCATTCCTATCCCCCACGTCGTCTTTGTGCTTCTTCCTGTTTTCCTCTACAGCATGTGTCTGCTCTGCTCGTCCCCTTTCGTCGTTTCCTGCGAGTAGCGGATCGAGCCTGATTTCGTACCACAGCTAATGCCCCCCTTTGCTTTTTTTTGTACATATACACATGAGTCTTTTCTTGTTTCTTGATTATCCTCTTCTGCATTGGGTGCCCGTGCCCGTGCAGGGCTTACTTAGGTTTGTGCTGCCGTCGAATCTACGACAACGCTTTTTACTACGTCCAGGCTGGTTTCCAATGGATACGAAGAAGTAAAGAAAAGAGGTAGTCCTCGGATAAACTCAGTATTGATATGTCTTTTCCATTTTCTACTTATTCTCAAACATATCTCGACATCCACATAGGAGTTTTTTTCTTTCTTTCTTGCTTTCTTTCTTTGGACGAGAAGGGAATACCTAACCACTCCATCCATTTTCCTTTCCTATGCTTGTTTGTTTTCGAGTATCCCGCTTTCTGGTTCTCCGTTTTTACTTGTGGTTTCGAAGGCGACGCTTTTGTTCACCGGGCAAGGTTCGTAATCTTTGGATGGTGGGATGCGTGAGTTGATATGTGTTCTCCTTGACCACAAGCCCCTGCTTAATGGCGTAGTTATGTGGATGGGTGGGGACCATGCTAGTGCGTGCCAGATGAGGCGGTTCGTGTGTGGCCACGGACATCAAGGACCATTCGGTGTCGGATAGAAGGTAGGTCATCCCAGTTTCTCACACGGATGGCTACTTGGATAGTACTGTCAGTGACTTGAAGACTTTGCAATGCGCCACGGCGTGCGGAGATGAGGAACATAGTACCTCCATCCGGTGCTTGGAGTATAATAACGTGGTAATTCAATTGGAGAATGCCCGCGATGTGTCGAGGTGGACTTTTGAGTCACTGACCCACAAGGCATCACAGTTGAATCTACATTAGCACGCTGTAGCCAGCGAGTTGAATGTGTCTTCAGAAAGCATGGGGTTGGCACCAGGTTATAGTTGTATAGATATACGCAAGTGTAACCCTATGGGGTAGAATGTATGCACAGCCTAGAACCCTGAACACCTTCCGTTCTACAGCCACGGCAAACAAGATAATCTGGATCTTGAGATTCAATATGACTATAATACATGGATTGGTAGATGCTCTATATAAATGGCTCGATATGACAAATTCATAAATGGACACACGCCCTGTGACAACACAGCCAAATCAATCCCAGACAAGCTGGCTGTTCCACTGTAGCAGAACAAAACAAGGTTCGGAGACAAGGCAATTGATACCGTTAACACAAGGTGAAGAAATAAAGTTTTGAGAAGCAGCCCTGCAGTTTACCCCACTTATTGGCCGCCGCCGGGTCCCATGTTCTTTATGGCCTCGAGGCGCTCCAGAGCAGACAGGCCTGGGGCAAAGGCCGGGTCGGTGTTCAGAGTCTTCATATCAGTAGCCTGGGTGGTACCCCAGATCTGCCAGTCGGAGTACTTGCCGTGCCAGATGAGCTGCTGGACCACGACATACTCCACGCAGTCCTGCTCCCTGGCGGCAGGAACCACATCCTTCGGGGAGGTCTTTCTCCCGGTGTTGGTCTTGGCCATGGACTGTCTGGAAGCCAGGCGCACAACGACCTGGCGGACGCCAGAGTTGGCCATGTCGGGGATTTTGACGGCGCGATCTGCCATCACACGCGCGCTGCGGAACTTGTTGCCGACCAGTGTCCAGGTCACCTTCTCGTTTGTGGGGCGGCTCTCGACTTGGTCGATGAGCTTCTGGGCGAGCTTTTCACAGCAGATGCGACGCAGACTGGAAGTGTTACCCCTATCCCGGGATGTTAGCGGGTAGCCCGTGGAGATGTCATCGAATTGTATGCTTACTCGGCCAGGCTGGTGTACATCTGCGTGTATAGACTTTTGGCTATATGTTTCCGGTTAACGCTGTGGAAAATCTTGAAGAAGGGGATGCGCAACGGTCCGATATGGGGCTGTTGAAGCTGCTTTGCGATGAAAGGAACGTTGTTCAAATCCTTCTTGCAGTACACCAAAAGGCTGTTGTCGAGTTAGTTAGTTCGTGCTCAACTGCATGCCTTGTTTCCCATGCGCCTCTGCCCATCTTCAAACTCCTGATTCCCGCCAATGAACGAGCAGGCCATAGCTCAACGAGGAGAAAGTGCAAACCCACCTGGTATAACCCTGGAAAAGACTCTTCAACCAAGTCCATTCCATCCGGAACCGGTCCCGCGGATCCTGGAAGATAGAGGGCAAGTCCTTCCACATCGGCCGCACGAATGTACCCGGCAACAAGCCAATATCATTCGGCAGCTGGTGCATCATCACCTCCTTTGCGCGAGACTTCATCGATGGCTGCGGCATGCTTCCGGGCTTGAAGTTTTGCGATCGGTAACCCCATCGTTGCGGCGCGGCCGAGAAGGAACGGCATTGGTGCGAGCCGGAGGCAAAGGTCTGGGCGATCAGCGACGTTGGTCGGGCGCTGGGGAATATGCTGCCCGTGGGCAGACGCAGAGAGGACGCCATAGCGAGCTGCGACTCGGGGCGGAAGTGTTTCTTGACCGCGAAATGCCGAGAAGGAGAATCCAATAAAATCCGCGGATGGTCACGTGCTGTCTCCGCGATCTCGCGGGTCAACTATGGCAGCTCGTCGAAAGCGACGGTCCTCGCTGAACATCGCCCACACACTCTCTCCACTCCTCGTCAAGAGCTCCTAGACTTGACGGTACTCTGTTTGCCCCCGAATTTTGGTTATCAGTCCGCTACCTTCCCCCCTGAGTAACTTACCCTCGTCTCTTCACCTCAAAACCCACCGATTAGGGGACTCGACTAATTCGACACGCCCCAGACTCGATAGAACCAACTCCCTCACTCAATACCCCCGCTTCGTCAATATTCTCCCGATACCTACTCTGCTCCACGATACTGCGCGGCGGTCGCATACGCCGCGATCGAGTCTAAAGGCTGGCTCCTCTCCGTAATGCCTCACCACCACCATACTCACCACCCGCCCAAGCACACAGCCGGCCAGACCTGAACTTCGCGCGAGTGCCTATCCTACCAGAGTTCGAGCTCCTCCGTTCATCGGTGCTCACGCCGCCGGGCCAATTCGCCAAAGACGTGGCGTCGGCCTCGGCGTCGTCCGCCCTCCCGCCGTCCCCAACCTCCGACACTTTCCACGCCCCGCTCAGCAACGATGCCGGTCAGGCTGGATCTTCGCCGCTGCACCCACGCGTGGCAGTAATTCTGGGCGTTGACCGCAGGTGGTATATCCCGCTGCTGGTGTGCCGGGCACTGAGCACACTGCCTGCGGCGTGGTGGGGGTTGCGGTGTGCGTTTACGTTCTTGGCCGAGCTGCTGCATATTCGGCCAGGGATGGCCGGGGAGGGCTGGGCAGCAGCGATTGTCGGGAGTGTGGGGCAGGAGTGGGATGTTGAGAGGAGGTTTCGAGTTACAGAGGTCGCTTTGGCGATCATGTGGGTATGTATGGTGGAATGCTGGTCTGCGAGTTATGCATAAGGTTGTGGGTTGCTTGGGATCCAGGGCTAACGTGATTGCTAGTGCTGCGCATCCGCATATCTTTCTTATTTCTTTGCTGATTGTATGATGTCTCGATGGTGAGTGATCCCTTGCTCCTTTCTCGAGGTCCTGACATAGTTCCCAAGTGCTCACTGGCTTCTGCAGGCTTTTGAATTACACCCCGCCTGCTGTCGTAATTCGGCTGTTGACGACGAACGGGCTAATTGCATATATCACTTCATGGGTTCTCTATCTTTCCGGCGCATCTTCTGATCCACGGCTCCTCCTGCCTGCCTGGATTTCCATCACTACCGTACGTGACGCCCGAGTATCAACGTGATGCTGATCCCTCGAGAACGTGAACTTACCGTACGTACTGACTCGCTCCGGCTACAGACTCTTACCTTTGTCTACCACGCCACGCAAAACCATGCAACCATTAAACGCGAAACAGCAGCGTCTTTACTCGTTGTCTCCGTCGCTAGCTTTCTCAGCATGTCCTCGCTCCTGCTGCAACTCCACCTAACCCGCGAGAACGAACCCGAGGTCCCCGTCTTTGTGATCACCCGCAAACTATGGGACTTCGCCGTTGCGATCTTCCTGCGCATGCGAATCGCAGATCACCGGGTCGCTGGCGAATTGTAACTTGCACCGCGCCTTTTCGGTACTTTCCGGAGTTCAGTTGTTATGTCTTCTACTTCTCTTTTTTGTTCCTCTCGAGAGGGGATTCTCATCTTTGAGCATGGGTGGCGGCGAACGGTTACGTGTCTATCAACCAAAATATTTGTGGGGAAAGAGACGAGACTTAGCTGAATCCTGCATATCTTCCAGGGTGTTTCCCGTTCATTCGGTGGGCTTGGTGTTGCATAGTCAACTAGCCCGACCCAACCACCTTTTGTGTCCACCTGGACTTTTTTTCTTTGTCACATCCACGGATCGATCTTTGATAGATCTAATCCCATTATTTCGATTTCTCTTGCAAGGATCTCTCATTATAAGGTAAGACGTGATTTCTAGAAAAGAAGAACAAGGTAGATGCTATGGCAAACCTGTACAAGCTACGCTACGAATGGTACCATGATACTGTGCACAGCGATTTCAATGAGCAGTTCAATTTCCTCATTTCCAAGAAACCACACCGGCAGACATGTAGAGGACCTGCAAAAGAACGAGAACAGTGGAAAGAATAGGGAAGACGGTAGAGACCGACAAGCGGAGTCAAGCCAGCAAAAGCACGCCCCATATTCAAAGAAACTGGATCTCCTCAAAACAGTCCGGCCACTAGAGTCCAGGCTCAGCTAGGCGGCTAGCGAGCCAGCGACAGGGACAGTCACTCCAGAGAAGCAAAGGATTGAAGAAAGAAAGGCACACACGCAGTCATCAATAGAATAAAATAGAATAGAAAGAGAAACGCATCGTCTGTCTATGCAGATATGGGTATCTACCAACGCCTCGTTCCGTCATGATCCCGATCCTGGATAAGAATAATGTCGAGGGAAATGAACACGTTTAGCCTGTCGTTCAAGCTGTATCAAATCGCCGAGGACACAATTGGGGGGGGGGGGGGAAAGCGTGTCATTGCTTCGACAAAAGGGGCCCACGTCTAACACGCCAGGCACAGAGTGGTGGGAACAGAAAGCAAGAGATTTGACCGATGGTGTGGGCCGGCTGAGTGCACGGCCGGAGGTTAAGGGGACACATAGCGTGCTTCCTAACCCACCGCTCACAGGGCAACATAGACTGGGAAGGAGGGACCGGAACAAGGCATGGTGACGGGATTAGAACCCATGGACCTGGTGGGCCGAGTCAGATGTGAATCGTGTAGAGCGGGACAAAGAGAAAAACATACCTTGATGGTCTTAGCATCCAGCTCGAGGCCTTCCTTCTTGTCGGTCAAGAACTCCTGGACATCCTTACGCTGGTCTCCCTGCAGCTGAATCACCTCGCCCATCTCGGTGTCAGAGACGATGGTGCCATTGCAAGCTGGGTCTCAGTTAGCGTTCGTTCTTGGTGAACTCGGCGATGGCGATGGCTGATGGCCAAGGAGACGGGACATACCGAATTTCTTCTTGATGACCTTCAAGATCTTCTTCTGGTCAAACTTCTTGGGAAGACCCTGAACAGTAGTCAGAGTCTTACGACCATTGCGCTCTGCATAACAAAAGTCGTCAGCATGTATGTTGGCGCCGGCGGCCGACCGTGACGATCAGCGACCGTGGGATAGAGATCATGTAACGTACGCTGAATCCGTATATGGATGTAGTTTTGAGACTGTTTAGTCTCGCCGGTTTCTTCGTCGGCTTCGGCGAAGGGGTCTGTTGGAAAGTGGACATGTCAGCTTGCTTCCAATACAAAACCGATACCCCGCGGCAGCGATCGAGCGCGAGGCCACGTCGCTCGCCTCCAACCAGGCGACCCAACACCGCAAAGAACATGCGAAGGAATATCTCTCGCAACAGGATGGGCAGTGTAGTGTAGGCCGGTTCCGGTTGTGTGTATTGAGGCTTGCTCACGCGCCCACAGGACGAGGAGGGGGGAAGGTGGCGACTCACCGAAGGTCTTGAGGTTTTCGATGGACATAAACTCGGCCTTTGGGAATAAACGGCCCTTGAAAGCGGTTTGTTAAAGAGAGGGTAAAGGGGGAGATTTAGTATCTCTTAGAAGATGAGCGATCGGAGCGTGTGTGGAGTGAAGAGTCGAAGTGAACTGGTTGAGGGTCGGAGAAGAATCAGAAGGAAGAGCGGCAAAGCCTTTTGAGGCCTGTGGGGGGAAAGCGGTGTGTGACTAAGCGACCCCTCCACAACGTTTCGTTTACTCCTACCCTCCGTTAGCAGGGATTACGACACTTAATTGACAGGATCTAGAAAGATATAAGTAGAAGGGCAGATATCGATGAATCAGCAGAACACAAAGAAAACTATATAAGGTGGCAGGTGCTGGAAGAAGACAGACAGTTCGCCGAGTCTCTCGGAGATTGATGGATTCGAGCGCCCTCTTGAGACTCGCGCAGTCTACGAGTATTAGAAATGTGAATCGTGGACAACAGACATGAATTGTCCTAGAACAATATTACAAGAAAAAAAATATTTGGATATCGGTCCTGTGCGAGCCAACGAGTGCGCGAAGATGCGACGACCGCCCAGCCCGACACGACGGCGGCCAGTGTCCACCAGCATCTCCAGAATGTTCCGAGTGCGCGTAAAAAGGATACAAAGGTATTAAGCCCGTTTGAATTGGTAGTAAAAGGTATCACAAGAAGTCGAAGGCTCAGGGAGACGGCGAAGGGGCCGGCGGGGCAGCAGCGGTGCCCTTGGCGATCTGCGGAGGCAAGAACATGGGGAAGTAGGTCTGCAAGGAACAATTAGAGGACAGGTATAGGGCCAATCGCGGCTTTTGCAATTGGATAGACATACAACGACCAGTGCCATCACTGCGAATACCATGATATTCATGAGGTTAGTTTAGATCTGACGGACAAGACAGAGTGGGAAGGTAGAAGAGCAAGCACGCACAGGACATGAAAACCGACATATATGCCGGAGTGGCAGCGGTTTTCTTCTGCTCGGGGGACTCGGCGAGCCAGGTCTGAAGCGAAAAGACGAACGAGACCCTGGAGGGCATGGTTAGCGGGATCAGGGGCGTAGCCATTCGGAGCTGTCTGCATACCAGCCAATCATCCTGCGTCACGATCATCGTTAACAGAGCTGTATAAACAAGTCAAGAGCGCACTCAGGCTCCAGCTCACCTGTTCCGCATGAACATCTAAAAGGATCGCGTGTCAGCTTGCAAAGGGTCCCCCGAGAGCGCAAGATCGCATCCACTTACCGCCGCCATGGGCAGCGTGCTCGACATGGTGCCTGTGTCATAGTCCCATCAGAATCCATCCTCACTAGCTGCGGGTATCCAAAGAATGGTGCTGGGGATTCAGGGTGGTCGCGTACTGGACATGTCGGCATCATTGGCGCTCTTGGGCGGGTCGACGTAGGGGATCGCTGCGGCCTCGAGGTTAGCCAGACGAGATTCAGAGTTCACAAGGACGCAAACAAGCAGTGGGTCAGCTTACCAAGCTCTGCGCGCCGCATATCCTTGTTTGACGCCATGTTTGGAGCTGTGGGATTGATGGTGGTGGATGAGGGAGGGAGAAGTCTTGAAGCGGCCATCCCCAAGCGCCAAGACCGTGGCCCGTCCGGGCTAGACTCAACGCATGGGGAACTCCGACCGGATTACGGGAGTGCAGAGAGATCGGGGATGGGGAATGAGGGAGTGCCTCGTTCTTGGTACAGGAGCAATCACTACTGATCGCATCCAGCAGTGCTATTGCTCAATTCTTACGTAGAATCTTCCTACAACTGGGCAAAGACGAGCCCACTCTGCACCGCCAGCGCCATCGGATTGCCCGATCGCGATCCGCATGAATATGGGGACGATCTTATAGCCGAAAGGAGATCAGTGAGTACGGACTCACATATTTCCCTGCCCTGGAGCCAGCCATGCCAGGCAGATTGAGAGATCAGTCCCCGGCCAGCCCGATCGCCTTCCAAAGGACCGATAGGGAAAGACCTGTGGTGGTATCCAGTCAGTCGATAGGGAAGTACGAAGGCGGTGGCCGGTTCCCCCACCGCCTCCTTGCATTCGGCCAGAACCGCCCGCATCTTCAACCGACGCAGCATCGCCGACGGCATATTCCTGCACGGTAGGTAACTCCCGGTCGCTTGGGGCTGGCGGGCTGGCGGGCTCGATGGTGCTACGACCGGAGGGAAAGAAGAAACCCGGACGATGGAGTCGCATCATCCTGCAGCGATCCGACAGTGGGCCGATACGGAATGTGGTGGCGCCTCGGTGGACCAGGGTACAAAGACGAGCAACGCTCCGGACAAAGTCGACTAGCTGAGAACAGACACATAAGCGCCCCCGGGGGAAACTTGTACAGAGGACCAGGCTCTAAGCGGCGGGATAGCCAAGGGCCAATGGCCAGGAGGCTCCCTAATGGCCGCGGGCCAGCGCGAACCATGCAGTTTGATGTTTGAGGCGGCTTGCTTTGTTCTCGTGCTTCAGACCGGGTTTGCTTCCGAGTTCCGGCAAAGAGTAGTGCCAAGTCGTGAGACGGTGAGATGGCGCGATGGCGATAGGGCGCCATAGTCAGACTCGGCCATGACGTGCCCAATGGATGAGGATTTCTGTCCAAGATGGACGGGGAGGTGGTGAGGTGATCATTTCACTGGGCTGATTGAGGAAGGGGGATGCGAACGGGGTTGGGCATGCCCGCTGGAGGGGGGAAATTCGTGATTCGTCCAGCACCACATTCTTATTATCATGACCGCTGGGTATCGTTTACGGCGTTATGGCCCCGGTATGGGTTTACCAATCTATAGGGTAATCAGGTCTATCAGGAGGAGGGCCATCCATGGTGGCCGCGACTGGACCGGCGGGGTCCAAAGAAACGGAAAAAGTAATTCGCTTGTGCCACCGTGTTTCCAGGGTGCTGCGGAGGATCTGTGAAGGGGATACAACTAAAAGGATTTCGCGCTATGGGCGATCGTTGTACGTAGTGCTCTGTACTGCGTACTCCGCACTCTGTCCTGATTAGTCCGCCGAGACGCTAGAACTGATAGTTGACTGCCCACCAACGCGGCAATTCGGCAAAGGCTCGGCCTAAAAGGGGGGAACGAGACCGAGTTTGGGGAGGGAATCCAGGGCCCTAGTGATAGGATATAGCCGAGCGGAGTCAACAGCGTATAGTGCGAGAGCGTTGAGGGGGTCGCATCAATGTCCAACAGGCCGTCCCGGTAGAGTTAAGCGGTCGATTGATCACACTGTCGACCACCACACCATCCCAGTGGGTTCTGGCGGAGAGGGTCCATCCGGCCATCCTGGGCGTTAGTTTACCACTCCGTAGTTGACCGGAAAGTACGGAGTAACCTGCAGAGGACCGGACAGTGGACAGCGCCGTCGATCCTGGTGGGCCCTCTTTGGACGGAGGCAGACGGCTGATTTGGCCCGTGACTTACGTTATCGCTGCCAGCCCATAAACACTCTCCCCGATAACGCCTTCTCTCATCTCATCTTCCTCCTTTCCTCTCCTTCGGATCAATCTGATCTTCTCTCGACCTCGATTCCCTCCGCAATTCTCGAGTTCCCCCGCCAGGCACTATTTCCGCCGCCTTCGCCGCAGGCTCACCCCCCGGTTCGCCCCAGTTCGCCCGTCGCTCGGACACGAACCATCCAGGGCCAACTGTCGTGGGCCAGATCGAGCCCGATCCCCCACCCTTTCGCATTTGCATGAGCATTCCTTCGAGCGAGTATACACCGCATATATCCCACCCTTTCCCGCTGCTGCGGCATCCTTTCGGAAACATTCAAATGATACCATTCGGACGACTCTTTACACCATGAGCCGAAGATGATCCCCCATTCTTCTGCCGGCGGCCAACAGTGGGGCCACCCCATGCGCGCACTCCATGGGGGCCCCGGACGGGTTGACCTGGCCCAGATGGCTGGCCAGTATGATCCGCCGTCGGCCTCCTCGCAGCAGTCGGTATCGCAGTCGCAATCGCAGTCGCAGCCGCAACCGCAGCCGGCGGTCCGCCAAACCCCCGTCGTCGACTTGACGGCGGGCGGATTCGAGTCGCATGATCGGGAACCACCACCAAAACGACCGAAGCTGGATGTTTCCAGTGGATCGAATCTCGGAGATGCGGGCTCGACCATGAACAGTGTCGAAACTCGGAGTACTCCCGGAAGTGCAGGGTCACGGCCGCCGCTCTCATGGCGTGGGAGGCCGATATGGTCGTTTCAGGCAGTCATGTCGGAGATCTCCAGCAGTGAATCGCGAGGTGATGGCGCGACAGGACCGAAGCCCTCCTCGCCGCCTCCGTTTCCAGCTCAGCCGTGGATCAGTGCGCCGGCTGAACACCAGCATGGGGTAGACTCGATTTCCCGCGACACCTCTCCAGTCAAGAAGGTTTCCACAACGCCATATCGTATTGAGACACCCTCGGTGGCTCCGATTCTCAAGGGAGACAGTAAGTGTTCCTATCATTTTCCCATGCTGTAGTAGTATCTCGCTTACATCCATGTAGAAGTCGCTTGTTTCGCCCCGTGGACAGGGAATCATCCAGAAGACGTCTTGAACGAGCAGACCGCGAAACAAGGTTACTTTGATCGTACTCAGGTTTCGCAAAACGAGTCGAACACGGCGCGCCCGGCCCTGTATGCGCAACTCAAGCACCGTGCCGGGCTCCAGATGCTTTCGTCCGTCTTCACTGCGGCCCTAGAGAAACGCCAGAACCACAACATTGTTCACGCTCCGTCGACCTTCAAACCACCACCACGAGTCACACTAACCGATAACAAGCGAGAGGCGTGGCTTCGCGATCTTGCTAATTCGGCTGTCCCGCTGCGCCGACTGAGCCGGACCATTCCTCATGGTATCCGAGGCAAGGTCCTCCTGGATCAATGCCTCGGTAAATGGATCCCAGTGGCTCGAGCGGTTTGGCTTGCCAAATGTGTCGGGGCCAATGAAATCCGTGCTTTTAAGCGTAAAGGCACGAGTGGTGCTTTGGCCGTGGGGTTAGAGGCGAAGTGGGTGCGAGACTGGACCACCAACGTCCAACAGTTCGTCGAAGGAGTGTTTAGTTCGCCCAAGTCCAACGACTGGAAAGCCAAAATGACCTACGCGGTGGGATTGACAGCTCGTCTCTTCTTCGAAAATCTCCTTGACCATGATCACTTCCTTGAATGGTTCTTGTCGTCCTTTGAAGCAGCATCTATAGCCACTGTTCCGGTCTGGCTCCTGATGCTCGGTATCTACTGGAACAGTATCATGCGGTATCGCCGACGAGGACGACGACTGGCGGAGCTGCTGCTCGAGAAACTCCGACAAGCCACCGTCGCCAAGCTCGACCCCCTTCAGCCTCTTGTTGATCGTCTATCTCATTTTGTCAACAAGCTGGTTCATGAACATACTTCGTCAATGATTCTTCCGAACTCGTGGGACACGTACAAACACCAGGTGTCATCGTGCCTCAACTTGTCAAATAAGGTCGACCGGGCTCTGTTCCAAAGTATTGCGGAACGTAACGCCCGAGTACAGCGGCCTCGACATCCCAAACAAGCTGCACAGCGCTCTCCTCATCAACGCATTATTCATCTCCTCGATTCTATCCGCTCCGCCCACGATATCACCGCAACCTCCGCTTCCTGTCTGGATGCCGTTGATGACCGAGCCGTTCTTGTTTCCAGACTGCTAGAATGGCTTGCCACACCATTCCGCCATGGCATGTGCCGGGTTTACGTCGGCGTTCGCCTGTTGCGGAAGTGGAAGTCATTTGGTGTGGATGTCGACGAGCATATCCTTGCCTTCCTAACCCATATCGGGAAGGACAAGAAACTCAACATGGATCATGTGTACCATGCCATCTCCGAGCTTGTCAGGTCGCAGACTTTCTCAGTTGGCCGGTACTTCCAATGGTTGATGGCAAAGGGTGTTACAAGCCATGGCCTTGGCGAAAATCAACTAGAAACCGACTGCCCTAGCGACATCAGACTAATCGCACATGTTCCTGTCGGCCGCCTTCCTGACCACGTTGGCAATCTACGCCGCACTTTGATGGCCCGCAGTGGGTTCTCCGTCTCGGACGAGGGCAATATGGTTACCAATCTAAAGGTCTTTATCAGCCACCGGATCCCGAAAATCTTCAGGCCGACAATGCTGTTGAAGACATCACTCAGCTCACTGCCGCTGGATCTGAGCTGGGCCGTCAAGGCTGAAATCGGCCAGTGGCTTCGGCGTGGTGTTGCTGAGCATACTCGTGCAAGCAATACTCCAACACTAGGAGCCATGCTCCCAGGTGATTTTTCCCACTCAGTGTCTGCCCTCACATCGGAAGAGTTCTACAATGTCCGTGACGTTCTTGAGACGTTTGGTGATATCTCCATGTTGGCAGATGTGCTGAATTATGCCTCGAGCTCTGACGATAGCACTGTTCTCGCCTCAGTTGCTGACACTACCAACTGCCATTTCGACTCGCTGTCTGTGATCGGTGCCACCACGGACCTGTTCCGCAAACTGGCCGATGCCTATGCGGGCATCAAACGATTCGGCATGCCAAGCCTAGATATTATGTTCTCCTTGATTGAACTTGGTCTGCGTATTCCCAATGAGCTTAATACAGTCGCCATCCTTCGTCAAGATCTGTCTCGCATGGAAAACAAGTCCGTTGTCGCTGCGTCGTCGCCAGTATCTGACCACATTCCTGACAGCTTTGGCGAGGCGGACCCCCTGTTCCGCGAGAAGTTGGATCAGCTCTTGCTTTCAGGGAACGTCATGGACGAACCCACTCTGGATACGCTCTTCAAGACGCTGATCAAGCATCTAGAATCGGGCGAAGGCAAGACAAACTTCTCAGCTAATGATACTTGTCGGTACCTGGCGCAGCTGCGTTCCTTCCAGCCCAAGCATTTCGATGGGATACTAGCCCGTTGGGTCTGTGCTCATCTTCGGTCTTCTGATCGCGCAGTACTGCTTCGTGCTCTCCCGCCGCTCATTGGTGTCGGATGTGTGACTATCCGGTCGTTCTTGTCCCTTGCCAAGAGACTATCCTATTCCCCACACTCCATCCCGAACGCTGCAGAGTTACCCGCGGACTTGGTCGGGCTTCTTGTGTCCAGCACCGAGGAGGGTAGATACCTTGATCTGGTTTCCTACCGCTTCCAACTGGCCCAGCAAGAGTTCATCTCCAAGAATCCTGAGGAGGCCCTCGGGATTGTATGCGATGCCGCGGCCATCCTCAAGCCTGGAGACCACAAGCCTCCGCTGAGGCACATCAACCTGGAGACTGCTATGGTCACATTGTTGCGGGAACTGCTTGTGCGGAATCCCGAATGCACAAGTCAGAACTTCATGCAGAAGATTGTCAACAAATCTTCGGCCGCCATGGGCGTTTTCCAGCAGGCGCTCGACCTTTTGCTCGGCGTCGACGTACAGAAAGAAAGCGGCTCGGTTTTCTCCGAAGTTGAGAAGCTTGCCAGCACGGCAGACGACTTTTCGCTCCCATTCTGCCAGCTGAAGCTCCAGGTGGTTTTCCACGCCGATTCTGCACACAGGGATCGAACCAGCATCGTGGATGCGATGTTCAGAACTGTTGTGGCTGATTCACGCGCGAATAAGCTCCACTGGGTTGAACTCATTGCTCTCATGAGTCCCGACGCGGTGCGTCAGATCCGTGAGCGGGCCGAGAAAGAGTTTTTTGCTATTCCACTGTTCGAAGAACCGGTGAACATGCAGAGCAAGGACTCATTGGAGGCCGCCAAACTGTATCTCAGCATCATCGAAGAGCTTGGCAGCAGCATACCGGATTCCGGGATGCCGTCAATTGCGCCGGTCCTCGTGGAGAAGATGGATACTCTCCTACATAGGATCATCACCCTGCAATCCAGCCTCAACAATTCCGGTGATAATCGAAATGCACTTCCGCCTGGGCAAGAACGGTGCACCTTCGAGCGATCCCTTGCCTTCTGGTTCTCGGCTCTCCTACGAATGGTCATTATCCACCGTGCCTCATTCATGCAGCCCTCCCCCACTCTGAAGATCGGTTCCTCGCACGAACAGTCCCGCCTCTTGATCTCCATCTTCTGCATCGCCCTATCTCGCCTCCCAGGCGATGTTCTCCGCTCCTTCCCCGGCGCCGATTACTTCCCCCGCCAAGGCCCCTCAGAAGACTACCGCCCCTGTCCAGGCATCCTGCTGCAAACGCACGCCCTAGACGTCGCTGCCTCCCTCATCGACATCTTCCCCGACGAGATCCGCCACCAGTGCGCCCGCTTCCTGAAAGAGAAGTGCCCGCCCTTCGTGCCCCTCCAGAACGACTCGCGCTTCCTCTACCTGCTCGGCCCCATGTCCGACGCCCACCCGTCAGCAATCCTTCAGTCTGCATCTGCCCCATCCCCGGCTGCCTCGGCGTCCACGCCAACCCCGACTTCGGCCAATTTCCCCGCCGCGGGCGTCGCTCCGCAGCCCCCGGCTTCTGGATTGTACGCCGGGCTTCCGGAAAACTCGAATTGCATGGCGAATCGGCTGCGCCTTCAGAATCGGGGCCGCATTGTGGGGCCTTATCCCATTCGGCCGTGGGAGCTTCTAGAGGATGCGGCACCTTTCGTGGGGGTTAATGACACTGCTGTGAACCTGGGCTATTTTGATGCGCGGCGTGTGCGTGTTTAATGGCACTCTAGCTTCGTTCCCGTCTTCAGGTCTCTTAGCCCTGAAATTGTGCTGCGGAGTGCAACACCCCCTTCTCCCTCACCTCCCACTGCCACTTCCACTTCTGCCAAACATGTCCATTGGTCATTCAACCTCCCCAATATCCATCCCACCACCATGTCTATGCATATTCGCATTTACAATTACCCAAGTCCAGCATCAACTTCGGATCCCGATGTTTGCATCTCTCACGAATCAAAGTCACTGCCTTGCATTTTGCGCCGTCCTGTGGGCCTTTTTCTTTCATTTGTCGCTGGTGCTGGTGCTGATGCGATAGGCTAACAATGTCTTGTCCGAGCACGGGTTATGGGATACACATATTCATTGCACTGAGGTTTTCAGGGTTCACATCATGTGCGCATTGAGATGCGTCCTCGGTTCTCGCTTTTCTTTGCTTTGCTCTGCTTGCTTTCGTTTTGTACATATTATTTTGTCTGCTTGATGCGTCTTTTATATCTATATCCACATCCATATCACGGCGTTGATTGGGGCTGGGATTGAACCGAATTGAATCAGATCAGGTTTCTTGTTATTTGGTGTATCTGCGGTTTTGAGTTGGCAGGTCGTTTGATGTGTTCGTTAGGTGTAGATGTATAGCACTGAAGGTTTTTTGGTAGCTTTTCTGTTCGAATGATTGCGGACTAGAGTTTTTGAAGGGTCGATGTCCCTGGGTGTTTCGCTTTTGGGCTCTCAAAGGCTAGTTCAATTCATAGCCGGTTGAGTGATCTGATACTGGTCGCCCCGCTAACGATGATTGGAGAGCAGAAAAGTACAGATGAGTTCATATTTACAGTTCAGGCCATCCATACAGTAGACATCAAAGGGCTCACGCCAGAACAGCGTCACCAATGCGCTTCGTCGGCTGATATGAACACACCTAGGTGCAGCTGCTGCTACCAGCAACGAAAGTGCCATCCGAGTTCTCACAGCCACACTCTCCAGTGTTGGGGTCCTTGATACAGGTCGTGCCATAGCCGCTGCTTTCGCCCTCGTCGCTCCAGTAGAAAATCCAGTAGTCCGAGTCCGCCTCCAGCTCGGAGCTGGTCGGGGCAGTGCAGGTGTAGGCGCTGCAGGTGCCGTAGGGAGCACCGTTATAGGAGTCGTACTGGTGGTCGGTCTCGAAGACGGCGAAGGTCTGGGTGCTCGAGGTGCGAGTGTTGTGGGAGCACTCAGCGGCTTGGATGGCGGTGGAGACCTTGGCAGCTATGTTCAAAGGCGCATTAGCATAAGTAAATATTTCGGGCATTGAGTATTGGAGTCGGAGGCGAGGCGCCTTCTCTTTTCCTCCTTCAATAATGGCTGGTACTCACCGCTGCAGTTGAGGCTGTCGGGCTTGTAGCCCTTGGTATTCGATGAAGCCGGGTCAAGGGTGGCTGTCACAATGACTGGAGCAGCCAGCAGGGCGAGGAAGCTAGTGAAGTGCATTTTGATGGACTAGTATTCAATTGTGATGAGGTGCCTTTCGTGATTTGGACGGAGAGGTCACCAGGCTTGGTATATATGTACGTCCATTCAAGTTCGCCTGCGCTTCGATCCCGCGACATACGATCAAGGAAGTCAATTCCGTCTATCTGACACAGCTAGTTATTTCCCCGGAAGAAAGGCCTGCATGGACCTAGGTAGAGGGAGGAAATGGATTCGTAGTTAGGGGGCGCTTTGTAGCCTTTTGGAAGCTAGGACCCATCGAAAGTATGTTTCAGGTGTAGCCTCGAAACAACTATGAGGATCCTGGCTCCACTATAAGTGACCCACCGATGGACTTTATTTAACTCATGAGCAGGCTGCTAGTTGACTGAGCGTCGACGTCTTCGCTTCTTTGAGCGTTGTGAGAGCCCCCTGGAGGGCTATCAATGGATCGGATTGGTCGGCGTACCCACTATTACTTCTAGTATATTTATTGGCCCTCGGAACAGTGCCTGATTGACGTAAACGTCAGCAGTTTCACGCAAAATGATTTGTTTGAAATGGTCTCCGCCAGGCTAACATAAAGCACGGCAGTCAGCCGAAGGGGAATCTAGGCCCCAGGTGACGACTAGACTGTACGTGTACACTGCTAATGTAAACTTAGCTCTGATATACTTGAAATAAAGTTGTAACATCGGAGACGTTTGACACTGATGACAGCGGGCTGATCACTGAGCAAGGTTTAGTGTAATGAAGTACCCGCTAAGCACCTTCCGGGAGAAATAAGTATGCCAGGATATCGGATCTGGCTCAGATATAGGTCTCCAGGGGAAGGAACGCCGAAAATAGCTCCAATGAACTCTAGCATGGTTCTATTAAGTTCTTTAGTAATCATAAAACAAGTAGATGTGCGACAAGTCACAGTGGCAAGCGAATATTACTTATTATGAAGTCCTATGCGTAATACCCTCCTCCCTAAATCAAAATAATCTTCCCACAGAATCATTTTGGTGAATTCTGGAAACGTTCGGTGGGAATCGTTGATTCCGAGATGTGGATCAAGAATCTGAGTACAGAATCTACCAGCAGAAGCCCATCCGTCATGTGTAGCGGCGAGATGGCGGAGCAGTTTAATTCTATATTGAGGGGATGGAAGACATGTGCCTTCCAATCCTAGTTCGGATACTCCAGAACTCGCATGTTATGCCACGCACCACTTATAAGTGCATGTTCTCTGGTTGCATCAACTTCAATAGGCGTTTGATCATCTCACGCGTCCTTCAGGCCCAGGTGAACATCATGGCTTCTTTCTCGCCTCTTATCCCTCTTGTGAGATTCTAAATAACCTCAGGTGAGAGTAGAAACAGAAAGATTCCAAGTCTGGACTATGGGGTTAAATCTAGTTCGATACAGATAGATATAGCCGCGATTAAAAGATGACAGTGACTGGCAGAATCAAATCAGCTCGTTGTAATTCACCTGGTTGTATTCATGTACGACCATTCATTTTGTAAGACACTCTCTCAAAGAAAAAAAAAAAGTAATAATTTTCAAGATACTAAAAATAATATCATTCAAGGCTATAACTCATTCGCTTAAACTCATAAAGAACCTTTCAAACAGAAGCACAAGGAAATACAGTACACTCCAGGGATAAGATACTTCATAACCTTCAGCCAGCACGCGCAAATGAAACAAATACTTATCTAGATTTTGACCTTCACCTCGTGCTGAGTCAAGGAATCATCTTAGTCTGGGTGGACTTAGATCGACTTCACCGAACAAGAACGCGTCGCCGACCCGTTCCGAGAACCACCAGAATTAGAGCCAGAGCCGGACTGGTGATCATCAGGCTCTCCCAGCAAGTTTTTCTTCTCCTGCTTTTCCTCCTTCTCTTCCTTTCCCTGGTCCTGCTTAGCTTTTCGCTCGTCTTGTAGACCTCGAATCACGTCTTGCAATGATTCCTCACTAAGTCCCGTACCCGAAGCCTCGCGCCGCACGTACTCCTCGATTGAGAGACCAGTGCTTGTCTGCGATTTAGTATGTACGTTTTTGCGGGTAGGGGACGTGCAAGTGCGGCTGGAAGTGGTGCTGGAGGCATTGTGGCTGGAGCAGGGTGGGTCGGGGCTCTCCTTGGGTTTGCCGATGTCTGAGGTCTTGTTCTCCTCGCTCTTCTCCGAGCCTGAAGGCGAGACCAAATCGGTACCGGACCCCGATCTAGTTCTGGAGCCAGATACTGACCGAGAGCGAGAGCGAGATTGCGACGCAGTTTCTGTAGTTGCGGATTCATTTTCCGCTACTTCTTGGACTGACACCAGGACTGTGGTCAACTTGGGGGTCTTATCAAGACTGTCCCTGGGGGCATCTTCCTCGTCGTCAGAATCGCAAACCCGGATGAGTCGCGGTGCCTTCTCGGGTGTTTTTGGGTGCAGCGGAACACCTCCCACCATGTCCTGCTCAGGATTCTTGGTCTTTGCAGGCTCATTCCGCCTCTCAAGCCCAGAAGCCTTACCAAATGCTTTATATTTAGAAGCATCTTGTCCTCCTGCAGGCTCCCCTTTCGCCAGATTCGATGTGTTATACTGGCTGTTGACGTTGGGCGACGAGGGAACCATGTAGCCTAACGGTGCTGGGTAGGGATCACTGTAACCAGGATGGCTGACATGGCCAAAGTATCCCGAGTGATTGTTTATGCTGGCCTGTGGACTGAGGTAGCCGTTGCTTGCAACGAAAGGCCCAGGATAAAACGCTGGGTCCGGTGCGGTCCAAGCTGGCTGGCTGCAGACGATGAAGGGCCCGTTAGTCATGGGAGAAGCAAAACCGTCTGGAGACGGGTGTGGACCGATGTAGGGTGGAGGGCCGTTGAACATCAACGGAGGCCCACCATAGCCATTTAGTACTGGCGGAGGTGGTGGGTGAGGGTAGCTCGGCTGTTGAGTTTCGTTGCTGTAGGGAATCCCGTTGAACATGACATGCGAACTAGGCATGCGACCACCGCGGGGAGGGACATTTTCATGGTGTATCGGCTGATGGTGATATTTTGGGAAGCTACGATAGCCACCTCGGTGGTTGGGAGGCCCGTTGCGGTGCGGCCGGTTGCTGCTTCGCTGCTGGCTGTTTCCACTGCCAGTCGAGAAAGTCGCATTATGTGGCTTTGGCCTGGGAGGGCCCCCTCCAGATTCCTGGAGAAGAGGGCTGCCGTCCATGTCGAGAAGCTGCAGGTAGTATTTGTCGTTCTTTTGGAAGTACTGAGGTAGAACAGGTTAGAACCTTTCTGGGGAGGAAAACTGATGAAGTCGACGTACCTTGATGGCGTCTCTGCAGTCGTCGACAAAGGCAAAGGTGACTTTGGCGACATCCGGCCCCGTTTGGATGCCCATCTGTTGCGGCTCAATGGAGTAGACCTCAAGTGAACCGCGACCTCCCAGTGCCGTTAACACATCATGCGCTGTTATGGATTGACCAGTGCGGATTCCGAGGCACGCGGTTCCTATAACCTTGTCAGGAACCAGACTTATGCCAGAAGCAAACGACCAAAAGGAGTAGATCACTCACGCCGTCCCTTTGCCCTTTCGGTTCTGAGCAATCGGTCATGCAGCACTGTACATTTTTCAGACGCGAGTGCTGCACTGGCATCTTCCACACGCTATAAGAAGTCAACTGAGGATAAAATCCATAAGGAGGTTGGAAGAGGAAGAGGACATACTTCAAATTGTACAAAAGCACCCGGCAATCCTTTCTTTTTATCCTGCTTTATCTTGACATGGCAAGAACCGAATTGTGTGAAGACCGACTTCAAGTCCTCTGCAAGCTTCTCAGTCGGGACCTTTGTGGAAAGACTACGAAGTAGTCAGTTGAAGACCTCATGGCATCATTCAAGTATATTTGATACGTACTTTCCAACAAAAATGCAAGCGTCAGGGGAGAATAAACCCTGCGCATTCTTCGCCGAAGGCTCCTCGTGCAGGCGATCGCCACGAGGATACTTCGGCTCTGCATTTGGAACCACAAGCTGGACGGACATTTTGGGTATATATCAAATCTGAGCGAGCGTGTGAGCAGGTATAGCTATGTTTGTATGTCAATAATAGCGAGTGTGAATAAATAGGACAACGAATGTATGAACATGGAGTAAGTAGTCGGTAAAGAGAGATAGATTGGGAAATCTTTTCTTCCTTTCCAATCTTTCCCATCTTCTTCCTCCCACCGCAGACAATTTTGAGTCCGTCTCCGAGAAAGGACGCGACTAAGCCTCATCCTTGGGAGGGAAGCTTGAGAAACCAAGTACTGTCCATGGCTATGTCTGGGGTCAACCGCGAGCCCGTCGCTGCTTTGACTCAGAACCAAACCCTAACGGACAGGCCGACAGCAGAACGAGAGTCATGGCAGCATCATACCTATGCCTTCTGACTCGGCTTTCTCAGGCAGAAGCTGTAGATTCACTTTTACGCCATAACAGCTTCCATGGATCCTACAGCATCATCCTAGTGATGGGCTGAACTATATCTTTGTCCTGGGCAAAGATTACCTCCGGTATTTCTACGACTCGGCCGATGTTGGCTTTAGGCACAACTTCTAATCTACCATGACGCGCAGTGTGCGTCAGGCACAGGCAGTCTCGAGGTGGTATTTGATCTATACAACGAGGGGAACTCGTCATAAGGGAGACGTTGGTAATTAGGTACATCTAGAAGAGACAATCCCGTGGTGAATACTCTCGTACATCTTCTTCATATAGGAAACAGTAGCTTGGCCGCTTGCTCTCCAAGCTCTCCGACGCCCGATTAGGGGAATAAATCCCACTGGCGAACCTTGGAACGCAACGTCTTAGGTGATCTTGTGATAGGAGGAAGGTGGGGAGAGTAGACGACCATAGGAAGAGGCTTTGAACTGCTGTTCCAGAATCAGCCAGACAAGCTCGTAACGAGCTTAGTGTATGTGTAGAAGCAAGTCGAAATATAGTCATCACTTAACTTCAATTCCCTAACCCTATATGGAAGCATGTCACCTCCTTCGGTTTTTTTTTTTTTTTTTTTTTTCGAAGATTGAACTTCATTTAGGATCCTGGCATTTTGTAGACTCGGCCTGACGCTTTCTAAATGTGTCTACCGGGGAAGATTGTACGGAGTATAAAAACTATACGATCCAAAGCAAAAAAACAGGCTTATCTTATCGCGGCAGATCGGCGCGCAACTCTTCACGGGACCCTCGACATCATCCAAAATCATCGCCAAGCACCTCCAACTTCTCCCTCCTCCACCTTCCCTGGCTCAACTAGATCGCACCCCGGATTCGCAATGATCCCAACCCGGAGCTTGGCCGCACAGGGCTTTTTCAAGCGCAGCGCCGAAGAATTCGGGCGCCTATCAAAAATCGGTTAGTGTCGCGCCCTCTTCCTCCCGTTCAGTCGACTCGCGAGCTAACCGCGCAACAATCGCCAGCCTGGAACACCGAAGCTCTCCACACCCCCACCAAGCCATATGTCCTCCTGAACTTCGAAGATGAGTCCGCAGTCGAAGGCTGCAAGACCATGGCCGACCGTGCCGTTGGTGGTTTCAGCACTGCCAGCCTCGACTTCGAACCCTCCGAGCCCGCATCGAACAGCCCTGCACATGCGCGCTTCCACGGCAGCATCTCCACCAAGCTGCCGGCAAACTGGCGCGTTGAAAGAACAGGTATTTCCTCCGCCCTGCTGAAGCTGGGACTGTGAGACTGACCGCTCGGTGACACAAACAGGATACGCCGCATTTCGGAACAGGGACCGCGGCTTTTGGCTCTTCGGCCGTCTCTTCTGGGACGTTGATCCCTACGCCTACCTCGCTCTACGCATTAAGTCCGACGGCCGCCGGTACACCGTGAACGTCCAGACCGAATCCATCGTTGAGACCGATATTCACCAGCACAGACTATACACTCGGCACCACCGTGTCCATGGCCAAACGCCCATGCAACAAGCTATGCGCTCCAAATCCTCCGGAGAGACCGAAGCCGAAGAAGCTTTGTACCCACAGGGCATACCTGATGCCCTTTCCGACTTCCCACCAGAGTCTACCATCCTCTCCTCTTCCTCTAATGCTACTACCGCCGGTACGACGGGGTGGGAGACTGTGCTTCTGCCATTCAATTCGTTCGTTCGAACGAACCACGGATATGTGATGGAGCCACAGTCTTGTCTGCTTCGCTCGCGGATCAAGAGTATCGGCATTGGTCTTACGGACCGCATCGAGGGTCCCTTCGACCTGCGCATTCACAAGATCTGGGCTACCAATGGAATGGGTGAGACCGATATCGAGGAGGAGCGTCAAATCTGCGGTCCGGATGCTTTGCCCCTTGACGATGGTGTTCGGTCTGCCTGGACAGAGTCTAAAAATTTAAAGGAGGAGAGCAGCGAGAAGAGCTCTGGGACGAAAAGAAAGGGTCTAAAGGGGCTGAAGTCAGAGTGGGATGAATAAGTTGCCAAATGCAAGTCTTGCAGGGCTGTTTGTACATTATTTTCGATATACCGTTACCGTTTTTTGGCCATTTGAGTGTGTAGCAACCATTGGATTTGGTTCTTTTTCATTCTTTCGTCCTCGATATCAATTCATAAACACATACACAGGCGGTCCAAATTTTCGAGTTACATGACCCCAAAATATATAGCGGGAGACCTAGGAGCCAGCTCTAGTTGCCGCCAGTAAGCCTCTCCCACGCCTCCTTGTACTTCTCGGCTGTCTTCTGCACAACCTCGTCGCTCATGCGAACGCCCTCCTTGCCCTTCAGTCCCTCCGAGACCAGCCAGTCGCGCAAGTACTGCTTGTCGAAGCTCGACTGGCCCTGACCAATAACGTAAGAGTCTTTGGGCCAGAACCGGGAGGAGTCCGGGGTCAGGACCTCGTCGGCCAGCACGACCTCGTTCGTCTCCTCGTCCACGCCGAACTCGAACTTGGTATCGGCGATGATAACGCCCCGCTCAAGGGCATAGGCGTGCGCGGCCTTGTACAGCTGCACAGAGAGAGCGGCAATGGTTGAAGCATAGGGCTCGCCCACAATAGCGGTGGCTGTGTATTTCGTAGTTAGATATAGTTTCATGGGATCAATTATCATTGGGCGTGGACCTACCCTGGTCGGGGTGGATGTTCTCATCGTGCTCACCCTGCTCCGCCTTCGTGCTTGGGGTATAGATAGGTCCATCGGGGAAAGCCTCGCTCTCCTTCAGACCCGCAGGGACCTTGATGCCGTGCACAGTGCCGGACTTCTGGTACTCCTTCCAGGCGGAGCCAGTGATGTACCCGCGGACAATGGCCTCGATGGGAAGAATGCGGAGCTTGCGCACCTGCATGCTCCGGTTTTGCAACTTGGGGCGGAGCGACTCGGGGATCTGGGGAGGGAGATCGAGGGTGAGGAAGTGGGTGCGGAGGGTGGGAATAGCCTCCGACAGGATCTGGAACCAGGTCTTGGTGCAGAGAGTGAGCAGGATACCCTTGTTCGGGATTCCCTATTCATATGAAAGCATCAGCAATTGCACCATCTTGAGCAGTAGGAGCAACTTGGCGACTTACATTCTCCATGATCACATCGTAGGCGGAGATGCGATCACTCGCAACGAAGAGCAGGGTCTTGTCGTCGACTTCGTACAAGTCGCGCACCTTGCCCCGGGCGACAAGGGGGAGGGCACCTTGCAGATCAGTAGTTGTTACAGCTTCCGCCATGGTGAACAGAGTCAATTGGGGATCAAAAGAGAGAGGGGAGCAAATGCGTCATTCGCGAATTGCAATTTTTGGCGGGGCATCGCCGATCGCGGCCTGGCGGCCTCAGGCAGTTATCGGCCACTATCAGCAACCGCCCAAAACGCGCCCTGCACACGTCGGAGCTTCTGGATTGAAGCAGCTCGACAGGCTGAAAATGGGCCATTTGCCGCCAAAATGACGCGCTATCTGACGCCGTGGAGGATTTCTCTGCTGTGCCTGATACCCGTCTATACGGATGGTCTCGTCCCCAACTCGTCCGCCATCGATGTGCTCTCCTTCCTCACTGCGGGCCTGTTCCCTCTAGATCCTGCCGATAAGCAATGGGAGAAACACTACCTGCCGCGGATCACCGAGATTGAGGAGGTGCTGTCGGGCCATGAGTCGTCCGTACCAGGCCGATCACTCTGGGATCTGTTTCTCAAGAAAATCTGGTCGCTTGATTCGCTCGATGCGCTCGAGGTGTTTTTCAGCGACGTCCTGCCCTCGCTGCTCACAAAGACGCGTGAGCAGTTAATTCAGGATCGAGACAATGGACTTGCGCCAGAGGATGAGGGCATGCGGCTGTCGCGCAGCTCGCCGCTGGGCGCGTTCGTGCGCAGGGCCTATCTGGAGTACACTCGATTGCAGTTTCATGATTCAGTGAAGCTGTGGTCTGGGTTTGTGAAGTATCGGCTGCCTACTTACCGTATGTGGGCGAGAAGGAATGCCTCGAATAAGCAGGCGCCTGTTGATATCAACCTCCAGCTTCATGGCTTCAATTCTAGTGCACACCTTTCACATGTGGTGTACGGGAGTATTGAAGACGATGGAGAGGATGAGGGTGTCGTCAGTGTTAAGGATGCAGAGCGATTGGTTGAATTCCAGGTCGGGGAGTTGCAAAGTATGTTGGTATATCTCTCGAATATGCACCATATTATGTACTAATTTCGTGCAGGACTGGGTGGCAGAGTTCCAGACGAGATGAGGGCACAACTTAAGCATATCATGACCTCGGAGTCATCTGTTCCTGTACTGATGTACTATCTGGAGTGAGTGTACCATTTTTAGCCCCCTAAGTTGACCAAGTCGCGGCTAAGAAGGTACAGATATCTCGACGCCTGGCGAGCCGGCGATTATACATCAGCCTTTGACAACCTCCACCGCTACTTCGACTACACCATGCACAGCAATCTCGACCGTAGTGCCTATCAATTTGCGCTACTGAACCTGGCTATCATCCAGGCGGACTTTGAATGTTTCAGCGAAGCCATCTCTGCTGTGCAAGAGGCTGTCGCGATTGCCCGCGAGTCTCAGGATATGAACTGCCTCAACTTCTGCATGAGTTGGCTCTACCACTTCGGAAAGGCCTTCCCGGAGCAGATGCGGGAGGTGCAGAATAGTGGCATGCTGGGAAACGAGAAAGAGGGTCTTGCGTTCCTCAAGGCCAAGTCCAAGGAAACCGATATGTGGCCACTCATGAGTACAACGTTGCTAAGCGAGGCTAAGCTGGAGATGCAGCAGGTGGGTCTTGGATATCCAATCTACACACTACCAGTGGATTGATGCTGATAATAACCAGGGAGAGAGTCTTGCCACTATTGTCGAATCATTTGTGCGAGCATCCCACGTCAATGTCACCAATGGCCTCGCAAATCCCACTGGAGCGTACATACTGCTACAGAGCGCCATGTATGCACGAATAGGTATGACTTTATAGGCCTCCCTGCCATTAAAACACTGCTAACTATTTGTGACAGGTGCCACCCATCTTTCATGGCTAAATACTGAAGTCTTCCGCGAATGTTACTTGGAGGGCCATCCGTACGAGGATTTCGTGAAACTTACATTCCGGAATTGCCAAATAGTACGTCATGAACATTTTGCCGTCTGCGTCTGAATACAGCAGCTAAACTACCATTAACAGCTAGCACAAAAGGGCAATTACAAGGAAGCAACGGCTCGCATGAACAAGATCGAACCAGAAAGGCTTCGGGCCTTCAAATACAACAATTCCTGGACCTACTACTCAGGCCTCCTACAACTCCGACGGCAAATCTACCGGTAAGCATGTTTGCATTGTCATTCTTCACCATTCAATTACCAACTGTCTCCTAGTGATGACAAAGTAGCGGTCGAACACATCCTCGCCCAACTGCAAGCCATCCAACTCCTCGACTTCGACATGCGCCTCCTCCTCGCCTTCCACACCATCGAATACACCCTGCGCCAAGGTGACACCGGTCGTGCCCTGCGCATGGTCGAACAAGCCGCAAACTCCATGCAACCAGAAAACTTCGACGTCCATTCGCAAATTAGGCTCCTCTGCCTGAAAGCCCGCATCCTTGAGAAATCCGGCCACCCGCAGCGCGGCTTCTCGCTAGCCATGCGCGCCGCAAGCATCGCGCACCGCTCCAAGGTCCTCTTCGACTTGTGGGAAGCCATCTGCACCCTTGCGGCTGTGCTCCTCTCCCTGCGAGAATTTCAGGCCACTGCTGAACTAGTCGAGAGTATCATGCCGCAGATTCTGGAAGCGGAGGACTCGGCACTTACTGCGCGCGCGTATTCGCTACTTGTTGATGCGAATATGGGCGTTGCGGGGGAGCTTTGGTCTACGCAGGGGCAGGAGAGTACGTTGGCCCGGAAGGAGTATATTAATCGTGCGCTTGGATACATTGACTCGGCGTATGATGCGTACGAGGAGATTGAGGATATTCTCGGCCAGACGGAGATGATGGCCAAGAAAGCTACTGTGATGCATTTGACAGGCGATCCGGTTCTAGCCAATGACTATGCGGCGAAGTACCTGGACCTGCGCAAACGGAGAGGCGCGGTGGTATGATGGCTTTGTATGATTAGTTGGCGACATTAGCAAGAAATTTGGCTTGTCCTCCCGTGGTACAGCTTGAATACGATTAGAGATCCAATGAATGACATTCTTCAAAACCTAGACCTTGTCTTGTCTATATTTTTGATCCAAGAAATACGAAAGACGATCTAAAATGGCTCGGAACCCTGCAACAGATTGTTACTTACACATTGTACTGCCAATATGTTCCACTACCTGGAAGAGCCCTACAAATTTACTCTCATGACACCCTGACGAGCGATACATTCACCCAAACCAGTCAATTCCGATCTAGGTAGACACTCGACAAAGGAAAACAGAGAGAAAGACAGAATACGGAAAGCTTCACTTCATTCAATCAAACGGGCCTCTCATCCCCCAACCCGCGGACTCTATGACCGCGGAACACATCTGCGATAGATATACATGTAACTGTGCACTAAAGACAAAGATACTATCTCTCAAACACACATCAGCGGCTCGCAAGCGAGCTTTTGGTGGTTTTTTGTTCGTAGGAGAGCGATCGGCTTAGGTAGCCTTGTCCTTGTTGTGGTAGTTGACGGAGTCGTTCCAGCTGTGTGGGTGTTAGTGGATACGCTTGCACGGGTCAGAGCAGTAATCTGAGGAGTGGTGGGGTCGTGGACGGGAACGAGGAGGTATAAGGATGTGCAAGCATGCAAGCACAAGCTTGTCATGGGTCTGGGCGCGCTGTCTGCTCGGAACTCGGGTATATATTCAAAGGTGCGGGACGAAACTTACAAGATGGTCTGCAACAGCAAAAGGTTAGCAATGTCTCCAGTAGTTGATTCCGTGGGGAATGAGGTTAACTCACCTTATCACCGTCGCCCCAGGGGAAGTTCTTCACGCGGATGTTCTGGTAGGGGTACTCGGTGCGCTCCTCGAGAGGAGGCATGTGCTCCCAGTGCTCCCAGTGCTCGTTCCACAGGTAGTAGGCGTTGAGGCCACCGCCGATCAGGCAGGGAATGACGGCACTAAACATAAATTATCAGTAGTGTCCTGAGCGGTTCCTCCCACAAGAGGTCAAGTCCGTTGCTCCGCCGAGAAAAACACATACTAGATCGACAGCTTGCGCCACAGGTCTGCAGAGTCATTGAGTTAGTACGAAGCACCTGTGAAGACCGAGACCCGAGGAACATAACATGCCCACGGCCAGTGGTCCAATTGGGGTTTTTACGCACCGCTGGTGGAAGCGGCGTGGTGCTTGACAGCAGAACGCTCACGGTTGAACTCGTTGTCGACGATCCACGAGGGCTTGGCCTCGGCGGAGTTGAAGCGGCGCTGGGCGACCGAGCGAGCCTGCTGGGAGGCACGCTGGGCAAAGCGGGCGATGTTGCGCTGAGCGAACATGGTGGTTGTGGAGGGCAGGTGGTTTGCTGGAGGGGAGAGGAGTCGGAGCATGTCGTACGTTGAAATCCAAGCCGCTTTAGTGGACTCCCGTGATCCCCGGCTTAGGTAACCTGATGTCACTCCACACACTCACGTGACACCTCATCAACAGCGCTGCACGAGCTTCGTGAGCTGCAAAAAAAGGCAATATTGCGTCGACGCGTCGGGTTTGATGACCTTCTTGCTTCTGGAGCTGCAGGGTATCCGCCGTGGCAGTGTCACAGTTGCCGGCAATGGGGTTTCGCATCACGACGTGGAATGGTGAGTGACTCGCCCCTCGTCTGTAGGAGCGGGTCTTGGCAAGAATATCGGTGCTAACCAGGTGTCGCAGTTAACGGCATTCGGTATGTAGAACATTTGAAGATGATTTGAAAAAAGAAAAGAAAAGGCTGAATGGGTGTATAGGAACCCATTCTCCTACGAGCCATGGAGAGGGAATCGCACCTTCGAGGTAAGCTTTCCTGGTCCATTATCGCAGCATCGTTCCACTGACAGGATGATAGTCTATGTTCGATATCCTCGAATCAGACATCGTGGTCTTCCAGGAAACCAAAATCCAGCGAAAAGATCTCCGGGATGACATGGTTCTAGTCCCGGGATGGGATTGCTACTTCAGCCTGCCCAGAATCAAGAAGGGCGAGTGCCTCTGCAATGCTTCTCGGCGAAAGCTAACCCCTGGCAGGATATTCTGGAGTTGTAATATACACGCGCAATGCGACTTGTGCACCGATCCGAGCTGAGGAAGGCCTCTTCGGTCTTCTATGCCCTCCCAATTCATCAACGCCTTTCCGTGATCTGCCAGAGGACCAGCAGATTGGCGGATATCCGACTCTCGAACAGCTCAGAAGGCCGGCTATCGTCTCCGAAGATTGCGATTCAGATGATGAAGAGGACGAGAACACGACACCTGATGGACCAATTGACCCAGCAATCCTGGATTCTGAAGGACGGAGCGTGGTCCTCGAATTCCCCGCCTTTGTGCTGATCGGACTATACTGCCCCGCAAATCGTGATGAGAAACGCGATCCTTTCCGGCTCGGTTTTCTCAATGCCTTGGATGCTCGGGTTCGGAACTTGGTCGCCATGGGGAAGCGGGTGTTCGTGACGGGCGACATCAACATCGCCAAGCAAGTCATTGACTCCGCACATGCGCTGGAAGCCATTCGCAAAAGCACTGCTACCGAAGAAGATTACATTTCTGCCCCATCTCGGAGGCTGTTTAACCAATTGCTATCTGATGGGAAAGTTGTTGGGCCTCGCGATGAAGGCAGAGAGCAGCCTGTTATGCACGATATATGCAGGTCCTTCCACCCCAGCCGCGCTGGAATGTATACTTGTTGGGACACACGGCTCAACACTCGACCGGGCAATTTTGGTGCGAGAATTGACTATGTGCTGTGCAGCCTGGACATGAAGGACTGGTTCGCGGACTCGAACATCCAAGAGGGTTTGATGGTATGTCTGCATACCCGCGCGTGCCTGGGTTTGGCTGACTCCATAACATTTAGGGCTCGGATCATTGCCCCGTTTACGCTATCTTCAAAGACCACGTTCCTTGCGATGGACGCATGGTCCACATTCGAGATATTATGAACCCCCCAGGAGCGTTCAAAGATGGCGAGCGTCAGCAGACATATTCGTCCCAGTGGATGCTATCAGGATCAGGACGCCTGTTGCCCGAGTTTGACGTCGACAAGCGCCGTAACATCAAGGACATGTTCGCTCGCAAGCCACCCCCCAGCCTATCTCGCTCTCCTTCCACTGCCAGTGCCGTTGAAAAGACAACCGTGACTCTGGATACAGAATCCATCTCATCACCAACGCCCACCCCCAGCGACGTACCCAAACACCCACCACCCACTTCCAGCCAGAGCCAGAACTCGAATACCCTCTCTCGCAAACGATCCCAGCCCCTCCCTGCGACGTCTACCAAACGCTCAAAGCCCGCGACCACACCATCCGGAGCGTCGGCTTCTGCTGCGGGCCAGAAGACGCTCAAGGGCTTCTTCAAGCCGAAACCGGTTGCTGGCGGCACATCCGCTCAACCTGCTACACACTCGCCAACGTCCAGTACCCGACCCAGCTACGACGGCACATCATCATCTGCTAGTAGCATTGCCGGTCCAGCTTCCATAACTAGCCAAGTAGGAAAGACATCCCACCCTCTCGAATCGACTGCCGATACCCTCCTCTCCGCAGCAGCGACCCCCTCCACACAGTCGTCGCCCAGCAAGCCCCAGACTGACACCTTCATCGACCCCATCGTCAGCAAAGAAGACTGGTCGAAGCTCTTTACCAAGAAACCTGTCCCTCGTTGTGACAGTCATCAGGAACCATGCGTCAGTCTGACTACAAAGAAGCCGGGCATGAACCGCGGCCGAGCATTTTGGATCTGTCCACGGCCTCTGGGTCCCAGCGGCGCAAAGGAGAAGGGAACACAGTGGCGGTGTCCAACGTTCATCTGGGCCAGCGATTGGAACTCGGCTTCACAGGGAGAGGGACAGTAATCAATGGTGCCATTTAGCATATCACATTTTCATAGCCAACATATTCCATGCCTCTATTCATACTGTGTATTTCTCTCGAGGTTTGTCGACCTGGCCGGCTAGAGTGCCTCAGGCTGGCAAGCCTGGCGCCTTGGGGCATTCGGGCCACGGCTGCCGGGCACTGACAAGGTGCATCATCCAGCGAAGGCACCGGTGGCAGGTGACCATGGCGTGCAATCGTGTGCCTGGAACAACAGAGCCAAACAGCACCCACATGCATACCCCACTTTCTTCACTGCGGGAGGCTGTAGTGGAGCGGACGAAGAACATAGAGGGGGCGTGCATGGGCATCGTGTGCCTGCTTAATATTGCAGTGAGCATCTGCTCAGAGCATTGGTGGTGGGTGGAAGAAGTACAGAGTCACCAATGTCACATGCTATCACCTGCCATGGCAGCCTGCAGGAGTGGGGCGGGTGGATAGCATCGAGTGCATGTCCCTAGGGCATCGCGATGCAGCTGAATTAAGCAGCGTGGGGATGCTAGAGAACCTGCTCTCGAGGGAAGGTGTACAGGATGGATCCACAGTGGGGTTTTCGTGGCAGCAGGCACCGAAAGGGGCAGTTGGTTGCCTGGTGGGGGGCTGGGGCTGTTAGAGAGGATTGCTGTGCTGGTCTTGCAGGCCCGTAGGACGTGGGCTCGGCTTGGGGAAAGATTGTGCTCAGCTAATATTCCTATTCTCTCCATTATGTAGAAGTACGAGTCTCTTGGCATCAGGCCTAGGGTGGAATTGATCCATTTGATTTTCGTAGGGGCTACCAGGCGCAGGCTTTAAGTACACTAACACATATTGTGGATCTGGCGCCGGAGGGCTGGGCCGATTCCCCCGGATTCGCAGCGCATCCTCCACGTGGGGGTTGCCCACGTTACACTACTTTAATTCTGCTCGAACGCCAATTTGTTAAATTCAAGCTTATCATCCATAGCAGGGGGATATGGTTCTATAAAAGTTGAAAAAACAGCACTGATAAATCGTAGTACTCTCAATTCTCGTACTCTGAATCAGGGGTCGGTTGGGTGGGTTGGGTCCGACATAGATGGTCCATAGCGGTGGCCCGATAGCATCCCAAAAATCCTCCATATTCACCATCCATATCAGACTAGAAGGCACCTGTGAAACTAGGGACCCGCTTTCTGTCTACTTGTGTCTACTTGTCTCCGCTGCCACAGCACACCACCACCACGGCGACAACAACGACCATTTTGGGTGGGCCTCATGACGGCTGTCATTAACAAAGGTGACCCCTTTGGAACCATAAATATCTTTGTTCGCCCCTGTTCATCTTCTCTTTTTATTCTCCTCACCCCTTTTCTCCGAGTCACTCCCGCTCCTCTTGCTTTCATGTTTGCTCTGCTCACAACTCTTTCTCAAGATTACTTGGTGCCAGATTTCTTCTTGCTGGCTTGCCGAGTTTGTGGTTAAGGACTCACTCTCGAACCCCTTTCGCCTTTTCGGTGTTCTCGATACACTGCAATTCCAAGATGGACATGTCCAAGCTCGCTGGCAAGGACTTCTACGAGAAGGCCTCGCCTGAGGATCGGGCGATGGAACTTGTCTGGATGAATGGGGCAGCGAATCTCGCCAACACCGGCAATGAGATCATCCTACCTTTCAATGTCGCTACAAAGTTGGGAGCAGACAATGTCAGCACGATCGCGAATCGCCTTTCGTAAGTGTGCTCAATTCTGGATTTGGCTTCGTACTCACACATCACAACAGAAAGCTCTTCGATCAGAAATGCGTGCTCATCAAAGATCCCTCGATCTCAGTGTATCGCATTGCTCCAAGGACCAAATTTGTGGATGGTGTTCCTCTCCAGCCTATGGATACCGAAGACCATTGGCTCATCTCCCGCGAAGTCCATCAGGCGGTACGAAATGGAGTCAAGATCCCGCTTGTGTCTCCTCGAATTCCACGACCCCCGAACTCTTTTATTCTTTACCGACAGCACCACCATCATACCGTGACTGCCGAGAATCCTGGTGTTCAGAACACCCAAATCTGTATGTCAAGTCATTCCACGCGAGCCCCCGCAGCGCTAACATATTAAGCTCGTATCATCGCCGAGATGTGGCGCAATGAAACTGCTGAGGTTCGAGCACGGTTCAAAGATCTCGCGGATGAGAAGAAAAGACTTCACTCGCAGGCCCATCCCAATTATCAGTATGCCCCTCGACGCCCTTGGGAAAGAGCCCGGCGCTCCCCCAAGATTCATGCAAGCACTGTCCCATTTATTTCTGCATTCCCAGGAGGACAGCCTCGACTCACTGAAGCTTGGAACAAAACCAATGGCTGGATTGATGTTGACGGAGACTTCATTGACCTTCTTGATCACGCCAATCTTATCTATGGTCCCAATACTGTGGCACCTTACAATCAGCCTGACAACATTGACTTCGATGAAATCCTTCGGCAGCAGCTGGAGCGCTACCCGCTGGAGACTGTTCACTGGGAGCCCCTGCAAGGCAACGAGTTCGATGATACCTTCCCCATCGATCAGCTCCTTAACCTTCCGGGCAGTAACTAAGATGATACACATCTCATGATCTACATTGCATGATATGGATCATGCCTATCTCAAATCAACAATCCACGAGACCCTGCGTTGGCGACACAACAAAACACAAAATGCCCTTCCTTATGTCTTGCATTTCTGCATTTCAGGATAGGCCACCCATCATGCTGCGATTCCTCCAGCATCGTCGATAGCCCTCAAGGATTTCTCATAGCTCATGCTGGCGCACATACGGTTTCCATTTTCCTTTCGTATTTCATATTGTCACTCCTTACATTTTCATTTGTCCTTTGCAACCTGTTTCTTGTTTTCTGTTTTTGGCCCTTCTTATTGACTTTTTCCATCGTTCACTCCTCGTATTTACTATGTTTTCAAGTGGAGATGCCCTCCAGTGGTGAAGAGGGCCCGGGCTTCGGGCCGCGGTGTCTGAATATGGGCCCTTAAAAAATAATAAAGACAAAAATAACTGTACATAAACCTCCCTTGCTCCCTGTAGAGTTGGCAAGCCTTGTAGAGTATGGACATGCTGTAGATCTCGAGTCTGGAGTTTGGAGATGTGTATGGTCACAATATGGGCGAGGATGGGATTTGGCTACGATTAACTATCCGTGACGTGTAGACTCGGGCTTTGGAGGTGACATGTACGCTTGTGTGTCGAAGATGGCGAAGTCTTTGTTGTCAAAGGCTCCTGGGATGTCGGTGGCTTCGAGGATTCTTTGTTAGACGTCGATGCCAAGACCGCCGATCAACGGGTCCGTGGGTCTGGTGGAGACGCCAGACATGCAGTTACATGAACCCGCCGTTCTTTATTTCGGTCCTGGGGCAGGGGTTCGGCTTACGGCATGGAATGTGCATCAACTGGGATTGGAGGGTCGAGGACGAGGATTGAGGCCAAAAATGGAGGATTCTGGACCGGGTTGGAGGTTGCGAGGTGGGCGGCAAAATTTGAGGCTTGCGGCGCGGATGGAAAGAGGCTGGGCATCACAGGACGGGAGCACGGCTTGTGGGAATGGAGATTACCGCATGGATATCGAGTCCACGGGGCGAAGGCGAGGGTGCGAGCTTGTGAGATAGGCTCTTCGGGACGGGGATACGATTGCATGAACGGCACGAGGCGAAGGTTGCAGTACCAAGGATGGCGTTTTACTAAGTGGACTCTACAGGGACACAGTGCGGCCGGGGAGGCAAGAAGAATGTGGATACATTTCGCTAATCTCTCGCGACAAGAGCTACTGGCAGGCAAATGGGAAAGGCACCATGGGAAATGGGAACAGACACGGTCCAAAAGGGTTTCCAGGATATACACAGTCGGGTTGAAAAGCCAGGCACGAGAAACAGATGGCCAGGGGGAAGGGGGAACGGAAACGAAAAGCGAAGTGTTTAGTCCTCCTGGTATGAGATCTTGCGCATCTCGCCGAGGCGTGTGCGAGCACGAGCAAGGTTGTTCTCGAGTTGGAGGATCTCGACCTAGAAGACAAGCCAAGAGTCAGCAAATGAAAGGTCCTGGGGATGGGAAAGCGCCGAGAGGCCGATGAGGGAGACAGAAACACAAATATGCAAGCCAAAGACGTACCTGTTGCTCCATCTCGCGGACCTTGAACTCGTGCGAGCTCAGTTGCGCGTAGTCCTCCGCCTCGTTGTCGTCGCGGTGCTTCTCCTTGATGATGTCCTGCACCTGTCGCACAAGGGCGCGGCATGCGGCGCCGACAGCCTTGCTGGCCGTTTCCAGTCGATCCTGGGTCTTGCTCATGAAAGTAGCCTTGACACGGCTGGCAGCAACGAGCTGGGCGGTACTAGCGGCGACATCGTTGGAGGCGACAATAAGCTGTTCAGGAGAGTTGCGACCTGAGATGACGCCGTCGGCGGTCTCGATCAGGGTGTTGGTGGATGTGGCGACGGCCTTGGCGGCTGAGATCAAGCCTTCGGTCCAGCGGTTGTTCTTCTTGTAGAAGGCCGTGCGGGTGGAGCTGCCGCGGCCCTCGCGCACAATCTCCTGCTGCGACTCTGTGGCGGCCTTGATCAGCTCGGCGATGGCGTTGGTCACAGCAATGGCAGCCGCCAGGATGGCGTCGTTGATGCGTAGCTCATACGTCGAGTAGCCATCGCGGGGCTTGTTCTTGAGCTTGGCCAAGCGCTGGGCGGCGGCGTCGATGGCATCAGCGGCCTTGAGCAGTTCCTGGTCCACTAGATCGCCGAGGTCGCCATTGGTAGCGATCTTGCTGCTCTTCGGCTGGAAGGACTCAACCATCTTCGACAGAGCCTGCAGGTCTCGCTGAACCTCCAGGTTGTTGTTGATAACCACGTCAGTCTTCTGCAACGGTTCCATGCCCTCGAGGCGGAAGGACTGCAAGCCCCGGAAGAAGCGGACAGTGGCCTGAGCGGACTTGCGGGCTGCATTGAACAACAGGTCGGAGCCCTTGTCGTCATTTGCGAACCGAGACAGACCCTTGGTGTTGCTTAGGGTATCGGCAATGGAGCCCGAGAACACAGACACAGTGCGGATGATCTCGGCATGAGGGCTGTTGGGGCCATCGGCAATGAAGTTGTTGAAAGCGGTTGAGAACTCGGTGGCAGAGGCCGAGGCCTTCTCAATCTGCGACAGCACGTAAGGCGGCGAGGCATTCTGGTTACCGGCTTGCATGGATGAGTCCAGCTCATACAGGGCATCATCCACACGCTGTACACCAGTCTGCAGCACAGAGTCGATAATATCGTTGATCTTGGCCACAGTGCCGTGAAGCACAGTATCAATCTGGCTATCCAAAGCATGGTCGACATCGCCTTGGCTCTGCAGGAGAGCGGTTGTTGGTTAGTAAAGCGAGTATGGAGTCCTCTCAAGATCACGACCTACCAGCCTCAGCTCCTCCAGTTCCATCAGAGCCTGCTCCATGCCAGACTTGTACACCTCAATCTCCTCGTCTTTCTCGCGGAGAGCCAGGTCATGGTCTCCCGACCGCTCGTTGTTACGGCTGGAGATGTCGTCAAGAGCTCGGGTTTTGTTCTATAAACCGTCAGCCTAGAACCCCTCCAATACAGCACCAATGACAGCTACTTACCCGAAGAGCCTCCTCGAGATCAGCCATCTCGCGGTTGTACTTGGACAGCATAGAGGAAATTTCTGTGCCCTTTGACCGCTCAGCATTTTCGGCGCGCTCCAGGGCCATACGGAGCTCCCGTTTGACCTTCTCCAGCTCATCCTTGTTGGTACCGGACACACGGTCCTTGTCATGCAGGGCACGGTCACGCTCCCGGATCATATTGGCCAGCTCCAGGTTCTTCGTCTTAAGCTCGCGTTCCAGCTTCTCGCGACGATCAATGGCCTCTTGCGCAGAAGCCGCCTTAAGCTTCAGGCTCTTGGTGGTCTGTAGAAGATCCAGGTGCTCCTGTCGCAGCTGGGAGTAGAGTTTGGCCAAGGCCTCATACTTGGACCGCCAAGTGTTGACCTGTTCTTGCAAAGCCCGGATCTGTTCATCCTTGGAGGCACTCTGCATGTTCAGGTTCGAGTTCAGCTGGTTCATCTGCTCCTCCAGATCCTTGACACGGCGGTCGTACTGTTGCAGCATCAGCTGGTCACGCTCGTACTGAGCCCGAGCATTTAGGTTCTCCTGCTCCAGCTCGGCGAGACGGCCCTGTGTCTGTGTCGAGTACTGGTCTCGGAGGAGCTGCTCTTGTGCCAAACGTTGCTGTTCGGCCTGCAGACGCTGCTGCTCCTCAAAATCACGCTGAGCCTGCTGCTGGGCAAGCATCTGCTGCCGTTGCTGGTCATTCCATTGCTGCTGCAGGCGGGCTTGCTCTGCCTCGTACTCTTCTTGCTGGCGTCTAGCCTCGTTGGTCCAGAAGTCGCTAATCGGCTCTGGCTCCGCTGTCACCTTGGGTGGAGGCGAGGGTTGATGCTCAATTTCCTTTGTCGGGCGCTTTGGTAGAGCTGGACGCTCATCGTCATCGCCAAGCAAGCTTGGCGGGTCCTGTGGCAGCTTTGGGATTGTGATAAGGCTGGTCAAATAGCGCAAGTTGGAGCATTCGTAGTAGAAGCGAACAAGGCGGTGGTGTTGAGCATCGTAACGGCCCCGGAGCGGCTCAAGAGCTTCATCTTCACCAGTCGCTATAGTATAATCTGTTAGCAGCGGCTCTACTTAGCCTGATAAATAGTTCGATGAAGATCATACTTGTGTGCATTGCTCGCAGCATGCTAGTAATGAACTTGTAGATACCGTAGCTCTCCTGCACCAGGGGCACCAGGGCGGAGATTCGGCATTCATTGTTAGTACCCGATTGGAAATGCGAGAAGACAAGCTTCTGGAAAGCATCGATCTGATCCTGCAAAGTCATGAGGTCGGTAATAGTCTCGTAGCTATAACCCCCGTTAGCACCCCATCTTTCAACCAAAAAACAGAAATTGTCCGTACCCCTCATTCGGATCATTGATAGTCTTCAAGCTAATGTATTCCTCATACTCGAACAAACCTGCGATTGTCAGATGACTGTTTTCCTCCGTCGCCAACCGTCCATAACAGACATACCATTGAATTCGGGGTGGTTGCGGTGGAAGTTCAGCTTCGACTCAAGAAAGTAGACGTATTCGCGAATAAGGGGGGCGTATCCTATTCCAGCATTGTCAACATCTCCGTCCACTAAGCGCATCGTTCCTCCCGCGCAGCGCCAACCCCGCCACCCCGCGAGTGACATGCCATACCTCGAATACCGTCTCCCCCCACGCCTCTCATCAAGCTATCGATCCAGTTGGAATGCTGCTGGGCCTCCCGAACGACGATAGGATGGCCTTCTTGGAGAACCTTGTGGATCGTGATGAGCGCCTTGAACGTCTGGACCTCGTCGGCGAGGACGGGCTGTCTATACGCAGAAAGCACATGTCAGCCATTCATTCCAGAAACTCCCTTTCCGTCCCCTCCGTCCGCAACCCAGCACACATACACTTTCATGCCCGCCCAGAAGGCCGCTGACGATTTGTGGTCCCACGTGTACACAATGCAGCTCCGCACATGCTTTCCTGCAACAGTCACCCGGCATTAGTCGAATCGAACTAGGGGAGAACGCAGGCGCAAGGCCATCTCCGAAACGGACAACAGAGACGCAATCGGGGACGTACGTTTAGGCGCAGTTTCCTCTGTCGCAAGCCGAACAGTTAGCCTCATCCGGTCCTCTCCTGAACCACGACCGGCACCCCCGGATAGAGCTACTCACCAATGCTAGTCGCCTTTCGGATATTGATGGCCAGATCGGCCTCGGTCCTACGCGATTGGAGTTATTCAGCTGCATCTGGCGGCGACAGGGGTCCCGCTTACCGACTCATGATGGCTGTGGTGCCGGGACACGGGATGCGGACTCAGGGAAACCTGGAAAAAGCACGAGGAGGTTCACGGCAGAACCCGAGTCCGGACAGCGCAGAGATGGGCAAAGTGAAGCTTGCGCCGACCGGAGGAGAGAAGGTGGAGGGTCAGAAGTAGCAGATTCCACCGCACGTGGAGAGCAATGACGTTCGGTAAAGTCGGCGCCTGTCAGTCTTGGCGACGCCTAAGCCCCCCTCGGCTCCATCCCTTGCCATCCGCGATAGGCATCCAGCCGACTCCGCGCCTGCAATGCCGCGTAATACGCCTGCACGCAGCAGGCAGCACAGATATTCAAGTACAATCTCACCGGTTGCTACGGATTATTAAAGTAGTGTGAATAGAAGAGTGGAAATACAGATTGCATAGTTGGGTCGCCACTAAAAATCCCTAAGAAACCATTATCTTAGCCAGGTCTATACATCGAACCCCAAACATACTGCGTGTAAGCCACCGCTCGTCTTTGCTCAGAGTGAATACATGCTCCCACCGGTTGCAATCAAATGTTCACTAATGCAATCGGGAAATGTCTAAGAAGATATGTAAGAAGAACCCATGAAACGCCCGTTCAACCTTGCAAGAATCACCGAGTCACACGAGTCGTAGATCGAACCAGGACTGGTTCAGGTCCTCCGTTTTGGAAAGAACCATGACAATTACGAAGACCGAACTTCGACTGGCTCGAAAGTCGGCGGGGTCTGGCTATTTTCTGGAGTAGAAGACAGTGGGTGGTCCACCGATGGCAAAGATCCGGCATCCCGCCCATCCTCCTCATCCCATTTCTGATCCGTTCCAGTGGCATCGGTTTTGGACGAGGTATCGCTCTCCAGGAAAATCGATCCTGTCGGGGTCTCGTTCAGCTCCAGCTCGCCTGTAGCTGGGCTGGATGGCGCGGAATCCTGCGGCGCCTGGACTACCAGCAGCTTGTCGTTGGCACTATCAGTGCCGAGATGATGAGGAATGGGTTTCCTACGAGGCAGAGGAGGTGGGGGAACGGGTCGATGATCGCTTGCGTTGGACTGTTCGGGCAGGACTGGTGCTCCCACGGGTTTTCGTTTGGGCAACGTCCCCGAGTTCCGTTTCAGGGCGTACTTGTCGGGACGTGGCAAGGGGGCTCCAGGCGGAGGATGGGGGTGTCCGCGGCCGATGGGCTCATCAGGGGTCCCAACCGGAGTCCGAGATGCCTCTGTTAAGTTCAACTCGCCTTTGCCAAACACACTCCAGCTCCATTTCTTTGCGGCAGCAGTCGCTGATCCAATAGTCATGTTCCCGATGGACTTCTCGTCGGAAGATATGTTTGACGTGAACGATTTGGCTAAAGTCTCAATAGTGCTGCGCCGACGGGAATGCTCGCTGCCAAGGGAAGTGGTAGAATTCCCTCGGGAGCTCCGGGGGCCAGATAAGGAAACATTCTCAAGACGGGCAGACGAAGGACTCTGGATGACATGATCGCCGTAGAAGCTGACACTGTCGATGGAGTCTGCGATGGAGGACCCCCGGCTGTGGATAGCATTCTCCGGCATCATAAGACCTTCACTGGGCGGGGAGTTATTTGGCGTCCGATTCGGAGAAGCAGGCGGAGAGCGCTTTGAGATTTCAATCATGGCGCTAGTGGCAGTGGCCTTCTCGTCGCCCTTGGCCTCTGTCACAATCTGGTTAGCATTGTCTGCCGTAACCACCGGATCGGCTGCATGGGAAAAGGTCTGCGATCGAATAGCACGGGGCAATGGCAGGTTGTCGGATCTTTCGACACCGGTGGAGGTGGCTGACGGAAAATTTGGCAATTCTGAGACCGACTGCTTCAAGGCTTTGCGGGGTTTGACCTTGGCCGTGGCGGGGTTGGACTCAGAAAGGACAGGCATGCTCATTGTTCGGTCATCCTTGGACCTCAAGGATTCAATTGACGAGTCTCCACGTAGGCTCTTCGGTGTCGGCGGGGCGTTGCCAGATTCATCAGGAATGTCCACCTGGGTGGCTACCTCGGGGGTCTCTCGCTGCCAGATGCCTCCACGGAAGGACTGGTCATGGGTATCCATGAAAGGAACATCGTCCCAGAACGGCAAAACGATACTTTCGGCCATCACTTCTCGGATTTTACTCTCAATGGTGCGCAGAATGGGGCTGAAGGTGATCTGCTTCGAGCTGACGATGGGTTGAATGTCCATCACCATCCTGGGCATGGTCTCGAAAGACATCCAGAAGCGATTACTGGGAGGGGGCTTGAAGCGGACCAGCAGATGGCCCTCCAGCTTCTTCAGGACCACCGCCAGCACAATATCCACCTCCCTGGCCTTGAATCGCTGGCCCAAATCAATGCGCACAGTAGCTGAGATCTCCACGCGAAAATTTCCGGAGTATTGAACATCCGCCTCAACGCAGCAATTCCCGTCGACGGTCAGATCCTTCAACCTGGGGTTGGTGATGAACGGGGCCCCTTCGCCCATATCAATCCTCTGCAGGCCAACTTTGCTAATGAAGTTCGGCTTGTTTACGCGCGAGATCTTTTTGGCAATCTTGCTTCGTACGAACTCTTCCATCTCGGGTGTTCGGTACAAGGCTAGAAACAAACGGCCAAAGATAGCATTGATCCACCGTGTCTGCAACTGCTCTTCTGAAGAATGAAGACGTTGAACCAAGGAGACGATATGTTTCACATCAAGTTCCTGATGCTTTGGGGGCCGATCCGCCGAGGTCCAGAGCTTGGACTGGTTTTTGAGCATTGCAAGATAGAAGTCCTCTTTCTCAGAACAATTCTCAGAAAACAGAAAGAACGGCGGGGTCGGGCCTCCAAGGTCTCCAAGCGAATCCAGTCGCCGTGAGAGACAGATAGCATTCCGTTTGACCCACAGCTCACCCTCTGGAATATCCCCATCGACGCTGTGGATAGTCACGTCGTGGTGAGCGAGCGAGATAACATAGCGAACTTCGACTTGATTAGCGTCGTCATAAAGCATCAAATGTCCATGTCTTGAGGCAATTCCAATCATCGTCAGTACATCCACTCCAATCCACTAACAGATTACAGAGCCAAAGCAATGCGTACCGAAGAACAATGTAGAAGACATTCCGCGCGCGCTTGATATTCTTCCCATTCGACTTTGCCGGCTCAATACTAGGCGCCTGTTTCCTGTCGAACAAACTCCGGTACATGGCCTGATAGACGCTTGGGCTCTCGGCGGCAACTACCTCCCCCGCAGGCGTCGTCCTCTCTGGAGGCTTCCCATTGACTCCACCAGGAACGTATTCACGACAAACAGCGAAGTATCCAGTAGCGACTTCGGAGTCGTGTGAACGATGGAACTTCTCGGCCAGCTGGTCAGTACCGGACTTCAGACTATGCTCATCGTCGGCAGGCCGACAGAGCGGGTCGGAAGCTCGTTCGCATGGCTGGTCGGGGGGAGGGGCATTCGGGAGGGTCAGGTAGACAAGTAGAATGACCACTGAAAGTACTAGCGGGATGAATGTGAGGCCCCCGAGCACATATACAACGAGGAAGCTGCCGAGCGAACCCATCGGGAAGCAGTCGATCGGAAATAGTCGATCAATGCGGGAGGGTCAACAGCTCCATAATTGAGGGAGCCCTATGTCCCGAGAAGAGGGGGCAAGCTTGCAAGAAACAACGAGAGACCTGCTCTTACAGAGGACCAAAAACGAGTGGGCTGGGAGGGGGGCGCTAAGCAGACTGCGCAAGGTGAACAGAGGAGATGAGAAGTGGAGTTGCAGCTTCCCAAGCACGCCGGGATGACGGAGGTGCTAGGGGTCCGGTGATCATTACCATACTGTTTTGCAATTGTATTACATGGATTAAATACACTTTATGGCATAAATGTATTGTAAACATCTCGTGTGTGATTTACATGACGTAAGGCTACCCTACCCGCCCCCCGCGCTGGATCCGACCAGCTGTCAGGAACACCAGCCCTGCAGAACAGTTTTATGGTCAGAGCGCTGCAGCCACCGCCATACAAAAGCCAAGGGGAGTAGAATGAACGAAAGGAGGTATCACCACAGATCTGCCACGTCGTTGCTATCTAGATCTAAAGTCTCACGCATCTAAAATATGTAGTTGTACATGTACTTTCAAGCGGAAAGTATCTAACAGAGGGTAATGCAATAACCAAACAGGCAAATATACGTTTACAGGAGTACAAAGTCGCATTTCTTATTTCCTCCGCTTCATCGTCTTCTCGGCCATCTCGATCAGCCCGGACTTGGCTTCGCTGTCGGGGAAGTCACTAATGGCGGCTACGGCCGTGTCGGCATAGTCCTGGGCCAGGACACGGGTCTGCTCGACACCGTTGCTGTGGTAGACAATCTCACGGGCCTGGGATGTGGTCAGTTTCGAACGTCCAAAGAAAAAGATTATGATATAATCGAAATGATAGGCCTTCTTACCCGCTGCACGTCGCCCTCATTGCGGAACTTGCGGCCAACCAAAGGACCGAGCTCAGGGTTGCTTTTCCACGCGAACAAAAGCGGAGCAGTGGCCAGGCCCAGCTCCAAATCGGCTCCGGCCGGCTTGCCCAGCTCAGCCTCCGTAAGAGTATAGTCCAACATATCATCCACCAGCTGGAAAGCAAGGCCCAGGTTGCGGCCATAGGCATAAGCAGCCTCGATAACCTCAGGGGCGCTCCGACCCAGAACGGCGGCAGAGCGGCAGGACTTACTGATCAGACTGGCCGTCTTCAGGTAGGTCTTCTGCAGGTAGTAGTCCAAAGTCTCGTCCGTGTAAATGGGCTTCGCCTCGTCCTGGGCGGTGTTCTTCAGCTGCATAAATTCGCCTTCCACCAGGTTGGCGATGACAGTCGCCATCAGCTCAGTTACTTCCGGGTCGCGTAGCCGGGCCAGTGCGACAGACGCCCGGCCCAGGAGGAAATCGCCAGCCAGCACCGCCATCTTGTTTCCAAAGGCCAGGTTCGCCGAGCTGTTGGCGCGGCGGGTCACTGCGTTATCGATGACATCGTCATGGAGCAGGGACGCAGTGTGGATAAGTTCTGTAATCTCAGCCAGCCGGCGCTGGGCCGGCAGGATATTATCGTCACCGGCAAAGTCGTACTGGCTCTCGGCGGACGGGGCTACGAGCGGATTTGAGTCTGGGTTTGCGTCATCGAGGATGGATAGCGAGCTGAACGAGCTGTCGACCGAACGTGGGTTTGGAGAGTCGGACGTGTGTTTGCGCGGGTCGAGAGCTGTCGCCTGGGACATGAGGAGAACCAGCAATGGCCGCATGTGTTTGCCCTCGCTACGGGTATAATACTTGGCCACCTTATCCAGTGCCGGGTGGCCCGATCCCAGCAATTGACGAATGTTTTTAGTCAAGAACTTCAGTTCTTTGCCAACGATTCGCAGTGGATCGACTGAAATACCCGGAGGTGCTTTCGGCATGCCCTTGAAGATGGCCTGGGCAGCCGTGGCCGCGGCACCGAACGGGGACACATCTCTTCGGCGAGTAGGGTGGAATTTGCGAGATTGAATGAGTGTCTGGGTCAAGAGGAGGTCATCGCGAAGGCACTGTGAGCACACGGAGGTCGAAGGCGTCCGCCTGATGGTCAGCCCGGCGGCCGAAAGGGCACGAGCTCGCATGCTCAGGGTAGGACTCGTGAATTGGAATGGAAGGAGACAACCAAGATCGGAACATTAATCGGTCAATTGAGGCGAGAGCGCTAGATGCGGACGCGACGGCGTTTGGGGATGTATGAGGTCCGCAAGACACAATCTTGCGGGCGGGAAGATTTCGAGCTCTCGGGACGGCACGGACCACTCGCAGCGCCCATTGGCAGCTCCGAGCTTGTGAGACACCCCCAATACTACATTACAAACCTCCGGACTCCTAGACTACAACCCCCCGCTCTTGAGAAACAACCAGAGGTAATGAACTAAATACTCTGTATTCGCAAGGAAACACGTATACCGATGGGGCCGAGCATCCCATCCGAGTCTACTGTAATACTCTGCAGCAAAACAAGCCGAGCAATACACGGGTCCGATGCAAAAGAAAAGATAATTCCAGTATAAGACACACGGAAGATCGCGCCGGCCAACTCGGTCCTGCACATTCCCCTTCGTACACATCCAACAAAAAAAGAAGCGAGATCGCGCACAATTAACACTTAAGTTGAAGATGGCCACTTACGAGGGCAGAGACCCAAGCACGAGGCCGGCGCGACGAGGAAAGATATGCTGTATCGATTACCCAGAAACCACCTAGATTAGATGGCATCGAAATCGCCACCAGCATCCTCATCGTCCATGTCTCCATCCTGAATCTCCTTGGCAAGCTCTCGCTCCCGCTCGCGGGCCTCCTGGGCACTCTTCAGCTCCAGACGGTGCTGGTTCATCGGGAACCGCATAGCCTTGAGGGTTATGGTTAGCGACATCCGATGGGAAAAAAAATGAGTAGAAAATACATACCTTGACACTCTCGTCATGGAGAGTAAGACAAGCACGAATGCGCTCGTGGAACGCCTCGCCCGGTTCCCTGGTGGCATATATGTCCCCAACCTCCTTGCTCTTCATGTAACCGTGCTCGTGATCCAATGTGGCCTCGATAACACCATCCCGGATAGCCTTTGCCACAATGTACTCAGCCGACTCCTCGCTATCCAGGCCCAGGCGGAGACAGATATCCCGCAGGGAGATACGAGAGTAGGACAAGGACATCATGCGAATACCGGTCTTGATCACGTTCTGGCGCAGACGAAGGATCAAGGTGTAAGTACCATCTTTCCGGAAGGTTGCACTGTGGGTGTTGACAATGTTCAAGAAGCCATCCAGATCCCCAACGCTGACGGCCTGGGCGAGCAGGAAGTATGGGTGCATGGCCTTCTCCAGGGCAGGTTGGCGGAAGACCGCGCGGTCAGGAATATCACCCATCAGTAGCTCGACCACCACAAGGAGCTTATGCGAGGCCTGGTAAAAACCACGCGCGACGTTGCTAGTGGGAGACTTGCGGGTGGCACCGATCAGGTGACTATGAGCCTCGGTGTACTGCAGCTGAATGGCACGGATACGGCCAAGATAGTACAAATACCGGGCAATCTGGTTATTAGATGCAGCAGCGGGGAAGCGATTGTGCGAGATCAAGAGATCTGCTTGGGTGATGTGGGAGGTGGACAGATAGTTGCGGAGAAGCAGGGTCATAACGGTGGCCTGCGTATCAACATCTTGCCGGAGAACAGCGGTCCGCAGGGCAGCCAGCAACGGCTGACGGATGGTAGTCACGGTAGCTGCTGGAGAAGGGGGAAGCGGAGCAATTTGCTCGAAGAAGAGGGAGTAATAAAAGTACACGCGAGCTGCGAGGGAATCCAACGTCCGGCGGTTGACGGTGCGCAAGCGCTCGATCAGTTCAGTCGAGAACTTGGCACCTTCCTGGATTTTTCGCTGGTCAAAGAGGTAAATCTGCACCAAGATTGACAAGTATGCATCCACCTCGGGGAGGACTTCCTTCGGGACAGCCTTATTCTTCTCTGAGTCCACCTCCATCTTTGAGCTCGCGAGGTCACTCTCAAAGGCACCGGCCTGCTCGAGGGCATCAAGCAGGAAAGATGCCGTCGAGTTGGAGGCTGAGTATGTTTCCACGATCACTTCGGTGAGGACCTCAGGGGTGAGGTGTTTCCGCATCGACGATATCGATCGCAGGACACGAAGGGTAAATCGGGGATCGAAGTGGGCGACGGCTCGCTCGAGCAGAGTGAAGTTGTTCTTGATGTCTGCCATCACAAGAGAGAGGAGTATCGTAGTCAGTAAAGGCTTTCATTAAGGGTGTTTCCTCGGTTCAAAAAGAGAAACAGTCAACCAACCTTGAATGGCCTTGGTCGTTGGGTCAATCTCAGGCTCAGCCTTCTCCGCATCACCCTCCTCCGCACCCTCCATCGTCACATCATCCTCCTTATCCTGGCCCGGCTTGCCGGATGATCTGGAACCCTTGGTCGGGGGCACTACAACAGTCATCTTCTCGTCACCATTCCGGTCCTTGCTGGAGTTGAAGGAGGATGTAGGCGCACCTGCCGTATCCTCTCCCATCTCGACATCCTCAGAACCATTCACACCATTCTCCGCCGACTTCGATCCGTTGACGTGGGACTGATCATTCTCCCCCATTCCGGTGTTTGATGCGCCCTTGGCGGCGCCTTTCTTTGCCGGGACTGACTTGGCCTTGTTGGCGGCGGCGCGGGTTGTGGGTGCGGCCTTGTCTTTAGCACTCGAGCTCTGGGAGTTCGAGCGTGCCTTTTCACCGTTAGCAGATGAAGAGGTATCGGATTTGTTGTTTGATCGTAGAGAACGCCTCTCGGCCGGCATCTTTCCCAAGCTGTTAGAGCTCAGCTGAGCAAGCACGAAGCTTCGAAAAGTAGGGGGGAGGGCGATAAAGAGCACAAAACAATGATGAAAAGCAGAAGGGCAGGTTTCGACAGGCCAAACTGCCGAGAATCAGGGAAAGGATGGGGTAAAACGGGCAGAGCAACGGGTAGATGAAGTGGACAGGTGATGTGATGTCAAGAGACGAGGACGGGCGCAAGACGCCTGAAGAGTGCTTAGTCAGGGGGAGCTCACTTGGTGGAATGGCAACGCCTCCGACGTGGCCTGGACGAAGAGCAGCGGGCTGAGATTGTAAAGACAGGATCGATTGAGAAAGTGAGCAGGGCAAGGAAGAAAAAGAAAGGCCACCAGAATCGTGTGGCAGCACCGTCGCAACCCAGCGGTTTGCTGCCGTCGTAGGCGCCTTCTCAACTTGGCGCCTGAGGCAGAAAAACGCAGCTCCATCAACAGTCCCCAAAACAACCCGCGGGACGAGGTGCAACTTGCAGCTGCAACAACGCAACCATGCCGCTCCTCGACTCCCACCTGGAGCAAATTGCTCTTTCGTCAGCTGCTATCTCTGAACTACCGTCCGTACTCATTATCCTTCAATCCATTTTTCGTCCGACTCACCAAGCAATTTACTCCAGGTTCCCTCCACCCCGCATCTTCACGAACGCGCTACTGGGCTCACACGAAATCACCGCCTTGATTCGCGATACTGAAGTCCATGAACGAGCTCTGTTCCAGGTTGATTCGTCGACGAAGGCGCATGGAGCACAGCGGCGTGCCACCCGACGCGGAACAACATTCCCCGCGGAGTCTGACAACGAGTCTATGGCCAGCCGAATCTACTCCGCGCGAAATAACCGCAATCAGTCCGCTGTAGCTCGAGTATTGGGCTCTGACATGATGGAGGAAATCAAGCGATCTGCAGGCTCGTCCATCCGGGGTCCACGAGGAGAAGTGAACATCGAGGTCTTGCTTCGCGGAGCCGAGATCCTATGCAATGTCTAGTACGTCTGCTGCCCGGCGTTCTATGATAACATTCTCACCGATTTGAAGCCCCGTTGCAGGTGCACAGGAAAAGATTGCTAGCTTGCGTTACCGCCATGAGATGATTGCGGAATCCATTGCGCAACTGGAGGACCGCGTCGCTGCCAATACCGCCGAGCTAGAGCAGATGCGCCACTCGTATGGTGACGACGAGGATTACTACGCTCCCGCATCGTCCTCGCAGCCAGATCCTCCCGATGTCACCGACGAGGACATCGAACGGGAATTGGCTGAAATAAGGGAGCTGGAGCGAAGGAAACGCACGTTGGAGGAGCGAGTTACTGGCATGGACCGTGACCTCGGGGGACTAATAGGCTGAAATGGAGTCATATCATACTCATTGTGAGAAAGTCTCCGTCAGTCCTTAACCCCGATGAGCTTGCGCTTTGATCCAACGCATAGGGAGAATTTGGGCAGAGATGATAAACACCAACCCTGAGGGAAGGCCTTAGTCTGCAAGGCAACGCCTCCGGTGGTAGCAATACTGTCCTGTCCCTATGATTCGCCTTGCCTTGGACAGCGTGGCTTATCAATCCTTTGAGGCCCATGTTCTCGGTTCAATGATGGCCAGAGAAATAAGTGTACGCTTCCCCACACCGTGCTATGCCATTCTCAAACAGGTATGACGTCTTCCCAGTGTGGGCTGTCTTCCACAAAATCGAGGATATAGTGTTTGGTGTGCTTTGTTGGAGGATTGGACGCGAGGCTGTGTAGCACCATGCATAGAAGATACCCTATTGATAACGTTTAACGATGGTCATGAACAATTTAAAGGCACTCAGTTGATATGTTGAGATCCGCAATAAACACCCTTTACTCATATCATGCGTGTTTGGGGATTTGCTTTCATCTGAAACTCATTGTCCATCGGGCAACTTGAGCTCGAACTATATAACAAGCCGCTCTCGTAATTATTTCAATAGCCATTGCGCATAAACATTGACGTATATCCAGAAAGTCGCCGCATTTTAATAAAAAGTACTAGATAGTTATTGCCATACGCTGTACTATCCCACACCGGAGCCTGCTATCAGTTCACCTGAAGTTTGTACCCTACCCAGCCGCAGCGCACGAGATTTCCTCCACAGCGCCTGTCCCGAAACAAGTGAACACTCAAATAGCCAGGTCTGTTAGTAACGCCGTATGTCCCGCATTTTTATGGAAATCGTTGGTTATTATTTTACTAACAAATGGCCGTTTTAGTTGTTGAAGAACACCCGGGTAACCGCAGCCCTCAAGACTTTACGGAGTACGGAGTACACCTCGGGCGGATGCCAAGACTGCCTCCCGACCTCATCTCTCCAAGACAAATTCCATCTCACCAACGGTTCCAATTCTCCAGGCCCCGTCCGAAACCTGTATGTGGTGTGAGAGGGTGTGATTTGGTCCTATTATCCAGATTTCCTTTGGACGAATACCTCGATCGAGCCAGACGATCCCTCCGCGATCCATTTCGCACGCCCTCGCGCCGATTTCCGACCCCAGCTCCGCGGTCGCCAATATGGACGGGTCTCAGGGCCAGGCAGGCCAGCAGCAGCAGCCAATGTCGCAAACACAGCAGCACTCCAACCTGATCCGGACCGACCAGGTGCAGAAGCTCCCACACCTGAACGACCAGCAGAAAGCCCAGCACACCCAGCTGGTGCGCACTCTGTGGGAGGTCCTCAATACCCGCGATCCGCAGAGCCATGAATATCAGACTGCGCATGTGAAGCTGTCACAACTATCCCAAAACTTGATGAAGGGCATGCGGATGTTCCAGCAGACCCGACAGCAGGCACTCCAGCAGCATCAAGCCCAGGCGGCCGCTGCGGCCGTGCAACAGCAACAAGGCCAGCCCCAGCAAGGTCAACCCGTCCAGCGGACCCAGTCCAACAACCCCCAGAACCTCAGCCAGCTTCTTCCCCAGATCCAGGCGAAGGTTAGCTCGTTGAACTTCTACCTCCCCCCGAACGTGACCCAGGAGCAGGTACAAAACTGGATTCCTGAGGCTCGGCTACGATATGGTATTGCGCTTCAAAAACAAGAGGTTGGGCGCGCCCGGATTGCAGACCTGCGCCAGCAGTTCTCGCAGCGTCAAAGTCAGGGCAATATGACACAGGAGGAGGTGCAGGAGTTCAAAAACCGACAGTTGGCGGCGGAGAAGCTGTTCCGGGAAGGGAGCGACTTTTTGACCAAGTTCAAAGACCAGCAGGAGAGCTTCAAGGCGCAGTCCCAGCCCGGTCAGCAGATGAATCCACAGGGACAAGCGACAACTGCACCCTCAGCACAGCAGCCTGCGGTTCCCGCAGCACCATCCGCAAATGTTGCCGCGTCTCAAGCCGCTCCTCCCAATCAGGCCGGTAATGCAACCAATGCTATGCCTGGCCAGGCTCCAACGCCAGCACCCCACACCATCAACTCGGCTGTCAATGCGGCCCGCAGCCAGGCTGGTGCGGCGATGTCGCCCTCGACGTCCCAGCCAGGGCAGGCTCCATCCGCATCCTCGGCTGGTGCGACACCTGCACCTTCCCATGCGCAACCACCAGCACAGCGACTTCAACCGCCATCGCAGCAGGGCACGCCCGGCGCACAAGTCACCTTCAGCCAAACACCCAACCCGGACGGTTCGACCCCCACTCCGACGGGACCTCCCCAGCAAATGAACCAAGGCCCTCCTCGGCCTCTCTCACAAGCAGCCGCTATGCAGCAAGCTGCAAATTATAACACCAGCAACCAAGGCCAGCAGCAGGGCCAGCAGGTCAACCAGGCCGCAAACAATCAGCAGACCCACCCACCTGGCTACCTCACCAACCGCTCAACCGAAACCCCCAACCGCAGCATCAACATGGTCATCCCCAAGAACTTGAATGTCTCGACTCCTGAGCCCGTCCCCATGCCTGGCTCACGCCCCACTTTCTCTGGTGGCCCCGGTCACAGTCAGATGGGTGTGATGGGCCAGCCAGCCATTCAGAAGCACCCAGGCTACGTCCTCGAAGGTGAGGGCCAGCACGTCCTCAGCAAGAAGATGCTCGACATCCTCGTGCGCCAGGTCACCGGCGGTGGCGAAGGGGAGATGCTGTCACCCGACGCAGAAGAGGTAAGAAGGAAACCTGCTGATCCGGCATCAACTGAGATCCGCTGAACCAGCCCCAAAACTAACCCGCATCCCGCAGTTCATGCTCCAGATGGCCGATGACTTCGTCGACGACGTGATCACCCAGGCCTGCCGCCTGGCCAAGCTTCGGCCCTCGTCGACTCTCGAGATCCGCGACATCCAGCTCGTCCTGGAGCGCAACTACAACATGCGCATCTCGGGCTTCGCCACTGATGACCTCCGCACCGTCAAGAAGCCCCAGCCTACGCAGGGCTGGCTGCAGAAGATGTCTGCCATCCAAGCGGCCAAGGTCACGCAGGGCCGCGCTGAGTGAGAAACTCACATGACATAATCAGAGAGCAGTGCTGCGTGCCTTGCCCCGCGTCATCTATTCTTCTCTCGCATCCTTTTCACCTTCGATTTTTCTGGTCAACATTATTTGCGGGGGGTTGCTTGCGGATCTCTCCATTCCCAGTGTCGGGCGAGAAGTCCTGGCGTTTACATCACGGTGGAGAAAGGGAAGGGGTCTTACTTTACATAGTCCTCTATTTTGCCTTTCTGATATTTGGTTCACTGTTTTTCGATGCGTCCGATTTTAGCTAGGTTGGACTACCCCGACGGTAATCTTCTGGTACCCTTTTTTCGCTTTGCGTCGTTTCTGGTGGATGTTTGCGGGGGCAACTGGCGTTTTTCTGTTTTACTTATACTGCTTTCTGGAATGGGCTCAAAATTAGGCAGGGTCTCGATACGGCTCGATAGGGAAATGGAGATACATAGCAGCATGCCTTCTTCGTGTGGTATCTTAGATCCTGCATAGGTGTAGCCCGGCTTCTATCTGGACTTCGAGACCAAGCTTGAGTATTGATGGTAGATATTCCACCTTGAACAAACGGCGAAATGCCTATCTAGCTACAAAGCTACACTATTTCATATGATCTAGATACTCTACTTTACGCAATTGGAATACGTTTCGAACTCATAATTCACAGCACAAATTCCATTTCAAAACCGCTTCGGCTCAATTGACTCGACCCAGCCCTAATCAGGCACATTCACCCCCATTCCAACCACCACAGCATACCAAGCACAACAGATAATTATCTATAACCGATCTATACAGCACGAAGAAATATGGGGGAAACAGGAAGGGAAACGAAGCCCCCCAGGCTTACACCTGCTAACTCAAGCCTGGACAGGATCGGCTCCGGATATAGGCGCAAGTAAATCACGATTCTCTAATGGAAGACGCATAGGACAAGAACGAGTACAGGCTCAGACAATGACAAGGACAAGCTAAATCGAGGACAGGTAAAGGAAAGTCAAGTCAGGCACGGCAAGTGGTATAGTGATTGGTACAGGGTATGATATGACTCTCGCGAGAAGTAACTAGGAAGAGAAAAAGATAGGGCAGAGGAAGGATGAAAGAAAAGATAAAGGAAGTGAAGTAAAGAAAAGGAGATGGATGGTTGAGACTAGTTAGGAAAGTTAATGGCCGCGAACGAGGTGCGGGTGGCCGCGTGGGCTGGTAGTTATGGCTGTAGAGAAAGACGGAAATTAAGACGAGACTGCTGGATGCAATGCGAGGGCATGAGACGGGTCAAGACAAAACGAGACGATAGACAGATGGTGGATCGGATTGCCGGTTTGGTCGGGTAATCCACGACAATGGCCATGACAGTGAGAGGATTCGTTGGTGGTACAAGGAAATTTTCAAGCCGAGCAAGGCAAGACGAATATGCAGATGCCCAGCATAAGAAAAATAGCCGGAGTGGAACGAAGAACGAGAAACATGATCATGTTTCTTAGGTTCTGGTCTGGATCCACTCGGCACAAAATAGGTATCCCGTGAGATAGCGAGCACGGGGACAGAGACAGACAGAGACGACAGACGAGAGACGCTCAACAACAGGAAATATACAGACGTCACTCATGAACATCAGCAGTTTTGGCAGAAACGCAGATTGCAAGTACATCAATTGAGAGGTAGAGCAGAGCAAACAGAAGCAGAGGACAAGCGGGGGTCACGAAAGGGCCGGCGCAAGGCTTCTGCAGGCGGGGAGGGACAGAGGGATTAACGGGAGGGTTTCACAAATGGTCTATCAAGCAAGAAAGGGGGCGCGGGAGTGGGATATCTCGCTGGAGACAAAACAAGATCAGAGACAGCAAGCCACGGGTAAAGTACCACAGTGAGCCGGCCGGCACAGGCAAAATTAGACACAAATCTCAAGGCGGAAGGACGTTACCGCTGCTTCATGCTCGCCAGGTAGTCTTCGCCGCGGTCGATTTCCTTCCCCTTGGCAGAGGGCTGCGGGCGCTCGTCGCTGGGCACTGGAGGAAGTTCCTTATCGGACAGCCGACGACCATGTCGACTATGCGAGCTATGGCCACCGACGCTGCTGGCCTCGCCTGCTTCATCGACAATCGGCAGGGTGGAGGTTGGGCCTGGGCCAGCTGCATCTGCAGGATCCCACACGGTGGCCAGAGTGCGCGGGTGCGTAACAGATACATCATTCGACGCCTCTTTCTCCGCCGCCTGCATGGTGCGCTCGACGGAAGAAGACCGGGACTGGTGCTTCTCATGCGACGCTCGAGCGGACACCTTCGATTCTCGCCGCTCGGCCTCCTCCTTCGACATGGTGATACCCTTCACGAAATTGATGAAGCGATCGCCATAGCTCTCCGGCGGAACCGGTGAGATCTGCGTCCGGTCGTGCGAGAGGCCCTTGAAAAAGTTCTCGATCTTTTTGACCATCCCGTAGTGCGTCAGACAGTCGATGATGCCCAGGTAGTAGATTTCCTCGCCGAAGGTGCCGTCCTCGCGGGTCGCGCGGAAGCCGCCGTCGTCGGAGTAGAATTTCAGATTCATTTTCCGTGAGTCCAGTACCTCCTCCGGCATCTTGGCGGCTGCTTTGTCGAGAGGCACAGGCCGCTCCCGCTTGACCAGCATGCGGAGTTCCCGGGCCTTGCGCTCGTTTTCAAGCTTCGATGGTGTCCGCATCAGCATGTTTCCTCTAGTCTCTTCTTCGCGGTCGCCTCCGGGCTGGAAGACTTGGAGGGTCTTGTCGCGCAGTTTTTCTTCGTTGCCGCGCTCGACGTCATGGATCCCAACCAGGAGTGAATAGTCCATAATCTTCAGCTTCTTGAGCAACTCCACATCCTTGGTCAATTGCTCGATAAAGTCAAATCGCCTTTCCGGTCCACACTGCAGATGCCGATTCCTCCGCACCCAGTTCAGATCCTTCATGGTTGCACGCGGGTTCCTCTCTAGGTCAGACTCCTGCAGATCACGGCCGATAGTGGAACCCTTCAGATCGAACGTTTGGTGAATATCGCGGTGCGGCGGGAACAGGTTGTTCATGACGACGAAGTGGATCTTGCGGCCGTACGCCATCTTCACACGGTGCAGGCCGTAAAATTGCGAGATCAAGGTGTTGGGATTTTCTTGCACGTGCTTGTAGTACAGGGGCAAGATCTTCCGGAGAAGCTTGTGCTCGGAGTGGTGGATCGTCTTGATGATGTACTTGTAGTCGCGCGAGAAGTAGAAGAAACTACCGCTCTTGCCGGGTGAGCCCAGTTCGGACAAAATATACTTGCTGGTCAGGGACATCAGGTAGTCGGCGGGATCGAGGTTGAATTTGGCGCGAAGGTGGCGGAACACCCACGGCGCATAGTCCTTGAATTTGAAATCGTATTTTGCGGAGGGAATTAGTTCGTTGCCGGTTCTGTGGGCGGGTCAGGTCAGTCATATCCATGAGGGAACGTGGGCTTCAGGATGAGTGCAGCCATACATATCAAATGAGAACTTGTGTTTGGCTTCAAAGTCCGCGGGGGTCAATTCCCGGTCCATCTTCGCGTTGATGCGGGATACCGTAAACCGGATACCTGTCAACATGTTGTATGCGGTGACATAATTGACGTGGTTCTGGTCGACCTTGGTGCCCACGATGACTCGTTCATCGTCATCATCCTCGCGTCGTCGCCGTGATGCTCGCTTTTGTTTGATCGCTTCCGCCCACCGTGCGGCCTCCTCATCGGGTGGGGTATCATCCAAGGGTATATCCGACTGTGTTCGCGTGGCCCGTCGAATTAGACTGAATGACGTGCGGCGAGGTCCGGCAGATGTGGGCGAGAGTCGGCCACTAGCGTACGCAGTGTCTTCGCCTTGGTCTCGACTACTCCGCCGGCCACTGGGCGCTCTCGGAACTTGTAGCGAGTGTCGATGTCGCATGCTCGACTGCGGGGTGTCCTGCATGAGGGCGTTGTCGGCGGAAATGGGAGCAGGAGGGGAGGAGTAGCGGTGATGGCTGGGTTTCGGACCCGGGGACAATCGGTCCGGGTCGGGAGAGAGACGACCGGCGTCTTCGGAATTGGGGATCTGTAAGAGGGAGGTCGACGGGCTCGTCGCCCGATCCGACATGGCGGGTTCATCGGCGGAGGGGCGGTGGAAGTCGCCGTTGACCATCGCCTTCCCCTGGCCGGAGCGGTGGTTCCACGTCGTGCCTCCATTGACCTGTTGGCTCGTGATCGACGCTGTCGCGGAGCCTGCTCCCGGTCCAGCGTCCGACGACTTGCGATCCAGCATGGCCGGCCGGCCAGTGTCCCGAGGGTCCTTGGCCGAGCCATTGCCTAGCGAGTGCATGCTGCCGTCCTTGGAGTGCGGCAGGTCGCGCGTGTATGAGCCGATGCTGGACTGGGGGCCATTCAAAGAATATGCGCTGCCGTCCTTCAAATTGGTGATTACTGGGTGGTCATTCTGGTGGGTGTCGTGGTTGGCGTCGCCGTTGGGCCAGTTGGTCCACAGGAAAGCGTTTCCGACCGAACTTTTCTCGTGAGACTTGCGGTTCGGCGATTCGAACGAGCGCGGAGGATGGGTAGCTGTTGTGGTCACCGTGCCCGTCTGGTAGGATTCGCCGGAGAAGGAGGGCATAGTGGACTCGTCCCCGCGGTCTGAGTGCGTTGAGAGATTCCCAGGGAAACGGGGTGACGTGCGCTCTGCGTGGGCCGGCAACCCGACGTGACGGCAATGGCCCTGATAGGCGGAGGGGCAGAGAGATTGAGAACCGGAGCGCGTTCCAGTCGATCAGAACCAGAGGACGAGGAAGGAGAAGGGGAGGGGGAAGGGGAAGAGAGTGAGGTTGGACAAGGTGGTTCGGAGGATGACAGGGACTCCAGCCGAGTTGCGGCCAGCCAGGGCGTGGCAAGATAGAGGGTTTTCAGCGGATAAACATGTTCGGGTTCACGGGGGCTCGAGCGTTTCGGGGACGACCACTGAAAGAAACCGGCTATGCAATGAAAAGACGAGGGGGTTTAGATGGGGAAGTGATAATTAGGTTGAAAACGACAGAGGGGGGCGGAAGCAAACGTGGATCGAGGTGGTTGTCCGGGAGAGAAAAGACTGGGCCAAACGGGTGTCGTAATTACCACCAACTGGGAGACCGCTCCACTCGTCAGCTCGGCGTTCTGCTGTCTGCTGCACCGGAACACCCCAGGGTCCGGTCCGCGTTGACTATTTACTACACTCGGAAGAGACGTCCTAACTTCGGGTCCGGTATAGCGACTGCATTTCTGAGTTATCTACAGGGATCCACGACCATGGACGGCCCCCTCGCATTCCGAGAGTAGCATCCCGAGGCCTTCGATCACCTCCGTTCACGAGGGGCAAATGCGACCGCAACGAAAAGCCTGGACCTTGCACGGAGATCCGGTCGCCTACTCGTCGTTTTTATGCAGATGGCGCCATGAAGCAATGCGAGCGCATGGGGGCAATTGGGAGGGGATACCCCTCCGGGAGCATCTGCAAGGAGATCTCGGTGACGTCGTACGCACCCTCTGGAGAAGAGCAAAGCGCCAGAGGCGTGTACGAAATACGGAGTCCTATGAACGGAGTCTCTCCCACGCCTCGTCCAAGGTTCTGCCCTGAGGGGAAAGGAGTCCCCTCTCGGCGTGGCAGGGCAGCCGTCCCGGACCCAAAGAGTGGCGCAGCACGAGAGTTTCCCGTATGCCTAATTAACGACCCGTTAGTGAACCTCCCTAGATCGTTTGCGGATAGGCGTTAGTCTTGATTTTGCGATATTATAATATTATCTTCGTGCTTCTAGAAGATCATCGTCCCGGCCCCTGACTACACGCAACCTCCACTCTCCCGTTCCAAAAATAACACCTGCTGCCGTACAGCGATGAAATCATGTGATGGTTATAGGTAAGATCCATCGATGATTAACGTATGGAGCACCGAGGACGGTGGATCTACTGTACATAAGCCAGCGGTATGATGGTCATCAGAAGAACTGGCATGCTCTCGTATCCCGCGCGTGAAACCAAGGCGTATTGTATAGAAGTGAATATCATCCATACCTGGTCCCCAAGGCCGACTTCTCCTTGCATCCGGATAGTCACTGTCCATTCAAGTCCTCAATCGTGTATGTGGCCACGCCCTTCTTCCCAGTCAAAACCCTTAACCTGTCGAGACTGCTTCGCTCCGACGAGCAGTATCGACAAACAAATAGCTAGTCGATGGATCCCGACTGAGACTGGGGATTTCTTACGGGTCTCTCATGTTACAAACAAATCAAATTAAATTGAAAGGATCCAAAACCAAATCACCCACCAATGAGCATGCCAATACCCAAGATAAGACAGACCAGCGCACATTCTGTAGCACGCGAGGGAGTTGAATCCCAGCACCGGCGGTGATCGGCCCTCGCCTCGCGGCAGCAGGGACGGAGGCTCAATCGAATTGTGGAGTCTCCCGAGTCCAACCATCGAAGGCCTCAGGCTTCAAGCTTCTGGCTTCTGCATCCAAGGTCCATCTCCATCCCTCCCAGTAAACGCAAATCGACTGCACGGAAACAATGAAAAACGAAGGTCCACTTGGATTCATCTGGAGTACGAATGAACTATGGAACTATCACGCGAGGATCAGTACCGCACACCGAACACAGTATGGCGCTCACACTAGAACCTCCCGCCATCCAACTCGTCTCGCACCCTACAAAGCAACAAGGGATCGAAAGAGATTCCAATTCAAAGTCTCTCACAGGATCCGACAACCAGGAGACACAAAAAGGGAAAACACAGGACCAGAGCACACAGGGTCAAGGAAAACAGCGAGCAAGAAAAACAATTTCCCCGGACCAAACCCACCACGGACGCCATCCTTTCGACTTTGGAGTTAAAAGACAAAGCCCATCATAACGAAGATATTCCCAGAAAGAAAGAAAAAAAGCCAAAGCACGGCACGGCATGGCACAGCAAAACACAGCCAAACAAAAAGAAGAACCATCAGAGCTATCAGAGCCAACGAGCAAACCAGAGGGAAGCAGTTCCGAGCCACCAGATCAGATCAGATCAGATCAGATCAGATCAGGGTTCGAAAAGGAAAGAAAATACAGCGGAAGAGAAGGAAGGGAATCGAATCGCCCTCCCGGAAGAGCGCACGTGAGAATGGGAGGACAACATCGGGTCGAAGGACGCGATGTCAATCCCTCTATTTCTTGGTGGTCGCACGCTTCTTGGCGGCGGGCTTAGGCGCCGCTGTGGTCTTGGTGACCCGGCCAGACTTGGTCTTGCCGATGACCTTGGGTTGCTCAACGATAGCCGGAGCCTGAAGGGTGTTAGTGATCAAACGGGATGGGATCCAGACGGGGTGGTCTGGAGGTCGGCGAGGGTGCTACATACGACAGTGGCGGTCTTGGTCTTGCGGGCCTTACCAGAGTTGGCCTTGGGCTTGGTCGCCGTCTTCTTGGTGGTGCTGGTCTTCTTAGCAGCAGTGGTCTTGGGCGTCGCCTTGGGGGCGGCCTTCTTGGCAGCCGGCTTCTTGCTGGCGGGGGCCTTGGCGGCAGGCTTCTAGCAGAGTGGTGAGCCACGGGGCGACGAGGATCGATATGCACCGACTCGGGTTTACTTACCTTGGCAGGAGCGACCTTCTCCTTCTTCACAGCGGGCTTAGCGGCAGGCTTGGGGGCCGCCTCCTTCTTAGCCAGCTTCACGGGGCCAGAGGGGCCTACAAGACGCGTCAGCAAACGGTCATGAGATCAGAAGGCCGGCGAGGTGATCCCGCGCGCAATAGCAAGAGCCACCGCAACGACACAGGATGTCGGGGAGATTCAGAAAAGCAATGCGCGCAGGGAAATCAGGAGAATTAGAATGGAGCTTACCCTTGGGCTGAGTGAACTCGCCCTTCTCAACACCAGCCTTGATGGCCTTGTTGAACTGGGCATCGAAGGTCGCCTGCGACGCGACGTTGATCTTGTTGTTGGAAGACACATACTTCTTGATGGCCTGGCGGCTATAGCGGGGGGAAGTCTCGTTAGTACGGGGTGGCCAGTGGACAAACAACGCGCGCCCAGCACCCGGGTGGTGGGCGACCAGGACCGCGCGCCGACGAGATGTCGGGAACAACAACACCAAACACATACCTGGAACCATTGCGCTCTTTCAGCTATTCACAGAAAGGCCAGTTAGCAATGGAATTCAATACATCTAGGCCCTCCCCTGGAGGGGGGGGTGGCTGGTCGGGCCCCAAGACTGGACGTGTCCCGGTCGGGCGCGCGACCGGAAATCACAACAAGCCGGGCGGCGGCGATCCACTCACGTTGACAATGGCATCCTTGATCATATCTATATGAATAGAATCAGCCAGGATTCGCGACACGAGCGATGCCCTTCTTATTTTTACGCGATGGGGGGTGCACTCAGGATCAGGCAAAACATACCGCGGTAGGAGGCGTGCGCCGACGGGGCGGCCTTCTTGGTCACGCTGGTTGCTTTCTTGGGAGGCATGGTGAGATGAGGGGTGGTTGGTGTCTGTTGGAAGGAAGTGGCCGTGGGGAGCGTCTTGGAAGATAGAGACTAGAGAAAAAATCCGAAAAGTCGTGGGTGGGTGGTGGGAACAGAAAAGAGGAAGAAGAAGCAGCAAGCGGAAGGGGTGGGAAGAGCAGCGGGGCATCCGCGATTTATAGGCGGCTGGTGTTGACACAAGATCACCCCCGGCTCCTGGGCGAATTCGCACGGGTCGTTTTTCCTCTTGTGTCGTCTTCTATGCCCTGCTGGCTTGAGTCTTCTTTTTATCACTCATCCCTCTGTGCTATCTGTTTGATTATCTGCTGCGCCGTGCTGGCTCCCGCTCTTTTGCTGGACTATCGCTGGCGCTGCGCGTTTCAGCACCCTCTCTGGCGAAGGATTGGTGGACCGCGCGCATTCCCCCAGGCAGACAAGCGACACTCCATTCCCGCATCGAGTTGGACGACGAGTGTACAGTCTGTATCTCCCGTGCAAACGCGCCTCTTTCTACACGTCCCTCGGCACCCCCGGCGATGAGACACCGCGCACCCGTCCATCGGGGGAGGCGATTCCCTTCCCAGCAGTCGAACAAACCCGATGCCTAACACTCGATCCCATCATCCCCCCATCTGGCGCCAAGGGGCATCTCTTCTGCCCCTCTGGCGTACTCTGGCAAAGACACATTCCAATGGATCCGGAGAGGATCGACCCGCCTCCTTTCGTCTTCGCAGGACGGCCAGGCCGGGGTATGGAATCCAGATCTTCCTCCTGTCCGAACCCAGATTTCAGGATGATCGGCCACTGCTGGCTGTGGCTGCGAACAGTAACCAGGGCATAGTAAGCCCGTCCCAGTCCCCTGTAGCCCTCCCCAATATCCCTCGATAGCCCAGGTGCCCAACCATAGCAGTAGGTACTCCCTTTGTACCGTAGTTCCTCGCGCTACGGGAGTTGACCAGTGGTCTTATCGCGATATAGTTCGGACAGCGCAGACCCGTTGTCCGCCCTCCGCTCGGAAGCTCCTTGCTTGCGGTGCCTTGAGGACCTGCAGCGGTCACGAGGCATGTCATGCACGAGAGCCGGGGCGGTCCATGGTACGGTGACTCGATGATGTCGTGACTTGGGGGGGGCGGGGGCTCGTAGGGTTGTCATATTAGTCTGGTTGGCTGGTTGGCTGGTTGGCTGCTGGCTCCTCCGTGCTCGTGGACCTGCCAGCCCTAACTGCCTGGCTGGCTGCCTCTTTTACCGCTCGCGGTTGCTACCCCGTGATCCTCGTCAACCCTGATCTACAATGCTCCCACCACATTTAAACTATATGATAGTATGAGGATAGCTTGATAAACACAGGGCATATAAATCGTATGATCTCCACTATTCCTCTATAGGTTATCTATTACGTGGATGGGTAGAGCTGTCACTTGGAAGGGTGGCAAACGGGGCAGCACCCTTGAGGGGTAACCGATATATATCTTGCCCGTCACCAACCCACCCTCCAGCCGGCCTTCTCAAACAAACTGATTAACCCCTACTAGCCAACAAATCAAGGCTCAACGTGTGATTTCCATGATTCTCCACTGATCGCTGAGCAGCCTGACTCCCCGCACATCCACGGCGTGCACCGGGTCAGCCGTTGATCGGGGGCCGCCCCAGGTCTCCCGGGCTTCCCGTCAACCACTACCCAGCCATCAACCCCTTCAACCCCTACAAGTAATTTACAGATACACCTCTCCATACCATGGTAATCCCATGTCTCGATACTCTACGTACGGCAAGCTTATTTGGCCTGAAATCAGCCCGTGAGCACATGGTGATGGAGGGATCACGATGCCCGATCGGACTCGTCTGCCGCATCGAATCAAAGGACGCGGTAGACCAACCACTGATCCCCTGCCACACAATGCTCTTCGGCGCTTCTCCAATAGATCAAGGGTTGCCTACCATGGACTACGATGCATGTACGTTGGAATTTGAACCTGGATAATACCCATTGTTGAGATCACTGGCCCTTGGCTCGCGGATCACTCCGGGCCCCGTCTCGCTTAATCCGGAGTCGATCTATACAACCGCATCACATTTGACCCCACCCTAACCACCGCCACACAGCCTGTCGGTTGGCAAATGACAAGGTGAATGGATGGGTGATAGTTGAAAGGACCATATACAGTCATAGTGGAAAAAGCCCAGGGCCCAGGGACGTAAGGATCAGCCGGAAGGCATCCGGGTCCTCGTACCGCGCCGAGCACATGATCTTCTGATCCTACGCCGAAAACGACCAAGAGGCCCCTGGAATCAAGATGGACGAATGAGAAATAGCACTCCCCATCTGCTCATCTGGTAATCATTTCATTTTTGGGCTGGTATGATATGTTAAGACTCCATGCTATGGGCCGGGTGGCCAGGGCAAATCCGGGGGCCCACCCCCGATCCGAGATCAGACAAGGCGCACCACGGCAAAAGAAACAGAGAACCGTAAAACGCCAACGCCCATTGCGAAATCAAGAAAAAGAGATCGTGTTCGCTCAAAAAATGGCCAGAAGAAACCTCATACGACTACGGGGCTCCATTGAATATCGCCGAAGATAGTGACAAGCGCGATCCCGGGTCGCCGAGCATACCCGGGGTCCGCACTAGTTCGCACCACGCGGCTTCGACTTGGCCTCCTTCTTGGCCTTGGCCTCGTCCTTCTTGCGCTTCTTCTGGTCCTGCAGCTTCTCATCGTGCTTGCGCTTGAGGCTGGCCTTCTCCTCGTCCGTGCGCGCAACCGGTTTGAAGAAGCCCTCCAGCCTCGACTGCTGCGCGCTCTTCAGGTTCTTCTGCAGGCGCGCCGCGCCGTTGCGCACCCGGTCCTCGTTGAAGCCCTTGTCCGTGACCAGGAACTCCACCAGGGCCTCCACGTCGGGCGCCTCCCACTTGAAGTCACAGTCGGGGTGGTTGGCATCGCGGACGTCGGGGTGGGCGAACAGCTCGCGCGCGTCCTGGTAGGGCCAGTCGTCGGGGATCACATATTTCTTTTTCGGGTCGTTCTGCATGAACTCGGTCACCTTTTCCAGGCTGCCGTGTTCGCGGATCAAGGCGAGCGCTGTGTGGGGGCCCACCTTGGGGATGGGCTCAAGGTAGTCGCAGCCAAGGAGGATGCAGAGATCGATGAACTAGATCGACCATTGTGGCACGGTCAGCACTGGTAAAAGGGGTCCTGGAAAGGAGGCACAAAGTCCAGGTAAAGCGATAAAGCTTACCTGCGCGCGATCCATGTTCAGCCCCTCCATCGCCCGGCTCAAGTGAATCTCCTGAATCGGCTCCTTCCGCTGCTCGCTGAACGTCAAGTGGCGCAGCAGAATCGGCGTCTCAAAGCACAAGGTATCCATATCCTCCGACGCAGCGGCGTAGACCTTCCCCGCACGTGCCAGCACAGCGCACTGCGCCTCCGCCTCAGTCGGCGCATCAATGTAGGGAATGCCCATCAGCTTGAGCAGCTGCTTGCACTCGGCGTTGTGCTCGCGCGTCACCCGCACCGTCCGCCGCGAGAACTTCTCGACCTCTTCCGCGGTACCGGTCTCCTTAGCCTCCTCATGCGCTTCGGTCGCCTCGGCCTTGCGCGCACCTCGCTTGGCTAGCTCGCCGGACTTCAGCTTGGGCGGGGCGCCGTCGAAGACGTACAGAGGCTTGATGCCGTTGTCGACCATGCGCAGCGTCCGGTAGAACATACCCATCAAGTGCGAGGTTGTTTCGCCGGTGTCGCTCATTAGCTGCTGGCCTTCGGATCGTACCGCAATCAGGAAACTGTAGATGCTCATGGAACTGTGCTGGGTTAGCGCAGCTTGGCTGGCGGGCGACCCCCGTCATGCTGAAGATAGAGGACATACGCATCCTATAACCCAAATATGGATGCGGTCAGCAATTGAGAGTTGTGAGGTATAATGCAGTGCTTGGAGGTTTGACTCACAATGGCGACCTTGCGGCCGAAGTGGTTCTTGATCTCTCCCGTCTTGATCGCATCGGGAGCATTTTCGGAGATCACTTGGTAGAGGTCTAATGACCTGTTAGCAGCTGTCCAAAAACTTGGGAGCCCACAGCATCAACTAACTTTTGATACCCATGTTGGCGGGTGGTTTGGCGAATGCCCGTCACAAAAGAGTGTGGCAGCGGGATGTCGTTTTCAAGCTGCCGGAGCTTCCCACCGCGAGAGTAACGCGCCGAAAGAGCAAGACACGCGCCGCATCATTTAAACCGGATACAGACTAGCGTCAATACCACATGACCATACGACGAGCAGTGTGGATCCCCACGTGACCGGAGCCGGTCCAGACCCATACATGCCTCAGGCCACAAACGTATCGGTCGAGAACCGGAGGCAGTCCCAACCCCGCCTTTCTGCTTTTCCCCGGAGTCTGTCTTGTGGGAGGAGGTGCAACTGTCCAGCATGAAGCGGAATCGCATCCATTTCGAGGCCAATGGCGATGCCTCGTCCGCCTCGCCCCAAGGCGGGTTTACCCCGGAGGACCAGCGGCAGGCGCAGCATATCCCGAAGATCTCGCGGAGGATACGCGCATGCACGGAATGTAAGCGACACAAGGTCCGGTGTGATATGAAGACAGGTGAGTCGGTATGCTCGCGGTGTCGGCGCATGGACCTGGAGTGCGTTGTCAACAAGAGCCTCCAGACGCTGCTGGAGGATGAGGCCGAGTGAGTGCGCCCGAACATCCCATCTCCCCGCGGGGAGGGGTACGTGCGATGCGCAGCGACGGATAGCTAACACATTCGCTTGGCGCGCTGGTAGCTGGAAAACCATGATAGAGCTGGCAATGACCGACCTGCTTAGGAAGTCGCAGCTCCCGGAGCTATCGTACTACCAGGCTGGCGGCGGATCGATCGAGACGCCTTCGAAGAAACGGGGTCGGAAAGATTCGACAATTTCGGTGGATGAAGTTGGCCATGTCTTGGGACACCACAGCGAGAACAACTCGGCGGATACCACTGCAGGCAGAGCAACGGGATCTAGCTCGTCCAATTACGCCTTCTCTCAACAACAACCGCAATATAACATAGATCGCGAGGAGACGAGTGCGACATCGCTGGTGACGGCTCCTATGGGGAGTTTGTACGAGGTAACGCAGCTTAGTGAAAACCGGGAAAACTCACCAAGCGAGAAGTATGCGCCTGATCAAGCCCTGGTGACGGATTTCATCTCGCGCGGCGTGGTCGATCTGCAGGAGGCAGAGGAGTTGTTCTATCATTTCGATCAAGTGCTCAACCGATACCTCTGGGATGGGGCACTGTTGGCACATAAGGATTTGACATCTGCTCGACGATCATCATCAATGTTGTCTGCTGCAATTCTGGCCGTGACGGCGCTCCATATGCCTTCCAAGGAGCGCACATTCGACACCTGCTACACGGAGTTTGCAAAATTGGCGTCTGAATCAATGCTCGGACATCACCATACCATGGACGACATTCGCGCACTCTGTATTGGGGCATTCTGGCTCGCAGATGTGAGCTGGAAACTCTCTGGATATGCTGTTCGTATTGCAACCGAGCGCAATCTGCACCAGTTTTTCCGCAAAGCTGTGCAGGGCTCTCCCGAGCACCTGGAACAAGCCAGACTATGGTATCTTCTATATGTATGTTGCTTCTATATTTTCGCATCCCGTTTCTTCAATTTGGCTAATTATTTCAAGACCCTCGAACACCACTTCTCGATTGCATACGGCCGACCCCCCATCATCCACGAAGATCCAGCGATCACCCAACACAATGTCTTCACACAGTCACCCACAATATCCCAAGGAGACCTGAGATTGCACAGTCAGGTCGACCTATTCATCATATTGACCCGAATATATTTCGCATTTGGCCCCGATGTGGATCTCGAGGTTCCCGAGAGCGAATTTCCGAAGATCGACCAATTTGACCAGGATTTGGGAGATTGGAAATCGGGCTGGCTGCCTCGACTTGGTGAGATAGTCTGTCTGGCTTTGGGCGGATCCTGCACTTGCTAACATCAATATCAGCTGGGAGCCGACACGTCGGTGCATACCCCTATAAAGCCGTCTACATGCACTACCACTTCTCTCGCCTGCAGCTGAACTCAGTCGCTCTTCGAACATATCACTCTTCTACCTCCTCCAAGGCTATGTCGCCCGAGCGCAGAAAGCGTGCTAATATAGCGATTCAAGCATCGATTGCCACTCTCCAGGTGGTCTTAGATGAGCGAGACATTCAGCGCGCCCTGGTCGGCGTGCCACTGTACCTCCACAGTATGATCACTTTCGCGGCAGTATTCCTACTGAAAATAGCCGCCAAAACATGCTCCAACGGATCGAACCGGGGAGAACGGCGCCAGAACAGCTCTATCTCCTCAGCGGGCTTGATCATTGATATTCCCTACGTGCGAGTCTTGGTCGGGCGCATCGTCGAGGTGATGGTATCCTGCAGCCAGCGGGCAAGCGAGCGACACCTCAGCCACCATATTGCTCGTGGTCTGCGGAACATGCTCACTGGCCTGGAAGAGTGGGAGAAACGTAATAGCACGCAGCAGTCTGTCAAGCCGACCCCCCAGCCGGAGAGACCCTCGTTGTTCAAACCGGTCATCATTCCTGGAGCTCAGATCCTAGGCGAGCGGGATACCATCCTGAACCATCCACCACCGCTATTGGGCGTAGCACCGCTGTCTGCCGAACGAAGCAATGGATTCGACCCGAGTGCTGCAATGGGTAAGCAGGAGCCGGGCCTTTCAGAGGGCTCAATGGATCCCATGATGGCGGATCTGTGGGGATTTGACGAGGAGTATTTCCCCACGGGCGTGTTTGATTTCCTTCAAAGTCAGATGCCGGCGTAACGGAGCGCTGTGTAGTTTTATTCTGGCACTGTTTCCTATTTGGATGATAATATTCATCTACCCCCTTGTACATAGTAATTACGATCGATGTCGGACGACCACTGTTGTTTAGCAAGTAACATAGCCGAATAAAAGCCCTAGGAAAACCGAATAGAGCTCTCAGTCCCACTCGTATCTCCCGGCGCATATACCTACCCTTACGTCTGCCGAACCAGGCTCCGAGCAGTGCACAGCACAAGGGCCGAGAAAGTCCGAACCGGCGCCAGACGGCGAAGCAGGATATGCCAAACCCGGGCAATTGATTGATTCGCCTAGCGTAATCAGTTCCCCACCACGATTGGACTCGGCGCGAATGCCCTAGTCACCTCCGCATTGCATTGTGCTCGGTGATTTGCGATCCCCAGAATTGCCGAGGTTCTCCGACCACTAGCGCATATTTGATTGAGCTCCCCCGCAACAAGCGACTGAGAACATTGCTTTAGACAACCTCTCCGCTCTCACTTGTTCATTTTGTTTGCGTTTGAGACCTTGCTCTTGCGGAAATGATGAATCGCACTCTTTTGCGCGCCACAGCGCGCTCACTCCAGGCTGGTCGCCCCGTCGCTGATCGCCGGTATGCTTCATCTGCGGTGTTCAACTGGGAGGATCCCCTCGCCGCGGAGGAATTATATACGGCGGAGGAGCTGGCTATTCAGGATACCGCGCGGCAGTACTGTCAGGATCGGCTGATGCCGCGTATTCTCGGTGCGTTTTTGATTGGCTGTGTTACCGTGATCGTTGGCAATTGGAACTAATCGGACCTGGAAACACACAGAGGCCTACCGCAACGAAGACTACGATCGCAAGATTCTGGAGGAGATGGGCGAACTGGGCCTCCTGGGCGCCTCAATCGAGGGATACGAGTGTGCGGGCGTGAGCACTGTGGCCTCGGGCCTGATCACCAAGGAGGTCGAGCGGGTGGACTCCGGATACCGATCGGGCATGTCGGTTCAGAGCTCATTGGCTATGACTGGCATCTACGAGTTTGGCACAGAAGAGCAGAAGCAGCGGTTCCTCCCTGGCCTGGCAAAGGGCAAGCTGGCCGGTTGCTTCGGTCTGACCGAGCCGAATCACGGCTCGGACCCTGGCTCCATGGAGACCGTCGCGCGCGAGCATCCAACACAGAAGGGCACGTACTTACTGACCGGCAGCAAGACATGGATTACCAACTCGCCCATCGCGGATCTGGCGCTGGTCTGGGCCAAGCTCGAGACCACAGGCAAGATCAAGGGTTTTATCGTTGAGCGCTCGCGCTGCCCGCCCGGCACCTTCGAGACCCCCGCCATCAAGAATAAGAGCGCCCTGCGTGCGTCCATCACCGGCATGATTCATATGGACGACTGCCCTGTTCCTGCGGAGAACATGTTCCCCGACGTTGAGGGCCTGACGGGCCCGTTCACCTGCCTGAACAGCGCCCGTCTGGGCATTGCCTTTGGTAGCATGGGTGCCCTAGAGGACTGTCTTGCCCGTACCCGCGAGTACAGCCTTGAGCGCAAGCAGTTCAAGGGCAACCCATTGGCTAAGTACCAGCTCGTCCAGAAGAAGCTGGCTGACGCGGCGACGGATGCTGCTTACGGCATGCTGGCTGCAGTCCAAGTGGCTCGCCTCAAGGACGCGGGCAAGGCCACGCCGGAAATGATCTCCATGATCAAGCGTCAGAACTGCGATCGGGCTCTGGCCAACTCACGGATGTACGTTTTCTTTTCTTTTTTTTCTTTTTTCTTTCCGGCTTTTTTCTGCCTAGCTATCGTGGCTATCTTCGGTTTGCCTGATCCATACCACGAGGTACTAACTTTCTTGTGCCTGATAGTCTCCAAGAAGTGTTTGGTGGCAATGCTGCCAGCGACGAGTACCATATCGGTCGCCATGTGGCCAACCTGTTTGTGGTGCAGACTTACGAGGGCCAGAGCGATATTCACGGTGAGTGTCAGGTTCCTTGCATGCCCAATTTTGAGGTTAGCTTTTGGGCCGACAGCTGATCATTCTTGCTTTTTTTGACAGCCCTGATTCTGGGTCGAGCTATCACCGGCAAGCAGGCATTTGTCTGAAGTGATATTGGATATATTGTATTACCTATCGCATTTCCCCTGTACCCAGGGATATAAATTTGTATAGCATCTTTCCCGTCATGGGAGAAACCGGAGCGCGGTTTCCTTCCCCATCGGGACAAGTCTAGCGCCTCACCCGCACGTGACATCATCGAGGGCGCTAAAATCAGAAATGAGACATCAGCATAGAACACAGAAGAAACCATGATGAACCAAATATCAATAAGCTCTTGGTAAAAATGAGTTTGCTCTGAAGGAGGCGTAGAATACCTTTTGTACAAGGCCGAATACGGTCCGATGTGCCTAATCGCGGCTACCCTACGAGGGTCCTCGCAAAAATACGCAAGGCGGTATGTGTCATGGTGTGGCGCGTATTGGTAATACCCGTCAGACACTCGCCCGCCCACTTTCCCCCTCTTTCTTCTTCTTTCTCTTCTTCTTTTCCACACAAAGACGTAACCGTACGTGGAAACGCCCTGGTGACTGACCAGATACCCCCTCGCTGACATTCATCCTCCGCTTCAGCCTTCCACTTCCTTTCCTCTCTCACACCACCTCACCGTCGACATGGCTCTTAAGCGCATTAACAAGGAACTCACTGATCTTGGCCGGTAAGGATCTGCCTACCCCTCGACTATGCTCACCACCACCAGAGAGAGACCTGAGACTGACCCTTCTTCGTTTCACAGGGATCCCCCGTCCTCCTGCTCCGCGGGCCCCGTTGGAGATGATTTGGTATGATATCCTCTTTTTCTTTCCCTCGTTGTTGACGGTCGCTTGGAGTGCGGCCTTATCGTGCCGCGGGGCTGGAACACCCAACCCCCAACGCAGATCGTTGGATCGGTCGTGGGATGAGATGAATGCGACGAATATCTACTGACATGCGCCTTTTCCTTCTACAGTTCCACTGGCAAGCAACTATCATGGGTCCTGTAAGTCGATTCTTTCATACATTGAAGTGGCGGGCTGTGGAGGGGCGATGCCCCTCCACGATACGGAACGCCGGACCACGATTTGCGACAGTCTTGCTGACGCCTTATGCTCTAGGGTGACTCGCCATACTCCGGAGGCGTCTTCTTCCTCACCATCCACTTCCCCACCGACTACCCGTTCAAGCCGCCCAAGGTCAACTTCACCACCCGCATCTACCACCCCAACATCAACTCCAACGGCAGCATCTGTCTGGACATCCTGAGGGATCAATGGAGCCCTGCTCTCACTATCTCTAAAGGTGCGTCAAACAAGCTAACCCCCGGGCAATCTGCATTCTGCTATCAGGCAGCGATCAGATCACGTTGCTAATTGTATTTCTCTAGTTCTGCTCTCGATCTGCTCGATGCTCACAGACCCCAACCCGGATGACCCTCTGGTGCCCGAGATCGCGCACGTCTACAAGACGGACCGCCCGCGGTACGAGGCTACGGCTCGCGAGTGGACACGCAAGTACGCTATCTGATCGGCAATTTCTCAACAAACCTGCCCTCCTCCTTCCTTCCGCCCGAACATGACTCGGTCTACCTCCGTCGTCTCTGCATCTTCTTTGCTTTATTCCGTTAGATTCAGATCCGCGAAGCCTGGCGTACCGTGGTCGTAGAAACTTGTGATGTTCCAATTCGTCTTCGTCGTTTTCTTCGTCTTCGCCGTTTTCTTCGTCTTCGCTGCTTTTGTTTCATGTGTGATGCAAATCGCTTTGCTCCGTTTAAACCCATCTCTGCGTGTCTCTATCTGTGTGTGTTAGTTAACTGGGACATGGCATATTCCAACGATCATTATGACCAAAATCCTCATGCATATGGCATCTTTTATTTTTCTCGAGAGAGTTCTGGGGGTTCGTTGCTCCTTCCATGAGGCTTGTTCCTGATTTCGTCTTTTGGTTTCGTTTCTTTCAGAAAGAAGAAAAAAGGAGCAAAAAAGCATGAAAAAGACCATGTCCCTAACAAGCTGGGGTCCTGTGTCTAATGGAAATCTTGTTTTCGCGCGAATCCTCTTTGAAAGTCTCGCTTTCTTGCTCGTCGGAACACAACGGTGGAACGCTTTGGCGGAATGGGATTGAATCGATGGAGTGATGATAATGATGATCTGGAGAGCTTCGGTGGGGGCTTGGGCCTAGTGCATGCTCGTGCTGGGTTAGGCTGGCAGAGGGGGGATGTTACGATTTTCTTTCTTGTCGTCGATAGCACAATCCAGGCCGGCCCGTCTCTGTGTTGATTGTCTCGTTTGTAGACTGCATCGTAGTTTATACTTCATACTGCCGGGAGAGTAGATAGACGTCCGTCCTCCTGTCTGTGCATCTATGAGCTGAACGCGTTAAAGATAGCATCTTTCGGCTGTTCGCAGCCAACCTTCATTTCATGTACGTTCATATCGACTTGGGAGGAATGCCCAAACTATTCGACCAGCAATACCCGACTCCAGCGTGTTCTGTGCAATCACAACTTCTCGCCATCAACCTGAAGCTATTCGGAAATCTCCCGCGTATAATTTCAACAGGTCTTGCGTCAGCCATTGCGGATCCCCCAGCGTACGCAGATAGTCCAGACCCATAACCTATTCCTAGAATAGCTCATACGCTTCTAGAGCCGATAGACCTGCTTTTCCAACACCGGTCCGTCCTATTGATTTCTTGCACCATACTTCCTTGCCGGCATTCCTGCTCCATGAGCTAAAAAGTCGGCCAGTATAGGAATGAGTACTAGGGATGAATGCTTCTGAAGTATGTTTGCGACAGCATACTTGTCACAGTGGGCAAATTCTCCTGGTAGTATCATTGATATCTATGTCATGATGTAGACAGTCCTTTCCGATGGGTGAAAAAGCAGATTGATAATAGCGTTCGCGATGCGAAAGAACACAGCCGACGAGGGACTAAAGTGCTGTTGTTCGCGCCTGCAGTACTAAGACAGTTAGGCCATTTTCTCACTAAATCCAAGCCGGAATTTGTATCCACAGCAGTAGAGCTCTCGCCATCGGCTGAAGCAGCCCCAGGGTGTGTACCATGAGTACCTGGGGTCTCTTGGCGACCAAAGAACGTATGCCTTACTGATACTTGTGTAACAAGGCCTCTAGATATGCCACACGAGCTTCAGTTCTCTGTATGGAATCCTTAAGCCTGTGGCGACCTGTGGCTCGGGTGTTTGACAAGATTTTCTAAGATGATAAGTCAGTCAGGCGGCCATCTTTTGATAGGAGAGATGTTTAGAACCTCGATCTGTGGATGTAGGGCCGATTGAGCAGAGGAACAGATGATAAACAGATGATAGTGACCTTCAGCTTGCGTTGCTTGCAGTGGGCGCAGGCTAGTAGAGTCCGCTCACCGACCCGAGAGTGTTTCGCCAAATGGCCTTTATTGCCATATAACTCTCACTGGTTTATGCATATGTACAGGAGATATGTGACGGATGAAGTGTAGTTGATGTGGAGCGCGGGGAGAATCTCGGCCTCGGCGGCCTTATCAACGACGCTAAAAGCTAGTCGGATCCTGCCTAGATAATGCCTAAAGGAGGTTTAAAATTTATTTGGAGACCTACAAATCTTCAATACAATTTTAAAACTGAAAATCTGCTTTCTTGTCCTAGATAGACAAGACTGGTGGAAAAGATAAAGGTTGATACACTGGCTGGGGATCGTTCTTGAACCTCTTGTGATGTTAGACCTTCTAAATCTCTTGAGTAATATAGTGCACTACTTGTCTCTACGTTTCTCTCTCTAAGTATAGAGATAGAGGGTGAAGATCTTTGAAATTGATGCAGGAAATGGCCACCTGCTGACGCGCAAACGGCTCGTTATGCGATCGCTACTTCCCGTTCGGGCTCATATAATTCTGATTTGTAATCCGCCACTCTCATTAACATCTATTTGCTCATCTCATCGATTGCTGCTAGGGAGGCTATTTCTCTGCACACAGATTTTGCATCGTGCCTGTGATATTTCCTGCGCGGGAGTTCAGAATTTCCAGGGAAAAGTACACGCACGTCTTGATTAAAGACAACGCCGGTCAAACTCGAACACCGTTTCATCTCAATGACTGGACACAATGAGCTCGATTTGGGTAAGAAGAAGAAGCATAAAGGTGCTGTGGCTTCGTGCCTCCGTTGATATTTTTTTTTTAAAGGGGACCAATTTCATTTCATGTTCGTCCAACATCCAGATGACCGTAGAGCGAGGCGCCTGGCCCGATCGCATGCCGTTGCGCGGGGCCTTGAGAACAAACGAAAGCTTCAGCGAAAATCGGGCCATAACTTTCACGAAGCGTCTGTGAAGAATGGTCCTGGCCGACCCACGAGTAGAAGACAACGAGGCCAAACTCGGATCATGCCACCATGCCCCCTCTCCACAGTTGCACCCGGTCCGTTCCAACTACTTGCTCCAGAGTCGCCAAGACTGCAGGCATTTTTTAATAGGCGTAAGCTCTGCTCAAGTGCTCAGATTCACCAGGCGAAGGCTTACGTGAAGCGACTCAGAAATGTCCCAAGAGGCCGCGGAGCCGATCTTTAGCGTTTTCGACGAACTGGTGCTTCAGAACTTTCGCTCGATTCTGCGAGAAAGACTAGATGACCACGCTCTTCTGAGTGCCGTCATGCTTACATTTTCATTTGCATCAGCAGCCGGTAGCATCAACAGGGAGTGCCTCGAGTATCAGGGAGAGGCTTTGACGTCCATTCGTCAAAGGATGAGTTCTCCGGATAGAGCTACTATGGAATCCACACTAGGGGCAATTCTGCTCCTCGCCGGTATAGAGGTCTGTATTGTGGTCAGATTTGGCAGACGTGCAACAGCCAAGAACTAACCTTCTAATGGTATAGGCTCGGCTTGGAATGCCACGTCAGGTCCAACTTCACATGGGCGCAATACAGCAGCTTCTTGACGTATGTGGCAGAAAAGGTGTATATTTGAGTGACGGTATCAAGCGTGCCATCTTCTGGTGAGTAGCCATGCAGCACTATTTGGAAACTCATTCTAACATCTGTCAAACAGGTCAGACCTGAATTCTTCGGTCATGACCGGGTCGAGTCGGATTGTTGATCATAAAACCTTTGCCGAGCTTCAGTGGAGAAGAGATCCTCTCTCCCCAGATTTCTTCATCCTACCACCTGGCTTTCAAGCCCAGGCACATTTTCTGGGTGAAGATTTTGCTGAGGTCCTCAAAGACGTCTTTGCATTGCAATGTATCCGAGACTCTGCCCTCTTCGGCAGGGAGGATGTAATCTCGATGGCACACATTGATAACCACCAAGCATCTATCCAGTCGAAGCTGGTGAGCTTACCAAATCATTCGAGTATCTCTGAATGTTGCCAGCTAGCGGCATATTTATGCTCAACTATGCTGCGCTGCAAACTTTGGCGTACTTCAACTATTCCCGTAAGTCGAGCTCATTGTGTTTTCGATCACACCTAGGCAGCGCTGAGTTTGAATGTCATCAGTCCCATATCTCCTTGCAGTTACTCTGCAAACTACAACAAGCAGCTGACGATATCATATGGGACGATGTGCCTGATTTACTAGTTTGGCTTTTGCACATCGGCGGGGCTTTTGCTCCTACAGGATCTATACGATCAGGTTACGTGAGCCTATTACATTCGAACCGCTGCAACCGGCTCAGAAAGCTGTACACATCATGGCCAGAATTGCGTGAGATCCTCGAGCAATTCATTTGGTCAGAAAAGGCATTCATGTCCCAGGTGACGGCATTCTGGGAAGAAAGTTCCGTCTAGACTATTTCCAAGCAGATATGCCAGAGTCTGACAAAAAGAGTTTGCTCAGGGCAAGAAGATTTTTCGCTTCAGAAAGCCCCACAATTTTCCATTAATTTGGCAGTCCCGCTGTGGTACATTTTGTAATGTGACATTCATATGCTTTTTGTCCTGCTTAATTACCATCAAGAGAAAGATAGCTGGAATGGATAATATGCCATGACTGCTTGTAAAATCGACGCCGACCATTAGACATACGGATAGATTATAAACCCATTGTATGCCAGGAACGATAGCAGTGGTCAAGTATCTGTTTAATGCTACTTGTTAATAGTCACCTGAACTCCGTGCCTCTCTATTTGTAATCGGCCGCTCACTGCGCCTGTGTCCCCACTGAGCTCATCTAGATGAAATATCATTGGCCAGACGCGCAGAGCTATACCTTAATTGGAAGTATCTTTATTCCTCCTCGGGAAGTATCTCTTTCCCCTAATTGTATAGAGAAATTTATCTCAATAATCCGATAAATAGAGTGAGATTTCCGTTGAATGACACGTATAAATACTTGGTTTTTCCCGAAGTCAAAGCATCGAGATTATCATACGTCTGCTCTTCTCAAGAACAAGCAATACAAGAATTTTGACCATGCCTCAGTCACGCCTTTTCAAACCCCTTAAGATAGGCGATGTGAATGTTGAGCACCGCATCGGAATGGCTCCACTCACTCGCTTTCGAGCAACCGAGGACCGAGTACCGACACCCTTGATGAAGGAATACTACGGCCAACGGGCCGCTGTGCCCGGTACCCTGATCATCACCGAGGGAACCTTCATTTCGGCAACCTGTGGCGGCTTCCCCCACGCACCAGGACTTTGGCGCAGTGACCAGATCGCTGCTTGGACAACAATTACCGATGAAGTCCATAGCAAAGGTTGCTTTATATTCTGTCAGCTATTCGCAATGGGCCGTGCAGCCGACGTCGAAGTAGCTCGAAAGGAGGGTTGCGCCATAGTCGCACCAAGTGCCATTCCGATGGAAGAAGGCGCCGCAGTACCCAACCCTATGACCATCGAGGAAATTGAGCAGTTGGTTCAGGACTTCGTCGCAGCTTCGAAGAACGCCATTCAGGCGGGATTTGACGGCGTCGAGATTCACGGTGCAAATGGTTATCTCCTCGACCAGTTCATTCAAGATGTCAGCAACAAACGCCACGACGAGTACGGTGGTAGTGTGGAGAACAGATCTCGTCTTCTCAACGATGTTGTCGAGTCTGTCGCTAATGCCATCGGTCCTAAACGCGTCGGGCTTCGCCTGAGTCCCTGGAGTACATTTCAGGGCATGAGAATGGAGAATCCGATCCCACAGTTTACGGATGTTATCAAAAAGGCCGGCAAGTCAGATATCGCATATCTCCACCTCATAGAGTCACGGATTTCCGGCGCCATGGACTACGATTCCCATGACCAACTCGATTTCGCATACAATATCTGGAATGGACCTCTCCTTGTTGCGGGAGGGTACACACCGCAGGAGGCACAAAAGCTCGTGGATGAGCGTTATCCGGACAAGAATATCGTAATTATTTTTGGCCGGTTTTTCATTTCAAATCCGGATCTTATATATAGAATGAGGGAGGGACTGGAGCTCAATGCGTACAATAGGGAAACCTTTTATGCCTTTCAGTCAGCGGTGGGCTATTTGGATTACCCATTTAGCAAGGAGTATCTGGGAAACGGGCAGGCAATATCTCATTAGTCTGAATTTGGAGACATATAAATCAAAGCAGAGTCTGTAAGCTAGAGAGTCCTCCCACCTAAAATGACACTTTGGACGAGTGGGACTTAACGTATCGCTTTGTGCTAGATGTTCAATTCTACAGAGAAACGAGTCAAACTTAGGACCCAATGACCGTTCTAAGCAAATTGATCAGCTCTGCAGAATCGAGAAACTGGGTATGAGATGGGGTAACCAAAATATCTAGTAGTTACTCGACAATTCATCCCTAATATAGGTTTGACGCTCTTGGCGAGTCTGAGGTACGATCCTCGCAACCACGGGGGTATTTCGCCCTTTTATATGCTCCATGCCGTTGATGAGTGAATAATACTCGCCAAACGATAATGAAGTCTTGCGATTGCCAGTTTTATCATCATACTCTATCTCTGCTATTTTGTCACGATTAGGATGTCCCTCCATCGGGCAACTCGGCGTGTCGGAAGAACCCGAGGTGCGGGGCACAGCAGCGACTTGATAAGGGCCCCAAGAACATCTCCATCGTCATCTTCTTCTTCATACGTGTCTTTGTCCTGCAGGCCAATTATTTTCATCCTTCTCTCATTGTCTGCTTGTGCATGAATCAAGCAAGTCGTCTTGCCCCTCCAAGCAGATCTGATCTCCTACCCGATGCCTGCAACAGCGAAGCCGAGGGTCGTCGCCTTGGGAGACCCCAGGTATGTTGGCGCGGAGTACTTGGCCGACTTCCAGAAAGAGTTTGACTACTCTGTGCTACCTGCCACAAACCGTACCGAGACCCAACAGATGCTACCGGATGATATCGCCGCCAATGGACCTATTGACGCTTTTATCATCCGTATGGGCACCCCGCCGTATGAACCGTTTGATGAGGGGCTGCTCAAAGCCCTGGTACCAGACTGTAAGATCATAGTGTCGGCCAGCGCAGGATTCAATGAATTCGATGTGCAATGGATGGCCGACGAGGGCATCTGGTTCTGTAATACAGTTAACGCGGTGGCCGAGGCCACAGCTGACATGGCGTTATTCTTGATCCTTGCTGTACTAAGAAATACCACCAACGCTGAAAAGAGTGCCCGCGATGGAACATGGAGGGCAGCAGGTCTTGTTCCTGCACGCGACCCATCTGGATTGACGTTGGGTATTGTTGGCATGGGGGCGATTGGAAAAGTGAGTGACTGCCTAATATCCTTCAACTAGATGAAACCCCATGCTAATTATCTCTACAGTATATCGCAAAGAAAGCCGCTTGTTTCAATATGGAGATCAAATATCACAACCGGAATCAACTACCCGCCGATGAAGAAGTCAAGTACGGTGCTACATACTGTGAAACCCTGCACGAGCTACTAGCGTCGAGCGACGTAGTCTCAATCAGCTGTCCTCTCAACGCAAACACCACAAACCTCATAAGCGAAGCAGAATTTGCCGTCATGAAAGACGGAGTTTTCTTGATCAACACAGCCCGTGGTGCTGTCATCGATGAAAACGCCCTCATTGCGGCCTTAGAAAGCGGCAAGGTTGCGCGTGCTGGTCTGGATGTCTTTGTGAATGAGCCAAGACCGGACCCATACTTCTTGCAGAGTGATAAGGTTATTATACAGCCTCATTTGGGAGGGTTGACAGATGTTGCATATCAGAAGGCGGAGCGAGAATGCTTTGAGAATATCCGGGCGTTTTTCACGAAGGGAAAGGCTAATTCGCCTGTGATGGAGATTAAGCCAAAACCATGATCATACTTGTCCCATAGACGTTCCGGGATAGATAAGGGAGTTACAACAATGAAGGAGTGAAATTTTGAATTACTCTAAACTTGAGGGAATTGGTGGCTCTGCGCGTAAGAAGTCAGCGGAGCGAAGGTACCGAGTGGTTTGGTCAAGAATCTAGATTGGGAAAGAGAGAGAGGCAAGAGCCCGTGGAAACGCCCAGAAAGAAAGGTCCTGAATATATCAAGTAGTACGGACAAGGTGTTATTCTATTTAAATGAACGGTGGCAAGAAAAAGAAATATTTTTCTGACGCCAAATCTGTCACAAAAAGACCTAGCTTAGACGTTCGGAAGGCGTGGGGCGACAGTATACATTAATTGGCTCTGACTGACCGTCCTCGACCCACTTCCAAGGGTCCATCAGTTTGTCTAATTCCATGACCCTAGGTGTGGACTTTGAATTTCCGTTTCTTCAATCGACGTTCAATCTACCCGGAGCTCAGTTAAATCTTTTTACATTCTTCGCATTCATAGGATCCTAGTCGCCGGCACCATGACACTCAAAGATCCCTTCGTCGAGGCCTTTCTTGATGCTTGTTACGAAGGCGACCTGCCAAAGACCCAGGAAGCCATCGCCAGCGGACGGCTAAACTCCGAGGATCTCGATGACGGACTCGCAGAGGCAACTTCAATGGCGCATACGGAGCTCGTTGCAGCGCTCTTCGACGCTGGTGCTAGTGTATCGGCCAAACCAGTGGACGCTCTCCCTAGGGACGGTCGCCTGGAGGTACAACACCCGGCCGTTGTTCGCCTCTTCTTTGGTCATGGCCTTGATCCTAACGCAACCGACTCTAATGGCGAACCTATTCTCGCGTTCGTGTCAGCCATTTTTGCCGAATATTTGGATCGAGGACTGACCTCCTGGTAACAGCTTCATGCAAGATCCCGAATGTGCTCGCGAATTCCTCTCGCGGGGCGCTGATCCCAACCGTGTCGGCCCGCAGGGAACACCTGTTTTACTCACTGCTATTGCGTGCCTTCGAGAAGACGATACGACTCTGCTTGAGCTGTTTCTCGAATATGGAGCCCGGCTAAAACCGGAACACCTCTTTGAGGCGCTAGGACGGCGCGACACGGATTCACAATTCAAGACTTCCTACCTTCTTGGAAAGGGCCTCGATCCGAATGCATCCCACACTACATGGGGCACTCCCCTGCATTGCGCCATCCGTAATAACCACACAAGCGCTATCAAAGTACTACTAGATGCGGGAGCAGACCCCACAGTACGATCAGAAGGCAGGCATTTTCATGGCAAAACCGCCTTGGAGGTGGCCGAGTGGGTGCGAAATCCCAACGATCGGTCGGCTATTCTGAGCCTCCTTCAGTCTGCACAAGAGCGTGATGCAATATCTCAAGATAAGGAGATGTCACAGTAGTTTTCTACCTCAAATGCATGGATATCAGGCCGGTGCGCGGCGCTCCATCAAATGAGCACCGGCATTATGAAGACTTTCAGCGATCTGCCAGCCGGCCAGGGATATAGCACCGGTAATACACAGCAAAATTTTCTATACTGCGCTAGTAGGCTAGGAATGCTATTTAGACCAGAGGACTTTAATATGTTACCTAAAATAGATATAGTTGTCAAGATATGAAGTTGTAATTTATCGCGTTTGATATGGTGTTTTGGGTTGCTCGCTCGGCCGGGTTGCTCTCGGCTGGGAATTACGTTATATCTCTCTTGCTTTTGTCGTCGGTATTTACAGATTGACGCTAGCTAAGAATACTTCTACTCAAAGTAGGATTAAAGCAAAGTATCCCTATAATCCTATACCCTCGCAATTTTCAATAATTATCAATTCTCTTAAGTTTATTTCTAGCATATTTAGCTATAGGGTGTAGAAAATAGGTCTTCCTGTCCGCTTCGCTATACTTAGCGATATACTAAACGCAGTTAATTCTTATAGTGCCCTCAGCCTTAATAAGTGTCCACTTTTGTATTAGGGTGAGTGCGACCGTCGTTATCTGATCGGATCCGATCTGATTGATAACTAAGGGCTTTCGGAGTTTTAACAGAACTGCTGGCAGGCAATTCTGCACAGCTCTCTATTTTCGCTAGTAATTACTTTGGACGTTGTGTGGTTTTCAATTTTTTTTTTTGCTTTTGTGTTGGTGAGTTTTTACATATTCTTTTTCCACCCCCTCTTCCTCCGTCCTTCCCTCAGCTCACAAATTCAGTATTTTTTTCCCACCCCTCTTCCTCCATATCCTTCCATCAGCTCACAAATTCAGAGACCTTGCCGCAATCAAGATGATTTCTGGATGAACCGAACAGGAATCTTTCCAAAGGCGCTTGTCGGCTCAAAGACGGTTTCCAGTGCCCGGGTTTCGACGTTTTTTCCCCCATGCCCTTTGTTCCTCTGCGAGTTCAGCGCCGTGCTTCCCTTTGGTCATTAGCTGCTGCTGTGATTTGACCCACAGCTTCTTGTCGTCGACGATTCTGATTAGCTCGGAGACACAGTAAACACGACTGCCCTTTTTGCGGATGCCTGAACGGTCGCAGAGGACATATAATGCGTTGCGAGCTCGGCTGAGCGCCACATTCCATCTGTTCGGAACGGACATGAACCCGAGCTTCTCAGTGAACGTAACATCGAGGATCACGACTGGACTTTCCTGGCCCTGGAAAGAATCCACTTTGCGCACATCGACTTGATTGAAACCAAGTTGTGGAGATTGCACGTGAGCCTGGACCAGCAGTCGCTGATAAAGGAGGTATTGGGCTTCATATGGGGTCAGGATCACAATGTCTTTCGGGTTGAGGATACTTCCGCGAAGCAATGCTCGACAGAGGGAGATACCCTGTTCCGCAAACGTGTTGTTAATGATGGAGTACCCAATCTTCTCGGGACTTGCATCACGGACATCCACAAAGATGGCGTTCGAGTTACAGGAGATGCGGTCAGTTTTGTTCCACTCCAGGATTTTCTGAGCCATTTGGTTGTGCGGGAGAGTCACTCCTATTGCATCACGAATTTCATTGGCGTAGAAGATCCGATTCACGATAGCAGAGATGTCAGGAGCCATGCGGTGCTGTTCACGAAGAAGCTCCACGAGCAAGCCGGCATACACGAAGCGAGCGAACGGCGAAAGTTGCAATTGCCTGTAGAATTGATTTGTTTCCGGGTTACTCTTCATGATCGACTGCAATTGATGATGATCACCGAAAAGCAACAGTGGAACAGATCTGTAGAAGGTGTACAGGGGCCAAAGGTCGGTTTCCTTCGTCATAGCGGCTTCGTCAATGAAAATGGCGTCGGGACTGATCGCTTCGCGTATAATGTTCTGACCAGCCGAGAATAAGGTACAGACAACGATGTCTGAGTCCGCAAGCACTTGTTGCAGCATGTATTTGCCATAGGCTACGTAGTCTGGCTTCTGCTGACTATCGAGCTCTCCCTTCGCCAATTGATCGCGCTGCATGAGCCATGGGTCCCACCGCGCGTCATTCTTAGCGAATTCAATGATCTGACGGCCAAGACTCAACTCGCGCAAAGTGATGCGCGAAGCTGAGCTTCTGGTTACTTGACGACTAGGATTGTTCTCGGCGTAGTAATCCATGAACAAGTTGTAGACCATATCAGTCTGCAGAGCTTGCTCGACATCTGCATTGGTCACGGTCGCTTCATCGATGAAATGGAGAGCTGCATCGGGTTTACAGTACGAATCCTTCTCTGCATTAATAGGGTAAACCCGGACGACTTTGGGCTTCCCACTGCTAAATTCATCCGAGTGCTTCTCGATGATATCATTCAGTGACTGGGCAAGGTGGTCGGCGGCGGCGTTAGTCGGAGCAACTAGAAGAACTTGATGCCGAGCAGGGTGAGTGCGCTTTGCATCAGGGATCTTAGTGCAATCAGGCGCCTCAGGAGTTTCATCTGGGTTCACATCCTTCTTGGGATAGAGAAGGAAAGGCAACACACATCTCGCCAGTGTGTACGTCTTGCCTGTTCCAGGTGGCCCTTGAACAACCCCGATCCCACCCCGTAGCTTCTGGAACTTCTCGAAGACCGAAAGCTGCTCTTTGTTCATGGATCCATCCTTTTTGACCCGATTTGCGTACTGGATCAAGTTCTCAGGAGTGATCGATTGGTAGACGTTCACTTCTGGCAAGTTCATGGTATTGTTTGCGAGCAAGGTCTGGTGAATAGAGCCGGCATAATTGACCAACCCAAAGCAAGCCGCGATCTGCTGTCTGTATGGCTTCTGGCTGCTGATTCTGTTGATCCGACATCCTTGGGCTTGCTCTTTAGACAAGACATCGTGTAAGTCGAGCTTTGGATCGTTGGTCTTCGGGGTAATTGGACGCGGTTCATGACCTTCTTCAGAGATACATGGCTGGTTGGTCTCCTTGTTAAGACCACGGCGCATATAGATTGTCACCGTGCTGCACGGTGCAAATGGCGCGGGTGTCAACACTGTACATCGCCAACCATGTTCCCATGGATATTCATTAGCATCCTGGGGCACGTCGTTATCGATTTCAAGAGGAGATTGAGTCTGGTGCTGTTCCTCGGTGACGGTAGGCTCTCCGTGGAGATCAGCATGCTTCATGGTCTCCACAAGGTTGACATTTAAATCAGGGACGTTGTCCGTGGTAGTGGCTTCTCCCCAGTCTTCCGTGGTCTTGCGCTTAGGCGAATCGTGAAAAATGGAGGTTTGCTCTTGAACACCCCATGAAGCTTGAGGAGTGGTGGCGTTGAATTTCGAGAACAAGAGAGAGAACGTTTCACTAGGTTGAGGAATGGAGTATCCTTCTGGTATAGTCAAAAAGCCCAACAGTTCATTTGGAGGGCTGTCGGTAGAGACTCCAGGAGGAAGTATTGTAACCAAGTTGCACTGGATGGCCTCTCCAACACCAGTGGATTGCTGCTCCAGATCATTTTCAATAACCGTCCCGTAACCAGTCTTGACGATATATTCATCGATATCATGGAATGTCAGAGTCGCCTGGGATGTGACCTGAGGCGGGCTGAGATTGAGTTGACCAATTTGGAGAAATGGCTTTGTTGGATGATCACCGAAGAAGGGTCCATAAGGATGATTCACTTGACTTTGGAGACCAGCGATGATTTGCCTGAGGCGAATTTCAAGCACGTTGGTCCGGACAATCATACAGAGGGCCTCGGTTTCATGCAAGTGATCTCGAATGTTGTTCATCGTGTCCGTCAGTCCACGGTAGTCACGTTCGCGAAAAAGGCCGGCGCCTTGACGTGACACCTCGCTCTGTTTGGCGAGCTGAATTAACAAACACCACATCTCGCCATTCTGGATGTATTCTTGTGTATCAGGTTGATTCTCGATGAGGCTGGCCGGGGCGATAAGTGGATTTTGGTCATTCGGATCGGTCATTCGGTCACAAATAGAACGAAGAGGACCAGGAGCCTATATCATAGAGATTAGTGTTAATAATATAAAGATAAGGTGCCTTTGACTATACCTTGTCACTGCTGTTGTCCATAATCACTTTCTTAACCTCGAAGCCTTTGATATTTTCGCGGAAGATTTTGAAAGATGCTTCTTGAGAAGGCCAATGACTGTTGAAGTGCCCATCTTCTCGAGCAGTTCGAATCTGGGCTTCCAGTTCGATGAATGGGTTCTCGAAATCGTGGAAGAATGTCAAGGTCAATGTAATTCCCGGACTCATCTTGTCGATGCGGAAAGTACCAATTATCTCATCACCCAGGCTTACAAGACAAGCCTGGCCGACGAGGTACTCTATCAGCTTCCTGGATCTCAGAGACTGAAGCCATGGATTCTTCTGCATGTTGTCTTTTTTTGCTTCGGCAGAATCACCAACGAAGCCTTCACCGTAGTCCTCCATGATGACTTCTGACTCGAGGTTAGAGCGGATACCAAGGCATGGACGTCAAGGCACTTGACTCACCGAGTGAAAGAATTCCTGAGTGTGAATATTGCCCAGGCCGGTGGAGGATGGGGGTGAGCAGTGAAAATGAGATGCGAGATGGAAGGTGAGAATGTGAGATAGCAGAACAAGAGAGGGGGGTAGAAGATGGATGAGTGATGGAGATGAATGAGTGGTGGAGATGGATGAGTGGGTTGGAGAGAGAGGGAGATGGTAGAAGAAGAAGAGGGAGAGGGAGATGGAAGAGTAGATTGGCAAGTAGTGAATGGAGTGATTTGGGCAGCAAGGCAGCCACCATATGAAGCTATCAAAGTGAGTAAAACAAAGACTTCCGGTAACTGATTTTGATCAAACCATCGAGGATGACTTGACCCGGGGGCCTACGAGGTCGTAGTACGCCCGTAAGTGTGCTTGCCATCTCTACTTAGGGATGGCAAGCAATAAACAAACACAATCCAGTCGACTCACAGTGGTGATTGGGCGGGTACGGGTTTGGGGAGATTGGGGATTGGCAAGATTGCAAATGCCGGCAGCGTTGATGATCGAGTGAAGGGTGAGACAAGTGGAGAGAGGGTGTCTCAAGCAGTACACGATGCGAGTCATGCTCCCCACGACATCAGTTATGACCGGCTGTGGCTGGGAGCAGCCGCGAAGGTGCGTGTCCTGAAGGAGGCCAAGGAGGCATGGGAGAAGGCCTGGAAGGGATCAAAGGTCGCACGACCATGATACAGCTTCGGACAGGTAGGGTGGCCCTGGCCGCTTACCTCTGGAAAATCAAGGCACGCGACTCCCCACACTGAAGATGCCGTGGAGGAGGACTGGAGATCCCGGGGAAGAAGGTGGGGGGGGGGGGGGATCATTCGAGGATTCAGGGATCGTGGATCCGGAAGATCAGCGGGGGAAAGCAAACCCCTTTTTGTTGCATCGAAAAAATGGGACCTGGGGAATGATGCGATTGCACCCAATTCCGCTTTTGTCCTCTTGAAGTCCCAGCCAAATCTTTCCGCAATGGCTGCACAGAATGGCACCAATGCGGGGGCCCGGCCAAATCGCCTTGCTCCGAAGAGGCACTGTACTGAATCCACGAAGTGCCTGGCCGTCATAATCCACCATGGAAGTCTCGTCAAGGCCATGTCATTTTCCATACCAGTTGTTGGTCCCAGAGTCCAGAGAGTCGCAAATGCATTCGTCATTGCCTCCGGGCCAAAGGCTTGCGAAAGGACCGCGTGTCTGAGGTAGGTCCCACGGCGGTGACAGAATATCGTTTGTTTGTTGGAGTGATGATTCGAGGCTCACTAGATTCGTAGATGTCGTCGGAGAAAGCAGAAGGTAGCCATGGCGTTTACCCTTTGCCAACAATCATGTTGCTGACAGTGTGGTGGACACGCAGTGTGATCTGAGGCAACCGAGTTGCTCCAACTGCGGCGCAGGCGCCCCGTGCCTGACATATCATTCAAGGAATCACTCCGAGGTAAGGGCATCGAATGCTAAGTGCAGTCTTACCGCACATAACTGACATGCTTGGAGGTTTCTCGTAATTACGTGTCAGAGCTGGAGGCAGAAAGTGACCTCGGAGTGTTCTGCGATGCGTTAGCTTCGAGAACGTTGCGGCGAAATTCGACTTTATGGGCCATGCGCTCTTGATCTCATACAGTTGGCCCAGAGCAGATTAAAGCCCGCAAATATGGGTAGAGAATATGAAGCACGTGGAACGGGTATGAAAGAAAAAGAAGTGGGATAGGAATAAGAGTGATTCCATTGATCTTTTTTGACTCGCACATGTAGGCTTACGTTGAACCATATAGGCGAATCAGCCGGCAGAAATTGAATAGCATACGGCCACTAGGAGCGTGACCGTACATGAGCCTCCCGTAATCACACTCCTCGAGTTTAGGTGTAAAATAACACATAGCAAGACCTAACCGGAAATTTGCAGGAATTTATAGTCTCTAAAGCTACCTAAAATCCATGTGATAACACTCGATTTCGCATTGATTTTTCAACGCTCTTGGTCTGAAAAGTTTGATGCCTTGCCCTCTCCATTTTTTTGTTTCTGCTCGTAGGTCTCAATACAATAACGAATGGTTCGGTAAACCCGTGCAAGTTCCATGATCTTTAAACAAGGTATACATCCAACCGAGTGCCTGCGCAATTTGACTGTCCATTCCCACTCCCTTACTAGTGTCTGCCATCTCCCTTTGCCATTGCCTCAGCATGTGCGCTCAACCGTCCCGCTATCTCCGCGCCTCCCTTTTCACTGAAATGCAGACCCAAATTCTTCCTTGTCTTCTCCGCATTCATCCTCCCTCTCTCAAATATCTTCTCATACTCCTCCACCGCCACTCCAATATTGTACCCATCACTCCGCACCTTCGCCACCACACTCGCCTTCCTCCTCAAAATCGCCTTTGCTAAATCCATCGCATCCGCCAACGATACGTTGACCCCCACCCCAGCGAACGGCGTCATCAGATGCGCCGCGTCACCCAGCAGCGTAACACCAAGCTTCGACTTCCACTGGATCCCGACGGAGAGCATATATAGCTTTCGCGGGATAAGCTCGTCCTTCGCAGAAAGGATAACCCGCTTCACATCCGTGGAGCAATCGCTCCAGTATTTATCCACCATCTCCTGCCGCGTCGTCTCTGACGGATTTGCGAAGTCAATCCCGCACTAATCAACCCACCCCTCAGGAACCCTCAGCGAAGCATATACGCGCACAGCTCCCGTTCCCTGCCGCTGACACTGCAGTGCCCTCCCCTCGTCAAACATAAAGCACGAGCCCTTGCCGATATACTCACTCAACCACGGGTTCTTGGCGTCGACGTCCAGTGCCCAGAGCTCGATGCTCGTGATACCGGACTAAACGGTTTCTCATCCGTTAGGAGTGGGCAGACCTTTGACCAGGCACCGTCCGCGCCGACGAGGAGATCGATGGACGTCTTGGTTGTGAAGTCGGCGAAAACGATGGCGTGTTTGCCCGTGCGGAGGGGTCAGGTTCTACGCGCATGACCTTTTTGCCCCATTTAACGGTCCCTTCTTCCAAGGAATCCAGCAAAATATCACGGAGCTTGACGCGGTCAATTTCAGGGCGATCAAGGCCTTCGCCATCAAATTCTTTCGGGGCATCTTGAGCGGCGATGGTGGTATTGTCATCCTAGAGCACCGAACCGTCGGGTTGGATGAGTTTCATGGCCTCGCCTTCCGGACGGGAGTATTTCTGGAATTCCTTGAAGAGTCCCGCGGCTTTGAGCGCGGCTTGCCCGGCTCGAGGGTGCAAATCGAAGGTGCAAATCGAGGGTGCCCCCTCCTTGGTTGCGAACATGTCGAGAGGCTTCGGCTTCGTAGATGGTGCAGGGGAGGGAGTTGACTTGGAGGAGGCGGGCGAGGCGGAGGCTAGAGGGACCCGCGCCGATGATGATAATTTTGGGGCGGGCATTTTGGTAGCTGTGGGTTATGATAATAGAACCACATACAGGCTGTGGCTTTGGAGAAGATTGTAGAGATGGTAAATGGAAGAAAGGTCGTGCAGGGCCGCTGCTGAGGAAGCTTGATCACTGCGTCCTTCTTATTGAGTCCCAAGAGGGAACCTCGACCTACTTATACTTCGAAGCCATCGGGAACAAATATAGGAATGAACCGGATTGACGCGGTTCAGCTCGCTCTTGCGTGTTCGTGTGTCAGACTTTGTTAGGGCCTCGAGGTCCCGAAATCGCGAAGGATCATAATCATGGGAATATTTGGCCCTCTCCTTATCAGGCCAGTGAAGATGATCCAACAGGCGGGTACAGCCTCACGGGAGGTGAAGCGCAGTTTCTAAAATTAGAAGATAATTTGGAAAGGATTTTTTCGATCAGGGTTGTAGTCCCCCGCTCTCTTAGTAGGATTTATCCCTTTGAGCGTGGTGAGGCGCCAACTCCGAACCAAAAAAAGGATCGCCACCAATAGGAGACCTTTGGCTCAAAACTACTTGCACTCGCTGGTATTTGCACTGATAGTAAAGATACAAGCCAAGCTACAGTATACCTCAGCGTCCCTTTGTTCTTCAAGTTTCTCTGATATAGTTATCGCTGAGAACCGTGAGGTGCTACTTACCAAGGTACCCACTTGGTCTTACTGCGCCCATAGGGATAGGTTTTTGGGCATTGACTTCTTTTGTCCTAAATACGTGTGGATTAGCTCGATTAAAAGCCATATCGATTATTGTATATAATCCGGCTACAGCTTTAAGAATGGAAGTCTACACTCAAGCGGTATTAATATTATACTGTTAGACTAAAAAGCAATCTCCTATAGCCTATAGGGAGAGTGGGGAGCTACTAGCTTGATAAAATAACACATTAACATTCCTTCCAGCTTATGTTGTGCACCCGCACCCCAGAACACATAAGTTAGCAAATGCGAACATTACAAATTTTATCTCAACCTGAAGGAAATTTTAAATTTCCGCATTTACTACAGTCCGGTATGGGTTTCGGGGTGCGTATCGTAAGCCGCTGCGCAGTGTAAGCGGGAAGTACGTTAAACTTAGTGCTTATACAGTACTCCGTACATAGCAGCGCTTTCGCGCCCCTCCATTCTCGGCCTAGCGCAGCCACAGGCCCACCTTAAGCCAGTCGACAAGGGAGGGCGCTAAAGCTAGCGGGGTCGCAGCACGTTCGGTATCCCTTCAAGTGCGGTTGGGCTCTGACCTTATACTGGACAGGGGCTTTCGCCAATAGTAGACCATCGGCTGAGCGGTATATTAGCATGGGTGCTATTTTAGCTGGTGGTAAAAGTACCCACTACGCCACACGCTACATCGAGCGACCTCACATTTCCCACGTTTCTCCATGTATGGGGGAGCTGTGGGCCGCTGTGGGGCACTGCGAGAAAAGGTTCACATTTGGAGCCTTGCCGCACTCGAAGGGATAAGAACAAATTCCAAATATAGCTATTATTATCAGACAAGTAGCCCCCCTATCCTCTCTATCGGAGATCATCTTTAGAGCGATTTGACATGGCCCTACTATTGCCAAGTATAGTCTTGCTATTCTAACGCATAGCCAGATCATACATTGTTAGAGCACCCTAAAATAGGACAGACTAGTGAACATAGAAACGAAAAAGATCAAAGCACATGGAATGAACATGATCTTAGTTAATTGAATTGATTGATCGGTTCTAATCGAGAAAAAGACATGCGATCGAGGGGCAGGTTGAAATACCCATCCATAACTCCGAGATTCGGCGGGTAGAAGACCGGTCTTGCAACCGATTCCAAATAATAATGCGGACAATAGGGAATACGAGACCCAAATGGGGGCAACGATGACAATCTGGGAGAGGTGTATTCTTAGGGCTTACGAGAGGCAGGCTACCGTACGATACGTCGGCATACATCTTAGCGCTTATACGGAGCCTTCAGTTGAGCCGATCCACGCTGATTCGCGACAAAATCAGTTAACCTATAAGTTCGGCCAATTTTTGTCCCATTCATATTGCGCGTGTTCTCATTCTCCTGAGTTGCTTTCCTTCTGCGACATCAGGAGACAGAAACGTTCATAACACCCCTTCGTTGTTTATCATTTGGTTTGAGGATGTCTGCCCCACGCAAGACCATTCTAGTCACCGGCGCCACCGGCAAGCAAGGCGGCGCTCTCATCCGGAGCCTCCTCTCCGCCCCCGATACGGCCGGATTCAACATCATTGCCGTAACGCGCGACCTCGCCAGCTCCCGCGCGCTGAAGCTTGGGGCAAATTTCAACGTGTCCGTCGTGGATGGCGACATGGCCCAGCCCGAGGCCATCTTCCAAAAAGTCGGGCCTGTGTGGGGCGTGTACAGCGTGCAGGTTAACTCGGACGCCGAGGAGCAGCAGGGCACGGCCATCGTCGATTCGGCGGTTGCTCATGGCGTGCGCCATTTCGTCTACTCGTCGGGCGACCGCGGTGGCCCCGAGAAGTCGCCCGTCAATCCCACCAAAGTGAAAAACTTTGCTGCCAAGTACCGCATTGAGAAACACTTGGAAGAGAGGGCCGCGACGAGCTCCCAGCAGATGACGTACACGATCCTACGACCGGTGACGTTCTTTGAGAATCTCACCGTCGATATCCATGGGAAGGGCTTCGCGCGCATGTGGGAACAGATGGGGGACAAGAAGCTGCAGTTCGTGTCGACCCGAGATATTGGCCGAATTGCGGCCAACAGCTTCTTGCATCCCGATGACTACCGCAATGTTGGCCTGACACTGGTGGGCGATGAGCTAACTCAAACCGAGGCCAATGCCATATTTAAGGCTGCTGTGGGATTCTCTATGCCCTTGGCCCCTTGCCCCATGGCGTCTACCGTCAAGTTTCTCATGAAGGGCACCGTGGGTGACATGTTCCATTGGTTTGAATGTGAAGGGTATGGAGGTGATGTGGCCTCATGCCGCCAGCTCTATCCTGGGATGAAAGACTTCAAAGCCTGGATCGAGGAGAACAAGGGGCAGTGGTTGTAAGCCTAGCTACTGTACTGTACTTCAGAAGCCGTTCCCTTCTAGTTTCTTGCGAGGAGCTTGACAATATAGTGTTTTTTCCAGGGTATAGTTCGAAGTATTCCTCTACAAGATCGCCAAATGATTGTTGTAGAGATCGTGATATCCATTTCAGTAATGAAACTACTTTATTTAAAGAGTTCGTGTAGGATAGGTCTGGGTTGGCTTCGGACTCACTTTTGTTGTTTCCAGTTTTTCCAGTTAGTGTGGGCAGATCCGCGTGGATATTCATGTGCTGCACCTGAGCGTAGTTATCTGGGGATACCTAACTATCAATGTTCGGCCGCAACACAGACGTTTCCGTGAATATGTTGTAGAGATTCGCTAGTGTGGTCCTCATTGATAGACTCATATTCAAGGGAGGACTCTATAGGCCCATTTTGGAGCTCGGCGATAGCCGACGTTCATCGTTCCTAGAAAGCCGACTTCCTGAGCTTCGGTAGTAGCTTTGGTCCGATAGCTTATAGCGTTAGTATTGGTCTTAGGGTCATATATTTCGCGCGTATCGCTTTCGCAATAATTATCTTGGCTAATGCTTAACCTAGAGGTCTCCACATAGCATTCAACGAACTAAACTATCGGCCTATCTACCGATAAGAATCTCGTTAGGATTGCCTAAGGCCGTAAAGACTCGATGGATCTCGTCCTCCTCTGCTAGCCCTAAGCTCTACCCGAGCTTATATATAGATAAAATTATTAATAAAAGATATATATATACAAGAGCATAGGATTTGAACCCAGACATATAGATAAAAGAGCGGAAAACCTCAAAACTTCCCTCTTTGGAACATAATTCATATATAAGTGGTGAAATAGTATCTTCATATGCTAATAGCCATAAACTATTGTCATTCGAAAATTTATGTATATTCAGTATCGATGGTACGCTCAACAGCGCCTGACGACCACTAGGTAGTGGCCTGAGTTCGATACTCCATTGGCCCGTTGAAGAGATGGCGATTCAAAAGCAGACTCGGAGTTGTCTACTGTGCATAGCGATTACGAAATTACGACCATAGAACCATAACATCGTATAATATCATTAGTTTCAGATAAATCCAATTCCTTAACATTACAGGTCCGCGTCATCCACATCAGGCAAAAACACAGTGCAGGAGAAAGATCCTGCAAAATTATCATAGACACTCAGCTCTTCCGCCAAAGCCCAGCTATTGACTTCCTTTAGCTCTCTCATGCCGTGCACCAGATCAATATCAAAGTTATCCATAGCAAGCTTCAGCCCCCGCACAAGCTCCCATGTCCACGTATCTTTCAACCATTCCTTCCAGAGATGATATCTCATGTGACTTGCATACCACATGTCAAGAACCACATCCGCACCCTGCATTGCATGCCTAAGTGGGCCATCGATCATGTCCGAATTGAAAGACGGAGCAGGATCTGAGCGAAGGCTAGCTAAGCTACTGCTCAAAGTCTTACATTGCGACCATAAGACTCTGAAATAGAAGTATTCCGGCGCAACCTCTGAAGTATACACGACCAGGTCGTACAGCATGTTCATTTTTAACCCACAAAATGCTTGTAGTGGAATCTCCCAGCGATGCAGGTCTATCACGTTGAACGGTGACACGCTACGCTCCACCCATCCCAGCGCCATGATAGGTGGTTGCTGGACAAGCATTCGACGCCAGCTCGCCTCCGGCCGCCGATATATGTCGCTGCTCTCTAGAAAATCCTGCATGTCGCCGGCGCCAAAGGCGGTGGCACATGATTTAGTGTCATCGGCAGGAAACCAGTATGGAAACTTGGATGCTAGCAGGGGGTTTTGTTGGCGTGGCGTGTTGGCTGGTGCTGGTTGGAAGAATAGAATTTGTTGGATTAGGGAAGATCTTCGGATGCATAGGGCCCATTGTCGGCAGACTCGTTGGGCGAGGAGGACGGTTTGTATGTCTACTTGCGTGAGAATCGCTTCGATGAGCTCGTTCGGTAATGATCGGAGGTCCATGATTTGGTTTTAGCAAGCCGAGATGGGCTTCCCCCCTTTGGAAGTATTCACAAAATAGGGACTGTGGATGGCAATCAACGACGCGTCATGGAGGCTCTGGGCGGGGTTCTGGTCGACCCAAAAGAATTGCTGCTGTTAGAGAAATGGCGACCCCTGATCAAGAGGTCCCATACTCAGCCGCAACATCATGTAATCAAGGGCGCTAAGCGTTGCGCAGGTTCGGCACTAAGCCCCATAGGCGATAGGTCCTTAAATCAAACCTAGGCCAAAGTTTTGCTTAAGATCATATCGCGAAGCTCTCCGCTTTCTAAGAGAAGTTCTCTGTTAGAAGAAGGTACTTCCGGACCCCTTTTGTGCTGCGACACTGATCACCACTCATCGGGCGACTCCATTGGACCACCATCAGGGTAGGCCGAGAGAAATTTACTACCATCGAAACCAACGTTGCTCCAAAGAGATAGATCGTTCATATCGCGAATGCAAGAAATCTAGCCGTAGTGTTTACGGGTCTCGGGACTTTGTTAGGAAATCGTACGCGCACTGATCGTTTCCGACGCGCCAGAAACCGTTGCTTCTGATATCGCACTCCAAGGTCGCAGTGAAGATTCCGACCAAAGAAGAGGTAGAGAAACGAGTGGCTCGCTCCGATACAAATACCGTTGAAGAGCTCTCCTGTAGCCGAACACATATGTTACTTCACCAATTAAAAGTGAATCAAATTGGCTGCCTCTTATTCTCCCGGATGGCCCCACCGCCGTGAAGGGCCTAGGGCTTCGCATCCGTGGAAAGGATCCACGCTCTCGGGATTCTTAGTCGTGGATTCTCGCGCTGTCTCCAGGGATCTGTTAGATATTGATTCGCTAGTGTTTATTTAACTATGAACTAACAGGCTCTTATTATCGGGTGCTTATCCTACCCTTGTGTATAGAGTGCTTTGCTGTGGCTGCGATACAGTCATCTTCTCAAGACAAAAGAGAGGATCCTCGGCAAAATAACTTCTAGACCAATGACGCACTACAGGCAACATTAGTATATACCGTCAATTCATTGCTCTGACACATATACACCAACCATATTGGATGGCTATGGCGAATCACGCTGTCAGGTTTAGTTTTGTCCCTTTGGGTTTAGCGCTCTTTGTCCGTATGCCAGTTCATCAACACCACCGCTCTCCTCTCAACATGCAGCGTCAATGTCAAACGACTGGTAATCCATTTCTTTTGAACTGACCCCATGACCGATGATCAGCCGGCTTCACGTGTCCGTGATTGGTTACGCCAGTCAGGTTTCGCGCCCGAGGCCGAAGAGGCTGAGAACCAACCCCGCAATCAAAATGCGTTGGGCTCTACTGGCTCCGAGGTGGACACCAGGGATTCGCTAGAGGACATTTTACGCCTCGATACTCACACCAACAGCGAGACTCGCGAGGCCGAAGAGGCCGAGAACCAACCCCGCAATCAAAATGAGTTGAGCTCTACTGGCTCCCTGGTGAACACCAGGGATTCGCTAGAGGACATTTTACGCCTCAATACTCGCACGGATAGTGAGACTCCCGAGGCCACAGAGGCTGAGAACCAACACCGCAGTCAGAATGAGTTGAGCTCTACTATCTCGGAGGTGGACACCAGGGATTCGTTAGAGGATATTTTACGCCTAGATCCTCGCATGGACAGCGAGGCTCCCGAGGCGGTTGGTCTACCCGAGTCACAGTCTGCTTATTCGACTGAAGAAGCGAGCGCTCGAGACAGCGATGAGGTGACCGGACGCTCATTGGATGAAGTCCATCAATTGGATACCCCTCTAGTACCCTCTACTGTCGAGGTGCTATCGTCTCAGAGCTCGGAAGTTGTCCGACCGGCCAACAATCGGAAGAAAAAGAAGAATAAATGGGCACCTACACCCTTTACATATAAAGACATAATTCGAAACGCGAGCAAGGCGCTGAATCATATAGAGAAAGGAAATTTGCAGGCAAGGCCCCGCCATGATAAGGCTTCAATTCGTTATTACGATTATCTCCGTGACGGGTCGGTCCACCCAGGGTCTGCTGAAGATGTGCGGGAGCTCCCATCTTTGGGCAATAAGACCGATGTACGCCAACGCTTGATCGTGGTGGAGGATCTTTCCCAACGAACGATTAATACTTTGGGGATAAGATTCAGAATCAATCCAGAGTTCTTCGAGGAGCATCTGCTCAATTCTGGATATTCGGGAGCCGATTTCAACCAGCCATCATCCAAGACATGGAGCACGGCCTCGTTGCAGAAGTCTTATGTTTGTATGAAATGGTTTCGACCCGTTTGGCGGACACCGACATACTTCTCTAATCGCGATCTCTCCGATCTCCTCCGAAACAAAACGGAACATTTCACCCACCGCGGAGCTTTTACTACCCGAGCCGAAACAAATATTTTCCGTTTAGAATGGGACTTATGGACTGATCCAGCTAAGACGATACGAGTGAGCAGGGAATGCGGCTGGGAGGAAAAGGTATCAATATGGAGTGGGAGCCTTCCCGGTCGAAATTGTCAGATTGGTGAGCTTTTCTAGTTTTGAGTTGTTTGTGCAGGTCAATGCTAATCGAGACTCTAGTGATTGTTCTTCTTGATCCTCTGCCCCAGATAAGTGAGCAGCAGCGATTTTTCAAGAAAGACAATCTGTATGAGCCAAATAGTCCCCAAGAGGCATCACGTCTTCTTCCTGACATGCCGAACGATGATGGCCTTGAAGAGGCCCTTGTGGATCTTTTTGGGGGAAACGAAGATGATCTCCCGCGCCGTTTGAATGAAAGGGGTATGCTTTTTGATTTCTGGACACGTTACGTGATGCGACAGACAATGGGGAAACACGTCGACAATGATCCAGTATACAGGTGCATCATCGAGCAGATGGCCCCGCGCAAGGCCGTGGAAGTTGACTTGGATCGAATATTCCAAGAGGAAGGTTCGGCCATAGATTTTAGCACATCATTGACCCGGACCAAATCCACCCGGGATGAGTTCTGCGATGCACTGGAGCCTGATACCGGACATATCAGCTTGGCTTTCCCATTGCTCCAAATAATCTGCCGGGACACATTCGCCCTTCTCAAGCAGCTGCGCCACATTCTTGATGAAATGGATGTGGAAATCATGGACGATGCACGGATGGAAGACCGCCTAGTTTTATGGCGCCAGATCATCAGTCGTGCACAGCGGGAGCTCCCGGAGTTCACTACCTCTATAACACCATTTGTCAGTTTCATGGCAAGAATTGATCCTGATGGTGCTTATGGAGAGGGCTCGGAGCATGGCCCAGATGGTAAATTGGACCTGAAAACACTCCTGGAAGATATCGAGAGAATGACGGAGCGATTGCGAGTCACGTCAGCATCTTTAACATCGAACATGGCCCTGCTTGATAGCCGAAGATCCATTGATGAGGCACACGCTGTGACAAGGCTTACCGAACTGGCCTTCATCTTCATCCCTCTCTCCTTTGCAGCATCTGTCTTTGGGATGCAGATTAAACCCTTTGCCAATCCAGTCCCTATTTGGTATTTCTTCGTCGTGGCTGTTGTAGCAACAAGTTTCTCATACACAATGCGACTTGTCATGCGCAGTCAATGGCTCACACAGATGAAGATAGATATGAGGGCCGACATCAGAAAGTACGCAGACAAAAACGGCAAATCCGTTCAGCCCCGATCGCTTCCCGTTGGTCTTATTCTCCAATGGGCGGCCAGCACATTGGTTTTGAATGCCGTGAAAACCGGAAAATGGTCCATCAGGACTGCTTGGATTGCGTCACATTGGATTTACAGGCAAGTGGGATTAGTGGTCGGTTTTTTCCTGTTGGTTGGACTCATCATCGCGATACCGACTGGAATCCTCGGGACCCGACATCTCAGTCCTGGAATTCAAACTGCGGTAAGCCTGGGGATTGTGCTGGCAATCATTTTCACTTTAGGCGCTGTATTCTCAATCAGCAATGACACACCAGATGTAGAAAATATCTGGCCACGGATCTTCACCCGAGAACAGGCAACTTCTGGGGACCAGTCATCTACTCGGGGCCCATCTGTGCCTTTGGCTTCCGGTCTCTCTCGATGGCTCAGAAAGTGTCTCCTTTGGCTGATTCCGCCAATAACAGTGCTTGTCATTCCAATGGCTTTATTATGGACTCGGGCTCTATCCATTGACATGAAAATCGGCGCGACTATTGGTATTGGTGTGTTAGCCTTTTTTGCTCTGGCATTTTTGGTTGTTGGACAACTGCATCGGGTTACCCTTCCTTCGGAGAGCAGAGCTTCCAGCTCTTTCAGATCTTCCAGTACCGGCAGTTAGTTTATTGGTTCTGTGTATATAGACTCTGGGAATGAGAATTGATTTCGACCATGTATGATCTGTCTGGTTTAAATCTGAACAGAATCTCAAAGATGGCGTATGTCTTATTCACGTGTACTCCTCATGTTAACAGTGTAGGAACTCATCGAATCTAAAGGAGCACACCCGAATAAGCCTTCTTGGTATTTCTCTAGGACAGGGATATGAAGCAAGTCATTCGCTTCCCTAGAAAGTACAATGGGTGGGTTCGTGGTTGTCAGCATCAGCCGCACCCACCAACATAATCCACGGGCGACGCACGCGCCGGCAACCATACGCATTTAATTCAATATAATTCAATTACCAACACCTATTTACATATGAAACCATTCGAATACTAATTAGGGCATATAGTTCTCTTATGCCCTATTTGCTAGCAATTTGAACAGCGCGGTGGTGCACGTTGATTGGTTGTTTCTGCTGCCGGGGACGGGCATACTTCTTCAGCACTTTCGACTTCCAGCGTGCCTGTATAGAGTCCTACCCTCCTTATTGGAAGAATCATGGCCTGATCCACTGCGTATAGGTGGCATGGTGGGTGGTTGAATTGGTAGGGCACACGAACAGGACGCGATCGCGGGTAAGTGCGCCTAATCTTAACAAGGATTAGCCTCACCGGTTCAGCTTTCAGCTAATTGTGAAGTCAAAAAGTTTCTCATACAACTATTATCTTGGAGACTCCCATCATTATTTTCGGAAATTTTCACATCCGACTTCATACATAGTCTCTCCAAGCTCAACTTGCGACCATGGCGGGCTTTTCTGCTAGATGTGGTGAGCACCTCTTGACGAAAAGCGGGGTCGAGACTGTGCTGATATGACACTTTTTATCCAGGAAGATTCATACCCATGATGGGGTATCATCATATTTTGATGATGATTTTAGCCGTTGGGATTCTCTTTATATGTACGATTCAATTCCCCCACCGGCATCCCGGTTCTATCAGGATTTCTCAACTCATATCCGTATTGACAGCACTTTTAATTGCGGGCTGCAGTTCCGGCAATCTCAGCAATGTCTTTTTGTTGTCATTACGATATAAAGACACCAGCTCACTGGCACTGTCAGACCCGACTATAGTGAACACAGGAATTGCCCATGCAGTCCAAAATGTTACGCAGAGTGGTGATGAACCAATTCTCGAAGTTCGAGCAGGATATATGGGACTCTGCATAATGCTTAATGATGGAGAATGGATCTGTTCGACAAGTGCGACCAGCTTAACGAATATCGTGAAACTCTCAAGCAGCTCGACAAATGGCACTCGTGACCCACTCAATCTGATTTATATCGCAAACAGTTTCAAGGACGATATTGTGTTCGATGGACTGCTGTTAGTACCCCCTCCCATTATTTGAGACTGAACCCTCTACGGTCGCTGATCGATGATCGTCGACTTTCTAGATTTATCGTTGTTGCCGTAGCTGTCTTCTGCTTTGTGATGCTCAGCACATTTCCTGGATGGCATGAGGAGGTAGATGACGGTGGATCAGCCGTGGAAGTCAAGCCATTCCCTTCCCGTCAAGTATCGCACGCTGCTCTGGGGGCTTCAGCTGTGGGGTTTGCATTTGGTCTCATATCTGCACTATGGCAGCACATCAATAGCGCCGCGGCTGCATCTATGGCAGAGAAATTGAGCTATGGTCAAATCACCGGCCATGTTGGGCCTGCAGCGATGGCATTTGGGTGGATTGGAGTGGTACTGATCGGCGTGGAAACGCTCGGGCTGCTAGTGATGATCATGAGCATTAAGATCATTGAAAGTCTGGCCGATGATGATTAATGCTTTAGAATTTCAGGTTCTTACATTTGATCGGAAATATTCGCTCACTGACAACCAAATTCTCACGAGAATAGGTTGCAAGTTTCGGGAACCATTCCTCCCATGAACTTTGATTTCTTTAATTATCCCCTCGGAAGACTTTTCTTCCTCGGATAGACGACAAAAGATGAAAAAAGATGATCTAGCTTGGGGTGCCACTATAATCGCCTTGTAAGCTGCTGTAGACGGAGCGTGCTTCGACCGGCGCCGAATCATAATCAGTACCAGCTATTCCACTCTTCAGCTCTGGAATGTATTAGGCATTGGCCACGAAGGCCGATAAGGCATCCACCTACACTAATCCCAACATCTAAGCCCCGCATAGTAGATCTGGGCCTACGTGGATTAGTCCAGAAGCAGCGCAGGTAGCTGAGACTGCGCGCAGCTAGCTGCGCGGAAATCCAGCCACTGCTCCTGATTTAGTTCATGAAGCTCACAGAGTGCTAGACGTACACGATCCTATGAGCAGTGACGTGCTTCGAGACTCTTACCGTCGATATTCATGGGAAGGGCTTCACGCGCATTTGGGAACAGATGGGGGACAAGAAGCTGCCGTTCGTGTCGACCCGATTACCGTCAACAGCTTCATGCATCCCGGTGACGTGCCGTGAATATGTGCTAGAGATTCGCTGATGGTGCCCCTCGCAAATAGAACTTGTATTCAAGGAAGGACTCCATAGGCATATTTTGGAGCTCGGCGATAGGCGACATTCATCGTTCGCAGAAAGCCGACTTCCTAAGCTTCGACGGTAGCTTTGGTCCGATAGCTTGCGCGTACCGCTTTCATTAAAAATTATCTCGGCCAACCCTTAACCCAGAGGACTCCACATAGCATATAAGGAACGGGCCGAACCATCCCGTTCTAATTGATTCGATTCTGTTTCATGGTGTATCTTTTACTGAAGTATCCAATGCCATTGTTGCCACCTGTGCAATTTTATTTTCTGTCGGTTTCGAAATACTATGTATCTCTTTGCTGTTGCTCCGCTGTGTTGACCCTTCTCTCCTGTGTTACTTGCGGTCGCGGTGTTCGTCTGTCTACAGCTATTCAGCCGCCGTGGTGCCCCGCCTGCAGTTGTTCCTTCCCCACCTAAAACGCGTCCCGGCGAACGCTGCAATCTTGTGCTTCCTATAACCTTGCCTAGTTCGCTGCCGAGGCTGCCAACTAAGATAAACTTATGATTCATCATGCTTGGATTGTGTAAGCTCTTTTGCTACGCGGCTTCAGATTATCACTTTGTGGGGACTGCAGGTCTAGAAGATCGACTACTCCACGAGCGTCGGTGAATTCTAGCCGCTTTTAAGCCTCCATTAATCCCTTCATGAAGGCTACTATAGCTGAATTGCATTTAATTTCATGATATCAGGTAAAAATTGTCAGCACATGAAGGGATAACTTACCGCTAGCAACTGATTCGTTGCTGATGGGTCCACATTCGTTTAGCATTTCTTATGTAATTAGTCTACGGGACAGCAAAGAGAGCCTTGCTGTAGCTGAGTAACGGAGACACAGCGAATAGCGGTGTGTCTCAGGGGCTATTTTAGCAGGGCTGTTGCCCCCTGTTTTTCTGTTGAATCAATCAATCTTATGCATCCCAATTGATTCCGCTTGATGTCATTCGTCTCTCTGCATACTAGGCTATACAGTATCAGCTTGCTGTGACAGTTATGAGCCCGATAGCCCGTTAATATCACCAAGAAAGACACGCATTAATTCGCCTGGATCTTTCTGTCAACGTAAGCTTCCTGAATCAGCCCTATATAGCCACCCAGCGGTGGTTCAACCAACACCGAAGGACTGCAGGTCCCGCTCGAAGACCCTACAAAACAGCCTGATTTATATACGAAAATGACGTCTTTCGAGATGACTCAAGCGTCACACGGAAACCCCTACGACCAACGGCTCCGGTCGGAGGCTCAGTAGCAAGTCTGGATCAGCCATATCGAGTCAGCCGCGACAGCCCTAAAGATGTAGGGATATCTCGACCCTGATATCAAAGATAAAGATATCAGGAAGCCACCCGTTGAGCCAAGAGACACCTTTCCCCGACCAGACGAGGTCAAAGCTAGTGTAACCAATGCGATAGAGCTAGATAATGCCGACTACACTAGATACACCCGCCTTATTGCCCTGTTCGAAAAGGAGAGAGCGTTTTGCTATACTATCTATAAGAGCCTAGCCGATATAAACTCTCACGTCTTAGTAATAACCTATCCTGAGAAGTAAAGCTTGCTGGCCGATAGGAAAACTGCGAGGGAGAAGTTGATAAAATTAGCCTAGGAATTCAAGCTAAAGGGGGCTACCAGGGTGCAATACCTCAGAAACGTATAGAAGCAGCAAGCAACTACTCTATTCAGCAAGGCCTCGGTATCGATAGCTAAATGGCTAACGGACTGGTCAAACCTATATAATAAAGCGTATGCAGCGAAAGTGCCTGATGTCTGGCGCTATTCCTGCGTCACCGAACACCCTAGGGACGCCTTCGCTATTAGAGACTTCCTCTAGGTTATCCCTAGCCAAGATAACTTCTTCATTAATCAGTATAAGGCTAAACTGGACGGTAGAGAGAAGCTGAAGTTCTAGGACGTTCTCTCGGAGTATCGGACTCACCGGGACACTTAGGATTATAGCAAGAAAGGCCTAACAGGCGCTGTAGCCTTCGCAGCGACGCTGTACGGCTATCAACAGCCTGAGTAAGGGCAGTCCTCGAATCAGAAGAAGTAACGCTACGTATGCGGCAACCTAAGATATTAATAGAAGGACTGCTTTTATATTAACATAGCTAAGAGGCCGCCGGGCTAGCAGTAATATAAGGCCACTCGTAAGAAGGTCGAGGACGGCATTAAGAAGCTAAGCCTCGCTAATCAGTAAGAAATAGCTAAGCTAATGAGCCCCGGAGCCTTATCCTTATCTAAGATAGTCGGTCAGACAGCTTAGCTAGCTATCACCGATGGAGATGATGGCTTTAGTGATATACCGACCGAAACGATAAACTTCTTCTCTAAAGACGACCCAATATATTCCTTTACCCTCGATATTACCCTAGCCGTGTATAACGCCGCCCTATCCCATCCACTCGAAAACAGCTAGATCATTGACTCGGGAGCCAATATCCACATTTATAACCGTCTAGATCGTTTCGTAGGAGGTCTGAAGGAAGAACGCCGTATAGTCACACTCGGTAGTAGTAAAGTGGCTGCTCAGGGCAAGGAAACTGCCAAAATTATCGTTGAAGACCCTACTAGCAAGATCTTATAGGCAACCTTACTAGATGTGTGGTATATCCTAGGCTTTAAAACTAATATCCTGTCAGTATCAGAGATCGCGAAGAACGGCTTCTTCTTTAATAGCCGCTTCCTAGCTATTACTAGGGATGACAAGCTAATGGCGGTATACGTCAGGAAGTTTGGGCTCTATCTTCTGGAGCATCACCAGGATAATAGGCCTGTCCTAGCAGCGAATAGCCCTCCAGTAGCCTTTTCTACACTCAAGACCTCTCAGAAACCACTAGTATCCGTTGCATTACCGTAGATGTAGCATCGCAGGCTTGGCTATATCTATAACCGACGTATTAAGGCACTCGCAAAGATGGTTAACGGCATGGTTATTAGGGGAGAATTCAAGGATGACGCTTAATGTAACCCTGAACGATATATAGTCTGTTAGCAAGCGAAGGTAAAGAAGCAGATCTCTCGGAGGTCAGCAGCAAGAGCAAAGATCCACGGCAAGTTTGGAAAGCTTCATTTTGACCTGTTGCAGCTAGAGGAAGCTTATAACGGTCATAAATGGGTCTCTTACCTGTTTATCGAGGGTATTCGCCTCTATATAGCCTAGACCCACGAGAAAAAGAGTGGATGTGTCGATGCCATCATTAGCTTCATTGCCATCTGTCGAAATCAGCTTGGTATGGATATTAAGGTCTTCAAGAGCGACAACGAACAGACCCTAGGCTATACCTTCCGCCTATACTACGCTAGGGAGGGTATCTTGATGGAATTCAGCGTCGTCGGAACACCTAAATAGAACGGCTTCATCGAGAGAGCAGGAGGTGTTATTATCATTATCGCTAGAGCTCTCATCATCGATGCAGGCTTACCGAAGAATCTTTGGCTAGAAGCAGTGAATACAGCGGTCTATTTGATCAACAGAACGCCTATAACACTACTAGACGGCTAAGAGATCATCCCATAGATTGAAGCTATTCGGAAACCTCATCACCAACAGAATGAACTGCGTCTTAACCTAGCACATCTCCGGGTTTATAGCTACAGAGCGTACGTACGCCGTCAAGGGATTCCCTAGAAAGACAAGATAGCGCCACGCGCAGAGATAGGGTATTTAGTCGGTTATATTACATCGAATATCTAGAAGGTGTAGTTTCTACACCTTAATACTGTTAGAGTAGTTAGAGACGTCGAATTCGATGAGAACGCACGATTCAGCCCGAAGGAAACAGAGAGACCACCGCTAGCCGACATCCTCGAGACGATGCTATAGACGGTAGGACATAACGCTATAGAGATGCCTGTTACCGTCGATGAGGGCCTCGAGATGACCCTTACGATACCAGAAAGGCACACAGAAAGGCCCTAACGGTAAGAAGAAAGGAGAGAAGAAGAGCAGAGCTCTACGAAAGAATCCGCATCAAATTCCCTAGTTCTAGCGATAATGATACCGTCGCCGACTCCCTCTCGCTAGTTAACTCCGGCGACAGTGCTAGAGAGGTCATTAACAGTCCTAGGAAGCTTTCTAATAGAGCCATTGCCACTCTCAATATCTCTAGTAATACTAGAAACCTTAAACCGCCTCGAAGCTAAGGGGGTAGGAGGGCCTAATGAGCAGCTTCTCGGAGAGCTTAGACAGGCATCAGAATCACTAGAAGCATTAGATCCACTACCGTTAGGATACCGTGAGTATAGATCTCTTGCACCGAATGATATCAACGCATCGCTCTCGGAAAGCAACATCATCGAGGGTAAACGTAAGCGTAGGAGGGCTTATTTCGTATCGGTAAACGATCCAGAGGACTATTATAAAGGCATTCTATTAGCGTTTTCTGCAGAGATGAGCTCGCCACAGACCTACTAACGCCCTTACCGGGACGACCTGCCACTAGAGCTAAAGAACTAGGTAGAGATGATGCATCACCCGCATAGAGATAGCTTCGTCGAAGCAGCTTCGTAGGAAGTCAAAACACTAGAGAGAAAGGGCACCTATAAAGAAGTTAACCGGCCGATAGATAAGGGCATTTAGGTCTTGCCGTTAATATAGGTGTTCACATACAAATTCGACAGCGACGGCCTATTAATTAAATATAAAGCGAGGATATACGTAAGGGGAGACCTTTAGAAGATATTAACGGATAAGAAATATTCAGCGACGCTGGCCGTACGAACTGCTAGGGCTATCTTCGCTCTCGCAGTAGCCTTTAACCTCGATACCGCTTAATACGACGCTATTAATACATTTCTCAATAGCTAGATTAATAAAGAAGTGTATATAGAACTGCCTCCTAGCCTTTACCCTCCGGGACGAAGACTGAGGTGCTGGAAGCTCTTAAGAGCCCTATACGGCCTACGGAAATCACCGAGGCTCTAGTAGTAGGAAGCGTTAAGAGTTCTAATAGCGTTAGGCTTTAACGTTATTCATAAGGATATTTGCCTGTTTACTACAGATAGCATTATCATCATCTTTTACGTTAACGATATCCTTATCTTTAACTATCTTTTAATACGTTAAGAGGCTGCGAATGTGGCCAAAAGCCTTAACCAGACCTAGGAGCTTCGCTCGATGGGCGAAGCGTAGTAGTTCTTGGGCATCCGCATCGTGAGAGATCGTTAACAGGGTAAATTATAGCTATGTTAAGATGCCTATATCGCTACGATGGCTACTAAATATTATTTAACCACTGAAAGATAGCTTGAAGTCCCTCCTATCAGCATAGCTAACCTTTAACCTTATAGTAGAACGGCTACCGACGAGCGAAGGCATGAATTCTTAGCTAAGGTCGGTTCCGCACAGTATACTACTACGATTACCCGGCCAGACGCAGCGAAGGCTACCTTATATCTCGCTTAGTTCCTATCGAACCCTTCCCCTAAATACGTTAACGGAATCAACCTAGTTATCGCTTACCTATATCACACACGGACGAGAGCCATCTGCTATCGAAAGCTTCCTAATTCGCTACAGCAGACTGTATAGTTCTTCAGCGATATATCGTATAGGGACAACCACGATCGGAAGAGCTCATCGGGCTATATCAGTTTAATATTCGGAGGACTAGTAGATTAGAAGGCTACGAAGCAGAAGACTGTAATAACGAGCACCACTGAGGCGGAATTGCTAGCAATGTCAGACGCTGGCAAGTCTCTATGTATATAGAATCGTCTATTCGCGGCTATTATGTTCGTTCCTGGTCACCCTATTGTCCTACAATGTGATAACCAGCAGACTATCAACCTATTAACGGCCGAATCACCTTAACTACGCACGAAGCTCCGACACATTAACATCTACCAGCACTGGTTGCGGCAGGAGGTTTAAGCCAAACGCATACCGGTGCAGTAGGTTAAAACGTCGGATATAGCAGCAGACGGCCTTACGAAGCTATTGCCTCGCTAGAAGCATGCCGAATTTGTTAGGTAGCTGGGGATGGAAGATATTGGACAGCTATTGGAAGGTGAAATCAATACCTAAGGACGTCAGATGAAATGGTGCAGTAAATTGCCTACAGCCATTTTGCTGAGGGGGTGTGTCAGCACATAAAGGGATAACTTACCGCTAGCAACTGATTCGTTGCTGATGGGTCCATATTCGTTTAGCATTTCTTATGTAATTAGTCTACGGGACAGCAAAGAGAGCCTTGCTGTAGCTGAGTAACGGAGACACAGCGAATAGCGGTGTGTCTCAGGGGCTATTTTAGCAGGGCTGTTGCCCCCTGTTTTTCTGTTGAATCAATCAATCTTATGCATCCCAATTGATTCCGCTTGATGTCATTCGTCTCTCTGCATACTAGGCTATACAGTATCAGCTTGCTGTGACAAAAATCTAACATTAGAGAAGCATGTATCGTAATGAAAAAAATCTATCGAGGCAAATACAGACTTTCTTTTCGATAATTTCCTGGATGCGAATTTCGATATCTCTATTGGGTTCCGGCACGGTGGAATTGAAATATCACCGCTTTATAGGTGGTCGAAAAATACGGGAAATTTGTTGCGTTTGGGTGTGGACCCTCCCAAAAGTGGCAATCAAATCCGGGCATGTGAGAATGGAAGGGGGAAAGCTTGTCTGCCCCCACTTTCAGTTATCGCAAACTTTCTAAACGTAGGCCAGTCTGATCCCCAGGACTCAATGTTGCTTCTTAGTCTTCGTCAACCATCGATCTTCCATTAGGCCCCCAGATCATGCCATCACGGCCCAACAGCAGCCGACCTGGATGCTGGACGTGCAAAAAGCGCCATCGCAAGGCTCGTGTTCCCTTTCCCATGTTGGTATCTGATCTCAAGCTAACGATGTTAATAGTGTGACGGGTCTCGGCCAACATGCCACAAATGTGCTGCATATGGCGAAGAATGCGAAGGGTTCGGATCGCGGCGGTTGGCGTTTCGTGATAGTACACCCAAAGTACAGGAGAAGCATAGGTCTCACCGGCTGACGACAGCATCATTCCGCTCCTTCGGCCAGAATTCCCTCCCCGCAATATCCATGAAGGATCGGGCGGTGCTCTGTGAATTCATCGAATCGGTTGCTTCGAAGCTCGCTTTGACTGACTCGCACAATATCTGGCGCGATGATGTCGCTCAGATGGTATCAGATGAGAGCAATCATAGGCTCCTATTGCACGCTATTCTTGGCGTGACTCTCATGCATCGGACGCATCTCGAGTTTCGGATAACGCCCGATGCAGTCATGCACTACGATCTCGCAGTGAAGAACCTTCAGCCCGCTCTGGAACCGGCCGACTTGCTCCGATCCTCACAACTAGATACAGTTCTGGCCACGTTGTTCTTGCTTGTGTGGTTTGAGGTACGTTCGCAGCCGCCCAGCATAGACAGCGAATGGTAGCCTAATCTAGAAGATAGATACTTGCACAAGACTGGGAAAAATGGAATGTGCATCTCGCTGCGCTGGCCAATTTACTCAACGGCCTGGATCCTTCACAGATTGCCCACTCTCGATTTCGACAAGTTTTGCTCAGTGCTGTCGCAAGGCTCGACGTGCCTAATACCATATGGAGGCTGAATCCGCCCCTGCTTAACCGGTCACTTTACAAACTGCTGCGATCCCGAGGTCAACGGAACGCAGAACCCCAAAGTCTCGACGACGCTGCCGTCCGCGCCTTTGAGAGCTTACATGCGATCATGGGACAGTTTGCAGGTATCTATGCGGACTGGCTTCGCGGCGTGTTGGCATGCTCCGAAGTGGCAGCTTCCATGCTGGGTATACTGGAGGATCTCAACCTATGGCACAGGAGCCTTCCGCGCGACCTGCAATTGTCTGGCGACATCAACGCAACCTCAGCGACTCCGAAAACCCCATTACAATGTACGCTTCTGGTTCATTATCTTTCCTCAAAGCTATTTGCGCTTTACGTTCTCAATCCGGACTGCTCAGCCCCGGATGACACAGCTTATCCGTTCTGTCACCAGATCGCACGGAATATTTGCACCCTCATTGATGGGCTTGGGCCACCGGAAAGGCGCAACTTCACTCGTTTCCGGGGGAGATGTTGGCATGATCCTGCCTCTCTCTATTGCTAGCATGTTTCTGCACACGGACGCTGAGCTCAGATGGGCTTGCCATTGGGCTCGACATGCGCAACATGAAGGCATGTGGTGTGGGAGGAGACGGAGTATGATCATGGAGGCTTGGGCCAGATGCCAGCGAGAAAACCCGTCCATACGCCCGATGCATACGATGATTGGGCCTGACAACATTCACTGGAAGCCAGGCAAAAGCCTCAATGTCTGCATCGTGACTCACGATAAATTTGAAGGCCGGACCCAGGCTGTTGAGATGTTTAGTATCAACGAGGAAGGATTATTCTCTGATTATTGCGTCTCATGACTAAGGCGCCGTCTCTGTAACTACCAATTCTCACCTCCACCCTTCCTCTTCCCCAGTCATCTACACCAATTACCACGTATCCTTGACTCTATCAAACATCTCATAGACAGTACTCTGTAGATGTTCAACCTGCTGCTCCACCCAACCGTTCAGCTCTTCTCTTGTGAGGATCTCTTGTCCTCCGACAAGCGTCCGCTTCCGTTCCGCGAGTCGCTTGAGAAAATCATCCACCCTATCGCGCACAAGTTTGAGCCTGTACTGAGCAAACTGGTAATGGACCTCAGTCATATCACTCGTCTCGGGCCCGATATTCCTCAAAGTTGAGTTATCCCTCAGCGCCAAATCCTTGGGACGAAATGAAGTGACCATGGTCACCCGTTCATGGGCCCCAATCGTGCGGAACGCAGCATGCTTCGTACATCCTCCCTGTAGAATGACTCCGCCTCCCATATGCGCCGCTCGCATCTTGACTACATCGCCGGTGCCCGTCTCGATAGCGGTCTCGCCGCCGCGCATTGTGCTAGCGTCGGACAGCATCACAACGCAAACAAATTGATAACTGTCGACATGCCAGTCATCCACTAGCTTGTCGTTGTCCTCCTTGTCTAGGCTGGATACCTCTTCGGCGGACAAGGCCGGAGTTGGAATCTCCCCAAGCTCCCACACCCCACTGACACCCTTCCTCCCAACTTGGACGTTGGTGTGCCCGATCTCCCAATCCATCACTGGAACCAGGTCTATCCCAGCGGCATCGGAGATGACCTCGAGCGTCGCTGGATGTGTCCACGCTTCGTAAATAAATCGGCCGACCTGCATAGAGCCACACCGTCAGCGATCGGCTAAATTTGCCCGGGATAAGGGGGTAAGAAACGCACTGTTGGGGCAATGCCACGGATTACACAGGGTGCCCGCGCCCAGGAATGCATATAATTGTTGAACACCGCGGGCTGGAAGAGTTCTCGCCTCATAAGACGGACACACTCCTCTGTGAAGAGGTCAAACGGATCGGTAATGCACATGTCCGTCTGTGGCGTTTCTGAGTCGAGTCCAAATTCACCAAAGGTGTGACGTTTTGCCGGGGGTTGGTATCGGAGGTGACGTTCAGGGTCGAATCTCGGTTGGACATCATCGCAATGGATTGTAGAAGCAGAGGTAGGCTTGGCATGGCTCTGCTGAGGTGGACAGACTGGTGGCTGAACGGCGGCAGTTGACATTTTGTCTTCAAGTTATCAGACGGTTGAAGAAATATGAAGATCAAGGGAGAGTATCATTCAGAATTGATGTGAGCTGAATCCTTTGTTTATATCTCAATCCTCACTTCTTCTTTGACATCATTCTACGCCGTTATAGAAGTGGTCAGGTGTACAAAGTAGTCACGCTCTGGCGGTGCTCCAGATCCGGCCAGAGGCTGACGCCAGATCTTCCATTTTGGGTTAAAAAACAGCTCTGGCGAACAATGACACGAATCTTAAACGACCATCTCCGGCCGTGAACAGGCTTAATAAGTCACCTGACCGGCTTACAGCCGAAGGCCCGAAGCTGTGGGTTCTCAATCGCTGTCGATACCATTTTAGACAATTTTAGCTTCTAGTAAAGCCGATTCGTGCAGTGGATGAGCGAACACGTATGCACATCTTCTGCCGTCGACCTCCTCAATTATTCCATTTCGGGTATGTATGTGGCCTGCTGCTATGGCCTGTATCATGATATCCCAACTTCGCCATTGAGTTCACCGTGTCTCCATCTGCTCTCAGCTGCGCCCGGCACGTAAGGCCACCTCTACGTACCATATTTCCTCTGCCGGGTGGGCTCTCCTTTCTGAGCTGCCGATGCTTTTCTGAGGGCGCTCAGAGTCAGACTCACTAAGTAAATTTCAGTCCAGGCTCAGGCTCAATGACCCGTGGATGAGCTCTCTGTGAGGGGTTCCAGCAGTCCGGAGTACTAACTATCTACAGTCATTCTCGGAATCGGCTTGACCAGTACACACTGAGAAACTCGTTTCTGGGCCCCTCTGCCATGGCCTTAGCGTAGAACATTCATTGAGTGGGCCTCACTAGGTCGAGGGCCGCTGTACGATGCGCTGTGTACGGTATTGTATCGAGTCCGTAATATTGCATCCTGCGCTTTGAACGTTGGGTGGTAAAGGTTGATTACCGGTACTAGATAAGCAACATTTTACAGAGGCCCTCAACTTAGTGCGGCCCGCCTAATGAATGATCTATGCGAAGGCCTTGGCAGAGCGGCCAGAAAAGAGTTTCTCAATGTGTACTGGTCAAGGTGATTTCGGGAATGACTGTAACTGGAAGTGGATAAAACCTGGCCACTTTAGATTTCACCCGCAAGACCTCCAATGTTGGTTCTTGAGAATGGGCGTGTGCTCCAATCTAAACCCTACACGGCAATAAACTGTGGAGATGGATTAGAGATTGGCTCATGATAGGGGTATGTGGAGAACATCCAGTACTACTACCGAGGATGGAAGCTGAATTTTTGCCTGTTTTGGAGAAAGCTTCTGAGTTATCAACACACAAAAAAAGCCCCTTATCTGAACCGGGTTCACAGGCTTGGGGAATGATCTATGGGCGTCTCAGTGCAGATAGCCAGTATTGGCGCCTATCATATCACTAGTGCAAAAGATAACACCCGTTCGTGAGTATCATACGAAATTTGATCCCTCACTGACGCATGTGGGGTTACCTCATTTGGGCGTGGCCGGTATCAACAACGAGGGGTGAGCTATATGAAGCCTATCTAACTCTGATTGTCAGTGTCTCGAGGTCGCCTACCTTATCTAGGTAGGTAGAATAGGACCGTGTTTCTCCCACCTCTTTAGCGGGGCATTCTGCTTGGTAGACTGACAGATATCTGGAAACTACTCCTTCCTCTCAGTGACTATGAGATTTGACCTTGCGTGCTACAATGGATGTTGAACAGAACCCGATCGTCATGGACGGCGCAGTGGGTAAGGACGAAAAGTCCAATACTGCTCGTTCTCTGTCCAAGACAGAAGCAATCGAACATAGCGAGCACGATCTATTACACGAAGAAAATGTGGACACCGTTCTTGCAGCCAAGATGACACTGATCAACGACGTGAGTATGAGGAATATCACTGGCTTTCTCCTTGCAAACCAGAATGAAACTGAACAGAAATTGTTGCAATCGCTCTAGACTATTGATGAAATTGGATTTACCCCCCACCACTGGAAACTCTTTTGCCTGAATGGCTTCGGATACGCAGTCGACTCGCTTATCCTCTTGATCCAGTCCATCACCGCCGGGCCAGCGGGCATGGAATTTCAACCGGGCTTCAAAACCGGCTTGACAATCGCGGTATATGTTGGCATGCTCGTGGGCGCTATTTTCTGGGGGTTTTCCGCGGACATCATCGGCCGACGTTTTGCCTTCAACTTCTCGCTCCTAGTTTCGGCTATATTCACTATTGTTGCGGGAGCCTCTCCTAGCTGGATCACCTTGGGCTTGTTTGTGTGTTTGAGTGCATTTGGAGCCGGAGGCAACCTCGTGCTAGATACCACAGTCTTTCTCGAGTATCTGCCGGGCAAGCAGCAGTGGCTACTGACTCTTATGGCAGCTTGGTGGGGTGAGTTAGCCTTTTGTTCGTGGAATGTTTGATCACTGACTAACATCACCTAGGTCTTGGTCAGCTGATTGCAGGTATTTTGGCCTGGGGGTATCTCCCTCATTATTCGTGTGCCGATGCGAGTGACTGCAGCCGGGCTAATAACCAGGGTTGGCGCTATATCTGGTACACAGCTGGAACATTAGTCTTTGTGCTCTCAATCCTACGTGTTACTATAGTCCGACTAGACGAGACGCCAAAGTTCCTTCTTACTCAAGGAAAAGACGAACACGCAGTCCGCGTGCTCCAGACCATCGCCAAACGTTATAATAGGCCATGTAGCCTCACCCTCGAGCACCTTCAAGCCCTAGGGCAAACACAGAACCACAGCACGACTCGCGCAGGCTTATCTCAACGACTATTCTCTCCTCGCGAGGTGAGCTTCCATTTCCGCGGTCTGTTCGCAACACGAAGAATGAGTCTCTCGACCTTACTAGTATGGTCCTCATGGCTACTGATCGGTCTCGCCTATCCGCTCTTCAACGTCTTCCTACCCACATACCTCGCCTCACGAGGCGCGAACTTCGGTCAACCGAGCGCCTACATCACCTGGCGCAACTATACCCTCAACAATACAAGCAGCATCTTTGGACCCGTGCTTGCAGGGTTTATGTGTCGTTCAGGCTGGTTCTGGGGCCGACGAGGGACAATGATCATCGGTGCGATTATTACGATGGTCTTCTTTTTCTGCTATACGCAGGTTCGCACGGCCAGTGAAAACGTCGGTTTTACGTGCGCCATCAGTTTCTGCGTGAACGTTTACTATGGCACCTTGTATGCCTATACGCCCGAGGTTGGTCGATTTATCTCCCTAATTTAACCACAGCCCAATAATGACGATTGATTAGGTCTTCCCCTCCGCCCATCGAGGCACGGGTAACGGAGCGGCGATCGGGTTCAACCGAATCATGGGCATTGTTAGTGCCGTTGTGGCCGCGTTCGCAAATGTAAGTCTCCCTTTTGTGATTCTAGCGGTATATGAAGCCCTGAACTGGTACTGATTTTGAGGGATAGACCGAGACCGCAGTACCCATCTATATATGTGCTGCTTTGTATCTCCTCATGGCTATCATTGCCGCCGTCTTCCCCTTTGAGCCGTTTGGTCGACGCAGTAGCTAGATTGTTGGTGCCTAGTCGAGCTCCGTTTGTGCGGCCTGCAACGGGCAGACTTGTCGAGTTAACCTATGTAGATTTGATGACAGTGGTCTCTGAATTCAATTGGATCTGCTATCAATAATGTACACCACGACATGTGAATTCGATAGGTAAAGGCCTTCAATTGTGCCCAACTCCTAGAATAGAGACCAGTTTAATAGAAATACATCGACATTTGTAGACAGATCAGCTGTACCTGCTTCCTGGGTATGGGAGTATGAGCCGATTTCTGTGGCGAAAGGAATGGAGATTAGGCATCCCTAGGTAAGCTAGGTCCCACACAGATTGGACGAAATTGGCCGCTTACAAGGAGGTATGTCGAAATGTGTGGAGTGGTAACAAACTTACTACTAACAACAACACCTCGCCAAAGACCGGGTCAAAAACCCGCCGGCGCAAGAACTCCGAGTATCTCATGCCAGATACAGCCTCAATCAGCTGGCCCAGTACACCAAAGGCAGCATTGCTGTAATACCACCAGCTGCGGAACCGCTGACCCGCATGGTTAGATGTGGGTAAGGCATTGAGCATGGCAATGTGGTCTTCCGCCATTTTCGAGAACGTCCCTTCAGGCCCTACGTAAATGACGTTTGGATTTGCAAGCCCCGTTGTATGTCTGCATGCATCGACAATCGTCGTTTACTCCCCAATCTGAGGGTCCTCAATTGTGTTAAAGTTGGGTAAATATTTCCGAATAGTGTTGTTTCAGGAGAGTTTGCCTTCTCCTATAAGTATCCCGATAGGGTCTCTGCATAAGTACGTGCTCGATAGTACGTCCACTTTCTCCTCATCTCTCACAGATAGACTCGTCCATAATTGATTCAATTTCGCTTACGGCAATTGCCATTTCTTTAGATAAACGTATAGAATTTTTTGATAAAATGTGTGCTTGCGAGTTCCGAGTCGGGGAGACGAGACTGGCCCCGCAGTCTGTTTGTCGCATTTGCCAAGAGTCCGGCGAGATTGGAAAGAGCTTCATTTCTTTTTTTTCCAGACTTCAAAGGGCACGCATCCTTCAGAGATGCCCGGAACGTGTTTGATCGAAGGACAGGCTGGTGATGGCCATTGGATGAAATTGGAGTGGAAATATCACGCTAAGACCACACATTTCCATTCAGCGCAAGTGGACACGTCATGGCAACCCTGTGAGTGAAACAAGGCTACCCCCTGAGCGCAGCTTGAATTGGTCAAAAGTGGTCTTCGTGTTTGGCATGGAGCGGGACAAAGAGGGGGGGGGCGCGTCGCGAGCGGCTACGGGATAAGCACGGCCAATGGGACTCAGGACCAGGACCAGTCCACCACCGGGCCGCCCCGAATCGCAATAAGGTCAAGGAGTGGAAATCGGGAAGGCTTGCTATAAGAACGGCAGTTGACGTGGCAAGTGGGGGTTTCGCAGTGCAGGACGGTTGCATTCGGGCTGAGCGGAGAAGAGACACTTCGCAGTCCGCGATAAGCGAAACTTCACCATTGATGAGGCTAGAACACTAAATATTTGCCATGACCAGTGTGTTGGTGATCTAAGCCGCATAAATGGTAAGTTTTCGTCACTGGCAGCCATTCCATAGCGCTCCAAAACATGTCACAAACTCCACCAACTTACCTGCTGTTGCAAAGACCAATAATGCAAAACCAACTCACGGACATATGGGACCAAGCGAGAGCCTACTACAGCGCGCACTTGAGTGATCGAGAGCGCAAGGCGATGGAAAATGTGACGTCGCAGGAGAAACTATTCCAGCATCTCGATGGACTCAAGTCGAAGTACTCGGCTCGCGGCACCGCTCAAAGCCTGCTGAAGACAAACGTCTTGGTAGCGCAGCTGAGGTCTTTTACTCAGATCATCACCATCTTCGTACAAAGTAATGATATTGCCTCACTTGTGTGGGGCCCGTTGGCATTAATATTTGAGGTAAATCCGGCCACCAGCGGACGGCAACAATTGGACTCACGAACACTAGCTCGCATATCGACATCAGGAGACTGTTGACATGATCAGCGATGTGCTGGAGCGGGTAGAGCAAGCGCTTCCCCGCTTTCAAGAATATCTGAGGGAGTTCGGATCTCGCAGCATCACCACCCGCTTCCAGGAAGCACTTGTCGTATATTATGCCGAGCTGATTGCTCATTATCAGGATTCGATCAAATTCCTGCGTGCACATCCACTGAGTAAGGGACTCTGTGTCACATTACCTGCCCCTGGAAGCCTGAGGCACGAGACCTAAACCCCCCTCTCCCTCTACCCCCCACCCCCTCGCCCCCACTAGGGGAATCTTCCTTGGCTGACCGCGACTGCACGGGGCCCCAGAAAACGTCTTTCTCTTGCATCGGTCAGCAAATAAGTTCAATCTCCTCGCAAATCGCCGCCTAGAGCGATTGAGAGACCTCACTAGGTCGGTGGAGAAGGAGGTGGACTGGCTCAAATACCAAACCCAGCAAACCCAGCACAAGCAAGTCGTGCACCTGCTGCAGGCTACTCGAACCACAACAATGGCATTACAGCTTCCCTTTCGTGACTTTCCCTACAGCCGGAACTTTCAGTTCTGCTTCCGGGACCAATTATTGATTGAAATGCACAATCATCTAGACCCTGGCACGTCGAAAAAAACCACGCTGCGTACTACGAGCCTTGTCGGCCTGGGCGGGGTGGGTAAGACTCAAGTTGCACTCGAGTTCGCATACCGCCATACTCCTGATTTTGATGCAATTTTCTGGGTCAAAGCAGAGACTGAGGCGAAAATTCGCGAATCAATCTGCAACTATGCTCGGGCTATGCAAGACGATACACAGTCTGGCCCTCAGCAAGATGCAGTGCTGATTAAGCGGTTTAAAAGCTGGCTCATGACGCCTGATTTCCAAGGTCTGGCAAGCCCTGACTTAATTGACTTAATGTGCCACTAGTAGATTGACAAAAAACAGGCTCAAGCTCGAGTTCGGTAGCCCCTCGGTGGCTTCTTATCTTCGACAATGTCGATGACCTAATGACCTTACAGCCATTTTGGCCTGGAGGAGCTCATGGATCCGTGATAATCACCACCCGTGATGCAACGGTTGCCCGGCACTTTGGACAGCAAGCCATAGAAGTCCCATTATTTACCAAGGATGAAAGTGTGCAGTTCATGTTCAAAATCAACCCTGGCACGGAAAAGAAGAGCCCCGAGGAACTGAAAGCGGTTCAAATAATCACAGACCGATTGGGCCATCTACCACTGGTGTTGCGAAACATTGGAGGATACACAAGCAGTATAGCGACATCATACCAGATCTTCCTACAGCACTACTCCGATTTCGATCACAATCTGCTTTTCCAAAAGGACACTTCCAACACGACCTCCTACGAAGCCTCGGTTAGCACCACTTGGACAATGACACTATCCCAAATCGACCCAATGGCAAAGGAGCTCATGGAAATCATAGCGTTATTTGATCCGGATAGCATACCGATAGAGCTAATAGAATCCTGGGACATTGATGATAAGTACGCTGACCCCCACCCTGTATAGGCACAGGGAAGCTAACCAAGAGGCAAGGATGTACAATGGACCAAGTGATGAGTTTCCGGAATTGAATGAATGTCTGAAAACCAGGTTTGCAAATAGACAGTCGTATGTCCCCCCTGGAACACATTGGATTGAATATCCTGACCCGGTTGCAGCACTGACAAGGCCATCTCAATCCTGTTTCGCGGCTCTTTGATCAGTCGTTCCAGCAAAGGCGATCAGTTGAGCTGCCATCGAATTATTCGTGAAGCTGTGCTCCAGTCCCTGGATCCGAATAAGTTCGTGGTTCTATTTGACTGGGCTGTGTTTTCCCTAAACGCACTCTTCCCAAAAACACCGGGAGGCGCCCCACTCCTCGCGGAATGGGATGCGTGTGCCATCTACCACAATCATTTGTCCTCACTACTCAACCTCTACCTTCGCTTTGCATCTTCCTTACGACCACCAGTCCTACTGTGCGAAGTTATACGTCGCTGCGCCTGGTAGGCGCTTGCCTCCCAAATCTTTTCCCGGGGCTTTACTAAAACTAAAATCTAGGTATCTCTGCGAGCGCGGAAACTTCACAGACGCCCTTGAACTCGTCAAGATGGGTTCCACTGTTCTTGAAGACGCTGCTGCAATATGCAACTACCCAGGATATTATCCACAATACATGTGTCGTCTGACGGCTGACCTTTACAGCAGTCTTGGGAGTATTGAGTACGAGCTTAACCATCCCAACCACGGACGGCTCTGGTTTGAAAAGGCAGATGAGCACCGCCGAAAGCTGATAGACAATGATACAGCGCAGAGCTACGACATCGAAAGCATGGCGGTCGGCGACGGAAACATCGGTCTATCCCATCTCGCTGACAGCGGTACTTCCGAGCCCAGCATCGCCGCATACAAGTTCCTGATCGAGAATTTTCAGAACAATAACAACCTCTGTATATGGGCTGCAAACCTGTCAATCGCGTATCGGTTCCAGGGTGACCTGGAAGAGTCCTTGGAGTGGTGCAAGGTCGCTGATAACTGGACTCGCAAGACTTTTGGAGAGGACAGTCTCAGCATGGCCATGTAAGCCATCCTGTGGTTATATATCAGCCCTCTGCTTCATGGAAATTAAGTATCATTCATTAGCGTGCACTTCAATGTTGGCAAAACATATATGCTCCTGAAGGAGGACGAACGGGCCTTTAAGGTCTTCAACCAATCTCTCCAAATCCGTCAGCAAAAGGCACCTTCTCACCGCTACACTGGCTTTACCTGCCACCAGATTGGCGTCCTGATGCGAGCAAGAGGGGACATTCCTGGCGCAATGTGAGTTCAGTTCTCCAACTACCTGTCCCCTGCCCTCGTCCCAATCCTTTCCCAATCCTTTCCTACGGCTGATGACGTGATTCTCTGCCGCGGTTCGTGGAAATCAGTGCATCGTTCCAATCCGCCGTACGAATTCTTAATGATTGTGAAGCTCAGACCGGTGCTGTGCTGCGGTCCAAGTTTGCTCTGTCCAAGGCCTTCAAAGAAATCGGCTCTTTTGAGGAAGGAGATGGCCTTCTGCAAGAGGTCATCAAGGGTCTTTCTGCGTTGGACACTTCTGTCATCGCTGATGCTGATGCTGATGCCTTGACGGATGAGCATTTTGAGCGTTTTGTGCTTTACTGCCATCGCTGAACTACACGGTGATGATCGGACTTGCGTGTTCCTACTCCGCTACGTTAATCTAATGAAGCCATGCATGTTCGAGGATCCTGTGGTGGAGTTCATCTAGGCATCGTTCTTCTTTCATCTCCATCAGCAGGCCCCTCCCTATCTCTTCTGGTAAGGGGTCGAGGTGCATCCGTAGGGTCGTAGTAAGGTCGAGGTGCATCGGAATGATCGAGATTCATGACTGACTAGCTGTGAGCTTCTTCCTTAGTGCTTTATAGTCGTTACGTACCGTCGGTGGATAAGGGTAGATGTAGATTGTAGGTCTCAGAGGTGTAAGAGGGGGAGTAATTAGAAGTTTGGTTTAATCAGGCAGATCACCGTGGCCCTCAAGTCAACACTCGTCAACCTTCCATCTTCAACCTTCCATCTTCAACCTTCCATCTTCAACCTTCCATCTTCAACCTTCCATCTTCAACCCTCCATCTTCAACCTTCCATCTTCAACCTCATATCTCTTATCTCCTCTCTCCCTTTCCATCCACCATCTACCTTTTACATCTCCAACCTTTCTTCAAACATCACCAAGATGGATACTACCTGGGATTCGACCGGGCAACAGCCTCAAGATCCAACCCCTGCTCCAACCCAGAGCACCCCCCGATCCCCCTCAGGACCCCTCGCAGCTCTCTGAATGGCAAATCACCCGCCAAGCAACATCTCGCGGGCTAGGCGCTGTCCTCCCGACCTAGTAAGCCTCCCATATTGGATCAAAGTGAGGCATGAAACTTATATGAACGATAGCTGGCCCGGCGAGCCCGATTATGAAAAGATCGGGGAGCCATTCGTCGTCCCGGAGGCGCATGCGGGGCCATAGTATGGCTGTTGTATGTTTTTATTTATCTTTGCTTTTTGGTTTTTCTGATTCGATTGCCCTTGCCGCTTTACTCTTCAGCCCTTCAGCCCTTTCACCCTGAACACCCTGAACACCACTGTTTGGGACCCAAAGTTCCTGCACGGCCCTGGATTCAGAAGATGATCTTTCTGATTCCCTCAGGGACTAAAACGACTGTACCGGGCAAGAGACAAGTTTCTCGCGGTCGGTCGCCAGCAGCTCCGCGGATAGGTACTCCACCCCGACTACCGATTCGCCCTGTCAGTGAGGAGCAGGGAGTCCCGAAGTTTGCTCTATAATCACCACCACCTGAACGAGAGAGAGCGAGATCTTTGCAACCGGCAAAGCGGAGTTCGTCAGTCGGGTTCTATCCTGGATCTGTACCCTTTCGGCTGCAAGCGAGGTCGGCCAACCCGCAAGGACGAAGCCCGTATATCGAATAGGGCGAACTTGCTTTTTCTTTTGCTATTACTCCCATGATCCTAATCATTAATTCAACACCCTTATGTAGCCTTGTCGTGAGCCGTCATGAATACTACTCTATAGGCCACGCCTATGCTCGTATTCATCCACCAACATCTCCACATACACCTCCACCAATCCCTACTCCTACCCCTACGAGCGAAGATGTAGATTATATATAGATTAACGAGGATGAAAGCAAAATGGCGCGAAGATAGTGCGGAAGATAGTCAGGAAGAACCTATAATTCTCTTCTCGATATCCATTTATCGGGGTAGATGCAGCCACTACAACAGAGGATAAAGCAAAGGATCAGAACGCAGTTTAATTCCAGAGAATGACCGTTAGTGCCACTACTACGGATGGTCCCCTTCCAACTTCCGCTTCCACATCACCTCGTATTCCTCCAAGTCACGGGCATTGGCGGCAATCCTCTGAAGCACCCCGGCTTCCAAGGCGTCGAGTTCGATCCTGGACCGGTCAAGCTCCCCTTTCTCGACAGCAAGACGTGCCCGTTCCTGCACAAGGTCGCGGTACTCAGCATTGGCGGCCAATGCAGTTTCCATGCTAGCCATGCCGGCCGGGGGAGGCACCACCTTGGGTCGCAGGGCCGGGCTTGAGGCAGGCATCTGCTGTTGCAAGTTGGAGCCGACGACCCTTTCAACCGTCTCCGCCCCTACCCAGTTCAGAACATCCCGCTTTTCAATGACATCCTTCAGGAAACCGGCAAGGTAACGGGAACTCCCACCACTGGCCTTCCTCACGAAGTCGGCATTCCCAATGGTCAAGTTTCCGACCGCAACCATAAGCTTTTTCGCCCTAGTCAAGGCTACGTTTAGCCGCCGGTAGTCAGAAAGGAATCCGACCTCCGTCACGGAGTTGGTTCGTGGCTTCGTGAGCATAAAAAGCACAACATTTGACTCCGACCCTTGGGCAGAATCCACCGTGAGGCACCGGTGGTACTGGACGCCCTCGGCCCCGAAACGCTCGACTACGCGTTTCACCTGCGCCTTGTAGGGGCATATCAGCATGACGTCCTGGGGCAGGATCCGATTCCCAGTGGACCCATGCGCATACAGGGCTCTTAAAAGATCGATGACGACGTTAATGTGGTCGTCATTCTGCCAAGAGGTACTGCCAGGGGGCTGGAAAGCCTTTCCAGGGGCGTTGATCAGAAGCCTCCGCTTTCGGATAAGCTTTTGCACTTTGAAGTGGTGTCGAGATGCCGTAAAGCTATCCCAGGCATTACCCACGCGATCAGGTGCGCTGTTAATAGGGCTTGCGGCGATCTTGCCGCGATAGATTGCCTGGGCGGACCAAGCCAAGATGTCGGGGTGGCATCGGTAGTTCACCTCGAGAGTGCTGAGTGGGTAGCACCACTCGAGCCGGGCCATCAGTGACCGGCCATGGTACTTGGTCCATTCGTTCTCTCGGCCCGAGATGACGGTCGGCGGGATTTGATCGGCGCCCCCCGATCAGACATACTAGGCGCAGCGACTGCCAGTTCATCGCGATCATCGTGTCCGCCTCGAGGCACTGGCCAGCCTCATCACACAACAAGGCGAATGGCTCGAACTTGCTGATGCGCAACGCCTCTTCGCCCGGACTGTTAAGTGTTGTGGCCACGACTTTGCACTTGCCGATTATCAGGGCCAGAACATCCTCATAGCACTTGACCAGGGCTTTGGTCTCATCACGTCCCAGGACCCTTGGGCGATCGTCATCCAGCATGTCGATCAGCTTCTTGGCTTGTTGTTCAGCCTTATTTTGTGGTTGAGCCCTATAGAGTTCCTTGGCCCTTTGGACGACCAAAGACTCAATCTGACAGTCCTGGATATCAGCTTCAACAGGAGTAATGGGACCTCAAAGTTCATTCAAATGTCCTTCAACACTTGCACGGCGAAGGACTGCCATTTGGTACGCTGAGGTTCTGAAGCGACAGTATCTTCCACACCAGCCTCTAAGCCTCGCATCCTCCTTTAAAGCGAGGTGGAACGTGTGCAGCAGGTTGTCTACAGCCGTATCTGAGCCACCGCAGATCAGGACTCTGAGGTCCAGGCTTGCAAGGATGAGCGTCATGACCAAAATTGTCCGGGTTTTGCCAGTACCCGGTGGTCCTTTGATCAGGTGGATTCCTGCTACAACCTTGAAGAGGGCCTTGTCGACAGCGCTCTTCTGCGATGGGTCGAGAGGATACCTGTTGAGGATGTAATCTACTCGCTCAAGCTGTTGTGGACCTGGAACGATCGAACACTCCTTGCAGTTGATCTCGAAGTAGTGGGGGTTGCTGGGGTCCAGCTCCGATCTATGGGCTAGGATCGTGCGCTGCATGGAGAATCCATTTCCATCATGCTTGGTGGAATCGCCGAAACTGGTCGCTCTTCCTGCATAGACGAGGGCTTCGATCTGTGCATTGCTCGACTTCAGGTTGACTTTGACGGTTACCTCAATCTGCCGACTTTGTCCATTTAGAGTAGGAGTCAGTTGGGCCCGAGTTAAGATCGCGAAGTCCGCTAGACCAGAGCCTACGCAGATGCCCTGACCCACGAATGGCTTTGAATCTTTGCCTGGAAACGGGTTGATGTCGATCTCGTACTTAGCCGGAATGCCCTCTGGTGGTGCTGGCTTCGGATCGGCATTCATCCAGATATGTAGCTTCCAGGTATTCTCTTTGGGAGTAACAAGCTCCAAGGACGCCTGGTGTTTCTGGCCGGTTTGGAAGACACCGTCGTACATGGCCCATTGTACATGCTGTTCGATTACCGCAGCTTCTACCAGTCTTTCACGGCGGTCCCGATCATCCAGGAAGAAAGAGTCGGGTGTCTCCAAGGTGTTGTAATCCCCTTCAGCGTTAAAGAGCCATAGCATCTTGGGTCGACGATTTGCGGTCCCTTCTTTCGGAAGAGGATTCTGCTCGGCAAACCAGAACGGATGTGGCTCACCACCGGCGGCAAAACTTTCCCGGACAAGCTTCACGATCTTGATCATATAGGCTCGAACCTCCTTAAAAACAGCAAGGTCCTTGATGGGATGGGAGATCCAGATAAACACTTTTTTGCCCGACCATTCGATCTGTTGGAGCTTCTTCCATCGGATCATGTCTTCGGGTCCCAATTTCCAGAACGGGCCAGCGCAGATAGGTTCAGCAGACGGGCTCAACTCAAGAAAGCACCCCATGTGATCGTTCTTCATCTCCGGAAGAGCAGCCTTCTGGTTTGCCTGAATGAAGGCATCAGACTTGGCGGAGACGCCCTTGGTGACCAGATCCATTTCTGTCTGGGTTGCCGGAAAGACAAGGTGCGCATCACCAATACGAAGATCTAGTCTTGGCTGCTGAGAATCTAAGCAGATCTTTAAGAACGCGCGGATATGCTCATTGCCTCCGCTAACTGATACGGTGCAATGCCGCTTCCTCTTCAGTTGGCCGTGGAGCTCCTTTGGGTAATCCATTCCGAAAGGACGGTTGAGGAAGTCCGGGACATTGGTTTTGGACGCTATTTCTGATTCAATAACCGTTAGACGCGCTCAAAGAACCAAGATGACAGGATGACTTACTGCTTAGAGCAGAGGAGAAGAAGAGGGGAAAAAGACCGAACCTCGGAGAGGACGGAGAAGATAGGGGAGAAGGGGAGAGCAGAAGACCGAATCTCGGAGTAGACGGAGAAGAAGAGGGAGAAGAAGGGGAGAAAAAAGAACCGAACCTCAGGGAGGACGGCAAAGGACAGGAAAACGCACAACAGGATGACATACGGTGAAAAAAGACGCACAACGGGAAGTCGGACCTCGAAGGAACGGACGCACGAGGGAGGAGGAAGAAGAAGAGGAAGAAAAAGAAGTGAGGAGATATTAGGATATGTGGGGGGTCGCGGTTTCCTTTGTTTACATCCCCTCTAGTATGTATAGCGTGACCTGCATCCTGTGCGTGAGGACGGTCTTGGTGTCGAAGACGAGTCTAACCGAGATCGCGAACCAGGGCTTCTTCGAGCTCACCCCCGAGTCCAAGTTCGGGATCAGCTACTGCAGCAAGTGCATGAAGAAGTTCTTGGACGAGGACGACTGCTTCAGCATGTATACGTGCGCGGGCAACGCCATCAGCCTGAGCATGATCGGGAGCTGGAGGCCGTACATGATCCTGAGCAACAACCTGGGTTCGAACGGGTTCCTGAAGATTGACGAGGACGAGGAGCGGGATATATATGTGATCAGGAGCAACATCGAGTACGGCCACGGCTAAAATCGTATGTCCTCTCTAACTATCTTCTTGACCGTCTTCTTGACCGTCTTCCTGTCTGCGCATTATGGGATTTGTCCCCACTGTCTACCACCCAGTGCAGTTGGATGACTCCGCTGTAGGTGTACTATTTAGCATTGATTTTCGCCCCAGCGTAAAGCCCGACAAACCTTAGATCGAGAAAGGATATACTCTCTGGAGAGGTCTACGGTGCCTTGGAGAATACATTAGATAGTTATAACGCCAAGGTATCATATTTAAGAGCCATCTTTGAGAAGATCATTCCCGGTATAAACGATATATGGGATAAGCGATATGTCATAGTCCTTTAGCCTCTATGAATTCTCGTCTCTTACTGTCCAGCTACCACGACCCTATCGGTCATCTTCCAACCTTTACCCCCCTCTCCCCTTTGTAACATTTCGCGGGCGATGAGGGACGTTTGTGGACCATTGCAAGATACACCGCATAGCACCTGTCACCTGTATGTAAAGAAAGCTAAGTCAGGCCGATGAATTTTGATTGATTGGTTGATAGCAAATTCCATCGATTGATCACACCTTCCTTCCAAGGTGTGAAACGTCGAGAGTACCTAGTTTAAAGGCATTGGAATAGAAATCTGCCCCGGCACAAGAGTCATCCCGAGGTCCCACAGCCACAAATACAGTTCAACAACGGAATTCCTATCATCAAAGGGTGGCATATGTCGTTTTCCCCCTCGAACTCGGTCGCAATTAAGAGTGAAAATAACAATATCACAATCCCTTCGATATATAGAGGTAGCGTAAGCGACCTGGCTCCTGTCGATTCTTGAATGCATCTGCACTCCATCTCGGAACTCTTCCAAGTCCCAGTCCTCGTCTACATTGTTGTAAAAGTTTCCCCACCAGATTAATCCTTCTTCCAAGAAAGGGTGAATAAAGGGAGAAAGATCGATATCGGAATCGACTCGAGTTAGATCGCCAATTCGTAAATGATCTCCGTTCCTGACTTTCACTTCTGTGTATGCGGGTCCATATACTACCCCTCCATCTTTCTCCACTAGCCCGATACAAGACCGAGGAGGTTGCTGAAACAACATCCGAGCCCAATTAGCTTCTTTTCGGAGAAAGCGTTCGTTAACCTGAGGATCAACCGGTGGTATCTTGATCTCTCTAACTTTAGGTGCTCCCCAACTTTGTGCCTGTTTTGAGCAGAACCATGGCCATATATGCTTGTCTAGTAATGGGTTGCGAATACCTGGTGTCCCGTGTGGTAGAGTGTATCTCACGGGCTTAAAGAATAGGGCGGCTTGTAGATCGGCCGAATCTTGAATTAGATCATGCCATCGATGGCACACTCTTTGGGCCGATGTGAGTAATGTTTGCATATCGGTCTGGATTAAAATCATATCCAGGATCTCGGTTATCAAGAAAATCTTATGCGGCTCTATTGAAGCCATAATCTCAGAAGCCGGTAAAATTCGAGTATGCGATAGTTAGAAGACGGTGGGACAAAGGGAATCGTCTACACAAAGGCGATAGCCTGCCTTAAGGGCCGGTAACTTTGCGACATGCGTTAGTCATTAAGTCAGACAGACGCCAACTTGGTGTTAGTACTTCCTATAAAGGGCAAGCTCTGTTACCTAGTTACCCACCCGGACCAAACCGCGGCCGGTTCCAAACTCGGTCATGTTCCTTCTAAGGCTGGGCTGAGACTTCGGAGTCCGACTATGTTTTCATGTTCATGTTCGTCGATCTGACCTCGTGTCTACCTTGAATACCACTGATTGTGCCAAGGAATAGCAATGTCGTGGTCTAAGTGGTTACAAAATCGCAGGTTTCCAGATACGTCTGTACTACATAGCCTAAAGTCCTATTTTGTGGCTTCGATTGAGCTCTATATTCGATTCTAGATTAGATACTACTATTGATAACTGCTGAAATATACGAATCGTCGGTCGAAATCCCCAATATGATGTCCAGGAGCTAAGTCAATCTACAAAGAGCGACCTCACAACGTACCGTACCTTTCCGTACCTTTCCGTACCATCATACTCCGGAGTAGTTGATATAGTAGGGCTCAGCTTTTCATAATAGGATATGACATCCACTAGTCCCAGGAAATAGGCATGAAAAACGGCAGTCATGAGCCTAACAAACACCGACGCCCCCCAAACCCTCATTGAGAGAGATGCAGCCGAGCCTGGGTTCTGGCCCAATGCCTACAATATTTGATGACATTCTTTTTATGCGAGAATAAAGGGCTGGCACTCGAGGAGATGGAGATGGCTGTCATTGCACATATTATGACGGGAGGTCCGTTCGAGATATCTGGATGGTCGTGCACATAAGTACCATGTAGAGTAGAGGGAACCCCCGATCTTGGTGAATATTCTATCTCAAGTCACAGGAAACATAACCGGCAACGCCAGGGGGTCAAGCGAGGAAAGCCCGTAGCTTCGCGTTATCCAAGATCTCTGCCTCAATCAACCGTCCGGCCTCCGAGACATGGCCGTTGACCAGCTGATAACGCACCAGTGCCGGAACATTGTTGACCTTCCACTGCGTGCGGTAGATATTATTGGGATCTCTCCATCTGGAAACAGGCGTTAGTCCAGGACATGAACATTCCTTACGGTTGAGGCGTGACTGCGGAGTGGAACGTCCACCTCGACACGTACTCCGGTTTCTGTCCCACGGGGACAATCGCTACTGTCGGCGCGTCGGCCGCCGTAAACGCGGCATCGATGTGCGGCAGCGCGGCACGAACGTCAGGGCACCATGCTTGTTTGGTGATGGGGTCGTCTCCGGAGACGAATGCAAGGAAGAGCTTGGCGCTAGGGGCCGCAGGCAGCTCGAGGAGCTGTGCAGAGCCCGGGAGGGTGAAATTGCGGATGATGGGCATGGAGGGCGGCGATCGGGTCGATGGGGAAGACAGGGTTTGTTTAGGTCCAGGACGCCAAGTGGCCTCAACTGGGTATCGGAGTCATGCGAGTGTCGTGAATTGTTGGGGGAAATGATGCCATCCCGGCCTAGTCTTGGTTGATCGACTCGGCGAGTTTGCGAAATTCTGCGATCCCCCGCGTTCGGTGGGGCCGGACGGGGGCGTGCGCGACTTTGTTTATACCCACCCAGACTACTTGATAAGAGGATCTCGAGGACATCCATGCCATGGCTTTGGTAATATACATTCGTCACAATTACTATGGCACGACAACCGCCCGAATTACGTCGCGGGGACATTTAACATTACTCCAGCCGAGAACTCAACGGCAAATTCCGACTGGACCGTCCAACGTACACGCTCTTCGGCCAAGGTGAAACAAGCCAGTTCTGCGACTTCACGTCCCAGTTACTCAAATCCCGGCGAGTGAGCGTAGCCCGGAACGTCAAGGTCTGCCCGGGCAGCAGATACATCCGGGCAAAGTCTCTCAGTTGGCGGGGTGGGTTGTCGCCTCCAAGGTCCACGTAGAGCTGGACAACCTCGTCGCCGGCTACGTCGCCCGTGTTGGTGATCTGCGCGGTGACTTCGTACAGCTCGTCGTAGAGCATCTCGTTGCCGCCGCTCGAGACCGGGTCCCCGGCTGGGTTGACGGGCTGCGGCGAGCCATCCAGCGCGAACGGTGGAATGAAGTCTGTGCTGCCGTAGTCGGGGTCTTGGGATGCGGCGCGCAGGGAATCTGTGCTGTTGAGGTAGGGGTAGATGAAGGCCTTGATGTACTTGTATGCCGCGGGGAACCCGTAGGTCTGGAGGTCCTCGCTGGGGGGCTGTCCCATCGCAGGTGCATGCGCCGTGGTACCGGTCGCGGGGCTGTAGGAGCGGACATGCTTCTTCACGACTCGGAGATCGGAGTATTCGAACGTGGTGTAGGACAGGCCATACCCGAATTCATAAATCGGGTCGATCCCCGCTTGGTCGAAGTGGCGGTAATCGAGATAGATGCCCTCGGTGAAGTCCTGCTGAGGCGGCCGCTGGCCGTTGTTGGGCTCATACATAATGTCGACCCCATAGTCCTTCCGATGCTTGGCCCAGGTAAAGGGAGAGCGACCGGCGGGATTGACCTTGCCCCAGAGAATATCGACCAGTGCGTTTCCAGACTCCTCGCCGGGCAGGCCTGCCCAGACGATCGCGGTGATGTTCGGGTGCTCGTACAGATCATTTAACAGCACAGGACCGCCGGAGTGCAAAACAACAATGGTGTTGTTACACACAGAGCTAACCGTCTGGATCACCTGGTCCGCATTCTGCCAGAAAGTCAGGTTGTTGCGGTCACCCCAGTTGGTGTCGACCGTGATGTAGCCTTCGCCAGAGTCAGCATTGCCAAACACGATGCAGGTGGCATCTGGCTGCGACACAAGGGAGGAGATGGCATCGCCGTCATAATTATCGAGAATGCTTTCATAGCGGCCCCCGTACTCCAGAACCTTGGACTGAATGGCAGAGTCGGGGGGTAACCAGGTAGGGGAATTGGGTGGATCCAGATCCCCATCCCATCGCGAGCGTGCCTTGGTCACAGCCACGATCTCCACAGCCGTTGGGTCCCTTGGGATTCGGCCCAGCATCCTCACCCACAACAGCCACGAATTTGGGAGCCTTAAGGGGAAGGGCACCGAAGTTGTTCTTCAGCAGGATAGTGCCCTTTGCTGCAGTTTCGCGGATAAGCTTCGCGTGATCGCCACGGACATCGACATGCCAGTTGACCTGCTCGTAATCTTCCTTGCCATAAGCATATTTGTAGCCGTCGGTGCCAGAGGTCCAGGAGTTAAAGTTCACGTCCGGTTGGTCCTCAATGGTGAGGCCAACCTTGAAGTACGCTGCCATCATACGCATAACCATATCATCGAGGCGCCACTCGGGCACCGTGCCGTTCAGAACTGCAACCGTAAGGTTGGAGCCCCAGAAGCTCAGGCCAGAGTCGAAAACGGTATCGCCCGGCATCGACATATCCAGACCGGCCAAAGCGGACGATACCCCAGAATGTTGCGCACTCCAATCACTCATAACAAATCCTTGGAAGCCCAACTCGCTTTTCAGAAGCTTGTTCAGAGTGTAACTATTCTGGCATCCGTAGGAGTTGTTAATCTGCGAGTATGAACACATGAAAGACCCTACACCAGCGCGAACCGCATCGGCAAAAGGCCATAGATACAACTCATGCATAGCGCGATCCTCGATGTTGGAAGAAATCGAATCCGAGATAGTGTAGCCGTGGCCCGTAGCCTCGCCGGCCTGACGGAAATGTTCCTGCTCATTCCCAATGTAGTGTTTGGCACAAGCAATCACCCCAGTGTCCTGTATGCCCTTGATAGTCTCGGCCATAGCGACACCGGTCAAGACGGGGTCGGGGGAGAACCCCTCCCAGTTCCGGCCGCCCTCCGGCGTACGACCTAAAGGACCGGCAACAGGCCCCAGTTGCACCGTGACGCCCTTTCCCTTGTGCTCCTGTGCCATGGCACGGCCTCGTTGGTAAAGAATCGAGCGGTCGAAAGTGGCGGCCGCCATTTGGCTGGATGTGAAAGCGGAGGTGTAGTCGGCGAATCGAACACCTTGGGGTGAGTCCTGGGTACAGAAGCCCTTAAATCCAAGTCGAGGAATCGACCCAGTGTTTCCTACACAAGGACCATTGGCCCAGCTTCACAGAGTCAGGGGCTGTTTGAAAATCAAACCAGGAGCAGCCAGGGAGACTTACCCAACACCGGTGGTCAGATTGATCTTCTCCATGAGTGTAAGCTGCGACACAAAGTCGTGGGCTTTCTGGTATGCGACCTCCCAGCCCTCGGCACGAGGGTTCATCCATGGTGATGGGTAGAAAGGCTCCGAGAACCATTCGTTCACTTGTGTTCCATGCAGCATCTGTGGCTGTAGAGCACAGCAGTTAGCTTAATCGGTCAACTTGGAAGACGTTAGTTGACTTGATGACGAACTTGGTGTTCTTCCACAAGTTGCGCCGCGGCTGCAAACTGGCCAGCCCATGACGCAAAGGCCAGCAGAATGGTAGAGCCCTGCATGCTTCAGGTGCTGGTTGTTGTCGACCGAGCTTGTCGAGCCACGTCCGTTGTCTGTCTCGAGCCGGTCTCTTGTACTCAAGGTGCCGAGGGTAAATATGGGATCAACGCGAGAACTGGGGCTCCATCACATTCTTATATCGCGTCGAGCATTGTCGCGTCCTGGGTCACGATGACCAAGGGCGGAAGAGTGCCCATGCGCATGCCCTAGGCTGTTTCTCCGAGCATGGCCTAGGAAGCATCCCTATTGGCCTGCCATCTCGAGAGCTCCGCAAAGTTCAGACCCTTCATAACTAGTGGCGGCGGTCACAATTCGCGAAGCTCCACAATAGCAGAAGCATCTCGGGGGTCAATCGCGGGTTATCCATACCAGCTCGGATCTCTCGACGATATTTGCTTGAAGAAGCAAGCATAATCCCACGTTGCATTCGACCTGCTGCTAGACTGGCTGACAGACAGACAGACAGACGACTCTGTTTCCCTGGTATGGCAGGTCGGTCAGCAATGGCGCAGGGTATGCGGTGGTAGCCATCCCTTGTGCATCCCTGCCAAGGGTTGTACCTCGCAACTGGAGGTCCATGCATGAGAAATCGTCTGTCGTTCTTGCCGAAATAAACGCAAGGTCTCGGTCGGCTAAACGTCGGGTTAATCCTCAAAGGAGTCATCCTTATAGGTAAATGTCGTAATGTGCTGCCGACGATGGGTAGCTGGATATACGCCAGATCCTGGACCAGTGTTTGGATCATCTCTGTCCAACTTGGCAATCAGCCCATCTGGGCACGAGACAGATATATCCAAGTAATTACCATACGCTATGGCAATAAAGCTTGAAATGCATTCAGATTTGACTGGCGCGCAACACCGGCCGAGTGTCAACAGAGGAGTTCAGGTACGCAGACGATCATTGGTTGTTTCGAAGAAGGTGGGGATAATCCCCGGATGCAAACAAGCCAAACAAAAGGAACCAATATCAACTCAGAAATCGCAAGGTGAATCAGCGGCGAGGTCTGAATGGCTTGGGATAGAACGAGACAGTGCAAAACACCAAAACTTTTGCAAGTAACTTAGACTGCTGCTTTCTGAGCCTCTGGGGTAGAAAGGCAGGCACAGAAGCGCAGAGTGTGGCATGCAAAGGGTGGTAGACGCGAAGGGCATCAAGTGAGAACTAGGCAGCTACAGCACCCCCGTTCAATTAAGCTCTTGCCTGCTGTCAAGACAAAATAGGGCCAAATCTTAGGCAAAATAACCACTAGACCAAAAATGCACTATAGGCGACATTCTTAGTCTATACCGTCATTTATTGCTCTGACATCTGCCTAATGGGGCCTGGGAGTGTCTTGCAATCTAGTAGGGGCATTGTTAGGTACCCAGAACACTCCGTAGCCAAGTGGTAACACTTCTCCACGGTGAAACTAGAGGACGAGCCGTTGCTAGATTTACGGGGGAATTACCGATCCTGGTGTGACGTATGGCCAATGTAAGGGCGTCGATTCGAACCATAGGCGCGCTTTACCAGGTTGCCGAGGCGAGCGATCCACTTGATTCAGGTGGAAATGCGCATCTGGTTCGGCGCCCTTAGGGGATTTTTTTGGGTCCCCCTGTATATGCCCCCTGTATATGCTTCTGCCATCTTTGGGTGTTCATGACGCTATTCAGATCGTGATTGAGTGTTATGTTGATATGTCAAGAAACTGTAGGGGCCCCGCCCAGAGCTCTCCATTGACGGACCCACCCACGCTTGTCTATTATATTTCTTGCAATGCTGATAGCCCCTTTCTTTATATTGAGGAATTTCGTTGCAGCAACTGTGTTTCTTGATTCTCTTCCTAAATTATCCATAACAAACCCAGCGAGACATTTCCTCTCGCCAGAAATGCGACATACGAATCATCCGACATCAGAATAAGCAGCCGAGGAACCTTTCATTCGGGCTCAACAACAGGTTTTACACCATTGTAGTTCTTCATACTGTCAGTATCTACCTCTTCCCTCGAAAGTGCCGTACTCACAATAGTCCCCGTAATCTTAATCGCGTCCTTAGAAGTGCCATAATTGTTTCCAGTAACAACGCCATGGTTCGTAATTCCGCGATTATCGACATTCCCTTGGTTGACAACAATGCCCTGTTCGCGAACGTCAGTCAAACCTCCAAGGATCGGGGGGGAGCTGTGGTGACAAACCTGCGCATTGAGCCCCTTCACTCTCCCGCTGCTCAAGTCCTGATTCTTGTCAATATCCGCGACCCACTGAGCCAACTTCCCGGAAACGCTCTTGTAGTCAGAACTATCCTCGTCACTAAACTTGCACATGGCGATATGGTCTTTTGAAATCGACAGCGCATCAACCCCCAGCCAGCTCGCAGACTCCTTCGGAACAATCTTTCCAATCTTAACGCCCTTCTTATACAGCGACTCGTCCTCAAAGAAACAAGCCACTTCCAGGAACGGCTTGGTTCGGGAGCGGTCACGCTGTTTCAGGAATTTTGCAAAGGCATCGTTTATACTGGCGAGTTTGGCAGAGCGCTCCTTGAGATCCTCGATGTTTTGCTTCGCCGCCGCCATGAAATATGATAGAAAGCTCACCGCTAGACTGCCATACTTGGCTTTAGAAGAACCATGGAATGGTGTGCCTAGGAACAGGGTACCGATCGTTTGATCAGCGAGTTCTTTGGCAGCGTCGTCTGTGCCATGCGGCCGGGAAAGTGCATTCGCAACGACAAGGCCGCCGAGGCTGTGTGCGACAAATATAATAGGCCGCTCCGCCTATAGGGAACGTTTTTGTTAGGACATACTCGAGGTAGAAGGGAGGTTTTGGCCCACTGTGTTGGTCTTTTTTCGCAACCCGATCAGAGCGTCGAACAAAGATGCCGAGTAATTATCGATCGTCAGATCGGGCGAGATACCCTTTGGGCCGATCATCGGGAAGAAATGTGCGAAATCGGAATTATACCCAAACGACATGATTCTTGCCGTTGGGCAGTCGGTGGGCAAGAGGGTCTTTGGCCAGAATTGAGAACGGTCTTCATTCTTCCAGGTCCCTATGTATTCGCAGAGTTGATGAGACATATAGTTCGGCAAATGCCAGAGTTCAAATTCCTCCTTTGCGACTCTTGGGTTTTGGGTACGACCATATTGCTTACATGTATCGATCCTGTTGCCTCCCAGGCCATGGACGAAGATGATGCTACGAGTATTGTCAGTTCAAATCCCTCTAAAGGAAGCGCTAAGACCACATACTCTACTTTAGCTTTCTCCTTTGGATCGAACAGGATATCCCCCAATCCCTCTTTTCCCGGTTCCCCGGTGGGCTCATCTTTGGAACCAGACATTGTACTGTTCTGCGAATGAGGAGTGGATCTCAAGAGTATTTAACCGCAATATGTTCAGAAGCGTGCCATGTTACTCTAATAACCTAGCCATCAAGGGTCACGGTTGAACGGAGGCCCCGTCGATTATATCTATTATGTTTACCCCTCCTTCATTTTGCCAAGAGGCTCCCAGCCGCACTGCGTGGTGATATGCGTACGCATGGCTGCATGCAGTCCTTCACGAGGTGGCTAGCAGGGGTTTGCGCCCGGCCGGAGCTTGAAATCCACAATTCATTGTAACTTGCATCTCAGCGCATCAAATCCCCCGCCTTCATTCAGGATTAGTCTGAGCAATCTTAAGGGTCAGATTGGCAACCTGCACCACGATACACGGCACCGTTGTGTGGCTTCTGAAGAGAGGAATCATCGGGTGTGGATAAGCGCCCGGGCTTGGTGGCGCCGGCTGATGGTCAGCTGCACGGTGATATGATAGCAGACCAGCATACGTCCGGGTTGCTGGTCGGGACCGATTGGCCCTGCAGTAAAAATGGGGAAATTCCTAGCGATGACGCTGCTCGCGTCCCTTGGTTTCGGGCGGAGCCTCACAAGGTGGTCATCTCGAAGGATCTAATCCAACAATCCGTCAACATCGTTCACAATGGCCTGCTCATCCGTTCTCTTGGGCATTCAGGCGGCGATAGCTTTCATTCCCAGCTTCAATACCTCTTGATGGACGAGGGAGAAAGCGAACATCGCTTCCTCCCTCGGGTCCAGTCAAGGTCCATCTCATGACAGACCCGCCGACCCCCCCCTCACACACCCGCCAGCTCGTCCAAAAATGTGCAAAATACCACGCAGGGAGATGTAGATAATAGCAATATCCAAAACAACGGAGGCGTCGTCACTGGAAATAACGCTGGGTTCACCACCATAGTCGGTATTTTTGACCCCACCAGTCACCCTTCATATAGTCACTAACGGGGCCAGGGACACTTAATGTCACCGTTGATACTGCCGCCGATCTCGCGAGTAACATCCAGAATTTCACTGCCAGGGTCGCGACGGCCGCTGCGAGGCTGAAAGACGTTGAAAACAGGATTCTCGCCACTTCCCAGTTGCTGAGCAGCATCCGTGACTTGGTTATAACTCGGGCGGCGAGAGAAAACATTACCATAGACAGAGATTTCCGAGTGGAAACGGAAATTGGAAATGGAACTGGACCTGGACCTGGACCGGGCAATGCGCCGAATGAAGGAGAACGAGGTGGGAGTGAGCCTGATCAGCCACAAGAACGGCCAGAGGGGAACACAGAGTCGAATATATTGGAGAAGCCCTGTTTTCGCGACTTAGTGAATGCGAGTAAAAGTGCGGCTGACCGTTTTGATCTCATCAGCCAAAAGATCCGCGATGCATTTCGTGCGCTTAATCCCATGAGGGGAGGGCGCGCCAAGGTAGAGTTAAGTGAGGAAGACCGACAGAGAGTCTTCTTGACGGAGCGTGATATCGACGATATGGAGAGACAGATCGAGTCGCACAAATTGGAAGTGCACATTGCGCTGACTGCTTTCGAAGCCACGATGTGAGTGTTCAGAATAGCCCTCGTTCTGCAAATGCGATGAACCGCCGATTGACAGTAAAATCTGCACAGGGGCGACAAGCGGTCCGAGGCTGTCCAGTTAGTGATCCTGGAAATGTTCAAAGAAATAAAAAGAATTGGGGAGTACTTTTTAGGGCTGGGCCGAGAACGTCAACGTGGACCTGAACCCCAGCCTCGACCTCGAGACCCGAATCCGCAACCTCCGTATACTCCAGTGCCACCGCATCAAGTCCCACCATATCCAATGCCGCAACCGCATCAGTGGGCGTATTCTGAACGGCGACCACTCGTGTTCCCGGACCTATCACGGCTGACATCTTTATACATGGGCTGGACATTCACGAAAGGCCGGCCACCATATGTCCATATCGACACCAGCTCCACGCAGCTCTCGTGGAGATGGGCAGTCTGCAGTAGGATGGCCCTCTCAACCGAAGAGCTCTTCCTGAGAGTCCTAGCTCAAACTACCCAGCGTTCCAAGATGAGACGGACTATCCAGGATGACTGCAAAAGCCTTTTGAAATCGAGTGTCCAGAAAATGCTCGTGGACGACTTGCTGCGAGATCAAAATATGCGACTATCATTGCAGTATCCGCTGTTGGAGTTGAAGTTGGCCGGCTTGGCTTGTAAAACCCGGAAGGCCGGGTTCTTTGCCGAAGAGACGAGGAGCATTGATGTCATCTTGAAGACAGAATGGGCCCTCGAGCCTCCTGACCGGGGTCCTATGGCGCCAGGTGGTGGTCTTGGACCTCCTGGCTTTGGTGGCCCCGCCTATGGCCCCGGTGGCCCACCTTACGGCCCTGGTAGGCCTCTTGGTACAGGAGGAGGTAGGGGAGGGGGGGGGAGGAGGAGGGGCAGGCGGAGGAGGAGGAGCAGGAGGAGGAGCAGGAGGAGGAGCAGGAGGAGGAGGAGGAGGAGGAGGAGGAGGAGCAAGATGGGGTGGTGGTATGGGCCCTGAATATCCCCCCGGTGGTGGAGGGGGAGGCGGCTGGGACTTCAATAACAATAGGGACCCGAGAGCCCTCGGGGGTGACACAGTCCGCCCTGGTCATCCCAATGCACGTCCCACGACGCAGACACAACCAGGCATCCCTCATGTGCAATCCCAGGCTGCGCCTGTACGGCCCGTATCCGCCACATCCTCGCGCGAGCCGCGGCTTGTTTTTGTCAGAGAAGGAGGGAAAGGCAAGACCATTCGTCCGATTGAGGAGAGCAGCCACCGTGTCTTTCTCTGGGACGAACGAGGTGGGTCGAAAGTTTATGCTGAAAACCGTCGTCCGGCAAGCGTTCGTCGAAGCAAGGTGCATGATGGTTTTCGGGCATCAGCTGCGCCCGCTGCTTCTGCTTCTGGCCTGCCTCCACCTCCTCCACCTGGTGGCATGTATGGTACATTCCCGTACGCGTGGAGCCAGCCTCTAATGGGTGGTACCTCTGCGTATGTACAACCGCAGCCGCCACCTCCTGAACCGGTGTATTTCGCTGGCAGTGGATTCCCGCCTAGACCGACAAACGACAATGTGCAAGTGTTAGCACGAGACATGACGGTTGAACAAGAAAGGCAGATCATCGACGAGCTATTCGCAGAATGGGAAGACGGTGTCCACAACAAAGGGGAGAAGCTCAATGCGGAGACGCAGGCTTACAAAAAGGAGGAACAGCGCCCTTCTACTTATAAACAAAACGCTGTGGTACGTATGGGCACCACACGCCGATTGATGATGGAGGTCGAACGGGAAGCCCAGAAGAAAGAGACTCTGGAGAAGAAGCTGCGACACGCACACACGTTGGAGCCTGGGTATTCCTTTGCGAATGAACCCGGTGATAGACGGAGGACGGCGTATGCGACGCGGCCGCGGCGTAGGAGAAGACCCGTGAGCATCAACCTGAGGGGAAGTCAGGAAGGGGACAGTGATATCGAGAGGGAGGCATACTTTGAGGACTTCTATCGGAGATACGATAGATATCCCGACGGTACTGTTCCCGAGCAGTCCGAGAGGCGCAGGGAGGAGAGGCGCAGGGACTATTTTCAGACCCCGATGAGAGGGCACCATGTCAATCTATCCGAACCTTCTGGGCGCCATGATAGTACTAGGGCTGTGGCCAGCGAGGTGCCCAGTGAGATGATGGAGAGAGAACGTGCTCGGAGGCCGCCTCATAGCCATGTGGTCATTACAACCAGGCCGGAGAGAACCGCGAGAGGGAGAGACATGAGGATAGTCGAGACGCGAAGCCCGAGGTTGAGGGTATATACGTCTGATTCTGAGTCCTGGGCCGAGGTTGAGGAGGCTACCATATATTCGTCCGACGACTAGACTTCACGGAAGGGCAATTCATCGTGCAAATATACTCCGGAATCTTTATTATCCGGGTCTATAGTAGTCCTCACAAGAAAATGCAATTCAATTATATCGATCTATAAATGCAATCTCCATGTCCATGCAAAATATCAAAGTGGCGAAAACCTCGCATCATCTGCCGTATATGCTGAATATCTGCAACAAGGATGCAAAGAAGAGAAAACTGTCGGTGCCGTGCACCACAGTGGGAAAAAGGGTGGGGAAAAAAAGGCGATTCACAGTCTGATGAACAAGATGAGGAAGAAGAGGAAGAAGCAAAATGCATGAATCAATGCATCACATCATCAATCACCACTCAAATCAAACCACAACCTCACTCCCCTTCCGACTCGCAACCTTAACAGTCCTCTGTGACGACTGGGAGATCTGACTAACACTATCCGCCGGCCTCACCGGCTCCTCAAACGTCTTCGATTTCGACGAGTGCCGCGACGCTTTTGAGTGCTTGGAGTGCTTGGAGTGCTTGGAGTGCTTGGAGCGGTGCGAATGACTCGAGCGTCCAGAGTGACTCCCGCCAACCTGGCTGATCGAATCGTCCGGCGTGACGTGCGAGTCAACCTCGACGTCGATCACGCTCTCTGGCAGAAAAATGTGACGCGCGGAGGCGTGCGACTTCGGTACTGCGCTATAGAAGGAGTTCGACGAGCCGGCCGGTAGCGGGGTGTTGCGCGCGGAGACGGCGGATTTGTTCCCACCTTGGCTGGGCGCCGCGCTGTAGAAGGACTCTGAGGAGCTGGCGGGGAGGGGGATGTTGCGGGCTGAGCGGGTCGAGGAAGTGGTGCTGGGGGCGCCACCGGCCTTGGACGGGGCGTGGGAGTGTGATTTGACCGTGTGCACGCTATGCGAGGACGATGCGCGGTACACCTGCGAGCGGTGGCTGTGCTCTGAGTAGCCGTCGTCAGTACTATGGCGGCGCTGCGTGGCAGAGGCCTTGATCGTCGACGCCGAGTGCACGCTACCCGCGCGCGGCTTGTCGGCCGCGTAGCTGCTGATGAAGGTGCTGGGATTGCAGGGGAAGCGCTGTTGCGAGGCGCTGCTGGGCGGCGGGTACTCGATGGCGCGGAGCGGCAGGTTCTCCGGGATGGAGAAGATGCTGCCGCCATCTGAGGCGCGGCGGCCTTGCTCGTCATGGTAGAACTCCGTGCCCTCGTATATGGTGCTGGCACGCGGGTTCTTGGACATTATGCTCCGGGATAGCGTGGAGCGGGCGCCTGAGGCTGCTGTGTAGACGCTGCGGGGGGAGGAGCCTCGATGGCGCGGACGCCGGATTGGCCGTACGACATGGCGCCAGAGACTTGAGAGGGCGGAGCCATGAGCTGTGGGAAGTCAGGGGGGTATTGCTGTTGGTATTGTTGCTGTTGGTATTGTTGCTGTTGGTATTGTTGCTGTTGGTATTGTTGCTGTTGGTATTGGGGCGGTGGTGCCTCTTTGGTCTCGGAGGTGGTGGATTGCGAGTCGCCCTTCACCATGGCGTAGGCGATGGCGGCGCCTGCGGCGGCGCCGATGAGCGTACCGACGATTGTTTTGGCGGCTTTGCTGCCATCGTCGGTCTGCTGGACTGGTGGCGGTCCATAGGCGAGGGCTGAGCCTGTTGACTTGTGGGAGACGACAGACGGGGCCTTCTCGATGGCTGTTGGTGCTTTTGATATTGCACGAGACTTGGCCTCTGATCTTGGGGGCGCCACGCTGCCAGCTTTGCTACTCTTCGATACCACAGAGCCGTTCCCCAGCTGGGCTATTGTCGGCCCCCCGGCTTCTGATGCCACGACAGAGCTGCCGGGTCGGTACACTGCCTCGACGCTATTACCATCAAAGTCGATTACGGCGGCGCTATGGTAGCCGGACTGTGAATCGCGGGTCCTGGGTTCGCCGTGGAATTTCCCACCGGCTTGGATGGCCTGGTGGAAGAATGCGGTCACAGCATCTTTGGATGGTGCAGGAAATGCTACATGCGCTGCACTGGGAAGAACCCTGGAGGGGAGGAAGTTAGCATACTGCCTCATAAGGTGGACCCCACTATCTAATATCGATACCACATACCCAGGCTTCTGCTCCGTGATCCAGAAATCTGCCGGCTCCCCCTGCTTCTGTCCAAAGCCAATGTAGTCATCATGTCGGCCAATAAACTGGTATCCCAGTGGTTGCAGGCAGGAGAGGAAGAATGATGTCGAGGTAGGGAGATGCGAGACGGTCAGGGTCAGATGCGAGACGGGCATTTCGGGAAATGGTAGGTAGGAGGGGGTCCAGTCAAGCCAGCGTGCCAGGAAAGTAGCACACAGAGGATGCTGGCTAGAATAGAGCGGATGGTACAGGTAAAGGGTGTTTGCACGACAAAGATACGTGCACAAGAAAAGAAGAGAGAAAGTCTGCTCAATGCAGGGAATGAATATATACGGTGAGGATACAAGCAAGGTGTATAAGAAAGCAGAACAATGACCCCTCCGGAGGCTAGTCCTGCCAGGAACCAGTCACGACACTAAGGGACAGTCTCCAGTTCCAGGAAAAGATGCCCACCAACAAGAGAGTGGTTAGCTTGGGTTAGCTCGCTGGTTGTCACTTATCCACCTCCTGCCCAAAGCCTGCCACTAATCGCTCGAATCGCCCGAATCGCCTGCACCGCGCTGGCCACCGCAGTCGCCCGAGAAAGGCCACCAGCCTAACTCAGCAGTGGACCCTGGACTAGCATTGGAGGCATGCACGGCGAGGGTGGATGCGGACGGAGGATCGCCGGATCACTGGATCACCAGCCAGGAAGAGAGTAGTCCAGTGTCGTAGGCCTTCTACCGGATCGAGCGATCTGCGGGAAAGCTAATGGTGAAACGCGTGCCCCGCGCGCGGACTGGCTGTTCGGACAGCACGGGCGTGAGGCGAGACGGCAGGCTCCGGGCCATGCTCCTCGCCTAGGAGATCCTGAGGAGATCCGGGCATGCAGGCCCAACTTGAAGAAGAGGCAAGGCGAACGCCAAAGCCAAAGCCGACGCCGGGATCGAAATTGAAATCGAATCATGTTCCTGGACCCGCGAGCTATCCGAGGCTACCAGGTTCGAGGTTCGCCATTCCGTTCCGATAGGCCCCAGCGGGCCCGCCGCTTGGAGCCCAGGTTGGCCAGGTCAGCGCGGGGACGGACACAGTGGAGTTGGCGGAGGACCTGGCAGCGTGGATGGGCGCGAGTGGGCGGACGCGGTGGACGTTGCTCGCGCTGGACAAATGGGTGCGGCTCCGGTGGGGACGGGGTGGAATGGGTGGAATTAGCATTGGCCATTAAAACAGCCGGGGGCAAAGGGGAGGAGTTGGCGGTGCGGATTTGGGCAGGTGTGCTTGACCGCTACTGTTGAGGGCGGTCGAGTCACGGAATTGCAGACTGGTGAGATATTGGGCTTACTCTTGTAAGAAAAGAGAAGATGCGACGAAGCTATGCGGGTTGTCCAAGGGCTGTGGATTATGATTCTAAGCATTTGGGTCGCCTATCCGGTAATCCGAATTCGATAGTACCTACAGTATGTCGGACTGCAGACGAAGTCCGTCAGAATGAATGCCCGCTCTGGGCTGAGGTGCCGATACCTGCACCGGTGTGTCGTAGATTCTGACTACATCTTATGGGAGTCGGAAATGGGTGATTCGTCCGGGAACGAGATGCGCGGTTCCCATTAGCGGGGCGTTAGTCCACGATAGTCGGCTTAGGCATTGAGCTACGAGATTTAGCAGGTTTTAGCAGATTTTAGCAGTCCTACGTGCAGCGCAGGGTCAAAGTGAGGCGGGCGCCTCATCCATGCCACGTCGAGAGGACCGCCTATGACATGCGTCCCTGCCATGTCACCTCCTACGTAGGCTCGGCACAATCCAAAGCCTAGACCAGACCCGACGGACTACCAGATATAGCAAACTAAGGATCGGCGCCAAATCTCGCATACCAAAAACAGGGCACGTATACAAAAATGGTACTGTATTCAAACACAATATGTGCCTAATCTCAGAAGCCTGGCACGAAACGGGCTCCTGATCTATTTGCTGTTCACTTTTCTGGTCTCATCGCCACAGTCGAGGAGGAAGGCTGCGCTGCGGAAAGAGGCGGCTTTGGGCTTGGATCAGGACTGGCGGCGAAAAGGAACCAAATGCCGTCCAGTCCGAGTCTCTTTGTTGTCAATTGTCAATTGTCTTGGCCAAAGGGTCGTCATAGTGGGTGAGAACTCTTGACAGGTGGTTGCAGGCAACAAAAGGATCAACAACCCCAGCAAAATCCCCGAAAATAATTCAATTCCACTCCACGGGCTTTTTTTTGGGCCCCGAACAGGGGAAAATTCGATGTGATGTGATGGGATGGGATGGGATAGCATGGCAGGCTGGCTGGCTAGCTGACTGTACCATTCCATCAACGGGTATTCGCGACAGGTGACTCAATAGGTCTTCAAAAACACAAGATGCGAATAGTAGATCGAAGGAGAGAGAGAGGCAAAAAGAGGCGGCAGACAAAATAGTCAGTCGGCCAGCCAGTCAGTCAGAACCATTCCATCACAAACATCCAATCCAATCCGCTCGGGGTCCAAACCCATCGCAAGGAAATTCGTGGCGTCATGGCATGCAGAGATGATGCCCGGAAACTGCGAACGGCAGGCGAAGGACACGCGCGCGTACCGCAGCGCGATTTAAGTTCCTCCCGCCCATTGCTCACAGAATATCCCATACCTCCTCGGCCGCGTGGCAGAACTTGCTGCAGGCAACACTGGCGCTGAGACTGTAGTTGCTGATGGAGATGGTGTCATCCTTGAAGGAGTCAGCAAAGTCATCGTGGCCCTTGGCCATGGCGCCGACGAAGATGGCGATGCTCTCGCGCGGACCCAGCGACTCGATGTAGTCCTTGGTGCGGACGACGGGTGCTTCGAAACTCATAGTCACCTTGCGGCAGTTCGGGGGCAAGTGGTCGGTGATCGGGTTCTTGATGACTTTGAGCAGCTTCTCTTGCGAGTTGGTGGAGCGGATGGACAGGCGGTGCAGCAATTGGACCATCAAGCCGGCGAAGCGCTTAAAGGTTCGGGGAATGCGCACGGAGGGGTTGACTTCGATGAGGACGCCTTTGGCCGTGTGGATGAAAATCTGCAGCCGACCGGCTTTGTTGACGGGGGAGTCGAGGAGGGTGAGGAGGCACTGCAGGGAGTGGCGGGGGCCATGTTAATATAAAAAAAAAAATAGACCCCGAGGAGAGCAGGGGGGGAAAGGGGGGGCGGAATCGAAATCGCCTGGCCGCTTCGAGAAAGCTCAAGGGAGGAACATACCTGGTGGGTGATATCCGGGCGAGCTTCGCTGATATCGCGGTTCATCTTGCGCATGATACCAATGTGCTCATCGCTGTTCAGCAGCGAGTATTTCTCATCTTTTGCCCCACTACGCCCGCTGGAGGCCCGGTAAGTCTCCAGACTGGCATTCGAGAGAATCACGATCAAACGCTGGGTGTCCTTGTCGTGCGAAGGAATGGGCGCATGCTGCTCGGCCACGAGTTGAGGTAGCTCGGGCGGGGGGCACGACTGGGTCCCTGGCGATTTTGCGTCGTTAGCGGTCTGCAATATTGCTGCGGGCTCGACCCTCCGGCTATAAGGAGGAAAAGATGGCTGCTGCTTGGGCTGAAAGGGAATGGCTGCCGGGAATAGTTTGGACGGTCCAGGCTGGACTGTCACACTCTCTTCTTCCCTGGGAGCCAGCTGGGGCGAGTCTGCGGAGTCTGCGTGGAGGATCTGTCGGCTGCCAGAGTCCATGGTGCCAGATCCTCGTCGCGGGGCAGGTGAAGGGTATAATTGCTCCGGGAGCAAAAGAGGCAGAGGGTGAAAAAGAATCGGGTTACTAACTCGCACGCTTTCGCTTTCCTGCCACTTGTGCGGTGTCCGACATGGTTGGGGGAGGGTGGAGGAGATGGGATGGAGGTTGGAGGTTTTCGAAGAGATTTTTGAGTTGAGGCCGGGTCCGCGCAGTCGGACGTTCCGCGGGTCAAAAGCGGGACCGCACTCGACCCAGCAGTGGATCACGTTTACTTGGTGATTTACCACGTCCGAGTTCGCTGGTGCTTTGAATTACTTCTCTTGGAGTCGACGCTGTATGACCGGCCTCCCCTCTTTAAATAATTCTACATTAAAGTCCCCGACCGGAGACTTTCGCTCAAGCGGTTTACTTCGTTAGTGCCAACGGGGTCTGCAGCGGACCGACTTCGGGTGGGATCCCCCTCTGCTCTGCAGACGGAGTCCGGTCATCGAGATTATCCTGCACGCTACTGCAACAATGCTGCGAAAGGCAGGGAAGCGACCATCTCGCAAATCGTCAGAAGAGGGGTCCAGCAGCCCGGAGTTCAGCTGGATAGCCATATAGTCAGCGCCCGCCCTCGAGCCTGGTGGCTGTTCTTGCGCCAGAGCAGGTCTCAGTCTGGAGCATTCCCCGCGCAGAAGCAGACGATGCGTCGTATGTGCCGTGTGTCACCAACAATCTGCAAGTCGAGGCGTTGCAGATCCAGAGGGAAGCTTCCCCAGGTGGCCCCTCATGCCGCCCGTTCCCTCGCCGGGCCCATCCATCGTGAGAGGATCGACCGCGACTTAGTGAGATCCAGGCGGAGGCGATCTGAGGTGATACGACGAAAGTCAGCCTCGCTCGCGCCATGCCCCCTTCTGCAAGGCTATAGTGCAGCATTGCTGACGCCCGGATCGTCCCCTTGGATCGATGCCGCCCACTAGCGACCGGTGCCTGTCATGTTTCGGTGTGGAGACGATCCAGCTCGTCATCATCCTGTCGGTAGGACGACAAGGAACGGTGGACCGGGATGGCAGGGGAATTGGAGTTTGACCCGCCGTGAATCGAGAGGATCGCTCCACGGCAACTCGCTCATGAAGAAACTTGCCACCCGAGCTCGTGCTTCACCTTGAAACTCTATGCTGTACAAGCATACTCGGCCGTGGAAATCCGGGGGGGGGCCTCCTTCCTCTCCCCCCCCCCCCCCCCTCCCCCTTGTCCCCGCCCCCTCAAGCAGAGATAGATGAAAGGGCTCCGTACACGGAATGACAAGGGGATTTCGGAGTGCTGGGCTCACGGCCAGGCTGAAACCAATCAGGCTGCTGGATCCGCGATCTCGCACAGAAGCTGTCTGGCCCGGATCCAATCAGCATAGGCGGGAATGAGACGCCCCCCGGTCGAACCTCCGGTTTCTGCCTGTGGAAATAAGTAGGCGCCATGCATCCGACTCCCTATAGGCATCGCGAAATATGAGAGATGAGAAATCATACCCTAGACATTAGACACTAGATTTGGTTAGTTATTAAGGGCCTGCCATTGGCGAAGCAGCGCTTCCTTGCACGATGCAACGCGGGGACCGCCCCGATGGTTGGTCTGGGCTGGGTGTCTGTGTCGGTGTCTGTGTCTGTGTCTGTGTCGGTGTCTGTGTCTGCCTTGGTCTCCTGGCCGGTGCTAGGGAAGTCAGAGGTCAGACGGTTGGTTAAGCGGCCGCCCAACAGACCAACACGAGGGACGGGGCCAAATCCTCGTAATTTCCCACGCGGGACTCCTGACGGTCATCAGCCCTGGTAGAATGGCAGGAAGGGCAGGAAGGACACGAAGGATCCGAGATGAAGCCCGCCGTAAGCCGTCTTGTGAAGCAAAGGAGGCCAATTTGCAGTGGTGTTGCGGGTCTGTTGGTTGCGCCAGCGATGGAGCCTGTCGCTCTCGGATTGATGGAGAGGACAAACAGATGAACAAAAGGAACACGGCAAATCAGGGCACAGCGTCGATAGTCCCCGGGCGCAAAAGGGGGGCGAAAAGAAACCCTGCCCGATGTCCCACCCAACATACCAGAGGCAGGCTTGTACAGCCATTCAGAATGAAGATGATGCGGAGGATGAGGCGGATGGAATTAATAAGAAGTCGACAGGCAGGCAGGCAGCAGCTGGGGCTCCAAACAAATCATCCTTCGTCATTGCTGCATTTCTGCGAAGCTGAATGCTTTCATGGCTTATCATTGCTCAACTACCTTCTACCTTCTCATCCTCCCGCTGGTGGCGACTCGTTCCTGTCCTATTAAACCATCGTACCCCCATCGCCTCCACCGCGCAGCTCCTGTTGATCGCCCCGATCATTGAACTAGCTTGCATTCTCCCAAACTCCTCGTTTTTCATTCCCCTATCATTCGCCTGCTCATCTTCCCTCCTCTGACCGTTTTCTCCCACTCATTCCAGCAAGGGATAAGGTGAGTAGTGACGGCCAACCCAAATCCCAAATGACAATATGACCTAAACTAGTTAGCGCCACGCGTGCGGTGGAACCGGACGATCCGCTTTGTTAAACCGCAAACCCCCGTGCGGAAAACAAACACTTTTTCTCCCCCAGGACCTCATCGCGACTTCCAGATGCCGTGGACAGTCACCAATTCTTTTAAGCGGTATGATCCCCTCTACTCCAGTGCTCCAATCTCCTCTCGGTCCATACTGATCCACCCCTTGCTGCAGAGGCCTGATGAAAACATACGGAAGAGCAACATGGCGCGTCTATGACGATGAACGGGTCGCGAAAAAAAGACGCGTCCTGGATGAGTCGGATGAGGCGGAGACCAACCTCCAGTATGCGATCCGCGAGTCCTCCGCCGCCGTGCTCTCCAGCCCCTCGCGGCGCACCTCGGTCGTCCTGTCCGAAGGTACCCTCGACGATATCGACGATCTCACCACCCCCCCTTCATCGCCGCCGCCGCCCCGGTTGACTCCGCCCCCCGCCAACGCCCGCAAGCCCACCTTTACTTTTCTCAAGCGCAAACACAAGGAGGCGGCCGGGTCACCGCTGACCGAGGTGAACTCCAACAGTGTGCGCTCCTCCGTGGACCCGCCCAAGCAGCAGCAACAACAGCACCCGCCGAACTATCAGCAACTCCCACCCCAGCCACAAAAGGTACAGCCCAAACCGCCCGCGCTGCGCCAGATGCAAATCGACCTCGGAAGCGAGGTGCGCAAAACCTGTGCGACATGCGGGATGGAGTATATCCCCTCGAATCCAGAGGACGCGGCGCTGCACAAGAAGTTTCACGAGATGAACTCGACGGGAGTCGACCTCGGCAAGGCGTTCATGCGCGCCAATGCCTCGCGCTGGGTCTACGAGGCGACCCGCTTCGACGAGGGCTACGTGGTGATCGTGGACCGCAAGGCCTCTCCCAGCGCCAAAAACCAGGCGAAGAAAGTGCTCGAGGTCGTCAACCGGGAACTGTCGTCCCCGGAGATCGCGGATGACGTGCTCTGGAGCCAGGCTGAGCCCCCGACGCATCGGCCCGAGGAAAGCCCCGACGACAAGGCCGATCGGTACCGGGTCTTCCTGCATATGAAGGACAGCCGGTGCGTGGGGCTGTGTCTGACGGAGCGCATTTGGGAGTCGCGCCCAGTCGTACCGGGCGAGAAAGGTGGTGCCCACGCGAATGGCTCGTCGGTGTCGGTGCGGGACGAGCTGCACCCGGCCATTGTCGGGGTCTCGCGCATTTGGACGTCGGGGGCGTCGCGAAGGAAGGGCATCGCGTTGGATCTGCTGGATTGCGTCGTGAGCAATTTTATCTACGGCATGGAAATCCCTAAGGCTCAGATTGCGTTCAGCCAGCCCACCGAGAGTGGGAAGCGGCTGGCTCATAAGTTCTTCGAGGAGGAGGAGACGTGGCATGTGTATAACGAGCGGTGATGAAAGCTGGACAAAGATAAGATGAAGATGGAAGACTGCAAAGGTGGATGAGAGAAGCATGGCATTGCATGGGAGGGCATTTTGGTTGGGGGGGGGGGGGGGGGGGGGGCAGAGGATTCTTTTCCTCGATCTTTTAATTCTTACTGGGATACTATATGGAAGGTACTGGCAGGGGGTTTTTTTTTTTTTTTTTTTTTCGTCTGGTCGGACTGGGATTTGTTTATCATCTCGTGGCCTGTTTTTATGTGCTGTTTCTTTTTGCGTGAATCTTGCACTTGCACCGTGTACCATACTATACACCCCGGATTGTTTCCAAGCCCAAGCAGACATACAAGTCCTGCTTGTTTTTTTCTTCCCCCTCCATTTCTCTCTTATCATGAATATTGCCGCCCAATGTCCTCTTCGATTGGACCTCCGCGTAGTTTCGTTGCAACCTTGCAAACGCGGGCCTAGTGGAATTGGTTTGGCAACTGCAGCCTTTCGGGGCTCTCGGACGCCATCGACGGAAAGGCAGGATGGATAAGAAACGCGGGGATTCACCTCCCCCTCCTTCCTCCACTCCCTCTCCGAGACTGAGAGTTGAGACGTCCCCTTCGCGATGTCTGGATTCAATCCTTTTCGCGCCAGACCCCTAGATGGTGAGCTCTCCCTGCTTTCTTTTGTCCCCTGTTCCCCCGGCCTACCCGCCGCCTCCCGATAAGGCGCCGCCATGGCTCATCCACCCCCTCCCGGCGAGGTTTCTGGTCCTCAACGAACGGCGGGCTAATGGATTCAGGTGGAACAGGCAGCTCCGCTGGGGCCACGGCATCTACCCCGATCCCAACGAGCAATGCATCGCTGGAGCTGTTGGCCAAACTAGCCCCGTCGGTGCCTACCCAGCTGCCCAACGGCTACCCCGGAAAGTCCTCGTTATCGCTCGAGCTCGAGACCGATGACTCGACCTCGTCGGACGACCAGGTGGCCAATCCGTTCCATCCTGACTCTTCCGTGAGCGACAATGAAAATGACCCCAACGACGATGACCATCCCCGGAGGAGCTCCACGAGCTCGGCGTTCGACGATCGTCCGCGAGAAATTTTTGGATCTGCTCCACACCCAGCTCCATCCGCGGATGGGTCGACCGCCACGCCATCGTTGAGCGTGCCATTTACGTCCGCAGACCACGCCATGCGGCCTGGAACTGAGGCTAGGTCAGTTTCAGGTCCGGTGTCCACTACACCGCCAGATATCTCTACGCCGGTGACTCGGTTGGGAGGCCAAACACATCCATCTCGATCTCCGCCAGAGCCAGCCACCAGCATCAGTCCGTCAAGTCGCTCCAGCAAAGAAAAAAACCCCCACCACCCCCGCGAAGTCATCACGGGAGACGAATCAGTGCGAGTGCAAGGACTTCGCCCAATACTGCGAACAATCTGGTTGCCTTGTCTTTTCATGCCTCGTCTTCTCACGCCTCACCTCCTCGATCTACTAATCGCCTTTCATACCATGCCTCCTCTCCCGAAAGCCAGACCTCCGCACGCCCGCTCGGCACCCCCAATGCCAGCTCGGCCTCCCAATCTCTAGAGCCAGACTACTTCTCGGTCTCGTCCGAAGACCAGCAGCAGGTAACAGACTCAACCTCAACCGAGTCCCTCCACCGCAGCCACTCCCAACGCTCCCAAAACTCCCAGCACAAACGCCCACCCACACCCCCTCTCAGTCGCCGGCACAGCCAGATGCGGCGGTCCAAGTCCACGCAGTCCAAGTCAAGCGGTAGCCGCTTGACCATGTCCTCACGGGGCTCCGAGAACGCTGGCGGCTCGCAACCCCCGAGCCCGGGGCCCTCCACCCGGTCTGTTGCTTCGTCTCTCTCCCAAGACCGCAAGCGCATCAGCATGCCGCCGCCCCCTTCTTCTGGGGAGCGGGATCCGCGAGCCCCTGGGCCCCCGGGCCTGTCGGCACCCGATGCCCTCTCGCCAGCCCCCGTTAACCTCAGGTGGAACCCTTCCCCGCCCGACCGACGTGCGTCCTCGCATGGCAGTATACCAACCGACAGCTCTACATCTACACCTGCGGCACCCCCGCCTCCACCGCCCCCTCGTCGCGCGCGAGACTCCAAGGCTCGTAGCAGCGATAGCAGGCCAGTCTCTCAGGTGACTGGGGCAGAGAACATACCCTTGCCGCAGCCGTCAAATGCACATGACATATTGGCTGACCTGTCGCGGCTGCAGAAAGAGGTGGATGATCTGCGCGGCCATTATGAGAACCGCAAAGTCAGTCAGTAGTCTATACCTAATAGTCAATCGTCCTTAAGGGCGGAGGACGGGGCCCGGAGGACTGGGCTTTCCTTTTTATCATGTAGCTATTTGTACCAATGAATGTATGAACTGAACCTGCTGTACCACATCTGCTGGACCTGGTTTCGTATCGTTCGATTTCCAATATCGCCCTTGTGTGCGCATACTACATGTGTGGGTGGTGTCTTTTGTGAGATGCACCGTCGGCAGTGATGTCCTCGGACTGACTGGGCCCGCTGATTGGCCAACCGCTCGAGCCGGCATGACGTCGCCAAAAGGGCCCGCGCAATTGTTCCCTTTGCTTCTCCCCGCAATTTCCACCCGTCCCGCTCACTTTTTGGGTCCTCTTGGATCCGCTCCCGGCTCACCTCTTCGCCGACTGATCAACCTTCCCGCAACCTTCTCAACCTCCATAATCGAAGACGGCCATCGCGGTCAGGTTCACATCGATATCCAGATCCAGATCCAGACCCAGATACATATCTCAATCTAAATATCCTTTGCAGCCGCCACAATGACCACGCCCACCCTGATCAACCTCCCACCACCCCCTCCGACCCCGTCACACCCTCAGACATGGGCCCGTAAGAAAAGCTACCCTCCTTCTGCCACACCATCTCCAGCGCCGCAGGAAAATTGATTTTCAGCTAACGTCCACCATAGCGGCACCCCGAACTCCGGCACAACCTCCCTATCCGCGCTCTCTACAACCGCTATCAAAGACGGCCACCAAGGCGCCCCATTCCCTCACGCCCGCCACGCCCACCAATCCTCCTCCGCCTCCACCTCCTCAACAACCACCCTCGAAGCCGAGCGCGCAGACCGTATCTCCCGCCTCGCCGGTCTCGAGCGCGTCGTTACCGCCCGCGCCGGCGCCAATACTGGCATCTCGTCCCACGCCGCGCCTCCCTCCACTATCCCGGGCTACTTCGACAGCCACGCACTGAAGGAGCGCAGCACTGTTGGTAGCGCTAGCGCGACGGGAAGTGTAGGCGGTGCTACGCACACGACGTGGGCGTCGGGTAGCGAGGCATTTTCGGCAGATAAAATGAGTGAGGACATCGACGACGACCACGACCACGACCACGACCATGACCACGACCGCGAAAGCGTGAGTAATGTTAGTGACGAGGGCAATGCAAGTCTTGTGGGGTTTGGCGAGGGCGCGAATAGCACCATCTCAGGCCCGACCAGTCGGCCGGCGGCCCTGAACCGCGTGTCATCCGGTGGGGCGCGGCCCACGTCTATGGGTAGTGTCAATGCCAACGTGCCGCGCCCCAACCCGCTGGCGTCGTACCTCCAGCAGCAGCAGCAGCAGTATGCTGCGGCACCGGGACAGGGGCTAGGACCGGCTGCGGGCGATAGCCCTATGAGATCGCCGTCGCCGGCGGGCTCGAATACTCCTGAGCCGGTTAGTGAGGATGCGCGCATGGTCGATGGGATGACCTTTGATGAAGATGTTGTTGATACTACAGCGCGTACGCCGAGGCTAGTTACGCCGAAACGGAGTAGCAGTGGTTTTGGAACGCCGGGTGAGTAGTGGATGGGATGGGATTAAGGATTAGGCAGGCGAAACGGGCTTGGATGGCGTTTTGTTTGTTGCAATCGGGTTTGAGTTGTGAAATGCCGTGGGATACGGGTTTACTTCGCTTATTTCTTTTGCTTCTGTCTCTTCTTGGTATCTTTTTTTGTTTGTCCTGCCTATCCTGCCTTTTTCTAGGTCGGTGGTGATATGATGGTGGGATGTATTTCTATGGCTGGAGATGGAGCTGAGCTGGAACTGGACCAGGCAAATGCAGCAGTGGACACGACTTATGTGTATGGGATATGATACTATCAGTGCCGTTCAGGTAGCAACGAATCTTTCCTTTCTCTACATGGCTTTTTTCTGATCTGTGTTTTGGGGTTGGGGACTGTAAGTGGTGTTGCCTTGATATATTTCTATGTACTCATGACGGCTCGAATACATGCCAGATGGTAGTTGTAAGATACTACCGATAGAAACAATTATATGTATAAAGCTTCAGAAACCAGATTCCAGAACTGGTTCTCCTTGCCAATCCAGTCCCAGCTATGATCTAGCAGACGCATTGTATGTGGCGATGCCTGGACATGTGTATGCCATGTGTCCAAAAAGGGCCGGAGCAAAGGTCGGAAGTGCGCTCAAGAATGAAGATCGATTCATCAAGTGCATGGAAAGCCTAACTATAGCACGTAAAATATGAACAGAGAGCCAGGGCTGGCTTATACACCACCTCAACTAAACCGATCCTCGTGCTTAGGCCTTCGGCCCAGCCCGGCGCGCCCAGCATGACGGCATGCCGCCCTCCGAAACGCCCACCGCGCGCAACACCCGAATTTTCGCTTTCTCTTCACTTTCATCCTCCCCACCCTCTCCTCCCCTCAACCACCCAACCCCAAACACCCTCCCACCCTCCACACTTCCCCCTCTCCTCTTCGGACTCCGCCCCGCCCTGCTGGCATTGACTTGTCTAGCATCCACGAAGACTCCGACACGCCTTTTCTGCTGCTCTGCTCTGCTCTGCTCTGCTCCGCTCCACCGCTGCCTCGCTTCGCTGCCGCAATTGAGTTTCGCAAGCCGACACTGCACGCTCTGCTTGACGGCCTCCCGTCCCTTGTCGCCATATTCCGCTGATTTCTATCGCGCTACTCGCCGGTAGTTTTCTGCCTTCCGTCCTGGTCACGAGAGATTTTCTTGTGACTGCCGAACGAACACATCGCGACGACCGCCTGAGTGATCTGATCTGATCTGATCCAGGCCGTTTCTCATCTTCGTGTCTTCTGGTGCATATACGTACACCAGATCCGAGAGCAGGATATACGTCTTCCTTCGCGGAGCGAACTAAGATTTTTTTTCCTTGCGTGGCTTTTTCGATCCAGCAATTTGACTTCAAGATGGCCGCTCCTACGCAACTTGCTTGTGCGTTTGCTTCCCTCCTCCTCCTTCGGCCCCCCTCTGATAAAACCTATACTCTTCACGGCCTGCAGCCTGGTCGAATGGATCGGTGGCATGGCGGACTGGGTATATGATCTCTGGTTGGGCATTGAACTGATTGGGCGCTAGACCGAACTCTCAAGGGGATTGGCATTATGGATGCCGCCCCCGTCTATGAGCCCTTGTCGGGATTTGCGAGGTAAGACTCTGAGGTGTCGAAAGAGTGAGAGAGAGGCTGAATTGTCTGGCTGACTTGTGGTTCTTTGCACTAGACCTGAGGGGAACCTCCGCTGCAGCGCTTACTCGCCATGCGGCCGTTACTTCGCATATGCATCGCCTGAACAGTAAGCCTTTGGAATTTTACCATTGCCTCTTCAATCCGAAGTCTAACCAAACATCTTTTTGTTGATAGGGTCACCATTGTGGACGCCTCTGTGGGCCTCACCGTCTCGACCATTCCCGCCGACAACGTGTTCGAGCTGGGCTTTTCGCCGCTTGGCACCTACGTGATCACCTGGCAACGGCCAACCAAGGACGCCAACGGTGATGCTACGAAGAACCTCAAGGTGTGGCGCGCAGTCGAGGCCGGAGACGAGCACTCGGTCGTGGGCCAGTTTGTCCAGAAGTCCCAGACTGGCTGGAACCTGCAGTACACCCCTGATGAGAAGCTGTGTGCCCGCGTCGTGACCAACGAGGTCCAGTTCTACCAGAGCGACAACTTGTTGTCCGTGTGGAATAAGCTGCGTGTGGAGGGGGTGGCGGATTTCGCCCTCTCGCCGGGTCAGACCCAGTCCATTGCGGTCTTTATTCCCGAGCGTAAGGGCCAGCCCGCTGCTGTCAAGGTGTTCATTGTGCCGCAGTTCGGTGCTCCTGTCTCACAGAAGAGCTTCTTCAAGGGCGATAAGGTCCAGTTGAAGTGGAACTCGTCCGGCACGACCCTGCTTGTGCTGGCGCAGACGGATGTCGATAAGACTGGGAAGAACTACTACGGCGAGACTACGCTGTACTTGCTGAGCGCCAGCGGCACGTTTGATTCTCGGGTCGATCTCGGTATGTGGAATCTGAAGTCTGAACTACTGGAATAGCTATGGATTGCAGAGAAGCTAACTCAATTCCGCCTCCCACAGACAAAGAAGGACCCATTCATGATGTGAGTTGGAACCCCAACTCCAAGGAGTTCGGTGTTATCTATGGCTACATGCCAGCCAAGACCACCATCTTCAACGTGCGCGGAAAGCCCACACACACGTTCCCTCTGAGCCCCCGCAACACCATCTTGTTCTCGCCACACGGACGGTTCGTCCTGCTTGCCGGGTTCGGTAACCTGGCTGGCCAGATGGACCTCTACGACATGGAGAAGAACTTCCACAAGATCGCCACTGTTGAGGCCTCCAATTCCAGCGTGTGCAGCTGGTCCCCCGATGGCCAGTACATCCTGACCGCAACCACCAGCCCGCGCCTGCGCGTCGACAACGGCCTCCGCATCTGGCACGTCAGCGGCGGCCTCGTCTACAACGAGGAAATGACCGAGCTGTACGATGTCACCTGGCGCCCGCAGAGCCTCACCCAGCACCCGCTGGGCGACCCCTTCACCAAGCTGCCCGTGCCACACCCCTCCGCCACCGCGTACCTAAGCACGCGCAAAGCCCCTGTTAAGCCTGCCGGCGCCTACCGTCCTCCCGGCGCACGCGGCCAATTGACCCCGCTAGCCTTCAAGCGCGAGGATCAGGGCGGCGCTGCCTTCGTCCGTGACGGCGTCCCTGGCGCTGGCGCCGCCAGCGTCAACGGCTTCGGCAAGCCTCGCCGCCGCGAAATCCCCGGTGCCGAGCCTGTGGAGGAGTACCTGCCCCCGGGCGCCGCTCCCGGCGGTGGCGTCGCACTCCCGCATGGCGCAGAGAACGAGAAGCTCTCCAAGTCCGCCGCCAAGAACAAGAAGAAGCGTGAGGCCGCCAAGAAGGCTCGCGAGGACGGCGTCGATACCACACCCCCGGCGAACGCCCCTACCGGACCTAGCCCGGACCGCGCTCGCGGACGCGGCAAGAATAACGGCTCTCCCGTTAATGGCAATAGCAAGTCTGCGCCTGCACCTGCGGCTGCTGCAGCAGCACCTGCTCCTCCCCCTCCTCCTCCTGCCCCCGCCCCTGTTGCAGATCCTTCTGCGCAGGACAAGAAGATCCGCGGTCTGCTGAAGAAGATCCGGGCTATTGATGAGCTGAAGATGCGGCTTGCTGGCGGTGAGAAGCTGGAAGATACGCAGATGAAAAAGATTCAGACCGAGGATGCGGTGCGTAAGGAGCTGGATGCCGTTGGGTATAGCGGTTAGATGGGATCAGGTTTGGTGCTGATTAAGTCAGTGCTGATAACGCATATGCATTAGTGGGTTGGTGTGCTAGCGTGCTGTGTATACACTCTGTGTATAGTGCCATTTTGCATCCCCGCCCTGGGCCTGTATAAGTGCAGTGAAAATAGAAAACCACACCCAGATTGACCGTTGAATAGGCACGCATGCTTGATTTGTAATTTGTAGGGTATGGCTTGACGGTCGAGTCTATATAGACCAGACAAGACGTTTGTAAAAGTAACAGTGTACTACTACTTAAGTATACTATGCTACCCAATCGACCTGAGAACGGATTCTTCTTGGTTGTGCGTGAAACCCTTGTATTTACAGACAGAGGAGTGCCAGCTGAATTGGATTTTGTAACTACGAGGCCGAAATCATACGACCTCAATGAACAGACTCAGTGCAGTAGTACGTGATGTCCCATCTATGCCAATCCATGCACCGCAGTCAATCCCGGCCTGTTCCCTCCGTGCTACCAGCCACGCCCACCGATGTGAGTATTCGTCCGGAGACTGATCGGTGGTTCGTGGAGGGAGCTGGAGAGTACAAGTAAGCCCGGGAATCAACTGCGGGCATCGCGACGTATCGCGGGGACAAATGTCCCTAGCCGAAGCACAAGCTTCGTTGGAGATGGTGGTTGATATATCGCATCCGATACAGAGCTTATTCGCTTCCGGAGAAGGAATTTCAAGGCACGGACCTCGCCTTGCGCTCCACCTTACAGCGCGAATAGTGTTCTGTGGTTTTCCTAGGAGGAAGAAAAGAGCGGACTGCAAGCTAGAGAATGATGGAAGGTGTTAGAAGGTGTTAATCAAATATTTGTTCGTTGGAGCATGGGTATCATCTATGGTGGTCAGATGCCCCTTTCGAATCAAGTGAAGATGCGAGCCCGTTTCACAGGACTGCCGCCGACGCGTAGAGACCCACTGCCGCCTGCCATGCCGTTCAGGAGGCGGCCCATTCCCTCCACGTCCAGTTCGCCGCGGCGCAGCATCATCTGGTCTGCTTCTGCCTCCACTTCTTGCTTCACAACCTGGGCGGCTGCTGCATTGTCATCGGATTCGACTAGCTGTGGAGCAAGAATCACGATCTGGTGCTCGGCTGCGACAAGAATATCGAATGTTTGAGGCTGTGCGGTTCTGGACTGACGTAGCGGCGCAGGAAGATGGCTGATCGCTTGAAAATTTTCTCCCATCAGGTTAACTACCTGGAAAGGGGTCACGCGGCATCGGTTCGAGGCGTCAAAGGTACCGGTGGCTCGCACGGCGTTGCGCCAGAGTGAAAGCAAGCTCGGGATTACGGCACTGTGCTGGCCGTGTCGCATCAAGATTGATTCGTCGGGCAGGTCATGGGACACGTTGGTCTGACTGACAGAGATCTGGCCACGGAGAGAGGGACTGGCTGCAGTCATGGATCCTTTGAGAAGCGTGTCTTCACGAACTCGTCTCGTGGACGGGGTCATCGGAGCAAATCGTGACCGCTGCTCCGCCTCGGACTGGGTGTTAGTCAATGGAGCCACAATACGACCGCTGACGGCGTATGTAGTCAACGATCCCCCGGTGACTCCCTGCACATTCGACTGACGGTGCAGCGGGCCCTTTGTAGTTCCGGGACCAGCACCTTCAATATCCCAGACACCCCATTCGCCATCTGCCAAAAGTACCATGACAGCGCGTCCACCAAGGACCCAGTCGGCATCAATGATAGTCTTGCGTCGAGTCAGCCCATTCGGATTCTGCTCAAAGCCTGGGTACAGACTGATGAGCCATCGACCTTCGGTGTCGATGGTTCCGTATTCCTCCTGTGGAATTGACCCCCGCCGGGAGCCCTTGGAAGAAGTTCTTTGGATAGAACAGCAAGAGTACACCTTGGCGCAGCCACTGTGGAATGCCACCAACAGACTGGAGTGACGAGCGGAAGGATATGGGGAAGGATTGAAAGCAATTGTCTGAGCAGGGGATGGCAAGGCCCGCCGTTGAGAGACCAGGTCCTCTTCCACCAAACGATAGAGCACATCCTTACCAAAAGTCTCCTCTCGAAGTGGAATGCGATGGATCAAAAGGGCGCCCGATCCCTCAGCAGAATGTGTTGCAACCAGGAGGTCCCATTTCCCAGACCCTCCAGTTTGGCCGCTTCGCGACTTTCGACGATCTTGCTCATCCTCAGATTCCTGGAAGGTGAAGGTGAGAGAAACACCTCTGGGAATATCCTGGTGGGTCACGCCTCCATTGATTGTGACCTTTTGGATATTCCAGCTCCGTGGGTCCTTTTGTGCTGGGTGAGGTGGAAGAAGCGGCAAAGTGATGACCCGAGTGGAAAGGTCGGAACATACTGCCGCGACAACAATAGTGTGCTTCGCAACCGATGGGAAAGGATCGAGAGACGAGCGCACCTCGTCAGGAACAACACGAGGCACTGCCACACCGAGCACCCGACTTTCCAAAGGGATATCAATCTGTCGCAGAATCGGCTCATACGGAAAAGCAGGATCGACCTCAGTCTCCTCTGTAGCAAATTCAAAGCTAGGCTCTTCTTGTACTGCAGGTGCTGCAGAGGTGTCTTCCTCGTCGGAATCGATGATCATGACCGCATCATCGCCGTTATTTGCGCTTTTCACCTGCGTGGAGGGCGCGGCCTCCTTCAATTCGGAAAACTCCCTCCCTCCTCTCCATACGACCTTCAAGCCGGTTTCGTAGCCATAAATGATGATCGAAGAACCGTTGGGAGATCGCAAGGGGTAGGCTTGGGCTGCATGGATGCGATGCGGGAGTCGATAGCTGAAGATTTCGCGGAATCGCATTAGCCTCAGAACACGACGTGGTAGGAGTTCAGAACCAGATAAATCAGATAAATCAGTACCATAGCTGTAGTCCATCCTCCCTTGGTCGTACAAGCGGGTTAGTTGGAAACGAAGGCATAGTGCTGGGCGACCTGACGATATGCGAGAGCTTTGAGCACAAGCGCGCCGGATGGCACCGCAGGGATAGTAGGCGAGCTCGATTTCAATTGCTCGAGCGGATAAATCAAGGATCAGAAAGGGAATCTCGGGTGGGAACAAAAAGGTTGCGCGGCGTGACGGTCGACGCGGCGGCGGTTGAGGAGGAGTCGTTAAAGTTAAGTTGTTTTGGTCGGAAGCAAAAGAAGTCGGGCAAGTTGAGCGCTCCGCGTTCCTGCGCGTCTTCAACTCCCAACACCAAACCACTCGCCATGCCGTCCTAGCAGCGCACCCTGGATTAATACCGGATTTGACCATGGAAACAGCTGCTTCAGCATATTGGGTCCTCGGAAGATTATTTATGAAGGCGCACTACGATTGCTACTTTGTCCGCTAAGCGCTAAGCTGCTATTCAGCCCACCATGGCAACCACTCGCTCGCTCGGTCTCCACAAACCGTCGGCCGTCTCATACCTTGTTACGGAAGGAATTCTTCCTTCAGACCCCTCGGAAGATCAGTACAAATGGACGACATCCGTGGACGAGAATGGATTGACCGGCCCTGTAGACGACGAGCTGGTTTGGACGAAGCATTGTGTGGTATGGTCCCGTGCAGGCATGGTGAAGCGAGTATTTCGACTGGACCCGGAGAAGGAGGAGATTCGACATGCTCTATTCACTCAGTTCGCCGTCGGAAACATCAAACGCTCTATACATGAAGGAACGGGCAGTGCACCTCGGAATCGACTTCGCACGGCCGGCACGGGAACACATGCGCGGGCAGGAGGTCAAAAGAAGCGGAATGGAAGTGAGTCGATGCTACCAAGTTCGGGATCAACACTGGACTTGCATGGAGATGCCAGAGTAGCGGTGGTTGCTCCACAGCAGCTCAGCCAGAAGCTGTCGCGAGCGTTGGTGGTAGTCCTCAAGTCTCAGGCACACATATTCTTCGTTGCAGGGAACAGCCATACAATTCCCCTGCCATTTGAGGTTGATTCTGTGTTTGCAACACCCCGTGGATTACTTTTTCAGAGAAAGATTCCCGATGAGAGGGCCGAAGTCCAGATTCCAACTGCACCTCCCAATTCTTTTTTGGCCACCTCTCTTTTCGATCCTGGTGCCTCGCAGTCATTCGGGGTACCACCGGTAGCTCCCAGCAAAGGAAAACGGCAATCCCTGAAGCTTCCCTCCCCTAAGGGCTCCACATGGGAGCCAAACTCCAGCTCCAGCTCAGATCTTCCCCGGATATTTTCACTCATTGATCCTCATTCAGAGATGGGTTTGGTGGTGACATCGCAAGCGTCCGGACCCTTGCAGAGCAGTGTCAGCAGTGCTACGCGGCATAGGCCTTCGGGCTTAGGTGTGCTAGATCCCGCCGATGAGATCGTTTACATTTCGCGCCAAAACGAGCTCTCGACCCCAGGACAGGGGCGGACAGATGGCCCATTGATACTGGTTGTAACCATGAACACAAGCACTGGAATCTACACTGTTTGGACCGCACGGTACAGAGACGATGAGGCTGGCGGCTCAATCCAGGAGAAGACGCGACGGCATACCGAAGGCACTCGGTCCAAAAGACGAAGCTCGCACTTCGGAATGGCCACTGGTGCAACCACACCAGCAGCTCGCCCATCCGCAGCCCGTGAGAGCTTTGGGCCGTGGACTGAGAACTGGACTTCGTCCCAGCAACCTGAGAACAAGACTGATGCCGAGGACGACTTGGTCTCGAGAGTTGCGCAGGATTTTGGAGACGTCGGTGTACCTCTCAAAGCTTCCAGACGAGTCAGCTCTTTACTTGCACGAACAGACCTCGCCACAAGCCAAGATCGCATAACATTTTCCGATCTTGCTACGGGCAGTCAGTCAAATACTGCGCCTCACGGTGGACTCAGGCAGTCTATTGGAGCAGCCAGTGCCCGAGGAAGCTTTGGCTTCAACCCTCGTGCTTCCCTTCCTCCGGCAACGGGATCTGTCTACAGCACTACAGGAAGTTTTGTGGATGCTCCAGTGGACAGGCTGCTTGAAGAGCTCAACAGTGATGTCCTATCCGAAGGGTTTGAGAACATTGCCCATCGTGAATCAGCTTCAGGTCTACCCGAGGAGCTTCTACTTTCCAAAGTGGAGAGCTTCTCTGCTAAGTTCTCTGGTAATTTCCGCGGATCTACTCAGCATGTATCATCTCGCCATCTGAAAGTCTGCACGCTATCTTCGTCCGACTATAGCAGCGCGCAGAATGGCAATGTCACATCGGTGGCGATCTTCATCGTGGATCAGGATTCACGGAATATGACTATAGTGAACTTGAGAGCAGAACGAGTGGCGACATCAAAGAGTCGAAAGTTGGCCAAAAAGACCAAACAGGCAGAAAGGCGTCCGTTGCTGGTGCATGCAACGGGTGTCCAACACATTCCCAATGTTCGGGATGCACAGAAAGTCATCGATGGTGAGATGTCGCGTATTCTTACATTGAGTGTCATGGACAATGGACAGCGAGAGTTGTCCTTGCAGACTTTATGGGGTAGTCCAATTAAGGTCGACATACCTGACCCACTGCAGCTTTATGAGCCATACGGGGTTTCCGCCGACAAGCTTGTAAGCCGCACTAGAGAAAGTGGTGTCAATCGGGTTATGGCAGATCCCGACCTTGTTTTCAACGCATTTGATCACAGTTGCTCGCGAGGAAAGATCGACTTGGTGGATACGGAGAAGCAGCGCCACAGAATACAGATCCGAATGGAGCCTCGCAATGACCTCGTGAAGAAAATCCTCAAGATCTGCAAGTTCGTTCTTCGTGACGCAGAGAAAGCTGGGGACGGTATATTGGTGGGCTGGTGGGAGGTCATGAAGTGGCTTCGAGGAAAGGACGAAGTCGAAAATGACCTCGAATGGACTGCTATGGTCATCGTCTTGTTCTCCCTGGCAGTCCCCTTCATCAAACAACCTCAGCCTCAAACTCCAGCTAAACGGACACGTCGAAAAAAGGGCCTTCTTCGGTCAAGCAGTGGCAGCTATATCGACTTGGAAAGCTGGGAGTCTATGCTTGACCTGGAGTCAGGATCATCTGGTGTTGTCGCGCCATGGATGAACGATAGTGCCTGGGGGTGGATTGTTGAACAAGATGCGATCGCAGATCTGGCAGCTCCCCATGCAAGTCGCACGCCGAAAAATGAGCAGCCAAATGCAAGCAGGTCCACGTATCGCCACAACTCCTACCTGCTACGTTGCGTATCTTTAAGCCGCGAATTTCTACAAAGCCCCCAGGGTGCTAGAGCCACTGGCCCTGACGGCTACTTGCCAGTTTCCGGGGCTTTTGCTGAGAACACAAGATGCACTGCGTTAGGTACCATCCTTGTTGGCCTTCACCTCTTACGAGAGGAGCAGAAGCTTTCCATTTCCGACACCGAAGAGTCTCAACAGCCATTGGGCCTGCTTGCCCCTGTTCTGGCACAGCTTGGTGGTTGGTTAGGCTGGCAGTCCTGGAAATGGAGCGAGGACGCTTACTTCGGCACCGAAATGGCTAGTATGGAACGCTGGCGATTTGAAGATAGTCAGATCTCTCTGCTCGGCGTCCCCGCTCAACCGTTCCCGCCTCCGTCAATATTTGCCTTCCTCCTTGAAGGTGCACGTCAAGCACCGACACCATTCATTACACTCCTTGATATTGTCAATGCGTCGGACCGGACCCCCAGAAAGGGGCGGATGTGGAAAGAGTGCTTCAATGTCACACCCAGGTCGTTGGCATTGAGTGGCTTCCTGTCTGATGTCCATCGCGTATCAACGCCCTTGGAAAAGATCAAGCTCTTCCATCGATGGGGGCTAACCAAGAGCATCATCGACACTTTCCCCGAAGGTGTGAGTGCACCGTTGTATGAAGCTGTGATGCAATGCCAAATCGAAGCATCGACCTCTTGGGATGCCACGCTCTTGGAACTCATCGACCGAGAGGATCTTTACATGTCAATGAATCCCGCGCAGACCAACTCATTCGCAACGCCGCAACAGCCTGTAGTCTCCCATGATGCCCAGCGCGATTTTCATCATATCAGCAGCTCGGCACTGGAAATCGACGCCATCAACGCCTTCGAAGCTTCTGCGGAGGCCGATCGGTTCTCTGTGACTAGGCTCGTCTTCCGCGAGGACAAACGTTTCTTAGAGGCAGCTCGACTCTTGAATCAGTCTAAGGCGCCGGTGGCAGACTGTGTTCCCGAACCGGAGTGGACAGACTCTGACCTCCTGGAGGCTCAGAAAGAAATCGTGCAGCTTGTCTCGTTCCGAACATTGTCTACTCCCGCCGGCCGTGCTTTACTGTCGTTCAGTGGCCGTCTGCCTTTGCTGACCGAGAAGCTGCCGATCCCGTCGTTCTCTTTGCAGTGCATTATGAAGCCATCCAATGTTACCGTCAGTGCTGAGAGAAGCGCATTCACCGAGGAAAAGGTCTGTTGGGCGTTTTTCCACAATGGCGTTTCCACAGGCCTAGCTATCTCCAAGGCTTCCAAGGGAATTGACACATCGTGGATTCTATTTAACAAGCCGCAAGAGCTCACCAATCGGCATGCCGGTTTCTTGCTCGCTCTGGGATTGAATGGCCACCTTAAGTCTCTGGCTAAATGGGTGGCCTTCAAGTATTTGACTCCCAAACATACCATGACCTCCATCGGTCTGCTGCTTGGCCTCTCTGCGTCGTACCTGGGTACCATGGACACCTTGATTACCCGTCTCCTTTCAGTCCATGTTACGAGAATGCTACCGATGGGAGCTGCCGAGCTTAATCTATCACCGCTGACCCAAACTGCCGGTATTATGGGGATTGGCTTGCTCTACTGCGGCTCTCAGCACCGGCGGATGAGCGAGGTCATGCTATCCGAGATCGAGAACATTGACCAGGACGAGCAGTCCACATCCCAGGAGGACCTGCGAGACGAAGGATACCGCCTATCAGCAGGGTTTGCATTGGGCATTATCAACTTGGCCAAGGGGAAGGACTTACGGGGCATGCGAGACATGCACATTGTGGAACGCTTGCTAGCAATTGCTGTGGGCACCAAGAACGTTGATCTTGCCCATGTGCTGGATCGAGCCACGGCTGGTGCGACAATTGCGTTGGCTATCATCTTTATGAAGACCAATGATCAGGTCTTGGCTCACAAGATCGACATTCCCGATACTGCCGTGCGCTTTGACTATGTGCGCCCCGATCTCTTCCTCTTGCGGACTCTAGCACGACATCTCATCATGTGGGATAGCATCAAGCCAGACATGAAGTGGGTCAATGCCAGCCTGCCGCAGGTGTACCAACGACGTGCTCGTCTTCGAGGCGTGTGCCAACTCCGTAGCGAGGATATGCCCTTCTTCAATATCCTCGCTGGTCTCTGCTTAGCCCTGGGTCTTCGCTACGCTGGGTCAGGTGATTCTCAAGCCCGCGATCTTCTGCTGTTCTATCTCGACCAGTTTATTCGCATCTCGCGTCTCCCGGTGCTCAACTATGATGCCAAGCTCGCACGTAACTCAGTTAGGAACTGTCAAGACGCGGTATCTCTGTCTGCTGCGGCTGTCATGGCTGGCACGGGTGATCTGGCTTTGTTCCGACGCCTGCGCTCTCTTCACGGCCGGGTCGACCCCGATACGCCCTACGGCAGCCACATGGCCGCGCACATGGCCATCGGCACGCTCTTCCTCGGTGGAGGGAGTTACACTCTCGGCACCTCAGACCTGGCCGTTGCCTCACTTCTCTGCGCCTTCTATCCCATCTTCCCTACCACCGTCCTCGACAACAAATGCCATCTACAAGCCTTCCGCCACCTCTGGGTGCTTGCTGCAGAGCCACGCTGTCTCGTTCCCCGAGATCTCGACACCCGCCGCCCCATCTTCATCCCTATCACCATCACCTCCGACAGCGGCTCAACACGCACCATAAACGCCCCCTGTCTCCTCCCTGACCCCAGCGGGATATCTCGCATCGAAGTCCGGGGCCCAGATCACTGGCCTCTCATCCTGGACTTCACGCAAGATGACGCTCTCCGCGACAAATTCCGCCAGGGTGACCCGTCCGTCTACCTTCGCCGCAAAGCCACCTACAGCCCCTCTGGCGCCTCAACCTCCGTCTTCGCCTCCACCCTCACCGGCCTCAGCGAGGCCCAGGACATTCTCCCCGCCGCCGCTGCCTCAAACCCAGCGAAGGGCCTCCCGCCCTCGACATGGCCCAACCACGCCGCACTGCTATCGAGTTCGCTGTCCGCCGCCGCAACCCCCTCCCAGTCCCCTTGGGATTGGATCTTCGCCCTCCCCCCCTGGCGGGCCTGGACATTCGCGAGCGCTCGCTCGTCCTGCCGTCGTCCTTCCCGACGCCGGCGCCCCGCAATAGCACGCACCTTATCACGGCGCCGCCATGGCTGCGCACGTCGGCCGTCGACGCCCGACTCGCGCTGTCGCAGACCGTTCGTAATATCGTCCAGGCTGCGCGGGGCCGGGGCGCCGATCCGGACGAGGTTCGTGACCGTGTCTGGCAGCTTCGTCTCCTGTTTGATTGGTTGGACCGGGTGCAGGCTGGTGATGAGCGGGAGATGCTGGTGGGAGATGTGCATTTGCAGCAGAATCAAAATCAGGCGTCTGGGCTGTGGTTGAGGAGGGACTTTGTGGAGGAGGCGAGGTGGCAGATTTGGGGGGTGCAGAGTGAAGATCGTGGGGAAGAATCGTGATAGATCGAAGAGGGTATTACAGACCCAGGCGGTTTTGTTGGTTGGATTTTTTATGCGCACCTGGGATTCGTGGACCTGCTACGGGAGCGTTCTTGTATGATATGATATCCATGATAATGCATGCGACGTATCCTTGTTTTGTATATGGTTTGGTGGTTCCAAGGCATCAAGTCATCCAACATAGGTAGTTGCCGGGTGCTCGAAGAGGTGAGCTACACATCCCCGCAGACCGGCGCTGTAGACTGATAGTCTCTAGCCCACGACACACGACGATAGCCCGTGACAACGAACCAAGACTACTGCGATCGAATCTGGCCCTCCTTCAAGAACCCGCGGTCCCCGCCGCCGCCCTTCTGCCACAACCACACACCCTCCATCGCCCACGCCGCAGCGCTAGCATGCCGCCCAATGCCCGACGCGACAGGCATCGTAGGACGCTCTTTCTCGTTCTTTTCTTCTTTCTCGCCCTTATCTTCCGCACTTGCACGCGCCCTCCTCGGGCTCTGCCCTGAAGCGCCCTCCGCCTCGGCCAACATGCCCCCCACAATGCCCTCCTTCTCAATCACATACCATAACCCCTCCGACAACTGACCCCCCCGATCTCCGAATTCCGCCCGCCCAAGCCGAAACAATATCCGGCCCAAAACCTGCCACGCCACACACCGCTGCACCGCAAACGTCGACCTCGACAGAATCGCCAGCTCGGGAATCGTATACCCCGCTGCCAGCGGATCGTCTCCGTGATGATGCAGTCCCAAGCTTGTCGGGAGCTGCAGCGAAGTCGACGGCGCGAGGATCTCGCCGCGAAGCGAGAAGCGGATTGCCGAGGGCGCGACTGAGATCGCGCTGCTGGAGGGGTGATAGGCGGAGGTGGAGTCTGGATCTTCGGCGTCGCTGGAGGGTGGATGCAGCCAGGAGAGCGAGGATGAATCTGTGGATAGCTCGGGGAAGTAATGCGATTGGAGGTCTGTGAGGAAGGAGGGGGAGGATGGGTCTAGAGTTGGCATCGGTTGGGTTGGGCGGGGGAAGTGGAAGGTTTCGATGACTGAGGGGTCCATTATGGGGGTTTCAGAGGCGGGATGGAGGTCTTTGGGGAGGTGGGCGGGTGGGCGGTCGTCGTGGCCGGGCGGTTGTGGTGTGATTGAGTGTTTTTGAGCAGATGAGGGCGCTGGCTTTGCGTCAGATGCGGGGGCGGGAATGTCGAAGGAGACGGATTTCCTGGGCTTTGCGGCCGCTGATTCTTCCGCGGCGAGTGTCAACGGAGCTTCGGCTGGCTCGGTGCTAGCCTTTTCATCCTCATCGATTCGGGCCCGTCGGAGGAATCGCTCTAGGAGTCCTGGATCCATCGAGGCCATCAGCTCCTCCCGCTCCCGCTGAATCTGCGCCTCTGACATGGAGGCCAGATGCCGGCGGTTCTCCTCGCCAATCGCGCCCTTGTCATCCTGGGCTGCTGGCAGAGTAGTCGGTGGAGCAGGGGCCTCCCTCGCTGCTTGCTGTTCCGCTCGTCGCTGCTTGAACGAGGAAGGCTTGTCGCGACGCCGGTGCGCGGGGAACCCGGTCGAGGACGCTGACGTTGACGTGGGAGGTGCCGGGGCAGGCGGTGTGGCAGAGGTCGGCTCACGTTCACGGATCTCGCCAATCAAGGAGAAGGGTGACGGGATGGGATCAATGGGGATAGTAGGGGTGTCATCGTCCAGGTCGAGGACGAAACGCTCGCCTCGAAACGCCATGGCTCAGCTTTGAGGGAGAAGAAGAGAAGTTATGTCAGCGCGGGGCCTGCGGCTCAAAAGGCTAAAACGGGGTGCAGGAGCTAGCCAAATTAGGTTAGCTTGAGATGATCGGGTGTGCTAGTCCCAAAGAAGACGCCATTTGCTGCCAAAATAGGCCTTTAATACACCTTCACGGCATCATGCAGAGGGCGACACCTCGGGCGGGATGGGACCGAAGAGGTGAGACCTTGAAAGGAAGAGCATCATCAGGTATGGGTTTATGCAACGCTTCTACACCTTTTGCTGGCTACCAGATCCAGGCGGCCTCTGCCAAGTGATGTTTTGCTCGCTGGGGCACTGGTCGCGGATCTCTCGCCAGCAGACAAGCAGAGCGAGGAGAAACTTGCCAGCGCAGTCGATAGTCTAGGAATGGAGGTCAGTTGTGTACATACCATCAGGAGCCAGCCGGAGTAATATTAACGGGCGTTGAAGGGACGGACTCTCCCATGGGCCAGGACGCCAAAGCGGCCGGGTTCGCCAGATAATGCGCCAGGCCGGGAACTCCACTGACGCCAGATCCGCGCCGCGCGCATCAGAAGGGGCATGTAAGGAGTATTGCTTCAGCATGCGGTCTTCGTCCGGGCAGTGTGATCCTTCCGGGGGAAGAATCGGGCTCGATATCCACAACCAGATTCTATAGCTTCTCGTGCCATGATCGCGTGCCTCTTTATACGTCCCCGCCAGGGCATATCAAGCCGGAATTACTGCCAGCAATACAACCGGCCAAATCGACCACATCAAACTAAACCGCTCCTTGTACGCTTTTCCCCTTTCCTGCCCTTTTTTCCTTTTCCCTTCCCTCAATCCCTTCCTCTCGTCCCTCTCTTCTACTCCGTCCACCTTCTTCCGCTCCTCTTCCTCCCTCCTCTCTGCTTCTCCGCAGCGGGTCGACTGGTCTGATCTACCTTCTTTTCGTGTTCTTGTCGTCGCTGCACCCGCGCCCAACATCCCTCGACTTGTTCTTTTCGTCCGCCCACTTGATCCTTGTGGATCCCCACCACAACGCGGTCAGCCCCGACCGATCCTCTCCTCGAATGCTATAACGAAAATCCACACCCCACGATCCCCGACTCTAGACCCTATATTTATCGATCCATCCATTCGCCACCACTTGCCATGTCCACGGGTCCGCCTGGAACGGGTGTGCCCAAAGAAGAAGGGCCGCCTGTCGACGACATCGGTTCCAACGCCCGACGTGCCTCTGGTGCCAGACGGTCGCGTCGCAAGAAGGATGAGGACAATGCTAATTCCACCACCAACACCCCCGACACTCGGGCCAAGAAGAAGGAGGATAAGGAAAAAGAAAAACCTGCCCGCGCCCCTCGTCGCCCCCGGGAGAAGTCGTCGGCCGCGGCCGCCTCACGGAAAAAGCCCAAGTTGGAGCAATCGGGTGACGAAGCCCCCTCGGCGGCAGCTGGTGTTGCAACTGCTCCGGCGGCCCCTGCTGCTCCACCAGCATCCACGCCAGCGCCAGCGCCAGCTGCAGCTGCACTCCCTCCAGCTCCTCCGGCCGATCCCAGTCCTCCTCTCCCACCGGCCGCCCCAACTCCTCCTCCACCTGCCCCGACTCCTGCATTCAGGCTAAGTCCACATCCGCCCCCAGCGGACCCTCGGTATACCGTCACACAAGACTACCCGTCACGGCCGCAATCCCAACCTCCGCCACCACAGCCCGCCCATACTCCGCCAGCACCAATACCGCAAGCCGCCCCACGGACCAGTGGTCGCAACTTCGACCCCATTCGCTCGGCCTTTGACAACCCATCGCCAGCACCGGTCTATAGCCCTCCAACACAGACATCGCCGCGCAATAATTATCGCGCCAGTGCATCGCCCGCGATCTCAAGTATCATTGATCCGCCGTCTCACCAACAATCTGTATATACACAGCTCCCGCGCTCCTCCTCCGGCCATGTCTCGACCGTCTCTTCACCGGCACCGCCTCCGATGGCGCCTACACCTACACACCCTGCCTTAGCTCCCTCGCCGATGCTCGCATCGTCTCCCTCACATGGAACTGTGCACACCCCGCAACAGCTGCCGCAATCAACCACCCCCTATACTCCCTATAGCGAGCAGCGTCTGCTTCAATCCCAGCCGCCTCAGCTCGAGCTCTCCCCGCCGGCCCTGCAACAGCAACAGCCATCATACGCACATGCGCAGGCCCAACAGCCTCCACGGCCTGCCGATCCGCCAGCTCAGGCCTCGACACCGCAGCGCCCGCCCCAGCAGCCAGAGGCCATGGACGTTGATTCGAAGGAGCAAACTGCCTCAGCGAAGAAAGAAAAGGGCCCCGCGACGGCACCCTCCTCAAAAGCGCCCTCCCCCAAACCAGCCCGTGCAGCTAAGGAAGCCCCCAAGATCCCCCAAGGATCCGGCCTTATCACCAACGCCCTCTTCGGCGGCATCGACGAATCATCCAAGTCCGACGCACGCAGCACCCCAAATATAATTGTTCACGTCCCTCTACAAAAGGGCAACCAGATCGTCAACTTCGCCCAGCTCGCAGAAGAGCAATACGGCTTCGCCGCCCTACACCCGCGCCTCGCCGCGCACAAAGAACGTCTTGCGCGCGTGGCCGCTGCAGGCGCAGCACTCGAGCGCAACGATAAGAGTCTGAAGGGCGTTTCGGCCGGCGAAAGCGCAGATGAGGATCTGAGCCTGGACGTCGATCGCGACAGCGATCTGGATGGCGATGTCGCCATGGGTGGGGCAGGCACCGGCACCAACGGCATGCAGTCCGAGGCCAGCGAGGGCAAGAAAAAGCGCCGCAAGAAGGTGGAGGAGTATGATCGCGATGACCCCTTCGTGGATGACACCGAGCTGGCGTGGCAAGAACAGGCCGCCGCGAGCAAAGATGGCTTCTTTGTGTATAGCGGCCCACTCGTGCCGGAGGGCGAGAAGGTCCAGGTAGAACGGTACGTACTTATCCTCGTCTACCCTCACCGTCCTATCTACATGTTTTCGTCGTTATCCGTGTGATCCTGGCCATATCCTAACCCAATCCCAGCGCCGATGGCACCATTAAACGCGGCCGCGGCCGCGGCCGAGGAACCGGCCGAGCCCGCTCTCTCGCCTCGCATCCACACGTCCCCATCGCCGCCGCTGTGCCCATCTCCCAGGACACTGGCCTACCCCTCCGCGGCCCGGGCTCGCGAGGCGGGACCTCGCGCCGCGCGCGAACAACCAAGAAAGCCGAGGCTACCGACAAGCACGCCGACCGTGCCAGCACGACTGGCCCCTCATCGCACGAGGGCCGTGGCGGGCGCGCTGGTGGTGCGGCGGGGTCGAGCCGTGGGGGCGCGGCCAGCTCGCGTGGCGGCAAGAGCTCTATTATGTCGGTGATGGATATTGCACCTGCGCCTGCGCCTGCGCCGGGCAACGCGGATAGCCCTGCACCTGCGCCGGGCCCAAGTCCGCCTACCGGGCCGGAGCTGGCTATGAAATGAAGTACAAAATAGACGTGCTGTTGAGTTTATGTCTTGTCTCGGTTCTGTTCTGTTCTGCTCTGTTCTACTCGATACTGTCCGTCTCCGGTGTTTCTTAGGTGGCGTGAGAGTTCTTTCTATGTTTATTTTATCTACTTTTGCTACGCTGGCTGGCTGGCTGGCTGGCTCGGCGTCTGTGGGTGCTGTGCTAGTATCGGAGCTGCTGTTGTGTTGACTTGCGCTGTGTTTTCCAGTCCCTGCGTGGACGTGTCCCATGTGCTTGAGGTTCCTATTGCTTTGCTCGGGGGTTTTCTTAGTGAGAGGGATTAGGTTGGATGGGGTTTGTTGGTTGCATGGGTCTCTCTTGTATCTATATTCTAGTCCATTGAATGGCACGCTTTCGATAGTGATGATGCTCTTGGTACTGTGGCTTAAGCAGCTGTAGATATCAATCCTCAAGGGTGGGGGAGTTTCATAGACTTGATTTAAGCCGATGCCGACCTAGATCGATTCGCTTTACTGAAAAAATAAAAGACCTCCAAGAGCTAGGTATGGTTAGGACTTGGTTAAAATCTTCCGTCTGCGTGCTCCTAATATACGTCCGACGGGATGGATGGAGGTGGAGAGGCCATTAGGTACATATATTACTATCACAAACACTTCAGGTTCACAACAATAGGTAGTACAACAAAACCATCCCGGCACCTACCATGATCAGGCTCATAAGTTTGGTAGATGACATGAGTTGGGTATAAATATCGGGCTTGCGTGGAGTATATCGCTGTAATGTGGTATTTGATATGGGCGAAGTGGGTGCGCGACATCTATCTAAAACCGGCACCCTGTAGCTAAATGGTTCTTCCTGGGGACCTACAGCCCAGTTTCCCCGCGACCACAGCACACAACTCTGTCAAGGTTCAAAGAAATGAATTGGTAGTATCATCAACAATTAACAATCAATAACTTGCACTTATGTACGCCGATTCATGCAGGAACACATCTGAGCAAGAAGAGCAGAAGAAATGAAGAAGTGGGACAGGGCACGGTCGTGATTGTCGTTGCCAGGAATCAATCAAGTCGTTGAGGAGAAGAGAAGTCGGGAGAAAGGAAACGGAAAGGAAAAAAGGAAAATGAGAGAAAGGTTCCACAGGGGAAGGAAAGGAAAAAGGTGGAGTCCATGGCTTAAAGTGGCACGAGAGGAAGTTGAAAGCAAGAATGGGGAATGTGCTCAGCCCTGCCTGGTCTTTTGTCCACACACAGCGCCGAGAAGGGAAAAATGAAATATATTGCCAGGGACGAGGCAAACAAGACAGACCGGCAGAATGCAACACCAAAGCAGACAGAATCTTATCTTGAGAGAGTAGTAACAATCGAGGAAAAGGCCAACGGGCCCCGGGGGTCGCAAAAATCATGTGCATATGCAAACCGATCGGATCAGACATCGCGATGAGAAATCGTTTCAAAGACGGCATATCGGCATCGCCTGCTTCCGCCTCATCTCACGACGAGGGCATGTGGCTGGGGTAGACACGCCAGTTCCCACCGGCCGAAACGGGAGGTGGGGGAGGAGGCTGTGATGGCGGGGGAGCGGCTCGGATGGGTAGGGCATTTGGGGCCAGGTTGGTGCGGGACTTAGTATTGTGCGAGCTCACGGAGCGTGGGCTCATGAAGGGGCGAGATGGAGCATCCACGGCCGAAACAGGGTCGCCGAGGTGGCGCATCGGGCGGCGGCCATACCGGGATTCGTCGTCCTTGGTTTCGAGGGAGAGGTGCTCCAGAGACGGAGGGTGAGGAGACCGTGTGGAGCGGGAGTTGGAGGAGTAGTGGTGAGCCTGGGGGCCGTCGTGGCGGTTCGGAGGGGGGAAGTCGTTGGCAATGTTCAGAGGGATCTCGCCAGAGGAGGGATGCTGCTGGTACGGAGATTGTGATTGCGGGGGGCGCGATGATTTGCTGATGGGGGCGGGTTTGGGGAAAGGCGCGGGGGCTGTGGCCACGGCTGCTGGTGAAGACGAGGTATACGATGTCGGAGTCGTACCCTCCTTCAGCGACTTGGGAGCAGGGGGCGCCAGGTAAGACTTGCGATTATGCCGCTCCATCATGCTGATGGCCCATTCTTGCAGGTCCACGGGTGTGCGCTTGGCGGCTTGCAGGAAGGCATCCTTGTCCTACATTGAGAAAGACAAAAAATATTAGTTATCGGAGCAAACATAGCGGATGTTGATAGCTCATTGCACATACGTAGAGCTCTCGCGGAGTTGGCCGTTCCTCGGGCTTCTTCAGCAGACACTTGCCGACAAAGTCATGCAGAATGGGCGGGAAAGCATCACTCTTCGGCAGCTTCGGGGCAGTCTCGTGGACAATCTGCTGGAGCAGATCCAAAATGCCCATGGGCCCGGCGCTGGCACGGTCTCCTGCGGCAGACTCCGAGGTATCAAATGGGAACCGTCCGACCGCCAACTCCATGACGGTCAAACCCACGCTCCAAACATCCGAACGGACCGTATAGGCACCTCCCTGGATTCGCTCTGGAGCCATGTATGTCGAGGTACCCACGAAGGTATCGGCGATCGAATTGACCGTCTCGCTAGCGACGCCGAAATCGCAAAGCTTGATGTTGCCGCGCGAGTTGACCACCACGTTGGACGGCTTGATGTCGCGGTGCATGATACGGTGAGTTTCGTAAAGGTAGACAAGACCAGCAAGCACTGACTCGGTGATCTTCCCCAGTACATCCACTCTAATCGGGCCGAAGTCCTTTGAGATACGGTCAAGAGATCTGAAGAGGGCATGCGGTCAGCCATCCAAGCCCCTCATTTCGTTCGCCTTCTTCGGCGGCTAACCTACCCGCAATCCATGTACTCCATGCACAGGACGATGTCCCCAGCCTCGTTTTGGAAGGCACCGTAGAATGTCACGATATTAGGCGAGTTGCAGTCGTGTCCAACGCGGAGCTCTCGTAGAATCTGTTTCCGCACGTTCTCTTTGGCGTCCACCCGGATGATCTGGATGGAGGAAATCAGCCCTGATCTCGGAGCGTAGACCATGGGAATGAACTGTAGCACCCACCTTCCGAGCCATCACGACCTTGGTCGACGCGTGCATCACCTTAGAGACTGTGCCGCCATTGCCAGCACCGAGCTCCTTTAATGTCACCAAGTCCTCGCTCCGGAGGTCCAACCGAAATTCCAGCCCAATCTCCAAGGTATCCGTGCGATTGCCGTCAGTATTTCCAATCGCACCTGGGACCTGAGCATCGCCATCAGACGGGTTGGAGGTGGCTTTCGGAGCTGCATTGAGGGCAAGACCTTTGACGTTTTTGCGTTTCAACGTCCGAGCCTTGAACTGGTCCGCCATGGCGCTGGGAGGGAGGGGGGGGGAGGAGAGCGGGGATCTGTACAGGGCGGAGACGGATGGAGAGTCGAGAAGAGAAAGGGGAAAGGAGAGACAAAGCAGCGACGCGAGACCAGGGCCGGGCGAGCACGCTGATGGGGGAAGAAAGAAGCGCGAAGCTTAGCGGCGGGGAACCCGATATCACCTTGCGATGTGTGCTTGGCGGCGCTGATTGGACCTGGCGGGCGCCTGAACTGGACCAACAACACGGAAGGAAGCCGGTCGGCGCCAAAGCAGAAAATAGGAGAGGTGAAAGGATGTCGGGCGTCGACTTTCAGGGGTTTCAGTCAGAATGTGAAAAAAGATGATGTTTGTCTCCCTCTACGCTACTATCACTGAAACACAGATGTTCTTGCTTCTCCACTAGTCTACCCCATAGGACTCTGGAGGGAAACCCCTCGCCGGAGGGTCTACCCATATATGGATTTTGAACCAGGGAAGCATCATAGCCATATAAACAGTTGCATGTGTGAGTTGAGCCACGGACTAAATGCTTCGACTGATCGCAGTTGTGTTTGACCTGTGGCGGAATGGGGAATGTCGCCTTTGCCCATAGTTGATATTCATCACGTGGGTAAACCACCAGCCACACAGATATCCCCTTTTGGATTAGACTACACCCGCCACTGAGGCAGCTTTCAACCGGCCAATCACCGCCACCGCGTCCTCCCTCGCAGACAGTCGTGGGTGTTCCGTCCTTTCTTCTCTTGCTCGACTCTCGTTCCCCAACTCCACCTTTTTTCTATCACCCTGAGTCGGGCACTGCCGGGTGCTAGATCTGCCGTCATCGCAAATCTTCCACCACCCTCCCGCAGGTCCTGTTTCCACTCTCCGCCGAGCAGAAGAATCTCCGATCAGCCACGATGAGTCTCCGTGACCTGGTCGAAGGTGAGGCCATGCTGGAGGATGACGAGAATGATGAGGAGGTTGCCGACGACTACGATGAGGAGCGCCGTGACGGACCGCGCACCGGCAATCGCTACGATGACTCGAGCGAGGAGGACGAGGACGAGGACGATGATGAAGACGCCGCGCGCGCCGTGAGTTCTGCCTTGCCCTTTGATCAGACGAAGGAGGCGCAACTAACCTGAGGTGAATAATCTTAGGTTCGCGAAGGGTTCATTGTCGACGAAGATGAAGAGATCGAGGAGCGCACCAAGCGCAGGTCCGAGAAGAAACGGCCGCGCGCTCGCGAAGAGGAGCATCTCGACGAGGAAGATCTGGAACTGATTGGCGAGCATGTCCCGGGCCTCAGCCGGGGCACGACTTCTGATGTACGAGATTCCGAAATCTACACCATTGGCCTCCCGCTTGTCATTAATTGGCGGCTGGGCGCGGAGAGAGCCCTCGATCATGATGGGGTTTTGCTGACATTGATTCCCGGCATATAGCAGTCTAAATTCAAGCGCCTCAAGCGAGGTCGAGATCGCGACCACCGCCAACCGTCTCAAGGTATCGATGATATGTTCAATTCTGATGAGGAAGAGGAGGCGGCACAGCAATATAGCCGACCCAGTCACCGCGGCCGCATGCACGATGAGATGGACGACTTCATTGAGGAAGACACCTTTTCCGACGAGGAGGCACAACGTGAGCGCGATGATCTCGAAGTTGCAGCCCCCGTCCGGGCAAGCATGCCAGGCCTGGGGGCCACCGATGTGGCTGGTCTGGATGAAAATGCAATGGAAGACCTCCGTGCTGCCTTCGGCGACGGCGAGGATTACAGGTTTGCCCTGGATATTGAAGAGCAAGAAGATGAAGAGAAACAGGATGAGGACCGACACCTTGATTTGAAGGACATCTTTGAGCCGTCGCAATTGGCGGAGAAGATGTTAACGGAGGACGACAACCAGATCCGTCTTCTTGATGAGCCTGAACGCCACCAGATAGCTCGCAAACCGTACCGCCATGTGACGCTCACAGAGGACCAGTTCCGTGAGGAGGCCATATGGATTTCCAACTTGATGCTGCTCAAAAAGCGCATGGAGCCAGAGCTGCGTGAGCCGTTCCAGCGCTCCGTGGCCAAGATGCTGGAGTTCTTAATCACAGATGACTGGGAAGTCCCCTTCATCTTCCAGCACCGCAAGGATTACATGATTCATGCGGTTAAGGAGCCGCTCAATGGAGCCGATCCCGCCGACGAGTCTGCGCAGTACAACATTCGAGCTGAGAAGCTCTTGAACATGACCGACCTATGGGATATCTTCGAATATGACCTCAAGTTCCGCGCCCTGGTCGACAAGCGCAACACAATCCAGAAGTCGTACGACAACCTGCAGAGCCTTTTCAACGTCAATGATGCCATTGTGGAGGACCTGTTGGTCGCAGCAGCTACCATGGAAGAGCTCCAAGATGTACAAGACTACATTCACTTTCAATATGCCTCACAGCTGCGTGATATGTCCATGGTCAACGGTGATGCCAACGGAGAAACACACCGACGCAAGGCATCAAGCAAAACCTTCTTCGAACGAGTGCGGAATGGCAAGGCATATGGCCTGGTTCGCGCCTTTGGCCTTACGGCCGATGCTTTTGCCCAAAACGCGTCCAAGGAAGCCCGCCGACAATATACCGAGGACCCGAGCGAGCGGCCAGAGGAACTGGCTGATCAGTTTGTAGATACCGACTTCTCTAACGCAGAGCAGGTTCTGAAAGCTGCCAAGTCCATGTTTGCCGAGGAGCTCGTACTGAGCCCCAAGATGCGCAAGGTCATCCGGCAAGCGTACTACATGAATGGGGTTGTTGACTGCTTCCGCACCGAAAAGGGCCTGCGCCGAATCGATGAACAGCATCCATACTACGAGTTCAAGTATCTGCGAAACCAGCAGCTCAGCGACATTGCTCGTCGCCCCGAGATGTTCCTGCGAATGCTGAAGGCCGAAGAAGAGGGCCTGGTAGATGTGAAGGTGCGCTTTGAGAACTTTGATCACTTCCGCCAGCGCATGTATGCCGACATTGAGTCCGACAACTACTCAGAAGTTGCGGATGCATGGAACCGACTTCGTCGCGACGTGCTGGATCTGGCACTCGGCAAGCTGGAGCGGGTGATCAATCGCAGTGTCAAGGAGAACATTCGACAGGAGTGCGAGAACCACGTGGTCAAGGAGTGCCGTGAAGCATTCTCACAGCGATTGGACCAGGCGCCTTATAAACCCAAAGGAATGGTGCTGGGCACAGTGCCTCGTGTTCTTACCCTGTCCAGTGGAACCGGCATCATCGGCCGAGACCCTATCCACTGGGCCTACATTGAAGAGGATGGCCGCGTTCTCGAGAATGGAAAATTCATGGATCTGTCCGTTGGTGACCAGAACCGCGGCATTAAGGATGGTGCGGACGTGGCTCGCCTCCTGGATTTGATCGACCGGCGCAAGCCCGACGTTCTTGGTGTCTCTGGTATGACACCGGAAACTCGCCGCCTCTACAAGCTTCTGTCTGAGGTTGTTGACCTGAAGGACATCCGCGGCGCACCTTACACAGACGACCGTGATGAAGAGGTCAGTGATCGTCTCGAGACCGTCATTGTCAATGATGAGGTTGCTCGGTTGTACCACAATAGCCCCCGCGCCCAGAATGACAACCCTGGTTTCGGGCCTTTGACCCATTACTGTGTGGCCCTGGGTCGGTACCTGCAGAGCCCTCTCAAGGAATATGCCTCGCTGGGTCGTGACCTTGTCTCTATTCAATTCAAGCCTGGCCAGCAGCTGGTCTCGCAGGAGCTGCTGATCAAGCAGCTGGAGACCGCTTTGGTCGATATGGTAAACTTGGTTGGTGTTGATCTCAACGAAGCAGTTAACGATCGCCTGACCGCGAACCTCGTTCCATATGTCTGCGGTCTTGGTGAGCGAAAGGCAGCTCACCTGCTCAAGGTTGTGAACATGAACGGAGGCGTGGTGAACAATCGCGTGGAGCTGTTGGGTGTCAATGCACAGTACCCCGCTATGGGCGTCAAAGTATGGAACAACTGTGCCAGTTTCCTCTTCCTTGATTTCGAGAGTGTTGACCCAGATGCCGACCCGCTGGACAACACCCGTGTGCATCCCGAAGACTACGACATTGCCCGCAAGATGGCTGCCGATGCTCTGGAGCTCGACGAGGAAGATATCAAGGCCGAGACCGATGAGAATGGCTCCGGTGCCATTGTGCGCAAACTGTTCCGCGACGAGCAACAAGATCGTGTCAACGATTTGATTCTGGAAGAGTATGCCGAGCAGCTGGAGAAGAACCTGAACCAGCGCAAACGTGCCACTCTAGAGACGATCCGTGCGGAATTGCAGCAGCCCTACGAAGAACTGCGCAAGCAATTCGTTTTCTTGAGCACCGATGACATCTTTACCATGCTAACTGGTGAGACGCCCGAATCTCTTAAGTCCGGCATGGTGGTCCCCATTGCTCTCAAGCGGGTGTTCGACGACCATATCGACGCGAAGTTGGACTGTGGAGTCGATGCGCTGGTCGCAGAGACCGAGCTCGGATTGCCCTATGACATCCCCGTGCGCAATGTCTACTCGGCACACCAAACCGTACCCGCTAAGATTATATTCCTAAACCGCAAGGGTTTTACATGCAATGTGTCTTTGCGTGAGGATCAGGTCAGCAACCCCATTCGGAACATTCCTGATCATGGATTTGGCGACTGGGATGAGGTCCAGGAGCGCAAGGATAAGGACTCCATGCAAGAGAAGGAGCAGCAGGGCGGACAGGCCATGCGTGTTATCAAGCACCCGCTTTTCAAGCCATTCAACGCGACACAGGCTGAGGAGTATTTGGGCTCCCGCACCCGCGGTGATGTGGTTATCCGTCCTTCCTCTCGCGGTCCTGACCATCTGGCGGTCACCTGGAAGGTGGCACATGGTGTCTACCAGCACATCGATGTCCTGGAGCTGGATAAGGAGAACGAGTTCTCTGTTGGCCGCGTCCTGCGAGTTGGCGGCAAGTACAGCTACAGCGATCTTGATGACCTGATTGTCAACCACGTCAAGGCGATGGCGAAGAAGGTGGACGAGATGATGCTGAATGAGAAGTATCAGGAGGGCAGCAAGGCCGAGACTGGTATGTTTCAGATTCCTGTTCCGTTCCTAAGTCCCACGCCCACGCAAAGTTAATTCAATGCTAATCCCCTTTCCCCGGCAGACCAATGGCTCGAAACTTATACCAAGGCCAACCCCCGGCGCTCGGCGTATGCGTTCTGCATCAACCCCAAATACCCCGGCTATTTCTTCCTTTGCTTCAAGGCGGGCGAGCACTCGCGCCTCCAGAATTGGCCGGTGAAGGTGATCCCGCAGGGCTACGAGCTACAGAAAAACCCGTATCCGGACATGCAGGCCTTGTGCAATGGGTTCAAGCTGATGTTCACCAACATGCAAGCCAGCCGGAGGTAAGCGAGGACGGGGCTGTCTGTACAGTGTACTATTTCATCTCTTATTATCTCTCTGGGACTTTTAAAACGGAAAAGCGGACTGAAAACCACAAGGTGGGCATACTAGCATTTATTTCGATTTCTTTGATGTCTTCCCTGCCCCCCCCTTCCTCCCCTTTCACCTGTTCCTGTCCTCCTTCATTGCCTTTAATTTGATATACCTTCTGGTCGGGGAGCAATGGGTATTTTGTAACCACTATGAGGCTTTGCCAATGAACAGCATTTTACATCGGAGTGCGCCACGTAAACTATCTGGAGGAAATTAATGTGCATAGTGGGCACTATATTTTGTGGAGCAGCCATTGTGTCGTATAAGGAAGACTAGCGTGCATCCTTGGGTCCTCCTGCCGGGGAAGCATAAGCCACGTCGATCCTGAAAGCCCATGTGAAGCAGCTGACCCCTCGGCTTCGGGACTGGCGAACCGTGCCGCCGAGCCCCGCCAGCAGCATACCTGCTGAGTTCGCTGATGTCAATGTTGGTTTCCCCTTTGTCTTCTACGTGAATAAGTGTGTGTTCTCTCGTACTTCTGGAGGTTCTTGAGCACTGTGTCCCGTCCGCCTGGCGCTGTTTCACCCCCTCAGCCGCCGCTCCACCGGGCCGCGACGGCTGTCCCTCGTCGTGAGACTCGCACCTAGCCCCCAAGACACTCCTCTTGCGCAACCATGGCGGCAATGGAGGAGCTGGAGATTCACAGCAAGGTGAGAAGCAATCGCAATCAGCCACCCAGGTCCTGTCCTCGTAAGCTAATCTGGTCTGGTCGACTCAACAGTCGTACTTCGTGCGATGGATCAACGTCAGTGCCAACCACACCATCTCGTGGAGCATTCAACCGCACAAGAAGTCGGTGAACTTCGGTATCTTCAAGCATCCCGGCCAGTCGAGCCTGGGCTCCCACCTGCCTGCCTCCGATTCCCAGAGTACCGATTCGACCGAGAACTTGCCCGCGACAGCCGCCAATCCTGGCTCCCGCAACCAACAATCCACCGTCATTGAGAAGCTGACCGCCATTGGGCTCAAGTCCATCAAGTGGATTGGCAAATGCGAGGCCGACCGGATCTCGCAGGGGACTTACGATGTGCCGGCCAGTGAGGGGGGCAACTACGCGCTCGTCTTCGACAACACCTTTTCCAAACAGATCTCCAAGACGGTCACCCTCGTGCTCCTGACCTATCCGACCGGCCTGAAACCTCATGGCTCCGCTCCGCCGTCTATAGCGCGCTCCCACACAGGCGGTTCGTCCGATTCCCTACCCCAGCCCCGAACACGTCGACGCGAGAACAGCAAGTCCACCCTGAACGCGCAACTGTCAGACTCGTCGGGTTCTTCGACAGTGCACTCGGGAGTACTGCAGAAACGCCGACGGAAGCGACACCAGGGGTGGGCGCGTCGATTTTTCTCACTAGACTTCACTTCGTCCACCCTATCCTATTACCATGATCCCAACTCGTCCGCCCTTCGCGGTGCCATCCCGCTCTCACTGGCGGCGGTAGCTACCAACGAGAAGTCCCGCGAGATCTCTATCGACTCAGGAACTGAGATCTGGCATCTCCGTGCGAGCAATGATCAAGACTTTGTAGCCTGGAAGCGCGCGTTGGAGAAAGCTTCGTCCAAGGACTCGTCCAAGGAGCATGAACTTTCCGTTGTCGAGCCCTCGCTGCTCCGCCTAACCACCCCGGCATCCTCCTCGCCCGCAGAAGAGGCTGAGTGGAAGCAGGTCGAGCGCCTGGTCAGCAAGGTGTCCGGCTCACGCGATGCAGTGCGCCGCCTGGCCAGGGATACTGATCCCAAGTATCTTGTGTCTCCGATCCCGTCTCCCATGGAGCCGCGGGGTCGCGACCGGGGTCGCGACCGCTCCGCGAGTCCCCAGCCTGCTGCTTCGGATGCACACAGCGCGGATTCTAGGCGGCCATTCTGGAAGCGCAAGACCAGTGGGAACTCGCAGGCCAGCGCTAAAAGAGCTCCGGGTCCAGAGCATACCAACTCCAGTTCGTCCCAGCTAGTTGTTCCTAGTAAAGACGGAGCCGGCAAGCCGGCAAGCATTGCCAGCCATGCTGATGGCATGGATGAGATTCATGATCATCTGATAGCTGTGTTGCGCGACCTAGACAACGCGGTATCTGAGTTCTCGATCTTGATCGCTGGGAGCAAGCAGCGCCGACACCCGCCTGCCCTCACTCCGCGCAAGAGTATGGAGTCAGATGTCTCGCAGGAATTCTTCGATGCAACGGACGGTGGTGCAGCGTCTCCGCTCCTGACTATCCAGGATAGCGATGAGGAAGACGCTACTGCAGACAGGGCAGCGGATGCGGCCGAGAATGTAGAAGATGATGCACCATCAGACAGTGACGATGAGACCCAGTCTGCTGCTCTGCACGACACAAGCAGTGCCTCTCCCTTGTTCCCGGCTCGTCCAAAGTCTCTTGCCCCGTTACCTCTTGACAAAGTACGCCGGCGTCAAAACATCACCGCACCAACAGTCATGCCTCCTAGTTTGATCGGGTTCCTACGCAAGAACGTCGGCAAGGATCTGTCCACGATATCGATGCCAGTCTCCGCGAACGAGCCCTTATCCCTGCTTCAGCGCGCAGCAGAGATCCTCGAATATTCCTCGCTCCTCGACCAAGCGGCGCAAGCCTCCGACCCCGTTGAACGCCTCATGTACGTAACCGCCTTCGCCATATCCTCGCTGTCTAGCAACCGCGTGCGCGAGCGGTCCATCCGCAAACCCTTCAACCCCATGCTGGGCGAGACCTACGAGCTCGTCCGGGAAGATCAAGGCTTCCGCTTTATCTCAGAAAAAGTCTCCCACCGGCCCGTCCAACTCGCCTACCAAGCCGACAGCCGCGAATGGAGCCTTGCACAGTCGCCCATGCCCAGTCAAAAGTTTTGGGGCAAATCCGCTGAGATCACGACCGAGGGCCGCGTGCGGATCACCCTGCACGCCACTGGCGACCGCTTCAGCTGGACGCCCGCCACCTCCTTCCTGCGGAACATCATCGCCGGTGAGAAATACGTCGAGCCTGTCGGTGAGCTGGCTGTCACCAACGAGTCTACCGGCCACCGCTCCATCTCCACCTTCAAGGCCGGCGGCATGTTCTCCGGCCGTAGCGAGGAAGTCTCCACCCGCGCCGTGGACTCATATAACAAGCCCGTCGCGCTGGGTCTGGTCGGTACCTGGCCCGCCGCGTTGAACCTTACCCGCGACGGCAGCCCGTCTGGCAAGCCCATCTGGACGGCCGGCCCGCTCGTTCCCAACGCGCCCAAGCACTACGGGCTGACGGCCTTCGCTGCCGCCCTGAACGAGATTACCCCCATCGAGAACTCGCACCTCCCGCCTACGGACTCCCGGCTGCGCCCGGACCAGCGGGCGCTGGAGGAGGGCGACCTCGATCGTGCGGAGGAGATCAAGGTCCAGCTGGAAGAGGGCCAGCGCGCGCGCCGCCGCGAGATGGAGGCTGCGGGTGAGAGCTGGACGCCGCGCTGGTTTACGCGGGTGAGTGATGATTCAGATGGGGAGGCTGCGTGGCGGTTGAAGGGTGGGAAGGATGGATATTGGGATGAAAGGGCCAAGGGGAGTTGGTCGGGAGTTGTGCCCGTTTTTGAGGGCTGATTCAAGCCGTTGGATGGATGGGTGAGGCTGTGTCTGTGTTTTGTTGACTTGTTGTCTTGTTGGCTGGTTTCTTTTCCTTATTCCCCCACTGGGCTTTTGGTATTTTTTTTGGTTCTTTGTTGAAGAGGAGAGGAGAAAGGCAGTTTTTCTTTCTTAACAAAAGAAACAGATAGCTTAGATAGAAGTTTAGATTTGGGTTGTCGTTTCGTTTCGGCGATGGAGATGTGTTTAGCTGGACCTAATTCCACTCTAGAGTATCGTGACAAATCCATTTCCATAGAAATATGCCAAGTACACGATCAATGCGAGGCGCTTTGCACCATACTTTCCCAGAGTTTCATCATCGCATCATACCGACGCGGAGCTCTGCTAGCCAGCATTGGTGCGATTTCACAGCCGTCGACGGGTGCCGGTGTAGACGCACGTTCGTCTCCAACAGATCTGTCGTCCGGATAAGCGCTGGACGTTATGGTGCCCTGATCTCGATTCTCTCTCGGTAATCAGACGTTGTGTCTGTGCACGGGAGATTCCTCCCTCGTTGCCGAGTTTGCGCGCATCACGCTTCCAGAGAAAGCAGATACCAGATATCTCCTTCATGCCAAGACATCTCTTCAGCCTGGGCATGTCCGTCGGCCCCTTGGGGCCGATCTTCACTACCTAATTCGGTGCAAGCCAGTAGGGATGGCTAGCACCACTCCAGCCAGAGGGATCCCAGGACAAAGTTATACCGGAGAGCTGCGAATGGGGAAGCTTGATGACTGCCTATGTATTAGTAGATTCTGTCCGGCATACCAATCGGCTACTGCCGAGGTCAACAGTATCGCAATTTTTGGCCACAGAGTCTTTTTGCGAATTGTTATCTAGATATGGAAGAAGTGCGGGCCAACTATGTTTGGTGGTATTTCGAAATACATCTGGATCAATCTAATCGCCATAACTTTAGTACTCCAATTATAATCCACAGTGGAAAGAATGTGACCCACTGGTGTTCGATGGTCTAGAACGAGAACAAATAGACATAGATGAGATTTTTCAACATTTCATTGCATCGTTTACTGCGCTGCTCACTAGGAACGAGATCACCTAGGTCGATGAAATCGTCACGGTCACTGTATAGGTACTTTCCCTGTGCAGAGTAGAGATGAACATACGCCAGACAGAAAGAAAAAGGGCAATAAGAAGACACTTGTAAACAGCAAAAACTGAAGAACCTCTCCTCCACAGAATCTGGTCCGCGATTACTCCAACTCCCCCTCATCATCCGAATGCTGCGCCGCCCAACGCTTCGAATTGCGCATTTTCGCCGCCTTCCTTGCAGTCTGCCGATCCGCCGAGCCCGAGCCCGAGCCACTAGCCTCCGCCATTCGCATCATCACTGGCAAGTTAGTCAACACAGCCCGATTGCCCTGGAAATAGTGCTCGGCAAAGCCGCCCTGCAGGATTCGGCGCAGCGCAGACAACCGCACCCACTTCCACCACCGGTCGATGCTCATGAGGCCGTGGCGGCCGATCTTGACTGTTAACGTGCTGCCGTAGTGCCGGTTCGTGTCCTGGTCGATGGCCATGTTGTAGCGCGGCCCGCGGCGCGGGTTCTCGACGGTCGTTAGGATGGAGGCGAAGTTGCTGTGCAGCGATTTCTTGTCGCGCTTGCTAATGCGCTTCGAGTGCACATTCGCCAGGCTGGCGAGGTGGCGCTCCAGCTCTGGCGTGTTGTGATACGCGTTATAGCGCTTGATGAGCTTAGGCCCACCGGTGAGATCGTCGTTCGTGTTTGAGTCGCTCTCGTCCTCGTCTTCGCTGACTTCGTCCTCGTCTTCTTGGGGAGTGTAGCTCTTTTCATAGAGGAGAGCGATGTTCTCGCCTGCGGCAATTTGGACCCCCGAATCGCCGCTGTCGAGCTGGTCGATGAAAATCTGGACTGCTTCTTCGCTTTCGCTTTCGAAGTCGTCGACTTCCGAGAGGAGGAAGCCCCATACCTGCAAGGCGGCGGTGACGCTGGTCGGGTCGTCGGGGGCCTCGATGGACTGCCCGTCTGAGGCGATGATGTCCAGGAGAAAGGTCATTTGCTCCAGGATGCCGCCCTCACCTGCGCCACCAAAGGTCGTACACGTGCCAAGGCAATAGATCGCTGCCGCCTTGGCCCCGTTGGACGTCGAGTCGCGGATGGTGCGGGTAAGCAGTGGCTCGGTATTTTCGTAGATCTTATCGTCGCACGAGGTAATCGCCAGCAGCTCAATGGCTCGCAGGGCCAGCGTCATCTCACGCGGGCTGGACTCGTTCCGAACACTCCTGGCGAATGCACTGAGGAGATCGGTAATGGATGCGCGCGTCTCTTCTTCCGCATAGTGGTACTTGGTGAGGCGACAGAACGCGGCGAGTGCCTCTTCGCGGCTCTGCACGCTGCTGCGCTTGCGGTCGAGGAGCTCTGCGATGCGATCTGCCAGCTCCTGCGGCCAGTCGACATTCTCTGTCTCGGGATTCTCGTCGTCGAGAGAGCCGATGCTATAGTTGGGGCGCGACTGGTCAGTGCGCCTGGTCCGATAAAAAATTCCGGTGACATCATCCCGCCACGCGGTGGGACCGTCCTGGACGAACTTCATATGCACAAATAAAATAAAATAAAAGGCCAGGGAAAAAAAGGGACGAGGGGTGAATAGACAGGAATGTAGGGGATGCTTACCTCAGAGCTGTGTCATCAGAAAGGAAGCCCGAGTCCTCGTCGTCGGACGGTTGTCTACTTGCGTTCCGCGATGACTGGCGGGAGTTCTGCTTAGAGCTTGCGCGGGAGTTGCTGCGGGAGGCTTCGCGCGAAGCCGCCTTGCGCGAGACAGTCTTGCCGCTTTCAAAGATCTGGCGACGGAGATCCGGCATGGTGGAAGAGGAAGAAGAAGTGGTGGTTGCAGGAGGGATTTGTAGAGTCAACGAGGAGGATAGGGTCGAGGGTAGAGCCTTGAGCTCGAGGGTGGGTCAAGGATGACGGGATCAGATGGTGGCAGGATTATCTTATTGGAACGGAGCTATAGCGAAGTAAGGTCTGGCGGTGGAGAGCGTAAGATAGCACATTGTCTTGCAGAAGAAACATAGGGTGGACTTGATGAGGGTGAATGGGAAGGGAAGAAAGGAAAAGGCGAGTTCTTGCTGGGCTGCGACATGCGGCTGTTCCAAGGACCGGCGTACCAATAATGTACGAGGAGTTACGGTACGAGTCTCTCCGCCAGTGAGCGGCCTTGCTTAGTCTCGGCAGAACCGTGGCCCGCCGTTAGGGCCAGGTTGGCCGCCGGTGCGGGGATCGCGAACTATAAATGTAGTACGGATTCGCAGGAAGATGTACTAGCCACATTTGGAGCTTATGATATGGATGATAAAATCTGAGAATGTTCGTGGTCAACAGAATCTATTGATTTTTTCTATGAGGGGGTATCACCAACTCCGCCGTAATCATACAACTGAGAACAAATCATGGAATAATCTAATCATAGGGCTGTCCAGCCCTACTTTGCCTGCTGAACCACCAGCTCCAAGATGCGCCGCGACTTGGCGCCTTCCAAATACTCCCGCCCTTCATGCCGCGTCTCCTCATATTCATCCTCATCATCACCCACCTCCAGATCCACCAGTAGACTAGCCTCATAAGCCCGCATCACCGTCTCCTCGTCCACCCGAACACCGCCTTGTACCAGCACCTGGATGCACTGCGCCAGCCGAGCAATTTCCCGGCGTGTCTGCGGCGTAATATTGTCGTTCTGGCTGGAGTAGATCGAGCTGGACACCATCTCTTCCATGCGAGTGATAGACACGTTCTGTGTAGTTGACGACGCCGCCGCAGCACCGTCCGCATGCTTCGAGATCCAGATATACCCATTCACCCCGAGAATAACATCTACCTCGCCACCCCCATTGTGCGTGCTCACAGTCCACACCTGTCGCCGCGATCGCACAACACCGCCAACCCCGGCGCCAGCGCCGGGCCTCAAGGACCCCGCGCCCACGCCGCCCTTGGTGCTAGAGCTAGACGCCCCGCTACCGCCGGTCCCCGTAACAGCGAGGAAAACGCCGTTTCGGAGCTTTCCGTATTTCAGCGACCGCGTGTGCAGCGACGCGGAGCCGTCTTGGTGCACGCTCTGCACTTCGGCGACGAGCAGGTCGCCCTCGCTGAAGAAGGTCCGGATCTGGAGCTCGTCGGCGCTGGTGCGTCGGCGCAGGATGCCGCCGGGCAAGTTGATGGCGGAGAGGGGGAGCTGGGCGAGCAGTGGGGCGGCAACGTCGACTTTCCACCGCTTGGACTGCACTTCAACGATACGGCCCACGACCAGGTCGCCGATCTCGGGTGTGTACCGGGCGCGCAGGGGGTGGACGGAGAGGAGCTTGTTTGTCTTGTGAACTGTGCCGGCGACTGTGGCAATGATCGAGGTTGAGAGGGGGGTCATATATGTGCCGTGACCTCTACAGATGGATGGTCAGCTCTATTCGAGAGCTCGAGATCTAAAGGACTGGGATGCCCGATTCACGAGTTTCTGCGTGGGACCTGGGAGAAGATGGTGCACGAACCTCATCCACTGCGGATCGTCTGTCACTACTTCACCTGGTGTGACAACGCCTGTCGACACTGTCAGGTTCCCTAGGCGGGCCCGCTTCGGTGCCCGTATGCCGCTCATTTCAACGTCGGAATCGGAGCCGACGGACATGGAGTCATCGGACTCGTCGTGGCGGGGAACAAGGTCCTCGACCACAGGCGGTAGGATTGTGATTCCCATTGTGTATGACTGCGCCCCGGCTGGTATGTGTTGGTGTGAATTTGTCTGAAACAAGTTCGCCGGTGCTGGATAAGGTCTGAGACTTTCTTTGATCCACGTGACTGTCTCCACTATGAGCCCCGGGATACCATTCCTCCCCACCTCATCACAGCTGAAAGAAATCTATCGAGTGCAGTATTAGTGTTTAGGATAAGGCTCTTATTATAGTTCATTTGATCTTCTTTTACAGTTTGGTCTACTGTTACATGAGGAGGTTTGCCAAGTTAAATTCATAAGGAACGTTGCATGCAATCCGATCACTCCGTTCCAGGAGGAAGAGCTCGGGGCCTTGTAGCTGCAGCCCGAGGCGGATCTTTGACATTTCTCCGTCGAGCTATCTTGTCTTTAGAATACTCGTACCTGCTGAATTTCATATCGTAGACTCAGTAGACAGCCCAACGCAAATGCTATATTAAGTAATCACGTGCAGAAGGGAAAGAAATAAATAAATCCCCACGGAAATCTTAGCTCGATCTCACGCTTTCTTTGCGCTACGATTGGCAGCGACAGCGGGCTCGTCCTTCTTTTTCTTTGAGCGGCTGTTGCCACCTTTAGGCCTGTACCCGGTATCATCATCACGCTTGCGCTTGTTTTTCGGCGTAGGCTCCACTTCCATCCCATCCTCATCGTACACCTCCTCCTCCTTGCGCTGTGCCGGGGCCCGCTTGGATGTGCGCGCATTCGATGGCCGCGATGTAGACTTCTCAGACGCGACCTCGTGGTCTTGCAATGTTTGAGGCTGATTGCGTCGCAGCCAATTGTAGACCGACGCCGGATTTCGAATAAGAGCTTCTCGCTCACGCTCGGCGAAGGTGGGTGGGTCTGGGATGCGATCGAGTTGCGCTGCAGCTGCCTCGTCGCCCAGCTTCGCGTCCAGAGCCAGATAGTACTCAGTCTCGCGTTCTGGCGTGAGATATCCGAGCGTACGTCTCACACCGTTGGAGCCTTGTTCTTGGTTTGGAGCGCCGGCGGCGGTATGGGGAATCTGGACCAGATTGCTGTACTGCATGGCTGGGGCAAACTCCTTGTTCCGCTTGATGCTCTCCTCCACCTGCCGGTAGGCACTCGCTGAGAAATTTCCGTTGGCCAACTCGGATTTGGCTTCTTTTAAAGCTGTCCTAGCGAGGGTCGCGTCACTGATCAAGGGCGCGATCTCCTGTTCCCGGGCCGGAAGGAACGGGGTGTCTTCGGGCATATTCAAGTCGAATCGCAGAGTAGGGGAGACATGGAGACTGTCATTGAACTCGAGCAGGATTTCAAGCAATTGACTATGGATAATTCAGCACCTATTTCCGAATGACTCCAGAGCACCTTGGGACTACCATACTCATTCTGTTCCTGAATGCGCTTGGAGAGATCCTCGATGCGGAGCTCTTCGCGGATCAGACTCTCGCTTTCCGTTTCTTGCTGTGTGAATTTGATTTTCAACTTGGCATATTTTTTCCTGGCGACCACCATTAGCCCAAGGTTTCACCACCAGTGCTGTTAGGACGTCGTACTTGAAGGAGCGCACCGACTGCTTAGCAGGGGGAGCTGCCGGAGCATCGGGCGGAGTCTCCAAACCAGGCTTGGAATCAGTCATTTCGTTTGCCACTTCGGAATCGGATTCAAGATGGCAAAAAGCAAGTTTCCGGGGGGAGATGAGATTGCTGGGGCTTTGAAGGAAGGGAAGGGCCAGTGCAAGCTGCTGGGCGCGCCAAGCACGGGACCCAGGCTTGCGCGAAAGGCGGTACCTGGCCTCCGTAAAAAATTGCTTAGCGTCGTCCCGAAGATCTCAGTGAAGTCCAGTTCGCTATTCCCCCATCAATTCACGGGCCTCGTATATTTGCTGCAGAACACTTCACTGGTGCAGTATTCATCGAGTCGCCACCATGACTTCAACTGAAGTTGCCGATTCCGGCCAGAAGAAGCGCAAGCTGCAAGATGGCCCCGAACTCGAGATTGATATTTCTGCGCCGGAGCCGCAATCAAAAAAAGCCCTACGAAAGGCGAAAAAGTCAAAGCAGACCGACGGAGACGCCGCCGACACCGACAAGCCTAAACCCGACAAACCCGAGTCCAAGGATGCTACCGATTCTCAGGCGAAGCGCTCTGATTATGGAGTCTGGGTCGGCAATTTGTCCTTCAACACCACCAAGGACGACCTACGCGAATTTTTCATGAGCAATTGCTCCTTCTCCGATGATACGATTACGCGAGTGCATATGCCCAAGGGTGCCGAGAGGTTCGGACGTCCCCAGAACAAGGGCTTTGCCTACGTCGACTTTTCCACTCAGACGGCCCTGGACGCGGCACTGGGTTTGAGCGAGCAGCTCGTCGCAGGCCGCCGCGTCCTGATCAAGAATGCGAAGAGCTTCGAAGGTCGGCCCGAGAAGTCTGATCAGGGTAACGCTGCAACATCGGCCAAGCCCGGTCATCCTCCATCCCGACGCATCTTTGTGGGCAACCTGAGCTTCGACGTCACAAAAGAATCTCTCGAGGAACATTTTGGAAGATGCGGAACGGTGGCCAATGTGCATATGGCGACCTTCCAGGATACAGGGAAATGCAAGGGGTATGCTTGGGTGGAGTTTGAAGAAATTGAGTCCGCAGAATCAGCGGTGAAGGGCTTCGTTATGGTGAAGGAGGATGAGTCGGAAGCGGAAGAAGAAGAGCAGCCCAGCGACAGCTCCGACTCGGATGGCGAGGAGGAGGAGAAGAAGAAGAAGCCAAAGAAGAAGTCCAAGAAGTCCAAGAAGCCCAGCCAGCATCGGGTCTGGGTGAACCAACTCATGGGCCGCCGGATGAGAATGGAATTCGCTGAGGATGCGTCGACACGGTACAAGAAGCGATTCGGCAAGGATGGCGAAGGAAAGAAGAACGGCCAACCTGCAATCACTGAGGACAATGGCTCCGAGCCATCCGAGGAGCGGCCCCGAGTTCGCAAGCAGAGAAGGCCATCTATTGACGAGTCGCGGTACACCAAGGAGACCGTGCAACGACTCAGCGGTGCCATCGTTGAAGGACAGGGCAAAAAGGTCACATTTGACTGAGGGCGATTAACATTCGCACAGTTTTATTCTTGGTCACCAAACAATGCAACTTCGGCTATTCCCGCATGCCTCATTATGTACTTTGCCGGTTCATTGCAGCGGATCTGCAGGCGTCTTGGGATTGTTTTTTGGAGGCTCTATATAGCAACGATCTGCTATGCGGTGTACAATTTTGTTGACGTGGCATCGGCATCTCGAAGGAGCCCCATGAGGGTGAGGGCGACTTGTCAGGCTCACAGATACCCCTCCTCTAAAAAGAATATGTGTTTTATGTGTTATTTCGAAATGTTCGTTCTCGTATGCGTGTTAGGCGTTATCAATCAAGGGTCACATGTGCTCGATCCACGATCCCCACTGCATCCCTTCGGGAGCGTATACGCCAACCTGCATGGGCCATATGGCGAAACCACCCCCTTCTTCTGTGCCCCGAAAGAAGGTAGATTCCGGTTCATCTCCGCGCCAGGTAGAAACAAAGCACCTTTGTAATGTCTAAAACGAAATGTGAAACATGTAGATCTAGACTGGCCGGGCAGAACCACTCTCACCGCCCACGCTAGCCTGATCTGGGGTGACGTCTCTTTGCGATGTCATGCCCTTCGCCGAATATCTGCTTCCCATCTCGTCCGACCTGCATCTCCCTCTCTCTTCCCCCTTGCTCTTTTCTTTTCTTCACTCCATCACCCTGGCGAGGTGCTTTTCCAAACCCCCATTTTAGTTGACTTCTTCTGATACTGCTGTGTGATTTATCATCCTTGCTGCTCCGCCCACTGCATTTCGCCGCACTTCCCTATTGCCTTGCCCACCCCTTCCTGGTTGCCTGGCCCTGACGCCAACCCAGCGCCAATAGGGCTCATCGACAATTTCTTCCAAGGTCCCCCGCCAAATCAGCAACATGGCTCTCAGTCGACGCCACATCGGGGCAAGCCGCAGGAAGAGACGGGACGACGAGGGCGAGGACGAGGGCTCACAGGCTGGAGAGCTGGACGATGACTCCTTGAGTGAGGGCTCGGTGGACAGCCACCAGGAGGATGAGGATGCGGACGGAGAAGGCAGCGAAAGCGACGGAGAAGCTTCGACCACGTTGGACACGGACAAAGGCAAGCTCAACGGTGGAAAGGTCAACGGCCGGGAACCAAATCAGACCCAACCACACAGCACTGCATCCCCCAGCAAACCAGGGCTCAAGATGACCGTCTCCGACACTGAGGCGATGCTGAACGGACTCAAGGTGTCGGACGATAGCGAGGAGATTCAGTTTGACCGGATGGAGCAGCGTGACCTTCAGACAGGCCGGACGCCATCCGCTCCGCCCACGGAACCGAAGCGGGAAACCTTGGCTGCAAGGAAACGCCGGGAGCACGAGAAATATGTGAAGGAACGAGAACAGAACCCGGCTTTTGTGCCCACTCGAGGCAGCTTCTTCTTGCATGACAAGCGGTCGTCGGAGGCGGGACAGAATGGCCACCGTACCTTCAACAAGGGAAAGTCGAGACCCGTCGGTCTCATTGTGGATGGGAACTCTCGCAGGTACGCTTCAGCCGGCTATATACATGACCGTCGCATCTTTTTGCTGATATCAATCTAGGAATTCTTCAAAGCCTGACGCGAGCGAAGGACAGTGGACACACGACCTTCATGAAACAGTGGCCGGGAACAACCCAGCGCCCAAACATGTACCTCCTCCAGCTGGATCATATCAGCCCGTCACGAACGTCCCGACCGCCCCTCGATCTGAACCCCCGAACCGTTCGTTCTCCAGCACTACGCTGGTCGGCAATGTGCCCGTCGTCGTCTTCTTGCCGGGCATGACTCAGGCGAAGCCGTTCCCAGCGGTGCCCAAAAAGCAGCATACCCGTCTCCCTCAACATCGTCCTCCCTTGCGCCGTGATAAACCGGTGCGAATCTCTCTTCCTGGTCAGCCTCCTCGCTACATCTTCCCGTCCACTGAGCGTTCCTTCATCTTCATTCCCCGTGCATTACGCCCGAACCAGCAGGGCTATCGAGGGCGGGGTCGCGGCGGTGGTTTTTACCCCGGACGACGACCTAGCTACTACAACACCTATACACCCAGTGTCCTCAGTGTTAGCCGGCGATCTTCACTTGGAATGTCTGCTTCTCAAGATGGCTACCCGTCACCTGCAGGCTCGGTGTACTCGCGGCCAGCCATGGTTCCCCCCGATGCTGGCAAGCCCATCGTTCGCCTCCCTCCTCCGCCGCGTCCTCCAGTTGGTATGCCGCCCACAGGGCCTGGTGCTGGACTCCCTACAGGGCCCATGCCACCAATGCAATTCCCACACTTCGCCTACCGCGAAAGCCGCCCTTCTACGATCCCTATGCATCAACCTCGCCCACAAAAGGCTGTTTCTGTGGCCGATATCGAAAGCCCAGCCAGTTTCTCGTTCAATCCACCCCAGCCCCAGCAGGAGCAACCGTTCCACCACCAGGTTCCTGTCCCGGTGGCCGGACCTAGCCAAGAGCAGGCCGTGCAGGGCCCGCCAAGCCAGCCCTCAGGAACACCGCTCTCACAAATTCCTGAGCGAGCCATTCACGCCCAGCCTTTCCAACCGTACGACTATCAACAGCCAGGCTTTTATCCCGGCTATCCTCCTGGTGCCATGTACTATCCAGGATCTGGACCAGAGTATCCCCCGTACAATGGACCGATGGGACCCGGTGCCTCGATGCCCAACTTCCCGGGTCAACAATCTATGCCGTACGGTGCTCCGTCTTCGTCTGGTGAGCAGCCTTCACAGCCTGGTACTGTGGCTCACGAGTCGGGTGGCACGGTGTACTTCTACGATGCGAATCAGATTTATTCCAGTCCCAATTATGGGGGCCCAGGACCGGCCCCGGGGCAGGGGCCTGGGGGAGTGGTGGGGATGGGGGGCATGATGACGCCGCCGGGGACCATGTATTACTATCCCCAACCGCCTGGGGCCGGGGGAGGCCCTGTACTATGGACCACAGTGATTGGGCCGATTCCTTTACGCTGTTGGATGACACACCTTTTTTCGATGGAGCATGGTTCTTTTCCTTTCCTTTCCTTGGCCTCCATTCTTTTTCCCCAGCTTTACTTCCTTCCTTTTTTTTCTTTTTTGACCTGTCTTGCCTTTGCCCGTCTTGGCACGGTTGTTAGACTTGGATTCGGATGCATTTGAGCGTTTTCCCCCTCATCCCTCATGTCCCCGCAAAACCCACCCAGCTACTCCCCCTCATCTCTCTTCGATCACTGTGCATGATCTAGGCCCTGTTGCATGACCTCATCCCTTCTGTTGTTTCCGATGAAACGGGGCTACGAAATACCAATAAAAGTACTCCATATGCCTGCGTCATCATATCCTTGTAGACACGAAGATATCTGCCTATCGGAGTCACACTTGGCCCTCGCCTTACTTCGCCTTCCCCCATGCTACTCCACCGTACCGTATGTAATCGCGTGACGCCACCTGACCTGTTCCGCCAGTTACCTAATCGTACACCGCCCAACGGCAGCTGACCACCGGGGGCCCCTCCCAAATCGTACAACGCTCCTCTGCCTGCTCGACTCTGCCTTTCTACGACTTTGTCTACTTTCTACTTCTGACTCTTCTCCTTTCGTATTCTCATCCTCTTTCCATCCTTCTATTCTTCTTCGTGGGCATCTCCATCCTGTACTCCACACCCCACTTTCGTATTGAACCTCCCTTCCCCCATCTGTTCTAGTATTCCTTAGTTCCTTGTACTTCCTATCTTTCTGCCTACACACCTCCTCACTTGCATCATGGCTACGCCGGCCCTCCCAACCCACCCGGGTCCGGATCACCAGGTTTCCGTCAAGGTTCTCTACAACGACAGTCACCGCCGCTTCAAACTGCCACTGAAGGACCTGCAGGCTCAGGTGCTGCCTCAGAAGGTAAGCTGTCTCGTCTCCACTTAAGCTCCGACCGGACCTCCCGACCGCCCCCCATCCCTTATCTCCCTTCGGCCATCGCCATGATCGATGATTCGGTGGTCGTGGATACGCTTGCTGGACTTTTGTTGAGGAAACGTGGCCCCAAAAAAGGCCGATTGCGGTTGCTTGTTGACTAACTGATGCCTTGGGTCTAGCTCCGCTTGCTTCTCGACGTTCCGGCGAATGTTAACGTCATCTTCGAACGCTATTCCGACAGCGCCGGCAACTACATTCGCCTGGACGAAGAGAACCCCTCCGTCTACAAACAACTGTACAGGGCTGCCAAAGCCAAGTCCAAGCTTCGCATTAAGGCCACCGCGGTCGACACCTTGGCGCCGGCGCCCTCTGACTTCCCCATCCCGGCTCAGCCGTCCACCCAGAGTCCTCCTCGACACAGCTATCTCGAGACCGTCCTCAGCTCACCCATCCCCATGGCTGAGAGTCTCCCCGCCACTTCAGAACTGGCAACCACTTCAAGCCTGGCCGACGTCTTGCCACCTCGCTATCGCGACTTCGACATGGAAGATAAGCTCCGCTTCCCGGTAATCTCTCACAACTCCCCCAATGGGATGTTTTGCATTGACTGCAATAACTGCGGTCGATCAATTGCCAACGAACACTATCACTGCAGTATCTGCGAGTATGGAGACTACGATCTGTGCCCTCAGTGCATCGACGATGGTGCGTCGTGCCGCAGTGAGGGCCACTGGTTGATCAAGAGAATGGTGGTGAACGGCGTCGTGACAAACAGCACAACAGAGACCATTCCCCCTCGTGGGCCACAGGTGGCGGAGTCTCCCAAGCTTCCTGAGGAGCTTGTCGAGCCGGAAAGGGAAGAGCCCAAACCAGAGATCAAGCCCGAGATCGCAGTATGCCCGGCCTACGAGCCTCCTCTTCATGAGCGTGTTCTGGAATTGGCGGCTTCGGTCATCCCCGATGGTATGACTAAGTCTGAGGCTGCTGTTAAAGACGATGAGCAGCCTATGTGCAACGGATGCTGCCGTGGTATGTTGTGGTCCCATCTTTGTCCTTCAAAGTTGAACTGAGGCTAATCTGTATATTTAGATGTTGACGAAAGCAATTTGGTGCGTTGCAATGACTGCGAGGATTACGACCTCTGCCTTCGTTGCCTCCTGAGGAACAAGCACGGCCACCACCCTGCTCACACTTTCTCCCTTGGGTCGGACCGCAACTTCTGCTTGAAGAACCTGATTATGTCTCGCTGCCTCCCCGGTCGCCAGTTCAAGCACGCTGCCATTTGTGATGGCTGTGAAAAGGTAAGATACCCGCAGTTACCCACCCTCTCTCGCTGTTCTATCAGATCACCCGTTAACCATGTCCAGCGCATCATTGGTACCCGCCACAAGTGCCTGTCCTGCCCCGACTGGGACTACTGCCCCAGCTGCATCCAGAAGGCTTATCTGAACCACCCTGGCCACCGGTTCGCTCCTATCTATGGGGCAATCGGTGATCAGCCTCGTGACTCTGAGATCCATTACGGCATCTTCTGCGACGGCCCTCTCTGCAAGGACAAGCCTGCACAGAGCTACATCAGCGGTGTTCGCTACAAGTGTGCCGTTTGTGATGACGTTGACTTCTGCGCGAGCTGTGAGGCTCTTCCGAGCCATCAGCACAACCGTACCCACCCGTTGGTCAAGTTTAAGACCCCCGTCCGCACTGTAACCGTCAGCACTGTCAGCGATGATGGCTCTTCCACCGGTCAGGTCTCTTTGGGTGACCAGGCTCGCGTCCCTCTTGCGTCCCCCTCGCATGAAAGTGTTCAGGAGAAAACTCCAGTTATTATGACACAGGCTCCTGTAGAGGTGGAGGCCACCAAACCCGAGCCTGCTTCGCCTACTACCCCCGTCACCCAGTCCACCACTGTTGAGGCACCCGAAGCCACCGAGGAAGACTCAGACCAGTACCAGGCTTACTTCATCAGTGATGCTGTTGCCGATGGTACTAAGCTGCCTCCCAACACCATATTCCGTCAAACCTGGACCCTCTTCAACCCCGGTTCCCTTGCCTGGCCTGCTGGCAGTGATGTCCGCTTTGTCGGCGGAGATACCATGTTCAACGTCGATTCAAGCCACCCATCCAGCGTCGAGTCTATTCGCTGTGCGATGGAGAGCAACAAGCTGTCTGCTCCTTTGGAGCCCGGGCAGAGTGCCGACTTCACTGTGACCCTTCGTACTCCTCATCGTGAAGGTGCTGCCATCTCGTACTGGCGTCTGAAGCTTCCTAATGGTGTTCCCATTGGCCACCGACTGTGGTGCGATATCCAGGTGCAGAGCACCGCATCTCCTGCTTCGGTTGTCCAGCCAACAAAGGAGATCGCCGATGAGTTCACCACGACCGAGTCTTCTACTTCAAGCACAGACCTCGCTAGCAGTAGCATGATCTTCCCCAAGCTGGAGAAGGAGTCTCCTGAGTCCAGCCTGCACGAAGCCGTTACCCCGACCCACCAGGCCCCGGCTCTGTCGACTGCCTCTGAGGGAGATGTCCTGGAAGATGTTGAGAGCCTCACTTTGGACGAGGCCTCTACCGACGCTGGCTTCCTCACCGACGAGGAGTACGACGTCCTCGATGCCAGCGATCAGGAGTTTTTGGAGGCAAAGCAATCCATGCACTAAACAGTTAACTCTTGCACGGCTTCGCCGTGCTCATGACACGATATGGAACTGGGAATTTGCAAGCAGGAAGGTTTCGGCACTGGTTTATTTTCACTCAGCTCAAACACACACACAAGCTGGGCCACTTCTGCGATGGCCAGCATCGACAATGATTCTACTATTTTGATCTTTTGAATTTGATGTCATTATTATCTTTTCCTCATCTCCTGATCTTTCGTACTATCCACTCTCGCAGAGGCGCTGTCCCCTTGACAAGCACGTGCACCTTCTCCACTCGGATGGCCCTCAAAAACTCTGCTGCGACACAATTTTGCTTAGGATAATTAATGCATTCCTTGCCGTTCTCCACGTACTTTTGACTCCATCACAGACAGTTACCATGCTTCCCAAGGCCCCCCGCTTCTGTTGGGCGTCGGACCTGCCCCCGACTCCACCCCCGGCGTAGCCGACAAGGACGATCACCCCCGCAATGACATAGGAAACCCAGCCGAGGCAATATGCGATTTTAGTTCGCCTTATGGTTTATGGTCGTGCGAAGAGGGAGTGCAGCCGGTATCTCTTGGTCTAATTGCAGCTTCTTAAGACCCCGCTCTCCCTTGTTTCCTCGTCACGCCTCTTTTCAATCCAGCACTCGACTTACAGGCTCCGCCTCGGCCTAATTATCGCAAACTCACGCCGCCATAATGGGACTCTTGAGCTCAGCCTTCTTGGGCCTTTTCGCCGTCTTGGTGGCCGTTCTGGCTCCGACGGTGATCCATTTGATTAGAGTCGGCGGTCCCTTCCTTACCCCGAATCCTACTGTGCTGGGCGCAGGCCAGGGTCCAATTGTGATTGAGGATACCATTCACTGCGAGGATGTGCACCACTATCGCCCAGCAGATCTGCTATTCACCGCGTGTGAGGACTTGAAGGCTACTCGCTTCGACTGGTTCCCCGGTCTGGGCCATTTGGACACCAAAGCCGCCGGCCGGGGCAGCATTCATGTCGTAGATCCGAAGGTGTGTGATCTGTTCTACAATGCGACTCGGGGTGCATACTATACGGTGTGGTCTGGTGGCATACTGACAAGCTCCATTCTTTACTCTCAGACCTTCAAATCAACTCGCTTGACATTCGAGAACTTTGAGAGCGGCTTCGTGACCCACGGAATCGATGTCATCGAAGACCCTGAACGCGCCGACGCAGTCTACATCTTCGCTATCAACCACCTGCCGAACCCAGAGTACTCGCCATCTGCACCCACCAGCGCGCCCAAGGCACGCTCGCAAATTGAGCTCTTCCACCACATCCTGCGCTCCACCACAGTGCAGCACGTCCGCTCCATCCGCCATGAACTCATCCAAACACCCAACGATATCACTGCCGACAGCCCAAGCTCTTTCTACGTGACCAATGACCATTACTACCGGGCCGGGCTGCTCCGCCTAATCGAAGATCTCTGGCCGTTCGCGAAATGGAGCAACATCATCCACGTACAGCTGCACGAGCTACAGGCTGAGCATGCAACATCCGCCCTGACCGCATCGGTCGCACACGCCGGCCTGTGGAACAACAACGGCCTCGGGCACGCCCGTCACCCCGCTGAGCTGATCATCTCCAGCGCTATGGGCGGCGAGTTGTACCTGGCGACGCGCGATGAGAACAACACGCTCTCCGTGCACACGACCATCCCCTTCGATACCACCACTGACAATCCTAGCTACTACGTCGATCCCTTCGCCAGCGACGTCCATGACGCGAGCGGGCTCGTTGTCGCGGGCATCTCGCAGGCGGTGTATATGCCGCAGACCATGCATGACCCGGACGCGGTGGACGCGTTGCAGGTGTGGTATGCGAAGCCGACGCGCGGCGGTACCGGGTGGGAGACGAGGTTGTTGTTTGAGGATGATGGCACTCGCATTCGCACTGGTAGTGCGGCGGTCCTGGTTCCTGTTGAGCCGGAGCGTGTAGAGGGGGTAAAGAAGGCTTGGCTGTTTGTGACAGGCTTTTTGTCGGAGAATATGATTGCTGTGCAGGTGGAGCTTTGATTTGAGCTTTGAGCTTTCAGGCTTGGTCGAATGGTTGTTCGGTGTGGTAGAAGTATACACTTAGACACTCTCTAGGTATGCTGGGCTATTCTATTCTAATGAAAAGTACCCTCACAGTTTATACATCTTGTCATCAGTAAGGATATATAATATAACAAAGATAGCTTCCATCGTGTTTGCTGCCACTTACTCGACGCTATAAAAACGCGCCGGATTTCTTACACATAATAAGGGGAGGCATAGAATTTTTGCGTTTCTTTTGTACCCTTCGGGTTACAATTGAGTTGCATCCTTGTCATGCTAGCTTTGACCTTGAGATACAGTCTATTATTCAAGTATTACGTTGGTGTACCCGTGATAGCATGGGATGCGAATAATCATGACGGGGGCGTCCGGGCCAATTGCAACCGACTTAGCCTCGGGTGAGATGTTTAGTCCTTTCTTGGCAGCATTCCAGTACAGCAAAGAATAACAATCTAAAATCGGTTGAGTTCCAGGCTCGTAATCACAAAGTTTCCAGCGTCTTCAATCGATCATCCCAGCAACTAAATCAAACATACCGATGTCTGCTTTCAAGGGGATATGGCAGGTATCAAGACTCCCCTATTCTGCCGCATGAGCAGCCACTGCAAACGAGCGAGCTGTACTCCTTGAGGCCCCGCATCGTGAAACTGAGAAAGGGAGCAATCTCATGAGATCCGTAACTAACTAACTAATACATGCTTACATAAGGTTTCCGTCGTCACTCTCCCGGCCAGGCACCTGGCATCACCTCGACTGGCCGCTCAATGATATCCCAAAATTGTCCTACAAATGCATCAGATGCTTCAGCTAACTACATATTCCAGTCTTCTGGGCAACGACCGTAAGTTAATCCGATGACTCGTTGTCTGTTGGTCACCTGCTCCCCAACATTCCATCCATCAATTCTTTCTGTCAACACTCACCTAGCGGCATTGAATACTGAAATTAGGTACTCGGCGAAGCTGTCGCTCATGCCCACATGTTCACCGTATGTGACCAAGTAGGTTATGGGAATGAACATACCCATTGAATAGAAAAAGCTTGCCAATGCCGTGAGCACAAACGGCCGATCTACAAAATTCCGGAAATACGCCCCAACAGTAGCCGGTTTGGGGTTGGGACGCAGACGAGATCGAACGGTCGTATTGGTCACGAGTAAGAGTGCAAGCATGAAGAATGCGCAAGTACGCATGGCCCATCCGAAGCCGACTCGACTGATTATGCTGTCCACCAAAATGGGCATGATGACACCGCCCAGACTTGAACCACTCGCCGTGATCCCCATCGCTAACGCTAGTCTCTTCTGGAACCACGTGGTAACGCAATTGAACGAGGAATGCAGTACCATACTTGCGCCGAGAGGACTGCAGATAGTTTGAGAGAGTATGAATTGGTAATATTCGGTGCTCAGTGATGCCATCATGAGCCCGAACACATGCAGAAGTGACCCTATTAGCAGAAGCCATCGAGGCCCATATATGTCGAATAGTCGGCCGACGAAAGGGCCCTATCGAACATGGCTTCAGTTGTGATCTCATGTACTGTACATTGAGTGAACACTAGGAAATCGTTTCGTTCCGTGTAGCCCAAGGCGAGCCATAATCTGACTCACCGTAATAAACATCATGAACATAGATATTGCCGGGATCCACGAAATGGTGCGTGAAGACATGGTTTGTAGTTGGTGACCTTGTAGTACGCTTGGAAAAGACCCACGCCTGTCAAGGGTAAGTATTCAAACTTGAGTCTATCACCAATTTCGAATGTTGAGTTCCAGTGACTGGACTCTATACATACAATTCGTCCATCCAAAGCTAGTGAACAACCCAAAGAAAGTCCCAAGTACGACGAGCCATGCTCGGAAACCACCGTCCGGAAATCTGGTCGGATCATTGACTTCGATCTCTGGGGGATCTGCGCCATGACTGTCCTCCGAAAGACCTTCCTTGAAGATCCTTTTCCCGGGCATGATTGGCACCAAGGTGAAATAAAGGTCCAAAGAAATGTTGGAAATAATTTGATTGCTTATTCTCTTTTGCGGATGTACTCTGGGGACCGGTAATTTATATTGTTGTCATTTAAACACTGAAGGCCTAGATCGGATTGAGTGACACGACTGATATCCAATCAAAACTACTGGCATCAGAGTCAGGCGATGAACTCATCATAGTTTTTACAAACCACGCCCCTGAACTGTCTAATTATCCGCGTTCGGTCCATTTTATAGAGCGCGGGTACCTTTGATTGGACCGGTGGTCCGAGCGCACCAATCACAATGCTGTTATATCAGAACCGACCCACTCCCGAGGAGTCACTCCTCACGACACCTTTCAGCTGCTTCGCTGCAAGACGTCTTGCAGGAATGACGATCTTATGATGGGTCCAGTGAAGCGACCATTCTCTGGTGCAGTTTCCGAGCCGAAGCGAAGTGCCTGGCAACAGCCAGCATCATGCGAGTTTTGCCGACGAAAAAAGATCAGGTGCGACAAGCAACATCCGTGCTCTAGTTGCACAGCTAGGGAAGTTAAATGTGAATATGATTCAGGTATTGGGTCCGCAGAATTTGAATTGAATGTCCATTAGGTTATAAGCATATTGGATTAACTTCTACAAGTAACAGCAACGGGGGATTCGACCCTCCCCAAAAATCAGGTTAATGTTCAGGCTACGCATTTGAACTCCGCGACGCTAGAAAAGTACGCTTTGAACATTGTTTGTACCATTAATATTGTGAGCTAACATTAACGAAGAACCATACAGGAAATGAACGATCGCTTAAGACGAGTTGAGATGCTGCTTCTCAGTAGTCCAGGCCGACATTCAGCCGTAGATCTGAATCCAGACTTGTCGTCCCTTATACCACATCCTCCCTCTGATGCGCCAGTAACAAGCCAGCTTCACAATTTGGATAATCTCGAGTCAATTGCAGCATCGTCACAGCCTCCAGGAACGGCTGAGTCTCATCAAATCCAAGACAGTTGCCCAGCCCGCCCAGCAAATGCGATAGCAAGCTCTACTGTGGACCGGCCCAAGGAACCACCTGCCAGGACAGAAAAAAAGGCAACAGAGCAGCTTCCTAAACTTCATGCCGCCTGATCACTTCTTGAGCACTATATTCAAGCAGTGGACTGTCTGGATCGCGTCATCCATGTCCCATCGACATGCACTCTTCTCGAAACAAAATACTCCCGACTTTCACAATTAGCCACCCCACCAGATGAAATTCTTACCTTTTTCCTTCTATGTTAGGTTGCCTCGGCCTCATTCTATTTTGGCTGTGAGCACCTTCATCTCCCGTCTCACGGATCATGCGTGGACCCTGAACAACCTCGTATCTGGAAGGAGGCAGCTCTGCAGCGCATTATGCACCCAGATGAGCTTTTCTCGTCTTCGCTGATGTCACTGCAGTCTGCCTTGATCATGCTTTTTCTCCTCTGGGATTCAGAAGGCCAATCAAAGAGATATCACACGGTAAAAAGTTTGGCATATACGAAGGCCGTCCAAATGAGAATCCACCAAATCGACGCGGGGTCGCAAGATGGTGATTCAGATCCACTCGAAAGAGAAATCAAGCGGCGCTTGTGGTGGCATCTCACATATACAGACTAGTAAGTCATAAGTCATATCTAGTCGGGTTTGATCCGTCTATATTGACTCCAATCCACAGGTTAGTTGGGAGTGCCCCCGGGCCGCAGGAAGGCATCTATTGCATCAATCCCAATCATATGATGGTCAATTACCCTGCCAATGCAGACGACGAAGAGTTCATAGTAGGGGGGAGCTTCGCGGATTCAACAAGCGATGCCCAACCAACTTCGATGGCATTCTTTCTCCACCGTATCAAGCTCGCTCAACTCTGTCGCGAATCTATGGACCGCCTACAATCCGTGAAAAAATGTCCACTCCAGACTGTTTACCAGCTCGTCCTCGGTATCAGTGAAAGGTACATGTCATTCCTAAACGAGCTCCCATGGTTCCTCCGCCTGGACGAAGAGACTCCGACAAAGCATGCAGAATTAGCCACGCAACGACCCTATATTACGCGCCAGCGTGCCGTGCTTCTGTACGGATTGTATTCGCGCCTGGGTCGTCTGCACCGGCCGTTCGTTTCCCGTGGATTCACAGATCCTCATTACGCAACCTCGCATCAGATTGGCATCGAGTGTGCAGAGAAGCTTCTGCAGATCCGTCGAATGACGGCCGTGGGCAATATTTGCGCTTTCGGCGGGTCGCACAGTGTGGATCAACATTCCTTCAATGCCATGCTTCTCCTCACGATAGACGTCATGGCGCGTCCCCAACTAGAGATTTCACACCGTCGAAGACGTGATATCATTGAAATGTGTCATCTTCTCAGAGATGATCACATGCGGGTGGGTCGGCCCAGGGATGGAATCAGCCGAGCAGTTGGGCTCTTGCTGGAGATTGTGCAAAGTCCTCACAAAATGAAACCTCTGGGTCCTTTTCAAGACCGGCCCACGTCATCAGTTGTGAGAATATCCCTGAGTTGCCTGTAGAACCGCCATCGGATAGATCTAGGGCAGAGTCCGTCAGTCGGATGCCTTAGATGGATGAAGTATTTCCTGGTTCTGCGGGTCGGGACATCAGTCATTTCTTCGATGAACTGCGACAGACTCTTCCCAGCGCAAGTTACATGTCATGGGAGGATTTCTTTGACTGGCAGGCTCTGTGTTGATGGGCTCTATTCTGCCCAGGGTTGCGATATAGTTCATGTTGGAACGTCATTAGATATTATATCGAATATCTCTGTCTTGCTAATATTATACTTTTGCAGCGGCGCTATCTGCACATGCTACAGTATAATCACAGGAAAAGGACTCTCTCCAGTTCAATCAACAGAAGTTCCCATAAAGACCTACTTGATAATTGAACATGCTAGAGATAAGGAATGGTCATCAGCCGAACCTGAACTAGATCTTAGAGCGTAACCTAAGATGTGGTATCCCCAACCTATTCCAAAAGGGATTTCAAAATTGTGATAAAGTGATAGTCAACACAGGCTGCGGCTGAACCCCGTATCTAATGCAGCAACCGGTTCTCAATCAAATCCATCCGATTTCAGGAGGATTGAAGCCCCTGTCAAAAAGCGACCAAGCCAATTGATCTACTATGAACGGAGTACGGATACTGTTGTTGAGATGAACCGATGATCCATGATCCCACATGAGAGTAATGTCGGAACCCTGACGATGCTCCGTAAGCGGGATAGCGTAACTTCTGTAATACTTCAATACTCCCTGGTCTGGCCACAGGCTTCCCAGAAGCACCCTGTTCCTGTCAGTCGCTAGCGAGCAAAATCAGCAAAGGATACGCACTAACCCAAGCAGACAACCAAAACTAAGACTTGGCCCGCATAACTTGCTCCGCCACTCACTCTTCAAACGTGCATAACTATGGACGGAGTAGGCGGTCCGAACCATCGGATTTCGATGCTGATCCATCCAGCACAGTACACATACCGTATCCAGTGTCCATACGGCACAACATTGTTACACTACTGTACAGTGTACAGTGTACATATACCGGGTCAACCAAACTGGGCCTTGGATTTCCTGAAGCGGCAACGAAAATTACGGCTTTCCCGAAGGAGCACTTGCGTCCCTGGCTGGTGGGCCTGTGGAGTGGAATCAGCCGCATTGCCGAGTTCTGGATCGCACCCACGTTCTGGAAGCCTTGGTTTTTCTGGAAGGCGGGAGTGTCTCCGCTGCGCGGGACAGGGGCGCCAGGGTTCAGGTTCAGCCGGCGCGCACAGGTTGCGAGATTTTTGATTTGAGTTGGGGCCATGAGAATGGATGGGGATGGGTCCTGTTGTGCGGGTTGGGACATGATTTGCGTTTTTTGCTATAGTCGATATACTGTAGAAGGGCGATTGATAATGCGGCGGGTGGATGAGGGTGCTCTCTGCCTTAGTGCTGGACTACTGCAAGGTTTATGGGGTACTTAGTGAATTTGGTGGGATGGTGTCTGCAGGAGGGTTGCGTCATTGAACGATTATGGGGCTGGTGGATTGGGGAAAAAAAAAAACCTTGGTATTGTTGTTTATGCTAAGGGAAGATGGTGAGTTGAGCCCACTCCTTAGCCGTATTAATAATTGTCAAGAAGATCTAGATGCAATGGCCGATGACCCAACACATTATACAATTGCCTAGTCCAGCATACATGTACTCCATAGAGAATGTCTCCCACAAATTGTCCCAGCTGGGCAGACCAGACCCATCTGGCGTGCAAACCCCACCGAACCCACGTCGCGTGGCCGAAAAACAGATTCGGGATCGGCTAGATGTCCAGGATGATAACAGAGTTCGGTTCGGCATCGGTTCGGCATTACGGGATTGTCCACGCTGCCGGCTGCCGAGGTTGCGGGCTGCAAACCTCCGGACGGTGGAACTAATGTGTGGCGAGATGTCTACTGTTTACGATCTACGATCTACTGTCTAGATGCAGATCAGATGACGTGCCTAGATTCAACGATTCAACGATTCAACGGTAACAGCAGATAGGAATATTGACGTTTCATAACTCGGTATTTTGTTGTACTAAACACTACAACCTGGTCTATATCCCCGAAGACCAAGAACCCCAGTTGCCCCGGCCCTTTCTCGGCCTCCGCTCGGCCTCGAAAGGCGCCCCCGCAACCGTTCTCCCCGTACGGAGCACACCTTCCAGCTCACTCCTTCCATGCCTTGTACACATTCGTACAACCAAAGACCTGTCCCTTTTTCAAGAGCACCATGTTCCGCCACTCGGGCTCATTAATCGCGTTCACATAGCGGCTGGGTTCCACACAGAACCCTGCGCCTTGACTGTGCGCTGGCGCGCCATTGAGCTCCGGGACATTGATGTACTTGCCGGTGTAGAACTGGAAGGCCGGCTCGGTGCTGTGCACCTCTAGGTGCACGCCGGTGCTGCGGTGGTTGAATTGCGCCAGCCGGCGCAGCGGCAGGTTGCGCGTGTCAAGCGGGATCTTGGCGGGCTCGGTGTCCATCACGAAGACGTCGTCGATGTGGGGGCCGGTCGCGGCGAGCACAAACGGGTTCGTCACGTCGCGTGGGAATTTGTCGATGGTGCCGGTGGGGATGCCCGTCTCGTCGAGCGGGAGGTAGTCGGCGGTCGCGAGCTGGGCGCTGGTGCCGGTGATGGTGGGGCCGTCGCCAATGTTGAAGTAGCTGGGGAAGGGTGATTAGTTGGGCGTGTTGCTCGTCGGCCTGGGTCCAATAGGTCCAATTGGCGATGGCGGAAGGAGGGGACAAGCACACCTGTGGTTCGTGATATTGACGACGGTCTCCTCGGCCTCATCGCCCACAAACTCCACCTCATACTCTGCCGTCAGCACGGTCTTGGCCTCCTCCTCCTTGCGGGCCGTATACCACACGCGCACCTCGACCGTGCCCGGGTACCCCTCCTCGCCATTGGCGGAGCGGTACTTGAACAACAGGGCATCGCGCCCATGTCGTTGGACCGTGTGCGGACCGTCGAAGATGCGCTTGCCCCAGCCGGTCGGGCCGCCGTGCAGGGCATTCGGTCCGTTGTTCTTCACCAGCTGGACTGGCTGCCCGTTCAGCTCCTTGATGAGCCCGCCCTTGATGCGGTTGGCGACGCGGCCAATGGTCGCGCCGTAGTGCGGGGTATTATGCTTGACGTAGTCATCCTGTGTGGGGAAGCCGAGCACAATGTTCTGGCCGCCGACGCGGAACTCTTGGATGATGGCGCCGAGTGACAGGAAGGTGAACTCGGCCTGTTCGGGGGCGGACATGCTGCGAGTGCTATGTACAATACGGTGTGAGCGCACGGAGAGGGGGAGGTCGTGGTATTATTAAATGTTGCTGTAGCTGCAGCTGTAGCTGTTGTAGCTGTAGATGTAGATGTACTTATGTTGGAGGGAATTCGGAGGGAGGAGTGGGATGGCCGAGACAGCCATGACGTGGGAACCCCGCAATGGGCACGGAATCACGCCCGGGGGGGGGGCCTAATTAAGCTGGGAGGCACCTTTAGCCTAAACAGAGTGTTGCTGGGCCAGGGGAGTGGGCAAGTCGGGCAGAGACTGTCAGCCGGTCCCGCGCTTTGCTTGGCTTTGCTTGGGTGATGGCCTTATAGCCTAAGGTCAGGCCAACTCAGCGTGTGAAGTGCTCTGAGCACGCGTTCTTTCTCTTAGCTTCATTTGAAGGCCTGGTTCCTCAGGCGACTAGTCCGACTTCCCCAGGCTGACGCGGCATTCAAAGGAGTGGACAGGGCCGGAGTTGGAAGAATATGCGCTCCGTTCCCATTCCGTCTGCGGTGACAGCTGACTGCTGGGCACCTCACCACTTATGTATTATGTATACTCCATCCTTGCCCGCCACAGGGGGATGGCCTGGTATATCGCAGCTGCGGACTAGCCTGCTCGGGCTGAGGCCGGCACCACGTCCGGGCTCGGAATGAACGGGGTTCCGGTTGCCGACATGTTAGCCTACCCCGGACTGGACGTGGCCCACCCAGTTCCCGGTCAACGGTGATCGGAATCGAATTGCGCCTAGTCGTCATTATTCAGTTGCCTGGCATCGCCTGGCCCTGGGATGCCAAGACGGGGGCGGTGCTGCCCCTGAACTTGGGCCAAGCCCCACGCTCAGCCCAGCCCCAAGAGAGGCGGGCGAAGTATACGATATATCGGATCCGTGCCCACGAACTACTGTATGATTTCGTACCGAGTACGGACGGAGAAACATCTCCGTAGAGGGGTTAGATGCAGATGCTCCATAGACGCAGAGACAGAACAATGCAAAACTCGCCGGAGAATAGACTTCCGGACTAGGAGGCATCCGGTCGATCTCGATCTACAACACACAAGACTGTCCTGTGCAGCTAGTGCGGCAACAATTGAACCTGTCCGGAATACCAGCGGCGTGGTTCTTCACGGCCCGAGGAGGAGTATATCGCCCAGGCCAAGATGGGTTGCGGAACGCCCAGTAGAATTTACGCCTTCCAAGAGTCAAGCAGTCGAGGGAAGGATAGACAACAGCCAGCACGGAGTACTCTATACCGAGTCGACTATGTATGCAGTCTGCTACATAGTTGTCCTTCCCTGAGCCCACTAACGCACAGCACAAAGCACGAGCTCTGCCACCCGCGGAACATTTGGCCTAGTTCGGCAAGTCGGCATCTCGGTCACTTTTCGTCCGGTGGAGTGTAGCAAGCGGTGGAGTTGCAGCAAGCGGTGGGGCTGGGAGTGAAAGTCTCCCATTCGGGCAACCAGCTCGCGCAAATCCATACCAACGAGAAGAATCTTGAAAAACAAGTGAGAAATAAACTAGGAGTGGAGACTTCCCTCCGACAGTGTCTACTGCAAGGCCATCACCTAACGAGTTAGATCCCTGATTGCCCTCCTCAAGACCTGCTGATCCATACTCCCTTCTCCATACACTCGGTCGGGATCCACTGCGCAAAGCAAAACTTCCGCTGACTACGCCGTGGATCGTCCAGGGAGCACCTGCGACGTATCGAGCGGTAATGAGAAGGAACGTTTCAAGATCGGACGCCACAAAAATACGAAACCTGGGCTGTGCACACACCAACGAGGCGCATCCTGCAACCTTCGAGGTACCAAAGTACGATCTTTGTAAAGCATGGGAGAGTATAGGGATCGATTCTCACCGATTGATGATGAAAAGGGAAAAAAAGGAAAAACTCAAATCGCGTGATCCTCGTATAGGTGGGTGGACTTAAGATGGTGTCGCGCGCGAGCTTATGTCCGAGCTTACGGCCAGCACATACTCCATGCGCATAGTCGTAAACTCCAGTCCGGACAGAGTAACTCCGTGCGCTGTAAGCCAGGGCAGCGACAGTTTTGTCAGTCTTACTCAGGAACTAACACGAATGCGCAGAAATTGTTTCCGTCCTCGGTTTTTGGTCATGTGTGATCAGGCCATGGTAATGGGTAATCTATCCTCTATAAGCTCCAGCCAGGATGGCAGGGGACCGAGCATGAATCAGCCTGGAAGTCGCATTAGTCAGGTGGAGCGATCTGGTCGGCACGCAATCGGCACGCAACTCCGGCGTTGCACTGTCGAGACACGGTTCCATCAGTGATCATTTTGGTCCAGACAGGGCCGTGAACGAAACTAGACCTGGATCTGGACCTGGATCAACCTAGACCAGGGTCCCTTTTGGCACGAGGGGGGAGAGGATGGGATGGGATGAGATGAGATGAGATGAGATGAGATGAGACCATGGAATACTGCGACTGCAATATGCACCTATAGAAAAAAAGGTAAAGAAGTGAGATGTAGTCATCCAGTGGATTGGTCAGAAATTATAACAGACAAAGAAAGAAAGAAGAAAAAAAAAAGGAATAAACGCCGCGCGACACCCGTTTTAACCCCGACTCCAGTTGTGAGAAGAAACCAGACCCCCCCCCGAACCCAACACTGTACAGAATTGATAGGATCGCACTTGCGAGCGAATCCAACAAGCATAGAAAGGGAATGGAGGTGTAATCACCCCAACCACAGAAAGAAAAGTGTGAACAAAGGAGAAAACAAAAAGGAACATGTATAGTATACATGCATCACGTCATACGGCGTTAGGTTCGAAAATCAACAACAAAGATCAAGCAGCACAGGCAACAGTCGACGCAGAAGCAGCAAGAACCCTGCCCCGGCCCCGTGCTGAGCCCAGCTTATATCGAAGTGATCTCTGTCGCATTCGGATTCAAAAACTCCTTAAAGTCATCATACTCGCTGGATGGCACACAGTTCATCGGCATTTGGCGGTGGAACATCGATGACGGCATCGGGTCCTCAAAGTGGTGGAAGGTCGCATAGTCGGCCGAGCTCATCATATCCATCTCGTCGTACGGATTGAACCCGCCATGATTCCCCGGCCACTGCTGCGGCGCACCCTGTAGCGCCAGCGGATTTACCACGCCGTGCATCGACAGGGCGTACTGCGGCTGGGGCGCCGGCGCGGCACTCATCGCGGGCTCGGGCTTGATCTGCGGCTGGGTGTGCACGACGTGATGCGTCGGACTGTAGGCGGGCGGCGTCGGGGGCAGGGTCTGCTGTGAAGAGAAGGTATCGGAGGAGTAGCGCGAGCGGGCGAGGGGACTATGGGGGCTGTCGGAGGAGCCGTCGGTCGATTCCTGGCGCTGCATGCCGTTGCGCCAGAGCTCGTGCTGCATGGCCTCGGGGTTCTCCTCAAAGCGCTCGCCCTTGGAGTGGTCCAGGGCGCCGAGACGTTTGAGCAGGTCGTGTGTGAGGGGGTGGCCGTTCGGCTCCGGCTTGAGCAGGTCGCCCGGCCAGCCTTCGCCTTCGATGCTGCGGCGGTAGAGTTCTTGCAGGCCGTTGACAAGCCAGGCTTGTTGCTGTTCGAGCATCTCAACGTATCTGGGCAGGAAGGGGGGAACGGTTAGTATGGCCCTTGGTTTGTATGTGTGTGGTATGCCATGCTCACCCCTTGGGGTACACTTTATCATGGGCCTTCTTCCGTTCGCCGAAGACGCAGACGGCATTGTCTGCTCGACAGCGCGAACATGGACTGCTTCCGTCGCACTTGTGCCCGGTCAGTCTCGCGGTGTTTCTGGTGATCCCTTCGATCTGTGCACATACCTTGGATTTCTTTAGGCGACAGCGGTCGCAGGCCTTGCACACGCGCTTGCGCACGTTATCGGAGTGCGAGTGGTCCGACGGTGGTGTTGATTGGCGGGCGGCCATTGTGTATGTGTATGAGTGTGATGGGGAGACTGATCACCAAAAAAAAAAAAAAAAAAGAGAGAGGGAAGGCGGGTAATAAAGAGGTCGAGAGAGTATAGGGAGGAGTGAAATGTGGAGCAGAGCAGAAAGGTTGTCTGGTAGGTTTGGATTTTGCTTTTGGCGTGCTCGAGTTATACTTCCAGATCCGGCCAGGAGGACAGCGAATGATCGACGTCAACCAGTCAATGATCTAATGACGATGTCGTGGGAGTAACAACCATCCAACGAGAATTGACTTTGAGTAGAAACTTTGACGGTACGCCCAGGTTCCAGAGAAGAGTGAAGTAGTAATCAGAGTTGTCTTCGGTCGGTCATATACTAGTCATCAGCCGTGGGCGGTGATTGCCGGTTGAGTCTTTGAGTCGGTAAGGTAAGTCTGTAGGAGAGGGACTTCGACGAGGCCGGGGGGAGGGGGGGGGACCCTTTTTTAGTCTTCTTTGATTTGAATCAATAATCCGAGAAGGAAAAAGGATGGAATTTACAATTTAGCATTTATGATTTATGATTTATGATTTTATTTTACGGCTCGAGGGATTTGGGAGAGTGGTTGTGGTTGACACGGCCCATACGTCCAGCGTACCGTCCAGCGCCTCACAAAACGATCGGATCCGATCAGAACAAGTCGAGGGGGGCTCCACTGCAGATGATTACAGAGCGGTACTTTTTTTTTTTTTTTTTTTTTTTTTTTTAACTTTTTTCTTTTCGGTTCTGTCCTGATTACTCTATCGAAGGAGTGGAGTCGGGAAGACTCGGCATTTCACAGCCAGCGAGGTCAGCCCGCGGAGGACGGAGCTTCCATCGGCCCTCGGAGCCTTGCCAACGGCCCTGACGTACACCCGGCAGGACTATACTTCCGGCCCAGTCAGGCACAGGCAGAACAAAAGCACCCAGAAAACATGGAAGACAGCAGAACAAACCGGGTCCAGACAATCACATGGCGATCGTGCGTGCCATTATGTAGTGATGATGGTCTGGAATCCCTGGCATAAATCATAACTCATCCCGAGTGCCGCATAATGTGTAGCACGTCCGCAGGAGAATGGGCAGGGTCAACAGCCCGCCTTGGCGGCATGCATAATAATGCGTATAACGTGCACTGCTCGGCAGGGCCATGCCGACTCGGGCCAGAAAACCTCGCACTCAGTACGATTACGAGGCCCCCATGATGACCATGGTCTCAACTCGAACCGGGAACGGGGTAATATCGAGAGAGTCTGTGGGATCTAAATTGCTTCCCGGACGCTGGATCTAGCCGAGTTCAGCGTCCCAAGGCGTGAAACAAAGTTTGTCAATCGACAACCACTCAATGCTGGGCGTGCTAGGAGCCAGTGAGTTGGTCCAGTTACTTCTGTCTCTGGGCTGTTAGTGGCCGATCCATCCCAAGCTGACGTTATTCCAGCCTTCCACCTAACGGCCGTATCGTGTACTGTGTCCCGTATTGTCGCCTTATCAGGGGTTTGCGATTGTACGGTACTGTACTGTCCGTACCGTAGACTGGACATCGGTCAGCTCGATTTGGCCAATGGTCCTCCCATGGCCGTGATGAGTGCCCATCGCAGGGTAAGCATAGCATTCGCATCTATCTTTGGTGTACACTTCGCGTCCGGGGTGCATTGTTACTGAACTGTCATAACGAAACTCGAAATCAGTACCCTGGACCCCGCGACTTGATCATCGGCGGACTGCCCCAATCGATTCGCCCCCGGGCTGAGACGCCATGTCGTCCAGGACGATAACCCGACTGAACACGACCCTCGTGATTCATGACCGCCGGCCGAGTCCAATAGACTCGGCGAGGGCGTCCGCCCGCCGCAGGTGGTGCAGTAATCGATCCAGCGCCGCAACCGTGCCCAAAGTCCATGACGTGACCACTTAGGGCCGCGCCCCCTCCATTTCGTGATCCATTTCATGGCCTCATGATTATTCCTGATGCTTTACCGACATCGTATCAACCGCGTATCTTCATGAGGCTGTGGCGCACAGTCTGGTCCTCTAGATAAGCCCGAAGCGCCTGGTCCACGCAACCGGGGGACCTGGAATCTGGCCCGACTTTGGATAGGAAACTCACAGGCGCGGGGACTAGGCGCGGGGACTTGGCGTCGATGGTGAAGACGTGATTTGAAATGCGGGAGCGCACGAGGCTGCGTCGATCTGCCGCACTGGTTCGTGGCTGGGTATACACTTTTGGGAATCACTGGAGAATGGTAGGCTCGTGTACTCGACCACGGCATCGCAGTCTGCTCCCTTGGGCTCGACTCCAAACCGGCGTCTCCTATTCCCATCCAGGCACGATGCTCGCAAACCACCACACTCATTTCGGGGACTCGTGAGGGTTGCGTGACCAGCCTCCTCATTCATCACGACACCCCGTCGGATAGCGCAGATCACCCGACGAGGATCTCCGAAGCCGGAATGGTGACCTCATCGCCCTGGTAATCGGGTGAAGCAGGATCGCCGGATCAGGTAAATGGTACAAAGAAGAGCCAAAGGGCCATTCCAGGCACGATCCGGAGTCCCCTCTAGGCCCAACATGCGGTCCTATCTCTTCCCCCTCCCCACTCCTCACTCTTCCTGGATCGCCGATATAGAGTTGGAGATTGTCTTCCGTGAGTGGCCGTAGATGCCCTGCTGCTGCTCAACCGTGGATGCGATTGTTCTGGCATTTTGCTGAATCCGGCGTGCTATTCCGATACCATTCCTTTCCACGTGAGAGCCACGTTTTGAATCGACTAAGGAAGTTAAACGCCACGCTTATCGTGGTTCTAGATTGGTTAGAGACGCACTGTGACATGGAACATTGACTGTTGACTTAGAATAGACTAGCAGAACTTTGATGGAGAGAGAGAGAGAGAGAGAGAGAGAGGAGTAAAACTCTGATTACTCTGACTAACAGAACTCTAATAACTCTGATAGAGAGATAGAGAGAGAGAGGGATAAAAAAGAAAGAGATAGAAAAAAAAAAGGGGGAGAGATAAAGAAGAAAGAGAGAGAGATAAGCGCCAGAACAGGAGCACAAGGGGGGTATATGAAGCAAAAACAGTATACGATGTATCTACAATCCCACGCGCCCTAACCCCAACAGCAGCACAGTCGCCGGAGGAAGCAATCTTTGGCTTCCTCCTCGTCCTGCGCGGCGTCTTTCCCCTGCGCTTTCTCGTTGGGTTCGGTCTCTGCCGCGCACGTGGCCCTCCGTCCGCAATCCCCGGTCGAGCTCGTGGCCTCCGCCATCTTCCGGCGGATACCCAGGCCAAAGAAACGACGCCGGGACCCAGGCTCACGCACCCTGCTGGCACTGGCATCCGCCGCTATCGGCGGCAGCGCCGTCGTATGCACCGATTGTCCCGCGCGTGAAGGGGGGCGGACGCGGGGTGCTTTGTTGCTGATGAACGCGGCGCGTGTCGACGACACGACGGACGAGGACTGCAAACCCTATTAGCACAGCACCAAGCCTAGCCTTCCACCCGCAGATCGAGACAGAGACATGGATCACCATCTCCCGCCATGCAGAGAAACACATACGCGCAAACGTCTCCTCAATATTCACCATGTCCCGCGCACTCGTCTCCATAAATCCACAGCCGTGCTTGCGCGCGTACTCCAGCCCATCGCGAGACGGCACCGCGCGCCCGTTCTTTAAATCACACTTGTTCCCCGCCACGATCTTCACGGGCGGCGGGAGTCCGACCGGCGCTCCTTCAGCGCATCTGGCCCCGAGTTCGCGGCGGAGCCGGTCGTTGTCCTCCACACGCTGCTCGGCCTCCATGTTGATCAAACCCATGAAGTGGTCTAGGGTCTGTAGGCTGGATGGATTTGTAATGTCGTAGACGAGCAGGAACGCGTCCGACTTGAGCGTTGACGCGGTCCATAGCCCACGGTATTCCTCCTGGCCGGCGGTGTCGGTGATGGAAAGGAAATAGGGTAGGCCGTCGACGGTACGGGTTACCGAGTACGAGTCCTCTGGGATGAGCGCATTAGACGGGTGTTTGTTGGTCACAGTCGCAGTCGCAGTCGCAGTCGCAATTGGGTCAGGAAGGGTGAAATACCGATCGTTGGGTCATATCTACGATGGAGTGTCAGCGACAGATCCTTTCCAGTACTCAAATATAAGAATGTATTGGGGGTTGCGGTTGGAGAGCATTACTCGTGGATCCATTGACTACGGACCAGCCGTAGCGTGATGGACGATTTGCCTAGCACCCCGATCTGATCAGATCTCGATCGCACGAATCCCACAGCGCCGGCACCGAATCATAAACTCGCAATGGTCCCGGCAAAAGATAGAAGGTTAGAGAAGGTTGCATGAACGTACCACATCCGCCGTCGCCGCAGATAGTGATTGAGATCTTGTCTGCCATCGCGTGGCCGACCACCGCGGTCGGCTTGAGGGGAAGGCGGTCGGGGGGGGAGGCTGGACACCAGTCACGCCGCGACACGGGCGATGCCAGGGGTGTCAGAAGGGGGCCAAAGGAACGTAAGGACGAAAGGACGAAAGGACGAAAGTACTAAAGTACGAAAAGGAGGGGAAGAAGTTGGGTGTTGGGGGAAAAGGGAGGAAGGGAAGCTGAACAACTGAGGAGCAAGCTTGGGCGCTAGTCGCAGGGTCGCGTGCGATTAGACCAGCCTAGACGGGAACTCTTCAATGTATAGCTCTCTCTATGCTTTGCTTCTTTCTCGCTTCGTGCTCGCTTTATAGGGATTGTCTTCCAGAGAACCCCTTGCGTTTACCGATATACACATCCATTGTCGGCTTCTTTTCTCGCGCTGGCGGTCTCCGCGACACCTGTCAGTCTCCTCGGACGTGCGAGGTGTCCATGCGCCGACCATTTGTGATGGATCAACTCCATCCGCAACATCCCCTTCGTCCCTCCACCGCCTCATCCACCCCTTCATGGACAGGGTTAACAAAAACCGGCACGATGCAAGAAAGGTTCAACATGCAACATGCAATGTGCAACATTGCAGCATTCACGATCTGGCAAACTGATCGAGTGGGGGGCTGACCGCAATGCCATCGCGTTAAAGAATCCTACAGCGACGACTGCTCCAAGGGCTGGCCGCCGCACCCATCGCATCCTTATTGGCCCCGCCGCGCCAGCCAACGGGTCCACAATGACGGGTGTTTGTACTTTTGAGCGAAAGAGGAGAGAAGAAACGGGGTTGACGCCTTTTCCTCCTCTCCACGCTGTCCCCAGGCAAAATCGAATGCTCACAGCAACCTACTCGCTTTGAGGGCTCCTGGATTCTATCATCGCACCGTTGGCTTCAACCCCGCGATTAAGTTTTGATGCGGAGTCACCCGTCGACAGCGTTTATACCGGAAACCAACCCGCTGGTCCCTCTTTCCCGGGGCTCTGGAACTCGTCTGGGCTTTGCATTCTGGACCCCCCGCAACCCGTGGCCTACTTGGTCTTCCCCAGAAATATGGCCAACCCTCTGAACAGTTTCGACCTCGACTATGGCGCCGCCCGCGATGACGCCCAGGATCCACGGGATGAGGTGGCGACCCACCTTCAGTCGTCCCTTTCCTCGAACGAGCCGTCCTTGATGGGCTTCGCCAACAGTGTCGGGAACTACCCTTTCGGTGCTACGCTCCACCAGGACAGTGATCTGGCCCTTCAGAGCTTCGACCAGACCCCAAGAGCCCAGGGAGAGCTGGAAGGCCGCCTCTCAAATGTCATGTTGGCCTATGATGTGCCCACGACGGGCGTGTCCATGTCCATGCCCGTCGACGCCGGGGGCGCGTTCGCCTATGATATCCCGACCACCTATCCCGCAAACTCGATGGGACTCGTCCCGCCGACGGACCATGGACAGCTTTATCCGACCTACTCTCCCTTCCACCAGTCCATTCCACAAGGCGGCCAATATCTACAACAACAACACCAACAACAACAACCGCCATCATCCCTTGGAGGGCCACCACCTCGGCCCCAGCCACAGGGAGGCCCTTACGACGGCAGCAACAACAGCAGCAATACCGCCGCAAATTCCACGGGGAGCTTCGAGGACTCCGACTTCTCACGGGCCAGCGACCGGTCGCAGCAGGTGCCTATACAGCAACCGCCCCACGAGCGCCAGCAGTTCCCTCGGTACGGACCAGCGCAGTCTGCGGCCCCGTATCGTCCATCGCAGCCGGTGGCCATCCAGCCTAAGAAGCCCGTTGCCGCTGCCAGAGGTGAGTGATCATGCCCACGTATTGTAACCCATTGGCTTCCCCGTACCGGCATGGCTGACGCCACCCCCTACCTCTCCAGAGCATCCCTCGCCGGGACTGTCGACACCGGATGCGTCTAGCTCGCAGCATACCGGCATCTACTCAAGTAGTGGATTTGACATTCTAGGTGTTCTCGTAAGTGACACTTTTTTTTAACTGAGCATGAGCTGGAACTAGGAGTCTTACGCTACTTTCTAGAGCCGAGTGGCCCTGCGGCCCAAACCCAAGATTAACATTGGCGCTGTCGACTTGTCTTGTGCCTTTGTGCTGTGTGATATTACGCGGGAAGACCATCCGATTGTCTACGTCTCGGAGGCATTCGAGCGTCTAACTGGCTATACTAAAGCCGAGATTGTCGGCCGCAATTGTCGATTTCTTCAAGGTCCGGATGGCCAGGTTGATGCCGGCGCAAAGCGCTCCTTTGTCGACGGGCAGACTGTGTACCGTCTGCGGTCGACCATTCATGATCGCACTGAGATCCAGGCCAGTATCATCAACTACCGCAAGGGTGGGCAGCCGTTCATGAACCTCATTACGATGATCCCCATCCGGTGGGATTCGGAGGATTATCGATTTTATGTCGGCTTCCAGGTTGATCTGGTTGAGAAGCCCGATGCCGTCCAGGCGAGGAACCCTGGTATGTTACCCAAGTGGTCCATTCCTGTTGCCGTTGCTGTTGCTGTGACTTTGACTTATTGACTCTTTTCCATAGATGGTACATATACCATCAACTATCAACGCGACCAACTACCTCAGTATGTGGTGCCGCCCGCCGAGGCGTACAGGCTCCGACCCGATCTTGCCACACAGTTCGGTCACGACGAAGTTACGGCTATTCTCAACGCTGTGGGTGTTCCGGGGCCTAGTGTGTCACAGCACTACCTAGATCGCATCTTAGTTGAAAATACCGACGACGTGATCCATGTGCTCTCATTCAATGGTGAATTCCTCTACTTATCACCGTCTTGTAAACGGATCTTGGAGTATGATCCAGTTGAACTGGTGAACAAGACGCTATCGACGATCTGCCATCCCAGCGACATCGGTCCTGTGATTCGTGATCTGCGAGCCAGCACGACCCCAGCCCCGGTCAGTGTTGTTTACCGGATTCGTCAAAAGTACAAGGGGTATATGTGGTTTGAAAGCCATGGTGCATGGCACATTGACCCGAACCAGGGCCGGAAGTATCTTGTGATGACTGGCCGTCCACGACCCGTGTACGCCCTAGACCAGATCGCCCAGCTCGGGTCCAAGGCCGCACTGGCCGAGAACGACATTTGGGCCAAGGTCTCCCTGTCCGGCGTCATTCTGTTTGTTACTTCCAAGGTGAAGCCAGTCCTCGGACGCTCACCGGATGACCTGATCGGCAAGGGCATGCACGAGCTGATGGAGCCCGAGTCCGATCCCAGCGCCATATTCGACGCCCTCGACGCAGCAGCCAACGGCCGGGGCCATAACGACGGCGAACCACCTTCATTCCACCACCAGATGCGCCACAAAAAGGGCCACTCGCTCTCCGCCCACACAACCCTCTACTGCGGCGACACGCAAAACTCCCGACCCTCCTTTCTCGTCGCCCAGATCCGCTTCGCGCGCGCATTCCCGCCCTCCACCTCCGCCACTGCCGCCGCCGAAGACGAAGAGCTCGCCAACGTCCCCAGCACCTCCAAATCCATCACTCTAACAACCGCCGACCCCAACCCATCCCGTCAATACGGTGCCCTCGGCCAGCACATGCCCGACTTCTCCACTCTCATCGGCCTCAACGGCCTGCCCACTGGCAACCGCAGCATCTCGCCCTCCAACGCCCCGGCCACCTTCTTCACCGAGCTGAACCCCACCCGCGGCTCCAGCTGGCAGATCGAGCTGCGCGAGCTAGAAAAGCAGAATCGCACGCTGGCGGATGAGTTGCAGCGTCTGCTGGCGCGCCGGAAGAAACGTAAGCGCAAGCAGAGCGCCATCTCAGTTGAGAAGGCGTGTGCCATGTGCGGCACGAAAAATACGCCTGAGTGGCGCCGCGGTCCGAGCGGGAACCGCGATCTATGTAACAGTTGTGGACTCCGCTGGGCGAAGCAGGTGCGCAGCCAAGCGCAGGCTGCCGCGTCAGGAAGTGGTGCTGTGCCTGCTGGGGGTGGAGATGGAACTGCGGTACAGGATTGAACGAATGTTGGCTGATTCCGATCTTGATTTTGGCACTTGGTCAACGCACCCTTATTGGTAAAGTGTTCTTTTGTCCGGTCTTGTTCTCTCGGCTTGGCTGGGGTTTGGGTGGGTCAGTTTTGAGTTCTGAGTTTGAGTTTGAGTTTGAGCGAGCGGATCTGCTGGTTTGATATACCCACCTCGGTTTTGTTGTTGAAGGCGATTTTTCAAGCCGAAAATAATGGTTTTCGAGCGAGTTAGTTGCATTTTTTTTTTTACCTTTTTAAGTCTTTTGATCTCTTCCTTGACTTGGACTCTGGTATTGCGGCTTCTCGTGCACGTCATTGTCTTTTCCAGCATGCTTCGACAGAATGCAGCTTCTACTGTTTGATATTCATACCCGATTCTCCTCTGGACTCTTTGCTGATAGCGATAAGCAGACGTTAGTAGTTGGAGTAGAAGAGATGGTAGTTACTCTATTCTATGGTAGTACAAATACACCGAGCCCTCTGGTGATTCCGGCTCTACTATACAAATCATGGCCTGTTCTGCGTTTTGTTCCTCCTTTTCTCTCCACCGTCCTTCTCCGGTATCTCCTTTATCCGCCCATGGAGTTCCGGAGGCATACTCCGTCTGCGCCTCCATCTCGGCGTACAGAATTCTTCTGTTTTGCCTGATGCTCTAGGGTCATTAGCAAGCTATTCACGCTGTGCAGACACCATCTTCTTCCTGGCCTCTAACCACTTCGTCAACCACTCCCGCTCGACAGCCTCAGCCTTCGCCCCCTGCAGCAACGCCGCCACATCTCCAGCGCCGCGCTCCTCAACCGCAATCCGAACTTCCTCGGCACTCAGCGCGCCCACTCCCGCGTCAGAAATCATCCGGTCGTCAATAGTCATGTAATGCAAGTGCCGCAGTAGCCGCGGCCGATACACCGGCCCTACAAGCAGCCGCCCCAAGAACCGATCGTGCTTCGTCACAAGCCCAAATACCGCACATGCCTGTAGGACCTCCTCCGCACTCGCCCCCGCCGCGAAGCTTGCCCTCGCGAATCGCGCTAGCTGCCCGAGCTCCTCGTCGCTGCCCATCGCGGGTGCCGGTGCTGTCTCGCCCGCCTCCGCAGACGCCGCCGCATGCGCCTGCAGCGCGAGAACCTTCCGCTTAGACCCCGCCTCGCGCTCCTTGGCCAGTTGCCCTGGGACCCGACATGTGGCCGGGGTAATCGCGTTACCGAAGATCGGCACAATCAGCGGCGTGAACTCGCCGCAGATAATCAGGATGAGCGTGAACGGGATCATCCGTCGCACGTCACGGGCCGAGCGCCGGACGAGCTGGAATTGGCCCCGGCCCAAGGGTAGTTCTGGGGTGGAAGGGGAGGTGAGGATGGCCTCATTGAAGGCTGTGCTGCGTGGCGGTGAGACGGGGAAGTAGGCGGGGAGGCCGAGCTCGCGGCGCAGTGAGAGGGCAGCACGGTAGTTGTGGTAGACGTTTTTCAGGCCCGTTTTGTAGAAGGTCAGGTAGGCGCGGCCGACGGCGATGAGGCGCTTGAGTTTCTCTGCGGTTGGGGTGGAGGCGGGGAGCGGGTCTGGGAAGTCGAGAGGCGCGGGGAAGGTGCTGAGGGGTGCATTGACGTGGTTGGGGGAGAGGTCGTCTAGAATTGGTGTGGTTGAGACTGGCAGATTTGGTTTGGATGCTGATCGGACTCGGGGCCGTTGTTTGGGGGCGTGGGAGGCCGCGGAGGTAGAGAATGGAGCGAGGTGGTAGCACGCCAACGGGAGGGGGCGCAAAGGTGTGTATGAGAGGCGTGTGGCTCTTAAAGGAGCCCAAAGAGACCCCGGACCCCGGACAATGCTCGTCATGGTCTGGCTGGAAGTGATGAGGTAGGTGCAGGAGAAGGAGGTCGTGTGCTTCCGCGGCATCTCGGCGTCAGATGTTAAGTGGGCACCCGATTTCTCAGGCACCTCTTACATCGAGTAGCAAGCATTAGGGCTGGTGCGATTAATTTCTGTCCTGAACAATTAACAGGGTTGTAACACTAGGTGTAAAGCCGCGTGCATTTTCATCAACCAAAGAGGGTGAAAATCACGAATCTTCCAACTTATCGCTGGCGAGTTGTACTCTTGTTGCCCTTTGACAGAACCCTTCATTAGGGCCGTGAATTTTATGGCCTTTTTGTTGAAGCTCGACTATTTGATCAGGTAGATACTGTCTAGCATTCGTTACAGTAGAAGGGAGAGAGCCTTTGATGCATTATGCTCTAACTGCGTTGTGTTCGCTGTTTTCACCTTACTCTTCGGTAATGCGAATGACACTATACAATACAACATGTCGCCTCAGAAGCCATACCAAAAGAAATAAAAATTAGCTCTTCGTTTCGCTTGACTTTGGCTATGCCTGGTCCATGTTGGACAGTTCCAATTGCCACATCTTATGAATCAAACCTGTCAAGGCCAAGGGGATACTGACATATATATAGGCTGTATTATTGAGATAGTGCGCTCTGCTCGCGTGGCTGTCGACAACATGGGCCCGATTGACTGAGAAGAGACGACCAGGGAGCGTTGTTGGAGACATCCACTTTGACATGTTGAGATCTATCTCACCATCATTAGACAACGGAAGACAAACGAATTGGTGGAGCTCAATCCGGTCGTTTTGCGAAGGTGCCAAGAAGGTTGCTGGTAAGCCTAATGCTTATTTGGGATAAGTCTTTCAATGACATCAGCCCTGGGACGAATGGTGTCTTAGATGCGAGCCAGTCTACTACTTTGGGGCACAAAAGACGCTGGGGATGGCATCCAAAGAGAAGTCTCTGCACTCTTCCGCTGGAAACCTCCGTCGCTCGGCAGCCTTTGCTCTATAAACGGGGCATGCGAAAGGCTAAGTAGAGTTCAGCAAGTCCCTCCACATTTGATCAGAGGTGCTGATCATCCAGACGGAAAAAGACTGGCTAGAGGCTATTTAGGTTCGTCAGACCCTCTCGGAGTGATATCGTTGTTATGTTAAGACTGGCTCTGAGATTTGGCGGGGGATTGGCAACCACACGTGATCCGGCCAGCATTCGTCAGGCTCGCTGTCGACTGGTGGAAATACTGTCCACTGACGGAGATATTAATTAGCCAGGGGCTGCTCTGGTGCTTAGCTCCTTCCTGACCGCAATTTGCTCGTGCGATAGGTGGATTCGGGAGCATCTGGAGTGGGGAAAATGATATAATCTATCGGAGATGTGGCCCCGATCGGGCTGGGCAAGGCGTGTTGAAACAGTCTGTTCGGCTGGCCTTTGTTTGGTCAGGATGAGGGGAGTTATAATATATATGGGAGATATGAAAGAGCGGCCATCAGCTCATAGGTAGTCAAGTGAATTGTGTACAGATGAGAACCCTTGCCCCTTCAGACTACTGCTGATCAACCACTATGAAATTGATTACCCTGGTCTCATTCGCAGTCTCAGTGCTGGCGGCGAGCCGTACCACTGCCCCGTCTGGATCAATTGTGGTGGCTAAGTCGGGAGGGGACTATTCTAGTGTATGATCTGATCAATGAAATTGTGGTGGTCGCCACGCATGCTCACGGACAAAACAGGTCAGCGAGGCCATTGCCGCATTAGACACCTCCACTTCCGATACCCAGACCATCTTCATTGAAAAAGGCACCTACACAGAACAGGTGTATCTTCCCAAGCTATCGGGGCCTCTGATCATCTACGGACAGACCGACGAGTGCGTCCTCCAAATGAAACAGATCCCCTTCACGCCGGCTAACAGACACGATTGATCAGTGACACCTCTTATTCCTCCAATACCGCCACTATCACCTACAATTTGAGCTTGGCGGATGTGAGTAATGATGACGAGTCTGGTACAATTCACACCTGTCCCCTCCGCAGAACGTATCGCCCTAATCAGTGCCTTAGCCACACTAAGAAATTATGCCGCCAACTCCAAGATCTACAACATCAACGTGAAGAACACGTACGGAGAGGGCCATCAGGCTCTTGCGCTCAGCGCCTACAACACTGAGCAGGGTTACTATGGCTGCCAATTTACCGGGTTTCAGGGTCATTCATCTCCAGCCCTTCTATTCTATATCAACAGCGTCTGACTCGCAATACAGATACCGTCCTCGCCGAGACCGGCTACCAAGTCTACGGAAAGTGCTACATTGAAGGTGCTATTGACTTTATTTTCGGTCAGACTGGCAATGCCTGGTTCGACAGCTGTGACATCGGCGTCTTGACCTACTCAGGCGGCACCATCACTGCGCAAGGCCGTCCCGCCAGCTCCGACTCAGGATACTTCGTCATCAACGAGAGCACTGTCGGGGCGGCGTCCGGTGAGGACGTCACCGAGGGAACCTACTATTTAGGTCGACCGTGGACGGAGTACGCCCATGTGGTTTTCCAGAACACCAATCTCAGCGACGTCATCAACTCCGCCGGCTGGTCAGAGTGGTCGAGCAGCGAGCCCAACACGGGAGACGTCCTCTTCGGTGAGTATGACAACTCCGGTGATGGCGCCGAAGGCACTCGGGCTAGCTTCGCTACTACTCTCTCCACTGCAGTGTCCATTACTAGTATCCTCGGCAGCGACTACAAGGACTGGGTGGACACGAGCTACATTGCTTGAGCGGGGCTGGGTTGGTCGGGCATTCTATCTCGGCAGTGAACGCGTTTTGCTGGATCTTGTCATTCACTCATTCCGCATTCCGAGTAGGTAGATCTGAAAGAATTACTGGGAAGTTTTAGAGATGTAGTTATTCCTCAAATATGAAGACCTGCGAAATTGACGCCTCAATGGCCATTGGACCGATATTTGGGAGGGAGCCGCAGGGCCACTTCCACTTCGCCGCTGAGAACGACCCAAGTCTCCTGCAAGACTGATATGCCCTCATTGACCAGATGCGAAGGGAAGGGCTTGGGACTATTTAGGGACTGGAGATAAAGGAATCCAATATCGGTTCTTAAATATGAAGCATTGTCCGAGAATTCCAATCGAGCGACCGCCCTATCCAGGCTCCAAGTGTGCTGCAGGGAGGTAGTCATGACATCCCCAATATGAACAGCCTTGTCGCCCGGGGTAGTCGCTACGAGCCGACCATCCAAGGAGAATGTTATAGATAGAAGGCGAACAAATCCAAATCCAAATGCTATACTATACTATACACGTGACCCCCCTCCTCCGAGTCTGCCCGGCCCCGCGCGGGGAGAAGCCATCTGCCGCCGCATCTTCAATCGCGCAGATCTCCCCCACCTCCAATTCCTCCAATTCCATTCCCCTCCCTCCTTTCCACAAACAACCACGCACAACCATGGCTGCTTCTCACGGGGACCTGTCCCACCTGCTACCAGGCAATTACAAGCGCCTGATCACAAACTGGCTCGAGGAGGACTGTCCCAGCCTGGACTATGGCGGCTTCGTCGTCGGCGAGTCTGACGGCGAGGCCCGACTGCTCGGCAAGAGCCAGGTGAGTCAACACCTCTCAAATCCATGTCGCATGTCCATCATGTGGACTTGTTTTGAAGTTCCACGCCAAATACTGACGCTGCGCAGGGTGTCATCGCTGGCGTCCCCTTCTTCAACGAGGTGTTCTCCCAACTCGGCTGCTCGTACGTCTATACCCCGTCTATACCCTATCCTACTCCCTCAAGCTAGCATCCATCACTCACACGGAACTTAATCAAGTATCGAATGGCACATTAAAGAAGGCACTCTTCTCCCCGCCAACACGATAACCCACTGCGCCACCGTCCGCGGGCCAGTCCGCAAAATCCTCCTCGGCGAACGCGTCGCCCTGAACATTCTCGCCCGCTGCTCCGGCATCGCCTCCAAATCTGCCTCCATGCTAGCTGCCCTCCGCGCTCAGGGCTGGACCGGCACCCTCGCTGGTACTCGCAAGACCACGCCTGGCTTCCGCGTGGTCGAGAAGTACGGCATCCTGGTTGGCGGCGCGGACCCCCACCGCCACGACCTGAGCCACATGACCATGCTCAAGGATAACCATGTCTGGGCGTGTGCCAATAACGGCGCTGCAGCTGGCGGCAAGACGAATCCCGAGTCTATTGCGGCGGCTATTCCGCGCGCGGTGGCTGCGGCGAAGGCGGCGGGTGGCTTTGCGACGAAGGTTGAGGTGGAGGTGAGGAGTGTGGAGGAAGCGGATGCGGCGATTGGGGCTGGGGCGGATGTGGTCATGTTGGATAACTTCACGCCCGAGGGTGTGCGCGAGGCGGCGAGGTCGTTGAAGGAGAGGTGGGCCGGGAAGGGCCGCTCTTTCTTGGTAGAGGTTAGTGGCGGGTTGACGGAGGAGAATGCCGCGGCGTATGCGTGCCCGGATGTGGATATTCTGTCGACGAGCTCAATCCACCAGGGGACGGGCATTGTGGACTTCTCGCTCAAGGTCTCGCTGCGGTAGAGGCGGGGGATGCTGGACGTGATGTATCATACTTTGGACGGTATACTATAGGCTCAGGCTCAAGCATTTCATGAATCAAAAAGAAATTGAAAAAGAAAAATTAGAAGGTATTTAAATAGAATACAAGTAGAATGGAAGAGAGAACAGAAATGATCTTGTCAACCGAATCCACTCAACGCCTTCATGGCTATCGTGACTTGGATACTCTCGTACAACGGGCGTAGTTCAACATGCGGGGCATCGGTGAGGGGGTATATAACAACAAAGCCAGTACCACCGCCAGGGTTATCGCGTTATCCAACATCACATCACACCTCAATGTCGACCGTGATGCCTTCCCCTTCACTCGAGCTAGGACCTTCATCGTAAGTAGGCACTCGACTGCGCCCACCGTCAGTGCTAGTACCTGAAGGGCCTCGGCGCACGCGCTCTCGCTGAATTTGATCGCGCAGCCTCTGGTTTTCGGCATCTCGTTCCTCCAGACGCTTGCGTGCGCCGCTGCGGTCCAGGAGACGCCCTTCTCGCTCGGCCTTCAGCCGCTTCTCCAGCTCGTGCAGCCGGTGAATCCATTTCTCATCGCCACCTTCCCATCCGCCGGCTGCACCGCGTGTGCGGGGCATCATAGCGCCGGCATTGTTGGTCAGTGTGCTGCTAGAAGAGGAGTGTGATGGCTGTGGGAGACCAGTGGAAGTGCGCGCGAGACCTCGCTCAGAGCGCGACTTCTCGCTGGTTCCAGGTGTGGAGTTATGGCGGGCCAGTGAGCGCTCGGCACCTACAGGAGACCCAAGCGATGGAGATCGCGAGCCAGATGCCATCACGGCCGCTGCCGCTGTAGAGGCGGAACCATGGGTTCGGGAGTTAGACTGGAGCAGATTGATCTCGGCCTTCAAAAGCCGGTTTTCACCACGGAGCTTGGACACTTCAGACGTCGAAGTAGAGTGCCCCCGGTCGTTCCGCAGATTCTTGACTGCCTCCTCAACTCGCTCGAGTCGGCGGACGCGCTGAGCAAAGGAGTTCTCGAGATTCTGGTACTGCTTGGTGAAGTCATGCTCAACGCTCCTGATGCGGCCCTTGAATCCTGAAATCACACTTTCAACAGTCTTGATGGCAAGTATCAAGTTCCGGCTGAAGCCTGGCCAGAACAGAATGTTGCCAATTACTTCCTGGCTGGGCAGGTTGCCGTTGATGAGGCTGTTCGAATGCGCCCAGTCAGGACCACACATCGACGAGAGCCGCTTCCAGATAGTGAGGAACAACGCATTACGCTCGCTGAGTTGATCTCGGAACTGCTGCTCAAGAGAGGTGAACCGCTTGCGGTCTGAAGCGCGGGCATTCTCAAGATCCGTAATGCGTGAGTTGCTCTGGGTAATGGTTCGCGAGGCTTGCTGGTGGTTTTTGAGAGACGCCTCGAAGGACTGCTTGTCTGCCCGGCGGGCTTGTCGCTCGCGTTCGAGGAGCTCAGAGAGCTTGCGAGATTCCAGGCCGTGACTCTCCAGAAGGGCATCGCGGTTGCGAAGCAGCGACTCTTTCTCGTCCAATTGTTGTCGTACGCTCTCCAGCTCCAGCGCAGTTGACTCGAGCTCCTTCTGCAGCTTCATGATGTTGGTGATCAGGCTAGACCGGCTACCACTCAGATCTCCCAGTGTCTCGCGAAGATTGTTCTCAAGGTCCAAGAGACGCTCACGCCAGGTGGTAGTCTCGATCTCTTGAGTAGAAAGGCTCTTCTTCAACCGCCGGACCTCCTCCTTAGCGGCTGACGCTTCACGATTCAGTTCATTCATGATCCGCTGAACCTCTTGCTTCTCCTTACTTCCAACCAGCTCCCGCTGGTGTCGCTCGTCTGCCAGCCGCTGCTCAAGCTCTCGGGTCTTCTCCTTCTCGCTGTAGAGACTCATCTGGTATGTCTTCAACTCAGACTCCAGATCACCAATGCGGATCTTGTCGCCGTCTTGCTCCTCCCGTAGGAACGCAATCTCGTTCTGGCTCGACTCGATCTGCACCGTCAGCCGCTGCACCTTGGTGTTGGCTTCAAAGAGGCCCTTCTCCAGCGACTCCATCTCGCCGTTAGTTTCTTCCAGCTCCTGCTGCACGGCCCTGTACCGCTCCAGGTTGTTCTGGGCATCTTCCTCGAGTCGAATGATACCCTCACTAGCCGAGCGCATCTCGGCCTGCAAGATCTTGAGACTCTCATCCTGATTCCTCAAATCCTCGCTCATACGCTGACACTCAACAATCTTCTGATCAAGCTCCTCCCCAAGGGTATCAAGCTCCTCCTGCGCCTCGGCACGGAGATCTTGGAAGGCAGCATCGCGCTCATCCGCCATGTGAATAGCCTGGTCCCGCTCCTGTTGTAGGTTCTGCATTTCCTCTTCGGCTTGGTCCACATCAGCTTGGTAAGCCTTATCGAGGGCCTCCAGCTCGCGGATGTAGTCCTCCAGCTGGTCACGAATAGCCTGGTTCTCCAGCTTCAGCGTCGACACATGGTCGCGTAGCTGGCCGTTCCGGGCCTCGAGCTCATCGCGGTCCATATTATCCCGGGATCCAGTACCATCACTGACTTCCGACCCAGTCCGCATCTGAGCGCGGGATACTGAGCGGTCAAAAATGCTGTCCCCGGCCACGGATCGGCCACCATCGCGGCGCTGACCCAGCTTGAGCTCCTCAATCTCCTGGTAAAGACGCTCCTTTTCGCGATTCCGGGATGTGAGCATAGAGGTTTGTGCGCTGACCTCTTTCCTTAACTCAGCGTTCTCTTGCTTCAAGAGCTCAAGCTCGACGATGAGTGTGCTGCTGGAGGTGCTCATCAGAGCACCACGGCTGCCATCTTTATCAGATGCCGATGCATATGAAACAGTAGAACCACCGCGCTCGCGCTGCCCAGGCTTCGGACCGCTAGTAAACGAGTAGAGTTCACTTTTGAGGCGAATCGACTCATCCCGTAGCCTGCGATTCTCTTCTTCAGCCTGCTCGCGAGCAGCCGTCTCTGCCTCCAACATGTCCTTCCACATGTCCTGATAAAGAGCAGATTAGCCTCAGTCAAATCCAGGTAAGCAAGATACACAAAGCGAAACGTACCCTCTCCTCTCGAGCACCCGCATCGGACCCTCCCGAGCGAGTCTCGCTCAGCGACTTGACCATCTCAGCCAAGCGGCGCTTCTCGCTCTCTCGGGCAATACTTTCAGACCTCATTCGCTCAATCTCAAGCTCATATGTCTCAACCCGCTCGCGCAGGAAAACAATCTCTCCATCTTGAGCCGAGTCCCGGTCATCCTCGGATGCTTCAGGGTCATGGTTGACCATTGAGTCCTTGTCAGATTGTTGATCCTTCAGCTGCTTCTCCAGATCCCGAATCTTGCGCTTCAGGCCTTGGTTATCCTTTTGCAGTTTCAACTTGTCGGACTTGAGCTCGACATTCTCGGAGATCATTTCCTTGATGCCTTCCTCGGATCGCTTGTTCAGTGCCTCATTGAGAAAATGGATACGCATTTTGAGGTCAAAATTCTCCTTCGAGAGTCGATCGATGGTGCTGCTTTGCTCTTTGAGGGTCATGGTACGGCCGCTTCGTCCGAATGAAGGGGTCGAAGCTCCTGCGCGTTTCTCAGGAGATGGTCCAGTGTGTCCAAAGTCGTCCCGGAATCGTTGCACGAAGGCTGTGGGAACCTGAATTCCCTTGACACGCTCGGTGATGGCTCTATCAGTTGGGAAATTGTCTCGAGGCTTGGCTTTCGGGGTCACAGGAGCTGAGGCGTCGTCGAAGGCCGTCGCTTGCCGTGTGGACTGCGGTGAGCTTTCTTCTTCCAATGTATGCAGACCCCTATCAACTGGACCGCCTACAGTGCGTCTCTCCAGTGAATTCTCTTCACTATAGCCCGAAACGCCGGACGCCATACTGCCCAGACTGGTCGTGCGGGTCATATGGGCGCGCGAACCGGCATTGAGATTCCCCCAGTGCTCAGAAGCTGCACCGCCCGTCTGGAGAGCAAAGTCAGCGCCTAGCGTTGCATCGCTGTGAGTGGTTTCGGTGTTATTGCTAGTAATTGAAGAGTGCGACAAACGCTGAGCGGATTGACGACTGGTCAAGTACTTCGGTCGGCTTCCACTTCTTCGGCTCCCAGTCATGCTGCCGCCCTGGTCGCTGAATAACCGTGAAGGGCCAGGGGAGAGGCTGCGGGAAGAGTGTCGGAGCTTGGAAGGGGTGAGTTGCGACTCGCTTTCTGTGATTGAGAGCTGAGATCTGAAGGGCCGCTCGTCCTGAGACAGTAGGGTATTTTCATCAGCGTTCCCGGACGTCAACTGATCACGCTGAATGCTCCGAAGCATTGCCGCAGCTGTGGGCGACGAGGCGAGCGAGTCGAGCAGAGTGTCGTTGCCAGAGTGCTGCGCATATGCAGCCCCCGTCACATCCTTCCTCCCCTCATCAGCGCCGTCATTGTCTTGCTCCGTTCCTTGGTAGCTTTGAGACGGTGGGAGGAAAGAGAAATTGGACGACTCCGTCAGGTCGGCATCGTAGGACCCCACCCCGACTAAGTAGGTATCATCTGCGCCGGCACTCGGGCCAGCCGCGGCGACGTCAATGGTCGAGGGCTCTGGCAGGAAGCTCGACTCCATATCCATTAGCTTGCGGCGCATCTCATGCTCCTCAATAAGGGTCTGGTTATTCCCGCGCTCATGATCGCCATTTTCGCTGGACAAGGGGAACAAGCTGCTGTCGTCGCGATCGGTCAAAGGGGGCAGGAGACTAATATCGTTCTCAAGGTGCGGCTGGGACGTCGTGGTGGTGGCCTCATCCTGCCCGTTCTCTTCAGTGTCCGCTTGCGTGGTGGTGCTGGTGGGCGCGGCTGTTGTTGTGGTGGTGAGTTCTTGCGCGCCCGGGTTCTCTTGTGTTACTGCGCTATCGTCGCTGGTCCTCGGGGGGTCAGCGCCCCGCGCGTTCTCAGCCATGAAGTAATCTGAAGCGTCAAAATCGGCATCTAGGGGCGAGAGCTCGTCTGGCGTGTGGAATGCTCCAGACTCATGGGAGGAGGGGATGCGCACCGAGGGCGGGCCGGGGACGACGATCGGAGGTGTTGTAACTGGGACCCTGGTCGACATGGTGACGGCGCCTAGGCGTGTTTTGGGTACCCACTTGCTGTGCCTTTTACCCACCGCGATTGGCGAATAAGCATTCGCCCGGGTACGTCCTGGACAGCTCTCATGGGGAGTTGCAGGGAATTCGATACACGGTGAGGAAAATAATCTGAGCTGTCGAAGGTTCACCGCAGGAGCGGAGGCGGGCCCAGCGACAAAACAACAAGAGCCAGGAACGGCGGGGGTATTGACACGGCCAGGCACAAGTGTGGTGCGTTATTGCCACAGCACTAGCCGCGAAAGGACTTAAATGCCACTCATGCCCGTGCCCCAACAGTTAACGATGCGATAGGTCTACTTGCTGTTTACTTGTTACAGTTTCAAGACGATTCACATTCACGTTGCATTCCAAAAAGACAATCATGGTATCCGTAGCATCTTTCGCATCATAGTCCCACGCATTAAACGAGATAACCAAGCCCACGCCCAGATAAACAGTGTAAGAGATCAAGAAGAGAGCAAGGCGAATGGTCACAACCAGGGGAAGACGTATACAGCAACAGAAAAGGAACAAGGAGAAGAAAAGGTACAGGTCGTCAGGGCGCTTTTGAGACTATATATGCCGAAGTCTCCTCCCACCGGGAGAGGGGAAGGGGGTATTTATAACGGTCTGCAATCGAAGTGGAGAAAGTTTCATCAAGGGAGTGAAGAGAGAAGAAAAAGAAAAACGAGTAAAGGGAATTGGGTATTGGGGGATTGGAGATTAGGATGGGAGTAGAATGCGATGCTTTTCACGCAGTCGAGGAGACAAGCAGCTTCTCCGCGTCCGCAGTCTCACCAGCCGGAGGATTGTAGTAATTATTCGTCGAAGAGTAAATCTCGCCCTTGCGATTAATCGCATTGCGGAGGGAATCAATGTACGTGCGGAACTTGACAATCTCCCGCAGCAGATACGACGACTTCCGCTCCCAGTTAGCCATCGCCTTCACCGAGTTGGGATGCCGCGGCGAGAACGCAAGGTTCATGGCCGACCGCAGTTCGTTGTGCCGCTGGAGGTCCTCCTCGACGTTCTTCACGTACGTCTGCAGCGCCTTCAGCTGGTCCTCTTCCGACTGGTGCGAGGCGACCATGCTCTGCTGCGGTGGGCTCCAGTCGCTGATGTGCACTCGGTCCGCGGGCAGCTTGGGGCGCACAGTGCCTTGGTCGAGGGAGCTGCGGATGGAGCTTTGGATGCTGGGGCGTGGGGCGCCGGAGGAGGGAGGTGGGGAGCGGTTCTCCACGGTGACGAGGGCGCTGTTGACTACTGCGTCACTCCAGCCGTACTCGATGTTGCTGATGCCGCCGACCAGGGGCTCTTTGGATAGTCGTGCGCTCCAGTAGTTGGCGGTTGAGACGAACTCCCGCACAATCTCCGGGGTGCCGGCTTGGAAGAGGTGGACGGCGCCCGTGGGCAGACTTAACGCCCATACGTGAGGACGTGACTTGGAGTATCCCGGCGGCGGGAGGGCACTGGCAATGGTTTGGCGGAGCATGAACTTCCAAATCTCCTCGGCATTCTCGGTCCAGTTACCGCCTCCAACCACAACGCCACCACGCTGCTTCGCCTTTTGCCGCATGGACTTGGATGCATTGCTGAACGAGAAAAGCCGCATCCACCCCTGTTGAATGACAGCGAAACACTCGTTCCAATTGCGGTCCTTGGCGCGCTTATCCACCGCGTCCAAGTGGTGCTTATGCTTGACACTACCTTCCTTGGCCCAAGGCGCTCCAGCCAGGGCCAAGGTCTCATCTTCGAGGAGAGGAGCGCTGGGCTCCTCATAGCTGTAGATGGATGTAGCAGAATCTTCGCGGATAATGGCCTGACTCAAGGCATTGGCGAAGCCAATCGATTGCTGGTACTCACCACGGGGATACTCTGAACCAAACGAGTCCACTGAGGCAGAGGTAAACTTGCCCAGCGAGTACTTGCTCCAGGTACTCGACGCAGCCGGGCTCCAAAGAGACGACTGGTCATCCAAGCTGGTCCGGCTAGAGCCCATCATGGACGGAGGATAGAGTCTGGCTCCCCGAGAACGCGGCTTGGATGACCACCTGGCGGCGCCATGGCGGGAATCCGCCGAACGACCGCGAGGAAAGATGTCTGAGCCGCTCTTGCTGATGGTGCTGGGACTCCGGCGGAGAGTGCTGCTCGAAGAGGGACCCAGGAAGTTGTTTGAAGCCATACGAGAGACCTCCTTCTCAGGCTGGGCCCCATGAAGAGGAAGTCTCTCCTTCTGGATCGAGGTATAGAAATCCTTCAGGACTGCTTCCACCTGTTGCTCCCATGCTCTGACGGTCCCCGTAAATGGAGTACTGACCAACGGGCCAGCATCGACGTCAGCTGTGTTGCGGCCTGAGTTGTCGTCCAAGGAACTACGGGCCACTTCTAGCGGGAACGTGGACGAGCGAGCGGAGTTCGGTGCTGAATGTGCGGACTCTGCAGTGGGCATGGTCTTGGATTTTTGAGGCCGCAACGTCTCGAATCCCTCTGGTGCTGCATCCATAGCCACCCGGTGAATCGTGGGCATGGTGTTGCGAACAAATTGGGATTTGGTCATCTTCTGCTCAATATCCGCCAAATGCAAATCGGTGTTTAGCAAAAGAATGGAATAACAGATAGTGTGAACGACATCTAATGTATCATCGTTAGAGCTTATCGAACCAATTGATACCACCAAAAAAAAAATCCTCAGCACTTACCAGTAGCTTTGAAGCCATGGCTTGGGTTGCAATCACACCACCGATTCGAGAAAGCATCCAACACCCGGTCAACTTGCTGGGTCTCTCCCTTGAGCACCAAACGCTGGCAGAGACTCCTCAGTGCCGCAAGAATGTTCAAATTCGACCAATTGAAGAGCCGCATGTACGCCTCCCTGACCTTAGCCCGGTCGGGATCACCCAGCCAAGCAGCGGCCGTATCCTTCCCGACTACCTGGTTCTGACTATCAAAGAGCTTTTGAGCTTGTTCTCGGTCGGACGCAGTCGGTCCATCCTCAACGGCATCACCTGGGCCATCCATCTTGTCTTGTGGTGCGTTGTCGACGACGGCCTTGGGTTCTTCGGACTCGATCACAGGGGTGTTCGACGCGGTCAGATAATGCGACGCCTCTGAAGCAGCAGGAGACTCGGGAACATGGCGGTCCGGTGGAGGATTCAGCTCGCTTGCACCTCCCATCAAGCTGTCCTGAGAAGCATCGATCGGTGGTGCCATTTTTGTTGACACCCTGATGGTACGGGAGGAATCCTCTGCGACAGGTGACAGCACGCTGGACAGGTTGGCGGTAGAGCAGTTCTCCTGCAAGGGGGACTCCGCCGATGAGATAGACTCCACATCACTTGTTCTTTGGGCCTGACCATTGGTGCCACGGCTCGCGACTAGCGGCGAGCGAGGATCCTGGCTGCAGGAAGTGGTGGGAGGCTGGAGGTTCTGCTTCGGCTTGAAGCTACCGCCAGGAGCCGAGACACTTTCTCGTGGCTTTTGCGCTTGTAGTGAGGCTGGCTCGCTGAGTTGCGGCTCTTCTCTGTGATTCTCCCGGCGATCTCTGGCCGCGGGTACATTCTCGTCCAGGTATAGATTCATGACTTGGCGCAAGCTGCTCACTGGACTAGGTTCTGGTTTCATTGTATCCAGAGTGTGGGGCGGCGGCAGCTTGATTGGAGGCGGCACATTTTCAGCCACGGACTTCTTACGCCGGCGGAAGAAGGAAGACTTTTGTTTCACCACCTGAGGAGGACCTCGACGAGCAGCAGGTGTAGGTGTGACTGCTGCTGCTACTGCGCTCTTCGGAGGCTGCTGGGGCGGTTGTTCTCGTCCCTTCAGGTTGGCCGTAGCACCCGTGGAATCTTTGGTCTCATTGTCTTGAAGATATGAGAGGTCATTCATAGGGGGGTAGGGGGAATCCGCCGGAGACGAGATTCTAGACGAGCCACCGAAGACCCGCCGGAAGAATCCCGGACGCTCCACCCTATTGTTATTGTTGCTGTTGGCGGCGGTTGTGCTCGCATCTGCTGTGATCGTGGTCGTCGTGCTCGTGGCTGTCAGTTCCGGTGGAGGGAAAGCAGGCTTGTTGTATGATATTGTAGGGCTGGGAGCCGGCGCGTCCAACGACGCCGGAATGGCCGGGGGAAGATCGATCTCCGTATCACCCAAGAAGTCGTTCTCCCGAACCTTGAGAGCCCCGGTGCCAATATTTTCAGTGCGGTTCTTTCGGGCCGGTGGGGCGTGCGCTGACTTCACACTGTTTCGCCGCGATGCCACAGGGGTTCGGGATGCAGCGGTGTTGGGTGGCCTATAGTCGTAGGCTTTGCGCGGGCCGGCTGGCACACTCGGGGTGGGCGCGGCGTCATCATCGTATAAACGTGAATCCTGGCCAATACCAGGGTCTGCATATGAGATAAAGGCTTTCTTTGGCCCGCAGTCGAAACTCTCGGACCGCCGGTCCATACCGTCCGAGTCTGCGCGACCTCGTGGCAACGTATATGAATAATCGGCATTGGACGCGCTTCCTTTACTCCCTTTCCGAACGTCATTCATCCTCGGCAGGGTACCGCCTCTTGAGCCCATTGCGTCTTGGCCGCGGGTGCTGCTCGTTCTCCTCGGGGCAGTTTGATGGTTGGAGCTGCTGTTGCTTCGTCTACCTTTGGGGGTGATAGTCGCATAGCGGCTGCTACTGCTGTCGTCGTAGCCGTAGTCAGCGTCGGAGGACATTGAGGATGAGAAGGTATGGCCACGATATCGACCGTGCGTTTCCGTTTCAAAGGCCGAATTGAAGAGTCGATAATCGTCCAACGCCGACGGAGATCCGGACCCGCCAAACTGATCGAGGGAGAGGAGCATGTTGTCTACGATTGACGTGCGGGCCGCATGTTGTGGAGACAGAGACAGGTCATGAGGATCGCGCTCGTCGGCCGACTCGCTGGCATTGGGCGCATTATCGGCGGCCGTGTCGGGAAAGGCATCGCGGATGGACGGACGGGTAGGGTAGCCACGCTTAGGCCGATACTTTGCAGTCTGGGAGGGAGGAGTCCGAGGAGGAGAGTTGGTAGCGTACACGTCGCGCGGTTGGGACATCGTCACGCTGGCGAGAGAGGTTCGTTAGTTCCAGTTTCGTGAAGCTGGTCTGTCAATTGGCTTTCAGGAGAGCCCCTTCGAGCCGTGCGCATCGGAACTCGGGAGAGCTGGTTGCTTTGCGCAGCCACGTACCAGCAATGCTCAAGGCTGGAGGGAGAGCGTTTCGTTGTCCAAGGGCCGGCGAGTGGGATGGGCGCGTTGGCGAGCAGCGAGGTGCTCGTCGGTCCGGGTTGAGGCACGGGGGGATCTCAGTCGGTCATGGCATGTCCAGGGCCAGTAAGGGGTGGGCCGGGGGGGGCAATTGCAGCGCGGCTGCGTGCAGCGACAAGAATCCGAGCGCAAAGCCGGTTGACAACCTGAGGTGTGGTGATGTACGGAGGGAGGAGAGGACAAGACCAAGACCAAGACCAAGACCAGCAAAGAACCCGGGGGCGGGACAAACTCCTGAACGGGGCTTTGGCCGAAGTGGAACTCTCCCAAACTACCACCGTTTTGCGCGAACCGTGGGAACGGTTCCAATCCAGACAATAGTCTAATATAAAGGAGAACGTGCCAATTGTCCGGTCAAGACAAAGAATCAATCAAATGGTTGGACTGAGAACTGCGACTGTGGACGCGGGCATGAGGCAGATGCGAAACAGGGGAAATGGATGATTTCAGAATGGGACTAACGAGTCCACTCTGGAACGGGCTAAGCACGTCCTTAACTAGTCGTTCATCCCTGATCTGCTCCAATGAACTGAACGTACCCGCGTAGCCTGCACCACCGTTCAGGGGCCGATGCGCTGGCAGCCAGGGGCTGGTCCTCCGTGCTGATGGGACGATGTATCGAGGATAATCTACAGTATGTGCATGCCCTGGACGCCATCAAGAGGCCTTTCGGTCCTATGCTTCCCTTTCTCGCGGACTCCTCGGCGGCTGAGCCTGCAGGACCCTCGGTGGAGCCCGGTGGGGACCACGTCTTCGTGGTCATGACTGGCAATGCCGTCAATGTCGGGCATTTCTGCCTGCGCCATGCCGCTTATCCCACAGATGGGGGATTGCTTCTGATTATGCGCGTCCGACGTGATGCATCGGTCGGGGCCCCAGGCGGCCCAATCGCCTCAACTGTGCTCTACGAAGTCGATAGATCGATCGGATATTCGTCGATTGACTTTGGTCCTCCGCGGTCCGTCGCGCTCTGTCCATGTGAACTGGTGTACTTGCCCACGGAAGGTCCAGGAATGCATAGAAGAGGGGAAATCTTTAGTGCTGGCCGTCCAGAGGGCCCGTGTCCTGCGTTGCTTCCCACGAGGTGTCTCTGCCCGACTTTTCGAACAGGGAACCCCTTGCAGATAGATCGGATAGATGGTGAGGGGACTGGCCGGGAGAAGATGAGTTCCATCGCCATCGTGCGCGCAGGCCACCAGATCGATCCCATAGCGAACCGGGTAGCATTAACGTCACGGGAAGAATGGATCTGGACTTGAGATTCCCGTGTTCCAGGCCACTCATCCACGTTCGTTGACCTGTCCAACCACCAACCGTACAGAGTAGCTTCGTTAGAATCATCCTCGCCTGGCCGGAGGGATAAACTACTTCCCTGCCTCAGGTGTCTATGATCCTCCACCGCTCTCGTAGCTCTCACGTGACCTCAGCGATGACATAACCCCCGACGGGCAGCGTCCGACACGTCGAGGAGTCCGCCGTACACCTTCCTACCGTGCGCGCTCGATGATCCCCGGTTCCTGACTAGAGCCCGGGCTACGAATCATGAACCCGCACATCTCTGTCCCCCGCCAACATGCTGGGCCCCCCAATTTTGGGTCCACGCCCAGCCGCGGGTCCAGCGTGCGCATGCCGCGCTTCTTCAAGAGGTAGGGACCTCAACTCCGGGAGTGGCATGGGAGATGACGAGACCCCCGCAACCCGAGGGGGTGTGGAATTGACATGACTGACCATGGTGGTGTGCATAGACTCTTCAAGTTTCCCCAGATGGACTTTGAAATGGCCATCTGGGAGATGACCTCCTTGTTGATCGCGCCCAAGAAGGTCTTCAAGTCCATATACTACCATGTAAGCGTCCCCCCTCTCCGCACCAGGCCAGGTCAGACCATGAACTGTGCAGCCATTGCTTGTCCGGAAACCATACTGATTACATCCGGACATGAACAGAAACGTGAGTTCTGCCGCACTTCAATCCCAATCTTCGAGCCTCGGACACGCGAGTTTGCGTGCTTTTGCTTTGCCTCGCTCCCCCCCCCCCCCCCGCCACCCACCCCATATACACTGACCCCCGTCCCCTTCAGAAACGAAAAACACATGGCACCGCCCCGACCCATCCTTCACATACGTCCTCTCGTTCTTCCTCCTTCTCACCGCGCTGGCCTGGGGCCTCGCCTACACGCCCTCGTTCGGCGCCATCGTGCGCCTCTCGCTGCTGTTTATCTTCGTGCATTTCATTGGCTCCTCGCTGCTCATCTCCGCCATCGGCTACTTCGCCATCGGCCGGCTCTTCGGCCCCAATGGCCCCGCCGCCTCGCTAGCAGGTCTCCGGGGCTCGCGCGGCCGCCGGCGGGGCGCTGCGCAGGGCCTGTTCGTGCAGCCGGGGGAGAAGGACCAGCTGGAGTTTGGGTACTGCTTCGATGTCTCCAATCGTGCATTCTTCCCCCTGTACCTACACCTCTATGTGGTCCAATTCCTGCTTCTCCCACTCCTCACGCGCAGCCCGAGCAATTTCCTGGCTACCTTCCTCGGCAACTCCCTTTACCTCTCCGCCCTCATTTACTACACCTACATCACCTTCCTGGGATATAATGCGCTGCCTTTTCTGCACAACACCGAGCTCCTGCTCATCCCGATCCTCTTCTTCGCTGCCCTGTGGCTGGTCAGTTTGATTGCCGGTTGGGGCGTTGTCATGCAGGGCCGGAGCGTCGAGGGCTTGTTCTGGGGCGTGTAGAGAGAGTCCAGCTGGACCCGCGCCAGAATACCGAGAGCGCTGGCTTCGGCCGTGCCGTGCCGTTTACTTTTGCAATAATGGGGGAGGGGCTGAGTTTCTGCGGCCGGTCCCGTGTATGAATCTTACATGTTTCCTTTCTATATGTTCTCTTGGCGATGCATCAGAAGAGCCATTCCTGTGTCTTTTATGCAATGGGAGGGCGTCTGTGTACATGAACTCTTGGTTTGGTTTGGCTTTTTTTTGTTTTCCTTGTCGCTTCCTTTCCATCTACGGGATCGCGCATCTTCCATATTTCCTTGACGTGTGGTATAGATCTTAATCTAAATATTAAACCTGTCGTTCACAAATTGACAAGGAGACATAGTCCGAAGAATAATAGAGCTTGTCCCGTCCCATGTTGCCAACTACAAACGCATGTCTCGTTCGCGCGATCACCTCTCTTCCTGATAGACTGGGTAAATATCCACCATGTATATATATTCATCCCCTATAACTGGGGTTAATGGAGATCATGCATCATATCTGTTGGATATTGGTATTTTCATCAAGATCCCTATAAATCCCTTTCCACCCCATCGCCACCACTCGCACTTACTTCTTCCCCCCCTTCTTCGGCTTCCCCATGGCCGCCTGCCTCAACTTATCCTCCCGCTCCTTCACAGCAGCAGCCCGCGCCCTCAACTGCTCCTCCTTCTCCTCCTTATCCGCCAACTTCCGCTCCCGCTCCGCCTCCCGCTGCTCGCGAATAATCGCTAACCGCGCCAGATCCGACCGCGCCTCGTCGGTCTTGCCCTCCGCGTGCAGCTTCAGGTACCGCTCCCGCGCCTGCTGCGCCTCGATCGCCTCGCGCTCGCGCCGCGACAGCTGCGAAGGGTCTTTCTTGACGGGCTGCTCGGGCTCGGCGTCGGAGTCGGGCTTGACGAGCTGAGACCGCGACTTCGCGCTGTGGTTCGGGTTCGCGGGGAGGTCCTCGTCGGAGGCTTCGGAGTCGGAGGGTGGCAGGTCGCCGGGTTGGGCAGGTGCTTGGCCGCGCCTTTTGATGGCGGCTGCCTTCTTGGCCTTTGCGGCGGCGCGGCGTGCTTCGCGGCTGACGTCGCCCGAGGCACTGGCTTGGCCGCTGGGGCCGGCGTCGGCGTCGTCGGAGCCTTCTTCTTCAGAGCTCTCTTCCGAGGATGATTCCTCTTCGCTCGAGGACGCGATCTTGTCCTCCTTTTCCTGTTGCGAGATGACGGGGTTAGCGGCTGGTCAGACTGTAGTGGTAGAGGGAGGGCTGGATGGAAAAGCGAGATGCAGATCGTGGTCCATCCGATTACGGTTCACGTACGCGCCAGAGACCAACTGGGTTTCCGTCCTTGTCGATGGGCTGCAGGTCCCGACTGAACTTCTTTCCTCCTGTAATCCACGGCCGAGTGAGCTTCATGTGTCGAGGGATGCAGTGCTGGGACTCGTGCACGCGACCATACCTCCTCGTGAGGGTTTGGAGAACTTTCCTCCACGACCGCGGGGCGCCATATTGAAAGTGTGCAGGGTGTTCTGTAGGGTTGAAAGAATTTCGGTCTATGGCTTGCAAAGCGGAAATCGGTATCACAACGTTTGTCGCTGAATGCTGCTGAATGTCGCTGTTCGTCAAAGTCAGTGCTGCTCAGATTGAGTCACGGTGGACCAGGGGCAGGCATACACCGACACCTGCCGAAATAGAGGGGCAAAGTGGGGGGTCCCCTCGAGCCGCTGGCGATGCAGAATGGAGGAATTGGCGAGTGGCGAAGCGACGATTGGGGAATGAACGGGCTGATACGCTGCGAGTGGGAAGGAGGGAGATTGGAGGGTGGAGGGATTGTCAATTGTGCTAATGCGACTCGACACGTCGTGGACAAGTTGGGGAGGCGTCCGCTCACAAAGACGAGTCACCGCGCTCGCATTAATCAGTCCCCGTCACATGTGCGGAGGATGGGACGCCCCAGCCAAGTGCCCAAGGCAGCCTCTTTATATTCACGTCTGTCCGACATTGTGAACAGACGCTGATGCCCACTTATATGACACTATTTACAACCTATATGCAAGGGGAGGGCGCCAAGAGGTCCTCCTATCCTCTCTCTCCCCTCTCCTCTCTCTGATTCCGCGCGGTGGCTAAACGCGTGCGATGCCCGTGCCCACCTTGCTTACTCGCGCCGCGATCAAAGTCAGCGTGCCTGCAATAATCGCACTGCCCATGAACATCTGCGCATACAGATAATTCCCATCGTCCCGCTGGATCAAGGCACCCGCGATGGGCGACCCGATCAGCGCAGCCACCGCCACCACGCTGAGCACCATACCCATGCGCACGCCGATCTTCTTCAAGTCTGTCGTCAGGGTGCTCAGCGTCGCCGGGAACAAGGACTGAACGCCCGCAGCGAAGAGGCCATATAACGCTGCGAACGCCCACAGCCCGGACAGATCCTTCACGGCGGCCCAGCAGAACGCCGCCACGGCCGTCGCGCCGCTGAACGGGATCAGCATGTTGAGCGGGCCGGTGAACTGATCTGCAAGCAGATTAGGCACGAGCCGACCCACGAGTCCGACGCCGTTCATAACCAACAGCAGGTCGATCGAGGTAGTCTCAGACACCCCGATGATGTTGCGGCTGAAGCTGCCGACGTAGAAAAAGGCCACATACAGGCCCCAGAAGTTCAGGAACATGCCCACGGCGAACAGCAGGTACGGCATTTCCTTGAAGGCCGCCAGCTCCAGCAGCGGCCCGCTCGTACGCGGCGGCAGCCGCTGCTTGAAAAAGATCAGGCACGGGATCAGCGTGACCAGCGAAATGAAGCCTAATGTGCGCATCGTCCACCCGTACCCAATGCGCGGCAATAGCCGCATCACCACCGCAGGAAATACCATCCCCCCAGTGGCCGACCCGGACGCAACAATGCCAATCGCGATTCCCCGCCGCTTGACGAAGTACGTCGAGATCAGCGCCAGTGTCGGGCAGAACATCAGCCCGCACCCAATGCCCTGGCCCAGCCCCTGCGCCAGGAACAGCTGCCAGTACTCCGTGCACAGCGACGTCATGAAGATGCTGAAGCACTCGATCGTCGCGCCCACCGTCAGCGTGAACCGGAAGTAGCCTGCATCCGTCGCGCGCCCTGAGAATGTGCCGATAAAGAACAGCAAGAAGATTTGGATGCTACCCACCCACGAGATATCTGACGGTGGCCGCCCCAATGTCGTCGTGTAGTACGTCTGGAACACCCCGAAGCTGTTGATGTACCCCCACGTGTTGAAGATGATCATGTGGCCAAGTGCGACCTGCAACCATGCCTGGAAGCCACCGTCGGGCGGCGGGCCGATATTTTTGCCTGACTCGCGCGTCCGCACGGCGGAGAGCGTGCGGGCGATCGCGCTGGTGTTTGTTGGGACCGGCGTGAGGTCGTTGTGTGGAGGCTGCGGCTCGTACTCCTCGTCGAGAGTGGACTCCTCGTCGGATGAAGGGCTGCGCGGATAATTGGCCTCGAGAGACCGCGGCTCGATGCCGTGCTGGTAATCCTTTTCCTCCACCATGCTTGACGGTCGTTTCTTCTCGGACGAGGGCTCTGTGGCTGTGAAGCTTGTCATCGGATTTCGTTTTGGATATTCAATGTGCTGTGCACGTGGTTTGGATTTTGCTAGAAAGAGGCCGTTGCGCCGTCGCTCATGTCTGCGCGCCCATGCAAGCAACCAGGCAAGTTGTGGATGTAGATATCGATATCGAGATGTGTAGGAAGGGCGTCCATCGGCCGGGAACTGCGATCAAGCAAAAGAACCGGGCAAGTTCATTTTGGCCGACTTGTTCCCTGACTCATAGCGCAGACTAGGCCCAGGAGAAAAAAACTTCCTTGCCATAGTCAAGTCCCGCCAGCGGGCTTCGCGCCGATCGCTAGGGCGCCGATCGGTTATTCGCACAGATTGCCGAACGCAACGCCCTCCGAGGACATCTCTAATGGGCAGAATCCACATGCCACATGCGGCCGCTATGGGCACCCGCTTGGTCATCTCCGTAGTATTTATAAGTTATAGTATAATATATAATACTAAGACTGCAGGTTGGAACAATGGCTTGTCACGGCTAATCGAGGCTTTATCCCCCGCGGGGAACCCTCGCAAACCCCGCAGCGAAGGCATCTGGCCAGATGTCTCGGCTTGCCGTCAATCAATTTTATTCGAGGGAATCCATCGGAACGTCAAGCCATCGGGGACAACCCCCGACGCTTTCCTGCATTTTTATTCGCTGTCTAAAGAGGTCTTTACCATTCGAGGCGGATGCCTCGATGCCCAGATTTTAACAGAATGGCACCCACCAAAAGAATAAAGAAAAGCGGCTGCATAAATCAAAAAGGCGTCCAACTGCGCCAAGGATAACCCCTAGAACGACAAAAGGCAAGGCAATAAATGAGACTGTATGAGGGAGCGACAATGAAACCATTTTTCTGGCTTGAATGAATTCTTTCGTGTACGTGCATGAAGTAGTATGAGAAGTTGGGTCCGGTCTAAGAAGCAAAAGCAAGGTACAGGAGAGCAGAGCAGAGCCAAGGCACTCCCGCTCGAACTAACGGACTAACATCGTGAGGTCTCGACATCCACATCCCGGGAATAGATCTGGATGGATGGATGGATGAAGAGTCAGGCTGAAGGTAACCTAATGCTCGTGGTGGGGATTGCTGTAGAGTCCCTGGACCGTGCTGATGACATCCGCCGGTTCGAGAAGGTGCCAGCTGGCGTCCGTCTGCTTCGAGCTGGCACCCACCGTCACCGAGTACACATGGTCCTGCGGCAAGTCGAACTTCTTGAGTGCGCGGAACATATCTGGTTGCGACGGTTAGCATCGCCTATCTTCTCAATGCGGGGTTCTATTGGGGGTGTGGTATTACATACCTTCGTCAGTGAAGTCATCGCCCAGACATAGGATGAACTCCGGCGCCTTGCCAGGCTCCGTGCCGTATTCGTTCACCAGCCGTGTCGCGATGAATCCCTTGTTGACGAACGTCGGCCGCACCTCCAGGTTGGCTTTGCCGGCCATGACCTCCACATCCCACCGTTTGGCAACGGTATTCTCGAGCTCTTTGCGGCATTCACGCGCCTGGAATGCCCCGTACTCCGGGTCTGCCCGGCGATAATGCCATGTCAATGCCACTCGCTTTCGCTCGATGAAGGAGCCCTGCGTCCGCTCGGTGTAATGCTGGAAGACCTCCACCACTTCCTTCTGCCACCCCATGTTGGACGACTCCGCCAGGTTCTCCCAGTCGTCTGACCGGGGCTTGCGAATGAAGCACCCGTGCTCGGCGCTGAGGCCTAGTTCCGGGATATGGCCCATCCATTCATCCAAAAAGGCTTGGTCTCGTCCGCTGATGATCCAGACGGCGTTTCGTGGGTCGGCTGATAAGCTCTTGAGGGTGCGCAGTACACGATCGGACGGAATGGCGGCCTGCGGGTCCTTGACAATCGGTGTGAGGGTACCGTCGTAGTCGAACATAAACAGTCGTCTCCGGGCTTTGCGGTACTGCTTGATCACTTTCGCACGATCCAGCGCTGGAGTGGCAACGGACTGGTCAAAGGAAGAGAGATTGGTGAGTAGGCGGTGGAGGAACAGCCTTGACCAGGTGCTGACGGTGTTGGTGAGGACATGTTTATATAGCTTCAGATGCTGGTCCCTCCGCTGATCGGCAGGCATCTTGAGGGCTTGATCGATGGCGCCCGCAACACCCACCATATCCCAGGGATTGATGTGGATAGCACTGGGCAGCGTGCCCGCGGTACCGGAGAACTCAGAGAGGATGAGGGGGCTGTGGTTTGTCTGTTGACAGACAATATATTCTAAACTCGTTGTATTCATGCCGTCGCGGACGGTGGTGATTAACCCGACGTCGGCGACACGTAGCAAGGCGAAGTATTCCCGCTGCGAGAGATACTGTGGGTAGTACTGAACCGGAGAGAAGCTCAGCGACCCGAAGCGGCCATTGATTGTGGAAACCAGGTTGGATATCTGGCCGGCAATCTTGTTTTCGGGATCCTCTTTCTCTTCCTCCACGCTGGTCGGGCTCGTGACTTGGATGAGAACCACCTTGTCGCGCCATTCGGGGTATCTTTCCAAGAATATCTCAAATGCTTGTAGTTTCTGGGCCACTCCTCGAACGCTGTCTAGACGGTCACGACCGACAATGATCTTCTTTCCGATATACAACCTGCGGATCCCTAGCACGGTCTTCTCAATATCCGGCGCTCCAAAGGCGGTCTTTTGGATAGCCTGCGCATCGATTCCGATGGGGAAGACATCCACTGCGACGTGGGCGCCGTACGCATCCACTCCGGCCGAGTTGGACTCGAATCCCAAGACGCGGGTGCAGCACGAGGAGAAGTGGCGTGAATAGGAAAAGGTCTGGAAACCAATCATGTTGGCGCCGAGGACCCCCGTCAAGACCTCCTTCCGCTTTGCAAGGCAGCGCACAAACTCGCTACTGGGGAACGGTGAGTGCAGGAAGAAGCCAATGTAGATGTTGGGAATGCGCTGTCGTAGTAAGCCAGGCAGCAGAAAGAGGTGGTAGTCGTGAATCCAAACCACGTCTCCTTCCTGGTAATCTGCCGCGATGCGGTCCGCGAACAGTTGGTTCAGGCGGATGTAGTCGGCCCACCACCGCCGTTCTGAGCGGCCGTCTGTTGGGCCATGTTGTTTGTAATGCAGCAGGGGATACAACTCTCTCTCTGCGTATCGGCGCCACCTTCCTTGGTCATTGAGCAGGATGGTATCTTCCGGCTCCTCTGTTTCGTCCGATAACCAGACGGGCAGGATCCGTCCGTAACGTCCCGAAGCCAATTGCTGATCGAGCCTCTCACGCTCCCCCTTGGTGACGCTGATTCCATCGACCAGAGGGTGTGAAGGCGGCTGTTGGCTAGCATTTACCGGAACAGGCGCAGCAGCCTTATTAAGTGGGCCTGCGCCGGCAGCGCTGGAGCCAACGGGCAGCTTGCTCGCCGCATTGACCGGAATCGACTGTAGAGGAGTCTTTGCATCTGGTGTAGGCTCGACCTCTCCTGTCCATCCCACCAAGGTGTGGGACCATTGGGTCTCGTCAGAAGCTAGGTTGGCGAACGAATCGAAAAGGGCCGAAGTGCCTGAGCGTGGCTTGAGCGTCTGTTGGATGATACTCCGTCAGCTTAACCGTTCTCACCCCTTGCACGGATGCGCTCGTCATCACATACCCAATCCGACCCCGATTGGTGGCAAAGCTTGTACGGGATACAGAAAGCCACGCTTATCAGCCGGCCGCTTAGCTTGAGCCCTGCATGCTGAGCACGCGGGTCAACCTCAGGCGACATCGGCGATGCATCCCCTGTGAGGCTTAGCCGGCGAAGCAGATCTTGTCCTGAAGACATCCTTCTTCGGCCCGAAGACGAGGCTGACGCCACGGCTGATGGGTCGGGCGACTTGGTGTTAGCGCCCGGGATATTGCCGAAGTATGATGGCGCATCGCTGTCCATCTGGTATTTCCTATCGGGCGCTAAGCTCGGGGTCGCATTGGTCGCAGCCGTGTATGCCTCATCCTTCAGGGCCGTTAGCCCCGGTCCAATGATAACCGGTTCTGGCTGCCCGTCAGGAACCTGCGCGGGGGTCCCAGGTTCAGACATGGCGTGTGGGGTCGGGGATCGAGGATGAGGCGTGACACTGGCAATTAAACTGTGGTGGCGGTCAGAACTACAACAATTGTCACATGCAGACACCTTTCAAGGCCAGGGAATCCTGACGTCGGCGGACTGGGCTAACGGTAATAGATCGCGTACCTCGGAGCGGGACGGGGGCGTCGGGAAGTAGATCGACACTAGAACGCGACTACGGGCGCGAGCTAGCCATGGATGATCGGAGGGAGCACCACGCCACAGGGCGGAAAACAAGAGCAGAGAGGAGATTGGGGAATTTGGGAAGGGGAGTGTATGAGGGGAGGAAGGTCAGAACAGCCGGATGGGGGTTGTTGGAGGGGCAAGCGGTGAGATGAAGCCACCGTCCGAAACAGGAAATGTTCGCTTCAGGGCAGCTCGGTGAATGTCTTCAGTCCTACGTCATGCCAGCCGTGGGTCGGAGGTGGATTGAGACTCAGTGGATAGGCCGGGCAGCCAGTACGATGCCAAGGAGTTTAGTTCTGAATTGATAGTTCTGTGTAGGTAACTATACCATCATCCTATCTCGCAGGACGGAGTATAAGCTGACTAGGGAGCTAGTCAATTCTAAGTTGACTCACTAATTAGCGGCCTGTTTGCGCCCAACGATCTCGCTGCCTCAGGCCGGAATTGTCCTCCTTCAATCTCCACTCTCGACGATAGCTCCTCTCGGCTTCTCTCCCCGTCATGCCGCCTCGGTGATCGCGCGGCGATGCGACTGTCCGGCATCCAATCTTCTCGCCTCTCTAACCATGTCGCCCGGCGGTTCCGCGCTGTCCCGCCCACCCAGGACGGCGATGTGTTCGCCAACAGCCTGCGCAAAACCCTAGAGGCGCACCGCTCCTCGAACCGGGCCCGTCTCATCCGCAAAGTCTACCCCCGTGCGCCGTCTCCAGGCCTCTTCAGGCCTTATATCCCGCCTGAAAACCGAGCCGGCTACCAGCCACCGGTGTCTACACCCGAACAATCCGTGCCTAAGAAGGCGGCAAGCAAAACGCGCTCACGCAGGCGTACCCCGGAACGCAACACTCACTCGACGGATGCCCGGCCCGAAACCAATGCTATTCGGAGTGCGGGAACTGCGGGCGCTGGCCCACCCTGTCAAACTCCGTGGTTGAGCTATCTGGCCCAATCTGGTGCCAGGGGCGATGGCTCAGCACACCTGGATGCGGAGATCCACGCGCTAGACCGCTACCTGGCTCCAAGCCCCAGCGAGCGAGAGCAGATCAGCCAGATTGGTGCGGAAGTTTCTTCGCTGCTAGCATCAGTCGTCCCGCATACGCCGCAACTGATCGGATCCCGTCGTACAGGTCTCGCGCTCGTCCATTCAGACATCGACTTCCTCCTGCCCTTTGACGATCTCCCGCGCTCTCTAGATCGGGCCCGGAGGCCCAGTCCGACTCGGCCTCAGATACGGAATGCTCACCTGACCCTCCTGCGCCAAGTTGAAGCAACACTACAGAGTACCTTGAACTTCAGTGGCCAGGTCCAGCTGTCTGGAAAGCGCAGCCTTGTCCTCGAAGCTCGGCATCGCCCAACGGGCCTATTGCTACAATTCTACTGCGGCGAAAGCATGCCAGCGTTCACCGAGTACTTGCAAGATTACTTGGTGGAGTATCCCTCCCTTCGGCCTCTTTATGCAACAACGCGGGCTTTACTCGAAGCCCGCGGTCTCTTCGGATCGTCACAGGCGGGAATCGGGCCAGATGCGTTGGCGATGCTCTTAGTTGCGTTTCTGAAAATGAACCACGGTCGCTTCCCTGGCCCGCACCGCCTCGGTGACCAGCTGCTTGCGCTTCTCCAGGTACATGGTACTGGTGTTGACCTGCAATCCATCGGCATCGCTGTCGATCCGCCGGGCTTCTTTGATGCAGACGCACTGCGTGCGACTGGGGAAGAGGAGCCTGCATATCGGCGCGGTCAACGCTCCCTGCTTAGTGCCAAGCGCACTGCTGCTGCAAGAGGAAATCTGCCTGCTGGGCGGAGGTTGTGTATTCAGGACCCCACCCATTACATGAATGATCTGGGTCGGTCGTGTACTCGTACGCCTGAGCTGCAGAATGCCTTCGCTGCTGCGTATGAACAACTCTCTGGTGCATGTGATAGCTGGGAGGGTCATCGGGAGGGTAACTCCATCCTGGCAACAGCTTTGCGGGCGAATTTCGACCGCTTGGAGAAAATGCGGGAACGGATAATGTGTCCTGTCGAAGTTGGATCACAGCCTGCATGAGGTGATCTGTAGAAGATTCCACGCTTATTTTAAGATACCCTGTGTATATATAGTTCTCATCTCCTTTTTTTTTCAATGGACCCATTATCTTGTTTAGCGCTTTGTTGACTATCGATAAAGTACAATGCTCGCCATGTCAATAGGCTATAGCAAATAGAAAGTCAAGAGACCTCGCCCCACTTTGCTAAGGAATAATGGTCTAGCAAAGAGAACAAAAGAAATAATGTAAATATGCATAGGACGAAAAGCAAGGATGGTAGCGCTTAAGTACAAAGGAGCCGGAAGCACGCAATGAGTGAGAGTGGACAAGCAAGTTCTTAACGAAGACGCCCTCCAGTGCAAGTTGGTGACAGGGAATTAATTGCTGGAAGGCTTGTCAGTACTGACGTCTCGTTACAAGACGAAATGGGGTGGTGAAAGAAACTTACTAAATTTCCAGCGGCGAGATCTGGTCCAAGGCATACAGCCAGTTCCCGCCTTGCTCTTCCTTCTCAAGCCTGTGGGGTTGTCAGTCAGTATGCTTGTTAAAAATGGAGTAGGAGTAGGCATGGGATCGGGTCATACCAGTCATATGGCCAGAGAATGAGATGGCCCTGAACCTTGTTCAGAAGGTCCTCTGCGCATTGCTTGTCCATCATTTCATCTGAAGCATGGAACTCCCGCTTGGAACTGATTGTGGTAGCCCGTCTTCTGCGCCTGCGAGACTGGGATGCATTCAGGTTCACAGCCTCGGAGTAATCGACATGGGCTGACGCGGACCGTACCTGCTCTGCGTCCTCCCCAGTAAGACTTTCCTCGTTCTGCACGGTGCTCAGCAAGTGAGGGTCTGACGCTCTCTTCAGAGCAGCCTTCTCGTCATTAGACGACGGGGTTTCCTGCTTCGCAAGTTCGTTCTTGGTGCCGTTGGCATCGGTCATCACAAGTGCAGCCTTCTCATCAATCGTGTGCGAAATCTTCGGCTCAACTGCCGGCCCTTCAGACTTAGGGCTTACGGGTGATGTTGGCGAGGCGAGCCCACAGGCACCAGAGGCACCGTTTTGTTTCACGTTAGGTGGGGGGGCCGGTCTGCCGGTCTGCTGGCTCTGCATCTCGGCAAAGCGCTCTCCGTATGCCGCATACTCCTTGTACTCCTTCCAGTTCTTGACCTCGCTGTCGGGCATGCACCGGAAGACAGAACGGTAAACCTTTGTGTTCTTTTCGGCTAGAGCTTGCCATGTATCCAGGTAGAAGGCATCATTGAGCGGGTCCTTCATGCAGTCCTTATCAATGAAAATACGCTTCAAATCAGGCATCAGGGGATGGCCGTATCTGGAGTTGTCGTAGCTTTCCTTGGACACATATAAACCGCCGCTGCCGGTTTCAGAATCGCGGCTTGATGAACCAGAGGCGTTATATCCCTGCGACGGGGTATCGGAGTTGGTATTGCCTTCAGAATCGCGAGCTGTTTCCGCTGAGCAGCCTTGCTTTTTGCTCTTGCGTGTGGAAGTCGCCCGAGAAGGCTTTCGCTCCGACGCATGCTTGGGCTGGTCGATGGTACCCTTGCCCTCGGACGAAACCGGCGAGACGAGAGATTCTCGTCCATCTGGTGTCACCTGCGAGTCACGACCAACTGCCAGACCAGCTTGCTCGGCATCGATCAAGCGGTCGACGCCATGACCGTCGACGTCTTTCCTGTGATCAGGGTTGTCCGTAACGCGCGGGTCGGCAGTGAGGCGGCGGTTGCTCTTCAGATTAGGATTTTTACCTTGCTCCCAGTCCACGTCGTGGTTGAAGCTGTGCATATGTTCCGAGCGAGACAGGAATTCGTCTTGAACGCGGTGACGGCGTTCCATCATCTCACGTTCATCCTGTCGTTCGATCACTGATGATTCTGACTCGCGACGCTCTCGCCCATTAGACGGCTGGGCACCTTCTTCTTCAACGACTTGAATCTTGCGTAGTTCTTCTTCGGTAGTCAAGTCGTGCTCCAGGAGCTCGTCGACGTCAATTCCGAGATGCTCCCGCATCAAGCGCATGCGAAGTGTGTGTGGGAATCGTCCAACAAGATAAGGCTTGCCATTCATGGTAGATGAGATCATGTCAGTATCTCGAACAATCGCAGCAACCTCTGAATCACGCGATCCCAACATGGATCGTTCGTTGATGTTGGCTGATCCAATGATGGCAGCGCGATCATCGACAACCATGCACTTCGCATGGATGTACAACTGCTCGGTCACCAACTGCTTCTGGGGACCAATCTTGCCCCAAGCTCGCAAGCTGAAGAACTGGATATAGTCTTCAGGCTCAATGCCAAGCGCACGAAGACGCCCAAAGATAGATGTCTCACCACGGCAGATACTGCGGTATTGGCACTGCATGATAAGACGCACGCTGGTTCCACCCTCGCTATCCACGGTGTTCTGGAAGCCCGGCATCAATGGGATAACAATGACAGCCCGCCATGCCTCTTCGTTCTTGGCTGCTCGGACAATTCGTTCAACCAGGGCATCGCCAATCTGGTTCTCAATCTTTCTGCCTTCGATTTCGCAAGTACTGATGAAGAACTGGTTTTCGATGTAGACGAAATGATCAGACTCTTCAATCATCTTGACGTAGGCGTTCATGATACTGTGTTCCGTGACATCCGGTGTACCAGTCGACCACATACTGCTGGAGCGCAAGATCTGCACCTCACAGGTTCCATCTAAGCCGAGAGCCTCCAGGTCAGCCGGGTTGAAGTCCGGGGGAGGCAAAAGGAATGGAGTTGGTCGTGTTGGCTTCCGCTGGCGAAGAATATAGTTCCAACGCTGGACGAAGTGGCGAGTCAGATCTCGTGCAGGTTGGCCGACGACATGCATCGAAATATCATGCCAGGGCATTCGGGGCACGACATTGCGATCATACATCTCCTCGTATGGTTTATCCAGGTCATAGAAATCCTGAATACGGGGGTTCGAATAATCTTTTCCAGGCCAGAGCTGGCAGTGGTCCGCGTCCTTGGGCATGTCGGTTGTTTCAAAGCCGGTGGGCTTATCATCGGTCAGTGCATGCTGGGGTGTATCCCAACGCCCAAAGCACAGATCAATACCTCCCACAAAAGCAATCGTATGATCAATGAGACAGAGCTTCTCGTGATGGGCCCAGAAGAAGGTGTTCTGCCGGAATTGGTTCGGGGATCTCTGGACGAAGATGTTGGGATGGAGCTCAAGGAGGGAGAATTTGGAGTATTCTGAGTCGATGGGGATAGCAGAGTTAATGTTCCGGTACATGATCACAAAGACCTTGACACCTTCGCGGGCTTTGTTCTGCAAGAGACGATCCAAACGCCACTTTTGGCTGATGGCGGCCGGGCGCCGCATGTAGAGCTCCGGACTCAGCCACCAGTCGTGGATGTAAATCACATCCTTCGCCTGGTTAATGGCTCTTGACACAACCCACATGTGGTCTCGAGCATCAACTAGCCACTGCGCAAAACACTTCTGACGCACGGGGGCAAAACTGTCAAACCGGTTGGGCTGCATCCACGGAGTGTTTGCGGCCATAAACCGAATCGAATCTTCGAACTGCTGAAGCTGACGTTCGTTACGGGCCAACAACTTCAACTTGCGCTCGGAGTTCTCTAGGCGGAGAGTATGATGCTGGGGGTGTCTGGCGGAATCCTTTGCCGACTTAGCCAGTTCCTTCGCTTTTTGGTGGCGGAGGCTAATTTTTTGCGTTTGCATCTTGAAGTAAGCGTCGATCAAGAAGACGTCGTAGATATTCATCTCCTCAGGGGAATCCACACAAACCACGTAGCTGTGACGAACGAGGAACCACTTGGGCCAATGCCGCTTCTTGATCAGTCCAGGTGTGAGAGCACGACGGAAGTCAAGACCCTTGGAGGATTGAATGATTAGGAAGCCTTCTTTACCGTGATAGCTCCCTTCGGATGCAAGGCGAACTCCAAGTGCAGACAGCTCGAGGAACTTGCACAAGCGGTTGCTGTCGGCTCGGAAGATCAAGAAACGGATCATCTTCTGCAGATAGAGCTCGAGCTTCTTCCGCTGCCGTTCAGGGTACGTCTCTCTTCTGCCACCGACACCTTCATGGGTGGATGAAGGCGCCGCAGCCGGCTCGCCGTCCTGGTTTGTGATGCTAGATTTTCTGCGAGTAATACCTTGAGAAGGTCGGCGCTGATGCTGAGGGTTCTTGCCCTTCTTCCTCCCTGCCCTTTCGGTGCCACTCATGGCCTCAGGGCCAGTCTCGTACCCCCCATCATCTTCCTCATCTTCAAAATCGCTTTCCAGACCACGAACACCCCGCATGTAAGGAAAAGCACTTCGAGGGAACCGAGGGAGACTAGGGCTGTTCTCGCTCGTCCGTAGCTGAATGTACTTTTGGGTTCCGAGATGGAGCTTGTACTTCAGGTGCAGGTTGGCAAAATCTCTCAAAGTTCGGAAAATGATCCACTTCATTCGTGTCATACCACTTCCGTACTCGAGCTCAATGCGAAATACAAGGTGACGGTCGCCCGAGTGGGCGTCAATGCGGCTATCTGTGACCCGAACCTTCAGCTGCTCCAAGAGAATCGGGATTCGTTTGCTTCCGTGTTCATCTCGTTGGAAAGCACTGGCCAAAATCAGCGCGGCGGGTACGGCGGAGGCCAGCTCAGCAAGCAGCTCTGCTGATTTCTTGTTGTCCACCGTGTTGTCTGGCTTGCGCCGTTGGCCGATCAGCTTGAGGCCGGCTTTAATTTGCTTCCAGCGTTGGGCACTAGCACTGGTGCCGGTGCCTCGTTCGTTTCGATGGCGTCTCCAGGTGGCAGCAAGACTCTCGTTATTCTCCGATGGCCCACCAAGACCAGTCAGCCGCCGCAACTGGCTCGGTCGTTGCTCGTCTTGGGTGCCATCTTGTGGCTGCCTTCCACTATAGGTGAACCCGCGAGATGCCAACGCAATTCTCTTCCGCCGAGTGAGCTGAGCACGACCCTCGTCCTCGGACACGCCTTCTCGCGGTTGAGGCGTGAAGTCTGTAGTGCTAGCTCTGCGAGGGAAGAGGTTGGTCCGATAGTTCTCGAAAGGAGCAAAAGACGAGGCGAAATGGAAAGACGGGCGACGTGTGGTCTTGGGGGTCGTAGGAGCCGTCCGATTTCCGACTTCCTCGTCAGTCTGTTGTCGACGTCGCAGGATTCTCTTCTTCTTGGGACGTTCACGCTGCTGTTCACCACCGCTCTCCTCGGCATCCGCATCGGCGTCACTTCCCTCCTCCGTTAGAGGTTCGGGGAAGCGAAATTCACCCCGTTCAGAGCCTGGAGTCGCCGCGTCGGCTGGGGCTGGCCGGAAGTCAGCAATCGTCGCTCCGCTCGCAGACCGTGAATGAGATGCAAACGGCGGAGATGCAGCCAGCGACTTCAATCTAGTCATGAATGATCTTCCCCGATGTTGTTCTCCATCATCTCCACACAAGGATGAGGGTCGGGATGGTCCCCGTGATGCGGGCGCATCAGGGGCCTCATTATCCGTATCTCGGAACTGGACACTCGGTGCACGAGACGGAGGGGACATTCCGGGAATAGACGATTGGTGCCTGTGGTGGTTCACCGACGATGCCATGTTATCAGTGGCCCTGTTCGGTGGTTGGGTGCTTATGGACGGGCGCTCCGTCGGAGAGCCACGTTGTGTCGAAGTCGCACGCACATTCCCCTTACTCGAGGCAATACCTTCGGTCTCTTTCGACTGTTGTTTTCTTTCCGAACCCTTGTCGTCTGCTGGAACGTCTGTCGGCTGGGGCTGTCTTAGCGAGGCGGGTCGCTTCGTGTCGGTAGGGGACGGGAGGGGTGATGCCAGCCTTGGCCCATTCGAGACAGAGATCAGGTCAAGCTTCTTTGGTTTGCCTTTCTCGGGGGTGCGGCCAGCCTCCTTCTGAGGAGATGGGGTCAAGGGAACGTCGACCATGCTGTAGATGCCAGATGATCGTCAGTTGCAGCTCGTGGGGGGAATCAGTCAGAGTCAGGAACCGGGCTCCATACCTGCGGGATCAATCGAGACCCTATCGTACAGAATTCGATCGTCTCGCTGTCATTCTAGGATTCCGGCCAGAGCAGATTCGAGAGAGGAATCAATGGTAAGCGAGAGGCATAGCTCACGCGACGGTTGACATTAAAGGAGCGTTGGTCGTTGAATTAGTTCGCGACTGCGGTGGAGTAGCTCCGCCCATTCGAATCACTCCGACTGGAGAAGGCCCGCCAAGCTAGCCAAGAAGTGGGCGGTCAGTTCCTGAAAATTAAAAAATTAAGGAGACTAAGGGGCTCCGATTATGCCGGGAAAGGAGTGTTTGGCACCACAATCGCCGGAACTTGGTAAGAGCGCAGATGGAAGGACGTTATCCGTCTGGAGTGCAGCCTCCGCAGGTTTGCCTTTTCCCACTTTCGGACTGTCCACTTGAGCACGAGGGCCTCAGGCTTGGAGTCGCATGGGTGTTTCCACCAAGGTCATTGGCTGCCTCGCGGTGTACTTGGGATACTTTATATACCTGACGGAACATGCGCAGAATATGAATGGAACATAAAATCAGAGCTAGAGGGGGCGAATGGGTCGACCACTGCTTCGGCCATTCTCGAAGTCACTGTGTCTTGCTCGCGATTTGCAGGATTATCGCCATTGGGATCAAACCCACGGAATAAATATAGAACCTGTCGGTAGATCAACATCGCCATGAAACAATTTGTGTATTACGTTCATTTGCAACCCTCAATCCTAACAGCGGGTATTAACCGTGATCTATAAACTCCTTGGCCCAAATAACTCGTAGTGTAGGCAACTCGTGGTGCTCGGATCGGTGGAGTACCGGGATTTGCAAGCTGTTCGACACCTCGGCTCCAGCGCTGTACCCGAGTTGGCGCTGGGGTTGCTTCCCCGCCATTGCTTCCATGACTTCTGGGATGAGCCTACCAGCCCTAAGATAATGGTCGTCTTCTTTCCCTTTTTTCTTTAGTTCTATCAAGCTTTCATTACAACTCCTCGCCTCAATTGCATTGGTCATCGGCAGTCCATCCACAACTCACAATGACCGACCCATTGAAATCCTTCGACTCCTCCGGCCGCCCTAAGCCCACTACCGTGTCGCAACAGGTCTACAACATCGCCGGTATCTCCGTGACAGTTTACGGTCTCGAGGAGCTCCAGCCCCAAGCTGCAGGTGTCGCGTGCCTGTGGTTGCTTCACCCCCGCCTCGCAACCCAGGAGCGCATGACTGGCATCGCGGCAGCGGCGATCAACGAGTGGAATACCAGGAACCAAGCTACCCCGTCGGTCAAGGGCCTGATTGCGGTTTCTTTCGACCAGCGCAATCATGGAGCTCGAATGGTGGATCCGCTTGCCAATGAGGCTTGGAGGCAGGGAAACCCTCGCCACGCGCAGGATATGTTCTCCATCTTCCGTGAGTGCTGCCGACATGCTCTCGCTTTCCCAACTCGAACCACGTGTATGGATGATCTGAACTAATATATTTCATGCAGAGGGTACTGCGCGCGATACCTCGCTGCTAATAGACTACCTTGCGGCTTTTATCTTCCCGAATGGCGAGCATGAGATCATGGAAAATCTGGTGCTGGGCGTGTCACTCGGCGGACACGCGGCATGGAGTTGCTTGTTGCATGAGCCTCGCATCAGCGCCGGTGTCGTCGTGATCGGCTGTCCCGACTACCTGAACCTCATGGTCGACCGCGCCCGCTTGTCCAAGCTGCCCTCGTGGACCAACTCCAACCCGCCAGGCTCGGAGATACTCGGCTCGGAGGCTTTCCCAACCTCCTTCGTCGAGATCGTCAAGCGGTACGACCCCGCCAGTCTGATGCTCAGCCATGTGGATACCGGCTCGTCGAGTCCGCTACGTGATGGTCCCCTGCCTGAGCCGACGGATGAGGAGAAGCAGGAGCTGCGCCCGCTGTTGACGCGGTTGTTGGCCGGCAAGCGGATCCTGAACCTGTCCGGGGGAATTGATAAGCTGGTCCCCTATCATCGTGGAGAGGCCTTTTTGACTTGGTTCAAGAGCGCGGTTGGATCAAATGGCTGGTTCGGTGATGGGGGTGTGACCTTCGAGGATATCATTGACCAGTCTGCCGGCCATGAAGTCACGGCTAAGATGGTTGATGAGGCTGTTCGGTTCATCAGTGAAACGCTGGCGGCGAGTTCGAACAGCACAGGTCAGAGAGGCTCGGTGCGGGAGTCGAAGATTTAGGCGGCGTCGTGATCAAGACTACGGGTATGTAAAAGCTGTAAATAGCATCAAATGATACCTCTTGCACCATGGTACAATATACAGACCGGACCTACAGAGTGCTGGCATCCAGATAGATGTTGGTCATAATAGTCCGCATAGCACCAGGTGGTAGCCGCCTGCGTGAATACCGAGCTTCATAGGTTCCGAAAGACCAGGTACACCCAGTGCAGAGAGCCATATGCGAAGTTCAAATAAGTATACGGAGCCCAGACATACAATCCAACAACGTAGATAGAGCCAAAAACAATATTGAAAAAACCTCCTTGTGGTATTTGTTTAACACAATGTGAAATCGTAAGGGCATTCGGAGGCCATGCTATGCTGCTTGCATACACAAAAACCCTTTTTCTTTTGGAACGCCCCGAACCAACCATCTCGGCTCGTGGCGGCCTTTTTTCGAGTTCCGATCGTCCTCCTCCGCTGGCGGGAAAGACGTTGAAAAATTCCTCCACAAGACCGAACGCAGCCACAGGGGGGCTACGCTTGCCCCGATTCACCCGCCTTCTCCAAGATAACACCAATATTCAATGCTTATGCGACCAGCTCAACAATACCACCAGCCTCCTTGATCTTCTGCTCGGCATCACGGCTGAAGTAGCGGGCGCGGACGACGAGGGGGATCTGGGGGAGGCGGCCCTTGCCGAGGACCTTGGAGTAGCCGAGGGGCAGGAGGTCGATGACGGGGGCGGTGTCAGTCTTCTGGCCGCTCATGTAGGCGTCACGCTGCTCGGCGGGGACGAGAGTCCACAGCTATAGAGCAAGAAAAAAAACCGGTCAGCGAGACTGTTCAGAAATATCAAAAATCCATGATGCCGATCCATTCTGTTCTCCTAATTGGGCTTGCAAGCACTTCGAATTCGGTGGTCATTGTTTTCGTCGTTGTTGCTCCAGCACACACACACACTGCACAGCACACAGCATCCAAGCTTCCCGTCTCGCTCACTCGCCCTCCCAGGATTTCAAAATGGACCGGCTCCTTCGATGAAACGTACCTTGTCGAGGTTGATGGTGGGCTTCCAGAACTTCTGCTGGGTCTTGTGGAAGTACCGCATACCAACCTTACCGAAGTAACCAGGGTGGAACTTGTCGATGTTGGTGCGGTGGTGGTGCTGACCACCGGCCATACCGCGACCACCAGGGGACTTGCGGTGCTTGCCGACACGACCGTAACCGGCGGACACATGGCCGCGGCTGTAAGAGAGAGAAAAGGTTAGTATTAGGTGGTTTGAAGCTCGGGATGCCGGTGTCATGCGATGTGCAAAAGCGCCAGCGATGTCGAAGTCGTTGCGCCGGTCACGAACAAAATCGAGGAGGGTGAGGAAGGGCAGACTCACTGCTTCCGAGTCTTCGAGAGGCGGGTAGGCATCTTGTCGGATGGTGAGTTCTCGACAAGACCGGTCTGAGAATTGGGCGTTGAAGGGGGAAGGGTCGTGATGCTACCGACTCAGATGTTGAAATCCACGCTCACGCAAAGCTAGACTGTGCGCTAAGCACTTCGCTTGTCCCGTGATAGGGTCAAACCCTGCCCTGGGGCTGCCAGGATCACGTGCAAGTCACTCGATACCGCCTTCTTGGATTGGCCACAATATTTGTTCTGCCACCGCCTCTATAGTTATTGGAAGCTAACCAGATCAGGTAATCAATCTGTATGAGGGAACCGGTTAATGTAGAGTAGTTGACTGTTAAGTGGTGGTGATATTTTGCATGCTTTCAAGCCAAAAAGCGGTCCTAAGCTACAATATCACCGCTTTTACTGGTGATCGTCTCACTTTTGATGTCGATGGTCATGTTGGATATGCATCAGAATTATTGACAAAACTTCCCAGCCTGATGAAATGGGTTGGCTCGCATGGAATCATGGATGCTGGAAATTGAATATTTCTCCATTGCCTCTACCTTTCGTACCTTTCCCGTCTCCAGAGAGCGATTGAGACCATTTCTTCGCCGCACCCCCAAAAGCCCAGCTGATTTTTTACAAATGAAGTCTGTCTTCCAAGGGGGAGCATTCCTTTTCCTACCATCTATGCCTATGGCCATCATTATCACTATCATGGCTCAAATAACAACTCATTGTGCCTTCTCAGCGAAAAATCTCGATAACCGCTGCACAGTAGCCTGTGCCGGCCTTGCCGCCGGCGAAGAAACAAGACTCCCCTGGATCCACCCGGGCAACTTCCCCTGAATGCGCGGCGTCTCATACCGCCGGTCAACCATCACAATAGCCGCATAGTCATTAACATGCCGGATCGCCCGCCCAATGCACTGATTCACAGCCCTCATGCAGGCATTCTCGTAAAAATCGCGGCCCGCGGCGGCAGCGGCGGCTCTCTTGTCAGCTTCGCTCCCGGCGTGCTGCTTGGCCGTCTTTTCTTCGATGTACTTGATCTTGGCGGTCCAGACCGCGCTGCGGATGTTGGGGAAGGGTAGCCCAATTATGAATACACCACGGCCCAGTCGGTCGGAGAAGTTGATCCCTTCGGAGAGCTTGCCGCCCACCACGGAGAGTAGGAGGGCACCTTGGCCGGTTTCGACGGCGGAAGTGTATTCTTGGAGGAGAGTGTCTGTGGATATGGCGCAGTCGCGGGATTCGTAGAGTATTTGTTTCTTCTGTTCGATGAGGCCCAGTGTTGTGCCGCCATTGCCGTTGGGGATGGGCTTTTTCCAGACGCTGACTACTTGGCTGAGATAGTCGTAGCTGGGGAAAAATGCGACTACGCCGTCTGGGATGACTTGGCATAGTGTTGCTATCGTTCTTCCGAGGTCGGTTATCTATGGAGGTATTGTACTGGTTAAAAATGCAAACTGCAATACTGCGTTTTGGTTGAACCTTGCTCACCATCTTCTCGGAGTTGCGGGCCTCGTAAGTAAAGTCAAACTCGGTGCCCATGAGCCCTCTCGTGAGGGCTTGTGCCACTAGGTTGGCGTGTGGAATGACGTGGCCGTAGCTGAACGTACCCAGCCGCTCGGGTGAAACATAGGAAAATAAGTGGTTCATGTAATCCGACATCTACTAGACGCGTTAGCAGCACGCAGGATGCCAGACTAGAGCGTTCCTTTCAGGACGTACCGGAGACATTGTGCCACCAGCCAGAATCACAGCTCGGGCATCTTCGACAATCTCCCGGAAATGATTGGTCGGATCGAGCAGCATGTATTTCAACTGCACGTCGTTCTTGTCCTTTTGGTAGAATAACCGGCCTTCTTCCGACGGGTTCATTAGAGGCAAAAGGAAGCTCTGGATGTGGAAGAGAACCGGCACTGTTGCTCGGTCTCTGGATCGGGCACCTTGCGGTCCTTGCGAGGACTCTACATAGCCGTCAACTTTCCGAGCCAACTTGCTCTCTTGCAGATACCGAGATAGCTTGTAAGGGTTGATTTGGTCCACGCCCTTGCCCGCCATGAGATCGGATGATTGAACCGAGCCTTCTGGGGACCCCTTTTGCTGAGAGATCCCCTGGAGGTGGCTGGCGATGGAGCTCACTAGCCTGATCACTTGGGCCACATAGTTCCTGTTCTTCCCCTTGAGCCGGTTCTTGAACTTGCGGGCGTATGTGGTTAATTGCGTGATTGCAGTTTGCAGCTGTGATAGCGAGACCGCGACTGAGTGAATGCCGGCGATGGCGTCCATCAAATTGTGCGCCTCATCAATGATGACCACGTGGTCCTTGACGGACAAATTGAGGGCCTCGCGGGCAGACCGTTGAAGTAAGAGTGGATAGGGGAGTGTCACGATCTATGGCCAAGGATCAGCCTCAGGCGCTATCAAGCAGGTTGAAACGTCCTTTTCATGTACTGACCTCACTGTGCTTGATGACAGACCGCGACGCATAGTAGGGACAAATGCCAACCTCCTTTCCCACTTTGCCGAGGTCCTCAATGTCCTTCACTGTCGCCAAGGCATGGTCTCGAAACTGGAGAAGTAAGGCTTCGTCATCCTTGGAAGGGAGGTAAGAGCATTTCTTGTCAGCGGCCACGCCCGGTTGCTGTAGATCCAAACACCGCTCATTGATCGCTGTGCCATTATCCAAGGCTCGGACCTTGGGATTGATACACAGATTCTTCCTGGAGCCAAGAGAGAGGTGTTTCACAGCTTCCTCAAGCGTCGACCGGTCATCGTCGTTGCCATCTGTGTCTGGGTCCACGGGGATACTCGAAGGAAACGCCACTCGACGCAGTTCACCCGCAAACTGACTGAGTTGGGAGTGTGTCCGGGAGCAATAGAAGATCTTGACAGTGTCATCGTCTTCGTCCTCGTCTTTCCTCTGTGTCGAGAGGTGCCCCCTGAACTTCTCTAACAAGGCGAGAGTGCTCGCGGACAGGCCATCCACCCCTCCTGGCTCGCTTGGCTTCGTTCGTTCGTCCGACTCGCTATCATAATCATCCAGGACGAATTGGTCCTCCTCATCGTGACCTTGTTGCGATTCCGGGTCCGCCAGTCGCTAATTCAGGGCCGTCGGCATGGGACCATGATCATCGTTTCTTGCAGACGGAGTGTCCATACCTGTTTCTTCCGAGGTCGTTCCTGCGTCGGCTGGGCCTGTCTCACGCGCTCTTCTTCGCGTTTGATCTTGGCCAGCCGCGCCTCGAATTCCTGTCTTTTCTCGGCAATGGCACGGCGGGAATCCTTCTTGGCGAATTCCACCATCCACTCCGGCTCATCATCGTCGCCTGGTCCCCGACAAAGAGATGAGCTATGACGCACGACAAGATGCTACGGGCGGACACATACATGCTGCTTGGTCCAAAGTCTCCTGAAAGGTCCTGCGCTTGTGATCCCGCAGCCATGTGAGCGAGCCGCAGATCAAGCTCAACGATTTACCCTGGCCGGGGAGGCTTTCTTAGTAGGAAGATGGCAGGGATGATCCCGTGCAATGGCCGGAGATGGCATCTCATCCGATTCACCAGGGTCATGGCTCAGTGGGGGCAAACTTACAGTACCTGCGGGTGTCAGATCGGAGTAAACAGGAGGTGGAAGGGAAGGAAGCCTTAGCGCGTACCGGTGGGGGACTCGAAAACGGCGACTTTCCCGTCTTCCAAGCAGCCATACAGGGCCCGCATAAACTGAAGCTGGATGTCATACAGGGTAAACGGGTGGTGGAAATCCTGCAGCTCCATGGTGGCTGAGGTACGCGCTCTGGGGGAGGAGGGGGGCCGTAGCGGCATAGATGTTGGAGTACTCCAGGGTTTGTACCAACCACAACTCACAACTCACAGGATCCGCGCACGAGGGTGTTCTGGAAAGTCGCGGAAGGCTGATAAAAATAACCCGGTGGAGCCGCCAGGAGAGACATGCCGCCGCACCCTCAGGGGGAAATAATTTGCGGGTCACGTTTGTTTTTGGGTTTTTGGTGGTTGTTGTTTCTTTTTTTCCCCTCGATTTGACTTGACTTGACTTGAAGGCAATGGCGATATGCTCAGACTGTGAGATCGGTATAGCTCAATCGAACAGGAATTAGGCATCATGATGGACTACTTGGACTAGTCCGGACTAATTGGAGTAAGGGAGTACAGTATGTCGAGGGTATGCGGCTGACAACATGAACCAGAAGGGAGTGCCAGTCCCTGAAGTTGGGCATACTTCGGGGCCGATTATGATCCTATTATCATCGTCATCACCTTAAAACTATTCTTGACTCGCTTATTGATATCCCGGCGGAGGCTGAGGGTTCGTGTGGCAGTCCACAGTACGGCCGTACATCGTTACTCAGGACTGAACGAGGGGCCAGTCGCCCGGGTGTAGATGACCTCGCAGCTACGTTCTTACTGTAGTACAGGAGCAATCCATATCGCACTCCGTGCATGGATTACATCCATCACCGTCCATTTAGTGCTAGAGGGATAGGCGCAGGGTAATTAAACCCCGTTCATCGGGCCCCCATAATTAAACGGGGGAGCAGCTCCTCTCCGACCTTTTTAGGCGCAAAGTGGGCTGTGGTTGCCCGTCGGCTTCTTTGAATTTGAATTATTTAATTATAATACTACCGTCTAACCTATCCTAGGGTAGTTGGTCTTCCTCGTCTTCCTCGTCTTCCTCTTTCGCCAGAACCCATCATTCTTCCCCTCCTCCTCTCTCCCCCCCCCTCTATTTCCACCCCTCCGACGCCCCTCCTGATCCCTCCCTCCTCATCCCCCCCTCCTCAACACGGCTGAATTGATCGCGGATGCTGCCCTGCCGTTGAGGGCCTCGGTGCTTTTTCCAACTGCAAATTTACCAATTACGTGGGATGAACCGACCACCGCCGCAAATGGCCCAGGGCCAGGGTCGTGGTCAGCCCCGGCTCGGCGCGACTTGGTATCCAGGGGGTCAGGATGACTTCTACATGCCAGAGGTCATCTCCCCCTCCCCCCAAAGGTGTGTTGTGATATTCCAGATCTCCTCCCCCCCTCCATTCTGCGTTTCGTCAATCAGTTGTTGTCTCCACGATGCCGCGGGTTCGTGTGCTAATCCATCCCGGAAGGGTAATGCCCGAAGTGCCTGAGAACATGCAAGACAACATCGCACAGTTGGAACACCACGTTCGCGACCCCCGCCGCGCCCAGCCGCAGTCGCCCGCACAATACGCTCCTCGCTCCCAGTACCCGGAGCACAGCTCCTCCGCCGTCCAGGCCCAGCCGCAGTCGCCCGCACAATACGCTCCTCGCTCCCAGTTTCCGGAGCGCAGCTCCTCCGCCGCCCAGGCCCAACCGCAACAAGCCCAGGCTCACGACCACGGTGCCTACGCGCAGTCTGCGACCTACGACAGCATGGATCACCCCAATTTCTCGCCCTTCCCCGTCCTGCGGAACCCCCGCCGAACGTCCCTCCCACCGATGAGCAGCGCGAAGCCAGTCTCGAGCGCGCCCGCATGGCCGTCCTGTCTACCACCGACCCCGAAATGCAGTTGGCCTGGGCGCAGGATGCTCTCGCCTTTGTTGAGGTGGCCGCGCAGAACGAAGCCCGTCTGTCGTCGATGCAGCCGCCGCGTCCTCACACGCCTCAGGTGGAGCGCCAGTTGCGCACGGATGCGCTAAACATTGTCAACTTCCTGGCGGGGCAGCAGCACCCCAAGGCCGAATTCATCAAGGGCATGTGGCTGGAGTTTGGCAAGTTTGGCTACCGCGTCGACCGGAAGGAGGCGTTCCGCTGCTATTCACGAGCGGCGGAGAAGGGATATGCGCGCGCAGAGTACCGCATTGGAATGCAGTTTGAGAGCTCAGGAGAACCAGAGAAGGCCATTAGACACTATGAGCGTGGTGTGGCGAGGGCAGATTCGGCCTCGTACTATGTATGCTCCCCCCCCCCCCAAAGGGCCCGGAAATGCGCCATCTCACAAACTGGCCCAATCTCTCTCTAATGGTTTTATAGCGCCTGGGCATGATGATTCTTCTTGGCCAGCATGGCCAGCGCCAGGACTTCCAGACCGGATTGGAATATATTAGGTTGGCCTCGCAATCATGCGACCAGAATGCGCCGCAAGGTGCCTATGTAAGTGGACCCCGCCTATTCGGGGCTTGCCAAATCTCCTCATACCCAATGACAGGTCTACGGCATGCTTTTGGCTCGGGAGCTCCCTCAAGTCAGCGTGCCCGAATCTTTCCTCACTCCCGACCTCAACATCGCTCGTGTCAACATCGAAAAGGCCGCCTACCATGGATTCGCCAAGGCCCAGGTCAAGATGGGCGCCGCATACGAGCTCTGCCAGCTGCAATGTGATTTCAACCCCGCGCTGTCTTTGCACTACAATGCGCTCGCGGCCCGCCAGGGTGAGCCCGAGGCAGAGATGGCCATCAGTAAATGGTTCCTTTGTGGCCATGACGGTGTCTTTGAGAAGAATGATGAGTTAGCATTCACTTATGCCCAGCGTGCTGCACAAAGCGGCCTCCCCACCGCTGAATTCGCGTTGGGCTACTTCTACGAGGTCGGCATCTTTGTTCCCGTTGACATCAGAGAAGCTCGGAGCTGGTATGCCAAAGCAGCTGCCAGCGGCAACAAAGACGCGACAGGTCGCATTGATAGCATCTCTCGATCAAAGACATTGTCCAGGAAGGATCATGAAAAGGTCGCTATCTCCCGCATCAAGTCGACCCGTTACGCTCACCAGCGCGACGCTTCCTTGGAATCCACCCCGGAAAACATTCAGATGCCTGACCCTTCACGTATGAGTCTCAACGACCAACCCCCGTCGGCCGCACCCTACCCCGATCGCGGCTCTTCTCGTCCTCGTCCACCCGGCCAGCCCAGCTACCAAATGCCCGATCCCCGTCCAAGCTCTGCCTTTGGCGTGAACCCGAATCTCCGCCAGAATGGGCCTCCCGGTCCAGGCTACGGTGGCCCGCCCGGCCCACCTGGTGGTCGAGCCCCATCCTACGGCGCCGGTGGCCCTGGCCCCATGAACTACCGCCAGCCTGGCTCGGGCACCCCTGTCAGTGCCCCAGCAGGACCAACCAGCCCCCAGGCCGCGAACATGATCAGCCCCAGTGGCACGCCCCGACTGGACATCGGGTACTCCGCACCCGTTCCACCACCAGGTGCAGACCGCCGCCGCCCTACACGTCTCGACGCCGCACCGCCGGACCGCAAACCCGTGCGGACTCCTGTCGCTGCCCATGGCCCCGGCACTCTGCCTTCCCCTCGTCCCGCAGCGTCTCCGAGGCCCACGGGCTCCCCCCAGTCCGCAACCTTCCCTCAGCGCATGGATTCACGCCAGCCCTCCTGGGGCTCGCCTTCTTCTACACCCCATCCGCCAGCGGGCCCACAAGCCGCGCCAGCGCAGAAGCCTGCCGCGCAGCCCTCCAAGCCTGGCCAACTGCCCGGCAAGGGCCCCAAGACTTTCGAAGAAATGGGAGTCCCCAGTGCCAAGAACGACAGCGATTGCGTACGTATTCCATATCCGCCTGAGCCCAAGGATCCTTGTTTTGAGTTTCATCCGATGATAGCCGTATCTGGCGCTAACACTCTCGTCAGATTATAATGTGATTGATACCCCAGATGCCGTCCGTTCTCCATTGGAACCGTCTTCTCTATGGCTATATCTGTGGATGGTTCCATCTTGCATTCTTCTTCTCGCACCCCTCCTCCCTCCTCTCACACTTCTTCCCTTCGCTCTACCTCTTTTTAATTCCGGGGTCTGTTTTTATTAAAAAAAAATTGTCTTGGCCATCCGGAAGGCGAGTCTGTTGACGCTGTCTCCGTCTCTTTTGTTTTCCTGTTTCCCACATATTTGCATTTACGCTCAGGATATCATGACTGCCTAGGGCCTGTGGACATATGGTTGTTCGGCTGTTTTGATTTTTCTAGATATGAGGCGTACTTTGTTATGAGAGCATTGAATACACTTTATGAGTGGTTTATCCACTGTATCGCATCTGTAATCCGTAAGGTTCTTCTGAGTGTGGAATGGTGTAGTGTGGTGTCTATCACGTTCTGCCATCTTAGTTCAACTCCCACCCAAAGCTCCCCCTCGAGTCGGATTTCACTGGGCATTGTTTCTCTCACGATCAGACCACCATGGCTCCCCGCAAGGACAAGAGTGACAAGGCAGTCGCTATTGATGGTGTGTTTCTGCAGATGGAATATATTGTGCTGGCGGGAGGCTGACGGTGACAAGATGCTACGCTGATTCTTGACTACCTACGTGAGTTCTTCTGTTGCATGCACATCGTTTTCCAGCAAACAGAATCTCATCTCTAGCGTTGGCAGGTGAACAAAAGTATAGGGCCTCTGATTCCCCCATGCGAGAAGGATTAATGTTGACTCCGTTGTTGGTGCAGTCGTCCCTATTCAGTAGGCACCTCCATCACTATTTGCATGGTACCGAACATTTGCTGATTGGCTTAACACCAGGCCATCGATGTCTCAGCGAATCTCCACAACAGGGTCTCTAAAAGTGAGGAGGGCGACCCACATGGCGAGCTTGGGCGTGAGCATGTGTGCAGTATGCTGATAGTGTCGACTTAGCCCAAGCCGCCAAGGTCCTGCGAGAACTGCATCAGAAACGCGAGATCGAAGGTCGACCTGCGGGTAGGTGGATCCTCGCCCGACTCCGCATGACGAGGGCTTTGAGGTCATTTACTGAGGGGAATGGTTGTACACAGGGAAGCAGATAGTCTATCATGCCTTACAGGAGTCATCGGACAGCACGAGCCCCGAAGCCATCGCTGCCCTCGGCCAAGAGATTGAGAAGCTTCAGGATGAATTCTCCGCCGTCAAAGCGGACGAGAAGAAGGCCCGAGCTGCCTTGGCTGCACTCGAGGCTAAGCCTCGACTGTCCGCTCTTCGAAAGGACATCCGCCGCCTACAGGAGGAACGAGACGCAGCCCAAGGGCGCTTAGGCAAACTCTCCGGAGACGGTCAGCTTCAGATCTCCCTTGAGGAGCGTGCTCAACTCGAACGCGACTGGAAGCAATGGCAACGACATGCCACCGTTCGCCGTCGCATCTGCCGTGAGTTATGGGGGCGATGCTCGGAAGTCTTGCCAGATGATACGACTGCGCTGGAGCTATGGGTGAGCCACGCCGTCGCCACCGAAGTCCGTCTAGGGGAAACGTACTGAGCGGGCGGCCAGGAATCTTTGGGGCTTGAAGGGGTGCTCCAATGAGAGGTGGTCGGGTATGGACGCTTGGGTGATCTTCTCGTCCCCACCCAGCCACATCATTTGACAAGCGTGATTTGCGGCTCGGCCTGAGCGGAGACTCGAGCTCCCTCTGATATTGCACGGACGACAGCGTACACTGCCCGCTCGTCTTGTCCGGTTGGGAGGCCATTTGAACGTGGGTCACGGTGCGCGATCGTGTCGATGCGTCATGCTTCGACAGGTGCAGAGAGATATGTGAGCTGCGCCGGGCTGCGGAATGGAGGCAACCCGGGAGGCGACGCCCAGGCACATCAGATGGACAGTGCAGATGGCCCGTCGACGACCAACGAGAACCAGTGGAGAAAGACCGCCCTGCCCGCCTCGAACGGCCATCATTTGCACCCCCATATGCTTTCTGTTCAGCCACGATGTATCCATAGGACCTAGCCTAGCAACTGAATCTGCGTCTTCTCCATCTTCATTGCCTTGCGCCTTTCCTAGTGGATCCCAGTTCCGATCTCACTGATTTCATAGAGTCAGCCACTCGACCTACGGAGACAACCGACGGAGTAAACCGTTCTGACTACACCGCCCGCCCGCCGGCCGACTCTTCCCCTCTCACCTCCGATAAACCCCTCCAGCCTCTCCTCCCCCCACCTATCGACCTGGCGATGTTGTCGGCCTCTCGACCTCCCTCATCTCGTCCCAATCGTTCCGATATGAGAGGTCGTGCGCCTCTACCGGTGCCCTCGGGCCTCCAGAACGGCCATTCCCGCAACCCCTCCAGTCTCGACATGGCTCGCAGCCCGCCCAACCCGAGCAACAAGAGTACGTCCTCGATCTCTCCGGGTTCTTGGACGCCCACCCCGGTTCCCATCCGTTGCGGGGCATCCGACTCAAGCACTCAAGCTAACTTCCTGTCTCCGATCCCTCCGCAGATACCAAACATGTCCCCTGCAAATTCTTCCGCCAGGGCGCTTGCCAGGCCGGCCCCGCTTGTCCGTTCCTCCACTCGACCGACGCCGCAATCGACTATGCGCCCTGCAAGTACTTTACCAAGGTATGAATTGATCCGTGCCTCTCCGTCCGTTTTTCAATGCGTTCTTATTCGATCCGGGGACTGACCAACGGCCGCTTTTTGTCGGCGCCTCGTTCCAGGGTAACTGCAAGTTCGGCGCAAAATGCGCACTCGCGCATATTCTTCCCGACGGCCGCCGAGTGAATCGTCCGACTGGCGGCGGTGGTGGTGGTGGCGGCGGCGGCGGTACTGGGATGGGCATAGGTGGTGGCAGCCACTTGAATCTGGGCGGCCGTGTCAACCCGCAGGCATATGTCAACCAGGACTCGGCCTTGACGAACTCGGTCCTCTCGCAGCAGCGCTTGAACGGTCACGAGTCACGATACGCCCAGCAGCTTCCCCCGCAAGAAGACTCCGGCTTCGTGCATAGTCAGCAGCAGATGCCTTATGATGCTATCCCCACAATCGATACCGGATTGACCTCCGATGCCGGCTCAAAGTACGGCTCGCCCATCGATGATGTGCGCTTCCCCATGTCGCCTACTGCCCGGCACTTGACGGCACTAGATGCCCCCCTCCCGGCATCGTTCGATAGCCAGGGAATCTCTCATGCGGCTCGCTATGGCCCCGTGGCCGCTTCAATGCCCTCCAAATTCGGCCTGGAATTGTCTTCCCCTCCGGCTCAGCGACAGGGCCCCTCGGATCCTTTCCGGAATATTCGCGACGTGGGCTATGGTGCGGATCTGCGGAAGCAATCGTCGAATGTTGGATCGTCTCCTCCGGCACCGGAAGATTCCATTGGACCCCGGTTCTTACATTCTTCCCGCCCGGTGAAGCCTCGCATGCTGTCTGCGAGTGTCCCTCGCCCTGCTCTGCTTGATGACTGGGATGAGAACTTCCCCATGGAGGAAGACTATCTGCCTATGAATCTGCATGACGACGTCCTCACGCCGCAGGAGAAGCTGCGCCGTCTCTCCCGGACGGACCACGACCTCGGCTCCAGCCATCGGGACGTCAGTGGCCTCGGCATGACGAGCACCAGCTTCTCGAAAAACGGCTCCCCACTCGCGTCCAGCCCCTCTCGGTTCGGCGCCCTGTTCGCCAAGCAACGGCAGAAGAAAGAAGAAGATGCCATCGGCTCGTCCTTCCCCCACATCGGCTCTCCTCTCCGTGAATCGTCGTTAAACCCTGCGGCCAGCCCTAGCCTGGGTCCCATTGGCAGCCGCGCCTCGCACGATAGCTCACCATTCTTCTCCAGCCCCGGCCGCCAGTCGTCCATGTCCATGATTTCTGAGCAGCTCAGCGGCATGTCCCTCCATCCCGGCTCGGCACGGCACTCCTCTGCCGGCCCTGGCCGTCTCGATCGCACCCTCTCCTCAACGACTAGCAAGATCGAGGAGGAGGAGCAGAGCGACCTGGTCTTCTCCATGGAAGAGGAGGAGGGTAACAAGCGCAACAGCGTCTCTTGGGACCCTGAAAATAAGGAGAGCTCGAATGACTCCTAATTTTGTTCTGTACATGCAGTCTGCAATCTGCACTTCTGCACATTTGCCATCATTCGCTATGATCACGACGACACGGCCCAAGCGGCGTCCACAGCTTCTGGACATATTCATATCCAAAAAAGAGGTCATTGGTGTTTTGTTCTTTGGGTTCTCCTTTTTTCAACTTAGTTTGGGGCACATTCGCATCACGGCGCGTCAAAACAAAATCTCTCATTGTCTCAAACGGCACCACTTTCACTGATCCCCACCCCCCTCGGCCTCGCTGGCTGGATTGCATTGCATTCCATGTGTTTCCCGACTCGGGACCCATGGGTTCAGGGCAGCCTTGCAATAGCAAGCCATACCAAGACTCACCGACCTCTCTTCATAGACTGACTCTGTCGCGTTGCTTTGCTATTCCCCCTTTCGCTTGGATTTCCATTTCGATCTCTTTGGGGCGGCTGTTGTGGTTTCTTGTCTTCTCTTTTTCTTTCCCCCAAATTCTTTTCGTGTGCCACCCTGTTTTCTATTCTCTCTGGATCATGTAGACCCGCCGCATTGTGCTTCTGGTTTTTTCCCCTTTCATCTCATTCCCCTCGGGTTCCTGAGACTGGGCCTTTCCAATGGAATTGGAAGGTAGCCTTGCCCTTGTATTAATCTTCCTTCTTTTTCTTTGTGATCTTATGTGGTCGGGAATTAGATCTCGAGGGCTGCGAGCTTGGTTGGGTTTGTCATGGGTGGTATGGCTTCTCTTTACTTCCATAGTTGGTTGTTCATCCTGCCCTGCTGTGCTCATGCTCGTTCTTCATGAGTCCACGGCCCTCTTACTTGTCCTGTCTTCTCTTGTCTTTTCTTCGACTGGTTCTGGTGTTCTTGCCATGGTGTTTTCACGAGATCCCCTTTTTTCTTCGTCGCAGTCTTGCCTGCCCTGCCCGCGCTGTACAAATGGGAGATGTGCAAATATGCTGGTCCATGATCTGGGTTTCCTTCTACATTTTACACCGCCGTATAGTCTTCGACCGTATTCGACTTGGGTGTCATGCTCTTCTCAGAGTGATTGCTACTGCTACCTCTACCGTAGAGTCGACCACTGTCGTGAGCAATTACTTCGATTTCTGGTTTCGGCTCACTTCTTCGTATACAAAACATCTCTTACAAACGCCCCCCTTGACCCTGCCGGAACCATGAAATTTAATGTCTAGACGCCTGAAACCAGGGAATGAAGGGTCACATATGTGCGCTCAGAGAAGAAAGAAAGAAGTCACAGTTCACCTTCACGTCCGTCCGAATCTCGATGCCGTTAGATGTCCTCCAGGTACACCGCACTTCCCTTGAGACTCACAAAGCCCTCGTTCCTGGTCTGCGCCTGGATCTGGGCGATCTGCTGGCGGGCCGCACGGTCAGCCTGGACTCGGCTTTCGCGCACCTGGGCGTCCGCTGCCCGCGCGCTGTCCGCTTGGTCGTGGTAGATTGCCTCGTACAGCTGGTCCGTGCCAGAGATGACTCGTTGCACCATTCGCTCGATTGCTTTCGGGGCCAGCGCCTCGATCCAGGCAGCTAGGGCGGTCTCTTCGTCGGCACGCTTGCGTTTGGCTGCTGCTTCACGCTCCCGCTGTTCTTCGGCTCGTTTGCGCTTCCGCTCCGCGACCTTCTTCTGCCGCTCGTCCTTGGACGCGAGATACTTGAGCGAGTGGCCCAGCTTCTGCTCTGCCGGTGGAATTAGGTCCAGCGGTGGCACCGAGAAAAAGAGCACATGGCCCTGGGCGTCGCAGTGGAACTGCGACCGGATATCGGCGGGAATGGCGCTGTTGGCTGCTTCGTTGAGATGGTACACTTCGATGGGACGCGGCGCGTTGGGGTTGTACAATGGTGCCGTTGTCGGGTGCAGCCGGTTTGGGGGGTAGTTGCCATATGGCGATGGCTGTGCCGCCGAATATGAGGGAGCTGCCGGTGAGGCCTGGTAGCTGGCAGTTGGGGTCTGCGGCACAAAGTTGCTGGGGCGCCGCTGGTTGGGACCCTGGTACATTTGCGGGTTCATTTGAGCAGCCTGGTATGGCGGTTGGGAAACAGGTGCTGGCGAGGTCTGCGCCACGGGAACCGCGGGAGATGGAGCCTGGAGCTGGGGGGCTGCCACATTGCCGGCGGTGCTCAGACCGGGATTTGCGATCGGTTGGCTCATGGACTGACGCGGGGTTGTTGCTGGCAGGGCCTGCGGTGGCATAGTGGGAGGGGGCGGGGAAGGAGTTGGTTCAGGAGGAGGAGATTCCTGGGGCGAGAGATGTTAGGTTCATAATTGTCATGTCGGCCGGATGTTTGGGGCACTTACATTCTCATCTCGTGGGCGACGGTGCACCGCGCCCACGACCGGTGGCGCATTATCTGCACCCCAAGTCGGCCGAGGAAGATCGTCGGTCTCCTTCGCATCGTCCTTGAGAAGATGCTTGATTGGGCTAGGAACCTTTTTGATCTTGCGTGGCACATCGAAAAGATCCATTTCATAGTCCTTCTCACGCACCTCGTCCGGCAAGCAGCTGGCCCACGTCTTGATCTTGTTGAGCTTGTGCTTCTCCTCGTTGTATCGAGCTTCGCAGACATAGATGTCCTTGTCTGGCGGAAGATCGCGGGGACGGCCTCGGCTGTAGCGGGTGAAGAACATGACGAAGCAACGATCGACGATTTCTTCGACGCGATGATCGCGGTATTGGCCCGTCTTCACGACCTCGTTGGGGTAGAAGTGCTTCTCGTAATGATGGACGGTCTGCTCGGGCCGATAATACCAGCATGCGTTGATCCATTTCTGATCCTCTGAATCCTGCCAGGTCCGATAGATCTGGGCGACAATTGGTTTGGAGACATCGTTGGGATTTTGGATGTGAACCCAGTCTCCGACCTTCCACAGCTCATTGCGGTACAGAATCCCATCGGGCAGAGGAAAGCGCCCGTCTTCCATCAGATACTCGCTGTCAGGCTTCTTCTTCTCCTGTTCGGCCAATTTCCGCGCCTCGCTCTGCAGGTCGACGGCGTCTTTGTAAATTTGGCTCTCCGATTGGTTGTAGGCCTTGGCGTTGTTGAACATGAGATCTAGATCCCGCATGAAGTGATCAACCGAGTTGTACTTCTTGCGCTTGGCCTTGCGCTTAATGATATCAATGGCAATCGGCTCCTTGATTTCCATGTAATAGTCTGGGTAGGCGATCTTGTCTGGAAGCCGTTCAAAGTGGACGATTTTCAAATGGCCACCAGGGCCTTTGAACTTGCGGATCCCCTTGAGAATGGTCTTGATCCGAGTTTCCATGGGAGTATCCACCCGTGGGGGCCTTCCGCGTTTCTTTCGAGGATCAGGCTCCTGTTTTTGGTTTCCACGCTTGGAGCCAGGCTTCGGCCCCGGCTTCTTCTTCCGGCGTTCGTCGTCAGAATCATCCTCTTCGTCCTCCTCTTCTTCCTCGTCTTCTTCCTCGTCATCGGGTAGGGGGTCTGCCTCCGGTATTTCACCAAGATCCGGCAACTCAGCTTCCTCGGCGCCGATCAAGTCCTTCTCAACAAGCTTCTTCAACTCCGAGACGATTACATCCTATTGGCGCACATCGGTGTCAGTCGCGTCTCTTGGCTCTTCGAGGTCCTACTCGGCTCAACAATCACCGACATACCTTGATGACTAGCGCATCCTCGTAGGCTTGCGATTTGGGTCGATTATAAGTTTGCGCATTGTGGGGGATCTGGAAAACATAGAACTGTCAGCCAGCCGTAGTGATTGAAGGTCAGGGAGCTGCTGGGGGGTTCGCGTACCAGGGCAAAGTCTCGCACGAAATCCGCGATTTGCTTGTATTCGCGTTTGTTGATTCTCTGCTTGATGATGCTCAGCGCCATTGGCTCCTTGATAATGTCGTAGTAGTCGGGGACAAGGCGCTTGTTGACACTGCGGTGGAACAGCCGCGATGGATCGTGACCACTGCAAGGGCGCAATTAGATCTTCCACTCCTACGTTTCAGCTCCTGTCAGGACAGTACTTACTCCTGCTCGCGAAAATCATAGACTCCCATGAGCACATCCGTCATGGCCCTCCACAGGTCCTCGGAGATGGCGCCATCATCCTCGATGGAGTTGACAGGCTTCTCGGGTTCAGGCGGAGACTGCTCACGTTCCGGCGACTCCATGCTGCTCATTGCCACCGCGGTGCGTGTGTTCAAACAGTCGGAAGGGGAAGCGACGAGAAAGCTTGCGGAGCTGGTTGCGTCTCGTGTCGGCGAGGGGGCAATGTTTTGCGCCGGGCTGAGTCAGCGGTATTATTACACTATAATTACCACCGTATTGTCAAAGTCCGCCTCGTTTGCCAGGCCAACCGAGGCCGTAACATAGTATACATGGCTACCAAGGCACCTACGACCGTATCAAAACTCATATCTCCTCCAAAATATGTGAAACTACTGCAAAAGTGACGAAATCACTCGGGCGGTGCTTTGCATGGTAATGCCTGGACACGGCCGTTGTGGGGGGACTCACCCATCCATGCTGATCGCCGCATGAAAACTGTCGCATTCCTCTGTGGATTGCTTTCATAGACTCCAGCATGCTTGCCCTCGGTGGGCGACCTTGACTGGGCGATTATCCGTATCCACCACTTGATTCATGGTCTCACTAGATGGGAAGAAAGACGACTTCTCATCGCTCTGCGACTACCCCACGCAGACCCTCCGCGCGTCATAGCTCCCTCACTTATCGGGTGGGACCATTTGCGCCGCAGCTGCCCGCCTTGGTCGCTCTCGTGTCATCCTCCTGTATAGCTGCAAGCGAAGTGCACATTTCTCCAGTCTGACTATGCGGTTACGAGTTCGTGGACCCTCGGGTCAGTCAACGGTCACTCTGGACGACTCGGCCACCGTCCAGGACCTCCGAGGACAGATCGCGGAGAAGACTGGCATCACCTCTTTCGATGCCAAGTACGGATACCCCGACCTCAAGCCGTTGAACCTCGACCATTTGCGACCAGATCAACTCTTAGCCGACATTGGTATCAACTTGAACGGGGAGCAGCTTATTGTCGCGCAACGAGACTCTGCCGCGCCGCCCAGCGAGCCCCCCCCTCAACCAGCCTGCGGGCTCTGCCTCCCACCAACCGCCGCCGCAGCAATCGCAGTCGTCGATGCCATCACAGCCAGAGAGTAGCGCCGATGATCCACCTGAGATCGCCTCCCCCGAACACGGCGGCACCTTTGTGCTCCGTGTCATGCCTGACGACAACTCATGTCTCTTCCGTGCAGTAGGCGCCGCTGTCATGGGCGATATGGACACCATGGTCGAGCTGCGATCGATTGTTGCGGGAGCCATTCAAGCGAACCCGACCGAATATACCGCGGCTATCCTAGGGAAGAAGCCCGATGACTACTGCCAATGGATTCAGAACGAGGACTCGTGGGGCGGAGCCATCGAGCTCAAGATTATAAGCGAGTACTTCAACATCGAGATCTGCTCCCTTGATGTCCAGACGCTCCATATGTTCCAGTTTAATGAGGGTGCCCCGACTCGGTGTATAGTTGTATATTCGGGGATTCACTACGATGTCCTCGCGCTCTGCCCGTCAGATCCACCTTATACACATGCCAACCTGTTTGGACCGAGTGACTCAAAGATCTTTGATGCTGCCGATCCAGTGGTCTTAGAGAAGGCCAAGGAGATGGGCCGTGCCTTGCAAAGTAGGCACTATTATACCGACACTTCTGGGTTCTTGGTTCGCTGCAATACCTGCGGAGGCACCTTCACCGGAGAGAAAGGGGCCACCAAGCATGCAGCGGAAACGGGCCATTACGATTTTGGAGAAGCGGCTTAGGGAACATAATTTATAGATCAGTATTGATCAGCAACATCAGGAGCGGGTTCTTGACATGGAATTTCAGCTGTCCCGGTATGACGTGAATGAGACCGTGTACATGAAGCATTCGGTATTTGCCCTGTTACAAATGGACTATATGATTCATGCAAAATTAAGGTACCTGGTAGCATCAGAACTGCATCATGTATCGTACAAATCTTGGATCTCATAGCATCGCGACTTCATCGGCTTCGTCTTCGCCCGCCTCGTCGTCCTCGTCCGAATCAACACTTCCTTCCTCCGGGTGGCCGCCCCATTCCACATCGTGGTGGATGGGATCAGTGAAAAACTCATGATTCAAAGCCTCCTCGGCACTAAGCCGCTTCGACGGGTCAAGTTCCATCAGTCCCGCCAGCAGACGGGTCGCTTGTGACTCGCTTTCAGTTAGGTCTTCAACACAACTGGACCATTTAACCAGCTTCTCCCAGCTATATCCCTTTTCTCCGATAGTGGGGATGTTCGTTTCGAATATCTGCCCGTGCATGGCTGCGGCGGTTTTCATCCGTCGCGTACCAAAGATGCTTGACATCTCGATCATGGCGTCAATGTCGTCGGCCGAGTTGAAGAAAGGGAAGCGGCGTCCGAGCAAGGTGAGAAGGATGACCCCGACTGACCACATGTCAATCTTGGTGGTCTGTGATGTGCATTTGAACAGAACTTCTGGTGCGCGGAATCCTCGAGTTCCGGCTCGATTTGCGCGCCTCGATGGCCGGGAGTCGGCTTTGGGATAACCGCTGGAGAGGCCATTGGCTGGCGGATTTTTGGAAAAGTAGCTAGAAAGTATCCGACTGCGACGGACATAGATCTGGTGCGAGCAGAGACATGGGCTGGTGTACTCAGAACCCTGGCGCTGTTGATACGGCAAGATGAATTAGTTCAGACTTCAATTTCAAAGGAACGAAGCTTCGAATCTTACCTCTGCGAGACCAAAATCAACAAGGACACCTTCTTTCAGGTCGGGATTATAGAGGAAGTTACTGCGAAAGACATGTCAGTGTATAGTCCAAGCTTTAACCCAGCGGTGTCACATACGTTGGCTTGATGTCTCGGTGCAGGATATCATGTTCATGGACTGATTGCAACGCTGTCATAAGTGACCGGAGATAGTGGCGCATGTCAGCCACCATGAACGTGCGATACTGGATGCGAAAGTCGGTATGTGGGAAGTAGGGTAACACCGCTACGACCTGATCCTGATAGCGGAAGGCGGTGATCAGAGGGCATACGGATCGACATCCTCGAAGGTCATGGAGAAGCTCCAGCTCGTTCTGAATGCGAATCGGGCTGCTTGTGACATAGATCTTCTTCAGCGCCACAAACCGCGCCTTCTTACGACCCACAGAATCTGTGCCCACCCTGCGCCGCTTGGATGGAGGGTTATCCCACTCTTCTTGCTCTTGTTGTTGCGCCTGCCCGAAGATATCCCATTCGTTGTGGTAGTGGTCGTAGAGCAGATCCTCTGCTTTGTAAACGGTAGAGAATGTTCCTTGATTGCAGTCGATTGTCAGTTATTGCATTCGCGCATGTTTTCTTTCGGACTACAAGAGAAAAATCATACCTTCTCCGATCCGGTTGACTAGTCGGAACCGATCTGAGATACCCGGAAAGGTACCTTCTAGCTTGCTCATGTCTTCTCGCACCGACTCGTCCACCTCTTCCTCCTCGTATTCGCTCTCTCCTTGAGGTGCCTCGCTATTAGAAGCCTCCCTGCCATCCTCCTCGGACGCGTATCGTTCCTTTCCGGGTTGTAGGCCTCGAAAAGAACTGCTGTGCTGGAGCTCAAAGACTCCCGCGGGTGCCCCGCGTAAGGCGGACATGATGGCTGCAGGCTCTTGCCAAAGGAGAGTGGAAAGAGAGGATTTTCGAAGGAGTTGGTCTTAGGTTGGAATGGAGTCAGAATGTAAGAATTGCAGGGTGTCGACCGGGGGGAAGTGAGGGCACCAGGCGCACATAATGCAACCAAGCTCCGCTGTTTTTCTCCGAGGGCAACACGGCAATACGTGATGCTGACAATACACACCCGCCGTGTCTGCGGGCGGAGAGCGCCTGGAGGCGTAATTTACGCGCGGTTACCTAAGAAGCACCCCAAAAAGGCAAAAGCCAAACACCCGCTTATCAACACTCCCGCACTCCTCCCCTCCTCATCCCATCCACACCACCGCCGCCATGGAGGACAGAATACAGTTCGATATCAACGAGTCGCTCAAGTATTACTTGAGTGACCCGGCCTCTATTCCGACCCCCGATGCAGATCCAGAGCTGCTGGACTGCGAGTCCGATCCGAATCAGCTGTCGACGGCGCTGATTGACAATGTCTTGAACCCAATCGTGGACGCAGTCGCGGAGAACCCAGAAGGATTGACGAGATCATCTTTCTTCGAATCACTGCAATTCCTGTTAAAGTGCGCCCCAGTCCCTTCCCAAGTCCCCCGCGGAGGCTTCAACCCGCATGAAACCGACTCTGAACTTTTGAACCCTTGCAGATACACGAGTTTCCTCCCCACGAGATCCCTGAGCAAAGTCCTCGACCTGATCGTCTCCGGATTGTCTGTTGAAGCAGATATTATTCATGGCGACCTCGAATCCGACGAACAAGAGGCGATTCAACACCACAAGCAGCTCCTGGAGATGTACGGCTTTCTCCTTCAGTGGGCTCTGTCTGCCGTTGAGGTAAAGGCGGCAGAAAAGCCTGCAGAGTCTGCACCCGCGCGACGAGGCGGACCCAAGTCTAAGTCAAAATCTGCCAAGGATGGACAGTGGGACTGGACTCCCCAAATTCAGATCTCCATGGAGACTATGTGCAAGGTGATGAAACTTAAGCTCGGCCGTATCTTTCTGACTACTTCGGACCGCGACACCTTCATTACTCTGTTTACGCGCACAATCTATTTGGTCCTCGAAAGCGAACAGCGAGTGAAGAGCATGGCTATCCGCATGCATGCCTTCAAGGTTCTTTGTATTGCGGTTAAGCACCACGGCCATGCATTCGGTATGTGTCGCAGAGTTCATCGTTGGATGTATGGCCCGTATGCTGACTGATGCGACAGGCGCGCAAACCTCGATTGTGCAAAGCTTGACCTACTTCGAACATCTGTCTGAACCTATGGCTGAATTCCTTCACATTCTCGCGGAGCAATATGATTACCCCCAGCTTTCGGATGAGATTCTAAAGTAATTTCCCACGCCTGATTTTGCGTACGCGAACCCCTCGCTAATATCTCCTAGGGAGCTTGGAAACAAAGAGTTTAATTCGAACGATACACGAGGGCCAAAATCTGTTTCTGCATTCATTATCAAGTTGTCTGAGCTTGCCCCAAGATTGATCATTAAGCAAATGACTCTTCTGGCCAAACAGCTTGACAGCGAGGTACGAACCACCTTTGTTCTCCTACCTAGACGTGACTTTGGATTGACAGTGCCTCAAGGCCTATACTCTTCGATGCGCCGTCATTGAAGTCTGCGGTAACCTTATCTCCGACTTGAGTCGACAAGAAGAGCCCAGCGAAAACTCCAAGACTCAGATCAATGCGTTCTTCGATGTATTGGAAGAGCGTTTCCTCGACATTAACCCTTACTGCCGTTGCCGAGCGATTCAGGTTCTGATGAGGATCTGCGACTTGGAGCAGAAGTTTCCCAAGAGACGACAGGCTGCTGCCCAGCTGGCTGCGAGAAGTTTGGAAGACAAAAGCAGCAACGTTCGGCGGAACGCAATCAAACTCCTGTCCAAGTTGGTAGCTACTCACCCATTCAGTGTAATGCACGGTGGCCAACTCTCATACAAAGAGTGGACCGACAGACTAGACGGTGTTGACCAAGAGCTGAACGCACTGCGACCCGCGGAGACTCCTGGTTTCGACGGAGACGCCACGACAGTTGATCCTGAACTGCTAGATGATGCAACCCAGATGCCGGACGACTCACCTTCGAAAGCACCCCGAATGACGGAGGAGGAGAAGGACGCGGCGATGCAAAAAGCAGCTGAGCAGGCCGCCACATCCGAGCTGTTAACTCGCCTGCAGCTTACAAGGAAATATTACAATGAGGCCATTCGGTTCATTGAAGTTCTCCACTCGGCTTCCACCATTGTCTCTCAATTGCTTTCATCTCGAAACAAGAGCGAGGTCATTGAGGCCATGGACTTCTTCGTCATGCTTGATGCCTACAAGGTTGAGACAGCCCGTAGTGGCATTCGACGTATGCTCCGTCTGATCTGGACCAAGGGCAATAGCGATGAGGGCAAAGGTGTCCAGACTCACCTGATTGATTGCTACAAGGGCCTCTTCTTCGATGCACCTGACTCCTTCAGCCCCAATGATGCGGCGAACTATATTGCTCGAAACATGATCAGTTTGACTTTTGGATCAACTCCGGCGGAGCTCACATGTCTTGAGCAGCTGCTCAGCACGATGATGAAGGCTGGTCATATCTCAGAGGCAGTAATCGCGAAGTTGTGGCAGGTCTACAGCATTCAGAAGAAGGAGATCTCGAAGACTCAGCGCCGTGGCTCTATCATCGTTCTCGGAATGCTAGCGCTGGCGGACCCCGAGGTGGTTGTAAAGGAGATTGAGGCGATGCTGCGCATTGGTCTGGGTGGTTTGGGGAGATCCGATCTTGTGCTCGCAAAATACACTTGTATTGCTCTCCGGCGCATGGTCCCTGGCCGTCAGGCCAAGTCGAAGGATGTCGTCACTGTACCCAAGCTCGCCAATGATCACTCGGCCCTAATCAAACTTGCTGCCATCCTCGAGATCGTTTCCGAAAGCAAGGAATGGTACGGTGTGGCCGAGCAGGCTATCAGTGCTATCTACGCTCTGTCCAAGCACCCTGATGTTCTCTGTTCGGACATTCTCCGACGCAAGACTCGATTTGTCTTCCAGCCGCACCTTCAACGGCCGTCGTCTTCACACACCACCGCCAGCGGCGAAGAACAACGGCCAGGTACTGCCGATACCCAGGAACAGAATGCAAAACGGAAGCCGTCATCCGCTGCTCTCTCGCAACTCCTGTATGTCGTTGGTCACATTGCTATTAAGCAGATCGTGCATCTTGAGCTGTGTGAATTGGACTTCAAGCGCCGCAAAGCTGAGCAGGAGAAGACCAAGACAGCAGAGACTGCTGCTCAAAAGAATGGCGAAAATGCGGAAGCCGATGAGCTGGATCTTATTGGAGGAACCACGGAAGATGATTTCCAAGACGCGATGGCCCACATCCGAGAGCGTGAGCTTCTGTACGGAGAAAACTCGCTGCTCGCGAAGTTCGGTCCGTTGGTGGCGGAGATCTGTGCAAACAACAATGCCTATGCGGATCGTGACCTGCAGGCAGCAGCAACTCTGTGCATGGCGAAGCTTATGTGTGTTTCTGCCGAGTATTGTGAGAAAAACCTCCCGCTCCTAATCACAATCATGGAGCGCTCTGAAGACCCGATTGTGCGCAGCAATGCTGTCATCGCGCTTGGCGATATGGCCGTCTGCTTCAACCACCTCATCGACGAAAACACTGATTTCCTGTACCGCCGTCTCAATGACGACGAGGCCTCCGTTAAGCGTACTTGTCTCATGACCCTGACTTTCCTGATTCTTGCCGGCCAGGTCAAGGTCAAGGGCCAGCTTGGCGAGATGGCCAAGTGCCTGGAGGACGATGACAAGAAGATTGCCGATCTGGCCCGTATGTTCTTCACGGAGTTGGCCACCAAGGATAATGCCGTGTACAACCACTTCGTCGACATGTTCAGTCTGCTGAGTGCCGAAAGGAACTTGGAGGAGGCTTCTCTGCGGCGCATTGTCAAGTTTCTCATTGGTTTCGTCGAGAAAGTAAGCCTTTATTCATTCTGTTTCATCCATCATCTCCAAAATTGTCCTTTTGCTCACACCGGTTCTACAGGAAAAACACGCCCGCCAGCTCTCAGACAAGCTGGCTGCTCGTCTCCCGCGCTGCGAGACCGAGCGCCAGTGGAACGATGTCGCCTACGCGCTATCATTGCTGCCGCATAAGAACGAGGAGATCGCCAAGACCGTCACCGCTGGGTTTAACAAGGTGGTTAGTGCGCCGGCGAGCGCGCCTGCCAGCACACCCGCCAGCACGGCGCCTGTTATTGCATCGGCTTAGTGGCTTTGCTTTCCTGGAGGGGATTGATCATGTCTTAATGTGTCTAATGACTATAATCTTTCTATGCTTGCCTTGGTTGTTTTGGCTGGAGGAGTTGGCGGCTGGGAGCATGTGTTTCGTGGAGTTCTGAATTGTACATGCATCTCCATCTGCTTTTGCGACATTCTCTTGCTGTAATAACTGTAGTGTAGTTTCATTCGGGCTTGTGGTCCCTGGAGTATTATTGTCTTGACCGTGGCTTTCTAAGGCGGAGGCATATACATCATCGGCCAGTGTTACTATGTGTAATTTCCTTACCCGCGTCACTGTAAGGTCTAGAGATGCTGGCTGGCAAAGCCAGATTTATAAACCCGCTACCAGCCACAATTTGGAGCGTGTGCAGAAAGTCTATATCCATTCTGATCGCACCGGGAGCCGGATTATGTGGGCTCCCCCAACAAGGTGATCATTCGCCCGCAAGTAACTATCCACAAGAAAGCATCCCGGCGAAGGGGGAGGGAAACGTACATCCCTCATGCGAAATCTAAGTATGTGAAGACAAGGAACAATAAGCCAAAGACCGACTGAGACAGAGAGAGACAGAGACAAGCGACGGGGACAGAAACAAGAACGAGGTAAGAGGTAGAAAGGTGAGACAGACGCCGTGTTGCATGGTCGCATGCCAGATACGCCATGGATTTCACTCCAAAGAAGTCGACACAATTATAGTTCTATGCGCCCTGCACGGGGCCTTCCTCCAACGCGTAATTCCCAGTCCGAACGCCCTCCAGAGCCTTCTGGCCCTCCGCCGTTAGTTCGGGTTTGCCCAGCGGGGTCACGGCGCCGATGAAGAAGCGCGGCTTCCACTCCTCCTCCTTCTCCTTGCGCTCGGCCGCTTTCTGACGCTGCCGCTCCTCGATCTCCTGCTTGATCCGGGTCGCTTCCGTGAACTGCTTGTCGACGATGGCGTTGGTGACTTGGCCCCAGAACTTGAGTGACTCGTTCGGTAATTGTTGCTCGGCTGGAGGCAGGATCTTGTCCACGGGGTGCAGCGGCGTGATGTCGATGAGCAGACGGGGTTCCTTAGAGCCCGCGGGGGTGTAGTAGATCTTGCCATGCCAGGACCCGCTGATTCGGGCAAGAACGTCGCTCTCGGCTACATCTTTCAGCTTTGTGATGTTGTCGTTGTCGGGATCGTAGCGGAAGATCACGCCTTCTAGCTTGTGTTGCGACCGGCCGATCCAGCCCTCCTCCACGTACTGCAGGATCGCTTTGATGCGAGTCTTGGGGCAGGTCATGTAGCAGGCATCCGAGACGGTGATGGCCAGCGCACCCCGTAGCAGGCCTCCGAGGTGAGCGTGGGGGTGGGTCAATTGATATTCCTCGTTGTCTCGCTTTTCGATGTTGACAAAGATGCCCAGGTTGTGCTGGCCGGGGCTCACCCGAATGCTGGTGCCGGTAAACTTGGCGCTGATCTGGTCGAACCCGCGAGCGGACACCCCGCGCTCCGGGCATTCAATGTAGAAGGCCGAGACCGGGGGGTGATGCGAGGTCTGCTCGGTCAAATAGCAGACCTTGACTTTCTCATCGCCATCCTGGACGTTGGTGCCATTGCTGGTGGCAGTGACACCGGGGAGATTGGCTTCCTCGGGGACAAAGTCTTGCACCTCCCAGCTACACTGTAAGATCGCAAAGAATCAGATTAGCCAAGCCACCTGCAAGAGTACATAGAGCTCCTAGCTCCTAGCTCCTAGCCTCCAGTTGTACATACCCGGAAGAACTCCCCCAAGGTCGAGTTGTAAGGCTTGCATGGCTTTCCCTTGATGTATTTCTGTCGGAACGCTCAGCACATCTTCCCTCTTATGGCAGCCGCAAGTCAAAATATACCAGGTCCTTGGTAAACCAGAACCTCAACACCTCGAGCATCCGGCCCACTTCATCGTCCGACTTGCCAATGCTGAAGGTCTCGAGTCAGCACATGCGCGATTACCATGGGTGGGGCCCGTGGGCCATTTGTTCCTGACCTGGCAAAGGTTTCCGGTCGATCCAAGTAGTTCCAGTATTCTGGCACCCATCAGCTTCGGTTCGAGCGTACCTTAGGGTCATTCCCGTCGGACATACCTAGATTCGGTCGGGGCTCTAATAGTTGGGCCGGCAATGAGAACCGCACGGATGCGATATCTGTCACACCCACAAACCTAGTTCACGGGGAGGGCATCTGTCAGTACATCTTCGGGGCGGGGGGAGGGGAGGGTTTGGTTTCTGAGGGAACTCTGTCGAATAGGCGCAAATGGGACAGGCATACTTTCGCAGGATGGAGAGAAAGGTCCTGAGCTTGGACGAGTCGTCGGGGGCCTTCTCGGGCACGGCGGCGGACGACATGGTCTCAAGTGGCGGGGAAGGTGACCCAGCGGGAAGCTTGGTGCTCCAAGAAATGCCGTGCGGCGGACGTAATGTCGATGAAAGGCCCTAGGAAAGTGGAAGAAAAAAGAGATGCGCCTACGGGTCCGGTCGGGGGTCCGGGTCCAACGCAGTCCACCGCCACAAAAAAAACGAAAAAGACCAAAACGAAGCGGAGAAAGAGAGGAAGGAGATGTTGGAGGGCCAAGGGTTAGTTTGGGCTTGGTTGGAGAAGGTCGGGGACCAGGCGGTGACGTGTGAACTATTTTTTGCCCAGTGGGGAGGACCCGCGCTGGTCACCGCGACTTGGCGGGTACTTGGATCCTTCAGGGGAATGGTGGAGATGAAGTCGCCACAGACGTTTCTGGGGACGGGGGGAGGGAGAGAGTGCAGGGGCGGCGACTTTGGAACCGCGACAAGTATCCAGCAGGTACTGGCTACAGGCTACGACCGTCTGCTGGCGGGCCTGTCCTCCGTACGTCCTGATGGAGGATCGGTACTATCTGGAGTCTCCGTCGTCTCTGCATGTCGGCACGCGTCCAATGAGGAGGGTGGCCTGAACCATGGGGCGCCTCGGATGGTTGGGAACTGCCAGCCTAGCCCGGCGGTTGGCGATGTGGCTACAAGCTTAGTCCGACCGCGAACCTCTTGTAGTTCGGTCTGTCGCTGTTGCGCAAAGGCGGCCGTTTGGGGCTTCACATTCTCGGACTAAACTACGCTGCCCGGTATCCACCGGGCGGCCAATCGCTGGCCCACGAGGGTCTCGGCCACCTCGCTATTGAAGCAACTCCGCCAGCAACTGCTTGCGCGCCAGGAATCGTAGCCACGTCCGGATTGCGGGCCCGTAGTCGTACCGTCGCCCGGTCGCATGGTCCTCGTCCGCTCGCTGCGACTGCTGTTCCTCTCGGATGCGTGACCGAAGCTCGACCTGGGCTTGATTGAGCGTCTGTTGGTGTTGCTGATGCTGGCTCGGTGAGCAGCTCTGGTATTCCTGCTGGGTTGCCTCCGGGATCACAGCCGCATCGATCGCGGCGCGGGTCAACGCAAGGGACGGCTCCGGGCCGATCACCGTTCCTTCGAGCGTCGCAGCTGCCGTGGTAGCGCCATGGGGCAGTAGACGCGCGTGGACCGTCTCCAGACTCTTCACATTGACAGCGAGCTGGTGGAGGAGGTCAGGCAGGGGATCTCGCACCAATCCCAGGATCGAGAATTCAATTTGATCCTCCTCATAGGCAGCCATCCGATCCAGGAGATTAGGCCTTACGAGGTCCAACCAGTCGGCTTCGGAACAATCCCCTGGTCGTATTCAGCAACAATCATTTTCATATCAAGTCCCCTCCCTCATCAACCCTTACCGATCGATTGCGGTTGCCGTTCCAGCCCATCAAACTTCCACACTTGGCCCATGACCGGCATGAACGCGATGAAATGGAAGGATGAGTCCGACTCATTCTCCCCGGCCTGGCTCGTGGACGATGCTTTGCGGGTTTTGGCCTCAGAATGGAGCTGGAGGTCTGAATTGAGAATGTCCATCTTGCTGTGGCATCAACAAAGGATGTCGAGTCAGCTCAGAATGGAATGATACATGCGCAGACGAAAGACCAAGGGTAGTGGGCACATACCGCGCGAAGGAGTTATGCACCCGCTTGACGAACTCGAAGTTGGCAATAGCATCTCCTCGTAAAGCTGGCGTAAACGGCATCGTGAACTCTTTAAAGTGTCGTAGATTCTCCCCCAGGTCGATGTCGGGGATATTGTTCACGATATTCAGCAGGGCTACACTAGCACAGGCATTGCTAGCCGTCTACGCAGTAGCATCAGCCAAAGCGTTGCGTGAGAGATGGATTCCACTGAATCACTAAAACGAACCTGATTGGCAAACCAGATCCCATCTGGGCAGCTTGCTTCCTGCTTTTCGGCATCGTCTTCACGCCATCTGAAGAGGAAGATCAAGCCGTAGATAGGTTTACTACCCAAGCCTCAGTTAGTCCTCGAATTGGAGAGAGAAGAGAAGAGTGGGCAGGGAGAGACTGTGAGCTCATACTCCAGGAAGGCCATCATTTCTTCATCCAAAGATACTACTTCCTGGACCTTAACACCTTTCACCCCGAACTCCCGGAGCATCACATTAAATAGAGCCTGATGGGCGGTGTTAGCGGAGAGATCCACGCAAAGAACCCCATTCACCGTACCGGCTCAGACTCGATCTCACAGAATCCATTCCAGCTGTTCTTTTCTAGCTGACTTGCTGGCTTGCAGATTTCCGTGTCGCTGAGGTCACCAGAGATGTCCGTTAGACGCCTCCGTTTGATCCGAGGACCCATGATGGGCAGTCCACGCTAAAGCTGTTCTGCCGAGCGTATAGAAGCAGAGAGAGTGATGAGAGCCAAAAAAGATCGACTGGTTTTTGTCAATGAATACTAAAGCAGCTGGAGTGAGCTGAAGTACGCAAGTTATTTAGAGCAAACGCAAACCGAACATGGAGGAGGAGGAGAAAGGATAGAGAAAGAGGTGTGGGAATAGCGGTGGATAAGGATGTGAAAAGAAGTGCAAAAGGGGGTCGAAAGAGAGGTATAGAAGTAGGCATAAAGAACGATGTGCAGAAAGACGAGTAGAAAGAGGTGTAGACGAATGTATAGCAGCATGTTCGACGGACCGAGCTTCCCCCGACGCGCTTCCCGCGTCTCGGCTACCGTCCACTTTGGGTTTAGGTGCCAATCCTCAAACAATCCTCAAGCTTTCAACTTTCTCTGTTGACCTCCCCCATCTGCTTCTGGCCCGCGCCATCGCCCATTGACCCGCGCAGTCTATCCGTTCCCACAGCTCCTGCTCGAGCTCTGCGACATAGACTACGCGCCGCCCCGCCGCCCTCTCCCTTGGTGGGATCGAATACCCTCAACCGACGAACCTTGGCGACAACAGCATGCCATGAACGGCACTCCCCGCCTTCCGTCTGCCTTTCCCCAGACGCCCACAACAATTCCAAGGAGAAGAAAGCTGTTTGAGACTCCCTCCCGGTCTCAGCCTCGCGAGGTGCGCGAGGTAAAGTCTCCGGCTAGACCCCCCGCCAATGTGCCCAAGCCGCCCGGGAACAGAAACGCGCCGCTCGTTCCTGCCGAGCTGATCGATGCACCCTCGCAACGTCTCTACGTCGTTGCCTTCTACCTCGCACTCAACGCGTATCGCATATATGAATCCTGGAATGCATCTGATGAGTTAGACTCGACTTGGCTGTTTCTGAAATGGGTGTCGGTGGATGGCCTGTTCTTGTTCGGCCTACAAGCTCTGCGCATACCATGGCTGGAGTGGGCCTTCCCAACCACCCTGGCGCTGTTCTTGTTGCACGTGGTGGGCAATGTTTTCCTCATGTTCCGCATCCCGGTGCGTTCCTGTTCTTCTTCTTTGGGGACGAGTGTCCCGCTGACCGCAATAGATCCCGCTGGGCGCGTGGTTGGCAGGATTGGTCAAGGTAGCTTATGACCGCGAACTGTCAATCTCGGAACGGAAAGTGAAGCCGGGGGACATCATTCATAATGCGTCGTTGATTTTGGGAAAGCAAATTGTGCATATTTTGCCGGAAGGGTCAGTCATTAGCCCCTCCAAGTCGCGAACCCACCCCCGTCCCTCCTTACTGACTACTGTAGGTCTGCTGTCCTCAATCCGGAACGTGAGCCACTCTGTCTCGATGCGCAAAAGAATACCGTGCACCTCCCAATCCGAATAAATCAGACCGACCCCATTCTCATTGAAGTGTTGCGTCTCGACCTCAATACCGGCGAGAATGAAACTTTGACTATCCCAGCGAAGCAGTTGAAACAGCTCAAGCGCCAAGCGGAGAAGAGGCATGCCACCTTGGATTCTGTGCCGCACCGGGATCTCTTCTTCCCCGTCCGCAAGACTGGTATCTATCGTCTTCAACGCGTGGTGGATGAGTCCCAGCTGGATGTTCGCACGCGCACGTCTGACGCGCTGGTGGTGACCTGCCCCCGTGCCGTGATTAAGAACTCTCAGACACATAAATGCAAGGGAGAGTTGTCCAACTTACTTCTTGAAGTTGAAGGCACTCCTCCCCTGAAGATTAAGTATAGTCGTCAGGTGAACGTCCTCGACCGTGGGTTCTCCTTCCAGAACATTCAGCCGGATAACTTGCGTACGCCGTTGTTGAATCAAAAACCTACTGGCGCTCTCTTTAGCATCAACCAGCCGGACATCTCTTGGGCTCAAAGCCAGAAGATCGAGGTCCCTCTGAACGAATCCTTGAATGTTGGCGGAGAATGGTTCTACGCTGTTGAAGAGGTCCATGATGCGATCGGCAATATTGCCAATTATTCTTCCATGTTTGAGGATGGGCTGCGGCCGACGACTAAGTCGCTCTCTCAGTGGCATCAACTCATGATCCACGAGCGTCCCCGTGTGTCCTTATCGGGCTGCAATGTCCAGCGTCCACTGGAGGTGGCTCGTGGGAACAGTGTCAACTTACCAGTCGAATTCCAGAATGTCGGGAATGGATATGCGGACGACGGTCCCTTTTCAGTGACATACGCCTTCAGTGCCACCGGTGCCGAGCAGAGCGAAGGAGATGCAAAGGATAGCAAGACTCTTGTCTTGAAGACTCTGGATCAGAAATCGCTCATCAAAGAACCGGGCTGGTACTCCTTGACCTCGGTGTCAAGCCAGTTCTGCCCCGGTGAAATCTTGGAACCATCGTCTTGCAACTTGCATAATCCTCCCGAGCCGGAGTTGTCCGTCAAGTCCGAGAAGGTCTTTGACCGATGCGCTAATAATGCTGTGGGTCTACTTGTCAATCTGGACTTGACGGGATCCCCACCCTTCCGAGTTCGGTACAGCGCGGAAGGCCCCAAGGGAGTGGAAACAAAGACCAAGACCATTGATGGCATGCGCTCCCAGCTGGATTTCACGCCGTCGGAAGCAGGGTTTTACCGTTACCGTTTCCTCGACATCGAAGATGCTGTGTACTCCCCTCGGTCTCTCAAGGATAAGGTCTCGGTCCTGGAGCAAGATGTCAAGCCACCAGCCTCGGCCCGTATCCTTGGACCCCGAGATGCTCGCAAGACCTGCTTCGGCGATGCTGTTTCTGTGGACCTGGCTTTCCTGGGCGAGGCTCCCTGGTCTCTTCAATACGAGCTTGTCCACAACGGCAAGCGCACAAAACATACGCTAGAATCCGAGTTTGACGTTGCAACCATTACCACGGATAAGCTCGTCAGCGGGGGCGAGTACACACTCGTGCTCACCAGCATCAAGGACAAGTCGAACTGCAAACGGACCTTGAAAGACAGCATCAGGATTGAGGCTCGGTCCACGCCGCCTCGCGCCTCATTCGGCCAGATTGACAAGAAGAGAACTATTTCTGCTTTGCGGGGATCCAGAATTGAGATTCCATTGAGGCTCAGCGGTGGACGGCCGTGGACTATCAAATACAAGAATGTGGATGGCAACTCCGAGCCCTTGACCAAGACATTCTGGGACGAGAATAGTCATTTGCCTGTGGATCGTGAGGGGCTCTATGAGCTCCTTGAAGTTTATGACGCCTCCTGCCCTGGCACTATTGACCAGTCTGCCAAGGAGTTTGAAGTGGCTTGGATTCCGCGACCCCAGATCACTGCCGTGGATGGTTCCCCTATTGGGTCCAAGGGCAACTATGCGAAGCCTGAGGTCTGCCAGGGTGACGATGATAGTCTTGAGCTCCGTCTCTCTGGCAGTCCTCCATTCAGTCTCCAGTACGAACAACGCCGGAAATCCGACCGTGGACAAGCATCTGCCCGCTCTCGAAACATCAAAACCGCCCTCAACACGGCCTCGATGGAGATGGACACCTCTGAGCCTGGTCAATACACCTACAAGTTCACTGATGTGGGCGATTACCTGTATGACTATGACCCGAAGAGCAGTGGCCTGGTTGTCACCCAGCAAGTGAACCCGCTTCCCTCTGCCAGGTTTGACGCTCCTGGGCACATCTACGGATTCTGCAAGGAGGATGTGAGTGGTGAGGAGACCATCCCGATCACCCTGGAAGGTGTTCCCCCGTTCTCTTTGGAGATTACCATCAAGCACCACTCCAACGCTAAGCCGGAGATTGTCACAATCCCCAAGATCAATTCCAAACGCCATAACCTACCCCTTCCTCGTCGTCATCTCGAGTTGGGCCAGCATTTGGTCAGCATTCACAAGGTCCGTGACGCCCGTGGCTGCCAGAGGTCCACAGAATTCGATGCGTCTTCGGTCCGGGTGGCCGTTTCGGATGTTCCTACCATCATCCCTCTCGAGTCCAAGGTGGACTACTGTGTTGGTGAACGCCTGTCGTTCTCCCTTTCTGGACACGCCCCCTTCGACGTGTTCTATACGTTTAACGGAGCTCAGCGGAAGGCTACCTCGCAAAACACAAACTTCCGTCGTATCGCCGAGCGCCCGGGTGAGTTTACTATCACCGCTGTGGGTGACGGCGCCAGTGGCAAGTGCAAAGCCCACAAAGATATAACAAAGGTCATCCACGAGATGCCCAGTGTGCGCATCAGCAAGGGCCAGGTATCCGTGGTCGACATCCACGAGGGTGGAGAAGCTGAGCTAAACTTCGAATTTTGGGGCACGCCGCCGTTTGAATTCACGTAAGTTGAGGAGTCTCCTTGCTTGCTCATGTATGTTATGGACAACTTTTGCTAATTTGTCAATTCTTCAACAGCTACATTCGGAGCTCCAATGCCCGTAAAGGCAAGAAGTCTGAGGTCCTTGACATCAAGCACGACATCTCCTACGAGCATAAGAAGAGCGTCAAGACCTCTGATGAAGGTACCTACGAGGTCGTCGCTATCAAGGATAAGTTCTGCTCCTTTTCCTCACAGGTGCCGACGGGCAAGTCGGACCGGAGCAGTTCATGAATGTAAAATGATGTGATTTCATGCCGCTTGATAAGCTGGTGCTGGATTTTTTTTCTATTTTTTTAATTATTGGTGTTGTTTATTCATTTGTAAGACAGTTTGCATTGCAGCGGCGCTACCAGGTAATGTACATTTCGCCAATAAAATAGTTTTGAATTTGAAATTTAAACCACAAGAGTTCTATGCTTCTATGCTTCTTGCTTGTTGTCCGAGATCTCGATCGTCTCGATGAGACCGTCGCCTAGCCGGGCAATCTCGTTCAGAATCGCCGGCTGATTGATCGTGACGCGGTCTTGCGTCGTGGTAGAATCGGATGACACTGGCGCCGTCGAATACGCTGTCTTCAGGTTCCAGTTGCGAGGCTTCAGGGTCTGCGGGTTCCACAGGCCTGCGACCAGGCCAGCCCGCTCGTCTCCATGGAAGAGCAGGATGCTCTGGTTGTAGCATGCTTGGACGTCGTGGATGAACGACTTCACGATTGACATCTTGCCCGCGCGCCCGCTGACATTGGCCTCGGCCAGGTTCTTATATTTAGACACCGACGCGGCCCGGTCGCCCAGCATTTTCGAGCGCAGATGGATGACGAAATCGTAGGGGGCGAGCGAGGTCTGGAAGAGGTCGGCCACATCCAGCTCGTCGTGTTGCTTGCGGAGCAAGTTCATCGCTGCCTTCGCCAACGCTGATATCCGGCCGGCCACTACCTTTGAGGGCATGTCGTACTGCGTCCAAGTCACGCCCTCGGTGTCGAGGTCCGAGGCCACGAACAGCGCAATGGTGTTCATCGCCGGGTCAATGTTGCGCCAGGCGGTAAACCGGGTCTTGATAGTTTCAGTTACTTCCGGATCAAGATCTCCGCTTAAATCGACAATGAAAGGCTCTTGCTGCCAGTCCCAGCGGGACAGGAAGTACAGTGTGCGCAGAAATCCGGTCATGATGCTCGACGGGCACTCCCAGGGGTAGGGCTGTGTGAAGGCTCGGGTTGTTAGGAGCTCAATCAACTCGTCGCAGATTTGAGCGGAGAATAAGTGCGAGGCAAACCAGTGCTTGACCAGTCGGATGGTGGGCGACAGCAGTGGGAGGCGAGTGCAGAGGCTGCGCAGCGCCTGGGTCAAGCGAGGAGTCTGGACGAAAACCTTCTTGTAGGAAAAGAGAGCGTAGGCGACCTCCTCCCGCTCCCGGGGGCTGATCGACTTGTTCTTGAGCTGGCGCTCAAGCAAAGTCTGTTCACGATCATGGTGAATCCTCAGGCGGAAGAGGAATCCAGAGGTGTGAGAAATATCTAGGTAGACGCTGTTCAGCACCTTGCTAGACTCGTTCTCCAGACCTACGCGGCACGCAGACGCCGCTCCCGCTGATTGGAGCGAGTCTCCGATCTTGAGGAGGAAAGCCGCCTTCGTCATCTGGATAGCAGCAAAATCGTCCGGCCAACGTGAGGAGCTTTCAAATTGAAGGACAATATCAGCAGGTTCGTTGGCTCCGTCAGCACCCTGCACTCGCAGAGCTGCGTACCGAAGGAGCGCGCTAGCGGGAGCGACATGCCGGATGGACAAGGGAACCTCCTCCATGTTTCGAAGTGACTGTTCCAGCTCGCTGAACGCTTCGTTGATCGACTGGAAAGGTGAGTTGGAGTACGAGATAACGCCGTCACCTTCGTCATACAGCATATCATCGTACTCATCGCCGTGCAAAAAGAAGTCATCTTCCGCAATTTTGAAGTGTCGTTGCAGAATGTACGCCAGGATTTGGTGCACAATGGAATCCTCATCTGGCTGGTCAGACCACACCAGACTTTCCAAGATGCTGCCATCTTTGAAACGACGAAGCTCCGCCTTCTCTCCCCAGAAATCGCGGAAGGACGCAGCTTCCTCCTTCTCTTCTGCAGCTGGCCCGTGATCAACAGCTCTTCCGACGTTATCAGCATTGAGCATGAGTCCCACAGACAAGCCGTGGCTCGCTTTCTTATTCAGAGCCTTCGATTTGACGGGCCAAGAACCAACAGAGTGGCTGGCTAAAGAAATGAGCTTGACACGATCTCCAAGAGCTCTCGACAAAACTTTATACAATGTGTTCTGGTCGTGGAGAGATCGGAGAGTGTCACCGTTGAAGGACTTGGGGAACGTGAGGAGACGATCAAACCTCAAGGCCGGCTCGTCAACCTTCACGATGAAGACTCTATCAAAGTTGTCTTCACGAGACTCATTAAGCATCTTGAGAGTGATCGCAGCCTCGTGGCGGAGAATCGAGTACGACCACGCGGTCATCTTGTACAGAAGATTCAATCCTCTGTGGCCGTCATATAAAACAGGTCCCCCATTAGGGACAGGGATGTCCGAAGCAAAGAGAAGCAAAGGAGTGGACAAATCCCGACCAGCAAGGAATTGCATCGTCGCCTTGAAAATCTGGTAGCTGCTATAAGACCGCAGCAGAATCGGTTGCCCAGAAGGCCCACCACCTTCGAAAAGCAGGGAGATGAGCACCGACCACTCAAAGCCTCCGAAGCCTCCATTTTGGAACGAGGTGTGGAAACCCCTTTGCTGCAGCCAGATGCGTCCCAAAATGCACGCATCACGAAAGGACTCGCATTTCTGAGAGGCGGAGTGGAGATACTTATGGTAGAGAGATACAGTGGCCTCGGATCGGAGACTGGCATTGTAGTATGGGGTTGGTTCGCCGGCTTCTGTGTTATCAGCTGTGGAACCTTGGCGAATGTTGTTCTTCATCGGGAGGGTTCGGGTGATAGGGAACAAGGCTGGTTCAATGGCAGTCATGATCCGAATCTGGGGTGCCGAAGGCGTCTTGTCGTCTTTTGAGGGGCGAGACTCCAACAGGATCAGCGGGCGGAGACTGTCTCCATCCTGAAAGCCAAACCTGACCTCCAGTCCCAAATCGTGGGCAGTTTCCTGAATCCCGGATGCCAGGCAAGCGACGTAGTATGCTCGCTTGTGGAAATACCGGTAGTTGACGTAGTCTTTTTCTTGGAACATCGAGCTAGGCATTGTCACCGCTAGATCAACCGGACGAGACTCAGCAGTCTTGGCTCCTGTCCTCAAACCAAAGCTTCCCACCACATTGATGTTGGTTGGTTTCGCATACGCCATGGTGTACTTCGCATCCTTGGCTGGGCGCGGTTCGGGCCACGGGACCACAATGCCAGAGGCAGTGCGCAGCTCCTTTTCGGCATCCACAACTGACTTTGGTGATATTTCGGGAAGGCTTTCAATCGCATTCTTCACCATGTGTAGGGTGTCTTGGACCTTCGAAATCCGCTTGTCGTAGTTCATTCTCAACCCGCTGAGCAGCTCATCCACCTGCAGCTTGAAAAAACCAGACTTGTAGAAACCGCTGGCCATTGCGAGTTCCGCGGTACGCTCATCCTTTGCCCGTTGAACTGGATGAGGCTTCGAAGGGGGCCCATCTTTGCGTGCGGCGGCATGAACCGGTTTCTCGGTAACTTCCTTCGAGTTTGTTGGGGTTGCGCCGGTGGAAGTTTTCGACTGGGCCGGGGACGTGCCATTCGTGGGCGAAGGACTCAATTTCCTCCGTTTGACTGTGTGTGCCGACATCCTTGCGTGAGCGAGGTGGTGACCAAGCAAAGTCGGGACGGGATGTACTGGTGCAATGTGCAGCTTGGAAATGCCAAAGCTGAGCTTTCGATAATCTCGAAATTTTTTTGGGGGGCGATAACGGATGGGCAGAACGCGACGGGCGGTACGCCGGCAGGGCGCTCCCGCCCGCACCAACTGGCGAGCCCACCGCCGCGGCGCACTGCTGAGTCATGGCGCCGAAGTCGCAATCTACACGGATGAGTCGAAAAGTTGACCCAGTCCCCTCTTTCTCTACACTTGGCTATATTGCTTGATTCTCCTTAATTTGATTATCCTTTCTATATCCTCGCCAAGCACGTCATGCTTCAAGCAATCGGAGGGCCTGTGCCCCCGAATACTGATCATGTACCTCTTCTCCCCTCCCCTCTCCCCGGCCCCGCAATGTACTCCATGATTTTCTCCCGGACACCCTTGAATGAGATAGCACCGACCTCAACGCACCATGTTTAGCTTGAGACAATTTACTGACAAGCGATAAAGGCTGTTAGTGTATCGCTTCCGACATGGAGGGCTACTGTCGGCTACGAGGAGGGAGCCGACTGGGTCGTGAGCAAGATGCAATGCGGCTATCCTCGATTCTTTGTGCACCCTCGCATTCAGCAGCTCGCCCAAGAAATCGTTCGTCGCGTCGGAAACCCCGAGTCAGAAACCGCTACTCTCTTCGCATCCCTCAAGACCGCGCGCATCTGCCATACGTTCATTCTGTCCAAGGTCTCTCCGGAAGAGGCGCAAAACGTTCGGGTTGTGAGCTTCGTTCCCTCCCAGCAGACCGAAGAAGAATCGACCACAATTACGTCCTCTTTGGTGGCTGTGGTCTATCAGAAAGAATTTGCACCCATTGCCAAGCAGGTGTGGCAGCATACTGGCAATGGCATTTCAAGTCGTCGGGGCGAGTTCTGCCTTCGTGCCTTGGAGGATGGGTTCCTCGTGGAGGAGCAGAAGTCTACAACTTCCGAGACTCTTTCGCAGCGGCCCTGTAAGGGTCCTAGACGCTATCAGGGCAAGGGATCTTCGAGTGGAATCTCGCGTGGCTCCTCCGCCTCTACTCCCACACCCACGGACACCCCCCGGCGACCAATCGCGTTGAAGACGGCCGGGATAACGCTCAATTCATTGAGGAGCGCTTCGGTCGTAACCTCAGCACTAAACTGGCCGATCAGGCCAAACTTGCTGTCCGGAAGCGTATTGCGGGTGTCTTGACTGCCGACGTTGAGCTGCCCGAAGCTCTTGAAACCTCGTCATCCGAAGGTCGAGTCTCCGGTATTTCGGAGAACGATGTCCTTCTGTATCCCTCTGGCATGAGCGCCATCTTCAACTCGCATCAAACATTGATGAGTGCACGTGGTCCCTTGAAAAGCATTTGTTTCGGATTCCCGTATACCGACACGTTGAAGACCCTGCAGAAGTGGGGGCCAGGCTGCTTGTTCTATGGCCATGGCTCATCGGAAGACCTGGATGATCTTGAAGCGCGACTGAAGAATGGTGAAAGATTCCTTGGGCTCTTTACTGAAGCCCCTGGTAACCCTCTGCTTAGAACTCCCGACCTGGTGCGGATCAAAGCTTTGGCCGACCAGTATGATTTCGCCGTGGTCGTCGATGAGACCATTAGCAATTTCCTCAACATCAATGTGCTTCGATATGCAGATATCGTCGTCAGCAGTTTGACAAAGATTTTCAGCGGGGATAGCAATGTCATGGGTGGCAGCGCGGTTCTAAATCCGCAAGGCCGCTACTATAAGCTGTTGCAGGACACCTTTGGTCGCGAATTTGAAGACATCTACTGGGCGGAGGACGCCGTCTTCTTGGAGCGAAACAGTCGAGATTTTGTCGCCAGAATTGAACAGATTAACTTGACGACCGAAGATATCACTGCCATGCTGAAGGCTTCTCCTTTAGGTAAATAACCCTCTCCGGCCTCTTGATTTAGTTCCACTAACAAAAGCTACAGTCAAAGATGTCTACTATCCCAAATACAGTCCAACGAGGCCCCTCTACGATAGCCTCCGTACCCCTAACGGCGGCTACGGTGGCCTATTCTCTGTCACCTTCCACTCGACTGAGGAATCCATTGCGTTTTTTGATACCCTTGAGGTTTTCAAGGGCCCTAGTCTTGGCACAAACTTCACCCTCAGGTGAGTGACGACCTCAGAGCTGCACAGGCTTTCGAATCTCGCTAATATGTTGTCTCATGCAGTTCTCCATATGTTGTTCTTGCCCATTACCTTGAACTTGACTGGGTATGCTTCCCTCTGCATTCCCTTGAGATAGCACCATTTCACCATTACAACGCGAGACTTGGCTAACATGGTCGCGTTTCTATAGGCGAGATCTTTTAACGTTGACCCTGACCTGGTCAGGATCAGTGTCGGACTGGAGGAAGTTTCCGATCTGCGTTCTAGAGTCCAAAGAGCTCTGGATGCAGTGGAGAAGGCGAAAAAGTAGACGGGATATTGTTCTAGGTTCTCCACACCTTTGAACAAACTCAACGTGCTCAGCCTTCAGAGGTTTCTTTAATAGCCCCGGTGCCGTGTCCAGGGGACTGCATTCACAGAGTTGGCCGGAAGCATGAGCATGGCCACTTACGTTTCCAAGGGTAAATACACAAAAGTTGTAAACTATCCAGTTGACCAAATATTGCAGTAGCCGTAACCAAGGATATCCAGATCCATAGATTAAGCTATGGGCAACAAGATCATCAAAACAGAAAAAGCACCATCAGCGCGCCGTCCAACTGCTTGGGCCCAATATAAGATAATTCCTTTGCGCGCCTGCATGCCGCAAAGGACAGGTTGCAAAGCATCGCAGCTACACAATAGAGACAGTCGTGGAACTATCGTCCCATGCCAAATCCAACGCCCCCGGCGAGAGAAAATAAACAAGTAGGTATTACTCCTTCAAGCTGGATATCAGAAAGGGCGGTCCAGGGTCTCGTCGTTTCCGATGGCAATAGCCGTCTGGCTTACGATACCACCCAGATCCCCACTACCTGTTCTTCTCAGAGCTTGCCGCATCGTTTCAACATTCAGTTCACCACCAAAGCTGGATGATATGGGGCTCTGAGCCAGTGGGAGTGGACTTCCTGCCCCACGGGTCCCGTGATGGGGCGACATTTCGAGCCCTTTGTACGAGGTCGCGATGCTGGTAGGGGGGATGTGCCAAGTCCATGCGAAGAAGCTGGAGAACGTAACGGGGACGGTGAACGATTATGGAACCTTGTTGAATGTCCTGAGGCGCCTCCAGCCTGGGAGAGCTCTCGACTATAGACAGAGTCGACCGTCTCTGCATGTTCTGCGTTGACAACATCGGCAAACGAGATAAAACTCAACCGTCGCACATCCGTCGGGTCCAGTGCTCCATGAGTGGATGAGACTTCGTCAGCCTCCATAGAGTGGATTCCTGTATGATCAACAATTCCCGAGGACGCCAACGACTGCTCTGCCGTTGAGGGACCAGTCACCCCTGCGGCGGCGGATTGATGTAAACTATGCGTGATAATTTCCACAGAATCCGGATCCAATTGCTCGTCGGTAATGGCGGCTGAGGATGCCTCTAAGACGGGTGGAATATAGTTCTCGGTACGGATGTGTGCCGGAATCGACGGAGAGGCTTGTTGCGGAAGAATATCCTCCTGAACACTTCGCTCAAATATTTGGGAAGCCGGGGAATGAAGACGGGGCGGCAATTGTGATGTCCCTCCGGGGGACGAGGGTTGTTTGCTCGTGTACTTCTGTCGCTCCGAGGCGTTTGGCGTTCGCAGCGCTTCAGATAAGCTACCAAGCGATACTGGCGACACCGGCCCACTGCTCTGGGCTCCAGATCCCATAGCGGAGCCCTCTGCAGGCTGGTCTCTGTCCACAGGCTGCACCGGGGACCAGGACAAACTGGTGGGCTTGGGAGCTCGTACAGAGGTCGCGGGCTTCCCGACCAGAAGCGCGTTCTTGTCTACCGGGTGTGCTGGATCGTCTTGCACCTGCGTCGAAAACGACTGAGAATTCTGCAGCTGGACATCCATAGACTCAGGCAACACACCCCGAGAGTCCGACATGACGAAATGGGGGGGCTTGGGGGGCGGGGGGAACTGCCAGTATTCACTGGCAAAGATAGCGGCGTTCAGAAGCCGTGGAGTTGAAACCGCGGCCCTGGAGTTCTAAAAGACGAGGGCCATGACCCAGAAGCGTCTGCAGACAATTCAAAGGCGTCTCGACAAGCCGGTGGGGAAGCGTCAAGAATAGGATGGTGAAGGGATCGCCATCTCCCTTTTTGGCAGGGGGAGGTGATGACATCCTGTGATCCAGCTGATCCATGATGGGATGTTAGAACCGGGTAAAGTACCCGGTACTCTCTTCATTAGCTGGGAGGGCGCGCTTGGCTCAGGTACCGAGTACTACTGTACTAAATACCCCAAATACACATTACCGAAACTCCGCTGGTATTACCAGCCATACCCGATCGGGTGGTCACGAGACTGGGGGAAAAAAGTTCGGGTTCGACACGTCCACCTTGGGTCGTCCCTATCACGGTTTCATTCGTCGACCTTCCTCAACCCACCCATTCTGGTAGGTTTTCACCCACGGAGACGCTCATTGACTTTGTGCTGACTCTCATCACCTCCAGGCCCTGCGTTGGCTTGCAATCTCGACCATGGCGACCTCAATGGCGGCTTCCAAACGGCCGTTTCTCACACTGCCATTCCTTCTTCCTTCGTGGTCAGATTCCATTACGCTGGGATCCCGGCGTTACCAATCTTCATACCGGCGAACAAAACAGCGCCTGCGTGTCAAGCCGGATGCTTCCTTCGGCTCCTCGAACCAGGGCCACGACCAGATCATCTACAATCCGCCCTCTAGTGCCCCCTCAGTTTATCACACTCCGAGCAAATTCCTGCCGAGCAACGATGTCCGGAGGTCGATGCGCACTGAAGATACGGCGACTGTAAATGCGACTTCTGAAATCAACGAGCTCCCCAATGTCTACCGCAGCGACCCTGAGAGAAAATACCACCTGACCCCCGCTGATGTCGAGGAAATCCGCAAACTACGACTGAGCGACCCAATGACCTGGAGCCGACATAAGTTGGCTAAGCGGTTCGAATGCTCGCCCCTTTTCATTGCGTTGGTCTGCGAGGCTAGCCCGGAGAAGAAGCAGATCCAAAGGCAGGTGCTGGAAGCCGTGCAATCACAATGGGGACCCAAGCGACGGATGGCCAGGGAGGACCGGAAGTTACGCCGGGAGGCTTGGGGCCGTGATGAATGATTTGAGAACGCCTTTCCTCGGGCTGTTTTGTTTCTTTGGCGCCCTTTATGACCGGGGCAATCCCCTTGGGATGGTATCCAACCCAAGCTCTGTGGATAGCTGCGATGTGCAGCCTCGTGTAAAACCGACATGTATTTTAAATTTCTAGCATTGTTCTCTGTATGCCCATATCCATTCATTCTCCATATTATCCTCGCAGAGTTCCCAGACTAGCGACGTCGAGACACCAGATCCTCCCGATCGAGCCTTTGTAGCAAAAGTGGGTCGGCCGCCTTTCAATCAATTACCTTGACAGATACACACTGGCCAGGCAGAAGCGCTGAGGATTTGTTATCAACAGAGGACTGAAGAAAGCAGTGCAGCAGTCAGCCTTCTAAGCCCGTCAACACAGTAATTGCCCGCGCACATCTTACACAGCTATCGTGCGGACAGCCTTAACTATGTGGTCTAAGCGCCATCGATAAGGGCCCAGTCGTCTGTCAAATTTCTGGGACCAAATAAAATCACCACAACGTGATAGGCGGCTACAGCCGGCGTTCCAGCGTTGCAGGGCTAATTACGTGATAAGATACTTTTCGGTGCGACGCCTCTGCTCTCTACAAATGCTGCCCCTCTTTCCCCTCCGTATCCTATCGCTCGCAAAACCCGGGCACTCTCTTCTCTCCAGGTTTTCGCTTTCTGTCGCTCGTCCATTCACCCCTCGCCGCTTCTTCTACGGACACGTCAGTGACACCAAAATGGCGCCGCAGCTGGAGCCCTTTTTCAAGCAGTACGTCGGCTCTGTTTTGCGGCCTCGTAGCATTGAAAAACTGACCTCCGCGTGTTTTCAGGGTCGACGAGTCGTCGGGATCCTTCATTGATCGTGCGTGCTTGGTCCTACCTAGGCTAACGGCGACGATCTCCGCCGAATTCAAGCTAGACAAAAGATCCAGTGGCTGATCAAAGATTATAGGTCTGCGCAAGGCGGTTGCGATCCCCTCGGTCTCGGCCCAGGATGAGAACCGAAAGGATGTGTTCCGCGTGAGTTGCTGAAGCTACCCCTCACGAGGCTATGTGGAGACTGACCGGTGTCCATCACGCTAAAGATGGCTCAATTCCTTGCGGATGAGCTCAAGGCGCTCGGTGCTGAGGTGGAGCAACGACCGCTGGGCAAGCAGCCAGGCAAGGAGCACCTCGATCTGCCTCCCGTCGTCGTTGCCCGCTACGGTAACGACAAGAACAAGAAGACCATCCTGGTCTACGGTCACTACGATGTGCAGCCTGCTCTGATGGAGGATGGCTGGGCTACCGAGCCTTTCGAGTTGACTATCGATGAGAAGGGCCGCATGTATGGCCGTGGATCCACAGATGACAAGGGCCCCGTTCTTGGCTGGCTGAATGTGATCGAGGCCCACCGCAAGGCTGGCATCGAGCTGCCCGTCAACCTGCTTTGCTGCTTCGAGGGAATGGAGGAGTATGGATCCGAGGGTCTGGATGACTTCATCCAGGCTGAGGCCAAGAAGTACTTCAAGGATACCGATGCGGTTTGCATTTCCGATAACTACTGGCTTGGTACTGAGAAGCCCTGCCTGACCTACGGTCTGCGTGGCTGCAACTACTACTCTGTGAGCATCTCCGGTCCTGCCCAGGATCTCCACAGTGGTGTTTTCGGTGGCTCTGCCCATGAGCCCATGACCGACCTGGTGCACGTTCTGTCGAAGCTGGTGGATTCTCAGGGCAACATCCTGATCCCTGGACTGATGGATTTGGTGGCTCCTTTGACTGAGGAGGAGAATACTCTGTATGGCAACATCAGCTACACCATGGACAACCTCCATGAGTCCCTGGGCAGCGAGACTGGCATCCACCCGACCAAGGAGCGCACTCTGATGGCCCGTTGGAGGTACCCGTCGTTGTCTGTCCACGGTATCGAGGGTGCTTATTCCGCCCCGGGCGCTAAGACAGTCATCCCCGCCAAGGTAATCGGCAAGTTCTCCATTCGCACTGTGCCCAACATGGAGAGCGCGGATGTCAACAAGCTGGTCTTTGACCACATCAAGGCCGAGTTCGCCAAGCTCAACAGCAAGAACAAGCTGGATGTGTGGCTGCAGCATGATGGCAAGTGGTGGGTTGCCAGCCCCAAGCACTGGAACTTTGCTGCCGCCAGCAAGGCCGTGCAGCAAGTGTTCGGTGTTGAGCCGGATATGACCCGTGAGGGTGGAAGGTATGTTAATTTTTTTTCACTTTTTTTCTACTACATGAACCCAGAGGCTCTCCCCCTCTTTTCCTTTTTCTGGAGCTACGAAGCTGACCGAGTTAATAGCATTCCCGTGACATTGACCTTCGAGCAAGCCACCGGCAAGAATGTTTTGCTGCTTCCCATGGGCAGCTCCACTGACGCCGCTCACTCTGTCAACGAGAAGCTGGACCGGAGAAATTATATTGAAGGAACCAAGTTGCTGGGCGCTTACCTGCACTATGTGGCAGAGCAGCCCACCACGGAGTAAATGTTTCTGTCCTTGACTCGCCTGGTGCTGTAGAAACAAACAGATCCTTAATGAGCAAGCAATTGAAGCGCTAGCTTTCGAATGATTTATGTCATTTGTCCTTTGTAAACACGAATTAAAATGCAATCTCTTTCCTTACAGAACCAGCATAGAGAAAAAAACTTAATGGTAGATCAATATCTTTATGTTCATTTACAGTCGATTGTCGCATGCCAACAAACTCAACCTCAGCGGGGAATTCTGCTTACTCATCCATCTCCCGCGTTGACGCGAAAGTGCCGCGCTGACGCGATCGGGATCGTCTTTGACCTCTCTGTTCAACTCGGCTGGTGAAGCCAGTGTGGTTTGGTTGCCATGTGTTAAACCCTTATCCCTTGCACATACAATCACCGTCTGTTTAATGCCGTCCTCCAAGCGCGTACAGGCGCCCTCGGACTTCGAGGACCAGAGCGACGGAGGCTCTGAGAGCGCTGCAGTAATCTCTTCGCCTCATTCGGTACGTCTTTCAGAAATAACTAAATTCTTTAGAGAAAACGCACTGAACAAATGCAGAGAAAACGAGCCCGTACTTCCGCTTCAACATCCTCCTCTGATGTGTCTGGCACAAACGATCGTGACACTGGGTCCCCCTCATCTCCCACCGATGACGCGCTTCTCGACGAGGATGAAGATGAAAACGAGCTAGAATTGCGCCAAACACAAATCATTCAGGAGAAATATGCCCATCTGGTCGATGAGGCCAACGTGCCTGCCGAACATGGTATCCTCGAACGTGTCGAATGCTACAACTTTATGTGCCATAATCACTTCTCCGTGGAGCTGGGGCCGTTGATCAATTTCATCGTCGGGAAGAACGGTAGCGGCAAAAGCGCGATCCTGACTGCAATCACACTTTGCCTGGGAGGAAAAGCGTCGGCAACGAACCGTGGACAAAGCTTGAAGAGCTTCATCAAAGAAGGCAAGGAAAACGCTTCCATCATCGTGCGGATCAAAAACCAAGGCGATGGCGCCTACCTACCAGACGACTATGGGAAATCCATCATCGTTGAGCGCCATTTCTCTAAGAGCGGATCCAGTGGTTTCAAAATCAAAGGAGACAATGGGCGCATCGTCTCGACCAAAAAAGCAGAGCTGGAATCCATCACCGACTACTTCTCTCTGCAAATCGACAACCCCATGAACGTTCTCTCGCAGGATATGGCTCGTCAGTTTCTCAGCACTTCAAGTGCAGCGGAGAAATACAAATTTTTCGTCAAGGGTGTCCAGCTAGAGCAACTAGACCAGGACTACCGCCTGATTGAGGAATCAGTCGATCAAATTGAAGAGAAACTTAGAACCAAAGCGCAGGACATCCGTATTCTGGAGAACCGCAAAGACTCAGCAAGGAAGAAGCTGGAAATTTCCGATCAACACGATTCTTTGAGAGAACGCATCCGAAATCTTCGGAGTCAAATGGCTTGGGCACAAGTAGAGGATCAAGAAAGAGTCGGTACTCCCATGTCATCCCTAGGTTTTGGCCTACGCTAACCGGATTCAGGCCAGAGATTCCTTCAGCAATGAACTAGCCAAGGCTGATGAGGCCATTGCGAGCGCCGAGGCCGCACTCAGCCAGTTCGATGATGCGCTCCGAGCTGTCCACACTGAGTCTGAAACTGCAGCAGAGCATGGCTACAGAGCAGACCTTGCGCTCGAGGAGGCACGAGGAGAGAAAGAGAAGATGAAAGAACTATTGGATGAAGAAATGAATAAGAGACACGAGCTTCAGGTATGCCGGCCTGCCCCATTCCCCTTTGGCAGCCACTCAAATTCAATCTTCTGGTTACCTTTACTAATCCTTCATAGGCCGAGCAACGTCAGATAAGGGAGTATCTCAGAGCCGCGGAAACAAGAATCTCTGAGACTCAGCAAAAGATTGAGAGCGAGAACCAGCGTCTCGCCGAGGTGAGCGATGGAGGCTACGCTCGAAAACAAGAGGAGTGTGAGCAGGCTACACATCGCGCTGCTGCTGCACGCAGTGAATACGAGGCACATGGTCAAGGCCTTAGTCCTTTGCAGGAGGCTATCAGAGCTGCCGAGCGGAAAGAGCAAGCAGCGAAGGAGCTAGTTAGGGATAAACAGACCGACATCGCCCAAGCGGAGAGCCGGTTACGAGAGCTCACGAAAGAGGATGGACAACGGAGGTCCGGCTTCCCCGATAAAATGCCAGCACTGCTCAGGGCGATCCAGCAGGAAAGGTCATTCGCTGCGCGACCGGTTGGCCCACTGGGCCACCACATCACCCTGCTCCAGCCAAAATGGGCCTTCATTCTCGAGAACGCACTTGGTACCAGCCTCACTAGCTTTGCAGTGAGAAGTTACGGCGACAAGAAAATCCTCAGTGACATTATGAGAAGAGTGGGCTGGTAAGTATCTGAGCTGTTTCCTTTTATGATAGCCACAAAACATATCTAACAGGATTTATAGCAACTGTCCAATTTTGGTTGGAGACCGCGATAATATTGATACTTCGAATCACGAACCTGACAGTCAATATGACACGGTCTTGAGAATCCTCCAGGTAGGACGTGTTTTCAACATTAATCTGGTACCATTTTCTAACTTCCCATCTCTTTAGATCGACAATGCCCTAGCTCGGGGCCATCTCATTATCAATCATGGCATAGAACAGATGCTGTTGATTGAGAATCTAGAAGAGGCATCCTCTCTGCTCTTCGACGGTCAAAGGGTCAGGAATGTGAAACGATGCTACTGTATCGATTCGAGAGATCGCCGGCGAGGAATGCATTTGTCGTATAACAGAGAGGGTGGCCCCAGCCAGGCCCCAGTGCCGATGTATACTGGCCATCCTCGCATGAAATCAGACGTCGCCTCCCAAATCAGGTATGATCCACACTAGTCTATACAAAAAGCCCCGGGTGCTAATTTTCCTCGTCCCCGTCTCCAGTGCTCAGCGAGAAGTCGTGCAAGATCTCCAGCGTCAGCTGAATGACCTAAAGCAAGAGTGCCAAACTGCCGCCTCTCATGTCAAATCACGCAAGCAAGCAATTGCTGAGCATCAACGAAAGGGCCAAGAATTGAAAATCGAGATGCAGCAATTGGAAGATCATGCCGAAGCGCTCAGAGATGCTCTTGAAAGAGAAAATGCCGAGGATGGACAAATTGATGCCTTGCAGGCTGCTCTGAAGGATGCTGAGGACGACTTGCAACTCAATCAGGGGTCTTTCCAGGATAGTGAGGCAGCAATGGCCGCTATTATGGAGAGTCTGAAGACCATGCGCCGCGAGATCTCTGCGAAAGATCGAGACTTGGAGACCTTGTTGCAAAACTCCCGTGTCGCCAAGGAGGAACAGAATCGTGTCGACAATGAACGCCGCAAGATCCTGAGCAACAAAAACTTAGCTGTTGCACACATTGACCAAGACAAGAGAAACAGGGAGAAGATGCACGAGAAGCGGGAACAAGTGGCAGCACGAGTGCTTGACTATACCGAGAAGGCCAGTTTAGTTTCGGCGCGAGTTCCCGTGGATGAAGGCGAGACTCCTGACAGTCTCGATCAAAAGCTGGAGAGATTGAATCGAGATTTGGGTCGATACAATGAACAGTACGTTTATGCGCGGCAAGTTGTTTTAGATGCTAACTTGTCATCATTTAGGCTGGGAGCTACAAGAGACGAAATTGCTGCCGAGGCTTCTCGAACGGAGGCCGCGTATCAACGGGCGATGAACCAGGTCAATGAGCAGACAACGCTTGTCCAGGTATGTTCCACTTTCATGCTTTCATTCTCCGGGTCCTTGGATTAGTTCTAACGTAATGTCCAGATATTCAAGGATACTCTGGATAATCGTAAAAAGAGGTGGGAGATCTTCAGATCACATATCTCGTCTCGCGCAAAGGCCCAGTTCACCTACTTGTTGAGTGAGCGCAGCTTCCGAGGTCGGCTCCTCGCCAACCACCAGGATAAGCTGTTAGACCTGCAGGTAAGTTCAATCTCCCCTGAAATCGGTGGCCCATCAACTCACGTACGGTCTCCTACTTAGGTTGAGCCCGATATCACGAAAGATGATAGCACCGGACGTGGCGCCAAAACACTCTCCGGTGGCGAGAAATCATTCTCACAAGTCTGCCTGCTGCTAGCCCTCTGGGAAGCCATGGGGTCTCCTATTCGCTGCCTCGATGAATTGTGCGTAGCGTACCCATCTGATCCCTACTCTTTCTCCTTACTGACCATCTCTTTAGCGATGTATTTATGGACCATATCAATCGAAAGATGGCCATCGACATGCTTGTAAGTCTTGTGGTTCTCGAATCTCGACAACATCTGATGACTAACTGACCTTCTAGATGATCGCCGCTCGACGGTCTATTGGACGCCAATTCATTCTCATTACACCTGGAACCAAGACCGATATCACCATCGCCCCCGACGTGCGGGTCAAGGAATTGGCAGAGCCGGAGCGTGGTCAAACAACCTTGGCGTTCCAAAGGTAACGATCGCAGTAAGAAAGGATGGAGGGTGTAATTTGACGGTGTCCATAAGGGAGGGGGCTTTTACACGTCTCCCTGGTTTATTCGTGATTTCTAGACAGCTCGATACCCCTTTTCCTTTCATGATGCTGGTGGATTTTCACACTCGCCGGTAGAAATGAGTGGAAACCCCTCTTAAGTCAACACTACAGAAAGTCTGGTCCGGTCTCCAGTGCGATGTAGATTAGTGTCATGTGATCCCCGCGGGACCAACCGTGATGACCGCCCGCCCACGCAAGTCTTTGACTTCCCGCGAATCCCTTTACTCTGCTGTACCTCTCGATTACCACCTGATCTCCCCAACTCAATCTTACTTACCTCCTCACCTTCTGCCCACCAGAATCTCCTTGGGTCTTGTCTTCCTCCAAAATCCATTGGGCATCCGCTTTGACCGCTCTTCCACTGGAACTATCTGAATCTGAACAACCGCGGGACTGACCTCAACGCCCACATCCTTTTTCACACCTCTGATTTGTGCACACGGGTGACTTCACACGACCTCCTCATCCTCATTCTCTTTGGGTCCAATCTCCTCGGATCAACTCTCATAATCCCACCCTCGTGCCTCTCCGTGAAGCGACGATATCACTCTCCCGTCAACTCACAGAGCTAACCTTGTCGAGCCCCGCATCTTCCTCCTAACTTCTTAACTATTGGCCCGAAATCTTAACATCTTTCGCGGACTCTCCTCCTCAACAACTGTTGCTTCGTTTCTTTGATCATCCACAACCACCATGGCTGACGCCCTCGCCTCACAACTCAGCAACACCACCCTAGGGTAAGTTCTCCGACACTTGTTGCATAGCATCGATCCACATCCTGACCACTTTTACGCCTTGCCAGGGAAGGAAACCCAGAAGCCAGACTCCAGGACACACTCAAGCTTCCTCCTAAAGATTCCCGGCCGCAAACTGAGGTTCGTTGGTCACTGCCTCTTTCGTAGAGGCCAGCAAAATAAAAGAAATTTTCTGATTGGATCCGCAGGATGTCACGGCTACTAAAGGCCTCGAGTTCGAAGATTTTTATATCAAGCGGGAACTAATGATGGGCATTTTTGAGGCCGGTTTCGAGAAGCCTTCTCCTATCCAGGAAGAGACGATACCCGTTGCGCTCACGGGCAGAGACATCCTAGCCCGCGCCAAGAACGGCACTGGCAAGACCGCTGCCTTCGTCATTCCTACCCTCGAGCGAATTAACCCGAAAAGCACCAAGACCCAGGCTCTGATCCTGGTCCCCACAAGAGAGCTGGCTCTTCAGACTTCGCAGGTTTGCAAGACCCTTGGGAAACATTTGGGCATCAACGTCATGGTCACCACCGGTGGAACCGGTCTCATGGACGACATCATCCGTTTGAATGATGCGGTCCACATCCTGGTCGGTACTCCTGGTCGAGTGCTGGACCTCGCCAGCAAGGGCGTAGCCGATTTGTCCGAATGCCCAACTTTCGTGATGGACGAGGCGGACAAACTCCTCTCCCCTGAGTTCACACCCGTCATTGAGCAGCTGATGTCTTTCCATCCGAAGGACCGTCAAGTCATGCTTTTCAGTGCTACCTTCCCTCTCATTGTCAAATCCTTCAAGGATAAGCACATGCGAAACCCATATGAGATTAACCTCATGGATGAGCTCACCTTGCGCGGTATCACGCAGTACTACGCATTCGTGGAGGAGAAGCAGAAGGTTCACTGTCTTAACACCCTGTTTTCCAAGCTTCAGATCAACCAGTCAATCATCTTCTGTAACTCGACTAACCGTGTCGAGCTGCTGGCCAAGAAGATCACGGAGCTGGGCTACTCCTGCTTTTATTCCCATGCACGGATGCTCCAGCAGCACCGTAATCGCGTGTTCCATGACTTCCGCAACGGTGTCTGCCGTAATTTGGTCTGCTCGGACTTGCTGACCCGTGGTATTGATATCCAAGCGGTCAACGTTGTGATCAACTTTGATTTCCCCAAGAATGCCGAGACCTATCTTCACCGCATTGGTCGTTCTGGACGCTTCGGTCACCTGGGTCTGGCCATCAATTTGATCAACTGGGAAGATCGGTTCAATCTGTACAAGATCGAACAGGAGCTGGGCACCGAGATCCAACCCATCCCTCAAAACATCGACAAGAAGCTCTACGTCTACGACTCGCCCGAGAACATCCCCCGTCCGATCTCCAACCCTGCTCAGCCGATGCTCTCGGCTGCCCAGCTTGCCAGCAATGGAGACCGTCAGCCTCGTCGCCAACACCACCACCAGAACGGCGGACAATACTACAACACCCCCAACAGGGGCCGTGGCGGCTCCTATCGGGGAGGTCGTGGTCAAGGTCCACGCCGTGGCGCGCACCATGATCCCAACAAGCCAGCTCTGGCCCCCAGTCAGATTGGTCCCAAGCCGCCTGCCCCTGTCTCCTAGAACATCATCTCGCTGACGCGTTCTTCGGCTGCCCTACTTCCTCCGCCGGATTATCCCATGCAACGGCTGCTTTGATGCTCTTTTACATGTGCTATCCAGTTCTTCTCGTTTGCTTTTCTTGACCCTTCCCTCCCCCTCTCTGTCTTCTCTTGACCTTCTGTTTTCATCCTGTTTTACGTCTTCTCTCAGGCGGACTTCGGCAACTTCACTCCCCTACGAAGGTGCAGTCTACCATTGGTTTTTGCGCGCTTTTCGTCACGATGATACGGTTCTGGTGCGATTTGTGTATCATAATTCCCCCGTTCTGTTCTTCATGCTTCCAACTGATGTCATCGCCCTGGGTCGCGTTGGGGTTTCTTTTGGTTTCAGCATGGTGCATTTTCCGGTGCCGCGAGTGCTCTGCGATCCTGTTTTCATCCCACGCAAGGTGTACATATGCGCGTCCACCGCGGCTGTGCTTCAACAGGTTGCAGGGCGGGTGGCGTTCTCCGGGATCTTCGGTTGATCTTGGCGTTCTGACGGAGTCGGCGGGAGCTCATGTTGGTGCGACTTTGGTATTGATTTCTTTTGCTCTTCGCTGCTCGCGAGACCCACGACCCTTCCTCCCCGATGCGGTGGCACCGCAGCAGCAGCGGTCCGGTTTCTGATCTCTACTGTCTTCTCTCTCCTCTTGGGGTCAGCCTTGAAGCTGGGGTCGGTTGTACCCGCATCTCCCCTTTTTCCTCTGCCAATCACATTGGCCTCGACGCACTATCTCGACATTTTATCCCCCCATATGGCATATCTCACCACCCGGCCCAATGCCCTCGATGTCGAAAACCCCCTCAAAAAAACACCACGAAACTGAAAAATGACAAAAAAAAATCGGAGGAGCGCTAGATGTTCGGGCCTAGAACAGCATCTTGTGAATTGACAAAGAATCCCTCTGAGTACCATCTATCCGCCGTAGATTATAAAGTCACATATAATCAAGTATGTCTGGAATACCGAAGAAAAGACCGACCTCGGAGTAAACCGAGCTGCGCGGAGTGGGGCTGCGGGCGCCCGTAAAATGCGATCTACAACACCCGAGGGCCAGCACTTTCAACCGACCATCGTCGCTCCCAATGACTACGGCGAGCAAGGACCCAAAGGCGAAGGTGAGGTGCCCGGTGCTTGTGATCGCGGACTCGCTAATCAGTCAATGGACAGCCCAGCGCGCTGCGCTCCATCATCGCGGGCTCCACCGCTGGAGCCGTGGAGATCGGTAAGAATCCCACGTGTGAGACTTTAGAATGCAAGCGCTAACGGGCTCTCCTAGCAATCACCTATCCCGCTGAGTGTACGACGCAGTACTCCCCTCCTTTGCCCTCGCTACGCTAACGGGCCCTAGTCGCGAAAACCCGGACACAACTCAATCGCCGACTGGCGGAGGGCCAGAAACTGCCGTGGCCGCCGTTCGGCAAGCAGTGGTACGCTGGCTGTACCACTTTGATTATTGGAAACTCGCTGAAGGCCGGAATCCGTGCGCTGGTCCCCTTCCTTGATTGCTGCCGGATCGCGACTAATTCGGGGGCTCTATAGGCTTCGTCGCTTTCGACGCCATCAAGGCATCCCTCCAAGATGAGAACGGCAAGATTTCGGGGCCGAGGACGGTCATCGCTGGATTTGGTGCGGGTTTCACCGAGTCGCTTCTGGCGGTGACTCCCTTTGAGAGTATCAAGACTCAACTGTCGGCCATCCTTCGGTCCCTTTCCGCCACTGGTGACAACATGGCTGATACGACTGTTCGAGCAGGATTGACGACCGCAAGGCAGCCCAGCCTCGGATGAATGGATTCCTGCACGGTACCAAGATCATCTGGCAGGAACGTGGAGTTCGGGGCTTCTTCCAAGGCTTTGTGCCCACTACTGCTCGGCAAGCAGCCAATTCGGCCACCAGATTCACCAGCTACACCACGATCAAGCAGTTCGCGGAAGGCTATGTGGCCCCCGGCGAGAAGCTCGGAACCCTCAGCACCTTTGCCATTGGAGGCCTGGCCGGTATTATCACGGTGTATGTGCGAGCCGGCTTTGCATGACGATTTGATTTGCCAAGGTCCACCAGCTGAAGATTCTTCTAGTTATGTAACCCAGCCCCTTGACACGGTGAAGACCAGGTCAGTTTCCCCCGGGCCCCAACCGTACCAGGAGGTTCTTATTCATGCGTGATATAGAATGCAATCGCTGGAAGCCAGCAAACACTATAAGAACAGCTTTGTCTGCGCCGCCCGGATCTTCAAGGATGAAGGATTCCTCACTTTCTGGTCCGGAGCCGTGCCCCGACTGGCCCGACTGATCCTGAGCGGTGGCATTGTGTTTACCATGTAGGTCCCTGCAGTGCCTGCTGCTTTCTGCTTTCTCTCTGTGGGGGGTTACTAACAGTCGCTGGCAGGTATGAAAAATCAATGGAGCTGATGGATATCGCGGATCCCGAGCGGAAGTACCTTTGAGATAGATGGGCGCGAGACGGGTGTTCGATTTCAAATAGAGTCTCAAGATCCGCGAGAATGCGTTGTAAAATTACATGGTATCATCTTTTTTTTTTTAGTGTACAAGGAAATCACTCTTCAGGGGGCTGGTCTTCTTTCACTTCTCGGCCCTCTCCTCCACCACCATGGCTTCGACCTCGCGGTCAGCCATCCAGGTGCGCACGCTTTCCATGACCGTCTCCAAGCCATCGCCCCCGTCGAGGACGCCGTCCAGATTGTGGATCGTGATGCCGCTCCGATGGTCAGTGCATCGGCTCTGGCCATAGTTGTATGTTCGAATCTTGTCCCCACGGCCCATCCGAGCCACTCCCCCCATGGCGCCCCGGCGTAATTGGACCAACTCCTGCTCGCGGGCTTCCTGGCGGGCCTCGGCGATCTTGGCTCGTAGGATCTGCCAGGCCTTTCGCCGATTTGCCTGCTGGGACCGTTCATCTTGCATGGAGACCACCGTGCCGGTGGGCATATGGGTCAATCGAATGGCAGACTCGGTCTTGTTGACGTGTTGTCCGCCGGCACCGCCGGCCCGCATCTTTTCCACGCGCACTTCTTGCGGATCAATGTAGTAGTCGCTCGTCGGGTCCTCAAAGTTCAGGGCACTGTCCAGGCCGCTGCCGCTCTCCGGGAAACTCGGCAGGACCATCACGCTGACCGCACTGGTGTGTGTTCGGCCCTTGGTTTCCGTTGCCGGGACGCGCTGGACGCGGTGGACCCCTGACTCGGTCCGCATGATATCGTATGCCCCGTCCGCCTCGATCTCAATGACGGCTTCAGTCAGGCGGTCCTCTGCGGCTCCGTCTTCGACGTCCTGCTTCAAGATCGTCGGTCGAAGACCCCGCCGGGAGCAGAACGACGTGTACATCCGCAGCATCTCAAATGCAAACAGGCCGGCCTCATCTCCCCCGGCGCCAGGGCGAATCTCCACCAAGCACGGCAGATCCGCAAAGGGGTGCCGGGGGATCAGTGACTTTTTGAGTCGGTCCGATATCGTGGGCAGAGCCTCTCGGCTGGACTCCAGATCCTCGATCGCGAGTGAACGCAGCTCCTCATCCGTCTCGGGTTGCTCTAAGAGGGATTTCAATTCGGCAATCGACTTGGGGTTGCGTGTTAGTGACGCAGACGGCGCGGACGAGGCGGGCAACACACCTCATTGGCACTTTCCCATTCTTTCAGGACGGTTGTAACGGGGGCAATCTCCCCGGCTCGCTTGGCGACTTTGGCATCAAAGGCCTCTGCCAATCGATCTGATAGTTTGGCATGTTCGGCGGCGAGCAATCGAGCTCTGGTCAAGAGGACGGGCGACAGGCCGGAGTCGGGAGCGGCTGCCGGGGCATTAGCGGGCGTTGACGGGGCACCACGGGGCATGGGGGAGAGAAGCACCTACCGGTGTGCGCAGCACGTCGCACCAATGAGTTGAGGCCCCTAGCAGGCTGCCAGAACACTCGACCGCATAGTAGCATCCTTCGGAGGGGCGAAGACAGTGCAGTGGGACGGCGAATGGACGGGGTGGCATTTGCGGGCGACGCCGTAATTTATCGTACGGTACGCGTAAAGGCCAGCCAGCCTCTCGAGACTCGCCTTACATGCCAACGCTGACTTGTCCTCGTCCTCTCAACCTCCTTCCCTTCCAAGGAACCCATTAAGATTAACGAGGGTGGCCATGTCCACACGGCTCCACTGACCCAAAATGCGCATCTCACTTGAAACCGTGACGGCCGTCCTGGCCTGTCTCTCCACTGGCTATGCGCTCCAGATCCCCCCCGATACGCCGCTGTCGGAATTGATCTCGTCGGCCAAAGCGCATCTCGCAAAGGGCTCCCCGCGCGATGCTCTCGTATACTTCGATGCGGCCGTCTCGCGCGATCCGACCAATTATATCACCATCTACCAGCGTGGCGCTGCCTACCTGTCCATTGGCAAGAACGCGCAAGCGTCGGAGGACTTCAATCGAGTGTTGGAACTCAAGCCCGGTTTCGAGGGCGCGCTCCTCCAGCGCTCTCGTCTCAAGGCTCGGTCTGCACACTGGACCGAAGCTCTACAAGATCTCGAGCGTGCGGGCAAGAAGAGCTCGGTCGAATACCAGGAGCTCGAGGCCGCGCGAGATGCGGCCGCCCTCGCTGTAGCCGCGGAGAAGAAGGGAGACTGGGAGGCCTGCATAACGCAGGCTGGGGTGGCCATTATGAAGGCGAACACGGATCTGCCCCTGCGGCAGGCTCGAGCACACTGCCGATTCGAGAGAGGGGAGGTGGAAGAGGGCGTGAGCGACCTCGCGCATGTTCTGCAGATCTCCCCGAACTTGGTGGAGCCGCATCTGCAGATGTCCTCGATGCTGTTCTATGCACTGGGGGATAGTGACCGCGGCCTGGCGCAGATCCGCAAATGTTTGCATACCGATCCGGACTCGACGCCCTGCAATCGTCTCTACCGGCGAGAGCGGCAACTGGCGAAGACCCTGGGGAAACTGCACAGCGCCCTGGAGGCGCGCAAGTTCAGCAACGCGGCGAAACTCATGGTCGGTGACGGGGACGACACTGGTTTGATCGCAGATGTGAAGGCCGACGTCGCGGAGGCGAGGGGAGCGGGCCATATCCACCCCGCGGCATCCAACAATCTTTATATCTTCCTCGTTGAGAAGACATGTGAGGCGTATCGAGAGGTGTGTGCCCCATTGGGCTTGGATTGCCCCCGTCTCTCCTTCTTGTTCACTTCCCTGTGCGATGTAGGGTTGCCGGCTAACTGGAATTCATAGATGCGTATGGTCAAGAAGGCTGGTCCTTATTGTGCCGAGTCCCTCCAATTAGTCCCCTCTTCTCTTCACGGTCTGCTCTACCAAGCCCAGGCCGAGTTGGACGAGGATCGTTTCGAGGAGGCGGTGCGCACGTTGAACACCGCCAGGGAGCATCATCCGCAGTCGCAGGACGTCCAGTCTCTCCTTCAAAAGGCACAGGCGCTTCTGAAGCGCTCAAAGCAAAAGGATTATTACAAGGTTATTGGGGTCAGTCGGGATGCCGATGAGCGGACCATCAAGCGTGCATACCGTCAATTAATGAAGCAGCACCACCCGGACAAGGCTCACGCCCAGGGCGTATCGAAGGAGGAGGCGGAGAAGAAGATGGCGACCATCAACGAGGCCTACGAGGTCCTATCCGACCCCGAGCTACGTACCCGGTACGACAATGGGGATGACCCCAACGACCCCCAGGCGCAGCAGCGAGGCAGTCCGTTCCAAGGAAGTCCCTTTGGCCACGGCGGGGGCCAGCAGTTCTTCTTCCAGCAGGGTGGCCAGCAGTTCAAGTTCGGTGGCCAGGGGTTCGGGGGCTTCCCTTTCCCCTGACCTGCTTTCTTTCGAGTCCTTTTGCCATTGTAGAACATATAGCGGTGTTTCTAGGAGTATCTACGCCGAGTTTTCCGCCGCCTGTGGAGGGAAGTCCGGGCTGGGGGCATCATCGTGTTTCTCTTCCTTTTCTTTCCTTTTTTTTTCCGCGTCTGCTTTGGTTATTCATTGGCAGCAAATGGACAAAATCAACTGCGGCATCTTCTGGTTCTTTTTGACTATCCAAGTGTCCTGGTTTCTCCCGTAGTACCTCGCGGTTCCGGCCTAGTGCCACCTCTGTGGAATATCGAGCTCTTGTCATGTTGTCATGGTGGAGCGTCCGTCAGAGGCACGTAGCTGACCTGGAAAACCTTCTCTTTGTGGACCGATCCATCTGCCTTTTTATCCACCACCCATATATACTGGCCGCTGCTGAGGCCCATGCTGCGCAGCATGCTCCCATCGTCCTCGGATTCGACCGGAATGAACATTCTCCCTGGAGCCCGTAGCTGCTCGATCAGAACCGGGTGGAGTTTCTCAGCCGCCGCGCCAACATGAATTGCATCATACGGGCCCCCTTCTTTCCAGCCCAGACGTCCGTCTGCAGTAATAAACTTCACCCGTCCAGCAGCCTGGAGCTGGCGGCCCTGTTCAGACTTGTCCATATTGGATCGGGCGAGGTCCACTAGTTCGGGGATGTGGTCGATCCCGATGACCTGGCCTGGCGCGGCGGTGCCTGGCGGTCCCGTCACCAGGTTTGCCAGGACGTGAGTGAGGTAGCCTGAGCCAGATCCGATGTCCAGCACCCGGGAGCCCGGCTGGAGATAGTCAATCAGATACTCGCATGCGTGGCCATGCATGTGCGGTGCGGAGATGGTGGCCCCATGCCCGATGGGCTGCGGCGAGTCCGAGTACGGCCGCGACGGCGCGTAATGGGCACGATCAACCTTGGCCGGACGTCAGATGGATCCTTGCAGGTGAGGGATACTAGCTGCTCACGCCGATCATGGCATCCTTGACACGCGGGTGCTTGATCAAACCCGCCTGGACCAGATTCTCGATCAACTCGGTGTTGGTCGACCCGGAGCAATACCACGCCATGCTGAAGGTCCTGGTCGGTCGCCACGTTAGTGCTTTCTGGTATTTGCTCAGCCGATGGAGCATGTAGATTTGGAGAGTGTCTCCTGGGAAAGAGGTGTACGGCTGCGTCGGGGCGGCAGGTGAGGGGAGGGTGAACCTTGGGGCAGGCAAGACGGCCAGTGGGTGAGAGGCGGATAGTTGACTTTGGTGACGCCATGCTCTCCTCATCCTCCTCCACGTGATAGGGTCCGATGCTGTCGTGTGTCTGTCGCGTTTCGGCTCCTGGACGTGTTGATTTGGGGTCCTGGGGGGGCTACGGTGGAGTGGAATGGGCGGGTTTATGGGATGTGCGGAGAGGTGGTAGTATGCACTGCACCGGAATACTGTAGATGTATATATCTCCACCATGTCTAATCCATAAGATGCAAAACACCACAGAAGTGCCAGATACGTTACCACCCACCATCCACCACCCATCGGACCATACAAAGACATCACATACAGAAGACACAACTCCCCACCCCTCAAACCCATCTTCGGTCGCCGTCGAGGCGAGTAGCACAGCGAAGAGGAACGTAGCCAGCCCACCAGCCGGCGGGGACGTGGACCCCCTCCAAGATCCACCGGCACGTCTGCAGCAAGATCTGCAATTTCTCCGCCCACAACCCCGCCAGCACCAGCTGGTTCCTGCTCCCGCTCGCGTCGCGAGCTACACCGTTCCATGCCGCCAGCTTGGGTGTGGCCCAGCTGAACCGAAACGCCAACGCAAAATGGCGACGAAAGCCAACCCCGACCTCCGCGCGGACGTGGATTTCATGATCCTGGACTACCTAGCGTGCCTCGCGATCGAGAGGACCCTTGTCGCGGCCGAAGCACCCAACCCCCCAGCCCGGCACTGGAAGAGGAGGTGAACTGGATGGTGGAACCCGTGAGAGGTGAGTGCGACAAGCCTGGATCACCGTGCTGCCCGTTCTGACGATCGCAGCCTTCCGAGCAACACTGGCCACGGCCCTGCCTGACACGCCACTGCCGCTGGATCTGGATATCAAACTCCGAGTTCTCTCGGTAGCTCATCAACTCTGGCAATACGTGCCCACCACGCAGACAACCCGCGTCGACGGTCCCCTGGGACTGTCCAGCCTAGGCATTGAATTCCTGGACCTCTGCTTGGCTGCAGTGTCCAAGGTCTCCGAGACGCGATGGTTCGATACCGGCGCCCGGTTCATGATGCAGGCCGTCATGGAAGAGCAACGCGAAGGGAACACGCACCCAGAAGCGCTCTCCAGGTTCTACGCGTGGAGCCCGCCCGGCCCAGATCGTGATTCAAAGTGGTCCAATGTCCGCGAAAGATATGCCGGAGAACTGCTTAATCTAGCGGATGTCCGCCCGGCGTGTGATGCCCTCTACCAGAGGTATCCGTTTGCCGAGTTCAAGGCCATGGTGGTGACATTTCTCTTCGAGCTCATGACGACACTGGACCCGCCTATTCTCGTCCAGCTGGAACGAGGCAAGCTCGGCAACCTGAGCCAAGCTGAAACCCAACGCTTGAAGGAGCGGGTTGGCATGCGCTGAATGAGCCACTCGCACTAACCGGCAATACATACAACAGGACGGCCCACTTGAGAAAGATGCGGTAGATGTCAGCACACAACCCCCGCCTGATTCTTCCGCCCGCGTCGTGTCAAGTGGCCAGGCTATGGTGATGCAGCCAAGAGGAAAGGAAACACCGACCGGATCGTGAGATCGGCAGTCCCAGAGCCCTCTGCATGAATGGGCATATTCCATGGGACTTGGCTACCTACGTTACGGGAACTGGACGGGAGCTACTGCACCCCGTGACTGGCTGGGTCAATGAAGTAGCGGTTATATTTTGTAAAAGCGAATAATCTACAGCGGGTGCCAATGGCGGCTCTACGCACGACAAACACACATCAACCAGCAGGGTGCCGAGGGTGGCATTGTTTACCCGAGGAGCATGCGGCGGGGGTCCTCGATGTACTCCTTGACCTGTAATGGGGTTAAAAGCTGGGTTGAGATCGGATCCAAGTTTCCAGCAACGTACCTTGACGAGGAAAGTGACGGCCTCACGGCCATCCAGGAGACGGTGATCGTAGGTGAGCGCGAGGTACATCATCTGGTTTGCAAGAGTTAGCGTGTTGTTGTTGTCGTTGTCGGTATCGCTGTCATCATCATCGCAGGGAGAAGAGCAGCGAGAGCGGGTTCATCTTACCGGGCGGATCTCAACCTTGCCATTCACGGCGACGGGCTTGTCCTTGATGGCGTGGAGACCCAGAACGGCTGAGGAAAAAGCGAGAGTCAGAGTCAAGTTGCGCGAGGCAGAAAGGAAGGATGGGGGAATGCTCACCAGTCTGGGGCAAGTTGATGATGGGAGTGCCCATCAGGGAGCCGAAGACACCACCCTGTCGATCATGTCAGTAAAGATAGATAGATCCATGAGGGGGAAGAGGAGGGAATTGAACTTACGTTGCTGATGGTGAAGGTACCACCAGCCATATCCTCAATGGTCAGCTTGTTGTCACGAGCCTGCCGGTTGTTGTTAGCATGCACTTCTTCTGTCTGGTAGGGTGGATTCAAGCCAAGCGCTGCTGACCTTCTTGCCCAGCTCGGCGATCGACTGCTCAATGCCAACCAGGTCCATGGTCTCGGTGTTGCGGACAACGGGGGTGACCAGACCCTTCTCGGTGGCAACGGCAACACTGATATCGACGTAATCACGGTAGACAATGGTGTCACCGCCATTGGGGCCCTCAATAGAGGCGTTGACCGCGGGGACATCCTTCATGGCCAGCACGCAAGCGCGCGAGAAGGCGCTCATGAAGCCCAGCTTCACACCGGTCTTCTTGAGCACATCGTCCTTGTAGAGCTTGCGGAACTCCATCAGCGAGGACATGTCGACCTCGTTGAAGGTAGTCAGGGAAGCAGCGGTGTTCTGCGACTGCTTCAGACGCTCGGCAATGCGCAGGCGCATGCGGTTCATCTTGACCTATTCGTGGAAAACGGCACATCAGCCGCGTACGGTAAGTAGGGGGGAAACGATATGATCGGAACATACCCGGCGCTCCTCACGACCGCCAACAGCAGGCTTGGCCTCAGTGGCAGCAGGCTTGGGGGACTCGGCCTTAGCAGGGGCCTCCTTAGGCGCAGCAGGCTTGGGAGTTTCCTTGGGCTTCTCAGCCTCGGGGGCGGTCTCCTTGGGCTTCTCAGCAGCAGGTTCCTTGGGCTGCTCGGGAGCGGCCTCGTTCTTGCCCTCGGGGGCGGCATCGCCCAGCTCCAGCTTGACAAGATCCTGGCCAACGGTGACAGTGTCCTCCTCGTTCACAAGCAGCTCCTTGATAGTACCGGACTCCGGAGCGTTCACGGAAACATCAATCTGGCGCGCAAAGTTGCTGTTAGAGTTTGTAGATCGAGAGGGATTGATTCAAGCACAACTCTACCTTGTCGGTCTCAATAGTAGCGATCTCCTCATCGCGCTCAACGAAGTCTCCAACCTCTGCAAGAACGTCAACACCTCTAGAACAGATTATGGCTAAAAATTTTCCCCCTTTTACAGGGCAGGGTGCATACGTTTCGAAAACTGCTTCAGGGTACCCTCTGTGATTGACTCGGCCATCTGGGGGACCTTCACAATGGATTCAGCTGAACCGGAAGGTATTAGTCTCATTGCATATCCTGGAGATGGACTGGGGCTATCGCAGTTACCGTATGTGCGAATCTGGGAGCCCACGAACGGAGCGAGGTTGCGCGACACATTGATGCTGTGGTACCGTTTGTCAGTAAATGACATATGGCTTCGAGTGGTGCATATTCTTACCCCGAGGACACCTGCAGCAGACCGGAGGCCCTTGGGGAGGCATTGGAGCGCATAAGGGTGGACAGGCTCCGGGTACCGCGAAGCCGGCTAGGAGCCCGAGTGGCCCGGGTAAGAGTGGCCAGGCGCTGGCCGGAGAGGCGTGCGAGAGGAAGTCGAGCAGCCATGATGTGTAGAGACAAATTCGACCCAAGAAAAGGGAGTCACAATTATTGCCCGAAGGATGTTGGAGAGGAAGAAGAAAACAAGAAGGGGGTAATAAAAAGGCCTCACGCCCTGTGGCTGTTACGTAGCCGAAGCCAAAAGCTCCCGAAGCCGAGATACGGAAGCTGCCCGGCAGCGGAGTAATGTTCTTACGCCCGTACGGCCGTCCGCAGCCGCCCCAGTGGCACTTTATAACGAATGGGGAAGCCGAGAATAGTCAACCGCAGCCCTCCCCATCTCGGATTGTCGGATTGACGCGGTCCAGGAGACTCTGCACTTTCAGCTTAATACGACCTTGCTTCCCAGTTGTCTTGCTCCAATTGGGCTCCTCACCTCCATCATGTCCCCCTCCCCTGCGACGTAAGTGCTTAGCGACGCTGCTGGCGCAACCCCCCATCACTATCAAAGTTCACCACCACCGCAACATCATTCTGACTATTCGTTGCAGGTCGCTCTACCGGCGGTCTCTGAAGCTGTCCCTGGACTGGGCGGTCCAGCGATCGATCTGGCGCGGACAGGCTGTCTACATTCGCTCCCTCTTTGATGCCAACAAGGACGTCCGCGACCCTCGTCAGCAACAGGTACGCGGCCCAATCGATCCACATTCCACTCCTGGCCACCAAAACACAGACTAACCCGCGACGCAACCAGGTTCTGCTGCGCGAGACTGAGAAACTGCTGGATGAGTGGAAGCACCCCGACCCCTACCGGGCCCCGACCGCCCCTGGTGGTACGTTTCGTCCTCTGATATTAGATCGCTTGCCGCGCATACAACTCACCTTGGTACAGGAAACAAATGGGAGCGAAACATTCCCGCTCCGATTCTACCTTGTACGTGAAACTGGCCATATTACTCCGTTCCCGCTTCCTTATACTGATCATGCACAGACGCGGCGCCCCCCGCCGCCCACTAAGGAGAGGAGGCACTGCGCATGGGTATCATTACATCTGGGGGTTTGCAGATGAATTTCACACCATTTGGGATTAAAACCGAGGGCACATGTAGATACAATAAAAAGCCCATATTTACTAGTTCGAATCCAGTCTGTTTCTGATTACATCGTGCATTTTGCATCATACCGTGTTAGCTGGGGCCACTTCCAGCCAACCGAATTGTATGGAAAGTACAGTGCAATCTAGGAGACGTAAGAGAGAGGAGCATATCTGGAGGACCTAGAATCTTTTCATTGATTCGGGCTCTTGCCCGGAGCTAGTTATCCGAAAAAAAAACTGAAATCCATCGAACAAGTTGAAGTTCGTCGGTATCATTCCATGCCCGCAGGCATAATGTACAACCTGGAAACTGATGAAGAAAAGAGAAAACGCAGAGCCATAAAGTGCCCGTCCCATAACCCCATTATCGTGTCAATGAACCAACCCACGCCGGAAAAAACAAAATCAAACCCGCGATAAGAAAAACTACCGTTTACAGCTCCTGGCTGCCCTTGCCGGCCTTGGGGGTCTTCTTGGGGAGGAGGTCTGGAAAAGACACGTCAGTAAACAATGATCCAGAAACCACGAAGCGAGAGACGGAGGAGAAACGTACTCTGGTGGATGTTGGGGAGGACACCACCCTGGGCGATGGTGACGTGGCCCAGGAGCTTGTTCAGCTCCTCATCGTTGCGGATGGCAAGCTGGAGGTGACGGGGGATGATACGGGTCTTCTTGTTGTCACGGGCGGCGTTACCGGCCAACTCGAGAATCTCAGCAGCGAGGTACTCAAGGACGGCAGCCAGGTAGACGGGAGCACCGGCACCGACACGCTGGGCGTAGTTGCCCTTGCGGAGCAGACGGTGGACACGGCCAACGGGGAAGGCCAGACCAGCCTTGGAAGAACGGCTAGAACGCGTAAATGTCAGAATGAATGGTTCAAGACACAACACCGGATACGTTGGCGCAATGGCTCCGAATCAAAACAGGAGGGGGATCAACTTACGACTGCGCGTTCTTGGAACCGCTAGCCTTGCCGCCAGACTTGCCGCCAGTCATTTTGAATGTGGTTTGGGGGGTTGTGGGGGTTGTTTTGAAAAGGGTGTTGAGTTGGGAGTTGGATGGGAGTGGAAGAGTTGTCGTACGTGATAGAAGAGGGGGAGGGCGTCGAAGAAGTAGAGGGGAGATTTATAAGAACGCGGAGGGTGACGTTGGGCCAGCATCAATGCCGGGCTCCAGATCACGCTCTCGCTTAGCTGGCTGGACCAATGAACGCGCGGGATCACGAGGGATCACGAGAAGATCACGGGCAATCAGCGCGCTGTGGATAGGCGGGAGCATTCCACATCAGGAATGGTCCCGTAATCTATCCCCCATACAGACCCATACCACAAGCCCGCGTGATCGTCACCCCCAAGAATAATGTTCCCCCCACAGTCTGACGCGTCAACCCCCCCCTAATCATACAGATCATACCAGACTGTGACTGTATTGAAATTCTGGCTCCTTTGCGCCCCTCGGGATCAACTGGCCGTTGGCGGTCGCGTATATAAACCGGTCCCCCCTCATCACCGCGTTCCAATTACTTTTCCCTTCCCATTCCATTTCTGCTTCCCACCCTCACGCTCCATCCAACTTTCCAACTCTTTCCAACTCTTCACCACCCACCCAACTTCCATCAAAAATGGCTCCCCCCAAGGCTGCTGAGAAGAAGCCCTCCACCGCCGGCAAGGCCCCGGTTGGCGGCAAGGCCCCCGCTGAGAAGAAGGAGGCCGGCAAGAAGACTGCCGCCGCCTCTGGCGAGAAGAAGAAGCGCGGCAAGACCCGCAAGGAGACCTACTCCTCCTACATCTACAAGGGTGAGTTTTTGTGATGATGAAGTGTCGACGCGACGCGTTTCAGTTTGGCTGACTTTGTTTTTTTTTCCCCTCTTCTCCAGTCCTCAAGCAGGTTCACCCCGACACCGGTATCTCCACTCGTGCTATGTCCATCCTGAACTCCTTCGTCAACGGTATGTTTTGATATCTTGGTCAAACGTGTCGCATCTTTCTAACCTGGTTTTTCTTCCAGACATCTTCGAGCGCGTTGCCACTGAGGCCTCCAAGCTGGCTGCTTACAACAAGAAGTCCACCATCTCTTCCCGAGAGATCCAGACTTCCGTGCGGCTGATCCTCCCCGGTGAGCTGGCCAAGCACGCCGTCTCTGAGGGTACCAAGGCTGTCACCAAGTACTCCTCGTCCGCCAAATAAGCGGTTTCCTGGCTTTTCCTTTCTTGCGGCTTTGCTCTTGTTTTTTTCCTGCCTCCTGATCTTGTCCTGGGCTCTGGGAGGCGGTTCGGTTATGGGTGTTTTGCGGGTTTTCTAATGTGTCATGGGATGGTATCAATTTTCTTTTCCCCGATGGGCGACTTTTTCTGATGGTTACTACTCGGATGCGCGCGGTGTAACATAACTCGGGTCTGGGGCTGGGTTGCATGGTGTCACCTCCCCCTAACTAGAACGCGAAATTCCAAATGCTTGATTGCATTACACACTATTTTCTCTCTGATCACTCGTTCTCTCTCTTCACTTCACTTCTAGCTTCCGGGACACAGTGCCAGCCTGCGGGTAAAATCACCTCCTGCGCCATCGATTCCCCCTCACTGCAGCGCGTCGACATCGGAATCGTCCAGAACCTCCACTTCATCCAGCGCTTCCTTTCGACCGTGCCCCGCGTCGATGGGTGGTTCCCCGGTGATGAGATGGATGATCGGCTTCCCCCGTGTGGACTGGACCCGGGCTTTCCAATCGGCCCAATCAGCGGCATCTTGGATTAAAAACCCAATGAGCATGCTGGGATCCATGTCCTTAATATGGATCCGCCGTAATCGACGCGTGTGGTATGTATCCAGTTCTTCGGTGGTGTATACTTCACCAGCGCGATATGGGACCGCCGGGCGCGTGGAGTGTGGGTCGAGGAAGAAGAGGTGGGAGTCTTGCGACCCCACAAAGTAGTGTGATGCTGATGGGCGACCTCTGGAGATCCGGATGCACGGTCAGCCTGTGCATTTCTGCACCTGTCGGGAACCCCGTCAAGAATCATCTAACACATACCCGGCGATGCCCACGGATTGCGGATATTGCAGAGCCGCCTGTAGTCCATCCCAATACACCGACGTAACATGCTCTATCCCCAGCCGGAGGCCCATGAGGATCAGCGTAGGTTGGATCCCACTTTGGTCGCTGGCCAGTCGCATGAATTGATCTTCGTAGACGTCCGATGTATCATTTGTCACATAGACTCTGAGCTTTGGTTGTTCATTTGTGCGGGAGAGTATTCTGCCTCCGGGTTAGCCTTGGTGGTCATGAGAATATCAGCCTCGCGGGTACGAACTGGATGCACCGAGCAGTGGCCGATGGCCCAAACCATTCCCCGGGATATTTCCCACACGAGTTGGCGCCGCACTGGACAAATTGGTGGATGGAAAATGGTGCATCGGGGTGGTCGGCAAACATCGCCAGGAGCGCCGACTCTTGCTCCGGTTGATGCCCTCGTCGCCAGCCTGCTGGGGGGTCAGCTTTCAGTTTCTTCGGTCACTCGCACCGCGGGTTTCTTCGATCACCTCGTCCAAGCTGTAGGATGCAAAGGGTATTCGCAAGAAGACTCTGTCCTGACCGAATCATGCAACCCCACCCGGTGTCGGACGTGAAGCCCTGCGAATCCATGAGCTGGCTGCGCAGGCGGACCCCCAGGGTCATAGAGGACGTTGCCTCGTGAGTGTCACTGCGCGGGATGGGCACAAAGTGCGACCGGTAGGTCATCCATATTCGCGATTCGAAGTCGGCCAGAAATGCCTCTGGCCAGGCACTCCCGGCGCTGTCATTCGGGTGCTCTGCTGGGAGTCCGGCGCGACTCGACTGGCCTGCCAGGGGGAAAGGATATCAGTAGCTCCTCTGTGGTGGACCTCCGTGGTGGGATCCTCTGCGATGGGCGCATACCTGCTTCAGAGGGGTCCTGGTCCTGTGGCGGGGTGGGCGTATATTCTTGGCCCAGGCACCAGATCGGGGCGTCTGGTGCGGTGTCATTCTTGGGTTCCGGGTCCCAGAAGTACTGTACAATACGCTTGCATTTCTCGAGATCAACCCCCGTCATCTCCGCGGGTCTCTTTGTCGGTCGCTTCGAAGGGGACGGGAAGGGCGCGAAGGTAGTTCGAACGTGGGGGAGATAGAAAGATGTGTATGAAGAGTTGCGCTAGCACCAGACGGAGGAAGAGAGATATATATCTGGTCCTCCACCCAGTCAGTCGAACCAGGGAGGTCGTGGGAATATAAGGAAGGAGTAGAAAACCCCAGCCAGAATCCTCAAAGCCCGCAAAAGATATCACGATCAGGATCAGGCCAACCGAAGCTGAACGGGAGGTACGAAATCCAGACAAGACGAGGGAGACGAGAGAGACGAGACGAATCGCGGTCACAGGCGCCTGTCACGACGTCACTCGATCAGCGTTTCGACCGCACTTCAAATTCTCTGCTAAACACCGACAACCGAGATTATGGCCTTTCCCTCAACTATGAGATGCTCCAGGATGGGACTCTGGTACGAGAGTACTCTACAGTGTCATAGTATTCCACGAGAGGACCGGAGGATGTTGTTGTAGCGGTGGCCCCCCACCGCCCCCCCGATCCACTCCGAGGAAAGTCTGGAATTCCTCCCTCCTTTCTCCCCCTCCCTGCTACAACCACCTTCCCCCCCACCCCAACATGGCCCGCCATGGGAAATCCAAGGCCCGTGTCAAACGGCCGCCAGCGATGGCCAGTCCAAGTAATACATTCCACTGGCAAAAACCATGACAGCTTGCTAACCGCAAGAAGCATCGCCACATCGGTTTACGATGCAGCAGGAGGCCCGCAACACCGAAACGCACACCCGGTGTTGGTCCAACAGCAATCTTCGCCACAAGGCCGTGCAGTTTGTGAAGGCTGGTGAATTACAGCGAAGCGAATTCGAGACGGTAGACCAAGAGGACCCAGAAGATCCAGAAGATCAAGATCATAGCCAGGCAGAGACCGCCCCAGAGAAGGCGCAGCCAGCGATGGACAACCCACCAAAGCCAAGTACAGAGGATGCTGGGTGCGGATTCTTCATTGATTCAACAGCCCAGAGTGTTGCCGACACGGGGCTCCCGGACCCGACTCCCCGAATGGCGTGGTCCGAATCCGATGACTCGAGTGAGGACGAAGTGGTATTTACCGGGCGGAACTTTGGCACGAGGCCGATCATGATCGAAACCAGCAAAGAAGAGCTCCAGGGAATACTGCAGACAACCGCAACAGGGCAGCTTCAGACACATCCTGGACCGGGCAAGGAGGATGTTCCGGGGCGCCCGAATCACCGACGGGACCAGAGTCAGAACGGCCCCCGCCCACACGCACAAGCCACGCGCGGATGGACACGAGAAGACGAGAACCACATACTGGCGGACTATATTGCCAACATGGACCATGATTATCATGAAGACATAGACTTCCGTATGCAAGTGGAACGCCAAGGCGGCATTGACGTTGCCCAGGCCACATCAGACTCGGAATCATCAGCCTCCAGCCAGACCGAACCCGATGAGCCCTTGCCTCAGCACCAACAGACCCGTGCAGAGGACGACTCAAAAGAGGCACAAGTCCAAAGCTCCATTGATGGTAAGTTTTGACCGGCCCTAGAGTTGGATCCTGCGCAATTCTAACGTGGAAGACCCAGTGCTGTCTCGAATGCGTCTGGATACAGAACCCGACCAAGTACGGGCCTCCCATGATGATGATGACGTGGAATTAGTGTCGACTGATGCATGGAATGACGATTCCGACGACGATGACTTCGACACAGACCTTCTGGAAGACCTGGCTCTCGAATATCTCACGGAGAGGAAGAAAGGTGGCCGTGCGGGGAAAAGTCCATTTGCATCGGCGACAGCATTTGCAGATGCCCTCGAGTCGGATCCTTACTATGGACTCGATATGATGGATTTCGATCGACCAAGTTTACAGAAGAAAGGCAAAGGCAAAAAGCCACCCGCATTAGATATGATGCTCTCCGACAGCGACCTTGAAGCCCACCTGCAGGCCGTGTGGCAAACCGATCGCAAGACAAAGAAGGCAAAAAAGAAGGAGCGAGAAGAGCTTCGGGCTCAGGGTCTCTTAGGGAGGAATACAGGAGATGCAGATCTCAAGGTCAAGTACTCGAAGGGGATGAACCTGGAGGAGTTAATCACCGAGATGCGATCCTTCCTTCTGTCATCAAAAACCAGGTGCGTGTGAGCTGCTCGCTTCCCCTTTCCCCCTTCATCACTCTCTCCCCCCGGCACACCAGCCACTAATATGTATACAGCTTATCATTGCCGCCCATGACCAAGCACCGTCGAAAGGCAATTCACGAGCTGGCGAACGCATTGAGTCTGAAGTCGCAATCCCGGGGCAATGGTCCCTCACGGTTCCCAATGCTGCTCAAAACCTCCCGCACTCCCCCTTATACCCGCAAGACCATATCCAAAGTGGATGATCTGCTTTCGGGGAGAAAGCTGAATCGTCGACTCTATCAGTCCTGGGGTTCGGACGCATCCAAGTACAGCAAACCCGTCAAGGTCAAGGGAGGAGCTACCGGTGCTGCCGTTTCCTATATGGATGGAGATGTGGTTGGTGCCTCTGCACCGGAGATCGGGGTCGGAAACCGGGGACGAGCCATGCTAGAAAAGATGGGATGGAGTAGCGGCACCGCGCTCGGGGCTTCGAATAACAAGGGTATTCTGCTTCCTGTGGCGCATGTGGTCAAGAACTCGCGGGCGGGTCTAGGATAAAGACGGAGGACGGAGGACGGTGTCATCTCGGGAGGGGTTTGGGTGTTCTCTCTTTTCTCATTGTTCTTTCTTCCTTGGTCACTGTGATGAAGAGCAGAGACCGTCCTGTACACATCTATACTATCGAGATACCAATAGAACATAATTTTCCTCAGGATAGATTGCCTTCCTTCTCGTCACCTCTCCGCGCCAATGAGGTTGCTCCCCCCATCCTCCCTACTCGGGTTTCATCGTCTTTTGCTCCCGGCGGTGGTCTTTACTGGCTGTGCATGACTCGGCTGGTCTTTGAGATGCGTAAACAGCTTTGTTTTCGAGGTGAAGCTAGCGTGACAATGGGCACATGTCATCCCCGTGGACTGTCCGGGGTTTCGTGCCGCCTTTTTAGCTCGTCTCTGCTTAGCCTTTCCGGCCTGAGCAGGAACAGATGGTTGGTCATCAAGCTCGGCGGATGACAGTCGATCGGTGAGGGGAGTGACAGGATCGATGTCGAGCACCGAATCCAAATCGGAGCGGAGTCTAGTCTCGACGGACTCCCTGGAGGCATAATCCTCATCCTCGACAAAATCAAAAGAGTCTCGCTTCGGATGAGGACTTTGGAAGGGTGGCTGATTGCTGTCGCCCTCTCCATCGGAGACAGACGATTGCTCCCCAGATGGGTCCATCGGGGAATCACTCTCCACTGCCTCCCTGACCGGCTCCTCCAGCTCTCGTGTAATGGGTGATTCTGAAACATGATCGTTGTCTCCATCGCTGGTGTGGGGTGTGTCAAACGAAGGGGGGGATCCAGGTGGGCCAAGAGAAGTGGTGGCATGGCCGGTAGGCTCCAAGTCCAACTCATCGTTCTGCAGTCGCATCTCTCGACATAGTTGTTTGACAGCCTTTATGTGCTTTTTGCTCCGCTCATGAGCTTCAAACTGCTTTTGGCTTTTGAACTGCTTGTTGCATACAACACATTCAAAACTCTCAACCTCACTCTCGGAGCTCTTTTCGTCTTCGCCAGCATCCGGTTCCTCTGAACGCGCCCACTCCGGAATGACATGTTCCCGCAATTTGGCTTGATTTTGGGCCCGCGATCTAGCTGCCTGGGCCGCGACGGACTGTCGGAGAGTCTCTTGACGCTGTGCATCATTTTGAGCGTTGGCTCTATATCGGGGATCTCGTTTTTTGACAAATGCCACTAGCGATCGAACTGCATCGTTGAACTCGCGGATCGCTTCCTCTCGCAGGCGCCGGTTCTCCTTTTCCATTAGCCTCCGAACGCGGCGATCAGGAGCCTCAGAGTACCGATAGGCGTCCTTCCAGGCGAAAGATTTGCTGGTGGAGAAACCACTCCATGCGGCATAGAACGGGCGCACAACAGACTCAAAGTCATCATCGCGCGCTCCAAATGTCGGATAGTCCACCATATCGTGGTCCTCCCACTGACAGGCCAGTCGCTCTTCCGATGCCAGCTGGGAAAATTGTTCCTGCAGCCCCCCAAAGAACCCAGCTGGCGAGTCCGAGAATTCCATGCGAGGACTGAATTTCGAGAAGACCTTGAGAACATCTTCCGCAGTCGTCACTCGAATGTTGTAGGAATGTGAATCCTCTTCGGAGCCCCCAGTGGTTCCTAGAAACACGTCACTATGGGAGTCGTACCATGCACGCTCCTGGGGATCGGCAAGGACCTCATATGCGGACTGAATCTCGGCGAACAGCCTGGTCGCTTCCTCGACATTCCCATAGTTTCGGTCTGGGTGCAACTCGAGTGCTTTCCTTCGGTATGCTTTTTTGATCCTGCAAGAACATGAGCCGAGGCCGTGGAGAGTGGGCGGGAGAAGTTGGGAGAAGCTCACTCCTCATCGGTTGCCCCCCGAGTGATACCTAGAAGCTCATAGTAGTCTGTTTTCTGCCCTGACTGCTGCTCTTGGGCGTCTTGGCCCTTGGCTCCTGTCGACTGAGATTGGCCCATGCTAGGTCGATGAAGGGAGAGAGTGGGCAATCAGTGAGACCCATCGAGCATCCGCGAGGTTCCAGGATCCGCGGGCGTTGCAGATCTTGACCCTACGACTGCTGGAGTGCAGCGACTCAAAAATGCAGGAGGGGTTTGTTTGCCTTATCGGCCAGGCTTGGCACTGCCCATTTGCTTCTCCGCCCGCCCGCCCCACCTCGCGCATCCTCGCGATCCTCCGTATCGTCCTTCTCAACTTCACTCTCCTCTTCGCCTCCCCCTTTGCAGATCTATCCGCGTGCAGGACCATGCCTAGTCATCAACTGCCAGGCGAATGAGGGTTCAACGCTGGCGTTGACACTGTGCTCCGCGCTCTGCAGCCAAGGCTCCAAAAACCCACGACTGCGGGAGCAAGATTGCCACCGAATGATCAATCAACCAGTTCCCCAATCTTAGGGCACCTCTCAGATTGCCCCTTTGAAGAAGAATTTCCTGAAACTGTGGAGCTATTTCTCTTTGTTCTCTCATTCATCTGACAATAGCCTACCGGGATGGTCGTGTCTCTGGGTGATCTTCCGGAGGAGATTCTTCATTCGATTTTATGCTACTTGCACCCTTGCTCCTCTGCTGCGCTGGAGCAAACCAGCCACCGATTCAAGAATGTGACCAATGGACCACTGTTATGGCGCCGCTACTGCGAATTCTATTACAAGTCATGGGACCGAAAGCATGAGATTTTACAGAAACTTGCGGTTCCGGTTTTGTCTGTGGACTGGAAGGCGCTCTTCGTATTGAGATACCAGATTGACCGCTCTGTCACTCGGCTTCTGGATAGTATTCTTGCCAGTCAAACTGGGCGCATCGAGAAATTTCGCGCCGTCATCGATTATGGGTCCGATGCGAAAGATACACTTCTGCGACATAGTCGAGTAGAATCGGGAGAGGATCATCTTGCCAGAAGGTCGGTTGCTCCTTCATTGTTCGAGTATTCCTTTTATTCTGATAGATACTGCCTTTCTTCAAAGGTACTATGCGCGAGCGCTTTTGACCTGTCTTCATCGGAGTATTGCAGTTCCCGAATGGGCCAAGCTCCGACGCGGCGAGCCCGTGTCACTTGAACGTGCCTTGGGTGCATTCGACCTGTTTATTCCCGAAAGCGGGTACGGTGACCTGGACGAAGTTAGTCAATCTTTTCTCAAGGTCATGATCTCTATCTAGTTTATTGACAATGATGCAGGTTAAAAATACACTTACTGACCTTGTCGCTCAATTTCGTGCTTCCCACTTGGACATGGGTGTTCTCCGCCCCCGCGACAAGGCGCTGTCGCTAGCTTCTTGGCTGCGAGATAATGATCTAACGGGGATCGAGCTGGGTAAGGAGTACCATGCCTTGGAACATAACTTCCTTGGCTTAGCGCTGAAGAGTCCGGGGCATAACTCGCTTCCCCTGATCTCTGCGGCCATTTATTGCTATGTGGCGCAAGAAATCGGCCTGAATGCCCACCCTTGCGGATTTCCATTCCATGTCCATGTTATTGTTACCCCGCCGCCAGGCTTGGACATGAACGGCGACACTCTATCCGGGGAGGACGTCGGTCTTCCCATGTATTTGGATCCATTTCGGGGAGCACGCGAGACCCCTGTGTCTGATCTCCGAGATCAGCTCATCTTCCTTGGCGCTTCCGCGACGGAGCAGACGGCATTCCTGGGCCAGTCGTTGACATCTGAGATCGTCTTGCGTTGCAGCAGAAATATTTGGACTTCGATCCATTCCGCGCCTCATCATCCGGACGGGCCCGTGTCCTCGGTGGATGTGGTGAGTGCCAAGTACGCCTCCCTATGGTCCTCAATGCTCCTCTCGGGCGATTCCCGGCCAATGGACCTGCGTCACCACCTGCCATTGCTGATGGAGCTTTTTGCAACGGATTTTCCTTCCGATATATTCTTGGTGGAGCAATATATCGTGCCACTTTTCCAAGGTCTCTTCGAGCATGAACACATCTTAGAAAGTCTGCACGTTATGCGAGCCGTCGATGAGATTCCTAAGCAGGTGCGCCGGCGGTCTGGTGAGAATAAGAACATCGGATACACTGTGGGGCAGGTTTTCCGACATCGCCGCTATCATTATCGGGCTATCATCACCGGCTGGGACTCTGAATGTGGCGCGGGTGAGCAGTGGATGCGGCGAATGGGCATTGATCGCTTACAGGCCGGCCGTCATCAAAGTTTCTATCACGTTCTGTGAGGCCCCCATCCCCGTATTTGCTGCCCATCATGGTGGACTCCGAAAGGACTAGACTAATCTGGTTTTAGAGTGGAGGATCGAAGCGTCCGTTATGTAGCAGAGGAAAACATCGAACTCATTCTCCCTGAGCTAAGCGATTTGCCCCCAGGGCTGCTGACCATTGCCGGGAAGCATTTCAAGCGCTGGGATGAAACGGCCCGGGCCTTTGTTAGTAATGTGCGCGATGAATATCCGGATGATTGAATAATAGCTAGCCTTTCGATTTGGAACTATTATGATCTTGAGAACCGCCGTGTCGCTAGCCCTATTGGATGGACTTCTAAGTAACTAGTTAACCTCGAACCTTGACCCATGGCTTACATAATGTAAACGGTCCACATCCGCCGAAGGGAATTTACCTTTAGGGCGATCTGCGGGCATTCCAGATCTATCGTGTCCCCGGTCGTCTCGCACAGCCGAAACCACGGACATATCCTGCAGCGCGCGATCAATAGTGGAACCGTCACTATGGTCCGCCCGCCCGCCGACCCCGACCGCGTTGCTAGAATCATGCTGTCATGGCATTCGCTCGACCTCGTCTCGTGCACCATCCTACAGACCTTGTGGGCAGGCTACGGGCACATCTGTGCTATCACCGCCCGAGCTTTCACCGATGAGGCGGCAGGGAATCTAAGCAAGCTTTGCGGAGTGGAGTCGGGTGCCGCCGGGACCACCTATCCCCTCATCCTGAAGCTCATCTCACCCCCAAGAGAAAGCGCTGGCGAGGACGAGGGTCACCTGCGGAAGATGTTGAGCTACCAGGTAGAGCAGTGCTTTTACAGTGATGTGGTGCCGCTGCTGGACGGCATTGCTGTTGCCAAATGCCTTGCCTCGACGCGGAGCATGGGCGGCCAGGAGGGGCAGGAGGAACTCAGAGGTCTGATGGCCACCATCATGATCGATCTGCGTCCCAAATTTCCAATCCCAGGCGGCAAGAGAAGCGTACTGGACCGCTCACAGGTGCATGGGGCGCTGGACTGGCTGGCCAGCTTCCACAGCTGCTCACGGGGCCTGCTGCCAGGCAGCCTTGACGAATATGTCTTACCACCCTTGGAAGAGATCAGTCGAAGACGCGCAAACAAGGAGAGTGGCTGTGGGCTGTGGCTCAACGGAGGCTACACGTATCTTGCGACCCGACGGAAAGAGTACGCTTCGCTCGCCCAGGACACTGACTCGGAGTGGTCGGAATCCATGTGCCGGGCTGCGGAAGGCATGTCTTGGTCTGTAGCCGAGATGGCGGCATTGTTCTTGACCCCCTGTGGAAGGTCGACGGAGTCGTACATTCATGGCGACGTCAAGTCGGAGAACCTCTTTACAACAATTAGCGGAGACGAGGTGGCGTTCTTTGACTTTCAGTACGTTGGGCGAGGACTGGGAGTCTGTGACCTCGCCAAACTGTTTACCTGCTCAGTACCTCTGTATATGCTCACCGATGCTGATGAGCCCTTGCCCAGGCAGCTGGCGATGTGTGATGGTGAGCGGCGACTGCTAGAGCATTATCTCTCGAGCCTTCTCCGGGATGATAAATCAGACCTATACGAATGGGACACGTTTCAACGGCACTGGGAGACGGCCCTGGTGGACTGGTGTAGATTCCAGGCCTCTTGGGGCTTTTGGGGGCATACCGAGTGGCTCAAGGCCCGTGTTAGATCTATCCTGGATGATCAGAAGTGGAGGGACTGGCTATATCAGAATATCAGTGGTCGGGATTGGATGATGCTGAAGTGCCTAGAGCGCAGCTCTAGCTAAGCGCTTCCGATTCTCTGTTATGGATTCCCAGTTAGACTGCGCCAAAACCCATAGATAACCTATTTCGACCTCTTATTATATAAAAACTAGACCTTGGCAAGCACCACAGGGGACCAGACCAGACTGGGGACTAGACCGCACGATGTAGGGCTTGGTCCTTACTTTTAGGACCGCTGGGTGGTCCTAACTTTTCTAGGACCACACTAGTACAGTCCTAGTCCCCTATATAGTCCTATAAATAAGATAAATATATAAAAGTAGAAAGTTATATATAGTTTATGTAAAGATTATATAAGTTTTTCGCTAACTAATTGGTTTATATAGCCTAAATAAGAAGGTGTTGGTAAAATTATAAAATTCTACAGGACTATATAGGACTATAGGGGACTATAGTATAGTCTAAACTACTTTATAGTCCTTAGTTTTTCCTTAGGGTCTAGTCCTAGTCCTAAGATTTAGGACTGGACCTAGCCTCTAGTGAGGTCTAGTTATATTATTAACTATAGTTAATAGTATTATTAATTATAATGATAAATAATTATAGTATAGATTATATGATATTTTTAATAATACTAGAACACTCTAATTAGTATTAAGTTTCCTATAAAAATATATCCTTTTAATAGTAAACTTTATTTATTATTAGAAGAAAAATAAAGATAGAAAGAAAATATTAATATTATAAATTAATTTCTATATATCTAAATATATATTAATCTAAACTTAAATTTATCTATATTTAACATAGAGTCTATAGGAATTACTTAGACTAATTAGTAAATATTTACTCCTAAAATAGAGTAAGTCCTTATCTATCTCCTAATATGGCTATTATATACTAGGAAATTATTATAACTACTAGAGATTCTATCTTATATATTATGTTAATATAATAACCTATTTATAAGATAGGAACTAAATTACTAACTATATTAATAGTTAAAATTTTTTTGACTATAATAGGGGCTCTAAGTCTAATATTAATACTCTACTAATTTTAGTGTATTTTCTAATATATCTTTTAACCTACTATCTTATTTTCTTCTTATATAATAATAACTATATATTCTTTTAGTATTAAAATTAGTAGAAATCGATATATAGGGGGTAAACTATCTACTAAGTAATATACTACTACATATATATATATTATCAAATTTACTACCAATAGGCTTTATCTATAATATAGGAGGATATTATATTCTCTAATAAATATAGTATCTAATAAATATCTAATTCTAGTAATTATTAGATATTTCGATTTAAATTGAAGACCTATCAATATAATCTATCGAGATTAAATAACTATATAAAGGATTACGTATTAGTCTGATATAGGGAAGCATTAATATTAGAAATGGTTATATTATTCTTTATTATTACTCTATATTATTATTCCCTAATAAAAGAGAGTACCCTATTCCTTTTAATCTGAATCGTTAAGATTTAGTCTTTAAAAAAAAAGAATAGTTAAACTATATTATAATTATTTCGTTATCTATTTACTATCGATTCTGTATCTAATCGATAGGCTTTTTATCTTAATAAGTAGTAAAATTATTAACGTAATTCCCGGCCGTTCGGAACACCCGGCCGTTCGGAACACCCACCCCCATTAGAAATTTTTGCATCAAAATATATCAACCAAAACGTATCAATTTAGCTATATCTGACGATTTTTACATTGGTTGATCTTATGGCCAATTCCCCTACACCCACTACACCTTGGTGGAGCCCTAGTTGCTGGCTGAGCCTGCTGAATAGCCTCATCGGCCTGCTCATGCGAAACGACCCGATCAGCTTCAACTAGCTGATTTAGCTGCGTAACTAGCTGTTGACCCTCTTTAACCGTCAAGCCTCCTTCGTGAACTATCTGTCGATTCGATCGTATGCGTTTCTGGCGCATTTTCTCGTTGCCCACGCATAGATTAGCGACTTTATAGGCGAATTGCGCTGTTTTATAGAGCTGTTCGCAATGGCCCTTAATAAGCTGATCTAGAATGGTTTGTATTAGGCTCGGAGGGCTGATTAATCGTTGTCTTAATAGATCTTTGATTAACGAAGCTGATTTTTCTATTTGAACGATAGTTCTCGGTGTTTTTGGGCTGAAATGGCTATCGCTAGTGGTTAGCCGGCTATTCGGTGGTGATGGTGTTTTTAGTAAGATATTAAGCTTCGAAAGCACCCGTTCGGGGTCAATTAGAACAAGACTAGTAGCTGCGAAGGCACTTTGAATAATATATGGTTGAAAGGCCTCCGTCCGCGCCCGGGGGTAATCATTGAGGAAGTCGAATTTGTCGATATTATTATATGACTAACGAGCTAGATCGCTCACGAAGCGGCTATATACGCGTTTTAGTATAGCAAAACAGCCAACGTCAAGCGGTTATAAGAGATACGAACTGTACGGAGGTATACAAAGTGGTATTATATTATTTTCAGCGCAGATTCGGTCGAATTGAGGTGTAAGATGGCTACCGTAGCCATCAAGAATCAATAGCCGATATCCCCCCTTCGTACGCGCTATAGTCGCTGGAATAAAGAGCTTTTGTAGCCAACGAAGGCCAATTTCATCGGTTGTCTAGCCGTTAGGGGAGACCTCGATACGCCAGTCTTTTAGAAGATAAAGCTATTCGTCGAACTAAGAAGTGATAAAGTTTTTACCTTTAAATATTACGCAGGGCGGCAGCGAATAGCCGTTAGCGCTTACTGCTTCGATCGTAGTAACCTATTCACGATTACCCGGTTATAAAAGCGCTCGCCGACCATAATATTCAGCCCTTGTAACCACCCGTTGTGTAGATATAAGACCTATAGCGAAGCCGGTCTCATCAAAGTTGTAGATATCCCCCGGTTAGATACCTTTCTCGTCAATAATACGTTAGACGGTCGCAAACCACTCTCGTAGTGATTTTGGGTCTTCGTTTTGGGCGCGTTTATAATCGTAGCGTCGTGAGGAGGTTAAACGAAGCTCGTCTCGTCGGTTAACGAAGCTTGCTGGCCAATTCTTGCCTACTATAGCCGGAGGGTTATCACTACGCGTAGCCAATAGAATATTAGCTATTTCTCGCATAGTAGACGGCCTAGGCGCTGCTCTACGTAAATCCATAGACAATATCCATTCAGTAAGCGCATCTTCTTCTAATTAGGTCAATTTATAGCCTATTAGGCGCTTATCGACGCGTAAGGTTTGGCCGGTAGCGCGCGAGTGTAGTGTAGTAAGTAGTATTTCGTATAGCTTCGCTGCAGCGCGAAGAGAGTTAATACGGCCATTCTTGATATTATCAAGGGCTAATAAGACCTTGCCCTCCTGATTAGCTGATTTCTGCGCTGATTCGGTGCGTTTTGGTGGCATGGTAGGTGGTTGAATTAGGTAGGTAGTTAGAAAGACGCGTTTTTGGATGGGGTGTTCCGAACGGCCGGGAATTACGTTATAATTTCTAAATATTCTTCTTCGATTACCTAAGAAAAAGATAGCTCTACCTTTATTAAATCTCTAACCGATAACCTAGTAAAGTACTAGGTAGGATAATCGCGAAAATCTAGCGTTAGAACCTATCGATAAAACTAGTAATTTTACTATAATTAGCCTAGAGTTATCCGAAGAAACTATAAGTTCGGATATTAATTAAATTAATAAAGAAATAAGATAGATTTAATCTTAAATTAATTTACTTAAATAATAAAAAAGACTAAAAGAAAGACTCTAAGATCTTTAAATATAAGTCCGAGAGTTAGATAGTTATAAATTATTACTAAAAAGTCCTCCTTTCTCTAATAAAAGAAGAAGTAATATTAAAATTAAGAATATTCTAGTTTTTACCTATAAATTTACTATATAATAATAATAAAACTAGTTAAATAATATAGAGTATACTTTTAAGATCTCTCTAAAGTATTTTAAGACTAATAATAAATATATTCTTAAAATAATTATTTATATAGATTAATTATATAGATAAAAATAGTACTAATATACTAAAAGAAAGAATTCGATTAAATAGTAAAATATTAAAAATTCTTAGAACTAATTTAAAGAATAGATAATTACTTTTATCTAAAACGCCTTTATCTTTAAGATAGATATAAAAATTAAATATAAAATAATATAATACCGAACTAACTAAGATCTAAGAGAGTTCTATAATAAACTTAATATTTTAGAATCTTATTTTCTAAAACTTAATAAAAATAAACTAAGTCTAAATTTTTTTACTAAGCTTAGTAATCTATTATATAAAAAAATATTAAAATACTATTAATAGTTACTAAAAACTTATAAAGAAATAGTTACTATTATAATCTATTTTTAGGAAATATTTTATATAGATTAGAAATAAAAAGTTAATAAGACTTTACTAAATTAAGATAATTCTTTAAATTAATCTTTAAAAAAAGAAGGATCTAGATTATCTAATTATAGAAGATTAAATTAAAATAACTAAAATAGAAAACCTTCTAATTTATAACTAAAAGATAATCGAAATCCTATTAGAAAAAATAGTAAATATTTAGTTTACTATATTTATTAAAATAACTCTTACTTTATTAATAGATATCCTAAGAAGAATTCTTCTAAAATCTAATTACTTAAAATATACTTAGATTAAAAAAAATATAATTCTAAATTAAATTAAACCCTATATTTTTAATTTAATTTCTTTAAGTAAGGATAGTTATATAATTATATATACCGATTTAGGTCTAAAATAATATCGAAACTTATATAGATCTAGATACTAATATAGAATATAATATTATAAGTTAGTAATTTATTTAATAATATTAATTATAATAAATAAAACTTTTAGTATTAATACTAGAAATAATTAATTAGTAAAATATACTATTATATAGTATTTAGAAAGTTCCTATTACTATTATTAATAGTTAAAGAACTACTAAAACTTTTAAAAGGTTTTATATAGCTATTAATTAAAACTCTTAATTAAAAGAAAATCCTATCTTTTTATTAATAACTATACTTTAAGATCTAAATA